TATGCAGTGGGAGAGGAGTTAGTTGCTATGCATTCTTCTGAACTCAGACCTCTTCAACTGTACTTCTTGTACATTGAACATCTGAAGAAGTGTGTTGGGGGACTTGTTGCATTATCAGAGATGGGAAGAATTAGGACTTGGAAGTGTGATATCTCGAATGCACTAGACTTAGACAGTGGTACAGTCTACTAGCTCTCGAAGGAGCATACAGTCTATAATTTCTTTGCCCATACTCTACAGTACTCTCCTCGAGCACTAAGCTAAAACTCTTTTACTGTCATGAGTAGGACTTCACTCCATCGAGAGTTGTTGGAGATCACTCTCCTCATGCTACCATATTTCACCTCGGTATGCATCAGCCTTCTACTCACCTTACACCAGCCTCTTCAGGTACTTGCTCTCCCTCAAGCAGTACTTCAGCCTCAACAATGGGTGTATTGAAGTTGAACTTCACACTCCGTTCAACTGTTATCATTCAACAGTTTTGCCAATACACTTAGTATGCCAAGCTTGGTTCATCAAAGCCTACCCATCAACCAACCGCTATATGTGCATCCAGCTTTGATCTGCTCATATCATAAATGCAAATCAGACAATTCCAAACTTGCAAATTTGATAAGTTGAGTTTGCCACTATAAAATACTTCATATGGCATAGTTCTGTCAAGTACATGTGTCAGTGTACAGTTCTTCAAGAAGGTCGCATGAAGCACAGCTTCATTTCATAAGAACTTTATTGCTCAGCAACACCATTGTATTCAGGGGTGTCATGCATGATAAGTCTGTGAATAGTGCCTTGCCCTGCAAGGAAAGAACTAAACTCTTTTCCTAGGAACTTCCCTCCATGATCAGAGTGAAACACTTTGATTTAGAGGCCCTTCTGTGTATGGAGAAGATTTGCAAGGGTTCGATACACTTTGCCAGCCTGGTCCTTTGTATGTAGCAGGTATAGGTATGTATACCTACTATGGTCATCTGTGAAGCTGACATAGTAATGGTGGCCACTAATTATCTTGACAGATGCAGATCTTCACAAATTGGAATAGACCTCATCTCTGATTTTCTCAGATCATTTGCCCAGCCATTCACATTAGATGGGTTTGCGCATCATCTTCACATGCTCACAGGACTCGCAAACAGTTGCTGGTTTGAAGTTATCCAATGTTATATCTAGGATGAGTCCTTTTTCCACAAGTTCTCATGCAGCATTATATGCTATATGATCTATATGACAGTAGAGCTCTTTGATTGAAACTTGTTCAGTTATGGTGGCTGCAAAATCCCTAGAATGATAAACATGGTAAAGACCATTTGCTGTCTTCATCTCACCCACTAACTCCTTTGTATTTGTGTAGATATGACAGGAGTTGTCATGAAAGACCACCATTGCACCTGACATCATGATACAGCTGATCAACACAAGAGTCACACCCATCTCTGGTGCATATAGCATATTGGTCAAGAGAACATGACTGGTTCTCTCACTGCAGGATACATCAATATATATATCCCCCTTTCTGACAGCCTTGAAGGTTTGATTGTCAGCAGCACCTATGAGGCGAGGTGCAATAAGGGTGAAGATTATGAAGTGATGTTGATACAGTAACATGTGTCATGTTGCACCTGAATTGTACAGCTCAGTCTCTACCTCTGCAACTCTAGTAGTATGCTTCACCAAGAAGGCATACTCAAAAGTCAGGATATAAGCCTCTTCACTATCACTAGTAATTGCTTCTTCAATATGACCACCTGTAGCACTGTCACCATTGACAGAAGCTTCATCAGACTGGCTGGTCATCCTGTCACCATATTTGCTATCTAAGTCAGAGCCAGTTTGGAGGTCTAGAATAGAGTCATTGTTGACATCATAGTTAGTGGCAGACTCGACAGAAGGGTTTTTAACAAAAAGAGAATGAAGACTCTCATCAGAGTCATCATCAATGAACCAAGAGTTTTTGTCATCAGTGATGTCTGCATAGGAACTCCCACCAGCACTCTCAATGAAGTCTAGGATGTTCATCTCTGCAGTGGCCATCCACACAGCATCTTCTGACTTTTTATCAGCTTTCATGATAGCAGCTTTTTATTTAGCCTTTTTTCTCCCCTTTGGTCCTTGTCTTTCCTTTCTGCCACCAGATGCCCAGCAGTTGGCCTTGTAATGGCCCTTCTTCTTGCAGTTATAGCACTCAACATTTCACTTTGACTTCTGCTTTTCACCCTTGTCACTTGCCCAGAATGCAGCATTTTTGGAGTCTATGCAACTCTTTGACTTCAATGTGCAGCATTCATACTCTTCTACAAGTGTCAGCATGAGATCATCAGAGCTAAGGGTCTTGCCTAAGACACTTGAAGTAGCAGTGACAGCAGAGATATAAGGGTCATATGAGGATGAAAGAGATCTAAGAATAATAGTGTAGAAGTTATCATCAGCAGGAGAGTGACTCATGACAGTGAGATTTTTATGCATCATGTGGAGCTTCATAAAATGAGCATGGAGGTTGTCCTTTTTACTGGCACATTCATCCTGAAGGTGATCGACAAAGGTCAACTAAAACCATGCAAGACTTCTTCTCAAAGTCATTCACTAGTGCAGACCAAATATCATAAGCACTGGTCTTGCCACAGATTTTCATAAATAGAGAATCTGGAATCATACTGGCAACCAGCTGCTTCATAAATGGCTTCACCTTTCATCCACTCCTTACTGGCAGTTGCATGGGCAGTGGTATGAGCAGTCTCTGCAGTGGTTGGGGCATCAGCTGCGATAGGAGCTGAGGGTGTAGTGAGTGTGGTAGTAGTGCCATTGATATGCTTCAGATATCCATGAGCATTGGCAGCCCACTTCAACTGGTCTTTATAGATGACACAGTTGGTGCCATCAACTTCAAGCTTGAGAACATGAAGGTAGTCATTGAGCTTGACTATAGACATGGTAGATGGAATGAGGGTAGCGACTATCAGGTAACAAGAGTAGAGTAGCAACTAGAGGTGTTTCAGACACCTTTTCACTTCAATGCAGTTTAGGCTAGCTTGGGGCCCATAACCTAATGAAAGAGTAAATAGATGGAGTCTCAATCAGCATTGGAGCTAACAATTTGAATATATAGTAGATATTGTCTAGCTACCTAATGAAAGAGTAAATAGATGGAGTCTATGACATATAAGTCAGCACAGTTTTAAGGGAGTCAAAATGGTACATGCTACACACCTCAATCAGTATCAGAGCTAATGATTGAGGTGCATCTACAAAAAGGATGGGAACTACAGTGACTCACAAAACCCTTTTAATGTTTGTCAAATTTTGCTTTCATGGGCAATATCTTCTCACTGAGAAAGAATATCAAAGTGCCATTATGTAGTCTGAAAGAGTAGTGTCTTGGCTCCAATTATCACTCTGAGTCATGTGATTTGGTCTAGAATTGGCAGAGGTACTTGAATTGCAAAGGGCACTACTCATTGAAAGGGTTTTGTTGCACGCTATTCTACCAAATGAAAACTTGAAATTTGAGTACTTATTAGAGTTTTCTCTTAATTTAAATTAGTGTGTAGATCTACCAAGGGATGCTCCAAATTGAATGAGAACAAGCCTTCTTTGATACAACCTCTTATTTCTTCTACATTCTCTTCTATTGCTTTGATATCTCTTTTAATAATATTCTCAGTTCTCTAAGCCTTCTTCTCAAATGGTTCCAAGAATTATTAATGAGATTGATTTCAGAGAACTGAATTGAGTATAGAGAAACCTCAAACTCATAACTTTTTAGTTAGATCTTAGCATTTTTTAGGATATTTGTTTTGCTGAAAGTCAATACTCTTGAAATGTTTCTATAATATCTCAGATACTCTCAAAGTTTATCATTGAGTGTATGTGTGTATAGATTGACATTGACAATGTCTTCATGATTTATTATATATCTTACTTTCATTTATTGTCTACACTCCCTACACACACTTTTCAATTCTAACTATACTATGCTGAATATGCTAAACTCTGCCATGAAGTATCAGAAGTAAAGCCAAAATTACCAGAGATAGTTTCTTCATATATATAAGATTAGTATTAGTTATCTGAGATTAAAAGATTGAAAGTCAATATGAAAAAAGAAGACAAAGAATGTAAACAATAAGTTCTTGCAAAGTATAGCTACAATTAAAGAGTTTGTGTAGGGGTGTAGACAATAAATAAAAGTGAGATATATAATAAATCATGAAGACATTGTCAATGTCAATCTATACACACATGCACTCAATGATAAACTTTGAGAGTATCTGAGATATTATAGAAACATTTCAAGAGTATTGACTTTCAGCAAAACAAATATCCTAAAAAATGCTAAGATCTAACTAAAAAGTTATGAGTTTGAGGTTTCTCTATACTCAATTCAGTTCTCTGAAATCAATCTCATTAATAATTCTTGGAACCATTTGAGAAGAAGGCTTAGAGAACTGAGAATATTATTAAAAGAGATATCAAAGCAATAGAAGAGAATGTAGAAGAAATAAGAGGTTGTATCAAAGAAGGCTTGTTCTCATTCAATTTGGAGCATCCCTTGGTAGATCTACACACTAATTTAAATTAAGAGAAAACTCTAATAAGTACTCAAATTTCAAGTTTTCATTTGGTAGAATAGCGTGCAACAAAACCCTTTCAATGAGTAGTGCCCTTTGCAATTCTAGACCAAATCACATGACTCAGAGTGATAATTGGAGCCAAGACACTACTCTTTCAGACTACATAATGGCACTTTGATATTCTTTCTCAGTGAGAAGATATTGCCCATGAAAGCAAAATTTGACAAACATTGAAAGGGTTTTGTGAGTCACTGTATATAGGAGGGAGCAGATGGAGCATCAGAAAGGCGGAAAAGATATGGAAAGGTACCAAGAATGAGTATAAAGGTTTAGAGCTATGGTAAAACAGAAGGAAGAGAATATACCCATAAAAGGGTAAGTAGGTTTGGTAAAAACCTTTGTTCAGTATGTCTTGGCAGCTTGGATTCCAACACCTGCTGCACTCTCAGGCTACTTATACATAGCTCTGGAACTCGGTTATTGTTGCAATCTCTTGTTATTTAAACTGGTGTTCATTTATTCACAAGCCTGGATTCAATTTCCCTAGTACTCCTTCCTGTGTTATAAACTGTAACCGAAGTTGCCCCACATCGTGATTAGCATTATTGTGGGTCCTTATTTACGAGTATTTGTTCCAAGGCAGATAACCAATCGCGTTTCCTCGGTGTCGAACTTTACGATCATCCTCCCTCTCGGCTCAACCATGGTTGCTCCTCAGAACTTTCTCGATTTCATCGACAAGAACCAGGATAAGTTCATTGACCGATTGGCAGAGGCCGTAGCTATTCCGAGGTATGATCTAACTCGTCGATCGTGTGCTGAATATTAAGATGACGATCGCGGGGAATCATTATCGTTTAGTATAAGCGGAGATGCATCTAGGCGAGAGGATGTCAAGAAAATGGCGAGCTGGTTGGAAGCACAGCTGAACAAGTACGGTGTCAAGACTCAACAGGTTCCTTTGGGTCAACAACACCTCGAAGGAAAGACTTTAGACCTGCCTCCGGCCATCCTCGGACGTATTGGCGATGATCCGAATAAGAAGACCGTTCTTGTTTACGGCCACTTTGATGTCCAACCTGTGCGTATTATACCAATCGACACCTTCGTGTTTTCTATATACAGTATATAAATTTTATGTGACTCGTTGTTCTGCAGGCGAACAAGAGCGACGGATGGGACACGGAGCCTTTCAAGCTGCATGTTGACAAGCGGACAGGCAAGATGTTCGGACGAGGTGCAACAGACGACAAAGGGCCTATTCTTGGCTGGCTCAATGTTCTCGAAACACATCATACACTGGGGCTCGCATTACCTGTCAACATGGTCTTCTGTTTTGAGGGAATGGAAGAGAGTGGAAGCGAGGGCTTGGATGAGCTCATAGCGACCGAGGCTCAGAAAGGAAAGCAAGGCTGGTTTGGCGATGTGGACTGCGTCTGTATTGTGAGTGATCGCGCGAGTGCGCAATTGGTGCTTTGTTCTGATGTATTCCGCCTCATTCAGTCAGACAACTACTGGCTTAACACCCGTACTCCTTGTGTGACCTATGGCCTCCGTGGCATTGCCTACTATCAAATCACCATATCTGGTCCCGGTTCTGACTTGCACTCTGGTATCTATGGCGGCGCTGTTTTCGAGCCAATGACTGCTCTTATCACATTGATGAGCAAGCTTGTGGCTATCGACGGCCACATTCTCATTCCGGGTGTCTATGATGGTGTTTCCGCAGCAGACGCTGACGAATTGTACGCCTTTTCTAACTTCTATCAGTGAATAATACCGATAACAGCTTTCGGTTGCAGGAAACGGTACAGCGAGCTTGATTACGGTGTCAACGACCTCGAATCTGCTGCCGGTGGTCCCGTTGCTAACTCAGATGACAAAGTGACCGTGCTCATGGCGCGCTCACGTAACCCGTCACTTTCCTTGCACGGTATTGAAGGTGCATTCTCCGGTGGAGGTGCGAAGACCGTCATCCCTGCTACCGTGTCTGGGAAGTTCAGTTTGAGGTACACATCATTTGATCATTGCCATCCCGCTTCCTCTGATGTAGTATGTTTGGCGTAGACTTGTTCCGCCTCAAACCCCTGAGGACATCACCAAGAAGGTCATCTCCTACATCGAGTCTGAGTTCGCCAAGCTTGGGACGAAGAACACGTGCAAGGTTGAGTTCCTCCATGGTGGCAAGCCTTGGGTCGCAGATGCCAGCCACTGGAGCTACGAGGCTGCCAAGCAAGCCACCGAGGTCTGTTCAATCGACTAGAGACATAATGACAACATCAACGTATTTGTTCATACAGGCTGTATATCTTACCACTCCCAACTATACCCGCGAAGGAGGGTCCATTCCGGTTACACTTACCTTCGCTGACAACCTGGGCGTTAACGTTTTGCTGCTTCCTATGGGCCGCGCTGATGACGGAGCTCAGTAAGTACCCTGGCATTTGGTGTCATTTTCCAATCGTTGACATACCCTGCAGCTCCACTAACGAGAAGATGGACATTTCAAACTTCATCAAAGGAGTACGTAAATATCACACATACTTATTTGAGCATACTAATTGTCGTCATCACAGAGCAAGCTGTTAGGTACCTATCTATACGAGTTAGCCGACATTACCTTGAAGAAAGCATAAGATATGATACTATAGAACAACTGAAGAAACTGGAGACATTAAAAGAGACAATTGTAGCTGTATCCGTGCCTGCATACTTGTACTTCTTAACAATGGGTGATTTGTATCAAATGTAACATTGGGTATCCCGCAAAAGCGCACCTTCGACATCAAAGTAATCATAGCAACACAACAGAGCAAAAATGGATGACTACAGAAAACACTCTCTAAACTACGGATATACAACTAGTGGTCCAAATTATAATCGTACAATATGATCATGTCCCTTCCGATAAATCAACCTGGGGTCCTTGTCGGCATACCCTTCCTACGATTGAAGCCCCTAGATGCACCCGCCTTATTCTGAGATGGATTAGAAGGATCTTGCATTGGCTGATCTGGCCCTACAGGATTCCGAATGATTGTAGCTGCCGTGGTACGTTGCGTCTGCAAGCTAACTAACGATGAACTGGGTGAGGCTCTCCGCGACCTATCGCTGTCACTAGTAGAGTCGGCCGCAGACTTGGTCGATGGATCCGCTCCAAAGATCCGTTGTCGGGCTGCTTGGTATTGTGCCTCCCGTTCTGCATATGACTTCTGTTGCGAGTCTGATAGAGCTGAGGACGAGGCGGATGTGGACAGGGTAGGGCGTTTCAGTATCCGCAGAGCGGGCTTGAAGGCGGCTGGGGGAGGAGCCACAGACGCTGCAGTACTGGAGGATGAGACGACGAGCTCTGGCATCGGAGCTTTGTTATTCCTGCATCAATTTAGATGTAGAGTGAGATCTATGTGCATGTGAAGGGTACATTGGTATGTTACGCACGCATCATCCCAAAGCTTCTGAGGCTCTGATTCCTCCTCATCGTCTTCGTTATCCCAATCGTCGGGTACGGGCTCACTCTTCTGTATCCGTTGGGGCGGAAGAGCTGTGCGCGAAGAGGACTGTCAAATCAACGAGATCGTAAGATTAACGACCATCAAGCAAACAGTACTGTACTTACCGGTGGGCAGTCCCATGAATCCGACAATGCCGTAGATGGACTTGCTACAGACATGATAGTGACCGTCCTCCTCGATGCAACGTTCAATACTTTCACAGGGACACGGTGAAGCTTCGCCTCTTTCAGCCACAACCGAGGCACAGCAACCGAATAGCGCTAGTGCCTTGTTTTGCCACGTGCTTGCTCTACTGAACGCCAAAGTTTGGCGCCCACAAAATCAACAACGTTGATGGTTTTCTCTCTCTCATTCCTGCGTAGACTGCTGCTTTTACTTGCCTTTTTGATACTTCCAGAACACCCCGTTCATAAGGCATTAGACGTTGTATAAGCTAGCTACTTGTTATATCTCCTCCTTGTTTGAGTCATTTCATGGGTCCTTCTTTTCTCGTCACCCGGTACGTCACCAACGCTTGTACCGCACATGATGGGGCATATACCTTGGCTGATACCGCCATCACAACATGTTGATTATTCAACTGGTCTCACCTCTCTTCACAACATCGTTCCATCCACTTCTAGTACGAGTCTCTGCTTTGTACTTCGTGCTGATTGTAGAGAATGAACATCATCAAACAAGCAGCAGGAAACACTGATAGGCGGTATGCTCGGCTGGTATATTCTCCCATCGCTCTTTTTCTTATCCCATTCCGTCCACTGAGTATCCGCTTTTGTGGAATGCATAACGGTCTGGAGCCAAGCAGGGTCGTATGGATTATGTCTAGTGGCCATACCTCCCTATGCTGAAGGCGACGAACATTGTGGCCTTCTTGTCTGTCCCTTATCCGACTCCTCGCGGCCCCCGGTGACTCGGTAGGTTATGGCCACATGCTCCAGGTGGATGATGCGATGGGCAGGCTTCCCTGCTGCTGTATTCGTACTATTGGAAATGACCTGAACCTTCGTTGGAGAATCAAAAGGGGGCCCTGTGTTCTTCATAGAACGGCACGCCCTACACTAGGCCTGAAGCACTATCGGCACGTATATGCGGTCATGCTCTCAGCTCAATTGTTGCACGCCCCTTCTATGGATCGACGACGCTAGACCGTCGGTAAAACTCGCACCGTCGGTGAATGTATAGTCACACACGGCCCAGATTGTATGCATCGAACTGTATGCACACACCAAGCTTTGCGGCTCATGCCGACGCTCTCCCTCATCCTGTATCATTGATCATCAAGCAATGAAATAGTCCCTGTATCGTATGAACATGGTGGAACATTCATTATCTGACCATCTGTTAGGTCGGCCGTCTCCGTAGGAATTTTCAGAGTGAGCGTCATTGATATGTCTTGTCAATAGATGAACGCTGACATTTATATCATCAGAAAAACGACCGAGATTCTTTGCGACATCGCGAGAGATACGCTCAACCTCCAGGTAAGATATAGACTTCTAAAAGCTTGCACTATTCCATGTCGCTTGACGTTGATAGTCAGAATTCAAACAGTACCTTACAATGGTGACGCATTCTTTATTCGCTAGATGATCATTCGTAGCTGATTCAGCAATTCGCACACCGACAGTCGCCGTACCTTCACAAGACTGTCAAGACTGGATGAGTACTTATTCCTTGTTTGAGCTGGTTGTTTCTTCTTCTGAACGTCAACTCTTTACAGGCGCTCCCGCGAAGCGTTCGAACGTTCCTGGACAGTTCGCAATCTATAGGGCGTCCGGTCCTATCCGATGCCGTCATGTGACGTTGTGAGTTGCACTATACTTCACTCGTCTCAGGATTCAATTGCACTTTACAGTTTTCGTCATTCCATACGAACTGACCGTTTGTATGTGGGTTTTCTCTCGCTATCAACCTATGTCGCGTCGGCTCCGAGTCGAGGAAGCTTCAAAGTGTCATCTGTGAGAAGCCGACAATGCTCCAACACCAGTGTGACATCTTCAGGAACTCTTCTTTGATCTTCTGTTATTCAGAATGATGTGAATGACCTTAACCGACAGCCTTCTCCCAGGCTCCATTTCCACTTGTTCAATACAGGTTCGGTTGCCCTTCTTTTCTCCTTGCGTGGGGGACGCACTTACCACATCCTCCTTGCTATTGCTCACGGACAGCTCACGAGGGAACGAACCGTCTTCAATGTTACGAGAACCAATTCCCCATATCATCTTACCTCCGACGCTTTTGGGCGATGGTTCCGACCCATGCAAGCTTCTGTGTTCGAAAGAAATGCATTGGTGAGAATGTCAGCCTTGTAGTTCTAAGCGAGTGCAGGGCGTAATTGGGTTACTGCGGTCGAGCCATGATGGTTCATTGCTTCTGACCGAGAAGGGAAATATACTCGCAGGATGACTTTCGTAGTGACCTTTTCTGTGCAAATATTCTCTTATAAGCCGAGGACTTGCGGAACTTGCGGAACTTGCAGTGAAGATGTGTCCTCAAATGCCAATTGCCTGAAGATTCTACGCCACAGAAGTTCTGTGACCCACTGTGAGGCCGGACATTAGTGAGATGGTATTGTTTGACCTGTCTGAACAAGTTGATTTTTCTCTAGTCGCTGACGAAGCCATCTATATTTCAGTGGCGGGCTTATCTTCGAATTCTATAGGTTGTAAGATGTGTTGAACGCCTCGGCCGATGCGAAAGGTCGAGAGACGTTTACTAATTTGCTCTCATGCATTCAAACTTCTGTTCTCCCCATTCATTCCGAAGTCTGCTGCGTCAGTCACCGCAGTCCAAGGCTCCAAGCCTGTCCAAGCCTTTCTCTTTCGAGGGGGAAATGGGCACCACTTCGTCCCTGGGGCCTGTCGTATTGTCCTTCTCTCGCCCTGATTTCTTTGCTTCTTCACATCGGAAGGGCAGGACGACCGAACCGAATCCCATTCAAACTTGCTACCGTCTCTACTTTCCTTTGTTGCCTCTTGCAGTAAGCATACCTTCTCGTCAGCTAAGTCACGACACACACAACGGTCATGACACTCATTACGAGGAGATGATCTGGTGATGGTGGCACACAGAGAAGCCGACCTTTCGGAAATGTCCATCCATCGATGGTTCCATCCAGAATTCTAGAAGTTGTACCATTTCCTAATGAGAGGAAAAGGGGTACGGTGATCTCGTTCCTTTGTCTGATCACACTCACCGAAGCTCAACGTCAATTTCTCTGACAGTAGTCCGAAACTGATTGAGCACCAAAAGACCGGTGGGTGTATCATGTGTTACACACTGACCAGCCGGTCTGTCCAAGCCCTTGCCCAAGTGTTTCAGAAATTCCCCTTCTCCGAGGCTTCTCGCCACTCTACCGCAGCTGCGAGAGTCGCGCAACTTGTTGTTCAAGCTTGCCATTCCTGTCATTGTTCCTGTTCAACATTCCGCGAGGGGGTATGTCATCGTCCGAATCGTCGCGCTACGAGTTGTGCTACTGATAGACGTTGAAACATCCCCCCCTCCGGCTTTATGCGGACGACAGAGGTGATAAATAGCCTCGGGGGCCTGTAGCGCGATCGTTATACTTTGCACATCCCCCTTGAAAGGTTGATCGACGCTAACGACCTTGCTTGCAAAGTGAGTCAGAAGCAAGAAGACCTGAATTTGGGCGACCATGCCTCAGTCCTTCTGAGGCAAATCTATATACCTACCGGTATATCACATATACTAAAGGTGACCGATGGTCTATTGTGACTTGCCAACGGGGCCCAATGGTGGCCTGTGGTTGCATTCGGATTTCGTCTCGTCGTGAAGGTAAGGCCTTCTGCGCCCAGCTAGGCGACGATGAAGGTTCGGCTACGGCCTAGGGAATCGGTCGGAATTGATTAACCGATATTTTGCGCAACGCCGCATTGCCTCATGTATACGGACGACGCCATACACAACAGTCAACACATGTCTATCTATTCCCGAAGACCGACATTTTTTCGTCACCTCGAGAGGCCGTAACAGGGAGATGAATTTTCATCCCCCCCCAAATGAGTTTACTACTTACTGCGGGGACTTGCTTGATTGCTAAGGACTGGATACTGAGGGCAATGCTTCCGTGTGTCCGGCTGTTGCTTCGCAAGAACGCCTTTTTACTTTTTGCAGGTCCGGTATACGACGTACAGTATTTGTGGAACATTAGAGTGAGTACAGCCATAACTGCTGCAGTGACAGTCGTACACGCTCCATCCTACTCTTGTCACGGTACGCATGTACAGTAACATCGCCTTGAAAGATTGCCATGGAGTCAGTGAAGATTTGCGAGACTAATTGCAATGGACTTAAGTTCCATGTACGATCGATTCACCACTGACGTAGTTGGTATCAGCAGTGCTATTCCCGTTATGCCGTTCCCCTCTCCCAGCTAAAGAAATTCGGACACATTGGAAACGCCGCCGGGAGGCAATACGAATGAAAATTCGGAAGATGGTGGAACTGCAGTGGCGTGAATATGGCGGAGGCGCCCTATATTTGTGTCTCCGGCAATTGCATCCTTAGTGTACTCAGTGAACACTCCCCGGTGTTTCCGAGGGCAACAGGGGTACGTTGCGGGGTAGTTGCGCAGAAAGTGCAGTGCAGTTGCATTACTGGTGCTGCGGTGCACCGCTGGTATATCGAGTCGAAGTGGACCGACCTGAGCAGCCTGAGTGAACCCAAAACTTGGCTTCCGAATCCTCCCGAGGAGTTGCCGTTTTGGGGAAAGTGTCTTTTCTTTCAATGAGTACCTCATGCGTATGGTGTGCCTCGTTCAATTTGGATGCGCCTGAGACTCTTTATCGATAAAGCTAGCTTCGATTGTTCTCAGATTCACATGAGATCTTCAGTAGAACACAAAGAAAACTCCATCATCTGAGCAACGCGTGGTCTTGGCGACAAGAAAAAAAAGAAAAAGAAAAGCTGCATGTCAATCACTGACAGGGGGGCTATGTACCATCTTCAAGCTTGACGGGATGTTGTCAACAAGCTTTGGAAAAGGGTGGTATGGCGTTCGGAGGGGTCTCGAGTCCGAAGACAGTGGTTTGAAATACAGATGGAGAAGACACAAACACCCCCGAACTGTAAACCCAATCCCAAAAAGAATCTAGACAGACCTATTCAGGGCATGAAGAGTACTGTCATCTAAGTATAGACACGAAACAGGTGCGAAGCTGAACTGCGTAATGGGCAAAACGACCTTCATAAGAGCGCGGGTGTTCATTGGAAGTCGGTGAATTAATGAGGCACGCATCAAGCAAAAGCATGCGCAGCGGACAAAAGCAGAAAATCGGATCTTAAGTCAATTTGAAAGCCGCGCTCAGGATTTTTATCCGAAGATACCTTGTTGGAGTTGAGGCTGTCATCGCGGACATACATAGGAACATTCGAAGATACAACTCTGTTTCGTGGGTTCTAGGAGGGTGTCAATTGTATGAATGGATCGGAACAATAAGGGTTTGACAGGTGAGAAATCGAGAGAACACTTCGGTATTCAAGCCGGGATAAGCACGGATTTTCTGGAGAAGAGTCTGTGAATGGCAAAGACGGCAGGAGCAAACGGGTAGCCGAGGACATGCGATACGACGTTACAGTAGCAGGGGCGCTCATGAATTGAGTTCGAGTCTTCTATCAGACCCTGGGAGCAGTGGCGAAATACGCGAGGAGTTGGTATTTCTGGAGGCGCAAAGAGACACCGAGTGTGGCGGCAACGGGTTTGTGGGATCGGATGATTGTGCGAGTGAGCAAAGTCCTCCGGGGGGGCAGATTCTGGGGATCGGTCTGGAAGGGATTGTAGAGAGCAAGAAAGGCAATCATGGGAAGAAGTGGCTGTTTGCGGTTAGAGTTGCTGGGGAAGGAGTTCCACGTGAGTGTTGGCGGAGCGTTCTGAACTCTGAGTTGTATGATGACAAGGGCTAAAAGGAGGAGGGTTTGTTCTTGTCCCCACTGGCCTTGCGCGTTGTACACTTTGCCTGCGCTGCTGCCATCCTCGACGCTAGCCACGCCCCGGAGATTCGGGGTCAGATAACTGCCATAAGAGGCAAGGCTGGGACTGTGGCGGATCGACGATCACGATCGCAGGTTCGGTTCCGGACGGCGGCGACAGAAAAAGTTTGAGGAGAGCAAGCGAAAGAGACCACACGAGCCCCTGGCCATCGTAGCCAAGCGGTTTGCCAGGCTCAGCCCTAGCACTGCTGTCTTAGGGGGCCCCGCCACTGACTGCCCACTCGATCCTCTGCGGAAGCCTCGGCGCGGCCTCCGCACTTAATTTTTTAGGTTGGCACACTCGAAATTCATTTCGGTATGTCAATTTCTCTCTAATGCTTACTTCATCCCTCTAACATATCTTTTCTCTCCTCCTCCTTCTCCTCTCCTCTCCTTCCCTCCCCTCCCGCGCTGCTCTTTCTTTGTTCCGACCATCATGACCTACTCTGATAATTATTCCAATGCTCGCTATCCACACTTTCAAGATCAACAACACCAATACCCAAAGCAATCTCAATCCTATAGTCATCACCCTAATTACCACCACCACATCCAGCAGCCCGTCCCGGTCAAGGTTGAAGTAAACGAATCCAGGAACCTCCATTCTGCGTCTTCGTACCATCAACAGTCGCTTGCTCAGTTCTGTCATAAACCTGTGCTGCCGGCTTTTCGCTTCGGAGAATCTGGTTCAACTTCTGTCTCGAGCCCGTCTCCTACCACGCCTACCAGTTCGTTCTCTTTCATGTCTCAGCATCCCTGGCCATCCATTCCCTCCTCTGCTTCTTCCTCTTCGTCTTCTGCCTTTCAACAACAACAATATGCCACTGACCGGTTACACGGCTACCCTTTACCGGGCTCGCTTAATGGACACTCTCAAAGCCATCCCCAAGCTATGACTCTGAACGAAGAGTACGACGATGGGGAAGACGATGGTCTGGCTGAACTACCATCGGCAGGTTTGGGCATGGGTATGGGTGGATACAATAGTGCAGGCTATGGGGGATCAGACGTGCAGGAGTCCTCAAAGGTTGGGGAAAAGACGATCCGCAGACGAAGCAGCAAGGCTTGCGACCAATGCCGCAAGTCCAAGTGCAAATGCGAACGCAGCAGCCCCAACGATCCGTGCAGAAACTGTGTCATGTTGGGTACTCGTAAGTTTGCACGTTCTTGTTATTTTCTCCCGCGACCTGGTCACGGAGAACCTAATTATTGTTGTGCTTATTTGTTGCTATAACAGCTTGCACCTTCCTAGGCCCTTCGCGGAAGCGCGGCCCGCCGAAAGGATATATAGACGCTATCGAAGCAAGGCTGCATCAAACAGAGGCGCTCATTGGAATCCTACTTTCCTCCAAGGATAGCCGCGCGAAGACTCTCCTGGAAGATCTCAGCGAGGTACGTTCTTTCTCAAGCGTCCTTGGGTTTCGTGGCGTCGGCTCGGAGCTTTCCCTCGACCGACGTTAGTCATTCTTTTACATGTATGCTGATCACTTGACATGCAGGATTCTCTCGCCAGAGAAATAATCAATCGTGTCAATAACACACCATATGGTCATAAAGGACGGAACAAGTCCTCGGAGGCCGCTGCTTCCAGTAGGTCGCGTCCCTCAACAAATGATGCGAAAGAAGGGGAAAACTCAAACTTGCAAGCAACTCAGTATGTTTTATTTTTGCAACTCTGACCCGCTTCTTCTTACACGGATCTTCGTCTCCAACAGTCCTTCTAATGAATGGCAAGAGTCCGTCATCGCGAGACTGGATACTGCTGCTGCGCAGCGTAACACACTTATACCTGATGAGGATGATGTCTTCGGCGAGTTCGAGGTCCCTCCGACGACCGGTGATCGGTCAGCTCCCATGGACGAGGACGCTAGCACGAGCGACGCTCCGGCAACCGCTACAGCCGCCGCCGCCGCCGCAAACACAAGCCCCAGTGTTATGGCTACGGTGAAGCCAGCCCTGAGCGTATTGCCTCCAACTACTAGTCCCGTTCCAGGACCGGCCTCGTCCACTCTGCTCACCCCGCTTTCTGCGACAGCTGAGCGTTCCGATCGTATAGGAGGTGAACAATCTTCTACACGCAGACAGCGTCGGCGTGTGGAAGTGGATACCATGGACGAAACCACTACACGTTCGCCTTCAGCCACTTCTCTATCCGCTCGATCTCGGTCTCCTGTGCGCTATGCCTTGCCGCCTCCTCATCCGGCGCTACTCAAATCTAAAGAGTCCGCGACATCTTTACGCACAGCGCGCACGAGTTTGTCACCGGATCTGCAAGATGCCGAAGGAGATGAGGAAAGTTTTGCTGGTGTTGATGAGGAGGAACATGAGGGTGAGGATGATATAGCACTTGCGGTGGGTCAGTTAAGCATCAATGAGGACGAGCAGGTGAGGTACCATGGGAAGGCGAGCGGGTTGCATTTGCTGGGTATCAATGAAAGGTCGGACGGAAGGAATAAGGGCCATATTTGGTAGGTTTCCTGTGGTTTTCACTCTCGGAATCCCTGACTGACCTGTTTTGAAGGCGCTTCCCCAAGGCTCGTGTATGGCCACCTTTGCCATCGACCGCACGCAGTCCGACGAAGACCGAGGAGGATTGGATCAGTCGCTTGCCTGATTTACCAGAACAGGAACATTTGCTCAAGCTCTACTTCATCTACGTACACCCCGCTCTACCTATAATTCACAAGAAGTCGTTTATGGAAAATTATCGTAATGTGTACGTCCTTCCATTCATCTCCATTACTCCCTTTTCCATTTTTGCTCAATTTCGACCGCATATAGCAACCTCCGCGAAGGCAACTCGCCCTCCGTAATGGCAGACTCTCCAACGGTTGCCACTAATTCTAAGGCCGATTCCGAAAAGCATCACAAGCGTATACCCACCATGCTCTTACTGGCCATGTTCTCCATAGCCGCACGATACTCGTCCACCACCAGTGCTGACATCCCTCCGCCCGAAGAAGGTTCCATGTGGGCCGCAGGCGATTCCTACCTAGAAGACGCCAAAGCGAACCTCGATAGCTCTTACGCTGCTTCACGTCCGAGTACCTGTCAGGCATTGCTCCTGATGGGTTATCGGGAAGTGGGTATTGGCGCCATGGCTCAGGCGTGGTTGTATATTGGTATGGCGGTACGTATGGCTCAGGATTTGGGCATGCATAAGAATGCGGATAAGTGGGTGAACATTGGGAAGAATTTGTTCACCCCTGAAGAGCTCCAGGAAAGGAGACGGATTTGGTATGGTTGCGTTATGATGGACAAATACGTTTCGACATATATTGGTGAGTGGCCATATGATTCTCATGCAGTTGTCATGGATTCCTCATGTTTTCAATGTGACCTTATTTAGGTCGTCCGGTTGCAATTTTTGAGAACGACTTTGATACTGAGTTGCCTAGCGTTGACGAGGTACGTCTAGATTCGGACTAAGCCGTGTGCTTTGATGCTAAACTCATTCGGTTACTTCAGGATGATGAACTTGAGATTTGGGCACCAGACCCATCTCCGCCGCTGGTGGACGATGATCTCGAGCCGCCTCCGCACCAAGCACCTCCTGTTACTGGGCACGTTGTCTCTTGCTTCAACGAAGCTGCCAAGCTGTGTACGTGCCCATGAATGAGTCAGTTGATTTTGCGTCCCCGTGACTTACTTGTTATTGTCAGCCATCCTTTTGAGCATGATTGTTCAAGCCATCTACCCTATTCGCCCACACATCTTCCGTCTCACGGAGTACTCGCGTCTCGAGAAGTATCTGGACAAATGGTTCTTGGAATTGCCTGAACATCTGAGATACGATCCCGCGTCGCAAAAACCGACCACTTTGCCGCCACATGCGTTGACTCTTCACATGCAGTATTGGTGTACTGTTATCCTGTTGCATAGGCCATTGTACGTATCATTATGTTCATAAGTGTGAGCCCCGATAGTGACAATAGCGGTAGCATCAGCACAGATCCGTCACAAACAAAATCGTACGCATGCAGTTTCATCTGGATTATCTTTCGTTCGATTAACGTCTTGGCTTCAGGTTGACTTCTCCAAGACATTTGGAAGCTGTGAAGATGCATACTCACAAAAACTACGATCTTTGCGTTCAGGCCGCTAACCATATCACTTCCATCGGTAAGTTCCCCCGGTGGGTCACGCGTTATTTTAATACTCATTCCTCTTCTATCGACAGTGTCGGTATATGTTGAGCGGCACTGCGTCCGTCGGGCTCCAGTGTTCCTGTGTTTCTACGTGTTTACCGCGGCGATCATGCACATTGCGACACGTACGTTTCACTTAACCGGTTTCTCATGACTTATCCTGATGATCGATTGTGATAGTGAAAACATATCCAAATGACCCACAGGCAGGCATCGGTCTCCACAAATGCATGGACGTCCTTCACCGGATGCAGAATGTCTGGCCAAGCGCGTGGCGCGCTTATCAACTTCTTAGTGGCGCAAAGGTGCCGTTAGTCGCCAGGGACTCAATGTCTCCCTCTTCCTCCGAGAGACAGAAGCGCCCTGCTGAACACGCACTTGAGCTTGACTACCCTGAAGAGCAACGTGTGACCGACCAGTCCCCTCAACCCTCCGTGGTCGATGATCGCCGGGTAAGCATCGATTCGCTTCGACCTCAGTCGAGCGGGAGCGAGCACTTGTACCGTGCGCGGCCTTCTCAACAACAGCAAACGCAGCCACAAATTCAACCGTCACCACAACCCCAAACTCAGCACCAACCTCAACCACGGCTTCCTCAGCCCCAAGCCCCGCATCCGCAAACGCACCACCAGCACCAGTCTCAGCATGGACAAGGATATCCTTCACGTGCGAGTAGCAGTCATGCTCAATCCAACTTCGCGCTTGGGTTGGACTTGCCTACCGCCGCTTCGCCAACATTCTTCCAGCCGTTCAACGACCGCTGGGCTTCCGAAAGTCCCTTGAGCAACTATCCTAGTACCTTGACGACGTCTGTTCTACCTCAGCAGTACAGCACAGGTTTGATTGATGAACGCGTTCAACGTGGCCATGAGAGGCAACCTCAGCGATTCCCTCAGTATTGGAGCGATTACTCCTCGTTGGGGCAGATGGAGGCACCGTACGGTGTTCCAATGGTTGGTCCAGACATGGTCCCACCTGCACACCAAGCGACTCGTTCCTCTCAGCATACCCAACAGCCCCCGTATCCCCAGGACCAGTACTCTGTTTTCAGTACGTAATCTTCTTTATTTTAACCGCATTCAAGGTGCTGACCTTTGTGACTACAGACAATCTTTCACAAGGAGGTCAATGACGAATAATTGTCTTTTTATGCATTGATTTGCATTCTTTCATATTCTATCCCCGTCTTTCTGCTAATTCTAATAGAATCATCTCTTGTTTCTGGACTTTCGCTTCACTAATCCTTCTTTGCTACCCCAAATAATACTGTATTAGCTCTCGTCGCGAAATTGTTGTATCCCATAGCTCTCCATCATCAGCTTGCTTGTTCAGCTCTTACACATACGCAGAATAGCACAAACTATTGCAATATCAAATACAGTTCGGAATCTCTTCAATAGACCTGTCCGATGTATGGCATCTACGTAAGACCTTCCCAAGCAACAATTCGTATTTCAAACCTGCCGTCCTGCACTCTTGCGTCTCCTTCGTCCAGACCGACCGCTTTTATGCTGTCCATATTCTCATTCGACAAGCCATCCAAATATACCTGACCACAACTAGGCAATCCAAGGATGTCCCAGAGTTGGGATTCTGGACGTTTTCGCTACTGATCCCAATGAGACACGCACTTGAAATGAGTGGATCTTGCAAACATACCTCGCGCGCAGCTTGTCTGACCTTCCTGTATCTCTGTTCCAGGTTGTCAGGCTCGAACCGAGCATTTGCTTCCCCTAGATGGTGAGTATTCTTGTTTAGAGGAGGCACAGGTTTGGGTTCGTCAAAATGAGCTTTTGAACGCTTGGGAACAAATGGCTGGCCCGCTTTCTTCACATGCCAGGAGGTGACGCCTGGACCAGCACGTTCTTCAGTTCCTGATTTCGGCGGCGGCGGAGGAAGGTAGGTCGTTATTCGCGAAGAACCAGAGTATTGTGTGCTACTTTGAGCCGCTCCTACGGGTAGTTTCTTGGCAAACTGAGATATTTTGAATTTTCCTGATGTTTTCTCAAGAGCAGGGCGTAGGCGCTTCGCGGGGGTAGGGAGGCTAGACCAGTTGGAATCAGGGGAAACAGGGAAGGCATCATAGGCATCCCGTGGAGGACGCCGAAAGATTGGACCCTTCGGTTGAAGATGCGTGTGGCTAAGCAGCGGGCGGGAAGAACTGGAAGCATGAAAAGAGGGCGAAGGTCGGCGAAAAGGAGGGTCTGTAGAAGAGGATGGAATAGCAGTCGAGATAGGATGGGAATCGCGTCCTTTACTTGGACATCGTGTAGAAGAGGGGCGTTTCAACAAAAAATTTGATAAATGTGGAATATTAGAATCTCCTCGAAAGGGGGATGAGGCTGCCATGCGTGGAGGATATCCCGATAATCTTGACGGAATAGGACTAGACATCGGTGATCGTATATGACGCCGACAGGTATAGTCTCTGGTGCTAGGACTAAGAAAAATGGAAGGTCGCGGGAGTCCGCCGGAATGTGTACTTGCTGAAGGGAAAGTATACGATAATGCAACCCTTGCCGGGTCATCCTCTGACCGTTAAGTCATGACATGAGCCTTATAGTACAAAACGCACTTACAGACGACATACCGGTCATAAAAATATCTTCGGGAGTAAGAGGGATGGTTTGCAAGTCTGACGCAATAGCATTGACAAGGTTGGTACCAGGGACCAACGGGAGGATCCTTTCATTGGGGTCTTCGGACCTGGGTATATGCGCTGCAGAATCAGGAGCGGGAGGCAGGTTGGTTAGTGACGTAGCTTCCAAAGGAGGTTCTATGTTAGCATGGACATGCTTCAGGCATTCATGAGTATTAACGTGAGAGGGAAAAGTGGATGCGACATTTGAAGGGTCGTCTGATGGGAATTGTGACGACGGCCTCGAAAAAGAATTGAAGACAGCATGATTAATGGGCAATGATTGCGGAGCCGCTTTTGACTTCCTGCTTTGATCAGGAATCGAGTAGGGTTTCTGTGATACAGAGTTCTTGGTTGCGACCTTCGTTCCGGGTCTTGATAGCTGTTTCTTGAATGCGTCAGCAATGGGTCCTGTAGGCCGTTTCCTGGAGACTGCATGGGCTTTGGTAATCGTCACAGCGGGAGATACAACATTAGGGCGAGATGCAGCGTTGACCTTCGCGATAGTCCAAGGATTTGCGTTGTAAACCGCGTCATCGGGTCGAGAGGACAAGTCAAGCTCGCGCAGCAGCCTAGCATCTTCAGATATTATAACAGGCTTTTGGCTTCCAATAGGCGAGCTTGAGCTTGTGTCTGATTCTGAATCCGATTCAAGCAGAGCAGAATGGTTGTGAAGGTTATACGACCAGCTAGGTGAGTTCTTCGGAAGTTCTTTCCTGCGGGTACCCAGGAGACCCGGCATAGCAAGTAAGTATCACAAGAGTAGAAAATACACCGTCAATAAGAGCAAAGTCAGCCTTCAAAGAGCATCTATAGAAGAATCTTCAAGACTCTGTAGTCAGTCAGAAAGGACGCAGTTGTGTTGTTGAAGATCGGATGGATTTCAGTCTCTAGTACTACCAGAGTCCGAGCCGGAGTTGAACCACCATACACATTTCACAATAGGCGCCGGTGCTTTCTTACTACTTAGTCTTAGCACTCAAAGCAGTGTGAACAATGTGTTGAGCGTAAATATCCATAGAACAGGCGGCTCTTGGGGGTTCAATTACCGTTCGAAGATGTCTAGGATTCGGGTTATTGCTGCACGAAATGCCAGTGACTATTCCTTCCACTCTGAATAGTAAGTCGAATGAGCATCTGATAATAATACATTTCTTTTCAGGACAGAGATGTGGGTGAAGGGTGGGCAGAAGGAGGAATATCAGCGCTATCATCAGACCCACTTTTTATGATATAGAATGAACACGTTCATATTCCAGTGTGCTGTCCTTAAGAAACCATGCATCTCTGGGCGTGCGGTCGGCGTTTGGGTTGCCGCGGTGTGTGGGGGTTGCGTTGAAGCACAAACTCATCACCAGGAGGAGCTTTTATTGACCAATTTGCGAACAACATCATGTCACCGGGGAGCTCCATATTGTCCAGACTGATGTGCCGGGGACATACGTCACATGGAAATCCAATCATAGCTTACTTTGTCGTGATGCTCTAGCTGCCTCCTTTTCGAGCACTGCAGCAATCGCATTCGCTAGCCCACAAGGCTGCATCTGTACAATCTAAAAGAGAAAGTGAGCACTGAAGGATTCAAGAACTTTGTATGAAGTACGAACTAAATGGCCAGCCTTAGGAACTCTTGTGAGGGAAGCATACTTCCCACGAGCAGCTTCCTTGAGAACCCTATTCTTGGCATCTCGTGGACTACATTAATAAGAGTGAACACAATAAGAATGGCACAAGCAATATCAACGAGACATGGTACATACATGTAATCGTCTATCTCTCCATATATGAAGTGTACGGGAAGAGACGAACAAAGTACGCCGAGGAACTTGTAGGCCCGAGTTCGACCAAGATTATCACGATATGATGCCTATGCAGCATAAATTTATTTCAGTACAATGCAGCTCGGGTAATCTTAGCATTGGCCAAAACCTACTGCTTCTTGAGTCTTTGCACACTTCAGCGTCACGCCCTCTTTCTCATCTGGATGCAACGCCGTTGGCAAGTCCCTCAGACCTTGTTCCTAGAGTATATTGCTATATTGTCAAACTACACAGTTTAAAAGCATATCTCGCGTAATTCACATACCACAAACACCCTAAGCACCCGAGGATCCCATATCTTGAAGGAAGGCCGTGACTCCAATGATTCGAGGGCAGCCTGACGACTTGGCCATGTGTCACGTCGTTTCAGCGCCCCCGCCGCAAGGTCCAATTTGAATGCTGGAAGCTGACCAGGGGGAGGCTTGTGATAGGTCATCGGTTCGACCAGCACAATATACTTGAAATTAATTGTGGGTGTAAATGTGTTGGCTAGTGTCCTAAGAGACAAAATAAGTTACGTGGCTGCAATCAAAGTAACAATACTCACAAAGCGACACCACCCATAGAATGCCCTACGCCAACAAGATTCCTAGTATTGAAATCTACTGGGATTCCCGTTCCCAAGCCAGCTAGGAAAGCATGCACACTGCGACCATACTCCTCCCAACCGACTAGTCGCATGATCGGAACTTAAACCACTTTGTTTCGATCATAAAGAAGGCGTATACGACGTACAAACTTCAGAGTAACCCCATGAGAGTTCCTCCTCGTTCAATATTGCGGCATCTCCATGATTCGGGCAGTCAATACTCCAAATCTCTCGTAGCTTTATGTTTGGATGCCCAGAACGTTCCAAGAGTTCGCATAAATGCTCAAATGTGGGCTCCCATTGTTCTTTGTGGAACCCAGTCCCATGTGTGAATACAAGCGTTAGCGCGTCCGGGTCGTCTGAGAACAGCTGAGGATGCCAGTATCGCTTTGCCGTCGTCAAGAGGGGATAGCGAGGGCGAGGGTCAAACACATAGGATTCATAGGTCAGAGCGTCCATAGCAGAGAGAAAACCAAGTGTGCATAACTGTCATATCGAAGAGATTCATGATGTCCGTTCGGATACCCGGTGGCTGGCCGATGGCGGTTACAAATGAGCATAAGGAAAATCATAAACATAAGCTGTATTCAAACAATGCAACGGCGCGCAACATCTTGCTCTAACGCGTACCCGAAATCGAAGACCCGTTAAAGAGGGTAGATTATTCCACTTGCACTACATACACAACAAATACACATTATGTTTTAAACTGCGTGACCATTGCTTCGTGACTCCAGTTTAGCCATTAGAGCACTCATCGTCTGCTGTAACGAACAAAGCGCAGTCTCCATGGACCCAAACTTATCACCCAAGCTCTCTTGTATCGAGCGCACGCACGATTCCAACAAAATAAGTCGATCCTCTGTAGTGGGCTCAGGAGGCTCGACTGGGTCGTCTATACGCTCCTTGCATCGTACTAGAGGATGAAGATAAGTGTGGAGACAATCTTTCTGCATTTCTGCAGGTGGGTCAAGCCCCTTTACGGAACAGACGTTGCACATAAAGTTGTCCTCTGCAATCGAAATCAGCAAGCTATAGGTGCAATATACCGGATAGACGGCATACTGGGGTTCGATCCATAGTACCATGAGGGTTGTACGAAAGGCTCACTACAAGTAACACAAGGCAGAAGAGACTTTGCCTCGCACGAATCGCAGATGACACAATCTATATAAACAGCTCAATGATGTTCAGGGCATAATCACATGCAGTACGTACCTGTGCACTGCGTGCAATACCAGCAAGGCAATTCAGTGACAGTGTGGCAGGCGAAACAACGGAAAACATCATCAGTGGCCGGAGCTTCAGTCGCACCCTCTGAATGCACCGACTGCGACTTCGGGCCTGAAACATCCTCCGAACCTGCAGATGACTCTGCATCTTTGGGCTCTTCCGAAGGGGTCTCAACTGAGGCGACCATACGTTGTCTGCAATGCTGTAGTGCTGCCCTCGCCGTCTGGTCCAATGCAGGAAGATCTCCCCATTGCACGAAGGTGCGTATCTTGACGAGGTCGTGAGTTGGAACATGGGGCTTTTCCAGATAATAGCGCTGCTCCTGTGTAACAGATGCTGAATAGCATCGAGGATCGGCACAAAAATCAACCGTTTGCCATAGTTGTGGCGCGTCGCTTCGGCAGTCCAAGCAAATCAGCCGTCCCCCACCCATGGGTTGCTTGCATCCATCGCACTCGAAGTCACTTTTGAACGTATCATAAATTAGTTAGAAGCACGGGGCTAAATCTATGAACTCACAAGTGCTTGGGTATGATACTCAGCATATGCTTGCGAATGCTGAGATAAAATAGTGCATCATATGGTATCAACGCTCTTCGACTTGCCAAGAAGGCGGCGCGTTCTTCTTCATCGAGTGGAGGCCCGAACTCCCAGAGACGTATGTTCAGTTCGATGTACCGTTTCCGAAGATCGCGCCTCTCGCGGAAGAAGGACCAGGACCACAACCGGCGACGAGTTTGTGTCACCACCGCTTCCAACGCGAACTTCCAGAGTGCGCGGTACTTGTTTGAGGCCAGTTCCATTGGACTGGGACGGTGAACCATAATTTCTGGTGAAATTCTCCTAAATATGAAGAGGCTTGAATGGTTGTCTTCCGAAACGTTCTCGTCGACACCCTTGAATCCTGTGAAAGATCCCGCTTCATCAAGGTGGCCCTTGTAGTATTCCGTCGCATATCCTGACTCGTATGTGATGATGAATTCCGCTTCAATGACTCCATTCTCGGCTTGAGAATAGTGACCTTTGAGAGTGTAGGGGTCGGCATCATAGTCGACCCCCGAAGCCTGGAATGCATTCTCATCGTCCGGAACAGCTTCAAAGATCCAGGACCAGACTAAAAATTCCGGGAATTCATCCTGAGTGTAGACATATCCGCTCCACTGGCCGAACCTGAATTCACCGCTCAGCTGGAGAAACAGACAAGAGATGAACATACTTACATAGGAGCCTGAGGTTGGGAGCTATCCGGGCTCGCAGTGACCTCATCCTTTGTCTCGTAAACAAATGTCGAGAGAGGGTATTCAGTAGGCAGAGGGTAGTTTAGAAGAGTCTCCAGCTCCGCATCCGGTCCATTCGCGTCAAGTTCTTCATTGGACACAGTATATGGGAAGTGCTGGGTGTTGGTATTTGTCGTAGACCAGATTTCCGAAAGGTCCTGCAAGTTTGAGAACTGAATACGCAGAGTGAATTGAAATAATATGTACGACAGTAGTCTCGGCGTACCAATCCGCATGCGACCGTTTTCAACTGAGCATCGACATCCATCTTTTGCTGCTCGTACAGATCTGTCAATGGACCATCAGCTCTACTATGGCACAATTGCGAAGCCAAGTACGTACCTGCAAGGTCGTGAACGCGAATGACGGCAGAATCAGTCACCCATAAAAGGCTATCAGCTGAGTCCCATAGCTCATCCTCGTGTAGAATCTTGGTTTGAGCGATGCGAAACAGTTTGAGATCTCGGTCAAGGAGCAGATAGATCAAAGCTAAAAGGTGCTAAAAGCGGACGTGTGAACCTAGCAAAAGAACGGAAGGATGATTTCCCTACCTTCTCAATCCTTCCCGGACCTGCAACAACATAAACCGTATCTAATGCATCGATGTCGAAACGAATATCCTGAAGATTTTTCCTGATACGTTCTTCTTCGTGACTGATATACGGTTCAAATTTAGCCTCCAAGTGATCTGGCAGATCTGGAGTCTGGAGTCCAGCAGTTATTTCTACGACACTTGACCAAACTTTCCTCAAGTAGTAATCCGCCCAATAGTGGTTCTCGGGAAGAAGACGTGAGCGAAGCCCATACATTAGAGCCAGAATATGTTCAATCTTCTCCTTATACTTCGTGGCAGCGAGTTGAAAACCTAAGAAAGCGTAATAGCATCAAACACGAGAGACTTGGAGAACAACCAATCTCACCAACAGCCCAGTATGCAATCCAGTGTTGCGAGCTACCATGACATGTGAATGGCCGCATAGATCAGAACAATGGAAGATACGTACCTCCATCCCAATTCAGTTGGTAGAGACTCAGTGAACTGGTTGACCTCTGTTATGGTTATGTAGCCGGAGCCATCATCGTCAAAAGCTTCCATGATAGGCTGGAGCCAAGTGACGGAGATATATTCGAGAGCCCAGTCGTCAGTACGGCTTTGTTCTCTCGAAGACTCTGCGTCGGAAGCGGCGATCAATTTAATCTCTTGAACCTTCTCTCGGAAATGATCGCGAAGTGTCATGACGAAGAGACGAGCTTTCACGTTTCGTCGCCAATTCTATCAGAAAGAATGTGAAGGACGTTCAAAAACGACAAGGTCTGCGAATCATACCATTTCCTTCCAAATCAACTTCAATTCCTAAAACGGATATCAGAGTGGTTGGAGAGCACGAGGAACGACGACATACTGAGTTCCTGATCTTATCGTGAGGCCCCTCCTTGACTGCGGTAAGAATCCTGTTGTTCGCATCATTGATGGTCTTCGTTAATTCGTCTTTCAATTGTCTTTGATAAAGTTCGAATTTGCCTGCGAAAGTCTCAAGATTCTTCCGTACAGAGGTCTCGAAATCATAACGCAGTTCTTCCCGGAGGTCCTTCATAGTGAAGTCGGAACGCTTCTTGCTGCGGTCATTCTTGTGCTGGATGTCGAGACTGTTCTCAAAATCGTTGAGTTCCCTGAGCGCGGCTTCACTGCTGAGAACGATTGTAATGTCTCCCTTCTCTTTGACCTTCTCTTTCATGGTGGTCAGTTCTTTAGGCACGAACGTCTCGAACAGCCTGGTGAAGAGCTCCAACCTATATGACAGAGGTCAGAGGTGTAGTGTTTTGAACAGTAGAACGAACATACTTCGCATTGACTGCATCCACAGATGCCTGAATAATGTGCACATCGCCGTGGATGGCTTCGACGGCTCTGGCGGTGTGGATAGCCAAAGCTTGCTCGAAGTCGGTTCGTCGCTTCGTGAAAGTGCCAACGAAGGCAACAAGCTTCGCCTCCCATGAATAACCTTTAAGCACTTTTACAAGTAGCCTCTTTTTCGCATAGGTGTCGCATGCATTTGCGCAATCCTTGATATCCTCTGCGGTCTGCTTTATCAAGGCTTGGAGTCTGGCTTCAATGGTCTTGCCATCGGGGCCGACGTCATTCGTATCTTTGACATCTCTCAGCCTACACGCCAGTCAGTTGATGGAAATGTCATAAATACGGGTATGGCTCACTGTATGAGAACAGCCATCATGTCTTTCATCTCGATATACAGTGCTCGGATACGTTTGTCGTTTTCTCGTCTGGTCAATTCCATATTGTAGACGGCCTTGAAGGCGAGAACCGCAACTTATTAAACTAGTTAGATCAATCATCCCTACTAGTCATATGCAAACAAACGCACCTGTAACTACGGGATGAATCCTTGCGACTTCATCCAGACCCTTCATCAACCACGGAATATCCTCCATGAATGAGTTCAAGCCGGCCTCTATAGCCTTCATGGCACCAGACGATTCAAGTAGCATTTTTACGGGCTGGACTACGGTGGAAACAACACCTTTGGGGTCTTGCGCTGAAGCAACTGCATCATCTGTATACGTCGAATGAGTTGAACATAGTAAAACTGTATAAGAAAGCAGATTCCCGACCTATCTTGTTCAGCAGATTCTCTGTCTTCGAAGACTTCGGACCTCCGTTCACCTTGTCCATAGTACCATTGTCGGCGAGGTTTTGGACCGGATCCATTGGACTCTTTTGAGGTGGGTCGAAAAACTGAGGGGATGGCATACCGAGTCTGATTGTATCGGGCGGGGTTGGTAGGGGTGGAATTGCAGCATACACCACTGTAACATCTTTCTTCAAAGAAGAGTCCGAGCTTTCCACACGGCTCGAATGAGGACCAAATTCCTCCGTTGACTTTGTTCCATTGGAAGGCTCTGCGTTCCAGTCCATGCTCCTAGTAATTGACGATTCTGACACCCCTTTCTCGACGTCGGGAGGAAGAGATTCAAAACCTTTGAAGGGTGACGAAGAGGGCGAGCGGTCCTTAGGATTACTGCCTTTGTCTTCACTATTAAAGCGTCGCTTAATGTTTTTGAAGCTGAATCGTTTACCCAGAGATGGCATTGAGCTCGCAGCAGTGGAATACCGTGAAGTGTGTAAATGGATGGATTATGCATCATCGAGTTTATATGCGTTTGGAGTCAGAGTGGTCTGCGATGGCAATCTCAAACTCGTAATTTTGATATTTTGATGGTCTCAAGATACAGGCACGACATCATTGTCAAGATGCCGCCGGTGATCAAATACGTAAACCTGAGGAGCGAGTTCAGTTTCCGTGGGTGAGGCGGCTAGACTCGCGACTCAAGAGTAAGAAGTTGAATCTGCGATGCGAACAAACCAGAAGAGATTAGTTTCGACGTGTGTCCAACTCGAAGGTTAGCACATACCACACGAAGCTATTGCACACTCAGATTTCTATCAGCGTCCGCAATCTAGCCAACGTAGGATCACCGTCGGGGGGTCGCCGCATATCGCACAGCCTCAACTAGAAACATGGACACTTACAGTACCAGCTGCACATAAAGCTGTGTGGAGTTGGCTGATTTACAAGACACTGTCATCAAGTCTTCATTAATCTGATTAACACTATTTCAAATTGTCTCATGCGGAGATGAACTGAAGCTTCACGAAACTCAACAGCACGAACTAGAACCATCGGATGTGAGTATTCATTTCCTAGACAGCTCCCGACAAACCGAGTCTACGCTGCATAAGCATCCCGCTAAAAATCAATCATGCATTGATGAGGCATTGACAATTTAGCTCACGCGCACAGCATCAACCTCCATCACGTTTGGATCTTCATGGCCGTGATGAGCGTCGTAGATCAATCCTTGACAGAAAAAGCCAAGGGAATACCAGTCGCAACTTTAGAACACATGACCGTGACGAATTGATCGGTTGTATTCAAGGAAACTGATCGACAAACGATCTGCATAACTTACTGGGCACGAAGTAACGGGCCTGACTACTGCGAAACAGAGCTCTACTTGTGTAACTCTCGTCGAGCGTAAGATTCCCAATTTGTAGGCTCCCGGCCCAATAACCAACGGGCGACATTGTTGTTCCCTGGGATCCCTCTAAAAGATCCACGAATCGATATCAATGTGACAGCGACAGCAAGGAAGGACAAGCATACCTTCTGTCGTAGTAATACAGCATTCTGTCCAATCCTTCCTTTGCGTATTCACTCAAGGCCTTGGTGGGGATTGCGCCACTTTCTGCAACCTTCGCCCGTGGCACTTCTTCGCATTTGAGAGCTGGCAGATTAGCTACACGACCAATGGTCTTGGCCACCTCCTCAAGCGTAATGTTCTCTCCAACCAATTCGTAGCGAGCTCGATTATGAAGGGTGGGATTCAAAATGACGTCGCGAGCCACGACCGCTAGGTCCTCCAGGTCAAGAAAGCCTTGCAAAGTTTTAGACGAGTATGGGGCAGGAATCACCGAGCTCTTGATCACGTTTTGAAGGTCGAAGTTCTGCATCAACGATGTGGGCTATGGCAAAACTTTAGGATGCGAAACTGGACGGTAGGGGCAGCACTGGTCCTACCTGAAGAATGGTGTAATTAAGACCAGATTCAATGAGGTGTTCCTCAACACTGTTATTATTATGAGTCGACACGCATGAATATGCGAAAGTCGACCGTACGTACTAGAGTTTCGATCTATGATTCAAGAGCTTCGTTAACAAGGGATGAAGGACGCTGCAGAACACGAAATGCTTGACACCCGCGTTCTTCGCAGCCTCAATCATGGCGATGCCCATCGCAGTCTCCAATGGAGTAAAGGGAGGTCCATTGTAAAACACTAAATCGACGCCTTCTAAAGCAGGAGGCAGCGAGCTAGCTTCCAGGTAATCGCCAATAACGAAACACGACGGCTGTAATTCAGGAAACTTCGCCTTGACTCTCTCGATTGCAGCTTGCGAGCGAACAAGCAACCGCAACTGAGAAGGCTCAATGGCCTTGTCAGAAAGGAGTGCCTTGATGACATAGGTCGAAGTCCTTCCGGTTGCTGCAGTAATCAGGATGGTCATTCTGGTTAGCTTTGCTATTCTGGCGTCAGAAGATCGACAAAGTCACGAAGTCAGCATACATAATTCACCTGTGTGTGGATTCAGGGTAGATATTTGCTGGATACGTACTCTAGGTACCAGCCTCCTGTCCGCATGAGCAGTCTTTATACATATGCAGATACCGACGTCATACATTGGACGTTTCAATTACTCAGCCGCAGCCATTATCACCAGGATGACCACGTATGAGGTAGGTCTATGTCATCCTGCAATAGACAGCAGTGTACCGACATTTCGAACTGTGTGGAGGATTAATGTACTATAAGCGTAACCAAACGTCAGTACGCGTCAGTGATGAGCTCAATTGGCGGAGTCCGAAACACGTCGGAGTGCCAATGTGTAGGGTTTCCCCAGCCAGCAAGTTGAGCTCCAGCTGGCGGAGTAATGTCGGAAACGATGTCAACTCGTTGGAACCGCTGTTCTTGGATGTCCAGTTCAACGCGATAACCAGTAAATTCAACAAGTGCCGGATGATAAAATGTTATTCACCAAAGAAAGGGATAGTAGAACCAAAAGATACCTAACTAGTACGACTACCTTCAAGTATTTATTTGGCTGATTTCAGCTAGGTTCTTACGGGTCGTCCCTCCTCCCCTCCATAGACTCGTATCAAAGTCTGCCTGCGGGAGACTAGGTTCTTGTTGCTATGCGAATAGCATCCCAAATTGCTACCAATAGAAGGAAAGGATGCGTTGGGCATGCAGATACTGTATTCGCAGTCAACAGCGACGCCATTATATTACGCTCCTTTGCATACTGTCTGAACCTAAGGCCTTGCCATTTCTGGACTTCATGATTATTAGCGCGTTTCCTTCGTTCTCGATCGCCACTGCCGATGTCCTTTCTGGTCTTCACCGTCTCTACACTTATCCTTCTTGCTAGACGAATATCTTTCTAACTCGAAAGCTACGGTCTCAACATCGACAATCAACTATGACGGGACTAAGCGAGCCGTTCCAGGCGACCAGTTACAATCCGTCCCCTCCGACAGCCAAAGAGCAAGCAGATGTGGAACTATTACTTGCTGTGATGGACTCCAATGTTGATCCTGATGTAGCCTTAGCTGTGCTGAGAAGGAACTGGGGTGATGTAGATAAAGCTGCGACTGCCCTGCTGGAGGGAGACACTGGAGTGGCACCCCCGCCGTACGGTACCTTCCCGCCATCCCTTGGTCAAGACGACAGAAATACTATTGTTGGTCCGAGAACACCTCCTCGTTAGTATTAAAGTATTGAGCGCGCTATTGACATATGTGCTCATGTTGTCACATATTCTGAAGCTTCGAAACCCGAGAGGGATAGTCCACCCGGCGTCATTGACCTCACCGGAGACGACGACAAGGATCTTTCACAAGCCCTGAAAGCGTCGCTTGAGGACCACGGAACAACATTTGGACCTAGCAATAGAGCCCCTGATCCAAACTGGGCTATGGTTTCTTCTAATGTACCTCCTTCCAATAATTCATGTGAAGAATCCATTCATTCATTCATACCATGTCAGGCTGCGATAGGACCGGCTAACGAGCAAGCCGCCGATGTGCACAACGACGATATGAGACGTGCAATAGAAGCAAGTCTAAGTATGACGAATGAGATGACCATCGATACATACGATGAACTCCCTTTGGAACAGCGAGTGCGGCAAGGCGACTGGTTCGTAGCGTTGTTCCGAGGTTCTCTTAGATGTTGTCCTCATGAACGAACAGTCCAGTAACCCTCCGTCCAACGCAAGCTTCGCGGGTGTGTGCCGCCCTCATCACTCACGGCTTGTTCTTCGTACCCCAGGTGCGATACTGGATTTCACTGTACAGGCCTCTTCCCCCACAAATCGACGAGTCTGAGGATGAACCGATAGAGATATTGCCGCCACAAGAGGGAATTGGTATGTTGAGTTTGACGTGAAAGTTTGAAGGAACTTGATGTGACTATTGAAATGCTAGCCTATGTTGTTTGGTCTCTGGTTGAAACCTTTGTCAACATGGATCTGGCTCGGACGACGGAGCTGAATGTTGATCGTGCGCTAGATGCTTTCGATGCTACCCTATGGAGTGGAGCTGGAGAGCAGCCGGGAGACGTGGCATATCGTACGTCCAGTTGCATATGTGATCCTCTTGTTAACTGACATCTCTCCTTCTTCCCAGACTTTTATAATAAACTTGCGTGGGCCGTAGAAACCGCGATGCTGGAAGACCTTGATCGGGATAAGGATACCAGGTATGCGCATACTGTCAAGTTCGAAGTTCATTTTGCCGACTTGTGCCATTGCAGGTTATTTCACTTCAGATATGGTCTCAGCGACACCGACGCGCCTACTGGTCCTCTGGATAAGCGATCTGACATGTCAGTCGTGAAAGTGGCTGTTCGCGGCACACCGGATGCCAACGACCTTCTCTCTTGTTTGTCTCTTGAGCTCTCGCCTATAGGCGATACAGGACACCATCAGGTTATTTTCCAGCCGTCTGAGGTAGTCGCTTTCCAACTGGTTCGTGATGGTATGTTGCCTTCGGGATCGAATCACGAGCGACGGACCTTCGCGTTTCCGAACCACGTCTATCTGGACCAGTTCCTTCAAGAAAACGCGAAATTGGCGAGTGACAAACGGAGGTTGCAAAGGGAGCTGTATGCTCAGGTCGACGAGCTCAAAGAACGGAGACGACACTTGAATTGGAACGAGGTGAGTTGAACAATTATTCTCAGACATCCGGAATCAAACCTATTGATCATAGGGCAGAAATGTTTTGAATGACTTGCGTTCTTCGATTCATTACTACGAGAATATCGCTGAGCATAACGACGACGAAACTCGCAAGGCGCATCTACAAGATATGGCAACTAAGCTTCAAGCGATCTTGGTTCGAGTTGAGAGAGAGATACGAAGTGTGCAACCCCATTCCTTTCGGCGCTCTTAACCTGACCTCGTGTGATTTGTTAGTCCTCGACGACCAGATAGCAAAAGCTCAAATTTCTGCTGCTAGTGTTTACGATTGTCCTGAGTTGCAGAAGCATCGCGTAAGCAAGATAAAAAAAGTGGATCATTAACGTTGTGCTAAAACTTTCTTTTTCACCCTAGTATGACCTTCGTGTGGTTTTGGTCCATGATGGCTTGTATGGTCGATCACATCTCTACTCGTACGTGAAACAACGAGACAAGTGGTGGAAGATCGTCGATTATTCCACCTTGGAGGTATGCTCTCATTGTAAATACGCACTAGTCACTTTACTTACAGAGGGGCAGGTATCAGAAGAAACGGTGTTACACGATCCGATCGGTTTGCATCTCAATGCAGGCCCATTCTTCCTCATCTATAGTCGTGCTATTCCTGAAGAATCTTTACGACCGGATTGGCCGGAGAACGTTAAGGTATGTATGATTTGTCGTAAGAACTTGTCAAGTGTCTCATCACCCACCCTAGAATTCTGTCAAGCACAACAACGCCTTATTCTTCAGTAGTCTGCCACCAGAGGTTGCGAACGACATAGAGGATCCAAATTCACCTCCGACCTCGCCCATGGCGTACGCAGTGGAGGACCCTGAACTTGAAGGGGAACCGATGGATCTGAGCAACTGATTTATAAATCATCTGTATCGATACATCTTGGACTACCGTTCTATCGATAGATAGTGCTACAGTGCTGTTTCGTATAATACAGCGAGTTTCTATATGAATAAACACGCATATAAACACTTATCCCTGGCTCTCTTCAGAGCCATAAGCATTGCTTTTGTGTTTGGGTATGAAGGTCCATCCCTCTGGAGCCGGCCCAAGGAACATCTCTGATATCTTCACCCAGTCTTCACTGCTTCCGCTCGCAAGGAGAGTTTCTGGCATCGATATCAGATATTGATTCAACAATGAAGACATGTAAGCATACCTAGCTCGTTTCTACCTTTAAATGGAGGCGCACGGTCATTAATGCGGGGAGGAAGAGCTTCCAACAGTCCAATGGGGACGTAGCGGTATTGGAAAGAAAGGGCTTCACATAGATAACGTCGTGTGGTATTTACACCAGGTGTGTCCGAACCAAAGTGACTGTAAAAATAACGTTAGGGGGATTTAAATGCAAGAATATCGAGAATGTACTTCAAGCCATATTCAGCATACTGTCGCGATACGAGTCAATATCCAAAAGTACCCGGAAGTAACGACAGAACCGACCTTGCGAATCAACTCCAGACGTTCACGAGCACTGATGTCCCATTCTCTTCGCTCCTTCACCTCAGTGAAGATCCATGGTTTGATCAGAGCACCTCTGCCAATCATGATACCATCGACACCGCTATACTCCATCTTCTCCCAGTAGTCCTGTGAAGAAAAGCAATCGCCACCGCCAAAGATTGGGACAGGTGTCACTAGACAAATCTCATGTTAGCGATATTCATATTCATTGATAACCCGGCGGAACCCACAATCTTCGACCACTTCTCGTGCACGTACTGCACTGACACATTGTTTGACGTAGTCCCAATCCGCCAGCCTTGAGTATCGCTGTTGGCGGGTACGGCCATGTAGCTGCATTGGTGGTATGTTCAGCGTCAAATAACTAAAACCGTATGTCACACTTGAATACTACATACAGTGAGAGCGGCAGTGTTCCATTCACAGCTTAGGCGCGGCATGAGTTTGTGCGCATTGTTGCGACCATCCTTCACACCAGTACGCAACTTAACGGTCACCGGGATATCACCGAGGGCCTTGTTCATGCCGACGATGATCTTCCCAAGTCGACCCGCTGAGTCAAGAACTGTATAGTAACTCAATCAGGGCATTAACTCAATTATAATTGGTAGGGAACATACGAGCAGAACCACTTCCAGTCTTGTAGACCAGGTCAATGGGACAACCACAATTGATGTCGACGAAGTCCAAGTTTGCTCCGCATTCTTTTGCGATGATCTCGGCAGCGGGCACAAGAAGTGAAGGTTTGCTCCCCGCAATCTGCATACCAAAAGTCCTCTCCGAAGGGTGCCGGCGGACAAGTGACCATTCTTCTTTTGATCCTCCAAGGAAGGAATTTGCCAAGCCCACTGCATAGGTCGCTCAGTAAAGCAGCACATCATGAATACAGGTAAAGCGTTATACTTTCTCCACATGTGATGTCAGCGCCATAGTCGACACATAACCGCCGGAAGGGCTGTCAAGGATTATTGAGGATGACGATCCCAAAGATCGCAACTCACGTACCAGGTTGCCAACAGTGGTCAAAGGAGCGAGATCTGCAGGCCAAATATCAAGATCTCGATGTCCATGATGTAGTGGTTAAACGTACAGGTCAAGCCATACCAATTCAATCTCTTCTTCTCGATCGGACGTATAGGAACATCCGGTGTATCGACTTCTGAAAGGTCCTCGGCAGCATCGTCACTAGTACGATCATTCATCTTGCAACCGGAGACGCCATTACTCTGTTCAAGGTCTGCAACATCGAAAACTGCTTGTTTCAATGCTGCCTTTGGAGCCGACTGTGTCTTGGCCTCTTCAATTTTAAGCTCTTTGAGGTAAGCGTCCGTTATAGGATGCGGGTACTGTTTGACGGTTGCAGCATCACAAAAAAAGGCGACAAGTCGACATACCTTCTTAGACCTAACTTGTTTCAGTGCGATACCATCGATAAAATTCAGCTCCTTCTCTGTAGTAGCGGCACGGGCCCTTTTCTCTTCATCCACTGTGACTTTCCAGTTACCGGAATCCAGCTTTCGCACATGGGCTCCTAGGAATCGGCATTTCAATCCCGTATTGCATTCTCCCTGAGCTTCGAACACTGGGCAAGAGGTGGAAAAATCAAGGGATGGATTCTCGGCATCCGTCATGATCTCCTCGTCAGGGAAAGGCTTCACAAACGGGGGTGTATCGCCTAGATCCCTTAAAGAGGGAAAATGGATGTCCTTTGGTTTTGCAGCGAGATATGCTGTTACGTCGTGTGTATTTCGACACCTGGTGTAAAGATATAACACGAATATGAGGGATCGAGTAAGGTAACGTACTCTGCACCAAACTCGCAGGTCTTTCCGTTGGCGACTTTCCAGCAAAGTTCTACCTCATCACGAATCTTTTGGAAACGCCTGCCCTTATTTGAACCTGTTCGATTTTTCCTTTCTTCTTTCGTGAGTTTCCTGCGTTGGGCACCGGAGAGAGAACGGGAATCATTGAACTCTGCTCGCGCATCATGACCAACAGCATGACTGGTGCTTCCTTCTGCAGCATCATCGTCTGGCACGGCTCGAGGCTGCGCTGAAAGCAAGAAACTACAGAAACAGTGAATTTGCACACTATATTGAGTAGATCTGTACGTACTCACTCTGCTCTGATGGGTGCGGTTCCAGGTAGTAGTTCAGACATCATGCTGTTGGGCACAATTATCATGGACCAATAAGCCAATCAGTGCAGCCGACCCTCGAAACCGTGTAAGCACAGATCTAGAAGTATCGAGTGTGGTAGTGGCGGTAGTAGAACAATAGTTTCCGCGATAAGATTATTTTGGTAAGAGATGGATTTAGCCTGCATCGCTTTATAATTACGTCTCATGATCTACTCTCGTCTGTGGGAGGCCGCGACGTCTGCTTGTGGGACTGTGGTGCAGCCCCGACATTACTAGGTGGCTTCGACCTTTACATGCTGAAAATTAACTTCAGTAAAATCACCACTGATGAAATTCATCCTGATGTCGCTTTCGTTACATATGCAACAGCCGCATTCTTTTGCCCATCGTCGCATTTGTACTTGCACACGAGTACATGCCAGGTCCTATACTGGATGATTATCCCAACCTCACGCCTTCGGTATACCACTAAAAGGTAGCTATTTGCGATGATAGGTGACCCCCATACCGTTCAACACGAAGAATCGAACTTATCAACGTATTCTGTATCGTGTAACAGAATGGTGTTGTTTCTCTATTGGTACGAAATTCAGTCTCAGTTACACGATTGTATCCAAAGAATTCTGACTTGGCCTGAACAGAAGCCACCGGCAGTTTTCCTTGCGTTGAGTCCCGCTCCTCTGTTCGTACTCAGTACGCAACGCATAGCAATGAATGGTCCTACTGGACTCTGAGAGGCCTTGCACGCAATGTTACAGACACTGTGGAGTATGCTGGAGATCATCCCTCCTGCTTTCCGATAGACCTGTATCAGCGACTGCTCACCGGGGGCTAGGGGTTGCGCCAACGCATGAAACAGCATCTACATCTACTATCACAGGGTCCCCTTGATGCCTTCAAACGTGCTTCTGGATTCTTTTCGTCCACGGTTGTCCTTGGGATGATTCGACCATGAGGCTGGTTGGCTGCGGTAACATGTTACCTTCCCGGAATATCGCTATCTCTGCTGCAATCAAGAAGTCAATGCAGTCCGCGCTTGCATACACATTTATAAAGTGTCCAGTGCGAGTGGTTCTCCATTAACATTTCGCATTTCTCCGTCCAGCTGTAATGTCGACCGCCAACCCAGGTCCAACAAAGCGATTCAGTCTGCGCAATCTCCGCCTATTCTCCAGGACCGGTAATGGCACTTCGTTGCCACGGACACGTACAGAATCTCGTTTACGAAACCCGCCGCAACACGAGCTCAGTTTTCGCCTGCCTTATCCTTCTTCTGACTTCCAGATAGAGAGGAGCCACCATATTCTCTATGATCACATGCAACGTACACGAGTGACGGCCTATTTACACAATCTCCGCCCTCCCTCCCTATGGCATTGACCACCTCTCCTCCTCCAACATGGCCTCCCCTCTCAAAGGAACGGGAGAAGAAGGCTCCTAATGCGACCATACAACAGGATTTCCCTGCCAGCGTTCTTGATCGAAGAGCAACTCAGACTTCCATTAATGGTTCCAGCATCTCAGTTGCATCATGTGAAGGACAGGGCTCCACGACGGCTAACAAGTTACTTGGCCACAAGAAAACAGTCGTGCACATCTTCGATGGCCCCCAAGTGTCGAAGCATGTGAGTATTTCGTATAATGTATAATAAGGATTCTGATTGAGTTTTTTTTTTTTTTTCACAGTCTAGGGAGGTGGAACGGATATATTCACACCTCCGTTCATGATTCACTTATGTTGTTATGAATTGAGTGGGGAGTGTATCAAAGCAGAAGACGGGCGGATTCAAGTTAATTTCTCAGCCAAATACTCTTCCAGTGGCGGTACTCAACATTTTGCTGGTCATATTGATGGCGCAGGCTCCCTTGTTGGCAGGGAACACTGAGCATTAGAGAATAATGATACGATATATCATGACTTTATTCTGAAGCAAACTCCTACCGAGCTAATGTCTTATCGACCCCCACCTTCGGAGTTTGAAGAAAACAAAGCTCGCGCGTTGTGGAAGTTCGCCGGGGACGCGATACCTTTTCGGTGTCGAAAACGAAGCTGGGCGTAGAGCTTTTTTCGCCAACGGCGGGACATTCGCAAGCGACATCGAAATGACCATTCGCAGATTCGCTTACGGCCCTCCGCTGTCCGTCTGTGAATACACCACACACCGTGATATCACGAGAGCTTCGACACGAGAAGACGCGACAGTAAGCACAATTTTGCTTCATGATCAATCATTCACCTTGCAATTGATTCTCGCCGCTGTTTGCAGTGCCGTGATCTGTGACAACTGTGAGCAAAGCATTGGTGGCTGTCGTATTCTCTGTTTAGATTATCAGCAAGGCACACCTACGTTCTACCAGACCCTAGACTTGTGCGATCTGTCGAGATGCGGGCAAAGAATCATCACACGAGGGGATAACTTGATGGATCATAAGCCAGCTCACGATATTCTCAAACTTCGCACTGTGCTCCTCTGGAGGGACCTGCCTGCGACGCGCCGTCCTTCGACAAGTCTACGCTCACGCTCTGGTCCGCTGCCAAGATCGCGTGAATGATACTGTCGATGAGATTCAGCAGTTCCGGAGGAAAAATAACGAATCTCCAGGATAGGGTAACTGAGATGGATGCTAAATTGGATAGGTTGGAAACGATGGTCGCCACGGTCGGTGATAAGCTCTCTAAGCTTGAGCAAACGTTGTAATTACTCATGTCAACGCTGGATGGCGGTTTGATGGGCGGGTAGTGTAAGTAGCATTTGCAGCTTGAGCTTAAGCATAAGCCTGATCATGAGCCTCCTGCCATAGCCAATAGTTTTAAGTCTTAACAGGGGTCGTTGTATTGCCACATAGTTTCAATATCATTGCGTTCGGACTTTAAGGGCTTATTCCTCGCTGTGAACAGAGTCCGATACAGAAACTATCTGCGATGTATGATCTCCAGTGATTCGCGCAAAGATGGTATAATGTTTTATGAGGAAATTCCCATTCCGGCACGCCAAGCCCGAAAACGGAGGTGACCGCCGCCCTAGACCATCCAACATTTTGAGGGCTCGCGTCCAAACATCACCTTCATCGGCACCCTCCTTCGCGTATATAAACCATCACCCACCACTTTCTCTTCTTCACTTTCTTTTCCCCTCAGTCATAGAAATGGCCCCCGTTCAGGTCAAGAAGATTTGTTGCAGTACGTAGCGGGCTTTCGGATTTGAGTACGCCGGGCTGATCATTATCGTGACTTGACAGTTGGTGCTGGCTACGTGGGTAAGTAACAATACACATTACACGCTTTGCTTCCGTTCCCTCGTCGAATGTCGAGCTCATCGCGCTTAAAGGTGGACCAACATGTGCGGTTATCGCCTTGAAGTGCCCCCATATTCAAGTCACCATCGTTGACCTGAACAAGGCTCGTGTTGACGCCTGGAATAGCCCAGATTTCGCTGTGCCTATCTACGAGCCCGGTCTCGTCGACGTCGTCAAGCAATGTCGAGGCCGCAACTTGTTCTTCTCGACCGATGTTGACAAGGCCATCCTCGAGGCCGACCTCATTTTCGTTAGTGTCAACACGCCGACGAAGAAGTCCGGCGTGGGCGCTGGTTTCGCTGCAGATTTGAAGTACGTCCTTTTGCCTCTTCCGCTAAACAGTGCAACGTGTTGGGACGTGTATCATCACCGGCTTGCGAATAGCTTGAAGGGTGGAACGTGCCGACGTCTCGCCTACTTTCGCTTGTTTTAACCTCTTCTACCCAATGCTGATGCATACGTCTTAGTTATGTCGAATCAGCGACGCGCCGCATTGCCGCAGTTGCCACTTCGTCCAAGATTGTTGTCGAGAAATCTACGGTTCCCTGCCGAACAGCGGAGTCTATGCGCACCATCCTCGAGGCCAACTCCAGGCCCGGCACCCGTTTCGACATTCTGTCTAACCCAGAATTCCTCGCCGAGGGCACGGCCATCGCCGACTTGTTCAAGCCTGACCGTGTGCTAATCGGATCCCTCCAGACCACGGAGGGCAAGGAAGCTTGCCGCGCCCTCGCTGATGTCTATGCTAACTGGGTTCCGTGAGTCTATATTACCTCAAACTTGACGCCAAGCGTAATGTATGCTAACATGTTTATCTCTGATCAGACAAGAGCGCATCTTGACCGTCGGGTTGTGGTCGTCTGAGTTGTCTAAGCTCGCGGCTAACGCCATGCTCGCCCAGCGTATCTCTTCCATCAATGCGCTCTCTGCTATTTGCGAGGCCACTGGTGCGAACATCGATGAGGTCTCTCATGCTGTTGGCTTTGACTCTCGTATTGGACCCAAGTTCCTGCGAGCGTCTGTTGGCTTCGGCGGCTCCTGTTTCCAGAAGGACATTCTCAACCTTGTCTACTTGAGCGAGAGCTTGCACCTTCCTCAAGTAGCCGCGTATTGGAGACAGGTCGTTGAGATGAATGAGTACCAGAAGAGTCGATTCTCCAAGACGGTCGTTGACACGCTCTTCAACACGATCACCGGCAAGGTATGTCAAGGTGTGGTGTTTAGTTCCATTGCTAATATTTGTTTGCTTTGCATAGCACATCGCTGTGTTGGGTTTCGCATTCAAGGCCGATACTGGCGACACTCGTGAATCTGCCGCTATTTCTCTGATCCGTGACTTCCTGTCCGAGCGTGCCTTTGTTACCATCTATGACCCTCAAGTCTCTGAGGAGCAAATTTGGCAAGACCTCTCCGAGGCCTGCCCAACTACACCGCTCGAGACGAGTATGTTGCAATTTTTTAAAGGCTTCGATTCATATAGTTGACGTACGCACGTTTAGTCAAGAAGCAGGTTACCATCGTCCACTCCGCCTTGGAGGCTTGTACCCAGAAGGAAGCCATTATAATTGCAACTGAATGGAAGGAGTTTTTGGAGATTGACTGGCAAACTGTCTATGCGAACATGAGCAAGCCTGCTTTCGTCTTTGATGGTCGTCTTCTCATCGACGCTGACAAGTTGAGGAAGATCGGTTTCAAGGTCAGTTTACACTTTGTTCTGGGTCTGCTCAGTCTGTTTACTGTGTCATCTACAGGTGAAGGTCATTGGGCGTGGCGAGCGCGTGTGAAGACAGTTTTAAGACACTCCCTTTCCTCGGACATAGATTTGAACTTTAACATCGGACACTAGTACTATCTTTCGCGTTTCGCCTCCTTAATTAGAAAGCCCAAGTTTGTAGAGTAGATACCCATGGAGGAAATGATGCAATGCCCTGGAAAGGCACCAATACTGTTTGTTAATCGACTGAAGGAACAGGGGTTTGTTATCATCCACTCTTGAGCGATATCGGCATCTGTCGAGTGGGCTTAGCAAGGGAGTATCTTCTGGGCGGCATGTTGATTTCAGGAGGTGCCGCCAGCCCAGTGAAGCAGTTTCGGATAGCTAGCAGTCGGTGAGACGGGTAAGAGCTTCTCCCGCTGGAGGCGGACAACACAAAGATGGGATGGTCGGGAGTCGAACTTGAGTCGAACCTCGATACTGCCCGGCGCTTGCCAGCCGGTTCACGTGGGAAATTGACAAAGAGTAATTACGAGAAGTTGCGAGGGTACTTACTCCTTTCCAACCCCCCGTCTCTTCCTCCTAATTCCCCGTCTCCTCCTAATTGCCATCCCGAGGAGAGACGACGGTGAGGACGACAAGTACGACGAGCACGACAAGCATTATGCCCTCTTCCACTATGCCGTCGCCTATGGCCATCAACCCAGCGTCGCCTACTCCGTCCATGTTCAGGAAAAAGCCCTCGTCTGCCATGTCAACCGCAGCCTCGTACCTCTCTGCTGTATCCAAAGCAGATGCTCGAGCTCGGGGTCTCAACGGAGGCAGCACAACTTCCACGCCTGCTTTGTCGTTGTCGTCCTCTGTCACTTCATCATCGGAGGATACCGTGCTTCACGAAGACATCGGGGATAGCGCTGACGGCTTGTACTACCCCAGTGTTCCTCCGACTTCCGAGCAGGTCTTTACTACGGTGCACACCGAGTTTGGACACTGTGCAAATGAGAGTTATAGATATACGTCCAGGCATACTCCAGGGGAGCCCGTGAAGGGTGTTGTCGAACAAGACCCGCCATACTACATTCTCATTACGACTTATGTCAGTTATTTATTGGTCATCTGCATTGGCCATCTCAGGGACTTCATTGGCAAGCGGTTCAAACCATCCGCTTTCCGTCATTTGATGACGCAAGATGTTCGTCGCGTCTATATTTCTTGCTTTCATCACCTCTGACCTTCATTCTATCAGGGTTATGCTGCTTTGAATTCAGATTTCGATTCTTTCTATACCCGTCGTTTGAAATCTCGTATCGACGATTGTTTCTCGCATCCAGTTACCGGAGTTCCAGGTCGCACCATCCTTCTCCTCGACCGGTACTCGACCGATCATAATGTCACTTTCCAGCCGACCGGCACGCGCACCCGTGGCCTAAATATCTCCTCGTACAATTACCTGGGTTTTGCCCAGGGTGATGGACCTTGCGCAGACGCGGTCGAAGAGTCTGTCGCGCGGTACGGCGTGTCAGCATGTAGCACACGTCGTGAAGTCGGTACACTTGACTTGCACCTTCAAGCGGAGGCGCTCGTAGCGCGTTTCATGGGCATGGAATCTGCTTTGATTAGCTCCATGGGCTTCGCGACCAACTCGACGATCATCCCGGCCCTAGTCAGCAAGGGTTGCTTGGTCATTTCTGACGAGTTTAACCACGCGTCGATTCGATACGGTGTGCGTCTGAGTGGTGCTAATGTTCGGATGTTTAAGCACAACAACATGCAGGCGCTTGAATCTTTGTTGCGCGAGGTCATCAGTCAAGGTCAACCAAAGACCCACAGGCCGTGGAAGAAGATCCTGATCATCGTCGAGGGCTTGTACAGTATGGAGGGGACCTTGGTCAACTTGCCCGCCCTCTTGGAGCTCAAGAAGAAATACAAGGTTAGCTCAGATGCCTTCCGGTTGTATGTTCGTCGTTAACCCCATCATTTGCAGTTCTACCTCTTTGTTGACGAGGCACATTCCGTCGGTGCCATGGGTCCTCATGGTCGCGGCGTTGCAGACTACTTCGACGTTAATCCTCGGTCTATCGATATCCTCATGGGCACGTTCACCAAATCCTTTGGTGCTGCGGGGGGTTACATTGCTGGTAACAAGGCCCTGATCGAACGATTGCGCATCTCCAGTCATTACAGTGCATACACCGAGGCCATGGCCCCTCCCGTGCTCACGCAGGTTATGGCAAGTATGGCCAGCATCATGGGTGTCACAATTATTCCCGAAACGAAAAATTCCTCCTCGCTTTCGCTCTTGCACTCTTCCAATGCTATTCCCGTGCCTGTGACCAATCTCGAAGCCACTGCTTACCCTGGTACCGCTCCTTCCACCGCCTTGCCGAACTGGGTTTCACTTCCACCTTCGTTGTGCGATGGTTCAGATGGTCGCATGCGTCTCCGCCGTCTCGCCTTCAACTCACGATACCTCAACCGTGCCCTCCGTAAGTTGGGTTTTATCACCTACGGCCACGACGACTCCCCCGTTGTCCCTCTCCTCGTCTTCCACCCTGGAAAAATGGCCGTCTTCTCTCGTATGATGCGTACCCGCGCTATACCCATCGTCATTGTCGTTGTGGCTTATCCTGCAACCCCGCTCGTGACATCGCGAGTACGATTCTGTCTAAGTGCCAGTCACACTAAGGAGGATATTGACCTAGTGTTGAAGGCATGCGATGAGATCGGCGAGTTGTTGGACTTGAAGCAGGCCGTCGGGGAGAGGTGGCCTTTGGAGGAGATCACAAAGAGGGCGGTTGAGTTGGTCAGCATGAAGGAGTGCCCATGATTTGGTCTTTGCTGGACCCTACGCTATCTTCCTGCTCTCGTCCCGGGACCCAAATTCACATTAACATTGCTATGATTGATTGTCTATACATATACCTCTGACCCTTAGACTGTCTTGACCCATGTCGTCATAGAGCAATCTTACGACCCCCCTTTGTGCTGCTTACAACTTTCGTAATGTCTGTATACTACAGAGTGTTTTTTATTCCTGTGATATACAATAATGTGATGCTACGAGTTCATAAATACCCGAAGACCCTCCTAGCTACTACGCTTATGTGTGCACCTCTGCTTGCTTTGACAGCAAACCGAGGATTGGGTCCAACTTCGAAAAGCAATCATGCACGCCGGAAGTCAGTCTGGAGATCTCCCCTTCAATATGTGCTACTCGATCGTCTATAATAGTGACCTGTTTGTTTGAGCTTAGCCCTTCATTCATCTCCTCGATCCCTTCTTGTAGGCGAAGGCCATGGGTGTATACGTGCCGACGAGTGCTGTCGATCGCAGGTGACATCGTTCCCGTACAAGTGTGGCACATGAAATCAGCATCTACGCCAGGGAGTATTTTAGCATTACCATCCGATATAGATGATATCGTATAACCCTTGCCGGAACTCACTGGTACCGTCCTCACCATAGTACCATGTAGGCTGTTCAAATGGCTGTCGACATCCGACACACGAAATCAAGGACTTGCTTTCGCATTCGTCACATAAAATAAGGTCTGTAAGTTTGCTGTGAGCCAAATAGCATTATTCGTGCATGCATATTCAGAATAAATTACCTTCACATTCTACACAGAACCAAAATGGCTGAGAGAACCCCTTCGTGCACACAGCGCATGTGAATACACCCACACTGTCTGAAGAACGGTCAACGGCAGATACAATATCTACTCTGGCTTCCGCATGTGTTTGTTCATCTTTGAGGTCAAGAGTCCTGTCTGGCGGTGTGCCGAACTGCTCCGAATCGCTGTCTCCGTCTCCGACATCTTGCGTATCACCGGTTATAACACCCCGCCTTGTCTTGATGTCGGGAACTGACGGCGAGACTGTTCTCGAAGGAATACCGTCGCCATCGACAACTTGTACCTGAGAAAGCTTGGGATGAAGACTTTCCCGAACCAAAATGCGACACCTTTGTAGAGCCTGGTGTGCCTCTGAAACAATACGGACAAGTCCCAGCACAAAAGAACGGTGTGTAGCTTGAGGATATTGTGGTCCAGTCTGTGCTCGTTCTTTCCTACGACGGTCTGTTGGAAACAATCGGCTCGATTGCACAGATTCAGTGTTTGCCAGCAAGTGACGGAGTCATTCAAACAACCTAAACACAGGATGCGAGCACCGACAATATCTTGCTTGCATGCGGCACAGTCGATACCGCTATGAAATAGAAGAACTCAACGTCCAACTTTTGGTAAACTTAATGGAGGGTGGGCATACTGGTGTTTCGGACCGCCGTAGCTGTCACTGGAAGAGACGTGTTCTGGCGAATTCAGCGGAGACCTAGAGCCAGAAGCAGTCATCGTGTCGGTAGGCTTTCCAGACAATTCGTCCTCTGCGACGACGTCCTGCTCCAATATCATGTCATGCAGCGTGGACATGGTCCATAGCGGTGTGTTGTCGAAGTAGTAGTTGTACTGTCAATAGGTTGAGCATTCAATAGAAGAAGCCGTTCCACATAACCTACAATTCCGCCAGCGTACTTCTTGAATTGCACGGCAGGGTCTAACTCTCTTTGACTGAAGATCTCTGAATATCAGGTTCAGAACACAATACTCCGCCAAATACAACCATACTAAATACCTGCCAAGTCCGTCTTGCGATATACGGCCGCCACCCACAAGAGACTCTCACAGGCGTTTGAAAGCTCACGGGGACCGAGCACTTGGGTTTGAGCAATACGGAACATTTCGAGATCGTGCTCGAGAAGGAGATATATCAAAGGCAAGAGGTGCTATTGAAAGGGATAGTGAATCAGACTAAATCCACTAAATCCAGAGACAAACAATACCTTCTCAAATTTGCCTGGTCCTGTAACAACATAAACGCTGTCAAGTGCATCAATGTCGTACTTCGCAGACGCCAAGTTTCCCTTTATACGCTTTTCTTCGAGTTCCGCATACGGTTGAAACTTTGATCGTATGGTTTCGTAGCCTTTTCCTGGGTCTTGCAAAGCCATGGTCAGTTCAATTACACGCGGCCATACTTTGCTGAGATAGTATTCAGCATAAGCGCGATTTGCTAGAAGCAGTCGAGGCATCATTCTATGCATTACAGAGAAGAGGTGATGGATCCGCTTTCGATACGAGTATGTAGTTACGCGCCAACCTAAGTATACCCACAGCGTTTTAGGCTCTGATAACTTCACACAAGTTAAGACGCACCAATTGCCCAATAGGCAATCCAATGTTGTAAGCTGCATGTCTATGATTAGCGTGACGGTCAATGATGTCAGCCACAGAGTACTCGAGTACGCTACCTCCAGTTCAGCTCGGCCGGTCTGAAGCGATTGAGTTCAGAAATGGTGATCAACCCCGAACCATCTTCGTCAAATGCTTCCATTATAGGCTGAAGCCAGACGACATCCACATAGCGAAGGGCCCATTGATCCGGAAGTGGTTTGGTGATGTCACCTCCAGGAGGATCCACGGCAGACTCAGAAGTCTCTACCTTATCCCGAAACTAATTGAAGAACCGATCGGCGTAGGGTCTTCTCTTCGCGAAGGCAGAACCGGATGCCCTATCTTCGATGGCATGCGTATTCATAAGATTCATATTTTCAATCCGGTCCCGGAAATGATCTCGTAAAGTCATAACGAACAAGCTTGCCTTCACGTTGCGGCGCCAATTCTGTGAACAAAATCAGCTATAGACTTCTATGGCGCCTCTATGGAATTATAATGTTCACCATATCCCTCCATATTTGTCGCAGTTCCTGATGATGTTATGTTATGAGTCGTGTGCGTGAACGAAATAATCGAGCTACCTTATCCTTGATACGATCATGGGGTCCTTCCAGTTCCTTGACAGCTCTGGTGACTTCCTTGTTTGCGTCGACTAGTTCTTTCGCCATACGTTCGTACTGAAGTCGGAACTTGCGGTCGAACGTCTCCTGATTCGAAGATATTGAAAGATGTAAATCTTCACTCAGCTCGTTCTTCAAATCAGAAAGCGTATATGGCATTCGAGTGTTGTCTCCCTTTTGTTTTTGCGCGTGTTCGTTTCTAAGGTCGACAAGGCGGTTGAGGGTATCCACATCTTCTTGAATAGCATTGGTATCCTTCCCACCAACGACATTCGTAATCATAGCTTCGATCGTCGGGACGAGATTCTCCATCCATTTCTCGCACTGTGATATCCTGCACGTTGTGGGATGACAGTCCAGATAATATAGATAGGACGGAACTCACTTGTCATGCATAACTTCCATCTTGTCATGTATGCGATCAACGAGACGAGTAGTATGAATCGCGAGAGCTTCCATGAACTGATGGCGTCTGTCTACGAATTTCTTACCATAACCTTTCAACATATCCTGCCAAATTGAGCCTTTCAAAGCCTTGGATATAAGCCCCTTTTTGGAGTAAGCGTCACAAGCGTTTGCACACTCCTTGATATCATTTTTCGCGCCCTTTACGAGGCCCTCCAGCCGTGCTTCAATAGTCTTTCCCTGAATAACACGTCGAGGATCCTTCACATCCTTCAATCTGCCCGAGTATCAGTCCAGAACACACGGTAACGCAAAAATGACTTACTCGACCAATACAGCCATCATGTCCTGCATATCTACGTACAATAGTCTGATTCTCTTGTCGTTCTCCCGTCGTGTCATCTCCATGGTGTAGACAGCTTTGAACGTGATGACCACAACTGATGTTAGATAATTTAGCGAATGTGAAGATAATTAAACATTATACATGCTGCCTTAACGCAGCACTGATGAATGGATGGATCTTTGATACCTCGTCGAGGGCTTTCATAAGCCACCCACTATTTTCTGTGAACGTATCGACAATTGTCTCAAAAGCGGCCTGAACAGGTTTGAGGACGTGCTCAACCGTCGCTTCTACCGTTTCCACTTTCTAGTGAAATTTCTCACCTGCGACTCAGAGTCAGAAGGCTCTTACTGTGCATGAGGGCCCAAGGCTTACCCAGCTCGTTGAGTGTATGTTCCAGCTGTGATATTTGAGGCCCATTAAAGATTTTTTCGACCAGGCATCGGTCTGAAAGTAAGGTCTCCGCATTGGCCGTGTTATCTGTATCGTCATCTGGAGATAACGAAGTAGTCAGAGTATTGATAAGAACGACTGAAGAATTCATTACATTGGCTACTAGAAATAACATCTCGATCGACCTTGCTGTTAGTTTCATCTTCATGTGATAGTCCTTGCCTATCCTTTGCGGGGCAATCGACGACCTTAATCAAAGGCGGAGGCGAAGAAGCCTCATTCGCGTTGCCTACAGCGGCGGTGGCAGTTTGCCGGTGAGGGTATAACAATGGCTTGAGGGGTACACAGTTGTCTTGCCAGCCGTCCGAATGCAGCGCTGCTCCACTTTCAGATTCGGGCTGTTTGGACTGAAAGGTGGTGGATGACTTGGAGAGGGGCGTATCATTCTCATTCGAACAGACTGCTCGGACCTTTCGCCGCCAGCGGAGAAGGATCCTGCTAACTAATTTGTTGGCTGGCATTAGTGGTGAGTCATAGAATGAGACAAGAGAAAGCTCATTGAGCCACACCTGGAATCAGACTATTATATATCATATCAAGGTCACATCATGCAAGGGGTCAGAAGAGTTCGCCGAGGCTGGAGGACGATGCGTGTCCCAGATGCATGTGAACTTAAAAGCTGCGCGGTTGTGAGCATGGCGAAGAAGGACGAAGGAATGGAAGCAGAAACAGTATTCAAGGATCTCTCCGCTTTGTACGAAGCGTTCAATCTTGCGGTCGTCGAACTCGTTGCGAGACATGCTGCAAAACGCTAGCACCATAAACGCCACATTGCCATTGGCACTGGTTCGCAGAAGATGTCAAAAGTGTCTTGGAAAATTCCAAGATGTTCCATCATCCGTTGGGCTGTGGGCGATGTTGCCTAGTACGGTATCTACTGGCAATGCTTGGCTGACACAATACATGAGGATCCTGAATGAAGAGTTCATGCATGGCTAATCATCGATCATCGCTCGTCAAGCTTGCAAATGAAGGTCACTTTCTTATTGTAAAACAAGAGAAGCCAAGCACACTGTGTAAACACATTATAGAGTCAGCTTGCACGCTGTGCACACCTAATGATATTAATAGGACCACGCACCAAAGGCTATACCGCCAGGAAGAAGCTTCCCACTTGTCATGCAAGCCATAGTATGATTAAAACCTGCTCGGACAAATATAGGCGTACATTTGCATACAGTCTGCAACGATTCTACAATATTCTGGAACGACTGAATGACTCTGAACACTAAGAGCCAAGACTAACCACGACGAATTTGGAATGGCTTTTGACACGCATAGTTGAACAGGGTCCCAGAATTTTGAAAGTAACTGAACTCCGTTCGTACGCGACGTCGTAAAGCAAACTATACTTTAGGTAGTATTGTCCAGTTTCTGCTCAACAGTCAGACCTTTGGAGGTAAGGTGAAAGCGGCGAGACAAGTCACGTAAACGCCGCAAAGTGGCGCGCAGAGAAACGCGTCGCGTGCACGTCTTTGACACGACCATGTGACACTATTATATCGAATTTCGAAGTTTTCGCGAGAAGAGAAGCCTTGAAGATGTCGATGATCGATGATCTCTGCTGCGAATCGTTATCCTGGACCACATCATACACTAGTTAATGAACTAGACAGCTGAACAATTTTGCAACAACCTTATAGCCATGGCTCCCAACAGTCGAAAAGCTGCACAAAACGTATTCCCAAATGCATCTCCAGATGTCAATAATGCAGTGGAAGTATGTCATGTATTTCTTTGCGTTATGGAGGCTTTGAACCGCGCCATAGAACGTTCTTTCTAGCTTCAATCCTAGAGAAAATGCCAGGGATCCATCTGCCATATTTCGGCATCTAGCAGGGCAAGATTCTTTGACCATAGAGGCTCTTCTGAGCGCAATTGGGACGGTAAACAATCCTGATATCACTAATTTCAACTTTTCCTCCGTTCCCGTAAAGACGGAGTCTTTCTGGGTTCTCCAACTCATGCCGATGGGCTTCCAAGGTCAAAATGGCCACTTCAGTGAAGACTACTTCGACGGTGGTCTCCCCGTCTTTCAGATAATGATATGTTAGTATTATCGGTTACTTGTTCAAGACTTGCTTTCTTACGTGATTTCTAGATGACGAACGTTCCGCGCACCGAGTAGCGGAACCCACACCTGAGCCCGGATTACCTGCTTCAAATTTTCTTTTGACGTACGTATGAGGGTCTACCTCGTAAAGACAAACTTAGGCCTTTCTCACGTACGTGAACCTCCAGCTGCATCAAGAAAGCCATCGCTGCTCCGATGTATCCATTCAGACCTGCTCTCCCCGGACTCTTCATTATTGCGCATAAGCTTAGCCCTCACGTCTCCGCCCTTCGACCTTTCCTAGACTCATTACCACAACCCTTCTCATGGCGGTTAGAGACTCCGTATGTCAAACCATACACTCATATGTTCTCAATGTCATGGTTGATTAGCCTTACAAAGGGAAGAGGCGGAGGAGGTCGCTGAAGGCGTGCATCAGAAGAACCGAATCGGAATCGCGAAAGGTCTTCAACAGGCCGAATCAGAGAAAGCCCTTGGGAATCAAGCAGTGGCTCGCAAGAACCGCGACAATGCAGTCAAGCACTACGGCGAGGCGATCGAGTGCTTATATAACGCATGGTCGCAAAAACCGACTGAGGCAGAGACCAGGAAAATCAAGAATCTCATGAGCATATGTCTTTCCAATCGCGCGGCGGCATGGCTGATGGAGGGTGTCAAACGGGACCCACAAAAAGCACTGAAAGATGCCGAAGAGGCAATTGATCGTGACCCGTCGTACGGAAAGGCGTAAGTATAGTGTCGTTTAGTTGCTGATGAACCCTAACGCACCTTCGTGCAGCTATTACCGTGCTGCGAAGGCACATCAGCTTCTTGCACAAAATGACAAGGCAATTGAAGTCCTGATCTCTGCTCTCCGTAACCCGGAGCTCGCAAGTGACAAGGGGCTGAATGATGCCTTGATAGAGACATATGGTGGCCTACCTAACACAGTAAGACAGTTTCTTTCATTCAATCTTCAGTGTAATGATATCGATAACTTATACAGGACGAGGAGCTCCGTGCATTTTGTGCTACAAATTTCAAGGAGTCAACATCAGGTACAGAGGCGAAGGAGCTTGTCGAGCTTCGCAATAAGATTAACAAACAGATTCATGAGATTATCGGGCCTAACGAGTCAGTCGACACAATTTGAGAACGGTTGCGGTTGCAGTACCAGCCGACTGGCATGAGGGTCGCGTAATCACGCTGTTCATTGTATTTGACTAACTCGAACATGTAAATCTAAACACTTATGTAGCATTACAATTATGCTCGTCGTAAAAACTGTCATACTACTACGCCTCCATAAGCTCATGCTTTAATTGGCTCTAAACGACTACAGCTGCCACGAACCGGCACCCTCCGGCTTACAGCTTTACGCCCACGTGCAGGCCACTAATTAGCATGCAGTCCAACCAAACCCTGCGAACCGCGTTTATAGTCCAACTTTCATTGTAACCTTCACCGACGCCTCTTCCTGCTCTCTTCGTCTTACCCTCAAGTCGGCCTGACCCTTAATACACATCCGACAGGTTAGAATGGAACGACTGTAGGTTGCCCTTCTTGTCAATTACTAGCGCACATTGTTTGTGGCCGCGACGCGTCTGTGGCTACGCGATGATCTCTGGTTCTGCATGATCGAGTTAGGAATGCCTTGTTGGATTCATTGTGAATCTATGTTGTTACATTGATCCTACCTTCTTAATCTACTTACGAAAGTGAATTGCTCAACCGTATCTCGATAATGTAGACGGAAACAGTTCGCTGAAGACACTTCACTATACCCGGACGTAACAGTAGGAAGAACTCAGAAACCAATATCCGTTGCCTCCTCCATTATAGTGAGTGAAAGGCTACCAATTATTGATCAAGCCTATAACGTATCCGGACAGAGTGTTTCGTCTACCGCTTCCTCAGTGGCAGGGCCACAGCAGCGGTCTGAACCTATCGTAATTTCTGACTCCGAGGATGATGAGTACGTAAAATTTGACGCGTTTACCGTACTGTTGACTTAAGAGTGCCACAGGCCCCAACCACTACGCCCCGTCCAGCGCAACATCCAGTCGCAGGCAGGACCTTCGCAACCACGGCCAATTGCCACCAAACCCATGGCTAAAGCTATACCTATTCACATTCCCACTAACCGGGACCTGCCTCAAGTGGTTCCTCGCGCTCGAAGAGAAGATGACGAATTCAATCTCGATGCAGCGAATGGGATCATCGAAACTTACATGTCACAGGCTGAAGCCCACAAGGCACTCCAAGACCTAGTTTCTGACGCGTACAACCAAATTGACCAGCCAGTTTCAGTTGAAGATGCCATTGTGGATGGCTTCAATGAAGGCATAACCCTTCTTCCTCATCAAGTCCTTGGCCGAAAGTGGATGGCCGAACGGGAGTCAGGCAAGAAATCGGGTGGTATCCTTGCTGACGACATGGGGTTCGTTGCATTTTTCTTCCATCATGACTTATTTCTAATATTTCTAATCTCTTTCTCAGTCTCGGTAAAACCATCCAAACCTTGACACGCATTGTTGAGGGTCGGCCAAAGAAGGAAGATCTTAAGATAGGATACGCGAAGGCTACACTGTGAGTTTGGTTCCTGGGATGTTATTTTCCGGGCGTATAAAGCCTGATTATTTGGTCTTCAGTGTTGTTTGTCCAGTCGCTGTCGTCAGTCAATGGGCGGAAGAAATTAGGAAGATGACAAAGGGCCTCAGGGTCATTGAACATCATGGACCGAGTCGTACTTCTGGTTCGTATACCAAGTCGTTCTTTCTGCATTGTTGCTGAAGCATTTGTCTTTTCTTGCTGGTAGATCCGACTATTTTGGCAGGGGCAGACGTTGTGATTACGTCGTACAACATTCTGGCGTCTGAGCACGCATCCTACTCCCCAGTAACAAGAGACGAGTCGAAGTCGAAGTCGAAGTCGAAATCAAAGAAACAGTCTCTTGGTTCGGATTCAGAAGACTCTGATTCTTCGTCCATCGGTCGAACTATCAAGGCCAAGCCGAAGAAGGTGAAGGATGCCCTGCTTCGTGTCAAGTGGTGGCGCATCGTGCTCGGTTTGTATTATATCAGATTTTGGATTTTCAAGGTGTCTAATATTATACGCAGATGAAGCCCACAATATCAAGAATAAGACAACCAAGGCAGCTATTGCCTGCTGCGCCCTCGATGCAAAGTACCGTTGGTGCTTGACCGGGACACCTATGTATGTGCCGTATACATATAATGCCGTCCGTGAAGCTCACTTTGGCGAACAGGCAAAACAGCGTGGAGGAGTTGTATTCTTTGATAAAGTTTCTACGTATCAAACCTCTCAATGATTGGCCTACATTCAAGGAGCAGGTGGCCCAGCCAATCAAGAATGGGCGAGCAGCTCGTGCTTTGAAGCGACTGCAGGTAACTTTCCAACTCTTCAGAGTGTATAGCGCGACGGTTAATCTGTATGTCTAGGTCGTTCTCCAGGCAATCATGTTGCGACGCACAAAGACTACTCTCCTCAACGGAAAACCTCTCTTGGATCTCCCCGATCGTATTGTGAATGTCGTTCATTGCGAGTTTGATAAGGAGGAACGTGCTTTTTACAATGGCGTACAAGAGCGCGTCCAGGATCGTGTCGATAAGTTGGAAGCGGCAGGTCAATTACAGAAGGCATATACTTCTATGTTGGTGCTTTTGCTCCGATTGCGCCAAGGTAAGACACAAGTGACACGGGCATCATCCTCTCGCTCATACTTCTCCCTTGTTCTAGCATGCAATCATCCGTCCCTCCTCGGCGTAGACTACAAGAAGGATCAAGAAGCTGTAGAGCCCAAGGCCTCAAAGAATAACGATGATGATGAGGCCGATGAGTTGGCTGCGCTCATGGGTGGACTCGGATTGACCAAACGTTGTCAGTTTTGCCAAACTGAGTAAGGATATTCACCAATCATCATTTTCTACCTGCATTTACGATTGCATTATAGATTGAACTCGACAAACAAGGCTGAAGTTGAGGAGAGTTGCATCGACTGCGTCGACATAATGCGAAAGTCTCGCAGGAAGTCTGTTGCTCCGAACTCTGATTTACCCCCGGACTCTGCCAAAACGCGGAAAATCATGGAGTTGCTCGCGGAGATCGACAAGCGGTCGGACTCGGAGGAGAAGACAATCATCTTCTCTCAATTCACTAGCATGCTCAATATTATTGAGCCATTCTTGAAAGATAAGGGCATCCGCTACGTGCGCTGTACGTTCAGCCTTCTCTTCTGTCAATGATATATGTACTCAACTCTTTCCTTCAGATGACGGCTCCATGAACAAGCTTGAGCGTGATGTTGTTCTAGAGAAGATCAAGAAGAGCCGGTCTACACGACTTATCCTGATCTCGTTCAAGGCTGGTAGCACGGGCCTAAATCTAACTTGTTGCAACAACGTGATCCTTGTGGATCTTTGGTGGAACCCCGCATTAGAGGTAAGTCGGATCGCTCATTGTTGTGTTTTGACTATAGAATAGTCGTTGATGTTATTGTGCAGGATCAAGCATTCGATCGTGCACATCGTTTAGGTCAAACTCGCAACGTCCATATCTACAAGCTCTCAATTCCTGACACTGTTGAAGAGCGTATTCTGGAGGTTTGTTAATGCTTATTTGGTCTTGCGGTTCTTCAGCTTATCCATCCGCCTTCCCTCCTTCAGCTCCAAGAGAAGAAGCGGGCTCTCGCAACAGCCGCACTTTCGGGCGACAAGCTTAAGAATATGCGTCTTGGTATGGACGACCTCATGGCTCTCTTCAGGTCAGGCCACGATGAGGACGACGAGGATGATTAAGACTAGCATGTCTATTTATTACTTTCTTGCATACACCATGTTCTCCTTAGAAACCTTGCATATCGCTTTCAATGCTATCCGGACTTGCTCTCGTACACATTTTAATATGGATGATGTCTGACCTTTACCTTCCGACAGCATGGATTCTATACGGCATTCAGACGGATGCGACTTCGTAAAGATTTCAATCGTGATCGCAAAAGACGGTGAACGTACAATCACACGTGCAGGCACGTAGAATACATAAGAAGCGTAAATAGCTAATACAGCTTTCAAACATCTCGAGAGCAAACGAAGCGTATAAGATGCAAAGGTCAGCTTCTCTCCACGCTGACCATACATAAGATGGAAGGGACCGAGTAGCAATCACTAGGCTAGGACAGGAGAATACAACCGCTATGGGGGGAATGTCTTGTACGACAGCCTTAATCGTATCACGCATCCACCGCCACATTGTATGGATTTAGCGAGGATCTGTTCAACCACCCTTGGGGGAACAGAATTCGAAAGCCAGGGTCTACGTCGAGCGCAACCCGAGATGACACTAGAAGATACGTCCACAACGAATTCGAACGTGATGCTATCCAGGATTACTCCATATTGAAGAAGTGGGAAGGAAAGGTGCCGGGAACGCCCTTTGTTCCGTCCTGCCGCCGCCATTAGAAGTATAGGGACTACTGAACACATCGCGGTTCTCTTGTCGGTAGAACGCGGAACTAGGCGAAGCCGAATAGATAGTATCGGAATATGCAGGGGGGTTCACATCTTGATGCAAACTGTGAGGCATACTGAACGGATCGCCTACAGGGGGAGGTAAAGACCTTGGCTCGTACTGCTGACTTTGTGTCTGAGGTGTAAAGGGTTGCGGTCGAGAAGTATACAACGACTGTGACCCCGCTCGCTGATGACCAATGGGGCCCAACCCGGGCAAAGATTGTAAGCCCTGATTCCAAGGAGATGAAGCACCAATAAATGAAGAAGGTGCTGGTTGGCTAGAAGTGAGACGTGACCACGATGGCTGAGAAGGCACAGGAGGGGATTCATGGTGCTGGAACGGTGAAGTATGATTGATAGAATCACTAGGAATCTGGGTAGTACTCGGTGCACTCGTGTATTTCAGAGAATCGCTCTCTGTAGTTGTCGACCAAATGGTAGGCCCGGTACCAAAGAACATAGGATTGGATGGTAGGCGCTTATGGGTAGACGGCGTCAGCGCTGCAGCACCACGTCTTAAGGCGTCGTTCAGGAGGTCCTTGGCTGTAGTTCCTGAAGGAGTTGGGGCACCAGGCATAGGTGGAGAAGGCGCACTGGACTTCAAGGACTGCTGAGGCGGGGAGACTGGTTGTACCCGCTGCGGAGTGAAAGGTGGCGATCTGGGACTGAGGGGGCTGACAGGACTGATTGAATGAGGGCTTGTTGGTCCTATAGAGTGCACGCCAGCCAGTGGCTCTGGAGATGGAGCAGGCCTAGCAAAACAGCTGAGCATCGTGAGCAAACAACATTCAATGTTAACGGACAAACCTTGGGTAGAGGATTTGCTCCTCGTCTTCGTCCGAATCTAGTACTTGACGGAACGCATCGCCCACGATATCGGTTTCGGTACGAGACATCATGTCGTCATCCACATCAGACCTGGCTTCTTCTTGTGCTTGCAGATGTGCAGCAGAGTCTTCATTACCATCCGCTTGTAGTATTGTGCTGTCGGTAGCATCCACATCCGCGGAAACAGCCTTAGCAAGTTCCATAGGTTTGAGGACAAAACGATGACCATCAAATGTGACAGGAGTAACCTGATAGCAACAGTTAGCATGCCGCGCCATTCAGAGCCAGTCTTAAAATTACCTCGTCCTCGGCTACCGCTTTGGCGTCAATTAGGATATCCGCTATCCTCATCAATTGTTCCTCGTTAGGATGCACCTCTTCACGACCTCGAACACTTGGCTGAGGGGCGTTAGTGACAGCTTTGACATCTCCCTGAGAAGCCGTGGGCTGTCTGGTTTCACCAAGCATGTACTTGCGGAGGGGAAGGAAACCTGACATCTCGATGTCTTCCTCCAAAGGCGCACGCAAAACAGGAAGGTTGTCGGCTGGAAAGGCGGATAGTAGCGTATTCATAAATTTCGTGTAGTCTTCCCAGAATTGACGAAGAGCCTTGATGATGACGGGATTTCCCTTTTCCTTTTGATTGACACCCCTTCCATCTCTCGTCCTTCTGCTCTTGGGCGCATGCATATTGTTTACACCAGCATCGGGGTCCTGGGAATCGCGGGCTTGAGACAGGTACCTAGTATTTGCACGGATCCACTTCCCAGACATACGAAGAGCAGGCAGGGTTCTTCTAAAGACCGCAGTGATGCGTTGAGCAAGATCATTTTCAGCAGCGTCGGCCGGAGGCGCCTCCATGAGCTGAACATACCCCACGTCCAGAAGAACGCGATGGATACCAAGAAGATGCGTAGCCATCCTCGATTCAGTGAGGGGTGAACGAGGGTTCCTCTTCTCGTTATGGGACGTTGGGCGAATCATACGGTGCTTCCACAAGGCACCTTCAGCCAGCACGATGACCTTGTTAATGATCTCAACTGGGAGGATGCGGTCGGATAGAAGACTATGAAAATTGCGAATGACCTGCTCGCTCAACGATTCAGCACTGCATCAAAAAAAAAATAAGTACCAGTTGTGAGTGGATAGCACTGAAGATGAAAATGGAGACTTACTCATTGCCTCCAAAGCGCCATTGAGCGTGCAGAATAATGATTCGCTCCTTGATATTCTCTACCCTAACGCGAGGAGCATTGGGCGTCTCAAAAGGACTTAGGTCTTCCACGACGCCCTTCGCTTGTTTCACCTTCCACTGATCCAAGGCTCTATGAAGAACGCTTCCCATGTTCTCCGAAGCCGTCTCGTAAGGCTGCCGAACGCACAGTGCCCGGTAATAGTGCATAAGAGACGTGAAGATATCTTTCTGATAAGATGCAATAATGGCAAGCTGGTGAGACGGGTTCCCATCATGGGGCGTCAACAGTCGAGCCTGGTCGTAACACAGTATCGCACGATCGTAGTTGCGCAGACGAGAGAGTATAGGTAGAGCCGTAGGAGGAGCCCCGCCCCTCCTACCTCGACCTCTTCCAGCAGGTGGAACAGCCGGGGGTCCATCTTCGTGCCCGGCACGTGGCCGTCCGCCAGATTCATTGTACTGTTCCTTGTATCGAGCAATATCACCAAGACAAACGAGAGCTTTGCTGAAGATGGCAAGTCTACTTTCTCGCTGAGCAGCCGATGTCGGTAAGAGTTCGGGTATTACTTCGTCACTTTCAGACGGGAACTGGAATTGGTTACGCCGCGGTGTCGTACCGTCCTGAGGCTGAGGTTGAGGTGGCGGCTCCTGGTCAGTGAGAATCCCAAGAGCTGCCAGAGCAGGCTGCGCATTATCAATAGCAAAGTTCCGCCGTAGTCGGATGATCAACTGTGTCCAGAACTTCTCCTCGTCCGCAAGGAACTGACGAAAGCGTTGAAGGAGCTTTCGATACTCGACAACGTTGCGTTGTTGGGGCTGCTGCGATTGTGGCGCTTGGCGGGGAGGTCCATAAATCGCGCGATCTAGTGCAGATATGCGTTGCTTGTAGATGGAAATGAGTGAATAGGATGTTTGCATCCATAAATGCGTCTCTGCATCCTTGGATTCCTTGGCGTATGGATGAACGAGAAGTAGGCGCAGGTATTGGCGGCGGAGACTTCACGATACATGAACGATCGGGAAGCGATAGGAGGTTAGGAAAGGGACGTACTTCTTCCTTTGAATATCAATATCTTTGTCAAGAATGTCTCGAGTCTTCAACAACTCCTTCAATCCTTGTTGGAGGCCTTTCGCCTCGCTAGTAGTGCCCAAGGTCAATAAGAAACCTCAACAAAATGATAGAATAACATGCCGAGCAACTTGAGCGGCTGCGTCTGACATTTTCTAGTCAGACGGCAAGGATAGATTCATTATCTTGTTCGTATTCTGGTGTCCTGAGGTTTTGGCTGAGATAATGGTTCATTGTCGTTCGTCTTTCCCGCGACCTTTGCCTTCAAGCAGGGAATTCCGGGCGCGAATCACTCAGCCAAAACGGGTACACATTTTTCTCACGCCTCATGTGACGGCAACTTGGGGACAAAAACTAGTTATTAATATTAACTTTCTGCAAACTGGACTACAGTACAACGCAAAGTATCCTCAAGGTGTCGCTGTCGCGCCCGTGTAAGCATGAATCGTCTCATCTGCACATCCGGCCGGAGTCTGATAGGAGTAAGGCCCAAGGTTGACATAGAGATCTCGGTTTCCGGCTGAGTCAGGGCAAATAAGCCACGCCTGCAAGAGCCAGATGAGTGAATCTGCGACAAACATCATTAACCTGCAACGAGACATACGTTGAGCTGCGGTCTGCTGATGGTCGGGATACTCCATTCGACGGTGTCTCCGGAGAACTGGAATGTTCCCGCAGGTGCCGGGGTCGTGGCCCAAGTCACTTTAAGCTTCATAACTGAGGGACCGGATCGATCCTCGACCTGGGCGTAGAGCTTGGTGCCATCTGGGACGAGTTGTATTAACTGGCCGCCAGTAATCTGGAATTGAGCTGCATTTCCAGGTTCACCAAGGACAGCGTCAGAAGCTGTACCCAGGACTTCGGACTGGAGGTACTTGTGGAAGTTCGGATCTTCCTAGAGATAATATAATATGCCATTGTCAAAGGATCTCAAATGTTGGAGAGAGACACTTACCACTGCACGAATGAAGGAATTTCCAGGTAGGAGAGTTGTTGTACCGCTAGGCGCAGACGAGGTCGTGGTTGGGGAGCCTCCACCGCCGGTGGGGGCAGACGTGGTAGAAGGTGGTGAAGATGGGGCCGAAGGGGCAGCGCCCTGAAGACACTGGGAATAGTACGGGTTAGAGACGGTACACGCCCACCCCTCTGGGCATGCTGTTGGGCCTGTCCAGCCCTAAGGCATGACTGGCGTTAATGGCTGAAAAGGCAGAGAATATTTCGCACATACTGTACCACCACACTATATACAGCGAAGGACAATTTGGAGAATGAATAGATTTGTCTGTGAATTAAAAAATACTACACACTTGTCCCCATTCAGGAGCCGTAGCCTGAGCAGCAACGGAAGACACGAAACTGAGCGCAGCAATAGCTAATACGAAACCTGCCTTGAACATCTTCAATGTTTGTAGTAGTTCTTGGTTCAATGAGACCCCACTTTATACCTGTGACACCTCAACATACTGCATATAGGGCGGGACCGAGCAAAAGCCTGAATTTCGGAATCGTCGCGTACAGGGTGCGGACAACGAGCGCAGATCAGTCGGTCTTTTTGACATCATCATCAGCGGCACATTGTCGGATAAGCAGACGTCGGTGGCAAGAAGATCCCAAGGCATCTTGTAAGATCTGCTGAGCATGAAGGGCGTGTTGAATTCGCCGAATACTTCAGAATAAAGAGACGGGGTAAACACGGGGAAGGATGCCCTCGTGATGCGATATCCAGGTCAGCCTCCGAGACTCCACGTCGTCCTGATGCAGAATGGTACATATCCAACACTTGGTGTTGAAGAAATGAATGCAAGTGGATCAGCTTACCGGTGAATGTGTTCTTTACTGTGATGTGGTCGTGTAAGGAAGACAACCGAGGATCGATCGGCATTCTGATGCACGTTCAGAAGAAACCGCAAGCAATCGTTCCCTGTGCGATTTCCGATCTGCAGACTACAAGATATCTTGTATACGCGCCAGGGAAAGGGATTCAGTTCACAATCATACGTGCCAAATCCCCATTGAGCATTTCGACCGGCAGATGACTTCCATTCGAGACTTGTCGTCATTGAGTTAATTATGACAGCATAGGCTTCTTGACCCAAGATAAAGAAAGGAGGCCAAGGATGCTGATTGGGAGACGCAATCTGTGGTACTCTTCTAGAGGTTAGTTCGACTTCCGCCGACACTAGTTGCGAAATATATATGTAGAAACTGCCGAACATCATGCCGTCGATCTTCGTGATTGATCAGTGTCCTAGTGCTTGTGCTGAGATACCAGGAATCTAAAGAAGGGGCCGTCATCCTAGATATCATGGTCAGCGGTGACGAACGAAGCTTTTAGTATGATAACTCAAGGTCACAGGCCTGCAAACGGGTCATTTCGTGGGTAGGCAATGTGGATGACCTATTCATAGCACATGCCGGCCGGAGACAAGAAATTGACCTGGTAAGTGAACATCCTAGTTAGACAACGATCAGCTTATCCTCTGTCTAATGCGCAGTATCCTTCGGTTTGTAAACACACACACGGTAGATAGTGATCTGCGTCGTGAGGCGGGGTGCGTTGCTCCATATGTTCTCTACCTGCAGCCATTTGCGCCGTCACGGCGACTCACCAGCAAAGCGTCTTTCTTCGGGAACTCCGACAGCATGTCACCAGAAAACACCCTGGTCGCCTGAGATTCAAAGGCATGAAAGCGTTTCTTGAACTGCCTTCTACAAAATTTTGAACTTTAGTACTAACAGCCGCTCCTGTTTGACATTTGTACAGTTTATATCCTTCTGCACCGAACGTGTTTCAGTCAGAAAATGTGCTTTAGATGCGCTGTTACTCACAAATACTGTCCGATTGTCGACGGAGTCGCTGTATGTGAGCGTTTTCTTTAACAAGCATGTCAATTGTACGTACATGGCATGGTACCACCGCTTCAAGCCTAAATTCTACCGGCCAACGATTGTTAGCAGACGTACACCTTTGCTCCCGACGAATTTGACTCTTAGATATGTTCTGGATACGCAAGCCCCGATCGTGCTTATATATGACGGCGTAAGCAACCTGTGATAGAGAGAATTTGAAGCTATCCGCTGGGCCGGAGCGCCACTTCTCCCGTGTACTAGCTGTCTATGTAACAATTCACACCTTGATTCACGCCTTTCTCGCCTTACTTATACCATAGCCTCCTCCCCCTTCTTTGAGTAATCTGGCATACCTATTCTTGCGGCGTAGCGTCCTCAGCTTAAACTCATATATACGAGTTGCTCGACGTCCAATACTCACGCCTGCTTTACACCATTGTTTGCACATCCACTCTCAGAGCCTATCCCCAAGGTCGATCTCGATGGTGAAACCGATTGACTACCATGTCATATCTCGAACTGTATACGATCTGGCATCATCTGATGATCCTCTGGCACCGTTGCTAAAAGAATCGCTCGACGTTATCGAGGACGCTTTGGATTCGTTCGGGTGGGCTTTCTCGATCGGTCATATTTTGGATGGTCTGTAACATTGCACAAGGCAGGCAGGATCATATTGCGCTGAGCTTCAATGGCGGTAAAGATTGTGCGTTGTCTATTTTCTCTACCTTACCGATGGCGAAATTAACATGGTGGAACATCTGCAGGTACCGTACTACTACATATCTATGCCGCAGTGCTTGGGCATAGAATAACCGCTTCAGAAGAGCTCAAGCCAGTCAAAGCACTACACATTCCAGTCCCCTCCCCTTTTCTTGAACTTGAGTCGTTCATAGAAGAGGCGGCGCAGATATATAACCTTGATATTTTTCACTGCATACCCCCGACCCTTCCGGTAGAAAGCATCCCCCAGCCCACCACTCCTGGTGCGCGCACTGTCGACTCCAACGGTGAATCGTTTATTCCGACACGGGCGAAAGGTGGGGAGGGCATGAGAGGGGCGTTGGAGCTTTACAAAGCCAAGTTCCCACAAATAGAGGCTATCTTGATGGGGACTCGTCGCTCGGATCCACATGGATGTTCGTACATAAATATACCCCAGAACTCATCTATCATCCTGACAGTTGTTTTGCAGCGAAGTTGACATTCAGAAATCCGACGGATTCAGGATGGCCCGCTTTTGAACGGATTAATCCAATTATCAACTGGGCATATGGAGACATTTGGGCTTTCCTTCGTAAACTCAAAGTTCCTTACTGTAAATTATACGACGAAGGGTTAGTGCGTTCATTCGTCTCGGCTGATGTGCTCTGACGATTGTCTTCAGGTACACGTCGCTGGGCTCCACATACAATACATTTCGCAACCCCGCATTGCGCATACAACCATTTTGTCATACCGATAGCTACTTACCTACAGAAACAACCTCCGATACACCATCGGACGTACCCACTGTGGATCACACCCTTACAAACGGCCTGTCATCGTTGTCAGTGAGAGACCTGGATGAGATCCCGACCATTCCCTCGGATCTTATCATGCTCTCGACCGATTCGGACGAAATATGCGAGGGGGAAGGAGGATTTTGTACGCTTGTGAGAAAGAAAAAGCAGGAGGAAATCCTCCCAGAGCCTGAAGAGGCCAAGCATGCGGATGAAGAGCGGTATAGACCGGCGTATGAACTGCAGGATGGCAGTCTAGAAAGAGCAGGGAGAGCACTGAGTGTTGGTTTGACGAGTAATGTCCCTTCATGATTACGATTCCAGGATGAAGATGTATTGTTATGAAAGGACCTCTTAACCTATTTCTTCGCGGCTCTGTATGGGTATCGCTATATCCCGCTTTTTGTATACGTCTCGATAGAGCTTAAGCTGGCGTTCGTCGCATAACTGCTCGTGCTGCAATCGGGACCCACGAACTGAAAAACAACATTATGATGAGTGCATTACAAGGCCCCGCCCAATATTAGTTCAGTACTTGATCTACCGTCTATGATGAAGTCCAGTTAAGTGTTCCAAAGGAAAAGCATATGAAAAATATTTGTGTCTCTCATCTATTCCGGTTTACCGCCTCTTCCTGCCTCCACTTCCTCTAGGGGAACACGGTCATATTGAGCAGATCCGTTGGTATGTTTTGGTGCTTGAGACTCGAGGTGTTTAACCCACGTGTAGTATATTGAGCCAACAAGGATGGTGGCAATTGAAGACGCCCGACCACTGTGAGAGACAATGCCGTCAGTGACCAACAGGACGGTAAACGGACCGTGTTCACGTACGTTGTAATGACGTCGTGGAACAACCACATTCCCAAGAGCGATGCAGCAACACCGCGTACGGCGGACGAGACCATATGTGTGATTGGTGAGGTCACTTTTATGGAGAGCAGACTAGCGATGCTCATCAGGAACCCGAGAGCACCCTGTAATTAATACTCAGACGCGTACTCATAACAAAATTGATTATCAGTGCTTACGGTGATAGCAGATCCCCACAGGAAGGTAGCCAGTGGGCTCATTTCATCTGGCAGCGACGGAAGGTCCCCAAATAGTAGCGCAAGAGTTTTCGGTAGTTCGCCAGCAAGGATTATGACGGGTATAAGAGCGACTGAACTGAGCAAATTTGTATACCATGAAAGGTGTAGTGCGCTGCCCTTCACGACCTCGAGGCTCTTCTTAATAACCACGGAATGGACGGCTGTGATCATCGAACTGGCCACACCAAACGAGACGCCAACTAGTGAGACAGGAGTGCCATCTAAGAATACGCCAATGAAGAAACCGAAGGTAACCACGGAACATGCCATCAGGACGGCGAGGGAAGGCCGAGCATGCAAGAAGACGTAGGATGTAAAGACGGTGAAAGGGAGGACCATGCCTCTGGCTACTTGATAGAACGAGGCATCAACGTATGCGAGGGTATAGTTGCTGAAACTGTGGTAGAAGATGAAGCGCATATGTCACGAGAGTCAAGATTGCTTAAGAACGCACCTTAGACCAATCACGTTTAATCCGACCATGGGTATCAATCCTTTGCATACTTGCAAGTCGAATTCCAGGGGAAGCTTAATGAGGCCTGTTACATGCGCAACCAGGAAAAGGAGGACGGCAATAACGAGCTGACAGAATAGGAAGGACAAGGGGACCTCCGTAGAGTTCAACACCCATTTGTTACTATATCTTGTTATCAGCTAAGGCCGAGAACAGACTAGTAGGTACATACGCCATTACCATCTGAAGCAAACGAAGTAAGTATCAGTGTACGGGCCTTGAGAAAGCAAAGAGCCATACCGAAAGAGCAGCAACCAAGTAGAACAGTACTGTTCCAGTCTGTGTATATTCTATCAGTGAATACAAAGTGAATTGCAAGTGTTATGCTTACCACTAGGGCCCTCGACGGGGCTTTATGGTCATGACCGTGCGGCATGTTGACAATCCAGCTGTATATCACCGTTTAACGAGTCAAAGAGCGTCGAACAAGCTACGGAACGCAAAAGCGATTGAAGACACCAGCGAGAGTCGTGTGCTGGTGGATGTGCGCGCGGAAACACAGAAAGCGCTGTCGGTGTGTTTGATCCACGTGTGTCCCGAAAAGGCAATCTTTACGCGACGCGTCGCGATCCATGGGCGCTTCCGCGTCTCCCCTCTACACTCGCAACTTCGATGTCGAAGTTGTCATTATCGTACTTCTAAATTCTCTCTACCAGCTTTTCGGTTCATCCTTATAGCGTTTATACCCCCATAAAGATACCAAACTTGGGCTTGTTCAGTATACGATAAGACAGTAAAGGAAGTGGCACATGTCTACTGATGGGTTGCAAGAGCGGCCTGCGCCACCACAAGGTACTTTAAATACGGACGAGAATGCCTGTAAGCTCCTTTATCTCCGTTCGGTGTCTTCAAACCTCCCAAACTTTAATCGCTCCCATTAGATCCAGAAGACACATTCCGTATCCTACTTGCGACGGACAATCACATTGGCTACAATGAAAGAGATCCAATACGTGGACAGGACTCAATCAATACCTTCCGCGAAATATTGCAACTTGCTGTAAAACATGATGTAAGTCATTGCGGTTAGTCAAAATGCAACCCCACAAGTTGTTCGCAAGCAGACCTTTGTGTGGCGACGCACATCAATAACATTTCAGTTGACTGGTTGAGTATTCGATAGGTTGATTTCATTCTCCTCGCCGGAGATCTCTTTCATGAAAACAAACCTTCTCGCGAGACACTGTATGAAACCATGGCCTTACTACGAGAGTACACATTAGGCGATCGACCCATTCAGATGGAGCTACTGAGCGACCCTGAGGAAGGCAAAGCTGCTGGCTTTTCGTATGCAACGTCGTGAACTTAGCATTTGGTGAGTAACTCTAACACACCTTGTCCGTTTACAGATTCCCCGCTATTAATTATGAAGATCCGAACTTCAACGTGAGCATACCGGTCTTCTCCATTCACGGAAACCACGATGACCCTCAAGGAGCTGGTCCGGTTTGTAAACTTATTCATCACCCGAACTTTACCCTTGACTCATTATTTTACAACAGCAAGGCGCTCTTTGTGCTCTGGACATGCTGTCCGTCAGCGGACTAATCAACTATATGGGAAAGATAGACCTTCCAGTAAACGACGCGGATGCACAGAACACCGGTATTGCAGTCAAACCTGTACTACTACGAAAAGGAAACTCTCGACTTGCCCTATACGGCATTGGAAATGTCAAGGACCACCGAATACACTTCGAGTTGCGAAGTAACCGTGTTCGAATGTTCATGCCAAAAGATAAAGATGCCTGGTTCAACATTCTTCTACTGCACCAGAACCGGTAACACATTAATTCAGCTCAATTTAGTCTCAAACTCACCATGTTTGCCAGTGTCCCCCATGGTCCACAGCAATTCGTCCCGGAGGGAATGTTCGACGACAGCTTAGATCTTGTCGTCTGGGGTCACGAACATGACTGTCGCATTGATCCAGAACCCGTCGCAGGAAAGCGATACCGTATTACTCAACCAGGTTCGTCAGTGGCCACTTCCTTGGGCGAAGGCGAATCGATAGAGAAGTACGATTCTTGTGAATTCACAAGCTTCACGTTCTGACACCATGGTCACACAGGCATGTTGCACTTCTCGAAATTTGTGGCAAGGAATACAAGATGGTTCCCATCCCTCTGCGTACTGTGCGACCGTTTGTGGTAGATGAAGTGTCGCTTGAAGCGGCAGCGGAAGACGAGGGATTGGATTTAAATGACAAGATGGCTGTCTCCAAGTTCCTGAAGAACAAGGTTTGATCCCGTTGCTTCGGCCTATTCGTTCTACACCATTGATTTTCCCCTTGCAGGTTAATGAGCTGATCCAAAGGGCCAACGACGTATGGGATGGGCGTAACGCGAAGGCTCTACAGGAAGGTGATGAAGAGCTACCGCGCATGCTTCCAATCATCAGACTGAAGGTATATACTATGTTGTGCTCAAGCCGTCACCTGTTCTGACCGAGCTACATACAGGTCGACACCACTGGTGTCAGTGAAATGTCGAATCCAGTTCGATTCGGACAGGAATTCCAAGGTCTTATAGCAAACCCACGAGATGTCCTCGTCTTTCATCGTGCTAAGCGTCCAACCCGTGGTGGCAAAGTAACCGCAGACCAGCCGGAACTCAGCATCGATGACCCGAGTCTGACTACCTCAGAGAAGCTCTCCCGTGTCCGTGTTCAGACTCTTGTGCAAGAGTATCTGGCGGCTCAGGAGCTTCAATTGTTGGGTGAGGCTGGGATGTCCGACGCTATTGAATTGTTCGTGGACAAGGACGATATCCATGCGATTCAGAAGTATGTATTTCCTGCTTTTTGCCTTCGCGTAGCGTGTTGAACTGACTTTTACATTAGTCATGTCAGTACCGCCTTGAAGAGTCTAATGAAGGGCGTGCAAACCACTGGAGGTGAATTTGAAGAGGAAGACCTGGAAGATATTGTTTGAACCTCTTTTCACTCATCGTCCTTCTTCAACTGATGATGAAGCGTTGTAGGTTGGCAAAGTCCGCGAGAAGCATGAGAAAGACTACTTGGAGAAACACAACGGGGGAAGGAGCACAAAGTCCAAAGGCAAAGAGAAGGCAACAGACGCTGACCGTTCAGACGCGTCCGTGGAGTCTATGATGGAGGAATTTGATCTTGGTCCTTCCGATATTGACGATCAAGAATCTGAAGCTCCCCCTCCACCTAAGAAGACTGCCGCGCGGGCGAAGAAACCCGCCGCTGCGCCCAAGAAGGCTCCCGCGAAGGCCCCTGCAAGAGGTCGAGGGAAGAAAAAGGTACGTCTTACGATAATACTGAGATGATGCAATAGTGTCTGATGGTGTTGTACAGGTTGTGTCAGAAGATGAAGAAGACGAAGGTGAGGAAGACTATGAGGAGCCGGAAGAAGAAGCACCAAAGAAACGAACAAACCGGGCAGCCGTCCTGAGGTAAGTCAAGACGACAGTTATATCGTGCATTCATTAATGTCGGCTCTGCAACAGTAAAACCACTACAACGAAGAGAGCACCAGCGAAGAAGACGGCCTCTTCGTCGAAGCAGGCTACTCTTTCCTTCGCCCCCTCTGGTAGAAGTTCGACGAGAGCGGCTGCGACTAGGGCCAAACGGAAAGTGGCTGATATTGTGAGTTCGGCTTTTTTTGAGTTGTGTGGAACATCGTACTAAACGCCTCTTAGACAGAGATAAGTGACTGACGGAAGCCTCGGTGTCGTTGTCTGCTAGTCGATGCTATCTGAAAGATTCACGTTATGCTGTCGTTATTTCAATCACGTTGCTTTCGTCTTGTAGAATATAATGTTTGTTTCGTATTGGGCATAGAAACCTCACTTGTCGAGAACCGGAACTTCTTAAGTGCATAACATTTGGTAAGACGACCGCTGGAATATAGTTGTCACTGACAGAGGCTTAACGCAAGATGCTGTTATGTTCGAGGTACGTTCACAATGAATGCAACGCGAAAATTACCTTAGGATTGTCGTCTCACATGAAGAAATCACACCCACGAACAAGTACTTCTCAAACGCAGCTGTGCAAATATATTTTCACAGACAACTACGGCCAAGAAGCTGGGACGCCATTCAATACTGCTGCCCATCGAAGGGAGGGCGGGGGGTACAACCTGGCCTTTGGTGCGTCGTAGATAACATACGTCCGCCCTGCCTTTCCGGTCTTAGAAGGTCGCAGGAAGACTGATTGCAGTTGCCCCAAGCAACTCAGCCGTAACTCCCCCCGAAGTCAGGCCGGGGCCCTCGACCTGACTCCACCACCGCCCACAGCACGAAGACATCCCGATGCGGTGGCGTCGGAGCGACGAAATGCTTGTGTTTCTGCGTGAATCAAGATGGGTGAGTAAGGAAAAGTAGAATGGACTTGGACTCACCGACAGCCGCTCCGACGCCTCTTTCTTTGACTTGCCATGAAAGAGCCTGTTGAAGTTAGTAAAGTCATCAAGAGCGATTAAACGAAACGCGCCATGGATTTTATCCAAGTCAAGCATCGATTTCGATCTCGATGGCAACGACTAAAGGAAAGGTCAGTAAAGTCATCAAGAATGATTGAATCGAACATACCATTTTATCGAAGCCACTGGCGGGCATCATTATTTTTTCTTGTCTTTTCGTTTCTTTGTCTTCGCTACCTTCCATTTCTTGCTCTTCTCTTTGTCATCATCATCATTCTTGTCATCATCATTATCTTCGCCAAACGTCAGCAAAGTCATCAAGGATAATTGAACGGAACGCACCATATTATCGAAGTCGCCGGGATGCGTCATTATTTGGTCATTGAATTCGTTGCATTGTCTTCGCTACCTTCCATTGCTTGCTCTTCTCTTTGTCATCCTTGTCATTATCGTCATCATCATTATCTTCGCCTTGACGGCATATTCACACATTTGTCATATCATCGCTTGAGGTCACACTGTCGTCGCCGGTCATTGTTGCACACATCGCGTCCGATGGCGAACAAACAACCGACGAACGACTCTTTGTTTGCGACTCGAGAGTCGACTTTCATTGAATGAACCGAGGGTCGTTTCACACAGGTGCGATCCGAAGATCGACCCGTGAGCCAAGTGGGTATGGTCGACGCGTGTTTATCCCAGATCACAGGCTATGCGTCGTCACCGTGGTGAACGACAGAGCGGCAAGGATTTCCGAGTCCAACGATACACTGTGGTATCGTCGGCTGCGCCAGGGTCATGCTGGCTGGCTAGGCACGGACACACCCTCCTCAGAAGTAGTGATACGCATCGAGGCCAAAGACCACGAAGCGATCGATGTGCGCCCCGAAGAGCGACTTTCATAGGCACGATCCGAAGATCAAAACCTATAGGCCAGTTGGTATTGTCGACACGTGTTTATCCCAGATCACAGGCTATGAGTCGCCACCGAAGTGGACGACCGAGCGGCAAGGACTTCTGAGTCCAATGGTAAATATCATGATGAATGTTACCACCGGCAGAGTCAGGGTCATGCTGGCTGGCTAGGCCGAGACACACCCACCTCGGATGATATCACTCCTCATCTGTCACCCACCCTCTGGCGAGAGTGAGCTGTATTGACAAAGTCTGGAGTGATTGAGCTGTTTCCCGTCATCACCGTACGCAGACGCACGACTCGGAGCAACATCTCGATTTTCATAGGTGCGATCAGAAGACCGACCTATGGGCCTTGGCCATGTTCGACACGTGTTGTCCCAGATCATAGGCCATAAGTCGACACCGGAGTGAACGACGACGCCGCAGGGATGTCCAAGTCCGACGGCAAATGTTACCGTCGGCGGTGTCAGGGTGCCGGCTGGCCATGCGCAAAAGCAATCCCCCTTGGACAAGATCGCTCCTCGTTCGTCACTCACTCTCCGGTACGCCAGAGTGAGCTGTTGGGACGAAGTCTGGAGCGACGATGAGTTGTCACGTACCGGTGCATCATTTTTATGACACTAGAGTGACCACGTTTAGTATCGGATAAGCGAATGGGGAACACACCATCGTAGTTGATGCAAAGAGTTGCCACAATGCAGACAACGCGACCCTCATGCTGGTCGCCATCGCGTCACATCGTCAATGAATCTGAAGACCATTTGGTCAAGCCACAATATTGAGAGTTTGCCCAACGTACCATTTATCAACTTTGAATAGGCCGGCCTGTGGTGGGCAAACTTCATGACGATAGCGACATCCATTGCCCAGAGGCATGATGGATAGTGGTGAGCCATGAAGCTCATCGTCCACCGTAGCGACTCGTTGCCTAACGAAGTAGTGTGGCGTAGGATGTTGATGATCAGTATGGCAAAGGACACAGTATGTCCGACCATGGGGTATGGCAAGAGGTAATGATGTAGGCCGAGCAGTGACGACGTACGATAGCAGAGCAAGGCGTAACAGGCGTGTTCGTGAGTAGTAGGTGAGTTCAACATCAGTGGACGAATGACTGTTGTGCGCCACATTTAGGTACATGAAGGTCATATCGTCAAGAGATCACTCACAGTCAGCCCAGCCCACAGATCCATTGTCATCCACATCATCTACCATCGTATAGCGGAGAACGCCACATTGGTGGACCGATATTGGAACAGCTATCGATGAAGCGTAGTGAGCGTGTGGCACAGATGACAGACGACACGGCGGGAGGGAGGGGATGAGGATGGGGAACGGGTGGTATAGCTTACCAGTTCAGATACGCCACACTTGCCATGGTCGACGACGATGGCAGCAAGTAGTAAAGGGTAGAGGCCATGGTCGAAGATGGCATCGAAGTGTCGATGCACAATGGTGTAAATCCTCCTAGGAGGGAGGGCATGGTGGTGGGAGGAGGGTAAGAGAGTTGGGAGAGATATTCGCAAGTGGGGGGCCATTTATTGTGGCGGCTAGACGAGTTCAATCTCCGCATGAGGTTGACCAGCGACGGCCATGGCCAAAGAAATGGGTTCCCAAAAAAGGCAGACCATGTTGAACAATGGAAGTTGCCGAATGATCAGACTTCTTTGGGCGTTTGGTGAGCCTCGTGGAGATTGGCGCTAAGAGCGACTACCGCATTTGGTGCGTGTGCTTCCATGTATGGCAAGTTTGCTCGGAGTGATGGAAATCCTATTGTTTTCTTTAGCGATGTGACCGTAGACGCGGCTGTAATCAACACCATCAGAATCTTCCCCATGCATCTATATGGTTACAGATACAGAGGGTGGTCAGTATGAGTTGGTCTGGTAGGAACGATTTCACTCACCTTTGAAACCGATCTCGTTCGCAAAAACAGGAATGACGTTACCTATATCAAGTCGTATTTACCAGTTACGGGAGCAAAAAAGCTGTCTCTTGGCGAGCAGTCCAATGTGCATATCAGAGAATAAGAAAAACATGACAACATGACGAACAGTAGTACCCATTAATTGTCCATACCGAAAGTACATACGAATACTATTCCACGAGTCCAGAATCCCAGGACAAGAATGCACTCACATACCACCCCACTGCTGCTGCTGCTGACCATTGAACCCATTCTGACTCGGCCCCTGCACCCAACTCGTAAACTGGTTTGCGCCACCGAATGCTTGCTGAGACTGTTGTTGTTGCTGCATTGGTTGCATCTGCGGCAATCCTTGAATACCCATCATCGGTGAAGGAGTGCTGCCGAATTGCGGTGAAGAGAAGGGTGTCTGCAGCTGAGGCGTCTGTGTTTGGTGCGTAAACGGGTTCGTATTCATCGGTGCTTGGTATTGCACCGCTTGCGGCTGGAACATTTGGGGTTGTTGCATCGCCGACATTTGCGACTGATACGTTTGTTGTTGTTGGAATGGTTGTGATGTGAAATTTGGCTGTAGTTGAAGTTGCGAAGACATCCCGTTCATTCCGCCAAATCCCGGATTTGGACCCATCCCTCCCATGTTTTGCATCTGAGGCAAAGTCTGAGGTGCGAATGGATTTGGACTAGGTGTCGTACTTGTAGGAGTCATCATTGGAGTAGAATTAAATGGCATGTTGGATTGTTGTAGGGAGGAAGCACCGATGCCACCGTTGAGATTCGGGCCAAATCCCAAACCCGTAGGCATCGGCGCTTGAGCGCTCAAACCAGAGTTCAAGCTCATACTCCTCCCAAACCCTCCGGGAGAGATGCCAGCCATCTGCGTGAAAGACGAAGGAAGGGCGGATGCCGGGTTGGCCGCAAGATTACTGTAAGGATTTGTACCATTAGGCTGAGTCAACGCAGACGATTGCATAGATACAGGGAGTGACGTCGATGCAGAAGGACTGTTGAAGGAACCGGACGTATATTGTAGAGGTAGCGAAGCATTAGAAAAAGGCGTTTGTAAAGATATGAGGTCGTTCCATGTCGGGTTATTAGAGGGCACTTGAGGCTGTGAGATAGGCGGTTGAACACTAGGTTGTGCAGGACCTGGTTGCGAAACGGAGCGAAACGGAGCTCTGGCAGTTACCACAGCTGGGTTCGAAGGTGCGGCTGCAGACTGTTGGACATGTGGTATTGATTGGGTCGTGCTTGACGACGACGCTGGGTTCGTGACAGCGATCGATGACGGGCGTGCTGATGGTTGAGACGATAAACTCTCTGGGGCTTTAGTTTCCGAGTGCGCAGCAGAAAAGGTGGATAGCCTGTTAGATACTGAGCGTGAAGGTCCGAGTTTTGACGCAACCAAAGCACTACGGTCGAAGAACGACTTGTACTCGTATTTTGCTGGTGCAGCGCGTCAGTACTACGTATGACACGGGAGTAGAGTATTTACATCGAATATACTTTTCCAAGTCACTGTCTCGCTCCGAATCGATCATGTTTGGAGGAGGAGGGTGACGCAATTCGTTCGGGTTGTAGATCGCATTTGACTTGATATTGCCCATTTCCTTCATATGCTTTTCAGATGCAAAACAATGAGATATACGTCAATAATGCGTTAAAGAAAGGTAAAAGAAGAGACGCCAACTTCGACCTGCTCTTTGGTCCACGAGTCCATAGTCAGGCTCTTGCTGAGCAGTCCATGGGTGAGGACAAAGACAAATAAATGATAGCAGCGCTCTTACACCTTAGTGACATGGGTTCCGATCTTTCTATGGATACTAGCACAAGTCATGCTGCTCAAACGAATGAGTCCCGTTTGGGCTCAATTTTGCGCCATGGCAAACTCACCATATGAATATGCCCAGATTATACGATGCCCATCTCGGAGTCTTAGCTTTGCAGTCCGCACAAACATCTGCCATATGAGTTAAATGCTAGGCTTTGTTGGCATGGTCGAGTACCACCCACCATTTCCCGGTAACATGGCCAAGTCGAGCAGGGCCTTTTGATTCCGCTCAGCAGTTATCTTGCTTACATGCGACATTCTCCTGGAATGTACAATTCAAGACGTTGGTGGTCGTAAAGAAAGAGACGAAGGCAAGAACAGGCTGCTGATGTTGAGAGCAGCTGCTGTGTTGGCGTGTGTCGGACAGAGCAGCTTGAGCTCGGAGTTGTACTTGCAGTCGTTACCTTGCGGTATCCGGGGGCATTCAGACCCTGTTTCTAGACTTCCAAGATCACGATCGGGACCCGAGAGACCCCATCAATCGTGGTCAACCTCCGTCACTGCCAATGTCTGCCATCATCATTGTCACGGTCGTATTATTATGTCTTCAACAACGGAAGGAGTCGATGCTATAACTCAATTCCTTTCCTATCCTTTCGATAAAGACGATGCCTTTCAGGTAGATAAAGAATTATTGCCTTTGCGTCGTTGATACTCAATTGCTCGCAAGCAAGGACTCACAGGAATCATCGCGAACGGTGCCTTTGACTGCAAGACAGATGCTGAGAAGCAAGAGGTGATTCGCCGCTCACAGATATTTTACTTCAATCAGTAAGTTTGCGCTAAGTGGTCTTTTCTTTCTTTGAGACGACGAAGGTCACCACTTTCTCCTATACTTGCAGTACGAAGGGATACTCGATCACATGGGATGAAGTCCAACGGCGGCTTCCATCTAATCCTTCCGCCGTACCTGCGCAGACAACAACGACAGACTCTCAGGCATCTGCCGACGAGCAGACAGCGCGGCAGCTCAGTCTTGCAGAACTGAAGGTGCTTATTGAGTCAGGCAGAACTGACCAAATACCTAATAATCGCATCATACCGAACGATCTCAATGTGCGTCTCCGCTTTATCCTGAAAGTTAGTTTCTGTCTGACTCTTGTACCATAGCCTCGGACACCAAGTCAATCGACTGCCCCGGCACGGAAGAAACCCTGGGAGTTAAACACGGCAGCGACAGAATAATGCATCTCGCGCATGTTCGTATCAAAAGAAGTTGTACAAATACAAGGACAGTATAGCAGACCATTTTTATACTACTCTAATCTGCAAGAATGTTACGTGCCTCCGCGTCGAGACTATCATCATGGACAGCATTGTGGACCAAACTGGCTGTTCTTTCAAACCTTGGGCGTATCTCACACTGGAAAGGTTTCGGATGGCTGAAAGGGTGTCCAATGAGCCATTGATACGGGCAGCTCCCAGAACACCGTACCTTATCAGTGCGTTCACGAACTCGAGCTTTGGAACGATCTCTTTGCCTTTGGAGTCTCGAGCCCTACTAATGTTGAAGGCCGACAGTATCGACGCTGCCGCAATCCAAAGACTGTTCTCGGCGAGGAAGCGACCAGGACATATTCTGTGGTATTGCGGTCAATTCTTGCTCGGATATGTGCACATCACCTTGCTCACCGACGCCCGTGACCAAACGTGAACGTTGGGAATGGTTCGCTGTTTCCCGCGGGTTTGGGAAGATACCGCTCTGGACAGAACTTATGTGGTTCGGCGTAAACATTCTCCTCAAGTGTGATGGCCCTGTCATTCAGAGTAGTGACTTGAGCCCACAATAAAGAGCTATACACAAACGACTCACCGCATATTAGCAACGATCATAGAGCCTTTAGGTATGAACATCCCTTTATAGACATCGTCGCTCATCGCCCTACGTGGAACACCCAAAGGCGCAGCTTGGTGCCATCGAATCGCTTCCCAAAGCACACAGTTGATATAAGGCAAGGCATCGCGATCGGAAAAGTCAACAAGACGGTCGTTGCCTACCACCTTGTCGATCTCCTCTTGAGCTTTCTTTTGGATTTCAGGATGATGCAGCATGGCCAAGATGAATGTGAGTAAAGCGGAGAACGTCTGACCCAAGGTTTTAGACGTATTCAATAGACAAGTGTTTGGACCACTCGCCGTATCTCCTCCAGCTGAAAAGGACATCCAGATTAACTCTCTAAATGTGCGTAAAGGAAAGGCTCATACCTCCGAAAAGTTGAAAGGCGGCGACCTTGACAGCATTTATGTCTTCAGGTGTTTGCTTACCCTGTCGCGCAAGTTCTTCGAGATGCATGGATAGGAACGATACTTTCGCTGTGCCATCGGCCTGTAGATATCATTTATTCAAAACCTCTCAGTATGAACGTATTCGTACGTACCATCTGCCGTTTTACTTCGTTATAAGGATAGTTCCTAAACTTGGCGATCATCGGTTGAGCATCTTGGGATTGAAGTGATCGTCAACATCATTAGCATGTACTCGAAAGGCATGAAACGCGCGCACCTCGTGCGACTCGAATGAACCATGCACCGGGAAACCATGCGGGCAGGTACTTCACTATGATAGCCAATCATACTGTCTATTATCAGTGATGCAGAAGAAGATGGTCAAACTTACGGAAAGGTAGGAGATCTACGGGCGTCATGCCAGGATTTCCAGCGTCGGCGACTATCTGATTCACTCCTTGCGCAATTTCAATGTAAGGATCGTCGTCGGACATGATACGGTGCCCGTAAGTTATTTCCATTACCACTGCAGCCGCAAATCTATCCTCAAAAGCGTTGTGTACAATCCGCAAGGTCCAGGATTCTCGTCACTCGAATCTAACATGGCAGGCATAAAGACTCACCGCCGGACATGGTGCTCAAACTTCTGAGGGCATTCGAGAAACTTGGATAGTAGTGTGTGGGCATGGGCAACCTGCAGATCCTTGAACTTCTCGGATCCCTGATACGTAAGGGCAACGTTGCTGAATCAATTTCCTCTGAGCTGGGAACCGCTCGTCGGTGTATGAAAGCAGACCTAGCATGTCAGACCATCCAATCCTGTGCCAAATGACAAGTGACAAAATGAGCTCTCGGATGGTAAACGTCTCAGAGAACATACAGATCATGCATTGGAGCTTGTGGCCTGTCACTATAGATAGCGCTTCGTTTCTCGAGAAGATCCGAGGCTGCTTGCTCGCTGTTAAGAACCACGATGGAGGTTCCGAGGACACTGAGGTAGAGAACATCGCCTGTAATGAAACTCAGCTCAACCGGCGCAAAATGTTACAACTCGAAACAGTTGAAATAGACATACCATAGATCTTTGACCATTCATGATATTTTTCTGGCATGTTCGTGAGAGGTATCACACGAAGGTGTCCTAAAATAGGATCTGCAGGAGGGCCTGGCGGAAAGGGATACCCCCTTCGTTTGAGTTGGATGTACCTCCACGCAACATAACCTGCGATAGAGATGAAGGCGAAGAATACAATCATGAGAGTAAATAATGAGAAGACAGTGATTGCTGAACTCTGCCTATAAAGACCTCGATATTTACGATGATTTCCATCTAAACTCCGCCACCCGAGCCCGCGGATTATATAGTAGCAGGTCATTAACCCAACAGGTCATGGTCAGCGCCACATGTTTATTCGGATAGTGTCTTGTCTCGAGACTTGGAATTGGGGAGCCATCGAATAGATGAACCGAGATGAGCCCGAGAAACACCATTTACGTTCAGGGACCACGAGCTAAATCAAACTCGGGAATAGAAAAACCACCATTCCAGGCACTATGATGATGCCGCCACGACACATTTGACACTCCCAGTGTCTCATGATCAACGCGAGTTTTCTGATACTCAGACGGTCATGAAGTCATAGAGAGCATAAATATTACAAAGATCAAGTCAAAGAGATACCTGTGTTTATTAGTTCATTGTGGAAATAGGCTATGAATCCTTGATGTTTTCAGCGATCCGGCATGCCCATTGTTGCCAGAAGAAAACATATCCCAGCTAAGATGATCTAAAGAAAAGGCAACGTACATGAATCCGACTCGCGAAGTAGTAAAGTCAATACAAACCTTTGTGGCTTGGGATGTCTCTGTTTGACTAGTAAGTCATACCACTCCCGTACATCTGAGCGTGGAATGTCGGACACAAAGATGATGGACAGGTGGAAGTTGACAGTAGCCTGCCCTTGGATCCAAGCTTTCACACATCCAAGCGTATTGGAAGCGAGAACGCCTCACGTCCCATACGCCTCTTTGAGCTCCAGTCGACTATAGACAGGCAATCTTTTGAGCTTTTCTGCCATTCGTAGCACTGGCACGTTCAAGCTCTCGGAGGAAACCTTCATCATCAGCGTCGGTAGAAAAACGAGGAGTTATCAGTCCAATGTGTTCTACCCTGTAGCTGTAAATCTACTGTAGGTGTAAGGGGCTGTGAGTATCCAAGTGTTTGACACTGATGATTGTTATTTAATGCAGATATCGGCGGGATGAAGCTTTTATCGATGGAGAAAATATTCTATAATAGGCTTGTCAAGCGTTCGATCAGAGTAGATTATTGGTTATCATTCGACGCTCTTCAACTTCAAGAATTGATGATAACTTGCTTGAAGCCAATGGAGGAGGGAGTGCCTTGTTTTCGCTGCAGTTACAGAACAAAAGGAAAGGGGAGGCGCACCGGATTCAGGGTTTAGAATCCTCTCGTCTATTCCGCCAACTTTGTGGTACGATTCGACTAAGTACACCTGATACTCCCACGATCTGATGGTGATTAGCCTTGTTGATGGGGTCGGACGTTGAGGCTCTTGGCAATCGATTCCACTTGTTTCCCTTACTTCCCAATATTCCACCCAAGATCTCTTGCCCCTCCGACCCCTTGCCTGCTGTATAGTTCCCCAGCCGGCACGTCGGCATCCTCCCCTCGCGCCACGCGGTCTCCCCATGGGCCAGCCCTTCCTTCCGGCTTTCCCGCCTCAACTCCGAGACCACCCGAGGTCTTTCCATTCTGGGAACTTCCCCCCTGACGTTGTCCGATTTCCTCGGAGTACGCCCCGCTTCCCCGCCTCCCTTCCCTTTTGGGACATACGCGCACGCCTCCCTCCCTTTTGAGACATGGATGCGCGCCTCTTCCCTTTTGGGACATGCGCCCGCGTACACGTCACGCCTTGGTGCGTCGTGCAACGTCGGCGCCGTCTGGTGGCGCTATCGTCCTCGTCGTGGGTCTATATAGTATATAAACAACAGCCTTATTGAGTACATATAACAGTATATAGAGTGACTAGTAGTGATAGGCTTAGGGTTGTATAAGGCGGTATATGTCAATGTAATAGTCACTAGTCTATAGCCCTATGGACAGGATATAACTTGTATGTACACTGTGCTACTAGATCTAGTTGCCGCCACTTGCAGTATTCATTTGAGCCTTGCTACGGCGCCTCTTCTTAGGGGCCGGCGGGGTAGCTTCTTCAATGTCCCCTTCGGCGTCATCCTCCTCACCGTCCTCCTCACCACTGTTGTTACCACCATCCGTAGCTGACGTACGCTTCTTGCGTTTCTTTCCGAAGTCCTCGCGTTTCTTTCTCGGCTTCTCAACAGGTTTCTCACGTGCATCTAGCTGCGCTTTGGTGAGCTTAACGAACTTGCATGCATCGCTGCGCAGTGCATTGAGCAAGGTCTCCAAAGGGGGGAGACTAGTGCTCATCTTCCGCGGTGTGGTCCACTCCGAGTGGGTCCATCCTTGAAGCTCAATCCCATAGCGCTGAACGATATCCTTCTCGTACTTGATGTACTGCATTTGGGCATCGTTGTTACCGGTAATTTCAGCTGTGGGAATAGAAGTCAATATAGAGTTTGACGTGAGATCAAGCGCTGTGAACAAACCGAGCTTTCGTTGGATCTCATCTTGGATTGATGTCATGAGGTATGTTGCCTTCTGCTTTGAGTTTGTGAGAGTTTCTAGCGTGAGTTTCATGTGAGTATCAATCCGGAAAGGAGTTAGATAGGACACGTACTCATTGTATCACATCCAGCGACTGAGAATGCTTCCGTAACGGCGCCGATGAATCCTGTATCCCACCCTTTCCGTACAGTAACACTCAGGTAGCGTTCTATCTCCTGATCAGTGAAAAACCACTGAGGTCCCATGTTGAATTCCGTGTTATTCTTGACCATGCAGAAAAACCCTTCAATCCCGACTCTGTGCTTCAAGCCGAGAAGCTGTAGGTCTATTTGTTAGATGGCCTATAAGGATATGCAATATCTATTCTTCTGTGGACACACCTCCTGTTCAATCAGTCTCAGCACTGCACTGGCATCTTGAATGCGAGACCGTTGATTGGGACGGGAACCTTTCTGCTCCGTTTCACGCTTCTTCAGTAGTTCTGTGACAAACTCATCTTTCTCCTTCTGCGTTAGGTCATAGTATGCCTCTCGGTGGTCCAATTGAACATCGATCAGAGACGATGCGCTCCCAGCAGCAGCATCTGATATTTGGTATTGAAGAGTCAGTCGGCTTCCGATGGGAAGATCCAGAAGAGGTACAATTCACCTGAATTCGTGTCCGCTGCCATCGCACTTATGTACGCATTGTAGGCAGATGGCTGTCGCTTCTTCGTGTGACTTTCAGCACCAAAGAAAAAAAGTCGGAGATAGTGCTGCGTTGTCTGGCCATACTTCTCTGCCATGTTGCTTGCCAACGCAACTGTCTGTTGAAACCAGGTGGCGATCTGCTCATCGACCTCCTTGTTCTTCTCGTCACGACGTGCTTTAATCTCCTTGCGCTTCTCTGAGTCAATAGGTGCAGCCTTCTTGCGCTTGGCAGCAGGGCGCGGAAGTGCCGTTGCGGAAATGGCGGGGCCGTAGTGAATATCTGCTGTAGTATCCATATGAGAATAAAAGACTGTTCTTGGTGTCCGCTGCAAGCAAACACCCAGCAATGCACCAGATCCAGAGTGGTGCTCACATCTGTATCGGAAATGTTTTCCGATTCCTTATTAGTGCAAGTCACTCTTGGTACACGTGACATATGTTCTGCAGCTCTTAGAAATTGAAGAATGAAGGGGGAGTACGTGATAATACTTTAGAATAACATTGATTCGAAGACTACACAATACCTGCATCTTTCATCATGGCGTTCGCAAGTTCCTCTGCTTCTGCTTCCTCTATTTGGAAATATAACATACAGGCCTCCCGCCACTCGAGATGAGGGTGCGTTACTGAAATATCATAAAGCTTGCGATGCCATTGACGGTTGCGCCCAGTGCTCCTGATATAGTCTGTAGTAGCCACTCCAAATGAGCGTAAGACTTGACCATGGACCGTGTGAGCGGAAACATTGGACTCGTTTGAAACTGACGTGACCGTGGAACCGGAGGAAGAATGACCTTCTGCAGAATACAACACGCAAGTATATATCAGTACAGGAGAACTGTAATTGCAGAGATATGGACTTACCATTAGAATGACTTGACAATGGAGCAGATTGCGAAGGTGTCGCCATAGGAAGCCCTAAGAAACTGTCGTCGAACAAGGTAATGACATCGGATAGGCAGAGATCAACACGTACTGTATGCACGAAGGGCCGAGCGTAACTTTCGAATCAGTTCATCGCGATCTGCCAAAGTATCCTTGAGGCTGTCAACTTTGTAATTGAGAAGCTCCACAAGCTCCCGGTGCTCGGACGATTCCAAGTGCAGTGCTTTTTCCAACACCTCCATCTTCTCTGCATATCCCATCGACATCTGGTCGAAACGAACTTGGAGCTCTTGCAGTTCCGCATCATCTGTATCTGTAACTGAAGCGACCTCAGAACGAATATCTCTCATCGGCACAGAGAGGCTTGCGAGCCTAGCATCCAATGCCCCAGTTGGATGGCCCCTAAAGATGTGATGAGTCGAGCATCGAGGGACGGGCCTCGGGATGAGTGGAATGGAGGACGGAATACGGATCGCTCGAGTTGAATGTTTGGTAAGTGAAAAGCCTTCCTTCTTGAATGCACGAAACCACCTTCTGATAACAGGCAGTCCAATGTCTTCAATGAACAATTGCACCATACGCACGACGGCCGCAGTGGTCTCTGGCATGTCTTCCAATAGGCCAGGATTGAGGTAGACGTGGGCCTTGACGTACTCTGGAGACACCGGAGCATCTGGTTCAAGCGTTCCATCAATATGGATGAGAATCGTCGTTCCGCCAGTAATACGGTCCCATGCTGTGATCTTTATGATGTTAGCAGCAAGAAGAAATCACCGCTTTTCAGTACACAGAACATGGACAGCGAGGTGGACGTGCGTACAGAATCAAATACAAGCTCCATGACTTCCTCCTTAAACTTGGTCCGGATTGTCTGGCCTTCTATACCTGAGGGTACATGTTCCCTCGCGACCCGCCAGTCGGAATGGAATGTATCAAGTGCCATTTTATGATTTCCATCCTTATGTTTGCCATGGAGGAGGAAGGCTAGAGCGGCTTGATCATACTGAGGCTGATACCGGTCGTACTGTGGCATGTTGTGTTGAAAAAGCCCTCGAAGGGACTCAAGTCCAAGTGGATTGAGGCGACATTCTTCAAGAAGAAGACCCGACATTGAGGTGTCTGTGAAGCGTTGAAAAGAGATCGCTCGCCCTGAACAAGGGAGACAAACGATCATCGATCTTCATCCCGCCGGCGTCTGCCATTGCCCGCCTTCATCTTCATCGCGCGCGACAGCGAGCTCACTACTGTGCTCGTTGCTCCATCGTTTCTCTCATTCCTTTTTGCATATTGAATGTATTTTAATGTAGCTACATGTATTCATAGTTTGTATTATATATAGTCCGCTTCGTCTAATAGAATTGTGTTATTAATATTCTTTGACATAGGATATGTCAGAAAGCGAAGCAGAACAGTCAGCAAGGGGTGAAAAGTATGTGAAATAATAGTACGCACCAGTAAAGACCAAGTAGAGAAAGAGGAACGAAGGCGGAGGCCAAGGAAACCCTCCAGAAAGCGGCTATTTGAGGGATATGGGGAGAGAAATGGAAAGGGAACTTGATACTTTGCGGCATAATTTATGGCAGTTTATGTCATTCAGAGAGTTGCTAAGAGTGTCTGAGAAATTAACGGGGCGATAGAATATGGCATGGGGTGTCCAAAGCGAAAATTGGTGGTGAAAACCTGAAAAATTGGGGTGAGATGACTTTAGAAGATCTGGGTATGCACAGAAAGTATAGGAAATGTCTTCTGTAGTATACTTGAGACCAAAAGAGGCTTTGCGGCGCTTGTAGAGGCTCCTGGAACATCAGTATAGATAGAGGTAGTAGGTATTCAGAGAATACCTCATCTGCGCTGAACGCCTGAAAATGACGATGATGTGAGGGTCCTACAGCAACACTCAAGTGTATGTGAGACACAGACTGATGTCTTCCGGAAGCTGAATCATGTGGTACATCTCCAGAGGTACATGCGAGGTTAGAACACACTGGGTCATGCAGCCGCTGGAAATGATCGCACATCAACAGCACTTCACTGACGTGCTTTTGAGATGCTGTAGTATCGAGTATACATATAAACCTAGCACGATATCGTCAGCATGAGGCGACACAGCACAGGTAACATACCATGCAGGTAAGCCGCTTTGACCATTCTCCTGACTAGCCGTCTCACTTCCCTGCCACAAAGAGTTCAGATTACATGTATTAATGATGCTACATACCAACCAATGTATCTTTGAAAAGAGGCTGCGCCCGTCGATGGCAATAGTTAAATAGAACTGCCATGGTGATACACTCAACCGTATGGCCAGTCAGAGTCGATATCGAGGAATTGAGGCAGCGCAAAGTATCTGAGTATCTGAGGGAATATGTTGAGTAGAAGTCCTGACAATTTCCGGTTAATAGGGGAACACGATGTGTAAGAAGAGACAAGGAGGTACGAAATGAGAGGAAAGTGTGGGGAGGCGCTGAGCCTTCATTATGGATGATTCAACGTCCATAAAGTACTTCAGCGCTTCCCCACACTTTCGTCCCATTTCTAATTATCTCACTCGGTCTTGCTCCTCCTTTCACTCTATCGCCTGGAATGTGTCCCATACTATACAGCACGCATCCCCCCTGGTGTCAACGAATGTTCTGAGGCCCTGATCACACCTTGTGAACTATGGTTCGCTATCTATTCATACAGCTTACTTCTCCAATTTTATTCAACTCTTGGCTGTCCCGTCCATTCCCTGTCCAAGTAGGTGATGTGAAATGCATTTCATACAGTGTTTCTCTTTGTTCCCAGTACTTGAAGGAAAGTAATCGAAGTGGCAGCTTAGGAGACGAGTCAGAGAGTATTTCAGTCATGGTAAGTTCCTCACATTGTACAGCCTTATACTTACATTATACCACCAGGCTACAATGTTTCTCATACGAGCAGAGGCCGTAACTAGATGCTAGCCAAGTGTCACGGACATGCGGCGGCTCAGAGGTGCTATACAAGCCGGTGAGTCCCAACTCTATGTATCTAATGGAGGCATAACGTTTGGCGGGGGGGCCTAGAAGCTTCATTGATCATGTAGTATGCATATAAGCGGTCTGTGAGTGAACCAAATGTATCACCATTTGCAGTATTTCGGCCCAGGTGAGTAATTCTCTGATTACCCATCATGTCTAGCCATACTAATGCGCCAGGACCCGCTCTAAATGCTCCGAGGTATCGTTTTGGCTCAAATACACTGCAGAAGACATTCCAAATACTTTTTGTACCCCTTGGGTGCTCCGAGTATCGGTCATATACATTTCTGTACTCGCGCCGCCTCAATATTCGCTCTGGACACTCCGTATTACCCTATCACCCATTGATAATCTTTCTTACATATTTACAGACTTCATTCGCCATCCAGCATAGCTTAAATAAGCCACAGAAGTGTCGTACACGCTCTCCGTTTGCCTACCTATGCCTTCTGTACAGCCGCATTCTGGAGGTTTCCCTGGCATCCCCTTCACGTCTGTCTTCATTTCTCTGGTCATAACTGGTAAGTACTATCATTATATTTACTTTCTGCTTCGTTCTGACTATCCTATCCAACTTCATGACATATCCTATGTCAGGGTATATTGTGGTGTTGGTTCCTATTAGACGGGGCAAGCTATATAATATACAAGTGATGTTGTTATGTAGCTATCTTATAATACATGTTATCTGCAAAAAGAAACAAGAGAAACGATGGAGGGATGAGTGAAAGAGCGAGTTCGCTGTTGCGCGCGACGAAGACGAAGACGCGGATGATGGCAGACGCCGGCGGGACGATGAACACTGTAGACGGAATGGCGCATTGCGTTGTTGGCGTACAAGACACTTGATCGGCGGATCATCGATCTAGGTTGGTATGTTTTACCCTTCTCCGATCTCTTATCGCCCTTTGAACTTGTAAGATCTGAGAAAGAAAGAATCAGACATGTATTCTTCAGACAGTCTCTATTCGCTATGTAGGCCGAGTCTGTCTATATAGTCGATGAGCACGTTTGCTTCGTCTTCATTCCCAACCCCTTCCATTCCGAGCTCCTCGTCATCCTCCAGTTCATTACCAGAAGCATCGAAGCCTTCTGTAGGTTGAGTTTGTAATGAAACCCACGGCGGCAGCAGAATTCCATCTGCCAATATGGGACTGCGACCGACTCGGTGTCCCGTCCGAAGAGTACCAGTGAATCCTGGAAGTTCTGATGTCTGCTGAAGACGGTAGGCAAGCTCAGTATTCACAGCATTTGAGTACCGCCACCTGAGAGAGAGCTCGTAGGCTAGTGGGGGATTAGGTACCATGTTGTCTCGTATCGTTCGATAGTAGTCCACATGTTCATCAACCATGTGCGTCAGCAGTCGGCGAATCTCGACATTGAGGCGTTTGATTTCTTCCTCTGCTCGTTTGATGTTGAAGTATAAATTCATTGCTCGCCGTTGAGCAGGCTGAGCCCAAGCCAGCAGACGTACGTCTTGACGAGCGTCACGAAGGAGATCAAACTCTGCAACGGACACCATATCCACGACGTCGGACCACGAAAGCGAAGGTCGGGGTGGGTTAAGTTCTGCAGCGCGTCGATTGTATTCTTCAAGAGCCTTTTTGATCGCGGTCGCCCGAGTCTTCAACGCCTTTGTGATCTTCTCGCGCATCTTATAGCCTACAGAGACTTCAGAGTGGTGTCAATACTATAAAAATGTGACTACATACCTGTGCCGCTCATACTGAGCTTTGTTAACTCCAGCAGACGTTGGAGAAGTAGTCGTTCCAACGTGTCAATCGCATTTCTATATTTTCTCTCCGTTAGAACCACCAAACCGTTCTTGTACTCTTCCGAGTCCTTCGTCCAACGCCTAACAATTCCATGCACTTCTTCAATCCGACGAACGTGCTCGTGAAGGTCGACATAGCGCGTGTAGGTGGTCACATAGCGGGTCTTGATGTTGGTGATAGCCCTTCCACGAAGACCCTCACGGATGATCCTTGCATCGAGGTTCTGGTACTCGCGCTTTGCATGCTCAGACTCGGCACTGGTTAGATGTCAGAATAATCAGATATGTTTAGAGGTCTTACATACAATGCACCATCAAGCCGCAATAGTGCCTCCATATACTCCACTGTGAAGGCTACTTCTGGACTTTCCGCCACCAAGTTCTTCAGGTAAGCTCGTTCTTCTTGCAGATATTGTTCAAAGTCTTCGTCATTGAGTTTCAGTCGCGTGCACAGCTCCCGCAAAGTAGCCGAATCTTCTGCAACGATCTTGAGGGCTTGTCGATAGTTGTTGTGGATGAAATTAGCTAGGGACGTGTTAGCAGAGGTCAAACAATACAAGAGTGAATTGAAATACAAACCTAGCTCTGCATGCTTCACAAAGGCCCAAGATTTGAAGAACTCGTCGATGGCTTGGTGGCGATGGAAAGGTGAGGAGAAACGCGTTGTCAAAGCTAATGCGTTCGACTGGGAAAAGACTCGTTCGCAACCTTCGAAATCCTCCTTTCCTGATCCAGCAACATAAAGCGGATGCCAATCTACCTGACAAAGACGATTGTGCGCATGTCCGTGAAAGGCCGGAACGATACCACGGAGCCCCTGTTGTTGTACTCGATCACCCAATGAACTGCGTTCGAGTATTTTCATGAACGCGCACGCGATGTCGTATGCGACCTGGACTGTAACTCCAAGTACTCGCATGAGCTTGTCAACAATGGCAAGCGGGTACTTCATCCTGCAAAGACGGTTATTCATAACTAAACATAAAGAAATGGATACATACAGTTCACCGCTCCTGATCATGTCGCATATTGCAAGGAGCTGCCCATGGCGACAGAGGCATACAAAAACGCCCGTTACTGCGAACAGGGCAAACATCTTCTTGCGAGCCTCCGGTCCCGCATTACGCCAACGTTTGACACATTCGTCTGTTGATAGTGTCACATCGGCGGAATCGGTGTGGTCGGCAATATTGACCCAGTCGATATCATCGTCGATATCGTGGGCATCGCCTGTGTTGCGTTGGCTCTTGGAGATGATATATCACTATATCAAAAAGTAGAGGAGTAAGAGATTGAGCACACACCTGTTGTGGTTTTCCCACTTCATTCTTGAAGATATCTACTTCTTCAGGGTTGAGCCAGATGTCTGAGATACCACTCCGAGTGTCCGCAAGTGATGGCCCCCTCCGGAAGTGGTCATCGACGAGCTTCAAGGACTGGTTCCCATCCATTGAAACCTGTAGGGCATATGTTAGAGGATCCTCATTCTCGAGTGCGTACAGACACGCCGCGCATGCATTCTTCATGCGCCAATTTGGTATGTCACGGTGTAACGCGGCGTTGGCACGAACGTCAATGCAGCGCCGAATCGCGAGGTAGACGTCGTAAGCGATACGGAACTGTGACGCTAAGTACTTCATATAATGAACCTAAGGAGAGAGAATAAGTCACTGTATATGAGGAAACGAGTAGGATGACATATGTACCTTGTGAAGACGACAAAGGGCACGCACTTGTGCTTGTATACTAAAGCGAGGGCATGCCGCATGCATTTCGTGATAGGCCTCAAGTACTTGGAGGCCAATAGCCACCGTCGGACTACGGGGGGCACTGCCGATGTAGCCGTTTCGAATAAGGACCACATTGGCGCGGTCAACCGATGGACCACTATTGAAGCGGCGGCGACTTCTACCTATCAATGCTTCAGATAAGCAACGACGACATAGACTATACTGCTTACTAAAGAAATCGACCGTGGTGACCTCCCAGTCGTCGAACTGCGCGGTATCGTGAACCTCCGTTGAGCGAGACATCTGCCAGTCAAGAAAAGCATCGACCAGAGACAACATCTGCTCGGCCCATTCTTTGTTCTGTAGCAAGCGGCGATCGCGCCGCGTACGAACGTCCTTACGCTTCCTGCTGGGGGATACTGGTTATGTTCGTATTCGAGAGTCTATGCAAGCGTTCATACCTGTCATTATTGGATAAGAAGAAAGTACGGCAAAGCTCCTCCTCCCCTCCAGCGTTACTGGCAAAGAAACCCTCCTCACCCGGAGGAAGATGGTCGAACGCAAGGTCTTCGTCCACGTCCATAGGTGTAGCACCGGTAGCGTCGTCGTTGAAGAAAACCTCGCGTTCCTCGAAGGTCAGGCCTTATGAGGATTAGTACTTGATGGTGTCTGTAAAGTAAGGTTAACGATTCGGGCGTACTGGTGAGATGGTCATACCGCTTTTTGGCGATCTCCTCCCTTCGCTGAGCCATCTGTGTGTTGAGGCGGACTTCCTGTACTACCCGCCCAAAGCCATTGGGAGCCCGGACCCGCACCGACGACGATAGACCCTTGCGTGACTTGGACCTAGTACCCATATGAAGAACCAGAAGAGCCTCAGAAAGAGCAGAAGGCAAGGAAGTAAGAAAGAAGCGGCGTGAGTACAAGCTGTGGGAAGACAACAAACGACGACGCGCCAGGGCGTCAAGTGTGAGCACGTGCACGCGCGCGTGGCCCAAAAGGGAAGGGAGGCGGGGAAGCGGGGCGTACCCCGAGAAAATCGGGGAACGCCAGGGGCAGTTCCCAGAATGGAAAGACCTCGGGTGGTCTCGGAGTTGAGGCGGGAAAGCCGGAAGGAAGGGCTGGCCCATGGGGAGACCGCGTGGCGCGAGGGGAGGATGCCGACGTGCCGGCTGGGGAACTATACAGCAGGGAAAGGGGCGGAGGGCAAGAGATCCTGAGTGGAATACTGGGAAGTAAGGGAAACAGGCAGAATCGATTGCCAAGAGCCTCGACGTCCGACCCCATCGACAAGGCTAATCACCATCAGATCGTGGGAGTATCAGGTGACTAAGTACCCGTCGGTCAGCAGGTATCCGAGGCTTTTTTCTATTGAGTTATTGCTTAGACGGCGTTCTAAATGACTTCTGAAAGACGTCCAATTACTAGTATTACAAGCCTAATTCAACTCGTTTACTGACAGCACATTCAGCCAGTGTTCAACGGGTTTGTCGGAAAATCCTGATACGTAAGAAAAGATCTGCCCTGTCACACCGGAGGAAATCTACGAATACAAAAAAAAAATGCAGAGCAATGCTTGAGTACAGCAAAACATTCGCACGACTTGGATCCCCTCAAGCTTCAAGACCTTCGCCGTGAACGGCAGTGCGAATGAGTGAGGCTGCTTTCTCCGACCTAGGCTTGATATCACACTCGAAAGGCTTAGGATGACTGTCGCAGAGAGGGGAGTGGTCAGATAACGAGAATGTCTCTTAGGGTAACGGACGTACGTAGTGAGCGCAGATGTGAACTCGACCGGAGGCACGATTTCCCTTCCTTGAGCATCACGAGCACGGGTAACGTTGAAGGTTGTCAGAAGGTGGGTAGCCACAATCCAGAGACTGGCCTCAGCGAGATAACGCCCGGGACAGATGCTGAGGCGCAGTTCAGTTATTGTGGACTCGGAAACCGGAAGTTCGACTCTACTTACCGACGACCATGTCCAAAGATCATAGTAGGAGGGGGTTCAGCGTTTCCAACAGGCTTGGGAAGGTAGCGTTCGGGCCAGAATTTGTGGGGTTCGGCATAAACATTCTCGTCCCACGTCAAAGCTCTATCATGCTGATAAGTGGTGCACAGTTGATGCAGTCTCCAATCAATACCCACCTCATATTAGAGATAACCATTGCACCTTTTGGAATCAACATGCCATTGTAGATCTCATCCTGCATAGCGCGGCGAGGCATGCCTGGAATTGGAAGACATGATCAATGAGGTGAAACACAAGGGCAAATCATGAAGCGCACCAATAGGTCCAGCCTGATGCCAGCGGATTGTTTCCCACATGACAGCGTCGACATACGGAAGTGATTCGCGGTCAGAGAAGTCAGGGAGACGATCGTTTCCAATCACGTCATCTATCTCTTTCTGAGCCTTCTTCTGAATCTCAGGATAGTTCAGCATGGCAAATATGAATGTTAGAATAGCTGAGAATGTCTAATAGGCAGAGTCAGTTAAGACCATTCATAACAAGTTATTTCAGCTTACAGTGTCACCGCCAGCTGCAAAAGTAGGGCTGAATGTTACTATGTCCTCATTTTAAAGATTTGGATTAGCTGACCTCCAAAGAGATGGAACGCCGCAACCTTGATGGCATTGATATCCTCCGGACTCTCCTTGCCCTGTCGAGCGAGCTCTTCCAGATGCATCGAAAGGAATGAAGCAGTTGCAGTGCCTTCTGCCTGTAAAGCAACGGGATCAATAATGAGAAGAGCGAGGCCATTATGATACGCACCATTTGCCGCTGCACTTCTTGGAAGGGGAAGTTGCGGAACTTCGTTACCACAGGTACAGCGTCTAATATCAACAGTCAGAGCAAGCATGCTAAGAAGGTGAAGAATCTCACCTCGCGCGACCTTAGCAAACCATGCTCCTGGGAACCAGGCGGGAACATGCCTCACTGAACCAACGTAAGCAGGCATCTAGGACACTGTATGAGATATACATACAGATAGGGAAAACGTCGACCGGGGTCATCCCAGGAGTTCCGGCATCAGTGATCGTCTTGTTGATTCCTTCAGCAATTTCTACATAGACATCGTCATCAGACACGACCCGATGTCCGTATGCCATTTCGATGATGATAGCGGTGGCGTAGCTGTTGAACATCGGTGGATAGTCCGCAAATTTAGATTGTGTTACTCACCGCATAGCAATATGTTCGAAGTGCTTTGGGTTCTTGAGAAGCTTGGACATCATGATTCGGGCCTGGATAACCTGTTGGCCGCGGAACATTGCAGCGCCTGGTCGAGTCAATGGTGTCTGGATTAATTTCCTCTGGAGCTGGAACTTCTCGCCGAAAGGAAGGAATGCAAGTGTGTCACCCCAACCCATACTGAAGTATACTGTTAGCTACAATTGCAGACTAGAACCATCAGAATTGAGCGGCGTACAGATCTTGCATAGGGAAATACGGCCTGTCATTGTAGGTTGAGCTACGCTTGTCAAAGAGATCGCTCGCCGCTTGTACAGTGTTCAAGATGATAATAGGTCTGCCAAGGATATTGATAGAGAACACGTCGCCTACAAGTAGGATAAGGGACAAAGCCAACTGAGGTGTCGAGCAACGTACCATAAATCTTCGACCACTCATAGTATTTCTCGCCATAGTTTTCACGAGGTAAAGTGCGAAGATGTCCAATAATGGGGTCCCCTGGAGGACCAGGTGGTAAAGAACCTGCAGCTTTGCCCTTTCGGACATATCTCCATACGAGAAAGAGTGCAACGAGGAGAGCAGGATAAACCGCCAGTGTCATCTTGGCCAGGTGCAGGGAAAGGTGTCCACAGAAAACGATTTATATATCCCCTACCTATATTCCCTTTCGGCAGGGATAAACGCTGAATTACAGGTGTCGATCGTCCTTCTCGATATCCACAAGAGGAAAGACATCAACCCAAGTCAATGCTGCGTCTACGGCAGCCGACACTCCTTCGCCTTCATGCTGGGATAGGCCGATTACCGACGCTTCGTACATTTCAATCCTGCACCAATCCTGTATCGCGTGAACAATGCGGCAGTCAGAAGCCAGAAAATGACTTACTCACTTACATCGTTTGACATGGAACCAAGGCCGTGTACTATTTTCGGCAGTACGAAGCGCCTCAGGGACGGAGGTTAGCTGAGGGTAGACCAGTTATATGAGCTGTTGGGGATGCTGGAGTAGGCTTGAGACTGCGTACCCTTTAGAATAAATCAGAGAAGAAGCATCAGGGCGATACCGGGTAAAACGCGACGGAGTCGGAGTCGCTACTCATCGGCGCCAGCGTCACCAAGAATAGACCCTTAAACTCTGACAGCCGGATCGTCGGCCAAACAACCTGCAATGCAAAAGCGGCAGTTTTGCAACGGATGGGGAAAACGTTCGCGGGAAGTTCGAGTCGGGAACTGCCATAGATATCGTGACTTTGTATACAACCTACACATAACTTGTCTGAGATGGTAATAATTGGGATAACAATGTTGCTGTTTGCAGCTCCCTGTACTGATCGAGATTCATCAACGAGAAAGGCTCGCTCATCTCCAACTGGTAAGACTCTCCATGGCAGATTCGCCTTCCCTCAGAATCAAATCGGAGACCTTCTCATTTCTGGGCTTCAGAATGCAATCGAATGGCATCGGCCGCGAGTTAAACCCATCGGTATAGTTGTGCGAGTCGGGCAAGATCGCAGCCCCATTTTCGTCTAATGTTGGCAGGATTTCGAACGCCCAAAGGATGCGGCTGATGGTGATGAACAAGGAATTCCGAGCAAGATGCATCCCTGGACAGACACGCCTGCCAAATCCAAATGGCAGATCGAAAGGCCGCAGATCGGCATTGAACATTGGGGAGCTGGGGAGGAAACGTTCGGGTATGAACTCCTCAGGAGATGGGAATAGTTCTGGGTCATTCATGATGCCACTACGGCGAAAGCGGTCAACATCAGTCGAGGAAATAGGCATTGTGTGAGCTGCACTCACGACAGATTGGCAAACACCGTCGAGCCCTTGGGAATGAACCTGATTGCCGACGGCATCTCGATAAACTCTGATTTAGCTCCAAGGCGTTCTATCACTCACATTCCATTGTACTCATCATCCTCGATCACCGCATGCGGGGTCCCTCCGAGAACCGCCACTGGCCTCCACCGAAGAGACTCATCAACAATAGCTTGGACAAATGGCAGGCTAGCTTTGTCCGAGAAACTCGGAACACGGTCCTGTCCAATCACATGGTCCAATTCTACTTGGGCTTTCTTCGCGACATGCGGGTTGTGCAACATGGCGACTGACCATAATTTTCAAGTTTAAAAGGTATTGGTGATATCAGCATAAACTGAACTTACGCATAAATGTAGCTAGAGTCCCAGCGGTCTGTAATAATGGTATCAGGAGGGGAACGATGGCTCTTCGCAAGGGTGATACCCACAGTTTCAATACCGGCTCCAAATGGAGATGCAACAGTGTAAGCAACATCCAATTCAGAGAAAGTCACCTTCTCCTTCTGATTCATCGGTTCTGATCCAGATCCGAAGCCTTCTTTGACTAAAGCCTGCGCAGCAAGACAGTCCTGTGAGGCGCCTTCGGCCATCCGTTTCTTGACATCTTCAAGAAGAGCAGTGTATAGTTTGATATCTCGTTGGCGATGTGCCTCCGGTTCGCGACGAAACCATTGCAAAGGGCGCTTGATGAAGAGTTAATTCACATCCTCATTAGGAGAGGCATGCATACCGGCAACTTCAAAAGCCAGGGCCACGATTCGACAAGGTATTTTCCGGGGATGCTGCATATGCTGTGTCATTAGACATTGGATAATCGATAGACCAAAGCTTACTTGACACTTTGTGTTGGTTTATAAATCGAGCGCCATGAACAATGATAGTAGTGATATCATGGCTGATCCCTTACCTAGTTAGGTCTTGAGGAATGCAATGGCCTATGAGCCCAATGACCGATTGATACGGAACGCTCATCACTTACACTCCATGGCAGCCACGTTCTCTTTTACGATCCACTCATCCATACTATTGACACGCCGCCCATATGATAGAGAAGTTGCGACACTTGCAGCAAATCTGATGTACGATTGGAGCAAGATTTAAAACCAACAATTCTTTTATCTAGACACACCTACCTCTGAAAGTTGATGTCCCATTCGTGAGGATGTAATAGTATGTCTCGCAAAGTAACCTTGCTCTCGAGCGACTGCATGTCACTGTATGACTCTGCACGCCGAGCATGGAGGCCGGAATGCAAAAGCTGGATGAAAAATAAGTAACGCTGACTCAAAACGCTTGTGGCTGACACCCTCTGACCTTTCTCCATTTACGCCATTCGTCTCCATACGGTAGCATAAGGCCTCGCATATTGGCTGAGAGTATCTCTCCTCTTTGTAATTCTTCAGTGACGATGCATAGTCCCTTCAGCTGCGGACTTACGCTACCACAAATCGCGGCCGACTGGAGTAGATATCTGAACGTTTGTCAAGCAGGTCCCAGGCGGCCTGAGCAGTACCAAGGACTGCACGCTATAGTCAATCTGACTGAAATGGCCCGAAGAACGGACTCAATTACCAATCACTGGCGTCCTACCCAAGTAAAACGAGATGATAGGTCCTGACAAGGATGTGTTAGATAATTGCAAAGTCTGAGCAAGAAAGCCATGATACCAAATTGTTGATTCCATTTCTCAAACGTCCTCCACGGTTTGACGGAGGGTACCTGATGCTTGTTCCCAATAAAGGGAAGGCCCTTCGGCCCTGGAGGCATCCTCCTCCTGCGAACATCGAGCCGTCCTGTAACCCATAGCAGACCTACTATAACTAGGAGAATCCCAGAACAAACGACTCTCGTGTCTATCACGGCGGTGATCCATCCATTGGCCATCATTGTAATACACTGCTGCGTTAGCGTGGCGTTCGGAAAAAGCGAAAGGCGACGATGAAGGAACGCCGTAGCTTATATAGCACGGTGAGCTAATTACATAGCGTATTAACAGCGACCTTGATCCCACGGAGCGAAATGAGGTGCATCACGAGAACCACTCTATAATTGACGAAGCTCACACTAGGGTGAAACTTTACGCAAAAAGATGCACACCTTCAATACAGAGACTGGAGAGCATATGAGAAAGCTCCACTCAGCAGGGGCAGAATCTAGAGGAGCGAGCTATGCTCATTGCTGGCAGACTCAACGTTGCAACCGAATAACTTTGCAAGGGTCCGAATTAGGTTACTTTACTTACGTAATTTTCTAGTTGTTTATGGGCGTTTTCAGTTGTTTCCAGGCGCTAAGTTTCTGCCGTTGCGCAGGAATATATAGTTGGTCCTTTCTTGAGTTTCGTTGGCAAACGGCGAAGTGCTGACTTTACTGTAAGTTGAACTTTCTCCCTGTATTACACAGTATACTAGCTCTTGGAGGGATATTAACGATATTATTAGCAGGCACAACATGTATGCTTCTCCGACCTCAAGCCCACGTCCTTTCTCGCCCTCCGAGATATCGCAAATGCACAGTGACTGGAGCGACGAAAGTGACGAACTTGAGGCCTTCATTGACAGGATTGTCCCTCTGTCAAGCTCCCCGCCTTCATCGTCTCCAGGACGCACAGTCACACCACCGACTATTGGCTCAGACGGACAGACCCAAATTCGTACGCCGCATACACCAACAGAAGACGAGATATATGCTCCTCTTAGACCTACGGATGCTTCATTCGGTTCTTCTATTGGAGTTTCGGATAATTCTGAACCGTGTCAAAATGTTCTTGATGAAAGCTCGCCTACGGCACTCAAGTCATCCTCATGCGCTCGCCGGGACTCGGAATCCATCAACTATTATTCTGATGCCGAGACTACCACTGAAGATAGCGAAGACAACGAAAATTATCCTCTCGATCGACCTACGCTGAACACTCCCCGCTCTCAAGCTGCTTTCAGTGATCACCTCAATATGCTCCTCACCAGGGTTGCCCTAGAGAGGAGTATCGCGTCTCCTGTGTCCCCGCTGAGCTCGAAAGATTCGGTTGCAAATGTGACCTGCAACTCTCCAGTATCCCCCGAAGTGTCTTATACCTCTCGTCGTTCCGTTTCATCTTCAGGATACGATGCTTCCCAATCTTGTTCCATGTCTACTGCTTCTTGCTCTTCACCTGCTCGACTCAACTTCTCTCCTGCTGTCCACCCGTTCTGTGACCTTTCAGGGGAATCGAAAGAAAATGGTACCCCTGGACGGTCGAACTCTGAATCCGGCGCTCTGAACAATATCAAAGCTTTGCCCCTTTACACTCCGAATAACGCTGAAAATGGCTCTGCTGTCCCGGCTGCTCCCAAGAAGACTCAACGCCACATCCGCATTCCTGCTTTGTCTGCTGCGTATTCTACTAGTGCTCGTGTTGCTTCCAACGATCCTTCAGCCTCCGTGAAGCCACGTAATATTCTCGTTTTCAAAGACTTATACAAGCGTTCCAATGATGATTCAAGCGCATATACCCAATATCCTGCAATCCCCAACGAAGCTAGCCTGGATATGGAAGCTCCTCCAGCCAAGAAACGCAAGGTCCTTGCCTCTAGGTCTCTTCCTGCTATTGATGATCCCCGCAAGGACGAAAAGCGCGAAGTCGCTGCACCCCTTCTAGCTGCAGATCGATTTGCAAGTAGACGAGCAAGTCTCCGAAAAGCCGCTTCACTAGTCTCTGAATCTTCGCAGTTGGATGCAGCTCTTGACAAGGTATGTTCACGATTATACAACTGGTCTTTACTCATATACGGTCTTCTCAGACCCCAGTCCCTCGCTTCAAAGTGAAGATCGAACCCCTCTCTGCTGCGTCGACCGTCTCGCACTTGTCGCTTACCCACACCGCTTGTTTGGAACCTGTTGTTCTTTTTTCTGATGATTGCACGAAAACAGAACCGGTCACTCCGATGCCTAGGAAATCTGCTTCTGCCAAAAGCCGGAAACAACGCAAGAAAGGTACATCCACGCCTCTTCCGCATCCTCTTCCTATCATCGCTCCCCCTCCATTTGTTAACATCCCTCGTGCCCCTGCCTCTCTCGAGGAATTCGCCGAAGGCCGTCTAGTCACTATGCTGTCCAAAGAACGAGAGGAACGGTTCGACGACGGTCTGCCTAGTACCCGAATTTCTAGAAGGGAAGAAAATAACGTGCTTGAGTTGGAACACCAGACCTCCGACTATGCTAAGACATCTGATGAAGAAATGGACGATGACGAGAAGCAGCTGTGGAAGGAGTACCCACATCCTGATGACGAAGTTATGCGCGAATGCTCTGCGCACGACAGTGCTCGTTCCAAAGTCGAAGACTGCGAATGCGAGGAAGAACTCACGCTTTTCACGTGCATTGACGAAGAGTTCCGACAAGAGATCATTGAATGGATGCTCGATGTATGCGCTCAATCCATCTTTAAGTTTCAATCCACTGACGGAGATATGGTTTGCAGGCTCTTCCACCAGTCTTTCCAGCCAAGCCCGATCTTTGTCGCCAACTTCACATGGAACTGTCTCAATGTATCGACACACGATGGCATGCAGCTCAGATGTTCACTCGGTACTTTATCCACTTAGGTGCTTCGCCGCCATCTACACCTACTTCGTCACAGCGAAGCTTGTTTGATCATAGCCGTATGATTTCTGCAAACGACGAAGGCGCGGCCATGATCTGGGACATTGCGACTGCGTGTATTGCGCTTTCCGTGAAGGTAAGAAAGAGATTCAATGATCACAATGATTACTTATTGATTTTTACTCTAGTTTCATCGAGATGTCCTGCAGCCTCTGGTTCCCGTCTTTACAGACGAGTTCATCCTCATGGCACCTCACCGTCTCACTTATGAAGAGCTTGAGGTGCGTTCATGCTTTCGCGTCGCCTATGTGACCTATTGCGATTAACCTCTCTTAGTCCGCTCAGCGGGACGTCCTGTCTGTTCTCGATTTCTGTATTGGAAGTGTCACGCCAGGTGCATTTATAGAAGAATTGTGGAATGCTCTTCCATCTCTTCGTCGCTTACTTGAGACCAAGTCGTTGTGGGAGACAGCCAAGGCATTGGCTTGGGAGATGATATCTGATGCCCTCTTCGGTACAATCAACACATGCTGTCGTGTCAGCGCTCTGGCTAATGCATTACAGATATCGATTATATACGCTATTCCACCTCCACGCTCACCGCCTGCGCTCTTGTACAGGGCATCTCCGAAGCTTTGATCATCGAGCGGAAAGGACGACCCCAATCATCTCGTTCTCAGCGGATGACGAAGATGAGACGCGATGCAAGATGTCATTGTGCAAAGATTGGTAAGTCGGTCTCGAAGATCGTGAAAGGAGTCGAGATGGATCTTAGAGAAGTCGTTGGTGTGGATGAGGTATGTTATGCATCCTGTTCGATGTTTGACTTGACTGACCTTTCGTAAAGAAAAATTGGAACGCCTGTAAGTCATGGTTGCTCGCTTTGGACACGTAAATGGGACTATTATGACATGGGGCTGGGCTCTTCATGTATCCTACTCCGGGTGCCTCGACTCAGTGTAGGGTCGTAGAAACAGGTCAATGTGATCAGCACGGATGGGGATGTACAACGAAGTTGCTGATCAATGACATACCACGGCGCGATCGTGTGCGTGTGCGGCCAGCGGGGTTTCAAGATAACGCTTGGATGCATTCTTAAAGTCAGATCCTCAACGCGGCGATGGCAGCAACATTGCACTCTCCCTTTCCGTACTTCTACATTTCCTCCCCATGTCTCCCCCGTCGTCGTATTTTGACTATCCTGAACCAGTGGAGGCCCCCGTCACCAATAAGGAGGTAACGATGTACCGCCCTGTGCCTTTGAACAACCCGACGTTAAGTGGCTTGCCTTTGACGATCTTCTCCAAGATGTTTGCATCATAATCCAGCTCGGTGGCGGAACTTAATACTAATTATCTCTTGGTCGTCAGTGTCTCATCGTTCGGACCTGTGGCTAACTACCTCTGGCATAACGCTGGTTTCGGCGCTTTACGTCACATAGATGTCTTACAGCCTTACCAGACACGATATGAGCCTGTGGTTATTCCGCGTTCACCTGAATCACCTGTCAGCGATGGAATATCCATCTTCTCTGGCACGCTCGACCGAACTTTCTACACGTCTGCAGACTACATCGCTGCCTACACATCAGGCCGTACCACTCCTACAGACGTAGCCTTTTACTTGCTCAACCTCATCAAGCACCCTCCCCATAGCCTTGCGTTCGTGGACGTCAGAGAGGATCTGACACTCGAAGCTGCAACACAATCCACCATTAGGTATGCAAATGGAACCCCGAACGGTCCACTCGACGGCGTCCCATACGTCGTGAAGGACGAAGTGGACGTTCATGGTTACAAGACAACCTGCGGATCTGCTAGAATTTTTGCAAATGGTGAAGGAGAAACATCGTGGACTGTGAAGAAACTTCAGCAGACTGGCGCTGTTAACATTGGTATAGTGAATATGCACGAGCTGGGCTCAGGTACCTCATACGAATTAGTTCGGAATGGACTCTGTCTGACTCCGAAGTGCAGATATCACAAACAATAACCCCGTCAAAGGGACACCGAGAAACCCGTATAATACCAGTTACTACACCGGGGGCTCTTCAGGAGGTTCTGCTTATGCAGTCGGCTCAGGGCTGGTACCGTTCGCTGTTGCCGCAGACGGGGGAGGCTCAGTTCGGTATCGTCACTTTCTTCTTGTCCATCCTGCTCGTCGTTGACTCGAGCAGCATTCCAGCCAGCTGGTGCGGTGTGTATGGAATTAAAACGTCTCATGGACGCATCTCTTCTCGTCCCAGTGTCAGCTCAACTCCTGGGGTAGGTAATCCTTTTCCGCTCCAGCCCGTATACTAACGACCAGACCATTTTCTGCAGAATGGCGTCGTTGGTCCCATTGCTGCAACACTTCAAGATCTCGCCCTGGTATATCGAGTGATGTCCGAACCCGACCCACATGAACCTTCCTCAGCTGCTTTTCCTATTCCTCGCGCTCCTTTGGCTTCCATAGTTGCTCCTCCGAGAAAGCTTTTGGGTATATGGAAACCGTGGTTCAACGATGCACCCGAAAGTATCACCTCACTTTGCAACGCCGCCGTAGATCGTCTCGTCACCAACGCCGGCTATGAGCTCATAGAGCTCCCAACCATTCCATATCTGAACGAAGGCCGACTCGCTCATGCAATCTCTATCATGACTGAGATGGGTGTCTTCACTACTGCAGACGTATCTCCATACAATGCAGCCAACAAGATCTTTCTCTCCATCGGCCTGCAAACGTCCGCCTTGGATTTTGCTCTTGCCAATAAGATGCGGAACTTGCTTATGTCCCACTTCGCTGCCCTGTGGCAGAAATACCCCGGCATGATCATCGTCACGCCTACATCGCCAGTTCCTAGTATCGAAATTCTAGAAGAGCACTTGGCTGTTGGCGTGAGTGACATGAATACCAGTTTGAAGACTATACGACATGTCTTCTTGGCGAATTTTATTGGTACACCGAGTTTGACTGTTGGGGTTGGGTATGCGAAAGAGAACGGGATACCTATTGGGTTGATGGGACTCGCTGAGTGGGGTAAAGAAGAAGATTTGTTTGGATGGGGCAAGGACGTGGATGAGGGGTTGACTTCTAGTTCACGTAGGAGGAGGGGTGAGATCTGGGTCGATGTTTTAGGCGGTGCAGGTGGTCCGAAGTAGCTGTTCGTTTTGACATCAGTTGTAAACATTGTAGTTGCGGGGACTCTGGGTCATGGTTTGGTAGAACATATATACTTGCATAGTGTAGAGATTCTGTGATTGTAATACACTATAACCTGATGGAAATATTGGTTCCACGCTATGGAGCACTATGTCTGCCAAATCCAGAGGCACGCGACTTGCCTACAGGGGATCTTGATCGGCGCTTGGACTCGGAAGGCATTGATATCTCGACGATGAACATCTGGATATCCTCGTCTATGCTCTTCTACGGACTCTACGCTGGTCCTGAAATGGCATCGTCTGAAGTAGTGCAAACTTCACTATCCCGCTCTGTCTCACTGCTTCAAGTTACTAAGCGTCTGTTCTCACTAATCTATACTGTTCGACTCGTCAGGACCAAGAGGTTGTTGTAAACAAGCAAATTCACTGTCTTTACGCGACCGGATCCCGATAAACTTACTCTATCGTAATTACTCAAAGTAGGGTGAACCAAATGAAGGACGCACAATGAGCATTGGTCCCTCTCGATACACTGTGAAAGCTCAACCCTTTCTTGGACAAAGATTTCCATCTAGTACGAGCTTATAATATCGCCGCCTCATGTCTCATACAGAGAAGCAGCTTTGAGTATGTAATCCTTTCGATGTGAGTCGTCGTTTCTCCCCACTTCAAGAGCTTTGGCATTGACGCGCGGAAAGTACATGGATTCAACTGGCGGAGAATTATCTGATATCCAGCAGCAGGCGACAACCTTCCCTCACAATGATATGTATCTTGTATATTGCCTTCAACACGATTGACGTGAAAGACCGTTTGATGTGACCGGCGTGTCTAGTGGTCATATACAGCTACGCCTTGTCTACCATTGGCGTACTCTTGATATCTTGACATTGAGAGTTCGATATGCCGAATATTTGACATGACCTGCCCTCAGTTGTATTAACTGCTGTAACCATCCAAGATGATATTGTCCCTGTATGGTATGTCTTCTATTCCTCGCGGAAGACCGCACCGCGATCACCGTTGAGTAACCTCTCGGCATCTTCCTAGGAATTCGAACATGATGATCCTTTTCTGGACCGAGTGTTGCGGCCAAAGGCTTTCAAGTCAGCCCTCTCGGAGATTGAACTCGTCTAGCCGCCAGGATAAATGGCCCCCCACTTACGATGATCCCTCCCAACTCTTTTGTCCTCCTTCCACCACCATCCCCTTCCTCCTGGCAGGAATTCCACTACTGCGCGTCGACACCTCGCCCATCTTCGATCATGGCCTCTACCCTTTACTACTTGCTGCCCTCGCCGTCGACCACGGCTAGTGTGGCGTAAATGAACTGGTGAGCTATACCACCCGTTCCCCATCCCCATGCCCTCCCTCCCGCCGTGTCGTCTGTCGTCTGCGCCACATGCTCACTACGCCTCATTCATAGCTATTCAACTATCGGTCCACCAATGTGGCGTTCTTCACTATACGATGGGAGATGATGTGGCTGACTACGGATATGTAGGCTAGGCTGACCGTGAGTTACCTCTAACGTTATGTCCTTCATGCACCTCAACTGTGGCGCACAACAGACACTCATCCATTGACGTTGAAGGCGGCTGCCACCCTCAACGGCGCACCTTACACTTTGCCCTTCGACCGTTAGTACGTCGCCGCTCAACTTCTGTGACTACCTTATCCCATATCCTGTGGTGGACAAGTGGGTCCCCGCTACACTGACCGTCTACCTCTTGCGCCACACTACTTCGTGAGGCAAGGAGTCGCTGTGGTGGACGATGAGCCTCATGGCTCACCACTATCCATCATGCCTCTGGGCGTTGGATGTCGCTATTGTCATGAAGTTTGCCCCCCATTGGCTGGTCTTTTCAAACTTAATAAATGGTACGTTGGGCCAACCCTCAAGCTTGCTCCTTAACCAAAGGGTCTTCAGATCCATTGGCGATGTGACACAATGACGACCAACATGCGGGTCGCGTTGTCAGCATTGTGGCAACTCTTTGCGTCAACTACGATGGTGTGTTCCCCATTCGCTTATCCGATACTAAACGTGGTCACTCTAGTGTCATAAAAATGATGCACCGGTACGTGACAACTCATCGTCGCTCCAGACTTCGTCCCAACAGCTCACTCTGGCGTACCGGAGAGTGAGTGACGAACGAGGAACGATCTTGTCCAAGGGGGGGTTGCTTTTGCGCCCGGCCAGCCGGCACCCTGACACCGCCGACGGTAACACTTGCCGTCGGACTTGGACATCCCTGCGGCGTCGTCGTTCACTCCGGTGTCGACTTATGACCTATGATCTGGGACAACACGTGTCGAATATGGCCAAGGCCCATAGGTCGGTCTTCTGATCACACCTATGAAAATCGAGATGTTGCTCCGAGTCGTGCGTCTGCGTACGGTGATGACGGGCAACAGCTCAATCACTCCAGACTTTGTCAATACAGCTCACTCTCGCCAGAGGGTGGGTGACAGATGAGGAGTGATATCATCCGAGGTGGGTGTGTCTCGGCCTAGCCAGCCAGCATGACCCTGACTCTGCCGGTGGTAACATTCATCATGATATTTACCATTGGACTCGGAAGTCCTTGCCGCTCGGTCGTCCACTTCGGTGGCGACTCATAGCCTGTGATCTGGGATAAACACGTGTCGACAATACCAACTGGCCTATAGGTTTTGATCTTCGGATCGTGCCTATGAAAGTCGCTCTTCGGGGCGCACATCGATCGCTTCGTGGTCTTTGGCCTCGATGCGTATCACTACTTCTGAGGAGGGTGTGTCCGTGCTTAGCCAGCCAGCATGACCCTGACGCAGCCGACGATACCACAGTGTATCGTTGGACTCGGAAATCCTTGCCGCTCTGTCGTTCACCACGGTGACGACGCATAGCCTGTGATCTGGGATAAACACGCGTCGACCATACCCACTTGGCTCACGGGTCGATCTTCGGATCGCACCTGTGTCAAACGACCCTCGGGTCATCGAATGAAAGTCGACTCTCGAGTCGCAAACAAAGAGTCGTTTGTCGGTTGTTTGTTCACCATCGGACGCGATGCGTGCAACAATGACCGGCGACGACAGTGTGACCTCAAGCGATGATATGACAAATGTGTGAATGTGCCGTCAAGGCGAAGATAATGATGATTGACAAGGATGATAAAGAGAAGAGCAAGCAATGGAAGGTAGCGAAGACAATGCAACGAATGCAATGACCAAATAATGACGCATCCCGGCGACTTCGATAGAATGGTGAGTTCCGTTCAATTATCCTTGATGACTTTACTGACATTTGGCGAAGATAATGATGATGACAAGAATGATGATGATGACAAAGAGAAGAGCAAGAAATGGAAGGTAGCGAAGACAAAGAAACGAAAAGACAAGAAAAAATAATGATGTGCGCCAGTGGCTTCGATAAAATGGTATGTTCGATTCAATCATTCTTGATGACTTTACTGACCTTTCCTTTAGTCGTTGCCATCGAGATCGAAATCGATGCTTGACTTGGATAAAATCCATGGCGCGTTTCGTTTAATCGCTCTTGATGACTTTACTAACTTCAACAGGCTCTTTCATGGCAAGTCAAAGAAAGAGGCGTCGGAGCGGCTGTCGGTGAGTCCAAGTCCATTCTACTTTTCCTTACTCACCCATCTTGATTCACGCAGAAACACAAGCATTTCGTCGCTCCGACGCCACCGCATCGGGATGTCTTCGTGCTGTGGGCGGTGGTGGAGTCAGGTCGAGGGCCCCGGCCTGACTTCGGGGGGAGTTACGGCTGAGTTGCTTGGGGCAACTGCAATCAGTCTTCCTGCGACCTTCTAAGACCGGAAAGGCAGGGCGGACGTATGTTATCTACGACGCACCAAAGGCCAGGTTGTACCCCCCGCCCTCCCTTTAATGGGCAGCAGTATTGAATGGCGTCCCAGCTTCTTGGCCGTAGTTGTCTGCTAGAATATATCTGCGCAGCTGCGTTTGAGAAGCATTTGTTGCCTTGCGTGATTTGAGCCCTTTCCCGTGAGATGACCACCAAGTGACGAGAACCGTCAGTAAGGATTGATCGCTAAGACGTTTCTTGCCTTGGGGCGTTTGCCCAAAATAGGATTGTGAAGACGGATATGGTAAACGGAGGCCTTGTTCAGGTTGCGGGAAGTGGCAGTTCATGTCCTACCTTCTTTTTGCGATTTCCGCCCATTCCTGCGAGATTGGACATTGACAAAACACATCCACGGGAGCACTCACCAACACCTGATAACATACGTAGGCCCGAAATTTAGATTTGAAACCCCGCTGACAGTGGTCTCGTGTCAGCGCGGGAAGTGATGTGCCACGGTCGATCAACATTTCAGCACACATAGTTTCAACTCGCACGATGAAGGTTACGTCGCTTTCTGCCTTCGTCACCGCACATGTCTTCATCGCAGGCCTTGTATCTGGGTTATCCTGAACCAGTGGAGGCACCCGTTACCAGTGAAGATGTCACGATATATCGTCATGTTCCTGGGAACAACCCGACGTTAAGTGGTTTGCCTTTGTCCATCCTTTCAAAGGTGTGCGTGTCATATCGTAGTGTGGTGTTTGGCTTATGCTCATCCTTGTTTCATTTTCAGCATATCTTCCCTCGGACCCCTGGCTAACTTCTTCTGGCATAACGCTGGATTTGGTGCTCTACGTCACATAGAGGTTGCGCAATCGTATCAGACACGATATCAACCTCTAGTTATTCCGCGTTCACCTGAACCATCTAGCAGCGATGAAGCATCACTCTTCTCTGGAACTCAGGACCGGGCTTTCCATACATCCGCAGATTACGTTGCTGCGTATAACTCAGGCCGTACTACGCCTACAGATGTAGCATTGTACCTTCTTAACCTCATCAAGAACCCTCCTCATAGCCTCGCGTTTGCTGAAATTAGGGAGGATCTGACTCTAGAAGCTGCCAAAGAGTCAACCATTAGGTACGCCAATGGGATGCCGAAAGGTCCTCTTGATGGTGTTCCATTCATCGTGAAGGACGAAGCAGATGTGCATGGTTATAAAACTACCTATGGTTCTGCTAAGGTCCATAGGAATGGAGACGGTGAGACTACATGGGCAGTCAAGAGGCTCCAGCAATCTGGTGCCATTTTGATTGGCAAGGCCAACATGCACGAGCTCGGCTCAGGTGCGTCAGACGATCTAAGTCTGGTGCGTACATACTCTCTGACACGCCTTTCTCAGACACTACAAACAATAACCCTGTCAAGGGGACGCCAAGGAATCCGTACGACAGGAACTTCTACACAGGCGGATCATCAGGAGGTTCTGCTTATGCAGTTGGGTCAGGGCTGGTGCCATTCGCTGTTGGCGCAGACGGAGGAGGCTCTATTCGGTATGATCCTACTTGAACTGTACTGCGATTCACTCATCCTTATCTTCCAATAGAATTCCAGCAAGTTATTGTGGCGTGTATGGAATCAAGCCGTCGCATGGACGCATCTCAGCTCGTCCAAGCGTCAGTTTATCTCCAGGGGTGTGTGTTCCCTGTCCCCGGTAGTTCCGTCTCAATACTGATGATGTGACATTTGTCGTCAGAATGGAGTCATTGGTCCCATTGCTGCTACCCTTCAAGATCTCGCCCTGGTATACCGGGTGATGTCCGAACCCGATCCGGATGAGCCATCCTCAGCTGCCTTCCCTCTTCCCCGGGCTCCCTTGGTATCTATATCCACTCCACAGAGGAAACTTTTGGGTGTTTGGAAACCATGGTTTAACGATGCGCCTGATAGCATCACGTCACTCTGCAATGCTGCGATAAATCGTCTCGTTGCCAAAGCAGGTTACGAGCTCATAGAGCTCCCGACCATTCCATATCTAAACGAATGTCGACTCGCTCATGCGCTTTCCATCATGGCTGAGATCGGCATCTTCGTCAATGGAGATATATCCTCTTATAATGCTGCCAACAAGATCTTCCTTTCTGTCGCAGCTCAAACTCCTGCTTTAGAATTCGCGATTGCCAACAAGATGCGAAACATGCTCATGTCACACTTCGCTGCCTTGTGGCAGAAATACCCTGGTATGATCGTTGTCACACCTACCTCGCCCCTTCCCGGTATCGAGATTCAGAAACCCCACTTATCCATTGGCGTGAGTGACACAAATACCAGTTTGAAGAGCATGCGATATGTGTTCTTGGCCAATTTCGTTGGTGCGCCGAGTTTGAGTGCAGGGGTTGGTTATGCAGAGGAGAGTGGGATACCTATTGGGTTGATGGGACTTGCAGAGTGGGGTAAAGAAGAAGATTTGTTCGGGTGGGGCAAGGACGTGGCTGAGGGATCGACAGTTAGAAAGAGGGGTGAAATCTGGGTAGATGTTTTGGGTGGCGTCGGTGGTTCGAAATAGCTTTTCTCTTCGCACTGCATCTTTCTTGGGACACTGAGCTTTGCCATGTATCGTAGTGCACATTATATACTGTATATACAGTACTATCAAAACGTATAGGGTACCGAACTCTAGGCCTTCCAAATGTAGGTGTTCAAAAGGGGATCGACGAGAGAGGCGCAGATCTCGATTGCCGAACCGTGCTTGATCCCCGCTTTCGACTATGAACGTCCTCGTTTATGCAGGTCCTGAAGTCCTACAGACCTCACTAGCCCGCTCAATCACCCTTCTAAAGTCCCTGCTTTCACCAAACTACACCGTTCAACCTATCAGCGTACAATCACTCTCATCGCATCCATGGGCGGCGACATGCGCGTTGCTCGTAATCCCTGGTTGTAGCCAACGTCTGTCGTTCTCACCCTCGACCGCAAGCACGATCAAATCGTACGTAGAGAACGGTGGTGCTTTTCTTGGACTACGAGTAGGTGCGAAGACGGGATGGTCTGAATCGACCTTACGATTCCAGGATGAAGCTTCAGGGGCGAGTCTGTCCTGCCATTTCTCCCCAGGAGGAGAAGAACCCAAGACCATAACACTCATGTCTTCGCAAGGCGAAGTACATACCATTTCAGATTCAGCTACCCCTGTGTTTGACGTTTCCGAGAGCCCGGTCGTGCATGTGTTAGCACGGTACTCTGAAGATTCGAAACCCGCCGCAGTCAATTTCAAAGCTAGCAGGGGCAATGTTGTCTTGTGGGCCGTACCGATCGAGGTTCCCCTCGTATCGCAAGACATATCAGACGTGCATATCGACGTCGCAGAGAGGAGACGGTTGGGACTCGTTCGCGAGACTCTCCGTCTCCTAGGATTGTATTTGCCTGCAGACTCGCCGTCTGTTGCAATGCAACTTCTTCCATTGGTCTTGACCGGTTCACCCTCACGGCCTGGGGTTGTCCGTCAAATCTTGGATGCACTCGAGATTCAGATTGCAGGTAAACTTGCCGATGCAAATGACACTTTTGAATTCGTCGATACTCAGCACGGCTTGGAACGTCTGCATCGGGCTCGCTCTCAGCTTTTACCCAAGGATGTCAAGCCCGTTATCGTATTTTTAGATGGAACTTCTCCCCAACTGGAAGACACCCCCTTATTCAATATTCCGCAATATTACACCGATCTCTCCGCTGCTCGTCAACAAGCCGGCTGTCCCTCCAACCCAGTACCTTGGGGCGTAGGTGAAGCTTTGTTATACGGCGAAGTTGTGACAAGCACACAAACAATGCTTGACAAGTAAGTCGCAGCTGAGTGCTTCGGTATCTATGCGTATATATGCTCATGTCCGGCCAGGAACCCACGACTCCTTTCCTCCCTTCCTGTGCCCTTCCTTTCTCTTGCGTCGCATCAACTGGCGGGGCGCGGAAGAGGCGGAAATACATGGGTGTCTCCAACAGGATGTCTACAGTTTTCGCTCTTGCTTCGTGTACCACTCAGTCAGCTCCCGGCTACGAAGCTTGTCTTTGTGCAATACCTGTTCGCGCTGGCTGTCGTTGAGGCATGTCGACATGATAATATCATGGGACGATCCGGTGAAGCTGTTAGGTTGAAATGGCCAAACGATATTTACATCGTTGACGGTGAACAGAAGAGGAAGGTTGGTGGCATACTCGTGCATACGAGCTTCGTTGGTGGCTTGGTGTCCATTGTAATAGGTCAGTTCAAGTTTCATTTTTGCTTGGTTGATTTACTCACGACTGCGTTTATCAGGGTGTGGTGTGAATGTGCTTAATGGACCGCCCATAGCATCACTTGCGCAAGTACTCTCAACCGAGGCCCATTGGAAGCTCAATTTGGAACGTACAGCTGCGACGATCATGGCTACATTTGAACCAATGTGGAATACCTTCGTCTCGGAACATGGTTCCTTCAGCTCGTTCATGGATCTTTACCTAGAACGATGGTTGCACTCGTAAGTAGCCGCGTGCACTTCCATGACGAGCCGATTACTCAAACTCGTTTTAGTGACCAACTTGTTACAATCACCACTACAACACCTCCCCGGCACGTGCGCGTCACTGGAATCACTGCAGACCATGGATTGTTGCGCACAATTCCTGAACGGGATGCATGGGTCTCTCGTGCTAGTGGTTCTGATGATTTCATTGACTTGCAGCCGGATGGGAATACCTTCGACCTTATGTCAGGACTCATTATGACCACGAAGTGAAAGCGAATGATGTAAAGCTGGGATATCAAATATGTATTAGTATACACTTCGAGATTAAGGGCCGTCAGCGGCGACCTCTTGCCAATGACTGAAATATATGGCTGCGAAGAGATGCCAAACATTCTTCTCGCTGATCTGTTGAAAACAAGCGCCAAACGGTAGGCCTTAACGGCCGTCTATCTGCGAACTGCGAACGCACAATGTGAAGGATTTCCGAGAGTAATATAGATTAGTCTAGCCTGGACGGCAAGTACATACGTATATCAGATAGTGGGAATTCCAGATGACTAGGGCGCCGCACTGCACGGCAAACGCGAAGACGCCCCGTCGGTATCTTGCGTTGCGACTCGTTTACGAAGAGAAGATGCCTAGAATTGCGTGCCGTTTACGACGTTTGGGGTACTGTCAAACGCCGCCAGCGCGCAAACTAGGGCCGCTATAAAATAGTGGACCCCCACCGACGATCGGTTCAATCAACGCCGCGGTGCACTGTGAACTTCGACCACCACCACCTTCCATCCTTCATCTCGTTCACCATGTCCGGCAGCATTCCAGACGTTCCTGCCCCGTTCTCACCTCTCGTCAAGCTCAACTTGCCCTCGCCGGAGGAATATAGAAAGCGCAAAGTCGCGCTCGTCTCTGGTTTGTGATTTCACAGCCAAGTTTCCGGTGATCGATCCGTATCTGAGTCGTATTGCTAGGCATTACTGGGCAAGATGGCTCGTACCTGTGAGTTCTCATGCCAATGCCCTTTGTTCCGGATACTCTGTGGAGATATGCTACCGTGTGATGGCTTTCTTTCGATGAACAGCAGTTAGTCGTGTGCTGTCGGACTTCGCTGATAGTATCTCAGGACCGAACTGCTGCTCGAAAAGGGATATGAAGTTCATGGGATTATGCGCCGTGCTTCGAGTTTCAACACGAGTCGTCTTCACCATCTTTACGCAGACCAACATGAACGTATGTCCTTCAGCCGTCGTGCGCTTTTACTTTTTCTCACATGCGCTCAGGTCCAAACAAGTTCAAGTTGCATTATGGTGATCTCTCGGATAGCACCAATCTCGTGTACATCATTGCACAAGTGCAACCAACCGAGGTCTACAATCTTGGCGCTCAATCACACGTCAAAGTGTCTTTCGAGATGGCTGAATATACCGGAGACGTAGATGGCCTGGGTACGCTGCGTCTTTTGGATGCTATCCGGACTTGTGGTCTGGACAAGCATGTCCGCTTCTACCAAGCATCAACTTCCGAATTGTACGGAAAGGTCGTCGAGTCCCCTCAGAGCGAGACAACACCGTTCTACCCGCGTTCACCATATGGTGTCGCCAAGCTCTACAGTTACTGGATCACTGTGAACTACAGGGAAGCATATGGCATGTTCGCGTGTAATGGTATCCTCTTCAACCATGAAAGTCCTCGTCGAGGCCGAACCTTCGTCACGAGGAAGATTTCTCGGGCGGCTGCAGATATCTCATTAGGCAAGCAATCATGTTTGTACCTTGGAAACCTCGACGCGAAGCGTGACTGGGGACATGGTAAGCATTTTATTTCATTCACCGAGTTCCTAGCTGATGTATCATTCTCGAAGCTCGTGACTACGTCGAGGGTATGTGGCGTATGCTGCAACAACCGACTCCCGATGATTTTGTTTTGGCTACTGGTGAAACTCATCCTGTTCGTGAGTTTGTTGAGAAATCGTTCGGACTTCTTGGCACGGAAATTCAGTAAGGGATTCTCAGTCTCAATTACTTCTACCGTCTTACCATTTGTTATTAGATGGCGTGGTTCTGGCGTCGATGAAGAGGGTATTGATACTAAGACCGGCAAGGTCGTCGTTAAGGTTGATACAAGATACTTCCGTCCCGCTGAAGTCGAGTAAGTCTATGCTCTCCTCATTATTCTTAAATTATACTGACTCTCGCATTTCTAGTCTGCTCCTTGGTAACCCTGCCAAGGCAGAGCGCGTCCTCGGATGGAAGCGCAAGGTCGACTTCGAGTCACTTGTCAAGGAGATGGTGGAGGCCGACCTCAAAGCAGCAAAGTCTTTGGTTGAGGACCAGAACTAGACTTCTCATCCTCCCCGCCATTGTCGTCTACCCTCTAATTCCTTCTTTGCCTACCGCCCTTTCGAGGACTTTCGGACGCACAATTATTGTACTTGGACCGGTTGTTAGAGATACCGAAGTGGATCGTTTATATAGCTCTATTTTGACTTGGCATTGCCCTAGGGCGAAAAACTGTTGACATTTTAAGCTACATATTCCACGTTGACGTTGAACGTTCAAGCTACGAGCACGCATTTTCTTTCTCAAAGTTGACAACTTCGTGTACTTTTCCTCTTGATAAGATTAGATCCTCAATGGAACTTTGATCTAAGCGCTGTTGCGATTTCGTCTTCGAATTTCAAATGCGTCGACGTACGGTAACTACAGTACACTTGACAGTACATCCATGAAAGCAAGTCTCTTCTTTGATCTCCATTAGCTTATTCTTTCAACCTACAGACCCTTCAAAGGATGCCTCATTGCTGAGAATTCATAGTGTTCCTCTCCAGAACTCTCAGATATACCTGGTACGTTTGTACACGGCCGCCGCGCGTCTTGAAACGCGACACCATGTAGGATTGGACACAGGACCTTCGTGGTGAATGAACTGCCTCCTTGATGAATGTTTTCGCGGTCAACCTATTGTTGGATGGAAGAGGTTCCAACTTTGTACTCAGGAGCTCGGATCCGGACCGCATGAACTACGCTGCGAATTGTTACAGGTCGTCCTATTTCTGTGTACCATGGGTCTAGCTGGGAACTCAGGATGAAACACCTCGGAACCGACCTAGTGGAATGGTGAACCAGATAGAAATTGGATACTCTGTGGTTACTCGAGGTCATCAAAAATGTTATTTGAGAGATCCTGACTGTCATGCTCGAGAAGATTAGTTGTTGCCTGGGAGGGGGAACGAATACACTTTTCCCGCACTTATCCTTCTCTCACAAAGTGTCGTTTCGATGGTCCACGGAGTTCTGTACTAAGTATCCACACTGAACAAAATTTACCCGTGTCATAACCTAAGCGAAACAGCTGCTTCCCGAAGGGGTACTCCACTGTTCCCTTCGCCTCCCGACAAGTTTCTCCGGGAATATTGTGTCCATATAAAATCGCCTCTCACACCTCCCAGCGCGACGGTCACACGTCCTTACTTACACACCCACCCGTCTTCAAATTCACTCAATCTGCGCAAAGGTATTATCATGTCTAACGAAATAAAGTTTCCACCTCTCGACTGGTCAATTACTGTCATCCCCGGGTTCGTTGATTTTCAAGCAGAACACAACCCTGCAGGCACCTGGGCCAAGTTCCCATCTCCCGAGCGCCCAGGAGAAGCCACTTCGGTGTCGTATTTGGAGCTTGCGAAAGCGACACATAGGGTTGCTCATGCTCTGAGACCGTATAGAGACGGTCAAGAGCGTGAGGTTGTCGCCATCATCGTTGAATGTGACACGATACTTTATATCGCCTTGCTTCTTGGCGTGGCTCGAGCAGGACTGGTTGTAAGTATCAGCAATTCGCAGTCTCGATCGGTGGTCATTGACTTTGTGAATTCAGCCGTTTCCAATGTCACCCAGGAACTCCCCGGAGGCGGTTGTTAATATGATGGAAAAGACATTTTGCCACTGCATCATATACTCGCCTCGTTGCATTCCCCTTGTCTCAGCCGTGCAGAATCATTTCGAGAACAAGGGCATTGAGATTCTCATCGACAATGTGCCATCTCTCCAGTCCGTTTTTCCTGCTCTTGGATCCGAGAATAACAATATGTCTACCAACGTCACCACGTACCCAGCCAATAACGATCAGTACAATGTCGATGACATCGTCATCTACTTGCACTCTTCAGGCTCAACAGGATTTCCCAAGCCAATCCCGTTGACTCATAGGATTTTCTTTCAATGGGGTCATTCTCGTATGCCACTGGCTATAAACGTTTTAATGTGTTCTCGCTGATATCTTTGTTGTTAGCTATCTTCATGTCGTACCGCGATCGAGGTGTGCGCTGGGGCTCTATGTCTCTGCCAACTTTTCATTCTATGGCTGTCGGCGTTCAGATACTCATACCCTTGTGTCTCGGTGAAGCCGTTAGCCTGTTTACTCCTCAAGAGCCTGCTCCTCCGGTTGTCCCAAATCCTAACAACACTCTAGAAACAGCCAGGATTACGCATTGTACGGCCATTGCTGCCGTTCCATCATTCTTCGAGGTAATACTGATATTTCTTTCTAAGCTGTTGTTCGCTCAAAAATCACGTAGGTATGGGCGGCATCTGTGGACGCGACCCAGTGTTTGGCATCTCTCAAGTTGGCAGTACGTATTTTCAATGGCAGATAGACTGACTCGTCCTCACAATATTCTTCAGGCGTTCGCTGGCGGGCCTCTTTCTGAAGCGAATGGGAATAAATTAGTCGCTGCCGGTGTTAGATTGACTTCTATCTACGGAACTACAGAAATTGGACCGGTCACAAAACCCATTGAATTAGACGTTCCTGATAACGAGCGTCAGGCCAACCCAGACTGGGCATGGCTCGCTTTCTCCGACAAACTGAAGATGCGATGGGTCGATCAGGGAGACGGTACTTATGAGCTACAAATGCTAGTCAGCTTGTTTACCCTTCGTTATAATGCCGCATATACTCACAGTACGCTTTAAGACCAGTGAAACGGCTCAACCTGCAGTTGAAAATCTTCCGGATGTTAGAGGCTATGCCACAGCCGACCTCTTCGTACCGCATCCAAATAAGAAAGGACTCTGGCGGATGTAAGTGTCAGTCATCTCTAACCAGACTTTCATTGCAATCTCACTTGCCGTCAAGTATTGGTCGCACAGACGACGTCATCGTTTTGGGATCAGGTATCAGTATTTGCAAATATGAGTCCAGGGTGATTTTGAAAATGGAGGTCTGTTTCTAGGAGAGAAAATTGTTCCATTGCCTCAAGAAGGACACCTCACTTCCGTACCATTTGTGTCCGGTGCAATTATGTTCGGCAGACAGAAGAATCAAGCCGGCATCCTCATCGAACCTCGCGAAGAATTTGCCATTGATCCTAACGATGGATTTGCACTTGTGGCATTCCGCAACGAAATCTGGTATCAATCTCTCCCTCATAATGTTGATTCTCGACATCCTTACTTCCCTTTTGTCAGGCCTTACGTTGAAGAAGCAAATAAGCTAGCGCCGTCCTTTGCCAGAATTTTCAAGGAAATGATACTCGTAACTCACCCTGAAACCCCCATGCCACGCGCCGCCAAAGGGACCACACAGCGCAAATTGGTTTGGGCAGCGTATCGTGAGGAAATTGATAAACTGTTCGTTGCATATGAATTATTCAGCTTCGTGACAATGATTCCTACAATGTCTAGGTATGAGACTGTTGAGAAGAGTCGAGACAATCGGGAAGTCGACCTCCCTGTATCGTGGTCCGCTGGGGATGCCGAGGAATGGCTGTCCAGTCATGCTGCCTCCCTTCTCAATGAGCAGTCACCAAAGTCAGATGTTGATATCTTTGAGCAGGGTTTCGATAGGTGTGCCCGACAGTACTCTTGATGCCCCCCCCCCCCATAACTGATTGTTTTGATCACACAGTCTAAGCGCGACTTATCTCCGGAACCGCATTATCGGTGCTCTTAATTCTTCACCTGATCCACATATCCAGAAGGCCGCTTCAGAAATCCCTCCAGACTTCATATTTGCCAATCCGACTATCCAACGCTTGTCTACTGCTGTCGTAGCACTCGTCAATCCTGGTCTTGCCCCCAATGCCCATGCACCACCCAGTATCCAGGACCTCATCGCGAAGTATTCCTCAAATTTCCCTACGTCGAAGACATCTGCAAATATGGCAGCCTCGCCTGAAGTTGTTGTTGTATTGACTGGCTCTACGGGAGGCATTGGTGCTCACCTTCTTGCCGTTTTACTCGAAGAGCCAAAGATCACGAAAGTGTACACCCTCAATCGGGGGAACCACGTTGTGCACAGGCAGAAAGTCTCGTTTGAAGATAAACAATTGCCTGTCGACCTGCTCGACACACCAAAACTCACTCAACTGGCTGCTGATTTGAGCCGAGAAGATCTTGGATTGGAACCAGATATGTTGGACGAGGTTGGTGCTTATTTACTATGGTACCAAAATGTCACCTAATATTACCTGTGTGGAGCAGATCAAGTCCTCAGCCACTCACTTCATCCACAACGCCTGGAAAGTGGATTTTAATCTGTCCTTGAGTTCTTTCGAAGGCCAAATTGCTGCAACTCGTAGATTGGTGGATTTATTGACTCAATTCAACCACAACGTCCGATTCATGTTTACCTCTTCTATTGCTGTCGCGTCTGGCTGGGACTTGTCAAGGGGAGCAGTTCCTGAGACGGTTATTGATAATGCAGAGACATTGTCAAAAGTCGGCGGAGGGTATGGTCCAAGCAAATACGTCGTCGAACATGTACGCGGCCTTCCCTTCGTCTTATAGACCTCAGCTACTGACTTGGTACATAGCTTCTTGCTAAGATAAAGCAACACGGTATTCTTGATGCGACTTCACTGCGTGTTGGACAGGTCTCGGGATCGACAAAGACTGGAGCGTGGAATACTGCCGAGTGGATTCCCAGTATTATTAAGTCGAGCATTGCACTTGGCTGCTTACCCACTTTGGATGGAGTAAGTCACTACGATATCAATATTTGACTCATCTCCTTACTGACACCAACGGCAGGTTGTCTCTTGGATTCCGATGGACTCGATTGCGCGAGCTATTGTGGATTTCGCCCTTGCTCCGTCTGCCCTACCAGAGGTTCTCAATATCGTGAACCCTAATTCTGTCCCTTGGAATAACGTTTTCGGGAGTGTCGCGGACGTTTTATCAGGCACAGGGAAGCCTCTTCCACTCGTCCCCTTTGCTGAATGGCTAGCAAAGATTGAGGCAGCAAGTCCAAATGCGACTACGAAGGATTTCGAGCAAATAGTGAGATAATCGCACCTTTTATATTTCCTCACTTCATTTACCCTTCCATCCAGCCTGCTATCAAGCTTCTATCTTTCCTTCGCAGCCTGTCCCATTCACATGTTGATGCTCTCGCTGAGGCAGGAGGTAATCCGTCGTGCTCAACGGAACTCAGCCAAAGTCTCAGTCTCGCGATCAAGGATGCTCCACAAATCGATCGAGGTCAAGTAGAACTATGTTTATCCTATTGGAGCTCACGGCAGTACATCATACGCGATGTCCAGCAGCTCAACAGGGAGACACCGTCCGATTCGAAACCACCTCTAGTGGAGAAGCGGTCGTATACTGGGGCTCGTTCTTCGGAGGCCAAACGCGCCAGACAGAGCATTTCTTCTCCCATTCACATTCGTACTGCCCGCTCAGTTGAAGTTGGTTCTGAGGCTTGAAGGAACACCATGTTGGTGTGAGCACCAGTGCGGAAACGTATTCGTACCCTCATCTGAATGCAATATTTATCTGCCTTCTCGTATTCATATCTGTGGCACTTGTCATGTTTCTTACCACAGCTTGTATAAAAGGCAATTCATATTTGAACATTACGAAGGCGGAAGGACGTGAGAATGCTGCGAGACTGGGGTGTGAGAGGGTGACTGCCCCGACTGAGTAGCACTGGCATGGAGTTCTAACGGATCCAGTGTCGATGATAATGCAACATGAAATGTTTCAAACTTATGTGCCTATTTCCTGCATGTCACTCAATCGAACGTGCATCCGAACTAGATATTGAATAGTAAATAAGATAGAGACTTCTGCCACTTTATTTGAATGACGTATTCCCATCGATCGATCGCTCATATAGCCCATCACTACTCCGATGTCCTGACTTGGTCCGAAATATCTGGCACCCGTCCCTCCAAAAGTCTACTATAGCTTATCCCTGCGGATATTCCGCACCTAGTATCGTCTGTAGGTATATTTATACGTCTCGGGTGCTGCCCATAAGACTAGTAGCACTGCTCGCCACCTAGGATCGCTTAGCAACATGTCTACTATGAACAAGGAAGACTTGCAATCTTATTTTGAAAGAAGCGCCACAATAGTACTCCAAATATTCGACAAGTAAAGTGTCCATCCACCTCTTTCGCATCTGTTTGCTAAGCTTTGTCAATATTCAGAGTCGAGGCGGCATACGTCCGGCCTGGTTTGAATGCTCTCATACGCTCCTTTCAAACAAAACCTCTTCATTCAGTAAGTGTTACTGTCGCTGCTCGAGGGTTTGGGAATGACATTTAAGCGAATGCTTCTCTTCTTCTCTCTATTACCAGACTTTCTTGTCTACCTTCGCCTTGCTAAGCTTCCTGCCTTTCGTTGCTTTCATGTGAGTCCCAATATCCTATAATCACGCTTTCCATGTCATTAAGAAGACGCTCCTCCTACAGCGGATTCTCCCTCTTCGTGCTCGGCTCGTCCTTATTCTTTGCCTTAGCCACCGCACTTGCAGTGTCTGCAGCAGCTATAACGGTCTTCGGTTCGTGCCTCTCTCTGCGTGTCAGGTTATAACTTCGCCGACTAACCCTCATGTCACCTAGGGTTCATCCTCGCAATCACCCTCATCATTCTCTTCTTCGTTTCCGTATTCCTGACAATGGCCGTTCTCGGCAGTCTACTAGCTCTCCGTCTTATCTTCCTCGTTCGAAGCAATGGTCCACGCGGTGGTGTCACCGAATGGGCTCAAGAAACAAGAAGCCGCGTATATGCGCCCAAAGACCTCAAGTCTGAATCTGTTGAACCTGATGTGGAAGAGGACGAAGCCACATCAACGCCGCAAGCAGAAGAGAAGGATGAAGACGCTCAGGATGAGCACGAGGAGAGGAGTAACTCGTCTATGTCTGTTGGGTCTACGGTGGTCGTTGCCGGCCAGGAGGGGAAATATGACCCTGATGTCAATGCCAAGCTTGAGGAATAAGGTTGTATGGTGGTTGAGAGTTGTTCCCCTTTCCATGCACGTTCTGGACTCTTGGACATGCAGATGATATCATTTTGGTACAAAATACCTTGTAATCTTCGTAGGTAATGCCCCATAATCACATAGTGCCGTAACAAAGCACGCACGTTCTCATCATCCACATGTGCTTCAGCTATCTGGTATATATCGTCTACGCAGGGGCGATAGCAGGGACAAAGAATATCTGTGGATGAGGCAATGAAACGCTTCTAACCTACCGCTAGATGTCCTCTATGTGGTCTTCCTGTTCTTCCCTGTCCTAGCGGTATCATAGTTCTCCAAGAACCACTTGACAGTCTCATCAAGTGCTGTAGAAAGAACGAGGAGTTAGTTCGATAGTTCATTCCACCTGTCACCGAAATAACCGAGCTTACCCTTCTCGAATGGTGTGAACTGGAAATCGCCGATCAAGCTGAGCAGCTTCTTGTTGGAAGCGGGCTTGCGGAACTGGCCGTCCGCCTTGGTGGTGTCGAACGTGTATTCACCTTTGAAGTCCATCGCTTTGACGATGGCATCGGTGACTTGTTTGATGCTGACTTCCTCGTCCTCGCCAACTAGACAACATGACGGATACAATCAAGTATGAGAATAAAAAAGGTGAGCAACGACGTACCAGAGAATATGATAGGCTCGACATCGTCGTATTCTCTTAATTGCCAGATAAAGAGCTTGGCAAGGTCGCGAGAGTAGATGAATTGACGTAAGGGTTTGCCAGTGCCACCGACGATGAAGGGGGTACCGTTCTCTATCATGAGGTGTTAACCAATGAAAACACTGTATTATAGAAATACATACTCTTCGACAAGTAACATTTGTGCAGGAGGGCGGGGATGACATGTGCATCCTCCAAATCACTGAATAATCAGAATAAAATGCATTGGAGCCGAGAAGCAGCCACTTGTGTACTTACAAGTTGTCATGAGGTCCAAAGACGTTTGTGGGAATCGCGGATGTGAAGTTGGAACCGAACTGGTCTTTGTACGCACTACAAGCACATCAAAGATATATCTTTGAAAAACATCAAGGTAATGTGAGTAACACGTACTGGTTGGCAATGTCGACCATTCGCTTCGCATGGGCATAACCGAAGTTACTTTCGTGAGGCAAGCCTAAGTGGATCTTGGTCTCGTCTAGAGGGTATTCCACCTTGTCGGGGTACACGCATGTTGATAGACACGAAATGAGCTTCGTAACACCTGTGAGGTGCGAAGTGTGTAGAACGTTGTCGTTGATCAGGGTATTATCACGGAGGAAGGTCGCCTAGGAATAATAGGATGAGTTCAATAGCACAGTAGGTTTGCATATAAGAATACCTTGTATTTCATATTCTTGAAGAGTCCACCAACTAGAAACCATCGTTACACATGCGTCGTTGAGCAGCAAACTAGGAATGTCTAGAACTACGAAGCGTACCGAGTGCAGCAAGATGAATGACATGAGTGGGTTTGTATTTTTCAAACAACTTCTTGGTTTGTTCTGCATCCCTTCAGCACATCATTAGTTGCTTAAAATGAACATTAGCGATGAACACGTCTTGCCTCAGATCACCTTCAGATGAAGAGGCGAAGATCCATTTCTCGCCGGGTTTCTTGCCAAACCGTGAACCCTCGGGCTCGGTCTCGATAACATATTTGATAGCTTGACCGACGAGACCAGTGCCTCCGGTGACGAGAATGAGGGCAGACATGCTGAGGAGGTCAACGGAGAGTGCAGTCCGTGTACAAGTACTTTGAAACTAGACTAAACCTCGATCAGATTATGGACGTCTGCATAACCTTTTAGCTACGTCCCAGCGCAAGGTTAGGGTTCAAGGTTCGTCACCTTAACATGTGCAGAGTTCAAGTCCAGCACTCACCACTTTCACCAAAATATGCACAGAGCGAGAACGGTAGCACACTCGGCTGGCTCACCTAATACTATGACACAATGCTTCCTGAATCAGCATTAGGGGCCATGTGTTCCCTATATTCTTTTTTTTTTCAGATGTTCTTTCTAAACTGTACCAAGACATAGTCTAACGGGTAAGTGGTGTTCCATCTTTAGAGATTAAGAACATACTAAGTTCTGTATCGTAGGATGTCTCATAAGTTAGGCGAAACGTACTCCGGAAAGAACCCCGTCCCCCAGGTTGCCACCAAGCTCACGTCGCTGGTGAATCCCGAACGAGCTACTGAAGCTAAAGCTCAACAACTTCAGGACCAGAGCAACAAGGATGATAAGAAACTTACAGAGAAACAGGCGCACCGTCTGAAAAAGGGACATGCTGTGAGCGTCGAAGATCCTACGACAGGCGAGGAGGTGGAAATCAAGAACGCGGAAGAGGAGGAAGACGTTCACATTCAAGGAAAGAACGTATTGGACATGGACTTTCCTCCACCCAGTATGTCCATTGCGATCGGTCTCGTTTAACCTTTACTAATGGCTTGCTTATAGACTGGAGTGACCACGAGACACACGTTAGCGTCGCGACGAGCCACACTATCATACTCATCGCCTTAGCTTACATTACATGCTTCGCAGTTGCCTGTCTGATCTCTAATTTCTTCTATTCCTTCGCTTTAGCAACTATTCCTCCATCGCTCTTGACCTATGTCCTACTGTTTCGCCTCCACAACGTCTTGCGTAACGACTTCGAGGACCGCATATGGCATTCAGAACGAATGCGGGGAATGAGTGCAGGCTCGGATGTTGATCGTGATGGAAAAGTCAGCGACAGGGAACGAGTCAAGGAGAGTGCTGAATGGGCAAACGCGGTTCTACGAGGCGTATGGCCTGTCATGAACCCAGAATTGTTAGTAATGCTTGTACACGTTGCTTCCTTGATATTGACAAGACTTGCGATGCAGGTTCAGTTCAACTGTAGACATGCTTGAAGACATCATGCAAGCATCTGCGCCCAGTTTTATTGTACGTCCTTATTGTCTACCAAAGAGGATAATTTAAATGACGCTCTCTCATGCTCAAGCATTCTGTCCGCATCCCCGATTTAGGACTAGGACAGAACGCAGCTCGCGTCACGTCCATTCGTTCACTTCCAGATTCAGAGGAGCGCCATGAATTGGGAGCAAAAACCGGTGGGAAGGCACGCAGATCTTCGATCACCAGCCAACGCGAGGACTCCGCTGTCAATGAAAGCGAAAGCGATACAGATACGTCTCACCCGGACGAACATCAACGGGAGGAATTGGAGGGTGATCACGTCAATCTGGAAGTTTCATTCGCCTATCGCGGACTCCCTAGTGGGAACACTCCTGAGAGCAAGGCGGGAAATGTACAGTGAGTAACATATACAATGCACATGATATAGGTACTGACTTGAGGCTCCCAGCCTCCTGGTTGAGTTCTTCTTGGGTGTCAAAGGCATATACGGGTTTAGAATTCGTGAGTATCTTGTTCGTTTGCAGATAGTCCGTTGACACTGATGATATGTGTAGCTATCTGGGTGGAAATCACGGGTGCAGTAGGAACTGCCCGAATTCGTTTGCAGCTTATCTCTGATCCACCTTTGTGAGTCGTCATGCACATATATTCGAGATTGTCTGAGTATTGAAGATACCGTACAGCGTGAAGAAGGCGATGATCAGTATGATGGGTTTGCCCCGTATCACCATCTCGGTTACTGCACTCACCAGAGCCCTTCCAAACATGATGAACATCCCTTTTATCTCTGGTTTCATCTCTAGCGCGATTGATACAGCAGTCGCTGAATATTCGGCTCCAAAGAGCATGACCATTGACTTGCAACAACTCATTAGTGGAGATGATATCAAGAAAGGTACGTCGTCCACGCAGAGTACAAGTTGAGTCCGTTCTCATATGAACTGAATGTTCATTGCAGATACGGAGACTTTGGGCATCCTCGTTGTCCACATTCATCGCGCGACAGGCGTAAAGGGCATGGACATAGGTGGTAGTTCTGGTAAAGTCCCCGTATTATTCTGATGAGAGAAGTCATTGAAATCAACCTCCAGCAGATCCATACATCACCTTGACCTACTCAAAATTGGGGAAACCTCTGTATTCAACTCGAATCATCAAGGAAGATTGCAACCCTGTATTTGAAGAGACCGCCTTCCTCATGGTGGATGTAAATACAATCCGACTACGGGAGAAACTGAGTTTCCAATTGTGGGACTCTGATCGTACCAGCATGGTATGTACTTCATATTAATACAATCATACCTTAATGATGAACTTAAGCTCCCTGCCCTGTAGGATGACATGTTGGGTACCGCCGAGATTGAGATCGTCGACCTTGTTCGAAACAGAGGAAAGCCTGTCCGGAAGGTGTCCTCACTTGCCAGCCCCGATCTCGCCCATCGTCCTGGTTCAGTGGAATACACTGTAGGCTACTACGGCAAAATACCGCCACCGAGCCACTTGAAGACAGACGGCGCAGATCCAGGCATTCCTGAGGACCTCCGTGATAAAGCTGAGTTCAAGGAAGCTCGTGCCGTCGCTTTGGATGAGTTGGAATCCTCAGTTCTCACTACTCCACCTGACCCCGAATGGCCTTCTGGGATCTTGAGTATTCAGGTCCACGAAATAAAGGATTTGAAGGTCAAGACGGAGAATAGGCAGAGTTGGATAAACCTTCATACTCAAGTGGGTGGGAAGGGTCAGGATGATAGTGGAGGATCTGAAGAAGAAGGTGAAGGTCTGCCGTCTTCGTTTTGCGAGATGTGAGTGGTTTCATTTGTTTTGTTTGACTTACCAGTGTTGACAACGGGCTATGACAGTTCCTTGAACGATGAGCTTGTATACAAGACTCGTGTCAAGCCTATTACTAGTTATCCGATGTTCAACGCTGGCACGGAGCGCTTCGTCAAAGACTGGAGGAAAGCACACGTCACTGTTGCAGTCAAAGATTCCAGGCTGAGAGAAAATGATGCTATTCTCGGTATTGTCATGCTGAAGGTGAGTGGGTTGAATGAAGGTAATTGACATTGATCTGACTTTCATTTACAGCTTTCTGAGTTATTCATCAACGCCTCTGAACTCACACGGGTGTATTCTCTCGAGGAGGGACTTGGTTATGGTCGCATCCGTATCTCAATTCTCTTTAGACCCATTGAAGCCAAACTTCCACCCAACTTGCTTGGCTTTGACATTGGTTCTCTCGAAATCGGAGACATCAGGGTGAAAGCCGACTCTACAGTGGTAGACGATCTTGCACGATGTTCGCTCAGACTCAGCACTTCGAATTCCAGCTGCACGAGCAAGATCTCGCGCAAGGCAGCTCGGAAGCAAGAAGATGGATCATTGCTATGGTCGCGTGATGAAGTCACGCTCATCCCAGTTCACCAACGTTACGAAGCTGCTCTCCTCATATCATTCTATGATCGCTCGATTATGACGTCGAGTGAGAAAGCATTGGGCGTCCTGTGGCTTCGAGATCTTATTGACAACGAAGACAGCCAAGTCGAAATCGCTGTTTGGAGAACAAAGGACGGAGACTATTCACGTCTCAAGTTCAACTATGTATCTCTCGACGGCAATCTGGAATGCTGGGACTCTGATAAAGACAAGGTTGAACGCATAGGCAGCATCATTATTGATATCGTTTTCAAGCCTGGCATTTCGGAACTTCATCGCAAGATGCTAGACAGTGGAGGGACAACCAAGAGACAAGTTTGGGGTACTTTCGATCGAGAACGCGCTGGAGGACTGCGTGATTATGTTGGTGCCACGCGAGAGCGAGGAGATGAAGCGGAAGAGCATACAGCCGAGCCTGGAGGTCCAGACGCTGAGGGTGACATGACCGCGACGACCACAACTGGTCCTTCAGACACTGCCGACGGGGATCAGCGTTCAGCGCAGAAGAAATCTGATCAACAAGGCGTGAGCACGACCGTTCAGCCTGAGAACGCCGAGGAGGTATCTCAGTCGGAGGACTCTGGTCACGGTGACGAAGATGACGAACATGGTGGCGAAGCAGGAGGTGGGAAGACTTCCATCAGGCAGAAGTTCAAGAAATGGAAAGATAACGAGGCAGAGTTACACCGAGATCATCGCGGGATGATGCAAGCCAAACCAGTGAGAACTGCTGAATGGATCAAGGATAATGTGGAGGATGCAGCTCATGCCGTCAAGGAGCGGTTTTCAATGACTACCAGAAAACCCGATATTGAGACCGAGGTCTGAACCTAGGGCGGACGGTCATTACGGGCATTTTTGTATGATTAGAATGAGTTGTGTTTATGCCATATACCCCTGCAAGTCTTCACCAGAAACAACGAGTGTCAGGTCTCAGTAGGAACACTAGTTGTAGAAGACTGGAATATGGTAATTTCCAAGGTGATTCTGCGAACGTAACCCTAAGTAGCGTCTCGCAATGCTTTACTCCAGAGTTCCACATCAGCCCATTTGTTATTCCTCCTTGATGAATAAAACAAGCTAGCTAGGGGAAATAATCGTGACAGTAGGGCTGCGACCATGTTCGGATCATTAATTGGGGAGTTGCCCACGTAAAACCGGGTAACCGTCCCTTCCTCATGTTGTCCGGCTTCAATAATGTCGTCTGCATTGACCTTCTCGCATCAACAACCAGACCAAGGAAATCCAGCTCGCGGCAGCCAGTCAAGGGATATAAAGACCGGATTGATACCCGGGAAAGCCGTTGAACCGAGGCCGTCCCAAGATTGAGGACACGGATGTGAGGCCAGCTCGTTGCGATGTCCTCAACTGTGCCGTCTTGGATATCGAAGGGAAGAAATGACAATGATAAGTGACACAATTTCGCAAGCTTGAAAAGTGGCCTGAGATCACTATCACGTATAAGACATTGCTTCAAAATGTTCAGTCGCTCTCCACCTGTCACATTTATCTCGATATCTTCTAATGTGGGGTGCTCTGTAAGTCCCTTGAACAAGCGATGTACAGATGATGCGGTGGGGGTATTTTCCATCCTGAGGTCGAAACTTTCGAATTGTTCGGACACCGAGTTTTGGAAGAATGAGACCAGCGCATCGGTATGTGGCTTTTTGTCCATATCTTCATAGTCTTGAGGGATTTCATGCGAATCTTGGTGTTCAAATGAGTGCCTATATCGGTGTCAGACAGCACAGAACACCATAATGTTCTTAAGTCGGGGAGATGAGCGAGATGGAGTAAGGCACGTGGGTCGAGAATGCATTCTCTGGCATGGATCTCGACAAGACTTGTCATGCTACAGATAGCGGTAGAGAGCGCGGTGCTAATAAGGGTGGAATCCTGTGCGTCCTCCATGTGCAGCTCCTCAAGTTGCAGACAAGCATGGGTGATAGCATCTAATACGGCAGCACCACCAATGACCTCTTGGGGGAAGTTATATACCCACACTTCCCTTAGCCGCGGACCGAAGAAGACTAGTGCGCTGAGAGGAAAAGCGTGTTCGCTACCGCGCCAATGGAGAGCTTGAAGGATTGGGAAGACATGTTCTGTACGGCGGCAAAGGCTGAGAATACGTAGTTCTGACTCGGGTGTCTCTATGTAGTCAATAGTGATCTTGCGAACAAAGGTAGCGTAGAACAGGAAGCGGCCCCAGCCAGCATTGTTGGGCAGAGACAGAAATACCTGGAGGACCACTTGTCACTGGAATGGAGCGCATATGATACACAGTAAAACTTACCCATCCACTAGTACCCGCGCTTTGGTGGCATATTCCGGGAGGGAATAATCGGAGAAGCGGTGCTAGGCCCTCCAATGCTTCCCACAAGACTCTCATTGCTGGTCCGTAGAATGTGCGACAAGTCAAAGCAAAAGCTATAACTGGGCAGCGAGCATGTGGTATCAGTGGGCGGTCCAAAAAGCAAGCTTCATGATACATCCAGTCGAGATAGGGCACAATTTCATGTAACACATCTTCCAGGAGCAAACAAGGATGCATGTTGCAATAGCTCGAAAGTCGTTGATGTGGATGAAGAAGAGCCGCGAGTTCAACATAACTAGTCGAGACCAACGAAATAACTTCCCACGAGCAAATCGAGTTATCCGTTTACCATATACGCTGTGAGCATCCCTTTTCAGGCAAATGCCTGCCAAGGAGAAATATTGATCATCACAATGATCAGTTACTTATTAAGTATGCTTACGTTCAAGTGGGTGGCGGTCATATCACGAAAGAGCTCAATTCACACAGGAAAGAGCAAGTACTTCTCAAACGCAGCTGTGCAAATATATTTTCACAGACAACTACGGCCAAGAAGGTGGGACGCCATTCAATACTGCTGCCCATCAAAGGGAGGGCGGGGGGTACAACCTGGCCTTTGGTGCGTCGTAGATAACATACGTCCGCCCTGCCTTTCCGGTCTTAGAAGGTCGCAGGAAGACTGAGCTGCAGTTGCCCCAAGCAACTCAGCCATAACTCCCCCCGAAGTCAGGCCGGGGCCCTCGACCTGACTCCACCACCGCCCACAGCACGAAGACATCCCGATGGGGTGGCGTCGGAGCGACGAAATGCTTGTGTTTCTGCGTGAATCAAGATGGGTGAGTAAGGAAAAGTAGAATGGACTTGGACTCACCGATAGCCGCTCCGACGCCTCTTTCTTTGACTTGCCATGAAAGAGCCTGTTGAAGTTAGTAAAGTCATCAAGAGCGATTAAACGAAACGCGCCGTGGATTTTATCGAAGTCAAGCATCGATTTCGATCTCGATGGCAACGACTAAAGGAAAGGTCAGTGAAGTCGTCAAGAACAATGGAATCGAACATACCATTTTATCGAAGCCACTGGCGGACATCATTATTTTTTCTTGTCTTTTCGTTTCTTTGTCTTCGCTACCTTCCATTTCTTGCTCTTCTCTTTGTCATCATCATTATCTTCGCCAAACGTCAGCAAAGTCATCAAGGATAATTGAACGGAACGCACCATTTTATCGAAGTCGCCGGGATGCGTCATTATTTGGTCATTGCATTCGTTGCATTGTCTTCGCTACCTTCCATTGCTTGCTCTTCTCTTTATCATCCTTGTCATTATCGTCATCATCATTATCTTCGCCTTGACGGCATATTCACACATTTGTCATATCATCGCTCGAGGTCACACTGTCGTCGCCGATCATTGTTGCACGCATCGCGTCCGATGGTGAACAAACAACCGACGAACGACTCTTTGTTTGCGACTCGAGAGTCGACTTTCATTCGATGACCCGAGGGTCGTTTGACACAGGTGCGATCCGAAGACCGACCCGTGAGCCAAATGGGTATGGTCGACGCGTGTTTATCCCAGATCACAGGCTATGCGTCGTCACCGTGGTGAACGACAGAGCGGCAAGGATTTCCGAGTCCAACGATACACTGTGGTATCGTCGGCTGCGCCAGAGTCATGCTGGCTGGCTAGGCACGGACACACCCTCCTCAGAAGTAGTGATACGCATCGAGGCCAAAGACCACGAAGCGATCGATGTGCGCCCCGAAGAGCGACTTTCATAGGCACGATCCAAAGATCAACCTATAGGCCAGTTGGTATTGTCGACACGTGTTTGTCCCAGATCACAGGCTATGAGTCGCCACCGAAGTGGACGACCGAGCGGCAAGGACTTCCGAGTCCAATGGTAAACATTCGTATTACCACCGGCAGAGTCAGGGTCATGCTGGCTGGCTAGGCCGAGACACACCCACCTCGGATGATATCACTCCTCGTCTGTCACCCACCCTCTGGCGAGAGTGAGCTGTATTGACAAAGTCTGGAGTGATTGAGCTGTTGCCCGTCATCACCGTACGCAGACGCACGACTCGGAGCAACATCTCGATTTTCATAGGTGCGATCAGAAGACCGACCTATGGGCCTTGGTCATATTCGACACGTGTTGTCCCAGATCATAGGCCATAAGTCGACACCGGAGTGAACGACGACGCCGCAGGGATGTCCAAGTCCGACGGCAAGTGTTACCGTCGGCGGTGTCAGGGTGCCGGCTGGCCAGGCGCAAAAGCAACCCCCCTTGGACAAGATCGTTCCTCGTTCGTCACTCACTCTCCGGTACGCCAGAGTGAGCTGTTGGGACGAAGTCTGGAGCGACGATGAGTTGTCACGTACCGGTGCATCATTTTTATGACACTAGAGTGACCACGTTTAGTATCGGATAAGCGAATGGGGAACACACCATCGTAGTTGACGCAAAGAGTTGCCACAATGCAGACAACGCGACCTTCATGCTAATTGTCATTGCGTCACATCGTCAATGGATCTGAAGACCCCTTTGGTTAAGGAGCAAGATTGAGGGTTGGCACAACGTACCATTTATTAAGTTTGAAAAGACCAGCCAATGGGGGGCAAACTTCATGACAATAGCGACATCCAACGCCCAGAGGCATGATGGATAGTGATGAGCCATGAGGCTCATCGTCCACCATAGCGACTCGTTGCCTCACGAACTAGTGTGGCGCAAGACGTAGACGGTCAGTGTAGCGGGGAGCCATTTGTCCACCACGGGATATGGGATAAGGTAGTCACAGAAGTTGAGCGGCGACGTACTAACGGTCGAAGGGCAAAGTGTAAGGTGCACCGTTGAGGGTGGCAGTCGACTTCAACGTCAGTGGACGAGTGTCTGTTGTGCGCCACAGTTGAGGTACATGAAGGACATAACGTTGGAGATAACTCACGGTCAGCCTAGCCTACATATCCATAGTCAGCCACATCATCTACCATCTTAGAGTGAAGAACGCCACATTGGTGGACCGATAGTTGAATAGCTATGAATGAGGCGTAGTGAGCATGTGGCGCAGACGACAGACGACGCGGCGGGAGGGAGGGCATGGGGATGGGGAACGGGTGGTATAGCTCACCAGTTCACTTACGCCACACTGGCCGTGGTCGACGGCGAGGGCAGCAAGTAGTAAAGGGTAGAGGCCATGGTCGAAGATGGGCGAGGCGTCGACGCGCAGTGGTGGAATTCCTGCCAGGAGGAAGGCGATGGTGGGGGAAGGAGGACAAAAGAGTTAGAGGGATCATCGTAAGTGGGGAGCCATTTATCCTGGCGGCTAGACGAGTTCAATCTCCGAGAGGGCTGACTTGAAAGTCTTTGGCCGCAACATTCGGTCCAGAAAAGGATCATCATGTTCGAATTCTTAGGAAGATGCCGAGAGGTTAGCCAACGGTGATCGCGGTGCGGTCTTCCGCGAGGAATAGAATACATACCATACAGGGACAATATCGTCTTAGATGGTTACACTATACAGCAGTCAATACAATTGAGGGCAGATACATGTCAAATATGCGGCATATCGATCTCTGAATATCAAGATAGCAAGAGTACCTTGCCAGTGGTAGGTAAGGCGTAGCTGTATATGACCAATGACTCACCAGTCATAACAAAGAGTCTTTCGGGTCAATCATGATGTACAGTATGCAATATACAAATTTGCATCATTGCCAGGAGATTCTCGTCGGTCGCTGGACATCAGAAGAGACTCGACGTAGTAGATATCTACTGACAGTAATTCTCAGCCATTTGAATGCCTGTACTTCTTGTGCGTCAGTGAAGCTCGATGAAGAAGTGAGGAGAAATGACGACTCACATGGAAAGGATTAAATGCTCGACCTTGCTCGCACGCATGAGATAGTATGGAAGAGCACCAGGATCTTGGAAGCCCGTAAACGCTCTTGTCAACTTGAACGTCTGTAATATGGCAAGCCAACATATCCACGTCGATATATATAGCTTCGCTTGTTCCACTCATTCATGCTATAGCAGCAAGAGAAGTCCGCATGCGCTGTGGAGGATGTAGCAGTGTCATCGGAGATGCCAGGGACTTCGATCGAATTCTATACACCGTAGCCAGATTCAGAAGTGATTACAATTTCCCACGATCGGTTCTTGTCTTTTGACCAGCTCTGTCCTTGGCGTCCGCCGGCCATTAATATTTCTGCAAATTGATTACAACTTCTCGATGCCTGTAGTCTTTCAAGGTCTAAATTATCATGTCAACCAGCCCAACCACGATGAGAGCCGACTATTTGATTGCCTGATTCCCGACGGCAGGCACTGCAAACACATGGATACCAATCGACACCTCACCTGAGGTACTTCCGCACGTCGATCCCAACAGAAGTACTCATGTGTTATGATCTTTGACCTAGGCCGCCCCGGTTCCCTTTGACCCCATATCTCAGGTTTCAGTCGCTTTGGCCTTCCTCTTTGACACCCTGTAACGCATATAATAGTTCGCATGGACTCCACGAGAAACTATCCTATTCATCCTGTATCTCTCAACAGTATGCCTGCGGACATTTCTAGGAAGCCATGCTCATCTCCTACGGGCGGCGCTGTGAATCACGTTCATGACTATCTCAGCAAGACGCGAACAAGTATGCTTCTACGGGATGTCCCTAATCTTCCCACGAATCTCCTCGCTCGTGCTCGAGGTGCACGTACCAACTCGGACGAAAACAACGACCTGCTTGAGTTTATCGGCGATCGAGCTTTGAACCTTGCCGTCGCTATTTTGGTGGAGAAAAACAAAATCAACAGGGCACACCATTCGGTACGTTCTCATGGGCAAAATCATCAATTGGACACGGTCTGGATATCTGTATACACAGACTGTCCGTCGGGTTGTCTGCAGCAATGACACAATAGGACGTCTCGCTTTTTGCTTGCGCTTCCACGTACAAGCCAATACCGACGCACAAGACCGTTTCAGTATCGACGAATGGCACCCTCTGTCTAATGATCATCCACCCAAGGTTCTTGCCGATCTTTTCGAAGCGTATGTTGGGGCCGTTTTTGTTCAACACGGATGGTCCATCCTCGAACGCTGGCTGAACAAGTTGTTTACTCCCATTGTCAAAGCTGCCACTGGAGACTTTTGGCTGTCAGTCTCGCCGGAGCAACTCTTTGGTATCTCCTCGAAGACGCCGAAGATCAAGGTCATGGCTCCTGAGACTAAGTCCCAAGGCAAACTGCTGGCCTATATCGAATTCAAGCGTGACGTGCTGACTGCTCAGGGCAAACTAGCTGTGAGCGCCTTACCACCTGGAACGAAGTATCGATTTGATCAGCGGACGCTGCGACTGCAAGACCCAGATGCAGAGAGGGTCGAAGTCGCTGTTCATCTTATTAACATGTGGATATGTCAAATTGTGATCAATTTCTGGCCTGAATATCATACGGCCAGAGCTAGAGCAGCTCACATGCTATCGGTAGGAGCCATCACTTTTCCATTGTTCTCATAGACCCATTCTAATCTTATTATAGGGGATCACAGGTCTCATTGTCAGCGAACGTGTGTTAGCATACCTAGCGTCACAACTCAGTCTGGATGATTTCTTCACCGTCATAGACAGCACAGCCCAGTTAGAGGATCCGTTATGTCTCAGCTCTACGGACAATATCCAACGTGTCTCAAAGGACAGACGTAAAAGATACGAACCGCCGACAGCACACCAACGGGCTCTGATGCTCAAAGCCACGATAGGATGGTATCATCATCAAGACTCCGATGCTGCCAATCGTTGGGGTAAAGTGTGGTTACGACCAATTGTCATACGCGCGCACGACATCTTGGTCGAAATGCAAGGGTATGAATTTACGTTCTTATCGCAGTATACTTTTCATTCAACTTCATCTCTCTATCTAGATTCCGTCCACTGGTTTCCAAGAACAACCAACCGGATATCCTAGCACGTCAAAAGGATGCCCTTGCATCACTGGTCGCTGGACTTGGCTCACTGCAGATTAGCTCTCCCAACGTCGGCCAGTCCAAATCCACAGACAACAACAAGTTGCCTGATACACACGACGCCGAAGAGGAGGAGCATTTGTGTTTGACCTCTTCTGCAGAGGAAACCAAATCCTCAAGGCTGCCTTCGGGAAAGCTTCGCGTTGTCGTGCACTCCAAGCTGGGTGCCACTCAGGAATCTTCATCGGGGTCCCAGGAATCGTCAGCAAGAGATCATTCCAACGACGATGCACTAATTGAAGCCTTGTCCACTCTTACTCTAGAGCCAGGAGAGTCAGAAGCAATGATTCACACTACCTCGGTCCGATCTTTACACTCATCCACCAAGAGTGTGTCTTCTGACACTGGAAGCAAATGGCGTCCCATTGGGCAGCCTGCGATACCCATCGATGTAACGGTGAGCTCGTATCCTCCTAGCGAAAGCCCAACCACATTGGAGCATCCCCCTACCTCTGAGTCAGCGCTAACTGGTGATGGTTGGATCTGTGAAAGAGCATGCGATTGTCAATCGGTTTGGTGAAGAATCTCCTAGCCGGTCGAAATGGAGACCCATCGGTGCTGCGGATACTGATGAGAACCTGCGTCCTGCAAACCCGGAAACAAGCCAACCAAATATACCCGAAAGCGAAGACAAGCCTGGAACAACCGCTACGAACTCGTCCCCTACGGAGCCTGCAGTACTTCAACAAGTGCTCAATAATACTAAGCCAGACGTGGCCCCCAAGGCGTCCAAACCTCATAAATTAGAGACCATCACGATGTTTGTTCCTAGGGCCGTGCAATCCAAGAGAGCGTAGATTCTACGGCTTGCGTACCAGACTTCACCGATGCTATATCTTTACATGTCTACACTTCCAACAATCATAGAGATACCACATGCATGGATTCCGCTATAATACAGTCCTATATCATTCATCCATATTGCCGCCGAGAACGAAACAGGAGTGTCGTACTAAATACAAAGTCACAAAAACCATTCATCATACATACTCGCGAACCATTAGAGATAGAACATGGTCTCCTTCATCCCGCCGGCCACGCCATTTCTCCACATCTTCTCGCCTTCACGATATACTTCAACTTCGCCACCCTCGCTAGTGGCAGTGGTACCGCTGTCCGAAATGCCTTGGAGCAAAGAGTGCAAGTAACACCTGCCACGTTCACAAGCAAGGTCGGCGTAATAGGCCGGAGAAACCAAACTGACCGCCTTCGTTGCACGAGCGAACATGTAGCTGACGTCATTTGTAAGGCCTTGCAACTGGTCTGCTGCGAAGCCAATCTCATCGTGAACGACGTAGTAGTGAGTGGGACGAGTTGTCCCCTGTAATCCGCCATGAGCTAATGTAGCGGTCAGGTTGTATTCAGCGTATGACAGCAAGCCATGCACCCACCTTGCAAGAAGAAATCAAACTCGTAGACAGCCGTGACACCACGGTCAACGACAGTGCCAGGACGGGGGTTACCATCCCTGTCAGCATTCTGCGCCTCGGTGGGATAGAATCGAGTATGATGTCTCTTTCCGCAGATGACGATAGTCAGTTTCGGCTTGTACAGCTGCTGAGGCGTGTTGAACTTCTGGAAAGCTGCCTTGATTTCTGGCATCTCTTCCAGCACGACCGTCATGAATTGCCCCTACAGAATAACATGAATAACCAAATGACAGAAACAAAGAACATACGATACTCACCTCCGAGACGCCATCGCGATAGACAATGATTCGAGATGGCAAAACCTTGCTTCGAGCTTTGAACGTGTTCAGTCTTTCCACCATCATCTCAGCCAATGGTGTAATCATCTAGCATGTCACATCAAGGCATGCATACTAATGACTCTAGACGTACTTGCCTCTTTCTTCGACTCTTGTATCTTGAGGCTCGCTGGAAACTGCCCGAAGTTTTGATCAACGCTGGCTACCACAGCAGCAATCGACGGCGTTCCCGAAACTGTACCAGGGCCAGGATGGGTTACCTATGATGATCGGTCAGTTAAGAAGCACATCACATACACCGTTGCTCCACTCACGTCCATACCAACTAGCATCGTCGGAGCCTGCTTCAACCATTGGAGGTTCCTCTGATCCAGTGTGTGGTTCACGCCTCCCATCTTCATATTCACCTTCAGTGCAACATTCGCGAAATACTGCAGCTGACCCTTCTCTTTCCGAATTTTAGCAGAGTGCACGCAGACTGTAGTAACATCCAAATATACGTCGCACAGGTGCTTCAGGCCAGAGTAGACGTGTTTATCGCCATTCGATAGCATAACCATGACCAGAGTCGGCTTGGGTTTGATGGTCATCAGAGCAGCCCGTATGGTACTAATGGCCTTTTTGCGTATAGGGTCATCTGGTGTCTTGCGTGGAAGTTGAGCAACAGCGATAGAAGGAGGTTTATCATCCACCGTCATGCCAGAGGTCTTGCACATCTTCGAGAATCCAGAGATAATACTCCGGAGTTCTGGGTCGGTGGACCCAGAGAACTCGTCTCTAGTATTACCGTCTTGAATGATGAGGACGGCCCAGTTACTCAATCTAGCCCCGATAGCGAATTTGACGTCGCGAAGGTTCCAACTTGCTCGTTCATCCACACGAGGCGCGCCCTGTGCGTAACGAATGTTTGGAGACGGGAGGATACGTCCGGGAACAATGGCCATTTCGTTGCCAATGCTGATACCAAATGCCCCGAGTGGATCGGCGTCTTGCCTGAAACCAAGTTCATCTAGACCTCTACCAACAATAGCTTGAGCGTTGATGTTAGGCGGCTGACAAGCGACCAGGATCATCTGTGCGGTGTGTTCATCCAGAAGCTTTCCTTTGAAGGGCTGCTTCTCGATAATCTCGCAGACCTCAGGAGGAAGCAGGTTTTGCTTCTGGCCGCCGACGTCAACAAGGGGGAGGTTGGGGTTCTTGAGTGTGATGTTGTACTCTAATCATTAGCTAATGCCGTCTTGGCGATTTTGTGTAAAAAGGACCTACTCCTTGCAAAATATTCTTCGACTGTCACCTTTCCCAGTCCATCCGCGACGAACGAATGTTGTCGGGCGCTCACTGCAGCGACCTTCTTTATAGTCTTGCGATACCCCAAGTGAGTAGCAACTACTCTTACACCACGCGCAAAGGCGTTGTACCTGGCCCCAAAGCTTGCGTTGCGAAACTCCTCCATGCGAACCGCCAAGTTACCAGGAACATAGAAAGCCGTCGTACATGCATTGACATTGACCATTAGCTGCTTGTGAGCAGGACGAACCGAAGAGTAGAAACCTTTCCATGCTTCAAGACCTCCGCCGAGAGGGAAGGGAGGTTCGGCTGCGGATCGGTGGAAGAACTTGTTTCTCCCAACCATAACGCCACCCCCAGCTGCCCGACTTGGGTGCGCCGATAAGATGAGATTGAGCGCTGCTACGACCGGTGTGATGTCATATCCTCGATATTGAGGATGGCCATTCAGGTAGCTTCGCAGCAGAGAAGGTGGGAAGTGTAAGACTCGACTCAGGATAGACACGAAAGACAATCAATTAAAATGATAAAAAGAAAACGAAGAGCCGAGCATATGCCCAAGTCTGAGGCTGAGGACACTCGGACCGTGACGGTGCGTGCGGTTCGAAACCTCAGACACTCCGCATATACTCGTTTCGTGAGAATATTGAAAGAAGAAAGGCGACGTACCTGACGAGGCTCTCCATCTCGAGATCTTGCACATACACAATGGTTAGGATATATTCCTCGGGCGGTCTCTTACCCTTCCCACCCTTGGGCTTTTGCTGCTGTTGCTGTTGGGGACCATCTTCATCTTGAAACGGTACACGGATTTCCAATGGTTGTGGCAACAAGTTCGCAGCGATAAGCTTGCTGGTATGGTCGTGGGCAACTCTCCCCACCATGCCTGCTTGAGCCCAATCATTGGTCTCTGCCGCAAGCTGAAAGATACGTCTCTTCATCCGTCTGATGGAGACTGAAGAGGGATTTTAGAATCATGAAAAGGCAGGGATGTAGGCAACCAACCAGAGGGAGTGATTTCGACATTGTACTCATACAGAGGTCCCTTCGGCACACGAACTGGGAAGAAGTTCGTCCTGAGCTTGATGACTGTCCCGACTGTGCCAAAGCCCGGACGTGTAGGTAAGTCCGTATCCTTTAGCTGAAGTGAACGAAGTGAAGCAACAAGTTGATCTTCCGATTTGTTGGCAAGACGGGCGTCAATATTTGCTGGTTGGCCTTCCGCAAAGATGCTGTGCAGCAAACCTGTGTGAGTGGTGGTCGGTCAACCGCTGGTAGCGCCACTTACCCTCCACGGCCTCTGGGAGGTCCACCCCGGCCACGACCACCTCTGTCTCCACCCCTGAATCCGCCGCCACCTCTGTCACCCCCGAAGCCGCCTCTGCCACCACCGCCATCGTATCCTCCTCGCCCACCTCCGCCCCGTCCCCTGAACCCTTCACCTCCAGGGCTTGAGCGGGAGCTAGGCACAGGGCTCGCTCGTCCCCGCCCTCGGTCGTAGCCACCACGTCCACGGTCGCCTCTATAGCTCATGAGTTAATTACTGGTTAGTCAAAGTACCGATGAGAGAACAAGTGGCAGATGGAGAAGAGACCATAGACGCGTGGCTCAGGAGTCTTTTATATCCGCATCGCATACAGACCCCGCAGCAATGCATCCAAATGATGGGCGGTTGAAGAATGTTGAAGAATGACGTTAGATCTACGGCACAAAGTTATATCGAATTCTCCGACAAACCGTCCATATGCTCTGAACGGCGTTTGAAAAAAGGGGAACAATGGACAAAAGACAGGTTTTCAATAGCATCACAAAGTTCGGACGACGCGGAACGGCTCAAACGCTTAGAAGTGCTAGTTTGACGAGATCATCGTGGTGATGTACCAGATAGCGCTGTTTAAAGATTTAGCGCTGATGTACCTGGAAAACAAGTATCACATGAAGCTGCTAGAAGGTGCAAGTGAGTGTATCGGTGACTAGTACAACAACAAGGTATACAATCCAAAGGCATAGACAGAAAGGGTGCGAAAGGGCCTAAGAATAAATACAGTACAGACCGCACCGCGATTGTACTAGTACTCTTCCACCCCGGACAAGGACGCGTATTCAGAGACGGTCCTATCATCGTCGTCCCTGTATTCGTCCACAACTTTCCGCATGGCATACCGCATGATGGGAGTGATAGGTACCAACTTGGGTCCCACGATCTCTTCTTCATCTTCGGCCGCTTGAAGTTCCCACTCTCGCTGGCTCATCCTAACGATCTCCTCTTCAGATAGAGCGTACATGGCATCATCATCCTCTTCAGCCAGGATATCTTGATCATTGACCACAGTCCCACTACTATTGGCCCCATGTCGTTGAACCGCCGGCACGCTCTCCCGAATGCGCGCACCCATCGAAATCACTCGTGGATCCCAGCCTTCTCTGGAAATGGGGTCGGTCCACCTGACGTCGAGAACCCGTCCCCTAATCATGGCGTCTATCGCCCTTGCGCCCATCTCTCTACAAAGCATGAAGTAGGAAAGCACACGAGTGCCAGGTTGTATGAATCGATTCATAACCCGCAAAAGCTGCGTTGCGCTGTAATCAGCTCCCGAGTCTGTCGAGTCTGGATCTGTGGGCGAGAAGGTAGGCGGATTGGCGTGAGGATCTGCTGTAAGGGGAGAGTATATTCTGAACCCTGAACCGGAAGTGACGGCAGGCGCTGTCGGTGTTGCCCGATGCAAGGCCGGTTGAGAGCCATTCTGATGACTGTGTCTATTTGAAGTGGCTTCGGGCTCGGCGCTTGGTTGGGCAGGAGGGGCTTGAGCGGAATGAATAACATGGAGATTCAATAAAGCGTGTGCTTGAAGGAAGTGAGAGCTTTGCTGAACTGAAGAGAGGCATGTGTCAGCATTTTATTATATCTGCAGTTCCAACGAACTACGCACTGTCAAGCATGCCACCAGAATTGACTGCAAATAAAGATCAGAAAGGTCATTCCAACATTTCTTCCAAGCTATGCCTCACCGTAGTCGGCAACATAGTCCTGCCAGTGGGCCAGCTTTCCTCCAAAGGCTTCATAGAGCGTCTCAAAGTCAAGTCCGGAGCGGAGCTCGCGAGGGACTGTGGGAAGAATATGGTCGCGGTAGTATTTCCTCGTGTCGACCTTGGGGTAGTCGCCGATAGTCAAAATCTGCATCAAAGAATGAACACAAAGCATAAAACATCATAACGGGCACATACCTTGCAGTGTTGCATAACATTGAGCTGCCGTAGCCATGTCTGATAGAACGGATCACTGGTCGCGTGTATAACGTGACAGAGGCGATCTTGCTTTGTCAAAACGAGCATCGCGTCGAGCAGACATTTCATAGCATCAGTAGACCGAATCAAAGCGGGTCTGTTTAGAGGAAGTCAGATTTGGTGCGATGAAAAGGCGCCGAAGTGCGCTACATACAATTTATGGGCCTCATCAATGAAGAAGACCGGCATCTTCTTGACAGGCGGCGGTCTTTCCTCGGGTCGTTGCGCCTCACCGTTGCCATTGGTCTCCTGTTCTCGTTTCTTTTCATCGACCTTGACTTCGGCCTTCTTGCGTCTGCGTAAAAACATGGCCAGTCGAGAAGACAGGCCACCAGATGGCTGCTTCGGTGCTGGAGTTTGACTGCGAGTTGAACCAGCGTCTCCGCTCGTCTTACTTTCTTGCGAGGAAGGTTTGGCATCAAGCGAGGGTTGGAAGTTCCAGTACTTTAGAAGCGAACTCTATAGTGCGGTGGTCTGCCTGAGCATGTAGACGAGTATGCGTTGTGATGAGACAGACAGACCTGGAACAGCTCCATGAGGCGCGCCACGTCACTAGTCTTGATTTCTCCAAGGAGTGCACCACCTGGACCGTCGCTGCTGACTGCAGAGGAAACTCGTTTCTCGACGCTCAGACGGTCGTGCTGGACTTCAGCTCAGTATGGGCACGGCACGAGAAAAGGGACGAATAACAGACCTTGAAAGCCCATGCCTCCTTCTCGAATTCAGCATATCCTGGCATATCAGGATCTTCAGCCACGCTCATGAAGAACGACTCCATCTGCTGACTGCATAAATCTTAGCTATGATCTTCTTTATCTTCTGAACACCGCAGAATCTTACCTCAGACTGACGTATAAGCTGGCCAGATCTGCAAAACCAGCAATGCGAAGGTCGAAATGTAAGACATGGTACTTTGGTCCGGTGAGCACTTGACGTAGCAGAGCTGTCTGTAGCAGATACACAGTCAGACATGCAGGTTATCCGAACCTTAAGTATCGTACTGACTTTTCCAACGCTACTAGCACCGAATAAAACGGTGAAGTTGGGCTCGCCCTTCAGTACACCCTCAATCGCTTTAATCTCTTTTGGTCGATCATAGAAACCGGGTAAAGAGCAGAAAGTGTGCGTAGGACCCAATTGAGCTCGTTCTCGCGCTTCAGAGAGTTCACGCTTCGTTTCCTCCAACATCCTCTTGGAGTCTGTGAGAGAGCGAAGCGTTTCTGCAGGCTATAACCAACTCCCCAATGAGCATGCGACATTGCATATGATAAGTCAATGCAACTTACGTTTGCGAGTACGCCGACAATCTCTCCCATACCGAAAAAGGTACGTTTCTGAAAGTCAGCGGGTAGGGTCGATCCTCGCCTTCGAGGTAGATTGGTCCTAAGGAACCACGAAACCTGCAAGGTGGTCGGAGAGCCGTGCAAACTCGACCTTCGAGATTGAGACTGAGAGTAAGTACCCGCGCGTCGTGTGGTGCTTTGAAGGTGAGGCTTAGCCAGTCTCGTATTGGACGCGGTGTTGTTAGTGCGTGTCATGATATTACTCGAAGGACTAGTAGCAATCAAAGATAGGTGAGAAGCGGGAAACGCCAGAGGATAAGGACCAGGCTCTGCCCACGGCGAGTGGGACGTTGGGGTGGTTGAAGATAATTCAGAGTGAGTGCCTCTGCAACCTGCAGAGATGTGGAGGTTGCAGATTATACCCTCACGTGCACCGCATCTACGTGCATAATTGTTGAGGCCAACACATGGCAAAAGATGTCGGGCTGGTGTGTGCATGGCATGAGGTTGAGGACCTTCCTTGCTGTGACGAGAACACGAGGATAGTGTGTGCGGGTGATTTCAAAGGGTCTATCAGCCGCCACAGAAACTGGAGAATAAGTCTGTACTATCAGAGGATACAAACATCCGTACGCATTTCAGTAACAAGTGTAAGACGAAGAAGGGGGCATTGAACCTGTTTCTCGACGTTCAGCAAGAGCTAGGCGTCAAGGATTATTGCAGTAGTAGTAGTAGTAGTCGGCTGTTGCCGATAGCGTCACGGTTCGTTTCTCAGATCTTCTTGACCTCGAAGTTCGACGCTCCGCACTTTGCCTCACGGGAGGTGCAGCCTTATGTCTCCAGACCAGCATCTAGATATGGGCCTCATATTGTCCATAGCAGGTCTTACATGCACAGCGGATCGGATCTCTTTTCGTCATATTGGTGTGCAAGTTATTCTCTTAAAGGTTTGTGAACTCAAGCTCGAGTCAACATACATGGCATGAAGGCCCTTGCTACTGATGAATCCGCTGGATTAACTCTGTTGAACACGCAGATTTGTGGTAGACGATTGTATGTCATCTCTTACACTGACGGCAGCTCCTCAATCATTCATAGTTGGTTGGAACTTGACCGCCAATGTAGAGGATGATTGGTCTGCCGCTGGGGCCGTGTAAAGTGGAGATGGAGCCCCACATCGCGTCCTGTGTAGCGTCATGCTATCCCTATCTAGTCACTTCACTATTCGGTCGAATTCCCAATCACATTGGTCACTCAAGTCTGACACGCTTTCGTATGAAGGGAACGGCAGCTCCACCAGTATATACCAAACAGCTCCTTCAACGTCGCCCTATCCTTTCTTTGTGTAGAATGCATACATGCAAGGGGATGAAGACATATCACACTAGCAGGTTGCACCGTGGTTGACTACACATTGTCTTGTGATATAGGGCGTTGCTTACACCAGCAACGAATCAATGTGGTATCGTATACTCCTAAAATGGTATCCGATACGTGCATCTCTCTGCTCTGGTACGAAACACGTCTGCGTTGCTCATGACAGTTAGTCTAACCACCCTTTGGATCCTCCGCCATAAATACAGGACCTTCCAAATGGGGTCCGGATATCCAGGATCATCAATTAGCGCTCACCTACGACAGCGCAAGATATGCCTCAGGTAACTCAATCTGTAACGCGTTTAAGTGCTATTTGTATCACAGGATGAGTGGACTTTGTGCTTGCTGAGTCAGGCTTTCTGTAGCGATGGCCGGGATTACCGGCTACCGTATAAATGAGCTAGCTGCCAATTGCGATGCACTAACATATCGGTGTCTCCTATATCACCGAACATGAAAGAGGTCCTCCTTGTAGGTCTGGGTGCAGTGGGTGCAGTATGTGTGTACAATTTCATGTCTGTATCCCGTTGCAGCTCAATTGAACTCATGGGACATGTTAGATGCACTGGTCCTCAAGAAGAGCGGAGCGGCTCGAGTCACCGTGGTGGCCAGAAGTAATTATGAGATCGTGAAATGTTTGTATTCTTCTTCGTACTCGGTTACACGGTAGTAACTTATATATGGTGCCGTAGCTGAGGGGATCCATTTTAAGAGCCAACGATATGGTGATGTCGCCGGTTGGCGACCGGATCGATGTCAGTGTAGATGCTCTTTTCCGATCCATTCTAATCAACGTATCTACTCACACTACGGAACAGTATGCAGATCTGTAGAAGAAGCTTCTGATCAGGTCTACTCACACGTTCTTGTAACCACTAAGACGGTACCCGAAGTTCAGACCACACCTCAACTTCTAGCTCCGCTGTTGTCACCTCCTTATACGGACAAGTTCCCTGTTCCCGTATTTGTCTTGCTGCAAAACGGACTCAATATCCACCTGGAACTCTTTCAGACCCTGAAAAAGCTTAGGCCATTCGAAGATCCGAAGATCATCAGTGGCTCACTTTGGATCGGCACGAGGCTCGCTGCCAAAAATGTTGTGGAACATAGTTACTTCGTAGGTCTTTCCACAGCGTGTCCTATATGGAACGATTATTGATATTACTCAAGGATCGAGTCCATCTGGGAGTATGTCGTTCCACGCCAAACATACTCTTCAACACGGAAGAAGAAACCGCTACGCTCAACGAGATTGGCGATATGATGAAAGCGGGAGGATCAGACATTATCATTGTACCTGAAATCCAACGCGTCAAATTCGAGAAGAACATTGTGAACTGTGTGATATCACCATCCACATCTCTTCCTCGTTATCCTATGCAGACCGTTTTCCGGCCTCCACAAGTCACTGTCGAATCTCCAGAGCTTCCACCTACCACTCCGTATGCTAACGTCTACGACGTGTTTATCCCTGCTTCTTACCCCATCATCGCCGAGAATACTATCCCTTTCCTTCACGATGCGTTTGCTGAAGTCGCTGCCGTGGGCAATGCTCTTTTTCCTCCTACCGCAGAAGGGCCTGTGTTCGGCAAGAAGACTGCACTGAATGTATTGAAGAGCATCGCGGACATTGCTTCCAAAGCTACAAGTACTGAGAGGCTGAGTATGCATGTGGATGTGGAGATGGGCAGACCAACGGAGTTAGAGGTGATTGTTGGCGAGGTTGTCCATGCTGGCAGGAAGCTCGGAGTCTCCACACCTGTACGTGATTCTTGAAGGCCTTCTGCACCTGTATTTGTATACGGCATGGCTGACTTATGATTCTGGACAGCGTCTGGAGACTCTATATGCCTTGATGGCAGTCGTTCAAACGCAACTCCTTCGGGCGAGGGAAAACCACAAATGAAGATGCACACGTACCTAGACTGAGACACGTTAGCTCACAACCATGGATACATCGATACGTTTTGACAACACACTAAAGTAACTTACAGTTGCTCGCTTTGGTTGGAGATGAAATTTCTGTCATTATACGTCTACCCAATCAACATGTTAGAATGCTCTGTAATACTAAAAGCTTAGACGGTACCTCAAGCCTCCTTGTTCATCTCGGGGGCACGCGATCGATCGATCTGCACCGATCTATTCCTACCGTTGAACTTGAACTTGCTGTTCTCGTTCCTCTCACACTGTCTCCATGCTGTGGATATCTATCATGACTAGTTAACCCTACGATGAACATCTAGTCAACACCGGTCGTTCCTTGCTTTACGATAGCTTCACAAGCCTTGCTGATGGACGCATCAAATTTTAGTGCAGTCGCATAAACGATCGCCGGAACGCCGATGTATCGAAATCAACATCGTGGCTGGAATTCGAAGATATAAGGTGGCCAGAGCTCAAGAGTGCACACAACCTTTGTACGATCTCTTTCATTCATTTTGCTATTATTCTTTGTCGCAGAAGGTCAAATCATGCCCTCGGACTACTATGCGGGACTGGATAATGAATTCCGGAACGTCAAGAGGCATATTCTTTCTTATGAGAGAGATGGCGTTCGATTGCAGTTCTACGCAACAAATGTCCTCCTTTATACACACCCCAGGACGTCTCAGGATCTCACTTTGATTGTTTGCCATGGGCTCGCCATGAGTAAGTGTGTTAGCGAATCTACCTGGTCTGGTGTTGTTCACCAATTTCGCATGTCCCAGACCCAGCAATGTATTTCCCCACATTAAAGTATCTGAACCAACTTATCGTACAATCTGGGTCTCTCCTACGCCTGAGATCCATTTGGTTCGTGGAACATGCCAACCATGGAGATTCGGCAGTGCTCAATGAAGCTCTTCTCAAAGAGCACTTCTCCGACCGCTGTATGCATCGTCTCAAACTATAGTTCCTCCCTTTTGTGGGGTCTAATTTTCTTCCATTTACATAGTTCCACTCACATACTATGGCGTCGGCATCGTAACTTTGCTCGACTCCGGGTTGCTAGATCCTACGGATCCTAACCTGATACCAATCGGTCATTGTGGTGGATCTGGTGGGGTGTGCGTATTAATACATTATTGCAATGAAAGCTACCCTCACGTCAATATTTACAGGATTTTCGCAGCCAAGATGCTACGCGACAGAGGTACACCATTCAGACGAATCGTTCTCCTTGAACCGACTCTCTTCGACCTCGACATTGAAGAGAACTTCAAAGCTTTAGAACAACGTGTCCGGATCGCAAATCGGAAGCGACCACGAGTTTGGCCGACTGTCGAAGACGCGATGGCGTATCATCGCAATCGAGTTCCGTGGAAGCTTTGGGATCCTGAGGTCCTTGAGCTGATGAGTGTATGCTCACTACAACGATTGGTCGGTTTAGTTTGAGCTGACGTTGTACGGGCTACAGAAGACCGTATTTTGGCCTGCTCCAGGTGGTGGTGTAACACAGAAGACGACCTATGAACAGGAAAGTGCATGTTTTGAGTACAAGGAACCACTTGAGACTGGACAAGTGCTCCTCGGGCTTGTGACAAATACTCCAGTACACATGGCGTTAGGTGAAAGACCGGATATGTGGTAAGAACTCTAACCAGCGTTTGCCGCCTATTCTGTCCCGCTGATGCGTCATCATGAACAGGACGGAGGAAATGTATGCAAGTCAACGTCGGATAGTGGCTAAGATGAAGCCTTCCCTTGCTTCATTTTCCGTTATTCCTGGTGCCGGACACTACGTAAGACCTTCGCTCATTTTACAGCGAGCCGCAGCGATTGACATCTGTACACCTGATAGGTTGTCCAAGACAATCCAAAGGGGAGTGCCCAGATCATCTTCAATATCCTGCAATTGGAGTATGGCAAACGCCAGCCCGCGACAAGCGTGCAAGCAAGGCTATGACCCTGCATACTGCCAGTGGGTGTCTGTGTACTGTACATTGTTATTTCTAAATTTCCATGGCTTGTAGATGAAAGGGCCTATTCTAATCCTGCATACCGAACATCTGCGTTATTCTCTAGCCATGACATCCATTTCTTCAGGTAAGGACTCCCGTGCTGGACAGTCGATGAATCGCCGATGACGCACTGAATCGTCAAGGTCAATATTGAAGGAATAGAATCGAAACGCAATGACACTCACCAGATGTCGTTTGGCTCGAGTCATTGCCACTGAACATTGATACGTTTACATATGAGTCGAACGGTATTCAGGTAGATGAAATTTGAGCTCACCGTTTAGTCGCCGCTTGTCCTTCAAAAAGCCAACTTCACGCTGCGAGATGCTTGGGATTAGTCCTCGTGAGAATGACAGCGTCAGTTGGGAACCTACGTCTTCGTTGGAGCGGACAAGAGAGATGATGACAGCGTCTTTCTCCCGTCCTTGCATACCGTCTACAGTGCCTATCTCCAGATCGAGGCCATATATTGGCCGCATAAGTGACGTCAATAACGATACTTGCGCTTGATAACTACCAACGAGTCAGTAATATAGATGATGATTGAATCATGTAACGTACGGAGTAATGATGGCTATTTGAGAGGGTAGAACACCGGCTGATATCTGTGTCTTGCTTCAGAGAGAAGGCTATGACAAGGGCATGGATGAACATACCAATCGCTCGACCCAAGCTTTCACCACCATCACTTCATTCTCATTACATCGACTACCCTCATCGCCGTCACCCTCCAGCCTCTCATAGTACTCGCAACCGGCTGTATCGAAGAAAACCACAGGTGTACCCAAGACCTCTAATTCTTCCTCAGGTGTATCCGCCTTCGTATTTGGAAGGTCACTCAGAAGATGGGAAGCAACTGAGGGATGCGATGTGAGTTTGGAATGGTACATTGTTTTCGAAGGGAAAGCTGCGATCTTCTCGTTCATTCTGCCGGGAAGATGAGATATCAGGGGAGTGATAAACATGATTGAATGCGTACCGGTACTGAACGTTAAGCATACGTTTGATACTAGGTCCGTACATCTTCTCTAGTCGATCGAACATCGTAGTCTCCAGCGATCGAGGAGGTCGAAGGATTCCACGCTCGCGCCGAGGCTTCTTGGTAATTTGAACTGATTTCGCAGTAGCTCTTCCCGCTTTACTTTCTCGTACATCGTCCTGCGAATCAACGTCTGAATCTTCGGACTCAGATGTGCCTGCACTAACGTCTGCTGCGCTCTTGACGGGTAGGGTCTCTTTCTTTGTCGGCATAGCAGCTATTTTCTCTTTCGTCTCCTTAGGTTTGGTCAAAGTGATGGGCTTTGTACTTTCCACTTTCGGCTTATCCTTCTTTGGTTTGTCGATCGAGATGATAGTCGGCGGGAGTTGATTTGGGTCACCAGCCAGAACCAACTTCTTGGCTTTGAGGACTGGAATCCAGCAAACCTGTAGATGCTCCGATCAACAATGGGTTTACTATGCAACATTAAAAAATAAGCATACAGCTTCGAGAGCCTGGGTAGCCTCATCTATAATGGCCACGTCGAAAATGTGGTTCCGCAGCTGCCAACCTCCAGCAGAGTGACAAGTGGCCAAAACCACCTAGGCAGACAGTCAGAATATTGTCTCCTACCACGTAGACTAAACTTACTTGAGAGCGACCCATAACGGTCTCAACTACTTTGCCTTCCCTCTGACGGTATTCTTTTCGTAGAGCACGTACTTCTTCCCACATCTTCTTACGCTCCAGACCTCTTGGTGCTTTACCTTTTGCAGCTTTGCCTTTTCCAGAGAGCGTACTTAGAGCCGCTTCCAACTCATTCTTCACGTCTTTCGCTAACGCGGCCTGTGGAAGGAAACATGTTGGTTACGCAGGCTGCAGCATTACGAATGTATGCCAGGCATACCTCATCGCTTCTATTGGCCTTTACCTCCAATGTAGCCTCAATAACACCCTCCTTGGCCATTACTCGCGCCGGATGACCCAGCCTTGTAAGTTTTAAACGGTCACCCTTGTCCGATACAGGCAAGGCGAGTAATCGTTCTAGGATGTTATCCACGGACAAGTTCGAAGCCCCGCAGATCAAGAGTCGTAACGGTTTAGGATTTGCAGGCGTTATGGTTGTGAGTTGCCTGATGATCTCGATGAGTGTATGCGTCTTCCCGGTACCGGGTGGTCCGTGGATACACGCCATTTCCGGGGACTCCAAAGCAAATCGAACAGCTTCGCGTTGACTAGGATTCAGAGTCTCATCGAAGAAAGTGAGATCCTGTACAGGAACCTTCTCCGAAGGTTGGGACAAGCCTAAGAGGACTCGGAGTAGTGGGGTTGTTGCAGGCGTTGACTACACCGTTATGGAAGTTAGTCACATTGCAAGGCTGAAGGAAGTGAGTACAGAATCGTACCGAGGATTCAGCCGGAGGCAAGACGATCTTCTCGAGCTGATCAAGTGTCTTATCCATACTATCATTCACGACTTTAATTCGCCCGTCAATTTTCAAGTGAAGTTCTTACGCACCGATCGTAGGTGACACTATTTGCTAGCTTTAACACGCGGCATCTGTCCGGAAGATCCAGCTCTTCGCTGGAGTCAGACGTGTCGATTGCAATTACGATGCGGACATCTGTGACCTGTTTCATTACTTCAGTATACATACACCCTAACGTGACAGAACAGCTTGCCTTGTACACAACTCCTTCAGGAGCTTTCGATCGTTTCATATCGGCGTCCTTCTTAGACTTCGCAGATTTCTTTGTCGGAGCGTTCCCTGATACATTCTCCTCGATGCGAGCTAGATCACCAGGTCTAATGACACTTCACGCAAAGCTCAATCTCGTAGAAAATAAATTTACCTGAAGGTGTGGGGTGGAAATATTGGAGAGGTATGGTATGCTGTCGATCGCTCTAGCTCAACGAGCCTGCACTTCTAAGACAGTTCAGCAACAGAGACAAGCAGATAGAATTGAGAGTCGCACGTTTTCCCTCCAAGGCCAATAGTAACATTGGATATCGATAGACCTCCCAAAGCCAGACCTCTCTGCTCCAAGAGTTTCGGTCCGCAGTTGGAGAGCAACAGCGAGGATCTCTCGATCTCTGCTTCTCGTTCCTTGGCAAGTAGTATTCGGTGCCGGTCGATAAATGAGCGCAAATGAGTATCAGTCGTCATCCTGTGGATTCAAAATTATCTAGTAGCGAGGGTTGAGGATTGTAACCACTTGAATAGAAGATGAAGGTTAGCTTCAAGTTCTAACTTCCTTCCTCGTCCTGAGGTAGCGCCAATCTAATCTTATCAACATGCATATAACGAACTACCTCCCTTGACATCGACTGACTTCAACTTGAACACCCTCCACATCCACGCCTAGTAACACCCGGAACCGAAGACTCGGACGTAGTACATAGACATTCACTCAGATTGTCCCCGAATACCTTTCTGGAAGAAGTTGCTAAACTCCCGATCGTAGCACACTGTTCGCGACCCTCTAACCCGTATCGCGCCAACCATATCACAGATTGAAAATGGCAGATCGTCAGGTATGACCTGAAATTGTCTGTGGCTTTAACTTCAGGATTCAACCGAGTCCTTGCCCCAGGATCCCCGCAGCCCCTACTTGCTCCGGAGACAGAAAGAGAATACGCACGCACAGGATCAAGCTTCTACCTTACTCATCCCCGCGATAGCATCGAAGGCGCCACGGCCCCCGCTTGTACCCATCCTATTGCCGCGGCGCAATGTCGATACCCTACCAAACAATTTTCTACGCAAGCCATCTGTGACCTTCTTGGACGCTCGCTCTACTCGCCTGAAATCAAAACGCGTAATCGTTGGTCAATCTCTTATTCATGCCACCGCCTTATCTTCCGAGAACCGTTATTTCTCTAATCAACCCAGATTCATCGGTAAACGTCCTCCCGCTGCCGTCCGGGTCAAGAACTCTCCTGGTACTGTAGTTGAAGCAAGAGATAACGACTGTATGGCAAATTCCCTCGATACCGCTACCTCGAGCCCTTCTCTCTGTACCCCATGCGCTTGCCCCAGCCTTCGCGTCAAGCCCGCTGAATCTTCTTTCTGCGTGGATCATTCTCAGTGCTGTAGTGCCGAGGTTTCCGTTCCTGTTGACTTTGCCGATGACCTGGAAGAGAACATACCTTTATGCCAGATGGTCTCCGCACTCATCTACGCCTTGCTCCTCGCTGCCTGGTTATTGTGTAATTTAATGCTGTGGACGTCTTCATTGCCTGGGCTTGGCGGGCATAATAGCGCATATAGTCTGGAAGGCCGATGACTTTCTTACCTTTCTTTATCCGTCTCGCTTTCTTGCTGTCCAATGTCTAGGGTTTCCCGTTAAAGTTATAGCTGGCATAAGTTTATTTAGTTTAGAACCACACTGCCATAATATCTCTAGTGTCTCGGGTTGTATCACTTCGTGTTTTGGCGCATCGGGAAAATCATGATGAACTGCTATAGCTATATATTGATGACCAGGCCTTGTAATGTTGAGATAAGGCCTTATCAGCGAACAAAAAACTCATAACGTCTAATATACACCTTTATAACACTGGCATATTTCTCCCGATGACTTGCGCCGCCACTTATGGTTATACTCTCTACGCTTATGTACTTCCCGTTAATGTCGTATCCTTCATCAATTCAGAACCCCTGCTACCTGATTATGAAGGGTCGGAGTCGTCGAAACGATATGTATATCCACTATCGCGGCGCGTGATGGTGTCACTTCCGAATCTGCATTGAATCTTATATAGAACGTTTAGTCTAAATACAATCGCGATGTCCACTTAGTTCACGTCCACTCGGATTGCCCCTTTATCAGGCCGACGAGATCCTGTAAGGGCCGGGAGAAAACTTATAAAGCTCTAACGGTCTATCTTATGGACAGGAAGTAAACCCCCGCCCCCACCCCCCCAATCATGACCGAGATTATTTGGCGTCCAGATACCCCAGTTGGGCCAGCGCAAGGAACGGGCAAGCCCATCTACAAGCCAGAAATATTCAAGACAATCGATTCTAGTATCGATGCTCTGAATAAGGAGCTCAGGGAGCTGAGCCTCGATATACATTGTGAGTCTGTATGGATGCCTTGATGCGGAACGGTGATCATTAACAACATCCTCAAGCCCACCCTGAGCTAGCATGGAAGGAGCAGTAGGTTCTATTTTATTTTGCCTTTGGATCGAACTGATTATCAAACTTGAATAATCCTAGCCGTACCCATGATGTCCTCACTGGCTTTATGTCCAAGCAAGGTTTTACCGTCAAGCAGCACCACATCCTCCCTACAGCATGGGAAGCCACCTATACCCATGGTACCGGCGGACGCACTATCGGCGTGAACTCTGAGATGGATGCACTACCTGGCGTGGGACATGCATGCGGTCATAACTTGATCGCTATCGCTGGTGTCGCTGTGGCCTGCGCTATCAAAAGTGTTTTGGAGGAGTGGAATATCTCTGGAAACATTGTGTTGCTTGGCACTCCAGGTCGGTTCGAATACTACTTGTTTGACCAATGAAGGCTGACCCCAAATGGTATACTACTAGCTGAGGAAGGCGGACAAGGTAAGGTCCCTCTGCTTGAGGGTGGTGCATACGACGAGATGGACGCCTGCGTGATGTAAGGCCAATTCTCACGGTTTTCTACTTGCCAAGTTTGAACATCTTCTTGCCTAGGTGTCACCCGGCTCCAGGTCCCCCTCACTCAGCCAGCCTCAGTGGAAGTCTTGCTCTTCAGCGACTCTCAGTTGAATTTCACGGACATACGTACGCAATCCCCACTCAGGCTTTTTACCCTGTCACTTGCAGGGTTGCCATGTTGATCTACGTCTTGTCAACTAGTGCCCACGCCGCGTTAGCGCCATGGGAGGCCCAGAACGCGCTCGATGCCGCAGTCTCAGCATATACAAACATAGGTCTCCTTCGTCAACAGTTAAAGCCCAGCTATCGTGTCCATGGCATTATTGAGGGTCGTGACTGGGCAGCCAATAGTATGCAAGACCTTTCTCTCATTGCGTAACGTAGTTACTGACAGTCAGACACTAGTCATTCCTGACTATGCCAAAATGACGTGCGTATGAAATAGTCCATAACCTTTCTGTTCAAATGTCGAGACTGAATTCTTAATCATTATCAAGTTACTACCTCCGTTCGGGGATATGGGCTGAAGTCGTCGCAGCCATACCCCGAGTCGTTGCTTGTTTCGAGTATGCCTGCCTCACGTCTATCAGACCATTGGTGTTAATGTTATCCCTATGCAGAGCTGCGGGACTTGCAACCGGTTGCAAGGCAGACATCAAGAAGGTCAATTCCGTCAGGGAGCTCCGTCAGAACAAAGCACTCGGTACGTCACAACTAATACCACCCCTACGGATCAGCTGAATTTCCCCGCGTGACTCAAAGGTGACGAATTTGCCAACGTGTTTGAAAGCAAGTACGGACTCATTGACTACAAACATGGAATCGCCAGTGCTTCCACTGACTTTGTGAGTCTATTGTTCTCAGCCAATCAAATTAGCAATGACTCACTAATGTTATTCGTTTCGCAGGGAAATGTCACATATGGTGCGTCCACCGCGAGTCATTATCGCGCTCTAATCCAAATGAAGCTGACTCTGGCCTTCCCCCACGGTTCGCTTTCCTCCAGCTCTCCCTTCTATACACCCGGGATTCGGTTCGTACTCTTTCGCTTCCACAACTATTGCCGCTTCACAGCTTCGTGACTCACGTCTTGCTATGAATTCACACAGGTATTCCGACCGTAGTCAACGGTGGGAATCACACACGTGCCTTTGCTGAATCTGCAGGAGGCGAGGCAGCTCACAAGGCTGCGTTGAACGTGGCCAAGGCGTTGGCTGCGGTCGGTGTGAGGCTGTTGACGGACGATGGATTCTTCAATGAGGTGTGTTTCTCAGTATTGATGTACGTGGGTGGGATACTCATTAGATTTTCAGGTGAAAAATACGTTTGAGGAAGACAAGAAGATAAGAGAAGCTATTTGATGAGTGGTCAAAACGGTGAACGAGGACATAAGTTTGAGGACTTTCGAGAGACTGCGCTGCAGCACCCAGACGTACGGATAGAAACTTTGCACACAAACATAACTTGAGTTTTCAAGTGAGATCGATGGAGCAACGTGTATAGGCAATCCTAAAGTAAAGACTAAGTGGTGGTCTGTGGAAGGTATGTATAAATGATATAGCTACAACAAAAACCGAAGAAGAAAAAAACAAAATCCCTGAAACGAATGAGATACATGTACAAGATTGTGAGTGGAGGAAGCGAATATACATGAATAAGGATATATGCGATAGCATGCTGGAAAGCGAGGTCCACGGATAAAACGATAGGATGGGACAAGGTGATATCTCATATGTTGCAGATGTCGTCGTATACCCGTAGATACGAACGAGGTCCGAAGCGGGCTTGTTGAAGCACGCCGGAGTAGACACGGAGACGGACATGGATGGGTGGAGAGTGACCTGCAGAGCAACACATGCAATGATAAATCAAGCGCGTGCGGATACATATGGTGCAGCGGGCGCAGGCATGGTCATTGAGGTAGCCATGGAAAGAGACGGCTGTGGAGTCGGGTATGTGCCGGGGTTTCGGGGCCATGAGAGGTACAACATGCCTTCCATTAAGTCCGCAGTAACTTGGTTTGCCTGAAAAAAAAATTCGTTAGTCAGGGGATTCGTTACAACATGAGAGAACGGGTGAAGACATACCGTAATCCCCTTCGGCAAAGCAACCTCCCGCTTAAACCTGCCAAACGCCAACTCTCGTGTGGAATAATGCGGAATGGAGGGAGGTGCTGATGCGACCCCGTCTCTGTCCGTAGTGGGAGATTGACCCTCACCTTCAACGGGGGAGGGGGAACACGTGGACAGTACGGCCTGAAGAGGCGTGGCGCGGTCGCCTTCAACCAATAGATAGTCATTAATAACTTGGAGGGTAAGACTCTCGCGCCTGACGCCTGGAAGTTCTAGTGCGGCGAAGACACGAGGGATGTGCTCGTCATCACAAATATCCATCCTGCAAGACAAGCGAATTTACATTAGTAAGGAATATATGGAACGGAGGACGAATATAGATGAAACGCACCTTGGAATGTAAGTCCGAGCCACTGGCTTAGCCATCAATGCTCGCCGCTTCTTCTGTAGTTGGAGGTATCGAGTGGCGAGAATGCGATCACAGAGTTTGGTTATCTTTTCGGTATCGGTGCGAACATGGGTACGAAACTTAGTTATAGAGGCGCTAGCGTTACCATTGGGAGGTTGTGTGGGCATTTTGAAGATCAAATTGGAGGGACTTGAGCGAAGAGTATGAACAACGGAGCCTCGGAGGATGATTTTAAGGAAGCGGAATGAAGAACAAGCCCCTTTTATACTTTCGGATGACTCGAAAAGTTAAAACAAAAGTCATAAGTCAGCAGCAGTCAGAGCCAGTGAAAAGATTCCGCATTAGTCGATTAAAGTGCAGAGGGGCTGTGACTCGACTCCACCGGAACCATTCTTGGCGTAGCTATGACCAGCATGGGCGGAGTTGCCCTACGGTAGCCAAGGTGGATCGAGCAGTGAATGACATTCCGGAGATCGTTTGAGTGACAAAGTCTGACTATGCAGTCCGAGGAAAGAGTGTCCGTCAGAGCCCGTCGCAAACTGCACTGCACACACGCAAGCACAACCTGTAAAAGGCATCCGAACTCGGTAGTGCCTCCAGCACACTCAGTCTGTGCTATAACTGCGGATTATTCACGAAGATCGCACACGCAGCCTTCGTACGCATTCTAAGGTACATATCCGAGCAAGATCCACGAGTGTTTTCATAAGGATGAGTAGCGGGAGGTGAAGAGACAAGTACACGGCAGCATCGCCACTATACGGGGCGTCTAACCACCGGCATTCGCCGCTCTGCGAGGAGAGGCAGCTAGGACCCCTGTTAATCCCCCTCAAGGTCTTAGGCTGGCACGCCCGAATTTTGCGACTTTGGTGAGGGGTCTCTCAGGCCGGATGCCCGAAATTTCGACACTTTGACCTCCGATCCTATGTGCCATTGATGCCCGAAATGTGAAGGTTCTGCGGTAAACTTTGAGGTGGGATGCCCGAATTTCGAGGGTTTCTGATGCTCTTCGTGACGTCGTGGGCTATGATTGGGTATCGAAGGGAAAAAATGATGGGGATCCTCCTGGAAACGCCAAAACTATGTAGGAAAAGTGGTTTTGATTGGCACAACCGCCGAAAATGGGCAGCGGAATGGAGAGCACCCGTTAAGCGCCTAGGATGTGTTATGCGCGGCAGGCCCGAAAACTGACAACATTTGGAAACCCTACAGGCCGGATGCCCGAAAAGTGGTCAAAACGGCCCAAACCCCCATGCCCGAAATTGACCACTCTTGGCATAAGACCTTTGGGGGGACTAGCAGGGGTCCTAGGCAGCTGTGTGTTGATGCGTTGGTGAGCAGAGCTGGCGTCTGAATTCACATATTCCATTCCACTGCACCGAAAAAGCCTCCGACAATGAGTAAAGTTGTATTCGGTATGTCAGCGTGATCCAAAGAACTAAACCATCACTTATATGATGCATTATGCAGTGGGCAATGTGCCATACAACATGGGCGAAGTGAGTGGCGCTATGCAGCGGGCTGACGGCGTGAGCCTGCATCTGACCAGCAACTTCTACCCAGGAACAACTCATCGACGCTTTCAAATCCGTAGGACAAGTGGTTGGATTTAGGTACCGTACCTGGCCATATTCGTGTTCCATCCTTCATTCCATTGAACTTTGTGTAATCCGTTGCCCACGTTGCTTCCGTTGCTCGCCTTGCCATCACTAGATTGGTGTATGACCGAGATACAGGCAAACCAAAGGGATACGGGTTTTGTGAATTCGCCGGTACAGCTTGCTTCCATCCTGAGATAATATCTACCGTGATATCTGACCAGTCTGAACGTCCATGTTACCATTGAATATGTCCCTTACGCCCCTCATCGGTTCGCAACTGCCTCAACACAAATTTGATCGAACACGAAACTTCGACTTTGATGTGTCCGCAACTTCCAACCCATATTGCCCTAATCTGCAAAATGACTCCTGGCACACGCAACAACCAAATTCGTACACGCATTCGAACCGAAACGTTCCGTTGCTTGCCCATTGTTCGCCCAAAATCGTATACACAACCCGACAAATCACCATGACCATTACGAAACCCAAACTTGCATCATCGTCGCGCTGTCATCGTACATGTTGTACTTGGTTTCTTGATGTCGTTGTTCCTATGATTGTCCGCGTGCGTTTCCAGACCACGACACAGCACTCTCTGCCGTGCGCAACCTCAACGGCCAAGATGTCGGCGGTCGCCCCCTTCGTATTGACTTAGCCGACTCGGATCCCTTCCTCGAAGGCAAGACCACTATTCGAGGTGAACTTGTCGATGCACATGAGACAAGAGCACAATGGCGTGAACGTGGAGGTGACCGTGACGACCGTGTCCGAGGTGGCAAAAGTGATCCAAATGCGTTTCTGGCGAGCTTGCCTCCGGGTGTGCCTGTTTCCCCTGGATCGACCGCGTTAGATAGTATCAGCCAGATGCTTGCCACAACGAACCCGAGTCAAATCTTGGAGGTACTTGCGCAAATGAAGGTGCGCCGTCACACGTGGTGCTTGTTGACTGCTTGAATACTGACAAGTCTACGTTTGTAGGCGTTCGTGATCACACACCCCGAGCAAGCAAGAGCACTACTCGTCACACATCCACAACTCGGTTATGCCCTCTTCCAAGCACTACTGCTGAACAAGATTGTTGACCCCGCAATCCTACAAGTAAGCTTATCAACCATTACGTCTTCATTGTCGTACTTATCCCTTCCTTTAGCGAATGCTCAACTCAACAACAGCTTCTCAACCCACAGCACCAGCTGCGGGTCCCGTTCCAAGCGCGCCCCCTGCTCCGCAAGCACACGTCCCTCCACCAGCTCCATACCCTCATGCACCTCCCCATGCACTACACGCCCCTATTCAACATCCTCAACCAGCTTTCGGCCACCCACCTTCCATCTCCGGGGCTCATGGGATGCCTCAAGTAGTCCCAACACCTCCCGTTCCGACACACACACCGTCACATGCGCAACTCTATGGTGCCCCTCCGCCACCTAGTGCTCAGCATATGGGACCTCCTCCGATGCCGTACTATCGTCCGCCTATGCCTGCTCAACATCAACCTCCACCACCTCAACCTCAAATACAGCAACCTCCTGCACAAATACATGCACCTCAAGCTGCTCCGGCTCAGCAAGCACCTTTGCCTATTGATCCAGCTGCTAAAGTAGGTAGTGACTGACTGGTATGGCAGATGTACTGATATGGTGTTGTCCAGGAGATGATTTTGCAAGTGTTGAGACTGACACCTGAGCAGGTTAATCAGCTGCCACCAGTGGAACGTGAACAGCTGAACCAGTTGGTGAGTCCGTCGCCATCTTTCTGTAACATGCTTACTGACTGTGCAATTCAATTTCCAGAGGAAACAATATTCTCACTTGCTGAACGCTGTGTGATTGTGTGTTGGTTGACGTTTGAACTCTAAGCCTTCGTGTGCGATGTGCGATGTGTGAAGCATACCAGCAAATGCATCTCTCAGGCACAAGCTTCCATGTTTCTTGGACCAACTTCAACACGCGTTCAAATCTTCACACCTCATTCTTTTTCTCCTCACAGATTGCGCCATATGGCTTATCATAAAAAGTACAGGACATAATTCACAACTCATCTTGTCGCCAAACCGTCCACATCCACACGATCATATATGACACCTCCCGACACTTACGACGACTTGTTCTTCAAGCTCCTGAACCAGTTTCTTCATGTTCACCGTCACCCTGGACTGCACATGTTTTCGTCCTAGTACCGACACCGACGTTCTTGTGAATTGTGCGCGTTAGCAGACTTGCTGTCTAACTTCTTGTCCAACAACTGTAAAGTATGTAGTCATCAGGTCTTTAGGTTATACTGTAGATAGATGATTCTTTGAAAACAAATGCACGAGGTTATTTCACCATCACTGTTGACGTCGGCGAAGAAAGTGGAAGATATGAGCAGATTGACGAGCTCAGACCACACTCCTTCTACAAATGGCGGCCCCGTGAGAGATCGCTTGCTTTGAATGGTCTCAAGGTTTCCACCCATTCGCTCAGTTTGCCCGCGTTAGTCACTGCGAATGCCTACCCTTTTGTGAGTCCTCAGCTGTCCATCACCCGCTCAATGCCGCTGTTTAGGGCAGGTTGTGTACTAGGTGAGGCTAGTACGGCTCCGGTGCATCCGTATTTCTTCCGCCAACATCGAGTTGCCACACCTCAAGATTGGTGTACACGTACAATATGCATAGTGCCTATCATAGAAGTACAGAACATTCTTCGCAACACACATTTCGTCGTCAAGTTCCATACCACCCACACAAGCACGAATAGCACATCCTGATGTCTATGGTAATTTGTTGTGCAAGCTCCTGCTCTCCTTCAATTGAACCAGCTTCTTCGAGATATCCTCCAACGGAATCATCTCCGCCTTCCCTTTGGTACCAACATCATCGCGGTTACGCGCGTTGACAGACCTACCGTCCAACTCCTCCTGCCCGACAACTGTAAACATAAAAGACACGATCATCAGTTATGTTAGATGTTGAGGTTACCTGGCGAAGCGAGGAAGGAAACGTACCAAGGATAAAGTTGTATTGAGCGATTTCGCCGTTACGAACCTTCTTGGGCAAAGTGTCGCCGCTATTGTCGACATCGGCAAAGATATTGAGACTGGTGAGCTTGTTGGCTATCTCGGTGGCGTACTCTTTCTATAAAGGACGAAAATATTATCAGACAACGCCCTGGATATATGCCCAAGTCTGGACTCACGTATGGACCGGCAACAGGGACGACAAGGACCTGGCGAGGAGACAACCAGAATGGCCTGTCGAAAGAAAGTACATTCAGTTTCAACTCATTTTGATAATCTACTGAAGAATGAATTCACCATTTCCCAGCGAAGTGCTCGGTGAGGATTGCGATGAACCTCTCCAAACTACCCAAGATTGCACGATGGATAATAACGGGTCTCGAAGGAGGTTTATCCTTGTTCTCCGCGTTGTCCTCAGCCGAGCGGTACTTCAAACCGAAGCGCTCAGGCAGCTGGAAGTCGAGTTGGATAGTAGCACATTGGAAGGAACGACGAAGGGCATCACGGATGGTGATATCGATTTTGGGGCCGTAGAAAGCACCGTCACCTGGGTTGAGCTCCCACTGGCCGGGGTATTGCTTCTCGAGGGCTTTCTTGAGTTGCTAAGAGAGTTTCCCCAATTGAAGGTGTGCGATGGTCAGAGACATAAGCAGGACTTACAGCCTCGGCTTGGTCCCAAGTCTCGATGGAACCAAGGTGCTTCTCTGGTCTAGTAGAGAGCTCAAGCTTGAACTCGAATCCGAACAATCCGTAAATACGTTCCATGAAATCAAACAGGGCGTATAATTCTTCTTCAACCTATATATCGCCAGTATCAGCATCTCATCAACTGAAGCTGACGAATGCAGCGATACACATACCTGAGAATGCATGCAGAACACATGGGTATCGTCTTGCACGAACCTCCTCACACGAGTCAAGCCGGTGAGCGCACCAGAGGCTTCGTTTCTATGAATGATACCGAACTCGGCCATTCGGATAGGCAGCTCCTTGTAACTACGATCCCGAGAGTCGAAGATGACACAGTGGCCGGGGCAGTTCATGGGTTTGAGAGCCCATTTTTCCTTCTCGACATCGAGAGCGAACATGTCCTCCCCGTAGTTTTGCCAGTGGCCAGAAGTCTCCCAAAGCTTGGCGTTGTACATGTTGGGGGAAATAACTATGACACCGTCAGAAGAAAGTTTTGCTATATCTGCAATATTTAGTATTCACCTTCCTGGTAGCCGCGTTTGAAGTACTCAGACTATGAGTGAGAGCAACATTGTTAAAGCGAACTTACGGAATACCACAGGAAAGCTGACTTACGCGCATGAGCTCAACGAGGGTATTATAGATCCTGGTACCATGAGGCAAGAAGAAGGCACTTCCAGGACTCAGATCGTTGAAGAAAAAGAGTTCTTGCTCTTTACCGATCTTTCGATGATCGCGCTTCGCGGCTTCCGCCAGGAAAACCTTGTACTCGCTTAATTGCTTCTTGTCGGGGAAAGAGATACCGTAAATACGTTGCAAGGAATCGTTGGTCGGATCACCAAGGAAGTACGAAGCAGAGTTCTGTAATAGCGACGATCAGAGAAACTATACAGAGAGATAACCATGTGTTCAATTAAGGTTACTGTACCTTGGTGAGCATGAAAGCCTTGATTTTTCCCGTATGTGGAATATGGGGACCGACACAGAGATCGATCATAGGGCCGCATCGGTATACAGTGGTAGAGGTGCCGTCAGGTATCTTGGTCTCAATGATATATCTCTTGTACTTGTTGTACTAGAAACAGAAAATGAGGCACGTTCAAGGTAGACCTAAATGTAGGAACGTACTCCGAACATCTCGAGAAGCTTTTCCTTCGAAACAACAAGTCGCTCGAACTTCTGTTTCTCCTTAATGGCAGCGTCAGTGAGTTTTTCTAGGTTGGGGTAATCTGCATTAGTAACAGGTCTGTAAGACTAGGTCAGCTATGGAATTGAGCGAACGAAACAACTACCAACCTATCCTCAATAGCCATCTCATAGAAGAATCCTTCCTCGGTGGGAGGACCAATGCAAAGATGGCATCCGTAGTGACGTTCCGCAGCTTCGCCGAGAACATGCGCCGAAGAATGCCAAAAGACACGTTTACCTGGATGAATAACAGTCAGTGATATCGCGATGGTTCATCAAGTCATGCGTCTTACCTTCGGGATGCTCGAAATCTAGCAACTCAAGAGAACATGACTTCTCCAATGGTCGTTCCAAATCCCAAACATCGCCGTCAACTTTCGCAATAACGATTCGGTCGGCGAGACCTTTTGAAATCTCTTTGGCAATATCCATGGGTGAAGTCTGCCAGCTTGTACCCTTTCGCTTCGAACCATCGGGAAGGGTAACATCGATCTCCTCGCGAGGTTGGGCTGTAAGAAGGCTTCAAAAAGGAGATGCAGCATAGTGAAGCGTGATGGCTCACACTTGACCCATTCATCATACTCTGCTTTCAGCTTTTCAAACATTTCAATACGATGATCGAAGAAAGCCGGTCGAGGCTGAAGCTAGAGCATATCATGGCACTTGAGTTCATGAACTCGTATGAACTGAGAGAAATACAGCACTAACCTCGAGAGGGTGTTCCGACGTGGCAGCAACCTTTGTCTTCTTTTCCTTTGGTTTCTTCGTATCATTGGCATGGGGACTCTTCAGCGCAGAGATCTGCGCAGGTTGAGAGCTGGACGCGACCGGGTGAACGGGGGTGGCCATGCTTTGCAAAGTCCTGGAGAGTGCTGGCAGACGGTGACGATAGAGCCGAGGTGATAATATACAACGTCGAGGTCCTGGTAGCAATCGATTGAAGACTTTTAGCATGCAGACTCTCTATCAGGTGAGCGAGTCACCATAACGTTCTGAGAATATCTTTCACAACTCGATCGATGTTCATCTTATCTTATCTCGCCGGGTACGCTTGCTGTGAAGTTGACCTCGGAAAACAAGAAAGCATTACGATACTATACATAGTCTACTGTATATAAAATAAAATCCAAAATCCAGCCTATGAGCCCTCAAAACCCTCCACTCGCCAAACCTTCAAAACGCCTGAACGATCACCACTTACAATCCCTCCTCGGAAGGGCGACTCGATAGAAACAATAGCAGTGACTGTATCCTGGTGAGCTTTGAGCAAATTCTGTTGGTTATGATTGATAAGAGACAGCCTCTGCGGAGGCCGGTTACTGAGACTGGAATTTGGAGAGTTGTTCCATGTCTCAACATAGGCAGTCGCTCCAGTACTTGACTGTGCTCGGCTAGATCACCGTTTCAGTAAATCTCATCTTCTAACAGACAAGAACAAAACGAACCTGTATCCTGGCTTCTCCATCTCAAGGCCCGGTCCACTGAGAATCGTTGAGCGCTCTGGTCGAGCGAAGTCCCAATACCGCAGCCTTTGGTCTTCCGAGCCAGTCACCATATAGCCTCTTGACGAACTCTTGGATGTCTGCTCAAGCGGTTCTGCCATAGCCGACCTATGGGCTGGGTTGTATCCACCAAGGTCTGTTCCAACAATCATCGCACGAACATCGGGCGACGGCGGATTCGATGTTGGTAAATATTCTCTCGAGGAAATAGCACCATGGCCACCGGACCTACGGCGTGACGCGGCGTAATCAAAGATACCGGTACCATGTTCTTGTCGTGCCTGGACAAGAGCTGCGATAGCTGCTGCAGGACTCATTTCAGGGTCATCTCCAGGAGTTTCGCGTGGTTCTTCAACGGGATCCGAAGTCGATGATGTCCTCCGGGTAGCAAATGTTTCCATGAGCATCGTTCTCTCGATGTCCCACACCTCCACAAGCGTCTGTGATCCTGTCATCACCTCAGACTCGGCATCTGCCTCTCTCGATTCTGTACCGATTGCAACTAGAATCCATCGGCCCTTGCCTTTAGTCGGGTGAAGTAGCGTTTGATATATCCGGCCTGGTCCCTGAAGTGCGACACCTGCTTTCCAACTCTTGATCATGATGCCGAAGCGGAGGTCCCATAGTGAGAGTACACCGGTTGACGTGCCACACACTATCCAAGCGCGTTTCCGATCGAGACACATGGAAGTAATTGGTCCGAAATGCCTCGGGTTCTCCATTGTCTGCAACACACTCATGGTACGTAGGTCCAGAATCGTAATACCACAATGTGTGGTGGCATAGACGAGGTTGGACGATGCATCTACACGAATCATCAGTCAAGGTCAATGATTCAATCAAATTAGTGTTAACACGTACCAGTCATGTAATGCGTCATGCAAGTCACATACTCGCCTGGTCGCTCAAGCCGATGTTCCCTGACAACCTGGAGTTTGCCATACTTCGGCAACCCGCTTCCGGCGCCGCCACCGCTAACATGCACCCTAACCACATGTATACTCCCGTCCTCAGCAGCACTGACGAAACAGTGCGTGGCTTCAACGACACACACAGCCTTGACTTTGGCATGGTGCTGTCCATAGGTATGCCTCGGCTTACTCGTAACATTTCGCTCGAGTCTCGCCGTATCCCAGACTTTCAATGTCTTGTCATCCGAAGCCGAGATGAAGAACATATGGTCGGGGGATATGGCTAGCCCTGTAATTGCGTCAGAATGAGAACTCAAGTGAGCTATAAGGTTAGCCTCAAGTCGACGATGACTGCCATCACGAGAGATATAGCTATGACGGCCGGCATTGCGTCGACGAATGGGTCCTTCATGTACCTGTGGGCCGAAGTCGTTCTGAAGGTCACGATTATTATCGAGGTAGAGATGTTCAAGCATGTTGCTAATGCCTGGTTCATGCCCATCTACATATGAGGCTAAGTTAACAACTACAAAACGTTATTGAGTGAAACTTCTCACCATAGCTCGATATAGGTAAATAAGGCCGTTCCGTGCCACGAATTGTGCCAGCGACTGAGACAGGTGATGATCTGCCAGACATTTCGGGTGAAGCATCCATGCGAATCGTCGAATGAGCATCGAGCAACCCCGTTGCATTAGCCTTCGACGAGCCGACAGCAGGTGCAGCCTTCTGTCCATCACCAGCATGAAGGAACTGCGTCGCACCACGGAAGCTTGAAGACGTGACAGATTCGGAAGGGCTACTTGGTCGCTCAAGAGGTACGTCCGACACAGGGGTGTCCAATGTTGCAGGTAACGGTTGGGGTTCAAGCATAGGCAACATCGGACTGCGTGCATCACGAGCGCCAGGAGATACGTTCAAAGAAGTTGCTGAACTATTGATGATAGCCAGCCTCCTACGTAGATCCTCGAAGGGTGCTGGAACGATTCCAGCCGTATGGTCAATACTAAAAGTACGATTTGAGCGAGGCGTTCCTAATGCTGAGGCTCGAGAAGTGATGTCTGATAGTGGTCTGCTAGGAATGGACAGGCGAGAGGTGCGCGTAGCGATCTCGTCTGAAGGTGTTTTCAGGAAGATCGTTTGTGGGGTAACACCTAGTTTCTGGAGTTCAACCGCATTCGTGGTCTTGAGATTCTCCGATTCTGGTTCAAGACTAATCCTGGATGCAAAACTGGAAACACTTCTAGCGAGCTTCAGAATATAATCACGCATGGCCATGAGTTTGGCCTCGTCACTGGACGTCATTCCGAGTGTTTGCAATTTCGCCAATTGAGCCTCATCTCTGAAGACTGTCATGAGCGTCGTCAAACACCACGGTTATTCGTATACTCAACTCGTCCGACCTTGATCGAGCACCGACTCCAGCTACACGTACTGCAGCTAAACTTTCCCTCGGCGATTCTGATTTGGCGGTTCGATGGGATCGCCAGAACGGTGCTTTCTCAGCTTTCATCGCCCACTGAACCGCCGCATCGAAGACTTGGCGAGACAGCTACATGTACCTATATCAGATTCGTGACACTACTGGACTCAAATAGACACATACCGGAGGCTTCATAGCCATCAATAGGCTTCGCTCGTCGACCTCTCTCACCTCGGATCGCAAGAAGTACTTCAGAGAAGGGTACAAGATACACCAAACATCACTCGGAGGCAAGTGCTTAGCGGCAGCGGCAAGGAATCCAGCAGCACCTATAGAGCAATCTTATTAGTGAATGGCTCGATATGAATGTTACAGCACAAACCTTGCCTTATCCAAACATTTGGGTGGTACAGAAAGCCGAGGGTAGCACTCATGAGCTCCCAGATCTTCATCTTCTGGAAAAGCCCGAGTTCGCACAAACTCGTGAGTGCTGCGAGCACTTTGGCGACAATAGTCTCTTCCACATCTAGGACAGTATCAGTAGTGCCGATGTAGGGTGCGCGCCTATAATGAAGACTCACCGGAAAGGGCTTGGATCATTAAGGGCAAAATGTACTCCTCCAGACTGCGACCTCCAGCACAAGCAGCAACGTCGACTATACAGTCGAAAAATGCATATCTCAATAACCACTCTCGGTCATTGAGGTAAGTGATCATATGACTGAGCAGAACGTCGTTCGTCCGCTGTCGGCCCAAGAAGATGCAAAGAGCGGAAATGTTGTGCAAGACTGCCCGTTTGACGACAGGTGATGAGTCGACCAATAGATTCGTAAGATGTTCTTGGATGGCAGTTTGTAGCTCCAGCAGTGATGCATCATACGAAACCTGATATGATGTTCTGGTGTGAGCTGAATAAACGGGCCTCATCAAACAACTCACCTCGAAATGCGCTTCGTCATACTCCTGCCCTTCACCCACGCCACCACCTAAACTGTATGCACCATGTGCTCGAAGAGCCTGTCCCATCTCCAGATACCTGACAGCAGTGTCGGCCAGTGCTACGACGCATTGTGCATACATACAACGTACGGATACCTCAGGATCGCGAACTAAAGGAGTCAGTGCAGGAATTATGTATTCAGGGAAAATAGAGGCGTTGGATGGGGTGATGACGGTGACCAGCATGAGCTGTAGATGATAGTTAAGTCAAAAGACATGTCAATGTGGGACAAGAGGTACGTACAATCTGCATCAAAGTTCGAATGGCAGCACTCCGTACCGACGGTGAATCGTCACTGAGCAATTCAACCACATACGGCACCATGCGATCAAGCTTGGCTTCGTCGGTAAGGTGAGGCGCGAGAGCTAGGAAGACGTCCAAGGCTTTCCGTTTGGATGAAGGAAGTGAACAGGTGCGAACGTTGGCTGTGACGAGTGCGAGAAGGATCAAAGCAGGCCCATCTATGTAGTCACGAACGTAAGGACTGTATACGATGTCTTGGATTGACGACGCGTACCTTCATATGATGCGCGTTTGCCACTTGCTATGCCTTTCAGGAGGCTACTCTCACGATTCGGAATATCTAACTCAACGGGGAAGATGTCCTGTCCTACAGTGAGACCACACTCAACAATTCAATTCCCAAGACGTACCTGTAGGGGCTTTCCCAAGATTCCTGCAGATGGATTGGCGTAGTCTACTGCGACAGGGTCCTTCACAGTCTTCTCTGGGTATTCTCCATCATCCGAGGGATTCGGCAAGATATAAGGCTCGAGACTCTCATAGTCAGACCAGATCCTCTCCATTCGATGATCGGAGTCACTTGGGAGTGGCTCGGTGAAGACATCTCCTGCGCCCACGCCTACAACTACACCACCAGACGTTGTGGTAGTGACAGCAGTCTTAGCGACTGTAGGCTGTGGAGATATGGGAGTTGCGGCAGCACTTTGGAGGTGAGACTGAGAAGGGAAGTTGAAAGGAGAGGCCGAGGAGAGTTCATTGATGGATGCGACATAGTTGTGCAGGAATGAGTAAAAGGACTCTGGGAAAACAGTCCCTCGCGCTGAATGGAGAAGGGAGTCGAATGTTGGCCTTTGGGAGGGGTCGATAGAAATCATTTGCTTGATAAGAGACTGGGAAAAGGTCAGGAATTTGAACCAGGACTGCAGTAGCTACGTGACTTACCCTAACGCCTTCGTCATCAACAGCAGACAATTGAGGGTCCACGCTCAGTTCACCTTCCCTATACTTGAACAGTTGACTGAGGGTAAACAACGGAGCACCCTCCAGGAACAATTCCGCTAAGACGCAACCTGCGCTGAAACAGTCCATAGCTTCCGTCACCTTAACCTCCCTCTTGCCTTCACCTTCACGTTCCTTCTCCTTCTCGCGTTTCAATGCAGATTCCGGGTTAGAGTCTGCAGCATAGAACCTTTCGGGGGCAATATAGCAAATTCTGCGACCACCGGTATCGAAGAAGAAAGAGAAGTCCGCTGGATCGTCTAAGGGAAGGAGAGCAGGTTTATGTGGCGCGAAGTCTGAGAGATATAACCAGTTCCACGATGTTATGAGAATGTTGGAGGTCTTGAGGTCCCCATGTGAGACCTTGCGATTACGCGCATCGCGAAGTGCGGTGAGCAGCTGAAATGCCAGCCATTTCTTCTCGATCGGAGACAGGAACGGACGGGTGCTAAGTACGGATTGTCATGAATGTTAAGTAGAATAGCTAGAGAAAGGACGTACCTGATACGGTCATAGAGACTGCTTGCAACCCATTGCCTCACAAGGTATCCAGCCTTTTCTGTCTCGTGAAACGCTTGGTAAGTATACACATTAGGAATATCCGCTAACGCGTCGCTTTCAACTGCATGGTCACTGTGTTAGGGTGCTGCGTATGATGCAAAACTTAGAACACATACGTACTCTTGAATCGCCTATGATACTTCCTGAGGGATAAGCCAGGGTCTGGCTTGATGAATATTTTCACAACAAGATATCCATTCTTGTGACGACAGCGTACAGTCTTCAGAAAACGTGCCGAACCAAGACTAATATAGGAGACTATAAGACGAGAACAGGGTAACATTAGGTAGACTTCTCACCTGCGCTCATAGACGATATCTGATCCTAGTTCTGTAACAAAGGAGTCCAAGGCTCCGCTTGTACGTGTCAACGATTGCGCATTCCCCATTCCATATGTTCTAATCAGTTGAGGTATGGTATGCGAGAGTAAGAGGAGAGAGCGCAAGCACTTGACTGTGCGCGATCGGCGCGTGTTGCTGAGTTCATGGGCGCCTAGACCGCTAAGTACTATCCTCTGGATCAGTGGCCTTCACTAGTGCTTCACTTCCGCTGCAGGGCCACCTTCCGGCATGATTGCTTTGGAAGAGGGTCATTGTCGAAATCACGTGTGCTATGTAGTATCCATAGGACTCTTTGTACTTCTATGTTGTCGTGTGTATTCATACTCGCAATCACAGTGCGTTCGAAACGTAGTAGCAAATGGTGGCAGCAAGCTGAGAAGCCGAATACTTACACAAACTACTTGGTCTTCACACAAATCCCTCGTTAACATTCACTCTTACGTTGTTGTCTAAAGTGTTTGCCGTTTGCTGGTAGGACAATGTCAGTTCTAAGTTATGTGATCCCAAGTATCTAGTTACGAGTACCAAGTTGCTCGAGCTGAGACAGCTCTTAAATCAAGAAAAGAGAAAAGTAAGAAGTCAATTGAGAGACAACAGAGGGAATATAACAATACAAAAAAAGCAGAGCAAATTATGTAGTAGAACAACGCATAACGACAAATTACAATCCAACATAGCAGCAGCAAAGCAGAAAAGCGTCTAAGCTTCCGCGGAGTTATTGGCCAATCGAGTATTCACTTTATTTCGGTGTTGACGGTTTTTGAGATGGACTTCATAGTTGGTCAAGGTCTCTCCAGGACCAGGGGTATATAGCTACGTGACACCAAAAAGTAAGTAACTCGCACAATAATTTTCAAACGAGATCGCTGGCTCACCTTTCCGGGACAATCCAAACACCTGATCCGCCATTCAGGTGTTGGGGAGGTGGCCACTCGACGAAGAATGACCTCGAACAGATCATCAGGGTAGTTCGCCTGCATCTCTTGCATCGCAGCTCTTAGCCATTCAGGCGCTTGCTATTTGCATGGTACCATTAGAATCTCGCTACTCTTTATAGTCTACGTCTTCTACTCACTGGACGAGGTCCAACGGCAGCAGGAGGTGTTGTTGGGGATGATCCTTTAACGGGAGAGGTCTGTGATTGCTGTTGAGGTGACGCAGACGAAGGCTGTGCGTCTTGGCCTGTCTGTGAAGGTCCTGCAGCCTCTGCGAGCGAGGGCTTCGAGGTGTGATCTGCGCCATTAGGTTTCACTCGCTGGGAAAGAGGTGGCTCCGAAGCACTGGAAGCAGTAGAAATAGGCGAGACAGCACGTTCTCGCTCTTCCTTTGGACTGTTAAGCTTGCCCGAGGATGCCGGTGGTGCTTCCACCCAAACCTCAGACTTCGCCTTCGCAGGCGTTTCCGGCTCAACCGTAGCAGCCTTTGAAGAGGGAGCCTCCGTATTGGCAGCATGAGGACGCTTTTTCCGATTCGCAGCAACCTTGGCTTGTTCCTCCTCCCTCTTGAGGTTTAGATGATACTCAGGGTCGGCATTGTATACCACCGGACGGGGTCTACGATGTCTATGCCAGAATTTACCTGCGAAACAGAGAGACCGATGTCAGCATCACGATCAATGCCCTGAAATGAGAAGGACATACCGCAAGTACCACACTGCGACTTATCTCCAAGCGGGCCTTTCCTACGCCCAATAGCGATGTTCTCAGGACATCCACAATTGGAACAATGCCAAACACCATTGATCATATTCGCATGCTGGCCATCCGCGAACTCCTTTTCCTTCGCTTCCCTCTCCAGCTCCTTCACCCGCTTCGCGCTAAGCATAACTCTAGCACCTCGGTTCTCAAGGTTCCCACTACTAGAGGGCAGTGGCAAGTCGTTCTCAATCGGAGGTGATAACGTTGATGGGTCCGCAGCAGTAGAAGGTGTGGGCGCCTTGACATGAGCACGAGGACGCAGGACAGATGACGGGTACGAAGGCGCTTTGAAAAGACCTTTGGGTTTCTTCTCTTTGGCTGGTGCTGGCGCAGTGACCTGAGGAGTGAGCGGGGTCTGAGGGTTGGGCAAGACAACTGTGCCATTCTCCGACGCCACCATGTTCGCAATGGTGAGAGAAGCGGCGGCAGCAGCAGCTCTCCTTGACGTAGGCGCGGCAGCAGCATTAACGATTGCAAGTGTGGCAGCGTCGATCTCTGGGAAGCCGATGGCAGGGGTGCGTAGCGTCTTGGGAGGTTCGCGATCAGGAAGGATGACTCCTCTCCTACCACGAGTCGTCTTCCTGCGTCTGCGATTGAGCTCTTTCTCACGCTCCCTCTCGTTCCGCTCAATTTCACTCTCGCTGAGTAGGTTGAGTAGAGGTGTGAAAGCGCCGACTTGCTCCATGGAACGAGCGCCTGTCGAGAGAGATGGAAGCAAGGACATGCGCAAGTCGTCATCTTGAAGCGGGGTTCCGTCAGAAGGATGGCCGACGAGGAAGAGCGACTTCTGATATATCTGCACTTGCTCCCTAATTGAATGAGCAATAGCAGTTCTATCCAACGTGAAGAAAAGTCAGCAAAAAGATATTTCTGCAGTTGGAAAGGGAAAGCCTATGCGTACTTGAATTCGCCTGCCAATCCCAACTCTTTCGCATATACGTCCGCAAAGAGCTCCGGTGTGGGGTCTTCATTCTGTAGGTCCCATTCAAACTGGTCTTCCAACTTCACAGAACCGACAATGATATCAAGCTATCACAAAAAGAAAAGAAAAAGTCAGCATATAGAAAGCAACACGCGACATCAATCGATACGGAGAAAAGCCTACCTTGATGAGAATACGCAACTCCTCGTTCATCTTACTCTCATCCTCTTCAAAGTCATCGACCGACATCGGCACGTCCGTACTCGCAGCCGACAAACTCTGCTTGAGGACTTCAGGCGTCTCAACCGTTTCGTCCTTGACGACTTTGCGTCGTTTCCGACTCCGACCTTCACCACCTCCAATCTGCTTATAGCCAACATCGCTTCGGACTTCATTGCGCCACGTCTCCCACCAAACAACCTCAACATCATCCAATTTGCCCTGTTCGACGATATCCTCAACTGGACTATTCAGCGACCCGTCCTCGCCAAATGTAGTAGAATGCGCTTTGAAGTCGCTGAGCTGATCTTGGATAGCCTTCGTGATGATGGAGTGGAAGGTTGGTGCGAGACTATAGTCATCCACGATCGATTGAGCGAAGACCTCTGGTGTGATGATCGGGTCTAGTCGGAATGTTTTAGTTAGTATCATGCGTCTACAGGGAATACAACAACGTGATTGCGTTACTAGTGTTACACTCACCATTCAAGTTCCATACAAATGTATCTCGCATCTTATGATGCTCGACGTCGAGCTCGAGTCGAATGGGGACAAGCTGCTCCCGGCGTTTCGCATCTTCAGGATCAACGATTCTCGGCCTGCGCAAAAAGGAAAGAAAATGGTCAGACTTCGTCCGTTAAACAGCACGCACAAAATCAAAAACTTACAATTTAAACCCCTCGCGCTTCCCAGCTTTCCGCACCCTCCTATCATCCTTCCCCTTCATCCCAACCAAACTCAACTTCTCACCAGGCTGCTGCCTCCGTCTCGCATTCAACCCCCTCATCTCATCCACACCCGCCTGACCCTGACCCTGGGCATCCTTCTCCCACCACGCCCGTCCCTTCGCGATATTCACCCTCACCTCCTCATTCATCCTCTCCTTCATCTTCCTATACGTCTCCCCATACGCCTTATCCATCTCCATCCATTTCTTCACATTCGCAATCTCATCCACCGAAATAGGAGGTATCAATTTGAGAGAATCGATAAGCGGAACGGCAGTGATGTTCGTCACGGCTGGGTTCAATCTGAGGCCCGCAGGGAGAGGTGCAAGTTGTCTAATGATCTTCGTTCCTCCGGGAGTAGTACCACCCCCAGTCGAGCCTGATGTAGGAGGCACGCTAGCCGAAACACCATTGGTACTCGGAGCACCAGCACCAGTCGTTCCATTGATCGAGCTCATCTTCCTCTCCAACATCCCAACGCTCGGGAAAGGCGAAGAATTGGACGTAGCAGGAGGATGATGCATGCTAGACGAAGCACCCTGAGGCGGCTGAGAGACCTGCCTAGCTTGTTGTGGCGTCGAGGGTAAAGCAGGGATGTCCATTCCGGCCGTTGCAGACATATTCGGCAACGTCGGGATATTCATAGGCGAAGATGCAGTAGGAGGTGTAGGCATCAACGCCTGAGCAGGATTCGGCACGTTCATCATCCCACCTACACCTCCACCAGGCACATTGGTATTCACAGCCAAACCATTAGAAGGAGGAGGAGGGACTGAAGCTCGATTGTGGGCCATAACAGGTGTATGCGGGACCATCCCCATCCCCATCCCCATCCCAGCACTAGCATCTGCACTCATTTGTCTCTGCAGTCCAGGTGGAGGAGGAACGCCATCAAGACCTTGCTGTTGCTGTTGAGGCGGTCCTTGAGACGTAGATCGAGGGAAGTGGGGAGGACCCATCGGACCTCCCATCTGACCTAAACCCATATTCGCCATGTTCATGTTCATGCCGCCGACGTTGCCCATGGCACCCATTCCTCCCATCCCAGCCATACCCATGCCTCCCATACCTCCCATCCCACTCATCCCGCTCATTCCGCCACCCATGGCCATTCCGCGCATATTCATATTCCCCTGCCCAACATTCCCCATAATACCCATCCCAGCCAATCCAGTTCCAGTCGCACTCCCAGGTGGCCCTCCACTCGCAGTCGAGCTAGGTCTCGGACCAGGCGTCGGAACACCCGCAGAGATACTCGCCGTATTCGGTGGTATAGACGCGCTTCTCTGCAATTGAGGCGCTTGGAGTTGCGGCTGTTGCTGTTGCTGTTGCTGCTGTTGATGGCCTTGGTGAACTTGCTGAACGTGCTGAGCTTGCTGGGCGTATTGTGGTAGCTGGCCAGGAGGAAAATGTCCAGATTGAGGTGTCTGAGGAACAGGCGTCCCAGAAACCCTCCGCTTCCCCGCAATACTCCCAACACCTCCTCCGATCCCACCTGCGCTAGTAGGCGTCGAAGGCGCGGGCGCAATAGCCTGATACCCCGGCGCCTGACCCTGCTGTTGCATTCCATGCTGTTGTTGTTGTTGCAGTTGCAGTTGTAATTGTTGCGACGGGTTCGGAGTAGCATTGCCTCCATTAGGCTGTTGCTGCTGTTGTGACATGGAGAACTCTGGTGGCACAACAGTCGGCGGTCGACTAGGTATCCTCTGTCCTTGACCTGTCCCAGGTCTCGGCGCAGGACTCGCTCGAGCACCCATACCCCCCATTCCACCCATCCCACCCATACCCATATTCATCATAGGCGGTCTAGGCTGGATCGGAATCGGCGTCGGCAACGCACTCGTATGACCTCTCGGACTATTCTGATGCTGCTGCTGCTGCTGCTGCTGTTGCTGGTGGGCTTGAGCCTGAGCTTGCTGTTGCGCCATAGATCCACTCGGTCCCCCACTAGTAGGTGTCTGTCTTCCCCCTGCATGCGGTATACCTCTCGAAGGACTCCCCGCTGTACCAGGCCTTGAACTCGGCGCTGTACCAGGTTGATGCTGCTGTTGCTGCTGCTGCTGGAGATGAGGTTGTCCTTGAGACGGGTGCCCGTGTTGTTGTTGTTGCTGCGCGAACCCAGGAGTAGACCCTGCCGTACCAGGTCGAGGGGAAGGCGTCGGACGAGGTCCTGGTCCAGGAGCTACAGTCGGCGGACGAGGGGGTATACTCGACGGTGGTGGCATCATCATATTTCCCATCCCAGGAACCGGTATTTGCGAAAGCCCAGGGTGGGGATGTCCAGCCGAACTCGACGGTCGATGTTGACTGTGACCATGCTGCTGCTGCAGCTGCTGTTGGTGCTGGTGCTGGTGCTGTTGTTGTTCACGCTGCATACTGATCTGAGCCATTTGCGCGTTCGTCATCTGCGCCATCCCGCCCATACCCATACCAGACATATTGGCGTTAGCGCCCATACCGCTCGCGAAGTTCATGTTCATCGCCGCGTCTTGTCCCATTCCACCGGTCATGCCTGACATGTTGCCCATCGGGCCCATGCCACCCATCGCCCCAGACGAACTCATCTGATGCTGATTTATCTGGTTCATGTTGTTGAACATAAGTCTCTGCATGAATTTGTGTCTTTCTTGTTGCGGCAGTGAGTTCAACTGCTGCATCTGCATCGGGTTCAAGTTCAAATTCGGCAAGTTCAATTGATGTGGTCCTCCCCCGCCTCCTTGCTGAGCATGGGTGGTTTGAGACGGGTGTGGATGTTGTGTCTGCGATGGGTGAGACGGGTGCTGTTGTGGATGGAAACCCTGAGACGGTGCTTGTGGTTGGTGCGGTTGAGATTGAGCGGAGAGGCTTGGTGTTGGCGGCGCTGTGGTACCTGACGAAGGAATCGGCGGTGACGATGAGGTGGGTACTGGCAATAGAATAGTCGTTAGCAAATCATGTTTCAGAATACGTAAATCAAAGAGACAAGAAGTATAGGCTGAATAAGAAAAAAAGGAATTCTTGAAGAAATGAAAAGCGGAGATGATTGAAAGAGCGCGAAGCAATCAATGAAACAAGTAATGGATCGCGCAGTCTTTTGAAGGAAACATAAAGCCCTTAAGCGATCGACGAATGAAGTGTCAAGTGTCGGCAGCGAAGGCGAAAGTACTTTCCGCCAAGAAGTTGAGACCAGAACGAACGGGAGAAGCACCAAGCGAAAGAGAAAATATAACTCACCTCCACCGGTACTTGAAGCCGTCAACGCGGCGGGATTGATGCCCATGCCATTCATCCCCATACCACCCATCCCACTCATTCCACCGGAACCATTCATGCCCATGTGATGTTGGTTCAACAACTGTGTCGGGTTAATTCCACCCATTCCACCTCCACCTCCACCACTCATACCTTGGGCGCTCATACGCTGCATTTGTTGCATTTGCTGCTGCAACTGTAGTGGCGACATGTTGGACATATTCATTCCAGCCATACCGCCTCCACGACCGTTCATCAGTGCGGACGGGTTGATCCCACTGGGATTAAAGGTATTCTGCTGCTGTTGCTGTTGTTGTTGCATCAACTGCTGAGGGTTGAACCCCCCGCCGCCGCCGCCGTTTGGCTGGTTGCCGTACTTGGCGGCGTTTTGAGCGAGATACATCTGTTGGAGCTGGCCATAGTGCTGAGGGTTGTGCTGCTGTTGAGCCTGTTGTTGGTGTTGCAGCTGCTGAGGGGTGGCCGGGGCGTACAGGCCAGGGTTCGATTGACCCTGGGGAACGTTCATGATGAACGCTATACGTGAATCGACTGAATAATGGACGCGACGGAGCCGTTATGGCCGACGCGTAAAGGTCTACATGACAAAGGGTCAGTCAGTACGCGACTCGAGAGGGGACACGCAAAAGAAGGGGAAAGGGACACGTGACAAAGGAAATGCGAAAAGGACGGTGGAAAGGGAGCGGGGAAAGGGAATATGAAAGGGCAGGAGGAGGGAAAAAGCTTACGGCGGGATGCGTTTGTCGGAAGAGGAGAGGGGACGGAACGGAGGCAGGACAGGAGGGCGATAATAGAGAGATGGTGATGCCAGATGATAACAGGGCCTGACAGAGTGCCGAGACGCTGTGGGTGTTCTTGGACTCGAGCCTTTAGAGAGCCCGGCTATAACGAGAAACGCAGAATTCGAATGTCGACAGAAAGGCGTACACGAGGGTGGATCCCAGGCCAGAGGATCAATCAGCCGAACGGAAGCCTGGTTGGCAGAAAAACCGAGTCCGGCAGTAGATAGGACGGTCCTGGAGCGGTGACCAGGCTGGGTGACACAACGGTGTCTGCCTGCGTGAGTATGAGCCGATTCTCTCTTCAACGTTGCCTCGAAACAATGCAAAACCAGGGTCAAGGGCGACTGTCACGCTGTCACGCTCTTAAGACGCCCACCCCCGCCGTCGCTTACCGTGCGCTGCACATCGCCGGCGATGGACACAACAAGGTGAGGAACGGCGGGGGCAGCGGCGGGAGGTGGACTTGGGCATTGGGAGGTAAGCGGATGCGAGTCTAGCCAAGCAGGCAGGGCGTATGTAACCTCTTTCTCCCCCGGCCTCATATAGCGCTCCTCAGATCGGGATCTCAGATCATCCTCTCTCTCTTCCATCCCACAGCGTCGGCCCCCTTCTTCTCCCTTTCTGCTCTCTCGCCTGTCATCCAATACGTCTCCAGCTATGCCCAGCATTTGTCCCACTCGCGGGCCCTTTTCAATCGGGACAGGGGGGATTCTCCTTCACCGCCGGTTGCGCAACATCTTTTTTCATTCCCCCTCAAGCGACAGCTTCTTTCCGTCTCGATCATTCTCGAGCAACATCGTCGCAACCCTTTCTTCACTGAAGCTTCACCTGTGCACCCGTCGCCACTCCTCGCTGGCTCTCCCCGTCTATCGCCCTTTGCCGTGACATTGCCGCATCTGTCCTGCCTGTACAGCAAAGTGAGCCGTCCCGGTCTCTTTTCTCATGTGAAACGCAATGAGAGTTTGTCAAATCTATATATTTCACGAGGTACTCAAGTGCGTCTGTAGCGAGGCTTTTCCCTCGATTTGCCAACTAGCCATTCTCATCTGCTTCGGCTATGACGTATCTCTCTCCTTCTCAAGGCGTCTGATCGTACGGCCGTGCCATCCTTACTCGGACGTCGTCTAGAACATCTCGATTCCGGGTGCGCTTTGTCTACAGTTGCAGCTGTTTTTCATCAAGTTTCATGGCAGAGTACCGTCAACAGGATGTTTTCGAGATGTTTCACCGCAATCGCAATTGGCGAAGACATCTATTTGAGCATCCAGACTCGTGCATAAATAGTTGTCTTCTCCCAGTGCTTTACGGAGGTGGACCTCTCTGGAAACATTACGTACGCCAGCGGAGCACTCAATACTCAACCGTGAGCATCTCCGCATGGCCCTCGCATCCGATGAGCTCAGTTACAGTCACTTTCTCTCCGTTTGTTCATCTTGACACTCAAGTTATCCGCCGATGCCTCCTTGCAAATAAAGACCTTCATCTTTGTGGTTCTACAACGATGATGCTGCTATCTGACGTTTGATACACTTCAACTCACACCTAGTACATGTCTACATGTATGTCAACCAAGGTCGTGCCCCAACGGTTTGATAACATGCACTGAGCTTGCGTTCATCGCAAAATCACTCCAATAGCCATCATGAAGATAAAGGTTCGTCACATCCGTTACGCTGCACTTATCTCGAATCATATTCCCACCTATTTTTATGCACAGAACGTATCATGCTCACTCCGATCCTATCTACGGAGCTATCAACAGATTCTATCCTTTTCTACTTGGACAATTTATATTTGTGACCTTGAATCATGTTATTAGGTTTACTGGCGTTCCGACATATACGGCCATTGTTGACCTGAAATACATATTGTCGGAGTGATCCAATTAACTCCAGGGAACATGATTAGCACTTTGCTCACTCAAGCCGAACCTCCCTCACATCTTCAAGGTACTATGACAACGTCTATGCAAGTTATCAACTGAATCGAGAATGGGATGTCGAACTTCCACCTTCGCACGCACGAACGTAGTACAAACATGCCCAAACACTTCATAAAGGGCTGCTGAATCTTATCGAAGTCCGTAAGATCGTCGCCTCTATTTCTACTCTTCTCCCTTAGGCCTTATCCTTTGCCATACGTATCACAGAACATTCAATATTCAAAGCTCACTGCATACGCGAAGCCTTGCTGACCCCTGCGCAAGTTCTGGAGACCCAGGGCTTGCGTGTGCCGTACTCAGTTCGAGCGCTGGGAGAGTGCATTGACAAGGATTTACGCCACATCTGATTCCTTCTCAATTCACTTTTCGCATCGCAGCGCGTCAAGCTCGCGGTTGACGTACATAGTGTGGAATAATGGTCCCAGTGCCAGCCAGGTACACTCAAGGGCCGAAGAGGAGGAGACGGGGGCGACTTACTATGCCGCCAAAACAAAGACGGAATCGGGTCGTACTGGATGAAGGCGACATTCCGATGAAACAGTTCAAAGCATTAAAGGTGGTCCAAGCTGCTTGCCTTCCTGTGAAACGTGATGAGAAGGAGCGGCCTTATTATACTTACTTCTACCCCGGCGATGAGTAAGTCAACGCGTTTTGGTTCTCTTTCGTTATGCTCATTCAAGTTCGTGTTTGTGTATATGTAGCGTGATCGTTAAGTCTGAGGATAGCGCTACAGAGAATGAATGGGTGGCGAAGATTGAGGAGATTCGGATGCAAACCGAAGGACCCTACTTCCTCGTATCTTGGTACTTCTCTGCCCACGACATCGTCGAGCGCATCAAGGCTTCTTATTGCCAGGACGACACTTCGGATTTCTGTCATCGCTTGGTGTCGTCTGAACATAACAAGATTCTTGACTTCTTGGCGAAACAGACTAACACTAATGAGAGGTATTTGTCGAATGAGAAGCGGACTCTCTGGTGGGAAACGATGCTAGGTCAGTCTCGCGTCTTTCTCGGCGAGGCGTGAATATGGGACCTTTCTAATTGTCTGCTTTGTACAGAGGTGATAAGCGTGCTTCACTATGATGAAAGTAGTCTGGATCCTCCGCAGTTCACTGAAGAAGACTTCTTCACACGTCGTAGTTTCGACCTTACGACGACGCTACTGAGCGTAAGCAACCATTTTATCCTCTGACTTTAGCTTTTGCAATCTCGCAACCTTAACCTCTATATGTTGTCACAGCCGGGTCTCGATGAAAACGCATGCACTCTCTGCCACGAAGGCTACGACCCATTCCCTCTCGAGACACTTTCCGGTAGAGATTCAGACTCGGGATACTCCAGGAGCCCAGACACCAACAACTACGACCCACTACACTTCTGTCCCAATCCTACCTGTCGGAAGTGGTACCACCGTCAATGTCTCCTCGCGGAACATACAGAGCATCCTTTCACACCTTTCATCGGTGCCAGGCCTATCCGACTCCTCGCAGTAGACCCCGACGCCCCAGAACCACATTTCGAACTAGCCAGGTTCACCTACCCAGTGCCCCCTCGTGGAAAGTTCTCGCAAATGACTCTCGACGCCGAACCACGCTGGGACTCCGTTCTCAAGAAACTCACTCATCTACCACCCGGACTCGTACGTATCGCACAACAACCTATCGTCAAACGAGCCGGAGAAGGGACGGACAGTGTCTTCGGGAATTTGAAAGACGTTGTTTTGGCTAGGAGGATTTGTTATCAAGAGTTGGAAGGAGGGGTGGAGAATGTGGTGGATGAGGTGACGACGTTGTTTGCGTTGCTTGATGGTGAAGATGGTGAAGAGGCGTGGAGACAAATTTGGCATACGCTCGACACGAGGATGCGGCCTCTTGCGAGTCCTTATACGCCATACTGGGATAACCTCCTCTTGAATGGCATCCCTGATGATGCGAGCTTTCCGACTGTGACGTGCCCCAGTTGCCAAAGTGCTATATGATTTTTCTAAATCAGATTGTAACTATGTCTGTCTTGTATTTCTTGCTGTGTTGTTGCTTTCTTGGTTTGCCTTCTTGGTTTTATATGTCGAATATGTGATCTCACCTTTGTATAGTATGTGCTCATGTTGATATCGCTGTGAAATGTCCCCCACCCCCACTCCCATTGTGTAATTTTTTAACCATGTACATTACTATGACCACATCTACGCGCCCTACATGCTATGTCGACTTCCCATCTCCTCCTGTTGAGCCTAAACCTTCGACCTTACCTTCCAATTGTGGATGCACACCGAGTGTAGCGCCCTCGGCAGGCACCGGGACGCGCACAGAGAGCGTCACCCACTCGACGAGCATCCATTTCATTCAAAGTCAACTCTCTCTTTCCTGTCGTCTTTACTAGACAAACTTATTGCCCACGATGAGGCCCACCGCTGTTAGGATGAGCGACATGCCCGGCCGTAAGTTTCAACTTAGAATGTTGGAATTCAGGATATAATATTGACCTGTTTTGTTTTGCCTATAGCCAGAGTCTACGTGAGTACCTACACTCTTTAGGTCCTTCGAAGAACACGATGCGACTCGTTATTCGCTTCATCGATATTGGCCTTGGACTGCTTTGCAATGGGACATGTACTGACTCTGATTTGCGTAGAACTTGTGGTGGGGTGACAAGGGCAACGCCAGACTGAAGGGTGTCATTCAATATAGTGCGTTTCATCCGTCGTCTCTACATAAGTTTGCAATGCTCAATGTAATATACATATACTAGGCTTGACCCCTACTCGTCAGCGTGCCACCCACAACCTTATTCGCAGCTACCTCTTCAACGGGTATCGTCGTTTATCCTCTCAAGTCGGATACTGGATCATCCCTTTCGCTCTCGGTATGTCCCTGTTGTTTGTTTTATCGTGGCGGTAACTCTGAATGCGGTCATAGGCTATGGCACTTACACTTGGGCGAAGAGCTATGATGAATGGCAAAACAGCAAGGCTGCACACGTCGCTGGCCACGGCTCTCACTAATCCTAGATGTTGCAATATATATTTGGATATTAGCCCCTGCACTACATGTTTGTGGGATAAATTCTAGGAAGGAGTCATGCAGCTTCTCGCGTCTCGCGTCTCGCTTTGACTTTCGATCTTGTATCTCCTGATCTTAACGATTGAAAAACACGCTTTATCTCAAAGTATGCATTGCTTTGGATATAAGTAGACCTCACCAGGAGGTCCTGCAGACCCCTGAGCTTTTCCTTCCACGACAACTCCCCGTACTTCCCCCCCTTCCGGGCAACAAATATTGCGATGTCGATTAACATGAATTTTGCGGGTCAGGCGACCGTATTCAATGCAAGTCTTGCGCAAATCGTATTTCGTAGCACCTGCATTGGGAGACGTTGGACCTCTCGAGTTTGAGTATTAAAACTGGAGGTTCCTTTGAGTAAGCTGCCTTCTGTTCAATTAGTTTGTGTCGCAAGAAGCTTGAGTCTCTCTGTGATCGCGGGCGCTTGGCACAGGAAACATACGCAAACACGGGTCCACGCCTAGATACGTGTCTTCCACTTACCGTCATCTCGCAAGGGTCAGTATGTTCGAAATGATGGACACTGAAGCCTTGAGCTAACAGAATGGCTGTATACTTTGCATAGATGATTACACATGCAACACTTTACAACCTTGCCAATTCTCTTGGCGCCCTCGCCATGCTCGTTGTGGTAGCATACCACTTCGTTGCGGTCAACGCTCGGGAATTGGCTAAGAACGAGAGCGGTGCTCAATCATAGAACTCCGAAGCCGAATGTGTTCCTATGCGTATGTAAACACACTATTTGCACCGTGTCTAGCTAATGGTGCTTCTCGCCACAGGGATTATTACGTTGTTGTGTACACATTTCCGTTGCTATTGCAGGACAATGAACTCATTCGTTCCCGTCCATGCTATCGTTATCGGACTGACATGTATCGAGTAAAAGGTCGTCGATAGATAGCCCATGTGGTTCTATCCTGATCCTCTTCATCATGCTATACAAGGCATGGAAGTTAATGTCGACAGGGAAGGACCAGGACCCATGTGACCCACGATGCACTGTGAAGAGATTTCTTCACGTAGTGATGACCGTGAATCTTCTCTCCACTTGCGCAAATCCAATGGGAGGAAGAAGACATATCTTCATGATGAACCACATCCAAAGGTATGCTCCTTCTGCGACACTAGCAGTGTTGAGAGTATATCCTAGGCATCCCATGACGATGCTGAAATCTAAGGGATGCAGATTAACGAATATGCTGCTGAACCCCGGAACCTTCGCGATAACAACGTGAAGATGCCTGCCGCATCAGGTGGCGGACAGCAACTCTTCTCTACATTCTGCCTGCCACCGAATATCCCGAGCGTCCATTCATTTGTCCAGCCGACCCTACCCCGACTCTGAAAGATGATCAACCGTCTTCCTATGTACAACTAATCTCAACGCGAACTTTACGTGGACCAGATACTTATCTTACGGTCGGTCCTTCCAAGCGGTTATCTTCAGGGTGGGACTCTTCCGGGCTAGTTAACGTTGACAGCGCTAAAGGGCGGTAAGTCCGTATCCAACCCCCGGTCTTTCTTCCCCCCGATGTCTGGAGCTGTTGTGAATTAACTTATCATCAACCTATCCAGGTAAAGAAGTATCTACACGTCGAACTTAGTTCGACGGCCAAGGGTTAAAAATACTACATGAAAAGGAGGATCAGGATCGTGAGTCTAGATCCCCGTATCTTGTTGGATTACCAGTAAAGCTCACACTGAAATCTTGTGAACACCAGTGTGAAATTTTGGAATTCGGGAACGCTTTCAAGGCCACCAGAACCATGTTCATCGGTGTCATAGCGGACACATTGAACATCATGGCTGACAAAAAAAATGATGAACATGCGCCATAACGGATTGCTTCATCCAATGGTTGAAACTCAACCAATCAGAAATGATGTTCCATGCAATCTTTCCCCGCCGTAGATGACATGATCAACGGTGAGCGACTTGCTGACTTACTCATTCCTTCAAGGCAGGTTATGTAGAACTCCTGGTCGTGATCTTCCGTTCGGACTTACGGCAAACCCGCGCATTCTGTTACTAAACTGATGGACGCCTGGTATGCATAAACCGAACAGAGGAGCTCTTATGTTCCACTGGTCCTAGTCAGTCACAAACTAGCCCTCGCCAAAGATACTGACGTCTTCTCCACGCAGTTTATGGGAGTCTGTAGCACGGTATCATCGTCTTCCGTGCCACTCTGACAGTGACAGCGGTGTCGGATCGCAGATACTAGTGCCCAAGTTCATGGCATTTGTACACCAGCCAATGTTATCATCCAACCTCCGACGCGCTAAAAGTGGAACCTCGGGCGTGTAGAATCCCGCCGTTCTGCTATAAGAACCCTTGTTTTGCGCTTATGGGATTCATCGGTCTTCAGACACTCGATACCACTGTAAGAGTACCTTGCAGTTACCTTCACCCATCACAAACTGACGCATTCACTCTTCGTCCTCCAGCTATTGCAACCTTCGTGCTTGTCAACCAAGTAAGTGTGATATTGCATGTCATTGAAAAATATCTCAGACGAATTGACCATTCGCCAAGCTTTAACCATGCCGTCTGATATCGTCCAAACTCTCAAGGACTTCCTTAACAACCCTGTCAATGATCAGTTCAAGAAGGACTTCAAGCAGGCTTTCAAGCTCGCCTTGACCTACGATGTTCCCCAGTTCAAGGAGTACGGTATCAATACCTTTGACGATTACCTCAACTATATGGAGGACTTCTTGAAGTGGGTACCGACCGAGAACAAGGACGGTAAAAGCGTGTACTATCACATTTGCATGTTCTACTTCGTCCTCGACTTGTCTCCCATCAAGGAGTACCAGACTCCGATCGTTCCGTCTGCACCTTGGACGTGGCTCTCGCAGTGGATTATCGACTACGCTCAGGAAGTCGGAAAGTTCCTCGACACGCCCGAGTCGTTTACTCCCGCCTCCCTCAAAACCTTCCAGGAGGCTAAGAGCTATCGCATGCAGGACTATATCGAGCCGGTCGGCGGATGGAAATCATTCAACGAGTTCTTTGCTCGTCATATCAAACCCGAGTTGCGACCTATTGATTCGCCCGATGATCCTACCGTCATCGTCAGCCCTGCCGATTCCGTCTTCGACGGTGATTGGGAAGTTAACGACTCCTCTTTCACTAGCTTCAAGGGTGTTCCTTGGAGCATTTCCCAGTTGCTCGCGGACACCAAGTTTGGTGAGCGTTTCAAGGGCGGCAAGTTCTGTCATGCGTTCCTCGCCCCGAATGACTATCATCGCCAGCACGCACCGGTTGCTGGCAAAGTGGTGGAGGCGAAGGTCATCCAGGGGCTGTGCTATCTGGAGGTTTTGGTGAAGGAAGACCAGAATGGTAAACCGGTCTTGGGTATGAAGCGCAAGTTAGCCCATCATCCTCATCATGCCGCGCCTCCGAGGAACGCTGCGGGAAGCACTCGGGGCGACCTGGATGCTCCAGATTCCCCGGGTTACCAGTTCCTACAGGCTCGTGGTCTCATAACCATCGACAACCCCACTCTCGGCCTCGTAGCAGTCCTACCTATTGGTATGGCTCAAGTTTCGTCAGTCGTGCTCAGCGTGAAAGACGGCGACACAGTAAAGAAGGGACAGGAGATTTCGTACTTCCAGTTGGGAGGCTCGGATTGTGTCATGGTCTTTGAGAAGAAAGCGAACGTGGAGTTTACTGCTGAGCTTCATGAGCACTACAACTTTGGGAATCAAGTTGCAAAAGCGAACGTGGTCAACTGAAGGTATGTTCCCCTACAGGTTGTCGTCATATCTGCGTTGAGGTTCAATACCTTGCTATTCTTACAGAGTGGACGCCAACCTTCCCAGACATGCACTACAGCGGCTTTTCCCGCGTGCCACTGCGCTGTTGAGATTTTCATCACTCTCAGACACTTATGCTGCTTACTGTCTCTCGTCTCACCTTTACAAACCACAATCGCGTTCGTTAGCCATCTAATCGTCTCGGAACGTCGTAAACTACTAGTCTTGCATCCACATGTACAGTAACCGAGTTATTCAGTGACTTCAGCAATCTTTACATTAGTATCGTGGTCAGTTACAAGATAAAATCGCAGAGGACTCAAGGAAGCTCTCCACTGAATTTTCCGAGACCCAGACATTCACTATCATCCTCATCTCCCTCCAATAAGTGCACTGAATATGATAATCCGAGAGTATGTCTGATCACCGAAAGAAGCGGACCGTCAGCTACTAATCGAGCAACACATTTCTACGATGAATATATAGCTCGGGCCCGTTCCCGTTCCTTCATCCTCACTGCGGTGAACACAGGTATTAGTCTGTTCGTCACTCCCCATCTCTTGATATGACATCTGAGGACATCACCCCCAGATACATTGATTGAGACTACGGAGGCAATATCCGACAAAACCACCGCAACGCGATAGGGTGTCTCAATGGAAGATTGTCCGACGTTCAAGACGCATTGAACCTGTGAAGTCGAGCCTTTATTTGATATTAGTTCTGGACTGCGCTATCCGAGGCATCGAATACAAGGCCGATATTTCGAAGTTGCTTGCACCTGGTAGTCAGTGCATGCAGTCCCACCATTGTAACTTGTGACGAATGTTGTACGGCCGAGGATCCTAGGTCTAAATGCTGAATGTGAGGCCACCAGGAAGCGATTTGCGTTAAGCAATCATTGGTAAGGTCGAATGGAATATGTTGGGCCCTAAAGGTGTTCATGGCAGACAGAGAGAGAAGTGGTTGCAAATGGCACAACTCTCTTGAAGGGTCCGATGATTTGAGACCTATTGCCTTGTCGGGGGAGGCTGGTGAGATAGGTAAGCTGACTGAACGCAAGGATTTGTGGCTGGATAGTGCCTGGAAAATCCGCTCCAGGACATCCATGGCCAAGGTATCGTCTATACCCTTTTCTTGCATGCTAAATTCACGAAGTTGAGATGAAGTGATTGCTTGCACGACTGCTGTAGGGTCACAGCTCGGTTCGAAGTAGATCTTAAGCACCTCAAGCGCGGGGAAAACTGGCGTAGTTGTGTCTCGTCGTTGAAGCCTTTCAACAATTGCCACTGTTGGCTTCACAAACAACTCCCGCATGCTGGGCAAAGCAGAGATACAAATGAAGGCGTCCGGGGACAATGGCAAATGAGTGTGTAGAGTGCTGAGGGAATTGAACGAGGATATCAGACGGGATAGCGCAGGCGCAATCAAAATATCTGATTCTAGATCAGCTTCCCAAAGGTTGGATTTCAATTCGAAGAACTTGAGTTCTGAGGCATTTGACTGGAGTGCATCGAATATGGGGGATGTGGTGGCAGACCCAATGTCACAAGCGATATCTATGTGGGTAAGCTTCGGGTTGATGAGAAGCGAGGCGTAAAGCTCGCATTCCTTCTCAGAACCCCCGATCCATTCCAGCTTGCGCAACGACGGAAAGAGTTGTGCCCCGGGCCGACAGGTGCTCAGTACGCGTAGAGGTCGGTTCCTGTCCCCGAAATCAATTGTCAAACTGCGAACTCGAGCCGCATTTCGGAGGAAATGGTCCCAATCAGAGCCAGGAGGAACTCTAGTGTATACAGTCTTACATGAATGTTAGTTTGGGACTAAGAGAGCCCACAAGATATCACATACCTCGGCTGAGCGTTTGTTATCATCGTTAGTATCATTCAAATACTCTGAAGGAAAACAGCAGAGAAGGGGGTAGATATCCTTGAGGTCCCTCCACAGAACATTCATCGCGGGCTCGTAAAACTGGCGACAGACCGCCGCCAGTGCAGCGACGGGATGAAGGCATGAGGACTTGCTACGAGCCTTCGCAATCGCAGCCTCCTCAACGATGAGGTCCACGATCTCTGATATTTGCAGACAATGATGCATTGTACACTTGGAACAGCAGTAAGAATGTTGGATGATTTAAGGATCCAATTACTTTATCGTAAGAAGATTTGAAGTGGGTGGCTGCGACAGGATCGTAGCGTGTCACAGGACGAAGTCAACTGTGAAGAATAAGGAAATCTCGACATCCCGACACTATATAGTCTCGTCCAAAAAGGCAAAAGTTTTAGATAGCGTACACGTGGGTAGTACTGATATTGTGCTTGAGATGTTTGCTGTCCCAGCATCCAACGTGATCAGGATAATAGAGGCTGATAAAATACAAAAGCACACGATGCCTACGCTAGCTGTCATATCATAACACTACTACCAATAATCGTCATCATCAGACAAACGATCCTCATCGTCTGGGAAACAAGCTTCCTGCAAAGAAATGTTTGCCTCGCCTATGTCATCAGAATCGCTATGATGTGAGTTCATGTCGTCGTCCTCGTCGTCGTAGGGACTATATTCGCATAATGTAAACAAAATGGGGATAATTCGGGGGCAGTTGATAACTTACTCGTCTCGATGAGCTACGTGCTCAACTATATCTCTGAAAAAGAAGGACACGCTTAGCTACGACATGTGTTGCAAAAGAACAGAAGCAACCTACTCATCATGATGGTCCTCTTCACTGTGATGTGTCACTTCATCTTCATCATCCGAATGGATTACCCTGCTGCGACTTCCTGCCACACGAGATGAAGATCCACCGCCAGGTACAGAAATTTGCTCAGCGTTATCCTCTTCTTCATCATCAGAAGAGAGAACGATAGGGTTTGCAGAAACGCGTCCTCTCCTCCTGCCTGGATTTGGATGTCTTCGCGGCGGCGCGTCAAGAACTTCCACGTCGTCACCATCATCAATGAAACTACCTTCATACTCTTCGTCTTCATCCACATCCAACCCCTCTGAGAGATCACTGAGAACGTCATCGCCAAAATCATCATCGTCAGAATGTAGCTCTGAATCTGGGATGTGAGCAGCATTGGCAAAAGCGCCCGACAATAGCATAGCTAACAGGTTGCCATCACCTCGAGGTGGTTCCATGAAATCATCGGCATAGATAGAGTCCAGATCAGAGTCATCGTCGTCATGAATATGAAGGTCGCGATGTACTGGGTACTCTCTGTGGCATCCAGAACAAATGCCGTCCCAGATTTCATGCATGCAATCCACGCAGCGGTAGATTCCGCCGTCTTCGGCATCCTGGACCCCAAGAAGTTCACGGGCTTGCAAGTCTGGTAAGCCATGTCGCCTGCCGATGGGTCGCAGTGGAGGGAAAATGTCCTTCCAAGCGTCTACATTTGTTTCTGCTTCGTCCTTCTCGTGCTCGGCTGAGATCAAATCGGCATCAACCAAACCACTCTTGACAAGAGACGTCACAGTCTCCTTGAGAGCCCAGACTTCTACCGGACGTTCTGAGACGACAGCACGACAATGAGGACAAGTCTTTTTGCGGCGCGTAGTTGGAAGAGCTGGCAGATTTGGTGCAGCCGAAGGGGCTGGTTGCGAGAACCAATTGACAAGACAGCCATGACAGACTACGTGCCCACATGGTGCTAATGCGAATGGTCGGTGCATGAGGAACAGGCAAACGCGACAAGTAAGCGATGGTAGAACCGCGCCAAGCATGGCTTGATGAGCACCCAGGCCATTCGCTGTGGCCTGCTCAGAAAGCGTGGTTGTATGCGTCACATCTTCGTCTACAGCCTTACCCTTGCCTTTATCAACGCTTGTCTGTAGAATCATTAATCACTGCGAATTGAATTATACATCACTACATACCGTAGGGCTCTTTGGCAGGCTTCCGTTTGTGTCGTTCTCTCGTGCCGGGCCAACGAGACACTCGGGCCTTGGATAAGACATCTCTTCCGCGAGATCGACGATAGGGAAGGTCTGGGTCACAGAGGTCGGAGCCAGGCTAGGACTGGGAATGCGTGCATTGGAGGGCCCAGCGACAGGAGGGTTGATGACTGAGGTGTGCTCCGCAGCGTCCATGATAGCTGCAGACGACGGATGCCGTCCAAGCATCCCATTCGAACTTTGAGGTAATGGTTTATCTGCTGCCACAGTGTCTTGGACAACAGAAACCTTTCTCCTCTTCTTTCGACGTTTCTTTTTGTCTCTGCCACTCTTTGGCGTCTCCTCTTCTGGTTTCGTGGCTACAATGGCAGAAGACGGAAGAGCACGTCTGACAGGTGAAAGAGTATGATTCCTTGAGACTATGATTTCGTTTTCTTCACCATCAACACTTGTATCCGAGGAAGCTGACAACCTCCTCTTCCTGGAGCTCCCGACTCCAAAGTCTTGCGATGCTGGCATTGGCGAACGCGAAGTTGAGGGCATTTTTTTTTTGGCAACAGCAAATGGTCTAGGTTATGTTTTTGTTTAAAGACCTGAGAATCAAGTCAGTCAGAAGTGCGCGCAAGCTGAGGGCGGGGGTATTGTGGTGGTTGTTCGCAAAGCAGCCGAACGCGTCTTGCCAAAGTAGTATCACACAAGCGCTTACGTAGAGCACACGTCCCTAAAAGGTATGTTGTTCCCACGCTGCGTGTTCAACTTGCAGTATTCGGAATACGAACATTCCTCTTAGATTCATACTTAGTCTACCGGCTCGTCTCCTTGCGCTCTTTCTTCTCCAGTAACTAGGTGCATGATTGATTCACCCGGTGGTGGTACTTACGCAGTAAAGCCACTGTGTCGCGCGTTATGAACTACTTCACAGGCACCGACTTTCTGCCCAAGCTGGATGAACACGCCTTCGGTCTCTCGCATCCTCAGGAAATTCTCATCCACACCGAGGATTCAGATGAACCAGATGGCCCGGAGACGTTCTTGCTTCCGAAATACGCACCATTATCTTCGCAGCCACAGAAGGCGGTTGGCAATTCCTTCGGCTTGGAGGACATTATTGAGGTCGACGAACATCCTATGCTCTGGACCCACCCCGAAGAGGAGTACTCTTCACACTTGCAAAGGAGCCCAAATCAGCACTCCTACTTTTATTCTCGCGCACATTCCAATCACGAACGCACTAGTACTATGCGCTCGCCCTCGCTTCCTATGTTCTGCCCACACACTTCTTCTACTCATCCTCGGAGAAGAGACAGAAAACATAGCCCATCGTGGTTTGGTTCTTCAGTACAACCACTTCTGACTTCTCTGTCTTCTCCCTTGCTCAGGCGTGTTCGCTTGGCCAATTCTCAGGCTCTTTGGCTTGCGTTATACTTTGCTTTCAACCTACTTCTCACTCTTTCAAACAAGTCTGTCTTGATTGACTTTCCCTTTCCGTATACTATGACTGCCCTTCACGCTCTTTGTTCTACCTTCGGCGGATTTACTCTGCGCTGGCGCGGCTATTATACCTCTAAACCCTTGAAGTTCCGTCAAGAGATGGTCTTGGCCGCTTTCAGCGTATTATATGCTGTGAATATAGCTGTCAGCAACGTCTCATTGAACATGGTCACTGTGCCCGTAAGTGTTCAATGTGTCATACCTTTGGACTCAGTCAAACATTTTTCTTCAAAGTTTCACCAAGTTGTTCGGGCAGTCACGCCAGTGTTCACGATCATACTCTCGGCTGTCCTCCTCGATGCCCGAACCGCACGGATGAAGGTCACATCGCTGGCACCTCTGATTCTTGGCGTTGCTTTCGCGTATGTTTAGTCCCGCTTACGACTAGGCATATCGAACTGATGAAATGGCGTAGAACGTATGGTGATTACTACTTCACCACATGGGGTCTCTGTTTGACCTTGCTCGGAACAGTACTGGCAGCCCTGAAAACAATATACACGAACATCCTGCAGTCATCTACGCACATCACTCCGGCTTCACCTATCCTTCTCAAGTCAATTCCAACGCTATTCGCGCTCAGACGATATCTTATCCCGCCCACTTTGGGCCTGCATCCTCTAGACCTCCTCATGCGCATGTCACCTTTGGCGTTCATTCAATGTGTCATTTATGCTCAAGTTACTGGCGAGCTTGACCGGCTGAGGCATTTTGGTCGTCCGTACGGTTTCGATGGTCTTGCTAGTGTTTCACATGAATCCTATATGAACAGCACACAGACGTCAAGCAACTATTTGGCTCAGGCTTTGGACTATCCGGGACCTCTCATTGGTGGGCTAAGCTGGTCGCACATCTTGGTCCTGCTGGTCAATGGGGGCGTTGCGTTTGGTCTCAACGTTGTCAGCTTCACCGCAAATGGAAAAGTCGGTGCGTTAAGTATGACAGTTGCAGGTCCGTGCTTCTCATTTCTTCATGTAGAATAAGGGTCTTATGCTTTGTGTATACAGCGAACGTTAAGCAGGTCTTAACGATTCTGTTCGCCGTGTCTATGTTCAACTTGACGATCACACCAACCAATGCCGTGGGCATCATTCTCACATTATTGGGTGGAGCGTGGTATGCGACCGTCGAATACACAGAAAAGAAAGCTCGATCGACGAGGAGATGAATAGAGAACGAAATTTTGTATAGAGCGTTCACGACAGCCTACATTGTATCCTATAGTACATGTCTTTTCCCCCCTATATTGTCACTGTGATTGTATATCTCCAACGTGCTGCTAAATGCCCTGGTGATAGCGATAGATACATGATAAACTTGTCTATGAGATGTATACCAATGTCCTTAAGTTGGCTTGGGTAAGGCTCCGTGTCCCTCAAGAAAGGCGGTCCAAGAATCATTTAGAATAAAGTCCGAGTTCTCTGCAGCATTTGCGCCCGAGTACTGGTACGTATCAGGGTACCCCTGAGGGGCGTTCCACGCCTCTTGACCCTGGCCATTGTCGAAAATATCGAAGTTCCGGTGACCAGGGTCAGAAGGGACCGAAGGATCGAGATACGGAGACAGATTTGTTTGCAGATAATGCCATTGTTGGTCAGGAGACGGTATATTTTGAGACGCCGCCTGTGGAACCTCCGATAAGTGCACCTGATGGACGGGTGCAGCATGTGGAGGAGGACTTGTCCCGCCGGTAGAGGCAACCAACCTGGTCTTGCCACCAAAAATGGCTATCTGTTCTGAGTCCTCATTCACGCTGGGATCTTCTTTGACTCCGGGCGAGGTATGCCCAGATACACTCCCCGAAGGCTGCATCCTTCGGACCTTTTCACGCATCTTTAGTAGTACCGGCTGGAGAGTATTTTCGATAAGCAAGCTGCACTAAATGTACATGAGGTCGATCTTACCAATGCTTTAGCTGCCCGACTGTTTATCTTCCCAGCGTCCTCGAACAGTGTGCAGGCTTCTTCGAACACCTGGCTTGGCGGTGGGTCGATGATCACCTGTTTGGGCTGAAGTGCGACCGCTCCTAGAATGAGCTTTACCGACGACTCGTGAGAAAATATTGTTCTACGCCCGAGAGCTCGCACATTTACATACCGCGCCCGAGAGAGTAAATGTCCAAATTTGCCACACGCGTGTCATGAGTTGAGGTTGTTTCCCAAATTGAAACCGAGTCATTCGTATAAAATGACAAGCACAATGGTACGCAGTAACGAATGAATGAGCATATGGACTTTGAAGTGGATTCTCTGGGTGTGTGGCAAGCGCCTGAGCGAAGAAACCTCGATGCAAGAACATCAAAACTGTCAAGAATCATTCGGTAAGGTTCAATATAATAAATGAGATGAAATGTGAACCTACTCAAATCTATATAATGTGCCCTGACCCACCAACGCATCGACGCTGATATAGACGTCGATTCTGCATCGTCCATTAATGGCAGAGCCGCCGAACGAAACTGTTTATCCAGCTCAAGAACCCTCTGATAGGAAGGTGGTTTGGCAGCGTTGACAAAGCGGAGCAGAGGGATCAAGCATTCCTTGGTATGACGATGACCCCATACCCCGACTGTGGAGAGAGATCAGAATCGAATATGATATTGTGAGAAGAGACGCACATCCCAGGGGCACTTCTCCTTGCTGGAACCTGGCCTCTTCTTCCTCGGACGGGAATCGGCAGCGATCTGAACTATTGGCCAATGATGGGGGTCTACCTGTACCTAGACTCTGCATTACCTTAATGAGGATTACCAAAACATACCAAGGCTTCGGACCAACCTGCCAGGAGTCGCCTTGTAGGAGATTCCAGAAGTACGCACGGCGATCATAGGAAGTCTTCTCGTCCATGTTCCAATGTGACGGGTCGATATCTAAGGTTTCGTCTATTCAGTATAATGTAGACAGAGCGGGAAGCGTGGGCGTACGTAGGCCAATCTAGCTTCAAAATGAGACTAGGCAACATTCATCAGAGGGTATTTCGCACTCACCCGTTGTGCCATAATGCCCGCTATATTGAGTAACGCATAGGTATTCGGCAACGAGCTTTCTTTGCCGCATAGACCATTATAGATGCTTAATAGATGTAGAAATCGGACTGTGTTCAGTGAGTTCTTTTCCATCATGGACTCTAGCCCGGCAGCTGCTCGAGCCATCACATAGTATCGCAAGGCTTCTGCGTTGTAAGGCGCTTGCGTCATATCAACTAAAGCACCAACCGCCATGACGATTAAAAGTAAAGCAAGATCGTGCGCTCCATAACCGGACTTGCGACCGGTCACTGGGTATCCATAGATACCGGGGATGAGCTCGTTGGTGAGATACCGCAGAGTGACAATCTGGAACATCCAGGAGAGATTTTCGAGCAATGTCCTGGAGAGTGTCATAGCACGGGCATACGGAGGGAGTGCGGCGTCAAGAGCAACCCGAGCAGGACTTCTGGGTGCACCTATCGGGGTAAACGGGAATGCGAAGTAAAACAAGTCAGCTTCTTCCGGTATTCCTAATGCCCGCAGGTCAGCAGAAGTGATATTCTCCTTCGCCGAAGGTGCAGTGGCTTCTTCCAACTTCCGGTGGTCATCCTGTACTAAGATTAGAAGCAGAAAACACGCTGGCGGAAAACACAAACCAGTAGAATGCTCTAAATGAAGTGAAACTAAGCATAGGCAGATCAAAAGCTACCACGAAAACCTCACCTCTGTGCCACCCGTCGGTCCAAAGAATTGCATCGTCTTCTCTTTCTCATCGATATGCAAGGTACCTAGAGCATCCGCAAGATTTTCCAAATTGGGAACCTCGAAGTCTTGGGGTTCCTGAAGTGTTACATCCTCGTCATCGGGTTTCCACGGTGTGGAGAGCAAGACGTGAGGCGTGTCGGATTCCTGCGCTTGGGCAATGGCTAACGCATCTTCCAATGCACGTATTCGTTCTTCCATTTTCGTCATCTTCCTCTTCAAATGATCCATTGCCGAATTGAGATGTCTGGAGAAGTCAGTTACTGTTCGATCGCGCGATCGGTACATGTAAACCTACCGACTATTGTCGCCGGGTGGTAGGACGTCTGTTTATGATTAACTCGTTTCATAGTTGTCGAAACGTAACATACGGTATGACATACCATTTGGACACAAAACCGCACATCCCCTTGAGACACAAGTAGAGCATGGCACTACTGAAAGTAAGGGGAGGCCAGTGGCTCTCAGAACAAAGTACTTCTCACCTTGTCTATCGCATTTGATTTTCAACCTGAAGGATGGGTCCATGGGGTATTCAAATAACTGGCGATGAAGAGTGTCTTACCTTCGACATTCGGCACAGGCGATTTCTCCCCGGATGCGGCGGGCCTCCTTGGCAGAATTCCTAGATCTCGACTGTGTTCGACTGATGGGCGCACTACTAGGTCCCGCCGTGTGCAATGTATCGCTCGCATCCTTGTATTTAGAGCTCGAGCTCCTGGACTGCGAGGACATACCTGATGAAAGTCGTCGTTATGGTTAAAGGGCCCTCATTCAACTCAGCTGCTGCGCCCGTACTCACACGATTTTGAATCTCAAAAGGTCAGGTTAGCCTAATCAGGCAATACCGATTGTAAGATTCCATGGTTACGATCCTGTACATGGCAGTGACATGGTAAAATAGAGTAGATCCGCAGTACTGGGTGTAAACTCTGATTCAGCGCCCGTCGGGTCCGAGGACCAACGGGTAGATGCAGAGTATACAAGTCTTCAATTCATCTTCAAGTAACAATCAAACGATCCACGGACGTTGAGCAGGTAGCATATATATTATTGCTAGTCCTCTATAACGATACCAGAAACATCTTCTCCAGGCTCCGGACCTTGAATGTCTACTCCAGCCTCAACAGACGTCGCCGTGCTATCTCGCTTTTGCTGCGCTGCCTCCCGAGCAACCGTGGTGACATCTTCTCCAAATACTCGTAAACTCAGGGCGCTATAAAGCGAGTTAGGAAGGACGCATTGCAGGAAAGGTATTCTGATGTACCTCTTTGCTTTCTTCTCGATCATGAGGGTAAGAGAAGCATTTGACTTCCACAGAGGAAGGACCAACTCATGTGTCAAGCTATAGGAAAGTGAGCACGTATACATCAATCGGACCAACAACAACAAAGCTTACGAGAAATTTCCTGCCTGCGATGGAACGAAGCGGACCACATGGCTTCCAGTGGCTGAATGGAGATTGATTGAATAGTCGATCCTCGTTGTAAGGACCTGCCACTTACGCTTCGATTCAATCATTGACCGGAATGGTTCTGGGAATCCTGGTATCACGGGATAATACGACTCCATAAGGATCTTCAACGTTGAAAGGTCGGCGGTAATAATCGACTCAGGTTGGATGAAAGGAAGCAAGACAGGCAAGCCTTCACTTAGGACTCGGAACTGCAACTCGGCACCCTCACGTTTCGCGGCAGCGCCTTCCTGTTTACCCATCACCTTTGTTCCGCATGTCATCAAACGAATCCTCGTGTAATCGTTGTTTTGCACGATGTCTTTCACGAGATCGTTGGTCAAGTAGAGAGACCGCACAGGGTCTCCAGCAGGATTGCGCACCAAAATATTCGAAACGGGGAAGTCGGACTTTAGGTTGAGCTTCGTGCTGGGAACACGATTCGAATAAATCAGAGAGTAAGATTTCTGCCGACACACGATACTCACATGCAAGCCTGTACAATGGGATCGTCCGACGTCATGAACGTGTATGGGTTCTCCTTGAAATGAATGTCGCCACCTTCCTTGGCTTTCGCTTTGCCCTTCATCTTCTCCGAAGCTGCAGCTCGGGGCTCAGACGGAATTGCAGGTGCTGACTCTGTTCCTTCCTGTGAATCTTGGAGCATGGCATCATCATCACCATCATTCGCCTCAGGCTCCACATCTCCGACCGAGAGCTTGGGTTTCTTCACCTCAGAAGTTTCCAGGCCTTCGACGGCGTTGGCCTGCCGTTTGCCCTCTCTATTCATCAGTGAGAAACAAGGTACAACAGAGTGATCACGGTGACTTACAATGATCCCAATGCGCTCGCCTCAACAAGGGGGCCCGGACTCTTTTGCAGGACGGCAACGAAGAAACCGCCGGTATCCTGAAGGTGTGGGTAGATTCTCAAACTGCATGGAATGATCAGACCACATGCATGTAGAAATATCATTCATTGACTGACCAACGACTGAGATGTAACTCCTCGGCCTCAGCCTGCGCAGGAGGCCAGTGAGACTCAACCATCTTGGTCTCCTCGCGCTTGGATTCAGGTAGTGATTGAATGTAACCTTGGAATGTTGCAAAGTCCGTGATAACCGATCGATCAACCGATGGGACCCAAGAAGTCATGCCCGGCCGATAAACCAGCCCAGGAAGAAAGTTCGACACATCCACAAGCTCAAAACCTGTACCCAAGTATTAATAACACGAGTACTTGACAATAGACACCGTTGTGCACGAACCAGGAATGGACTTTAGAGCAGCTGCTATGACAGCCTCGTTCTCGACAGGGTTCAGAGAGCAAGTCGAGTATACAATGCGACCTCCTTTCTTGAGCATTCGCATTGCACGCTGAAGAATCCTGATCTGCAATCTACGTGCACATGGGTATATTTGTTAGCTCCGGATTGTTATGACAAAAAAACATATGTCCAACCCATGGAGCCCATTTCCGTCCATCGGTGACCAACTCTTCCAGATACCTGGATTCTTTCTCATAGTGCCGTCTCCACTACATGGCACATCGCATAATATGCGATCGAACAGAAGCTGATGCTGCCTTTTGTTAGCCACCCTGGTCTTGGTACCGGATGGAAAGATTGTCTGCTCTGATGGTATCTTGATAACAGGGAAAATGGAAGCGTCATGGTTCGTAACCATTAAGGCCGGCGAAGGCAAACGAGCTGATTGATGAATGAGCAAATGCGTTCGTCTGTTATCACTATCATTGGCAATGAGAAGGCCCGAGGGGATCGAAGATGCCGTTGCTGTGTCTTGAGCGTGTAGCGCTTCGAGGAGTTGGGCGGTCTAAGAAAATCAACTAAAGTCGACCAACAGGGATGAGATGAATTCACGTACTTTAGAGCCTGGAGCAGCACACATGTCCATGACCTAATGAAACAGGCTGCGAGTTATGGCGTTGAACACAAGAAAACCGGCTTTCGGAACGCACTCTGTGGTGAGGCTCAACCTCGAGGAATAACGGAGGTAACATGCTCACCGCCTCTTGACGAGAGATGTTTCCCTAGCATAGGATTAACATGAGACCGATAGCACATAAGCGAGTACGTACAACTTCAGTCTCGAAGACAAGGAAGGAATGAAATCTCTTGAACTCCGGCTGTTTCCGTAGTACCTTTTTGGACACGTTGAACTGCCAGGCAAGCCCATCAGGATACCTTGAAGGATGCGTCAGAAAGGTGATTTCAGACTAAGAACTACGAACTACCAAGGGAGCTGCGTCGGAGGAGAGACTACCTCTCCTTCGAAGATGACACCGGCCAAATGTGGCACATGAGTTTCCTTGATAGTATCATTTAGGAGGCGTGCTGCTCTATACATGAGGTCAACAACTCCCTCATGTAGATGATGAAGTGGTAACCAACTGGCGACTTCCAGCAACTCGAAAAGTCGTAGGTAACGGTTCGCGCAGACAACTGAGGAAGTCGTTCCACTCAGACTCAGCAAGGATATTCTGTGCCTTGTAATACTTGTTGAATCGTTCGTTATTCATATCCACTGTCTCGACGGCATCGGTCCTCCAGTTAGGGCCGCCCCTGTTCTGAGTCTTCCCACCACCCCTGCCACGACGAGCCTTATTCTATGCCTCACCGTGAGCATGGCCAGTAGGTCTAGAAGAAATCAAAGCGTACTTTCGTTCTTGGCATCGAATATGCGCAAGCTGTAACTAGAAGACGCCTGAAAAAGCAGGAAACAAGTACTGTAGGACCCTAAAAGGAAGCAATTTCATCTTTTTGGTTTACCGGCAGACGCGGCATGCACCAACCAGTTCTGTCGGAGACTGAAGTACTCATTCGCGGAGACTTAACATCCCTCTATTCAGGAACCGTCTCGTTCTATTTCCTCCTACCACTATGTATTCATATGTTATTACTTCTTAAACAATGTTCACGCCTCCGTATATCCTCCCTTTTAAGATAACGATAATCTCGCTGCCGCCAGTTATCCCACCTCGAATGTTCCTGGAACTGGGCAAGGGTCGGTTGGCTGTGTACCTCATGTCATCCTCGAGCAAGAGTTTGATTACGGCCGTCAGGTCTCTCTATCGCAAAGGAACTACATTACGTTGCTAAGCTATCTCACAGTGCACTATTTTCTTTCCCCTTTTGTCTTTGACGTCAGCAATTCACTAATATTATTCGGAGGTCGGGTAGAATTAGATGACCTAGACCACAGTCCAGGTTCTGGAGATAGCATGCCCTTTCCCCAGGATTCATACCAGTTTGTCGTCTATTGATCCCATTAAGTGACATGCTGAATATGAATCTGGCTTTTGGCGTGTCTTGCTCACGCTTTACTGCTTCGTAGGCGCAAACTTCCCCATCAATCCGGCTATAAGGCATCACTTGCAACATGTTCAGCCTTCGCCCGCCAATCGATTTACCGATTGCAGTATCTCATAATTGAACGTCGAGGATTCTTGCGTTGGCTGCGCGTGCGATCCTGAGAATCTTTTACATCTAGGGTTGTGACGATCCTATATGTGCTGCTCGAATCTGCGCGTGCGTCAACCTCGCTCTTCGTAACGAACCTCTGGAACGTCGTATCACTGTCTCTAAGAACGTGTGATTACGGCGACGAGCTGCTGCGAGTCTTATCTCTGTTGCCTTGAATGCACCAGTCTTCAGAACTTGCTGCTGCGAAGCAGAAGTTGTGCTTTCGATGTCGTCCAGAGCTCTCGATTCATATATGATACGGTCCCCGCCCCGGCTTCCCTTCCATGTGTACAACACGATGCAAACTTGGACTTCCTCACGGCGCTCAGATCAATCAAGAGCATGGCGGGACCTACATATATGGCGCCTTCCCGCTTGTCAGTGTCTTACCAACATTCCCTCATCTCACCATTGTTTTACCCACTAGAACTGTTTCGGGATACTAACCAGACTCTAATTGCACTATCAATAATCTTTCCAATCATAGTTACTTGTAGACATGGCCCTCTCCGAAGAAATCAAGCGTCAAATTCTCGCATACCTTCCGACCGATGCCAGAATTCTTGCTACTGCATCAGCCCGTGTATACCACGCACCGTTTGGCGGCCGACAGACGAGCTGGTCTCCGTCGGGCCTCAGTGGTATTCTTGTTTTCGGTCGCGACCGTTTGACCCTGCATCCCGACAAACGGCTTGGTATCGGACCTGGTTCTACTCTCGAGCAGAACTTCTGGTTCCGCCTTGTTGACTTGCAGTCGGGTAAGGGCTTGGTCTGGATGCACCAGATCGCAGAGGATCTGGAGTATCGTCTTGACAAACCTTTCTTCCACGAATTCCGTGGAAAGGTTCGCATTTTGCTCTTATTTTCTTCACCTCATGTTCTAACCGTTGTTCAGACCAGAATGTTTGGATTCCGCTTCGACGAAGACGCGGAAGCAAACAAATTCTACAAAAAGGTCACAAGTCATCTTCGCACTATCAGTACGTTTGCTTGCCAGTGTTGTCTCATGCATCTACTGACGTCTGACCAGCGGCATCGCCTCCGAAGCCCAAAGTTGTTACCCCATCCTTAAACCCTCTAAAACGTTTCGCACCTTCCAACGTCTCTTCTCCCACGCCTGGCACCTTCGTCCACCTCGCTCATGTGGGTTTCAATGAAAAAGGCCGCATTGAAGTCTCAAATGACCTCGAGGCGGGTTGGACGATGATGCTGGAGGAATTGAAAGGGCATGGCGTTGATGAGGAGATCATTGAGGATGACCGCAGCTTCGTGGAGGGGTTCTGGGCTGGTGTGAAGGCGACTAGTCCCAAGGAAGCCAAGATCAAACTTGATAGTGAAAACGGTGCGCTTCGTAACCTTTTCTGTCTGCTTACACGTACTCACCTGCCTGTGCGCAGGTGTTGAACGCAAGAAGAAGTCAATACGCCGGAAGCCCGTCGCCCCAACGAACGCCATGGGATGACTTTTTTTAAATTCTTTCTCACGTAGTCGACTAGGGCATCGAATGCCATGGACATCATTCTTTGCTACCCCTAAAATACCTTTCATCGACCCCCTTATACTTCTATTGTCTGGACATTTTTCTTTTCCGTGTCATCATCGGACTCTGGTTGATTGCATTCACTGTATCAGTATATGTAGGATATGTGCTATATTAGTAGTTAGTGTATGATTGCCTGTACCGTACTATGTCTGGTCGGTGTGGGTTCTATATAGGTCCATATGGCGTATGTTGATTCATGCGAATAATATCAATTAATTAACTCCGAGTCTTATCTGCTAGAATCGACTGAGGTCACGTCCGAAGATCCAGTTAATAAACCTAAAAGGCATTCCATTATGAGTCAGTAATTGACCCCGTACTGCGGCGAAGGCCCGGATTGAACTCACCAATACATCGGAACCAAGATTCTACATAGACTCGTCAGCTTGCAGGTCGAAGGGGACAACGTCAATACTCACTTGTTTCTGATACTAATCGTCCTCGTGAAATACGCAGATCGCCAGAGAAGCCAAGCAAGCCGACCAGCCTCCTTTGTTTTTGGTCCGCTTTCGACCTTCGTTCGGTCATAAACGGCGATCCAATCCCCGAGATATGCCAAACTGCCAGCATTGTGGAACTGGAACGGGGTAACATGCTCTTTATCCTTGCCCAAAACATTGAACTTCTTCGTCATATACTTTGCCTTTTGGTACGCAACCTGAGCAGTAGCAGGAAGGGGCACATCACGAATCATCGCTGCATCACCTATCGCAAAGACATCGGGATCGGGAGCGCCTGTATCTTTCATTATCACGCGGAGGTTGTCATCTGTTATGAGACTGTATACCAAGATGTCAGCATATGAGCATATGGATTGATGTTTGAGTCCATGTGAATGGCAAGCGCAGCACAGACGTGATCTGTATTGTCACCAGGGCACGTACCTCTCGGTTTTGGGATGTTTCTCCACATCGGTGATCGATTGAATGAGAGGGTTCGGCGCGAGGCCTGTGCTCCAAACCAAAAGACCGAAGGGCACTGTAGATCGGAGAGATTAGCTTGCAAGGTCCGGATGAGATCGAGGACCGCGTGATGACCTTCGCCTTCTTCTTTCACAAACAGCTTGCCCGCCTCCACGCGTTCAACATGGTGACTTGTGAGGATTCGGATTCCTTCTCTGGTGAACTTCTTTGACGCGTACCTGATGCACACCCTGAAGTTAGCTGACTGACCCGTAAAGGGAGCTATGGCGCATACTGTTGGAGTCCACTGTCAAAGCTTCCCAGAATAGTTGGTGCAACATCAAAGAGGGAGATCCTTGCAAAACGGGCGAGTCCGGGATAGTGTCGTCGTATCTCGGTGTGAAGCAAGTCATGAAGCTCTGCTGCAAACTCTACACCGGTAGGTCCTCCACCTGTGCATGTAGTTTGTACACAGCGAGAGGAAGATGACAAGTTACTCAAGCATACCAACGATACAAAAATGAAGGAGCTTTCTACGTTCGTCATCAGTAATGATTGGCTGGTTAGCTTCCTCGAAACCTGCAATGAGAGAATAGGATGAAACCCAAAAAGTAACGAATGAGGCCTGAGTACTTACATTCAAGCACTCGGGTACGAATTGCGCGGGCATCCCGGATATCTTTCAGGAAGTAAGCATTCTCCTTCACACCAGGAACATTGAACGCTACAGTGATAGGAAATGTGAGTAGTATGGAGGCTTATATGGGACATTTTGTATACTTTGACTATATGCTCCTACGGCGATGATTAGCTTGTCATAGTGCAGATTGAACGTTCGCGAGTCGGTTTCGCGTTCCGATACTATAGCACCATTGGTCATTGAATGTGATGCGTTAGGGACTCTGCGGAGGGGAGGTAGTGCGGTTGCCGGCATCTGACGGTAACCTGGTAAGCATCCAGATACTGTTACACAAGGTGACCTACGCATTTCAGTATCTTCCGCTTGAAGTCTTGTGTGAGGCAGTATAAGAAAACTGAGCAGATGACTACCGAAGAAACAGACCTATTGAATCACACCATGCTTGGTATGCAGTCTGCAAGGACAGTCAGGTTGGTATCCGTGATCATGCATGAAGGTCAAGCTTACCACTTCCGGCGTGTATCGGCGAACCTAAAGGAGAATTAACTAGGGTTATCAAGCAACTTAGATGTACTCTTACAGGTTCTACAGCAGCACGAAACTCCAAGGTGCCTACAGCGCAGCTGGCCAGCAACGGAGTGAAGTTGAAATAGTTTGTTGGTGAGATTACCGTGATATCTAGGCCAGGTCAGAACTTGTGCCTTGGAAAGAAAGAAAGAAGCAAGAAGATTCGCTCACTCCATCGTTTTTTATTGATGCCTCGAAGTACTTCATAGCCTCCCCATCCTGATCCAAGTATGACAAGTCGCGGCTTGGACCTAGGGGCACTAGAGCTGAAATTCCTAGGAGAACCAAATGCCCTCAAGGAAGCCAATGAATTAACGCGTCGCAACGTGTTGTGTTGAATGTGCATGCCTGTAAATGTAGCTGGACAGGGATAGATAGATGAAAGGAGTGCTAGTCAAACCCCAAACCTGCGATTGGAGGGAGCTGATATGAGGAGATACGATATATATATCTACCTCGGCAAGGTGATGGATATAACTATTTAGGACACGCACGGTTGACGGAGGCAAGGACGTATTCCATCTCCACCCATACCGTCATCCGAAATCGGAACTTCTCGGGATATATATGGATCATGTATGACTGTATGGGCGACTCAACGCCCTACGTTCGCCGTAGGAAGAGAAGACTCTGTCTGCGTGGGCACTGTCTACAATCATGACATGGCGCGTAGAGCGGGGACTTCAAAGCGTCCGCTCTAGCAACTCGAACTTTGAGGATCTTCTGATAAGGTACTGCAAGCGTTGTTGTTCAGTCGACGCTCACCAAAGGCGATTTGAGCATTGAGTGCCAACCAGATAACTGGATGTTCTTGTGACATTGAGATACAGACATATGTTGGTATTCATACCAGTCTGCTAGGGTGAAGGAAAACAAGTATGTGGCTAGTGTGACAAGTATTTACCTCTTGACCAATGAGAACACGAGAACAGTAGACGCGCCAAGACATACAGTATTACTATTTCCAGTCATGGCAGCTGTATTTAGTATTTACTGTATCTTCGACCACCTCTTCCACTCAACGGATTGTTTAAGTCTACTAAGCTTTCTATTATATCCCCGTTTTTCTCAAGATGTCAGCCGCCAGTGAAGCGGGAACCGGCTCAGCAAGTAAGACAAAAGCAAAAGAGAAGGAGAAGGAGCGTAAACAGCGTTCTTCGACTAAGGCGCAGGCCGAACCTCGCCTAAAGACCGTAGTCCGCCGGTTGCCACCGAACTTACCTGAAGACGTATTCTGGCAGAGTGTACAACCTTGGATAACTGAGGAAACTGTGACTTGGAAAGTGTATTATCAAGGAAAGTTCAGAAAGCGGTCAGTACACAATCATAGTATAACATGCCTTGCCTCTGGGGTAGACCTAAACTTAGAGCATGAAAACAGATTGAACAAGGAAAACATACCGTCGCGTGCATATATCGCATTCAAGGACGAGGACACACTCGCCACCTTCAGTAAGGAGTATGATGGACATCTCTTTCGTGACAAAGCTGGTACGCGTGTTGTGTTTGTTACCACCTGCAATCCTCTAAGCTCGATATTCCTTAATGCGCAGGAAATGAATCCATTGCGATCGTGGAGTTTGCGCCATTTCAGAAGGTGCCGAGCGATAAGAAGAAGCTAGACAGCAGGATTGGAACAATTGAGAAGGGTAAGTTCTGCGACTCTCCATATGCTGCGTTCTCAATCTCTGCAGATGAAGATTACATCTCATTTGTCGAGTCGTTGAAGGATAGCTCAAGCAAACCTTTCGATCTTGACAGTCTTGAGACTCTAGGTATGACGTTCGATGGCTCTTCGTGTTACTATCTTCCTAAATGCTTCGTTCTCACAGTTATCGCGGCTCAACCTCCGCCCCTTCCAACCACCACACCTCTCCTCGAAGCCTTGAAAGCAGAGAAGACTGCTCAGAAAGATAAGGAAGCTATTATCCGTAGTCACTCGCATTACAAGGATCATCCAATAATTGCCGCACCACTCAAGAAAGACGACTCTAAGAAGAAGGCACCTTCCGCACCTGCGGCCGCTGCCAAATCTACAGATCAACAACAATCCCTTGGAAAGAAGGCTGCAAAGAAAGCGGCTGCTGCTGCCAAGGCGGCTGCTCAACAAGAGAGCGCAGCACCAAATGTTCCTGGGGGGAAGAACGTCCCTCAGCCAACGGCGCCGGCGAAGCCACCAACACCCAAGAAGGCTCAACGTCAACAAGGGAAACTTCCCATTTCCCAACCTCCGGCACCAACTGAGATCCTTCCTTCAACTTCTCAACCACCCTCATCTACTAATGCACCGGCTCAACCACCAGCTGCCGCTCCGCGACGCACTCGACCCGTCATTGGACTCGCTTCTAGGCAATTCGAAGCCGCTTTGAACGGGGCAGGCGTGGCGTTGGCGAAACGCCGTGAGCGCGAGAAGGAGGCGTCGCCCTCCACTCCTGTACAAGCCAATGCAAAGGCTATCATGAAGGATGATACGCCTGCATCTATTCCACAACCCGCTCCTCCAATGATCCTTCAGCGCGATGGTCAGGCGCCTGCACAGATAAATTTACCTCGCACGTCTGAGGGACCTTCTCGCGAAGAGGCTGGACGTGGCAGAGGCAGAGGTCGGGGCAGAGGCCGCGGTCGCGGTGGTTGAATGATTTGGCTAGGCCTGTGGGTTTTTCTTGATTTGTATGCTACCTCTGCACGCAGGCTGATTTTTGTTTTCCATTTCAATAGCTAAATGCAAGAACTATACATTCTAGGATCTCAAGCTTAGTATCGAACAAGCATCAGACTCGTTAATCAACTCCGGTGTGCTAGTCCTCGTCGTGGGCGCGCACGAAGAGCGAGCAAAAATGACACGCTTGCTTTTGGAATTATGTTTTGTCCGTCGTATCAAACAGTGGTCGCGAAGGCTATGGCTGTATGGCATGACTATGACATTGCAGGATGTCGCACTTGATAGCTTACCAACTGGATAGGTACAAGTTTGTAGCTCATTCTATGATTCTGGCTCATAGCGTACCTCATGGTTTTGTGCCGTATCCCACTCTTCTAGGGTACCTAAATGGCTTTGCAGTCCAGTGACACCTTGATGTACAGTAGTCTACTTGAGTAGTTAGAACTCGTTCAACCCAGTTTATGTTACGATGTCGAATTCAAATTCAACGAGCGCCTTCCAGTGTGAGTGTGCTCGGCTGTTGCCGAAGAGGTTTAAAAAGTCGACTTTTTGGTGATGGTCTGCTTGTCTGCTGCCTTGCCTTCCTGTAGTCGCATGCTTGTGACCTGCTTTGTGGATCGTTGCTCTTTGCTAGTGGTGTCATGAGAGGATTCATCTTGTGAGTAACCTATTCATGTGCTCCCATTTTTCCTTCGTCCTTCTCGTACTATGATGATTCATGAATCACATATCAAGCTCAACAGTCTAATGGACATACGTCCATGTGCTGACCAAATTCTGCAATCCTGATCTTACACCTTGTTTTCAATACTTTCGTCGTCGGTTTTCTGAACTTGTGCTGACCGGAATGTATTCTCTAGGATCGTTTCTCAAAGACCACCCCACTGTTGTGTCTTGTAGTCTGCGTTATGTATTCTCCTTACAATGTCGATAATAAACGGGTGTTTCATCTTTTTAAAATTTCATGCACTGTCCGTTCTTTCCTCGCTATTCTAAATGGTCTGAGGCATGAAGCGGGTGAGATTACATATTGTACAATACAGTGCGGATACAAGATGATATAGGTGCGATAAAATACAAACGTCCAACTATAGAGCAGTTCCCCTCTCGAAACTCGCTCTGATCTCTGCTGTGTACTTGTCGTAGTAACGAGCAATCTGCAAAGAAACCAAATCAACCAACTGTGCAGCCGCGAGTGAAAATGAGCACGAACCTTCTTGTTGAAAACGCGATTACGCTCGTTGATGTAGGTGATATCACCCTCATCTTCATTAGGCCGCTTCCTTGAGAATTTCTTCTTCTTGTCAATGCTGCACGGGCGGACGTTAGTTTCATTGATGGCAGAACAAAGGGATTAGAACGTACTCTCGGTTGAGCTTGCTGACAACTCTGTCAATTGCATCTTCAGTCGGCTTGTTGTCTGCATAGAGCAGGGTATTCGCGTCCCGGTATAAAGACTCTGCAGCCAGTTGCTGTTCAATACTCGAAGGGGCAACTTGTAACGCTCCGCCCGAGGGGTAGAAATTTGTGATCGCTGTGGATGAAGACGAAAATGAAGACGACGATTGTCCAGCCTTGACTAGAGTTCCAGGGGCTAAGCCAAGGGCGATTTCTTTCTGTTTGTTGTACGATGCTAGGTCAGGTTTGATGAAATCGAGATCCTTTTTGTATCGCCGACGTGCAGCATGTGCATCATCTAATATCAAAAGACGATGTCAGCAAGCCTTTCCCAAGAGACCTCAGTACAGAGAGTACATGAAGTACGCAACCTGGATCACATACCATGAAACTCGAAATCAGCTCGTCTTGCCTTCCGCGCCTTCTTCTTCTCCCATTCGTCATTCTCCTCGACTGTATACTCCCAATTCTTCAGTCGTTCAATATCTTCCCCGTTGTCCTCGGCATCCGCCTTCTGGCGCAGCACCTCAGCGAGTTTGCGTTGTCGGTCAAGCCTTGCCGCCTCTCGTGCATTCAGTTTAGCCTTGGCACTTTCCTCGACGACTGCAGCTCGATTTGCTTGTTCGGAAGAACGCTGCAACATTGCTCGTAAGCATCACATTTCGTGTTGCAATCTGAGAACGACATACCAATTTCTTCCGTAGCTGGTCCATTTTGGCCTTACGCCCCTCCATGGACGACTTCCCCTCGCTCCCCTCCGTGGCTCCGTTAGGAGGTGATTCCGTATCCGTCATCCTCTCCACGAACTCTTCTGCAGCTTCTACTATCCTTTGTAGGGTGCTTGCTCCGGCAGATTCTTCTCCTGAAGACATAGTAGGCCGTGTTGTAGACGCAACGTTTACTGGAGAGAGGTTTAGATAGCAAGTGATTTGGTACTTAGCAAGATGTGCAGCAATCGAAGTTGACGCCCAATATAGCGAGTTATTACGTAATTACACCCCACGCGCTTCCCTTATTGGGCAAAGACCTTGCGTGCGTTTCGTGCTCAACTTCATCAAGCTCAATGTTTATTTATACAGCGGCACGTTCTGGAATCTGGATAGTACAAGTTTGAAGAAATTTTTCTGAAGAGTATCTAAATTACTCAACAGTCATTCGTAATTCTCACTTAATGATACAGCCCCGAAGCAATCCTCAGTTGCGAGTCTGCGCTCCGAGACGGCAGCGCCCCTTGTCGGGTTGCTGTGAACGATCAGGCTGATAGCTCTAAGAAAGTACCTGGACAGTGCCGCTCGCTTCGTCATTCACAATATCCACCGCGAAGTTGGCGTGCGTGATGCCGTTTAGACTGTCCGACCGATCTCCAATGGAGAGCATATCGCTGAAGGCGACGGGCAATTTTGCAAGTGATACGACGTCAGGAACAATCGTGAAGTGATCGGCGACGACGGGTTCCAATGCCTGCACCTCATGCTGCACTATTTGTCGGACAGCATACAGGGCAGACTCCAAAGCTCCGGCGATCCAGGTGTGGTGTTTTGAGAGATGCTCACCCGCGAAGAACACATTTGGTGTGCCCGCCCCACTAGCAGACTCCGGCTGGTGCGCGATGTCAAAGCGAGCAGTGAATTGACCGGGGAGAAACATGGCATCGCCAGTGGAAGACTTGGCCGACCACGCGACGTCAAAAGTCTCAAGCAGTTGGCTTGCAATGTTGACATCCGGGTAAAGCTGCTGGAGACAGTGTACGGCGAGGCTGCGACGTTCGTGGAGTTGAAGTGGAAGCCATGTCTCAGCGTCCGTCATCCATGCGTATAGCAGGAGAGCGCCAGGACCCTCAGAGCCGATGCCATTGGATGGATAGACGATCCAGCGAATTGGCAAATCGGTAGTCGACTGCCCACCCCGTGTGTGCTTCTCCCAAAAACGAGTTCGGAATAACATTCCCATCTTGTACAATGGCTCGAAATGAAGCGATCGGATCGCCATCTCCTTCTCGATACCCCACCGAGGCCGATCAGATATCATCTTCAGTGCAGCTGGCGGAACAGCGAGGAGAACCTTGTCGAAATCAGCTTCGATATTCTGATCGTACCCTTTGGCGACGATGTGTACGACGCCATTCACACTGCGGATACCTGACACACGTGCACCGAAGGTGATATTGTCCAGACCCACAACGTGCGCCATAGCCTCAGGGAGTCTATCCATTCCCCGCTCGATGGTATACCACTCCTTCGTACCAAAATCCATATGCTGCATGACGAGCTCCGTCACGCTTAGCGTGAACTGGTTCGTCTGCGACGTTACGGTTTCAACAAAGTCAATGACTTTGGCCGGCCAGCCGACCTCGACTTGAAGGTAGAACCGGAAGGACATATGATCAAAACGGAGCAAACTCTGGAAGCCCTGCTCGAAGTCTACTCGCAGCTCTTTCACGAGGGGTTCGAGAGCTGCATTGAGGAGGTCCCCGGCTGATTTATCAAGGTATTCAGCGGGAACTTCCCAGTCGAGCGCACGGGGTGTCATAACGGCCGCAGAAGCAGTAGACAGGGTGTCGTTAGTGTAACGACGACCGTTGATGTGAACAAAGTTGCCGGGACTGTTCAAAATGTACGGGATTCGCTTGATTCGCATGTGTTCGGGTAAAGAAGGGGATGTATTGAGGTGGTCGATGAGGTCGTATACAATTTTCTGGAAAGACGAGTCGGGAAGGCGCATGGCTCCGGCCTCGAAGTACTGGTCCTCCTGGGTATTGAAGCGGTGGGTGTAGATACGTCCGCCAACGCGATTGCTCGCCTCGAAGATGTGGACTATGTGGCCATGCTTACGCAGAAGCATGGCGGAGTATAGTCCGGCAACGCCTGCACCGACAATACCGACGCGAAGAGGTGTTTGTGACATGTCTGTACCCAGACTATCAGGATCGAACTACTTTGGAACAAACTTATCCACTTACTTTTTGATTAGGCGGTTCAGTGAAAGGCTGATTTGTTGGCTCTGCAATAAAAAGCGGATGCGAGTAAAGCGGTTGGTGTGGAAGAAGAGTCTTCCTAGGCAAAGTTGGTACCACAATATAACGATGCATTCCAACATAGATGTAACCTGTATATATACCCAACGAACATTGGTTGAGCGGCGCCAGAAAAACTTGGATTAGCGAAGCACGCCAAATTCCTAATACTTCCTTCGATGAGTGCCTTTGTGAAGCGATGACTGTAAGATCTTGATTTGTTCAAGTGAACCCGTTCCAAGTCTCGGGATTACCTATGGGTTCACCTACCACTTGGATGTCAATTAGTAGTGGGTACCCTAAAGGGCACACCGTCTTCGCCGGAAGTGATCCCGAGTGCCTTTCACTCTCCGTCGATATTTGTGATTAGCGCAGTCCATACATTCTTCGTCATCGATGGTGAATCCGCCAGAATCTTTGCATATGACGAACATTATGCTGCCCGATCCAGAACATCCTGAACAGTCTCAGGTTTGTATCACCCTCACAGATAAAACAAGGTGCTCCGGATCGGTGTTGGGGCGTCAGTCATAGCATCAGAAATATTTACTTACCTCAAAAGTTACGAAGAATGCAGCCACTGAATCCCGGCCATGGGATACATAAAGATCTCTCGGACAACCTCACCGAAGGAGAAAACACGCCATATGAGCTTTGAAATAGGGCAACAACAGGTATCAGCACATGAACAGCAAGCCATCACCGTTCGGTATTGACAAACCTGATGCACAGATGGAGAACGTGGTAAGCATTCGGCTTTCCAGTGTAAAAGCTTACGAAGCATACTCTGGAAAGTCTATAAGCACCCACAGCTCAGGATCGTACCGCTGAATGCTTATTTGACAGTGGCAACGTGTGCGACATGGCAGCACTTCGCTAAACATGCAAGCGACCACCACAAAGCTAGCGCTTCCTCTTTTAGGTATACAAGTTCAACCATCTTCACTGGCAAAAATCACTGCCACAGCCGCAATATTGCTGGGGGCATTGCATGTTCAACTGAAGAGACATGGTTGTGTTCAGGCTGTAAGAGATTCTCTCATATTTCTCATGTTTCCTCATCAATTAATTCATGAGGACCTCTCCCGCCCGTGGGATCACTTTGCGGTCACGAACGTTTCTTTTCCCTGCAAATGGAATGCGGTCCAACCGCAGGTGAATTTTGTGCTCGACGGTGTCCCACGGCGTATTCGTGTACGCTCGAGACCGGCCTCTCTTGCGTGACGGACTCCATTGTTTGCGCAAAAGCATTCTCATCAGCACTCGCATTGCGCAAATGATGCCTTTTCTTTAAGCAGCCACGGTTGACGAGCCGACCGCGATTCATCACGGTGACCATCGATTGCATGTGAGAGCGCTGTCCAACAGAAACGTCGTTGACTAAAGTTCTACGTATTCGTACAGGATTCGTACACGCGATAAGAGGTACGGGGTTTCTTCAGGGTTCTACACACTCGCTCGGGCATCACCGTGCGTGCAGTGAATTGCTGCACATGCTGATCGCAGTGTAGGCTTCAGCAGGTCCTCGCCAGGTCTAGGGCCTTTCTCGTATTGCTCACATCTTGAGAGGTGGGCCTGCTCAGTCATTTCCTACAGCTCCGCATCTCGTTTTGGAGATTAGCCATTCAGAAACAAAAGGTCGCAGCAAGATCAGCGTATTGTACTTAGTACCTGCAGGGACTGTGGTACTATAAAAAGATCAAGCTAGCCGGGCAATATCACTCTCCACATCGTGGGGCGGACAATCTTATTGAACAGTCGATGTTATACTTGCACTGCCACTTCTCGCCCTTGGGAGCTGTCACCGAGTACACTTCCGATAATTTGGGTCTTAATGGTGCCATCCCGTTGGCTTCAAAAAGAAGGGACATCCGGACCTCATCATGGCGCGTCGCTCAGCACCAACTGCCGATGGCTGTGGCTATTGAAATATTGAAGGACACTGGTCGAAGTTTCTGTCGGTGCCGTTTGTAAACGTTGATCATCAGTTCTTCGGAATGCGATCCCGCCATCCAACCAGCCTTACAAAAGACTCACCGAAGCATGAACCTGCATGAATCAGCTTGTCATCTTCCGCCTTTAGTCCATTTGCGATTCGGAACGTGAAGTATCTGAATCAGTGTCTTCGCCTGACGCTCACGACATCCTATACGGATGCACCTCCGTTCAATACTTCAAGGCTTTGTGGAGTCGGGTCGCACTTAAAGGATCGAAAATGTCCCAGACATTCATGCAAGCAAGTAAGTACAACTGCGTCTTCGGTGGAAATACTGATGTGGGACGGTTACATGGCAATACATATGTGGCGGCCGGGACACGTATTGCGTTATTGAGATTCTCCATAGCCAAGACATGTCTCCAAGCCTCGGGTGTCTCTGACCTGCCAGATGTTGGACATTGCACGTCTGACACATGTTAGAGATACGACAGATACAGCCCACGTCAAAGACCCCTCCGTGTCGTTTGAAGAGTTGTTGGCCGTCGAGAGTGATGAGGTCGAGCGTCGGTCCCGACAACCGGCGCGTACTTGGGCGGTTGTGTAGACAATCTGAACTCCGCCCGGTCAAATAGTGTCTAGTTTGTGTTTCCTCTCCTTGCCAACTTTCTCGTCGTTTCCAACTCTCGTCCTCGTCGTCGTCGCTCTAGCGAAGCCTCTCGTTCTTTTACTACTCACATTCCTTTCACTTCGTTGAAAAAACTTCAAATATGTTCTTTTCTACCCTCGTCGCTTTCGTTGCCCTTGCTTCTTCCGCTCAGGCGGTCATCTACGTATGCGATCACAGCTTTGTGCACCGCTCAAAGCCGCTAATTTATCCTATCATCTGACTTTTAGACAACCTCTCCTGTTGCAAGCACCTCTTGGGTTGCTGGTCAGGAGCAGACCATCTCCTGGCAGGACGATAACACCTCCCCCAATCTTGAGGCGTTTGGCCCTGCCAAAGTGACTTTGGGCGTCGGCAATGCTATCACGCAGGTGCATAGCATATCTGGAAATCTTTCCCTGTTCCTGATGACTGATTGAATCAATGTCAGACTCAACTTCAACTTATTGTGGATAATGTTGATGTCTCTACGACCAAGTCCATTGTCTTCACTCCTGACCCGTCCGTTGGTGAGAATGGCGACGGTGCCGTCTAGTTAGTCCTCATCATCAGCATGCGTCGCGTTTATATTGACACTTCGGATAGTTTCATTCGCTTCGAGTCCCTTAGCCTCAAGGATGCTACTCAACCGCAGTTCCCCGCGCTGGGTTTCTCCGCCAAGTTCGCGTATGTCACTTCTCATTTTTCTGGTGTAGTCGTACTGAATACGTTTACCCCATCTGCAGCCTGACTGGCATGACTGGTACTTTCAACACGACCGTTAAGCAACAAATCCTCGGCGCCTCGACTGCTCCCTTGGGCCCCACCTCAGCTAGCGCTTCGTCCACCGCGTCTAACACTGCCAGTCGTTCTGCATCAAGCACCGCCTCCCGCTCTTCTGGTGCCCCTACTTCCAGTGCGAGTGCCCAGGGTGCCGCAAATGGTGCTCTCAGCACTGCTGCCACTAGCTTCGTCGCTGTTGCTGGTTCTGTCATTGCTCTTGCTGTCGCAATGATTCTCTAAGCGTCTCTCTATGGACTATATCCGTACCTCTTTCGTTGTTGATCTGTGGTTCAAATTCTTTCCTGGGTTTACCGGCTAACATCTTTTCATTGGAGTTCTCCCGTTTTGTGTAGAGAGTGGTTCCTAATTTCGTGATATATCCGACCCAAAGTCATTTCTTCTTGCACGCAATTATGCAGAAGGCTCTTACCACGTTCCTCATGGCATTTGTGACGATCGTCATGACCGTACGATGTATGCCGACCGGCTTTAGCTTACCTTCCTTAATCACGAACCTTAGTCCCAGCTTCTGAAACACTATGCAAGAAGGGAGGTTCAAGCTTTCAACGTCTGCGTTAAAGATACCCGACGATGCGGTAGTCGCACTGGCCACCGGCCATCGAGGAATAAATATTGTCATGCGTCACCTCCGAGTTGAAGGCCAAGAAGTGCCCGCATAATGACCTTTATAAACCTCACCGAAGATAGTCGTTCTTCCCATTAGAGTTACTCAAAGTGCATTGGCATGCTTCCTTTTTTGGAATGCACGACGAACACGAGGCACATTCCAATCTTTGGATACGCGACTGTTACGCGTTCGACCACAGTGCGCGTCTATCGTTCACTTTCTTACTACAACGTCCGTCAGTTTGCCCACCCTTTCACATTGATTGTTTTTATTTTCCACAGAGCTGGCACACCATGCATAGATGCCTTACGATTCCCGAACTGGTGGAATCCATCGCTGAAATGGTGAGGGAATTGCACCAGGACGCGAAGTTCAAGGCAAAGGGCCCGGTCCAACAGGTGCCTAACCCGCTGTTTTCTATGGTTCTGACTTGTCGCGCGTTCTATGAACCGACGATGAACGTCTTATGGGACACTCTTAGCTCTTTGATCCCCTTAATGAAATGTTTCCCAGGTCATGTGTGGAAGGAAAATGACGACGGCAAGGTGGTAAGTAGGCCCTTATTTAATATGCTCGTTGGTCAAATTCCTGGACTTATTCGCCATTACGTCCACAGAGATCTGTTAAGCCTCCTAGCCATGAAGATTGGGATAGGTTCCTACGGAATGCGAGACGGGTCCGTACATTAGTTCTCGATCATTCTGAGCCAGCCTCTAGGGATTGTCTACAATTACTGTCAATTCCACGCCCCGCGATGCAACCGTTCCCCGGCCTCAAATTCCTTTTGTGGGTTTGCGATACTGAAAACACGAAATCCTATCTCAATCTTTTCATTGGGCCACGCCTGGAGAGGCTGTGGCTCATGCGCGGCACCAGCAGCACACAAATTGCTATGTTCGAAGCTATTAGGGATCACGCGCCAAATCTAGAACTTCTGATCTTTGGACCATCTGAAGAGTCTCCAGGCGTAGATGAAGCACTCTCCATGGCCATGCTCAAGATGTCACGCATACGGATTATATCCTCCGAAGGTGCCTTCACACTCTCTGGCGCTGCCTTTGCACATATCGGCACCCTTTCTACTCTTGTCAGTGTTGATATGCATGTAAAAGACGGCCAAGAACTGATTGACGCGTTGCTGGCGTCACCACTCGCTACCTTTCCTGTGTTGTCTCGCATACACTTCGTGGTTAAGAATCTAGGGTCTTCGTCCCTCACCGACCTCATGCGGACAATTCAAGCTCCACAATTGCGCCGTGTCATACTGGAATTCGAAGAAAGGCCATCCGCAACCGAGTTACGTCAACTCTTCCGGGCTGTTGCTACGCATCGTTCAGTACACACTGTCGAAGTCTCACTTTCTCATCCTGGTGCTCGGATCCCACCCCCAGCGGAGGTCAATCATGCACAAGCAGCTGACATCAGCACTTTGCTGCCTCTATTGGCATTGTCCAATTTACGAAATTTGGTGATCGGCGACATACCTGTATACCTCGATAGTGCTGCAATTCAAGAGGTGGCCTCATCGTGGCAGAAGCTTGAACTCCTGAAACTCGAGCCAGAAGGAAGTTCATCCACTGTAGGCATCCCGACCGCAAACGAGCTGGTTCACTTTGCCAAACACTGTCCGTCTCTGAGAACACTCCATATTTGGGTTGATACGCTTGGAATGACTCTGCATGACTATAGGCCCGGGATGGGTCATGTCTGCGAGTCTCTTACCTCCTTCTATCCGGGACGTTCGCCCATTTCTGACGTGAATGCTGTGGCGGTATTTCTGTCTGACATATTCCCGAACGCCAAAATTCAAAGCGTCTCCAACAACGTGGCCAGTGCTGACGCAGCTAAAATATGGTCGCAGGTAGCCTGTATGGTGCCTCTCCTTGGGCAGGTGAGGAAGCAGGAACGCAAGGGCGTTCCCGATATCAATGCGCGCGACCTTTCGTGTTAGTTTCATGTTCAGAGTTCACCTTGCCAAATTATCTCAGTACACCAGGCCTAACCTACCTCCGCATACCCCTCATCTAGTGAAACTGCTTCTCAGCTATACTTCAAGCCTGACGGTCTGGACTCTGATTTCTAATGGACTACCTACCACAGGTGCTATGTTGGTCGTCCGGATTCTCCCATGGTATACATGTTCTCCAGCTTTTTTTGCGGCTGCTTAATGTACAGCAAGTATATCTATGTTACGTCTACGACCATGTAATAGAATCTTCAGTCTTGCGCTTGAAATGCCAAAGTTACCTTGTCACGAACGCGCAGCGTAACGCTCACTGTCACTGTAATGTATCCGGATAATCTGATAAGATTTTGTTTCTTTGAATTGAAGGAAAACCTGACCAGCAAAGAACAGTCATATTCAACCTCACATCTGCACCGGGACAGATTGCACAAGTTGGATCGTTAACCTGTCAATATGATGGAAAACAGTGAACAGGTTATATTGAGGGTGAGTAGTCCGATGTCCAACGATTGATGAAACTGTTCAGCAGGGTCAGAAGACAGGAACGAAATTCTCTTGAAGGCTTATCATACAGGTCTCCAATAATACATGTATTCTGGATGGGGATATCAACGGGATATCATGCATAATACCTGATGAAGTTCAATGTGGTATATACTCAACAAAATATCATGCCGCTCCTTTCTCTTTCTCTTTCAGTATCGCTCGAGCTTCTTCGTCACTCACCAATCTTCCATCTAGTGCAGCTGCCACCTCTAGCGCAAGGGCGTGAGCATCGGCGTGATTGCTCGAGATGATAGATACATATACGCCAGTCCCAAAGGTGGGGTAAGACCCAATGCGTATACCCTGAGACTTCATACGAGCTTGGAGCTCGGTAAGGTACGGCGCTATGGATGATTCCGGCTGACTGTTTCAGTCAATACAACGAATGTGAATAACTTGCTGATGCATCAGATAATGAAAGGCGTACGCAGTGAATATTTGCTGTCGGTATGGTCGTTCATGTATTGGTGGAAGTGTCAAGAAGGGTGTAAGCCCTTCAAGCATTCTCTGGAACAATCTTGGTATGCCGGGAAACACACAGAGCTTCCCTTCCAATCGAACGACAGGCTAGAGGTACAGTACGTGTAAGGCCACCAGTACGGTGAATCGAAGGTTATCAAGACTTACCACCCAAATGTCTGGTGCTATGAACAGAATCTCAGCACGATCCGGGAACAATGCCATGCGCTCTCTGGCTGTTCGCTGCTCCTCCGTCTGTTGAGCTAACGAAGCCCAACGATGCTTGCTCATTTCTTGCATGCGTCTGAGTGTCTCGTGGTGGTGTACTAGCCCTTGAGTGAAGGCTTTCGCGAGGGAAGCATATGTGATATCTAGAGGTCTCATCTTAGCTCCTACATATTATATGAGCCCTGGAAAGACAAACCATCGTGTGTGGGTCCAATACCGCCAGAGGTAATAACAAAGTCATACTTATCAACCATCCTTCGGCTGGCTTCGATGCTATGAGATGCGGCCCAGTTCAGAATTGGAGGCTTTCATACGCTCCAATTCAGATTCAAACCTACATTTCGTCTTCGTCATCAGGAATAACCTCAATTTTCTTCCTGAAAACAAGCCGTAATGGCTCGTAAGTGAGAAGCCATGATATATAGCGACTCATTAGCGTACAGGTCAATCCCATGTTCGAAGCAATATCTCGCGAAGTAATTGGAATTGCGATCAAGCGTCTTGCCGTTCAGGATTTCATCACTTTATCATGTACGCATGAAAACAAGAAAGAATGACGATTTATGCAGAAAACAAAACAACCATGCCATAAGTTTTATGTAGGATATCGTGTGAACGGCGGCATAGGAACATACCCAATGATCAAAGCTGCTGCAGACTTGATGTATCTCCCCTCACCGAGTGGGTTCTTCGGTATCTCTGACAGCGGGAAATTGAACTTCGGCTCCCCTGACTGCTGTGGGTCCTTGGTAGAGAGGTCAGGACCTCCCGCCGCTGTGGCTTCGTTAGAAGACATGCGGGCGTGCAATTTGAATGGCGAAATCAGTGAGTTGTTCGTAAGCTGTCGACGGAGAGCTAGGAGACGGGCAACTGCTCGAGGATGCATGAATGCCGATGTTCCCAGATATCCTTAGTAATTCACACTAAGGATACATGTGTCATGTTGGTCGTTCCGTTCACGGTGGTCCGTTGGGAAGGAAGCATCGATATCGCCGCCACGCTCACACACTCGTGCATATCTCTTTCAGGAAGGTATAGTAATATCATCATGTACTATAGTATACTGTAGGTATTGTAAATTTGGTCAATCAGGGATATCGTAAGTAGTCTTGATAACATGGTCAGCCTTCCGATTTGTGTGCTTGATGAATCCCATGAAGTCGAGCTCGTGCAATGCTCGGATGAAGCGAGCCTGTACTTCGACCTTCCACTTCTCTTCCTCTTCTTTGCTATCAAAATCTTCCTCTTCGTCCTCTGTATCAGCCGCCGGTTTCCTCGCCTTGCCCTTGCCTTTGCGTGGGGAAGCGGACGCCGTGCGCTTGCGCTGCGTCCGGCGGGTCTGCTTGCGGAGATGGCGTCTCTGCATCTCAAGCGCCAGCGAAAAGGACTCGTACCAATCGAAAACATTGATCAGCCTTCCTGCCTCCAAGTATCTTCGGAACACGATGGTGATGTCTGGATATTCCCATAACGCACGCTGAGGTTTCTTGGATTCTCCATTGATTTCTTCGTCACTGGCTAGTCCACCACTTGACGTAAGAACTTGTTGCGATTCCACAAAGTCGTAAGGATGTAGAAGCGCATTAACGATTGATTGTCCGGGAGCCGGATTAAGCAACTACGGGGATCGGTGTTATTCTTGCAACGAAGAGACAATCAGCACAAGACTAACCTCTGAAGGGAAGGGCGTCATCCCAGTGTTCCACACGTCCCATAACAGACCTTGGTCTAGCCTAACAATTCTTGACCTGAAAGAACGTAAGTAAGTCACACATAATCATAAAAACGAGAGCCTCACTCCAAGTACTCAACCAGCCATTCTCCGATATCAGCTGCAATGGGAGGAACAGCCGGATGAATCTTGGGGAACTCGGTCTGTTCGTCTGGCTCCTCTTCATCAAGAGCTTCACGTGGAAGCTGCATATTAGCTGCCACTATGCGTACACGAGCGGGTTCTTCGTCTCGACGCAAATGGGGTTTCAAAGATTGGAAGAATTGATAAAGGATCGAGATGAGATTATCCAACTCTTTAGCTGTCAATTTCCTAATGCAGGGAAATGTATCAGATGATAAAAGACCCTGAAATAGGAGAACTATCAGTAGACAACTCACTTCACCGCCATTCCAAGGTATCTGACATCCTTGCTGACTCTGCCTCGGACCACTCCAGTAAGAAATTCCAGCCGATCCTCATCCTTCCCACTACTCGTGCTCTTGTATCCTTCAGATCGCATGAAGTCCTGCACCAACAGCATGACCTGGAACCCGAGTTTCATCCTCTGAGCACGTTGTTTGGACTCAGTGTGTGCAGAGAAAACAAGATCCAGAACATCAGATACAGATGGGTTGCGCCAGTCTATCTCAGGTTTCAAAATGCCACCAGGGAGGTTCTCACAATCATGCCAGATACGAGTCAACAGGGAATCGAGGAAGTTGAACGATTCTGGGCGTTGCAGCTTCCCACACGCGTCTTTCTTTGATCGAGTCCCGAGATACGTATCGTGCACGAAGAGACTGAACGGTTCATCGAAGTGCTTCAAAAATGCCAACTGTACAGAAAATGTGAGCGATGCAATGTTTTCCGGATCGAATAGCGATCAAAGTTGACCTACCTGAATTATGTTGAGGACTCCATCCACAGACGCGGAATGCCGGGTTGAATAGTCAATCAAGAAGTCTAGCGTCGCTGGGCCCAGCATAACATCCGGCTCAAACCCGACATCGAAGAAAGTCTAGATAGAAAGGTTAGATATGACGTCGATTCGGTACGCGAAGATTCGAGTACACGCCTTTTGTACGATCTCGCGAACCACTTCGACACCCGACGGAGCTGCGACCGTAGAAATACGTAGGAGGGCTAGAGTTGAACGAGAAAATGCCGTGTGCAGATACGAAGGATTAGCAGGTGATGACAGCTCCAGTAGGAAGACTAGGGGTAGTCGAGAGATGTGTTGACTGCCAATGTCGTTCAGAACTAAACTTCGCTTCAAAAGGAAGGGATTTCATGAGATACCTGCATATATAGAACATGTCCTGCAAGGCAGCGACGTTGAAGCGCTCGAAATCATGGAGCACAACTACAAGTTGCGGCCCAGGATCTGTATATCTTCAGTGACAAGGCTTCCGCAAGAGCCGTATAACAAACCTCGCAACTCAAGTAATGCAGTATACCACGCCACCAGGAGTCGAATGTCGTAATTGGCAAGAGATGCCGTCGCCTTCCTTTTCGTTGCGGCTGGAGCTAAACATTGTTCCCTAAGAATGTCTTGCTGAAGAAAATGATGCATCCTTACCAGTGATCCCTTCATCGCCGTTCTGCCCACTTGCATCCTGTTCTTCAACGAAGCCACAGACGAGCGCTTTCATAAGACCCAACAAGTTGGGGCATTCCGAAGGGTGAAGATGCGTAACAATTGCTCGAGAGTTGTTCATGGAATCAATCAGTGTCGCGTCCTGTGCTCTTTCCTTGCCTTTACTTGTGCCACCAGCGCGATCCTGGCCAGATTCATGCAATATATCTATCACGTCTGATAGTATTGTGGCATGTCCGCCAGGAGCTATGAGGTCGAATTGTCACAAGGAATAGTAGACTTCCACAATTATATGTACTCACCGGATAATGCGACAACGGGTAACTCAGGGTATGGCAGATTAGGTAGGGAACTGTCTTTCGAATAGGCATTACGAATATGGGATACGACGGTGGATACCAAAGGTGCATTGAGAGCGCGTACAATGGACTGTAAAATGTTGCCTTAGTACGCGTCTCCCAAGACTGAAGGCCACATACCTGAATGCGATCGCAACAAGTTTTCCAGGCCTCTCGATAGGCCTTGAGTCGTAGATCATAACCTCCTGGAATATCTCGCGATGAAAACGGGGTGTAATCAGGGTACTCCGCGTTGTCCTGTTGTAGATCACCTGTACGTCAAGGTCAACCTTACCGTGCAAAGAGCAAGCAGGCAGGGCGTACTATGGTCGCGGGCAACGAGAGATATGCATGTCTACATATACTTTGTAAGTTTTTATTGCCGCGTGTAATATAAAAAATGTGTCGAACGTACTTTGGTTGGGTCGTGCAAGTCCTGTAGGGAGGTCATGAATCGTGCCTCTGGACGCGTTTACGATCGGAATCTTCCTGTTTCGTTTCTCCGCGTTTCTTTCTGATCTTCCACCACCACTATTTACGTCGACTTCAGATGACTCTTCACACAGCGACCACTGACTTGTGGAGACTTTGAATGGTGTGTTCACAACGTCAAAGATCAGATGATGGATAGAAAGGGCCGCGAGAAGTGGCCAGAGCGGCACGCCGGAAGCTGGGTCAAAGTGTGAAGGAGGCTGAAGAGAAATGGTGAGTGTCTCTGCATGTCTACACGAGGTTCCAAGTGTCATGTAAAGAATTGTATCGTTTGAAACGAAGTTCATCGTATTTTGGGTCAGATTGCTATGGTTATTTCTCAGATGCGTCCCGATGTCCTTACTAACAGTAATGAATCGTGTTTTATTTATATAGACACTTCCTCCACGAGTTGTTGTCATCGTCGTGCGGACCGTCTATGAGCGCATTAGTAGCGAGTCGGGCTTTCCTGTTCCATGCTATGCCGGCAACAATATACAGGATCGTCTGACGTATCATGTCGTATTCCCGCTTCTTGAACATTACTCGCTACCTCGCGGATGACCCGTCATCTGGTCTTCGTCGGAATTGTCTCTACCCCGCGCCCGTCCGCCAATCGGGACCGTTCGATGGAAAACATTCAGTCTATGGTGATCCCCAGAAGTAAGGCGCACCCCAAGGTATATAAGCTCCATGCGTGGAGTCACCTACAGTATATCCGTAGAAATTGTCAGGATGGTTCTGTGGTTCTCCAAGCTTGTATCTTGTCTGGCCATTCATGCAAGCATACTCACACTTGCGTCGACCGATGTTGCCGACGTTGTCGATCTTGGATATGCGAAATATGCTGGCAACTTCACCTCCCCTCATTCTGTTGCTTACCTGGGCTTGCCGTACGCCGAACCTCCCATTGGTGATCGGCGTTTCCGCGCCCCGCTACCGTTGAATACGACTCGCCTTCGTTTGCAAACCGGAGGGCGCATTGTTGATGCAACGTCTTACCCTGATTTCTGTGTTCAAGGTACTACTGGCGGTAGGATAGTTGTCTCTTAAATGTGCGCGAAAACTGATTGTAATGGCGGTAATTGTCCTAGGAGGTGATGCTGGAGGTGCTGGCAGTGAAGATTGCTTGAAAGTCAATGTGTACACTCCTAGAGGTGCCAAAAAGGGCGACAAACGTAAGACAGATGTTTCATTAGTTCTTACATTCTGATAACTTATGGTATGATGTAGTGCCCGTACTCGTATATATTCATGGTGGAGGCAAGTGAACGGAATTGACTTGCGTTCAACTTTTCAAAATTCATTGTCCTCCAGGTTATGTATTTGGCAATCCTCAAAACTGGCCCTTCGAGCACTGGATCAACCAGTCTCCTCACGTTGTCATCGTTTCAGTGTATTATCGTCTCGATTCCTTCGGTTTCCTCTCTCACCCCACGTTTGCGTCTGATCCTTCTCTTGGTGATTTGAACGCCGGATTCCTGGACCAGACTGAGGCCCTTCGATGGGTTCAAAAGCACATAAGTGCATTCGGTGGTGATCCTGAACGGGTGACCATCAATGGCGAAAGTGCCGGAGGCTCATCGATAGAGTTACATTTAGTCGTCCCTAATAACGACGGCCTATTCCATGGCGCCATTGCACAATCGGTCTATCGTACCCCGGTGCCGACGCCTGATCAGCAAGAGGTAAGCGGAAGGTTTAGTCAGACTCGTTTCTTGACTTATCGTTGTTTACCTAGCCGCTGTTCAGTCACTATGCCAATGAAGCGGGATGCGGCTCAGGCTCTCTCGCCGCTCAGGTAGCATGTCTTCGAAATGCCAGCATAAGCGCATTGGCGAGAGCGCAAGATTCAGCTTTGTACGTTCACATTGAGTCGCTGTGTTTTTCTAGTCCATTCAGCTTATGCTCTGCATAGTAATGGCTTATATAACGCATTTCATCCCGTCTTAGACGGCAAAATCATCTCAGAGCTGCCTACGGTCTCAATTCTTAATGGACGTTTCAGGCAGGTTCCACTATTGGTTGGGTGGGTACTACACTTGCTACTTTGAAGATGTCGCCTGATAAGTCCCGTAGCGCAACATCAAATGAGACGTTGTCGAGCGGCACAATTTCATCCGCCCTGAAGTCCTTCTTTCCTGCTCTTTCAGACAATGACCTGGCCGAATTCGCTCAAGAGTATCCTCTGTCAGCATTCTCCTCAAGCGATGAGCAGCTCAGAGCCGCAACCGGCGAGTCCGAACTTCGATGTGCTGTAAGTGCATTGCTAAATCCTGCGGGGGGCCACTTTTGTTGATACATTTGGGCAATAGAGAGAGATAATGGCTGGCGCGTTCTCCAAGGTGACGAACGCGTTTGCCTACCGTTATAACCAAGCAAATCCTACATCCTCTTCGCCAGCTGTGGATCACGCCGCAGAGAACTGGATGATGTTCAGAGGAACCAACACGGGGTTAGCATTTCACTCATTATTGTTCGGTACTTACTCGTACTTAACAAATGTTGCACTAGTCCCAATGGTTCGACTACGTTTACACCAATGACGCCGACGCAGGAGGCTTTTGCAGAAGAACTCATCGCATACTGGCTGTCTTTCGTGCGATCCTTCAACCCCAATACCTTCAAGCTCTTACGTTCCCCTATTTGGCCGTCGTATCATGCGAACTCCCCTGCACGGATCGTTCTTCAAGAAGGTTCGGCTTCATCGAGCGGTAGTCACGTTGAGGCCGAGCCTCAGGCGGAGCTTGCTCGTTGCGCATTCGTCGTTAGCAAAGTGAAGGCGGAGCAGAACTGATTATCTCGTTGCATGTCAATACTAATGCTCGTTGTACGGAATGTGACTTTATGTGAGTTCCGAGCTCTAATGGATCACGCTCAGCTAAGTTGCATCAACAAAGCTATACTACAAACATCACAGTCCTACGTGCATGAATGTCGCCCATCTTGATGCGGGAGCCCCTGCCCGTCGTAAATCGTGTACTGCAGCGTCCAGAGCATACGGAATACATCTGTAGTCAGGTTGTCCATACTTGAACATCTCCTGGTAAACCTGCTTTGCCACCAACGGTCCATCACTATCTGCCATAGGCCTGACGGACTGGTTGAGTTATTCAGCTTCATGTTATTCATGCGAAGTGACTTACCACATTGTTCCAATAATGCTGTGAAACCCAGTAAAGAGCATGGTCATAGCAAGGTTGACTACCTCGTCAGGTAAGTTTTGATCTCCTTGGGCAGATTCACAAGCACTGAGGAAAGCAAATCTTGCAGATGACATGTTCAATTGGATGAGATGAGCTACAGTCAGTTTTCCATCGTTCAGATAAAAACCACTGTTTAACGGAGAGGTCTGATCCTGCATTCCATGACATGCCAGATGTAAAATGGATGCAGATGGAAGCTTTTCCAGTACATTGGGTATTGTGGTCAATGCTCCCGCAATATCAAGCTGATGGGTGTCTTTGAGATAGAGCAGTGAGTTCTCTGGAACAATGTTTGCTAGAGTTTTGATCTCTTCAGCAGCATAAGATAAAGGAGGCTGTGATGGCGCATGGGGCTGAGCAAGCAGAAGAACCTTGGTGATAGTGTCTTCAGATTTTTGAGACTTCTCTTGTGCATTGATCAAGGCTGTCAAGGTGGGTGCATATGATGTGACTGCATAATCATGAATTGATTCAACCTTGGAGTGGTAGATACCAGCAGCATGCAGTGGTAAGTAAACAAGTTGTCCCACTGGATACCACCAGAGTCTAGGTCTCTGAGAATCCAAGGAAGACTATGCATCTGATGAGATAAACTTTTTATATGCACTATGAAAGTTGCTGCTTAACTTTAGTTCTAGTTTCTGAACAACAGGCCAAACAATATGTTTCCACAATAATTCAAGAAGATCTTCAAAGGTGATGTTCTTTATTCCCTTAGGCCTTCCTGCCCTTTCTTCTCTCAGTTCTCTGCCACTCCTAGAAGTGACATTCTGCTCTGTCAAGATCTTCCACAGCTCTATCATCTCTTCCATCACTGTACCAGTGCATGATTGGAGTGGTAGGACCTCTGGCTCAGCCTTATATTTGACAATAACTGCATAATAGTGACTAGAGGAATTGAAAAGAAGAGCAACCACTGGTCCATATAATGCTGCATTTCTAAGACTAGAGAAGTTCAGAGGTTTCATAAAGTTTTGATGCCCTGGCATATTCTGAATCTCCTTCACAAGTTCATCAAATTTCTTGGCCAATTGATATTGTCTGCTAGCCACTTCTTCCCTTTCAAGAGAAAGTTCTTGTACTGAGGTAAGAAGCATATCTATCTTGTTACTTCTCTCAAGGCCCTGAAGAACTTCTGTCATTCTTTCAGAGAGTGAAGCAGGTAATTCATCCAAAGATACCCTCATACTGAGCATTTGACTCCAGAACATTGATCTTCCTAACTCCAGATATTCCAAAACTTTAGCAGGAGGCAATATGTCAATGGCTCTGATAGTAGCATCCTGTATTCTGGGAAGAAGTTTGATTGCATCTAGTCTTGAAGAAGCATCTTGATCCAAATATACTAGCTGAGAAAAATAATTGACCATAGTTTCATAGGCCTTGATAAAGCTGTCCATGTCTTTATACTCCAAGGAGATATCAAGTAAAGTTGCAGCAGCATTGAGGGCCATCATAACACCCCCATCTAAGCTCAGCATGGCTTCTATAAGATGTCCAATGATAATCTTTTGCTTAGAGATATCATCCTTCTGTAGTTGAGTATGTTGAAGAAAAAGTGCATATGCAAGAGATGTTAGAGTTTCAGCCCTATACAAATGGCCTTCTGGTCTTAATTGTAAGGCTTGGCTGTACAAGTCAATAGACTTAGCAAGATCATTTTGATCATACAGTTTCTGATACTTGAACTGAAATGCTGAGGCTAGCTGCTGTAACACCATGGAGTTGACCTCTGGCCAGTCAGAAACAATGCTGTACACATATTCATACAATGTGATTGCATGAATCACATAATTGATGTCCTGAGTGATTAAGTGTTTTTGCAAATATGCATTGGCCAACTGTAGAAAGGCATCAACGTCTTTCTGCAAACTGATATGTTCCTTTGCAAGTATAAGCACATTGTCCAGATCGTTAGGATTTCTGAGCTTGAGATATCTGGCTTGTAAAAGTTTGACCACTTGAGATAGGGCAATTACCCTCATATGATGGCCAACTGGCCAGAGAGCCAAGAGTTGACAATAAATGTCTATGGCTGCATGCAAATCATTAATTCTCTGAAACCTCTGAAACCTTTGAAACAAAGCATCTCCAAGATCCTGTAAGACTTCTTGCATTTGATAGTTCTCCTTGGGCAGCAGGGCCTTAGCTTGGTAAAGTGTGATAATGGTTTGGTTGAGATCTTCCATTTGCCAACATTGATTGAATCTCTTTTGCAAGTCTCTAGCCAGATCACAAAGTGAGAAAGCCTTCTTGATATCATCTGTGTGAAGTAAAGCTGACTTTCTGCACATCTGAATAGAATGATCTAGATCTTCCAATTCTCCAGAGTATCCATGCTTTATTTCAAACATGTCACCAGATATTGCATAAACTTCTGGTGCTTGAATAATCTCCTCAGGAACTTGAGCCAAGGCCTTCAGAACTATCTCAGATGCAGTGTCCAAGTCTTTCACAGTGTCAAATGCCAGGTATCTCTTGGCCAATGCAAGAGCCATCTTAACAGATGCTAACACCTTGAGATTCTCAGTATTGCAAAGAGATATGGCCTGCTTGTAGAAACCTATGCCCTTGTCAACATAGAATATATCATGAGGCATTGAGGTCTGAAAAATTCTGACAAGATCCTGCATCATTTCAACTTTTTGCAGTTCAGAGGAAGAATATGATGAGACTGCACTCTGGTAGAGCGAGACAAACTTGTCTTCAATTGCATTGAATTGGCCATCTTGAGCGAATTTCATTGGGAGAATGCGGGAGATGGCATCCACAGTGTTCCATCTGGAATCGTGATCTTCGGGAAGCTTGCATAAGAAGTTTTCAAGCATTGCAATAACCGTTTCAAATATGTTTCCGCTATCTGTTTGCTTGGATTTCTTGAGAACTACGTTGAGCAGCAGAAGCAAGGCTTCTGAAATAGCAGTTGGATCCAACGTAGAATCCTGGAATCCCTGGAAACAGACGTTAAGGGCTTCGTCAAGAAAAGACGCCTCGTCTTCCCGTTTGAATCTCTGCCACATGCAAAGTGCGACGCTGACCGCGGGATATAGCTTGTCCAAACTGTGATCAGGCCAAGCATCGAAGGTCTGTCTGCTAAGTGATAAAGATCTTCCGATATTCGACGAGCAGAGACGCAGCCTTCGAGAGGGCGTGATACGCTGAACTCTGCTTAACCGCGACAGATCGCAATGCCTCGGATGATGGACAAGCATCATCAAAGGTTCCGGACGTTCGAGGTCCGTCTTGTTCAGCCCTAGAATACATTTGCAAAGCGCAAACATAGCCATCCAACAGACCTACGAACAATTTAGAAAGCTATTCTCAATGATTGATTCGTAGAACAAGCCTACCGTCGTCCTGTTCATTCAATTCGGGTATTCTAGGCACACCACTAGGAAGAAAGGCAGCCTCGTACATTGCAGGTGTCTGGATGTCGTTAGGAGTAAGCAGTTATTGAGAGTATTGAATTGTCCAAGATTCAGAAGTTCCTCGAGTTGGAATTCGACGAAGCTGATGAAAGTAACAGGCAACCTTGTCTCGCTCGATCCCGCTGATCAGGAAGATCGGGCGTCAAGCACAGACATGGTACCTTCGGCTAGTGCCCGTCTCACTTGAGTGCTTGTTCATTCTTAACTGAGTTTCATACTTATTGAATGACTCTTTCTTCACGCCTATTGGAAACAAATGCGTCACCATATCCCAGGGAAGCGAACAAAGAAGGTATGGATTTAATCAGGAAAGATGCACGTGATGGAAGTCCTTAGCGACGCGGGGAGTTCGCGATGCGCGTGAACCTCACCTGTCTAGGCCAGAAAACATCATCTCACAGTAACGACGTTTCTTGCATGCAGCCATACGCATCACACGCTCTTTTCATAGTAGAATAGTTATCTTCTCCCCGCTCCTGAAGCCATCTTCTCAAAACTCGCTCTCATATCGCTTTCACCATGTTCAACTTCTTCATGACATCAGTCCTCCTCGTTTTCTTCACTTTCTCGACGGTGCGGGCCACTATCTTCGTAAGTCGAATCTAAGATAGCCAAGAACTTCTCTTGAAGAATTTCCTTAGGTGACCGCACCCCTCAAAGACTCTGAATGTTTTGGCGGGCAGCCGTGTACTGTTCAGTGGGTTGACAATGGTGTCATTCCTCTTCTGAGCAACATTGGACCCTGTTATGTCGGTCTGTACAATGGAGATCAGGTGGGTAGTATACGGTCTATGACATGTTATTCTTTGCTTACTTTCCAAATTGTTAGGTCCTTGTTCAGCAAATCGAGCCAGTCGACATTGCTATAACACTTTCCCTTAGCTTTATAGTAGGCTTCACTGTCTACTTCTCTACCTCAATTCTTCTAACAGCCTTACGCTCTACAGCCCAACCAACAGGCAGGTCCGGATTCGAATACCTAGTACGTCAAGTTTTGCTATTTTTTTCCCGTGGCGCAACTCACGCCCGCCCTGGCGTACAGTTACATCAACTTCACCTCCGTGAATCCGTTGGGTAACTCTGCTGCCCACTACATCCAGTATTCCCCGTTCTTTAGGTAGGTTCACATGGAACCTTTCTAGTATCGCATCCTAAATCCAACCAACCGAACAGACTCACGGGAATGTCTGGATCCTTCAATTCGCCTGTCGCTAGCGCCACCTCTTCCCTCACTGTGCCATCCAGCGTAGCAAGCGCACCTCCCAACTCCATTTCCGTCACTGTGACTATCCCCGTCACTGTCGGACCTCCAAGCGTCAGCCCACCTTCAGCAAGTCAGACGCTCCCAGTGTTTTCCAGTCCAAGTGCCGCTTCCTCGGCATCTTCGTCGCTACCAACCTCCTCCTCCTCAAGTTCACCTACATCGTCGACATCAAGTAGCGCTACTTCTTCCTCGTCTTCTTCCCCGCCTTCTTCCTTGCCTTCTTCCTCGCCTTCTTCCTCATTCACCACTTCCCGAATTTCCTCACCGTCTTCTATTCCTGCGACATCCCCCTCCGCAACTGGCACCACTTCATCAGCTTTCCTCGTAGCGGATGTACGGCTTATACCAGTCGCTTTGGCTCTGTCTTTGCTTTCGACTCTTCCGCTAGGTCTTTGAGCTTTATTTGATGTGGACAGGTTCCGTTCGCCTTCGTGCTCTCGGGACTGGTCTCAGAATGTTGTATCTACATTAGTTCTCGTGCGTTGCCCTTTCAATATGCGTCGACCGTTCAAGTTTCACTTGCGATACCAACCTTTGTACATTACTCAACATCCTGCTTTTCGCGATACCTGACTTTTAATAGCTTAGAAATCAATACAGTCTTATGGTTATGGGTAGTAGAATTACAACTTGAAACTTTGAAAGAACCGACATATGGGAGGCAAACCCGGAACGAAGCCAGTAGTGTAATACGTAGATAATGACTCTATCAGCCTTCCACACGTCTGATCATCCTCCTCTCTCGTTCACCAACGACTTTGACCATGCCTTCCTGTTCCAGCTCCCTAATGACCTCCTGGAAGTCGGTCGGAGTGACCTTGATGCTACTCTGACCCTCCAGTTTCTTGTAAGCATCCGCCCATCTGACACCTCGGTTGCCTCCTCCACCCTCAAGCAGACTCAACACTTCCTTCCTCATATCGCTCCTCATCCTCCTTTGCGCCCGACCAATACCAGTATCCAATAGACCCATATCGATCTCCCCAGTAGTAGGGTCTCGCGCGCCGGTATTAATCGCCTCGCGCATCAACCTGAACGACTCTTGCACGTCCTCCAGCTCAACCAACTGAGAGAATCGCATTCGTGCATGGGCTTCCGAGAGACGAATCATACTCTCGAGTTGTCGAGTGGTCGCCGTGATACGTTTCTCGTTCGACCTTGGGTCTTCTCCCGCTTTGCGAAGAATGACATATGACTTGACGAGTTCCTCTCCAGCTGCTTCTGTGATTATAGGGTTGATCTTCGAACGAGCGTATGTAATGTACGCAGCGAGTTCGTCTAGAGGGACTATATCTTGTCCGCTACCATGCAGGGGCGCATCTTCGAGATAGAGACCAACGAGATGTTGAGCGAGCCGTCGGTCAAGAGCTTCGTCCACTTGGTCGAGAACGAGATAGAGGAGATCGAATCGGGAAATGAGGGTTGGCGGGAGGTCGATATTCTTGGTTACGGTTTGGGCACGGTCGTACTTGGAGCCGATAGGGTTGGCAGCAGCGAGGATGGAGGTTCGGGCATTTAGGGTTGTAATAATGCCGGCCTTGGCTATGGAGACAGTTTGTTGTTCCTACAATGAAATTGTTCATATGAACATGAAAAAAAAGTCTAGTCAACACTTACCATGACTTCATGAAGCACGCTACGCGTCGCATCGGACATTTTGTCGAACTCATCAATACAGCAGACACCTCCATCACTAAGAACCAAAGCACCACTGTAGGCACCACATCAGTACTCGCTCAACACCCCCACGACAATGGAGAGAAAAAAACTCACCTCTCCAATACAAGTTGCTTGGAGTCGGGGTCCCGAGTGACATACGCAGTCAAACCTACAGCAGAAGATCCCTTGCCTGACGTGTACACTCCACGCGGTGCGATCTTGTGCACATACTACATTTGAAGCTCTAAGCAGACGATTGACGGAAGCAACAGCACGTAAAACATACCTGAAGAATCTGAGACTTGGACACACCAGGGTCACCAACGAGCAAAACATTGATATCACCTCGATACCTGGGTCCACCAGCACCTCCACCTCTAGCAATGCTCTTATTCGTACCGCCAAACAACTGCAACAAGATACCTTTCTTGACATCCTCCAATGCCCAAATAGATGGAGCAAGTGAGCGTGCAAGGAGTTCATAGATATCCGGCCGTCGACTGAGGTCCTTCAACTTGGCCTCTATTTGAGCCTGCTTCGTCAACCTCTGTTCACGATCAGCAGCATTATCGTCTTCCTCGTCCTCGAATCCTCCGACTCCGCCAACACCAGGAATCCGGTCTCCACCAGCGGGTCTGGTGCTTTTGTCGAAACCGAGTTGGTCATCAGTACCTAGACGAATGTGGACGACATCTAGGAAAGTCTTGAAGAGACTCTTGAGGGTACGTTGGCGAGGATTGATGCGAACGGGCACACTTCGGTAGATGCCTGTCGCGACGAGTCTGTCTCCCGGTTTGGACACGTCGACGAGTTCGTCGTACACGCTCAAAGAGACGGTATGAGGTGTTTGACCATCTGGTACTGCATCCGGTGTTTCCTGCAAACGAATGACTTGTCTGTCTGCGAACTCGCAACGATTGTGCACGAGAGACATGGTGCCGACGGCACTGCAGACATCTCGCTCACAACGAGCAGGCTCGTCAATCTTGCCTCGATCAATTTCGACCTGTTGGGTATGGTTACAACTGAGGCATCGGAAGAATGCAACTTTCATGTCAGGTATAACTGGGGTAGCACGGATGACAAGACCTTTGATGCAGACGAGCTTGTCCGTATCTGACAAAAGTCATCAAGTCAGTCAGTATTCACTCGATGGGAAGATTATTGTGAATGTGAGTCCTACCTGTAGGATTCAGATCACGCATGTTAATGGAGGGCAAGCCAAATGGTCGAATCTTGAAGACCTTGTCCAAGATCTCCGCAATCTCAGCTTCGCCTTCAGGACCAGTCATACCATCTACACCGGCTTCTCGATCCTCCTCAGCAACCTCCAGCATCAAATCCTTGAGGACTTGATCCATAGCAGGTATGACTTCCTGCGGATACTTCGACAATTGTGTATGCAGCTTCCTACTCGGAGGGAAGGCAGCAAGGTTGTTCATATCCAGATTCAAGTTAGATTCTCCAGTTTGTCTCATCCGGCGCAGGTAAGTCTCATACAAAACGAGTTCGCCTTCCTCCGGAGAAGAAAGTGTCCGAGTGCGAAGTCCTCGTTCACGATCGTACGCGACGCGATATTTGATCTTGAATCCGCGCAAGAACTCTCGGAATGTCTTCATTGTCTCACCCAGGTTGACAGTCGTACCCCAAATGGCGCGAATTTCATCGGGCTCGTCATCGGGCTCAGATGGGTTCGAAAGATTTGGTGCTGAAGACGGAGGCAGAGAGAGATGAGTACCGTCAGAGTTGAGGCCATCATTAGGTTGACCACCGCCAGCTCGTCTAGGACGTCGGACTGGCGTTATACTCAAAGAAGAGTGGATGTCACCACGTCTGTTCTTTGGCGTTCTGGGAGCCTGAGGCGTTCTGCAGAGGGCATACCAACGATGAGACGCGTCAAGTCACAGTGTTCATATCACAGACTCACTGGGGGAATTCTAGCTCAGAATCTGGAGCATCCGAACTGGGTATATGTGACCTTCTAGGTGTTTTACTTGGTGAAGAAAATGGAAACGATATGGGAGAAGAGCTTCCACCTGCGAATAGAGTCAGCGTGCTTTTCACAACTCGCAGAAGTAGCATATTCGCGTCAAAAAGTCTCGACGCGTACGGAATATGGCGTCTCGAGTAGAAAAACGCGTCCAAGCTCATTCAACACGAAAATATACTCACCAGGTGCAAAAAGAGGTGTCTGATCTCTCCTCCTCTTCGGAGTCGCAGTATTCATCCCGACAGCCCTTCTCGCCATGAAACCATGCGTCATAGGCATTGCGGCATCAGAGGATAAGTCATGTCTACTACGAGCCGGCGTGCCTGCAGCAGAGGGAGTTCCAGCGAGGAAAAGCGGTTGTTCTTGTCCGAGTTGTGGAGGTGCGTCGGGAAAGGACTCCTCCACTTGCATCTCAGCATCTCCAGCATCGGAGCTTGGGAAATCAAGTGGATCCGAGTCGTGTTCAGACATCTTTAGAAGAAATAAGTGCGAGAAATGTTAGGGAGCTTTGGCGAACGAGGAACGCGAAGAGCCAATGAGCGTCTAAGAGACGCGTCGCGACGCGCTCATTAGCCAGTTTAGGGCAGGCACCAAGTAGGCGTACAGCCTGCCTCAAACTTCATGTCGGGTTCAAATGCCACAGGAGGGTATCCACACGTATAGGTACATTAAATCTATCTACTCACTACAACAAAGGAAGAAAATACATACAACATAGAATATCGCTACGCGAAAACGTCCATACATCACCTGGCCTCTTCTATACTATTACATAGAATGACTTCATATTATCATGTCAGTGTGCGGGGAATAGGAATGTCGTAGACCTCAGCTTCATTTCCGATCCTCGACGTCAAGCGTCTCGAATTTACATTCCCAACAACGAACTCGGAGTCTGCACAGTCAAAGGACCCGTTCCTTTTCCATGAGCCGAAGACTTCACCGCCTTTGCCGAAGAGCCGGCTAAGGAAGACCCCGTCGAATTGGGAGAGGTGCTCATCTGCAAAAGCATCGAAGCAGCATGCTTCTCATCCTCCGGTGTCCATGTTGGTGAAACGGTAGGCGAAGTGATGGCACTTCTTGAACTCCCAATCGTGGTCGTAGACAGACGTCGAGTTGAAGTGGTGAGACTTTGCCTCAGCTTATTTGTATCCACCGGACGTGCAGGACCCGGCAAAGTGAGAGAAGGAAGTGAGTTGATGCTATCAGGGGCTGCGACTCGGAAGCTGCCTGACAGAGGCGGTGAGGGAAGGTGCGAGGTGATCTGAGCATTGTTTGCGTTCGCATCTGTCAAAGCAGCAATGCAACTGGGATCGACATATGGGTGAGGAAGCCAAGAGGCGATAGGAGGGAGACGAGGAGAGGGAGTGGGTTGAACGGAAGTGCGGCGGGAAGGTGGGCGAGGTGGAAGTAGTTCTTCGATTTCGTCGTCATTGTCAGCAGCCTTTTCGTCGTCGGCGTCGACAGCATCGCTTTCGATGTCATCCACTACCTCGACGTCGTCAACGTCGCGTTTGCGTTTGCCAGTGGCGCTCAACGTCGGTGAAGATGTGGAAGCAGGTATTGCGCATTGAGCGCAGCGACGGTTCTCCAGCTCTTTGACGTGCGAGATGAGCTCCTGCATGTAAGTAACAGCCTTTACCAACACGTCCAGCTTGAATTCCTTCTCCGATTTCTTCCCTCCATCTTTGCCCTTCGTATCTGTAGATACGACATGCTGAGGATTCTTCTTCGCCTCGGCATCGTTCACGAGACTGCTCAAAGTAGAGAGTGCCTCATTAATCTTCGTTCGACGTGCCTTCTCGATGCGAGAGTGGTTTAGCTTGCGCTGAGACTCGCGTGCAGAGCGAGAGAGCGGGCCAGGCTTGCGACCACGACGTTTAGGTGCCGGTGCTGAGACGACAGGGTCGTAATCGTCCTCATCCTCATCAGAGGAGTCAGGATGAATAGGCTCCCTGTAGCTCGGAGGTGTCCTGGGTAGGAGGTGAGGACGACGTTGCGTGCCATTAGGAACAGCAGGTTTGCTGTTGGCAGCTGCGTCCGCAGTAGTTCGAGCACGCTTTGCTCGTCGCGGCGGGTTGCAACTGCCAATATATGCTGTGGTGTCCTCAGAGACAGTCATAATGCCTGACGATCAGGGGAGGAAGGAAAGAGGGGTGAGGGGACACTGGCCGGCTGGTCGTGTGTATGAGAGATAAATGGTCAACGCTATCGGGCCTCCAGAAAGGAGGGCAATCATGGTCGTGTGCATGATGAACGTGCGATGGCAAGAGAATGCAGCCACTTGCTCGGCCGTCGCACGACCATCCTCCCCGACCCTGATTGGCTCCCGCCCCATACACGTGCAAGCCCTTCCTTCTTGACTTCCCCTTTAGGTTCTTGGTGTTGCGCGCGCCCTTGCGGGCGTCTTCAAAAGGGCTAGTGAAGTCTTGACAGGCGCAACACGGCGGAAACGTTCCCGCAGCAACGTTTCGTGTCGTAGTTGGAGTCTATTCCGACGCTGACAATTAGTCTCTTGTTGCTGCGCCACGGGTGCCCGGAGAAACCATATCTCTACGCTAGTCAGTGAGAACGCTTTCAAAATAGAAGTGCACTTGCTCACTTCGTATTTCAAAGCGGAGAATGGGCGAAGATCCAGGCTATTGGTGGCATGAAAGAGCTCTGAGATAGACAAACAAGGCCTCCCGGCGGCTGATAACGTTACGTGCGGAGAAAGCAGTCCAGAGCAATCTCATTTACGCGATGGGTCATCAAGCACCGTATAGTCACCCACGGATGCTTCAATGGAAACAGGGGGACTACTCATGGTTTCAAACGTGGGTCGATGCGGCAGTCTGTGCAGAAGAAACAGCTGAAGCATGACGGTGTTGTGCACATTCCTATCAGACTGCTTAACTTCTCGTTGCGTAACCAGAAGACAGACAAAGGTCATGAGATTCCGGTGACAATGTTCATCGTGTGGGTCAAAGAAGATCAACTTCAAGCTACTCCATCAAGCAACACATACCACTGGCGCGGTACTCGGCAGATACCTAGATTTAAAACCAGGCTTTGCCTCTTGAGCTTGAAGGTGGAAGGTAGACCTGAGCACGCGGTCATTGATGCGCTGCCTATATGTGAATTGACAGTGTATTTTGATCAAGATACAGCATGTAGGCTGTCACGTAACAACGTAGGCCTGTCAGATGGCGTGAATCAAGTTCAGAACATACTCACCTACACATGAAAATATTACCAGTACTCCTTCCAAAGCTCCGAAGTAAACATTCCAAGTTCAACTGCAGAATAGCAAAGCACAACGAAGATGATACAATATGCATGAAGCTACCTACGACTTCTCAGCAAATCTAATGGCGATTTCACTTTCGAGGCTCTGAGCGCTAAAGTATTTCCCAAGCGGGGGGCAAGGCAAGACTCCCAAAAGTTCAAGTAGGACCCCGAGAACCAGACAGGGATATACCCATATGCTCAGAACTGCGAACGACACTTACAAGAAGACATCGAGGACGCGTGTTCGAACCACGCCGGTGAAAATCGAGAAACAATTTCAATCGTAATTCCTGGTAGACAATATAAACAAAGAACATGGGTGTATATCTTGTACCACAACATGTTCACTTCCTCTTTTTACTTGTTGAAGGAGCTTCGGCCCTACCAGGTGCAGATCCTGCTCGCTTCCTTGAACGCAAAATAGTACTATCATCCTCCCCATTGTCCTCAATATCTGATGAGTTCAGGACCAGCATAGCACTCCGCCAGGATCTCAGTGTCATTTCCGGTACCCCAATGCGACTCGCCTCGCTGACAGATATGTGTTTGGCGGCATGGTCTAGGTGTGAAGTATCACTGAGTTCACCAGTCACTACATCTCGGTGGATACCATCAATATGCTCATCGAGATTGTATTTCCAATATGTTGGATGAAGACCGGTTTGAGGTGAAGGGCTGCAGTGTGGGCATTGGACAGGAACATTGGTAGATGGACTGCTGATACTTGACTTGATTGCTGCGCCGTAATTGAAGTCGTAGTGGTACGGACAGTCAGATTTCAATTCAATCTTCTTTCCTTGCTTGGTCATCTTGATTGTGCAGCCACCGAGTCCACAGAAGCCGCATGGATTGACACCAATCTAATTTTGACAGTGTCAACCATACTTGTGCCACTGCAGTAAAGAAGCTTGATTGAAAATGTACATTGGTCCTCCGGCTTGGGTCAGCAATATTGAACTTCGCAAGCAGGATATGTTCACCGACATGTGACCGAAGTGTCTTGAGCTTGAATTCCTTCCCACAGATTTTGCATTTCACGCGTTCATCCTTGTCAAGTTTCCGCAGTCATATGTTACTTGGAATATCCTTGATGTTGAAGCACGGTTTTCCTAATAGTATGTGCCGTATCAAGTTAGTTAATTTACAGTACATTCCATGGCTTCATTGCTTACCAGATAGATCAGCATATGGAAACCTCGGACCTCGCGCTACCAACGGAAGCAAGTCAATGACATCCGCTATATCTCTGGATGATTGGGCATTGTCTCACACATCCTGGACGAGCTCATCCAGTGATTGTCTTGACAGCTGCCACGTTTTGCCACGTTGAATGCCTGTAGTGTTATTTTGAAAGTGTGAAGGTGGAAGTCTGTCTCGAGGGTTTGCACGGAGAATATCTGGATTGAGAAGAAGAAATAGCCATCCAGGAAAGGTTGCGACAAAGTGACCAATGTGCGAAACTGATGGGATATCAGAGGATGATATAGTGACCATGCCGGAAAGTAACTGTGTTTGCAGGAAGTCTCCAGTCCAAAGCCATTCTGGTTGAGCTTTCTGTGTAGCAGGAATGGGTGTCTCGGGCAGTGGAACTGGTGAAAGATGGAGAATTTGACCAGTGACTGTCACATCGCTAGCATTTGATGTTCCAAGGTCATCAGTGAGAACCTCACCGACTCACTTGCCCTTGCATATGAGCGCAGTGACCTGAACGAGAACAAGGGTGATATTGCCATCACATGAAGCCAGTGCAGCACCAATGTCACCTGTCAGAAACATTTTCGGATTAGTTATTTGATCTGAAATAACTTCCGAATCTGCTTTTCGCAGTTGGTTGCATTTTACTCCATATACATGGAGGACTCTTTCAACGGACTTCTTTCCATACTTGGGAGAGAGCGCACATCGTACAATAGATGTCAAATGATAGGCCTCCCAGCAGCCGTTGTCATTGACTTCCATCCAATCACGGGAGTTATGATCTAGAGACTGGTCACCACCTTCAGTATCTGTCACTGAAACACTTGACTGCTCCGTTACAAGCAAATCTTCCAGTTCCACTTCAAGAAGCCCATCTTCATTGAGGTCTTCATCCTGGATCTTGCCTATAGAAGTTGAAATTGGCATATCTGGAATTGACCGATCTTTCGAAGACTTCTCAGAGACACCAACATAGCGTCCATCACCCATTGGACGAAGGAGGTCAATATCTGGGCGCAAAAAGAGGTCATCAAACTGATAGCTAGTGCGTGGTATATTGTACTTGGACAGAATGCCCTCTGCTTCCTCATGGCCACGCCGTCACTCCAATTGTAATGAAACATGACCACTGATTACATCATCATGCACTGAATGTGGGTTCATGTGGTCAGGACCCTCTCAGCTGGAAACTTTGATGCGGCGATGACCACAGTCTAATTCAGGATTCTGGAGCATGATAGCACTGATCGTTGAGGCAGTGGAGAGCTTTCGAGAGAGGCTGAGAGCATTGAAGTTGCATGAGTGATCTTGGGTGCGTACATCACAGAAGGCTACCTCCAGCCAATTATCACCTACTTGGATAAGGTAGAAGGGCTGTGTCAGATCTAAGAGCTGCTGTTTGGCAATGCAGAACATGACATTCTTCACAACACACTGTGAGTCAATATATAATTGACTCATCATGAAAGCCGTTGTATGCATGCAGTAGAGCACAAAGATGAGATGGGCATAACGAGAGAGGTGTCGCACTTGATCAGCGAGTGAGAATTCTGAGTTGATAAATGGTTCTAGAAATGCGTGCATGACTTCGCCAAGGAGGCATAGTGCTTTGTGAGTCTTTTCCTCTGCTGGTGTATATGAAGACATGTTTAACGATTGAAGAGATACAAGGGTTTGGATGACAGTGACTGCACGCGGCACATTCTGGTGATCAGTGGGATCGATCATCTCTGCAACATGTTCAAGTGTCATGCCTGGTATCTTCATGAAATGCTGAGCAAGCACCTGTCAGTTCACCACCGTATCAATAATGAGGATGCCGTTGCAGTCACATAGAAGAGTAACATCACCTATAAGCATAGGTAAGTCTGAGTTATTGTAGATTGATTGAAAAGCACTCACATTTCCATATATGTTTCGGATCGCAGTTGATCATTATACCATTAGGACCAGTATGAAGGTTGATACCTGGAAGAGGAGCAAGAATATGAGCAAGGTCTATTGTTGCCTCGTGGGTCATAAGAAGCTTGAATTTTTCCATGCGGAAGGTTCCTTCTCCATCTGTGCCAACACACCATAATGGCCCATGATGAGCTTCACCATCTGGATTGTCCCTCCATGCCTCGATGATCATTGCCAGCAGTCTGGCAAACCCATCACCCTTCTCAGCTTTACACGTCAGAGAGACCATGATAGGAATAGCGTTATAGTGATTTTTGTGGAATGGCGCGATTGCTACCACTGTGGCTTCCTTTCCATAGTGATAGGTGGGTTTTTCTCCATGGACGGCTCCAGTGACACATTTAATTGAGTCAATATTGGTAATGCAGAGCTCCTCTATAGGTGCATGTTCATGACAAAAGCCAACTATACTCTTCGACTGGTGTAGATATGAGCCTTTCTCATCAATGCTCACACCATCCAGGAATACTGAATGGCCGCAGCATGGTAGTGGTTCAGGTATCACATCCTCTCCAAAGAATGCATGGATATTGGTACCCACTTCCTCGCTAGTTGGTGCTGCAACACTGGAAAGAAGCTCAGGAACTTTTATATGCCGTCATATGGATCGCGCCGATGGGAGACCAAGTGAATAGTTCAATGCATACAACAGACGGGGGCCTCCAATCGCCTTGACAAGGTATGCTAGTTCAATGTCATATTCACCATAACCTCAAGGATGATAACCGCCATATGCAGCAAGTCGCATACATTCAATAATCGCATTGATTGAGGCACCTTGGCATAATGCAACTGAAATTAATTGATGAAGTCGAGGTACATCCAGGGAATCAATAGCCATGATGAATCTTTTGAAGTCATCCAATCTGCATACTAAGTTCTTCATACGACGTGAATCACTTAGTGCCTATTTCAGAAGCCACTGCATGAGTTCTTATACATGGTCATTCATGATACGATGAGACACTTGCCTTTGCCCGCAGCATCCTCACATCATCATCAAGCTCCCATGCTCACTGCTCAATCTGCAAGTGACTCAGCAAATGCCATGGCATGTTCTTCTTTGCATGTAGAGCATGTTCCTTGATGTTTGCAATAACCTGACTAGTTGGTAATGCGAGACATGAAATGCAACAGTTGGCATGTAGCAAAATCATCTCACAGCATGTCTCCAACTGTATTCGTATGGTGCTTCCATCACTCTGGACTGAAACCAACTTGAAGCCAGGATTCCAGCATGCTTCAGAGTGCAGAGGAATTGGGTAGGTTGTATGTGCCTTTTCCATCTCCCACTTGATGTCAATCCCTGTACAGGTCTGTGGCTGCATAGGTGGTGAAGCGCGGTGTTCCGAGTCCTTGTTATTTGGGGCACGGCTCTCTTTCCAATCGGAGCTGTCAGACTCTGTGCATGCAAGCCCGAAAAAGTGAAGGTCAGGTGGTGAAGATCTAAGGTCATGACGGTTCAGTGTCACAGTTGCGCCAGTTGTAGTGGTAGGTCCTTGCACTGCAGGAGGAGCATCAGAATTCCTACTGACTTGATTGAATAAGGCAGCAAGGAAGGGTGGGGTTGTATCTCCATAGCTCTCCGGCGTGGATCCTTCATCTCTGGTGAAGGTGGCTTTAGATGGGCCTGCAGGGCTGGGAGAAAAAGCCATTTTGCAACACTTTTCATAGCAGCCAAAGCGCATTTTTCTCGCATTTTTCTCGCATTTCTAGGTGAGTTTCCATACCTCTTGCACTGTCCTGACTTTGTGTGCATTTTGTATTGATATAGGGAAATCTTCGACTTCCCAAGTTTGACCCACTTCTTGCAGGGCGAACACCACTTCTTGCATCGACTGAGATCATTCTCACGCATGGTATGGTCAAACTCGCAGTGAACAGCAGCGGGTCCTTCAAGCGTCATCCCAATAACCTCACCTCCTGGCACTCTCCCGAATTCTTCTTGATCCACCTCGGCTTCGCTTTCTTCAGCAGAAAGTGCATCCTCATTCAGTTCATGAAACCACTGTGCAAGTCGCAGATGCAATTCTCCAGACCCCTTTTCTGCGAGGGGAGATGAAGGCGGATTAAAGTCCTCAGAAGCATGAGACATTAGAATTGGAGGAGGCCCGAGTACTGTCGCAGCAGGAAGTGATTTTGTCAATCGGGATGTGCAGGCTGAGGACGCCGGGCCGCATTTACAGACTCCTGGAGTATCCCTCTCGCAATGAATATCCTCAAACTTGACGACGATCGAACTTCACTGTGTCAAATTTTGTATACTACCCCTCTATTTATGTGCTAACAATCCTAGCTACTTTACATGAGGTTTAAGAGATGCGTAAAAGAAGTTGTTCAAGAAGTGCCGAACAGGACCCTGAACCGCTCCAGAATATGGTATACTCAGGGAGTCAATAACGCGCGCTAAACCTTTGCTCCCCGCTTGGTATTTCCATACTTACAGTGAGCGCTTTTGTTGAAGAGCATTCCCACGCTTTCTCATATGCGACTTGCTCATTATCTTCGGACCTGGAGTCGCATTCCTATATCATGTCGCACATACTATCGTGACTCGCAGCAAAACGGGGCCATAGCTTCTTCTTCTCAGCTATCCACGGAAGAGGTTGAACGTCTCAAAGAGTCTCAGGATGCTTTGAGACGAAAACGGAGAACAGAGTGGAAACGGAGGCAAGGGGTATGTTTGCTCTTTTCATGGCGCACATGCGTCTCTTGGAAGATCTTCCAGCTAGTTGGTACAGGGTCGTGCTGTCTGTGATTTGGCATATGGAGGAGCTTAGGCACCATCGAAAGCTAGCCTTTTTCGGTCGTGAATCACCGCAATTCGGTGGTGGCCACGACCGAAACGCGGTCGTGCCTAAGCTCCCTATCCTTCTGTGCATCTCTCTGGACTCTTCCATCAGACAGCGGGCACTATGCTTGCTATTCTACTGTAAAGAAAGTTGGCGTTAATTATGTCACATTTGTAGGGTCAGACTTTCCTCGATAATGTTGTTATTCATCTTCGTGCAGGTATGATCTTGCAGATCACTTAGCTCAGCAGTTTCTTACATTATGTCACTCTCAGGCAAAGGCGGGGACGGCTGCGTAGCCTTTCATCGTGAGAAATTCGTTCCATATGGTCCTCCATCAGGTGGCAATGGCGGGCGTGGCGGAGACATTTACATTCTTCCAACTTCTCATCTCACTACACTTTCCTCTGTTTCTACTCGTGTGCGTGGCAACCCTGGTGGAAACGGTCAGGGTACCTGGCAGAACGGCAAGACTGGAGCGCCTACTATCATTCGCGTCCCTGTTGGAACTATAGTCCGACAACTTCCGCATAATGATCCTCGGAGAGCGCAAGATGAGTATGAAGCGGAAGAGGAGTCACTGCAGGGTTTGTCTCTGGAGGAACGGAAGAAGAAGATCAGGCAGAGGAGATGGGTACATTATCCGGATTGGGAAGATGAAAATATGGAGAGAGATTCTTTCAAGGACGCTGAACGAACAATGTATAGGGACGAGAGGGAACGACGGATACAGCGACAGCAGCGCTCTATCAACCTTGTTCATCTGGATCTCGACAGTCCTATGGAAGAGGAACAAGATGTGAATGCACCGCTGGGTCTACCTCGCACTCGTACTTTTGGTCATCTGCTGGCTTCGGGAGGTGCTGGCGGATTTGGAAACCCTCATTTCCATGGTGCCAATAACCGATCTCCGAAATTCGCCACTCGAGGTCATGAAGGCGAACGACTGAGCTTCTGGCTGGAACTCAAGCTCTTGGCAGATATTGGGCTTGTAGGCATGCCAAATGCTGGGAAGAGTACTCTTCTTCGCGCTCTTACTGGAGGACGTGCAAAAACTGAGATCGCCGGTTATGCATTCACTACGCTGAACCCTGTGGTTGCTGTTGTCCGTGTAGCAGATGATGGCAGCTTCGAAGGCAAGGCTCGTGGTATGGTATATGATGAAACTCGGGTTGAAGAACAGCGGGAGAAGGAATTACGGGACAGTGGCGTTCTCGCGAACGCCATGACCAGGAACCAGAGACCGTCTTCATCAATCGATCCCGATGAACTTGCAGCCTCTCCGAAATCCCTAGAGTCTTTCCGTTTCACAGTGGCCGATAACCCGGGTTTGCTCGAGAACGCTTCAGATAACGTCGGTCTAGGCCACTCTTTCCTCAAGTCTATCGAACGCTCTCTTGCCTTGGTTTATGTCGTCGACCTCTCCTCTGAGGCACCGTGGGAGGACCTACGCGTTCTCCGAGATGAGCTTGAGAAGTACAAACCGGGCATGAGCCCCAAGGCACGTATGGTTCTTGCAAACAAGGCCGACTTACTCGGAGAAGATGGCCAGGACGAGGCAGTCCGTAATGCAAAGGAGAAGTTGCGCAGACTGGAGCAGTTCGTTGCGGAGGACATGGTTGCCCCCGTACAGGACGCCGATGGGAACGTTATAGTGACTAGACAGCTAGACGTCGTGCCTATCTCTGCGAAATACAGCATGAACATGCGCAAAGTCGTCGGCCTGATGCGGAAGTATGTGGAGGAGGCGAGACAGGACTCGACGTCGATTGCGACCATGTCAAATTCCAATTTGACGTCAGACGTTGGAGCAGTTCCCGTGGTATGATAGTTGGAGGTGGCGCTCATTTCAAATGTATGATATCCGTGTTATAATGTTGGATAGAGTTCTTATTGACCCGGCTGCAATCTTTTTGAAGTGTGCAGTGAAGTGTGTTGCATGTGTCAATGTGTTATACCACCGACGATCATGATCGCGTACACGTGTATACCAGACTTAGACTTCTGGAAGCAAGGACCCGACGTCAAATCTTTCTTTCAGTTCCAGCACTCATCGCAGTTCAAAAAAAAAGTCATAGCAATGCACCTACACACGGTCACCAATGTCAAGGGGCGGGTACTTGCGCGAAGAACGTCACGTTGAAACCGCAAGTGATGGCATCTTCTCACCTTTGCACTTCGGTGGGCTGTGCACACCCAAGTGGGAATCATATCATGATCGTGACCGTTCCACTTTAGACAGATCTATCTTGAAGTCGCAGAGCCATCGAGCTCAGTTTCCCGGTCAAGCATGAACCGAAATCTGCTTCCATCCTCAGTCGGCCTGATAGATCCTATTGTAATCTGTCTAAGGCGAGTATACATAGGGCGTTTGGCAGATTCTGCGACTGTTCATTCGCCTGGACCAAGCACAGTACTGTCTTTACGGATGTTCCACGAGTTTGTTGGTGAGTCGTTGTGTTATAATTTTTCAGACAATTGTCTGACGAGTTCTAGTGTGGTTGTAGTTCGCACGATTGAACGCATAACCGACATCAGTTGTTTCCCAAAGTCTGCTGTCTGTGGTGGCATCTACCCAGCAAATGAGCAACCATCCGATCCGCATGCCTGGGTTGAGCAGTGCAGTCTCCATGATAGCCTGCTTATTCCCCATCACTCCTTTCTCTTCGTCCACCACCATCGCCTCCTCGACGGAGGAGTCCTCGCCGTCAAGCTCTTCAGCATTCGTTCTTTCATCCACTTTTTTCAGTGTTTCGTTGACAACGTCTACTTCGCTTTCGTCGACTGGTTCTTTGGAAACCTCACTTGCTAGTCCATCACACTCCTTTGACTTAACTAGCTCGATCTCTTCTACTGCATCGACAAGTATGGCCACTTCAAGCGCTGAAACTACTGATATTTCTGTTTCGGCTTCGTTTTCGAGCAGTTCGTCTGTGAGCTCCTCGGAAATTTCGTCTTCAAGCAGCAGCGCATCTCTCACATCATCATCTTCCTCCCTCCCCTCTTCCACCTTGAGCGAGACTTCCCCCATTTCGTCCTTTTCATTATCGCAATCTCTCAGCACATCCTCGAGCAATTCTGCGTCCTCTTCTACAATTACATCCCCCACACCTTCTCCTGTTCCTTCTTCCGCGTCTTTTACTGCTTCTTCGTCCACATTCTTTTCATCATCGTCATCAACAACTCCATCACTTTCATCCGCCCGGCATACATCGACATCATCATCCAAAACATCTTCGCTTATCCTCATCTCTCACCCCTCGAGTTTGAGTTCAAACAATACAAGTTCAACGAGCAGGTAAATCTGATTCTACAGTATAATGGAAGTATGACTGACCTTCTTGCGTAGTCTGGTAGCGACTGTAAACTCGAGCTCATTTCTACAAGCTACACCAAAACCCAGTCCTACAACGCGTGTTTCGACTGTAGATCCCACTGCTAGTGGTACCAACGGTACTTTCAGCAGTAGTGCTACCAACATCGCTTCCAACGGTGCTTCCAACAGTAGTGCTTCGAATTCGACAGACAACGGTTCCGAGTCTTTGAATGCTGAAACAAGTGCTATGAGGTAAATTTCATGCCATCTTAACATAGTGCAAAGATTAACACCTCAATATGGACTTCAGAAAACATCAACGTATCAAAATAGCTGCAGGAACTGCTGGTGGAATCGTTGGTGCTGCTTTACTGGTCCTCTTGGTCCTTCTTCTTTTGCGCTGTCGCTCTCGTCGTCGCAAGAAACTCTCGTTCATCCAACCGTTGCGTCGCAGCAGTGGTGGGACATGGATAGGCACGCCTCTCAACGATGCAGAGTCTATGGGTTCAGGCTCGAATGAACATTTGTGGGGTCGAAACCTCCAGGGTACCGGTGATAGTATGCGGTACGGCGACAAAGACATACTTCCAAGCGACCCTCCACTTCCTACCGGCCAAAATGACTGGGCGTTCTTCCAGCAATCCTCTTCCATTCCATCACGACCTTCGCAATTGCCACAGCCGCTGATACCACCGCAGCCTTCCACAACAACATACCGGCAGCGGTTTGACATATCACCTCCAAACTCAAGTAGCCCGTTTATTTCAAGTTGGGGACAGGGCCCGTCGCAACCTCAGGGAATACAAATAGGGACACTGGTAGTGCCAGAAATTGTCATTAACTCGCCGTCCGAGATTGATGATGGTGCCTTCAACGGAGGCCGGGCCAACGACCCTGTTTTCGACTCTCATGTCGTTCCGATCTCCCCGATGGCAGTCGTTACACCAACGAATACAACCTTCAATGATGGTGGAACTCCCACTCCACGTCAGGCTACATTCAATAACCCTTTCCGACGGGCATCCGTACAGACTAGTTACTCACAAGGATCAGATTCGTCGAGGTACTCTGTGCCTTCGCCTTCGACGTATTCCTCGTTATACCAGCAATTAAACACCCCTCCCGTCCCGCCGTTGCCATCCAATGATCGTGCAGGTCCCCGTTGGAGTCCAGGCCCGACAGCTGTCATGCCGTCACAGTTGGACAGTCGAACTAGTGTAGCTAGTGCTGGCGTTAGTCACCTTAGTAGTAGGTTCAGCGTGGGATCTTCAATGGAATCTGTCAGGCGTGCATGGTGAGCAGGCATTAAGGACGGAGGAACTATCGGCATGTCGGTTGCATCAAAAGCATCGTTGACTGTACCATTGGACAAATTTCAACTGTTGGCTGTAGTACAGTTGGGGCGGTTCACCATTATTTATTGACGCTGCATGTATGTACGTGGTAGATGATAACATATATTATGGGTGAGGTTGCACCTGTAATTGTTCAAACAACTTGACTGACCTTTCGTTGGATGCAATGAACTCTGTCTTGGTATCGAGACCCAGATCATGACGATAGTCACGATGTACGATGATTCTGTCGTATCGGAGGTGCCATACAAAGTTCAGAGAGTTCTTGAAGGTCTCGGAAGCAGGTTAAAATGCATTCGATATCAAATTCAAACATCCCAGAAGCACCTACCCACCGTCAGTGAAGAGCAAACTGCTTCTCGAAATGGTCACTTCTGAACAGCTCGGAAGCCTTGAGTTCTAGGCATCTCGGGAGCTTTGAAGCATTTGTTTAAGGAAAGACATGGCGAGACTGCTTGGAACCGAATCGAAATATTCTAGGCGGCTGAAAGCGTAAGGAGCTTCTTGCAGAGAAGATAGTATTTCGCACTAGGTCATCGATTAATTGTCCAAGAGCAAGCTTCGACTTGTACGAAGTCCACACAGACTTAGGCTTCATTGGAAGAGAAGCGGGGTCAGTTCTTGGTCCGTACATGGATGTCTTGAGGTGACCTTCGGCAACGCACTCGTGATTCAAGAACATCGAGTATCATGGCTGGAGAGTCCGTCGCCAGAGGACTTTATACGTTCTATTGATCCCGAACTTGTCCAGAAGAGCAGCATGGTCGATGCATGGAATTGGAACAATTCAGACTTGTTGGCAATATATTCTACGCCAACTGCCTTCGTCAACCTCTCTTCTGGGGAGTTTCGGTCGAGCTTGGTCGCTTCAGCATCCCATCGGTGCGGGCAAACTGTATTGCTTTGCGGTTGATTAGATTATGCTCTGAAGATAGCCCGGCAACTACTTTATACTTGTAGGTGCTTGAGGCACCAACTTGTTCTCGCGGCTAGAATGATGTAATTCCGGGCACTCAGTTGAAATGAAATCCTTGTGAATGAGTCACGACTTACATCCCAATACCTAATAGGTACCAATGATGTCGGTTCCCTATACGTGAAATGCACGATTGGAACGGGTATTTTTGAGCCGTGATCCGAAGGGAAGGTATCTGTAGCATACAGGCTGGCGTGGAAGCCGCGATGACCTATCATTATGTCCTCGAGGTCACCGGCCTTGTGGCTGAGTCAACGATTCGGGTACAGCCCAGACCGGGGATCTAGCAGAGAAGGAACAGTGAGAGCCTGATTTAGATTGACGTTATCGAGGACCTAGTGATTCAAGTTCAAGCACCGAGGAGATACGAAGTCTTCTGCAAAGAAAAAAAAATCAATGGCGAGAATTGAGTATTTATACCTGTGCGAAGTTCTCTTGGCTTCTGCAGGTTCACATGACACCTCGAGTAGTACCGCTGTTACGGTCGATAGAAAGACAGTGTACCCCATCTGAAAACATGAAGATAATGAAGATGGTAGGGCCGCGTTGCTCGAAAGCGAGAACATCGCGTTGGAGGAGTGAGCCGAAGGTCATTGCAGGTCATAAGCCCGAGGGTTCTTTGGCATCAGTTGAAGTTAAAACGAAGACTGCTCGCATCCTAAGTCCTAAAGCAACGGGCCTGAACAAAGAGTGCCGTACGTAGTGATTTGTGCACCTCATTTCTCGGATGAAGTCTTACGCACCTGCGTTTATGGTGGGCGGATGAACTAGAACTTGAAGCAGCCTTCAGTGCATACATTGACGCTGTATACAACATGATCCTTCGGGATACAAATACCAGCGTTAGAGCCAATTCTCTGAAGGAAAAAATCAGAATAAGCGAGAACCGGTTGAGCGAAGGCCAGCGGCGAATAGGCAACCAACTCGGTCCCAGACTAGGTCAGAACAGTTTTGCAGTTCAGCACGGTGACAGAACGTTCGCGGGTTGCACCGGGATTTATGTTCAACTGTTTAGACCAAGATGTCCGAATTAGAAGCGATGTGATTCGAATATTTAAATCGACTCATCATTGTTTGAGGCTACCTTCTGCTCGGCTCAGGACACGAACTGTGATAGTTTTCAACGACAATGTCCTCAGCGAAGGTGAAAGTGAATCGTGCAGATAGTGGGTATGAACGTACTCACTTGCCTTTCCTATCTCGGTGCGACCTAGGATCGATGACAGTTCGGTAATTAATATAGTGCGGACTAGCTGCAAAACAACCAAGGAATAGTATGGAATCCCTGACAACGGTGTACGTGTGGCGCCACGCCTGCTACGTATGTGCGCCGGTTAGTGATCATATATCGTTAGACTATGCACCCCTTCCGATAAGGCCGGAAGCTTGACAGGTGACGAAATGAATTTAGACGTTAGCTGTAGTGGTTAGCGTTTGAATATTGTATCGAACGTTCTCGGGTAAAATGCTTTGCAGGAGAAGGGTCAGTGATAGCGATACACGATGGCGGGGCTGTGGAGACGTGTGGAATGGAACTAATTGTTGTAGTAGCCGATAGAGCGCCTGTAAACGCTGCTCTTAATAGTAGGGGCGCTTCAGGCGTCAAGCTTTCAAGTTGGAGCATGCACCAATGGGCGCGAGCGTCCCGGTGGGTGAGAGAAAGAAGCCAAACACAACAGTCAAAGTTTGAGGGTTATTGGACCTAATGTCAGCTGCACTGAAACCGTTGCTACTAGTCGAAAAGAGAACATACCAAAATAGTGGAATTGATGCTCGAGTTGTACCTACACAGCTTGAGGACAAGTTCGAATCGGAAGGATCATCCATGTGGTCAGCGAGGATGCTATTACACAGGGATCTTGCCATGTATCATCAGGAAGCCCGTCGTCACCCAATCGCACACGAATCGACGGTTCTCAAAAGTCAATTGTACATGCAAATCTCGGTGAAATGGGGTATCGGTCGAGGTTCTCCCGTGTTCGCATGGGTTCCTGTCCGAAAGCAGAAGCTGGATGATTCATGACAAGGGAGTACCAGGAGTCCGAGACGATAGAGTGGAGATGTGCCGCACAGAGCCGCGGCATCGTTCGGCCATGTCAACCAGTTGCATATTTCGATCAGGTTTCGCAGAATGAAACTCGGGCGACGTACGTACACGGTGTGGGTAACCTTGCACGTCTTTGTCCTAGTGCGATGTCTGGAACATATAGATGAACTGGATGGACAGGCACGCAAGCGTACAGGCAGCCGCACGGAAGCATCGACCGCGCAGCGAGCTTATACAGTGTTATGAACGTCTGCCAACATGAGAGCTTGAAGCTGTCGGCGTGCCGCCCTGATACGGCGTATGCCGGCGGCATCAGCGGTTCGCGGAAGCAGATTAACGGCCTGAATATAGAGGGCGCCCGGACAAACGGGAGTCAACAAGCCCCGGTATGGCAGGTAAAAGGCGGAGAAGACCGCGATCGTGAGAGTGTGCCTCGGACGGGCGTCTGTGGCTAAGCTAACAAAGGACTTACACCGTAAGAAGCAAGCGCTCTGGTTCTGGGGTCTGCCTCTGTCGGTGTCTAAGCGGTAAAGTGGTGGCAGCGCAGATTGAACCGTATTCGCCTCTCTCCCTCCATCCTCGTCCTCCTCTTTCCTCTCCTCGCCATCCTCGACAATACTGCTCGCAAATCACTCTGCGAAATCATCCAAAACTGTCGATACCACCAACAGTTGTCATCATTTCATCGAGAAGCAGTCCATCATGGACAATACTGGAACGGACAGCGATAACCACCATTTGAACAGGTCCCCCTCACGCGCGGACAACAATCAAGCTGCAGTTTCCGACGAAAATAATGCAAATGCACAGAATCCGAAGCAGAACGGCCAAGGTGGTTCCAGCCATTCAAAGTACTCCAACGGGCCGTATGTCTACGCAGTAACCGCTTTACCTCGCAGTCATTGACCGTTCTCTTGGCTCTACCTGTACCATGCTTTACAGACATATTCGCTCTCGGATCACCGTTGTGTGTGCAGAGGTATGTGTAGATCTTGACCCAGGCATATATTTGTCTTCGCATCGGCACAACTCTTGGCACCAACACTGGCTTGTGCTTCTGTCCCTTCTCCTCCGAAACTCCTCATCTGTAGATCTGACTATATATCTGCACGAGGTTCCTGCAATTATTCAGCCGTGCTTGCTCGAGACTTTCTGCATCATGTCCCACTCGTTTTTGTGCCTTACTGCTTACAGGAGCAATCTGACGCTCACATTCATTAGTGCAAGCGCCTCAAGTTGAAATGCGACAGGCGTACTCCTTGCAGCTCATGCCTGAAGCGTGATACTGTTCAGCGGTGTATCTACTCACAAGCAGCTACCGAGAAGATGTGAGCCAGCGTTTCCCCGTATATTTCGTCTACTGACGTTTTGAATTTTGGCACCACCTTGGGTGACACATCTAGTGATGTGCAGTCGTTGCATAACCGCCTGCTTGTGGTAGAGGGTACATTGTCTCAGTTATCCTCTGCCGCCCCTTCGACTTCGATCTCGAATGCTTTCGCTAACATGCCACCGTTCAAGTCCTCATACCCGTCTCTTCCTACATACGGGCAGCCTTTTGGAAGTTCATCTTCATTCACACAGGCAGTATCAGGATCATTTAACAGCGCCGGGACAAGCCATGCCTCAGGCTCTGGTGTGGCATGCAACGAGCATGCGTTACTTGCGCTTGGCTCTTCTGGAAGCGCAGTCGTCTTTAGTATGGAAGACGTGTCAAGCATTTGGCTTTCTGAACTAAATCTTGCACCTGGTCAAGACCGTACCGATGCGGGTAGATCTACTCTGTCGTCCTTTAGCATCGCTGGCGGTAGATCAGGCAGTAGCAAGCCCGCTGTGAAGCTAGAACCTACCTCCATGGTCTTGCCATCTACACCGCCGAATTCAGCTCTTCCATCCGGCTATATGGCCTCTTCACCATCAGGATCGTCGTCTGTCCGATTCTCACAGTCTCCCGCTTTCATCCCACCGCTACCTTACAGCACTTTCATTCCAACGTCGACCAGCTCGAATCAACTGTCTCCCTCATCATACAGCAGCGCCACCTCTAATCCTTACTCGTATCCTTCCCGACCATATTCTACCTCACTGACTCTAGAAGTACCGCAAGTGACACCCGCTCTCCTGGCTCATCTACCGTCTAACCCACTGACCCGAACTCGGTTGATGAACGCCTTATCGGACGTAATGGCTCTCCATCCCTGCTTCAACGTGCCACATTTTAAACATCGGATAGAAGCCATGATAGCTTGGGGACAATCACCCGACTCTTCCTCGATGCAAGCTTTCGACCCAGGGTCGTCACATGCTCAGATGAACAAGATCGAGCTTGCAAGGGATCTCTTCCTCGGTGATCCTGGGAAAAGGAGGGATCAGCTCAGCTTTGCTGGCAGCAACGTTTCGCCGAAACCAACTTTGAGCTTCTTCTCAGCGACAGCTGCGGCGTTCGCTCTTGGCGCTTTGGTGTCTAGGGACAGCGCCGTTGGTATTGAGAATGGCGGCGCGGGCGATTCCGCGCTTAGCCATGCCGGCATTGTCGTATCGCCTGGTCATGCTCATAACCCCACTGGCAAGGAAGCGATGTGCAATCCCGCCGCTATGTTCGCTCTATCAGATCAGGCGCTGGGGCTCTTTGAGAAGACGAACCCGTACGACGTTGATTCCTTGGTTGCGATGATCCTGCAGGTGTTGTACCAGCTACACGATGGCCAATCCCGTGTGGCTCAGAATGTCTTCCCCTTGGTAAGTTCATTGTCGTCCGTGCGTTTTGATTACAGTTTCTTCGAGGGCACCTGCGATCCTTCTTTAATTTATTTCCAACGGTCTAATTCATTTGCCGTTGGTGCTTACTATTATATTGATGCTGCTTATAATAGGTGGGCAAGATGATCAACGTAGCTCGAATGATGGGTCTTCCTAATGACCCCGATGAGTTCCCCGGCACCTTTAGTTTATTCGAAGCCGAGACGAGACGGAGGGTTTGGTGGGATATTTTCTATCTCGACGTGTGAGTTAACGTTCTGTCTATCACACTTCTTGATAATCTTACTCACTTTACTTGCCATGTGTCCCCACGTTACTTTTTTTTGTTCCTTATTCTATTTCATTTGTCCTTGTCCTGTTTGCAATCGACCTACGTGATTTGAATAGGTTTATTTCAGATGGTATGGGTCATCCGACTCTCATCGCGGATAATACGTTTAGCACGAAACTGCCGGCGGATGTGGACGAAGAGAAGTTTAGCCCATCGTCCACGTCATTGCCCTTGACGGGTCCCTCGGACGAGGAGTGTGAAAATAGTTCGGCGTATATGGTGTTGAAATGCAGGTACGTACAGTTAGGACAATTACTGCTTCCTTTTTCTTGTTCCTGTCGCTTTGTCTGTGTCTCTTGTGTGCACCGTTCATATCCCACGCAGGTTGGCCCAGCTGATGAAGAGCGTCAAGAAGCAGATGTCAAAAGAATCTCACACAGACGATAACTTTGACCTATCCAATGACCAGGCAGCCAGCGTCGAGTCGGACATCACGAACTGGCTGTCCGATCTTCCTATGCGTTATCGCCTCGACTTGGGATCCGAGTCATCTTCTTCGTCATCAGCAACGCCACTACTCTTGATTGCCCAGCGTTGCGAACTGGTTATGGCCGCAAATCGGATGATTCTCAAGCTGTACCTTCCATTCTTGCGAGACGCCAATGGTCATAGTCCCAACAAACCTTCGCACCAGGCAGTTCTCGGGACGATCAATGCCGCGCATAGTATCATCCATGCTTCCCGTCAGCTTCATTCGGCGTGTCAGGAGACCCGACCGGCGTTGTTCGATTACTATGACTTTGGCCGGGTCTTGTTCGATGCGGCGGTCGTTTGTGCACATGCGATCATCCAGCAGCCGACCAGCATTCTCGCTACTGAAGCGATGAAGAATGTCGATGGCGCGTTGCAGATCATGCGTGAATGGGGAACCTACAAGTATGCTGCGGACGGTGCCGTCGAGGGCTTAAAAGTCATTGAAGTTATGAAGCAAAAGGCTGAAATCGCCAGAGGTGGATCCTCCTCTGACGATGGTAGCAACCCTGGAATTAAACGCAAACGTATGGACTTTGAGGACAATACGTTCGATGCTGGCTTCCAACTGCCGTTTGTCGGCGCTTCTGTCACTTCTGTGCGCACAGATCAGGCTAAACCCATGTTGATCCCGTCGAGACCTACCCTTTCGCCATCGAAGGAAAGCTCTATGAAGACTTCGACCAAGTCCTCCAAGGACAAGGAGGAGAAGGGGTCTCGTTACCCGACTATTGGTATCCGAGTTCGACCAGGTCAGGGGAGGCCGACTAACCGTCAACGCACTGAGTCCATCCCTCCAATGTCGCCTGTTGATATGATGAATTCACATACGGTCACGACTACCATGGTGGAACCCCAGTTAGTCGCTCATCATGCTCAGCAAGCTCAAGCTCAAACTCAGTCCTCGCCGATGAGTCTCTCTGAGCCTTCAATGAGAGGACTTGGTTATCCTTCCCCTCATAATACTCCGGAGACGCATCCCGTGCAACAGGGCGGTTACTCTAGTGGATTTGCTGGGCATGAGGAGACTACGTTCGTTGATCAACGTCGTTATTCTGGGGGAAGTTCGTCACATTCCACGGGCGCGTTCGAACAACAAACGACTGCGAACAGTCCCTATTCTCCAACGAACCATAGCCTTCCCTATCATCCAACAGCCAGTGCTGAGGGTTATTACGTGACTTACCCTCCTCCCGTGGGACCTCCTCAACCTATGTATGACTCTTCTGGAGTTGGACACACTCAAGATATGTCGATGTCTGACTATAGCGGTCGTGGTCCGTCTGTGTCCATGGAGCCATCGCTCCCTAACACCCCCAACGATCAGCCTTATGGTATCCCTCATGAACAGCAACATATGAACCCTTCTTATCCACAGTACATGCAGAAATCTGACCTCGCCCCTCCAACACATATCCATCACGAGTATCAACAAGCTGCCAATCATTCCATGCAGGTCTCTGGTACGCCCATTCATGGTTGGGTTCATGCGAATCCGAATACTACGGAGATGTGGACCCATCCATCATCAAAGTATGCTATCAACGGGATTGGGAGCGGCTAGGTCCGACCTCTACTCGCTTCTCCTCCTTTTCCATTCTTGCTACCGTTTTTTAGTCGTTATCATTTGTTGTCCTCGCGCTATGTTACATTCTCTGTCCGATTACTCCCTCACGGTGGTTAAGAGTCCCGATTTCCATGTACCATCTCCTCGCTTTTCCCTCATCTATCTTTATCCATTCATGCTCTCGTTGCTGACCTTCTGGAATGTTATACTTTGATAAAGTGAGTAGCACTGCTTTACGGACTTGTTTCATATACGTTAAATGACGTCTCGTGCTCGCAGGTTGTGTGTACGATTCTGGGTAATGTTAGCTGAAGTTAACTGATCGTGTTGTCATCCGTTCGTCTACCTTACCGTGTTTACTGTCTTGAGTTTGGAATTACTTAGCTTCTTGTATCCATACGCAAATAGAGAAGATAGAACATTCTTCCGTACATCGGTTTTCGTCGTGAATGACAAGGAGTTTACAATGCGGCTTCCAGTTGGGACGTCAGTGGCAGTTGGTAATGAGAACCTTCGTTGGCTTTCATTGTCCAACTTGATTCCATTCGTTCTATTCAATAGGTGTCTTCTTGTCATCATGGTAAGAACGAGGACCCCTGTCAACGCTTCCTCACAATTGCACTTAGAGAGGTGACAATTTGACTTGGAGGATTTGAGACCCTAACTCAACCCAGTGGCTTTGCTCGGAGTCCTGTTGCCAGATTCGGAAGCGCTTAATTAGCGATACACAATTGCTTCGAACTTCCCGTCTTAACAAAACACCATAAGACAATAGGGTAGGCCCTAACGACCCCGGTGTTCATGGTAGGTTCGTGAATGACATACTTCGGATAGTTCATTACAATAGGTTTCATCCACGAGGCGACGACGTTATTGTGTTGCATGCTAGTGTTAAAAGCTACCTCTGCTCGTGGTGATGGCCCATGCAACGCATCCAGGTGAGTCTTTACCATCTCATTGATGAAAGCAATGAAAGTTGACGATTTTTTCGGGTTTCGAGGATGCCCGGGTTTTAAACTACGTCCCGTCTCCAATGAACGAGATTTCCTCTATCGGTATATAAACCATTGTATAAACACGGTTGCAAGATGCGACACACTCCAAACATGGCTGCTGGCAGCGCAGGTATCCTTTTGCATCTCACTGAGCGAATGCTCGTAGCAGGCGAGACCGTGCGTGGGGAGGTAGAACTCAACCATCCGACATTGGAGATGAACGGCGTTGAGAAAGTATTTGTCAAGCTCTCCGGATCTGTGGATACGTAAGTTTAGGGTATAGTCATTCATACCTATGAAATGGACTACTCACAAATATCTTTCGTAGGAACATAGTGGTTACACAGAACGTGCCGCAATCGCACGAGTCTCGACCATTATATCATCAAAAGGTCGTGATTTGGCGCAAAGGGCAAACCGTTCCTTCTCATTCAACGAGAATTCCATTCAGCTTCAAGATACCTCAAGATCTCCCTCCCTCCTTTCAGTTCGATGGATTATACATGAACGGCCGTGTTGGGCACGTTTTGGAGGTCATCGGTATTCGCCCAAAGTCTACAAATCACCGGATTGTTATGCCCTTGTCTATCGTTTCCCCTGATCCTATAGGAGCGCAACATCGTCAAGGCATGGAGAGTGGCTGGACTGGACAGTGGGTCACAGCCAAGAAGGAGGCTTATATTCGAAAGGGCATCTGGGGTGCCCATGCGACAGTCAACATGGAGGTGAGTTTGTCATCGACTACTAATTGTCAGACGTACGGCTGATATGTGGCGATGTCTAGCTGCGTCTTCCTGCTGTCGCGACGTTCCCACTGTTCACTCGCATTCCATTCGTCGTCAGCATCGTAACTTTCACCAAGGAGATGAAGATCGAGGAGCTGCCGAAAGCGTCTCAAGACAACCTCTTCCCTACTCCTCCTCACCATGCCAAAGACATATCATTTCGGCTGCGCCGACACATCGAGGTCAGTGCTAACAGCCGGAACTTGGACGAAGTTATAGACTACGCACGACTCGGAGGTCTTGGTGAGACCACAGCTCCCGAAGGCGACCAGCTGCAGGTACTTGAAAAGCAGTGGATCCCGTCATCAGATGCTCGGAAGGGTGTCTGGAGACAGGAGACTCTCGTTCGCTCCTCCTTTACTTTACAAGCATCTCCCACTTTCTCGTGTCCTTCATTAAAGTTGAAGGTATGTCTCGTGCACAAGTGTTGAATTGACATGATTCTCAACTGGGGTTTTCCTTAGTATGTCATGTCACTGAAAGTCAGTTTCCCCGGTGTCGGGAACACCGTCGAGACAACTTTCCCAGTCGAAATCGGTTCAGGCATGACCTCGCGGCCAGAGCACCGATCGCGCAGAAGAACAACACCCATCGAGCCAGCACCTCCCTATGAAGACCCAGATGCATCGCAAGACCATAGGCGGATAACTCTGGACCTCCCGCCGTGCGTTTTTCTTCTCTTTCTTGTTCACCTCTTTCTTGACTCCTCGTTGTCAGTTCATATTGGTCTGTGGCCGAATGGGACAACGATGGCAGACCATGATCGTCGCGAAATTCATAGCTACGAAACGTTATGCAAATCCTGACCGGTTTTGCTTCTTACGCTCTTACCGCTGCATGATGTCATGCTTTTCAACCCTATCCAGCCGGCTGGAATACCTGCATCGCAATAATTTATTCCCAATCGCACATGTTATCCTCGTCCGTTTCGTATCTCACTCGCTACTTGCTGTCTTGCTTTCGATACGCTTTTTTTCTCGTACTCTTCCATGTTGGCTTGAAACTATAAATCTGGATGGTACAGTTTTCGCCTATGCCTATGCTCCAAAAATGTTCGATTTGCTTGTCACCGTTCGAGAACGGTAGCGTATATCCATCGCCCTAAACCCAGCATAGATGAAGACCGCGCTGACGAAGCCTACCAATATTCCGACGTCTCCAGTACCTGCCTTGGCTATGGGCCCAGTCCACCATTCCTGTTCCATGCACAAAACGACAATGCCAATGGTGGTGATAAAGGTAAGGACGGCCGGTAAGCTGCTGGGAAGACGTGCAGGCTGGTTCCAACACTTTTGAACTTCATATGAAGACCATCTGGCTCGGCGAAAGACGACGTGCTCCGTGAGAACGATCGCAGTGAAAGGAGCTAACCAGTACCCACTAAAACCTTCCGAGTGTATCAGTTCCCTCTTCAGAGTATATTTGTAAGAATTTGTTTGGGTACGCACTAAGTATTTGTACGAAGGTTGCATAGAAGTGCGCCGCACCGACAATGGCAACGGGAATCAAGCTGAAAGTTCCAGTTCAGACATGTAATGGAAAAAGTGCAACTAGAACTCACATTGTGGTGGAAAGGATGGCGATCACGAAGCGAGGAATGTGGGCAAATACAGATGATATGGTCATGAAGCTCGTGCAGACCGTGTACAATGTTGGCGCGCAAGCGCTAGTAGTAGTTAGGGATAGTAACACCAGAAGGAACTTGCCAAACCCTCCTGTTGGACTTAGTATTGCAGCGATGAGGCCTCCTACGTCGTTGCCATTTCCCAGGCCTGCACGCCAACTTGGGACTGAAACGGAGGCAGCGGTGAAAGCCGCACCCAGAAGGTGTGCAGGAACCTAGATTAACGTGAGGAGCGATATCTCGACATAAAAGTATGATTGCATACGCTCGACACCAGGAAGCCAAGATATGCATAGAAGAATATACGAAGGCTGCTTGCGCATGTCAAAGAACGTCATATGACGATATAGAAAACGTACCTTGAGGCGTGCCCATCATGGTATACACCGTAATCGGGGGTGATAGTAGACCAGCTAACAACAGTGGCTGCAAGAGTAGCACCAAACGTGAGTACAGTAGCGGCATCCGCAGGAGATGGGTCGGCGACAGGTGCTTGAACTAGGGATTTCCCTCCAACACCGAGCATTATGATAAAGGCAATGACGTTGGGAATCCACACTATCATCTCATACCTGAAGCCGAATCACAATAAGGATGAGTGAACCATCGCGGTGCGAAACCTCATACCAATGCAGAACCCGATAGCCGCAGAATGTCACCTGGTCTCGATATTTCAGCTTGCGTCTACAATGGATGTAATTGCACTACGCACCGCAAAAGATACCAGCCCTATGATGACGACACCAACTGCAGGGGAGAGATGGTTGGATATGCTTGCAAGGGTTTGGCCGCCAACAATACAATTTATGATCAAGTAGCCTTGCATTGAGATTACGTTCAGAATACTCGGAATGATTGCACCATAGTACCTGGATAAAAATCAGAGATTTTGATGGGAGGAAGTGAGGTTGCATATACCCCCAAGAGAACCGGCTTTGCACCATAGCTCTTGTTCCTAGCTTTGGACCGAAGGTCGCACTAAAAGGGCAAGACGCTGAATATAAGTGCGCACGAAATACGCTATAACACGTACAAGAATGCCGGGAAGGCACAGGAACTGTATACAGTCCGGAAAGAACCATTTAACAAGACGAAAAGATATGAGGACAAATAACACGGACATGATATCGACCACCAATATAACCAAGAATGATGTTCGTTGACCGAGATTGAAAAACGCAGGGCCAACCGTCCCCGCTCCGAATCTGTATAACCTAATTCAGAGCGTAACTTGCAGGACGGGTACTTGTGCTGACGTTAAGATATTCGCATTGGCAGAGAACCAAGCAAAGAACATTTGGTACATGCGCGGATCTGTCCGTTGCTCTAATGGAGTGGGTGTGATTCTGTTGCGATTAGTACGCCGAAGTGAAATCCGGGAGAAATGGCGACGCACCCTTGAGTTTCCACCCCCCATTTTGAAAGCCATCTTGTCAACTTGTCGATTGTTCGGGTGGCAGGGTATTCCGACTCTTCCACTGGTGCTGGCTCTTCGAAGACCTGGGTCTCTAAAGTCTTCTCGTCAGTATGAAGTGATTCTGGTTTTCCTTCCAGTGCAGTTGGCAGCATCATGGTCGTAGTTAAACAGGGAAGATATCACTTCTCTCAGAGACACGATAAGCCCCACATTCCGTTGCGTCGCGTGATACTCATACGTAGGAGGGCCCAAAGATAAAGAGGGAGGGTCTTAAGTGGGCCGTAACGTGAATGGAATCAATGCTCTCATGATCGAGAGTTGACATGCGAATTGTCGGCCAAGCTAAAGATAAGAGAAGAGGAACAACGCCTAATCGTAGGGTGGCGAATGATTCCATAGAACTTCGGAAGTACCTGTCTCTGATCTTATAAGTCTAATCTAGTTTCAGGTCAAAGAAGCGTGGTATGTAGAGTATCCTGATGTAGTTCGGGACAAACAGCTGCTTACGGATAAATGAGGCTGATAATGAAGGACTCTACGAGAACACGCGGCGTAGCACATGGGACAAACGACAGGTTTGCTCTGTTGGCTGCTGCGGAGTGCCGAAGTACATTTAGACAGTCGAACAGATCATTTTCAGTGGAACTCGGATGATACATTTTGAAAGCCCTAGGGCAGAGTGGAGCAAAGTAAATGGCGATGAGCTTTGGTTATAGCGATGGAATAAGAAAAAAAGGATTTACTCACTTTCATTATATGTAGGAACTTGACGAAGAGTGCAAAGGCAAACGAAACACAATTGTGAGTGCTAAGGGCGGGCCGTCGGGTATATAATAGTATACCACTCAGTAAAGAACCTGCATAAAATCATCGTATCGAAGATAGCTATGTCAGAAATTACGATCAGTATCGAATTCAACATGGTCGGTGAATGACAGGCGGCTGCAACATGCTATGACGCAAGTATCGACCAAGCAAGCAGCAGTACTGCAACAACATAGCAAAGTCAATAGACAACAGGGTATTGTACAGGCAAGCGGGGAACACATTATCACTCGCGTTGAATGAGAGCCAACAAGCCCAACCCTCCTAGTAGTGCGTATTTCAGCTGAGGGAAATCGTTCTACGACACACTCATAAGTCGTAAAGGCTCTGCAAACAATGAAAAACATACCATGGCGATCGTGACGTATCCAACATAAGGCAAGAAACTATAAATTCAAGTTAAGTCTCATTCTCTTTGCAGATGCACGGTGAACTTACCCCCTTACTTTCCCGATTATATGACGTCTCTGTAACCATTCAAGACCCTGATAAAGCTCAATGTCGTCGATGTAGTTATTGTCGCCTTTCGTCAACAGTAATTGATCTTGGGAGTTCGAGCTAGCGACAATAGACCTCCTAAGAGTAACCGCAGCAATGAATGGATCAGAGAAAACGATAATTATCTGAAGGTCCTCACCCCCGGGCAATCTTGGCCCCATCGTGCGTTTCAAGCACCCGGTGGACGATGGGAATGTCTGCGCCAGGAACTTTGTATACTGTAATATCGCCTGTATGATACTTCTCATTGGCAGGATTGGTCAAGAATAGCAGGTCACCACGATAGAACGCTGGTTCCATTGATCCACTAAGCATAGTATAACGCGTTAGCATTTACACATTTCGGTCGAGTTGAAAGTGTGTTATGCAACGTACCTCAGCACGACAACTATAGGAGATTCTGAGTTCGTAATGAGTCCCAATCCCTTCCATATCGTCAAACCAGAGGCCAATACCGAAGCGAAATTGAGGATTTGGAGGAGAATCTAGTTCCATGAGCTTCAGTAAACGGAATCAAATGGCCAGTTATAACTCTTGCTGACATGGCGGAAACCCAGCCTCCTCAGGGTTTTCAGTTCGTCAGCAAACATTACAGATACAATCTGCAATAAGTAGAAAGAAGACTGAAAGATGAAGATGGATTCCAGATGCCGGAGGGAGGTTACTAGGAGTTTACTCTAGACTTGGAATGCCACGACCTCGCCGAAAGTAGACAACGTGGCCGCGTCCTGTTTTGGTAATCGTAGTAAGTAAATGGTTCAGGGCAAGATAGAAGCCCAACGTGGTCGAAGAGGCCTTGAAATCTGCCGTTGCATGGAGGGCTGAGGTTGTCACTAAAGATAACCACTTTGATTCGGGGCACAGAGTATTTCACGCAGATAACGGTATAGACTAGGTAGTACAATAGTGCGAGTGCATGTTTTACTTAGTACGAGTACTAGTCTGCGATGGATAAACTCACCTTGAATGGACATAAGAACGTCAGAGATGACTAACATTGGAGAAAACACATAGCGCAACCATACAACACATTGTACACTTAAGCAACATGATGACCCTTGAAGTTGTGCCCCATTTAACCAACGTACAGAAAGACAGAAAGGCACACCATCGAAAGTTGGAAATAAGCCCAGGCAGAGAAACAGAGGCACACATATACAAAAAAAAATAGAATCATCCGCTCAGCAGAATGCAAAGAAAAGGACGAAGCTAGTGGTATACGCAAGCATGAACCAGGAGACTGTAGCCGTGAGAGCGGCATCCTCCTCCCACGGAGCCTTGCCATTGGGAACAGAAGAAGCTCCGGTGGGACTAGCGCCACTACTACCCTTACTGACTTGGGTGGAGGAAGACGCAGAAGAAGTATAAGAAACTGGAAGCCCAGAAACCGCGAAAGAATCCCAAGCGAAGAAAGGCTGCTTCGCAAGATCCAAACTGAGCTGTTGCATAAGGAACTTGCCGTATTTCCCTGTGGGATCCCCATAATGTGCCGCTGTACACAGTTAAAATTGAAACGAAATCAGTTTCCATTTTGTGCTTTTGCATTCTGAATCGAGAATTGCACATACCGACCGCCGCCACATTTGGGTACAGTTCTTCAGCTGCGTCATCGCCGGGAGAAATCGTCATGGCAAAGTCAAGAGCCGTTTGAATATTTGCGCCAGCAGCGGATTTGACGTTCCATGCATCGAAACCAACATATTCACCCAGGCGAGCATTGGTCTGGAGATATACATAAATCACTAATGGCGAGTAGAGCGCATATTACGTACAATCATGGCCGCAAGGTTATAGGCACGGTAGTGATATGGTCTCGTTCGCGCCGCTTCTTCGGGCTACTAGAGATCAGCAGGCGTAGAGATGGCGAAAATATATATAATACCTGCTCGCCATTAGCATCAATCTGGTGCTGATAGAGGGTATTGAAGTAGGTCTGTACGGTGTTCTTAGCCCCATCTTTATCACCGACGAGGATTTGAAGGGATGCGAGCTGGTTGTAGTAGAACGTCCCATGATTACTTTGCACGTAGTGGCACGTCAATTAACATCCTGCGCAAAGCAAAGGTCACATACTTCGGTGATGTAGCCTCCCTCTGCGCGAGCGGGGAGGATTGTAGCCAGGAGATATATTCCTTCGTCCAGCCAACCATTTGACCGTCGAGGTCAGAGGTCCAATCGGCGGACTTACCACTTCTAAGAACCAAGATACCGTTGACAATCTTGGCCATGCATTTCAAATCACTGCAGCAAGGTAGCATCTCAGTATGAATCATTTCACATAACAGTTTGACGGCGCTCACAGGACGCCAGTATGAGTGCCAGATTGGTCATCTGGTCCTGGCCCGCCTTGCATTTGTGCGAAGTTTAAATTTGGTGCCATAGCGGTATCTGCGTCCAAGAACCATGTTCGAATAAATTTCACAGCGTTCGCGGATGCTGTACTGGACCCTTGAAGTGCCCAAGTTAAAGTGTTGTATAGAACAGCATCGCCTAACGTCTCGAAGTTGTCTATGTCTGATGCGTCTTTGGATGTTGGGTTTATCTGCCCGTCTCGCTGGACCCAGGTACACTGTTGCCGAGCTGTATACCAATTCATGGTCAAACAAGGGAACAATCTATCTATGGGAATAGAAGGGGACCTTGTTCGTCACTCAATGCAGTCGTATTGCCGGCTTGAGAGCAGTCCGGCCAATAACTGACATTAATGTGTCAGAATACCTACCTCGCTTGAGGAGCCCAAGACGAGTACGTACTAAGGCGCATAACTCAGATAGTCATGTTTGTTTCCCGATGGGGGCGTCACGGGCTTAGTAGTGACACCTATGAGGAGGCATCAGATACCTATAGCATTGAAGTAATATTTTACGACTGACTCCAGGGACCACCTATGCTCAACGAATCGGCCCATTGTGCAATAGTTTTCTGGGCAAGGGCTGTAGATTCATTGAAGCTTTTTGCGACAACGCGATCAGGGTCGATGAAGACATTGGCATAATCAGTTACAGCATGAGCGAAAGGAAAGACGATTGAAATGAGAACAATGGAAAAGACAGTGCTTCGTAGAGAACGTGATGCCATGGCGGTAGCTCGCCGAAGTGATAAAAGCTAGCAAGGAACAGAGTCAGTCAATGGGCGATCGACAAACCGAACACACTGCTTTTTAAGCTTCCTCGGCAACGTCTCGCCCGAATAGCTGCCAAGCCCGACTTAGCTCCGTTTCAAGTAAGCATTAGGGCGTCCAGTCACTGAATGTTCCTGGATTTGGAAGCATCAACGTTGAATGAGCGGCGATCGCTCTCGACTCCCGAAGCCATCGATTAACGAGCTCCATCTTTCGAGGCGGGACAGATTGTATCAAAATGCAGTCTGAGTTAGAAAATTATGCAGGATTTTGTGAGTTGTATGGGGGTGAATCCAGAGCTGCAAAGATCTTAGGTCAGACAACTGCTATATGAAAATCGCATCGAAGTATAATAGGAAAGTGAGTGTCCATAAGTCTTAGGGTAATCGATGGCACAATCAGAGCTGCGAGAGCGTTCCACAAGGTCATGCGTGGCGGGTCAACAGTCAGCATGAGAAGGCTCTCGGGCTTGTGCAACGGGCGTAAGTACTGTCACGATGACTCGGGAACTCGTCACTGAGGCGTCTGAGTCAACATTGATGGTTCTCCCAGCCTTCAACGCATAGCAACGAATATTGCAGGACTCTTAGAGGCGTCTTATTACTGCCAATATTCACATCTTGTGGACATGGCGTAGCGACGAAGATGGACAAGGTCGCGAAGTCATGGTGCACAAAAGCGTCTGTGTCATGCGAAGTCGAATAGAGGACTTACCTATGGTCAGACATGGTGTCGGATGTACAACAGATATGCAATAGATCTAAGTATATGAAGTAAAAGCACGAGATGCGAAGACATCTGCCACAACCAGAGCGTCTTGATACAAACTAACAAAAAAGACGCTTCGAATTTGATAATCGCTGGCGCTTACGGACGCAATGCATCACCACCGGTCCTGGTTCCTTACCACCAACTCTTGACTTAGAAGCAATTGGGAGTTTGCTGGTTGGATAGGTACTTTGAGCCTTGTAGGTCCTTTTTACAGAGATCATATGCAAGGCACATATCTGCGAATCTGACTGCCAGCTTGGCCATATTCTCTCAGGATGTAAACTGGTAATGCCTCTTAGGCCGAGATGTCGTCAATTTGGACGATTACCCAAATTGACTACACCCTTGAGGTCGATCAACGTGAGCCAGATTGCTTTTTTCTATTTGTTTATTTCTTGATGCCCCTCAAGTTCAAGCGGACCACTCCAGGGGCTGTTACGCCGCTCACTGACTTCCGATACCGCCCTGGTGGATATTTGCATGACGTTCTAGATCGTCAACATCCCGCTGCCAAAGTGCAAAGACAAGAACTTGCCCAACTTTTACCTCATGGGAAGACCCACAGTCTGTTTCTCCGCATGGTGCCACAGGCCTTGCTACAGCGACCACAGAATATTTGGCCAGATCCACCCTTTCATTATGACACAAAGGGCACTGAAAGGCAGGCGAAAATGTCCTTTGTGAAGGTGGTCAGCATAAAGGGCATACACAAGTCCGCTGTCATCCGAAATAGGATCAGTTATAGGCTAAAGACCGCCCTGTCGATGATCGTTATCCGTGGAGCCGATGTCAAGTTGAATAAGAAAGGTCAGGAAGAGATCGTTTTCAATGAGAACGAGGCAGGAAGACACTGGATCATGCCTAGTAAGTCGCCAATGTGATGATTGATATCATATTGATGATCTGTCTAGACTGGACATACATCGCCGCTCCAACCTTGGAAGTTTATAGAATGCCTTATACCGAACTCGTGCCAGCACTGCGCCAGCTTCTCTTGAGAGTGAACAGTCATGCAGCATTCGCAGAACGTAATTGGATGCTACGACCAAAAGCATCCGACTCTCCACCCCAGTCGCAAACCAATGAGAAGGGTCCGAGGACTCTGAAGGAAGCGAAGAAAAACACCCTCACGGCCAACAAGCCATCTACGAAGGCCCCCGCAAGTTCTACTCCAAAAATCCAAACAAAGAAGAAAGGCAGGAGCGCAGTCAAATCGGAGCTCTCTTCAAGTTGAACTATGCGTTTCAGATAAGAAGACTACTCCACCGTTGTTTCAAATTCAAGTTGATTTCACGCCCATTTACATGGAGCGTCCAAGCATTCGTGGCTCAAAATTGCGCTTCAATGCAGGTATGCACTGTAACCAGGGATCGTTGATCTGTCAATTTGGCTCTCCTCTCCCGTGTTCTTGTCCTTCTTCAGGTAACTGCAGGACGAGAGCGAGTATGTGCTTGAGAGTTCGGACGTCATGACTTCGTAGAATCCACGCGAGAGTTCGAGGCTTCGAGAATACAATGTCGCATCGTGATGGCAACAGCTGGGAATAGAGTTCACTCGAGTATCAAAAGATCAGAAGTCCAACGCACGCTACATCTGCGAAGATCACTGCAACAGCTAGTAAATGAACGCTGAAGAAGGTTTGGTTCTACAACGATAGCCTAAAGAGGTAGAGTAGTTCTCTCCACGTGCGAGCCCATTCCGGAAGCGACACAAGCAAGAGTCCTTATTTGTTCGCTCTCTTATCCCTTTCAGCCATGTGGTTATATGGATTCCTCATACATGGCGTATCGCCTTTATGCTCTAATTGGGATTGTTTACGGTCTCCAGGGAAATATAAGAATGACTGCTTTGACACCTTTGATCATCAGCTCCCAACCGTATATCCTGCAACAGCAGCGATTCTATCACCGCCTACCAGTTAGACTCACTTCACTCATAGCCGAGCTTTGATTCGAAGACCATCGATTACGAACCCTCTAGACCTCATTGCCCGAGCCACTCTATAACTATTCCGCCCTCGTTCTAATCACCGGTTATTTGGGTTATATAGCCATGTTTCAAGTCGCAGCACGCCCAACTCCTCCTCACCTCGCGTCCAATATGGAGACATACACGCCCTATCCTACTCAGGTTCCAGTAAACCTGCAACTTCCACGCACGCTTCAGAGACCTACTTTCTCTGAGGTGTCTCGCGACTTCGTCGTACAGCTCGCACCTGAGCTACAGGAGGTCCCTTTCGAATACATCAGAAAGCACTTGGCTGGCCAAGCTAATGAGTATGTTCCTCACGTCATTGATAACGAATTGAATTTGACATGCCGCTTTGCAGAATGCTCGCAGCTCTGTCTCTTATGAGTGTCCCGAGCTCTTTGCCCAAGTCTCGTCTAGCATCGAACTTGGATGTGCCTTTGAGGCCTGCCAACCCCATGCCCAGCTCTACGGCATTCCCAACTCATATTCTCGCCATCTCATCATCAAAATCGTCGCCTTCGTCACCTACCACTCCTACAGTCGCTTCTTTCGCAGCACAAGCGGTTTCTGCAGGGTCCGCGACGGTCCCGCTCTATCCCGCCCACGCTCTTGTGCTTGCAGCGCACTGTACACTCCTCCCCCCTCTTCCTCGTTCGCGACCCTCAAATAGGGCGACCTCAGTCACTCTGCCAGTAGTGCCGTTGACAGTTCCGAGCGCTGAGACATTCCCTCTCCTTCACGCTTATCTTCACACCAAGCGCCCTGACAACCTCCTTGCCGCTCTTCTGCCTTCACTCGCTGCATCGTTCCCATCGGCCACGTCGAACAGAGCCAGCTCTTCCTCCGGCGGATCTGTTTATGTGTCACAGTTCACTTCAGAACGCCTTTCCCGCCTTGCCAATTCCTTGGCTTCCACGGCTTACCACCAGTCAGGGCCTCAAGGCGCCTTGTCGGGTTTGATGGCTCACGCTAAGGTCGTAAACGCGCTTTGGAGAAACGTGTGTGCGCTTGGTGTGTTCGACCCTGAATTATGGGGAGTAATGGATCTTGCTTGGGAGATCATTCTCGCGGCTTTGACGCAGGTTGCTCAGCGAAGTGGTTGAGAGGACTCCCTGCAAGGCGACGTTGATCGTCGCAATTTCGGTCTTTTCCGTTTTCTGTGTGCGTATTGGGAACTATTCATATTCAGTCCATTTAAAAGTCCTACTCCTAGTAGTAATAAAGGCGCAATGCGACGCCACATCATACCCCTACTCTGTATTTTTTCCCTCACCATTCGAACCTAACTGTAGCCAGTACTTGTTTCTCTGTTGATACCTGCCTGCTATCATGTTAATATTGTTCTAATAATACATCGTTTCTCAGGTTTACTGCTCAAGTTCACCGCTCCTGCGTGTTTCATGAGGGACTAACTCTATCGTGCCAGTAATATTACTCATATTCAGGTCCATATAGTCTCTGAAGCTTGAACTTCAGGCCGAACGCGCGACACGAACTCACTGCGAAGGAGGAAGAGACTCAGAGAGCTTGCAGAGAGCAATGGATGAGGCACGATCATGTGATCGTGCCGTTGAGCCACGTGGACAAAGTGAACCGTGACTTTCGCGTCGCGAGCTCGATCCTTGCTCCTGCCTCTCACATGAACGTTATACGATTGTCTTTTTGTTAAAGTGGAAATAGAGACGGTGTGTGGTATTTTCCTTGTTTAAATACTCAAACTTAGATTCTTGAAGACATCTGTCATTACTATGGACGCTGCTGATGTAGGACGGTACGGCACTCTGCGAGTACTCAAGCGGCTGGAAGATGACATAGTCGCATGCTATCCTATCGACGACGAGGAGGTGACCATTGGCAGAGATCCCAGCTGCAATCTCAGACTCTACTACGAGTCGGTTAGCTCTCTTCATTGTAAAGTGATATTCCGGGAACGCAAGGTACGCTCCATTTGCAGCAGTCGGAAAACGTCTTGTAGTGCTGAATACATATAAGGCGTTTCTAGAAGTATTGGGTGCAAATGGTCTCCTGGTAGATGGATGCGCCGTTTTCCCTGCCAGTTCTCCCAGCTCAGGACCCGTCATAGTCCCACTTCCGAATAATTCAATCATCGAGATTCACAAGAAACGGTTCCAGTTTTGCTACCCTCCAAAGGAACTTCGTCCGATTCTGCTCTCTACACCTTCACGGCCAGAGCCCGATGGCAAGTCACCCGGCAAACGAAAGCTACGAATGTCGATGATCCATAGCGCGCAAGTTTTCTCTCCAAGACCTAGTCCTAACCCCAGAGAAAACCTCCGAATCTTGCAAACACCTCTAAAGACACCTTTCCGTGACGCGAATAGACGCCAGAGCTCTCCTCTGAAGCGCGGGGTCTTTTTGGCCGAACCTGAAGAGGAGGAAGACGAAGACGAAGATATTGTCCTCGTTGAGACGAATTATCCCCGAGTTGTTGAAGAAGATGAAGACCTTGTCATTACAGAGCATGTGGTATTCAGGCCACCTCCCCCAGAGCCACCAAAGTCATCTCAACCTCACCGAGTCGCGCAGTTTCCCATCCCGCAAGCTGCTCAACCTCCACCACAGACGCAGCAAACTCCTAGGCGGAGACCTCATTCAAGAGCGTCCTTGCACCGTGCCGTTCTCATAAGATCAGCTCAACGCACGGCTTTACGAAGAGAGATGGAGGAGGAGGAAGAGGTAGAAGAAGTAGAAGAAACTATCAATGAACTCGATGAAGATGAGGAAATGGAAGAACAGGACCTGATGCAGGTAGATGAAGAACCGAAGTCGCTTCCACGAGTCTCTGGATGGAAGAAGAGTCTGGAGGTAGTGAAGGAAGGTATTGGATGGCCCTTCCGCTCATCATCCGTGCCACGCGATGTTCAAGAGGGAGATGAAGATGAAGACGAACAAGGCCAGGAAGCCAACGAGGTAAACGATCAACGATCGAAATCCCTCGTCTCAGCACTGACAAATTACTTAGGTTAATGGTGGCGAAGGTCTCATAGCTGCAGGAGAGGAGAATGACGCTGAAGAACTGTTCGAGTTCTATGATAACACGCCACCTCCTCAAGGGGAGGAGTTCGCAGAGGAAAAGTTTTCGGATGAGCTCCCTCTACCAGCTCCCACTTTCAGCAGCGCGGCACCTGCTCTTGGCAGGTTCATGACACCCCAGGCTCCTCGGGTTGCTGACAGACTGAGGGATCGTGTCCGATACTCAATGGGTGGTTTCAATACGGCAGGTATGAACGGCATGGTGCCGGGTGCTGAACTAGCGTCCTCCACCGGGCCTCGACGAGTTAAGATTGTCGAGCCATGGAGAGTGGAAGATCTTGTTGTGCCATCGGAACCGGACGTAAAGGAAGAAGACAAACCCACCCACATACCGTCAACTCCGCAAAGACATCGTCTGACCGAGGAGGAACGGCGGGTAAGTCACAATCGGATGGACTTATGATGTATATTCATATTGTTGTTGTTTACCAGGCTATCCAAGAACGTCGCAGAAGTGCATTGACTATGCCCGATACCTTCACGCCAGGCTCAAAACGTATCTTGAGCCTGTCTCCAGTAAAGGCCGCTCCAATTCCCGCTTTGAATATCAGCATCAAGGAAACGATTCAGGAACAACCGGAGGAAGGCGAAGAGGATACTGAAGTGATGCTAGCTCGCATGAAGCAAATGGTTGATAGTGTCAAGAAACGACAGAGTATGGGACTTCGACACTCAGTCGGGTTCGGCTTGTCTCCAAAGAAACCTGGACAGTTCTCTTTGTTGGCATCTGACTCTGGTTCTCAAACGCCAGGGACGGAGAAGAACCTTTTCGACCTAGCGCAAAGGAACGACAAAGTTGAAGCTCTTTCTTCCGGCGATACTGGACATGATGTGGATGCCTTACTGTTAGGATACTCCGAGGATGTCAACATGGATACCGAAGAAGAACACGATGTGCCACAGCAAATGCATCTGCAACCTTCTACGTTCCAGCCGACCGGCGTAAGGGAATTCTTCCGAGTACCTGATCAGACCGCTGTACACACGCCTCGGATGGACGGTATGAGAGAACTATTCCGCACCGAACGAAATACTGTGACACCTACGTTCGAGGGGATCGGGGATATGCTTGCCACTCCGGCAGGCTACAGAGAGACCATTCAACCTCAACCTGCAACTTCTGATGGAACGCAAGACTCTGTAGTCGAGGAGGAGGGTCCCACCAAACCGATTCAGAGTCGACTTAGGAAACCCGCCACCCTAGGTTCTCGTCTACCAGCCACACGTCGCACCGCACCTCGCTCTGCCCCAGCGCGGGGAGCAAGTCCTCTCGTACCTGAGGACGAACCAGCTCCTGCGGAGTCCTCGACTTCAAAGATTGGACCACCGTCTCGCGTGACGCGCAAACCAAGGTCCAAGACGGTCAACAATGATAACGTGAGTTGGGGTTTTCTCGATTATGTATCTTTACTTATGCTTGTAGGTAGCCACCTGCGCGCGTCATAGCACGATCTACCAGAGCCAGAGATAATGCTGAGAAAGATGAGGACCATGTAAATTTCCTTACATTGGTGTAGAATCGATAGATTACTCATGTGTCGATCTTTCTTTTACAGAAGAGAACAAACTCAGCACCGAGCGCCATGTCTACTGCTGAACCTGAACCCGAGGAGCCGAGTTCTGGTGTCCCCAAGCTAGGTCGTCGGACCAGGAAAACGGCTGAAACTTCACCTCCTACTGAGGACGCACCCCCCGCTAGGTCCCTGCGCAAACCTCGCACTGCCAGGACACCAGTTCCAGAAACAGCGCCAACTCCTTCCGAACCTAGGTCAACACGCCGTGGTACAAGAGCAAAGCCCATACCAGTCGAGGAAGAAGATGAGCTAGACGTTATCCCTCGCGAACCATCGCCTGACAAGGAACCTTCTGGTACAAAAGTTCGACGAAGTGCGAGGACGAAGGTCAAGGAGGAGGAACCTGAAGATAGTCCAATGTTGACGACTCTCGACGAGGTTCCGGAGCCAACAACCAAGGGTAGTCGAACGCGGAAGATACCTGGGACCAAGACCATGCTCCCCACCACCAGAAGCACTGGTCGAGGGAAGGCGGCAGCATCTTCGAAGAAAGCAGTCGTGGATGAGTCCCCTGCTTCTGGTGAATCTGGAGATAAGGAGAACACTCCAGAACCTGAGGATGAAGTTGCTCCTTCGAACGGCAAGGCGAAAGTCACCAGAAAAGCGACGAGGGCCCGCGCTGCTACGGAGGAACGAGAGGAACTTACTGCTGGCGTTGGCAAAACGCGAGTGAGTAGAGCGAAAACGAGACGATGAAGTGTGTGTTGAGTATATAGTTTTCTGTCTTCCCTTCTACACCCACTTTGTTTCTTTTATATGGAATACCCCCTTGCATGTCTGGGAACGAGTAATTATGATATATTATGTACGAGGAAGAAATGAATCAGGAGTGGAGTAGAGCGGATTGCAGGAATTTGCCTGAGGAGTTTCGTTGATACAGATTGAATCGTTGTGGTGGATATGAAGGAAGTAATACTGGTACACATGCAAACGTCAACCGTTGACCAGAACGATCGCAGAATTAGTAGGTTTACGGAGAATCGTTGACGTGATTAGAGTACGCATATCAGGCAGGCATCCAAGAAAGCGGTAATCGTAGGAGTCGTCAGGGTTGACTACCGAGTTAAAGTTGGGAGTATCGGGAGAGAACCGCCTGCAGATTGCGTACGAGCCCGTGTCAACCTAACACAACGGTAAGTAACCTGACATAAACGTATATGAAGAAAAACATACTCGTCAAAATGTTTCCCTCGTTTGGGATCTGCACGTCGTTTGAGCATCGCCTTGCGGACCTTACTCTCAGGTCGAACCACGATGATTGGAACAGGCGAGTGACTCAAGCAATACCTACGTAGCAGTCGTTAGTAAAGATGCGTGATGCAGACATATTAGGATTGTCATACTTTGAGACACTACCTACTCCTGGGGCACCAAACGCTGCACCCCAGGCTTGCATCATTCCTCGTTGACCACGAGTGCCAACCACAACAGAATCCGGGCGGTAGAGAGCTATCAAACGGTCTATCGTGCTGGTGACCTTGCCGGCAATGAACTCTACAATGATTGAGAGCTATGAATAGATTCAGTATTTGGGGTAGATCAGACAAGTGTAAGAGAATATATTAACCTTTCGTTCTGAATCGTACTCTGTGCTTTTCTCTTGTACTAGCTTCATAAGCTCTCGAGCTTCTTCACGATACAAGTCATGGTCTTTCTCTGTCAATGCCTAGGTAAGGAAACCAGAAACGAATGGTTGAGAACGATGTCCTTACCCAACTCCTCTGTATCAACGCCGCGGAATACGATAAGCTCATCGCCGTCCTGCACAAGACTTTCCAATGCCCAATCGAGCGCTTGACGGCCGCTCTCATCTGGACTAGATGCGCATAAGAATACCCTTGTATTCTTGGTCCTCGTGTAGCCATCACTCTGTACGTGTAGCGTATACGAGAACATGGATGCCTGCGGGTCCTCGAATGTATCAAAGGAGACTTTAGGAGTATAGCCTTGCGCTGCCACGAGTGGTAAAGTTGACACTGAAGGGGACTGCGGAGGAGAGAATATTGTAGATGAGGATGAGTATGGTGCTGCAGGAGTGCTCATTCCTGAGATGGCAGGTGAAGGGACAGGTAGGAAAGGGGATAACCTGAAAGGAGGAGAGCTCGGTAATTGCGCCGACGAAGGTGTGTCGGGGCGTGAGGGGTGCTTCATCGCAGACCGCAACGGCAATGTAGGGACAGAGTGTCCCATCTCTGGTGAGCCAATCATAGCTGTAAAGACTGGCAATTCGAATTGTCAAGTTCAAAGCACACTGATATCATTTGATCCACACTTACTGTACCTTGGGCTTGGTGAAGAATAGGCTTGAATACACGCGAAAAGAGTGTCAATCGCAGATGTCCAATGTCAGTTGAAGCTGAGCAAGGATACAAAGTAGAAACTGGAGAAATCTGGAGATGGAGGAGGTAGAGGAGATGGTCGTCTGCCGCAGGGTCTCCGCTGCGCCCCCGGCTCAATGCCGTGCCGCCGGTGATCAAGCGCCCACAGCTTGTTGACCACTAACCAGTATGTCCTCCGCCAGCCCCGAGTCTTTGTCTCCATCCTCTCCCCACGAGCAGGGAGAACATGCGGCGAAGATGAAGGAGAAACAACCCCAGGAGTCAACGAAAACGTTTGAGGACGATGGCAGAGACAATGCTGACTCTCAGACTTCCACAGACACGTCTAGGGAACAATCGGAGATACCTTCAGTTAGTGACTGGCAGGCCATCTGGTCTCCAGCGCACACTGCTTACTACTTTTACAATGCTACCACACAAGAAACAACTTGGACAAACCCGCTACAGTCCGCTGCTGCCCCTGCTTCTCCCACCCCACCTGTTGCCGACGAGAGCCCCGCTGCATCTACATCTACAACTCCCCCCTTAGCTTCTGTATCATCTATATACCAACTGCAGGCAGCGGCGGCAGCGCAGGGTATAGACCCTTCTCTGGCCTTCCTCGATCCTTCCCTAGCTGCCGGACCCTCTACCGGTGCTGCGTTCGAATACACAGCAAAGTTTAATGCACGGACGGGTACATTTGCTAAGCCGGATGCACGCGACCCCACTCACTTATCCGAATACGAGCGTGCAAAGCGCATGAGCCAGTTTTACTTTGACGTCAACGCGTGGGAGGCTGAGGTTGCTGAAAGGAAGGAGCAGGAGGAAGCTGAGGGAAAGAAGAGAAAACGGCCATCCAAGAAAGATCTGGTTAGTGTTATGTCTCGTGGCGTGTTTGCTATATACTGATAAGCTCTCTGCAGGAGAGGTTCAAGGAACAGAAGCGGTTGAAGAAGATTGCTAAGACAGCCTGGCTTCGTACCTGAGTGTTTGCCCTATACTGAATATTCGAAATGCTGCAATACATATTGAGTCATTTATTTCTTAGTTGGACAGATTGTCAATGCCGAACCTTTCTGAGATATTGTCACTATACAGTTGGCACTTTACGTGATGACCTGTTGGGTTGCTATATACCTACGTCCTTAGACAGATCAATTCCCATGGTTCGACCAGCCCCAGGTTCAGTTTATATATGAACCCTATTCACTGTAACCCTCATCACTCTGACTCCCATCGCTGGCCTTTTGCAGACTCTTTTCAAGGTATCTTCTACGACCACGACATCCCAAACACATCCTGGCTGAACTTTAGTATTCAGACCAGAAATGGATGCTACTCTGAATGGCAGCAATCCTATGTTCGCAGACGAAGCTGCGGACATCGCCTTGCTCTCAAAGGACAATATGACGTTTCGCATGTGCTCCAACGTCTTGTGGACGACATCTGGATGGTTTCGCACCCTGCTCACTCTGCCACAGGCTGCTACAAGAACCGAATCAGTTGATCAGAGTCCCATTCACCTTGATGAGCCGTCAGATGTCGTAACAGGCCTCTTCGAAACGATTAGCGGAATTGGATTACCAAAACTCGACACCCTCGAGTATGCAGAGGCATTGCTCAATGCCGCAGAGAAATACGATATGCCTGGGCCGCCGGCCATTATCAGGAAACTCGTAACGCAGCCACCACTCATATTACAACCTCTCCGTGTATACGCTATTGCGGTGCATTGGGGTTGGCACGAGGAGATTAAGATCGCAACTTCACACACCCTTACCCTGGATCTTTGCAATCCCGATATTCTTAAACAAGTCCAAGGTAGCTCACTCTCTGCAACATCGTTTTCTCGGCTGCTGGCAATCCATCATACTCGTCGTACTTCAATTCAACGATGCCTCACAGACAATGGTGTATTCACTGCCAATTCTTCCCCGCCTTGCAGAAAGTGCCAAGCAAGTAATTCTCACGAAGCTTGGCGTACCTTTAAGATTACCTGTATGCAAGAGGCAGAGAGTCGCCCCTTTGGCGAGAAGCTCACGATATCTGATATTCTGGAACGTCCTCGCGGCTTGTTCCTGTGGTCAACCCCTTTATCAGGCCCGAACGACCCTGGAAGCACTCGCAACGATGCTTAAACTGCTTGAGGATTTGGTGAACAAGATCGAGGTATGATCTATAGTCATTACGAGTCCCTTGCTACTGTCTGAGGGATCGAGTCACTTTGTGCAGGTTTAGACATCACGAGGTATGAACCCCTTGATTCCGCCCATGTCTGCTGGTTCTCACGTAGCATTCGACATATTGCCCAGGCGCTTTGCTGTTTACTTCAATGAATAAATTGATGGGCTATAAGAATTCCGGTCGTTGGCGAGGTGAATAAGCGGGCAGAGGCTGTTCTGCCTTGTTCTTTTTAGCTTCATAATAGCAGGTAGCTTTCAGAAACAGTCAGACCTGCGGGGGATGACGTATGAGGGAGTGGAGCTTGTGGAGATGAGGTTGTACCTTCAGGTCTTTGGGCATCTCGTTTAAGATTGCCATGATTCTTTCAAAAGTAGTTCGAGCACTACACAGGAGCCATCTCTAATCACTTCGTGCAATGAGATTATCTAAGAACGCTGATCGTTCATGAGTATCAGAACTTCTGGGTTCTTGGCCAAATGGACGATGCTTTATACCTCCAACACATGACAGTTGGAAGGTGGTCGATGCTTCGGGCGAGCGTTCTGTACCGCAGGATGGGCAAGAAACACGGTGAATAGTCGAAAACCGTCGGGATTCCCGATTCCATCCAGCAAATGATCTTTAGAATGTCAGATTAGATCTGAAATGCTCCTTCGTCTTTTCAAAGCACAACAACGCCCGCAGCATCTGGATCTACAGTCTTTAGGTGAACGGCTCCGCGGGAGGCGGACTCAGTATCTGAAATGAGTCTGCTTTTGATGTAGATGTATTATGCAAATATATGGGTACGCTGGATACGTGTCATGGTCGCTGATCATGGAATGTGAAACTTCCGGTCTCCCGAGCCAGTAGGAGTATGTTTGTGCTTGTTGTGCAACAACCTCGAAGAGCCTTCCTGTTTGGGCTTCTCCAAGCCGCCCACTTTCAAGTTTCGTCTTTTGCTGTCTGCTATCATTTACTTATCTCTGAGTCTATCATTGGTTGCTTTTCATTCACTTCAAGAGCGACTCTTGCGACTCGAATATGGCGGCTACAACACTTGCAGCAAAAGCCACACAAAAGAAGTCTCGATCAACCATCGGAGCACCATCACAGCGCAACCAGTCAAGTCGAAAAGGCAAGCGAGCTTGGCGGAAGAATGTTGATATAGATGATGTGGAGGAGGTTTTGGAGGAGATTCGGACAGAAGAAAGGATTACAGGGTGCGATATTTTCAACTATAGAATGCTTTATCCGCTCATACTTTTTCCGCAACCAGTTCTGCCCTGCACAAGAAGAAAGACGAGGACTTGTTCCAGATCGATGTCACAGGAGATGAGACTGGTAAGTCTTATCTTTATTTATCATGTTTACCTGTGTCATTGAGCCCTATATTAGTTCGCAGACATTTGCCAAAATTTTCAACGTCTCAGTTGACGTCCGCTAAAATTCTTGCTCAACGGTCGGCCGTACCCGCTGTTGTGTCTCGTACAACCAGTTCGTCGACTCATAAACGCAAACTCACTCATGAAGAGAAGGACAGACTGTTACGAATGGGTAAACGCATGCGGAAAGGTCCTTTCAATGGTGTTATAGATCCAACTGAAATGGGAGCGGGAAGCGCGCTGCTCGAGGTCAGCGAAGCAGTCAAAGCTAGTGGAGGCTATGATGTATGGGGTACTGCTGATGAATCGGAACCTGACTTCAGTGGTGTTGTTCCAGGCAAGATGCCTGCGGTCAAGGTAAGCTTAAACAGGCAGTCCTGAAGTGCGAACTCTCACAATTTCCTTCAGGCGCCAGTTGTTCCTCATCCGAGAAAACATATAACAGTCCCTGCAGTTCCCGCACCTCACGAAGGGACATCGTACAATCCGCCCGTCACTTCACACCAGTCATTATTGCTTACTGCACACGAGATTGAAGCCAAGCGTGTGAAAGAGGCGGAAGAGATGAGACAGGTGAGGGACAAAGTGGAAGAAGCGAGAAAGGTCGCGCAACAAGAAGGCGGAGTTCTTGGAATGAAATTGGACGAGTCTAGAGAGCAGGAGGATGCTGAGGTAGACGGAGAAGATAAGACTAGGCCGACGAAAAAGATACCCGAGCGCAAGACCAAGCAGGAAAGGATAAAGGCTGCCAAAAGGCAAGCTGAGGTACGTGAAATATCGTCTTCTTTCATAGACGTTGTCCTCATCCCCTACATTATCCAGAAACGAGCGCTGCTTGAAAAGGTAGCGCAAAAGCGTATGCTCGCAAACGTATTCGCGGCCAAAGCATTACGCAAGTCTGTAACGAAGAAGCAATTGGCCCGCGAACAGCTACGAACAGAGCAGAAACAACAAGCTGAGCAAGAACGGCTGAAGAAGGGTCTTGCTGGTCAGAAGCTAGGAAAACATGTCGTGCCGGAGGGTGCGATTGATGTTCAACTCGGCGAAGAGCTATCTGAGAGTTTGCGTGGGTTGAAGGTGAGTTACTGTTGTCTTTTGAGCTTCAGAGGCATATTGATTCTTTGTTCAGCCTGAGGGCAACCTCTTCCGCGATCGATTCCTCAACATGCAGCATCGTGCTCTCGTGGAACCCCGTGTCCCCGTACTGTATGTCATTCTTGTTTTCATTTCATCTATTTCTGTCTACTTACGGCGAATTTACAGCCCCAGAAAACGCAAGAACAAGATGAAGGAGTACGAAAAACATGCCTTCAAACGTTTCGACAGGGACAATTGATTCCTTCTCCTTTTCACACACTGCATGATAACCTACATGTTATATGTCATCTATGTTGTACAACGAGAGCATTCCATGGATTTCGACGACCGACGACAAACAACTAAATGACAACTGAATATGCTACACATCATGATCAAGAGAAAAGCAAACAATTTGTACCGAGTCTATCGCGAGGGATCTAATGACCGTCACCTAAGAAGTCAATGTGGTTCTGGTTCTGGTTCTGATTCTTAGGAGGCTTGACAATGAGGTCGGATTGTTGGCTGAAAGTTTTCAATTAGAAAACGTTTTCGCACAGGGTATCGGTATGATAAGTACGCACAGCCTCATACGTAGGAGGAGCTTGCGGTTCGTGCTCTGAATGTCCGCGCCAGACTTGACGGCACGCGAAAAGAGCTCTGCACGCTGGTCCACAACTTTGGCTTTCAGAATCTACAACATCGTGAGATGTGAATGAAGATTAATCTGACAATTATGAAGAATTGATATACCCTGTTTTGCCTGTCAACGCGAGCATGAATCTCGCCCTTCTGGATTAGGTGGACAACCTGTTGCTCGAGGAATTCTGGAGTCCATCCAAACGCTTGACTCATGCGATCCATCTTGATAGAGGCGAATGGTTGGAAGTATAGCACGAGTGCACGACTCTGGATCTCCAATACGAGGTTGTTCACATGGGTTGAGAGATAGAGGTCAATATAGTGACGAGTCTGGAAAGGGCAAAGAGATTTAACAGTCAAAGATAACGAATGACTCAAGGGGAACTCACAGAGTATCTTTCCAGGAGCTCAAGGACAGTCTTGAACCTATTGCCCATGTATGCTTCTACAAGCTCACGGACATAAGGCTCTTGCTCGATGTATACCCCAAAACTGTCGTTATCGAGAAGATTCGACTTGATTGCAGATCGACTGAAGGTAGCCAAAGCAGAAAGCGTGGCATATATCGCAATATCTCCGGGAGCAACAATCTATATGTCGAATTTATTTAGTTGTATTTGTACAGTGACACATGAGCACGATAACGAACCTTAGTTGCCCATTCCTCCAGATTCTTGATAGGACCAGCCTTCAGGAAAGATTGTGCTGCCTTCTCGTACGCACCTTGTGCGAGATGCGACAAAGCCGTTGCGACATCAAGCTTTGTCTGTACTCTCTCTCGCTCAGCGGCAGCTTTCGCTTTGGCAACCTGCTGTGCATCTGGAGGGAGCGTGGCTGCTTGAGCAGCGTTAGGAGCAGCATTGCTACGGGCTGCCGCGTTCTCTAGCGCACCATCTGCTTTGAAGACGTATGTGGCTATGTGAGCGTAGTTGCGTTGTTCCAGAAGTAACTGAGAAGCGACCGTATAATTAGTGAATCAACCAACATGAGAAGCATTCTTTGAACTTACCTCCAGTACGGACATGCACATGTCCACGATATGCTGACTGGAAGTGCAAAATTCTCTAGACTTGGTGTAATGCTTCAGTGACGAGGAGTAGTCGCCTACACTTCGGTAGAAGTTCCCCAGATCCCGATGGGCCATCTACGGCATTGCATGAGAAACAAAACAAACTGGGGTCGATTATCCATGCATACCCGGATGCTCTCTTTAATCATGTTGCTGGTGTACGTCTTCAGTTCTACCTCCAGCTTGGACCTCTCTGCCTGATTCTTGGTGTTGGTTTCGTCGATCCATTGTTGATCGATGACTGCAAGGTCTGTATGAGGAGGTAACTCTGCATCCGGGAGGGTCTTGGCAGTAGTATCGTACGCAATTATGAGTGATTGGTACAAATTGGGATCTCGACCCTGCAGGATGTGTTGAACGGCTAGCTGAAAGGCTTGTGGCGCGAGAGTAGGGCAGATGCTAATGATGTGGATGAGACGATACACAACAGTTTTACCTAATGTACAGCTCAAAAACAAGATCACCCCCATGCAGAATGCAAAGCATACCAGTGTATGTAGAGATGTAAGCTTCGAGATCGAACGGGTGGGCATCGTCCACTGGGACAAATGCAGGTCTCTTGCCCGTGGATTTTGAGTAGTTGGGAAAGTCGGTCTCATCAATCAAGTCGATATCCATGCTGAAGAGTCTCAAATGTGTCTATCGGTTAGCGTAATGGAGGTCGTGCAGCAAGCTGAACGCGCTAATGCACTGCTCATACAAGGACCCAAGAATCCGTGCGTTTCATTTTGATTAGTTAAATAATTATTTTTGTTTTGTGTGCAATGGTTATCTTGCTTAGCGGTAGCGCATTGCTGAGACGGTCGAATCTGAGAGGCTGTCAATGTACCCCGCTAATGCCCGATTGTAGTATTCTTCTATAAGTACTGCGCCTCGAATACTTTGGTAACGACAGCAATAGTCTTAGTCCAACTACCGCTGAAGCCAATGAAACGGTCTATCTGTGTGTCTCGTTCTTCCACAAAGTCCAATCAACCTCATTCTGCTCGACGAACGCATGCACCTTGCTCCAATCTCGGCAAACATGGGTCACAGCGAGTCCCTCTCCAACATCCTGCGATCCCTCAACAATCTCCGGCTCCAAAGTCAAGTCGGCACTGCACAGAATCGTCTGTCTGAGATAATTCAAGCAATGTTGAGCGTGCTCGACGTCTCGTTTCCTTGAGGCGTGTGTATGACCACGACCTAGAATGGCATGTCGTAACGAATCTAAACAGTGCATCTGGTGATACATGGACAGTCCGAAGAACCGTTTGTTTGGGCCGAGGCGGATAAAACCTAGGTGGTTGCCTGGATAGATGGAACGATACTCGGCGTCGGCGTCAGGGGTATCCAGAGCGTAATGTCTCGAATCCTCGAGAGTCAGAGCGACTGGATCTCCCAAGTGCAGAGGAAGTGCGTTGGGATAATCATCTCCCTGCCATGCTAGGATTCTTATCAGTATTGGCCCTGAGAAGTAGTTATCTGCTTCACTCACAGTAGTCATCCTCGAACTTCGGGGATGGTTTATTAAGGCCAACCATTGACTGGCAATGCTCCTGACGGTTCATCTGCATCCATGTCGTGGCCAACTGCAAGGCCGAAGACAACAGTAGCACCAAGCTCGCGAACAATATGATTCTAGATGAGGTGTTTGTATGGACGTCCTGACGAATAGTCTTCATCCTGACATTTCAAGCCAGGTGGTGTAAAGTTTGAAGCTCAATGGAGCAGTATGGAACGTTTCCGAGGTAACTTCATTTTAGTGACAGCTTCGATGATGTGGCATGACGGGAGTAAAGCCATCCAAACTCCTTCCGGTCAGGATCCGTGTTTGGTATTCCAACTATGGAATCTGAAGTCAAGCTTCAAGCCGCAGACGGCTCCAGCAGAAACTTAAAGAGAGCAGGAAACAAGGACAGACCATGGTGAAGGTTTTCTGCAAAGATCGCTCGATCACAAGTCACCGATCACGTAGGTTCACAAACCCAATTCGTTGCCAATTCATCCTCAATGAGAATCCTAGTCTGTACTTCAGCCCATACGTACAAGCCAACCATTCAGAAATCCATACATAAGAAAAAGTTCTTTAGTACTATGGTATATAATGTAATGACGAACGAAAATGCGAGGAGGAACTTGAAATGCTTCCCGAGAGCCAGCTGTAGTAGGGCATTCTAAAAACGAGTGCGTCTATGAAACGAGTGCAACGAGGTCGATCAGTCCTTGGCGTCGAAGAAGTAGATATGTGTTTGTGCGTGATGACGTCTTGCTTGGGAAATCAGACCTCTTGGATGTTACGTATGGAGCGTGAAATCCTCGTAAGTTTGGGCATGAGCGACGAGCAGCCACAATAGGGTTGGTTGTATTATGAGGCGAAGATTCCGATGATCTTGAAGGGCGGAACGTTCCTATCGTCTTCCTCGCCTGTCAATTGACATTCGACGAAATGCGAACCCGCAATAACGTTATGGTCAATCATCTCCAGCCTGCATCAAACAGAAAATCAGTAACCCCAACGCACACAGGTAACGATTCGATGAGAGCGACTCACGCAGGTTTAGACTCTCCAATATTAGCCGCATTCTCAATCAACAGTGCTCCCTGATAATTATCATCAACCCAACACTCCACCGCACTTCCCTCACCCACTCCACTAACCGGTTCCTTCAAGTAATAAATCCCGATATCCCCTGTACTCACTTGCACGCTTACTCTCAGTCTACTCGTAGGCAAGCTGGAGTACCAATAGTGCGCATGTGATGAAAGTTTCGCACTCCCCGGTGCAGGATGATACACGCTCCAGCCTGTTCCAGAGCCAGTAAAGAGAGAAGCAGGGAGAGGATTCACGAGATCATTGGCGGAGACGCAAAACGGCGAGACCTCTGGAGGCGGTGAATCAGATGGTCTGGCATTGATTCGAGATGGGGGCACACGGAAGTGTGGATAAAGCAGTTGGTTGATCTGATTCTGTTGAGGAACAGCTTGTCGAACATTATTCTCCGCTTGCTTCGGATTTTCAACATTGCCCGGTGCAGGGTTCTTGTTGACAACAGGGTCAACTTCATCATCATCATCGCCATGTAGGACCAAAGGTTCAAAAGCAGCGGCTCCGGCAGCACCAATCCTCTGACCTATACCACCAAATATACCCTTGGCATCGGTAGGCACTTTCGCGCCAGCGATTTTGCTGCCAGGTGCGAAAGGTACCCCAGGACCTAAGAGGGCTTCGGAAGCAGTGCCAGTGAGAGAAGCCCAAGCAGCGCATGTTCGTGACTGGAAATAGGAGATGAGGACGTCTGCGATGACTTCGTGGCCGGCTGCGTTAGCCAGGATAGGGTCGGCATAGTATTTCCGAAGAACGTAAGTGGGCTCGGACATGTACTGATCATACAACAAAGGTTTCACACTACGTGACCAAACTGGGTGAGTATATGCGGTATAGGTGTATGACTGTGGCAAAAGATACCTGATATGCGGAACGTCGTAGAACTGTGCGACGACGCTATGCCAATGGTCGGGGCCGAGGAAGCCATTCGATTCTTGAACTTGCGGACTGAAATGACCGAGAATTATTACAGCAGGCTGGTCTGAACGAAGCAACAGGGACCGAATAAGAAGCTCAAAGTTCTCCATTGACGAGGCATCCCTATATCGTCAAGTCATTTTGGTTTTAGCGCTCACAGATTCACAATCATTGGGCGAAACAAAACGCCACTTACAACTCGTCGTCCACGTCTAATTCCACAATGACAAGATCTGTGACGTCAGGGACATGATGGGCATTGCAAAAGGAGAAATATTGCGAGTTTGTACGACGCATAGCCCCATTAGTGAGCTCGGATGCCGGGTGAGGGAAGACGTCGTTCCACCAGCTGAAGAACCGTGATGGATAGCAGGTGGGTGATAGAGGGTCGTCGCCTGCACCGTGGCAAGCGGATACTAAGGGGTCAAACGTATCAGTAAACGAAGAAGCGGCATAATTGAGACATGGGTATATTTGAAGTACAGCAGCCCATCGTGAGCTCAGGTTCGTTGAGGATGATCACATCGTACGCCACCCAACGGAAGACATATTCAGATAAGAACGCAGCGATGGGGTGTTATCACATCTGAATAAGAGACCACCACTACACAGTTGGAAGTTCAAACAACTCACCTGAACCACCGACAACACTAATAGTGACCGGATGTCCCGACAAAGCCCTAGTGATCACTCTCTGCACTCTCGCCCCACTTCCAAGATGAAACCTCGTCTTCGCCAGCAACATAGGATCATACTTCTGCGCAAGCTCATCGCCAGGTCCCAACGCAGGACAAAACGCAAACGGGTTCTCTTCTCCTTCCAACGAACTCCCATTCAGATAATTCTTGGGCTTCAAATCCGAATGCAACAACCGATGTCTCGAATTCGAGGGCTGCTCCGTCGGAAGAACGAATCGCGTGAAGAGAATGAGAGAAACGAATAGCGCGAGGATAAGCCATATTCGATTTGTGACGCCAAAAGACTTTTGGGCGAGTCGGGAGGGAGCCTTTTCGCTCAAAGAGTTCAGGTTGCTGCCGCCCATGTGTGACGGCGTGAGTGGAGGTGAGATGTGAGGTGCGGGCTTGCCTGTGCGTCGTTGCATACAGGCGAAACACCGAGCGGGAGGGTGAAGAGAGGGGGAGGGGAGGAGGAAAGGAGGACAAAGTCGGTCCAAAGTCGAGTACTTTCGAGAGCTGGCAGTTCAGGCAACCTGCATTACCCAATGCGGTAGTTGAGCGCCCATATATATCAGTAGGAACAATCCGCCCGCATGGGTTCGCGCAGAATATGCGGGGTCGATTATGCCGTTGAACTTCAAGCAAACTTAGATTAGAGAAACTTAGATTAGAAAAACTTAGAATAGAGAAGCTTAGAACAGACAACTGACAGACGCGTAGATTGGGAAGCGAGCAATCGAGATATGCATTCACATAGGAATAAGTAAAGGATATTGTACGAACAAAGAAAACCGAATGGTAGTTCGAGAACCAACAAGTAGCGAACAGTCCCTAAGACCTTCTCAAAGGGACACGCGGTGTCCATCAAGAAGGTCGGCCCAATGTTTTCTGCGAAATCCCAGGACTTCTACGTCACGAACCCATGATTTGTGGAAGGTATCACGAAGGTATAATATGATGAAAAGCGAAAAGAATTGCGAGTTGTTGCAGATGAAAGAAAGCACAAGTGAAAGTGTGCTTAGAGGTTGAGAGCAACGAAGCCGACGGCGACGAGGCCGAGGAGGGCATTGGCACCGTGAATCAAAGCACCGCTGTTATCGCCACCACCACTAAGAAAAAGTTACATTGAGATATGAAAGAAAGAGGTTCAGAGATCATAGACGTACGTCTGAGTAGCGGGACTGGTGGTATCGGTGCTTGAAGGAGCCGTTGATGAAGGGGCGATAGAAGAAGAAGTCTGTGTGGCGCTGGGAGCGGAAGAGCCAGGAGCAGACGAAGTTGAAGATGCAGAAGTCGAGATATCAGGGGTGGAAGTCAAGGTCACACCCTGCAGGGTCATCAGTTCAGGGCGTTTCTAGCACACCCAAGCGTCAAACCTACCACTGTGGCGCAGAATTGACGAGCGACGGCCTCAGCCCTCTCCGCATCATCCGCATTGCAGCTCGAGATAATGCAGCTGGTGGTGCTGGAGATGAAGGCAGAGCTATTGCACAAGCAGCCGAGATCATCTGCGGTGCAGGAGCCTGTTTCAGCATTGGCAATGCAAGGGTTTGCACAATCTGTCAAAGGCTGTCAACAATCGCGCCAAGACTAATAGATAAAGATCGAGTGGTTTACCAGGGTACTGTCTAGGGAAGAGAGTGGCGGCAGAGGTAACGGCGACGAGGCCAGACAGGACAGCGATGAAAGAGGTAGCACGCATGTTGACAATGGGAGCGGCGAGGAGGATTTCAAAGAAGTACGAGTTGCAGAGATCGAAAGTCGAAAGACAAGAGTGACAGGGAGGGAGAGCAACAAGTGACAAAGGGTAAAAGGAGGACCAAAGCTAGCAAGCGACGCTCAGAGAGTGTTCAAGTTGCTATGCAGCTCTGGAAGATTAACATGGCGGCTTTATATGATCGGCTATTTTGGTACTAGCCCACGTTGGGAAAGGGTCACAAACAACCCTACCAAACCATCACAATGGACAAAAAGCGCGAGATTGTTGCGCGTGCAGGGACCCGTGAGGTATCGTAATTCGCGGCGATATGACCAGTATCGTTCGTCAAATTCAGGGCTATTCCAGACTGTCAGGGACATTGAGCAACGATAGCAGAGAACAAAGTGGGCAGGGAAGAATGGGAGGGGCAAGAATGGATGAAAGGGAAACCCATTGTTGGCATTCCCAGCACAGGCAGAACCCGTCACAAACCCTTGATGCCCAGGCAGACTCAGGCACAACACCTGCCTTATTGGGACATGCGCTCACGTGGCACCCCTCGGGAACAGCCGCACTAACTGTAAAGCACTAGCGAGCCACAGCAAACCTTATTCCTCCAGCCACAGAAGCCAAATAGAGCAAAACAAGGTCCCAGGCAGCCAGTCCGGCAACGCAAACAGTCTGCAGCTCATCGTACTCGACATCCGCAAGACATGGTACGTCGTCCTGCTGTCCGTATGCCTCACTGTTGTCGCTGACAATGACCACGAATAGGCCTCCAAGACTACCGCCAAAAAGGTGCCGTCAAAAGTGCAATATTGCGTGTACAATTCATAACTTATGATCGTCCATTTGAACAGACCGGCAAGACTCGCTCGGCCCTCCAAGACGTTGTCACCCGCGAGTACACCATCCACCTCCACAAGCGAGTCCATGGACGTTCGTTCAAGAAGCGTGCTCCCTGGGCCGTCAAGTCCGTCGTAGACTTCGCACAGAAGGCTATGGGTACCTCTGATGTCAGGGTCGACCCTAAACTCAACCAGGCGTTGTGGGCCCGGGGTATCAAGACTGTCCCTCACAGAATACGGGTCAAGCTTGAGCGTGCGTATATTTCTGGCTCTTGAATGAGTTTAGTGCTGGTATTCAAGTTGCATGAAATGATTGTAGGAAAACGTAACGATGAGGAGAACGCAAAGGAGAAGCTCTTCACATACGCAACTTACGTTCCCGTTGAGTCGTTCAAGGTCTGTCCACATCTTCTGCAATATATCATTGCATGTTCCAGTTCTGAACTTCTCTGACAGGGTCTTGAGACTGTTGTCGTCGACGCCGAGTAAACGGCTTCTTGTGTCTTCTGATTGAGCAGAGAGGGCTGTTCTTCAACAGTCGTTCAGAGCTTTCGGTGTACCGTTGTGTCATTATCGCATCTTTCATTTTTTTCGCTTATCATGCGACCCGCTATGCGGCACTCTCCATCCTACACTGTACGCATTACTGCTATTGCGTCCCATATGCCATGTCATGCCGAGGAATCAAAATCACGCCCTGGCGTTGCTTGACGGAAATTGTCGTCGCAGGTCCTCTATTGTCTCTCTTGGCGTGCACCGTGGCACGAGTTCTGGTGTTACCATATGGTCTCCCTGCCGCAAACGATTGGTCTCGTCCAATACCTCTATGCCTTCAAGTACAATTTCAATGCATAGTGAGCTAGCGAACGACGAGAAGTAACAATGATAGAAACATATTAAGTATACTGTAAGACTGCCAGAAATATCCACATTGAATAAGTAACGAAAGTGTCTCCAAAATGTCCCGGTACTAGTACTACTGCACCTCCAAGTGGAGGAAAGGCAAGAAAGCTCATAGAAGATTAAGGTCTCTATGATGTCGCACTTTGACTGCCTCAGGTCTCGTTGATACGTTTGGCATATGTTCCCAGATCGGGTCTACGTCGGGTCCATCGAGGTCTCCTGCCCCGTCCCATCCCCAGCACCACACTATAATTTCATCAACGTTGTCAGCACATTGGAGAACACATAGAGTAAGAGGTATAGCGTACCATGATCGGGACCAGGAGTAAAGTCGAGCTCTTCGCTTTCTTCCTCGGTGAATAGACGGTCGTGAGGACCGAACCACGCACGATCTTGAGGGTCTGTACGAGGGTTATCTGGTAATCCTCCCAGACGAGAGTATCCACGGATAGAAGTGAGATTCTTCCTCGCAGGGTGAATGATGTCGTACACCCTCTATAAACAGAACAATACATGAGCAACCTAGAGGTACAATAGTACTTGAACGATGATTGCAAAAGACATACCCTATCGTAAGCCAATTTGACTCTCGGCACCATCATGATTCTCCCATATCCCGCCTCCCAATAATCATTGCAAATCAAACTACATTCACTGGCCGAGCACTCCCCTTCCGTGATCTTAGCCATCCTAAACCTTACATGGGGAGGGGCATAGAAAGGTGCTGGGTCCAGTACTGCGACACCATTCCAACAGGATTGGACTTGAATTGGTAGATGACGCATGAATCGGTCTTGGGAAGGTGGGTGATGGAAGACGGACTCGAAGGGTGCGTTCTCGAGTGCGGTGCCGTTGATGTCTCGTGCGACCCAGTTATCGTAAAACACAGGTGAACCCTAACGCAACAAATATATCAGCATCGGTTACACGAAACGTGTTGCAGAAATTTATAGAAACATACGAGCTCCTCGTGGAACATGTAATCCGCTGCACAAGTAATCCCCGCATTATTCCTCCGACTCTGCCAAATCAACTCCAAGAGATCATCCACACAGGGGAGGATATCGTTCATGAACACGATAGTATCAAAATACTCATTTTCCGTATTCCTCAACTCATGCAACGGCACAAATGCGGCATTCCGGACTTCGGCCAAGTACTCGATTCGATGATTGAATGCACCCCTAGTCCTCGTCGATGTCCGAATCATCACCCGCATACCAACCGACCGACACAAAGCGTCGAATATCCGGAGTAACGCTTTCGTCTGGTCAGTGGATCCGTTCTCGTAGATTGATACAAAGACGTTTTGGTACCCCAGTACGGAGGCGGCTCTGAAGAGAGTAGCGAAGAGATCCGGGATGATGTCGAATGAGTTGTACAAGTTGATGGCGAAGAAGTATTTGTGCGTGTCTGGTTGGAGACGAGCAGTTGGCGGGACATAGTCGCCTTCCAAACCATTTGACCCAAGTCCAAGAGTGTCTAACCAGGACGAACGGGACGGTCGGTCATGCCCGATGAGAGCTGCATATCGTTCCATGGCTTGTTCCTTATACAGAGGTTGAGCATTTCGGGTACACTCCTTTGTATAGTGTGGCGAGAGGGATGTGAGGAGTTCCAGGATTCGGAAACGCTGATCTGCTGTAGGAAGCGTTATTGGATGTCGAGTGGATATTCGACCGGAACCATATATTGGTGCATGACCACCTCGCCAGACAGATGTTGGTGAGGTCTGTTTTATGTGAGTATCGAGATACTGTCAAGCGAGCGGTGGGACGTACGCTTGAGGAGAATATGTTAGCCACGATGAGGCCAATGAATATGCCTATGGACAGCGAAACCCATGCGGGAAGCCTTTTCAACGGGTTCTTACTTTTCGGATGCATGACTTTAGGGTGCTAGTTTAAGACCGTAGCTCAGACGAGAAGCGTGGTCCCAATATATAGCTCTATGCGTTCAGCAATCAATGACAGTCTCTATATCCTTCTCTTCGGATATAGAGCGTCTCCAATTGGCAAACGTGTGCAAGAAGTCCGCTGCTTCCCCGACCTGATGGCTTGTTCAGGTCGTCTTCGTCGTACAGTAAAGACTGAAAGGGGTTAAAGAGAGCGAAAGGTCGTATAGGAGAGACGTTGGTAGTGAACGGAGCCCAGCAAACCGAAATAATTGCACCCCCTACCAAGCAATTCCCAATGTTACCGTCACAAGGTCACAGCGATCGATCGACAACATAGAATGTAGAGTATGTTAGGAGCGCCGGGACGCGATTAAGTATAGCAGACGCAGTACACCAAATATGTTATAGCTAGCCAAGTCCATTGTCCGAAGGACAAAGCAACATGTTACAAGATCCACATAGCACGTAAATAGCTACATCACAAAGTGCAACCACTCAAACAAGTGTATCTCTACTATCTGCGTGAGGACCCTTCTTCACCTGACCGTCGAAATCTGAGAACGGATCGTCCTTGCTCTCTCCATAGTCGGGCATTCCAGAACCAGAGTAGGCTGGTGGCTTCATCGCATCGTAACCGGGAGCGTAACCACCAGCGGGTGGGGGAGGACCGGGAGGTGGTGCGTATGATCCAGCCATAGGCGCGTCGTAGTTCAAGTACGGAGGGTTATAATGCGACGGGTATCCGCTATCGAATTGCTGAGAAGGAGCTTGTACTTTGCTACGGCCAAGGGTAGGGTTGAGAAGTTGACGGTAGTAGGCGTAGGATATTGTGACGAAGAACACAGCCAGAACTATGGATCGAGTTATAACTATGTTTTGAAGGTAGGAATTAAGAATGCTCTTACCGATCTCAATGATCAGAGAGATGATCTCGTTGACTGAATCATGACTCCAAGCATCCCTGCAGACTGCGAAATGGTGAATAAAGCAGCAATGAACTGGGCTTGATTCGAGACGTACACCTCGCAGCTTCATCTGCATCAAGATGGTCACGAACACGAGGGCCCCAAATTCCAAATCTCTGAAAAAATCCCGTGAGTATACAAGAACGCCATCGAAAACAAACCACACGTACGAAGACAATGTCGGTTCCAGTAGAAAGGTCAGTGCATTCCTGAATTAAGTCAGTCTACAAGCAGAAATTTCAGCATGACTCCCAAACAAGTGGGTACGATGGGGTATACCTTCAGCGTGAAATGCGTTATCGTTCGCACAAAACCAGCTGCGATAACCAGAAGAGAGCTGATAATAGTAGTAATGGAGTAGATGCGGACAAGCGCCAGACGTTGCTATAGCGGATTGCGCAAAGACGTATCAGTGACATTGACGTCAATCTTTCCAGAATAGAACTGACAGTGGCTGCGGCAACAATCCCAAAGACCTCGATGGCGGTTACTGTGATATACATGGTACCTAGGACAATGGCGAATGTTGCCAATTTAGGTTGGCCATCTGCGGAGAGAACGATAACTCAGTAACAAGACCATGTAGATTGGACCATGGTTCAGAGACATACGGTCTTTGTCGATGTTTATATCTCGGAACACGTCAATCTAGAAGTGACACGTATCATTAGCATGTTTACACGAGGTCTCCCACGATTCGCAGCAGTACGTACAGCCCTAGAGGCAGGTGGCGCAACATGAGCTTCATTCTCAGTATCGATGGACATGGGGGATGGCTCACCATACAAGAGTCCAGATAGCAGTGACCAATGAAACTGATGCACAATGAGTAAAGACAACTGAGACACAGATACATGGTGGGTACTCACGGACAATGACTATTGGCCGCAGACTAGACTGGTACACTCGTGAAACCATTCCATAGGCAGGCGGACGAGCTATTTCGAGGTAAGTCAATTATAATCATACAAGCCATAGCAGAAGTGTCAGATTCCCCCCAAAAGATACCAAGAGCAAAGTGGTAGTGTGAGCGATCGTCATAGAGTCTTGGCGCAGCACATGAAACTGACCTGCAACGGGAGGCGGACGGGAGGACATTCTTAAGGTTCAAAAAGTAGAAATACAGGTACGAAAGAAATGAATCGAGCAGAGTTTATAAGAAAGAAAAACTGGTACGGTAGCGGTGACCAGCACTGTGTAATGGCGGTGAGAGACAAAGGGTGGAGGGCCGGCAGAACACGCCTAACCCGGGACAATACAGCCTCAACGACAGCGTCTATTCAAATTATTCGGGCATGGAGGGTAGAAGCTCGCAGCAGCAACAACACTTCAGACGTGTACAAACAGTGGCTAGCATCAATACTGAGATGATCGTGTGATTGGTATGTTTTCTAAGTTAGCGCAATGGCAAGGATGATGATTGTACATGGAAGAAGCGACTGTATGCTGGGCAGGATCCGTGTATTGGATATGTGTATTAGGATCCTAGTATTGGATGGTATAGTGTAAATCGCTCTTGCAATTGGTATGAATTGGCAGTCGAAAGTCGCAAACCAGTCAAGATCTAGTGGCAAGACACGCTGAGGGTCGAGTAGCAACTTGACTGACTCGGAAATATTTGGTATTCATAAGGCGCGGAAATATTGCAGTCGACAAGAGGTGGACCCTACCGCCTACACGCATAGGTGAGAATGGTGGCATGAACTGACAGGCAGAAGGAAAGATTGTGAGAAATTGTTACACATAGGTCGTGCCAAGATGATCAGGTAAGAAAAGAGTGTCTGTTCCTATGTAGCGTCTTTGCGGATCTGTCAACCAACTGAGAGCGTAGTGACACACGTACTACATTGTGAAAGGAGGCCACACGTCTAACCATTCGGTCGACAACACATGATAATTGGGTCCTTCAAATGAGGACATCGCACGAGTGCGACAATGGGAGACATAATTGAGGCGTAACTGAAGAGCTGCTGGGGCTATCCTCCACCGTTACATGACTCACAGCCTTCACAACTGGCAACTGCAGACAATAAAGATGCAACCAAAAGCCATCAAAGTATGCAGCCAATTACCGGCATATTGAGAACATCATTGCGTATTACATTAGAGGAAACCGGGATTTCTCTGGTCAAATATTGCACAGAGCCGCAAGCCACAAGACCTAGCCAAAGAAAAATGACGCTGCAAGCACACTCAGAAAGACCTTCAGCGAGTCAGAAGTGTCCCATAGTTGGATCGCGTTTCTAGGAGAGGTAATATGTCGGAGGAGATGAGTACTGTGATCAAAACCTGCTCAGCGTAGGCTACAAGAGGCTGTAAGGAGTAAGTTAGCGAAGATACATGTCAGGCGCGCACCGAAACCGAGCGTCTCGGGCTTTGCCGGTACTGTACAGTTTTTGCAGCCACCGCGCGAGTCTCGCTACCACAAACAGCAATATCGTCGGCGCCGGCCTCAGCAACCTCAAGACCAAGGTATGGCGAACTTATGCTCGTTTGTAGCATGAATGAGAGATATTGACCATTTGATTCTGTCCAGGTAATCGTTCGTCGTTAATGTGAGTGTCGATTTGCCAAAGAATAGACGGAAGAGGCGCGATGTCGAGAGTGAAGTTGTGGTCATGTTAACGGTGGAAATGGGGTGGAGGGCAAGACCTTATGCTGGAATGGTGTCTTGAGGAATCAGTTGGGAGGGGAGACGACGATCCATTTAAATTCTGGCAAGTGATGTAAAGCTCTAATTACTGGCTTTGTTCTGTCCAGTTTCAGCAATGGCCCAACGTGTCACCATCCGCAAGAGGACTCCTTACAACACCAGATCCAACCGCAGACGAGTGGTCAAGACACCCGGTGGAAAGCTTGTTTACCACCACATCAAAAAGCTTGCTACTGCTCCCAAGTGCGGTGACTGCGGCATTGCTCTTCCCGGTGTATGTATACTCGTTATTCTGCACGAGCAACCTAATTCTGATTAGCTACACTGTACTATATAGGTCCCTGCTCTCCGCCCCCGTCAGTACGCCACCATTTCCAAGACGAAGAAGACTGTTCGCAGGGCGTACGGTGGTTCAAGATGCGGTGACTGCGTCAAGCAGCGGTCAGTACTTCTTATTGAACATGACTTCTCGTAGGTCCCCTGACATAACGTGTGCTTTTAGTATTCTCCGAGCATTCTTGGTTGAGGAGGCCAAGATTGTCAAGAAGGTTATCAAGTCGCAACAGCAACAGAAGGGCCGCAAGTAAATCATCCTTACTTGGCGGGACTGTTTTGCTAGTTTTCTTCTTACACGGAGTTTGACGGGTTTCCGGGGATACATACTCCTTACTTGCACCTCTTTTATGGCGACGACGCACATGCCCTCTCTCCACCTCCTTGCATGCATATGTATTGCTATCGTTACGACAAACAAAAGTATGACCGATGAGGTCGGTATGCGCATGTGTGTCCATCGGCTTCAGCAACGTCTACGTCTGCTTTTTCTTTCCGCTTGGGCTGGTCTGTCTTAATATTCCCCAGACGTTATGTAGCCCTCCACGGGTTGTGCAAGGAACGTTTTCCTTCTCTGATGTTGCGTTGAACTGAGCTTGAGGCGGCACCTAGTGCCCAGCCCGTCATATTTACTTTCATAGTGAGAGAATGACCACGGTATTCGTGTATTCGGCCTGTTGAAACTTTCTGAGGAATTCAGAGAAGTTATTCCTGGATCGGCGTCTCGGACCGCGTGGAATGAATGACTTTGTCGAGTCAATAAAGTATAAAGCCATCTTGGAGAATTACTACTTACCACGATCGTTGGTTTGCTTAATTACTCTGTCATCCTTCCCCCCGACGGACGATGGCGGCCAGACTTTCGCTAAAACAGGACTACGAAGGCTTGCTGGACAAGTACGATACTTGGTTATTTGACTGCGATGGTGTCCTATGGGAAGGAGATCGATTGGTCGACGGTGCAATCGAAGTGTTGGATTTATTGAGAAGTCGCAGTAAGTATGTAGCCTGCCCATTGTGCTTGAACATGGTACTGAGTGCTATTGTTTGACAAGACAAGTCTGTGATGTTCGTTACGAATAATGCTACAAAGTCGAGGAAGAGCTATAAAACAAAGTTCGACAAGCTCGGCGTACAGGCCCATGTGGTAATTATTTTGCCTTCAATTGGCATAATTCTGTGAAGTGACGGATCGTGCTTTTGGTAGGACGAGATCTATGGATCAGCATTTGCTTCAGCCGTTTATATATCGTCCGTAGTCAAATTGCCGAAGGACAAGAGAGTATACGTGATCGGTATGACTGGGATTGAGGAGGAATTACGTGAGGAAGGCATTTCATACCTCGGTGGAACAGTACGTCTTTATTATTATGATGGCCGGTCTTCCTTTCTTAATGGGACGAAACCATAGGACCCAGCAGATAACACCCTCGAACCATTTACTCTCGCGAACTGGACACCAGATCCCGCCGTAGGAGCGGTTCTCTGCGGTCTCGATACCTCAATCAACTATACCAAGTTATCTAAAGCATTCCAATACCTCCTACGCGACCCCGCATGTCTATTCCTCGCCACAAACGAGGACAGCACATACCCAAGTGCTGAAGGTCTGCTCCCTGGTGCAGGCTCGATCGGTGCACCGCTAAGGTTTGCTCTCGGAAGAGACCCTATTAGTATCGGGAAGCCTGCAGGTACTATGTTAGAGTGTATCAAAGCGAAGTACGTCGCATCGTCTTTGTTTGGTAGTTCATTGAACTAATTATGACGGTTTGAACAGGCATGACTTCGATCCCAAGCGTACCATTATGATTGGCGATCGGCTGAACACTGATATTCAATTTGGCAAGAACGGGAGTTTGGCTACGCTCTTGGTCCTCACAGGTATCACAAAGGAGTCAGATATTACTGGACCAAATGCTTCGCCCACCGTTCCTGACTATGTCACGAAATCCATCGGAGACCTTCGAGTCCTCATCTCCTAATCTTCAACGACATGTGTGCTCACTAGACGTTCAACGAACAATATATTAGTGATAGATATGTGTATCTCGTAGGATGTATAGAATTAGACCATGTCCCAACTAGAAGAGCAATGGAGGGGATATATGGATTCACGTCCCTTTCTTCTTGGTGTGCTGAGGTTCCGATCGTTTCGCGCTTGCTGCCTCTCTGTTTTCGCGCAACTGGATTTCGTAGAGTTGGCGTACTCCATTAATAGCAAGTGCCCACAGGGAGCCCACGATGTACCCCGAGACAGCACCATAAGCGGGGGTAAGAGGCCACGCCTGGTGAGACCGCGTCAAAAAATTGCTGAGCCGATTTGTAACGATTGAGTTTCATACCTGCCACGGACGTTCCCAATCTAGTCCTATCGGAATCGCGCCGACCCAACATCCCAGAACGGTGCCTATTGCAGGGTATAGTATTGCTCGCTCAACTGGAGTGCGCGGACTAGTTCTAAGGCTTTAGCGATGCAGGTACAGCTAGTACTGATAAAGCTACTCACGAAAGCTCCGCGAACAGGCGGATCCAGGTCAATCGCCGTACTAAAGATTCGGTGTCTGAACCAAGAGAAGGAACACCAAGTGTGTAAGCAGCACTGAACACGGAGAGCAAGGCAACTAGAAGCCCTAAAAGATAGGTACGGAGAAGATGACTACCGTTCCAGGCTCAGCTTGATTCTCTGATGGCGCGTATGTGGACGTGCCTGTTTAGTGGAGCTCCATATAGTATGATGACTATGGAGAAGACGACTGAGGTGACAACGGCAGCCAGACAAGCCATTCGGAACGCCTGTAATACAATATACATCAGTGTACATCGTACGAATATATCAATGAAACCAACCGCGAATCGACCGCTGTTCCATTCCTCTCTCAGCAGCTTTTGCTCCGTGCGTCGAGTCGTGTCATCTGCTCCTTCGGTGACACCTGCACGGGCATCCAGTGCCCAGTTACGTAGCCAACTGGCCCACCAGACTTGCAACACACAGCTTCCAGCACAGATCCAAGCAAGTGTCCGTAGCGGATTTTCTGTCAGAGTGAGCAGAACATCGTCGGGCTTACCCAATTGCCCGTTTGCTGCCGATGATCTGAATAGTGAGGACAGAGACGTCCGTGGAAGGAACAGTGCAGTGAAGGCGATGAGGCTGGTGTGTACACCGACGACGGACGTGTACCGCGCAAAGGGAAAGAAGGCAGTGGGAAGTTGAACTGCTGGCCGTTCGCTTTCTTCTCGTTCTTTCCCAGATTGCTTCTGAGACTTCCTGGATCTCTGCGGCTGAGTGGTCGGTGACATGCCAATGTCGTACCGCAGCAAGCCTGGGTTCAGGTTGAGCGCGAACTGACAATCTAGCAAACAGTGTTCCAGTACATTTTACAGCCCCTATACAGGTTTATATTGACCTTTGCAAGTAACTGGAGGCCAAGTGAAGTCCACACGACCCGCGAAACTGAAATGATGAACTTGTTGACTTAGTGGAACCAAGATTCTTAGGGAGAGCGCCCATACGTCCGCGTCAACAGCTTAGTTCTAAACCGCTTCCGCCAAAGCCACGAGCGTTACCGACTTGACCAAATGCACCTCGCCTTTGCACTTCCACCGTTTTGAGATTCGAGCTGGGGGTATAGTGCATCGTCAAATATCACAAGGGCTGAAGACAGTCACCGTGAAGAGCTCGCTTCGCTCATGGGCTGCGTCACTATATCGCATGATCTGCTTTTAAGCCTCTTCTTTGGCACACGTCTATGAACCTACCCTCATGACTGGATGACTATTGGCCTAAGCTTGTATCTTCGGTGGCTTTATTTTTGCGGTGCTGCGTCTAAGAGCTAGATTCCTCCTGCGCCCTTACGCGCAATAGAATGAAGCTCGGTGTGTTTCCTCGTCCCACGCTAGCTATCAAGGTTTTATCGTCGAATGCTGTTTGCTCAGCCATGCTATTGTCTAATCGTGGACACCATCACGAGGAAACATTAAGAGCGGTAAGCATACTTCGTCTGCATATACTACTGTATTGTTAGCAGAAGGAAATTCCGGCCAACGCACCGGCGGTGCTTCAACCTCAGAGCTTTGTCCTTGTGACAATGTTTCCCATTGTACAGAGTAAGTAATGCAAATACACGATACAAGAGAATGATTATGTTCCTATCAGTCCGTTCACTAGGTGTCATTCTGTCCTTCTGCCCCTCTGCCTGACCCTTGATGATCTCTTGTCAGAAGATCTCATCCGGTGGATGCATTCCAGCGCGCTCATCGTTGCCCTGCCGTTGCCCGGGCTTCTCGGACTTCTGCACCAAGGTTGCGGCCTGTTCGCCATCAGCAGAACTGATGCGAGAAGCAGCCGTGTCTTTCTCGTCGGCAGCGGTCAACTTGTCCGTTGCAGCAGCTGGTTCCTCGTCACTCAGACCGTCCGAAGTCAATGACGCCTCGACTGCTGCCTCCTCCTCATTTAGGAGAGTGTCTTCGGAGCCTGTGTCGTCCGCCTTTTGGTCTTCTTGGGGCATAGGTGGAGCCCAAGTTATCGAAATCATTCGGTACCCAATATGACCGGATCTCATTGGACTTTTGGCGACTGCCGCTCGAGCCTTTGCATCCCACTGGCCGCGGGCTTTCATGTCTTCAATCTTGTCCTTTAACTCTACGTCAAGCTTGTATCCTCCAATGATGTCAGCGGTTGACACTTTCTGTATCGCCCAATGTTTGGTGACTTCAGCCCTGAACCACTTTGCTATGTCATCCGTTGCCTTCTGTGAGCAGCTCCTCGCCTCTCTGCATGTTTCCTCCGCCAGAAGACGTTCATTTCTAGACATGTTGTGTAGGGCATTATCCTTTGCGGCCGGAAGATAAGCTGACGGGTATGGCTCTTTTGCTGCCTTCACACAGGGACTAGAACCTGGTAGCGGACCAAACGGCACTCCGTGTTGCTGTACATCGACCATCTCCTTGTCCCTTAGAGCGAAACAATTAAGTCCCTTAAGCGATGTCATTACTTGGAGCTACCGCCCATTAAGCTTTGATCAGCAAGCATGAAAAGAAGATATTGGACTTACTCCTGACACGTGAGTCGCCATGACTTTAACCGGTATCTTATGTCTTTCAACGTATTCTATCGTGGCCTGGATGGCCTGCACGCATGGGTGCCCCACCCAGCCATTGTTGACTGCCCGAAGCCGATGCAACTTCCTGTACGCACGCAGTGTCTGTCATGGTGAATGCGTCAAGGGTCTTGGCGAACATGACTAACGCATGCCGTTGCCCACCTCTTCACAATGGAAGGTTATGGCGTTCGCTCCGGCTTCAATACAGATCATTGCATGCATAAAACCGGTGACATGTGTCAAATTGGTTTGGATCGACACCTTCTTGAGCTTCTGTACGGCGCGGATACCAGCCGTCGTCGCAGGTATCTGATAACAATAATCAAGATGTCAATTGCATTGGTGGACAAATGACGAAAGGTCACAGACGGAGACGGTAATGCGATCTCTTTCAATCTCTCTGGCCTCGAAGCGCTCTATCAGCTCGGTTGCTTGCAGCACTATTTTCTGTGTATTCTCTGAGATACCCCAGTCCACAAAGGTGTAATGTTGACCTCCAGGTACCGCGTCCATCAGGGCCAGGCCAAGTTCGACGCGCTGCACGACTCGTCAAGCCGGTTAAAATTGGGGATAACAATACGTACATATTGCTGCAAGGCATGGTAAGCCAAGAGTGTATGGTCGTCATTTGGGAAGCTACCAACATGACAAATTGTCAGTGCCCTTTCGGAATTCGAGCGGATGCCATCTTACTATTCTAAGATTCTCCGAACGGCGACCCATGCGTGATACTTGGAATCTTGATGCAAAAAGCCCTCTATTGTCGTCCTTGTTTCAAGCATTGTACCAGTGAATTGTAGTTCTATGATGTCTGCCCACGTTACTGATTTTCTGTTACTCCATCTGAACGAGAACACCTACTTGCTAGCTTTGCTGTCATCGCTATAAGCTCGGTTCCACTATTCTGGAGCTCCTTCCACAACTTCTTGGTGGGCTTCATTACTGGTTGTGTCCCAGATGTCGACGCCACTGGCTGCTTCTTGGCTGACGATGACGCCACTGGCCTGCTGCGCCTCTTATTCTACTTTGGTTGAGAGTCTTTGAAAGGTTTGCTTATTTGCTCACCTCTGGTGTTGGCGATCTTCCTGCAAAAGTTGGAATACGCGATCTTCCTGTCAACCACGGCATCGTGAACGAGAATGGTGCGGCCATTTTGATAATGGTAAGGATCCAATGAGGTTGGTAAATCAACTACGTCTGCAAATTCAAGGTGAGGATATGGTACGAGATAGTCTTTTGCGGGTGGCTCATTATACTGTGTGGCCCATTGTAGCTGACGCTTTGGCCCGCCGAGGACAAAAGAGGCGTGCAACGCGATCCTGGCACGTGCTAGGCGCGGTCACGAGATCGTGTCTCAAAGAACAAAGCAGCAAAGCCCTGAGCAAAGCTCGCGTCTATGTCTTTAAGTTCCAGATCTTCCATACAAACCACTGGCACCACGAATGTCAAAAGCGAAAAGCGCCCGAAGGGGCGCATTGGAATGGAGTCCAATTTCCGGCACGCTTCTCAGACAACTCCGTCGACACACACACTGGCTCGATGACCTTTGGTCGATTGCAAAGGTAACTCGTAATTTCCGTAAACGATGACTTTGACGAGTAAGATCAAAGACAGAATTTAATGACGTTGGCACAGCACACCAGCTTGTTTTACCTCTCAAAGGAGTAACTTAGTCTCTTGCATCAACAACAGTACCGCCAAAGTAGTAGTTACACCCAAATCCACGAAGGTGATCTCGCGCAGCAATCATAGTGGGAATCATCAGTATTCTTCTACCGCTCCTTAGAGCGTCACGTCGGAGATGGCTTTTCTCCTCGGTCGACACAACTTCCCATGGCGTGCCGTGGATGATAAGTCATGGCTCGTTCTTGTCTCTCACTCGGCATTGCAATAGAGTTAAGGTTCTCCTTGCAATAGTCGAGACCGTCGGTGCGGCAAAGGATTGAGGCCCTCTGCTTCAGGTTTGTCTTCCATGGTTGTTTGACACGTTTCTCCTCCCTATGATTCTGATTTCTACATAGAAACACGCTTTCTATAGACCGTCTTCTAATCTTCAAAGCTGACTCACTATGTGCACAATTCCCAGGCCATCATCCATAGGTGTAGTCCATGGAACCGTACAATGATTGTTCAGTCATTCCCTTTTGATAGGGCTTATCATCGCGTCTTATGCCTGACAGCCATGTCGTTGGTGCCAAGCTTCCGAACCCGGCAAGTCAACTTTTTAGACACCGTATTATTATTAACGAGTGCTCGGGAACGTCGAATGCCAATACCAGGACTGGTGTAACGGAGCTATGGTAGAACGGTCTTCAAGGTTAATGGTTCAAGTTCTCCGTCGTCGCCCTCGGTGATATCCGTTTAATTGACTCAATAGTAGGGTCGATCGTCCCAATGCAATACAGGTATCAGTTGACACGAAGAGGTTGTGAAGCGAATCTTTGACGTCTACACAGTCCAGCCTCCTGAGTTTATTCAACGGAGAGGTCGGAGAATCGGAGCGCATTTGTAAATCTCATCAATACACAGTATTCCATGCTTAACAAACTCAACGTGGAGAAAATGAGGCAGATAAGGACACAGAAAAATAAAGTTCAGGTCCATAAAACTGATTTCTTTGCCCTACGTATCAGAAGAGACTGTACCGGTCCGTCTCCTTACATCTACCCTGAACCCTTCATGGGTATTTAGAAAGGCCGTTGGAAATGTGTACTACTGAAAGCTATAAACTGACGAACAGCGACACGGCGTGCGCTCCGGACAAGCGGAGAAGCGAACAGGTCTAGTGGTGAGTAAAAGCAGCTAGCTTTGGTTGAATCAGCACTCCAGCTTGAAAAGCCCACATCAAGCCACAATATGGGAAAACGAGATGATAGACATGCTTGAGAGAATAGTACGATTAGACCTTCAATCATGTGAACCAGTTGACGCTTCAAAATAACCATCAACACACAGAACATAGCATGGAAACATAGTATGTACAACATGACAACAAAACAATGTGACTACGATAGAAGAACAACATAGCGCAGAAGTAAGCGGGGCATACCCCATGAGGTCGGTAAACAAGATGCAAAGCAACTGGAATGACAGCAGCAATATCGGTGTCTAAACATTTCCAGGGATCCAGCCTTATTGGGTATAGTCAAGAACAACTGATGACGCCTAACGCCAATGTGCCAGATGTTGTACAGGAGGCAGCGTCGGAGTATAGTAAGTGTTGGGCTGTGGCATGCCGTGATGTTGCTATACATGCCGTCAGCATAACGTTAATGCAAGAAGATCACCGGCGACCACGCGTCACTCACAATGTAGGCGTCTTCTTCTATTTTAACAAGGTCACTGTATTGACCTACCGCGTTCGAGAACGATGGCAGAACGGTGTGATTAGATGATGACGACGAGGGTCGGTGATGCAAGGAGTTTGAGTAGTGTTCACTGATTGGCTGTAAAAAGTAAACAGGACGTCACTAGGATCCAGAGTTCTCATTAGGCCGCTTGCGCGAAGGCAAAGCTGGCTGTAAGGGAACGGACACTCGCCGAGAATGATTGCGTTGAGGGACTCGAGGCTGAGCTAGTGGTATCCGAAGGTGTCTCCGCCATAGAGTAGTGTGTCGCGTATGATGGGAGCATGGAAGGCGTTCTTTCATGTCGTTGGTACTGGTTCGACAAAGGGGGTATCGTTAGAGGCGGAGGCGGAGTTGGAAGCTGATGTGTGCTCGGTTCCTATACGCGAGAGTATCAGCAAGGACCTAAGAGAGGCGGAGTGACGATACATACTATGTATACATCTCCCATATTATGATCGATTGTTCGTCGACGTTTGATATCGCGATCGGAGTGTCGATCATCAAAGGATGCGCGGTGAACAGGTTGACGAACGATGTCGGGGCGTAATTCCGCGTTCCGCTGTTCTAGCTGCCGACGCAGATCCTCGTTTTCTCGAACCAAGGCACCCACTTTGTCCTCCAGCTCACGTATCCTCATAAGTGGTGGTGGCAAAGCAGCTATTTGTTCCGGTGTGTACGCAAGCGCATATTGCAATTTCGTCACGGTTTGTTCGAGCTGGACGTAGAAGGTCAGCTCGAGTAGCACAGAGGTTGAAAACACATTCTCACCTGTTCAATGTACGCCTTTCGCTTTGCTCGATGTCTCGCTTGTGCTTTGGCTGTCAAAGAAATTAGTCGAACTACTACGCGCCACAGTGTAGGCATACCATCATACCATTACGGCTACGTTCTGGACGGTCTCCAAGTGCCGTACTGGACTGATGCTCCGGTGAGCTACTGCGAGTAGCTAATGAAGGGAGAGGTGTCATGTAACGTAAAGGAGAGGGAAGAACAAGCTGATCGGCGGGGTGGTATTCTGGGCACAGAGGGAGGGCAATCATTCCCCCCACACTTATAAACGTCGCGTACCTGCCTAGCCGCCGACCCTTGCCCTTCCTCCTCTCGGCTGCCCGCGCAGTCTACTCCCGAACTGGAATATGGTGGCCTTCTGTTTGTGCGAAGCGTGAAACCGATCCAACAGGGCATATCTCCCATTTTCGGGGAATTATTTGCGACACTCGCTTCTGCACGGTCGAGAGCTCTGAACCGCGAATCTGTGGACCCCAAACAAATGCCTCCGGGCAATTCATTCCTCAATTCCACATCAGCGCGTGGCGATAGCAAATTATTTCCAACGGTCCCGAGTGAATGGGTACGGTCGGACTTGGGCCGTACTAGGGTCATGCTGGTCTACTCGGCGAAGGCGGCAGCATCAACCTCAGCGAGCTCCGCCACCACACGCTGACTGCGCGGGGATTCGGCCTTTGAATCCTCAACCTGAAGGGTATATACTCTGAACCTAGATGGGGCGTGTAATACTGCGATGTCTCAATTCAATGGCAGAATGTTGAGCATTCGAACCCTCAATGACATGGGACATCGACGGACATTGGAGAATAGCTTGGGGAAAGTTGGCATTCTGCCCTGGGCTAATCGCGGAACTTTCCGGCCCTGCGACTCTTGAGCTTGAGTCGTAGCAGTTGTGCGTCGTTTGCCTCTCAACCCCATCGAGCTCACCAACATCGCATAGTAAAATTATGAATCGTATTCCAAGTCATCCATGAGCATCGCGCAACCATCGATTCCACTTGACGGAGACCAATGTGAAGAGCCGTGAGTAGCCATAGCTGCAATCGGGGCTTCCCTGGTCGACAATGTTCTAATGGAATAGCCGTCGCGGAGAGGTCTAATCCAAGATAAGGACAAGGTGAAGACATAATAATATGTACCCTACATTCCCATGGAACTCAGCTTTGTTTGTCCTAGTTGCTCCCTTCGCAACCGACCTGAACGGCTTTGATGAGAAAGACACAGCGTTCTATTTGGCGCTGTGAATACATAATACTTTTCAGACTCATTCATGAGCATCTTGAACGCTCGGGATGGGTAACCTAGCCCAAATGTTGAAGCTCCTCAAAGGTAAACTCCTGGATGTTTTCTGAAGTACTGAATGCATGAGCGTATTTTGGCTATCACCGAGGTATCTTCCTACTTTCCCTTGTTGTCATACTGCATTAGTCTAATTTAAGGATGTTTTATTCAGGCGATTGGCGTTGCGCTCCGATCGCCACAGCTCTGATATGCTGTTGGCTTGGTTTCAAAACTCAATGCTATTACCGCGTCACTCCGCCCCGACGCTCTGATCCTGCATGGCGCCCTACAACCTTCCCGCGCCCAGTAGGTCCAGTTGATCAGATCCATCCCGGCAGTGCAATAGAAAAAGCTTCTAGCGTCCCGCTACCCTGAGTATTATGAGGCTTTGAGGCGTTCAGGCCCAAAAACTAGGGGCACGGTAACCAATCTATCATGGCGTAGAATGTGGAGGTAGCTCCACATCCCGCCGCTTGCGTGTGCTACAGACTGCCTTCCAAGCATTCTGACTGCAACACGACCCTTTGGCTTTAGCGAGACCGGTGCAGACGACCATTGGTCCTTACCAATAACTGCTCCAAGAGATATGGTCTATGTACGTGTCGGACAGCTATCGAACACTCTTGTCCACCCGACTCAACCTTCAAGCCATTGCCCAAATCACATCTCACTTTGCGGGAGCCACCCGTATCCATCTTACAGTATTTGCGGAGCGATAAGCTATCTTCAGAAAATACTCAACACACGAGTTGCAATCTCCGAAGGCCGATTGCCTCTTTTCAAGCCGGTTACGAACAGACATTGAAGCGTTTTGTTGCGGTGACCTATCGTTCCACAAATATCTGCAACTTGCTCAACCTTGGTCTACAGAGTGGCTTTGGTTGGCTTTGAAGGACTTAGCGTATATGTGAAATAAATGAGGGTAACCTCACGTTTTGACAACCTCCTCGCGTTCTGTCGGACCCTGCTAAGGTAAAATCCCCCGCTCTTGTCGGGAGTCTTTGTTCCAGAGACTGTTCTATGTATCCACTGGCTTTAATTATTGCCAGACTTGAGACAAGACGGGAGAAGAGCCTTTGCCTTGTCCACGGCCTGACGTCGAGCGGCGCGCTACAGTAATGCGCACCTGTCGCGCGCACGTTTCCTCGCCCAAAATAGGCCTCAAGACTTTGATCAATGCTCTCGGAAAGTTACGACTCGTTGAAATTGTTTTTGGACTCGGAGGTTCCTGACTTGCCGTACATAACGTACTTTAGAGGTATTTCGAGCATTGCGAACCACATACCGTACATCTGGTTCCTGCCGTCATGCATCATGTAACTTAATACAACGTAAGTTCATAAGTGATCGTCAGCAGAATACCATACGCAATCTCGCAGGTACATTCAAATGCTCTGCGCGGCGGGAGGGGCAACCTCCGCGCACTGCTTCCGTCGGGACAATCTGAGTTGAAACTGGACACGGAATCTGACACAACTCAGCTGGTGTTTACATATTGTCAAGCTAAATCCTGCATTATAGTCACCAGAGTAGAACATCCCGTTCGGGACCGGTCTCAAGCAGGAGTGATAATGCCACTTGAACACGATACATGACGCATTTCCGAGACTACTTTAGTGCGAAGGGCGATTGGTACAGGATTCAAAATACGACTAACTGTCCCTCGATTCTCAATTTCTTCGAGACGTATATATATCAAGTTCCTAGGGTATCAATCGAACGGTGAAAAAGAGCTCAGACCCACTCCCTGGGTTCTCTATTGCAAAGAAAACTGAAATGTAACAAGCATTTGCTTTTTGCGCCTTGAGCGTTTGGCGCCAAACAAGAGTAAGAAAAACTTTTCCCGACGCCACGACGCCACGTCGGGGTGAAGCACTAGGGGATAACTGTAATACCTAACGATGGACGCAGACGCCACAACAGAAAGACAAACGCGGCAAACCTGCAGGTGAAAGTTGTACTTGCCGAGGAAGTAGATGCGGGTAAAAAGCGAAACCCGAATAACTGCTCTCACGAGGCGTACCGACGATGGTTAAACCACACATCGGAACGACCGTGAGTTTGTAGGCATGATGGTGGGCGGATTGGCAGCCTAACGCCGGCCAACAGAATTTGAGCGGGAAACCCGCTGTGGTGTGTATGCTATGAGAATGGGGGACGATGTCAGTGGCATGTCCGAGGGCGGGGGACGTGTAAGAAAAGGGCTCGCTAACCTGTTGGCGTGTCTCAGCTCCCAGCCGACTTCCGCACCATGCACCATATTGGGAACCCGGGGAATGAAGTGCTTGAGACGTTCTTGACGGCACGATACTTGAAACCACAAGCTTGGAAAAAATTAACCTTCAGGCCGAGGGTGTGAGTAATGTCACGAACGTCGGTAGGAAAAACGGGATTACTTACGAGATATGGATCCATAACGTCTACCACTATGGACTCTCGGCGTGTGTCAGCCTGATTGCAGCATTTAGTCAGTAATGTCCGGTAGTCAAGTGTGCGATTTTTACGCACTTTCTTGCTGATCACATCAAGTAAAGCCTTGCCGACTCCTTTGCGACGACAATGTGGAGAGACTGCAAGTAGCTTCAATGACCACGACTGCTGTCGCATATGTGGATCGCCAGGGAAGCCACTCCTATACAGCTCGTCGTACTTTGGAGTGAACTATATTTCTGGTCAGTCAATGGCCTTGCAATGTACCAAAGAATAATTCATACGTGATCTCTGTACCATTCCTCCAAATCACTGCTTAATTTTGAGGCAAACTGATTGTCCCTCCTGCTCCCACTCATTGTCAGCGTCAAATCAACCTGGAGGTCGGGGAAAGAGAGGCCTACTGGATGGTCCAATCAAAGCCTGGAGCGAGCCAAGCGGCAACGCCACAAATCGTATCTCCATTCCGAGCAACATAACAATCGCCATGCTGGATGGCTTGTTGCAATGTAAGGCGGTACACCAGGCTCTCCAAAGCCTTGTCGCCGCCACACATAGATTGCATGCCTACATCTAGGAAAACGAATGTCATGAGAACCATACGCTCAGCACACTTCGTACGTCGAGAACCTACTGTCTTCAAACGCTCGGGTGAGGGCATCAATTATTTGGTCGATCTCTTCTTCTAGATACGCCGCAGGATGTGGATTAGAGTCAAAATGACATGAACCGGGCCATACACACCTGTGGGATCGACCAATTGACGTATCAGGGGTGGACCATCTCCAGAAGCCATGATGAAAGCTATTGAAAAGCGACCTGCGGTAGACATCTCCACCTGGAACAGAGGGTGACTTTTATCCAAGGAGAGGACCCTGGGTGCGGTATTCCTCCTGTGCGCCGAACTGTCAACCCGCCGAGGACAACCTATAGATAACCGCGGAAACCGAGGCCGCATTGTGCCGGTATATGTTTTGCAGAGTCAAATAACATATCGCCCGCACGTCCTTCATGCATGCACAGTCCCAGACGTGGTACACAAATAATCCCGCGCCGATGGTGAACAAGTGCCAAGCGCGTTCTGCCTGCACACATGCTGTGGTACTTAACCGAATCCTGTAACGGGTTACGGCAGAATTACCTGAATGGGCACCGATAAGATAAGATCTCCGAAGGACGCACTTCGGTCACCGTTTGCGCCGGACAACAGGACACACGCGTCCTCGACGGCAAACAGATCACTGTCCTCCTCATCGCAGGTGCAGCCTAAATGAGTCGTTGCCCGCGGCATTCCGAGGTAAAATGAGGCGGTGGGCAGGCCAAGCCACTGTCGAATAGGTTTAGAACAATAGTAGTAAGATGCCCTCAGTCATATCTGACAGCCGTATCAGATTTGCGTCCTTGGTGCATCCGCATGACTTCCCAGGAGATTGACAAGCCTGGCACCGAGCGGAAGGACAGAGATAGACAGAGATGCGCCCAACGGCTCCGAAGTTCGGTCGTTGACACTGCAGGAGTCTCTTCGGGTCCCAGGCAAACTTGTGTGTGAAACCAGGAGTGTACGAAGAAACGCTTGACCAGTTCAAAGGAATTTGTATCATCCTCAAAAGCTGGCGAACCACATTCTGAAAGCACTGAATGCAATCATATATAGTGTAACCGACCCTAGTAAATAGCACAAAGCAGACAAAGGCAAAAAAACATTGAAGCAGTAATGTAGGAATCCGAACCAAAGCTCACTGTCAAGAGCCAAATCTAATGATACACCATACTGCAAGACGCCATTTACACTCCAATATATCTCACCGCTTAGAAGTTCTCTGTGATCAAAAGTCAGGCCAACAATTCACGCGGAAAGGATTAATCAAACGTACCTTTGCCGAAGTAGAATCGAGTACCGCCAGGGGTTGAATACTTGTTCGACATGGAATGCAATTGCTTAGACAGCACAGCAGGACCGCAGAAGAACTACAGAGCCAAGTCAGGAACCATCTCAGGGCAAAGCGGAACCAATAGATACGTACCACGCCGACATCCGTCTCAGGGTGCTTGTCAGAGATAGAGCTGAAAACCCTGTCCCAGTTAGGCCTGCCGAAGTGAGTTGGGGCACGCAGGGAAGTGATAGCATCCTTCTCGGCACCAACATCTTGGACCTACAAATGTACAAGTCAGAACCAAGGCAACGGGCAAGGCACATGATGTATCGTAAGGGGATACTTACGATAATGTTCGTCATATCGTCCTCCTTGATCTTGGCGGTGAGGTAAATGTTGATCTCGATGCGATTCTGAGTATCCTGCTCCTCGATCGCATGCAAAAGCGAATGGAACCATTCTGCACTGCCGAAATCACGAATGACCCATGTAAAGTAGACCTTGGACAAGCGGGTAGGCTTCGAGTTGAAGTTGTTCATGCGATACCAAATAGACTTCAAGATCCTGGAGCAGAGGAGCTAGATCAGTATTTGTTTTCATAAAGTAAATAATTACTTACGAAGCGAAGGGCGTGACACCGATACCAGCACCGACGAGGAGGACAGTCTCGTACTTCAAGAAATCCTCAGAAGCACTACCGAAAGGACCATCAAGCATAACACGGGGAAGGACACGACCAATTGGGTTAGTCGACGAGTTGACAACAGCGCCTCCGGCTTCCTTATCGCCCTTCTGCCTATCAAAGTCACAACCAACAGCCTTGGCCAAGGCACCAGTGAAATCACCAACGACACGGATATGGATAGAGATATAGTCCTCCTCAGGAGCGCTATCAAATAATGTCGTGTGAGTTATCAGCACGAGAGATATGAAAGACCTGACATACGAAGTGAGAGTGAAAGGGTGCCACTGGAAGTAAGAAATCTCGGGGCAGCACAAGAAGATGTACTGGCCAGCACGAGTGGTTGTCTTCTCCTTCTTGATTTGCAATTCCACGACGTTGGAAGGGTGCTGGATGACTTTGTGGATGTAGGTCCTGTGACGAGAACGAACCTCACGGAGGATACGCTCAAAAATCCAGATAACACCACCAACAAGCCAGTATCGCTACAATGACGCGAATTAGTCCATAATTCAAAAAGACAGCGACATCATTCGAACGTACCCAGAAGACACCAATAGTGTTGAAGGAGCAGTAAGGAGGTCTGTCCGGCTGGATCATGCAGAACATACCGTGCAATTGCCAGCAAATGAAGAACACGATGAAAAGATGGTGGGAGTACCAGAACCACTCGAAACGAGCGCGGCGACGCTTCTCCATAGCGTACCAGACCATGATAACTAGGGCGACTGTCATGACCCATCCTGTCGCACCAGGACCAGTAGCAAAGTTGGCAATTAGGAAAGCAACAAACTTTTCGCCGCCGGTCTTAGCGTCAGGATCAATAATGGCGAGCTTGGCAAAATTGACCATGTGCGCTGCGATATGAACAAAGCTACCAATGACAATGGACCAGGCGGTCGCCTTGTGGAAAGTGATATTCTTATCAAAGGGAATGATATCGTTGAGCGGTGTTCGACGTAAGAGTGAGATGAAGTTGCGGCAGACGGGGAGCAGGACTAAGGCGACATCGACATGGAGTACCAAAGCAGCGGTACGAGCAATAGCTAGAAGTAATTTAAAGAATGAATAGAGAGTTATGATGAGAAGAGGAACATACGTACGGAAAGTGATTCCAAAAGTTGTACGAGCACCGACCGAGTTATCCTTTAACTGGTAATTCATGAAACCAAAAGCAGCCACCAGCATATGCAAGAGAATCCAGACACCAAAGAACAGCTGTCTGCCTCCCTCGTTAATCATCCAAACTTTCCATTTCTCACCGAATCCATTGGGCTTGTACGGTGCCCTGATGGAAGCGGAAGTATTAGACCTTTGGAGGCCTTGCAGACGTCTCCGCTCCGTCTTGTTCCTTTGCAAGTGACTAGCACCAGGAACATAGTGGTTGACAAGGTCGGGGTGTTGGTCTATATGAGGCACCTTGCCATCGGAGAAGTCGTAGCCAGAAGACCGATTTGTAGAGGCCATCCGTATCAGAAAAAACTAGTCGTGGATTACGTCCTGCGTGGGCAAAAGGAATAGATTATGGCGAGGACCGGCCTGCAGTAAAGACAGAAGGCGTAGGGGACGCAAAAAGAGCGAGGTGGAAGGCGAAGAAAAGGAAAGACGACCAGAGGAGGATGGCGGTAGGATGTATAGAGAGTGCAGACACCCACTTTGATTCACCCGGCTCGTCGGCGTTGCTATGGTGTGCCATGCTGGACTCACCCGGAACCGTCTCGGCCCTTTTTCTTTCTTTCCCAACACCTACCATCATTTCAATCTTCCTACGCCTTTTCGTCGTCGTCCAGGCAATAATTGCTTGCTGACGTTGTCTACTTCACGTTCTATGGATGGTCTCGCTATTCATCTTACACTCGTTTGTTTTGCTGGAAGCGACTGCTCGCACTTCGCAACAAAGTTGTTTTTTTAATTGCGTATCACGTCTTATCCGACAGCGACAGATGCGTGAACATAGCCATACATCGCCCTGGAAAATCACATCTTTCCAAAGCCCACTAACTCGACTAAGCCTTCCCTGTCGCATTGCACGGTCCTGATACGTTCGCCGTAATTAATCTCTGAATGACTTGCTTCACCGACAGTGATGCTCACCTGGGAGACCGCTCTCATTCACGACGTTGATACAGACGAAGCTTTCGCCCTGTCCACTCGGTGGAGCAACGCTGATATCCTGAAATAGTATATTCGGACACGGGGCCGCCGGGCTACATTCAAGATCTACAACTTTTACAAGCATTCACTTTCTTAGCTTTTAGTTCTCAGACGAGAAACTGGGTCGTACTCACTTTTGTTGGCAAGTGACGATCCCGTAAAGGTACTAAAGGTTAAATTACTGAATTGCAGCTGCGATGGTGCATCAGACCTGTGCGAGACCCGTCAGTATGGTAAGGGAAGCTTCATCTCGATTGGCTGAAACTGACGAATGGCCTCCATTAGTTTGGTACAAGTGAATCGGAGCGTTCACAGGATCGAAATGGAAGTTCCGAGATTCAACGTTTGATACGTAACCTGCTTTGTATTGAACACTTGACTTCTAGAATCAAATTGAGGAACGTACCTACTCCACCCCCACCTCCTGTCGGTGGGGCGCCGTTAACAGTACCCGTCCAGGTTTTGAAGTACACCTGTTGCGCAGTTTAACGACGTCTTCTGCTGCGGAAAATGATTGGACTCACTCCTGATTGTAAATTAGGTTGCACATCAGGATCAAGGCGAATCAGCTACAACGCCATCAGTGGAATGGAAGACATCTTCGCTATGGAGTTTACCTTGACATTGTCGAAGAGGACGTGGTCCACGATATCTGGCTATAGGCGGCTTCCGTTAACTGGAAAGTATTGAACCAGTTGTGCTGCGCACCCACCAGATCAATATATTGCCCTAGAGACCCTACCGCGATTCCATTTCCACCTCGACAAGTGATATTCTTGGCCACAATGTTCGTGGAATTCTGTGAGAAACTATTAGAACTTGGCTCCTTCACGATATGCCTGTGGCGTACTCCTTTGATGGCTAAGCAGTCATCTCCACACGTTATCTGGGATTAGTCAAACTCATTATTTGCTTGCAACGTGAGTAAAATGCTACTTACGTCCCAATTCAAGAGTGATACGTTGTCCGAACGGTATGTGTCGATGCCATCGGTGTTAGGGACGATACTGACCGACACACCTTCATTAGTATCCCTCAAATAACCCAAAAGAACACAACCCACTTTTGACCCACATATAAAGGATCTGTATTGGTGGCATTGCAATACATACCATCATACACCACGTCCTTCGATTGCGCGACCGTATTGCACCAAAATGGTGGACTCTTGATCCTGAAATTCTTCACTATACCTCGAGTGACATTAGACAAGGTGAATGATATAGGCCGTCCGTCTCCATCTGACCGGGAGCGGTTGCCATAGAAGGACCACCACGTTTGGCCATTTCCATTTATTCCGCCGGTGTTATGAGCGTCGATGGTGAAATCATTGCCTGTAATGACGAACCAGGAGGCTTGGCTCTGGATGAATACAACACGGTATGTGTTGTTTGCATTCAACCAATATTCTACGTCCGGTTTGAACTGAGTCCTCTTCAGCTTTGCAGTAAACGATGCCAGGGGTTGTCCTTACGTTCAGGTAGCCATGCAGGTCAACCTTGGATTCAGTTAGGCTCCACGTCATTTTGCTTCAAGACTATGGTGAGCTTATGTCGGATAGTTGTACCTGTGCGAGTCATACCGGGTGATGTTGTATTGCCCTTCCGCGAAGACTGTGTGTCCGAATCGCCCACATCTCGCTATGGCAGTTTCGACCTTTCCCCCGAGATCCACTATAGCTGCATCTCCATAGGAACGTTAATCGACTCACTTGGTCTGTGTCGTCTCTTCCATGGCCTAGTGGTCTCAGGTGGCATGTTTTCTCGGACTGTGTCGCTCGTGCGGCACAATACACGACGAGTGAGAGCACTACGCCTAGTAGAATATGCATAGTCGGTTGCACAGGAATTGACCTGTCGTCGCGTTCCCCTCTTATATAGGGTCTGAGATGGAGGGGTTTGAGGAGCGGTCAAAAATAAAATGTCAGAAGGACAACATCACGCGAACGGCGGACCGCGTCGAATGCATTGTATGCCAGAGCATGACCATTGTACGAAGTTGCTCGTGCACCTTGCGGCCCGTATTCTGAGGTTCGAATTTCAGAAGGGGGACCCGAATTCAAATACCAGGGTGAACCGCACGGAGCACGTAAGTACTAGGTCTTAGACACCAGCGAAACTAGGTTTCGTTTAATACTTCTACATGCGCAATAAAAACCGATCGATCGTGTAAATAAGCTACGTAAACTGTCACCCTTCGCCCAGTCTTCAGTCTCAACCATTCATTTGCAGCTTCTTCCATCTCACGAGTCAAGGACGTACGTTATCATCACGAAAAGCAGACAGAGTTGGTGAAAAACAACGTGGGTGGCGACATTTGTATTCTCTGAGAACTCTGCGACTGTTCCGGATCATCCAGATTCGGAAGGTGCTATGCTTTGGAGATCGAGACTAGAGTGGAGCTACACCAAGGCTGACAGTACCTGTGAATCTCAATGGTTGCCAGGTGTCTCCGAGCTCTCATTTAGTATCCGGCCTTATCTACTCTTCGACTGATACATGTTTGAAGAGAACACTTCATCCACTTGACTACGACCACTTGCAACCTCTACACCGGATATTAGTTCTAGAAATTGATATCACTATATTTCCCCTGCAGACCATATTCAATAATGAGCTCGACCATGGATCCATGCCAAGATTGCCTTGCAGGATGTCTGGCTATATATTGTGAGTCCTCAATAGCATGGCGACTCCAAACCTGAGATGAAGCTCATGACACCCCGTCATAGGCATAGGCTGTGTACAGTCTTGCGCGACGTGGTCCTTATTTCGTGAGTAAAGATGTTATTCGACTTACGGACATTCATCGCGGTGTATTGACTTGTGTATAGGACCATGCGGTGCAGGTAGCGGAACTGCCAGTTCCGCTGGATGCTGTGGGAGTTGCTGTAAGGAGTCGTTCGATAATGACGAGCTACAGGATGAGCTGGATAAAGAAAGGCAAGAAAGACTTGAACGAGAAGGTCTTTCCACTTCACAACCTGCTGCAAAGGAAGTCATGAACCCCGCGCAGAAACGGTTGCCTGAGCAAGAGGCTCCAGCTGGTCCCGCGCAGAACTCCACATCGCAAGATGTGCCCCACTCGTATTCATGACTTAATGGTGAGTTCAAGTCATCCGTTTCGGAAATGCGAGCACAGATGTACCGTGTTTGTGGCAGATCAGTAGTTCAAACCTACTATACCATGGACTTTGGATACCCCATACCGACATATGCTCTTCACAATACTCCTCCATCCTTCGAATTTAACTATACAGCGCCTTAAATTAGTCCATGTCGATACATAGTGTTCACATCATTATTCCAGTGGAGTGCATTCGATTTTATATGAAGTTTGTCACACTTCTGTCACGCACGAGCCAAATTAATAGCCGCGTCACGGACGTCACACAATATGTCACGGGGTGTTTACCGGAAAGGTAGTTCGTAAATTTCGGTTTCGACCAACTGCTCGCTCTGCAGCCTCTGGACATTTATTCGTAGGACTCACAATGCCAACACCGATTGATGTCTTACAGAGCTCACTGGAGGCTCATAATGCCACCTTTGAGGCACTTTTGAATCTCATACCGGCGAGGTACTACCTTGTCCAGGAATTGTCGGAAGAGCAGGTAGGTTGATCGTTTCATGTATCAAGCTGGCTGTTTGTAACAATGTCTGTTAGATCGCCTCGAAGTACCAAAAGAACAGTAAGAAACAAAAGGCCCCGAAGCAAGCTATCAAAGAGGCGACGAAAAAAGCCAAGCGAGACAAGGTACAATTCAGCGACGATTGACGTCTCTATGATATGCTCAGACTGGCATTCGTTTAGCTCGACCCGGCCAACAATAAAACTATTGTGGAACTTCAACGTGAGGCTGCTCTCGCCAAGGACCAAGAAAAGGCTAGTAAGAGCGAGAAAGCCAAAGGCAAGCGGAAAGCAGCCGAGGCAGACTTGGACGATGACGATGAAATGGATATCCATATGTCCTTCGATGCTGGGGAGAACTCTGAAGGCGGTTCCGGTGATGAAGATGACGACGACGTCAACGTCGATATAGATGAAAGCGAGAAGCAGGAGCTTGTAGCTATGCCAACATCTGGAGGAATTCAAGAGCTGCGAGAAAAACTGCACGCGCGGATGGCCGCTTTACGCCGTGGAGGCAGGGGATATGGGGAACCTGGTAGTCGTGACGAGTTGATCGAGGAAAGAAGGAGACAAAGAGCTGCGATGCGAGAGAAGAGGAGAAAAGAGACGAGGGAAAAGATCAAGCGGGAAACCGAGGCTAAAGGGAGGAAAGGAAAAGAGAAGGAAAGGAATGCTGGTCCAACGACTAAGGTATGTTATTCTATTGAGTATATGTCCTTTGTATATCGCTGACCTGCTTTGCAGCAACAATTACTAGTACCCGATCATGCTACGGCGTCAGGCTCTCATGGACATGGACCATCGCATACGAATGTCACATTCTCCCTTCCTGCCAACGGTCCTTCTTCGAGCAAGAAGCCACATCTGAAGACTTCATCCAACCCTACGCAAGCTCTTTCACAACTCGCCGCAAGGAAGGAGAAACTCGCATCTTTGCCAGAAGACAAGCGAAAAGAAAGGGAAGAACGGGAAAAATGGGAGAAGGCTGAAGCTAGGATGGAAGGTATGAAGGTCCATGATGATGAGGGCCGCCTAAAGAAGGCAGCGAAGCGGAAGGAGAAGGAGAAGCTGAAGAGCAAGAAGTCTTGGTACGTATCTCTTGCTTCGACCAATTTGATCTGTTTCATTCATAACAATATACATGCAGGGAGGAGAGGAAGGAGCACGTCGCGACTTCGATGGCAGCCAAACAGAAGAAACGTCAAGACAATATTGTAACAAGGACCGAGAGGAGAAACGATAAGCGGAAAGGTGTCAAAACCAAAGAAAAGGCGCGCCCTGGTTTCGAGGGCAAGTCATTTGGCAAGGGTAGAGGAAAAGGCAAACCTTCTGGTAAGAAGTAATACTCTCTTCTACATCTCTTGTCTGTGCCATGTCATATTGCATTTTATTCCGATATGTTCCTACTCCATGTCCACATTTTAAGCGTATTAGAGGTGATTAAGAGGGTATACTCCACAGAAGAACCGCTATATGCAAGGTAATAAATACACCCGACCTGCATGCAACCCAAAGCAATGAGCGACGAAACATAGCGCGACGGATACGTTACCCATCATAATACCTAGTCCACCTATTCTTTTATCTTCGTTGGATCTTCTCGAATGATACCCACTCCAACTTCTGCCTCACATTCTCCTCCGTCTCCTTCTCCCATACCAAAGCGTAACGCGTTCATACATCGGCCCTGTGCCCATTGTGTTAATTCCAAAAGTTCTTGGTCTGTGATACTACTCGACGTATGCAGCTCCATAGTGACGACAATGCGCTGAGCGGGCCCCAATGCTTTAGGATGACGTGCCCCATAACCAGATGGCCGTTGGAGAGGGGGTGTTAATTGCCAGATATGCGGAGGTGGGACGTGAAGAACTTTTGGGTGACGCTCGATCTACAGGAGGATACTTAGTTTAATGTTGACGAGAAATCTACGATAAACACGAACCTCCCGCATGGCTCGAAGGAACGCTTCCATACGAGCACCTGGTAATCCCCGGGAAGGCGCAGTTTGAAGAAGGACAGAGCCTAGCGCGACCGCTGCAGGGTACGCCAGGTAAAATGTCACAATGGTCTCTACCGCAGCTAGGAACAGATCGAAATCTCGATGTTGGAATCTGCCATGAGGGAACATGAACGATTGACTATCGAGCAAGACGAAAGGAAAACGTACGGCGGAATAAATAGGTACGCGCCGAAGATGGACCCACAGAAGAATAAGGGTGAAAGAGTATATGGATTAGATAGAAGGTTCGCCAGGTACGATGGGTAGGAAGGTGATCGATAACGATAGCGAGCGGGTAGAAGGACTTGAACCGGTGGAATGAAGTTGTTGGCGACTAGGGAGAACAAATTGAATGAGTTGACGCTAATTTTACAAAAGGGCGTCACGTACTGCTAACAAGTTTGGCTTGGTTATCAAAGCCGACAGCACTGACAAGAAGGGACCCCATTGTCATTAAAAGAAGGAAGGGCGGGAAGTCGATTCTATCGAGCTGTCTGTAAGCAACCAGGGCAGACGCGAGATAGAAAACTAGCAAATACCCGAAGATGTCTGTCACTTCATCACCATGATGGTGGTGGTGACCTTCACCGCTTGCTAGCAGGAAATGTTCTAGTGTCTCTTTACAGACGTAGACAGCAGCGAAAACGAGGTATATCGACTGAGCATAAATTAGTAGAGTCTCCAATCGAGCATTCCTGCGTAAAGCAAGTTCAGCTTTGACCTCCCAGATTTGAGAGTTAAGTGAAGAGAGCGCACGCACCCAAACGGCCGTCGAGAGGGATTCTTCATGCTCGGTTTGGCCAGCCAGCTAGGTACAACCGATCCCAAGGCGATACCAAAAGAATCAAATACAACCCAATAGCCCAAGCCTGTGCAAGCCAGAGAACCGGTTTGTTGTCCAGAGATCCACAGGGCAGCACCCAACGCAAATTGAAGTGTAGCCATAGTTACAGCAACGGGACTGATGGCAGGATCTGCACATATAGACCCAATGGGTGATTTTGATCGCGGAGGGTGGACATCTGAATGTGATTCAGGAGCATGTGGTTCGGGTGACTGGGAATGTGAGTGCGAATGCGAATGCGCATGCATTTGGGAATGGGAATGAGCATGAGCAGATGTCTCAGCTGCTGGTCCGCTGGGACTGGACGGGAATGAAGAGCCAGGATTCCATGGACTGACTGGTGTCGGTGTAGGGTTTGTGTGAAGCTCGTCACCTGGTTCCAGGAAGGAGAAGAAGTTATGTGAAAGGGAATGCTTGTGATGGTGTCCCCTCCGTGAAGCCCTGTTTGACGGCGTCATCTCAGGCATAGCATGGCCATTCAACTCGCCGTTGCTGTCTGCAGGTGGACGTGCACCGAAGGTGAACCCTTCTCGGAATGAACGTTGACCGGGTGTAGGTGATGACATTGAAGGCATCAAAACACTACTATCGTCCGAATTGCTGCTCACTGAGCGCAGAGATGATGAAGGGGTGAAATCAAGCTCCTGATAACCGTCCTCCGCAATAGAGGTAGACGGCAATGAGCCCGGCCTCGGAAAGTAGATAGAGAGATTCCGCGAGTGCAGACGCGAATGCCTTCGTATATGACCGGCTGCTGACGAGCCCGTAGACGATGAAGGTGTAATTCCATTTGTAGCCTTGATCGAGACTGCACGACCATTTGGAGGAGTACCATTCAGGTCTGACTCCGATGACGATGGACCAGGGAACCGATACAAAGTCGGCGATGTAGGTTTGGATGGAAATGGCGAAGAAGTCGAAGACGGGAAAGAAGAAGAAAGTGGAGATGGCGTGCTTGGCGAGAAAGGCCCTGATACAGATCGCGTTCGTGAATGCGAAGAGGAATGTGATGGAAGTGAGAGAGACTGTCGCATGCTCGGTGCTTGATGGCGATGATGTCCGTTCATTGGATGCAAGTGCGTGTTAGATACACCGTTGAGTGCAGGCGGACGTGGAATAGCAAAGCTTGTTCTGTATGGGCCTGCAGAAGGTGGATGTGACTGGGAAGGTGGAAGCTGTTCCAATAAAGCAGCCGTCGATGGACTAGAGTTTACGCGTGTACGTTCTGATGGTGCAGACAGATGGTTTACCTGAGCTGTATTTCTGTTAGGAATAGAGATGGGTTGGCTGGCCTCCAAGCCTATCGGTAGCTCACTTGATGCCAAACCATTTGGCTCAAGCTGAACAGCAATTCCAGGCGGTTTCATGAGAGTGGGCAGTGAGGAGGTATCAGTGGGGAAGATGAGAATATTATCATCTTCTTCCCGACTAGACTTTCGACGGTGTATATGTGATGTCTGTATAGTTGAGTTGCCATCCGCTGCCATGATATGAACATACACCTCCAATCTTCTTTCCAAAGGGCGTGCAATATCGACCTGAACAGTAGCGCGTATTGAAGACTCTTCCAGGCGAAAGTATCAAACGAATGTCTGCGGTCTGATGGGGAAAGAACGGATATCTCTCGTGCTCGACGTACAGAGACGAGGCAAACAGCCCGAAGCCCAAGCTGGCTGATGCTTGAACAATGAGCAGATCTAATTCTTGAATTGTAAATTCTTCATTACGAGACAATCTTATGGCCGACTAGCTCAGTTGGTTAGAGCGTGGTGCTAATATCTCTGATTACGCCAAGGTCGTCGGTTCGATCCCGGCGTTGGCCATTCAATTTCTCGATGTTTTCGATCAAAATTTTTAATTGAACAGCCTTTCAAGGCTTGATTAATATTATCTTAGACCCAATACTTCACTAAACAAAGGCAGGCGAGAACGATGAAAGCTACGTTTTCCCTCGGCCCCCCAATATTACTTCCAGCAGTTTCGTCTTCGCCCGAACCAGCAGACGATGTCAAGGCTAACTTATGATATCAAAGTCGCTCACGTCACGTAGCTGCTCACATCATCCTGAAGTCAGATGTTGCGCAGGTTGATCATGGGGGAAAAGGCATGGAGAAAGACTATGCTGAACATTAAGGGATTGTGTCATTCTACGAGTTTGAACTGGTAGACGTCAGGCGAATAAAGAGATCGGAAAGCTCTGACCATGCAAGGTTATTGTGCCAGGTACTGATACTACATGGACACCTTTAGAGGGCGAACACTGATGGTGACATGCATCTGAGTGTAATTGGATTTATTCAATTGAGGATCGGTCAAAGCGTCATACCATCACGCCTGATCTAGCCAACGGAGGACGCAGAGAAATGCTCCTGAGGAATAGACCTAAAGCCAACTTCACCGTGTAAGCCCAATTCGCCTGACGATGTGAGTATTGATAGCGCCAAGAGTGTATATTGTCCTGAACAGCTAGAGGCATTCGAACCATTGTATTCATTTGAATTTGAATCCGAAGTCCCGGTTGTTTCTCCCTGACCATATGACAGTGGAAGAAAGGAATATGATATAACTGCATCCAGGGCAATACCAATGATAAAAACTGTACAGAGGGGGACGAAGCATGAGTCAATGTACAGCTGGAGGAGTGCCATTTGATGAAAACCGGCATGTGTTGTGTGCGTGCATCATGCAGCTAGGCCGACATCAACGAAGAAATTCATTGCATTACAGAGGACAAAAGAAACCAACCAACCATGCTGGTACCAAATCCATACCGTATATATGCACAGTCTCGTGGTTCCTTAAAGGCTATAAAGTTGATGAGTCAATGAAAACTCGCAATTGACACCGCGGCGTACCGATAGAAGGGTATAGTGACCCGGTGTATACACGGAGATGTTACAGCGTACACCTAAGTCACTCACTTATCTATGTGCTGTGTAGACAGGTTGACAAGGCCATGAGTGACTTGTACCGCGGGGTTCAAGTCGATATCGGTGTACGTGCGCAACACAGCCAAAACACCGGTATCAATAGATCGCTCGCATTGTTTTAGAATTTGAGTCACCCATCGAGTTCAAAATGTCCAGCTGAACACGTTCCTGCTGTCTGCTGCAAATTCGCCCTGCTTAAGAAAGTTCCGAAAACAATAAGCAGACGTACGGTGGGAAAGACGTCCCCCGCAGTCTTGACGTATGTGCATGGGTAAGAATAGATACTGTTAGTTTACGGGTCTTTTGCCGCATCATCCAACAGTACGAATGGATTGGGCCAAAGCTGTCACAGCTGCTGCTTTTGTCTATGCCAACTTACTACATGACTCCTCATGTCGTATCGGCTCTACGTGCTTTTGTGCCTGGCGCTGCGCTTATTCTATTGTATGCACAGTATCGCCTCTCAGGCAACTTTGTTCAGGTGAAGCAGCAGCGAACTAGAATATGAGCGAAGGTTTAGTTCCTACACTGAATGAATATATGTAGAAGTTAAAGGAGATACACTTACCCGAATGGCAAAAGTCTGCGAAATCTTCGGACATAATTTGCTCCTGTGTGGTCCACCTTACTCGTCTTCTTTGCTTCTAATTAATGGTGCTTTCCGCCTTCGGCAACCATCAACGCTTGTATTGAGGGCGGACTCACTCGTCCCTCTTTTCCTTTCCTTCGGCCACAAAATAATGGACAGTCTAACAAGTGCGCATAAAAAGGTCGTCCGAGCTTTAGGCATCGCCTGCGCAACACTTCATGGCTCGTTTCCGTGGGCTACGGCACTAACGGTCGTTGGCGCACACAGCCATTAATTCGCCTCATGTGCATATGCTTGAAATCCGTTCTTGTCAGTAATACGTACGTGCGAAACTGCTTTGAGCATGGCTTACCGAACCTAGTAGCCACCACTGAAGCTTATGGAGTCATTTGGAACTTTTGTTTAGTTATGGATCCGCTAATGCAATACAGCCACAGCACCGTCAACGTCAGACGTGGTCTACACACTCCATCGAACGCCTTCGAATACAACAAGAAGCAGGTACGCTCTCGCTCGTTGAAAAGTTGTGGCTGGCATGGTGCGACCCCGATCAAGCACCCGATCGGGGCGCGCTTACGGAGTCCCATTGTTGTGGGCGCCTACACAACGTGTGATCGGCTGGTCTTCCGGATTAGGGAACAGACAATTGTGTGTGCGGGCGTCTGAGAGGTCCGACCTCTATTGTGCTCGAAACAAAAGAGGTTGGAGTGGATTGTGCTATTGTCATAAGCAATGCCCGCCATGGAACACACACACCGAGTTTTCCCTCTTTCTTCGTTCCCTTCACCCACTATCTTTTGCAGTTATGCGTCGTCCGACGAGCCTCGTCGTCGACACGTCTTCAACGACCTTGAATGCAACGAGCTCGACGACCACTTCACCTGATGCCTCTACCACCAAACTCCCAATCTCTGCCGATTCATCGTCGCATACAGTCAATCTTCCTTCCCCAAATGAGCCACCCACACCATCACTACCACAACCATCTATCCGTCTGCTCTTCTCGCTCGTTCCAAGACGAGATTTCTTCATTATCGTCCTTCCAGCGATTATCACCTCAATGGTCTCGGGAGGCATCGCGCCTTTCATGACCCTTGTCGTAGGCCAAGTCTTTGATGCGCTTTCCAAGTTCCCGATCACGTCCAACCCACCAGAGTCCGCTAAGCAAGAACTTCTGCATGATGTCGGCATGACTGCCATTGAACTGGTTGCACTCGCGGTCGGAGCTCTTGCCTTAAGCAGTTTGACATCAAGTCTCTGGATATGGACCGGTGAGCGCAACCTTCTCGCCGTCCGCAAACAGGTGTATGCCGCCGTCACTCGTAAGGACATGATCTGGTTCGACACCAAAATGGGCGAGGAAAATTCCGTACAAACCACCGAGGGCGATGGACCCGTCGGCGCTGGAGGTCTCATGGCCAAGTTTGCCAGGTTCGTGATAGAGTGATACCATTCAATTATATGCTGACCTTTGATTCAGAGATACCGATGATGTCCGAATGGCATCTTCACTGGCTTCGGGAATGCTCGTTCAATACTTGACGACAACCATTACCTGCCTCATTCTCGCTTTTGTCCGTTCCTGGTCACTGACGCTAGTAATCCTCTCTGCGGTACCCCTCATGATGTTTATTCAAGCGCTTTCCCAAGCCTTCGTCGGTCCCAATTTGAACAACGAACGTACGCATACAGCGGCTGCTGCGACGTTGGTCGACCGCGCTGTCTCCGCGATCTCGACGGTCAAAGCATTCAACGCAGAACTGCACGAGGCCGAGAATATCGGTGCAATCCTTGACAAGCTTCAATCTGCTGCAAACAGGTGTATCACTGTTTGGGGTATCACCGCAAGTCTTTCCCAATTCGTCATGATGGCCATGTTCGTGCAAGGATTCTGGTTTGGCTCGAAGCTGGTGCGCGAGGGCGCGATCAGCGTTGGCGATGTGACAGCCGTATTCTGGGCGTGTCTCATCGCATCGAGCAACCTTCAGATGTGCATTCCTCAATTCATCGTCTTTGCCAAGGGTAAATTTGCAATGGCATCTCTCGTCGCCCTTATCGAGTCCTCTGCATCTCCTGGTGCTGGTCGTTCCAGCTCTTCCGTTCGCACTTCTCCCAGAAAGTCCCGCCGTACAGTCGAGTTACGCAAGATCATCCCTGCGAACTGTGCCGGAGGACTGGAGTTGATCGATGTCACTTTCGCTTACCCTTCTCGTCCTACGATGCCAGTTCTCCACGACATCAACCTCTTCCTCCCAGCAGGCGAAACAACTTTTGTCGTTGGCGGATCTGGATCGGGCAAGTCTACTATTGCGCAACTCCTTCTCCGGATGTACGACATCCAGGAAGGCATGATCCGTCTGGACGAACAAGACATGGCTTACCTCGACGAGGACTGGACCCGCCAACACATCTCCGCCGTCTCGCAGAATTGCATCCTCTTCGACATGACCGTGCACGAGAACGTCGCGATGGGGCTTGCCGGACCTGGAAGCAAGCGCAGACCGGAAGACGTCACTCGCGAAGAAGTCATCGCGGTGTGCAGGGCTGCGTTGATGCATGAATTTGTCAGGGATTTGCCTGATGGCTATGATACTAAACTTGGTAATGGCGGAGCAAACTTGAGTGGAGGCCAGAAGCAAAGATTGGCTATTGCGCGTGCGTTGTTGCGAAACCCGACTGTCCTTATTCTCGGTATGTCTTTTCCTGTCGTAGCTTTTTTGGCTCGTTTCTAATTTTTGTTCCTGCAGATGAAGCCACGTCCGCGCTGGACGCGACGTCCCGCCTCCTCGTGTTCGAAGCCATCAAGACATGGCGACGAAACATGACCACCATCGTCATTACCCACGACCTTTCCCAAATCACATCCGAAGACTTCGTCTACGTGTTGAAGGGTGGTGAACTCGTCGAACAGGGCTTCCGAGAGGACCTCGAGAAGAGTTCTGATAACGAGTTTTTCAGGATGGCTAACGTCCAAAACGCCTCTGGCGGATTCCTTCCGGAGCGAGATCCTCGGGAGGATGAACCTGCATTGGATGCTATCCTTGAGCAGCATGAGGCTGAGAGGGATAAGGAACTTGAGGCTGTAGGGTTCAACAGGTTAACGCTTAAACATCAAAGCATCTATCGTCCTATCACTATGGGCAATTGGATGCTCGATGTTGTGGCGGATTTGACCCGACCTACTGCTACTGCTGATGTTCCTACCATTGGAGCACCTCGCCAACCACACCGAACCAGTCGTTTCATCCCCGCTGAAGCGACTGAGGTCGCCGAAAACCCTTTCAAGGACAATCGTCGAACGTTGCATATCACAGTTCCTTCCACGCCTTCCCCTGTCGCCATTGCTGGTGCTGCTAACCGCCGCCTTAGCTTGCCCTTCACACCCACTTCACCCACTTCCGGGTTCAGCCGCTCCAGCACTTCATTGTTGTCTCCGACTCTGATCGACGAGGACGAGTTCTTTTCGGAGAAAAATGGATTCGAACGATTAGGTCGTCGTACGACGAGAAGACGCTTGACCGATGCTTCTGAGAAGCTGCTGCCCATGAAGCCTGTTCGTGCCAAGTGGGACGAAGCTGTTTTGTCCTCAGTGAAGGTTGAGGGATCTAACAATAATGAGGAGACCAAGGAATCCCCGGCTGGACCTCAGGTTTCCTTCCTCCAACTTATGCGCGATATCTATCCTACCATCCCTAACAAACCTCTCATTCTCCTGGGTCTCCTCATCTGTCTGGCTAGCGGCGCCATGACTCCCGTTTTCTCCTACCTCCTTTCTCGTCTTCTCTTCGAAGTCTCTATCGGTGCCAAGAACGTGTCCTTGATCAACACCTACGGCGGGATCGTTCTTGCCGTCGCTGCCATCGATGGTCTCCTTCTGGGCCTCAAGTACTTCATCATGGAGTACGCGGCTATGAAGTGGGTTACTCAGATTAGGAAGATATGCCTCAAGCTTGTGCTCTCTCAGGACAAGAAATGGTTTGACAAGACGGAAAACAGTTCTGTGAGGTTGATGCAAATCCTCATCAAGGATGGTGACGACGCACGATCGCTCATCGCTACCGTTCTATGCCAATGTTTCGTCGTCCTCGCCATGCTCGGAATTGGTCTTATCTGGGCTCTGGTTGTGGGTTGGCAATTGACTCTCGTCGGTCTTGCCTTCGCACCGGTATTCTCCCTCGCCATGACTGTTCAGACAAACTTGGTGGCCAAGTGTGAGGTTCGCAACAAGCGTGCACGTGAAGACGTCGCTAAGGGTTACTACGATGTATGTTTTCAGTTTCCATGTTCACTATAGTCGTTTATACTGACAACTGCCTTACATAGGCTATTTCTAACATCCGTGGTATTCGTGCTATGGGCTTCGAGTCTGCCTTCCAGGAGAAGTTTGACAAGTCCGTGGATGACGCCCTCTTGACAGGAGTGCGAGGTGCCTTTGTCGAAGGCTGCACCTATGGTGTGGCCAGTGCACTCATCTATTTTGCTGAAGCACTTTTGTTCTATGTCGGTGCCGTATTGATTGCGGGCGGCACCTATGATTATCTCCGTATGATTCAAGTCTTGAACTTGATCATATTTACTGTCTCTATTGGTTCTCAACTGATGGCATTCAGTGCGTTCTTCACTCACTTGTACTCTTCTTGTTTGAATACTAACTGTCTTTGATTTTTTTTAGCTCAACGAATCGCCAAGTCCGTCCAGGCGACGCGCGATTTCAATACCCTTGTTAAGCTCTCCACCGATACCGAGGAATCTCGTGGAACCTTCGAGCCCACCATTGCCGGCAACGTTGCCTTCAACCACATTTCCTTCTCATACCCCGAACGCCCAGACGTACCCATCCTCAAAGATCTTTCAGTTGAGATCGGCGACAGCGAATGCGTCGCTATCGTTGGTGCATCAGGGTCCGGCAAATCCACTATGGCCGCACTCCTCCAGCGACTATACCAACCCAACTCTGGATCTATCACCATCGGTCTGAACGAGCTCAGCATGACTGACGTCCACCACCTGCGTAACCACGTTTCAGTGGTTAGCCAATCGCCCAACCTCTTCGATTGCTCGATCGCGGAGAACATTGCGTACGGCAACAAGTCGCTCTCTGATGCGGATATCCGTGCTGCAGCCAAGGCAGCTCACGTTCACGATTTCATCATGTCTCTCCCCAAGGGCTACGATACCGCAGTCGGCGAAAACGCGTCTTTGATCTCTGGTGGACAGGCACAACGATTGCAGATTGCTCGTGCTTTGGCTCGACCGGCGAAGATTCTTATCCTTGACGAGTGCACATCGGCTTTGGACCCTCAGAACCAAGCTGCCGTGATGGAGACTATCATGGACGCCAAGGTCGGACGGACGACGCTTATGGTGACACATAAGCTTCCGGTTATGCGGATGTGCGATCGGATTTTGGTGGTGCATGAGGGCACTATCGCTGAGGAGGGCACATACGATGAGCTCATGCAACGACGCGGCATCTTTGCACAACTCGCTAGTGGTGGAGAGTGGATGGATTGATTCCACCCTTTGGCTTCTTCTCATTTCTTTCCTTTGACAATTTTCTTTTTCACTTTCTCTGCAGTTTCGTTCCAACTACCTCAGGATTTTTCGGTTATTAGGATGCGTGTGCGGTGCTTAGTGCCACCGTTGCAGCGTCATCTACTCTACTTTCGACTTTCACGATTTTGTTTATTTCATCATCTATCTTCATGACCGCATTGTAAAAGTATATCCTGCATCCTTTTGTATCATTTAGAACAATCAATGACAATGACGATTCTAATGCACCCACTGGGCGAGAATGATCCAGCGAGCGCGACAAATTGAAGGCCTTACAGCTACTTGCGAAACGATAGGCTATTCGAGCAAAATCAGAGGCTTTTGAAATCCGCTCTTGGCTGAATGTGGCATCATTTAGGAGCAGGACACTTCCAAAGGTACCCGTATCGTCCAAAGCATCAGATCTCGAGAAGAAATCGATGGGCCGGGGAGCTCCAGAAGGACAACCCTCGGGCAGTGGACAGAAAGCAGAAGACAGAATAAATGAATGTTCGCCAGCCTATGGGAATCCAGCAAACAACCGACCGATCATCGATCAATCGCTGCAACCAGGTCTCTTGATCATCGACTCTCATTCAGGCTTCACGACTTTCAGACTCTGCCACAACTTGTTTACCGTATCCAGCATATAGGTCCGAGCTTATAATGGATATGATGTCTACTACTGCATCTACCTCACGCATCATTGTTCTTTCTTCAACACCAACCCAAGCCCGGACATTCGTTGAACGTGAGTTAGGTTACTAATGCAAGTTTCATTCCATGACAATGACAGTTTAGGTATAAAGACTTTGTCTGACAACTATTCCCAGAGCCTCAAGAAGCCAGAACAAGGAACTTCGTCACTATCTTCGAGCGACTCCAGCAGCGACAGTATACCATGGACGATCGTGAATCGTTATTACACCGCCGACGTACATTTTGAAACACGTACTCTTCAAGATTTCAGTGCGCATCATGCCACCTCTGTACCAGCTGTTATATACGTATGGAATAATGGAGAGGTCAGTGCCTCGCTGGATTCTACATCTAACTCCGCCTTCATTTCCTCCCGCAGAAGTATCAGGAACACATCCCGTCCATTGCGAGCAAGCTTGAGAGCCATGATCCTGAAGTGTCGTTAGCTATTCGATTTGGTGGTGACCATGTTGTTCATTCCGATGAGGAAGATGGCATGGACGAATTCCTGTCAATCCACGGCTTCGAGTACATCAATGGTGAATTAGGGGGCCGGCGACCTACTAGAGATGGTGCAGGATTCTCTGACGAGCAGAGCTCAGGTAACAAGAATTCTACAATCTTGCCTGCCTATTGCTAAGTGTCGACGCCTTTTCTCAGGTGTATCAGGTCTGCCTCGTGTTATCGACGCCTTAAGCACCATTATGTGGCCCTCGCTTGTTCAGTCGGATGCAACTGAGAGTAGAAGGAGTCGCGCGCGAAACCTATTAGACTGGGCACGAGCTGAAGATGATGAAGATGGATTACAAGCTCTCGTTGCTCGATCCGATCCCGGAGTGGGGGCCATACATTCTGCGGATCTTAAGACGAGTCGCATGCAGCGAGAGATGGAAGAGCTCGAACGTTGGCTGGAGCAAGAAGACCATGACGCCGAGAAGCGCCGCAAGGAAGACGACAGAAAAGCTTGGATATCTGCTGAAGAAGCGGATGCGTGGCAGAATATCCTTGAAACTCCTACCATTGTGACTCCTCCCCATGACGGAGAGCTCGGATTTGAGGATGACTTTGATGACTTTGTTGGTGCACCCATGGGAATCTCTTACGGACACGAGAGACATAACACAATCCGCGAACCTAGCGATCACCTGGTTCCTATGCACACCGGTGCTTCATATCATTCTCTTGCATCTGCAGAGGGACTTTCGGAAATCTTGGACACTTCTATTGTTCACGGCTATGATAACCTGGATGAAATCGATGACAGAGACCCTGACCTTCCCTCCCGACAAGAAATAGAAGAGACTACGAGACGCATCTTTGGACCCCAGATTGACGTTCCACCACCCCCTGTCCCTCCTGCCTCAGGACAATCTTCTAGTCATCAGTCAACTATCCCGGCGTCTGATTCGTCCTTCACTTTCCCCACTTCCGACGGAGACGGAGAAGATTTTGACTTCGGTCCGTTCGATCTCTCACACGTACTCAGTGCTTTGCAAGGCATGAAAGAGGAGATATCTGGTATCACAGATGAGGGTGAAAGGCGAAAAGCTGCTGCTCGAGTCGCATTGGGCCTGGTTTACGGTTTGGAAAAAGAAGACATGAGAGTTGGCGAAAACAACTAAAGTCATCTGTTCTCAATGTATCATCATGTAGATTTAGAAATTGCATCTGATTCGCAGGGCTCACCTCCCACCATGGTATCTATGTGTCTCCTAGATAGCTGTAAAACCATATACTATATACTGTGAGCACAACAGGAGAAAAGTATACTACAGCAGAGCTGGGCAACTAGGACTTGACATGAAGGAGAACTAAAACTTGAGTCCAAATTGGGTCAGGAAAAAAAGGAAAGGAAGGATATACAGGCAAAAGCCTGCAGCACAAGCCTTCTGATGTGAAGCAAGATGAACCAAAACCTGAACCATGGAATCAGAAGGAACGACTCACTTTTGCGGCCCATCCCTCCCATTACTATTAGCAACCCTCCCACATGATTGGAAGGGTCACTAGTAGTGATTGGGAGGGCTAGGACACAAAAGCAAGTGGTGGGTGGGTGAAAGTAAATATAAAAGGGTATCTATGAAGGTAGTGGGTTTTGGATCAGTGGGCTTCACATCCAGCTAGAAAGAAAATGTCTGTGAGGAAAGAGGGTGGTAGTGTGACACAATTTACTGTATGCAGAGGGTTATAATGCTCACAGACTGGTGAGCATGTAGAACAGGATCAATGGCTCCAGGAGTGGAAGATATGATTAAATATCAAGATTGCGTTGGTCTAAATTTGGCAAACACTTCTGCTTCCAGTTCATATGATACTAACGGCGTGCATATGTTGGTCTTTACGAAGTTCAAGGATTTGAATGGTCTACGCTTTCTTGCATTCAATTCATAACACAAAACTAGATGCGAATGTAATGTATAAGTGTACGTACTCGGAAATAAAGAAACACGATAGAGGATGCAAAGTCCGAGCTTGACTGACTATAGGCTAGCATGCAACAAAATGACGGCGAAAGTCCACAAAAAGAAAGGAATGATCATGAATGTGAAAGAAATGTCTCCTGCAAATTATCCTGATACTAAAGAATGTCTTAAGTCGCTCGTGTCACCAAAACACGGTCAATCGCAACACCGATAGCATGCTTTCGACTAGAGAGGTCCATATGGAAATAATCCTCCAACTGTCGACGAATTTCCCGCTTCGTAATGGTATTCAGATCGGCCTCGCGCAAGATCATCTCGACGGCCTGGTCTAGCTCCGCATCAGTTGGACCACCAGGAGGAAGGTCGCCTTCATTGGGACTGCGAGTTCCAGGGATTTGAACGTCGAGGTAATTTGTCACAGGGCGTGAAGGAACAGGTTGATGAAGGACACCTGGCGCCATAGACATCGGCGTGTTGCGACCTGATTGGTAGCCCGGTGGGGGGAACATCATATTTCCTTGAGATGGTGACGGCGAATATGCGCGAGACATGGCGGGCTCATAGTAAGTCTCACGGCCATAGACAGAGGCGGTGTGGGACTCCGGATATCCATCATTCTGGAACTTCTGGGGAGGTTCCCAAGAGCCAATGCTGTGATTTGATTCTTTATCCCAAAGTTCGTTTTCCTGAAGAGTAACTTGTTAGCATTGGAACAACACGTTAACAAGGGTTGAACGCACATAGTCGGACCAGGACTTCAACGGGATCACCTTAGGGTCGAATTTGCCTTCATCCTGTGTGAAAACGTTAGAACGGACGATAAGTGGCGAAAGGGGTGGCACATACATGGACAATCATCTTCTTGCCAGATTCACCCAAAACTACACGAGTTTGACCCCATGAGAAATCATCCATCTTCCAGAAGGAGTACAGCGGGAGGAAGAAGGAGAATGCGGGAATGGCAAGGATATAGAATACCATCCACCCGATCATATCCCATTTGCGGCGAAGGATAAACACCAGAGCTTGTAAACCATACACTGCTACGATCATCGCGATTGAGATGGTGGGGATCGTTTGGTGAGCTCCTGCCGTGAGATAAATCAAGTAGACGATCTAACACAGTATGTCGAGTGAGAATCTTGCAGAGATGAAGACAACGAATAACGTACGTATGCAACTGTGACAGGTTGGATCACAGTGGACAAGAGGTCGATCATAACGACGAAACGCATAGAGAAACAACAGAAGCCACAAAGTTGATCAAGGAAGATCAGCTCTCCGAGATTGTGAACAGTTGAATTGATCCAACGCCGACGTTGTGAGAGGAGGACCCTCCAGTCATCTGGGGCGACGGTGTATGCGTGAGCGTCACGAACGAACTGGGTCTTAAAGTGCGAGAAATGCTTCAACAACAGGGTCGTCATAAACCGATCTTCACCAAGGTGCAGCAAGTTTTTCATATGCAGGGTATCGACTCGATTCTCCGAGTAATCTTGGATGAGTTGGTTGGAGATGAGAAGAGGCTTGTGTGTGTCAGGCGTTCGCAGACGGTAAAGAGTGAAACAACCGGGAAGACAGGTCACCGAACCGAAAAGACTCTCGAACGCTTTGGCCATGTGATGCGAGATGAAGTACTCGTAAACCTAAGGAAATGGTCAGTTACGATCAATAAACAGGATAAGGGCCAGAAACTCGCCTGCATCATGGTGATGAGCGACTGCTTGGCGTTTGCCAACTCCGTCTCTCCGCAGACACCGAGTAGTTTCTTGTCATGAATCATGCTGAAACAAATCATTAGCTGTGACCGCAACACACCTTGAGACAATACTTACGCAGAAACAAGCCGATTGAGAGACAGGGGATGTACTGTTGTATCGGCATCCACCATAAAGAGGTATTCGTAGAACGTAGGGTTGACTCCGATGACATTCTTGATCTGATGGTACATCTCGAGTTCCAATGGGTTCATGGGTGAGTTGAAATGAACCTGAAGACAACGTTCAGTACTTGCAACAGGTGATGAACGTAAGATGTAGTGCATACTTTATTGAGGAAATGCATAAGCAACATCTGAGAGTCACGTTTACCACGATTTCCAGGCCGTTGCTTCTCACCCGGCTTGCCGCACTTCACGACGACGACGTATGGCACAACATGGCCAGCTGTCTCGTAAAGACCGGAGAAGACCTTGCCCATGTTGTGCTGTTTGGCGCCTTCGCCCAGGGAAAGGAAACTGAGTGACTCAGCGTCGACATTCGGGTTCGCTCCCAAGACGTCCAACACGATACGAGGCGTGGGTTGATCATTGCCAGATCCAACGACCATACCGTCACAAATAATGAACAAAAGCTTGCGCTTATCGTCATATTTGGTTTGAGCCAATGAGTCAATGGTTCGCTTGAGGGATGAATGCCCTTCGGTGTAGCAAGGAACCTGACAGATGACAAACTTATCGTGATCTTCCGGTGCGCGAGCTGAGCCGAAGTTGATAGAAGCGATAAACTTGAAGCCAATAACGCTGACCATCATGATGGACAATGCGAGCAGGATGTAGGTAGCGAACAAACATTGTGGGGAGTTTCGAGTATCCAGTTTGCCTATCATGAAGAGGTTCCGCAGACATACACGCTGCCTCTCCAAGACGTCGTGGCCGATGTTGAGACCATCAATCTTCTTCGTCACATCTTGACCTGCGTTAACTTGGAACACGTTGATGATGGCCGGATGCATGAACTGCGCATTGATGTTCGGAGGTGCCTGTTGGTCCTTGGGATGGCCTACAGCGGGACCATTTTGGATGTACGAAGTCAAGTCGTAAATAAGGCCACGGTACACTCCAACCGAGCGCTGCTTGTTTGCCATGTTTTTGAGGTCTTTCGACGTATGGCCAAGGAAACCGACACGATTGTTCCATCGCATAAGCACCATGCTCTCGAAATACCAATCTGGCCGGGAATCATCTGTCCAAGCCCGGAAATCGTGGTATTGCGCGTTGTCGTCGGTAACATTGCTAGAGTCTAGTTGCACATAGGGGCTAACGTTGCCATCAACTCCATTGCATAATGCACTGACCTACATAGCAGAAGCACAAAAGTTAGCAAGTCAACCTGTGAATACACACGACGGAATATATGTACCTGCACCGGGAAGATGCTATCAGCTGAAACGCCGCCATACTTCATGATAGACTTCTCAGGAACGACATTGACTATCCGTTGATGAGTGGCCGCGAGCGTTGTGAGATCGAAGACTTCTCCTCGGATCGACGTATAGACATTATTGGGATTGTCCTGGAAATTGTGCGATGCCAGCTCGCTACTGCTGAAGACGTGTTCGGTAGGGCAGATGAGGGGACCAATGATGGCAATGATGAAAATGGCACAACCACACATGAACCAGATAATCATGTTGATAGCAAGCTTTTCTCGCCAGGCTTGTTGAACATCGATTCGCTTCATCCGACCAATGTAAGCGAGGGCAGGGGTCGGTACCCACCAAGTAAGAATCCAGCATATGGCAACCCATCGTCTTCGAGCGGAAGACTCTTTCAGAACTTCTGCAGTTTCGCCTTCCTGGATCTCGCCAGCGAGCGCCTCTTTGTCCATGAGGCCCTTCTTGTCCGCATTTTGGAACATGTTGCGGGATGGTGCATAGGACTCGGTACCGAAGTTGGACACGGACCCTTCATCCCTGTTGCTCGTAAGAGCGCTTCTAGCGTCGTAATCGTCGTCTCGGAACGACGACTTCTGATCTGAGTACTCGTCGTACATCCCCGCACGATTGAATGGAGAGGCGTGGGCAACGAGTGGAAGCGCTTGATTGGATTGACCAAAAGGATCGTTATAGCCTCCTTCATATGGCGATTCTCCGCCTGGTACTTGATATGGAGCATAAGGATCGCTGAGTCCACGAGGATCAAGGCCCGCCTCAGCTTCAGCATCTCGGATACGGTTCCGCTTCATCTCTTCGGTGTCCTGCGCACGCAGCATGTCTTCCAGCTTGTGGAAAGCTTTGTGAGATAAAAATACCTGGCGAATAGTGAGCATATGTATCGGACGGGTGACAACGAATGCCGTATTTACCATATTCGCTCCATCGACAAGGTCCCTCTCCTCGAGCCCCAATGCTGTTCGAGCCTGTCCGATTTGCTCCTTTGGACCACCCTCAATGATGCCAGAGGACGAGAGTGGTTCCCTGTACCTTTGAGCAAACTCTTCGTGCGTCATGGTGACTTCAAAGACGTTCACACATCTTCGAGCGATCTCTGATAAACCTACGCTGCGAACTTGACCTTTTACAGAACGCCCCTCCAGCTGGTTCGGCAGTTGCGAATCATTCGGGGTGACGCAGAAAACATACCACGCCTGCGTCTCCTCCAGAGTCTCAAACAGAGTGTCGAGAGCAGAACGGAATTCGCCAGCAATACATGGGGTACCGCCTGAACTCCCAACGCCTTCCTCTTCCTCCCGATCCTTCTCATCTACATCACCCTCTCGCAGAGTGGGCATACGTTTGATGGTGTTCTTGCGACGAGTAGAAGGTGCACGCATCGGTTTTACAGGCTGCTGTGCGGAAACGATAGTCTCCTCATTGCGAGGATGTGCCTGAGTAGCAATGGCTTTCGCAGAGAACAAGCCGCGAACGAAAGGATTGGCAGAACCCGACCCATCGGCGGAAGGCGCATCTGTCCCGTCGGGACTGTTACCACGGAGAAGCGAAACGAAATCGGGATTGAGAGCGTCCAAGTTACGCTCGAGGAAGCCTTCTGACGAATAGGTGACAGGGCCACTGTAATGGTTGACAGTGAAGGTTGGGAACCCAGAGCGGTCGATCGCACCAGCCTTGAAGGAAGAGTGATTACCCCAGCGCTTCGTGAATGCCTCTACCATGGTGTGATCAGTCTTACGAGGCATTCGACGAGCTTGGTCGTCCATGATGTGAATCAAACCGCCTGGTTTGTTCTGCAACAGACGCAGACATTCCGAATTATCGAAGTAGGGTACCTCGGGTACGAATCGAGAGATTCCCTCGCTGGTGTATTCAGAAGCGTGCTTGTCAAAGAGCTGCTTCTGAATAAAATTCTGCAAACGCTCATTAGCGTAATTGATGCAGAATTGGTCGAGTGAATTAGGACGGCTAGTCATATTCTGGGGTCCTGGAAGGTCAAAGAGTCCAATGAATGTTGAATAGTCGTCTTTGCAGAGACGCTCGTTAATGTGCTCATTCAGCCAGGCGAAAAGGAGAGAATACAGAGATTTGGCGAGCTCGTCCCGATTGTCTGATGCACCATCAGGATCAAGGAATACAGTGCACAGCTCCTTCTTCACCAGCTTAGTCCTGTAGGACAGAGTGGCCTCAAGTGCCTGAGGCTGGACACCGAGGAACTCTGCAACACGTTCAAGCACATCTGTGTTCCTCACCACAGCTGCGTCCTCATTACGATGCCTGTCAATGGTGAATTCCAAGTTTCCCAAGTGAAGGATGGCAGCGATCAGCTGGCACGCTTGGGCAACATGACGTTTGGAAAAGCCAACATTCTTCAACGCCATCTTGAGCTGCTCGAAACGGACTGCGTCGTCGTCTCTACCTTGATTACCGCGAACGGGGGCACCGCGCTGGCCGAGATATCTGAAGACAGACTTGTCGGTGAGGTGCATATGCTGCCTCTCCTCCTGTGATGCACCAGCTACGAGGTAGTAGAAGATGTGGAAGTTGCGCTCGCCGGACGGTGCGCCTGCAACACGGTTCCGCTCGAGGTAGTAGTCGAGAGTCTTGATACCACATATTCGACCTCGCTCTGTGAATTGGAGCTCAGTATACTTCCCGAAGCGAGACGCGTTAGGGTTGAAGAGAGTCCGGGCGTTTCCAAAGGCTTCAAGGACGAACTCAGCAGCGGGAACCTGTGTGGCAAGCTTGGAGCCTTTCTTCCCAGGATTGCTTACGCTCAGCTCGAGCAGCGTCTTGATAGCGAGTCTCCGGTTTTCGGATTTCCCACTGCCCGTCTCGCCGCTAAACGAATATTGATCTCTAACATCAACATACGACTAGCATCGCACTTACATCATCAAAATACACTGGTCTTGCGTAGTGCGTCGCATGTGGTAATATGCGTTGTTGGCAAGCTGGAAGACATGTGGAGGCATTGGAACCTTGCTCGGAGACGTGTCGCGGTACTCAGAGGCATATTTGTGCATAATAGAGTCTGAATTGCTGGGTACATATTTATGGGGGTTGACGGCGACGATTGCGGATGACCCAACACTGGTGTATATAATGTCTGTCATAAAGCGTTCGCGCAGACAAGAGACAATGATATCGTCAGAGACTGGAGAGAGTGTTGCCAGGTCAGTGACCTCCTCGAGACGCGGATAGAGACCCATCGTTGACTGCCGACTCATGGCGGCGACGAGGAAAGCCTTCGCCTACTGGCGAAGAGAGAGTGAAAAGCAAAGGAGAGACTGGTGAACAGGCGTTGCCGTGGTGGGAGTATGGCAAGGGCGCTGCAGGGCAACCATGCCCGGATTGGTTTGTTTACTCTTTGTTTACTTCAATTCAAATGAGTGCTTACAAGCTTTATATTCGCTTTTGCTATCATAAGCGGAGTTACAATGTGTCACTAGCGTGCCCTACAAGTGGATACAAATGATAATGTACATGGGTGTGCGAATCCCGAGATTCCCGTATATGTTTCGACGTCGACGGAGGCTATGATACCTCAGTATGCCGTCCTCAATCAAAGGGCACAGGTCGAATACCTGGCCCTGCTAGCCCTGCTCCTAACACTTTGCCTTCAGCCTGAGCGGCACCAAAGACTGAGGGTACAGGAATGCCACAACAACTGCCCCAACCGAGGTTCCTTTCACCCGGTTCGGCGATGTGTGCGTGGTCTTTATGCACGTAATCCTCTTCAGACGGGGGCGATGGCATAGGACCGTCCCAGGGAAGGATGGAGCCAAAGAGAAAATGTTGAATGACGGGGAGTTTGCCTAAAACCTCTGCGCGGTACATCTTGATCATGCCTTCGTTCACCTTATCCCATGTTTTCACCTAGTGAAAGATGATTAGCGACATACCATTTAACAAACCACGGGGCCTACAGCAGAAATGTCGTCCAACATTGGAGAATGCCATCTGAGTGAAGCAGTCTTGATCTACGATGCTCAGTTCAGCAACCAAGGAGAATGACCTCGTCTGGAAAAGCCTACCGAGTTGATGAACTTGATGCAGCCAAAATACATGTAATCTTTCGCGAATTCGTCGACTATTTCCGCATCGTGTATTGACTTCGGCTTCAAATGCTTATGTCCTTCGAGTCCTTTAACGATATGCCAGCCATCACAACCAAATCTGCCTTACCTTTCAATTGAGCAGAACCAAATAGGAACGGCAGAAAGTGATAATCGTCTAAGCCCCATACTCCGTGCGAACCTGCCGGCTCCAACCAATAGGTTGATTGGAGCACTCGCATTACCTCGACATATCTGAAGAACATGTTTGAGTACATTGAGATGACGCCATACACACACGCGAACCTCCAAAAGACACGTATGACCAACGCGACATGATCACTGCTTTGGACCACACCGAGTTTCTCTAAGCAGATCCTGAAAGCAATCACAAGCTATCAGGGACATGCGATGACGAAGATTACGAACGACATACAACCAACAGAGGAAGTTAAGTTCCATTCCGCTTCCGTAGTCAATCCGGGACTTATTTCCCCAACACTCGCGGAAGTACACAGATAGTTCCTCTATTGCCTCCTTCGGCAAGCTTGGAAGTGTCTCATGCAGGGCAGGTGCAACCTGATAGCAATTTCAAAGATGAGAGAGCCTGAACGATATGTCACCTACCTCCGCAACCTTATCATAGAATGTGCGGAAGGCTGGATTGCCGAATCTTGAAGCTTTGTTGTCTATAGGAGGTGTATCTTGTGCCACTGCCTCAACTCGGTCTAGCACACTCAGAATCGCTTGCACTCCCTACATCCAGTTAGAACTATGTGAGCTGACATGAAACCTCCGGAAAGGCATATACTTGAGTCCAAGACTTACTTACTGGAGACATAGTACATTCATCTGTCAGCTTGACACCTACTACTGTGTCATTGAGGTTTTGAACAAAGGATAGAATATCATCGTGGGTCTTTGACTGCTGAAAGTGAGCGAGTTGCTCCTTCGTAAGGATACATTTGCGAGGTTGGATGAATGACATGGTTTGGTACTGGCGTAAAAGGGTGCAGTCGAAAGGCCAAGCTGACTGCGCATATGCATGCTCCTCAGGCAGATCGATCGCGGTGACTGAGTGCTCAATAGGGAAACAGCAGTAATCAAGGTGAATGAGGCACACACACATCAGAGTGGACACGATGGATTCAGATCTTGGGTTGGCAGTGACAACGACAACGACATTTTGGTAGAAGTATGTAGCGAAAACATTCCAGCGAATATAAGACTACGCCAAACAGGCTTCTCACTGACTAAAGTTCTTGATACCACTGAAGTTTACGATCTTGCCTGCGCTGCCTCCAGTCACCGTCAAAGCAGACCAATCCCAGGATCCTGAAAAGCATGTCAGACCAGAGAAATAATTCCGAACAAAGCGACACAGACCAGTGCAAGAACCGCTGCCGCAGTTGACCGCAACTCGCTGAGCGCCGCTGTTGACAGAGATGGTGTTCTGGGCTCCGACGAAGTTCACACCCTAGTGGACGTTGTAATGAAGTACGAACATAATATAGAGAGGGTTCAGTACATACCGAAAGCTTCACACCAGTTCCAGGGGTGCCGAGGGTATCGGGATAGCTCTATATACCGACGGTGAAAGGGTGAGATGCCATTCCAACTTTGATGCAAATCGGCATAACATACCTGATCGATCAGCACACCAAACTCACGCATTCCCGTTGCCGTATTTCCAGTGTAAGTGATACCACTGACAGTCGAGTCTGTAGCGTCAGCTTTGGTCTTGATTCGCAGAGCTTGATCACTAAGCATAATGACAGTCAAAAGAACACATGTATCTGAGAGAAATGTGAACTGACTTGTTGATAACAGTATTTCCGATGATGTTGATATTGGAGACAGTCACATCGCTCGAGATGGAACCCTTTGAGAAGGAACATGAGTTGCATGTCATCCCCTTCACGTCGACACTTACAACGGAGATGCCATGGCCGCCGGAGCAGGTGTTCCGTTGGAATGTAATGTTACTGCCCTTGTTGATTGCAAGGCAATCGTCTTGGTTCATTATAGTACTACAATAAAGACATCGTGCCATGACTCCGGAATGATCGCGGAATTCTGCTTACCTGTCCTCGATGACCAGGTCCGTCGTGCTGCAGTCGAAGCCATCAGTGTTGTGGCCTGCAGCTTTGCCGCCACTCTTGGAATTCGGTTGATCGCCGAGCGCTGAACGACAACAGGATGAGAAAATCGACTAAACGAGCATCTATGGAAACATATGTGAAACATACAGTTATCAATAGTCAGCTTGGATATTGTCAGTGCTGCGGGGTTGGAAACGCTGTAAGTTCTCGCTGGCGAGTTCAAGACCTTGACGTTCTGCATAGCAACATCCAGGATAAGCGAGGTTTGGCTTTCAAGCGGTTGCTTATGCCTACAGTGAAGGTTCCAGAGATTTTTATTCTGCGTATTGTCCGTCAGCGTGCTGCAGGAAAGCCAAGAATATCACGACAAACTTCATCATGGGTGCCGGCTTCGTTACGCCGCCGTTTCCGCCTTGACCATCCTGCAAATGTTTCAGTTAGTATTCGACATACTCTTATTCTATCACAGCATCTTACCCAATAGAATGGGCCGTTACCGTCGAAGGTATGGCCATTGCCATTGACTAGTACACAGGTACTCGAAGGTGAATTAAGAAGAGAGGCACACAATTTCGACTTACAGTTGATGTTGGTACCACTAGAACAACATCATCGAAGTCAAGGCAACTCTCACAAACGGCGAATGTGAAAGACTTACCTCACTTGGAAAAGGGGGCCTGCCCAAGTCTTGTTGCCGAACGTCACGTCGCCACCTACGGGCGCATGTCAGTGTCAATCGAACGTAATGACAAGACGACTTACTCATGGTAACTGTCGATCCCGAGAGCAAATTCAAGTTGAGGGTCTCACCGGCGGGAACAGTAAAGCTATTGATGACGACGGTAATGCATTTGACGGCGGCAGCAACATCATCCAAGGAAGAGATGGTTCCGGTACAGTCGCCAGAACTAGGAGCAGCGGAAGTCGCAGCAGCTAAGGCAGTAAGGGCGAAGAGAGACGTGAATTGAAACATCGTAGAGACTTTTGGATACGGAGACTAGACAAAGGGTGCCCTGCGGAGCGTTCTGGTCTTTAGGATAAGCATTACATCCGACCTTTATAGCAGACACGTCTAGCTCCATGTGAGAAACGTAACCTTGAGGTTATTTGCCTTGGCTGGATCGACGCAGTAACGTCGGGAGAAAGTCTTCATACTTCAATGCATGGAATCGACCGCCGCATGGTGGTTAGGATGCCAATGACCTCCAATTAGAACTGCAGCCGACGGAAAGAAGCTGGTTGGGCCCCATGTCATTCACAATTTAGGCAACCTTCATAGAGGCAAATTTGAATTCTTGATCATGGGAGCGACCAACGCAAGCTTGCGCGCTGCAGGAGTGTCGTTCTTTGCGGCGGATTGGACGGACCGCCGGTATCCGTTCAGGTGTGTCTTGCGCATCCGTTGTGGTCGTAAGTATATATTGCCCACTGCATCAGTGCACTGTGCCGAATGAGAAACTGTACCGCGAAAGTTATCTTTGGTTGCTCTGAGAATAGTACACACCTGAGAAGCAGAAGTCATGTCTTTCATCAAGGCTGTCATGCTGCCCTTCCACGTCCTTCTACAGAGAGCGATCGTTCGGATCTAATGATATTCCTGGTCACATCTAGGCGTTAGAGTACACTAAAGAAGGAGAAGTGCAGAACCATACGTCACAAAGGCGAAGCAAAGCGTGGACTGGGAATCCATAAACTGCTCAGAAGTTGACTGCAGAGACATGGTTCACCGCGAGGGTCAGATGTAGTGCAGGTAACAAAAGAAGTTAATAATATGAAGACTCACCTTCGCTGGTCACACAGTCTAAAAGACCATGAGAGCAACTTAAACTGATGAGAATCACTCGATTCTTAATCGTCGGGTTTCTCTCGGGTCATGTAGAGCCGGCAACGCGAGGTGAACGGTAATGATGGAGGCCTCAGACCTCAACTTAGATCCTAACGATTCAGCTATTGAATACCACGGCCCGTCTCGGTATATGATTCCGACGGAAGAACTATAGTAAGAGAAGAGATTCAAATAGAGAGACATGCAAGAGACATGGAAAGATAATGCTCAGAAGGGGAACACACCTTCCAGCTCTCTGCCAGTGCAAGTGGCGGCTATATGAGACCAATATGAGACAGACACTTGTCCTGGCGAGAACTTCGGCAACTTCCCAGTACTACAGTCGCAAGAGCATAGCAATACCCCCCAGCGATCCCATTTTAGCTCAATGCATTCAGCTTCACACCATTCTCCAACTGCGCGTCGTATGGTTTCAGATATGAAAAGGTACAGCGATACAATGGTAAACAATTCCGATGTCTGTCGGTCACAACGACTCCACGGTTGCGTGAGCGGTCCTGACTCTGGCCGGAGCGCCGCGCGTGCACAAGATCAGAAGAAGGGCCAGTATTCGTGTCAATCTCTTTCCGCCCAAATAAAGGAAGGGAAGCGTACCTGCCTATACGAGTGGTCAGACGAAGATATTCTGAGGCAAGAAAGATTATGCCTCTGGCTATACTGCCCTGGGGGCTAAGAGTGTGTGGTGAACAAGTCCGCCATTCCCAACTTTAAATACACTCCGGAAAGAACTGAAGAGAAAATACACCTCAGCGACACTAATCAAACATCTGTCAGTCTCGTTGTATATGGTTGCAGACAATGCGTACCAAAACCCTACTAAGAGAGCCAGGGCGCGATCTTGTTGGTGCAAACTCCCATCATCATAAGTGTGCTTGGCGATCATTTTGACAATCGAGAGTGAAACAAGTTTCCATATGATTTTTCTTAAACGCTCAACCGCCCACATAGCGCGTTGTATGAGATTTGTGATATATGGGATGCTGTGCATCTGGGTCGTCAGGGAATGGAATAAATGAGCTACGTGGATGAGCGGCATCTTATTCGTAAACTGTTTTAACACGAGTACTGTTCAAGTTGAGCTGCAAGCTACTGGAGGCCGAATACGTGTGATTTTGGTGGAGATCGTTCCGAGAAACTCGGGATCAGCCCAGGCGGAGATCAAAGGCGGCTACTGACCGGGCGCCTTCGATTGACAAGGTATTCATTATTGTTTACCAGCTTCACATTGTCGCTCCTTTGGTACGAATATCGCAGGTCCTGACGCAGGAAGATCTGCAGACTCTATCACACTGAAGTTCATTGGATAGGAGCTCGAGAAAAATGGCCGGCGGACTACGGCGTACTAGGGCAACAGTGTTGACGATAGGCCCCTATCTGCAGCAGCACCCTTAGCTTGCGCGTACCGCTTTTACTCAGCAGGAATGACGCGAGTCATATTCTGTCAGCGTCCATGGGCCGAACGGGAAACGCTCGACTGGGAATGACCAGACCCCGCTCGTTCGCATCCAGCGCATCCACCAGGATTCCGCTAGCCATCGTCAGCCGCCTTTCGTCAACCCCTTTATGGCGTCAAATGCAATGATTAAATTCTTTATATCCTGGTGTCTGGATCGCCAGCCGCCCTTGAGGCTGACGATTTTCGGCAGCCGTCCTTTCAGGGTTTCTTCATGGTCTTATAAGTCGCCTGCATCCGCGCTTACACCCCAGCCTTTCCGTTCTTTCTCTCTACCTTATTCTGCGCTCTAACTATGCCTTCGGTTCAAGATCCGGAGCAGTCGGCTCAGGGCGAAGCCATCGACTTTGTGCCAGAACTGCCGTTGGTACCTCCAGTCCCTAGTGCTACTCACCACCATCACCACCTCCACACGCATCACCCTTCGAAAGATGAACGTCCTCATAATCCCAGACAACCCAGCCATACTCGAAGCGTTGACATCGAGTTCTTTGACCCCTCCGGTGTTGGAGAGTTGCGTCGTACTTTGAGTCGGGTATCAACCGAGCGAGGTCAAGCTATCGCTCCTTCACAGATTTCCGAGGTTTCGGACGATACCCTGACTTCAGAAGCCCAGTTTGACTTGGAGAAATGCATGCGGGAGTTTGTTCAGAAGTGCGTCTGCTATTTGATTCACCGCGCTTCAACTGACTGTCTGAGTTGCTCCATTTAGGCTTGATGAGTCTGGAAAGAAGAGGCGGGAGCTCGGAGTCATGTTCAAAGACCTCCGAGTTATTGGTATCGGTGCGACTGCAAGACACCAGGCCACATTGGGCTCTATCCTCAATCCTCTGAATCTCCTGAAAACTATCCACGAGACACGGCACCCCGCTCTCCGTGAAATTATCGGCGGCTTCGAAGGATGCATCCGGCCGGGAGAGATGCTCTGTAAGTTGGTTTCAAAACCGCCGCGGGTAGATTGACTCTTATTCTTCTTTCCCCATTTAGTGGTCCTCGGACGCCCAGGATCGGGTTGCACAACTTTTCTGAAGGCGTTGGCCAACCATCGTGACGAGTATCATTCAGTCGATGGGGACGTCATGTATGATTCATTTACTCCAGAGGAAATTGAGAAGCATTATCGTGGTGACGTCCAATATTGCCCCGAAGATGACGTGCACTTCCCCACCCTTACTGTAGAAGAGACACTCACGTTTGCTGCCAAGACGCGTACTCCACGCGCTCGTCTGCCCGGCGAGACTCGAGAGCAACATGTTGAGCGTGTTGTGGATATGCTTACCACCGTCTTTGGTCTCAGACATGTTCGGAAGACTCCAGTAGGTGACGCCGCTATCCGAGGTGTGTCGGGAGGTGAGAAGAAGCGTGTCTCCATTGCTGAGACGCTTGCCACAATGTGCAAGCTGATTTCCTGGGACAAGTAAGTTATCCGTTTATCCGCATTCGTTCTTGGCTGATCCCCTTTTCTTCGTTGCTTCTAGTTCAACTCGAGGGTTGGAGTGCGTGAAATCTCCATTTACATTGTCCTTTACCGATCCCGACTCATCATTCCCTGATTTTTGCAGTGCTTCAACCGCCCTCGAATTCGTTCAGGCCCTTCGAATCGCTACCGATGTCAGTCGGCAAGCCACTTCGGTCTCAATTTATCAAGCAGGCGAGTCGCTCTACCAGCACTTCGACAAGGTGACGATCATTTACGAGGGCAAGATGGTTTATTTTGGTCCCGCCGATCGTGCCCGCCAATACTTCATCGACATGGGCTATAAACCCGCTAATCGCCAGACTACCGCTGATTTCCTTGTCGCTGTCACGGACCCCAAAGGTCGTACTGTTCGTGAAGGTTATGAGAATCGTGTACCAAGAACTGCTCAGGAGTTTGCGGATTTTTTCAAGAAGAGCGATATATCGGCCCTCAATCAGGAGGATATAGAGTCGTATACAGAGGAGTTCGTGGGCAAGGAACACCGTGTCTCTCACTACAAGGAGAGTTACCATGCGGAGCATGCCCGCCACACCAGTCACAAGAGCCCCTATATCATTTCTATCCCGATGCAAGCTCGGGCTTTGATGCTGAGAAGGGTTCAAATCTTGAAGGGTATGATGGCGGTCCAAGTCATTCAGACGATGTTAGTCTCTCCTTTTTTTTCCTCGTGCAAATATTCGGCTTTGCTCACCTTTTTCGGTTAGGACGTTCGTCATTCAGGCCATCATCATAGGTACCGTCTTTCTTCGACTGGAGGATGCGACTTCGTCTTTTTTCTCTCGAGGAGGTGTACTTTTCTTGTGAGTGGCATCAAATTGCCTTCTATGAAATTGATAATTACTAATGCGATGCAATGTAGCTCCATCCTCTTCGCCGCCCTGTCCACCATGGCGGAAATTCCGGCTCTTTTCTCTCAACGGCCTATTGTTCTTCGCCATTCCCGCGCTGCGATGTACCATCCTTTCGTTGAGAGTTTGGCTCTCACGCTCGTCGACGTTCCCAAAATGTTCATCATCCTCGTCCTGTTTTCTATCGTTCTCTACTTCTTGGTCGGCTTGCAACAGGCCGCCGGACAGTTCTTGTGAGTGTCAAAGTTGCCACTAGCCTTTTATTGGTTTACCTTAACGTTGTTCCTTTTATAGTATCTTCCTACTCTTCGTATTCTCTATGACGCTTATTATGCAAGGATGGTTTCGAATGTTGGCCGCTGGGTTCCAGACTGCTGCCCCAGCTCAAACCGTCGCCGGTCTCATCGTTTTGGTCCTAACGCTCTATACTGGCTACTCTATTCCTCAGCCATCCATGATCGGAGCTCTGCGTTGGATTACCTATATCAACGTATGTTCCATTATTCACGGAGAACGTATCCCAAGTTCCATGCACTGACTATTAACTCGGACAGCCTTTGAAGTATGGCTTCGAGTCACTGATGGTAAATGAATTCCATGGAATCAACGCGGAGTGTTCTTCCCTTGTTCCTCAAGGACCTGGCTATGAGGGAATCACTCTTGCGAATCAAGCGTGTACAACTGTGGGCTCCATTCCTGGTCAGGAGCTTGTTAATGGCAACAGATACGTGGAGTTGTCTTTTAACTATAGTTATAGTCATCTTTGGAGAGTGAGTATTTCCCATACCTCATCACATGCATTTATCTTAATGTTGCTGTAGAACTTCGGTATCATCTGGGCGTTTGGAATCGCCTTCGTTGCTACGTACTTGATCTTCACTGAAATCAACACAAAGTCAGCAGGAGCGTCAGCTACCGTTGTCTTCAAACGTGGATCAAAGGCGCACGTTGCGAAGCAGGGCTCTTCCGATGAGGAGAAGATTCACTCTGGCGCTACCACTCCTGACCAAGAAGGCAATGCAAGTGAGGAGGCGAAGAAGGCTATCTCAGATACACGTGCCATGCACGATATTTTTTCCTGGCAACATCTCAGTTACGTTGTTCCTCTGCCAGGTGATGGAACGCGGATGCTTTTGAATGACGTCTCCGGGTATGTCGCTCCGGGAAAGCTGACAGCTCTAGTTGGTGCCTCGGGTGCTGGCAAGGTTAGTGTTGTGAATATGGCACTTTTTCTTGCTTCTAACTGTTGTCGCTTCGCAGACGACTCTGTTGAATACACTCGCACAGCGAGTCACCACTGGTGTGGTCACAGGCGACCTTTTCGTCAGCGGCCATCCGCTTCCTGCCGATTTCCAAGCTCAGACGTATGTTCCGTGACCGTGTTCACCCATTTCCGCTGTTTCATACTAACTGCTTTCTTTCCAATAGTGGTTACGTCCAACAGATGGATACTCATTTGCCAAGAGCCACAGTCCGCGAGGCGTTGTTGTTCTCTGCAAAGTTACGTCAACCAGCATCTGTTCCCCTAGCAGAAAAGGAAGCTTAGTATGTGATTGGCTTCTCTGTCTCCTGCTCATTACTTAACTGTTCTTGCAGCGTCGACAAATGTCTCAAGATGTGTGGACTGGAGGCTTTCGGTGATGCGATTGTTGGCTCATTGGGCGTGGAACATCGTAAGAGGACTACCATTGGTGTCGAACTTGCCGCCAAGCCGCAACTTCTTCTTTTCCTCGATGAACCCACATCCGGGCTTGATTCTCAGAGTGCTTGGGCCATCATGGCTTTCTTGCGAACTCTCGCAGACAGCGGTCAGGCTATTCTGTGCACGTATGTATAGTGTTCCTCCGCTCGGATCTTCTTTATCTGATTGCTTTCTAGAATCCATCAACCCTCTGCTGAACTGTTCGAAGTTTTCGACCGCATGTTGCTTCTGAGACCTGGAGGCCAGACTGTATACTTTGGCGATCTTGGACATCACTGTCAGACCCTCATCGACTACTTCCAAAGGAACGGTGCTCGTCATTGTGGACCGGACGAGAATCCGTAAGTTCATTCCCATACTCTTCCATCATTGAAGATGCTAATCTATGTCCAGTGCCGAATATATCTTGACTGTGACTGGAGCGGGTGCAACGGCTCGTTCCGATGTCGACTGGCATCAAGTCTGGTTGAAGTCGAAGGAGGCCGAAGAACTCCAGAGTGAGCTCGAGAGAATTCACTCTGAAGGTCGCAGCCGACCACCTCCGCAACCCACCTATCACGGCGAGTTCGCGACGTCTTGGCTCTACCAATTGGGTCTGTTGCTCCATCGTGATGCTCAGAATCATTGGAGGGATCCTAGTTTCTTGATGGCCAAGCTAGCTCTAAACACTGTTGCCGGTCTCTTAATTGGGTTCACCTTTTTCAAGGCCAAGGCCACCCTCCAGGGGACGCAGAACAAACTCTTCGTACGTGCACTTATTATTGTTGGTTATGAACAGACACTAAAGGCGTGATCAGGCAATCTTTATGGGTCTCATTCCAAGTGTACCCCTGGCCAATCAACTTCAAGTCCCTTTCATAGAAACTCGGAGCGTTTACGAGATCCGTGAACGTCCCAGTCGCATGTATAGCTGGACTGCTCTGGTCACTTCGCAGATGCTGATTGAGATGCCATGGAACATCCTTGGATCCTCTCTATTCTTCCTGTGCTGGTATTGGACCGTCGCATTTCCTACCGAACGTGGTGGATACACCTATCTCATGTACAGCATTATCACCCCGTTGTATTACACCACCATCGGCCAGGCCGTTGCCTCTATGTCCCCGAATGCTGAGATTGCCGCACTTCTTTTCAGCTTCTTGTTTTCCTTCGTCTTGACCTTGTATGTTCGTTCCATGTTACTTCAACGAGGCGTCACTAATGTTCATCTCTAGCAATGGTGTTCTTCAACCTTTCCGATTACTCGGATGGTGGCGATGGATGTATCGTTTGTCACCGTACACCTACCTTATCGAAGGTCTTCTTGGTCAGGGTATGTTTCCGGGTATCATGGGGTTGACTTGCGTTGCTAATTATTCATTCGTCAGCTATTGGAAAGCAACAAATTACCTGCTCTGAGGTAGAATTTGCACGAATAACCCCGCCATCCGGACAGACTTGCGCACAGTTCCTGCAGCCGTTCGTCAACATGAGTAGCGGATATATCAATGACCCAGACGCAACTAGCGACTGCCAGTACTGCGCGTATCGCACTACAGACGAGTTCCTTTTGGCCGGGTTCAACATTCAGTTCTCTCATCACTGGCGGAATCTCGGTATCTTCGTTGCCTTCGTATTGTTTAATGTAAGTGGATGTCTTTGAACCGTTGTGTCGACTTCATTGACATGTCTTCCAGGTTGCTTCTGTCTACTTTTTCACATACATTTTCCGTATCAAAGGAATGGCTATTAGACATTGGATTAAGAAGAAGGTCATCAGGAGGAAGTAGACTACTTTCAATATTCCACCGCCTAGACTAATTTTTTAGACTGTTATTGCTTCATGAATTGTAATGTCATCGTAATTTACCTTTGTCATTCGTTAACCTTATAGGCCACATCTGAAGAGTCCATATAGTTGGCACGTACAGTAGCATACCTACTTACACGTTGGAAGAACATATATCACAGTAATACATTGACACTTACATTGGTTGAACTTGATAAGGAACAGACTTCGAAAACGCAAGCAGCAAGTTGCATATAAAACAAAACTAGAATATAATCCTGCGAATACATTGTCTACGCGTAAGCAGCCTCTGATGCACTCGAGAACTCGCTGAATCCATAGTTTTCGCCCTTCACAAACGCCCTAGTGCACTGGGCCATAGTGACAGATCTGTTGGGAAACATGAGCAACCAGAAAAAAAAGCGAGGGGCGGTTGACGTACGCTCGTGAAATGGGATCTGTTTGATAGAAGTTATCAATAGGTTTCCGTAGAGGAGTGCCAGCGACTTTCGCTTTTGCCGTGAGGGCAGCGAGAGTCTTAAGGCCGGCAAGCGTGGTGTCGATGGAGGTGGGCTCTGTGACATCGTAACGAACAAGAGTAGGCGAGATCTCCCACATACGATCCCTTAAACTGAGGACATCATCATATGGAAGAGGAGAGCTCAGTACTTCAGAGATTGCACTGTAGGACAACATAAGCGAAGGGAAGGAGAAAGAAAGGATATGTTGCGCACCGAATGATCTTCCAGTCCTCTCGCGAAGCACCCGGGGGAGGCACAGCAGCCCGGCCAAGCTGTGAGCGACCCTCGGTATTCACCCAGGTTGTTGCCTTCTCAGTGTAAGCAGCCGCGGGTAAGCAAACATCAGCAAGTTGAGCGCCGAGGTCACCATGGTGTCCCTGGTATACAACGAAGGCATCCTGAGGAATTGACTTCGGATCAACCTCGTCCGCGTTCAACAGGTAGATGAATTTGGGCTTGGTAGTTGATGCCTTCTTCGAGGGAACGAATCCGATATCATAGGCAGCAGGCCGGGACGCAGCCTTAAAAGAAAGAGATAAGCTCACTTGTCAGTCACATCATGAATTGAGCGCCTACACGTTGCAGTATGCTGAAGCCCTTCCACTCAGGAGTAACTAACTTCTCCTTGTTCTTCTCGACGTACTTGGCCAACGCATTGTATACAGCAGCACCGTCGGCATGTTCGACCAAAGCGCTTCCGACAATGATCAAAGGCTTCTTCGCAGCTTTGAATTTCTCGGCGAAAGCTCCTTTTCCAGCAACGAAATTCGCGACAGCTTTGGCGTCAGCACCGAGGTAGTCATAGCCATATGTAGTATCAACGCGCTCGCCAATTAAACCAACTTCCAGACCGGTGTGCAGCCAACTCTTTCGTATCCTGGAATTAAGGACAGCAGCTTCATGTCGAGGGTTGGTGCCAATAAGGAGGATGGCGTCGGCTTCCTCTACTCCAGGAATGGTTGAATTGAAAAGATAGTTGGAACGAACATCAACGGAGTGCACCGGCGCCACATGTCCGCCAACACTATCGAGAGCAAGGTTATCCGAGCCAAGGCGGTTAACCAAGTCTTTAAGGGCAACCAAAGACTCAGTATCGGCAAGATGACCAGCCACGGCCTGAATTTCGTCGCCAGTGGCGCCGGAGCGGGAGAGCCCAGAAGCAATGGCAGACAGTGCATCCTCCCATGATGCATTCACAAATCTGTCACCCTGCTTGATGAGTGGATTAGTCAATCGTTGAAACTTGAGACCATCATATGCATAGCGACTTTTATCGCTGATCCACTCCTCATTGACGTCGTCATTCGTACGTGGTTGCACGCGCATCACTTCAACGCCCCGAGAGTCTACTCGGATATTTGAACCAACAGCGTCCAAAACGTCGACGGAGTCGGTGTGCTTCAATTCCCATGGTCGGGCATGGAATGCATACGGTTTGCTCGTGAGGGCGCCGACCGGACAAAGGTCAACAATATTTCCAGACAACTCCGAGTTCATGGTCTTCTCCACGTACATGCCGATTTGCATATCATTTCCGCGACCGGTAGTCCCAAGCTCCTCCACACCTGCAACCTCATTGGCAAAGCGCACACAACGTGTACATTGGATACATCGGTTCATAGATGTCTTGATCAAAGGGCCAAGGTCTTTGTCCTCAACGGCACGTTTGCCCGTGATTTCGTGGAATCGAGTTCTGTCTGCGCCGTAACGCATTGACTGATCTTGCAAGTCGCATTCGCCACCTTGGTCGCAAATAGGGCAATCTAATGGATGGTTCGACAGTAGGAATTCCATTACACCCTCGCTGAGAAGACGTCAGTGTGATATTTTGACGTCAAGCAAACGCGAGTACCTACCGAGCTTCATGGACGAGCGGTGTGTTTGTGAATACCTTCGCACCCGGCATAGCAGGCATCGCGCTAAGGAAGATATGGAAACAAGCATCACCGAAATACAGAGTAACTTACCATGATGCAATAGGTTTTGGCGACCGCTCAACTTCGACAAGACACATACTATACATGCTAGTCAGATCCCGACTCAAACGCTAATGCTATGAGACATACCGGCAGTTGCCAGCAATTGCAAGGCTGAGGAATGTACAACATCATGTTAGGGCCTTCGATTGGGATGTGAAAGCGGACATACCGATCGTGATAGCAAAACCTGTTGTGACACGGTGAGCGCTCTGTCCTACCTATTGAGCAAGCATGCAACATACCGAGGGATGGTTGCACCAGCAGCCTCACATGCTTGAATCAAAGCAGACCCTGCAGAAATATTCTGACCTCAGGACCACTTCGACTCTAGATTGCATCATTGACCTCACCCTGGGGTACTGTCACCTCCTTTCCATCGACAGTCAGAGTGATGTCCGCCTGCTTCCTGGATGACGAGGCAAATGCGCGACTACCTATAAACCATTTGCAACATGGAAGAATGTCAAATGTACGATACGCCCAGTGTACGAACCTTTCCGGGACGGACAGGAAGGCACTACGACCGCAAGCCTGCTCGCCGCGGCAGGCTTTGCTGACGATACCAGCCGCAGCATGGCGAGATGCTACCTCAGAGATGGGAAGCGAATGTTGGCAAGCTCGACGTCGAGCTTGGTAAGTTGAGAATATAATTGAGCTCGTCGACGAACACGACGAGCAGACGGATGACCCAACTTTCCTAATTCAAGCGGAGTTTGAACCCTGTAGGGATATAACGGCATAATTCTGATTGGTCGACTCGCGCTTGACTTCATGCAGCAAATAAACGTCGTCGCGTTCGAGCAGTAGATGCAAAGAATGAATTTGAGAACTGGGTAAGAATCCAACAATACAAAATACAACTATACAAGCAAGAAAAGATTCCAAAGCAGACGAAAGCAAGAGAATTCACCGCAAATCCACAATCTCCAATGGCATATCCTTCATTTGGACGTGACTATTATCGCAATCCTGCATGCGAAAAAAAATTAGTAGTTGGGAGTCATTGAGAATAGTGATAACGCACGGTATAGATGGGAACCTCGGGATGTGGGTGGAAAGCTTCCTTCGCATTACATTTCAAAATGGTGTGCAGACCTTCCGGGTCCGTCAGACGGAAAATGCCAAATCTATTTGCACACAGAGTCGGCTCCTGAGAATTAACCACACATGTGTGGGACTTACGTGGGTGTCGAGGTGGGTGCACACACGACAGCAAATGACTCCGGAAGCATACACTGAAATCCAGAGTGTGTATGTAGATCGACAGACGACATGAAGCCTGGCAGAATCGTATTAGCGCAGGGACTCATGCACTCACCGTGGTTACTCACATGACTGTGTCGGATGTGTGTGGATCTGAAAGGTCATGGAGTGCCATCAACGCCACTGTCGTTTGAGAAATTCCACAAAATACGCACCCAGCCCAAAGTAATCAAATGGCGCTCCTCGGTAAACTGAAGAACCAGCTCTTCCTCGTCCATCGTGCAAGTATCACTAGTTGAATGCTGCTTGGGTATCAATAATGTCGACACGATATATTTATTGCCCTTGTCTTTTCCGAGAAGCAGCCCACAGGTCTCACGATTTTGCAGAGTGTTCACCCTCGCGATAGACAAGAACTTAGGTAGACATTCTCGGGGTAGCCGAATGCTCTTGAGCTCGCGGATGTCGGAATCCTTTGAATTGCCTGGAACAATACGCGGTGCGTTTGGTATCGGGCGAGGCGGTAATGGTTGTTTCGGTGGAATAGGCGGAGGCGGCCTGGCACCTGATGGCGAGGGGCCACGAAGGCCAATGTGTGATGGTGTATGGGTATGTGGATATTGAGGTGCACTTGGCATAGGCATGCCGGGGTATGAGGTTGAACCTGGAGGAGCCGAGGCCGGAGGATGCGGTAGAAGGTTCGAGTATAGTTCACCAGAAGGTTTTGCATCGAATAACAATGACGAGCTGGAAGTGGCTGGATCCATTGACAACTGAGAGAACATGGACTGTAACGAAGGGACGTATCCTTGCTTGAGTTGATGTTGGGACATAAGTTTGGGATACTGGACATGACCGAGTTCGGGAGGTGCGGGGGAGGTAGTTGTAACAGGAATAGGATAGACGATGCTGAGAATAAAGTCAATTCCCTGGAACTGATGAGGATGTATTCCACATACGCATTGTGCTTTGTCTTTGTTGGTGTTTGATTTGCTGATCCACCATGGCGAGACCGCTGCCATAGCATCTTGGATTCACCAGTACCTTCAGCGTCCGTTGACGAATCGTAGTCAAATCGGTTTGGACTCTCCAAAGGCATTGCAGTTGGCATGGTAGCATCAAGATACGAATGCAAGACAGCGTTCTGACTGGAGCTTGCAGGACGCGACGGCTGAGGTGTGGCGACAGGCATACTAATTTCCCCACGGCCTGCATCCGCGTCGTTGGATCGTTTACTGTACACGTTCTGCTCCGGTCTGCTGGCGAGGACATTGGGCACAGACGTTTGCCCATAGGTAACATCTCGACGCGCTGCACGCGCCGCTGCCTCTGCCTCTTGCTGCCTACGAAGGATGCCATCTTGTTCTTGTCTGCGTTTCTCCTCTAATCGCTGTTTCTGTTTGATTGCATCCTCCTCCACTTGTCGACGGGCATCTTCCTCTCTGCGCATACGAGCGTTGCGCTCATGTTCGGCCAGCTCCCGGGCTTCCGCAGCTCGCTGCTCTGCAGTAGCTGCAAGATCGTCTCTGCGCCTCGAGTCGCTCGACTGTCTTGGATATGATGAACCTTCTCCAAACCTTTCCTCTGTGTGTCTTCGGCTTAAAGACGTTCTTCTCCATTCTTGTTCTTGACGCGCTGCCTCAAGTGCTTGTTGAGCCCTCTCCTCTTCGAGTGTGCGCCTTTCTTGTTCGTGCTTTCTGCGAACGATCTCGTCTTTAGATTCGGATTGAGGCGGTTCTGAAGAGGATGAACGGCTACTGCTAACACCCTTGTACCAATCTTCATATCTTTCTACTAAAATCCTCTTGCATTCCGAGAGCTGATTGAGTATGTCTTGTCCGTTCTGTTAACGCAAATTAATGAGCATCCTGTCAACAACAATAACAAAGAGTGCAAGCGATGGTATCAGGAATGGCATGACGGTCTACCGAATGAAAGAAAGAAAGTGACTAACAATTCCCAAATTTTGGCGTTGCTCGGAACTAAGCAACACAGTATACTCCGGGTGCAAAGGTAGCTTGTCCAGGACGATCGTGGCGGCCCTCGCAAATTCTACAAATGCAGCCTCGTAATCACCATTCTCCTTGTGAAGTTGACCGCTTTTGCGAGCCCTCTCTGCAGTGCGCAACCAGTTCTTCAAGCCTTGCGTAGAGGAAGCATCGAGATCGGCCTTGGCTTGCTCAGCAAGCTCTGCGATGGTAGCAGGTCGATGGCGTGGAGTGCGACTCGAGTACGAGCTTGACATGCTCCCGTCGGTAGCCCCAAGAATCGAGAAATATGGGGAGAGTAGCCCGATATTTCGGCCTGAGTACTATGTCGCAGAGCCGCCGTTCCCGGTTTAGTAGCACTGCGGCGCTGTCTGATGATGAATCAGTGAACCTGGTCCCTCCAGCGTAAGTAAATCGACAGGTATCGAGCCGAGTACACAACGAGTAGCAGGGTGTCTAAAATTGTTCCCGCCACTTCCAGGAGTGAGTGCCAAAAGATAGAATGGTGGTTCGAAACACAAGCTCAAGCTGAGTAGGCTATCGCTACGGGCGCTTGACCAATACGGTACATTAAGGATAGACGCCTAAGGTTTTGAGTTATGATCGTTAAGTTCCCTACATACAGTACTGAACGTTGGACTGGAAGGTACAGGCACTGTGACAACATCATATCTATCGCATATCTATAACTTCCAATGGTAGGTCCCTTAATATTATGTCTCCATCCTCGCAATCCTCAAGTAAACAGATGAGTAACCCGAATAGCCACTGAACAGTTGCTGCTTACTGTGTAAAGCGGTATCTCGGGGTGCGAATGGGCGACATTTTCGACGACATCACATGCCAGTATACATTGTATACCTTCTGGCTCTAGCAAACGGAATACACCAAAGCTGTAATACTTCATTCAGGACTATGGACGATGAAGATATAAAGCGCTGACTGACCTTGGGTCTGAACCCGGCGCGCACACAACAGCGAAGAACTCTGGAACATTGCGCTGTAATCTTGCTTGGAAATGGAGATCCATGGAGGTCATGAAGTCTATATCTATGAATCAGTAAACATCGAGAACACCTTGATATGTGACCTGCATGGATGATCCGGGTGTGTGTGAATCTGTGAGATTGTGTTATCGCAGACCGACTATCGGGTTCTTCTTCAACGTACCCAGCCCAATGGAATAAGACCACGTTGCTGTATAGACATAAGAACTAGATTTTCCTCATACAGCATACAGGAATCCATGGTAGGATATTGGCGGGGTATTAACAGAGTCGTCACAACGTATTTACTGCCCTGGTCATTGCCAAGCAGCAAGCCACAGGTCTCCAGCTTCTGCACGGTGTTCAGCCTTGTAATATATGTGAACGCCTTGATGTATTCACTTGGCAAGTGAATTTCCTTCAGCCTACTAGTAGTCCTAGTCCCGGCAGCGGACAGTTAACGCCCGATGTCAACCATGCTGGGTCGATTGGCTGGGATGTCATGCCAGCAACTTTGAACAAGCATCCACAGCTTATCCGTCATTGTTCTCCGTGATGATGCGGCCGGACGTTCAGGACGAGCACCTTGGATTACCTTGAGGACCACCTGAGCATCTCGGGCAATGTTAGGAAACGGCCTCTGTTGTGTGTAGAGCTGCAAAAAAAGAATTAGAGGATCCTTGGCATAAATTTACAAAGGGCCGAACTTCTATAATTGTACAGCCGAATGAGTAGACGTCTGATGTATAGTTCGGTCTGGAGATATCATTTCTTAGGAGTTCGGGCGGCATCCATCGGACAGTCCCTCCTGGGTGAGAACCTGACGTCAATGTCGTAGAGTCTGCAAAGGTAGATAGTCCAAAATCAGCCAGTTTGATATGCAGTTCATCATCAATTAGGATGTTGCCCTGCTCGATGCATTGAGTGACTCACAGGGACCACACAAGTATGTATATGCTCACCCCTCTTACATCTCCATGGACAATCTCTTGCTCATGAAGATATCCGAGACCCTGTGTGATTTCAAGGATCTACTCCGGTTAAGAACCCACGTCGTTGTAAGCTTGCATGTAGTGCCCCTGAACGTCGCCGATGGACATACCCATGAATCAAGGGGAACAGTATCCGGAGGCAAGTTACGTATCGCTGATGATATATTGCCCTTGGGACACATTGGTGACACCATACAAGGACCAGATCTAAATGTCTTAGAATCAACCCCAAGAAGTGGAAGAATGTTTGGGTGTCGAAGTTGTCGCCACACAATTGCTTCGCGATAGAATGCCTACATTTTGATACTTAAACAAACGGTCACTTTCGCACGTCACGAAAATGAAGACTACCTGGATTTGGCGACCCTCCCTCTGTGAGGCGATAAAAATACGCAAACGTTTCAACGCCACCAACTGACCACGCCACTTGGCCGGAAATATGTCAGAGTAGCCGCCATGTCCAAGAGTCTCTGTTCCAACATTCTCTATGTCTTCAAGGAATAGATTCGCGGGTAGGTGACCAGACGTGCGGCAGAGTCTGACCAGGTAGCGTCTTAATTGTTTGCGGTGATAATAATGTGGAGAGTTTTCATCCACGTTATCAAGCGACTTGACACTACTTGTCAGTATTGCAGTGAAATGATGAGTATCAATACCCAACAGGACATACGGTTTGTATCAGTTGTACCAAGGCTTCTGCGACGTCACCAGTAGCTGAAAGCATCCGTTCCACATCATCATTTGAACATCCTGATGGAAGTACCATCGAGTTCCACACGGGATCAAATAGCGACTCTGCCGTAGTGATCGTGAGTGAAGAGGAAGATGGTGGCTGTTTAGAGACCCGTTTGGGAGGTTGCGTTTGTGAAGTGACATTCCCCATTCCAGTCACCGGTTTGGCTGATACTTGGTAGGCATCCTGCGCCGTAACTGGAGGTATAATGGACTGAAACCCTTCCGAGTCCAAGAGTTTCGTTTTGCATTCGCTAAGGCGATCGAGTATTTCAGTGCCCATCTGATGAATTCATAGCGCGATACACACAGTCAAAACTGCATCACAGAAGCAACGAAAGAGTGAGTCACTGACCTCTCCAAGGACGCTACGGTCATCGGCGGTCAGTTTCACAGAATATTCTGGATGAGTGGGAAGCTTCTCAAGAACGATCTTCGCTGCCTTTGCAAGCTGTACGAACGCGGTTGGATAGTTCTTCCTCAGATCCATAGCGTCGTATCCGCTCTTCTGTAATTGAGTGGCAACTTGTTGCCAATATTGCAACCCTAGCGATTGGTTCCATCCGAGTTCACGTTCCGCTTGGTCTGCTAATTCCCTAATGGTCCTTTGATGACGGAGGGTCAGGGCAGATCCAACGGTTCCCTCTTCAGGTAAGATATTTAGGCCGCTCTCTCTTCTGCGCTTCCGTTCGGGACCTAAGGATTGATGCTCATGCTGTAAAGTCGACATGTCGTTCTGCCGGACTTCTGCAGCCTGAGGTGAACACCTGTGTTATTGTCAATGTTATGGTGATCGACTGTGATCGACTGTTTGTAACTAGGCTAAATCCACAAGTGCTTACAGCTGGTCGAGAAGTGATTCTATAGACTGCTCGATTTCCAGAATAGTCTGGGAGCATTCACCATTCGCTGGATGGAAGCAAAGGCAGGGCTGGACCCACAACTTCCTGTGAATCATCGATCGTCACTCACGTGGCAGCCCAAATACAGCCCTGTTTAAGAAAAGCGCCCATAGCACTCTCTACATACACCCTGAAGGCCTGAAAGTTGGACGATATCGTGAAGCAGACAATACTCTCGGCCACTCTGTGACATTGTTCTTAACCTTGGCACTGGCTGACCTACTCAGAACTTGTCTCTTTTAGTATCTCTCGTCACCATGTACGAGGGTCTCCCTGGTCACAAGCGGGGTCTGTTCTTCGTCGTGGCAGTCTGCGTGATATTCATGCAGGCGGGACTCTGGGCTGGACGCAGGGAGACCCGAGACAACTTCCCTGACAACACTCTCGTGAAGACCTCCAGCTTGATCCCCTTCGTGAAGTCGGATGCGCGACCTAGCATCAAGGACCACCCCATTCCCAAACTTATGGTAGATGCTGAAAGAAACTTCCGTGAACGACTTTCTCGACAAAGTAAAACCCTCCCCGATGCTGTTGCGGAATACAAGCGACGTTATGGTCGCAATCCCCCTAGGGGTTTCGATCGTTGGTGGCAGTTTGTGAAGGACAACGACGTATTAATGGTAGACGAATACGATGCTATTGTTGAGGACATGACACCGTTTTGGGATATCGATGGCCGAGAGTTGCGTGAAAGAGCCAGTGCGGTATGTCTCAGTACTTTTCCGGTCCCGATGTCGCTCATATACCTTCCAGGCAGGGCATCTACCCTCCATTGACTTGGTCCGAGTAAGGGATAGCAATGCAACTGCTGTAAACATCAGAGATGGACCGCATGCGGAAGTCAGTGCTCGTGCACGCGGTTTCCTCCAGATGATTGAAAAATTCCAGGACCAGGTGTGTATGACTGGCTTGCTGGCTAGGCCATGACTCAATCGAGCTTCATGCAGTTGCCTGACATCGACTTCCCGATCAACGCGATGGCGGAGGGCCGGATACTTGTCCCATGGGAGTACAGACGCTATCCTAATCTGACAGAAGGTATATTCTCGATATTCATTATACTCAGCAACAGCTCAACACGGCTCTACTCTAGCTAGTATATCAAATCTACTTAGCGGCGCCTTCACGCCCGACTGGAGAGGGGAAGGGAATGTTTGGGAAGCATACCGACGTACATGCGACCCATCAACACCAGCTCGCCGCCTTTTCAGTTCTTTTCGTGCTTCGTCGACATCGCAAAACCGCACCAGCCAGTTGACCGCTCGAAATCACGAGTTCGTCTTCGCCCGATACACTAATGGCAATTACTCATTCTGCCAAAATCCGTGGGCGCACTATAACCAAGGCCACTTCTTCTCCGACTGGAGAACGATTCCTGTTCTATTCCCTGTTTTCTCCCCCGCAAAAGCCTCAGGTTTCCAAGACATTCGGATACCAAGCCATTATTATTATGCCCAGACTAGAAGATACACCTATGGTTGGGATCCAGTCAATCTCGAGCTGAAACCTGTTGACCATATGGAGACACCTTGGGAACAGAAGACCGATATGGTTTTCTGGAGAGGTGCTTCTACTGGTGGCGGAAGCTCGCCGCCGGGTTTCGCAGCGCAGTACCAGCGCCATAGGTGCGTCATATGGTCTCTATCCTGTCTTCCTATTGCTAATTCGCATTCTATAGGTTTGTCAGAATGGCTAGTGATGAATCTTGGACGAACCGTACGATAGTCTTCGCAGACCCACCGAGCTCCACGAACTATATCGCCACCCAGGTTCCCATAGGGTCTCTGAATGAGGAGATAATGGATATCGCGTTCGTCAAAGTTGTTGATTCTTTCAACTATCCTGGCGGTATCGGCGCTCTGATCAGGGACCACCGATTTGACGATGGTGGTGTTAACTTAGGCGACCATTGGAAACATAAATATCTCGTTGATATTGACGGTATGGGTTATTCTGGGAGGTTCTTCTCATTCTTGGAGTCAGATAGCGCGGTGATGAAGGCCACCGTATATCGAGAGTTCTTTGAAGGGTGGATTGAACCTTGGTGAGCTTCACTCCACCTACAACGTGTTATTCGGACCTTATCTTTACGGCACGAACGCCCTTTTCAGGTTGCATTATATCCCGTTATCATCTTCGTATCAGGAGATATTCAACATTCATGCATTTTTCTCTGGAGCTACACCATCAACCCTGAAGGCTGCGAATTCAACAGCCTTGGGCTTGTCTCCTGCCAAGAGGCGTCCCTTAGATGGAGACCGTCGCCTTCGCCGGATAGCCCGTGCAGGAAAGCAGTGGAAGCGGACCATGGGCAGAAGGGTTGATATGGAAGGTAAAAGCCTCCTGTTTATGTCGGCAACGTCATCTATACTCACGTTCCATTCTTGTAGCCTATATTTATAGGCTGATCCTAGAATACGCCAGATTATGTTCGGACGATAGAGACTCCATGAACTTTACACTTTAGACACTCATGCACATCGATCCTTCTGCATTGTAGGATGGTTTCATATTCGGAATAGGATCTTTCATATGTATCACTAGTAGTTATCCTCAACTTAATCGACTGGCTTCATGGAATTTCGGTATGAGCAGCCTGCGAATATGATGTCTTTCGTCAATGTTTGGGCGCCTGTTGTATCCGCCTTGCTTCTTCCTCTTCTCTTCTCAATGTATTCACTTTCATTTCATGTTCCTCGGAGCTGAGACACATGCTAGTCTTATGCGATGAATCTCATTATACAGGGGTCATATGAGCTGGTTCAACGAGCAGCGAATCCTGTCACAGTGGCTCTCAAGAGCTCAAAAGGGTCCGCTGCTCTGTCTCGTGCTAAACTTGTTATTGCACAACTTGTTTCCTTTACACATAGTTCGCGACTTGGCGCTCTGGTGGTACTAATGAATGAGTCGCAGCAAGGTGAGTAAGGGCATCTATCAGTCGTGATCCCCCCTACACGTTGTTTGCGCATGGCTGATGATGATCTATCCAGACCGTTGGTCACAACCCTGGAGGGGTTGGAGCTCGAGGAACATGTTCCCATGTCTGTTCTGGCCCATATTCCAATGTTGCCTAGACAATATCCAGTAAACGAGTCGGCAAATCGGTACAAAGATCTGCTTTACGTCTCTATGGGGCCAACATGAAGCACACTCACGATCGGTCCTAGAGTCTAGACCATCTGGCTTTTTTCGTGTCCTTTTACTTGCCACTTTTGCTTTGTGCTCTAGATTCCATGTGATTCGTCCTGAATTTCCTGCGAGATCCAGGTGCTGATCAAGCCACTCACGATAGATCCTCCACAGAAACACGCTGCATATGCATGTCTGGCGGAGATACCTGCAGGATACCTGTATTCTTCCCAAGTGGCTAGCGCTGCATCGTCATAAGACCTTCGCCCTCCGCCACCCTCAAAACCCCTTCTTCCTCCCTCTGGCTATCGTGTACTCGTTTTGCTAACATTCCCGCTATCATTTAACACTAAGTAATGCCAATGTCTACGATAACCGCCCTGTCCTCGGGCTCTTCCTCAAGTCGTGTGTCTGATGGCCTCCCGTTCCCAAGGAATATGTCGGATTTCGAGGTTGAGACACCGACAAAAATGCACGCTACTCCTCCCAAAATGAGAAGACGCAGGGTTTCTTCAGATTACGATAGCGAGGTAGCATACCGAAACAGAGTGGCACGGTTAATTGCTGCAAAAGCTCGACCCATTACGGCTTCTGGCAGGATACCAGTAGATCCTGCGAGTCTTACTCTTTTCTTCCGGTCAAAAGTCAGCTTTCCTCTAATCTCACTTGTGCTATTTGCTCACGCAGGATATTCATAGAGCGGAATCACGCACTCTTTGGACTTTCCTGTGGATATCGACGAGGATATGCCACCGGCTCTCGATGTCCTAATATCCTCGTGTAGACCGCATTCGCCATCTGGCTTGGAGGACTTCTCAGAACATGAATCGCTTTTTTATCCCTCAAATCTTCCCCTTACGGCCACTCTCGAGATTGCCAACCATCCTATTCTTGATGCCGTACGGAACACGCTGTTTCCTACATTGCCCATTGGCCATTATCTGACTGCTATGCGAGACAAACTCGAAATTTGGCTTGCTGGTGGTGGTATGAAACCTCTACCTCATCCTAACGACAGTCGGGTAGCAACCATTTTCGTCACATTGCCAGTGCGTTTCAGAGGTGGCGCACTTGTTGTCCGCAGTATGGACGGTACCGAGGAACGGTTCCATGGTCGTGGTGGGAAAGCGGGTGATATGGAATGGACTGCTTTCATGGCTGACTGCGACCATGAAATCCAGCCAGTGTTGAAGGGTTGCCGTGTTACTATTTCTTATGCCGTGCACCTTCGTACATTTGGCACTGCTCAAATCAACCCTGATCCGCTCATCTCGCCGAGTGACCAATTCTTGGATATGGTCTCTCCAATTCTGAACATGTCGCGAGGGCGTAGGATCGCATTCTATCTCTCGGCGGACTATGGCGTAAATCCCGCAGAGGTTCTGGCTGAATCCCTTGTCCCTCATGTAAGTGTCCCTCGTTTTCATTGCATAGACAATGATCTGACTGTTGATTAGCTCAAGGGTGGCGATTCGGTTCTATATCATGCACTAAAGCTCTACAAACTTGCTCCAGAGCTCCGTTGGAGTGCGGGAGGTTACCTTTGGGGAGTGGACCAGGTCGTAGACCTCATGTCCGACTTGGATGATGGCACTGCTTCTGGTACACCCCGCGCACCATTTGCTATTGTAAACGGGTCATCGCCACTCAGACGCACCATGAGCAATGCTTCGGATGACACTGCTGTAGAAGACATGCGTACAAAGGTCGAGAAAAGTGGTGCAGTTACTCTCGCTGAAGCTGAAGTCATCGTTCTCTCGGATACCACATTGGCGGGTGCCATCACCAAGGAACGTGTTCCTTTCGTGCAAGGCAACGAGCTGGAGAAACTAGTAATCAATATACTGATGGTGGTATACGTACCATGAGCAACAGCACGTTTGATTCGTTATTTGTACTTTTGCCTTCACTTGTCCCCGGCCGATCGCTTGCTTTCGTTGCTGTTATATTCGAACTAATGAAGGACATGTATCACACGATCTCGATGAAGTTGTACACTACTTAGTAATCGATTCCAGTTCCCACGTCTTTCTATCTTGGTTCTAGTGTACAGTGGAAAGGTGTCTAAGTTATCATATACCCCCTTGTATCACTGTTTGGGTTTTGTTTGAATGTTATTCACGTCTTTTGCATTGACTGCTACTGACGAACTTAGAATTTCAGAGCGTAACGCATGTGTCATGATGTGAGTGCCACTGCCGCGCGCTTTGCACGACGTTTATGAAGGACCCCTGAATATCCTAACAGAGCCTATATACGGCGTGCGGACGGATATGGTCAAGAGATATCCCTCAGGTACGATATTAATGCGGACGGAAAGGCCAAAAATTTGGCCGAGCATGTATACTTTCACCGGCCAGAAGTGCCATATGGAGACTGATGTCCGATCCTCTGTGCGGACGGATGAGGCGAGCTGGTGGTCATAGGACACTGTAATTATTTGAAACATTACTATCTCCTATAGCACCAAAGAAATAAATGTGTATACGGCTCCAAAATCTCTTTGAACTCAACTGACCCTCACAGTCTCAGTCAGTCTCAACTGAAGGAAAGCATGAGAGCGGATGTCAAGGCCGATGATGCAGCAGTAGTATCTATAGCATCGGATGAAGCGGCAAATAATAGTAATACATGTTCAGGTCCCTCTTATTATTACTATGTCTGAGTCCACTTGTTGTCATTACTACAGTGAGTACTAGTGCTATCATCTGAACAAGTCGTCGTTTTCGAGCTTATATCCTTTAATGCGGACATGATCCGTCGAATTCGAGCCTATATCCTTTAATGCGGACGGACGGTGCCCGAAAAGGCATCCTATATCCCAATGCGGATGTTTGGTTGGCCAAAATAGCGTGAAATTGTGCGGACGGAAGGGTCAAAAATTAGGTATTTTCGTATATAGGCTCTGAGTGCATATTCAGGGGTCCTGTTTATGATCCCTGCTGAAGACGACTCAATATTTGCCCAAGGACTCCCAAAAACCCGCATCCACCACTCAAGGCCTACCCTGTCTAGTACTACTTTTGTGTCCAGCAGTCTGACATACATTACCAATGGTGACCTGTCTGTTGTCGCAGGTGTGACGATGACAGGTGAGCATTCCCGTTAATTTTTCAAGCATCATGTTTACAATGTTTATTCACCGTCTTAAGCGTAACCGTAACTTGAACATGATCCTTTCCAAGATGTGGCAGACGCTACCTTACACCTCCCGTTGAAGTTCGGAATCTTGTACCTTTGATCAGTGCATATACGCTACTCCGGTACATCATATGATGTATCTCATCTGCTCATCCTAACTTTATAGTGCCTTTCTATGACTAGTGGGGTAGAGCGATCTCCCGAATGACAGTCCCACAAGGACCGGAATTCTGAGTTTGCACAGGCGTCTCAGTGATCGCTAGTAGCTCACTCACAATTCATTATCTAAAGTTTGTTCAAAAGAGACATATAATCGCAACTCCACAGTGCGGCAAAAAATGCACCACCTCATTTGGAGCCTCTCCACTGAACCATATCAATGGCACGTACATATATCGGGTCCACTTACGAGATTCTATTCCATCCGTCCCCAGGATTAAAAGGAAGTTCACAGTGCCAATATCCACCCATCTCTCTCTTCGACATGTCATCCAAATCCACCTCTATTGTTCAGTTCTGCATTCCGGATATCTTGCGTACCTGGCCTTGGCCTCGTCGCCTCAGCCCTCATTACGCTATATGCAAGGCAGAATCCTCTGCATGGTGTGAGTCGTTCGAGGCGTTCAGTCCGAAGGCCCAGGATGCTTTCAATCGCTGCGACTTCAGTAAGCAGCACTGCTCAGTTTTGACCTATACATTGAGGTGATTGTATTTCTTCCTAGGTCTCCTGGCATCCTTGGCATACCCTCATCTTGACAGAGGTTGATCCTTCTTATCTTATAGCCCTTCGTCCTGCTCACGCACTAACAGATGGATGTCGTATTGGTTGTGATCTGATGAACACCTTGTTCGTCTTTGACGAATATTCTGACGTAGCAACTGCCAAGGAGGTTCACAAGCAGGCTGATATTATGATAGATGCCCTGAGAAATCCAACAATGCCCCGTGCTGTGGGAGAGTGGGTGGGTGGAGAGATCACTAGACAGTAAGTAGGATAGACTTTTAGGTGCACCAACGTGATGTTATCTTTTTCTCTAGATACTGGGAAAATGCCATTAGGACAATGACCTTGACTGCCCAGCGCCACTTCGTTGATACATTCCAGCTATATGCAGATGCTGTTGTTCAACAGGCAGTAGATCGTGACCGCCGTCACATTCGCGGTGTTGAGGACTATTTGGAGCTCCATCGAGATACTGTTGGTATCAAGCTGACATTCGTCATTCTTGAAGCCAAGATGGACCTTCCCGAAGAGGTGCTAAACCACCCCAGTATAGTTACTTTGATATCCGCGTGCATCGACATGATCATAATCTGCAATGATCTTTGCTCTTACAATGTAGAGTGAGTATGAGCCAAAATTTTCATGTCCACCCGTTGATTATCTCTTTAGACAAGCTCGCGGAGATGATGGACATAACCTGGTAACGATCGTCATGCACGAGAGGAAGTGTGGCCTTCACGGCGCACTCAAATGGATCTCGAAGCTACATGACGATCTTGTGAGCAAATTCCTATCTGCTCTGGAAGAAATTCCTTCCTTCGGTAATTCCGCCCTTGACGAAGAAGTCTCCATCTACGCAGATGGCCTTGGTAATTGGGTGAGAGCTAATGACTCTTGGAGTTTCGAAGTGAGCGAACCAATTTCAATAAGCTTTTCTCGTCATGATAAACTCATATTGTACACCCTTCAGAGCGAACGGTACTTCGGGAAGCAAGGGTTGGTAATACAGAAGACACGGGTCGTTGACTTGCTGCCACGGGAGACGGGGCGACCACCCCATCAATACGCGTCGCCCACTGGCCAGTGGAACTTGACATCGAATGTATGGGATTTCGGCTGGCACAAATGACGATAGGCAGAAACTTCCCATATTTGGATTCAGTTCTTGGCCTGTATTCGGTCTCCTTTCGCTCACCTCTTCTTCAATTTCTATCTAGTACTATACATTAGTCTCCCACAGACAGTGTAGACAGAGGTTCAACGTTTCAACCTTCAACCTTCGTACCTCAGGATATCTCTGTCTAACGGCCCAGCCTCCTACTCGTAGTCTCATCTCGATCACACACCTAATTCACTGAGCTTCCAATGTGAACCATCAGGATTCGGCTTGAGGTTCCGACGCAACTATAAGTAGTTGTTCATCATTCTTTCTCTAGGTTTTGGGGGAACGCCACTTAGACAGCGGCTTTAGCCATACAATGCCACTTCTTCGACACATGCAAACCATACGCCAACGCTGTTGTCCAACACAGGGTCATGACCGCTGCCATATTCGTAGTGTTCGGGCTTATCTCGAGCTTCGTCGAGGACACCATCGGTATCAAACCGTCATTGGCAACAACATGTGCCCCTACAGTCTGAAGTGCGCACAGACTAATTCTCTTTTTGTCTTCCTCTGATTGGACTCCACAGGCACGTTTGAGGAGGTGGAAATAACCTGATAACAATCGTTATGCACGAGCGGAAGTGGAACATTCACAGCGTACTGGATTGGATCTCAAGACTGCACGATGAGCTTGTGGATAAGTTCCTGGCTACTCTGAAGGAGATTCCTTCCTTCGACAATCCCACCCTCGATGAAAAGTCTCAGTCTACGTAGATGGAAATTGGGTGAGGGCTAGTGATTCTTGGAGTTTGGAAGTGAGTGGATCCATCTCATATGCATTCACAAAATACCTATGTTGTACACTCTTCAGAGCGAACGGTACTTCGGGAAGAAAGCGTTGGAGATAAAGAAGACAAGAGTCGTTGAATTGCTGCCATCGCCCACTGTCCAGGAAAACGCCACCGGATATTTCGGCCCTCGCTACTAGTACAAGGCCGGTGTTCGCTTCAAGATTAGTCTCGTTTTACACTCTATTTTCCCTTGCATCTGCCCTATCTATCGATTTCTAGTACCACCCAACATTGTACTCCTCTTTCATGTGCATCAAGATCTAGTAGAATACGTACTATACAGTAACTAGACTTCAGACCTTGTGTAACCGAGAGCTCCTACAAAGCTGAAAATTGGCTTCAGTTTGAACAGACTTTGAGGACATTTGACAACATTAATCTCTGCAGTCGGATGAAAGCTAGAGCTCTACATATTTGCTCATATATTAGGCTCGCTTCCAACGAACTTGCCAGTGCTAATATCAACCAAAATCACGTTCTGACTGAAGTTCAATTTCTCGGCCTGGGGCTGCATTCCATTCTATTTACCACACATTATAATACACCTGCGCCGTCATATCGGCTGTTGTTGATCCTACCACACCTTCTCGACTGGTTTCGTTAAACAAGTCACAAGTATGGCCAGCATTTCTTTCGAAGACGCAATGCTACATCAGGGATTCAGAGCCAAATGATAACGAAGGTCGCACTGCGTAGTCCATGAATACATTTGGATCTAAGGTAGTGGAATACGATAGTATTCATAGGAACGAGTCAAGCTAGAGACGATGAGGACAGCCTCTGCTACGGCCACACCAGCAAGTTGAACGACAGCCTGAGTATCTCGATCATCATGGAAGACGATCGCCTTTTAGCGCTCGAGCAACCGTACAGCTGATTCAAATATTCAGATACTCAAGTTCCAGCTAAATGGTCAGTGCGACGCGGCGGTAACTTGTGGTCACCGCTGCAGGCTCACAATCTGTGTCAATACTTATAAGACACCTAGTGGGTAGTTATCTATGTCCACATGCACGAAATTGACAGGTACAACAATCAGAACTCGCTGCGCTGCTTCTCTCATCTGCTTGTCTGTCTGACTCGGAGTCTACGCCTTCTAAAACTATGCCGATCGACAAGAATGATATTGAAGAAGAGCAAATTCATTTCGCGAATGTCGTCACGACCTTTCAGCAGTATGCTGCATACGCGGTCAGTGTCATCCCAAGATTCCGTTAACCGCTTTGTTCCTGAGTCAGTTTAACCTCATTCGCCAGCTTACTGCGAACAATCGTCGCAGAAAGGATATCTATACACTGCCGAAAGCTGATCAGGATCTTCTAATAGGGCTTGGTTATAGAGAAAAACTCGCAGAAGTAGACAAAGCCATCCTTGCTAATGCGGCGTTTTTGAATCAAGTCGTCGATAACCCAGAGATATTCGGGCATGACCCAGATGATTTCGATGATGGGGGAGAAAATGTCGATGGTCCGACTCATCAGCTTGATATCTTTCAAGTTTCGCATTCTCAATATCAGGGTAGGGTTTATCCTTCAATATGTTACCTTGACCAGGTCGTTCAAAGAAATTGTCGCATTTCCTCAGGGCATTCGCATTCACATAGCCACTCACACGGAAATCATTCTCATTCGCATTCAACACCACACAGTCATGGCTCTCATTCCGACCCTAGGAAAAGACCATATCGACCTACTGACTCTGATATGGACAAGCTTCGAAGCACTATCAAGCAATTTGTTCGCGATTGGAGTGAAGAGGTTAACCCCTCTCACAGAATCTCTGATGCTGAGTCACTGACCTTAGTCTAACAGGGCAAGGTAGAACGTGATGTCTGTTATGAACCAATGAAGAAAGCCCTGCTAGACCATTTCGGCGACATATCTGCGGAAGAGAAGTAAGTGTCGCCAACAAAATTCGACCCCTTGGAAACTCATGAATATTCGCTAAGGTCAACGCTACGAGTCCTAGTCCCTGGTGCTGGCCTTGGTCGATTGGCCTGGGATGTCGCGCATATGGGTGTGTTCCATTCTTACTGCATGTGCGTCTGCTGCAACATCATTTTGAATCTCTACCAGGATTCACTTGTCAGGGAAACGAGTTCTCACATTACATGCTTCTGGCATCATTTTTCATTCTGAACCGGTTCGTGTACATTTCCTCTCGAGATCTCCTACGGTGCACTCATCTGCCTGTACAGAACTGAGCGAGTGGGAGAACACACCCTTTATCCCTACGTTCATTCGTTTTCCAACATACCAAATAAAACGGCCATGCTACGCCCTGTTTCCATTCCAGACGTCTCTCCTTCATCATTACCTCCTGGATCTAACTTCTCTCTAGTAGCCGGTGCGTCCAAACTGGTCTCTCTGCGGCCAGAACTCATTATTGTCTAGGTGACTTTGAGGAAATATACGGCGAGGAGCACGAGGAAGGCGAACCTCAAGCAGGTGAATGGAACGCTATCCTGACATGTTTCTTCATTGATACCGTACGAGACCAATACTGCTCTCGCAGTACATAGCATGACCAGCGATTTGCAGGCCAAAAATATTGTCAACTACCTGAGGATCATTCATCGCATATTGGCTCCTGGTGGTGTCTGGATCAACTTTGGTATTTCTTGTCCGCTCGTTCTTTGTCTCGCGTGGACTAATCACCTTCCTGTAGGACCTTTACTTTGGCATTGGGAAAACAATTCGTCGAATGATCCTTCGGTAGAACTCGACCTTGAGGAAGTCAAGGAACTTGCACGCCAGATCGGTTTCGAGATTTCGGTCAGTACGGCTCGGGTTTGCTTTGGGACACGATCATTCATTTTTTTTTCCTTTTGGCTGAGACAGAACGAGAGGACCATCGACACTACGTACACGAACAACTCGCAGAGTATGCTCGGATACGTGTACCATGCGGCGTTCTGGACTGCAACCAAGAAAGCGGCTTGAGCAAATGTGATCCATTAGAAGTTAAAACGACGAGCCATTTCTGTATTCACGAAATAGATCTTTCAACCGGTAGACATCACTTCTCTGATGTCTACTGTAGGTTGGAAGATAGGAAGTTCAACGCTTCAGGGTGGCCATGAAGTAGCAAGAATCTCCTATCCATCTTAAGAATCAGCAAGGCGTTCATGTGAACAGTGAATTGGGTATCCATAGGTCGTTTGTAGATTAGAGCAAATTTCCAAAAATTGGCTACAATACATGATCGTTACACATATCCCTAGTCATGAGTCATGACAATCATCTCAATCGCGTCATAGTCACCTTCAAGCTTCAAGCCGAACTTGAACTTGAAGCCTTCTCAGCGTCTGGCACTTTCTCGCTCTTAGCTATACTCTGCTTCTCCTTCCGTAACCGCTCACTCTCCTTTATCCCAAAGCCATGCTTGAATATCTTTTGAGTTTCTTCCAAGCTCAAACCCGCAGTTTCGGGGAAACAGAAGACATCGAAGATCCAACCAAGGAGACAGAGGCCAGCGTAGAAACCAAAAGAACCGGCAGGCGTGATACGGTCCATGAGGGAGAGGTATGTGGCACCGATAAGAAGGTTCATAGCCCAGTTGGTTGTCGTTGCAAAGGAGGTGCCGATACCTCGGACTAGAAGTAAGAATAAGATATTAGACAGAAATGAAGAAGTGGAACAGCGGGAAAAAGGAAGAAAGCTCACCTTCGAGACTAAACATCTCGCCCTGCTGCCATGGGACATTACCCAGACCAGTGGCGTAAGAAGCAACATAGAAAATCATGGCGAGCAAGACAATTGCGGACCATGCGGTAGAGTATTGCGTCCCATCCATGAGCTGGCCCCCGGTCTTCAGCGTCAAGACTACAAATAGTGAAAGACCCCTCAGTCAAGCGGCGCAGACATAAGCTAAACGATAGGGAACTTACAGTGGAAAGCAACACTAGCAAGGACCAATCCGAGAACCATACCAGGCGCAGAGAAGATCATGATCTTGCGTCGACCGATGATATCGATATATTTGAGAGCGAATAATGTGAAAACGAAATTAGTGCCGGAGACGATGAGTCCGACGGCAGTAGGATTGTCGAATCCGATCTCCTTGAATAGTGTAGCACTGTAGTACCTGTAAACGATATAGCGGTGAGCTCAACGGACATGTGGGGCAGAGACCATGGGTCGTACATTAGGGTATTAAATCCAGATAGTTGTTGTTGGGCTTGTAGACCACAACTGATGACTACGAGCAATGATTAGCAGAGAATAATGAAAGAGCGCAAATGCTGGTGGTGCTTACTGAGTGCGCGTCGATTAGTGGGGTTTATAAGAATCATTCTGATTCGTTGGAACAAAGTCGTGGTGTTGGCAATGTAGACACTTTGCTTGACTGCATCACTTAAGACGCGTGCCTAAGGAAAATAGAACATGAACAAGGGATCCCGTGCTAGATGAATTGATCATACCTTAAGGTCGACCTGCTCTGCAGTAGCCCGAGCGTAGATTTTGCTCAGCACGCTTCGTGCAGCCTCCACTTGGTCTCGGCGAATGAGGATGCGCGCTAAACATTCTTATGAACACCCATGGAATGTGAAAAGTTGGCAAGGTAACTTACGAGATTCGGGAAGGAAAAACAGGAAGATAAATTGAAGCCCGGATGGAATAGCTCCCAACCCGACCATCCACCTCCAGCCTCCATGCATTTTCTCAAAGGCAGCACCGATACCATAAGCGACGACTTGACCACCTGTAATGGCTACGACGTTGACGACAACCATTCGACCACGCATTCTAGTTGGTGAGAGTTCTTGTATGTATAGAGGTGCGACGCATGCGGCGACACCCACTCCAACACCAATGAGGAAACGACATCCAATCTGCTTGACTTAGAAAATGATTGGAACAGCGAGAACGATGAAGACATACCATTGACCATACTGTATGGCAAACAGCTTGACCAATAGCACCTCCAATGAAGATGACATCGGCAAGAGCCAAAACAGGTCTTCTGCCGAGGAAGTCGGAGAGCATTCCGGCAACCAATCCACCAATAAGGGCGCCCAAAGTTGTTGCCGAAGTAATAAGTTCCTACATGGTTTTCAGTCTTCAAAAAAAAAACCGGCGGACAACATCGAGTACACTGACCTTCTGACCTGAAGATAGTTCTGCAGGTCCGAGATCGCCACCAATTGTCACAAGTGCGCCAGAGATAACGCCGGTATCATAACCTGAGAAGATATTTTATTTACACATGGTCATCTATGATGAAAACAGTACAACTTACCGAAAAGCAAACCAGAGATACTTGTACAACATACTAAAATCCATACAAACCAGGTTGTTCTGTCTTCGCCTTCGGCGACTACAGCAAGCTCTGAGATTTCTCCGGAGACGACTACTTCATCCGTCTCCTGGTAGCTAATTTTACGACATGAACGCTCGAGAATGACTTCGAAGAAGAACTTTAAACATACATTCGCTTTTCGTCCTTCCTCGAGTCATCATTTGAGATTCGCGTCATGTTGGCTAGAGAGAACTGAGGAGGGGACGAAGTGCGGGTCAGGATATGGCCGTCCTAGATATACCAGTGGAGGCGTCCAAGATGGGGTCACAGGACCATAAACTTGAAGTATGTAACTTATATCATTTCGGACTTTTGAGCAGGTGGTCCGGAAAGAGAGTGGCAGAAGCTTTTCTGTTCGCAGCAATCATCTTTGACGCAAACAGCCATCGTCTCACATCTGTGGGACTTTCTGGTACATTCAAACGTATTTGTCCTAGGTCTCGAACCATGCATTCGAGAGAGGAATGCATGTGGGGAAGGGGCGAATAGCGATCTTGCGCTTTGGGAGCATCGTTCTGCCACAGGCGTAAATCAGAAAACTACACGTTCAGGCGCCCGTCGAAGCCACAAAGAAAGAGACGCGCAGCTCGTGACCGGACCGCCATTCCGAAGTAGTTCATCAGCGCTTAATTATTCGAAGAAGTGAGCGCTTAGTGACCAGTTGCTTCGCCTTGGACGTTCACTCAGCAGGATTGCTGCCGTACTAAACCGCGTACTTTGAACTGAATTTCGCATAACAATGGTATGTTTTGATTTTTATTTGCTAGTCTTGTATGTTCTGACAAATATCTGCTAGGCTCGTAATGAGGAAAAGGCACAGTCTATGCTCTATCGCTTTCGCGAGGCCCAAGCCGCAGAGCTGGGTCTCGGTACGCGGAGCGATCGACGTCCCCGAATGGCTAGCACTTGTAAAAGCCTGAGGGATTGTGAAAGATGGCGAGGCGAGATCTTACGAGAGATCAGTCGGAAAGTGTCCAAGATTCAAGATGGTGCGTCATGTTGCAGTTCACTCACAGGCATCGCTCAGCTGACACAGTTTGAACAGCTGGTTTGACGGATTACGAAGTGCGAGACCTGAATGATGAGATCAACAAGCTCATGCGGGAAAAGAGACATTGGGAGAATCAGATTGTCGCGCTTGGGGGTGCGAACTATCGTCGGAATGTTGCCATGTTGGATGCAGACGGAAAGGAGGTGCCGGGTACAAAGAACTACAAGTACGTGTTTTTAGCTCGTATACGATGAGTATACTGACCTTATGACAGGTACTTCGGTCGAGCGAAAGACCTACCGGGTGTCCGAGAAATGTTCCAGAGCAAAAAGAAGGAAGAGGAGGAAGAAGACCAAGTACAAAACTTCTACAAGAAGTTCACCAGTCAGGGGCCTTCGTATTTCGGGGATGTGGATGAGAATGATGGCTCACTACTAGAGTTTGAACGGGAAGCGGAGGAAGAAGGTGCGTGCACCCATAACCTATCATGTGAGCACTTTACTGACCCTTTCCTGTGAAACAGAGTGGCAAGATGCCTACCAACACCTACAATCATCCCTTGGCCTATCGGAGGACGGACCGATACCTAAAATGCCTCGTCCAGCCCCACAACCTCTTGTCGCACTTTCACAAACCAACGGCCCTGCTCCTCCAACGTCAGCAGATGCCAAACGGAAGGCACCAGATGGTGATGTGGAAGTGCCAATTCAAAATGGTGATACCACAACAGATTCGTCCAAGCGTCCAAGGACCGATGGTGCCGGTACTCATCCAGCAGCCAATGGAAACGTACCAGTAGAGGCGGCGGTAGAGGCGGAGAAGATGCATGCGCGGGCAGTTGCTGCGTATATACCTTTCCTCAGTCCTGACAATCTCATGCCTCCCAAGATGCCCACAAGGGACGAGATGGAGAAGTATATCTTGGATTTACGGAAGAAGGCACTTGTGGAGGAGTATTTTGGGGACGAGCAGGCGTCGTAGTGTGTTTACTGTGTTATCTCTTGTTGTATCTTGTACTATCACTCATTTATTTGAATCTGCTTTTATCAACGTCAACTGACGGTAAAGATGGCTTTGCGCAAGGTAAACGTGTCGATTCCAGTTGAATACGATACAGAATTGAAGGTTTCACTAATATACATGACGTCTTGACTTCGATTGTTATCCTACTATGCATGCCCATTCACGCCATTCACAACCGGGCCGATTCCATTAGTCTGAATTCCAGGCAAGAACCCAGTCTCCCTCCACGCAGCCACCCACTTCCTCGCTAATTCCTCCGGTTCCATGGGCACTCTCTCCAGCGACGGCGCAACCTTCCTAGCTTTGGACGTATCAAGCCGAACGATCCCAGGAGGCTCTATGTCCTCGCCAAGGTCTGCATGTCTCCACATATCCAGAAGACGAAGCGCTGGGTTATGTTGCATGTGTTCCATTTCTGAGAAACTGTTGTCTGTTAAGCTGTTTTCCAACCTTGAGAGCCAGAGTTTCCACGGTACAAGTGGGACGCCGAGTTCTTTCGCGATGGGTTCGAGGAACATGCGCCATGGAAGAGGCTTGGGGTTCACGAGGTGCAAGATTGGTTCCTCGCTATTGCGCATTTCGATCAGGGCCGTAGCAGCGTCGTATGTTGGAAGCCAAGATACCGGGGCGACCTAAGGGTCCCGAGCCGTCAGTTCAGAGGGAACACATAACATAATATGACCAAAAGGCACTTACTCCAGGCACATCGGGAAGGCATTCGACAGAAACAGCGGACTTCACGATAGCGGGGAACCACTCTTTCTCATTCCAGTGTCCGTTAGGATTTCCGGAAAGTTGTCCTAGTCTGACTACGACACTAGGCAGGCCTGTCACATAAGTTGCTGCAGCCAGGATCTGCTCAGAGAGCCATTTGGACTCAGAATATCCTTGCCCAACAACGACAGACGGATCACGAATGGGAGCTTCAGGCGCTATCTCGCGAGATGTGGGATCTGAGTGAAGGCACTTAGAATGGGGGAATCATGGGCGTAGACAGAGAACGTACTTCTGAATACACCAACTGAACTGACAAAAAGTAAACGTGGAGGGTCGCTATAGGGCGATGCTAGAGCGAAGTCGACTAGGTTTCGAACTCCTTGCACGTGTTTTTCGTAGGAGATCAGGGACAGTTTGAAGTCCACAGGCCAAGCTGAGTGCTATGTCAATATTTCGAAACAAAGTTAAGAACAGTAAGATCACCATTGTGAATGACATGAGTCACAGAATCGCGAAGCTAACCAAAAAAAAGCGGTTAGACTTTCATCAACTTGCATTGCAGAGATACTACAACATACCTTTGCGTACTTATTGCGATCTAAACCGAAGTTCGTCTGACTGAGATCGCCTTCAAGAAGTTCAAACTTTGGCGAAGACAAGACACTCTCGGGCAAACCACGCGTCCGAAGCGCTTCCTTCTGCATTCCCAACGCATTGGTCTTGGTCCTATTGAACGCATATACTTTCGTCACAGTAGAATCATTGAGGAGTTGCACCAGTATATTCGAGCCAAAACCACCAGTGGTCCCGGTGAGGAGTACCACATCACCACCTTCTGGTCGTTCGCGTAGGAAAGATGGTCGTGGAGGGAAGTCTCGAGTGAATTGATTGATCTTTGACTCGAGTTCATGGACTCGGCTGGAAACGCCATCCAGTTCTGGTTCATGGGAAGCTTTGACAATTGAGGACAGCGTGGCTGCTAGACGGCTGATGGAAGGCGCGTCGTACACGATATTCGGGGAGACGCTTCGTACTATGCTGGGGTTGATTGCCCGTAGAGCCTTGAGAATTCCGATGCGGATCCAAGTAGCTTGCAAACTGGAAGCAAAGTCAACAAATGATTGCTTAAATCTTACAACTGCACTTGCCTATCACATCCAAATTGAAACAGATCGTCGTCATCGGAAACCTTCTGTGTCAGGATACCCGCGACGACTTGACGGACAAAGTCTAGGACTTGGCCTTCATTTAGACCCTCCAATACCGTGGTGTTCCCTTCAGCTAAATTTTCGACCGCATCGTAGCACACCTGAATCTCTGCATCGTATTCCTTAATGATGGCATGTCTTCGTACGGATCCCTTCCCGGTGAAGGTGAACGGCTTCGAAGGCGAAGCAACAAGTATCATCTGCCAGGGACATTAACCTCGCATACTCAATTTGCATATGCTAAATAAGGCTCACTTCTTTGAATAGCCGAGAATGCTGAGGAGCGTAAGCGTTCATGCGTTCTACCGTGGGCCTTTCGAGAAGTGTCAGTCTCCATCCAGGAGAAAAGATACCATGACGCACCAGATCAGGTTCCTGAACTCTTCGAGCTTCCTCACATTGGAAGAGTCAAACGCAAACTCGGGTTCCGGCTCGATGAGAACACCATTTTGGAAACGACCACGTCCGAACATCACTGCAGTACCGACGTGTGGGTCTTCGTTTATGATCTTCTCTGCAATAGAGGATCAGTATAATTGTCTGCGAATATGATACAATAAACTTTACCAAGTGGTATGGGATTCGTCTGTGATGCAATTGTCAGTCTTACTACTTTCTTCTGCTTATGTGTCTCATGCGCTTACCTTCTCACCCGTAGAGAGCATAATCTGCTCATCCGCGCGGCCATACGTAGTCCAAAAACCTTTCTTCGTCGGATGAGGAATCATCAGATCTCCTGTGGCATAGCCTTTGCGACCATTGTGCTCGAAATTGTACACCATAGGCTGATACTGGAGCTTCTCGTCTTCCTGTAACAATTCGTTGATGAATCAGCAATACACGACGGAGCATGGGTAAGATACCCACGAAAACAACAAATTCATACGTCCCGTCATCACGGGGAATGAAGTCATGTGGGATGGCAGGTGCGATTTGGAAGTAGGCCCAGTCTTTCCCGGGATTCGCTGGAAGAAGGTATTGAGTGAAGTTCTTTCGAGGTACTCAGTATTATTTACCTGGAAAAAACTGACTGATCCCTCCAGCCTCCGTGCTACAATGGAGGATGTTATAGGAACTAGGGGAACGGGTGACACTCGAACTCGGTACTCACCACCCATAACCATTAAATAAGGCTAACCCCGAATCAGCCAAGAGATCGCCAACCTCGTTGGAAAGCGGTCCGCCGCCAAATGCCTAGGAGGAATACATTAATCTAAGCAAACATCCTGAGAACATGAAAGAACTCGCCGCTCCTTTAAACTGTTTCAGTGCCTCTACCTTCTTAGGATCTCGGGAGTATTGCTGTAACCACATATCAACCGATGATTGCTACGCATGACTTAGCAAACGCACCTCTAGCATAGAAGGAACGGAACAAAGGATAGTACTTTGCGTAAGGGCAGCGACTTCGATGGTGTTGTCGGAATTGGGAACCATGGCGGGTGCTTGAGGCTTGAATACAGCTGCTGTCCCTCCCGTAGATGCCTGTGAGATCATGTCAGTCACTGCGTAAGAAACAAAATAACAGACGTACTATATAACACACAGTGATGGCACCCATGGGATGAGAAATTGGAAGCCCATGAAGACCGAGTCTCTCTTCGGCGAGATCTATGTCGCCAAACCCTATTGAGGTCATTCGTTGAGAGGCGTTGCGGATATACGTAAGGGAAAGGCTTACATGGCATACGGAACCACAGAATGGTATCGTGATGGCGCCAAGTGATGGGTTTGGGGAACGCCGTAGTCCCTGAGAGAATTAGCCGTTAGAAGTTGTTCATGCACTAGAAATGGCTACATTACCGGAGGAATGAAAAATGAATGCCGGAGAATTCAAGTCATAATCCACAAGTGGAAAACGCTGGAACGCTGAGTCTGGTTGAGGTGGGTAGAGATTTTCAAATATCGGCATCGGGTGCACGGGTGGCACGACATAAGTTGAATGATCCTCAGATCTTGAGATCAAATCAATAGCCTTTTTGGCAACTTGATGTAATGCAGGTTCGCAACTGATGAAAAGAGCGGTCGCTTGAACTTTCTGCAGTAGATGTGCTACTGCGTCCGGTCCATTGCGAGGGGATATCGCAAAAGCAACAAGATTCGCTCTCACGATCCCCATTATAGAAGTCCAGTACGTGATAGAATCTATAAAAGATAATTAGGGTTATGCTGTTGGAACTGCGAATGAACTGTATCGCTAACCTGATGCCGCTAAGACTGCGATAATTGGTCGAGTCCCATCCTGCTGACCGCCAGACTTCACACGGTTGGAGAAGTAATGTGCAGCTCTACTCATTCCATCCCTTACTTGCCTCCAAGAAATTTCCACTAGCTCATTGCCATCTGGGTAGACGAAGTGCGGATGATCCGGATTCTGCTCAGCTATCCAGTCCAGCAAGGTTGGAGCAGAGACGCCTCCCTTCTCGAGCAAAGGACGAATTGATTTGTAGGCATCGCGATTTAGCGTTTGAGTGTCGGGAATGTGATACATAACAAGCACCCAGAGAAGCAAAGACAATCACGTAGCAGCGAAGTGGGTGCGATGCAAGACTATATATGTTTATGATCCACACTGGGCCCACGGTCATCAGACTCAGTTTGTCCGAATTTGCGGGTAACAACAGTGGAAACTCCCAGCATGAAACACACCTGTATCGTGAAATGACAAAGCCATAGGAGAGGTAGCAAATCAGGTGTGAGCCTCACATTCCCCTGTGAAGATGAGTAGATCTGGATGAGCGCAAATTGAAAGACATCATAGTGTGAACAATCACCCGAACTCAATAGCTGACAGCTTGGAACCCGTGGACTACAAACGTCGATAACATATCCCAGGAATAGGAGATAAAGGCTTTACCAACTTGCATACTTCCCTTACTTGCCACGGGACCAGTCTGATGCATGAGAGCCATTGGAGTGTGAACTATTTCAGTATTATTTCGGTCAACTTCCGCACCCGGATACTGAACTGCATCGCTGGCTGGTATGGGCCGACCGCACCCGAAGTTATTTGTACCGAGTTTGGATTTGTTTTGTGCGATACAATTGAGTCCCTGCATGCAGATCCCACAGAAAGGACCATATAGATCGTTCTAACAATGTAGATGTAATCTTTGGAAAGTGAAAACTGCATCTGGAAGAGTCACGCTGGAAGCTGACGGAAATTCGGCTCGCTGAATTGTCGCCGTGCGTACTGTTTGAGATTGTTTGTGGCTGTGTTGGGTCGTAACCCAAATGCGGCAGGAGGCATGCCTAATCTGTAACACTGAGCCCAATTATGGTAGGACGCGTCCTAGTTACAATAACACAAACTCCCTGCAAACTTGTGCAAAAAGAGTCGTTATGTGACAAGGATCCTAAAGAGCTGCCTCAAGTCAGGTTTATCTGCTCAGTTTATGATCACTCATCTCTATGCTTAGCACTAACTTGAAGCCCGTCGGCGTCTTGTCCGCGGCATCCAGAGTATTTCAGGAGCTGTTTCGTCTTAGAAACTGAAACGATCATATAAACATTTAGCAGGTGAACGGACGCATCATCAATGAACCCGTAGGTATGACTGCGTCACTTTCCGGCATACGTCGGCGAGAATACAGATCTGGATAAGTCACATTGCCCTCAAGCAAAGTTGCGGCCGAAGACCAAAAGTAAAGATACGATGATACAATATATGTAAAGAGCTGGTGCTAATAGTACAGACCGTCCGTGCGGCAACAGGACTATAATAAAGCCTTACAGCTGTCCTTTTACACAGTCGAAGGTAGGAATCCCGACGCCCTCCAAGCAGCTACCCACTCCTTCGCCATCTGCCTGGACATCTCAACTTGAGTCAGCGAAGGAGCGACTGACGTAGATTTGGAGCTATCCAACTTGACGATACCCGGGGGCTCAAAATCCTCGCCGAGATCGGCATGCTGGAACATCTCGAGCAGGCGCAACGCTGGATTCCGCTGAAGATGCTCCACCTCAGACAGACTCGTGTCCTTCAAACTGTCCTCCAACTTGGACAACCAAATGTGGTAAGGCACGAGGGGTACACCCAATTCATTGGCGATAGGCTCGAGGAATGTACGCCAAGGGTTCGGTCTGGGATTCACGAGATGGAGAACCGGGTATTGGCTATGACGCATTTGAGCGGTTGCTTCTCCAGCATCATACAATGGCAACCAAGAGACAAGACCAGCCTGCGCGAAGTACTGAGCATGAGATGTAGTGGTGATTATATATCGGTACTCACCTCTGGTACATCGGGAAGGCATTCAACAAAGAGACCTGACTTGACTATCGAAGGGAACCACTCCCTCTCGTTCCAGTAGCCGACACGGTTCCCCGCAAGTTGACCAACCCGAACAACAACGGTGTGCAAACCAGTGTTTCTTGTTGCCTCATTCAAAATATGTTCGCAAACCCACTTGGATTCTGCGTAACCTTGTCCAAGAGGTACAGAGGGGTCGTCAATGAGCTCTTCAAGAGCAGTGTCTCTTGACTTCGGCTCTGCAGAATAGACTGTCAGGATTGTGGACGGAAAGAACCAGGAGTACCACTCACTTCTGAAGATCCCTATACTGCTAATGAACATCAATCGCGGAGCGTCAATGAACGGAGACGATAGAGCGAAGTCGACCAAGTTGCGGGTTCCTTGCAGATGCTTCTCGAAAGAAATCAGGTTCAAATTGAAGTCAACAGGCCAAGCTAAGATAACGTTTTATTTCAATCGTTCCTGTCATCAAGCGAACCATACTTGCCATTATGAATGATATGCGTGATCGAATCCCGCATCTATAGAGGCAAGGTTAGAAACGACGACGTTTGAACTGAAGGTAGAGCCGCATCGTACCTCTTCATAAAGCGCAGCATCAAGACCAAACAATGGTCTGCTCAAGTCGCCTTCCACAAGACTGAACTTAGGGCATCGCAAGCAATCCACGAGCACACCCTGCTTAATGAATGCGTTTACTTGACGTGCTACAGCATTCTCAGAAGACCGGTTGAAAGCATAGATCTTGCGCACAGTTGGATCGTTAGTGAGATGGGCCAACATGTTGCATCCCAGTCCACCGGTGGTTCCGGTGAGCAGAATGACATCACCGGTCTCCGATCGCTCACGAAGGTTTGTTGGTCGAGCAGGGAAAGATTGCGTGAATCGTCTGACTGCATCCTGCAGTTCACGGGTGCGGGCGACCGTAGAATCGGCGTCTCCATTCGCGGGGGCTTTGAGGACGTCGAGGACCAATTGAGTGAGACCAGCAATGGTTGGAGCTTGATAGACGAAGTTGGGAGAGAGCTTCCGGGAGGCGTTCAAATCGTGGGTCTTGATAGCCATCAGGATTTTATTACGAATCCATGTGGCTTGCAAACTTGACCAAAGTCAGCATCATGTCAGTCTAGCAACAAAGATCTATCTCACCTATCGCATCCGGTCTGGAAGATATCAAGATCGTCTGAGACATCCTGGGCCATGACGCCTGTAACAACTTTCCGAATGAAAGTACTGAGAGAGCCTGCGTCGAGACCAGTCAAGGTAGGAGTATCGACGGTAGCAGACTTCTCCACTTCATCATAGCATGCATTGATTTCGGCTTCATAGTCATTGACAATCACCCCTCTTCGCGTGGAACCCTTAGCGGAGTAAAGGAACGGCTTGGACGGGGAGGTGACAACGATCATCTAGACATGTATATTAGTAAATCCATGATGCCTATTCCCCAAAGAGCACGCACCTCTTTGAACAACCTAGAATGTTGGGGAGCATAGGCATTCATACGTTCTACGGTGGGCCTATTAAGAATTAGGAGGTCATTAACCTGATATCGAATGCTTATACACAGGCTTACCAAATGATGTTTCTGAATCTTGCTAGCTTGGTGTGATCATGCGGGTCAAATATATATTCATCTTTGGGCTCAATCAGCACGCCGCTATGGGGACGCCCACGACCGAACATGATAGCGCCTTTAATATGAGGGTCCTCCAACAAGATCTTCTCTGGAATCGGCCATGAATACAAGGTCAATCTCACACAGCAAGACGGTAACGACGTACCAAGTGGTACAGGGTTCGTCTGTTCATGGAATGTACGATGAACAATTGGAGTCGAATGTCACATATTGTCACATACCTTTTCACCCGTTGAAAGCATGATCTGCTCATCCGTCCTCGCGAAGATCTTCCAATAGCCCGGTTTAGTAGCATGAAGCATGAAGAGATCGCTCGTGGCGTAGGCTGGGCGACCATCTAGCTCAGCATTGGTAACCATCGGAGTCCATCCCTCGTCCGCCTGAGAGAATGTCATTCAACATGAAATGAACTCATGATAGCGACGAAAGAAAGCACTTACGAATGCAACAAGCTCGAACTTTCCTTCTTCGCGGGGAACAAAAACGGTGTTTGCTTGAGGATTTGGTCGCATGTAGTCCCACGTCTTGCCAACATCAGCTGTCAGTATCCAAGAGATACTTGTGAGTCCAAATTAGGTTCCAGGTATGGGATAAGCGTACCCGGAATGAAGAGACTCAATGCTCCGGTTTCAGTGCTATGGCGAAGCATGTTAGAACAAATCACACCAAAGGCACTATAAAGATATGACAGGCCATAGCAATTGATGACCTTCACGCCTGCATCTGCCAGATAGTCACCAACTGCTTGGGAGAGGGGGCCACCTCCAAACATCTGGAATGATGTCAGACTCATGCCATCTCACCAAGGAGAGTTAACTTACTATACCCTTCATGGTCTTCAAGAAAGCAACTTTCTCGGGGTCCCGAACCCAGTCCTATCTACCGTGTCAAGCATAGATATCAGACTGTGAAAGAGAGCACACCTCAACGAAAGACGGCACAGCAACTACCAGATCGTTCCTCGTTTTGAACGAGCACTCAAAGACATTATCCGGGGTGGCCACTAAAGCTGGCGCTTGAGGCTTGAGCATAGATACAGTGGCCCCGCATGGAATCTATACCACAAAGAGGGATGTCAAAGTCGGATAAGCCAAGGAATAGCACGTAGCTTACAGCTATAGTCATCGTCGTCAACAACCCCATACCGTGGTACATTGGTAGACCATGGGTACCCAGGATTCGTCCAGTAAAATCCACTTCTCCGTAATCTACGGATGTGTACGCTCAGTTAACACTCGCTTAACATGAGGAAGATACACGTACAGGGTGTTTGGCAGCATAAGAGCAAGTGCTTATGTGTCCATACGATAGGTTTCGGGAAGGCCGTAGTACCTAAAATATGGTATATATGAGTTCGCGACATAACACTTGAGGCAACAACGTACCCGAGGAATGAAGGATATAGGCAGGAGCATCCAAGTCATATATTTGCTTCGGGAAAGTGTCAAGCGATGGGTCGCCTCCTGACGAATAAAGGTCTTCGAAAACAGGCATGGGGTACTGCGGAATTGTCAACGGTTCCTCCGTGGAATTAGAAAGAAGCGCGATGGCTTTCTTCGCGAGTGTCTGGATCCCGGCCTCACTACTCGTGAAGAGAACCTGACTTTGAGTCTTTCGTATTAAATGGGCAACCGCGTCTGGTCCATTCCGAGGGGAAATCAAGAAGGCGGTGAAGCCAGCACGGACGACACCCATCATTGACGAAAAATATGTGATCGAGTCTAGAACAAAATCGAGTCTCCTCAGTGAGGCTACGCTCGGGGAGAGAGATTTGGACATACCTGTCGAGGCGAGTATGGCAACTACAGGCGGCGATGCAGACTGATTGCTCATGGGACCTACACGTTTGACGAAGTAGTGTGCAGCACGGTTAAAGCCTTTGTTTACTTCCCGCCATAAAATGTGATGGAGAGTGTTGTCCAGGTTGTCATGATAGACGAAGAACGGATGCTCAGGACTATTCTCCGCAATCCAATCACACAAGTCCGGCACTGGGAAGTCACCCCGGACAAGCAAAGGATATACAGACTTGAAAGTCTTCGAGCTGAGAGATTGAGAGTTGGGTAGCTGGGATGCTGGCATCAGTGGCAAGGAGTCAGAAGGCGAATTCAACTGGTACGATGGGACTGTACTGAGAACATACCATGGACTTATATACCCAGGAAACCTATGTCGACTTAACTAGTGATCTGCAATTCATGACGAATGTTGATGACCGAAGGGCTGGCGTAGTTAGAGGGCGTCCGATGATGGCTTCCGATATTGACAACAGATCCGCGGTGAAACTGCCAGTCCGAGTGCTTTACATAGTTTATCGCATGCGAAGACTTGTAGCGTCAAAAGCATTTGGTTTCGCATGTCACTGTCGGTGCTGTCAGGACGTCCCTGCTCAAGGTGAGTCAGCAGACTTGCATACACATGCGTACGTGAGATCGCCACCCAGACTTACACTTGCCTGTGATGTGCTGGAGCCAAAAATAAGCTCGTGCCGGACATCGATGAGACGCCACTGGCAGGTCTGATTGTCTTGGGACTTTGCCTGCGAAGACTGCTTTTGACGTTCCAGTTTGCGGTAAGAAAATGCTCATACTAGTCACAGCGACAAACATTGATCAAACGACATACCTGGAAGGCTTTGACTCGGTTATTGGCAGTATGATAAGTTATGTAATACTCGTGCCTCCGAGACGGGGGCGTTGCAACTTCGTGAGTAAACAACTTTCGCAGAGGACTCACATTACAGCTACTACGTACGTCACGACAACCGAAGCGGTCCAACGGAAGGTGAGCGAGGAATCTCCATGCCGCGGCAATTGTCGGACTAAGAGCTCGGCACGAAACATGATGGCTTAGTCGAGTACCAGATCGAGCAAGTACTTTGTGGCGGCTCCGTGGCAACTGATAATAGGCATGCAGGCTGCAGCTCTTACATCTCAGTAGATGAAAGGCCTAATGATAGTTGATTCCGTCGAATTCTTCTTCTTTACTCATCTCCCAGTGGTTCTTAACAGGTTTTTGGCTGTCATTGTTGTAGTATGTACACTGGTCAATCTCTGGTCCTAGTACAGTCGAGTGGCCGAGTCGGATGTTATCAAGCGTGACGGGAAGTAGGATAGAAAACAAGAGAGGATCTCCTTCCGAGTGTACGATCAAGACGGATTGACATACACGATTGAGTCAGGCTCGGAGAATTGGGACAGGGAGCATATATGCTCGGAGCGGTGCGTCTAGGTGGTCGAAGCCGATCAAAGAATTGAGAGGGATGCAATTTGGCAGTGGCAGTACCGGGATCGGAGTCATTTCAAACGTAGAATAGTAAGCATGGCTTGAGCTGGGCTTCATCTTGCACACAAAGGTCTTATAAACCTGCATTCCCTGGATTCACGAAGATTTATTACAGTTTCATCGCTTGCAGACCAATAAGATCATCGAGCCTGAGACCGTCGCTTCTTTAAGGGCTAGAATTTCTTGCTGTTACCACTCACCGACTATACTAGCTGCAAGTCTAACCTATTTTAAAACTCGACGCCTTGAGAGGCATCATGGTTATCGCCGACCTGGGAGGGTATATCCCTACGTATCTCTTCAATATAAATCTCTGCACATTGATCGACTCGGAATCCATGAACACTCATAAGTCAAACTGCTTACCTACAAAACGTGACAGACCTGCAAGTCCAAGTGATGGTGTCTGATGTAAAGAAGGCTGCAACGGCTCGAGGCTTCGGGTAGTCGTCGACGCAGACGACGTTCACCACATGTACTGCCACTCCTCATGCTGACAGTGGTTCGTTGCATGATATTTATTGACTCAATGATATTACTCTTCATCGACTCCGAAATGGCCTCTTAAAGTGGCCTTATTGAGCAATCTTCCTTCAAAGTTGGCCTGGCTCTCGGCGTCTTGGAAGACGGAAGCTCATCAGTGTCGGAACTCGTGGCAAGGTATCAATCCAAGCTCCGACAGGACAATAAGCCAACAACAATTATCATTGTGCCGGACAGCAAACGAGTTGTTCTGTCAATGAACCTCTAGGTAGCAAATCTATAAGTAGAAAATCTATGGCAAAAATGTCCGATCATCCTTCTCAGGCAGTAGCTGGCAAGAATCCTGATGCCCTCCAAGCAACCACCCACCCTTTCGCCGTCTCTCTAGACATATCAGCGTGATTTAAAGAAGGGGCGACTTCAGTGGACTTCACGGTGGCCAACCTGATGAGACCAGGAGGCTCAATGTCCTCGCTGAGGTCGGCATGCTTGAACATCTCGAGCAGGCGCAATGCGGGGTTGCGCTTGAGATGCTCCACTTCAGACAGACTGGGGTCCTTCAAACTGTCCTCCAACTTGGACAACCAAGTGTTGTAAGGCACGAGGGGTACACCTAATTCGTTAGCGATAGGCTCGAGGAATGTGCGCCAAGGGTTCAACTTTGGGTTGACCAGGTGGAGGGTGGGGTATGGACTGTGACGCATTTGAGCTGTAGCCTCTCCAGCATTATGCAAGGGCAACCAAGAGACAGGCCCGACCTACAGACTGATAAGTATGAAAATATGGCGCTGATATAGATATACTCACTCCTGGGACGTCGGGAAGACAACCAACGAAAACACCGGACTTGACGAGCGAAGGGAACCACTCCCTCTCGTTCCAGTAGCCAACACGATTTCCCGAGAGCTGACCAACCCGGACAGAGACGGTCGGCAAGCCAGTGTGTTTTGTCGCTTCAGCCAGAATATGTTCGCCAACCCACTTGGATTCCGCATATCCTTGTCCGATAGGCACAGAGGGATCGTCAACTAGTTCCTCAGGAGCGATACCTCTGGACTTTGGATCTGAATGGGGAGACAGTTAATATTGGTACCGGGACGACAAGAACGACAGGATATTGTTACTCACGTCTGAACATGCCTATACTGCTGATGAACATCACCCTCGGAGCCTCGACGAATGGAGAAGACAGGGCGAAGTCGACCAGATTACGAGTCCCTTGCAAATGTTTCTCGAAGGAGACAAGGTTGAGGTTGAAGTCAACGGGCCATGCTAATGAATGGATGTGATTAGTAGCGATCTCTTTGCGGACACGAATGATGCTTACCATTATGGATGATGTGTGTAACGGAGTCTCTGATCTGTGCGAAACAGTGTGAGAAATAACCATCGCCTTGAAACGAAGGTGGAGACAAAATCGTACCTCTTCATAAAGAGCCGCATCAAGACCGAAAAATGGCTTGCTCAAGTCCCCTTCCACAAGTTGGTACTTGGGACGTCGCAAGGAATCCGCCAGCACACCTTGCTTGACGAACGCATCCACTTGACGCTCCACAGCCCTGTCCGAGGGCCTGTTGAACGCATATACCTTTCGCACGGTAGGGTCCTTGGTCATGTGAGCCAACATATTGCATCCCAATCCACCAGAGGTGCCAGTGAGCAGAATGACATCACCAGCTTCCGATCGCTCGCGAAGGTTTGTTGGTCGAGCAGGGAAAGATTGAGTCAATCGCTTGACTGCATCCTGGAGTTCACGAATACGGGCGGCGGTAGGATCGGCATCTCCGTTGGCAGGGGCTTTGAGGACGTTGAGGACCAATTGGGTGAGACCGACAATGGTTGGAGCTTGATATACGAAGTTGGGAGAGAGTTTCCTGGAGGCATTCAAATCGTGGGTCTTGACAGCCATCAGGATCTTGTTACGGATCCAAGTAGCTTGCAAACTTCACAAGAATTAGTCCCATAATGTAAAAGAAGGTTAAATAGGTTCTTTCTTACCTATCGCATCCGCATTGGAAAATATCGACGTCATCCGCGACTTCCTTATCCATGACATCTGTAACAACTTGCCGAATGAAGCCCCGAATAGATTCCGGCTCGAGATTGTCCAAAGCGGTGGTGTCTATATTGGCAGATTTCTCGACTTCATCGTAGCACGCATTGATTTCCTCTTCATAGTCACTGAGAACGGTTCCTCTACGCGTCGAGCCCTTTGCAGTGTAACTAAACGGCTTAGAGGAAGAGGTAATGACAATCATCTGCGCAGAACGTGTTAGGGGAAGTTAATACTACACATTCGCGGATCAATAAACATACCTCCTTGAATAGCCTCGAATGTTGAGGAGCATAGTCATTCATGCGCTCTACAGTTGGCCTGTCACAACGAGAAAACATTAGCACGGTGATCAACGTGCTTTGCAAAGTGATGCTGCTCACCAGATTAGGTTCCTGAACTGTGCTAGCTTCGTGTGGTCTCGTGAATCGAAGTTGTACCCTGCCTTCGGCTCAATCAGGACTCCGTTGTGGGGCCTGCCTCGGCCAAACATAATCGCGCCTTGAACATGAGGGTCCTCGAGCAAAATCTTCTCTGTAACGATTGGTCATCATGAGCGTATATTCATCTGAATATGTAGTGAGAGCGTACCTAGTGGTACCGGGTTTGTCTGAGAAAGGGTTAAATTGAGTAGCTGCTTTGAGAAGATTGGGTATCAGCGTACCTTTTCACCCGTGGAAAGCATAATCTGTTCATCAGTTCTTGCAAAGATCTTCCAATATCCTGGCTTCGTAGGATGAGGGATGAACAAATCGCTCGTGGCGTATGCAGGGCGACCGTTCAACTCCGTATTGACGACCATCGGAGCCCATTGTTCATTAGCCTAGAGCAACAACAATTGTAAGTTAATCTGGGCACAACGATGGGGACGGGGTTGAGAGGAAGGACTTACGAATGTGACCAATTCGAACTTCCCTTCTTCGCGGGAAACAAACTCGACATTTGCCTGGGGATTGGGTCTAATATAATCCCAATGCTTGCCAACTTCGTCTGTTGGAATCGGACACGTCAGATGTCGTGTTCTTCAAGTAGACGGTACACTTACGGGGAAGGAAGAGATTCAAGCCGCCAGTCTCAGTCCTGCCATCGAGACGGGTTAGTGAAAGACTTTGGAGAATATGGATTCACAGAGGCACTTACAGGCCGTAACATTGGAAGACAGTTACACCTGCTGCTGCCAGATAGTCACCCACAGTCTGCGAAAGCGGACCGCCTCCATATAGCTGCAATCTTGTCAGAGCATGTTGCTAGCTTGAGCAAAAGGAAATACTTACAGTACCCTTCAAGGTCTTCAAAAACGCGACCTTCTCCGGGTCCTTTGCCCAATCCTCGAGTAACGATGGCACAGCACACAGTATATCATTCTTCTTCTTGATTGCACCCTCGAACACGTTGTCTGGTGTAGCCACCACAGCCGGAGACTGGGGTCTGAAGACAGACACAATTGCTCCAGAGGAAGACTGGATACCGAACATTCAAATCAGAACAATATATCGAGATACGAGATGCAACCATACCGCAAAGCTGAGGAGTAACAAGCCCATGGCATGGTACACAGGAAGACCATGGCAGCCCAAAGTCAGCCCGGTGAAATCGATCTCACCGTAATCTAAACGGGCAGATGAGTACTGCCCATATCTCGAAACGACGAAAAGCACGTACAAGGTGTGCGGCAAGACTGAACCATAGCATGGTGGGACCAGGTTATGGGCTTAGGAAAGGCCGTTGTACCTGAACAGCACTTTCAGACGTCTCGACAGAATTTGAATGTGTCGCAACCACGTACCAGAGGAATGGAGAATGCAAGCAGGCGCATCTAAATCGTGCTTTCTCTTCGGGAAAATGTCTAAAGAGGCACCTCCTTGTAACGAATACAGGTCCTCGAACGTTGGCATTGGGTGATTGGGAATTATGAGAGGTCCCTCCTTCGTAGAGCTTGAGAGAATGGCAAGGGCCTTCTCAGCGAGAGCCTGGACTCCGAACTCGACACTCGTGAAGAGGACGCGAGACTGCGTCGTGCGAAGGAGGTAAGCCAAAGCATCCGGACCATTTCGAGGCGAAACCAAGAACGCAGTGAAGCCAGCACGGAGGATGCCAACAATGGAAGAAAAGTACGTGATAGAATCTGAGGATAAGGTTAAGCTTTTGTCAGCAAGAATTATTGTATGGGGGATAATAATAGCAGATACCTGAAGAGGCAAGGAGGGCGACGACGGGCGGTGCCGCCGCCGCCTGCTTGTCCTGAGGGTCAACCCACTTGGCGAAGTAGTGCGCCGCACGGTTGAAGCCTCTATTGGCTTCACGCCATGTGATAGTATGAAGGGCATCTTCAACATTGTCGTGGTACACGAACAGGGGATGCTCGGGACTACTCTCTGCAATCCAATCGTATACTTCCGGCAAGGCGACGTTTCCCCCTGCAAGTAAGGAGTGAGTGGACTTGAACGTCTTTGAACGAAGAGACTGAGTATTGGGCAGTTGGAAGGCTGACATGATTGAGAAAGGGTTAGAAGAGGAAGAGGAACTGAGTATGCTTTGGTGAGAGTCGGAATGCCAATGGGCAGCATACTTATATCCTCCCCGGATACATGTCAATTTTGGTTATTCAGTCAACCGTCGGCTTGTAACTCCAAAATCAACTCTGATGACGGATGGAAGCGGTTACAGGTGGATATCACGTCCGACGAAGTCTTCTCGATACGACCAGAGCTTTTGGCAAGAAACGCTATCCGAACACCTTAATCGTCACCAATGTTGCTACAGAGAATTCCTCTGATAATGGCAAGGCATGAGTCAGTGGGATTGCACATGCGGGTATGTGAAATAGCGACCGAGGAAAGCACCCTTATTGTGCCGAACCCTAAAATAGATACATACCGAAGCGCACCGATGAAGCTGCCAGGGTCCGATTCTTTACCATGCCTGCGAATGCTTCTGCTTCCATCGCACCAAACGAGGCAACTCTCGAATGTTAAAGAAGTGTATCGCGGACTCACACCGATATATGGGTTGATTAGTTTATGACGTCCTAATCGAGTGTTCCTCTGAGTCAAAGGCATGTGTATTAGTCGCCCGGCAAGAGTGAAGTGATTTCTTACACATCCGTTTGCATCTTGTTTTTAAGCTGTTAATATCTGTTCAAGCCCATTATTGAGAGACTCAATTAGCACAATTGGAGTCAGAAAACAAGAAGACAAACGTAGATGGATTAAAATAAAGAACCAGTTTGTATATGTCTGCGCGTAACACTGTGCCAAAGGCTCGGCCAACAGGACGGAGTATATCTGGCAGTGCGCAACATGGCGATGCGAGGTGAGCGTTGTTCGGTCAGAAAAGCGAGAATAAAGAATGTGACTGGAAGGTAAGGCGTCAGGATCGGACAACTGGCCGTCAAATGCTTCACAGTAAGCCGCTGGGGCCTCAACGATACATCATATAGGGTTAAGAGATACGATGCGAGCAAGTTGCGAGAGCGAAAGATATCTTGAAGATTCTTGGACAAGTATGGACATCCAAACTGATGGACGTTCTAACGGAAGCCACCCGACTGGCTGCAGATAAGATAAGATGTTGCTGCCTAAGCAGCTCCATTGTCCAAGTACTTTGAGTTTCTAGTGGGGTTCTCAGCATTCCTCCTCCTCCTCTTTCTCCTCTACTGACGATTTCTACTCTTTTCCTACTCTCTTTTCTCTCATACCATAATGTCCCCTTCAGAGTCTGCACAGGCAGTTCCGCTTCCACGACGACGAGACTCGCTAAGCGCATCGTTCACCTCCGCTAATACTAACAAGCCACCCGTATGGTCAATCGACGAGCGTGCTGCAGCCGAACCAGCACCTTTACCCGCAAAATGTGACAGACATATTCCCGGAAGGGAAGGCGTATGCTGTAAAGAACTCAGAGACGTCGACGAGAGGACGCTCATTGACCCAGACGTTGTCCGCGATGTGTGAGTACCATCACCCTTGAACCCCTTTTGCATATCATGCTACGTTGCACAACTTGTACTGACCACATGGCCCTTTACTTGATAGCGTAATAGGATTGTCAGATGGCCTTACAGTGCCGTTCGCCTTGACGGCCGGTCTCTCTTCGCTCGGAGAATCTAGGCTGGTCATCCTCGGAGGTTTCGCAGAACTCATAGCTGGCGCACTCTCAATGGGTATCGGCGGGTTCCTTGCATCTCAAGCCGAACGTGACCACTATCTCTTCCTCAAAAAATGCACCGAGTCTCGTGTACAACGGTGTTGTGATGGAGAGATGGAACGGGAGGTGTATGGCGTCCTCGGTCCTATAGGCGTAGACGAGAAGACTAGCCGAATGGTTGCGAGGAGTCTGAAGGAAGTTGAATTGGCCACAGGGGGTGATGGGAGCAGTGTTGGTTCAGGGGCAGGACCCGAAGAAGCCGGTCTCAAATGGAGCAAGACTGTTGGTCTCACCGCGTTCCTACTAAAGTTCGGTGAAGGATTGGAAGAAATTCCCACACGACGAATGTACATTTCTGCATTTACGATTGGACTGGGCTATCTTCTCGGAGGTTTCGTGCCTTTACTACCCTACTTCTTCAGTAAGTACATTCAACACACTGAATATTTTCTCCTGGCTGATCATGGATCATAGTTCCTGTCGCACATATCGCGCTCATATACTCCTGCATCATCACTGGTATCGTCCTTCTCATATTTGGTGCAGTGAAGGCTCGCGTTACCGGTGCAGCTGGTGCAGGAATCGGTGGCTACGTCTGGGGAGCAGTTAGCATGCTGCTTGTCGGTGGTGCCGCGGCCGCAGCAGCCTATGGTTTGGTTGCAGCGCTCGAAGGATAACCCTCGTTATCTTCGATGTGTTTTTAGCTTCATATCTTCTTCTTGCTTGCTCGGACTTGTGGTGATTGGTTTCTTGCAGGGAATATTCCCCGGTTCATATATTGCTTAGAGTGCTCACGGTCTTTTGTAATTGATGTAGCTTGTACTCCTTTCTTTTCTGCTTCGTGCTTTGTATGTATTGTTACCTTATATCCATGGGTTGTGGACTTAGCTTACCATGGCACATAGAGTTAGTTCCTCTTATAACGATATCCTAGATGCGCCCTGTCAACTTCTTTCTCACATTCTGTCCATCTGCTCAAACCTTAAACGAATTCGGAAGTCTGACAGGCCGCTATGATAAGTGCTTCTTTTTTCCTAATACACCAACATGTCCTTCGAGGAGAATGTCGAAGCGATACCTCTTATGCATCCAGGCGAAGACAATGCGCACACGTCTATGCCAAAGCGTCGAGGGTCCCGATCTTCAAGCAACCCCCGGGGATTCCTGGCTAAATGGACTTCTCTTCCCCATTCAGCCCTCCTCATAGCATTGCTTAGCTTGTTCCTAAGCAGTCTGGGACTAGCAAGCTCATTGCGAAGTTTCAGGCAACAAAATGAACTTGACGAGGCACAACTCGAATTACTTCGGAAGCCAAGTCTTTATTTTGGATTTGATAAAGTCCCTCGGATCCAGCAGATACTGTCCTTGGAAAGTCTTATAGCCCAGGCTCAGGGCACTGCCACGAGCTCTGTCGTTACTGAGCCTACGCATTCGTTGGATGAGGATCACCCAACTGCTGGTCATGGTCATGGTCATGTAGCCACGCCGGCTGCAGGTCCAGGTCGACCGGTGAATATTGCCAGAGTAAACTCACAGTATCCTGATCAAATATTCGCGCGAGATGGTTGGGTGTTAATTACCGAACACGTGAGTAGACTTTGTAACTTGATCCTGGTCTCCCATATCGTTCTGACACTTTGATACGATTCCTAGGATAGAACCTTACTGGAGTTTCGCACATCTTCACATACCTCACGATGCGTCTTCGCGTCCTACTTCCCAACCCGACGATCACTAGGCGATCGACTCCTCACTATCGAACTAGATGATCCGAACACCCCAATAGCCAGGATCCAGCTGACTACGATGACAGTCTCTGAGTCTGTCGACTTCGCGACTTTGACATGGAACACACGCCCACAAGCATTGAAACTAGTTGGAGAACTCGATGCCTCATTTGGACGTAATGACACGACAGGAGAGTTCGATTGCGAACCTGATACACGGCTATTGGTGGAGTTGGCTTGTATTGGACGAGGTTGCAGGATTGAATATAAAGATGAAACTGGGTTTCCGAAAATTGGTAGGCAACCTTATTCGCTCTGAACCACGTTGGTGCGAAGGTTAATTTGTATGCAGGCATAGAGCTGGTAGACTCATAATTCTTGCCACCGGCCTACAGAACATGAGATATCTCAAGCGACGGAATGTACGTCAGTTGAAGCAGCCACAGCAATTCCTCAGTTGATGGTGGTAAGAATCGTTCCCCAAGTACGCCCCCAGGAAAAGTCGTAGTGCAATTCAAATGTTGTTGCAGCATGGAACACAAGTACATACTACATACAGATGACCTATAATTATTGTAGTTACAGCTGATACGATCACTACAAGCACATAATGAACTAGATTAGGTGACTTCGCATATTAAAAGATTGACTTATATTACTTTCACGCTGCTTTCAGAGAAAGACGCAACATATCAAAAGTTATTATGCAGAGGTGAGCATTCTGAGCTGCATCCCGACATCGTATTCTGAGCTTTCCGGAATCTGGAAACCTTCCCCTCGAAGGACCGAGATGAAGAACAAGCCGGATTGGGCGTCGGATTCGTCCCAACTCTCTTTGACAGGCACATCATAACCGCGAGCCTGGCCCCCAGCGTGCCTCACATAGCGTATAGCTATAGTCGATCATTAGCAATGCATGAACATCTAGCGAGCCCGAATGGCACCTACGAGCAGGCATCCTTCGGTCGAGAATAAGATCCCAAGAGTCTCTGCTATGAATACTCCTCAGAAAAGTAGCCAGAGATTAGTGACTTCATAACTCACAAGGAATCGAAATAGGGATGCTCTTGAACTGAGTCGTCTGTTATACGATCACTAGCCTCGAAAGTCAAGAGCTGTAATTGGCAACATTCGTAAGTAAGGGTCATAGAACTCTTATGAAACAGAAGCATGCCTTTTGCACGAAATCACGCAGGTCTTCCGCCGTCTCGTGGGGTGGAAGAGCCTTGGGTAAGTGATTTGAGAGATCGTTCTGTTGGCGTTGTACATCTGCTGTGTTCCCATAAAATAATAGCTGAAGCGCATTTTAATCAGTTAGAGTGTTCAAGGAGAACGTGTAGATACTTGACATACTTCACCGGTGGTCATGACAGTGATTACAACACCTAAGGACCACCAGTCGATCTTCTCGTCATATACCGTCTCTTCTTCCGGACCATCGAAGACTAACTCAGGTGCAGCATATGGCAGACTGCAAACGACGTCTTCGTGCGTTTTGCGCGTCAAAACACCATTGGTGAGGAACTTCGCACCGCCGAAATCACTGAGAACAAGGTGACCTTCTGTGTCGACAAAGATATTTTCTGGTTTTAGGTCGGAGTGCACGATACCGTGAATATGAAGAAACCGCAGAGCAAGTACCTGAGTAAGTATAAGCTGACTACATTTTTGGAATCCTTGAGCGTGATGATTGACTTACAAGTTCAGCAGCAACCATTCGGAGTTCATCAGGGGAAAGACATCCTCTATACTCCCAGAGTTCACCTCCAGGACAGAATGGCTTGAATAGAGCGAATGAATATTCGAGCAAGTGTTAGCAGAACAATACTTACATATAACATGTGTAAGAACCCTTCGGTTGGATCCCACCATGCAAATTTGTCTAATTCCAGACTTGGAATCATAACGAAGGGCGCACGAGCATGTCCAATCTGCGCAAGGGCTGTAAGCACTTTGATCTCGTTGACTAGACCGATACAGGCAATTTTTGGAAGAGGACGTTTCACATAGACGACTTTCATTGCCAAGTCTTTACGAGCTGGAACATGCAAGACCCGTAAAACACGCCCAAATGTGCCGCTACCAAGAACGCAGCCAGTCATCCACACGCGATCCGGCGAAATTGGTAGCTCGTTCTGCTGAGTAACTTTCCAAGTCCCCGGAGCATTATTGACAATTGGAGTGCGGCGAAAATCGTGAGGGACCAGACCAAGAGGCTCAGCAGGATGAGGACCAGTAATTGCAAGTTCCCTATCGGTGAGAAACATGATTTCTTTCTTGTACAATTCCAGGTCCTCTCCGATGGGGAACGTGGATACAGGTGGTACCTCAAAGTGTCGTGCACCAGTATTAGTGATAGTCCGTGCGACTTGGTAGGCATCGTCAGCTTCAATCATGTGCGCTTGGTCAAGATCGAAGGGCGGGTTGTCCGCCGGTGGGTAAATAACAGGGACTAAGTCTATCCTGCTGTTGGATTGAACTTCAGCGAAGAGCTGTTGACGAGTCTCGTTAGCCGGGTCCTTAAGCCATCGAAGAACGGCGAGCTTTGGGGCTGATCCGCTCGAGTTGCCCGAGATGTCCAATTCACTCATCGTATCGGAAAGTTCAGAAAGCTCATTGAGACGTGGGAAAGGAATCTCATCATGGGAAGGAATGGGCGAAAGAGAGCGTGCAGAAGTGGTTTTCACCGAATCGCGGCGCCTGCGAGTGCGCGGAGACGAGTTATGTAGACGAAGGGTTGAATGTGATGAATCTTTGGATGCGAGGAGATTATTAAGTTGCCACTTCTCAGTTTGAACCCCTGCGTCTCTAAAAAAGTCATTTGTACGGGCCAGTGGCCGGCGAGTATCTTGCGGAGAAAAAGAATGGTCCCGAGGAGACAAAGTAAAGCGAGGATCTTCCTTCAGTTCTGCCCAGTCGGGGTCTGGAGAAGTAACCGCTGTGGGCGGCTCTGAGTACTCATTACTACTCTGTGATTCAGAGGTATATCCCGTGCGTTGTGAGGGTCGAGGAGATTTCTCAAAGTCAGGTATTTCCGAGAGAGGGTGAGGTTGTGGGTCGCTGATGGACAAGTCTCGCAAGTTTCGCTGTACGGTCGGCTGGAACTCATCATCTACTAGTTTGGTTATGCGACGACGCGTTCAGTGGCAAGGAATGATAGATGAACGTGGCAATACTCACTCTCTGACTTTCTAGATGACTTTGATTTACGTTTCCTGAGGGGATGACGAAGCTTCGAAAACATGGTAAATAGAGGTGTTTGAGACCAGAGGTGAATCAATGAGGATGTTGAAGACAAAGAGAGATGTGAACAAAAAGAGGTGCAGAGATCAAAGGACCGGGAGATGGCCAAATTATAGTCGCGAAGCGCGTCTACACTGAGTCGGCTAACCAATGAACCAGAGAGGCGCAACGGGAGTAGCGAGACGATGCTGTAAGGAATGTCAGAACAGACCGAATGGGAGGCTCAATACTATGAGCGACCCTAGGAAGGTATGACGGCCCTGGGTGAATCGAGAACGCCAACTACGGCAATAGACTACTCCCAAATCAACCTGCGAAACGGAGATTGAGGGCTGAGCATGACATCGTTATGGCTTCGCTCTGTGGCTTTTTACTAAAGGCAACGAGTGGCTCAAAATCGATCCAGGTATGGGGGATCGCAACTGCTAAGTTAATACGTAGTGGCAGGGAGAGGCCATGCTCTGTATTATATGAATCGGTGGCATAACAAACCTTGGAGAGCCACTAAGCTGTATGCATGCATAATGTGTGGCATACGAAGGTCGCACCGCTAGGAAAGATGTGGCTAGTGTAGAACGGTACGCTTTGTGCAACGTGATCTTGTAAGATTGTCGCGTCGGTCTGTCCTGGAGCCACTCGGTCGCAGTGCAATCCCTCCGTGCAGAAACTATCGATCATATCGGCATTCAATACTAAATCCATTCGCGGGGAAAACAGAGTAGAATGTTTCCCTAACATGAAATGCCAGCAAAGGCTCAGTGAAGTAGGGTCCAATCCAGATTGCACTGAAGTCTGAGCCTAGCTGCTCGACAAAGAAAGATCATAAGGGAGATTGCCGAAACTATGCCTTATCTTATCAGATTACGTATGCACCTGCCGAGTGCTTTCTCATCCCTCCACTCATCCACAACGCTTGGATTTCCACTTTACGCCTTTTCTGCATTGATTCGCTCTTAGGAGAAGTTACGACGAAATTCTTACGTTCCATCTACCCAGGCGAATTCAATAGGCTGACATGGTGACCGCACCGACAAAGGAAGCGTTGCTTCATCTCTATTCTTCAACGCTCCGGACATCGAGAGCATTCAGTTCATATAACTTCCGTCAGTACTTTCTTCGAAGGACAAAGACTGTCTTCCGCGAGATTCACGTGAGTACAGTCCTCTTTGCCATCATTGTTTATGGTGATGTGCTCACGAGGATGCACTTTGATAGGATGAACGGGACCCTGCGAAGCTCTCTGCGTTTTACAATGACAAAGTAAAAGAGCTTGCTGTTTTGAAGCGTAGCGCTATTGTGAACCAGCTATATGGTGGATGGAAGCTTGTCGTGGAAGAGAAGAAGCCTAGGGAACTACTAGAGAGAGCCGACTCATGATCCTCGATTCGGGCAGTTCTTTATTCGTTCAGTGAGTTCATATTCGATGCTCTTACCATTCCCATATTTTAATAATTACTCAATCAGAAATCCGTATACCTTTGATCGACATGCTCTCCGTCTACTGGTTCACTCCCTCACATTCATCCTGAATACTCGGGATCCGATTCCATATCTCCGATACACCTACGACCATCATGCATTGTATTTCTAGATTTAATCTGCACGTATCACTGGATATTTCTGCTCTGTTACCGTCGAAGTATGAGACTATTCGAGTCTCGGTTGTGGTGAGGTTTGCAGTTGAACGTTGAACCATCGATATAAGGATACATCCAGACAGTAGAATCTGCTTGCATCGTGAATATTCGTTATTCGTCTGGTGCACATATGTTCAAATCGAACGTATCGAATGAGACTATACAATGCTTGGGAATTCTCAATCAGTACCTCCTTGACTCTACTGAATACATTATCATGCCGACATTTCAACAAGGGATCCATTTGGGTCTGGGCGCTGCCGATTTCGGCTTTCGAAGTAACATCGACATCCTCCACTCAGGACGACTACATACTTGCCAATTGGAAGGTCCTCTTCGCTGAGGATCTCTGACAATATTTCACAGTTTGGACGTGTAAAAACCATTCTGACTAAAGACTACTCTACAAAGTTAGGCCTACTCCACGACAACTGCTTCCGCAACCCTCCGTGACGCACTGCTCGACTTCGCTCTACTTACAGTACCTCCTGGGTTCAGAACGAACTGTCTCTCCCAAGAATATCAATCTCTTGATCATACTTCCATCATGAGCACCCAAAATGTTGGTTCCTCTGGTCGGGTCGTCCCTAACAGCGAGTCATTCACCCAAGTTGTTGCCCGGAGAAGTAAGGAGAATCCGTTTGTCCCTCTCGGTATGTCCTGTCTTTCGCATGATTTACATCCCTTGTGTTACTATTGTCTTCCTTTTCGCCTCACTGTTCTATCCCGCTGTTTAAAACTAATCACAATGCACGCGGTACAGGTTGTGCTGCAACCGTTCTTGCACTCGTAATGGCGATGAGACAAAGCAGAGCCAATCACAAAACATTCAATTACTGGCTTCGAGCTCGAGTCGTCGCTCAAGGCTTCACAGTAGCAGCTCTCGTCGGAGGGTCTTACATGTTGAAGCAACAATCGGATGCTCAGAAGGCTCAAGAGGAGGCTAATGCTACTTTGCAGAAGGAGAAAGAAAGAGAGGCATTCCAGGACAGGCTGAAGGCGGCCGAGGAAAACTATCAGTTGGAAGGAGATTGGGCTGCTCAATCAGGCAGTTCGACTAATAGCGGCGGAGGTGCATGGGGCTTTGGATTGTTTGGGAAGTCTTTGGAAAGGTCATCGGGACAAACTCAGCAATCAACTTCTCCTTTCTCGCCTGTCCCACCAGAGGATAGTGCACCTGCCCCGACGCCGGGCGAACAACTGGCACCGTCGCGATCGAAAAGTTTCTGGAAGCGAATAGGTTTCGGAAGTTCTGGAGATAAGAAGTCATAATGAAGATGCATCGTAATGTCATTCGGGTTTGTATTCCTGTTATCTGTTTCAACCTGAGATGCATCGTTGTACTCTAGTCATGCACATCGCAGATGTATCCTCTCCACTCCATCGTTGCCCCCCGTTTCGTGAACATTTTTAATGAGGTCTGAATGCTATTCGCCTGTTAGCAAAAGTAACATCCATAGTATCGCGGTCGAACAACTTACGAGTGCGCTCTCGGCATGTCTCCGCGAGCTCTCCTCGGAGCAGCAGTCTCGTGTAATGACATCGACCAATAAAAAATTGCAGGCATAGTTATGGCCGAAGTCAACCACCATGCAGAGTAGATATAAAGACGATCTCATCCCCGTCCTGCAGCTGGTATTCGCCTTCGCCTTCGAGTTCCCAGTCGGTATCATTTACTAGGACAAGGATTCCTGGTCGGCTGTCCGATCGTCACAAACATAATGAGAAAATTCCAAACGTTTGATCGAGAATTACGAGGTCACCTACACTGTCTCATTCTCAATAAACAACTCTACTCTCTCTTTCAACAAGTTGTCCTTCAACCAAAAGATCAAGTACTTGAGATCGACGGGTCGTTCATTCTCCGATCCTTGTCCTGAAGGCATCCGAGATGGAATAGTGACTTTGTGCGACCGTTGATTTGAGAACAGAAGCTCCAGGCCTCCGCCGAATTCGATCTTGAGAGAAAGAGACATAACTGAAGAATTACAATAGATTTGGTGCAGGCTCAGAATGCAGAGCTTGAAGCGAACCGGTCGCGGTCACATGTGTGACGCCGTGACAAGCTAGCAGATTATCTTGGCGAGCGGTGACATCACCGACTTCAGAGTTGCTCTAGTGCCCCATCTCCTGAAAATGCAACCAACCGACGCGTTGTTTTCTTGGAGCTCCTCTTACTTACGACCATCACGACCATACCATTGCCTTAGTCTTGGATCATTTTACGAATAATACGAGAGGCACATATACAAAACGGTAACAATGATGGAAAGTCCACCCATCGACATCTCAAACCCCGCGGTCAGGGATTACATGGCCCTCGTGCGGTATGCTTAGAGGAGTGTGTTAGGATAGATAATGTGTATTAACGTTATTTTATGATACGCCAGGTTGCAGGTGTTGACACCTCTTTCTTTGCTGATCAACATCGCGACTGTGATGGTCTGTGCAGTCATGGTTGACCCCAGCCTCCGTATGTCATGGTCACCTCAACCGTGCGTGCACGTCGTTTGACAAGGCACTTTTGTTCTTTCAGGCAGGATTGCGGAGCTGTATCCATCTTCCATCTCCCCCCATCCCCGTTTGATTGGCATTTATATCATAGCCATCTATCTTTTCCAAATCGGCTATTGTGTATTGCTTGTTATCGCTCGTAAACCAGAAACCAAGGTATGTGCAATACCTACTTTCATTGCTTCGTATTACCATGCCCCTCAACACTTTTGCACTTTGCTAGAGAACACTTGTTCGCGGCGTCGGCCTACCGCTTGTAGTCGCGAATTGGATCATGGCTGGATGGGCAATTGCATGGGTGAGTTCTCAGTGCCCAATCGATCCTTGCATTCAACGCTTATGACATTATTTCCGTGTTCTTCGCAGGTAATGCAATGGTTCCTCACGTCCACCATTTTGCTTGGGCTACTCCTTGTGCTGCTCCTCTACGCTAACGTTGTTCTACTCATATACCACGCGCCTACTCGAGAAAGGCGAGCCAAGAATGCTTTTGTAATGTCGGAGATTCCTAATACTTGATACCTTTTAGACCTCTCGATGTCGCATTGATCCACGCCCCCATGCGTCTCTTCCTTATCCTCCCGTTGGAAGTCCTCTTCCCATACAGCCTCTTGTACGCCCTCACTCAGGCTTAGATGTTTCCGTATATTTGCTGACATTTGAGGTAGTATCACTCTTGGGTTGACGTGGTCGCCAGGTGAACCACAACATTACGCAAGGGGTCAGTGGGCTGGTTTTGGCGTCGTGCTTGGCGTCAACCTCCTCGGTATGTTCACCTCCTAACACCGGCAACTGAGGATCATATTCTGATTGGGTCCTAGGTCTTGTTGTAATTGTTTTGAGGCATGATATTGTGTGGTGTGTAGCTGCGAGCTGGCTATGCGCCAGCATTTGGAGTCTCAAACCTAAACCTTTCCCTGTTTTTGTGAGTCTTACCATTTCGAAACCTCTGTCGTTCTCGACACCAGGCTTACACCGTTTGGCTTTCAGATCACCGCTGTGATCTTTACGGTTGTTCACCCTCTCGCTCTCGTAGCATCGTTCTTATGGGTCAAGCTCCGTGGAGGGGAGAGGCGTGGGCCTATTGCATTACCGCCCGATGAAGAAGATGATCATTCCGGGAACCCAAGACGAGAGAGGGGACCGAGGGAGGTTGATGCTGAAGCCTTGTGGGGATGAGTATCTCACTGACTTGTTCGAGGTAGTTAGTATGAGTAGTTCAGCTGGTTTTGTCCTTTGAGACTTTACTGTACGTCATGTTTGTTGTATTGATATCATATGCCCACTTATTGTTCATGATGACGATGTAAGTGTCTGGTTAGACCGCCTTTAGGGCGCCAGATCCAGGTAAGATCTTAGCCCAGGTTGTTACAATAGTTATGATGACCACTGGGCCTAAGATTCAGTCTGTAATATGTCCGAATATATACACCATGTTCTGTGTAAGTAGCTTTTCTCAAATGTGCAAAGTATGTTCTTTGAGCCAGCCCGCTGGGTTAGAGGCCGACTAGGTGTACACGAAATTTATGGTATCTCATTTTTTCTAAGTGCAAAGCTATATGTACATATAGCCCACCTTCAGAGTCTCAGACGAACTGCCGGGGTTGATAGAATGTAGATCCCTGCCCAAAGAGTATACGAGGTTCTTGGTCATTGACACCATAATGCAGTTATTCACCAATGGATTCTTACAGTCAACGTCAAGAACCTCGAACCCGAAATACCGAAATATCATGAGAACAGGGATATGTCTAGTGCGACTGGCTCTATATGCGTTCCAGGCCGCATGTCATATTCAGGTATCGGAGATTAACTACAGTTAATGAAACCCGTTAGAATCATCAAGTGCTCGACGTAGTAGGTAGATCACAAGCGCCGGGTCTAAGGGCACACCATAATGGTTGGATAGGGATTGCGTTCACCCCTCGTTTCTGAAGCCTAAAGGATAGATCATGCAAACGTGAAAGAGCGTCGGATGTGTTCCCTCCGGGACCCGTCCAATAAAGCTCCGCAGAAGCGGCAGCTCGAGGCCAAACGATAGGGTCGAGATTGGCTGAACTAGACTGTTCTGTCCACAGGAGATGTTCCCCTACGAATATGGTACAGCATATAGTGTTCAATTCGGAAATGTGGAAGAATATATGAAATAGGTACCTACCGCCTAAGACGAGAGTGGCTTCCTCAGTAGTAAGGTTTGCTAACGGGTCGAAGGAGTAGGCATGTTGCCATGTTTTGAAGGGGTCGCAGTAACCGTTCCTGCATATTATCATACAGTGCAAATCGAGAAACTAGAAATCAAAAAACTTACCCCGCAAGGTCGGGAGCTATCCAACCTCCGCCGCCACAATCCTAATGCATAGAAGTTATACTAAGTGTTCGCTGAGGTAGTTCAGGTATGCCTTACAAGATAGAAAAAGTCAGCCGCCGCGTGAATTATCCTGTGTCCTTTCTGAGCAACAGCTTTAACGCTGTCCGATGAGATCCAAGTTCTGAAATGATGTCGCAAAATGTCAGAAATAAATTCAAGCTCGACAGAGAAGACATACAGAGCAATAGTTTCGGGATGCAACGTGACGTTATGGACGAGAACCATCTCTATGATAAGAATGTGCGTAAGCGATGTCACGATCTTCCATAGTATTGCAGACCACCCACCTTCCCAAACAACAGGAGTCTTACCCAAGTCGATGACGGCTTGGTGAGTTGTTCTAACAAATCGGTCGAGCGCTTGCTCCAGATTTTGTCCGGTTGAACTCAGGATTGACTGAGTTTCCTTGTCTTGATCGTAGCAGTTGGTATTGAGTTCATCTCCCCCCGGGCTGAATAGAGTTGAAGGAAACATGGTTGCAACCGCCTCCAGGAGACTGGCGGTGAAATTTGTTGTCGCGGGTGATGCGAAACGTAATTGGCCTGCAGGTGGTTCGTTTGCGAACGTCCTCCATGGCATGAACTCAGGACATGCAATATGTTCTGCGCGAGCTTTGGAGATAACAGAAGTATGTCCTGGTGTGTCAATTTCTATTAGGACGTCAATACCACGCTGTGATTTCAAGGTATTCTATGAGTATGTCTACTGTGAATGGATGTGAGCAAGCGCAACATACTGCGCCAGCATAGGACACGATATCTGCGATATCATCTGGAGTGTATACCTCGTCGGGTGAATAGGCACCTTTGTGAGCCAGGTCCATGAACCTGGGCACTTGCAGCGGGAAACTTTGACTATCAACTGCATGCCAATGCAGTTGATTTAGCTACGCGACAGGATGATGGTATAGTTAAACCGATTCCCGGGGATCAATCAAGCTTCTACTTACCTTAACCCAGCTCATAGCGTCAAGCATGCGTTTTATATCGATGACAGGGAAACTATAGCAAACTTAGATTCCGACTAAGGGTTTGATATCATATTGAGGCGACGTACTAATGTCTTGCGGTGTCGAGCATAAATCCCCGGTAGGGCTATTGAGAGCGAACTTGAGCGCAGTAAAACAAGATATTGTCATTGAGACATACATATGAAGGAGAGTCGACGATATCAACTGGTAAATGCAGAGCATAGGTTGTGCCGTTGAAATTGTACCATAATTGAGTAAAGGTTGCAAGTCCACGGAAAGCTCCAAGGGACGAGTTGGCAACCAGGGTAGCCGGAGAACCGTCACAGGGAACGGACAGAAGATATGCCTCGTCACGAGATTCAAGAGGCTTCCGAGCTTCATCTGCAATGCTAGACATGGTAGCATGCTCCCCGAAAGACAAATATAATGCATCGAGCTGTTTAGCTTGAAAGAGCAAGGGTTGGTCTGATGAGCCTCGACCTACGACCACGCGTCCAAGCCTATCGTTCTTGACTTGTTCTTTTGTACGTGAAATGGCTTCACGTAAGTCAAGCGGTAAGAAATGAATGTTGCCGGAGACAATTATATCAAATGTAGGGGAAAGCTTCAACGCCTCGGAGCCCGTTTGCAAACTCCGAGGTTGAGGCCAGAGGGCATGGACTCGCGTCAGGGTAGACAGGAGGATAAACAAAAGCAAGAAAGCTGGAAATGATGTCTGCGTCATAATCAAGAGTTGAGACGGGGAGGTGAGACACGATGACCATCCTAGAAGAACGATGGAATTTATGCTGTTGTGGAAAGAGTGACAGCCATTACTGTCGTGTAAAAAGAGCTACAACCTGGTGCATCATGTCCAACCTATCCATCCAACATGCTTGGAAGATGCAGAGAGGAAACGATTGGATATTGATACTCAGTCGGGATCAAAGGAGAGCCTCCGGAGCTTTAGCGTCCCGAAAGCTGTGATTCAAGCAGTTCATCGAGAGGGTGCAGAAGCAAAAACCTAGCTAAATTTGGCGTGTTCGCCTTGGGTCGTTTTGCATCACTCGTTATGGCAGTTACCGAGGACGAGTTCTGAGGTCTAAAGACGTCCGCATGACGAAAATCTCCCAAAAATATCCTTATCCTTCGCCCTGAAGCCAGTACATGGCCGCTACCAATCAATTGAATCTTGCGCCCAGCATCAAAAAAGGGTCAAATGTTGCTGGTTGACGCGTGAGTCCGTCCTTGACGGTAAGCATTGAACACTGTCTGCCATGTATATCACTGCTCTCAACGCTTCGGATGTGTTGGAAGATTCTAAATCATCTCGTCAGCTTGGAGAACGTCAAGGAGTTGATACGCTATACTGCATCCGACATACGATTATGAAATGCGGCGCTCTTCAATAGGTGATTCTGATCGTGATTCGCCTCTTGATGGAACCCATCTGGTCGCGGTAGACGTAAAGTCACCGTACAACGTAGGTCTTGAAATCTTTGTACGTACGTGGGCATATCTTCTCAGCGACAACCACGGTAGCCCTAGCCCATGGCCCAATGCCGGAGGTCATGTTGATGAATTCTCACCGTCTGCTCCCGCTGCGCAGGGCAGGGATCTTCTGGACCACATACCTGGTGAGAATCGTGGATCGAACAAACATATCATGCTCTTTCAATAACAGACCTGTGCTTTCACCCCAACAGTTGTCAACACATTGATATCCCCCCCACCACATACTTTGCCACCTCCGCCAATAGAAAAATGGATTCGTACCCCTATTACACGGCGTATGTTGCGACAGTAATTATCGCAGTTCTACTTGTCTGTCGGAGAATCAGGCCGCAAGTATATCTTTCACTCCCTCCTGGTCCTCGCCCATGGCCCATCATCGGAAATCTTCTCGACTTTCCGTCAGCCGCTCCATGGACGACTTTCGATCGTTTGGGCAAGACATATGGTATTCCTCTCTTTTCTATGAGCTTCCAGTTTATACTGATGAACGTACAGGAGATGTCATTCACATGCGTGTCATGGGTCACTCGGTTGTTGTCTTGATGTCGGTGCAAGCCATCTCGGACCTACTTGATAAACGCTCTTCCATTTATTCCGATAGAATCAGGTCCATCTTCCTTTGTGATCTGTAAGTACTTCAGCATGCCGTGTAGATTGAACCAACCCTTTATGCACAGAGTTGAAGCAGGATGGGCAATGGTCCTTCAGGGTTACACGGACAGTTGGCGCCGATCTCGCCGGGTTTTCCGGCAGTATTTCAATCGTGACGTAGCTCCAAAGTTTCAGGAAATACAGCGAGAAGAAACACAGGCGTTCTTATTACGTCTTCACCGATCTCCTGATGAGGTTCAAGGCCTTGTACGCCAGTAAGTGCATACTTCATGTAACGAACAAGATCATCCTCAATACTATTGCCAGCCTGTTCTCGTCTATGATAATGAGGATCATGTACGGTATTAAAATTTCAGAACAGAACGATCCTTACGTAGCTATTGCCGAGGAGGTCATGAAGGGATTTAGTGAGGCTGGTCAGCCGGGGCGATTCTATGTCGATTTTATCCCTTTCCGTGAGTGAGATAGATCTCAAATTTTTGGCCTGACTATTGTGTCGTGCTAAGCAGGCGTTGTCGAAAACAGTGCGGTATATCCCTACATGGTTTCCAGGCGCTCTTTTTCATAAGAGGGCCGCATCTCTCAAGCCAGTATTCAACGCCATGGTGAACAAGCCATTTAACGTAGTAAAGGACTCTATAGTACACTGTCTCAATTGCACTCAGGTTTTTGTTTGTCTCTTACTTTCACTTACACAGGTGTCGGGAAGTACCATACCTTCTGTAGTGTTGTCCATGCTTGAAGGAATCCATGACGGCACCAGAAGGGAAGAAGATGAAATGGCAGTAAAAAGTAGTGCCGCCTCGGCGTACGCTGGTAGTCCTGCGTTTCTCAACCTCGCCGCATAGGAGCTAACACTTCATTCTAGGTGGAGCAGACACGGTACAGATCATTGTATATGTGCAACAATAACCATTTCTTACGTGCAAACTAGACGCGATCTGCGATCCAACTGTTCCTTCTCGCTATGGTGCTGTATCCCGATGTACAAAGGCGCGCTCAAGCAGAGCTGCAGAGCATAGTTGGCTCTAATCGGATGCCAGCTTTTGCAGATCGCCCTTCTCTTCCATACGTGCAGGCTCTCATCCTTGAGATACTGCGATGGCAACCAGTGGCACCTCTGAGTACGTTTTCTTCCCACAATTATCCTCCCTTATCTAACTGGCCCCGTTAGGTATGCCCCACAGCACCTCCAGTAGCGATACATATAGAGGATATTACATCCCAAAGGGTGCCATCGTGATCGGCGTGAGTTGCTCTTTCTCATTGATATAGGGACCATTCTCATCACTATTCTTAGAATGCTTGGTAGGTTTATTTCAACCCTCTAGATGCTAGCAGCTCAGCCTTTCGGGTAGGTCTATTCTTCATGATCCTCAACATTATCCGAATCCTTTCAGCTTCAACCCTGAAAGATTCCTGAAGAATGGAAGATTGGACTCGGACGTACTGAGCCCGACTGTGGTATGCTTCGGCTTTGGGAGAAGGTCCGTCACAATTCACCTTGTTGATCTTCGTGACTGAAACCGGCACAGAATATGTCCCGGTCAATTCTTTGCCCTGGATTCTCTTTACATAATAGTCTCCTCCATCCTGCAGTTGTTCGACATTTCACACAAGATAGATGAATGCGGGCAACAGATCGCAGTCGATGTTCGCCTGACGTCTGGCCTAATTTCGTATGTCGGCAACATTCTAGAGACTTTGATCCTTACTAAGCCTTTCTCGCATTGAAGCTCCACCGAACCTTTCGCATGTTCGTTTAAACTTCGGAGTGCTGCGGCTGAGGCTTTATTCTCTAGTTTACCAGACTGACCTTCCGGTCTCGTGTGAATTGACTCCGTTGTGACCAACAATGTATTGTTTTTTAATAGCACTTCTATGATGATACTGTGCCTCTTAATGTCCAGATTTGCACCGACACAAGAACGCGAACAAGCAAAACATGTTGGTGGAGCTTGCATCATTCAAGACAATGTGGCCAACATAAGCCCTTACCCCATGATGGTCGGATCTTGAGCAGTGCCTGGAATGATAACACGGATGACATTATCATAGGACGCAACCACGCGGCGCAGAGAAAGCTGTCGTAATTCAAGGTCAGAGTGTTTGCGGTGCCTCGCAGGAAGCACTGGTCAGACCCGTTCTCCTTTAGCTTGAGGTCTGCTGATGATTCACACACATAGATGACTGTTTCCACTGTTCCGTGATTGATCTGATCCTTTCAGTGAATGCTGAATCCATGCTCTGCGTGAGTGGATACCAGAAAGGGACTCTGACGGCTGGGGGAACTTGTCAGGCCCTGAGTGATACACTCTGAGGAGTCGAAGGTTGATTAAATCAGTGCCTGCTATCATTTCATTCTCTAAGATGGTTGACTCCCGCGGGCGAACATTTGGATAATCCTGAGATCATGGTGAGATCATTTATGACTCTGCCCGACATCTATAGTCTCGTTCAACGGTTTAATCATAGTCCCGCAAATAGACATAAATTCTGCAGTTTAAGCTACAGGGCTGGTACAGAAGCACCAAATCCTTGCTACCACCGCACCCCCCACTTAGAATACGCCCCAAATCCACCATTATTACACAGAAATCTCCTTCATGCCAATGCTGTCGACGGTAGTATCAGTATTATGAAAACCTCTGACATGAACCACATCAGAAGCCTTCAAATCCTCCACTGCGGTATCGTCGCTTGCAGTCTGGAATATTCTAGTTTTCCTTGCAATGGCGCGGTTATTGAGACCAACGAGAAGCGTGTTGGAATATCTACAAAGTTCTGTCAGAAATAAGTCTGCCGCCACAACCGGCAATTATCGCCTACAATTTGGTGAGGAATGCCCCGCTAAATAAAATAATGTTCATCAGTGTTGAGGATGATGCCCAAAATCAAGTACGTACGCAGCGCCGTACAAAGTGGTTTTCTTTAACAGACCAATCAGTTCCTACATGGAGCGATGATTAAATTAAAATCCCGTACATTTCTGCCCAGAAACAAGGCAATGTCCAATATTGCAGTGACCGCTGGGAAAGAACGCTAAGCAGCCGATAATGTTAGGACAAAACTGACACTCACCAGTCGCCGTTCCGGTCTCGATTACGAGGAAAACGAGACGGTCGATCATTGCATCTGTGCTCTTTATCCCGGTCTTGGCTTTGAGAAGCTACGTGCCGCGCTGTCAGCCACAAATGTGTTCAAAATCCCTTACAGCAACCCTCACATAGTACGTCATTGCAGTTGCAATGATAATATCATCCGCAGCGCTCAGTACGAGCCAGGACTAGACAACAATTAGATGACTCATCACAGAGACGGACCAGACACCGAAGCATACCGTCCTGTACGGAAAAATGGCACTTTGATCTAAGAACGCCGGGACTATCTTCATCTACAGTGTCATGTATCGCACGTTAGTGATCCATCCTATGAATATATTTTACCATGCTCGTTGCATTACCTTAATTCCTGTGGCAACCGCGGCAGCGCCCTGAGCCACAGCAAGCTACACAAGTGCCAGATGAGAGATCGTCAGATTGACTGTGAGATGTAACCAATTCTCATAGTACTTACAAATACAACGATTCCGGTCAAGATTCGTGACTTCGAAAGGATCCAGAGGCGGTTGGCAAAGACAAGTTGTACAGTGGTTGCAATGACGCCGCAAAGGATGGAAAAGCTGAACCAAGTTGTCCCGAAAGTAGTCCAGCTCTTGTTTGAGGCCCACAAAGTGACATTGTTGTCATAAACGTCTTTACCCATCAAGGCCGACTGGACTATCTCGATGATGAGCATGGAGTAGACTGAACAAAGATGCCGTCAGCAACCATCAGTGACGCCGATGTCAGCTTTGCTAGTCCATACCCAATATCTTGTATTGTATCTTGTCCGTTGGGAAGCAAAGATAGTAGTAGTCTATACCATATGTGAGTTGAGATTTGATAAGGAGACGAAATAGAGGCACTTACAAACCTGGACCACGAGCATGCCCATAAAGAGAGTGTTCAGAATGTAGCCAACGAGCTGCAGGAGAATATAAGCACAAGTCTACATCCCAGTAGAATTAGATGCCATACAGGAGGTCCGGCACTGAATTCAACCTCTGTCAGATTTCAAGTGTTTTACCAGACAGAAGAGGCACGTACATGAGATTCCAATTGGGGATGAGATTGACGCAAGCGACTTGGTCCATGACTGTTCAGCGAAATGTGTACAACTGGTCTCGCAGGAAATCTTCCGTTCGATGAGGTACTTCGGAGAGTCGGTCGCTATATAGCTCAGTAATGACCACCAATTTAAGCCTTTGATACATCACTCGGCGAACCATTGCGATACAGGGTCACGAATCGAATCAAATGAACTCTGATAGTGGCGGCGTTCTCATTGAGAGACGATACCATAGAATTACACCATCGCGCTTTAGGGCTGCCAGGCTGAAAGAGGACTTTGTGGATGCACGTTACATAAGATGCAGTCCCATCGTTTTTCCATAGGCGCTCTACATTGCATACATCGTGAGTGCGTCTTTTTTGCTGTGGAATCCTAACGAAAAAATGTTGAATCTGAATCATGCACTCGACAGATTTCATACAGCATCCGCAGATCATCGATCATAAACGCTATATAATTACACAAATCACCGGATGAGCTGACATTGTCCAAGATTACGAGAACAACCTACCATTAGCGACCAAATGAAATACAAAGGTGCCTTCTCCGTAAGCCCTGCCCCATCGAAGAAGTATTCTCATGTGAAGAACATACTAAATAGAGATGATCCTCGAGATAGAGTTTCGCTTCATCGATCCATCTGTGTATCTAGCTTAGCGGTTAGCGTCTTCAGCCTCTGATGTCTCGTCCCGGTCATTTGCATATTGTATGTTCCTCTTTGTGACGCGTACCCTGTATGGTATATCAGTAACAACAATGTAACTGGTCTTTTGTCTAAAAGTAATGATGTCAGTGTAAAAAAAAGATAAACATGGTTTAGCATAGGGCTCGATACACGAAGGCAGTATCAGGGAAAGCAGGGGGAACGGTAATTTCCCTTTTTGTTGAGGTCTAGATCTCGGGATTGATCCCCGTATCTTCAACGCTCATTGGGTGGAAGTAGAACCCCACGACCCTGGATATGAACAATGCCCCAAACAGATGGCGAGTAGACAACATACTTGAATATGAAAACGAAGTCAGCGCTCGTACCAAGTATTTGGTGTGCACGCAAGCTGCGCGATGATTGCATACGTGCCCGAGAAGAAAGCTAATTTTGTAATGAATCTTCGCGGTTGATTATGTAGATGCCGAGTGCATGGGACATGGGATGTGAATGGATGACTTCGACGATATTAATTTCTATTCGTGTCAGGCAGGGTGGCACTGCACCGCAGAGTTCAAAGCATCGCAGCCAATTTAAACCAGTGACCGTGACCTATGTAATGTAACTTCCAAGTTGGAACCCGTCAATCATCATCACAGCGGAGACAGCGGGCGAGCCCCACTTACTTAGGTCCGACATGTACGGGCCCATGAGGCCTCAAGGCCTCATGAGCTTGAGGTTGTGTGAGAGTCAGTCCCTTTCCGAGTACAGTACTTACTACAGTACTATGATGATAGATGTGTTCATTTAGACGCCCCTGCCGGGCCGACCAGGAGAAGGAAGGGCAAACGGGTTGTTCAGGCCTGACACGCCAACCTTGGTAACGGATGGGTACGAGACTACCTGATTGTCACCTATTGTGTTCATATTCTCGCTGACTGTCAGAATCAGATCTTTTGGGGGACGGCATAAACAAGAGATGCCGCTCAGACAGCCAGGATTGGTAGATGGTGATTCCTTGACGTTCGTTCTTTGGAATGGAAGTCCTCGCAACGTTGCGCATCGCCGTCTCGGTTTCCTATGCAGCCTCCGTTGGACGGGCGTACCCCATAGATGCAGAAGTCCCAAATCGGCTGGTTTCCTGCAGGAACTTGAATGCGAACAGTGTGTCCGATACGTGTATTCGGCCCCCAGACCTGCAGGACGTTGAGAACCATCTACCCGAGTATTTCCATGACTCTATAACTTCTGCTCTACAGTTGTCTCTTTCTTCAAAGCCGCAGGCTCTTACCACCATGGGGAACGTATTCGGCGTCATTCGATCGACCGTTGGACGGTTAGTTCTATGTTCCATTTCAGGTAGCTTCGGCTGATCGGCGATTCGAACAGTCGTTGGACGTATAAAGACAGTAAAGGTGGATTTCTCGGTGTTCAACAGCAAGAAACTATCTCATACCACTGCAACTAGCTGCTGCCATGCCTGCTGCTGATTCAATGCCCCACCTTGTCCTAGTGTCCCATGAAGGCGTTGGTGAGTAGAACACATATGTAGATCGACATTCCGGTCACTCAATAATTTTAGGCCATACGAGACCCTTCGCCGCTTTCGCCGCAAGATTCGTTCAGACCAAGCCTGCGCACATCACATTCTTCACTACAATCGGATTCTACGACCGCGTTGTGACAGACGTCGCTAGAAACTTGGGCGAGGACGAAGCGACCTTAGGCCCCTTGATTAGGTACTATCCGCGATTTCACTCGTGACTAGTCAGAAGTGTTGAAGAACACCTTAGAATTGTGGCACTCGAGCCAGGTGAGGTCGTCAAGCCAGAAGATGCGTTCATCGCTCCCAGGGCTTCCTTGACCAAGGCCTATGGACGGCTGGTGAAAGAAGAGCCGATTATTTGTGCCCGCACGGGCAAGGAGTTGCCGCCCATTGCCAGTCCAGATGCTGCGGTCGTCGATGCAAGTATTTATAAATACCCCTTCTTTTCGATCGAAATGCTTATGAATGGCGTGCAGTGCATTGGATACCCATCCCTGCAGGTGGTGCGAGAACTGAGCGTGAAGCCTGTCAAAGTCTTCTCCTGGATGCCGTCTCAGCAGTCATCCTTGGTGTATCCGCTCGCGCCTGTTCGTTATGGCGGCAGAGAAGATGTTCGCCCTAAAATTCGTGAAGAAGCTGCGAGGACCGGTCGGAAGATTGAGGAAGTCCTGGAAGAGGTATATTCTCTAACATCTTACCTCCCATTGTGTTTAACATAGACACTCCGTGTAGATGATTTTGGTCACCAAGGACGAGGTGACGCGAGTTCCGGGTTTGCCACCCATGTACGACTATGAGTTGCATCCTCAGCAGGTAAGTTAAATTCTGCAGTATTACCGCTCTTTTCCCGTTTAACGCAGAATGCAGCTCTTGTTTGGAGGTTTGATGGGGGCGCTCATGATGTTGATGCAGAAGTAAGTCACACTCATCTGACCTTTGTCCTAAGGGTAACTTATTTTCTCTGTGGGAGAACAGTGTTGTCGAGAACTGCGACGGTCTAATCATGGCGACGCCAGAACCATACGAACCGGAGGGAATTGACGTCATACGACGTTGGTTCACAGAGACCTCCCGTGATATCTACCCCATCGGTCCCATGGTGCCTTTCGGGAAGAAGGCGATGGAAGGAGAGAACAAGCAGTCTCAAGATGCAGGCGACATTGAACAGTTTCTCGAATCCATTTTGAAGTCTCATGGTCCCAAGAGCGTTATATATGTAAGTCTTCACCGTTACTTCTGGCTTGTCCTGAAATGCTTTGTAGTTCGCGTTCGGATCCGTTTGCTGGCCTGCAGAGCCTGAGAAGTTATGGGCATTCTTGGACGTGGTGATGGAGCACAAAATTCCATTCGTACGTCACAGTCGTTCGGCATGGAATGCATTTGCTGATCGAACCGCACACAGATTTTAAGCCATGTTTCTCCATTTGCAAACATTCCAGACGCGGTGAAGGAGAAAGTGGCAGGCTATGGTCTCGGCCGTCTGACGCCTTGGGCTCCTCAACAGGCCGTCCTTGCTCACGACGTCTGTTGCTATTGTTCAAGCTTAGTTGATTGAATGATTCTGATATATGCACAGGCTACTGGATGGTTCGTTACCCATGGCGGCCACAACAGCACCATTGAAGCCATATGTTATAGCGTACCTATGTAGGAGGGTGTGTTTCATCAAAATCGTGAGATTGACTGGTGCTCTCCTAGGATCTTCTGGCCTTACACAGCGGATGAACCTACCAACGCGGCTAGGCTAACCGATGTGTTGGACGCGTCATATGAACTGCTTGAAGTTCGAAGTGGGGAACACGGCCTGAAGCCCCTGTACCGTACTGGAAAAGCGCCTACTGGAACTATGGAGGCCGTGCGTGAAGAAGCTGCTGCTGTTCTGAGAAAGGCTTTCGGCGAAGATGGGAAACGCAAGCGTGCCAACTTGGAGCAGCTTTCTCACAAGGTTGTGCATACGTGGGACGAAGGTGGCTCTGCACGGCGCGAGATGCAGAGGCTTGCTGATTCTCTAAAGGTCGTGAAGTCCAATCAGGCACCCTGAGCATTGGAAGGGAAGTTCACAGTTACATAGATGGGCGATTCACATACATTTGTTTCTGTGTTCCTGCTAGATGGACGTATTGTTACCGTTCGGTTCCCAGATGCCTTGCTAAGACTATAGCAGTATTGATATTGAGACGTTGAATATATATTTGCCGTTCGATCTCAACAGTATCAGAATTGGGATTAGTCTATGAACGGCACCGTTGGTGTTTATTGCAACTCACAACACGTTTCCGAGAATTGTGGGCTCGTTGTAGAATTCCATGATGTAAATATCAGACAGTAGCATCCAGGGACCAGTAGTAACTATCGGACAGTGTTCGAGATCCGAAAACTTCGCCGCGATGCTTGATCTTCACTGCGTAACACGCCAGAACAGTCCTCGAAGTTTGATCTGCCTATTCCCAGAACTCGAAGCCTGGGAGAAATCGGTACATTCTCGTCATCCGGGAATCTCTCCGGGAATATCTTCGCTTTCGGCCATTCTGTATATATATTTTCACACACTCGCCCTGCCCTATCATTGACGTTTCTCTATCTCGATCTTCATCAAGGGTTTGCGTGCCATAGATCTTTCTACGTGTGTCTGGAACATCTTGTGTCCGCCTGTTATGTATTTGATAGGTATTTTGTGAGAATCGTGCCAGTCGGAGGTTTCTTGCCCTGATTGAAAGGTTCTTAGCTTCACCTATCCGTGATGCCCAAAGCTTACGCTTCCAATTTCTCAGCAGCATATCACAGAATGCCCCCCCCCCCGGCGGTATTTGTTTTCCGGTCATCGTTCAAGATACCGCTGACAGATTGACTCTTCAGTTCTTTGTGGAACATTACCAACCGTATAGCCAACAGGCGAAATGCACATGTTGCTTGCTACGAATCGCACCCATCTGCCAGTTGTTTCAAACTAACGGGGATCTAATAAATGTTTTCCTCCGCTACTGTTTTGCAAGCCCAACAGCTTCTTGACATGTCCTTGATAGATGCTAGTTGAGGGACGGCGTCATTGGTAACGTGTTCAGAGAAGCTACACTTCCTGAATGCAAGATAATATAAGGAGCCCGAATGCATTATTCAGGATGCTCAAAAAACCGCAAAATCCCTCAAAATGAGTCTTTTTCCATTCACCTGTATTGTAGCTGCCTTCGTCCTCTCGCTTCCTTCGCTTGCCAGCATAGGACCTATCACAGATCTTCTCGTCGTTGATGCAGCCGTTTCTCCAGATGGATTTACACGTCAGGCCGTCCTCGCGAATGGTGTATTTCCCGGGCCTCTCATTTCAGGCAAGAAGGCAAGTATGCCATTCGCGCAACTCCAGTCATATTTATGGACGTTTTCAGGGTGACAACTTCAAAATCAATGTTGTGAATGAGCTTACCAACGCCGATATGCTCAACACTACCACAATCGTGAGTGATTTGAGGGTCTCCTCCCGCAATCTCTCTACTGAATTCTTCGGTCTCCAGCACTGGCATGGAATATTCCAGTCTGGGACCAACTGGGCTGATGGCCCAGCCTTCGTAAACCAGTGCCCCATTGCATCAGGAAACTCATTTCTATATGATTTCTCTGTCCCGAATCAGGCTGGTAGGTCAACGTTAAACACGTTTGTTGCGCTAATAATTAACGTTGATGTAGGCACCTTCTGGTACCATAGCCACATTTCCACCCAATATTGTGACGGCTTGCGTGGTCCACTTATTATCTACGATCCACGCGATCCTCATCGCCATTTGTACGATATCGACAATGGTCAGCTCTTTATACCTTCACGTTCGTACTCCTCTACTGATTTCGTGATTATGCAGAAGGGACTGTCATCACTTTGGCGGATTGGCTACACACGATGGCACTAAAGGGTCCTCAATTCCCGTATGCATGACTTTCTTGCTCTTTCGGTCACCATTAACTTGGTATGCGTGAGCAGGACTCCTGATTCTACGTTGATCAATGGCAAGGGACGTTTTCACCTTGGACCACCATCGGAGCTGGCCGTCATTACAGTACATAGGGGCAAACGGTATGAATCATCATGAATCGCCTTAGCCTGAAGCACCGCGACTGAAAGCTATATCTTTTTTTTTGTTCGACCAGGTACCGTTTCCGTCTGGTCGCAATGTCGTGTGAACCCACATACACCTTTAATATTGACCATCATTCAATGAACGTTATTGAAGTGGATGGCGTGAACCACGAACCTGTCGAGGTTGATTCCTTGCAGATTTTAGCGGGTCAGCGTTATTCTTTTGTAGTGCGTCTTACATTCCTATGATTATGCTGATGGCTGGCACTGAAACAGAATTGATCTGTAGGTGAATGCAGATCAGCCGGTCGGTAATTATTGGATACGAGCAGAACCCAATTTTGGTTTGACGGGTTTTGAAAATGGCGTAAATACTGCCATCCTTCGCTACGTTGGAGCTCCTCCAATAGACCCTAAGACCAAACCAAATAACTGTTCCCGCTTGCTGAACGAGGTTGATTTGCATCCATTGGAACATCCAGGCGCAGTACGTTCCTGAATTCATCCCGGAAATCACCTGACTTGAAACTTGACCGATACAGCCCGGAAAGCCCTTTCCTGGTGGTGCTGATTTAGCTTTGAACCTTGACTTCGGTTTTGTGGTGAGTAGCCGTCGTACAGTTGGGTTGCCCCTTTTTAGCTAAGTTTCATATAGAATAGCACACCGGCATCCTTTACCGTCAATAGTGTAGCCTTTGTTGCTCCCACAGTTCCTGTCCTGCTCCAAATCTTGAGTGGTGCTCAATCGCCCAATGACCTATTACCATCCGGAAGCATCTATACCTTGCCAAGTAACTCTGTAATCGAGATCAGCATGCCCGGTGGAGTTATTGGTGGTGGACATCCCATCCATTTGCATGGAGTAATTCCTCCTCATCGTTGACATCTTAAATACTAACTAACATGTCTGAGCAGCATACTTTTGATATCGTGCGTAGCGTGAATAGCAGCACATACAATTATAAGAACCCGGTTCGCCGAGATGTAGTAAATATTGGTACAACCGGAGATAATGTTACAATTCGTTTTGAGGTGGGTACTTGTCTCTAGGCGATATTCACGTCCCAATTCTTGCTTAATAACCCTACATAGACAAATAATCCGGGACCATGGTTCCTGCACTGTCACATTGACTGGCACCTTCAAGCCGGATTCGCTATCGTCCTGGCTGAGGCTGTTTCGCTTGTGACAACTTCCAATCCCGTACCTGGTGTGTAGCCATTAACCTTCATTTTAAGGATTCATTTATATTTGAACAATTATATAGAGAGTTGGGAAATGCTCTGTCCGGATTATGATGGCTTGACGTGATCGGACTGGTAGTAGATATGAATGTGTGCGAGAGTTCCACAGTCGGTACTGTGCACGAACTGGCCAGATAGTCGGTTAATCCCAAACACATTTTGTTATCTCTTATGCTGTTCTGTGTCTTACAGAGCCCCTAATACACTTCACGAACTTTGTGAAATATGTCATGACATGGTCTATCCTAATCAAGTTTTCGCTCAGACCAGCACTACTATACTAGGCTAGTCTAGTCAATGTACCTTTGAGTTTATAGAAAGCTTGGGGACATAAGTGAACTGGCCTATGACTGATTTACGTGGCAAACAGAAAAGAGTTAACACCGGAAACTACATGTTTAGATCAGGAATAGCAGTAACAACATCTATTTATTCAATATCAATGACAACTCAATGAAGTTCGGTCAGGAGAGATAGCGCGGCATGAGACCTGGGTACTATGGTACACGAAAAATGGTTTGGGAATCTGGAAGGTTAATAATATCCCTCAATATTCTTGCAGGAATACGAGTTGATCAAGAAAACATACACAAGCAGGCCTGAAGTTGTCTTGATCTCGACAGACAGCAGTTGACCTTTGTCATCCATTCCAGGAGATATATTGAAGAGGTGTAGCACGGACGCGATGATGATGTAGAGCGAATCCATGGCAATGAGACGACCAGGACATATCCTAAATTTACCATTCAGGGTGTGCAACATTCCACGACTCGAAGTCAACACACCTGCGTCCAAACCCAAATGAGGCAATTGTGGGATCCAGCACATCGGGATTCAGCTTCCCATTCTTGAGAAATCGTTCAGGACTAAACTTGTGCGGGTCTGGATAGTACTCAGGATTGTGCAATATGGACCTGAAGGGGTTACATATGAAATGACTCGACAGTAGTTGTGAATACGGCTCACGACGCACCACGCATTCTAGACCACGAGATTTAGTTCTTCAGCCAAATCGCTAAGCCAAGTTTCGCATGCTCACCGCAATCACCACAGAATTCTTAGGTATGTGGTAACCTTTGTAAATGTCACTTTTTGCAGTTGCGTGAGGCATAGCTATTTGAAAATAGCTCAAATAGGTCATTACCATTCATCACTGTAGATCGTGACCCACCAAGAGGTGCCACGGGCATCCATCTCAAAAGCTCCAGAATAAGGGCTTGAATGTATGGCAGTGATTCACGGTCGCTGAAGTCTGGAAGTCTGTCCTGAGGAACTACTGATCCTAGCTCATCCTGAGCCAGCTTCTGTACCTCTGGATATAAGACCATGGATAGAAAAAACATTTGAATAGTGGCTATAGTCTGGCATCGAATGAGGGTATTGTCCATTCGAAGATAAATTTGTTCTCACTGTATCTGAACCTCCTAACGAACCAGTGATATGAGATATGTTCCGTTAGCTTCTGGGACGTCTCACCTGCGTATGATACTGCGGCGCTGCTTCGAGCGATACCTTCTTGCGTCTCTTTGTCAGAGCTATTCTTCATGTCTTCCAGCATTGAAGCTACAGCAGATGGTGGAACAGATGATGTTTCCTACATGAGCTAAGTTAAGTGAGAAGCCTGGATAATTTGACGAAATACCCACCATGGCCCGTTTTACGGCATCAAAGGGGTGGTTCAAAACATGTTCGCCCTGTTCATTCCATACTGCAGCCTTCCTCTTAAAGTCCGCACCAGGAAACCATGCAGGAATGAAGCGCACTGATAGAAGTCAGATAAATGCAATCATGAAAGAGGAGATAGCGTTACAGAAAGGCAAGAAATCGACATAAAACCTCCCGGGCTGAGCTGCTTCACAAAATCCGGCCAATAGACCCTCCGCGTCTCGCACGTATGGATGGTCTTTGTACAAGTTGTCAAATCCATACGCCATTCGCATGATTGTTGTTACGACCGCACTAAGCAGAAATGGTCTGAAACGGAACCAATTAGTGTGAATAATATAGACTCACTGCCGAGTATGTGCAAGGAAATTCTGTGGGTCTATGTGGAGGTTACTGAGAAATCGACGAGTACCATCGAGCTGCATGCCCTGGAATGTTCTTCCGCCATTCATGATGAAATAATGGTGAAACATCTTTCGGGATTTTCGCCAAGCTTGACCATAGCCAAGAACTGGCATAGCCCAGTTTACGCCCATCCTATGGAGGGAGATTAGAGATACATATATTAAAAACTCGCGAAAATAGACGTACAAATCGGATAGCATGATGGATTTAGCTCTTTCAGAGTAGATCGTAGACCGCTTATCGAGCAAGTCTGAGATCGCATCCAAGGATGAGAGAATGATGATTGACTGTCCAACAACGCGCAAATGCATGATATCGCCTAGCGTGGAAGATTGAGTCCTGGTTCTCACGACAAGGAAAAATACGCAGCCCAGCACCATAGGTTTGACTCAGTCCATCATAGACTTTCCATGGCTCAAATGTGGGTACATCCAGGACGTTACCGATGAAAGGCAATGGGGGAGGTCCGGGTGGTAATGGCAGGAGTGATGCAGTAGCCTCACTGCGTCTCCATCGTTTGATGAGAATCACCCCCGTGATAGCTAGAGCGCCGAGAAGGATTGTCAGGTATAAATCCATCAGCTTTAGCGCAAAAAACAAGGCGACAACCTAAGCTTACCAAGTTCGAAGCAGGGGACTTAAGTAGTAACGGAACATCTATCATAGCGTCGAGTGTGGGAAAACTCCTAGTTGCTGGCTGCAATCACGTAACTAGCAGATCATGTAAGGGTACTCATAGCGCTATCTTATTATGATAGACCTTGTAAGACAACCTTTGATTAGACGTGCCGTGGTCATCGGACGCCCTGAGTAGAGACTTGTATGTTGGGTTACAGGAACCCCCGATCACCTGAGTGCTATCGAAGATCCCTGCTCGAGGTCAGTTTAAAGTTATCCATAAACAGGAGCGAGTTCCGAAATAAGGGTGCGAGAATCACGGCCATGGCACTTGTTCCGATGGAGCCTCACTCTTTGAGATTAGCTGCGATACATACAGTATGCATGGAGCCTTGTGAGACTCCGAGCATGTATCTGACATACAAATCAAGATTGCAGCTATTTGCAGAACAAGAGGCCACATTAGCCAAAATGAAAACAAGAAGAAAAGAAAGAAAGCACGTTCGAAGTCCGGTCTCGGCTGAAGATGGCTGAGACAGTGCAAACATTCCTGCTCCATCAACACCCCAAAATCTGCTTGGATAACTATAATCGGCTTGGGGAGATTGCACCTCGTAGCTGGGTATCTCAATAAGGCAGTGTTGTGCCCGTCGCGACCAGTCTCCGGAGTCGTGTGAAGAGTTGACCGACTAAGTCGTGACTCGTCACGTCCTTTGGAATGGCTACGACTGGAAGGAGTTTCGGTGTCCCGATCGCCCAACACTTGCATAGACTACTTACTGCCCGTCAATTATCTATATAATCTTTGCTGTATGTTTGCTTGCTCGGCCGGCTCTTGAGGCAACACTTCGATAATTTTCAACACTGCGGCGCAAGCTATAAAGTAGTACTTAGAATATGAACTAGCAACATGATCTCCATACACTTGAGTGCGCCAAATGTTAGCGCATCAAGCACCCTCTGAAGCTTTCCACTACATTGGACACCCAGCCTCTCTCTCCGTCAAATCTCCCCAAACGTCTGAGTGAGTCGAATCCACCTATATCTGGCCCATCTACTTCTGATCCTCCATCCGCGGGATCGGAATCTTCCCCGTATGTTGATTACAATCTTCGCGAGCCCATCCACTTGTCCCTTAAAGATCTATTTGAATTTTCATCCAAACACTGGGTGGAAGCAGTCAAACGGCGGGGCCAGTACCATACTGATTATCAACTTTTGTATTTACATTAAAATACATGCTCGCCTGCTGATCTAAATAACTGCATCCTGATTGGCTGAGATGATGCACATGACCGGGACCCGAACAGCTTTTGGGACCCTTTCCGGTCAAGTCACTGAATGACCGAATGGCGACCAGGTCGTGACTCCGTAACCGGTCATTGACTCGTCGATGACCGGCACAACACTGCAATAAGGTGACCTATCCTCCCGCAAATAGCTGTGACTAACATCAGATGAAATAGAATGTACCAACCGTCCCCAACAAATGATCCAATGATCATAGATGCATGCAAACCTTCATCGATGCATCGCCCAATTATTAAGTCCCATGATGCTCTGAGTAGACATCCGTGGAATGGAATAGGCAGTAGAGTGATCCTGTCCTTACTGTGAACCTGGACAAACCGCTACGAGAATCGAGAGTTACCTAAAGCAGAGATCCTGAGGAGCCTGTCTACCCTGTCCATGGAAGACTTCCATGGCTACGGAATACCTATTACTCCACATCGATTATCCCGGACCGCATGGGTCGAGCTGAAGGGTTGGTTGGGCCGGATATTCAAATGTATGTCGTGGCTGAGAATGAGCTAAATAGGGTTGCGACTATATTCAATAAACGAAATCAGTGAATCGCGACACAAAAGTTTAAAGCACTTGTTCATGGATATCAATGGCAAATGTCGCAGGTATTCGTCCATGGTCACCTGAATAGTAGCCCTTCACAAGACCATTTCATCATCTTATCACAGTACCGTAGGTACAACTGAGATGTTAGACTCTTGATTCTAGAAATCGAAGGTAGTGAAAATGAGCTGGTCGAAGTTGAATTCGGAAAACAGAAGCCAAACCTTTCGGCGAGACTTAACAGCAGGAACTCAGGTGCTAAAAAAAAGTCTTATCATCGTGATCTTGATTATGATTTGAGATCTAAGTCTTCTTCGTTATGATCAATGGACCCTAGATTATCGTTTTCAGTAGCATTCAAATAACTCACCGGTAAACGCATGTAGACCGAAACCAAACTATCCTGTTGGTCAACTGACAAACTTGACGTGTGTGAGCACCTCAAGTCAACTGATAAATCCTGATGATGACCCTGCAGATATCCCAGCTCCGTTCCGTTCAACGTCGGCTTCACTTGTCTCGGCACTTTTCATTCTTAGATGTAGTTGGAGATTTGCACTCATCCAATTAAGTATATCTTTGTTACAGAAGATCCAGGGCGGTAAGCCATGTATCAAGGAGGGTATCCTTAGCCATCGTGCCTTGAGTGTAATCTCCTCGCGGTGAAAGGTGGCCTGTATTCTCACGAGTACTCTGAAAGAAAAGAGAACCGATAAGGTAAAGTACCTTTCTGTAGACGTGCGATAAATCGGCGGATTCTATTGAACAGCGAAATACTTCTCTTCGTCTTGAATTCACATTGCGAATCGTCGGCGATGCTTCAGTACACTGGCCGATAGCGAGGTGAAGGCACCGCTGTTCCTGCATCAAAAGAGGGCAAAATCGGATGATTTGTCTTTCCAACATACAGACTTCTATCGTGGTTGCCAATCTAAAGTATTAAAATGTAAGAAACAGGATGACTGCCAGTGCTTCCCACCCCAAGGGTCGGGCCTACATATTGAATCAAATATGGTAGCATCCGTAATACCTGTAATACCCAGGGAGGAGATGAGCGATAGATAGCCATATCTAACAAAACGTCAGTTCGACGTGCCCTTGTGATGGCATAGACATAAACATGACTGGAAACCCACAATGTAATACCAGAAAGAGATTCGATCTTGTGAAATGGACCGGAAAACGAAGAAACGATAGGACGTCACGGCGCCAAGCGACGTGAATGCGATAGCAATCGTTGGATGTAAATTCCATCTGTAACCAAGACCAATCGACCATGGTAACAGCAAGACGGGTATTGCGAGGCGAGCGAATCCTGGATGTATAATTGGAAGTGTTCGACGACCTATGGCCTGATCCCCTTTCACATCCTTGAAGTCTTGGGTGTGCACAGTGGTAGCTACCACACCCGCGCTGCAGTAGATGGCAAGGATGGCAATATCGTCCAGAGCGCTTCGGTTGCGAGCTATCGACGTTTAATTTTGAGTTTCGGAGCAGAATTATCAAACAAACATGACTCACCTGCTACAAGAGTGGCACCTACTTCGAAGGAGGCGAAGCCAAGGGCATTCAATGCATTACGAACAATCCAGTGTCCGGAATGACCCCCCATTTCATCATAGATGTAAGTCAGAGCAACGACCGAAAGACTGGCGTAGAATGTCTTAATGCTGAAAAATAATGAATATGACCAGCAAAGCGGTACGAGGACCCATCTCAGAATTAGGGCACCACGAAGTGTCATCCTGCCGGCCGGTAAAGGGCGATCATTTTTATTCTCCTTGTCTTCCTCTTCACTCAGAGTTTGGTTGGAAACGTCAAACTGAAGCAGGTGAAGCCACAGCCAACAGACCGAGTGAGGAATGTTGCCAATCTGCAGATCAGGTGCGGCTGCTACGGCAAAGCAAATCTGGCGTTCCCGGGAGGATATAGGCTCAGTACAATACATCCACTCAAGTTTCAGAGCTACTCACTATCGGTATCAATATCGCCTTGACATCTGACTTGGTGAATAGGAAGAGCGTATATGCATACGTCGCTAACGAACGAAAGACCATCACTACGTCTCCGGGGATTTCACTAGTTGCAAGGAGTGAGTTAGTACTATCAAACGTACAATGAGCAGAGTATATACCTGTCATCTTCTGCGGAGTAGCTCGAGGCATTACAGAAGCCATACCTGACACCGGGATAGATCTGGAGACCGTTTGTACTAGGTGCAGAGGTCACACTCTGATATCTAAGATTTATTCTTCCCTTACTTTACATCTTCGTTGCAAATTGGGTTCTTTCCCTGCAGAATGCTGATCATTCTGATAGCCTGAAAATAGATAGCACCACATATGAGATCCTGAGGTCCGGCCACAGGAACGATTGATTGAATCCTGCGGATGGCCAGCGCAGAGATAGTGCACACGCTGTCATTCAACAGGAAAACAGTAAGCGAGTTATCTCATTGGCACATGGGACATACCTAGTGTCACAATCTTTTTTAAGACTAAGTGTTCGTCCTGTGCATAGTTCGGCTTCACCGGTACTTGAATACTGGGTGATAACACCCTCGCGGTGTGCATAGATTCCAAGAGGACCAAAGCCTTCCTTATCAAACAGTTGCTTAGAGAATTTTATGCTCTACCTTGACTCTACCTATCAGAAGTCAGCGGGGACTATATCCATCCTTGAAAGGTAGGTACGGAGCAACACTGACAACGCGTACCTCAGACAAACTCGCGATCCCTGACAACGAAGTGTCTGTTCTGGTATTTTCTAAAATAACCTTTTGCTCCGCTGCGTCGTATCGACTCTCAGGAATTGTCCGTTTTTCCCGATGGCCCTGATAAAGGCACCTCTTCGGCTTCGGAGTGCAAGCTCTAGGCTTCAAAATGCAGCAGTATCTCGAGCCAAGCCAGATAAGTTTCGGGATACCAATAATCGAACATGACATATGGTAACAAGTTTTCATCTCAAGGGGACTCTGAGGGACAGTGGCATAGGCAGTCTCGAAACCAAACGCCAGCGAGGGACGGACAAACCCGAACGGAGCTCGAAATTACATTAATAGAGAATCCCTCTAAGCTGGTGACCTCGATGGATTGCGGTTGGAATGCGATGGCGGCAAGACAATTGATATCAAGCTTTGCATTGAACTATCGTACGCATCAACCGAATATACATTGACCTCAGGCCTCACTATTCAGTCAACACGCAGGGTTTCACGATTTCACGGGTCACTAAACATTTCGCTGCAACCTTTACTATAGCGCTCCATGCCTCATGCAACGAGCATGTCTCATTTCAAACTTTGTCCCCGGATTTCAACGACATCTTGGACCGCCTTCGCCCATGCATGCAACCACGAGCCTTGAAGCTTTGAAAGCTTGACTCATACCTCCAACACCCACCAGTGGCCTGACGAAAATGTTTAGAATTCCTCCCTTGATCCTGGAAGAGCTTTTTACTTGTTTGCGTTGCTGGACGATGATAATAGTGATGAACGTCGTGGCGGCGACTGCTTATGTAGTATTGATGATAGGTACGTCATTTTTGTGTCTCGAAGGAGGAAAGTCGGCCTTATGTTGTGCAGTCACTGGAGAGTTTAGGACACAGCTTGAGGAAGCAAAGACCATACTGGCAGAGCGATATGCCAGCAGAAGCGGCGGCACGTACAAGTCGGTTGGTCATACGATACGGTGAAGCTTGTGTCTCCATTGTCACGGTGGACTGCACCACTGAGTCTAAAAATCCCGACTCAGAAAACTTCATACAACTCGACAATGACATCACATATGCTGAGATAGCATCTGTTTGCTTTATATATTCCCCACCCCATTTTATATATTCCGCACCCCATTGGACGTATCGATACCATGATGTTCACGCTACATCATTCCAATCCCGCTCAAGTATACCACATCCCTAGATTACACACTGGTTTGGTGGGCGAACACACTCCATTAGCCGACGACTATGTTGACGTCCACAACCCCCTTCTGTATATTATCATCTGTAACTTCTAATCGACGGCGAGTCAACTTCGAAGCCTGAAAGCAATGTGGTACCTAGACTCTTGGAAGATTGGCCCAATGTCATACGGAGCTTCTAGGCCGACAACGTATTCGAGCTGACCGTCAATGTCGGCTGGTCAAGTTTAGACGGGTATTGACTCCTGCGTCATATAGTTATGGGTGGGTGTGGTCACGTTTTGAGGTGGGAGAGCTTGTAAAGATTGGAAGTGCATTGTTCGCCAATCGCGCTGGTACGGAAATGGATGGAATGACCCATACGCTACCCGCCATTGGTGGAATTCGAGAATCAGGCCTTTAGCTTCAATGTTCCCGCGAACCGAAACCTAGTATTGTGTGATCGATCTTAGAATATGTATCTTGATGACGCCACGGAGATTCTAGGGGGTCGATGATGACCATTGTTATCAAATGTTCAATGCATGATATTTACCTATACGGGAGTTATACGGACAATGATATCAGTACGTCGGAACGGCCGGGAGGGCCAGAACATCGAGTTTGAGGCCGCGTTAGCAAATGATAGATGAAAGGATTTGGGGCACGTTTCAGTCCGAAGTGTTCTAGTTCCCGGAGGTTGTGAATTTGTCCAAAAGAATATCATTCCACTTGTACAAACAATGTGCGTACCTTGTGCTCACGCGTCATTGCCAGGCGTAAACCTGGTATCCGTCTGAGTGTGGGCCGTAGTAGGCGTTCGAACTCATAGCCTTCTAATGTTTCAGAAAAATAAAACATTACTTATAAGAGATCAAGGTAATGTTCCGTCCAGGTTACAATGTCGGTTTGAACACGTAATTGCTTACAATATGGAAATCAATGAGGCTACAAGTAACAAGATACAAGTCAACGGACAAGTTATTGAAGTGCCCGAAAGGCGTCTAAACCTCCACACGATCAAATCGCGCGCAGGTCGAATCGATTCCCTGGCATTTCCTCGAGTAGTCTTTCACGAATTCCCGTAGATCGTTGTTGTCTCTATAGGGCGGAAACACAAGCAAATGTCCACCGGAAAACAACCGAGGCGTTCAGTAGCCTCATGGTTCTAGCACGTGGAGAATCTAGGCTTCTATATCACGGAAGCAATCAACCCAACGGCGACAAGATTGCAGCCGTCTGCTGTCTCCGGGCCGACACGCTTGTTTCCTTCTCGACGATGTTGCCTGACTCTGGACAGCCGGGATGGTTCATGCAACGGCTGAGTGGTATGTGCTAGTGAATGTGCAAGTGGCATCCGCACCCCGTCAGCGGGAGGGCGTAAGGAGGACTGACGGATCGAGGGAGATTTCATTTCGGAGGTGGAATAAGCTTCCATCATTCTGATGTTCGCCAAAGAGGGTAAGCGAAAATAAACGGGGGGAGGGAAGAAGGAAGCAAGAACATGTCCGCGAGCCACGGCGACGACTGGACTTGTCCTTGGCACTCTTGTATAAGCAGCCCACAGCTGGGCGATTCCTCCTTTCAGCTTCTCTATGAAACTCTATTTCTTTCTCTGCGCTTCCACCGGTGCTCGCCGGTCGACGCGCTTTATCTGCCCAACTTCCTTGTCTTAAACGACGTTGAACGACCCCCTCACCTCACGCTGCCCGACATCAATTCCTGCAGTGCTTTGGCTCGCTTCGACGCGCATGCGACGCGAAAACGACTTTCGTTTATTTTCTCTCTGTCTTGTCCTCCTTCACGCTCTTTACATCCCTAACTTATAGTTCAACATGCCCACTCCTGGACGATTCCGCTCCAAAACCTCTGACATCTCTGACCTCTTGCGGGGCTCTGCCTCGAGACACTCAGAGTCTCAATCTACGCCGCCTGTGTCTCCTCCAGTGCAGACACCCGAGGCGACCACACCGACGAAAGGAAAGCGCAAGCCGCTTGCGTTGTTTAGTCGAAGGCGGAAGAGCTCTGTCTCTCCTTCACCGTCATCGGTGTCTGCCAAGTCGACCGACCATGCTTTCAGCAGTGCTGAGGAAGTGCCTCCCGTTCCAGACGTACCCTCGAGGTGAGCCCATTTTCTCAACGCGTTGTCAACCCTGGTGGTAGGGAGCTTAGGCGCATCGCGTTCCGATCGTGGATATCTGACGGTTCAATTCGCCGAGTTACAACGCCTGTGAACAGTCGGTCGTCACCGATACGCGGTGTTCGACGACTGGAAGGGCCATTTTTTGGTGCGGCCTAAGCTGTCTGCCCTCTCAGATAGGCCGCATCGTGCGAATTGACTGCAGGATCATTCCGTTGGCGGACCACATCGCAGACGCGCCCACTTCACCTCATGATGATGCGGAACTTGTGCCCAAATCGAGGGTGGCTTTTCTCCGTATGTCAGCGTGAATGACGTGGGTCATGAAGATGTTCTCTAGCCGATTGGCACTCCGCTATACCTTCTGGTCACTTTCGTCTTTGCCTTTGCCATCCCCGTGTTTCGCATCCCAAACTAGAGTCAGAGATGTCTCGCGATACCTCGCACAAGTCCGGTGTTATTTGCAGTTGCCATTGCGCCCTTGCGATTATTCACTTGATGGTATAGCACTTTTCTGTACGTTTCTTTTTCTACTCTCCTGTCGACTCAGGGAGAGGTGCTACACCAGCTGGAACTGGAACTAGATGTTCTCCGCCGCCTACTGTCTCACACGCATGACACTACCACATGCAAGTCCCTGAAGTTTGGCGCGAGAAAACGCCACGATCCCTGGATCTTCGCGCGCACCTTTAGTCTCTCTTATGCCCGAGGATCCCTTTCGCGCCTATTTTCTCCTCTCTTCTGGCTGAATGAACGGTGCTAATTTAGTTGCTATTCTGACTAGGCACGCAGGCTCTCAGGATGCGTCCTTTGCACAAGGCGATTCGCACACCCTGCAGACCTCTCTTCCACCGCTGAACGTCTCTCCTCCCTCTTTTGGGTTCAGTCACTTTGCTCCCGCGAGAGCTCGCGCGTCTGATGTCACACAAACTCCAGACCCTGGAAAGTTGAGTACCGCAATACCTCCTCAAGCTCTTCGGGCACAGAAGTCGACTTCATTCGAGTTCATCGCGCGGAATAGGTTTGGAGAGAAGACTTCCTCCCGCAGCTCCCGCCCAGTCATTACCGTGTCCGCACCACCGCAAAATGGGCAACATGTCGAGAACGACAAGGATGTGTTCACGACCCCGCGCGCAGCGCCCAACCCTCCTGCAGCACCTAACCTTCCTGCAGCACCTGCCCAACCTGAAGTAAAGTCTCGGCGTACACTACGCAAACCGCTTGTACTTTCTTTCTCACATAAGAAGACCCATCCGGAGAAAGTGACATCACCAACATCTCCGAAATTACCGGTCCCTTCATCTCCAACGATTAATCGCACTCCCCCGTTACCAGCCCAGATGCGGTTTCCAATACCTCCCGGACCTGGTGGGCAGCTACCAAGGCCATCTCAGGATTCATTACAGAGCATGCAACGGAGAAGGGGCAACGCCGGGATGTCTGACGAATCTCCCGTGCCATCGCCCGTGAGGGGCTCATTTTCGTCTGCGTCAGGCTCGGTTAGAACATACGTCCCTGGCGACAGAACACCTAAAGAACAGGGAGGCAAGCTATCGCCGGCTGGTAAGTTCCTACCGACACCGGGGGATGTCTCCCCTACTCGCACGCGATTTTCGAGTAGTTCTGGATCGCCCTCAGGCACCATTGGCAGGGCAGCAGGTGCTACGTTAGGCAAATCTGCGAAGCCACCACATTTGAGGTTGAGCATGCGTAGAACGTCACGTACGCCTTCCCCTGCAAGTACTCCCCCAACGGCTCCTCTGCCAGATTTACCATCGGAAGCGTCTGCCCCTCCAAGCCCTATTCGCGAGGGTCACAGTCCGACGGTGTTATCCCCAGGGCCGTACTCGCCTGCGTCACGTTCGCCAACTCTAAACGGTCTTCCAACTACTCAGTCGATGTCTAGTGTGGCATCCAGGCGTTCATTTACTTCTATTCCTCATAGGAGTGCCAGTGTTATACGCTCTAGGGCTAGCAGCGCATCGGCACAAGCAACACCTACTCCTGTGGCAGCTCGCAACGAAGTCACCAATAAGGGCAAATCGAAGGACCAGGACGATCGCACCGATACCTCTGAAGGGACCGGTTACGCCCCAGCCCCCAACAACCAGCATGGACGAAAGCCATCTAAAGATTCGGAAAGGCTGAGACGTCAGGAGTCTACGGATACCCCTAGATTACGCAAGATCGATACCTCTGTCGTTCAGCAACATCTCTTACCGGATTATTCGAGTTTGCGCGCTAGGCATGAAACACTGATACGCAGTCTTCAAGAGGTGCATGCTGCTGAGAAGGCAGAGCTTCTTCGACGGATCGAGCAGTTGGAGCGTGAGGCTCGGAAGAGGGAACGGGAGATCAAAGGACTTCGGTGGTTGGTTATGAATGCTGGCAACAGTACCGGTGACCCCACTAGTCAACTATTCTCGCTGGCTGAAGGTCGAAGGAGAGATAGGGCGGGATCAAAGGCGTCGGACGCGAGTCAAGATAGTTCGACGGGAAGCCAGTATGTCGACGCTTCTCAGACTCTGGCCCCAGCGTATTCACCTAGGAGCAGTACCGAGGAAGGTCTCTATGAAGTGCAAGCTTCGATCTCGGATCTGATCTCGCCGACGGAAGGTACGCCTCCTACGATATCTTCTGGAGAGAAACAACAGAATGGCAAGACTAGGGCGAGGCGATCGAATACTCTTCCGTTTGGTTCACAGACGTCTTTGGATCCGAAAAGTCTGGTCGCGATCAAGCAAGCTCGGAGGACCAGCTCACCCGTCATCCCCGCTAATGGTAGCCCCGTTCCAGCACCATCGTCAACATCAGCGTATAACTCGTCGAACTCACTTGCGGGGACTGGGCTGGGGATTCAAGTTGATTATCCATCGATACCTTCTCTGGCGGAGTCCGGGTACACGAAGTCATCCTCCGGATCTTCTGCGATGACGATGCCTTCTATGACCCTGACTGCAACAAATACCACATCGTCCAGTCTTTCAGCTATCCCTGAATCTCCTCGACGTATTCCTCCCGATGCGACTGATAGTATGATTATCGACATGGAAAGACGAGAGAAGGAGGAGCGCCGAGCGTCTCGTGCCTTGAAACGTATCTCGGCATCGTCCACGAGCTCGTCCTTGGGTCTCATGGCTGTCACCGCTTATAATCATAACCTTAAGATTGGGCAGTCTCCGTCTATTGACCAGGTGCTTGATAGTCCGGAGATGGACATCGACGACGTTATGCGGAAACTTCGTGCGTTCGGCGGACACGGAGCTTAAATGCGGATGCGTTATACCGCAGACGCAATATCAACCGATTTTTCAACACACACTATTATCTTTTTAAGCTCATCCCTTTTCGCTGCAACGTAACAGCAGCATATCCTTTTTTTATTTTTACGATCCCCTTGGTTATTCTCACGACATTTACAGTATTTCTGTCTCTTCGTTCTCATGTCTCGTCATCTTGATTTGCAGCGGCATCCCAAGCCGAAAGTATTGCATTATTTTCCTGTAATCTCCTCCTCATATCGTTCTCTTTTAGATTGCTGTCTCCCCTTTTCTCTTCCCCCGTCATACCAATCTCTTTCGGGTTTGTGATTCGCATCAATTGGCATTGTATCTATACACAGCTCTACTCTATTACTCTCTCCCCTTGGACGTATAACTCTCTCTCTCTTCCGTTTTGTTAGTCTCTCTCACTCTCTCACTCACATTATTTGTTTCTTGTGGATTCGATGTGTTTTTCCGCTTACATACATATCTTGTTCGAGTCGTTGGACTCATGCTTGGTGCTGTACTCAAATCGCGGATAGAATTAAAAGTTTGGATTTCACATTCAGTATGGTACACATTACCAATTATTAGCGGATTGCGACCTAGCTAGAAGCCGAGCATCGAGAGCGAAGTACAAAGGGAACAAAAACAAAGCAAAAGTAGAAGACAAGAAGAAAAGATTAATTAATTGTATTAGAAGGTATGGCAAGAGAAGGCCAGAAATCAATTTGTCACGTCGGGTCAGCCCAAATGCCGTTAGGACTTATCCATCCAAAGAAGCTGTAATCTTCTTTGTCAATTCGATCATACGCAGAGAGTGACGTGCTGCCAGCCTTTTTGCCAGGTCGTTCGGGTTTTGCGTGATTGATAGGTGTATCTTTGAAGGAGGCATAGAACTCCAACTCTTCGGGGCTTGGTTTTGTTTCTAGTGATGACCCCTGATAATCAGCTTTTCGTTGATGGCGAAATATGATGCATCTTTACGCATACCTCCACATATGTCAGCAGATGTCATCTTCCGCAGACTGTCGAAAAGATTTTTGCTACAGGATGGCATAGTTAGGTTTGGAATAGCTACAAACGGTCAACAGACACGTACTCGGATGCGAAGAACTGGCTTGCTTCGACGCTCTTCAAACGGTACCGAGCTCTGGTGTCAACGGTCAAAAGCTGTTGAACTTTTTAGTACCTTTCGGACATTAGAGGAGGTATCAACCTTACGCCACATAGTAGGTCGAGATCGGCAGGCAGAAGAGCTTCGCTTCGCTTCGTAAAGAAATCAGAGGCCTCCTTACCACCGGCTCTCCATCTGACATACTCTGCAACCGCCTCAGCATCTGGGAAAATAACCTGTCTCATGGTCAGAGGATGTCTTGAATGAGGAACGTGTGTGCCAGGAACTCACGTCTCCTACCAGCAGGTCAAACAGAACACATCCGAGAGCCCACCAGTCCACTGCGAGCCCATATCGCTGCTTAGAATGCATTTCGGGTGCAAGATATTCCCTGGTGCCGAGGTGATGGCTAGAATATGTCATGTACCAGTGTAAAGGCTCAGTATGTTGGGAAATTGTGAACTGGTTCCTGAGCGGCGAGATCCACGCGTTGGTGAAATCTGTTAGTCGGACATTTTCAGTACCAGGGACCAGTAAGATGTTCTCCGGTTTCACGTCGCGGTGCATGATGCCCATTTTATGGAGTGAATCAATTGCCAACGCCTGCAGTAACGAACATTAGGCAACACCTTTTTAAGTAGTAAAGATAAAAAAGACTGACGATTTGTGCGATCCATCTCTTGATCAGAGGGCGTTTGATTGGGGTTCTCAGCAAGGAAAATAGGTCACATTCCATAAGATCCTGAAATATTGTGTGTGAACTCAGTTGGCATCTACTCGGTAGAATATTGATTCCACTCACCATCACGTAGATCACGTTGCGGGTGTCTTGTACGACGCCATGAAGTTCCATCAACCATTTTCGAGCATTCTCCTCAACAGAGGAGATATGTTGGTATGCGATTAGCTCAGTTAGAAGTCCGACATAACGTTCTTGACGTTCCGAAGTTCGCTTTTTTGAGAAGACTTTGGTGCAGATAACACGAGAGGTAGCAAGATCTCGAGCGGCGAAGGCAGAGGCATAGCTTCCATGATCGAGCTCATGCAGGATAGCAAAAGGACCGACTTTTGGCGTCGTGTCCTTTTTTGAATTTTTAGATGGAGGGAAGATCTCCGATGTAGCAATTTGGTATAGACGAGATTGAGAGATAGACCCTAGACGTTGGCGAACAGCTGGATCGATGGTTTCATGATCGCCTGGAGTTTGAGGAGGACCAGTAGTGGAGGCAGAAGAGAGCGTATCAGGAGATCCCACGCGCTTGACACGAGGACAGTGAGGGCATTCATCTTCATCGTCTAGCTCTTGAGGTGTTGGAAGCTTCCTGCTTATTATAGAAAGCTGCAAACGCAGCTGATGCTCGGCCTCAGAGCTAAAGTGTTGCGAATAAGATCCATCGATGACACTTGGAGGCTCTGGGAAGCAGGGCGTGGTTGACACGCGAATTGGAGTAATAGAAGGTAACGCAGTTATAATCGGTGGCACGAGAGCAGCACGACGCGATTTTGCGTCTCCGTATTGGCGTTTCCGAGTCAAAGGAACACGGTTGATGTAAGTATATCCACGCTCCGGAGGCGAAGCTGCTGCAGGCACCAACATAGCTGATCAGTTATCCGGGAGAAAAGGCGGGTCGGACGGGAGGGGTTATGCGTAAAAATTGCGGAAAAGGGACCATTGACAGCAAATGCAGAAGATGCAACCTGACCTTTAGTAGTTTTCAGACGGGCCCAAGCATGCTCGCGTATGTCTTGGGGTCGAGCGTGACCAACAAAAAACAAGATTAGACCGGAACATAAGCTAGAATAATTTGGCATTAATCCGTCATTATTTGACGGCCTAACACGCCGCTATTTGTGTTCTACGTATCGCAAACGAATCTGTTGGGTTAATCCCCAATAATAGAGTGGGGTCCCTGTATAAGCCACCGTGGTGGAATCTAAGATTTGAGCAGGCTACAGATGTGTTATATTCAGTATGCAGGAAGTGAATTCGCAGTGAAGACAAGACTCTTCAGAGCGAGAATAGTGTTGACGACAACAGATGGTAGTTGGATGCAAACCTGAAAGGCCAAGTGACTCGGCCAAGGATGAATCTCCGTGACAGTACTGTGACAGAGCGCGAAGCGCACCGTGACATGCGCGTTTGTATGCGCGGCCGCGTGTCACGCTGACCTCGTTGTGGTCTCAGCTCTCGCGCTCCTCCGTATGAGCTATACCTTTCTCTAAACACAGCACTTTATTATTGCACAAGTCAACATGTCCGAAGTGGAGGACGCGGCACCGCGAAGATCGCAAAGGGAAAAGAAACTAGCCAGCCATTTCGTATCAGGTTCGCGCATTCTGAATTGCCAGTATTGCGTCGAGACATTAATTACTATTCTCAACAGTGAACAGTGCTCTTCTTGCGAAGCGAAAACGCTCAGATGAGACAACAGATGACGACGATGTCCGAAGCCAGATGTCCGAACACGATGGATTTGGCTCTGTGGACGGTGACGCCGATGAGGAGGACGGGGACGAAGAACAAGATGAACCCATGCCCAAACGGAAGAATAAGGGCAAGAGGAAGGCCCCCGCAAAGGGTCCTCCACCTCTCAAGAAGCCCCGTACGGCAAAAGCCCCTGCAACCAAGAAGGCGTCTGCGGTGGCGAAACCAAAGAAGACTACGGGTGCACCGAGGGGACGTAAGAAAGCTGCTGTTGCAAACGGCATAGAGTTTGATGCAGAGCAAGTCGCAAAGGACACGAAAATTTCGACAGATAACGCGTTATTCAGTGAGGTTCATTCGCGTACATGCCAGACGGTGTTTAACTTATAGTCACCAGACACCATTATGAACCCTTCTGCGGCATTGCAATCGACAGCAGAAGACTTCCTTGAGTCTCTGGATGCGACACCAGGGCCCACCCAGGCTCAGTTGATTAACTGTATATTGCGCTCATGCGGCTGCAATGATACTGTTAACGAAGACGAAGTAGTCGATTATGATGGCATCATCGATGCTCTCGACAACTTCACAGAGGCCCTCAAACAAGTGCGCACCCCCATACTTACTTCTGCTAGTCGGGTCAACTAATGCACGAGCCGAATACAGGAAGATTCGCCAATATACCCGCTAACCTCGAAGTTGCCGGCATTCAAGAAGTTCCGCAAGTCCCTCTCAGAGTTTCTTTCGCGCCTTATTAGCTCTGCGGCTGCTATGGGTCAGTTGTGCAACTCTGATCTCCTCCTCACTCTTCAGGCATGGGTTGTCGCAATGTCTTCGTCGCAACTGCGTGCATTCCGACACACGGCGACTGTAATAGCACTGGAAGTTGAAACTGCGCTATGTGAAGTTGCGGCAGACGTTGAAAAGGAAGCTGAAGTCGTCAGCAGACAAAGAGAGGGTGAGCGGAAACGAAAGAAGGGTAAAGGTGATGCGTCTACCGCTCGAGATAAGGACCTCGAGAAGAAAGCAGAGGAGGTTAGAGGAAGACGAAAGAAGCTGAGCGAGTTTCTCAAAGAGTTTGTCGATGGGTATGATCCTTTGGTACTACCGCACTCGAAACAAGTGCTAATACGTTTCACAGAGTCTTTGTACATCGATATCGTGACCTCGACCCAAACATTCGTGCCGAATGTGTCCGTGCCATGGGTCTTTGGTTTGCCAAATATCCCTCCCATTTCCTAGATGGCGCATATCTCCGCTATGTAGGCTGGGTCCTTTCAGATTCTAACACTCATGTCAGGCTAGAGGCCGTTAAAGCTCTCTCACTCGCTTACGCGCAGACGGAATACATTGGAATCGCTGCCTTACAACACTTCACGGAACGTTTCAAGCCTCGGTTAGTCGAGATGGCGATGGGCGATACCGAATTAAGCGTTCGAGTGGCCGTCGTGCAAGTTCTCCAAGCTATCAATACGCACGGACTCCTGGAGGACGAGCAGACAGAGAAGCTGTGTCTCTTGGTATTTGACGAGGAGGCAAAGATGCGTAAGGCCGTTAGCGGGTTCGTAAAGGGTGTGTGGGAAGAGGGAGTCGAAGAAAGGTTGGTAGGGAAACGACCATCTGAGAAGGACAAACAGAAAGCTGCTGTCAAGGTACTTGCTATGCTACTCGTCCAATGGGGAAAGGCTCTCGATTCCAGCTCGGGAGACGATGAAGAAAGTGAAGATGACCGTTCGGAGGATGAATCGAATGGTCCATCAAGAAAGGCGAAAGGCAAGGCCGTTGCAGCTCTTGTTGGTTCCAAATCCACTAGTCGCACAGGGCTCGCGGTGGAGGCACTCTGGGATGAAGTTGAGCCAGTCTCTGATTGGGAAACATTACTTGAGATTCTGCTCCTTGACCATTCCGCGTCTGGAGATGAATCTTCTACGTCTTCTCGTGGAAGTCGAGCACAGGGGAAGAAAAAATCTGCCGATACTACTATTGATGAGGCATGGAGACTTGAGGAAGTCGAAGAAGGGGTTCTCCTTGAGGTCCTGATTGCTGCGTTGCGGAGAACCAAGCTCGAGGCCACTGGGACGAAGAAGGTAAATTATTGGCAACGTTTTTTTTGGGGCTGCGAGCTGAATGGTTCTTTTCTTAGGGCGAAGAAGATAGTGTTTCTTCAGACATCACCAGAGCCCTCATCAAGGCATTACCGAGGTTGTTCATGAAGTACCAAACGGATGAATCAAGAATGGCCAACGTCTTGCTAATACCTCAACTAATGAACCTCGATGAATATTTGGAGATGCGAATGATGACTGTAAGGAAAACCCCATCTTCTTTACCTACTTTGCTGATCATCCATTTTCAGGTATACTCCAGCCTTTGGGACGATATCACAAAGCAATTCTTATCTCACTCTTCACCAACCGTTTTGGCTAATGCGGTGGCTACCGTTCGATATATGTTGGAAACAACTAGCCTGTCAAACACGAACAGCACCAAGATCCTTGAGCTGGAAGATGAACTGTCAAACTCTTTACGAGAGGCAATATCAGGCCGTGAAGAGCTCGAAGTCGCCTCCTTCAGCGAAGATGAAGTGCTTGCGTTGAACGCTATCTGTTCTCGAATTGCAACTCTAGCAGGCACTAGAGATATGATCGCTTGGATGGAGGAAGACGAAGGCGGTAAACAAAGTAGCGCTTGGGATATCATCAGCGCGCTCGCAGAAAGAGGGCGACTTGGCTACAAGGAAGAAGAAGCGGTAAGGGTGCTATTCTTTGATTGACCTGCGAGTGCTGAATCATTCTCAGATGATCGACCATGCCTTACAAGTGCTGTACCTGCATATCTTGTGGAAGACACGCGCCTTGACAGCTTCTGCCGAACCATCTCCGGAGGAGGTAAACTTCAGGGAGAAGCTGAAAGAGCAGCGAGACTCGTTACTAGAGAAACTACTTGAATTTGCTGTCGGTACTCAATCCAACACAGCCGAAGGTGTCAGACGAGCGGTGTGTTTCACCTAATCATCGTTGACTGGTATCTTTTTCTAATGCTTGTTTATTAGGCTTTCCAAAATCTCATGCACATACATATTCTTTACTGCCCCACACAGTCAATTGATCCAGATGGCAAAGCTCTTCCAACGGCCGCCCTTGCCCTGTCGCTGGAGGATGAAGTTCAATACCGTTGTGCAGGCTTTGTCCAAGCCGAAATCGAAAAATATGCGGAAGAGTTGGAAGAAGACTCTCCGCAAGGTGAGGATGACACTGGCCACGAAGATAGCGGCGAAGATGGTTCTGGTGACGAAGAAACCGCCAAAACCAAAAAGAGCAAAAAGAGCAAGGGCAAGCGGCCTGAGAAGGCTGTCGTATCTGGTAAGCAATTGAGACATCTTACCATTGCGATTCATCTCACGGATTACGGTCCAGGTGACAAGGCGTCTGCTTCACGGCTAGAGAAAGAGTATATTTTCATTGGTGTCATTGCGACTTTCTTGCGTGCAATCAAAGCAGGGGCAATACATTTCCGGCATTCTGCTACGTTATTGGCACACTACGGACGGTTAGGACCTGTGTTTGACATGTGTTCCAAGGCTATTGTGGAGATCTTGCGTGAAGAGGGAATGTACAAGGACAATGGAGAAGCCGTGGTCGCCGTAATACTGCAAGCCCTTCAGGATGTGAGCGTTTCTCTTGAGCTGCTCCTAGTTTAATCGATTCTAACTGATGCTCTTCAACCAGTCATTCTCACTTTACCTTGACGGTATCGCCCATTCGGAGGAGCATACGGTCGCGCTCGCCAAGGTGCTTTCGTCGTGTTTCATCATCCGCGGAGCCCAGCTTTCAGTTGTCCGGCGGCTTGATCCAAAGTTTGTCGTTGAGGTCCACACCAGCGCTCTCACTTGGATTGGCAAACGTTTGGCGACTTACGAGGCCGCCAAGAATAAGAAAGGCCGCAACAAGTCTTTGGCATTTTTCAAAGCTCTGACGCCACTCTGCACTGCAATTGAGAGCAGAGACTTCCTGAAAATGTAAGTCACGATTTTTATTCTCCCATCCGCAACGCCTGTAATAACCACCGTTACCATAGAAAAGCGCATCTCGACCAGACCATCGCACAGGCCAAGGTTGAAGTCCTACCGACCGCTAAGGCTTGGGATGGCTATCGTGCCTATGACAAACGGCTCACCACAGGCAAGGACAAAGGTATGTTTCTGATGTTCGTTAGGGGTTATGTTAATCTCACGATCGTTTCAGCTGCAGGAGGAAAGCCCAAGAAGGCGTCGAAGAAGACTGCAAAGAGCGCGGAACTGGTCACAACTGAAGATGAAGGCGCTGATGATGCTCATGCTACGACAGGCGACGAGGATCCTATCCCTTCCAAACCGCGTCCTAAACCTCGTCGACCCAGGCGTTCTACTAGGGCAGCTCAGTCAGGAACAGAAGGAGAGCAGGAAGATGAGGAGCACAATGATCCACGCTCTGAACCTGAATTTACCACTCCAAGACAGAAATCGCGTCAACAAGCGGCATCCCCGTCAACGAACCATTCACCCGCCGAGCCGCCACTAGCAACCCCGCAGAATTCCCAGCCCTCCGTTTCTAGTCCATTCTTATTTGCAACTCCTGGCACTGGCAAACGGAAACGGGCTGGTACACCTGAGGACGATGCAGGTAGTGAGCCCGAGCCTGATGGTCAATCTCAAGCAGCGGATGAAGATGATGTTCCGTCCGCCCCAGCCACTCCACGGGCTTCGCAAGACATTCCAACGGAAGAAATTCAGATTCGGAGGAAACGTGTCCGTCATTGATACCCACGCACCTGTAAACTTTGCACTTCATCTCTATCTTTATTGCTCTTCCATCTATCTGCTTTCATTTGCTATCTGCTTCTTGTTCCATGCAATATTGTAGAGTACTCATATATATTCAAGTCGGGTGTAACAACATCGATACTATGACACGATGTCTGGGATATAATGCAACTAACGAATGTGCTAAATGTACGAGTAACAATGTGATAGAGAATGCGAAATAGTGAGTGTATAAGGATCCATGTCATGGAGATAAATAAAATAAGTGAATTAACATTCAAGAGGGCTCATGCCGATGGCGGCTAGCACAGCAGACCGCTGCAAATACCATTGTGAGTACAGCCGTACGAGAGGAGAGCAAATGATCAACTGACATCTGTGGAGGGTGCTCGAGTGGGACTGACGATATCGGAATTGCGCCTCGTCCTAGGGGGAACTGAGCCTGTCGCAACGGCACTCAAAGATCTTCTCCTAGGTAGACTGCCCCTAACGTTTCCATCTTGAAGGTTATCAAGACTAATTCCCAGCAAGTCCATGACTTCCTTTTGCGCCTCAACCATCGCGCGGACCTCAGATGTTGGTGTAACATCGGCGGAGGTAATACCTGCCAGGAAAGTATTTAGTAACCTTAGCCAAACACGAAGAAGATCACTCACCAGCTGAACGAGCAGGCAAATCGTTCGTAACAATACCAAGAGGGGTACGGATAGGCAAGCGAGGGACAGGAGGTACCTCCGACGCCGATCGCAATGCAGGAGACCCCGCCGTGCTACTTCTGTGAAGGCTACTAGCCACAGAAGAACGCTGACTACGAAGACGGCTGGGAGACCGAAGCCCTGATTTTGATACCCGAAGACTAGTTTTGCGAGCCAAGTTAATGCGACTTGAAGGACGGCCGTTGGCCTCCTTGTATGACGATGGACTCGTCATACCATTTTCAACCATTCGCTCCTGCATCTCCTCGAGCTCCATTGCGACCTCAGCAGCTTTTTCCCAGCCTTCGTCCCTCTGCATCTCCAACGACGTGATCTGTTCCCGAAGACTTTTGTTGTCCGCCATGTGCTTCACCAGACTAGTGTTCAGCTTCCGCAGAGCCATTGCAAGCGCACTGCTTGAATGGATATCCTGGAGGTGCTTTAGTTGGGTCAATTGCTGCGTTACGTCGTACAGTTCTTCCGAGAGATGATCCATATATTCGCCAATGTCTCCCAATTCCTGGACCATCCGAAAAACAGCAGTTTGGTCGATAAACTCGCCACCAGCAATTGCACTCAGATCGTCAAGACGGGTCTTACGCTTCCTCACAGTGACCTTGTACTGTGTACGAAGCTCAGCGCTCAACGTCTCCAAACGCTCAATCTCCGCTGGGACCTGATCATTGAGGACATCGATCGGCAACAATCGAATAGCGGTAGCGTCTGCCGACGACCTGATCGCTGTCGAGACGATCTCCTGGAGTTGATGTGAAGTTAGCGTCCACTGGGCGGCCTCCATAGTGAGACCACGAAATCTGATGGGTGTTATCTGAAACTTCGGTGAGGTAGCTGATAGAGGAGCAGACGGTATACGAGAAGGCACAGGTCTTCCTGCTGGTACACTTGACGTTGAGGATACAGAACCAGCACGAGCTCGGTTAGTAGCCACTGACAATAGAGCCGGACCACTAGGTCTGCGAGGTCCCATAGGAGCTGCAGGTCTTGCGAGGGTGCGAGTTGCACGAGGAAGCGGTACAGACTCTGAAGGCGGCGTCGGTTGAGGAGGCTGAGGAGGTTGAGGAAGAGGGGAGGGTGTTCGCCGAGAAGAAGGGCGAGGTTCGGGTGTAGCAGCAGCGAGATATGGAGGCGGTAGTTGTTCAGGTGGAGGAGGCGGCTGAGCGCCTCGTTCGAAATAAGGTGGAAGAGGACCAGGGTCTTCGCGTACCGGTGAAGGTTCTGAGAGTATACCAAGCAATTCACTTGCATGCGAAACATGTGAGGGTGCAGGCGAAAGCCGCGCTGAAGAAGTGGATGGTGAGGGAGGAGGCATAGGCGACAACGCCCGCTTAGATGGAACCAAACTGGTTGGTCGAGAAAGGTTTACTGTAGAAACAGGTCTGCTATCCGGAGCAGTAGATCGAAGGGACGGACTTGATTCAGTTGTCGCTTCAAGCGAAAGTGTAGTCGTACTTGTAGCAGCTCTTGTCGACGGTGGCGGAGGCATCAACTGAGGCGAAGGTTGAGGACTTGCACTCACAGTCACCATCTGTCCCTGGTTAGTATCTGGCGGTGGTGAACTTGTCCTTGATCTGGATGTGTGGGTCTGAGTGAGCGGCGTTGGAGGTGCACTCCCCTCCTCAATTGCTCCCAATGGTAGCAGAGCACTTGGCATTCCCGAAGCCTCAGAGGCCATCGACCAGCTTCCGGGATCCGAAAAGATACTATGAACACTCCCGGCCGCGCTGTGCATTGGTGGTGACATAGGTAGCCTGGCGGATCTGCTACCAGTGCTAGAAGCCGACGAGGAAGCAACAGATACGCTCATATGCCGGAAAATTTGCCCCGAAGACAACGGTGTCCGCCCAACTCCACGATTGAGCGAGCCCATCCTGGGAGACGCAAGATGTGCTGCGCCAGCAGGCAAAGGTGGTTGTGCAAAAGCAGACGAAGTGTAAGGCGTAAAAAGATAAGGCGTCTCCGGGAACGTCTGTCGCGCCGCAGATGAAGTTGAAGGTGACTCGCTACTAAAACTTTGTTCCGGAGATGTCAAGTCTGGAGAGAAGATCATGGGTGCGGGTTGACTACCAGACCGCTTGCGTGAAGAAGGATTCCGGACGGGTTGGACGATTCCACCAAACATCTGTTCAATCAGATCAGGCGACTCCACAGTTGAAGATGGACCTGGCGACGGACGCGGTCGGAAAGGTAGTCGAGTATCACGCATGCTCTCTTCTGAGGTCCGGCTCGATAGAGGGCTGGCCGTATATGGCACTTGAACTGAATGTGGTCGGTCACCGTACGGTACAGTAATGGTAGGCCGATGTTGACCACTGCTCCTGTGTGAGCTAGGTTCAGAAGGCGAGCGGTGAAATAACCGTGGACTTCCCATGCTCGTCATACTAGCAGGGTATAAGGATCCTGATCCTGGAGACTTGATCGACGTCGCAGGAGTGGTATAGCTGCGTTTACTCGTGCTATCAACAGAGTACATAGATCCGCTCTCTGCCGTAGTTGGAGGATCGGGAGAAAATACGGTGGCATCTGTCATGCCGCCTGTCGTAGGGTGTGTCGAAGAGGAGTCGTTAGCAGTCTCACTGGATGACCGAGGTTCGTCTTCTGTAGGGTGGGGCTCGGTATGTACGAGGCTGAGGGAAGACGAGGACTTCTGCTGACGGACATCGTTCTCGGATTGTGTTCGGCCGCTGTTACGGTATGACTGGCGTAACGACCTAACAGTCTTTGCCACACTGTACGTCGACTTGGCAGGTGTCACTGGTGAAGTGACAGCCGAGGAGGACGCTTCCGATATTATGGAGAATCGTTTCGGGTTGACAGGTAGTTGATCCTTCGAAATCCTGGAAAGACTGTTTGCCCTTCTATGTTTAGGTATAAAACCCGCACCCTCGACGTTCTCCGTTTGTTCCCCACTTTGCTCAATATCCTTCTCATGAGCCGAGACAACCTCTTCTCCAGCAATACTATTCCTCCTTCGACTATTCGGTTGTGATGAACATGCACTATCCAAACCCATCGCACTCAATTCCGCACTACTCGGCATTGGCGGTACCGGTGGAACAGGCGAACCAAGTGCATATTCGGGTGACACAATCACCTCCCCATTACTTATTCGCTTATCCTTCCAGTACGATGAACTCCGTTGCAAGAAAGGATGTTCACCTTTCGGTAGAGTCGCACTGTCCTGTCTGGTGAGCGTGAACCATCGGGAATCACGCGAGCCCCCAGAAATAATGAATGACCCGGCAACCAGATCGCGAGCGAGTGTTGTACCGGAGACAGCGGAAGAGTAGTCATCGGAGTAGCTCGAATTTGGGCGGGAAGCCGCAAGTGAAGATGCTGATGTATCACGAGTGGGAATCGCTCCTACAGACGGAGAACGGTGTACTCGGACTCGAGAGGAAGTTGGGTTGAAGGGGATTTGAATGGGGTTTGGAACTGGGCGTCGTGATGCACCATGCTGGTGGAATGTTAGCATGTAGTGAATTTGGGAAATGAGAGCGGACTTACACCTGCTGGAGAGTCCAGTTGAGGAGAGTGCAACTCAGCATTTGACGTTTCTGTCGTTTCTGCAGGTGGATCTGCTTGCGGAGGCTGTGAAAGGTATGATGTCAGGAATGTCAAGAGAAGATGTGCAAACTGCTCACCTCTGGTGGTCGCTCAGCCTCGATAACGATGATTTCGTCCGTAGAGAAGTTGAAAACCTCGCGACTGGCATTCCATGGTGGTCGTACAACCTCGTTACGAGAGTTGCTTGCGGATTCCGGGGCTCGTAACGACGCGTCGCGATTCGGAGGATTGGCAAGTACTTCACCGACTTTAAGCAACCCTGCCGGAAACCACTCTGATAACGACTCTCTGCTCTCGAAGTCTAGCTGTAATGGGGGAACTCGCAGGCCGAGTACAGAATCATTTGAACGAGAAGGACCCGCGTAAGGATCGTTGCTGGAGTTAAGTGAGGACCCTTCGCCATGAAGGTCCGCTTCGGGAGAAGTGAATGATCCTGGTGAAGGGGGAGAAGGAGCGCGTCGAGAGTGTGTCAAATTCTTGACTTTGGGCTTCTTCCCGAATAGAGCTCGCATTCTCGACACCAATCAAGCCACAAGGGACTGAGATCGTTGGGAGAGAAGAGGCGCGGAGTGACCCTCGACCGTCCAGTTGGGTATAATACAGATCGATAGGGAGCAGAAACACAACAATAGAAAGAGAAGACGGTCAAGGAGAGACAAGGCGTGACGGTACGACAAGACCGGTACGAGGTGAGCTGAGACGATGGTATAGCACCCATCACTCCGAGCCGCCGTCCCAACCATCATCATATGAGATGGATTTATTCGTGGTAGCCACAATCACTTTCTGTCAGCGTTCAACCTTCCGGATCGAGGGATCGAGATTGGCGAGGCACCTGCATTGCAATCCTATGGTCAATCACGAATGTCCAGAAACTCATCCCTGCATGTGAGAAACAGGATCTCTCACCGGCACCGCGACATGACCCTCCTCCCGAATTTTTTTTTTTTGCAGAAATGTCATCCTGTGCAGCTGGAAACAATTGGACGGTGATGAAGAGCAGTGTAATCTTTCAGTTACGCCCTGTTTCTGCCCAATGTGGTAGAGAGTACAGCCCATCAAAGCATACGGAATAAGGTGATGTCAACCGCCCAATCGTAGGTGAAACTGAGATGAGACCTCTGCTTTCGTGAGTACTTGGCCGGTGGTGGCAAGCATAACTTTGATATCATCCGGCCGATCCGAGGTTCCCAGCAACGCACCATCTGGCCATGTATTTCAACGATGCATGCTTATGGTCCATGCAAGACAAGTTCTGAGTGATGGTCGTCTAGTTGTTTGGAGGCCAGCATTGCAATTGGTCAATGTCAGTCAATGCACTGGCTGCTGATGCGAATCTCCATCTTCAGTATTTTCCAGCACCGGTCGCTGTTTCGGCCGTCGGTGATGGACACTCCGGGCAGATCTCAGTGATCGACATGGGGCGTCTATACAATGTGTGCTTCTCCAACTTCTGTTATCAACGGTGACCGGACTACCCTGGCAGCCTGGCTTTCAATGCGAGATGTCGCTTGCTCATAAAAGCCACAAGTTTGCAATTCAATTCCACACATATTATCACTCGAGAATGTTGGCTTGATGTTGGCTTTGAAGGTTGGTCAAATCGTTCACAGCGTTCCGCTCGTCGGAACTAGTACTGTTTCGGCTTACTTGTCGAAGGCGAAACAGGTTTAGACTAACTTCCACTCCATCTCGGATTTATCACATCCTTCTCGTCGTAAGTAATTTATGACAATGTAGCCAACCAAGTACGCTTCTTTTACCAAATTCCGACTTTGACATCATCTTCTGACCCGGTGTCGTTCCCTCCGCTAATTTCCTGCAGATCCTTTGGTATGCAGAGCGAGAAAGGGCCACATAAGTGGCCGGTCCCAGGCGGTTTTTCCACGGTACCGCGATTCGAAGGCTCTGCAGATGTCCTTTCTCCATAAAAAATGACTCTCACGGAGGCACGCTTGCCTGTGAGCCTCTAACTCAGGACTTGCACACGCCAAGCGTAAGCATTACAGTAATTCGCCTCATTCCCGCCTCTTCGTGTACCCTTCCGTAGCAGCGCACCTCCAAATCATGTTTACCGACATACGCATCCCCCGTCGGTCGGCGCGGCGCATCTTGAGACATGAAAAATGTCACCGTCTTTACGGTATGGTTTGTTTCAGAAACGTTGACTTGCCAAGCTTGTTTCATCCAATTCAGCAACAGCAGTCAGCTGCCTGAGTCCTCCTTCACAGCAACTGCGAAAGACCTCACTAAAGCGAAAGGTATTGGGACGATTTACCTGAACCCCCTCAAGGTCAAAACCCACAACGTCTCCTACGTGCCGCTCTGCATCTGCATATTCTTCAAAATGACCTTTGTGCACCATTGGATGATCATGTGAAGCAATCTGACGTTGTCCTGACCATCAAACCCGCCTTGGCCCCTCAGCTTTTATCTGAGGCTCCCGGAATCTTGACTTGAAGAACCGCTCTATCGGCCTTTCTTGCTGATAGTCCATCTTTGTCAACCACCTTTGTGCTCTGCTGCCGTTTTGACGAATCTAGTCTCGTCAGGTATACCGCTCTTCACCTCATCTCACCCTTGATGACGGCCAATACGTTGCGGAGACGTATAACAGAGTACGCCTGACAACGCCGGAGTTTTTTTTTTATTATACCCCCTACCTCACATTATACGCAGCCTTTGCCTTGGTAACATTCTCCGCGAATCCCGCCGGAAGTGGTTTCGTCCCCGCCGAACGCTGCAATGCTGGTACTTCTTTCTGCCTCAATCGCGAACCTAGGCATCCGACTACTTGATCTATGTACGCCTCTTCTGGGATGCAAGTCACGACTATGAAGCTACGTTTCTTGATATAATTCTTACTGTTGTGTCATAGTGGTTAACCTAAAATGTCATGGGTTCGGACGCTCTGAGCTTGATGTTAACGGTTTCAATGCGTATCAGCTCCTGCCTGAAAGGCATACATCAGTGGAGATGTCCTTGCCCAAGATGGGAGATTCTAGGCGGTCGCATCATGTTGTCCCGTCTGGAAGATTGTAACCTTCAAGGTTAACAACGATAGTGATGGTAAGCTCGACTTGACGAGGAGCGCAACAAAAAATCATATGAAATCTTGAGCCTAGGTACCTTTTTCTATTCCGATTGTAACCGTTTGCCGAAGGGCTGATCGTCGTTCTGAAAGTGTAAACCGAGGAAGTTCGTGCGTTACTTCCAAATACGGAACTACCCTAGTGGTCATGTATACTGCGTTGGGTGCTCACTCAAGTTGAGTGAGCACCCAAGATGAGCGACACGTGCTCAATATATTCCTCACATCCGATGGTGCTTAATATGCCCGTGCGAATGGTGAACTCTATCAGTGACTTGTTGGCATGTACCTGTGCATGACGACTGCCTCGTAGCAGCTCCCCAGGCTTGCAACCGTACGCTATCGACGAACCTAGCAGCCTCACAAAGACAGCAAGTGCGTCGGGTCGTCTCTGTCTAAACATATGTTATGTTGACGGTATTCGCGGCAGCGATGCGGAATGCTTCTGCTAGTTCGCCCGTGCTACCTCAGGAGTTAATTGACGAGATCCTCGGTCATCTATGGAACGATATTCCCTCTCTGCATTCGTGTACATTGGTCCATTCCTCATGGTTGCCCACCAGTCGGCTACACCTGTTTCACACGCTGAATGTCACTTGCGAGGTTAAAACACATTCACCCGCCTTCCAGAATCTCATGGCATCGCTGCGATTCGGTGACCTATCTGATAAGTGCCACCTCATCTTCGAGCTCTGCCTAAGAGGTTCGGATACTAGCAGTTCATCCGAACGTCAGGGACCCTTGTTCATCAGTACTCTCGCCATGATCATTACCCAAATTCCTAACCTTCGGAGGCTTGAACTACGGAATCTACATATCGCAGTAGATGTCACTCCAGAGAACTTCCGAAGAGCTGCATGCGACTCCGTGGAATCGCTCGTAATGATAAGTGTCATGATCATTTCCACGGGGGATAGCAGTGGAAACCGTTTGGGCCGTCTCTACGCGCTCTTCCCGAGAATCCAAGAGCTTCAACTCAGCCAGTTCTATTTGGAGGAAGAATCAGACCATTTCCCTTTAGCCACTGGGCGGACCTTTCCTTCATTACGATCCTTTGCAGTGAGCCTCATGGATTACACAACAGATCCTGAAGAACTCATTATAATCTATCGACGTCTCCTGTCAGTGAGCCCAGTGCTGCGTCTTTATGTTTTCGGGTTCGACACGCGTTCAGGAACTGGATGGGTTGCTGCTGGTCGCAATACGTTAGAACATCTCCATCTTCAAATCTCTGGCACGTCGCAAAGTGAGTCGTCCCTCGTATTCCTCGTCTACTTAAGCTCAAATATCTTCTAAACAGGGTTCAACCCGAACGTTTTCGACCTGTCCTTGTTCAGTCGCTTGAAGTCGGTTCACATCAGTGTCGAAATTGAACCTCTCGACCGAAGGGTGTTTGCCAAAATGGATGGGAAACCATTGCGCGATCTTTTCACCTTCATTCAGTCTGTTTTGCTTGATGCGGGATATCCTCCGCAACTGCAATCACTGATACTGAAGCTCAGAGTCATTTCTCAGAATCTCACCCATACGGCATTGGAATTCGCTCCGAATTCATTGTCAAAATGGGAAGAGATGGGCGATGCAATCAATCTCATGTCTTCGGAAATGGAAGTAACTGTCATCATCTTAGAGCACCTGCGTGGAATGGGGAGGAGGTCAGACTGGGAGCAGATGGATTCATGGATGACAGCAACACGTCTCGGGGATCCAGAGCTCAAATTGAAGGCATGCAAGAATATTTATAAAAGTGGACGATTTGATGTCGTGAATATGCGGGCTTTCTAAGATATGTGACATGTAGTCAACCGGTAAATGTTACCATTGTGAGTCTTCCTGATTTTTTATTATAGTCTGAAGGAATACTGATGGTAGCGCACTTGTCCTGTAGATGTATTTAATTTATGCTTTGAATGAACATGAAACGTACAGATCATGTATCGAGTCAGGAGCGCAGCCGCTCAATGGCACATGGCGCTTAGACTATCCCGACCATCGTAACTCCGAATCTCAAGGACAATATGTGCGAGCTAGTGCGATCGACATTTCGTATATAAAGTAACCTGCTGGATAATTTCGACTTCCCTTCCAACTGAATTCGAGATCGTTTCGAGGTTCGTCATGTTATCTCTGCATGGAGTAGCGTTTCAAATGCATTTTTACTCACAATATGAACAGTATGGCTCCTACTCCGTATCCTACGACCATTCAAAGCCTACCGCCAGAACTCATTGCCGCGATCCTAGAATGCCTGCAGTCTGATAAAAACAGCCTGAAGTCGTGTACTTTGGTTTGCTCGGCATGGCTCAATCCTAGTCGATCGTGTCTTTGGCATGAAGCGCAGTTTATTGGGTTCCAGCAGCCCCTTTTCTACAACAACTTTATGATTTCTTTGCGATTTGGAGACCTCATCAACATTGGCCAGCACATCCGGAAATTAACACTCGTCGGTCCCAACATTACGGAAGGCTACAATGTGCCGACCGGATGTCCGGCTCGTCCGCTGTCGACCACGGTACTCATTGCTATCCTAGACCAGTTGAAGAACCTTCGCAAGCTCGAGTTGCAAGATTTCAATCTAGCCTTGGATCTTTCGACTTCCTACTGCAGAAAGGATATTTTCAGCAACAGTGTCCTTGAGACACTCGTCCTCATAGATGTTATGACCGACCAGTCCTCGTCTCGCAAAGCCTTACTAGACTTTCTTCCTATAATATTTCCCAGCCTCAAGGAACTCCGGGCATCAGCGTTTCGTCCTGATGATGATATTGACGTTGAGGGTCGGCCGTTATCGGGGTTGCGTCATTTGTCGGTCAACCTCATTACGCCTTCAGACGTGAGGTTTTGTCGCAGGATGCTTATGGCACAACCGATACGTCGTCTGGATCTCTTCGCTTTCAGCACAAGCAAGGAACAAAAATTCTTGGCATCTGGTGCGACCAGCATACAGTACCTATCTTTGCATTTAGTGAATTTCCTCTCTCGTGAGTGACCTTCGAACCTCCGTTTTTGAATGGCGTATTGACGCATTTTCAGGATTCAATCCCAAGGATCTCAACCTTACTTCGTACACTGTACTCGAGAGTCTCGATATCAGTATCGAGGTGCCAAGCGGCATCACATTGGAGGAATTATCCATCACGACATCCGACTTGTTCAAGTTCATCGTTTCCACTCTGACGTCAATCGCCATGCCTCCTCAGCTTGAAACTTTAGTCTTGAGACTTGGCATGGTGGTCGATAGCGATACTCGTTGGGTCTTACATTCTGAGTTCGGAGCTCAATGGGCTCAGATCGCTGAGGCTGTCAATGTTAGGCCTGAGCCAAAGAAGGTTGTAGTGCTTTTGCAAGAGCATGACCCGTATACATACTCGCAATGGGGATCGGAACATATGAACACCTGGACGAGGACAACTAGTTCGCATGGGCCAACGTGCGGGCATGAAATCTTCACATCCAATCGCTTCATGGTGAACAGCGTAAGACTTTCATCACCGAACTACTGATGAGATTTGAGGGCATCTTTAGAACCGTACCCGCGATGCCAGTAAGTCACCTCTGATGCTATACTCAATTCGCATCTCAATTCTTCATGCTAGTTGCAGGTCGGCAGGTCTAGAGCCTTCTTTATGACTCTCGTCGTGGTCAGTATCCGGGATTTGTTATTTAGTACGAAGAAGAATATATATGCCGGCAATAGATCTACTGCAGCACTTTGTGGTAGGTTATGGGTTCAAGTCAAGAACGGAGTTGCCACAGTACAGACCACGGTGCTGCGAGAAAATACCTCCCCAAACTTGGTGCCTCGCTTTATCCTACTTGCGATACAAAACATCAACTTCCTGCGTACACTCCACACATCGTATTACGACTACTTGACAACAAGACAGGTGGAACGAAATGAAAGCCGAGCGCATCATGTTGTAATAATGAGAATACTTAAGACTTCAATATACTGACGGGCTCCCACTGATTCTCTTTGCGAACTGTGCAGACCTTTACAACGGGAGTCGTATGCTATATTGTTGATGACGTACACGGTCTTCGCAACTCAAACGATTCTGCAGAAGGCTCCGCCATGGCTAACAGGAGGGACAAAGCTTTTGACATACACATATGAAGTAACATACAAGTTCATACAGCTGGGGCAACAAAGAACACATACTCACTAGTCAATTCCAACGAGTACATTAGCTCTACAGTGAGATCAAGATATAATAAGTAAAGATGACTGAAAGATTGCTGATACCACATACCGGATTGTTCGTCAGATTACAGAAGCGTAAGCAGAAAGGTGCGATCTCACAAAGAGACGCAAAGCATGTCCAAAAATTGTGAAAAGCAGCAGACCTGGAGTAGTCTGAATCGAGTTACGCCATATGCATGACAGCCAACCACGAAAGCCAGTGTCGTACATTTCTTGGCGAGCCGCGAAGTGCACTAAAGGATGCAAATTTCATATGTCTGCGATCTTCAAATAGAGCCAACTCTCCTCGTACGCCTGTGGAAAATGGATCACCGGTAAATTTCACAAGTACTCGACTGACCCACAGGGCCACATTTTCAGTAGCCCCATCGAGTAACAAGTTCCATTTTAACACGCTGCGTGTTGGCATGAGACAACAGAGGCAACGGCATAGTCCGGGTTAAAGGACTATGACAGCTTCACGACCTGTTAAGGAACGTGAAACTGAATCTCAGCTATGCAATGCTACTTCGTAGTAAACATTGCATTGTGGTCGTCGGTGACGACACACTGACATGTATGGACCGAGATGCGAGGCGGCTTACGTGTGTGTTTCAACACAGCGTCTGACGCGATCGTCAGCCGTATGTCAAGGGAAACGCATGATGTACGTATGTGTGAACTGGGCCTGCAGCGGAGACCGAGACAGCTCGATACGATCGTGTTGCGTTTCGAGTTCGGCGCGGCGCGCCAAACGGAATACGCGTTCTGTGCAAGAGAACGTTTCGGTATTCACGGTGTGCGAATGTGCCTTGTTCTTTGTAGAGAACAAGTATGTCTCGTTCGTGTGAAGAACGGGTACACGTGTCATCGTAAACACGGAGTCAACCCGAGGATAACATGAAAGCGAACCGGCGGATGTACCGAGTCGTGGTCAACGAACGTACACCTCAAGCTCGAAAGCTCGAAAGCTCGAACTACATGGCTCACAAGGCATGCTCCACATCTTGGGTGTGCTCGGTGATCCAATTTCCAATTTCCGGAGTTCTCTGGAGGTTTAGGAGAACAAAGCTAGAGGCCAAGCCTAGCCCCCGCGAGTAAACGCAGACAGCGCCGATAGAGAGAAGACAAAAGGAGTTCGCAGAAAAAAGATGCATCCAATTCCCGCGACGAATTCCAAGCCTACAACCTCTGCCCTCCCCTGCAAGTGGTTCTTTGGGCATGTCGAGGAAGTTAGCGATTTTCTGGTTCGTCGCTCGACCTTTTATGGTCGGACCCAGCTAGAGTCAGTCTAGGGGAATATAAAACTCAGACCTTAGCCCGCTCGCAGATGAAGACGGGGGAACGTCTTGTACGGAGCGAGCCTCGCGGCTTCAGGACTGCTGCAGTTGTGAAGGAGAAGAGAGAAAAAGGGGCGAGCGCTCTGTCTCCTAAAGTGAGGGGCGGGAGAAGCCGACTGTTCGGCATTGACAAATCATTGTTTGCGCCTGTTTGGCAAAAGCACCTTCACCTTTCCCTAAAAGGGCGAAATATGCAAGGTTTACTCTTCTGTCGCAAAAAAAGAGTTGTAATGCATCCGCTACCAAAACATGGTGCCATAACCTATTGCGTCAATATAAAGATTCGCACGGAGGATCACACTACCATGATTTCATTGAAAAAAAGAAAGCCTGCTATTAGGAGAGGATCTCAGATGCCTAGTTAAATTGATTGAGTCGTAGGGTGGCGATCGGAACTGGGAACCCCAGTGGCTGGAGCCAGGCAGATATAAGTAGAGCTATGGGTGAACTATGAATCACGTACAAGAGGGATGATGCTAGCATCTGCGACGTAGACGTTTCTGGTGCCATAGCCCTATATTGCAATGAGCGCAGTGAGAAAGAATGAGGAGTTTATTTAAACCTTGAGGTTAGAGCTCAAAACCCCTCCTTGATCCCAAGGCAATGCAGCGGTTGGACCTACCAGAACATATCAACAGCAGCTGATGCTAATTTATCACCTGAAAACTCGCCAACTGGGTGCCAGGAACTGAACACGCTGCTCCGAATGAAATTGGCGAGTTGGATGTCAGAAGAATCGGGGATAGGAAGAAGCTGCTTGGTTATACTCGAGTAAGGTTTGACAATGGTGGAGTTCTTGAAAGTCGTTCGATGAACTTGATGGCTTCGACCAGTACCGAAACTTCTAGGAACTAAAGTCATTCCAACCTGAGCTATGCACGTAAGCTTTGTAATGTACCAAAATCATTCCCCAAGTGGTTTGGATCAAGACGCGCTAGTTTCGTTGGGTCAGATGCGTTGATATGTACATTACCTCTCGAGAAGGGATGCATGGAGACGGCGGCTATTGACAATGTGCGATGAACTGGGGCTGGGAGTGATGCGAGAGTCAACAATACCTGGGAAAAGATAAGCATGCCTATGAAACAAAGGCTACACGTTGAACCTACCAGGCAACAGCACCAATCTTCCCATTGAAGTAGGTGAGATAGAAGAATGGCATCAAAATGAGGAAACCCACTCGACGTCTGGCAGAGTGGGATCGTCAAGGAAAGCTCGCTGAACTGCGAACTACTTCTCGGACGGAGTTCCCTTGTACACCTTCAATGACTCATCCAAAGCCGACTGCCGACCGCAATTGTGCGAGTCTTTCAGGTTTTATGAAGGTTTGAACAGGTAACATGGCAACAGTTGAGGCAGGAATGGAACTCAAAACACCTGTCCGAATTGTGAAGGTAGAGCGTCGTCTGTTCCGCCACAAAAGTCATATTGCGAGCTAGATCTTCAATTGATTGACCGAGACCCGCCCTTAGCTCGAAAGACACCCGGGAACGAAAATAAATAATGGCTCAGCGCATAAAATAAGAAGTTCTCACTTGAATGGTAAATGATCCTGACATGATTAAGCTGAGTTCGATTAACATAGACAAGGATTTTAAACAAAACGAGACAAACCTGCAGGTTCTCGCCTACGCCCAGGAGATCGACTTCAGAAATAAAGCCATATTTCTCTAGAAGAGTTGTATTTCCGATACCTGAAGCATGACATTTTAGCATATTTTATAAACGTTCGACGTGGTCTGAACATACCCGACAACTCCAACAGTTTAGGAGTTTGAAACGTTCCTAGTACGGTCATAAGCTTTAGTAGGATAAACGTTAAACTACCATTGTCCTACCTGCAGCTAGAATAACTTTCCCGCCAGGATTGACATATCGCAGATGTTGTACCATGGCTGACATACTCCACGCCATTCGCTATGACCTCTTGGCATGTTAAGTCTTTCTTCAGATGTATTCTTGTGACTTCGGCTCCAGTGAAAACATGAAGATTTGGCTTGTTTTTCCAGACACAACAATCTTTTCTCCATAGAATGCATGAGAACGGTTTAGCGGTTTCACTGCGTAGCGGGTGGACCAGACACCAGCAGGTTCGTCTCCAGACTGCGTTATCACGTCAGCAGTTATTTCGAACCTCTAACAACTGGAGAGAACATACAGCTCTTCTAGCGGTTTTGATACCTAAGGCCGCCATGGAAGCAATGAAAGCTGGAATCAACGATCGGGGTTCCCAGTATGTCGAATACGTCACGTCCACAGGGCCATTAACACCGTGGTCAGAATCCAGATCATTCGCAGCAAACATCTCAGCATCCTCAGGTGAGGCGGGAGTGTAGTTCTCCACTGCTTTGATGTAAGTATCTACTACCTTGAAGTTTCATCCCGGATTTCCCAATCGTTCCAAAACTATACCTCGTTAGATTGATTCGACAAAAGGTTGACTATAAACTTCTTACCGTCATACTCCTTCTTATGAGCTCTGCAGAACCATATGAGATCATGACGAATCTCTACGAATTTCGACTTACTTGGTGTGGAACATGCCGTTCACAATGCGGGTACCTCCAAGTAATTTTCCTCGAGGAGATATTATCTCTCGGTTCGCGGCATGGGGCTGGGGGACGGATTTGAACATTCAGTCAATCTCAAGGTCCCTGATAACTGCGTCGAAAGACTCTAGACGGATAAGTGAAGAAAATATTGGATATGTCAGTAACGGTTCGAAGGTAAAACTGGAGGGATATAGACCGGGTATGAGCGTCGTATTCGTGATAACCCTATGACCTGCTTCTACAATGGCGACAGAGGCGTTAAGGTTATTTGCAAGCCTAACTTTCAAAGGTAGGTATCTCCCAAGAGTAGAGGTAGGTTTCACATTACCTTTCGGAGACGACAAGCCCTGCTGTGCCACCACCTGAGTATGTGATAAATCGATGTCAAAGTTGAAGTACGACTTAGTAGTCCGCTCACCTACGACGATGAAGTCAAATCCTTCATATGGGCTATTGACTGTTGGCTGAGTGAGGGATCGCCGTACAGTGCAAGCTAACAGGGATAAGAATCGTAAGACTGGGGTCATCCCTGGATGAGGCGGATGATGAGGACCTATCAAGCCACATCCCGACTATTCATGCTAGGACGGGCGATCTGGTAACCTGATGCTCTCAAGAGGCGCGACAGGCAACTCGGAACTTTTCAGGTTTCCAAGTTGATGCTCAAATCCTGGTTCCATTCTAACAATCTTCATCGAACGTTAGGAAAAGTGCGAGCAATATGAGTATGTCCTATACTCAGCAGAACATACATCGAAAGCTAGGATGATTCAGTCATTTAGAGCTGCACCAACAGCAGTAAAACAGTTGCAGCTTACGGGAGTGAGGACAGATAAACGTCGGCTTGTTTTCAACATTAAGGAGACGTTGGGATAACCTGACATAAAAGGACGTACTTAAACTTTCAGGCGTTAGCAGGTACAATGAGAATGGAATGCGATTTGAGGTGAAGTCGAGGAAAATGATTAAGTAGTGCCCAATCTCTGTGCACTTCGAACGATACTTTCACAGAGCATCATATGCAATAGGGTCCAATGACTGATATGCTCCTGACACACACGAATGGTTCAACGAAGAAAGCTAGCATTTTTGAAGAAATTGGGAGCGAACGTGCGAATGCCCAACCTGCTCTTAACCACGTTTTCAATCGGAGATCCAAATTGCCACCGCCTCCCTTCTGTCGCCTTGGCCCTCGGGTCGTTGGCGAGAACATCTCTTTTGTTCATGCTCTCTTGTTTTTCTTCGTTTCAAGTCTGCTCACGATGCAAGACCAAGGAATCGCTGCATGGCATACAGTTCTGAAGATTTGCTGCGTGCCGCCGGGAAACTCCTTGAACGGCGTTGTTCAAGTGCGAATTAGTAATTTTGCGGGTGTACATGGCATGAGAACAATGGGGGAGTGGATTTTCTTGACGAGCGACATGGCGGATGGCGTGGTAGATTGTATAGCTTTGGGGGACGTTGAGCGGAGAGTTGCGCTCCCGTGGTGTGTGTTTGTCGTAGGACTGTCCGTAAGGAATCAGATTGTTTCTACACATCGTCTCCTGTGAACAACCATGAAGATTCCAATGTTCCAACCAGTGAAAGCGTGAGGAAAGACCAGCAAAAGGAAAAGAATAAGGTTCTTCGCTGTTTAGGCCAGTGCTGAACAGGTGCTGCATGACTCTCGCGCCGTTCGTTTGACCTTCTTTCCTACCACCACCACCACCTCAAAACATATCCACGCTGCTCGCCGCCGCAGGCGATGTCTGGAAAGGCTCCGCCACGAGCACCTCGGGCATTGCTGAATTCATTGGCAGCATCTGCGACAGCCTCTTCAGCCACACCTGGTCCGCCGTCTGGACCAGCTGCATCCTCTTCGAAATTAGGAGCGGCACCTCCGACTGGACCTCGCAGTCTGCTCAATGTTCGTACTATCCATGCACCCAAGGGTCCTCGCGCAGATGGTTTTGCCAATGGACACGTTGCATCTACTGCTAGTGCTTCTCCTCCGACTGGCCCGAGTGCGAGATACTCCCAGAAGGGGAAACAAGTCGAGATTGCTTGGAAACCCAAATCTCTGGCTGATCCTAGTCCAGTGAATACCACTTTAATTATGTTTCTTTCATGAATAGTAAGCTTATTGATTCTCTTTCGTGCGACCAGTCCACCTCTCAACCTCAAACCAATGGCGCCAATGGTCATACAAGACCTGTGGCAAAAGGTCCTACTGATGTAAACGGCGGACTCAATCCCAAAGGTCCAGCAATATCTTTCCGATTACGACCGCAGCCGCCGCAACCTAAGACTGAACCACCTCCTCCACCACCGCCTACGACGATACCACCCCCGCCTCCACCGCCGACAGAACCTCCACCTCCACCCCCGCCGAGCTCTGAGCCGCCTTCACCGCCATCTTCGATATCTACACAACCTCCCCCAAGTTCATCGGTCACACCAACTCCTCCACCTCTACCATCGGAACAGCCGCCTCCGCCTCCAGACGATCTACCGCCACCACCACCCCCGTCTGAGCCATTTCCTTCAGAACCGCCGCCACCGCCTCCATCTACCGCTCCGCCTGCTCTTCCTACAGGACCTTCAATACGACAGTCTCTTCCCAGTAGCCGATCACCGCATCCGCCGCCACCACCAGAACCTACATCTGAGCCTCCACCTCCGCCACCTTCTGCTCCTCAACTCTACTCTTTACCACCGCCACCACCGTGGCCTCCCGCGCCCGATGTCTTTCCGCCAGGCAAGAACTTCAAAGTACTTTTTGATCCACTGGTCGATAGAGATCGAGATGGTAAGCTGAAGGCTCTGATCGAACAAGTACGAGAGTCTCCAGTTGCACCGGAGAGGCTGAAGGGCAAAGGAAAGGGCAAAGAGATCTTGACCAGGTATAATGGTGAGGTGATTGAGGGTGAGCCTGAGCCCGTTCCGATAGATCCAAGGAAGGCGAAGGTCAAGAGGCTACCAACGCTGCGGCCTATGCGATCAGACCTAGTGGAAGCCAAGTATGAGGTACGTTTATAATGTCCACTTCTCCTTCACATTTCGATTGATTGTATTTTTTGTTAGCACGATACGAATTCGGCTGGACCACCGCCGCCTACGTCTGTGCTTGTGATGAATCTCTCCCCACTGTCATCAAATCAGCACATACGAAGGCACTTCGCGGTGTACGGTTCTATTATGTCTTTCGAGCACCAGATCGACAAGTCTACTGGTGCGGCGTTAGGAATTGTGCTCATCACCTTTGCATCACATGCGGAAGCCAAAAGGTGTGCGGAGAGGGAAGATGGGAAGAAGTTGCCTCAGGGAATGGGTCTGAGTATCAGCTGTGGAGAGGGCGAAGGTTTGCGGGTGACAATGGATGGGGAGGGCAAGATAATGAAGGCAGTTATCAAAGAATTAGACGATCGAAGGAGAAGAGAACGAGATGAGAGGGAGCGGCATAGACGAGAAAGGGAGAAAGACGACAAGATGAGAGAAGTGAAGGCTGCTGCAGCCGCACTTTCATCCAAGGCCACTCCGATGTCCTCCAGTACGAGCGGAACGCCGGTACATGGTGGTGCTTCATGGCGAACAAACCATCAAGTCCCTCGGCATGTCTCGTCACGATCTGGACACCCTTCACATCCTATCAATGGTAGGACCCAAGGTTCCACTCATTCCCCTGTACCGTCATCGAGCTTGCATCATCCATTGAACGGCAAGTCTTCGAATCGTGATGATCTTTCAGAACGACCTCGACGGCTACCACCGTCTCTGTTCAAAGCTCGAGCAGTCACCTCGAAGCCGTCTCCAACACACCAACTTCCTGCTCGTCCTAGTTTTACTCCGAGCAGTTACTCTTCTCGTCATGATCGAGGCAGGCGGCCGTACTATAACTCGTTCGCAGAAGACCAGGAGGACGAGGTACGATCAAGACCACGGTCTCCATCGCCTGTTTCACGACGTATAGGTGACTATTCCAAAAATGCGAGACAAAGAGAACATGAGGGTGTATTGGAGGAGCTGTCAAAGAATGGTTTCGATCATGTTACTATTGACGATGGGAGTGGTGGGCTTCTAGGGGGTGCCGTCCGTGAGGAGGATGTGAGAGAATACTTTGATGGATTCAAAGTGGATAAGGTAAGATAGATACAGTCTGATAGTCATATTCGACGTGCTAACGTTTCTTTCGTGTTTTTCTCAGGTTCTCCAAGATCACAAAGGCTGGTATGTCACTTTCCAGACAAGTGACTCTGCACGCCGCGCCGCCATGGTTCTTAATGGTGGCCAACGCACATTAGCCCATCATACTGTGAACATAACAGTCCATAAGTCCCCTCCCCGGACTGCTGGCTTTTCCAGGTATCGCCTGACTGATGATGAAATTGTCGCGGGAGCCGAGAAGCTCATACTTCAGGAGCTCAAAACCCTTCTAGAGAAGGATGTTATGGAGCAAATCGTCGGGACCGAGGTCAAGAGGCTTGTCACTGAGGATCGAGAGAAGAGGAGAGCCGATGGAGTAGATGGTCTATTAGATGAGGGTGCTGAGGAATTGCTTAGTCGACGTGCTTTGAAGGGTCTGTCGTTTCGCAAGCAGAGGAAACGCGTTCGTGAAGAGGCGAAACCACCACCTGTTGAAGAGCCCGTTGCTCCTGCTGCTAAACCCGCTCATGTAGATGAGGAAGAGGAACCTCCACGGAAGAAGGCCAAGAAAGCTCCAGCTCGCAAGGTTGTTGTTATCGAAGAACCTGGGGTCGAGTCTGAAGATGAGGATGTCGTCCCTATGGCTGTCGAATCTGTGGAGGAAGTTCCTACGCGTAAACGGTCGCCTTCCGTCACCAGGCACGTTGAGGAACCTCCAGCGAAGAAGGCCAAGGTGTTGGTCGATGAAATACCTGTCAAGACACAGAAGAAGACCAAGAAACCATTGAAGAAACCCATGGAACCGGCTCTTGACGAACTCGTCCACGAAGTGCTTCCAGAGGATATTGGCTTCACCCCACCTGCTGTCACTCAAGTCCGTTTCACACCTGAGTCAGAAGCACCCAGCTCGCGTCCACCTACTCCGATTGTGGTACCACCGAAACGCATCGTGCCTCCGAAACCGCCGATCAATCCCTACCAGCAAGGTATCTGCGATGACGATGAGGATCTGTATTTCGCCAGACTGGCTCTGGCTGACGAAGAGGAGCCTGTGGCTCCGCCCGTTACAGAAGAACTTGAGCCTGAACCGGGCTCTATATCCCCTCGTCGCGTCCATGTTACTGGGTCTGCTCGTACGGAGGGTTACTACAAGATCTCGCATGCGGAGAAGTCGGCGTACGTTGCACAGTATGCCAATCGCTCGGCTGCCAACGAAGCTGCTTCTCAAGAGATAGAGAGACCACCGCAGCCTCAGACCATCACTTCTTCGCGTTCTAATCGTGCCAATGCCCGTCGTCGTGCTCAAGGTTTGGAAGAGATCAACCAAGTCCAACGAGCCATGGCTTTGTCGAAAGGTGAATCTGCCGCTACCGAATTGGTCAAGTTCAACCAATTGCAGACGCGTAAGAAACATCTGCGGTTCGCCAGGTCTCCCATTCATGACTGGGGATTATATGCTATGGAAAAGGTCTCTCGTGGCGAGATGGTCATTGAGTATGTCGGCGAGATTATCCGTGCCCAGGTGGCGGATAAACGCGAGAAGGCATATGAGCGACAGGGTATTGGGAGTAGTTATCTCTTCCGTATCGATGAGGATCTGGTGGTGGACGCTACGAAGAAGGGTAACCTTGGGTACGTGGTTGCATTTCAACTTTGTTCGAAAGTCTTTTCTCAACCCTTGCGCTCACAGACGTCTGATCAACCACTCTTGTGATCCAAATTGTACGGCGAAGATTATCACTATCAATGGTGAAAAGAAAATCGTCATTTACGCCAAGCAGGAGATCGAGCTAGGCAGCGAGATCACTTATGGTGTGTCTCTTTTTCTTAGTCATACTTGATTGTGAATTGACCATTTTTGTTCTTCAGACTATCACTTCCCCATTGAGCAGGACAAGATCCCTTGTCTGTGCGGTTCCGCCAAATGTCGTGGCTATCTCAATTAATAGACGAACGCCCTTCCGTAATTTCATCTCTATGTATTTGCTTCCAGTCTTCTCTGACAGTCCTAGCTCATCGCATACCCCGTTCTCTCTCATACTATTATCTTCGTTGAGTACGTACATTGTCCCCGTGTTTTTTCTCCCCTGCTGCTCTCCCATCCGTACCCTCGCATCGTCTGTATCTTATAACCTCACGCATATATTTTCCTGTGTTTTTTTGCCCCCTTTGTAACGTTTTCCCAATTGTTGAATCTTTGTCGTCGTCGCATACGTTCACACAGTACATAATGCATGCATGGTTGGAGTCTGCGGACTGTTCATTCTATCGCATTTGGTTTGATTGAAAGTTATGCCTACAGCAAGAACACAAATGAACGAGTGGTGTACACGCTGCAGCACTATAAGACTTGTTGATGAAGCTCGAAGGACAACAACACCACGAAAGGAAAGACATAGACATGCTAAAGAACGACTTTCAGCGAGCTTGGATAGGTAGCGATCAGATAATACACCCAAAACCAGACGAGACCGGTATGAAAACACTGCCCAACATATCACGGTTTACACGACAACGCAAGAGATGAATGACCAGTAAAACCAGAAAAGATGCCATCTACTCAACTGAGAAATACATCTCCCTCAAATTATCCATTCCACTCCTCACCCCATCGACCAACTCCATGTTCTTCTTCCTCCTCTCTTCCAGAGCACCTCCCAAGGCCTCCTCCCACCACCTCTCACCCTCTGGAACATCTCTCCAGCCTCCCTTCAAGAACTTCTGCAACCGCTTCAGACTCCCGTTGTCTAAATCCGGATTTCGCAAAGCGAGGACATGCTTCTTGTAATGCGGAGGTGGGTTTGCATGGGAATAAGTCGAAAGAGGACAGTTGGGATCGCAAGAAAGGAGGTGGGATTTGGGAAGTGGGTTTGTGAACCCTTCACAGGCGAGGACTAGGGAGGGAGGAGCGGTGATTCGACCGAACTTGAAGCACATGCGAGAGATGGCGATACAGTTGAGCGTTGCACCTTGACTCTCAGCATTCAAGGCTTCAGTGGAGATGAAATGTTTGAGACCTGAAGATCCTGGTCCCAAATCCGGTAAGTTGAGTTCGAGGTTGCTCAGTTGAAGGTTGATGTTAGAGGTGGAGGGACCGAGCTTGGGGAGATTCGACTTGCGGTTCTGACCTCTCGTTATGAACCGGGTGACGATGTAGATCTGAGCGATCCAGAAGGAGAAAATATGTCAGTTGAGTTGAAAGGACGAAGGGGAATGATAAGATAACGTGACTTGCCCATTTGTTATCCCAGCAAAGCAAGTTGGAGATCATCTCGTATTTAGCGCAGATAGGGATCTCGCGGAGGAAGCTGTAATGGGTAGCTAAGAAAATCGAGAGGCATCTGAATATGAGGTTCTTCTGTCTAAATTACGAAAATTTACCTCCTAGTGCAACAAAACCACCACATGTGAATAGGGCCGGAAAGAATGTTGCTGAGGTCTTGAAACGAGCAGCGTCAAGGTTCTACAGGTAACGGAAATATTAGAAGATTGCAACTGACCCACAAATCCGGGCAATACCTACCTTGGCGTATGAAGAATTGCTCAAATGAAAGTTAAAATCGCAATCATCGGGACCTAAAATATTGAACACGGTCAACGCTCATTATTCATTCAAGATGCCCAACAGTGACCGTCCATCGTTTCGTATTAATCTGAATACACAAAACAACACTTACCAGCCCAGGTCTTATAAGGGGAGGTGATATCTAGTGGGTTCATGCCAACTGGTGACAAAGACTCCAAGAATCGTTCATTCTCGGCATTTCTGATCCTGCGCGATTGGAAGATGCAACTGAGTTGTGCGAGTGTTTGTCTTAGCTTGATCTGAAAGACAGGTCTCCAAACGCGAACTGCAAGACAAACAGTCCGCATTCAGACCTCTCGAAAGATGAAATGGCGACAACATACGATGCCAGGTAAGAGGCCAAGAGCGAACGTTAATCAAGAACAAGATAATACCGAAGAATTTGAGAAGAACGGGGTAGGTCTTGCTCAGAGCTCGAAGGAATGGTATCGTCCTCGGGACGCGGTACAGCGGGTACAAGGCAAGGGCACGACTCATTGTAGTCGACGAACAATGACTAGCGGAATCCAACAGCAAGCAGCACACAAGCTATTGTGTCAGCCTCCAAGGATGATTTGAGAGGGACAAGGAGCCGGCCAGTTACAGGGAGATCAGGAAGGGGTGAAAACCATTCTTAGAATGGATAAAGGGCAATCAATATAGTGGTGTCATACAGTAATAACTGTACGGCATGAGGCGGGGTGCGAACAAAGATAAGTAATATCGAACTTTGACAGTGAGCTTGAATTCAGAGTCAGAATTGTGGCCGTGTAATTCATCCCGCGCTCGGAGGTACATCGTCGAGACCGACCAAGCAAAAGGCATTCTGAGAAGCGCGGGCATAAAGTCCAAATTGTGTATGAGCATATAGAATCTGGCAGGTGTGCTTCTTCTCACCACTCATGACGCCACAGGTTCATTCGGGTGTGTTCAAAAGATATGAATTACCAGATCATGTTTATGACACCTCGTAATTGCATCCCTTTGCGGTACACCCTGGGAAAGCTGGAACGGAAGACAGGAACATGAGCAAGACCGTAAGATGCTTGACTTGCTGCATACTGACTGCACTATCACATCAGTCGGAGACACTCTGAAGGGACAGTCGCTCAGACCAACCATTGCCAAGGGAGGTAAAGAGGCTCAAAGGACCCCGGACACCACCTACTGTATTTGAAAGCTAAGCGACGGCGATGCGATACCTTTGTGGCATTAGGCAGTAGCGATATTCATCTGGGAATAACACACAGGTACGCTCAATATTCCTTGAATCACTCGCAGTCCGGCGAAACCTAGCAAAACCTCGGGGAAGCGGGGAGATGACGGGACGTTATCAAAATCTGTGGATTCGGATGTTGGTTGCGGTCTGTGCATTTAGGATTTGCATGATTTGGTTCGAGACATGGGAGACAGTAATAGCGAGAACAGCCGCTCCAACTTGGATTACCACGAGCCGACTTTGCGAACGAGATTAAGCCGACCAAAACAGCTCTCAAACTCCAAGATTCGGTAAGTTTCCCAGGTTCGACAACGTCCGGAATGTGCGCACCTTCAGAGGACATAGAACCCAATTTCCAACCTAAGCCACTCCACAGAACAGCTTCAATAGATGCGAGGCTTCGCCGGCTTTGAAGCAGGTGATACGACTTAGAAGTCTTCCCCCGAAGATAACGAATCAGATTCACGACCGACCGATTCTTGTCACTAAAGCCCAAACGGAAGCTCCAAAAGCCCGTATAGAGAGTGCCACAGGAGAGATCAATAGCCGAAGTCATCTGCATCTGAATCCGAGCCCGGCTTCAGCCAGCGCGACAGAAGGCTTGGAAGCTTGAGTGTGATCGTGAGCGTAAGTTTGAGCTACACGCATTTGCCTCTTTCGCAATTTAATAATCACTAATGGCCTGGATTCGAAAGCTTGACACCGGAGCCGACGTAAGGAGGTGACCAGTGATGCGCGACTCGGAAGCCTGAGCATGAGGATGATACTTTTCCGACAGAGCATAATTTTTGGGCGTAGCGCAGATCATCTTGAGGACGAAAGCTAAGACCCCAATAACTGTACATGTCTATGCCATTGCTAGTGTCGCCGGCGCCGGCGCCACCGCCAAATGAGTTTCGCATTCTATCCGCCAAATGAAGTTGCATTTCCCGTTAGTTTTGAGGCCAGAAGTTGTCGGAACATGCGCTAGAACAAGACATCGACGGTGCTTTCAACGGCAAGTGAGATGCTTTTCGCTTGCTGCGAGACACATGCCTGACAGGCGTCTACACGAGGATGAGCCGTTTTTGGAAAGTGTGCTATTCACAGGGTGTTAGAAAGAATACAAGGGCGAAGGTGGACAGTGCGAGCAGAAAAAAATTATCGAAGGATGTTTTTCTGCATGATGTAACCTATTCCAAAACTGCATGGCTTCAATTACGTCTCGAGACTTGACGGTACGAATGGGCGTTGCATTCAATCAGGACGATTTGTGTACTTTCCAAGTTTTGGAACAGAGAATTACATTTCTTAGGTAGTACAGACTACAAACAAACAATATAGAGCAAGTGAATACGCCAAGTTCTGGCACTCTATACATAAACAGTAGATACGCAACGTGCAACGGGCGCAACTAAGGCTATAACGATCGATACAACTTTGTCCGAGCCACGAATATCCCGTCCTCCCCGCGCTGTGCAAACTCAGTACTCGGCGGCTCAAAGCTCAGTCCCCTCAGGCAACTGAACCCCCTCCAAAAACTCCCTAACACCCTCCCTAAGCTCGAAGTCACACTTCCACGGCAACGGATGACTAGCCTCACCCCCACTAGTAAACTGCATCGGATCCACCGGCGGCACGATCTCATTCCCATTCTCATCCTTCCCCCTATTAATATTCAAAGCCCAAAGAACATTAGCAGCGAAGATCCAGACGGCATGATCAGCCATAGTAGCTCCGGGACACAAACGACGGCCGAATCCGTAGAGATGGTGTCCACGTTCTTTACCTTCTTCAGTGTTGATTTCGTGGAGAGTGCCTGTGGTTGGGTCCATGCTTAGGAAACGTTCGGGGATGAATTCTTCTGGGTTGGGATAGACTGATGGGTCGCGATGGATAGACCAGATGGATGAGATCACTGTCGTGCCTATAAGAGCGAAATTCGAATAGAGTCAGTATGTGGGTAGTGTAATGGATCGTATAGAAGATGGATCGCAAAAGGAATAGTTATCTACGTACCCTTGGGTATGAAATACCCCTCATACACATCATCTTTCGTACTCGCATGAGGCACGCTCAAAGGTGCAACAGGTCTCCATCTACACGTTTCTTTGACGATGGCAGTAACATAAGGCAAGTTCACGCGATCCTTGAATTCAGGCCAACGGGAACGTCCAACGACGCTATCGATTTCTGCTTGAGCTCGTTTTTGGACTTCGGGCCAGCGGGTCATGGCGAGCATGAATCCGGAGCAGACGGACATGAGCTGTACGTAGAGAAAACAAGAGGAGATTTGTGAGGATATGGTGAGGATGATAATAGCTTTAAGAGACGTACCGTATCGGGTGTTTGGGATATGGTACCTCCAATATAAGCGAGTTCTTCTTCTGTGACGCCGTACCCTTTCTCACCAAGCCCTTCTGAGATGAACGAAGGCTGTCTTGCCGCGTTTTGCTAACCAAGACAAGAAGGAAAAAAAAATGTATAAGCTCTCATCAATTCCTCATTTGAAAGAAAACAAAAGGGAAAATGCAAAAGCACTTACTCTAGCTTCTTCCAGCATCTCCGTATAAAGCACCCGATCATCCTCCGCCCACTGTGCCGCAAGTTTCTTCCAACCAGCTCCGGGTACCCAGCTAGGTACGTATTGTAACCAAGGCATGACATCTACCAAGAACTTGCCAGGAGCAAGTGAACCTGCGAAGATGGATGCAGAATGGAAGATGCGTTGGGCGAAACGGTCAGTTGAGAAGGACGCAGTCTTGTGGCCATACATGGTGCCCAGGATGACTGCTGATGTGAAACTGGAAAAAGGCGGTGAGAATGAGTACGATGGAGGGAATGGATGAACGGGGGAGAATACAGGGGGTGGAGAAAGAGACCGACCGTTTGACGGAGTTACGGAAATCTTCGGGTTTGGTGAAGACTTCCTTGACGAAGATACGAGCTTCTTTCTCCTCGATTGGATGGTAAGAATTCAAGGCCTTTTCACGTAGACCTGCTTGGATGGCTTTGCGGTAACGCCGATGCCTGGTTGTGTCAGAGAAGGTTCACGGTGAATATGATGCACCGTGGGAACAAGTTAAATTAAGAGAAGATGAAGACATACTTTTCGCCGATACGAACAGTACCAGTGTGCATGTCTCTGGCAAGAATCTCGGATGCGAGCACCCATCTAATACAAGTCGGTGAGCTCAATAATTAGTATTGGAATGAACTATAGGTGGGTTACCGTGGTCGGTCAGAGTAGATGGCAGAGCGACGATCTAGGTATGCATTCAGTACATGAACGCAGGAGACAGAGTTATTGCAGCGTACCAAAGAGGTCAGCAGCGACCTTGGGTGAACCCAAGATGACGACAGGCTTTCCGAGGACCTTGAAGGTAACGATGGGACCTACACCAACGTTAACGACGACATTACACACCTACTACCACTCGTCAAAGATTCGTATACTGACCATACTCGCGTACCCACTCATCCATAGTGAGCCAATAGCGGTCAGACGGAATCTACGTAAACCATAAGAGACGTGACCAGAGCAATCCGGGTTGGAGGATACCCACGTCCAATAGACTACCGATGATGGGCTTGCCCTTGGGCCCTGGAGGTAAGGGTAGGTTCTTGGGATTGTTTGGGTTGGGGCGGAACCATAGGTAGATGAGGGCGACGCTAATGGCGATGGCGACGAGTGCGAATGTGTTCACCATGGTGAAGGATGCAACTAGAAGGAACGGTACGAGTACCGAGTGACGGGAGAGGACTCTCGGAGAGATAAGTCATTTCGTACACAGGCAACTTAATGCATCAACCGAATAGGATGGAAAGTATTGGTGCACATGTCATAGTAGACTGTGGACATGCATTAGTGCAGCTTGGCAATATTCAATATTAGGATGATCTGTAGTGACATGTGCGTGACAAGGAGTCCCTGGGGGCTGAATTGTGTGCAGAATCTGCAAGCAAGGACCTGATGGACTCAGATGGAGGAGGTGAAAATGAAAGATGACAGCACCGGCGGATCGCAACCTTCTAAGCGGCTGCCAAACTGGGAATTGATGGCTGCTCTGGGCCCCCTGGGAGTCCGAGAAGCGACGGGACGCCCTGGATTCGGCAATCTGAACGAGAATCTGGTAGGGCCGAGGAGAGATTCGAGGGTCGATCCGAGCGTCCCTGAATAATGGAACGTGGGAGAGCTTGTAAAGATGGTCGTCTAACATCTATCGCTCATTAGGCGGCCATCTGCAGCACTCATGCTAAGAACAATTAACGCACGGAAAGCTACGTGCTTTTTACCTCGGTCTAGAAGCCGCCCCGAAAGATACCCACATCGTACGACGCCACCCTCCTTACCTGAACCGCGTAACGTCACTGGCTGCTCTGCTAATCGACAAAGTACGCTCTAATTCGTGTTCTCACCCTTCTTTCTCCTACAACTCATCTCAGCTTCACTGCTGGGAATTTGCGCTCTAAGTTCGATACCATGTCCACCGACGCGTTGAGTTGGGCAACCGACCTCCACCTCGCCGACCTTTTCAGCAAGGCCTCGTTGCGCGAGAACTACCTCTACGTTCTCGCTGCCCTTCCCGTCCTGTGGTTCGTGTGGAAGGCGATTGATTACATTCGCAACCCTCTTCGTCGTTATCCTCAGTTCTCGGGTCCGAAGGGTTTGCCCATCCTAGGCAACGTCCTTCAAATTCAAGAGAAGCAATGGCTCAAGTATACAGGTATGTCACATCTCACTGTATTACATTCAGTCTCTTCGAAGAAATTGAACACACTCATGTTCATCACTCACCTCCCTTGGCAGAATGGCACAAAACCTTCGGTTAGTGTTCAAGCATGCCCGAGCTTTCAATTCGTCTTGAAGCTTTGATGGCCCATACATCCCCTTGCGGCTGCTTGTACTGACGGTTTGATCCCCTGTTCATCGACAGGTCCCATCTACAGCCTCAACTTCGTCGGTCAACCTGTCCTCGTGGTCGGGACAGCCAAGATTGCCGCAGATCTCATGGTGTGTTTCCTATTCCTCGTTTCTTTTTCCCTCTTCTCCTGCAATCGGGAGATAGACTTTCGCGTGTCACTTGATCGACAATCCATTCAACACTGATCATTTGAGTATGGCTTTCGACCGGCTCGTTCAGAGTATCTGATCGCTGATCGAATGCGAGTGCGGTACCGCCTCGGCGAATCCACTTCTCACCCGAGGGTGGGGGTAGAATGCCTTCGCCTGTCTCTCTGTGTCTACGTGCTTCTTTGATATCTTCTAAATCAAGTGAAAAAATTTAGACCGCTAACACCTTCTTTGTCCATAAAGGAACGTCGATCTAACATCTACTCCGACAGACCTGTGAGTATCGATTATTCTCTCAGCCAATAAACGGTAAACAAGCAACCGCTGACTTTGACTATTTTGCCACATCCTGTCTTCTATTTTCAATTTATACTCCGGTATCTCAATCTCTCCTACCTCCCTCGTGTACGTTGACTTTCCGTAGCGCTTCATCATGGCGACCGAGGTTCTCACCGGCGGCATGAACTTGGCATTTGCACGTTACGGTGATCGGTGAGTTGATCCTTTCTCACTCCCTCCTAGTTGTAGATCTCTCCCCTGTTTCCTGCTTCTTTCTTTAAGTCCGTACACATGTGCAGCATCCCCGGGCCCGAATTCTTCTTCGTCATACCGCCCAAGGTTTCCCGATTTTCCCGGCCTTTGATCTCACTTCCTCGACTATCCCCACCCTTCAGCATGTGCTTCTCCCGCCTCGTTGTCATTTCGTTTCCTTCGCTCCCTTCGCCTTCTATCCTCCGTATCCCGTCTCTCTTCTCTTTTCCTGTTCCTGACCCGATCCCATCTGATTCCTATTTTTCTGAATGTCCAAATTCAAATTCACTGACCGTTTGCTCTTGATTTTGATTTTGAAGATGGAGACGCATGCGTCGTGCCGCCAATGGTGGACTCTCCGTTAAAGCTGTCCTCTCTTACACACCCCTCCAAGAAAAAGAGGCCATCTATTTTCTGGATAACATGTTGCGCGAGAAGGATCAGTTAGATCAACAAATTCGTCGGTACGTCTCTCACTCTCTCTTATTCCGTTCTCCTTCTCCCCTTCCCTTCCCTAACTATGCTAACACGTTTCTAATCTTTTTATCTCAACTCACAGAACTGCAGCAGCAACAGTCCTTAGTGCTGTCTATGCTTACCCCCCGATCAAGCTCTCCGACCCATTAGTACTCAAAGTCGAGAACTACGTCGAACGCATGCTCAAAGCGGCTCTTCCAGGAAACTACCTTGTGGATTTCTTCCCGGCCATGATGTATATCCCCACATGGATGGCTAAATGGAAAAGGGAGGGATATGAGTGGTTCAAAAGAGATACAAATTTGTTCTTGGGGTTGGTGGACGAGGTCAAGAAGGGTTTGGTAAGTCATGAACTCAGAATATCTGGGTGGTTACTTGGCCATGGTGTGGATTCCAGATTTACTAATGGTTGGTTTTGAGTAGAAAGACGGAACTCGGTCAGATTGCTTCGTTGGTAAACTCTTGGAGAACGCTCAACAACACGATTTGGACCCTGTGGAGACCGCTTGGCTCGCTGGTATGATGTTGTACGTACCGCGATCCTTATTTCCCTGGTCTCCTGACACCGCAACTGACGATCCTTGGTTTTAGTGGCGCGGGGGCCGAAGCTGTAAGTTCCTGGATTCTCGATCTCCCGCGCTTAATCTTTTCTTCGTCGTCGCTTCCCGATTACCCCAACACCCTTACGGTCGATCGTCTTCGATCTCCCCTGTTTGAAGCTTAAAAGCGTCGATCATTCAATCTCACTCATCTTTCTGAGTCTATCTCACCGTGCTCTTTGTCTCACTCCGTTTTCTCCGTTGCCCATCCTTCCTCAAACTGATTCCATCTGTTTCATGTATCCTGAAACTAACGCCCTCTGTCCTACTCTAGTTAGCAGCCACATTTGGCTATTTCGTTCTCGCTATGGTCCTCTACCCTAACGTCCAAGCCAAACTCCGCGCCGAGGTCGATAGTATTGTGGGCACGTCTAGGCTACCTACGTTTAATGATGTCAAGTCGATGCCATATTTGCATGCTTGTATCAAGGAGACTATGAGGTGCGTTGTCTACTTGAGATGAGGGTTCATTGTACTCAATAGGGATGTGGTATTTAGATGGAGGCCTATGGGTCCTTTGGCCGTCCCTCATCGCTCAACACAGGATGATGTGTATGAAGGCCATTTTATCCCCGGTATGCACAAGCTTTCAAGTGTTCCCTTACCCTCCCTCATTCTTACTTCCTCGTCCATTCGTTAGCCGGAACCCTCATCTTCCCCAACGTCTGGTACGTCCTCAAACATTCATTAACATTGATACATACATGTTTATATGCTCTATTATACATCACAGGGCGATGCATCGTGACGAATCAGTCTACCCAAACGCAAACGAATACATGCCCGAACGATTCCTCGAGAAAGACGGAAAGACACCAGTCATGATCCCTGAAACTAAAGAGCTCGGTCAACATGCGTTTGGTTTTGGACGAAGAAGTTGTATTGGGTACCCCATCGCCAAGTAAGTGTCTTTTATTTCGAAAGTGCCTGGTTGCGGAGGTGCTGACCGGATGTGGGTAGTAATGCATTGGCTATGAACGCAGCAAGTCTCATTTGGGCGTTCAATATCAACAAGGCGAAAGATGCAAATGGAAAGGAAATCACTCCTGATGCGGATGCGGTTTTGGACGAGGGTCTTGCTGTGTATGTCTCGTTCCTGTCTTTGTGCTCCCCCTGAAAGTTATCGTGGCTAACCAGGGTTGTATATTGTTTAGTCGGCCCGCACCGTTTGACTGTGATATTCAGCCTAGGAACGCGAGCTTTGCGGAGATGATCAAGGCTGCTCGCGCTCAAGTCTAACGCACACATGTAGAAAGATTCTTGTTGATTATATGCGCCTTAGATGGTCACATTCTCCAGGGTCTACAAGTTTGCTTTCTTCTATTTCGTATAGTTGTGAAACATATCTTGTACGCATCTGTTTAGACTTGAGCATTGTTTTGTACAATATTACGCTTTCTGACTCAACAGCGAAAATTGTCATACTGCATGCTGCATATGAGTTGTCGACGTCCAAACGGGCGGGTGTCGAAGAAGAAATTTGAGGGATGTACAGGTAGTATGGCCCTAAGCGCAGTTACCGGTGCAGGAGCGGCAACACATTTCACAAATCATATGAGGTACGTTCAGAAACTAGCAAAGGAGATTATTATAGACACGAAGTTTCTAAGCTTTCACAAGGAGAGCAGAGATTGTTTCGTGAAGAACACCAAGATTTTCTCTCCAAACAAGGGGCAGGCTACTTAGATATGTAGCACGCGCACGACGGACGCGTTATTGACGGTTATTTGTTCGACGCCATCTAGATGCTTTAGTGATTTACTTGCTCGATGAAACGGTCATTGAACAGTGTATTCGTGCTTATGTTTTCTGCAAAACTACCCTCTGCTGCTCGCAGTCATATAGGCAGACCGAGCGTGCCTTCAACTATGTTGAAAATCTAACATTCCTTTCTGAACCGATCGTATGCGTGCCTCACATCCCCAAATGGTAGGTCAGCCTCAATGCAAACCTGGTCGTGGATGTCAGCCTCAGCTTGCTGAATGATCGAATAACTATAAATTCGACCCAGCCATGGCTCGGGTTGGAATTCCATCTTGCCTTCACTCTCTCACCTTCTCTCTCCCACCCCCACCCCCTGCTTCCAACATTCGCCCATCCTATCTCTTACCTCTTATCCCTCATCCCTCAAGCTCATCAAGACGTTCCAAGATCAACACCTTCTTGGACATCAAGATTTCATCCTGGCCCGGATCTCAAGACCACGGACGCCAATGGATTCAAGATAGCCTGTGACTTGTGGTCTTGCTGTTCTGTTGCTTGGGTCTCTGTAGCTCTGTTCTTTTTTCTTTTTCTAGGCAGTCTAACCACTGTCCGTTAGGGCGGTGGCAGAACATGGTTCTCCACGACGTCAGGGGTGTCGTCGTGCACAAGCTGCCTACTACCATCTGTTTTTCTTCTTCTTCAGCTGCAGTTCGCTCATCACCGGATGACACCACGTCGCCTGGTGGTGGTGGAACGGTCTTCGTTCCCCACGACTAATCACCTCCGTCGTGTGCGTTCCAAAAGCTACCTACCACCTTTCTATTTCCGTAGGCAGTCGGCGTCATCGCTTTGCGAGGACGGCAGTCCGTTGGTAGGCGTCCCCAGGGGTGAGGGTCTGCCATTCATTACGCCACGGCTCCGCGACGAAACCACGCCCCCGTCGTGTCTGACTGCCTACGACAGCATCACTATTGTCTTGTTGTGGTTTTGGCTTGGTCTTGGTCTTGGTCTTGCTGGGGCGTCTTGAGCTTGGTCTGGATGTATCTACTAACTTTTCACAGGAACCCTCGATCCGGGCCAGGGACCAAACGAAGGTGAGTACCCCGAGGTATTGGCGCGGACCTTTTCGTGGTCCTCGGGATAAGTACCGCATGAGTTCAAGCGTGCCATCGCGAAAGCGAGAGCAGCTCAGCGGGAAACCAACACGCGCCTAAGACAGGTGAGTAATTTACTTTTCGAATATACTAGATCAGTATACGTACCTGTAACTATGGTTCACATCGGTGTATGAGACTTGCAAAGGAACTATTTGTTTGCAAACCCTGTGTAAGCTGTCAGCTCAAAAAGCGTCTGCGCGCAGCGGGCTGAAGCACAACTTTGCAAGGTTGCAGAATATAATATCTAAGTGAAGCGAAAGGGAGGTCAGCCGCCCAGCTGACACCTCAATTTACTTCGCAAGTCAGAGGCGTTGTGATGGTTTATTTGTTCAAGTCACGAAGTCAATGCATTCAGGCAAAGTACAGGCTGCAAAGTTGCACAGACAAGAAACAATACGACATATCTAGGAAGAAGGCTCATACATGTACAGCTCGATAGACGCATTCAACCATCGAGACGGCTCAAGACTGCTATTCAATTCCAAAGCCTGGGAACACATCTTCTGACTCAGCTCATCTACGCTCTTTGCATGCTCTATCCCACCAACATACACAGGCTTCTACTGCATCGTACTCTGAACCAACGACGGGACGTTTGCTCCACGTGGTTTGATCACACATTGGAACGGAACAGGTCGTACAACGAGACCCTCATCGAGACAATCCGTCCTCGAAGGGATGACAGGCCTGCCGTCACTATCAAGAGCACGTTCGATAGATGTGGCCCAGAGCATAGAAGCGATGTCAATGAAGAGTGCCTGATTTGCTAAGTTCATGCCGACGCAGATACTATGAGTGAGTCAAAGGTAACCATTAGCATTGAATGACCATGGTGCGAAAGAGGAATGGAGAAACGTACCGACGACCGAAACCGTAGGTAACATGTCCTTGAAGATGAGTTCCAGCGATAGGCTCTAGGAGTTTTCCACTCGCGTCCAAGTATCGTTCAGGACGGAATTCTTCAAAGTCGGGGAAGAGCTTGGGATCACGGTTCATTGCCCTACACGAACACACCGACAGTGGAGTGAGTAAGCTTCAAGACGATGAAAGATTGGCAAGGGGAGGACGGTGCATACCAGCAATTGGCGATGACGAGAGTTCCAGCGGGGATAAAGTAACCATTGTACCAATCATCTTTCATGGTCCTGCGAGGAAGACCTAGGGGACCGACTGGTCTCCATCTATGAAGTTCCTTGACAATAGCCCTATGAAGCAAAGAGTGCTCGATTGAGCGAAAGTAACTGATGGTTTGTGGGAGAGAACAACATACGTGATGTAAGGCAACTCCTCCCGATCGGCGAAGGTGGGCATCCTATCACGACCGACGACAGCATCGATCTGTGCTTGAGCTTTCTTCATGACCTCCGGATAGAGTGTCATAGAGAGCATGAAGACTGATAGGGCTGCTGCAGTAGTCTCAGCTCCAGCACCGCTAAACACGGATGAGGGTTAGGTTCGAAGTTGAAATGATTGGAAGCAGAGCAACATACAACACAGTGCCGGCCAACCACGCAGCCTCCTTTTTGGTAAGAGCGTATTTCTTCTCGTCCTCGATAAGAGTTCCAGCGAAACAAGGCTCCAAAGTGCCTTTCTCCTAAAACAATTGCGAAATCATCATTAGTACTTTCTTCCTCGTTGGCATGTCTCCATCAAGAAGTTCACTTGGCATCTTGAAACACATACCTTCTTGTCCTTCGCATCATTCATAAACCCTTCAAACATAATACTATCCTTGCGATGATACTCTAGACCGTCCCTCTTCCACTTGGCCATCCATGTCGGAAGGTGTTTCATAGAGGGAAATATTTCGACAAGGAAAGCACCTGGGAGACACGCCTGGACAAGTCGATGCATGAGGTTGTTGATAGTTTCGACCAAAGGGTCGCCTTCCTTGCCGAGAGGGAGCCAACCATATGTCGCGCACAGGACGGTAGAAGCCGCCGATCTGGATGGAAGGATTCATGTTGGCCCGAGGTGGACGAGACAAAACAAGTGGAATGTGACGTACCGTTTGAGATGGTCATCCCAGTTGTCGGGTTCCTCCAACATATGGTTTACAAGCCTGGCAGATTCCTTTTCCTGCAAAGGTTGGTAATCTTCACAAGCGCGAACGTTGAAACCCTCATGAGCCGCTCGGCGCAACTTACGCCACCTACGTGAGATTGAGATCGACAATTAGTTCACTTCGATTAGACAAGGCAATCAAACGATCGTCCACACTCGAATTTGGAGTGCCAAATTGTGTCGCGGAAAACGTAGAATGATAAAAGTAATCCGAGTATCACGGGGCGCTACACTCTGTATGAGAAGGACTTACAATTCACCGTACTTGGAGAACGCGATGAAGATCCCGCCGGTCAAGATCTCGCTCGCCATGATGAACGGTGGGCGGTCACTATAGATAGTAGAGCGCTTGTCTGGGATAGGTACATCTCTTCAGTTGGGAGTAGAGAATATAGATAATAAAGGTACGTACCGAAGAGATCAGTTGCAACATCGATGCTGTTCACGACGATAACTGGCTGTCCCGCAAGGTTCAGCGAGAACAAGTCACCTAAAAGAGTATGTGAGTCGATTGAAATAAATAATAAGTTGTACACAACGATAAGTCACCCACCATACTGAGCCTTCCATTCGGTGAACCTATGCCACTGGAACTGCGGCAGCTGGAAGACGTTTCCAAGCAGAGGCAGACCAGGAGGGGACGGGGGCATCAACCTCCTTGTGCGGTAGCCATTGATGAGCGTAATGGTGATCTTGACCGCGAGCGAGACGATGAGTACACCGATAGCCCACCATGTTGGTGAATGCTCGCCGACAGTGATGATGGAGGAGAGTTGGCCCATAATGGAAGAAGACTCGGTAGGGACGAAAGGGAAATCGGAGGAAGAAGAACTCAGCGAGAACCCAGGAACTTGAAGACCCGATGGGTGCGGTAGGAAAGCTGCGTTTTGCCACGATATTGGTTTATATCAATAGCATTAGACATATGGAAGTCACCCAGATGATGTAACGTATGGTTTGCCATTTCCCGCTAGACTACTTCGTGAGAGTCAGAAGCGGATGGCATGGGCCAACTTCCGGTCGCAGAGCATAACCAGAAGTTTGAAGCCCCAAATCGCAATCGCATGACCGCCGAGGAAGATCGTAATGGCATGTCGCAATTGGCATTAGCACATGAGTGTGTCTCCCCATAGAACAATATTCCAGCGTTGCAAGCGATGCAGGGTCCTCGGCAGTGTCCGAGGTCCATTTCATTCTGCAAGATTCCCAGATCAAGGGAGATCTCACCAAGATAGGGATGATAGATTCCAGATTCATCCCGATATGGTCGACCGTAAAAGTCATTGCCTTCTGAGAAATATCTGTTGAGGTGTTCCGGGTCCTGCAAATGTCCGTTGCCTCGAAGGCGACTAGATTAGCGACGCGACATACGCGTTCGAATGATCGCCCTATCACCTATCAAAGAACCTTTTTGCAAACTCAAGCTGAAGCTTTGCATACTGCGTCCGAGTAAGCTATCGTCAAGTGTACGATGATACTGAACTTCCATCCCGCGGCCTCGTGTCTTTTGGCATCTTGCGATTCGGTAGATTCCGAGTACCCTCGAATCACATAGAGAACTGGACTCACAGAACTTCGTGCGGCCATTAGGAGGGCGAGCTTTTTTTTGTTAAGCTGATATCATCTATGAGCGTTGTGACGCCGGCAACGTATATGGTGGCGAAGATGCATAGCTTCATGAATCTTGTAATTAAGTGAGTAATCCTGGTTCGCAATTCAATGAGCGCTTTGGCTTCATTCACGAATCACATATATTTCCCCCCGCTTGTCGGGGCCTTCTCACCAGATATGAACAATGGCAGGTCAAAATGCCATTTTGCCCTAGGAACCCGCTACACCGAAGCAGCCACACCGAGTCACCGATGAACGTGGAAATCGGACTCGTAATTGTGAAAGTTGATTCGTAGAGACATACACCGCATCCGTCACTCGCTTCCAGATTTGCACCACGCACCACGCAGTTTATGTGGTCCAGGCGTATGGGTACTCTTCACAAAGGCAGTTGTAGGCACCGGCGCCGAGAGGGTCCTCTAATTCAACGGTGATCCGCATTTCCGAGCTTTGCTTGGAAATGTTATCTCTCTGCTGAAGCTGTTTCGCGCTTCTAAGCCTGTGAGAGTTTGAGAGAGAAACGTGTGGAAGTGCATATTGACTTATCAAGGGACATGTAGACGGTTTACATTACAACGGCAGATTCCGGAGTGCTTGAGGTTCACTAAATATCGAGTCCGTCACGGATACTTGGCAGTCTCCATTTCGCCCTCTTCCCAAGTTTTCTCCATCACTTGAGTTCTGAATCATGGTTACGCCTCTAAATCGAACAAGATGGATTTTTGTGGCTATGGTCCCGAAGATGAAGATGCAATATGACCGTCGGCTTGCCACTGTTAATCTTTGTTCGTCCCTGTCTAAAAAAGCGCTGAGAGGCGTAAGTAGCAGGTTTGGGAGGTACGCGTTCAGTCTAACTCTACTTCTCGGTATAGGCTGATCCGCGCCGCTCTATTGAAATAGGAACTAGTGATATGACAGCTAGAACAGATGAGAGTCGTATTTATCCGTCGGTCAACTCTAATTTTATCTGCACGACCTCGGCGCCACCATCTGCCTGCAGAGATTGATACCTCCCCAGAAACCTCCCCTCAGAAACCTTCTCAAAGATCTCAACATGTCCGAACAAACCTGGATAGTTCGCCCAACGCTTCCTACACGATGCGGAGACCAGAAGACGCTACTTTATCCACCAACCGACACTCTAGTGTTATCATTTACTGTTAGTACAATCTTCCATGGCGAGATGAGACCGAGAAAAAGCCAATCAATAATTTTGCTCAACCTTTACCTTCGTGTTTTAGATGCATGGCGCATGGGTTTTACCTACCTCTATCGACTTCGAGCGGTACAAACAAGCTCTAGCTCAAACTCTCAGCGTCTTCCCCCCAGTTGCTGGTCGTCTGTGCAAGAAGCCGGATACAGAGGCGACTAAAGGAGACATCTACATTGAATTGAACAATAAAGGAATACCTGTGTCCGTTGTAGACGATTACGACACTGAGCGGTTTCCCATGGTTAACGTCTGTAAGTATATATACATACTTAGGCTTCAAGGGAGAATGGAGGAGCTTACGCTTACTTTGACGATGCTCTTGAATAGTGGTACACCCGGAAGAAATGGAACCCTGGATCGACCCTATCCCGATGGAGACGATTAATACGGATGAACCATTAGTTCGCTTCAAGTTCACCAAGCTGCACAAGACAGGGCAAACGATCTACACCATTTGCTGGCTTCATGCACTCGGTACGTGTCAAAAGCCTGTCATTCTCTCGTACCTCCGGAAATTCGAATCTGACCACTGTGGCGTTTGTCTTTTTTTTTCTTTGCAGGGGATGGCTACACGGCGAACTTGTTCTTGACGTATATTGCTCATTTCTACCGGCGCGCTAGCACGTCTTCCCTTCCTCTGCCTGCCATCACCAAAGTGTTCTTCCCGCCACCTCCGTCGGATCAAGCGCTGGCCGATAAAATTCTTCCATTAATGAAGCACCTTCGCGATGCCAAAGTGCCCGAAGAGCTCATACCTGCCTTGATGGAAAGCGAAGAACGTACCCTTCCGGTGCACATTTCCTTCACGCCAGAGCAAATGCAACTCTTGACTAAACGTGCGACGTCTGGAATGCCTGATCCCAAGGTGGCGAGACTCTCGAAAGTAGACGTCGTCATTGCTTACCTTGTGTTGCATTACAATCGGGTGCTGGCGGAAGTTCATCCTGAACAACAACAGGTGGATACGATCGTCAATACTCTGGATTATCGAGGAAACCCGGCTTTCGCCCCGACTGCCATGTTTGGGAACTGCGCAATAACACTTACTTGTCCATCCTTCACGCTTTCGCCTCTACCACCAAACGCAGGTGCGCGCGACAAGGAACTTCACTTCGACCGTTGTCTCGCCACCATCGCGTCAAGCATCCGTGCCGGCACAGTTCAATCACGTAACCCAAAATTCCTCGAACCATACCTACACTGGCACAACGAGCTCTGTCGTCGGTGTTATCAAGAAGGAAAGTTCCAGTACATCCTGCCCGTCACCGATCGCGAAATCACGTTCAACTCGAGTCATGCAGTCAATTGGCGCAAGGCAGCGGATTTCTACGAGTCTGGGTCTGAGTGGGTTGAAGCCAAGTATACTAGATTCCATTCGAGCTCTTTCATCGAGAGGTATATACGAGTCTTCCCTACTAATCCTGTTTGGGTGCCAGAGAAGGGTGCGCCAGGTGCCAAAGGCATTGAAAGGGGACAGTGGGATCATTCGTTGGATAATGGGGTTGAGGCCGCGTTTAGGTTGGATAAGACTATTGCTGATACGTTCCAGACGAGGATCAAGCAGGAGTTGCAGCAAGGAATCGGTCGTACATTTGCGCAGCTCTAAATCATCTTTTTGTTCTTCGTTGATATCTGAGCCTCTCTCCGGGTAGATCGTCGTAGACTTAGTTAGCACTTTAGATCGCAAGAAGATGTTGGGGAGGTGGAGGTGGATGGAGGTCGAACGCTTCCCGAACCTGCCCAATGAGTCGGTGGGCGGGATTACGTAACATATTGTCAGCTGGCCGAAAAGAGCTTTGCTTGTTAGAATGGTTTTTCTTACCGTGTACCACGACGAAATAATGAACCTTTGCTCCTCCGATTGACTTATGACATGGCGCACATGCATCAGCATATATATGTGCAGAAGCGGCGCACAGACACAAATCTCAGCCTATCTCGCGATATGATATAAGGTACGAAGCATCACTCAGGTCTGGCGTTCCCTCGCAAATCGTCTCATTCCCTCCTTCCGTCCTCCTTCCTCTTTCTTTCGTCTTACTGCCTTCACATCTCCGTGGCTGAAGCTGCTCAAATTTGTTGTAATATTGTAGACCGGCGACGAGGCAGCAATGTCGAACTTATCTTCTTCCTTTTCTGCTAGCTTCGGCTCGGTATGGCCAGAGTCGACAGCTGGCTTTGTGTTGCCTACCGGTGTATCTTTAACTCTCCTCGCGTTGCTCGTCATTGTTGCCCATTGGTTTCAGTCTCCTTCGAAAGTTAAGGAGCCTCTCCCTCCTGGCCCTCCTCGTCTTCCCGTCCTTGGCAATATTATGCGTCTTGGTGAAATCGCGAAGTTTCCGTGGCTAAAGTTCACCGAGTGGTCTCAGCAATATGGTAGGTGTTCTGGACACTCAACAGCAGGCTGATATTCAGCAAAATGCTTTGTTAGGACCCATTATCTATTTGAATATGGCCGGCCAATCTATTGTTGTCCTCAATACAGCTCAAGCAGCATTTGACTTATTCGATTCACGCGGGTCGAACTATACCGACCGACCCAAGCTTATCATGGCAGCTGAAATTCTGGCTGGAAACATTCATGTCGGTTTCGTTCCCCATGGGCCGCTGTAAGTAACCCATTCGCGTTAAATTTAAGATTCTCAATGACGCGATTACTGACTGACGTGATCGACATTAGCTGGAGAAAGTTACGCAAAGCCGCCCACATGGGTTTAAATTTGCATGCGGCCGAGGCGTATTTCCCCATACAAGAGCGAGAAGCTGCTTTACTTGTAAAGAGTGTACTCGAGGATCCGTCAGATTGGGATAATCACTGTCAGAAGTGCGTTTCTAACTCATACTCTACTTACAATTTAGTCTGCGTGCTCATCGCGGTGTATATAGGTCCGCTGCTTCGACCATTTTGAGCATCGTGTACGGAACTGAACCTCTGAAGTCTCGTGAAGACCCGATTGTCCTCCGCATTAACCACTTCATGGAATGTATGCTCAAAGCGGCTCTTCCTGGTAATTACATGGTCGACATATTCCCAATCCTAAACAAGTTGCCGCCTTGGTTGGCAAAGTTTAAGCGGGAGGGTATGGCTGCGCATGCGGACTTTACTGCGATGTTTTCCGAGTTCCTCCAAGGCGTAAAGAGCGACAAGGTATATCCCATATACATTTCTTTCACGGATGAATAGGGGATTAAGACGTTTCTTGTATAGTATGACTCGTCCAATCAGACGTTCAGCGCTACGATCATCAAGCAGCAAAAGGCGCTCGAGATGTCTGAGAAGGAGACGGCTTGGTTGGCGGGTGCGATGTTTGGTGCTGGCTCGGACACAGTAAGTCTTCTGTACGAACATTTGCACTAAGCATACTTATGATCATTGCTCTGTTCAGACAGGGGCTGCATTGGCAGTCTTCACACTGGCGATGGTGCTTTATCCGGACGTTAAGAGGAAGGCTCAAGCTGAGATCGACGCCGTCATTGGTCGCGATCGTTTGCCTACGTTTGCCGATCGTGACCAACTACCTTATGTTCGTGCGGTCATCAAGGAGACATTACGATGGAAGCCTATTACACCCCTTGGTACGTTGGATCGTAACATATAATGACTCTCATTTTCTTACGTATTGCCGAAGGCCTTGCTCGACGAGCTGTTGAAGATGATGTTTACCAGGGATACCTGATTCCTGCGGGATCGATCGTGATGACCAATGTTTGGTAAGTTCATGATCGAGTTATCCAAGAAAGTGGAGAAGCCGCCTTACGCCGTAGCGCACAATTCACTAGGGCTATGAATCACGATACACGTATCTATGAGAACCCTACGGAGTTCATCCCTGAGCGATACCTCACCGAGGATGGAGATGATTACAACCCTCAGTACACCCGTACTGGCACTCACGCATATGGTTTCGGTCGCCGGTGAGCGCGCATTTTCCACCATGCTTCACGTTCCTGTCCTAAGAATGCAATTTTAGAATTTGTGCTGGTATGAATGTTGCCAACAATTCTCTCTTCATCGACATTTCTCGACTTCTTTGGGCGTTTGACTTCGCACCTTCCAAGCGGACCGGGCCTCCATCTCCTGATGCTCAAGTTGACACGGGCGTCGTAGTGTAAGTAGTTCATTGGTTCTCCTACTCACCGCTCATACTAACTTGCCTTGTTTTTGAGGCGGCCGGCTCCTTTTGAATGTGAGATCACACCGCGGGCTAGCAACGTCTCGGCCATACTGGAGATGGCCAGTGAGAATTAAGACGCTACTCCTCTGCAAGGGTGTTGGGCGTCCCATTTCGTAATGAAAGCTTGTGTCAGTGCCTATTTGAAATGTCACGTATCTGTACCCTGTCCGTCGTAGAATTGCAATTCATTTCATTCTGTTCCTGCAGTGATGGTAATTCGGTACTGGATACCCGCCGTGTACACAGTTCTCGATGCCACTGCGATCTCGCGTTTCGTGGTGAAGATGCCAGATAGAATCGGGCCCATCCTCAAAGCCCGAATCCTGCAAGACTCTTGTCGAGTTCTATCTTTGAACTCAGGGTTACTTGATACGTAGTATGATGTTACAGGTTGGTGGTGCGGCTACCAGTCCCGCCGCCGGGAGGGAAACTACTGCTGTTCCGGTCACCACCAATTACACCATTAGTAGTCTACATCATCGTATGTATAGCATCTGTTGTTCTTGCCACTAGTCCGTTCACGTTTGTTCCAGGTACTCAGGACTGTAGTTCCGATTCTTGGCCTCCGGCTGGTCAACATCGACTGCTGGAACGCTCTGGGCGTCTTATAATGGCATCTTTGGTGCACGCTATGGTACCGTATTCTATAGCGGTGAGTTCTTCACGATCTAGACAAACTCTTGTGTGTGGGAGATCGGCACGGTGAATTGGTGAGTAGGTGTCCGATTATGCCCCACAGTATGACCCACCAAATTAGCTGTCAGCCTGAGCAGATTGGTCTTCGGACACTTGGAAACAAGAGTCTCGACAGCTCCCCTCATTGGCAACCACATCAACTGAATAGCCCCGTTCTCCGAACGGTCCACTGCATTCAGATTCTATAACAAATCCTAACACGAGGTCACATTTCGAAGCCGATGTAAGTTTATTGGCTATACGTTCTGCTTAAATGGTCATATGCGGTACGCGTTTGTCGCAACCATCCAATAATACCTAGCTGCCAATCTGCTTTGAGCAATAATGTAGCTGTATGCAGCGCTCCACCACACCGTATGAGAACCCTTTCATTCTATAATCTGCATGACAATCTGTCTCTTCGGGAGGAGCTTCGGGCTCTATACGCAGCGCCATCTGTTGGATATGAAACGTTCCTAACACATTCAGGTCTTTCTCCAGGTACGATAAACCACTTGAGGCAGTCCGGGAAAGACACTAGAGTGGTGCCTTTCTGACGTATCAGATTTGTTCAGCCCTGGTACCATGGATTCCCGAGTATATATATTCACCATGTACGTCTTCACAGTCTAAAGTTCTTGTTCTCAGGTTCCCTCCTGATCATCATGATCAAGTCCTACCTCGTTTTCTCAGCTGTTTGCTGCTATCTCACTACGACATACGCTCATAACGTTACGATCTCCAATGCTGGCTTTGATTATATCATCATAGGTGGGCAAGGAATCACGCTCTGCCATCTTGCCTTTACATCTGAAATTATTTTTCAGGTGGTGGTACAGCAGGTCTCACTCTGGCCGAAAGGTGCCCCTCACTTGTATCCAGCTGCATGAACCTTGTGTTTTAAAGTTGAATAGCTTAGCTTCTGATCATTCGGTATCCGTGGCCGTTGTGGAAGCTGGCAAACATATCATTCTAAACTCAACTCTAGTGCCCAGTCAGTACAGTATTTACATCATCTCCTTGACATGGCTATCTAACATTGTCTGGACAGTTCTTGTCAACGACTTCATGGGAAACCCTGAAATCGATTGGCAATTTAAGAGTGTGCCCCAGGTTCGTGCCACTAATGCGCCGGTGGATATGCCCCGTGGAAAATTGCTTGGTGGTACTGCTCTAGTGAATGGGATGTACTACGTCAGGTGAGGGTACAAAAACTGGGCATGCAGATATTTTCAACTGAATGTCTGATTCTCCTTGTTTTGTTAGGGCGCATAAAAAGGAGTACGATGGTGAGGGGTGATCTGAAACTCCTGGAATGTCCGGTTATAGTAATATCATCTGCAGTTTGGGAGGAACTGGGTAATCCAGGATGGAACTTCGCAAGTGTTAATCGACACATGAAGGCAGCAGAGACGTTTTATCCCGCCTCTCCCTCGGATGCAAAAATGTTTGCCGCGGATGATCTGATCTCTGACCATGGGTCAGATGGACCTATTCAAGTATCATTTTCAACCTATTGGGAGCCAAGACCGCTGATCCCGGCCTTTGTGGGTTCTATGGCATCCCTCGGTATCAACGTTACGAGACTGGCGGTGAGTAGTAAGCTCACGTTCGTATCTGAACACGACCTCAAAATATTCTACAGTCAGGTGGAGAGCCTTTCGGAGTGGCTCAAGCACCTACCACCATCAAGCCTCACAATCGTTCTCGCTCGGTATTCTACGAGGACATCGTACTGAAGAATAAAAAAAGACCGAACTTACATATCTTCACTGGGGCCGAGGTGACAAAGATAGACCTTAGAAAGGACGGTAGTTCGGGAGACGTCCATGCCACTGGTATTGAGTACGTTGCAAATGGATCAAGCCAAACTCTACAGGTCTGCCCGGAAGGACGTGTAATCGTCACAGCAGGTGCGATATGATGCTTGCAATATAGGCCCATTTTAGAATTGCAATGCTTTCCAGGAACGTATCAAACGCCGAAGATATTGGAATTGTCTGGTGCGATCGACAGTTATTTGGAGTATGACGTTTTGATTCATCCTCTACTAAACGATGTTACAGGCATCGGTAATGCAACGTTGCTTAAAGAGCACGGTATTACTGCGCAAGTAGACCTTCCGAATGTGGGTGAGAACTTACAAGTAAGTGATTCACAATTCAATGTAGTATTGAGTTTTTGGCCTCACCGTGCTGTTCAAGGACCATGTCGGTGTCCTGGTAAGTGTCGACTTGATCAGTTATTTTTTGATCCTTCAAGCTGATTTATTGTAGGTATCCTACGAACTGAAACCTGTTCTGGGTCAATCGATTGAAGACTTAACGAGGAATCTTACTTTCTTCGCTGAACAACAAGCACTCTATAATCTCAACCGAACTGGGGCTTTTGGTTCTGTTCCTGCTACGCTTGCCATGGTTTCGCTGGATGCCATCATAGAACCTCAGAGACTTGTTGAACTGAAATCAAGCCTGGACTCGGCTCTATTAGCATTTAAAGGTACTCCCATGGAAAAACAGTATGCCATCCAGCGCGCGATGCTGGAAGATCCAACTATTCCTGATATCGAGTAAGTATCTTATCCCAAAATTCTATATATATCTCATAACTCTGTCGCAGGATTATTTTCCAGCCCGGTGGGTGCCATACTTACCAGGGCACACTGAACTTATATTCATTTGGATCTCCAGGTATACAGGATCCGCGAATCAACCCGGATCCGACTAAGCCTCATGCAATGTTTGCGCCTATTATCCTCCACCCATTTTCGCGAGGCAATGTTCATATGAACACATCGAACCCGTTGGACCTTCCTCGAATTGATCTCAACTTTCTGGAGTTTTTCGAATTCGGTAAAACAATTTCAACGAGCTGATGACTGGTCCTTGACTGATATTTTCAATTCAAGAGAGGGGCCTCTTTGTTGAAGTGATCAAGTACATCGACCGTATCACAAAGACGCCTCCACTATCCGACCTCGTATCTCAAAAGTTACTTCCTCTTCCCAATAGCACGGATGCGGAGCTTGGAAAATATGTTCAAGAGAGTATGTACAGTGTCTGGCACCCCGTTGGTGAGCAATTCTCGCTACTGTGCACGAATTTACGAACTCAAACCCAATGAAAGGTCCAACCTCAATGATGCCACGAGATGAAGGTGGAATTGTCGACTCTAACCTCAAAGTGCGTATGCCTCGATGGGACGAATTTCTGGATGCATTGTCTGACATGCTTCTAGGTTTATGGAACAAGCAATATACATGTAGCAGACCCTAGTATCATTCCCTTGGTGAGCGTCGGTATTGGCCGAATTTCTCAATACATCTCACTTGCGTATAGTCGCTTGGAACCCATACCATGGCTTCTATCTATGGTGTAGCTTTGAGGGTGAGTCACCTCTTTCCCCATCGCTCAGTAAAATGACTATAGACTTCATTCAACAGGCATCTGAGATATTCGGAGGTCTGCGTACTCACCCGACTTATTAGGCAAACTAGATTCTATTTATTAACTTTTTCGTTTGCTTGGGAAAGTTCAAACGGTTCTGTTTACGAGACACGAGTCATGGCCTGCCTTTCATGACATCAAAGGTTGAAAATCTTCAGCGCAGATCGTCGCAAAGGACGTCAAGCGTCCAGAAGATTATGACCTGAAGCTATAAGTCGAGGAACAACAAACTGATTAGGCAAATAGCGTCACGATATCACTCCAGAGCGGGTGAATGATTTGCGCTGCATTGACCGTCGCATCCTGTGTAGAATACCAAAGAAACGAACATGGCGCAGTGAAAACCGCCGGTTCTGAATTAGAACTGTTGTAGAGTTGCTGAGCTCTGGGTTGGCCGCCAACGAATTGTTCCGCATTGAATGTCCGACGGGCTCCGACTTCTGTGTCTATTCCCCGCTTCCCAACTTTGACATGAGTGTCTTTGTGTTCAAACCTACCTGCGTATACATATTTTTCGGCTCTAGGAAAGGGAAAACCTATCATAATGGACTATCACTATGGGAAATATGACGACAGGATGGTCCTGCAAAGGCTTTGTTTACAAAAGTTGACAGGGTCATCTTATTCAGGACCCCTTTCGAATCATATGTAGATATCTGGCTCGGGGTATGTAAGTTTATGGAATTCACAACATCTACGTGGCGGATGCAAGAATTATCCCTTCGGTATGGCATATTTCCTGACTCCACAAATTTCCTACAGCAAAGCACTCAAATTTTCTCTAGTCTCTTGGCACCCACACGACGGCTAGTCACCAATGTACAGTGTTTCCATGAGGGTATGCCTGTTGCTTCTTCTCAACTTATCTGAGTGATGAAATCCATGAACAGGCGGTTGAGAGAGATTTCTCGGGCAATCAAGAACAAAGTGGTCTGCCCATCGAGAAGATTTCCATTACCTCTCGGTCCTATGGTGATGAGTCCTGGTACTGAATGGGACAAGTGTCGCGTGTGCGACAGAAGTCGAACGTTTGTAGAAATAGAAATCACTAAATTTGAACGTCTTTCGTTTGTGACAGATCTTGCGTATCGTATTGCTGGCCATGGTGATACAGTCGATCTACCGCTGAACTCGATATTCGCGTGTTTTTGGCTTGGGTGAGTTATGTCTACTTCACAGGTTAGATGGACTGACTTCTTTGGAAAGCTCAAGATGTGGATGGGTCGTATACATGGGCCCATAATAGCTTCCTCGCGTTGCTTACGTGGTCGAGTCGAATGTTGAATCGATAACCAAAGGTGCTTTCACGGACGCGAGAAGAGCTCTCAAGACGTGTATGCGGCGGCGGTGCTCATGGGGTTTGAAGTACATTAAGAAAGTCATCTGATCTATTCAGGCCCCAGGGTAGGATGACATGTACGTCTTCGCTCTCGTCTTCCTCTCCCCGACTAAACCGCCCCAGTGGGGTACTCGTAACGGTCATGCCACGGGATCTCCCATGAATCTTCCATGAACGGACCACATGAGCGCTGGCAACGTCTGGTGAAATACGTCGTATGTCTACTACAGAGTAATATGCGCCATTAATGGAGAAAGCTGTTTCAACTCTTCAGTACTACACCCAACGGTCAAATCCAAATTTGGGTGCACACTGTACTAGTCATGTGCCGCCGCCGGGTAGAACATGTAGGCGCTATCCTCTGCAGCTGGTGCGTTGATATCTCCAAACTTGATAAATACTGGTCATTTCAAGGGATGCGCTAAGTTCAAAGCATGCAGTCGGTCCATGTTTCTATGTTTTCCCTATCTGAGCAGACTACAAACGTGCGCGGCTATTAGGTCCCACCTCCCCGTTCCTCGCAGCTAGAATAGGGTCATCAACTTGGACCCGAACCTTTAGGTATGTCTTGCATCCGGTGGCTCTTGGACGTTTCTAGCGGCCTTCGACATAACCTACTCCACATACATGTGGGACTCAACATCTATGTTTTCGATACAAGCATTGTCTCCTTAATGCATCAATATTATCTGAGCCTTCGTTACGCTTCCTGATATCTTTACAATCCCGTGGTACCCACATAATGTCAGCATCCACGGCATCATCATAAGGGTGAGTGTTTCTGCGATAATCCCGTCCATCTCTGACATATTTGATGTGCTGCAATGGCGAACAGGTCCCTAAAATTTATCTCTGCAGCCGGTTAGACCATTCAAAGTCCCTCGGAGGTTCAAACGCAACATCCGCATGCCTTCTGATTCAGAAGCACTTCATTTTAACAGAGGCATATGAAGCAAACCATGTGCATGATCGTCAGGGACCGAAATCTTTCTGATAGTTTGGAGTCGCTGTCAGGTTGCTGATCACAGCTTTACTCTAAATGGACAGATTAGAGATGGAATCTATGACGACGTTTCTTGACTGAATTACTACCGTGACCGTATTCAGCCAACTGCGGGGTTTGAGTTGGCCAGAAGAACTTGAAAGAACCATTACTGATTATCTGTACGTTGCTGTTCAACATTCAAGCACGAACACGCTGTGGAGTGGGTGCTGTTGGAAACTGCTTTAGCTGCCGGTTCAGATGCCCATTGCACCAAAGAACAAAGAACGTGAGTTCGCCGTTCTGGACTTCTGTATAGATGTTGTCGTTCAAATTGAAGCTATATTAAAGTTCTGTTCTTTGCAGATGTTCAGATGCGCAAATCAAGCGGATGAAGATCATTCACCCGGTAATTGCAGAAAATCTTGGAGTCCTCAGGTTGAGGGTTCCGAATCCGGTGCCTCTCAAGAAGCTATAGGTGAAGTGGGCTTAATGCTCGCGGGTCCGAATATGGTATTGACCAAACAAGGTGGATTCTTTATCTAAGATGGAAAGCATAACAAATTGATTATTGGTCTCATTGCATTCGGCGGGTTTTTTCTCGGACTCCGATAGCTCGCCTCGTCTGGTCCCGCTGGTATTCACCACTTTTACATCTGGCCCTGAGAGCTTCCAACTGGAATGGCGACACGATCAAGGCTTTGAGGATCTGAGACCCGGTTCATGAAGTCGTCTCCGACGTGACTCTGCGATCAGCCTCACTATTAGGAATTCGAGCTCCTGAATTCCTTTCTTTCTGTGCGCATGAGAAAGAGATCTGCATTCGTACCTAAATTCGGATATTCAACTGTGCATCCGGGTGCGTGGACATTGTATTTGTGATCGCCCTTAAGACACGTCGTAGCCCCAATTATTGGACATCAAGCTAGTCTGTGAAATTTGTGAAAGCCAAGCAAAGCTCATATTTACATTGACAGGACGTCTGAATACCGCAGCAATCCCGACTCTTGACCGTGGTGGAGAAAAGTCAAGGACGTACATATGTGCACTTGTTACAGCTACATTCAGAACGATAGGCCCCTCCAAAAAAATCACTCATCGTAACCGAGGTCTAATTTACACAGCTTAGCAGGTGCCGAGCTCAGGCGAAGCTTGTGACCATTTTGTGACCGGAGACCAGTCGGGCCTTTCCTGGACATTTCTAGTCACAGTCGCGCCACGACAACGATGACCGATCCATTTGGGCCATAGAGTAATTGCATGCAGCAGTAGTACAGTACTGTAGTTTGTCAGATAATGGCAAGAGTCAGGCTACCTACGTTCACCTCAAGTGTGTCAAGAAGACACAGACGGCCGCTACAGATTGGAGGCCTTTCAACCTCTCCCGTTTCGAGGTGGTTCTTCGCCAAGCACCTTATTGCATGCACGCTTATGCCGGTATATATACTGACCATCTTGTACTTGAGACTATGCTCAAGGACCATGCTGCGAGCGATCTCCTTGTATTGCTTCGGTATGTGTTGCCTCATCCTCAGGCAAGTACCAGGGAGCACCATGAAAAGGTACAGATGGGAGTTACTCAGGTGCTACTACTACGGAAGCGTTGTACAAGACGGCAGTGTCTAGACAGTGGCCGCGAGGCTTGCATGGAAGAAATACGGCGTGACGGGGAGTGACAGAATGCCAGAGCGTCAGGCGGGTCTGCCGTCGAACCGGCATTGCTTCGCGTAGCGCAAGCGACTGAATGATTTTTTTGGAGGGGCCTATCGTTCTGAATGTAGCTGTAAATTAAGTGAATGATTTAGTAGTAAGGCCCAGGACCTCAGACACTACTACTTTTCCACCCCTGGGCGTCTGTAACACGCTGTCAAGATGTTCACCACGGTGACCAAGAGCAAGATACATTTGGACGATGCTACTAAATCATCCTCCAATATCCGGGTTGGACGTCGTCCAGGGCAGCAAGACCTAGGCGTCATTGTGTTTGGCGATGTCAACGAGAACAGACAAGCAGATTCTGTATATTATGGGGAGACAGAGCGCGGTTGAGCACGCCTTTCAAGCATATCACCGACAGCTTGCCGTCGAATCCGAATGTTCTCTCGACTCAACGGCAGTTCGTTCCTTTGGAAACTATGTTTGCTATCTCTTTGCTATCTCCCGATAGCGTTCAGTCATATTATTAGCTCCACGTTTGACTTTATCGTTGTCGGTAAGTTCATATGTAGCCTTTCTGCTTCTTTCTATATTGAAAGTGATATGCTTTGATTCCAGGTGGAGGAACATCTGGCCTCCTCATCGCCGAGAAGTAATTCGTGTGCAGTTTTGTTACGAAGCGATGCTCATATCATCCGCAGACTCAGTGATGACCCTTCTGTTTCCGTGGCTGTCCTTGAGGCGGGTGAAGCGGTTGTGGATGATACCACCCTAGTTCCTGGTATGTTTGTTTGATGTTATTTGAATGAACTATATCATTGACATCTGTTGATTACGCAGTTCTGTTCACGCGATTCATTGGGACAGATGTTGACTGGGAATTTGTCTCCGTGCCACAGAAACATGTCTCAGGTATCCAGATTTCCTTACCCAGGGGTAAGCTGTTGGGCGGTACTGCTTCGGTAAATGGAATGTACTTCGTCAGGTATGTTGTACAACGAGTGACCATCGCATCAATCAGCACCACTAACGTCCAATCTCTCCGGTTCAGGGCACACCGAAAGGAATATGATAGTGAGTTGATCCTTTTTTCTATGTTTAGCCTTTTGGTGACCAATGCGCTGTCGCCGCAGTCTGGGAACAACTCGGAAACTCGGGATGGAATTGGAAGACGGTGGATGCTCATATCAAGGCTGTAGAGACATTCTACCCAGCTTCCGAACATGACCAAGAAGAGTTTGCTGCAGCAGACTTACCTTCGGACCATGGCAACAAAGGACAATTCCAAGTTTCGTATTCGAATTTCTGGCAACCTGAGCCTTTGCTCGTCAACTACATTGCGGCATTGAACACTTTGGGCATCAACAGAACCCACAGGGCGGTCTGTTTTCCGATCTCTGTTGCAAAGTCGTGACATCATACTTACATGGTTACAGTCGGGTGGTTCCACTGCTGGCGTCTGGCAATCTCCTACGGCCATTAAGCCCGACAATCGTTCACGTTCGTCCGTTGGCACGGATTTCGTGCTCGCGGGCAACAAGAAGCCAAACCTTCAGATCTTCACTGGCGCCATTGCGACCAAGATTGACTTGAACGGCGGTATTAGTACAGGTCCTAGCGTTCCTACAAATGTTCGTGCTACGGGGGTAGAATATGTCTCAGGCGGCACGAACCATACCATCAACCTGACTTCTCGTGGGAACGTGATCGTCACTGCCGGTGAGTTGAGATATTGAGAAGACGTTAAGTCATGTTGAATGTAATGGACTGATGATTTACTTCGCTAGGTACATACCAAACGCCTAAGCTATTGGAACTTTCAGGTAAATTCTGCGTTTAAGAAATTCTATAGCTTCACAGTTCACAAAATGAAATCTATAGGCATTGGATCCCCTGCCGTTCTCAATGCGCACGGCATCAATGCTGTAGTCAACCTTACTGGGGTTGGCGAGAACCTACAGGATCACGCCGGTGTTCTGGTAAATATATACATTCTCTAATATCCAGCATCCCTATTTTCCTTTCAAACACTTTCTCATTTAATCCTATAGACCACATTCGAGATCAAATCCGGTCTTGGTCAATCCATCGAAGACCTCATCCGTAATGCGACCTTCTTCGCAGAGCAGGAAGCTCTCTACGTTAAGAACCGAACTGGCGCTCTCGCTTCCGTCCCAGGTTCCACTATCGTGATGCTTCCCATCCAATCCATCGTCTCAAATCAAAGGTTAAAGACGTTAACGGCATTATTGGATAAAGCTCTGTTAAGTTTCAAGGGAACGCCGTTGGAGAAACAGTTGAACGCTCAGAGGGATTTGTTCTTGGATCCTGACGTTCCAGATATCGAGTACGCTTTTCATTCCATTGCCCCCGTTCTTGTTCCTGCTCTGAAGAGTAGAGTGATCGTGACCCATGACTCATTAAACACTGATAGGTTGACATTAACACCTGGTGCTCAAGACCCTCGTGCTTCCCCCGATCCAACCAAATCTCATGTCACGATTTCCGTTATAACCGTTCGTCCTTTCGACAGAGGGAACGTTCACTTGAACACTACGAATCCTCTGGACTTACCTCTCATCGATCCGAATTTCCTTGCTATAACAGATTTCGGTATGTCCATCTTCATATTCCTATAGTTCTATTGGGATTATCTCGCCTGGTGAATACTGGGACTAAGTTCATGTATATTTCTGTTATTATAGAAACTGAGGTCTTCGTGGACGGGATCAAGTTCGTCGAGAAGTTGACTCAAACGGCGCCTCTCTCGGATATCGTCACTGCTCAACTCTTCCCTCCATCAAACGCAACAGACTCCGAATTGAGTTCGTTCGTCCAGCAGAGTATCTTTAGCGTCTGGCATCCTTGTGGTAAGCTCCCATTTTAGATTCACCTGTGTCAATTGAATTCTTATGTTTTATTACAGGTTCATCGTCGATGTTGCCAAAAGACCAGAACGGCGTCGTCGACGCGAACTTGAAAGTCTACGGAACTCAGAACATTCGGATCGCCGACGCCGGTATCATCCCAGTTGTACGTCTCTCTCTATAACGCTTCACTTTCTCCACTTTCTCTACTTTCTCCATCCATCTTCTCTCCTTCACTCACAACCGTGTCTGAACATGTTTACAGAGTCTTGGAACACATACCTTGGCTACGGTATACGGGAACGCCCTGATAGCCGCGGAGATTTTCAAACATCTTGTATAGCGTCTAGGGTCTATCAATCTGTAGGGGCCTCGGACGTCATGGGATGAAATTACTAGCATTGGTTTGGGTGAATCGTGCTCTACGTTCATTCTTTCAGTTTGTTAGTTTGTAATTGACCACGCTCATTATCCTCGGACTTCAATCGATTCATTAAATGTGCTGGCCAATTTGTGCCTTACAAGTGCATCTGGCCTCGTAAATATACTGTTTGTTCCCGCTACTACAGTAAGGAGTACGGTCTCTTGAGTCTAAAAGATGACACACCACGTCGGATAGCCTTAGTCGTATGAACGATACGAACACACTGACTGAAGGGAAAAGGTCGACGGTGCGAAACTTGAAGAAAAACATGGGAATGATTGAAACTTGAAGTAGCAAAAAAGGAAAGTATTGAAGAACAGCGCAAGTTCGTACTCTAAGTTAGGCCTTAGGTTACAACTATGGTTCTAGCAAGTGGTGGGAGGGACGTACACAGTATGAGCTATGATAATGGAGCGTAGGATTGTAGTCGTAGTCTTGGGAGATGAAGCTAGCTTACGCGCGCCTAGGAACTCGGTCATTGGCTTCTACTATCATTCATTTGACTTTTCTCGAAGACAAGCTTGCAAGAGCCCTGACAGACAAATAACGCGTAACGTCATGACATAACGTGGACGACGAATAACAAGTGGTATGTAGGGTATAATGCACAAGAACAAGACAACACTCTAGAGTCTAGAAAAAAGTCCAAGAAATGATCCCTTCCCACCACCGCCCGCCAATTAACAACTTCCAACCAGATTTAAACCTCAATCCCATAGATCTCCTTCAACACCTTCTGAGTAGTCCCCCAAAGGTTGTTAGCCAACGTCTCATCCTTGGCCAACTTACTAGGTTCCACAATCTTCCCATACGGCGCCAAATATTTAGCCCTATACTTGCCTTTGTCCTTCGCGATCTCCTTACTAGCCGCCGCGAACAAAGTCGTAAAAGAACCTTGTTCCGGTTCATCTGCGAATAATCGAGAAATGGCAATCCGGAGACGGGGGATGGCGGACTGTTTGAGACGTTCAAGAGCCGAGTCTGTGAGGACTCCACCGGGGTGCATGCTTATGCAAGTGATTGGGACGTTCTTGGCGTCGTATTGTTTTTGGAGGGTATTTGTCCAGAGGATGTTGGCGAGCTTCGTGAGACCTAAATCAAAGAAGATGTTAGAATATTTTTTTGTTATGGTTCATTGTGGATAGACGGACCGTAACGTTTGAGGTTCTCGGGTGGGACCCAGCTTCCTTCATACCGAGCGTTGAAAGAATCGATGGAGTCGAACTTCGTCTGGCCGGCCCGGATAGCGCTGTGCATCAATGAAGAAACCTGTCATAAAGATTGCAGAAATCGGTATGGTTTTTCTGGAGAACAAGACTGCATACGTACATTGATAATTCGGACATCGCTCTCGGGCTCGCTCGCTGTTTTCTCGAGGAGCGGAGAAAGCGTGTGGGTGAACACGAGCGGGCTGAGGTGGCTGTGACACGTTGCCGAGATCAACACACAGCTCCTCTCTTATGGGAAGAGTGGTTGGGAAGCTTACTTGACCACCATCGTGTTGACTATTCCATCTTTGGTCTTCTCGTATGGAGACGCGAGTAAACCGGCATTGTTGACTTTAAGCAACAACACGTCAATATTTTTGTTTCATTCCCGGGCAAGAGATCGCGATAAAGAGACGATACATACCGACAATGTCTAGTCTTGTCTCCTTGGCAAGGAACTCCTCCGCAGACTTTTTAGCTTCTCTAGGGTCATCTAACGAGAGATGGTGGTAGATGAGCGACCCCCGGTCTTTGGAGGTGTTCCAGGCCTCGATGCTGGTGATCGCGCCGGTTGCTCGACTCTCATTACGACAAGCAAGGTAGACTTTAGCACCGCGTTTGCTCAGATGTGCAGCTGTCCAATAACCAATACCAGCACTGTGCAGGGTCACAATAAACCAATCAGCATGGAGGTCAAATTTATCGGTCGGACATCATACTTTGCACCGGTGACAATGGCGACTTTGCCATGAAGGTCAAGAAGGTCGTTGTCGGGATTGAGGACAGAAGCTGAAGAACCCATATTGGATGATGTGGTCAACGTTGTGGTGAACGGAGAACGCTATGGAGGACGAGGACGGCTTTTGTTGGACAGAGGGCGGGGGTCGGTCGAGCGCAGACATGCTGGCCGAGGCGAGTAGCGAATACGGGCTGTAGCTGGGGCAGCATGTTCGGGGGACCACCAGATGGAAGCACTCTCAGTGACACCCTCAAGCACCTGTTCTTGTTCACGGACGCCCGGAGGCTGGTTATTACCGCATTCAGAAAGTTTCTCGAGTCGGCGATCTGCATTGTTCCCACGGAGGCGGGACGAGATCTGTCCCTGCCCGAGCAGTGCTCCGGGGTCCTGACTTCATAAAACTGAGAGTGACCGATGGGCGTCTAGTGGGCGAAGGACGTATCACAGCAAATGCATCCGCTCATGCTGTCTGCATAGAGAATATTGAGCTAGACTATCGTTGTCAACGGCGGTGCCCATCTGCTACGCGGCGGTGACCATATGTCTGCTACCCGACGCTTACCATGTTGTCCCCGCAATTCTGTTCATTTGATGCTAACATATTGTCCTCAATTACGCTTAGGAAGAACCCTTGAACTCCATGGCACGCCGTGGTTATTGCTTGTTCTCATCGTGGCCGTCATGATGTGCTCGGCGATGCCATCTACAGGGTCTGTCCCTGTTCAGCACACTCACACCTAAGAATGGGTACGTCAACTATCACCCGCAGTAATCACCGTATCCCAGTTGTACACAGCCTATTGACAGATGCGACACTAGTCGCAATATCTCCTACGCCCTCCTAATCTTTCATTCCGCCCTTCACAGCGACGCACGGACGTCATACCCGTGTAATTTTGTCTTCCCTCACAGCCTGCACTTCATCGCGATGGATCGACTGACTTTTGCGCCCTTGGCCCAGGCACCAATTCGTGTAGTGCACTGCTGCCATCATCCCTCCCCATCGGTACCACTTACTTCATTCTCGGAAGTCTCGTACCTTGTGCTGAGGAATGTATCTTGCCTCCTTGACACGTTGAATACTCTCGGCCCCGTCCAGTCTTCTTGGTTTCTCTAGCTTCACTCCATTTTTTTGGTCGTTTCCGCTCTCGCACCATAGTCCTTTCGCATATTTAAGCGGCACCGACGCATCGTTTTGTCACTTCGTCGGTCGGTTGACCATTCACCTCAGCAGTTTTCTTCCTTCCCCTTCACTTCATTTTCACAGGATGCGGTCTCCTACCCTTTCTTCGCACCTTTGTCTCCTACTCTCTTTCATTTCAATTTTATCAGCGTCCGTCATCGCCCTTCCAACAACCCACCAAGCGCGGTCACCTACCACGCTTATCACCTCTGCACCCTCAGACGTCCACGGAAAGACCTTCTCTTATATCGTAGTTGGTCTGTCTTGCATCTCCAATTAGTTCGATAACCACTTTTTATAACTCGAAACTTCTGTCTGCAGGTGGAGGAACAGCGGGACTCGTAGTAGCTGCACGACTTGCCGAAGATCCAACCAAGACTGTCGTAGTTCTCGAAGCCGGCAACTCACACATTGAGGATCCCCTTATCCAAGTTCCGGTAAACGTTGGCGCTGTCTACGGAAATCCCGAATACGATTGGGTGCGTCTGAACATCTAGTGGTTCTGTGGCGTGCGGATATTGACCGTTCTGCTCGGTATCCCCTTTTTGTGTTTTTTTTGTGGTTCGACTTCAATGCCGATTGATGTGCATTCGCATCCGTTTCGACTAATCATAGACATACAAGACTGTCCCTCAGAAGAAGGCTGATAACGCCGTCCTCGCTTTCACTCGGTACGTCATTCTCCACAATCGTCTGTTCATCAATCTTCCGTTCTTCCGTTCTTCTCTTCGTTTCTGAAGCCGCACAGCTTACGCGTTATCTCCTGCCTTGTTCTTTGACACTTCGTATGAACGAAACCTTACTGACATGCCGCCTAACCTTCCAGTGGCAAGATTCTCGGAGGATGTTCAGCCATCAACGCCATGATCTGGGATCGTTCGTCCAAACCCGAATACGATAGTAAGCTTAGTTTACAGTTCACTTGGTATCTTGACTAAACAAACGGTCACTGATTGTTCGCTTCTTTCTGCCTTGTGGTAATGATCAGACATCCAGTTACTCGGGAACAAAGGATGGGATTGGAACAGTCTCTTTCCTTACATGAAGAAACCCGAAAAGTGTGTGCCTTTATCTTTTCTCTTATTCTCTTTTATTCATTTCAATTGATAATTAAATTATTCGATAGCTTCATTGAACCCGATCCAGTATTCGCAGCCAAATGGAACCAAACCTTCGACCTCGAGGCTAGAGGCAAAGGCGGCCCTATCGATACCATCTTCCCGAACTACCTTCCTGATGCCGAGTTCCCTCAAGAAAGCGCGGCTACAGAATTGGGGATCCCTATCGTTAGAGAACCTGTGAGTCTCGATCCTATTTTATTTAAATTCTGTGAAAAAATGGGGATGCTCGAAGCATGTCCTGAAGTATATTGCTGCGGTCCTGGGACAGTCAAGATGAAACATCGGGATAGCTTTGGATGCGCCGTCCTTTGAATGACATGTAATGATTCACTGACTTTGTTTTCGAACTTTCTTTCTTAATATTTCAGATGGGCGGTGTTATTACTGGAGCTTGGAAAGGCGAAACGAGTATCGATTACAACACTCGTACACGGGTTTACTCTGCACACGTGAGTCTCTCCCTCTGCCCCATTCCGCCGCCCACCGTCTTTACATTGATAAAGTAAACACAAACTGACGTTCTGTTTGGGCAGTACGTCACCGCGGCTGAAGCAGCCGGCCGAACCAACTTACTAGTCCTCACCGGCGCACAAGTGACCAAGATCAACTGGGCCCGCGATCATTTCCCTCTCGCCAACGGCACGTCTTCCTCTAACACCACCGCACAAACAGAGACAGACACTTCCTCATTTGGCACTGTCACCGCCTCGGGCGTTTCCTTCATTGTGAATGGTACCACATATAGCGTGGGTGCTACGAGAGAAGTCGTACTCAGTGCAAGTACTATTGGGAGCCCGTATTTGTTGGAGTTGAGTGGTGTTGGGGATAAGAAGAGGTTGAGTAAGGTCGGGGTGAAGAGTGTGGTGGACCTTCCGGGTGTTGGTGAGAATATGCAGGAGCATATTTTCGTTACCCAGTCGTTTGGTGAGTTAGGAACGCGTTTATCGAGTTTGGAATTGATGATGATATGATGTACTGATGGTTTGTTGTTTTGTTAAGTTGTCAACAAAGGTGTTGAAACTCTGGATGCCTTGCTCCACAACCAGTCTTTCTTCGATGAGCAAGCTCTTCTCTTGTACGTGTTTCCTCATCATTTACCCCCGATGCCTATATATGTAATTTCGCTCTTCTAGCCAACAACGTCCTGCCCAAGGTGCCCTCGGTTACGGCGCAACCGGAATCTCCATGGTCGGCCTCCCCACATTCATCCCATCCTGGAGAAAACTCCTCGCCAGCGCCCGATCGCAACTCTCCAAGAAATCCAGGACCATAGGTCAAGAGAAACAACAGGATCTCCAATTGGCTCTTTTGGCGAGTCGTGGTTCTTCTGTTGTGGAAGTCCTTTCGGAGGGTGTGCATGGGACGGTGGATGAAGCTGATCCTACGAAGAGTTATGTGAGCTTTTTGACGTTGTTGCAACAACCGTTCTCCAGGGGGAGTACGCATATTAACTCTGCGGACCCGACGACGTATCCGACTATTGATCCTAATTATTTTGATATCGACTTTGGTCAGTCGTTCACGTCGTCGTCCATGTCTATTTCACGTTTGCTGACTTTTTTTGATCTTTGGATTATATGTCTAGATCTGAAAGTCCTCACTTCGATCGCTCAGTGGGTTCGTTCGACATGGACGAAAACTAAAGCTTTCGGGAGTATCATTGCCAGCGAGAGTTTCCCAGGACCTGAAGTCCAAACTCAGGCCCAATGGGAATCTTGGGTCAAGGCTACTTTCCAATCTCAAGGACACACGACCGGGACTTGTTCGATGTTGCCTAGGTCCGAAGGAGGTGTCGTCGATCCCGTGAGTAACCTCTTTCATCTCTTCTGTCTCAAGTTTGGGAAGAGAAGTGATTTTTATTTGTGGTCATGATTAGACTTTGAAGGTTTATGGCACGAGTAACGTTCGTGTCGCGGACCTTTCGGTTATGCCTCAACAGTTCTCCGGTCACCCTCAGGCTCTCGCTTATACCATGTACGTTCCTACTTCTCTTTCGTTATCTGTGCTTGAGAAACTCATTTGGTCGTACCTATTCCTAGTGGCGAGAAAGCTGCAGACCTCATCAAATTTGCTAACCTCTAACATTCCTTGGGATCGATGATTCTGATCTCTCTTTCTTTCACTTCGGACTTACAGATCGCATCTCTATTTTTATGTTTTACAAACACTCCTTGCGCCTCGCCTCAAGTGTCCCCACTCATCCCTCACAGTCTTATTTATCCTTTATTGTATTTGTCTGTCTCAGGCTTGTGCGCTCCCAAGCTCCAACCATCCCACTCCTTTATGGTTCCGCGGTTCTTTTCTTTTTATTGAACATAGAATTCGGGAACTTTAGCTCATTAAACTCGGACATTGACTATCGTCTTCGTTTGATACTCCTACATGTACTATCGACAGAGTAATAGACGAAAGATTTATATTCATCTATATTGTTTTCACTTGCCCGCTTCTTTTGCGATTGTATTGCTTGAAGTGAGTCTCTGAGTGCTTTTGACGTCGGAAGTGTATTTAAGTCTAGTATGTAGTAATTAACGTCACTATGTGATGATATGCCACTTACAGGCATACTCGTCTCGTTGTTCTTCTCAATCAGTTATTCTGTACCGAGGTTGAATTTCTGACAAACAGAAGGGAACGCCGTATACGGGGTTTCACACCTCCGGATTCCAGGTCCACGTCGAAGTGAGCTCAGTCACGGGCTAAGCTTAGACAGGCAAACAACCTAGCAGTCGGGGATGAAGTTCTTCATCTTGCCGACTCGGAGTGCAGACTACGCCGCAGTACGTTGACAACTGTCTGAGAAATAAAAATAGATAACACGGCGAGCTTTGAGCGGTAATGAATACGTTGGGACGAGGCTCAAGCGTCATAATTTCCGACCAGTCAAGGAGGAGTACGATCGAGTGCCGACAGGATTCGTCTTGCGGCACAGAGCTGTTCATGGAATACTTAAACCTTAGTGAGGTTAGGCTGCTTGCAGCTATATTTACCTCCGGACTCCAGGCCATAGTATGAAAAGTTGACGAAAATGGCGGACTCGGCTTGAGCGAGGCTGGACAACGTTACTCGCTTCCGGCTACATTTAGAGGCACCGCGCGATGTAACATTCTGTTCTTCGGTCATGATCGTCATTGTTTCCAGCGTGGAGCACCAGCATACTAATTAAACACCTAGTGTGGAAATTTGGACATTAGTCCTCAGATGAGACGTTCTGACAGTTGAAGACCAACAAAAAAAAATGATGGGCGGTAGCGAACATCCTATGTCAGAATGAGTTTCAATCGTCCCGTCAAGAGAGGTTTGGTAACACTACAGACCATGAAGTGGATGCTTCTACGCTACGCTTAGACCATTTTTCGGTGATTCAAGTTTTTGAACACGATCGATCGTGTCTGAGAAGGAGTCACCCACATGTACTGATTGACCCATTACAAAGAGAGACGTCGCTTCTCAGATAACTCACCGGGGAGGGGGGGGTTAATGTCAAGGTTAGGGCATCTGCCAATGAATAGGCTGAACGCACGAGCTTCTAGATTCGAAGAATACAAATGAGCGACAGTTGCGGCATGTACGCGAGGGCCGAAAAAGGAAGACAGCATTCAAAAACGCCACGACGTCGATCAACTTGAACAGCTTGAATTGAATGTACAGATGCAATGAGCAGGACCTGTTAATCTGAGTTTTAGTGATGGAATCGGAAAGTCTATCTAGATGGAGAACCCACAGCTCGTGCAATGAATGAAGAAGCGTGGAAGAAGGGTGCTTAGAGACGTTTTTAAAGACCGATTGCCGAACCAGTCGGAAAAAAGAAGACGGTGGGCATGACTGTGGCCCCTGCCAGGTCACGGAGTGTGTATATATGACTTTATCAGGCGGCTGCTTGTGCTGTGTTCGTCATTTGAGCCTCGTAAAGCCGGAATTACACACCGAACGGTGATTATTCGCGGCTTGACCGTTCAATGTTGAGACTCACTTGCTGTGCAGGTGGACAAACAGAGGACCATTCGAACCAACAAGATGGATAGTTTAAAACGATACCGTTATAGGGACAGAATTCGGCCCGATAACGCTCGAAATGATTGTCGTGACTTCGATATTCGTGGAACGTCCTGGTGTTCTTTGGTCTTGCGAAATGCTGAGCACAATGATCAGTATTATACGGCGCCACAATAGGATCCTACTCGCCATAAAGTTAGATCTACATTGTGAGTCCATCATCAAACATCTGCCCGATGGCACCCCAGTGATCCATTGACGGTGGCTTAGACAAGGCTTGGACTTGAAGATCGGATGTGATGGCTAATGATGCAATGCGACGAGATTAAAGCAGTAGCTGTGGAAGATATTTGCGCCTGATAACGAACGGCTTTGGAGTAGGGGTCAGTATTGGCCTATCGAAGTATGAACACACACGGAACACTGACCATTCGCAAGAGACCACACGTAACTTTGGAATCGGGAGCACGATGGCAGGTTGTCTTATGCTCAGCTTGACATGTTCTTCACTTAAAGAAATGAAGACCCATCGGAGTAAGTATTTCAACAACGGTATCATCAGTCAAAGAGGTTGTGGAACTTGCAATGAACATCCTTAGGTAGCTCGTTCATTAGCACTGAGCGATGAGCGGGGAGTATCGAATGGAAAGACGTAGTAAATTTTTGTCATTCGGCAGAAGAAGCAGGTTGGAATATTGAAAGCTTGAACGAAACAGAGATCGTGCAGTTTCATTTAGAAAAAGACTTGAAGCTGGCGCGAGCACTACAAAGTACAGGACGTCAAGGGTGCAATACAAAGTTAAACAAGTCTGCCGATCCGAAGAAGAATGAGCTCGAATAGCGAACGGAACGGAAAGTCACCGTTATCTCTACAAGCTGACAAAGAGAATCGAGACAACGAGTAGGCGGAGAACGTTGCAGCTACCGGGCATTGGCAGACATGTCTTTCGGAAATGCTAGTACCGGTGAGCATCTCGCTGATCCTCCGTAAGAATATAAGTTCAAGGGTGCGTCCCTCAAGAATGACCGACGCCACATACCAATCCAGAATTAACTTGCGCCGGCAGAGGTCTTGGACGTAAAAGGCGCAAACGCAACGTTTAGGGTTTCGAATTTGGTTGCTTGATTGAGATTGGTCGGTTACTGTAACGCCATATGGTGCGCAACCAGTACCGTTGTCTTCCCTCCTGGCTAAGCAACTCCCTGGAGTAGAAATTGACGGAGCGGAAGGCCTTGAACAATTTTGAAATCGCTGTCCTCCTGCAGACAATGGGTGAAGACCTGGACTACCGGGGGCAACACTTTCCCCGTCTGAGTCGTAACGCCAAGATCACAGAGGCTGCGATCGCAGCCAATAGATGTGAAATCTAGGTGTCGACGATATACGAAATGAGGCAAACGTCGGATTTGGTGACATGAGCGGTCCCCCTGGAATAAAAACAAAACATGCAAATGCGAAAAGCGGTGGCAGAAGGGTGACCATAGACAGCATAGCGCCCAATCATATCGGGAGATACTGAGGAGATGTCCATTCTGATCCGGCGGTACCAGTGCTTTGGATAATGGAATATCTTGTAGTGATTCTGGACTACGGTGTCCGGGGTCGCGAGTGCACACCATTGTGGCGTTCCTGAGGGGACCAGACCGGTTACTTGGTCCTTGGATCCGCTCGCCGTCCGAGGAACGCCTGCCAAATTCACACGTTTTGAAAGCAATAATCTAGTCCTCAACATATGTACTTCCATCAACTTCCAAGCCACGGTATTTCCGACAATGACCGTTTCGAGTTTCCTGACGCAGTCTCAATCCAGCGAACATTGGTCAGGCTTCGTTATCTGAATCGCATTCGCGTGTTTACTCGGATACCTATTGTAGGAGCCAGAGAATCATGCTGCTATCTCCACCTCACTGAAGGCCGTCAAGGAGAACCTCATCCGGTACCATCAGGCAGGCGCAATTCCGCCCTTTGATACTCTACCTGTCACCGAAGCACGCACGTTGTGATCAGTTCCACGTTCTTACTGAGCCTTCCGATAAACTGCGAGCATTGGATTACCTATCGCTCCATATGATGGCGCCGCCGAGTTTACCGCAGAGGATCGAGGACCTCATCACCCTCTTTGGCGATGAAGAGTACCAACAGGTACGCGGCGGGCTTGGGTTGTCATCTTCCCCTTGCTCCACACGTCACATTCATTCCATCTTTGATAGAATGCCGTTCCAGATGAGACCGACTTTCTGAACAGGAACGAGGTGCAACCTCTCGTGGGAGAGGAACAAGTGAAGTATGAGAAGGCGTGATACTCATGAACAATGAACGTGATAGCGTATTTCGGACCCTTGCAATTTTTTGTCATATCGGAAGGACGTATCAGTGCACTAGCTTGGCATCTGTCCACCGCCAGTGAGCGTATTGTAATTGCAGCGCATCCGCATGCTGCTCCTCACTCACATTAATCTTGGTAGATTAACAACACTAACCTGACCCGATGTCCGGAACCGGCACTTCGTACCTCCAGTGACATTTTGCATGGAGTGATTGTGACTTTCGTGTATCCAATGAGCTCCAATCTTTTATGGGACAAAAAGTTGACCACATTTGACGTCAGGAGCGCAAGCGCCTGCACCCAAAAGTATCGCAGTCAATTCGGCGTTGTTGCTACCTTCATCTTGGGTTGCCCAGTCTAGACTCGGCGACGGGATTGCATATCAAAGTTCACACTGCCCTCACGTTGAAACTCAGTTGGACACTCGGAGTCGGCGAGGAATGCTGTGGAAACAGCCAGGGCACATACTAGTCAAGCCCACGGCCGATTATGGGCGGAAAGAAGCAAGGAAGCAGCATCACTGTATTTTGACAAGGCCAATTCTACATGTGTGTGTTTCGCTATCTTTGAGCGGCTTGAAATCTTAGATCAGAACTTCTACTGCTATTAACTTATTCGACCCTAAGCTCACGATACGACCAATTGGTAATGAGTAGTGACGGGAAGGACGATCTCATATCTCGGCAGATCCGACATCCATTGAGGGAAAGAAGCTACGCGAAGCTCAAGCTTAAGAGTCACGCACATTCTATACCACACGTCCGGTCGTTGACGAGGATCCGCCGCGCCGTAACGCGTCATTTTAGTAGATTTTCGTAACCCCCCAGTTGATGCAGTTTATACCTGCTTTATCTGGAAGATGACCCTGGAATGGTGTACCTACACCTGGCGTCTCCGAAAGACATAAATCCCAGGTCCAAATCTCGAAGGGAGGAAGTCGTACCACATCCTATTCGTTGTCGGTGTCATGTCGTCCACCAAGATCGGAAATGTTGCACCATTCCCTCCTTTGCCTGGACAGCCTTATCCTCCCGCTCGCAATCACCCGCGATGGAAAGGTATGCATCCTGGAACGCTCTCTGTCCGTCGTCGAGACATTAACGAGACTTTGTCTAGAACTGTATCGGCTTCATGATGAGTGGCTCATGAAGTACTGGCCCTTCAGTAGCGAGAAGAAACGCGCACGTATCCCGTTCATGAACTTGGCGGGCTTCAGCACCTGGTGTAAGTTTAATCCGTCAGGATAATTGCAGTTAATCTAGGTCACTGATGTTCATCTTCAATAGGTGCGCCTGCATCAGACTTTGACCGGATGGTCTGGGGTGCTCGCATTGCGGGCATTTTCTTCCTTGCCGATGATTACATCGATAGTGGAAAGATGCTTGATCGTATTCCAGGATTCAAGAAGGCCGCTACTGGCGAGGGCGTAAGTATTTGTAAACGTTTTGTTTTGACTTCTTCGTTGACAGAAACTTTGATATTATCTTTCAGCCCCTTCACCCTGAAGACAGAGCTGAAATCTGTCATGACATCGTTTTCCGCGCTATCAAGGAGACGTCTCACCCACGTACCTTCGATCAGCTGACAAGATGCACCCACGAGTGGTGGGACTCCAACATTCATGAACCTTTCCGTAACCTTGACCAGTACTTGGCTACTCGCCGTGTAAACATCGCTATGGTATGTTTGATCCCCATTAGGACAGCCTCCGTAATGCTAACTTTATTATCATTAGTATTTTGCTAATTGTGCGTTATGCTTTTGCGCGTTACTCTCACGACAAATTCTGATTCATTTGTACTACAGCTTATTTCCGGTATTGCTTGGACATCAACTTGACTGATGAACAAGTCAACCATCCCCTCATGCGCGAGGCAGAGGGTATCATTTCAGGTTTGTAGACCTCCGTCTTACGCGTAGTCTTCAATCAGGTCACTGACAGATATGTTTTTAATAGATCATGTTGGCCTGACAAATGATCTCTTCTCGTATGCCAAGGAATTCATGACCCAGTCGGATGACACGAATGTCATCCGCATGCTGCAAGACTTCGAGGGTTTGACTTATGAGCAAGCTAAAGACACCGTGATTAAGAAGATTCGTCAGAAAGAACAAGACTTCATCCCTGCCGGCGTCGCGGTCCTTAATGATCCTGAACTCGGTAAAGACCCCGAAGTCCATCGTTGGATCGCCTCTCTTCCTTACTGCATGGGCGGTAACAATGCGTGGTCTCAAGAGGTATGAGGTTGAGTTTCTTTAAGCTTGGACATAGCTAAAACAAGGTTTTTCAATATTACTAGAGTGGTCGCTATAACATCGGTGATGTTCCGGGCGCTCCACCCTTCCCAAGCTTGAGCTTCGAGGTGGAAGAGACGCCTGAGGACGAAGTTGTTGATGATACAGAGGAGTCTGCTCTGCGGGACGCCGTATTCAACGTTGAGGTTATTCCTGAGCCTGATTTTACTCTGGACATCGACGCTATCGAGGCCAAGGGCGTCAGGACGAAGACTCAAGCGGCCCTTCCGCCGAGTCTCCAACTCATGCACATTTCTGAGTCTAGAGCTCAGCATGTTGGCTTTCATGCGCTCACCATGTCGCATCGGACTTCCGAGGACGATTCGGGAATCGTTCTGCTAAGTGCGTATCAGAAGTCTTTGTCGAATGTTTTGTCACTCATTGATATAACCTTGTCTTCTGTAGCCGTATCTTCCTTGCTTGGCAAATACGAGATTGACAGCCAGAAGATCGGCAAAGTTGAAGTGCTTCTTCAAAACACTGATATCACCGTCGACCCTGCTGCTCTTGTTCACTTGCTCAGTCAATCAGAACTCGAAGTCAACATTTCGCAGGGCGACTCTGCCTCTCTTCTATTCAATGCTATCAATCACATCGAGAGCAACACATGGGATGGTCGCAACGTTATCGCGGTCGCCGCTAGTCACTCTAACGTTGTCGCTATGCTCGTCGGCCCGAATGCGCCCATTGTCATCGAACGTCAGTCGTGCTTCTCCTTGATATGTTGAATGATAGCTTTACTAACACATCTCACCTCTGTAGCCGTTCGCGGCGTCTTTACTGATAGCCACCACAACAAGTCCTTCCCTTCCTCCTACTTTGCCGCCCTCCAGAAGTCATATCAATCATACGTAAAGCGTATCTCTGCCACTTTCTCCAAGGAGATTGATGTCCAGGAAGCCACTCACGCTGCTTCCCAGTTCGACTTCATGCTCACCGATCATCCTGAGCAACTTGCCGAGCTATTCCGGGTCTCTCCTTGTCTTTCAGCTGAGGACAACCAACTGCCGCTTCATCCGAGGGACTTCCAGAAGAAAGTGGTCCTTAACGGCTTCGATAAGGGTTCTATCTACGAAGGCTTGGTTTGCCTCGTTGATGCCATTCCTTCGCATGAACTCTTCGAGAAGCGTATTGCGGTCTTCTCAGAGAGCGAGAGCACTACGAACTCGTTCTTCTGTCTCCATACTGTGAGCGACACCAAGCGCATGCGCGATACGCTGAAGGCGATGGGATGTGTACGAAAAGGTATTGAATTTTAACTTAAACTTAGACAAGAGACGTTCAAATGACGACTCATCGCTAGCGCGAGCATCTGGTGGTGACGGCGAGGCCGAGATGGACGTCGATGCTCATGAGTTACTGGCTGTGGGTAGCATGTGTCAAGTTCTTTAACTTTTTAGAATTTATTCCATCTTAGAGATATCTTTTTGCTGTATTATAGATTGATTTATCTACTCACACCATGCCATACAAATTCTCGGACAGTCGTACTGTACATGTAGTCATTTTGTTCTCCAATACTAGAGTTGCCTTTTTCTACTGACCTCGAACGCTTGGCACAGCCTATAATGGTGCAACATTAAGAGAAAATATATTCGGCGACTCATCTCAACCTTCCCATTTGCAAAGTCCATCTGAGACCGCAACTACTACTACTATGCATCATGGTGAAATCCTTTTAGATCCATTACCTGTTCTCTATGTGAACATATCAGTACACACAGTACCTATTTGACTCATCGGCGCAGGACTGCCAAGCTGAAACAAAAGCATCAGTCACGTTGTATCCTCATCAAGCGTCTTTCAGTGGACTCAGGACTGTGCAGTGTGCATGTCTGATTCGGACTCGTTTACGAGCGTTGACATTGTCGCCTCTCCTCTGGCATATACGCTTTGACGTTGTAAGCCCCTGGCTATCTGGCGTATCTGTGATTCATCTGTCACTCTTCACCACTGAATCGCACACTAGTCCACCGTTGCACGGTAGCTCGTTCTGCTAAATCACATTGGACCTAAGTAGTTGCCCGAGTGCGTTCTATTTTCTTTTTGCCCTCGGCGAGCAAAACGGATCGCCTGTGTGCATTAGAACGCTCAACTTCAGCGTCCCGTAGAGTGTAGACGGTGAGTATGGCTGTATTGTATCACTTGCGTATCCATACTTATTGATCTATAACACTGGCATTCACCCTCCGGGTTTGTTCCCATGCATGACAGACTCGGTAACGGCTTTCCGACACCGAGCTCTTGTTTTGTCTGATCAGCCCGCACTACAAACGATGCTTTGGGTGTGGCATGGAGTTGCAAATTTTCCTTTCGAAGGCGTTACGTTGACGAACTGCGCGGATCCTTCATGGACGGGTCGTGTAGCTTTGCATGATGTGCTACAGCCAATACCCAACACTCTCTTCTGATAAATGGCTATTTTCAAGGTCCTAACTCATGTACAGCTCTTTATCATATGCAACCTTGTCCTGTGCTTTTGGACAAAGCCACAGCTGGGCGATATTTTGTTTTCGCTATTCCATCCCGGCGCATGTTCGGACCGCCTTTGACGTGAGTAGTTTCTCTCAGGTCTTCAAAGCTCTAGACGAGCTATGATCGGTGCGGACTGCTCTCTCCCCGAAGTCCGAGGTTATGCAAGTCTCGCCTGTGCCTCGTATGCATTCGATCTTGAATGCTCCGGCCTGTCGCAGCGTTGTTTGGACAGTCACGAGTAGCCAGGAATCGAGTTCATGTGAGTGACCCAATATACTTGTTGAAGTATATCACACACAACCATATGGATCGATGAAGGACTAGTTCAGGACGATGCGTTCGCTGTCATTATACTGACAATGGAGGATCATTTAACCTGGTAACTTCCTTTCCATGCAGAAGTAACTGCTTCTCAGATGTAATCGTGAACTGAAGACGAATTTCCAGCGGTTCCCTATGGGAAGGCGTCAAGGCCTTCGTGCAAATACAACGTAGATCTACTGCTCTATTCATAGGTTTCCCGAATCGGTGAACAGCCCTATCGACGGAACTTTCTTTTTGGTCGGCGAATAGCAGACTGCCTCGGTCTGATGAGAAAGGAGCCCGTATCCCTATCTTCAGGGACTTTTCTTCATCTACGTTTACTCACGAAGTCGTATCGCGGGATGAGAAAGGGTTTGACAGCGTCAGCCATAGAAACAGGCGTATAAAGCTGATTTCTCTCCGTTCCATTGACCTATACACATTCGCCTTTTGACAGAATGGGCGACACTCTGATGTACATCATCACGGCCCTTGCCATTATTTTCGTGTATAGATGGCGGTTTGCAAATGTGAGTTGGTTCCTCTTCCTAGCATGATGCTTCACATACTCAGACGATGGGTATAGTTATATGGCATCCCCGCCATAGGACCTTCCTTACCGGTTCTGTCGTGGTTGGGTGCTGTCCGGCTTGTATTGCATGGCCGAGATATGCTTCAAGAAGGTTATCAGAAGGTACCTTGTTGTCTTGTGGTATGGTTTTTGCAGCGCATTGACGATATGAGCTACACAGTACAAGGGCGGTACGTTCAAGGTTGCAATGCCTGACCGCTGGATAGTGTTTGTCAGCGGAGAAACTATGGAAGAGGTTCGAAAAATGCCAGACGAGCAAATGTCCTTCTTTGGCGCTATCCAAGATGTTAGCATTGTTTATCCTGCCTCTCTTGCTCAGTGCCGAAATTGACATACTGGCAGATGCTGCAAGTTGAATACACTTTCGGCCACGAAGTCGCCAAGGATCCCTTCCACCATGAGCTCATACGTAATCAACTCACTCGCAACTTGACAAACTTATTCCCGGATGTGCACGACGAAATTACAGTGGCATTCAACGATTTGATCCCCATGTCTACTACAGATGGTAAGAACTCCATTCAGGACATATGACCCAGGATTCAACTGATCTATCTCACAGAGTGGACTACCGTTAACGCATTTCCGATCATGCAAAGGATTATCGCTCGTGTGACGAGTCGCGTCTTCGTAGGCCTTCCCTTATGTTCGTTCATCCCTGTCATTTTGCCCCGAATCTACACTAAACATTGGTTAGGTCGTTACGATCCTTACGTTGACTTGGCCACCCGGCATACACTCGAGATCACCAAGATCAGAGCAATGCTGACCTTCTTCCCCCGACCGCTCAAACCGTACGGCCATCACAAATATTCTATATAATTTTTATTGAGCAATTTATTTCATCTAGGATCGCTTTGAAGCTTTTCAACAAAACCCACGGAAATCTCCAGCTCGCGAAACAATACCTTGGACCTACTATTGAAGAACGTCTAAGTAAAATGCGCAAGTATGGAAACGATTGGACCGATAGACCAGTACGTCAATCAGACTTGGATGAGTAATTATTGACCGAATCGCCATTCAGAGAGACATGCTTCAATGGGTGATTGAAGAAGCTACGTCCAAGGGTGGAGGTATCGAAGGCATTGTTCAAATTATTCTTGCGACCAACTTCGCTGCCATCCACACGACTTCAAACGTAAGCACCATACGGCTATGCGTGCGAACGATTCAATACTGATTACGCCGCAACAGAGCCTCACTCATGCTCTGTATCAACTTGCCGCCAACCCACAGTACGTCAAGCCGCTACGGGACGAGATAGAGTCGGTACTCAAGGAGGAAGGCTGGTCGAAAAACGCAATGAATAAAATGCGGAAACTCGACAGTTTTATTCGAGAATCTCAACGGGTGCACGGGATCAGTGGTAGTGAGTCCCAGCAGCAGAATTATTGTTACTTTGCTCTAATATATCAAACAGTTTCCTTCCTTCGAAGGGCAGTCACTGACGTTACACTGTCCAACGGATCGTTCATCCCTGCCGGAACCATTCTCATGGCGCCTTCGGTTTGCACGCACATGGATAGCGAGAATTATGATGACCCTAGTGTTTTCAAGCCTTGGCGATTCTCTGAGATGAGAGAGGGTGAAGGAGAAAGCACAAAGTACCAATTTGTCAGTACTTCTACCAGCTATATCCCATTCGGCCACGGCAAGCATGCATGGTAAGCATTAGCTTTACCGTCCTTCTCGTCCTGCACGCGTCCTACTGATTTTTTTCTCTCAGCCCTGGGAGGTTCTTTGCCGCGAACGAGATTAAAGGCATTCTGGCTCACACCGTCATGGACTACGATATCAAGTTTGAGAATGAAGGCGTCCGCCCGGATAATGTCTGGCTCTCCATCCAGGTGCTGCCATCTCCAACGGCGCAAGTTCTCTTTAGGAAACGAAGAGACTAGCATAATATTTCTTATCGCACTAGTGCTATCACATTTCTACTTGGCAGAACAAGTCTTCTAACTTTCTCGCCTCTGTTATTATTCATTGGAACTGGATGTCCTTCTTGTATATCATGAAACTGTAAAATATTAGATGCATTCTATCAACGGTATTCCGAGGAGGGAGCCTAACATCAATAACGAGGTCGATTCTCAAATGAAGATTTTTACTGAAGCGGCCACACTTGTCTGGAAGCTGTTTCAAGATACCCTTCGACTATTGTGTACAAATTGCCAAGGATCCTTGGCTTTGAGGGTTCATGTAAACTCATGTGTATGTAAGTACAAACGATAAGGGGCATCACAAACCATTAATGCGATGCACGCTTTCACCAATGGTGTACTCATCATATCGCATACATCAAAGGGATTTATTCAAATGTTCAGGTTGACCCGAAATCCGACCTCATCCCCTCTGCTAGGCTCCTAGGATCCACAACCCACAGTGCGCCAACTTCCGGACGTACTGCATCAGCATCGACAACTTCGCCCTGAACACGTTCCCATATCGTTCTCCGGGCCTTCATCTCTTTCAACATGGCCCTAACGCTCGTCTTATTGGCAGTGAGTGTTGTCCACCCTTTCACCGCACCCCAAAGCATGCTTTGGACAGTATGAGCTGTCAGACGGGGGTTCGCCTTCATCACAGTCGCACGTTGGATTTCTCCGTCAGGGTCCTCGTCGCCACCAACGTCACCAACGTCACTGTCGTCTTTAGTTTTGAGTTCCTCATTGTTGACATCTTTCTCCGATATGTCAGCGGGAAACTCACGAGGTGTACGTGGGTCAGGAATAGTTTCTTGCGCCAAGATATCCCTACAGGTCGCAGCCAAGGCGGCGAAGAAAGGTGACAATGGCTGTCCGTGTTCGTCATGGGTCGGAGGTTCGACAGTACCATCAGGTTCCGGCGACGGGAGTATTCGAATTGGCAATAGAGAGATGAATCCTCGAGGGTAGCGTGAGCCACTCCAATATGCTTCTTCGATTTCCTGCGAGGATCTGGAATGCTCAGGGAACAGAGCCTGCGCGCGGCGCTTTTCGCTGGGACCTCCGATTTTCGATACAATCTTGAGGCACCGGTCTCGGGCTTCTGGTGTAGTCCAAAACTCCACAGCAGCATTCGTCGAAGACGTATTCCCATTCTCTTTGGAAGTGCGCCTTAACTGAGCGAGTCTATCATGCATCTCCTGGAACAACCCCTTAACCATCTCCTGTATGGCTTGATTCGATAGTGCTCTAGAAGGTCGTGCTATGTCTTCTATGGTTGACTTTGGGTCGTACAGACTAAGTCGGGTTTTCTTCCATGATAGGTATTGTGCAGAGGGTGTGAATCGTTTTTCGGCCTCTTCAGGCGATTTGGGAAGGGGTGAATGTGGAATATCGGATACAAGTGCAATAAGGATGGAGAGATCGAGATTGATGCTATTCGAAGGCTGTAGGCATCGAGGGGGTGGAGGTTTGTATCGCTCTTGAAATCGAGATACCTCAACTTCGTCCCTCTCGCCCAACCGTACTTCAATCCTCATCGAACGCAGTATGTCTAGTGTCTGAGATATTCGAGGGTCGTACTCCTTCTCATTCGAAGGAGTGGGGTCCAGTCGTGTAAGTTGCATTGTAACAGCTGGTATCTGGTCTGTGCCAGATACTGGGTTCTCCTTCGCCGCCTTCAACAGCGAACGACCCATTCGGAGAACCGAGTTGTCAAACTCGGTCTGTGCCAGAGTTGGTGGAGAGTCCGATGAAGGTTCGTCTTCGTCTTCGGAATCTGTCAAGTAAGAATCGATCTCTCGAAATTCTGCCAATATACGAGAATTCTTGATCCTATTAATGGGATGATTAGCAGAACGTCCGCAAAGGAGAGATGGTGAACGAACGTATTCACTCGAATCCACCGCTTTCCTCCATCCGCCACAACATCTACCTTTACACCATCCTCTCTAGGCTGACCACGTCGACGAGGACGGATGGTTTTGCCACTTTCAGAAAATGTGTTCCAGATTCCGATTACTGGCTGAGGTGCTAGCAAGACTTCATTCCATACAGATAGGAGGTATGGCGCATTGGTCGAGAGAGCGGGTTGAGTAACACAACTCGGCTCATTGAGAAACTACTAAATATATGCGTATTAACATGATATAATAATGAATACCTTTTGATAGCCAGCATGCGGGTCCGATGAGAGGACTGTTGCTCACCTTTTCCAAGACGTCAAGGTCTCGTCTGACTGCATCCCGCAAGGAACGCAAGCCGTACACGCTGTCCTGGCTTTGTTTTTCTTCATCTCCTGAAGAGTCTATAGACGCATCTATGATAGGTGGCTTTACTATTCCGGATCCAAACAGAGGAATGGCCTGTAGAATGGCTCGCAGTCTTTGTCTCTGTATTTGCAATTCTGGATGTGGAAGCGATTGAGCCTCCGAAGAATGGTTGAGCCCCATGGTAAACAACGTTAGATATCCAAGTAGTAACAAGTTTCTACTCCTGGGTTTGATGCATATAATAATGCCACTGGAAGCTAACGAGCTTCGATAATTCCTAGGATGATGAAAGTGGACTAGAGGAAAGCGGACTAGTGCAAAGGCGCCCAACATACGGATGCTTTCACCAATTTCACTGTGATCGGGTTTCGCTTACCGCTATTCCGTGCTTGAACAATAAGAAAGACGAGTAGTCGATTAGCCAATTTCACTGTGATCGGGTTTGCGCCAATCTCTATGCGATAATTACACACACTGCATTGCCAGGTTCGATATCATGTAAATACATAGTGAAAGAATACACCCATGATACAATCTAGTACGACTTCTAGACACCAAACACATCTGTCCAAAAGCTTACGCTTGTTTTCGTTGGAAGTTCTTGGGCAATTCCTTGACCCACGGCAAGAAATCACGCCCGCCCATGTATGGTCTGAGGACTTCGGGAATGATGAGACCCTGTCAAAGTATTTCAATAAGAACAAGTCAGTTATTCCATACGTGCCGTTGTCAGATAATTAGACACAGACCTCTGGCGTTTGATAGTTCTCAGCGATACAACACATCGCACGGCTGGTAGCGCAAAGCGTGCCGTTGAGCATATGGACGTAGACTTTGCGAGTCTGTTCTTTGGTCTTGAGACCACATCGGACCTCTAGTCTTCGGCTCTCTGTGCGTTCCAATCAGACAAGCAAGTGTGTATGGGGTGATCGAAAACACTTACGGTAATCCGTGCAATTAGAACAAGACACCAACTCCTTATATGCGCCCTGGAAGGGGAACCAAGCTTCCAGATCGTACTTCTGACTGGCCGCCAAATTCAGTGCACCCGAGACGATTGCCACAACACGATACGGCAACCCTAAAGTTTTATAAAATTCCTCGCTGTTGCCAATCATCGTATCGAACATTTCCCAGCTCTTCTCTGGCTCCGTAAGGCAAAATTGCTCGACTTTTTCGAATTGATGTACTCGGAAGATTCCCCACATGTCACGACCTGCGGAACCAGCCTCCTTACGGAAACAAGTGGAGAAGCCAGCATATTGGATGGGCAGTTGGGTCTCGGGCGAGTCGAACCATTCGTCAGAATGGTATGCAGAGATGGGTTGTTCGGAGGTGGCGATAAGGTATTTTTCATCGTCATCTGCGAAGACCTATGAATATATTAAGCCAGTGTCCTACAGTATTAATCAGACTTTGCGTATATACCTTGTAGAGTTCCTCATCAAACTGATCCAATTGTGCAGTCTTGGCCATAACGTCCTTGTTCATCATGAATGGTGGCTGGATCTTCTTGAACCCTCGTTTTCTGAGGAAGTCAAGGCCATAACTGATCAAGGCTTGGTTGAGATCGAGACCATCGTTGGTAAGATAGTATCCTCGGTGACCAGCGTTCTTTGCACCTATATGTAAGGAACGTTGAGAAAGATATTAGCAGAATGGCGCAGAGGAAAGTATACCTCGTTCAAGATCCATCGCGTCTAACCTGAGGAGAGCTTCATGGTGGGGTAGGATATCTGTCCTTTTCTCGACGACAATGCTATCGCCTTCAGGATGCCATGTTCGGACAGTGACATTGTCGTCCTATTATTGATCGTGTGAGCCTGAGGACGGGGAGATGAGCATTTAGATGATATGCACACCTCAGTCAAGCTGACGGGAACGTTCTTTCCAACGAGATTGCCAACAGTCGAGGCCTTCTGCCTCATTTTCGCTTCGAGTTCCTTCGATTCTGCTCGCTTGGCAGCAACTTGTGCATCAATTTCTTTCTTCTTTGCTACAAGCTCGTCTGCATTCTCTTTCGCCTACTCCACAAATTTCTAAATCAACATCAAGCATCAATGGACTACCATATCGCAGGGTACACACCTTCTTCTTTGCAGCAATTTGTTTCTGCACGGCATTCACTTGTTTGCTCAAGGTACTAGCCTCAAAGTCCACTGTATATTAATGCAGATTCAGTCAGGCAACATGTTCGACAAATACGCCACAATGCGTACTCTTAACCCAGTCCGTGTACATTTGAATCACCTCATCCACCAACTCGACCGACAAGCCTCTCTTCCTCTGAGACTCTCGAATCTCCTCCGCATTCCCGCCTTTGTTGTCTATAAATTGGAGTACATCTAGCGTCATGTTTGTGTCGCGTTTTGTGCCAGCTGTACGATGATGAGGGTATGAGTCAAAGATCTATAGCTGGCAGAGAAGCTGGTACTTTTATTGAACTGACTTCGAGTTTTGCATTTTCAGAGTCATCGATGGTGATCTTGACCTCGATCGGTGAATCGTTATCTTATCTACCTATACCCGAAAAAGTTCCGCTAATGAAGAATTCTATTAAACGTTTCATAAGTTCACTTCAAGCTCTTCATACCGATGTAGAGACACACTCTTGGTATTATTATGGTATTTTCGCGACATTTTACCTCTGCTTATAAGTCGTTGGGGGAAGTGAGCAAGGACCTCGGAGTTTGAAAGTGATCACATTGTAGCTTGAGGATAGCCAAACACGATCAAACTGAATCTCTTGCTCGGTCGCGTCGCGCTCTAATTGACAGCACCCCCCGTACACGCTCACCACCATGTACAAGCTCATCCGTCGTATATCCAGTTCGTTCTTCCCCCGGCCAGACAGACCATGGAGCGAGGATGGTATGCTCTAATATATAGTAGTTGTGCGTTAACTGAAGATTACCTCAATTCCAGCTACGTCCACGGCCCCAGTCATTGGGCGCAAACGTCGGAATAGTTCCATAGAGCCTGATGAGTCTGATGAGCGTGCTGTGTTCAAGCGAAACCGCACCGATTCTGCGGATGTCGAGGAAGGTCCCTCATCCAGTCCTCAAAGAGAGGAGTCGCCGTCGAAGGATGGCGAAGGTGTGAAGGAGGTCACTGAGGGGGTGCGGGAAGTGGAAATTGATGATAAGAAGGATACCCCAGAAGTTCCTGCAGAAGCTGCCGCTTCTGTCCCTCTTCCAGAGTCGCCTGAACTTAAGGCGCAGAAGGAGCCCAGCGAGGAGAAGGATGTTCCGGAAGTAGCTGCGGAGAAGGCTACCTCGCAGAGCGCTGAAGCGGATACGGAGAATATTACCGAGGTGGCATCGCAGGAAGCCCCCAAGTTCAACGGTATACACCTAGACAAAGACGATACCCCTGCTGTCGTGGCTGACAGCTCAGCAGAGCCCGAGCTTGTCACCACTGTCGAGGAGAAAGAAGCTTCTCAGGTAGCAACCACGAAGAAGATCGATGTCGTACAAGACGCTTCACAGGAAGGGGAGGTTCACGCATCATAATGACATATATCTATACCCTGCTATCATCCATTCACTAACTTCTATCTATCAACATCCCCGGTTATCTATCCTTACACGTATTTTGCTTTCTCGCTGAAGATTGTATGTTTTGATTTAGTGTAATGTCACATTGTCATATATCCATTCCCTGCACGCTCATTTTACTTTTTTTCGGCATTCTTGCATTGTTTTCGAATCTTCAGTTGTCCCTCTCATTCAGACGTCCCACAAGTATTCCCCCACTTTTTTGTTCATTGTATTTTGATAACCCCGTCTTGTATCTTACCACTCATGTATAGGTAAGCTCGCATGTTTCTACTATGGTGATAGATGTTTGATTCTCGCCCTACAGACCTTTCTTCCCAATATCACCTTCGGGCCAGCAAGGCGTCGGATGGGTCGGACACATTCGGGCTTCCCGAAGGGGCAAGTCAGTATGATGAACACCACGCGCACGAGTGCTTCAATACATCACCTCGACTCAACCAGCATGTTTTCCTTCAGGTAAATTCTCGCCTCGCATTCTTCATAGCGCGTGTACCTGTGCTCACAGGCTTGTGATATCTCTCTTCAGATTAGACTCTCTTGACTTCGCAACCCATCATAGATCCATACCGATCACTGTGCTCATTCGAACTGACTATTCCAACCATATTGACGTTCTTTCAAGCACCACGAAGGTTCCAGCGCGAGCTTGACGGAACCGGGCTTTCATTTTGTTGGTCCTCGGTCTGTTTTATCGTCTGAAGGGAGGATGGCTTCCATTGCACGCGTGTACTCCACACTAATGCTTAGTACCCCCTTCGTGCGTGGACTACCGCTTGCACTTGTACCATCCAAACCTGCAAGCCCCTCTCTTTCGTTCTGCGCCGGATCTCCCTTTGACCCAAACTTGCATCCCTTGCACCATCCACCGTCTCTCTTGGCTACTCAGGGCAGGCCCACATTTCATCAACCCTTACAACCATACGTCAACCGCAAAGACTTGAACTCCTGTAAACGTCATGTATAGCTGGCTATCTCGTATATTTCAGGCAGGTCCTGATGACTCCGATAATGCACTTACAATCCCGGAAGAGGGTAGAGCTCCTGCGCAGATGGATCTCGATACTGCTCAAAGCACCAACGGTTCAAGAGGCCTGGATAGAAAACCTTCATCCATAACCTTGGAACGCGTACGAAGCAATGGTCCGTCCCATGTCGCTTGGCTTCCTTCTCCCAATTATTCTGGTTCGGGATCCCTCACACCACGGCCTTGGGGGAGACAACCGAATGGATCTCCCTTGCCATCTCCTTCTCTATCTCAAGATTCACCCACTCCGTCGAGGTCAGGATACTTCGCTCCTCGAACTCCTACAGCTCGGAGAGTGAGTTCGGAATCGTTGCGCCTGCAATCCGTCCACTTGTCAGAGACTTCAGACGCGAGTAGTATCTCGTCTGCCCGGCAGCGCAAGATGCTTTCCCCTATTGAGGAACAAGAACAAGAACAGCACGTTCCGACAGTCCATTTTCCATCATCAACGAGAAGACCTTCTTTAGACTCATTTCCCAGGACTCCGGACTCAGGTTGTAAGTCTTTCTTCATATCACACTTCTAACACTTCCTCTTCATTCGCTCGCCTTTATCTGGAAGAACGTCTAACTAAAATGTGATTCGCACGACTTTTAGCACACCCTGCCTTCCTTACACGACCACTCAATAGAACCACAAGCCAGTCCTCCACCAGCACCTTGCTCTCTACTATTTCAGTAGCAGCACCCTCGATACCTCCGCTGGACCTTCGTCCGCCATTTCCAGGCGGCACCCTCCACATACCCCCACGCAAATCCCACCTGGCCCCTCCCTCACTTCCAACCGTAGTGGGTAGCCCTCATTCGCATGTATCGGTGATATACGAGGGCAAAGCGAATGCAGGTCAGATGAGCGTGTCTAGTTTCCAGACTGCTCAGTCGGATTCTGCCATCATGGTCGACGAAAGCGATATCACTGAGAACCGTCTTCATCTATTTGACCGGGACACCGAGAGGGATGAGGAGGAGGATGGAAGGTTTAGGGATTCATTGGGTTTGAGAGAAACGTATGTTTCTACGGATTTGGATACGGAGAGCAACAGTAGTATGACTCCTACGCAGGATGAGCGGTATCCGGCTTATCCTGAGGGGTTGTATGAAGTCGACCTTGGTGGTGATTCGCCCTTGACCAGAAGTAGGAATATCAGCCCGTTTGACGATCCTGATGCACATATTCTCGAGCATCATCGTCTCGAACAACTCCGACAGATACACCACGGCGACCAACCCATCCAACAGCACCATCGAACCCCGGACATCCCTAGCAATGCTTCCCATCGTACCTTCGCCACTTCCTCATCTACCACTCGAGTCGAATTCGCCATTCACAGTCGATGGTTGAAAACTGCGCAATGGGGTGCCCATCCATTCACCTGTCCTAAAGGTCCGAAGCAGAGGAAGGTCACTTCTGCCTTTGTACTTTTCTGGATAGGTTTCCTAGCTCCTTGGTGTTGGCTCATTGGCGGTTGGTACCTCTCGAGAAGTGGAGAAATGCTACCCGACAAGAAAGATCCTTACAAGGTCCATTGGCCATGGTCAAAGGAGGATGTACATACCGGATCTGGTGGAAATGGGAACGTACAAGAGAAGGGTACAGGTGGACAGGCACAGGCAAACGGCGGAGTTGGGGAAAAGTTAAAGTCATTCTGGCATCATCACATAGCCTCTCATTCGCGAGAGACGTTACCCATGTCAACGAAGGATATCCCCAAACATTCTCGGCCTCACCTACGAACTAAACATCAGTCGCAGAAGACTGCTGGCTACATTGATCCGTGGGTCCATTATTGTAGGGTTGCAGCAGTCATCAGTGGAACGCTTTTGTGCGTCGCCTTGATCGTCGCATTGGTTGTTGTATCTGCTTTTCGTACGTGATCTATTATGTGGTATATATGACTCTCAGTAGAGTCTCAATTATACTTAAGCTTAATATTCGATGTATACACGCTTAGAGATACCAGTGATTCAGAGCCACGGATAAGAAACTTCGGGTTATTGTGTTTAATTTATTATAAGGAAACAAAATGAGACAGGATATATAGATATACTGATACAGATACAGCTAAATAGATAGGTACATCCCACAATCCGTCCATGGAAAATCAATGCAGTACAAAGCGAGTTAGTTGATTACGTGCTGAATGGTGGTTTATACTAGTCAGTGAGCTCGAAGTATGTGCGGAACATGGATTCGCTCTGTAGCGAAGATGCAGCAATGACAGCATGAACATGCAGGAACAAACGAGGAAAGCGACGAGTGAAGTACGACAGGAAACCTTCAGGCATAGGCCCCACTTGCCGCTTCACGTTATCCGGAAGGTCTTGGTAATGGTGTTTCTGTGAATAGAAAAGTTCATAAGCTTACGCATCAAATAGCGTGTAAGTGGGAACATGCGAACAACGCACCTTGTTTCGAAGCGCACGCAGGAGGTCCTGAACCGACTTGCCGTCGTATTTCCTGAACTTGCCCAAATTCTCGATGAAGAACCTGTCCAGTCGTGCGTTCCAATCCGCACCAACCACTTCAAAGGCACCTTTCTCCAACTCGATGAGGTTCGGATCCCGAGGATCTCGACACATGATCTCAAATCGGTCAGAGGCGTCTTGCAGGAAGTTCAGACGCTTCCCTGGATCCCAGAAGTACGGGTGAAGTAAACATGTAGCGGTGTCAGGTCTGTAGAGAGACACCATGAGCATGCGACGACATGGCATTGGCTGTCAATGTGGCTTACCGACGAGTCGCGTCAGGATTCAGCATCTTCTCGATCAAGTCAACTGCTTCCGAGCCCTCCTCACCAAAACTCTCCAGCCCTTCTAAGCGCTTTGCATTCTTCATGATGTTGCTTTCCCTCTCAAACCGGTCTCCGAATGGGTGTCCGCCATTCGTGAGCACATAATAGAACAAACACCCCAAGGCAAATATGTCAACCGCCTTGGTTAGCCTCGTCGGTCGACCTGAAGTGGTTGTGCTACCATCCGAAGCGGCACCTATGCTACCACGAGAAGACATGGACTCTTCACCAGACTCATCCAGCTTCACCTCGCCACGCAAGATCTCCGGTGCACGCCAGCCAACCGTCCCAGCAGCCATGGCACCATGAGCTGTTGGTAGGAAGCTGGTCTGATCTACCTCGAGCTTCTTGCAAAGTCCAAAATCGGATATGAGCATGCGATGACCTGCACTTTCGCCTACACCCTTCTTGGCATGCGAGATGAGAATGTTCTGAGGCTTTATGTCTCGATGAACGATTTTGAGGGCATGTAAATGTCGAAGCCCTGAAGTGATTTGGCGTAGAGCACGTTTGGGGTCGAACGAATTGGAGATATCGCGGAATTGGTCTGGACGCTCGATCACGTCTGCGAGGGACGCAGGACAGAGTTCGAGAGCGATGTAAAGGAAGTTGGCGTGGTGTTCTTGGTAGTAGTACCGGATGACATTCGGATGGTCGTCAGATTCTTGAAGTACGTTCACTTCACGAGCAGCGAGGGTGACAAAGTCCTGCAATAATCGCTTCACTGCGACGGCTCTGCCTTGTAGTGAGCCCTTGAATACTACTGTACCGTGAGAACCGAAGCCTAGGATGTATAGCGTTAAACAACTACCTCGGAATCTGAATACAAGCACTTACCAAGAACAGAATCTGACACCACCAATGACGGAGCGACAGGTTTTGGCATCTGGGGCGAGACAACGATCGCGGAAGGCGACACGACGGGCACGACATCCTCGGCTTTCTCGACCTCACCATTAGGCTCGGGCGTCTTTTCTTCCCTCTCCTCCGAAACAGCTTCGTCCTTTACAAGATTGACAGCACCCGGTTTCTTCTTCTTCCCTCTCTTCCTTCTAGGGGTCTTCCGTCTGCCTGGAGTAGCAGGCGCATCTCCATCACTCTCGTCTCCTTCCACAGCGTTCTCTCCTGCGTCTTCAGCTTCAGGCAACGGCTTGGGCGTAGGTAATGGAGACTCTGCTGTATCTGAGAAAACAACTCTGCGTGGGGTAGGTGTCTCGGGGCGGAGGTCGATTGGAACGGGTATAGATGGTGTGATTTCCACAGCTGTGGATATTGCGATGGTATCATTGTTTGCAGAAGATGGGGTATCACCGTTGCTGAGGCTACTTGAGCGCCCTTTCTCTGTAGACGCGTGTCCGTTCTGCGCTGGTGTAGCAGCGGGTGTGCCATTGGGTATGATTCTAGTCGGTGATCGCCTCTTCAGCCCAAGCCACGCTAGTGCAGAGAGTATTGTTAAGCAAAAAATAGCGAAGATAGAGAAGGTTTGTGTCGTTGAGCCTAAGTAACTTGCAGGGTTAGAACCGGGGAGGTTTGCGGCACTATCATGAGGGAAGATTGAGGCGTTGCCAACAGAGGTCGAGATACTTTCGGCGACTTCGTCAACCGAATGACCATTCGCACTGTTGTAGTGATGGTAAGGTGGGTAGGGAACCGATGGGGCGCCATCCAAAAGTCGACTAAGTCTCGAAGACTCCAATCGCTTGATGCCAGTCAAACACCTAGGGTCCCTTCCGCCATTCGCACAAATCTGCCTCAATTTCGCCCTCTTAGCAACAGAGTCGATATCCGCGGGTAAATCCCTATCTGAGTCCAACTCCCATTGCACGTCTGGTGGAGGATCGATACTCCTTCCTACACGGAAGTCGTCCTGTTGATTGGTGTCACCAAAGATGACAAGTGGATACCGGTCGGGAGACATAGCATATAACGAGCCAGTTTCCTCTACTAGACCTACATAAGCAGATTCTAGGTTGGGAAGACGGTTTTGCTTAGCTGCTGCGGTTAGTTCGGCGCTTGGTAGGATGTCCTCAAGACGGGGTCGGGGTTGAAGGAGGACAAAGGGATGTTCCCGAGTTGGCGTGCGAAGAACATCAAAGACAGCGACGCTGTGTGGATTATTCAATGTCGAACTGGTGCGTAGGCACACAACACTTACATTGGGCTGGGGAAAGGATGTGCCCATAGCGGTTGGGCATGCGACGGAACGTCAGATTCTGCAGGACCAACATTGGCTCGGAAGGAGATAACCTTCCCGTTTGGCATAGGTTCGATGTACATGTCGTCTGCAGTTCTTCGGTACAACGCTTGCAATCCATTGTCCTGGTTATTTGGTCCATAGGTGGAGAACGACAATTTCTGTACGGGAATCCTGTTCGGTGACGATGATGAAGGTCGAGTGCGGATGGAAATATGATAATCTGTAATAACAATGTAGGCATCATTCGTTCATGAAATAAGCTTTGCTTTACCTGTACGGCCAATGAACACTTCTGTTGGTTTAGACATGTCTTTGACTGGCTTTGAACCTTCCAATTCGTCCAAATCCAGATCATCTATAATAGAGGTCTCCGCAGCTAAGTCCTCAAAGGGGTCCCAAGGGCATTCAGAGTCTAGGGTTGCCTTCACTTTCCCCGTCTCAAGTTCAATAAGTAATAGTGAAGTCTCTTTCTTCCCCACGAAGACCCTGTTATCCGCTTCTCCAGAGAAACTGAAGGGGGACATATCCACAAGTTGTGGCATGGTGAAGGGTAACCGCTGGAGCGGAGCATCAGGTGCAGACATGACATAGATTTCCCCCGACTGTGGCTCAATCACATACACTTCCTGGTCCGCCGAGTTATCATCGGTAAGGTCAGGGTCTATCGGAGGATGTTGTGTGCGTATAAGAGGTCCCAATGTGGCAGGAACCTCGCCAATAAAACTCGAGGACATAGACCAGAGAGCATCGCCAGAAGTCCTATTGAGCGCATGCAGCTTCCCATCGACCGAAGCAACCAGTACAATATCCAGCAAGTCCGTCTGCTGCTCTTGACCAGCCCTAGTCCTGAAGCTATATCCTGAATCACGACGAACTCGAGTTGAGAGATCGGTTATGCGGTTTCCGATGTCATTCTTTGCGCCTTGTAAAGAGACGGCTTGTACTACAAGGCATAGTCCTGCAAGGGAGAAGATAGCGGAGAGAGTAGAGAATGTGGCCATGAATATTTCATCTCTTCATGGAGGTTTATGAGAACGCTGCGAGATAGGTTAGAGTCGAGACTCGACTTGCAGTGCACGCTCGAGCGGCCACGATGGCTGGGAAACTCCATGTGGACATACCGACGAATTTCCAGAACAGGCCTCGGGGGTTCGTACGGTTCCGGGGTCCCGATCATCCTAAAAGTCAATATTCATTCTGCCTGCCTTCTTCAATATTGCTTGTAGCCCTTAGCTGCCAGGCCTACAGGTCGCCCAAAATGCCTGACATCAATGTCGGTGCTCAAATATTCGACCTTGTCTTCCACCCGAGTCATTCCACCGTCTACACCGGTTTGCTTACCGGAGAAGTCAAAGCATTCACTTACGACGAGCAAGGAAACCATGAAAACAAGTTCTCCATCCGTCCCTCCAAGAAGTCATGTCGTGGTCTTACCATGAGTGAGAGTGGAGACAAACTCTGGGCGGTAGGGAAAGGAAAGGCATTGTAGTGCGTACTCCAAGTAACGTATCTTTGAATGACTGTCTCAACGTGACTATGAAGCACCATCGACACGGCAACTGGAGAGATATCCGAGACTCGGAAGGCCGCCCACGAGTGGGTCTCTATATTCCAGTGTTATGCTATTTTATTGATTTAGACTTTTCCTGGAAGTGTAGCCATAAACCGGGTGAAGCGTCTTACGCCGAATTTATTATCCACTGGAGACGATGACGGCGTAGTAAAGGTATGCTATCCCGCTTTAGCTCTACATCCGACTTGCAAATGAAAATATCATAGCTGTGGGACCCTAGGAAACCGGACGCCGTCCGTACCTACACCCATCATTTCGATTTCATTTCAGACTTCCTGTGGCTGGAAGACAAGAAGCATCTCGTCTGTACGAGGTATATTCGCTTTATTGCTTTATTGTATTATTCCTGCATGTACTGACTTTGTGCAGCGGAGATGGAACATTATCTGTGCTTGACGTGCGCTCAAAACGTACAGATCCTTTCGCACAATCGGAGGACCAGGAAGATGAGCTGCTTTCAGTCGTAGCAATCAAAGGGTACGTCGTATACGTATGTATACTCAATATGCTCCTGAAATAAGCCATTAGTGGTCAGAAGCTTGTCGTTGGTACACAGCTAGGCATTCTCTCCATCTTTAATCGGAAGAGTGGTTACGGTGATTGTGTCGATCGAATACCAGGGTACGTACCATCTTCGAGCTCAACTACGCACTCTTGAACTTACCTTCGTACCAGACATCCGCACTCGGTCGACGCTCTGTGTAATCTCCCTTCATCCTATCCTTCTGCTCATTCGACAATACTCACCGGATCGTCCGACGGTCTTCTCCGTGCCGTACAACTCCTCCCAACCAAACTTCTCGGTGTAGTTGCGGACCATGGCGAGTTCCCCATTGAACGTATCGCAGTGGATCTCGGTGGTGAAGGTCGATGGGTTGGGAGCGCTGGACATGAGGAGGTATTGAAACTGACAGACCTGCGGGAAGTGTTCGAGGATGAAGACAAGGATAGTGATGCGGAGGAAGATGGGAAGGATGAAGCCGAGGAGGAGGTAGAAGGTCAAGATGGAAGCAAGGAGAATAGTGAAGTTGAGGCTACGAAGGTGAAAGCTAGTGAGGGGAAGGCTCAAAACCAAGATTCAGACACGGACTCGGATTCGGACGATGAGGAGGGAGACGGGATTGGTGAAACGGAGAAGGACTCGGACAAAGAAGATAAGGATTCGGCCGACGAGCAGGAACAAGACTCAAGCGACGAGGAGGTTCAGACTTCCAGGAAACGGAAGAAGAAGAAAGAGCAGGATCCTTTCCAAATAGCAAAACGAAAGAAGGGTCGGAACGAGATTGATGCTGAGCCATCTTTCTTTGCTGACCTCTAGGGTAAATTTCATACAACATCTCAATGTTGTAGACCGTACCTTTGCTTGTTGAAATATTCCGTATCTTTGCTATCGAAATACTTTACTTTGGAGATACTCTACAAAGTTCAGCCTGCTTGGATTGTGGCGTTTCATTATTCGTGCATGACTCGGTGCGGATCATATACATAGCTCGGCGCGAACACCTCTTCAATGGCATCCTCAGTTGTTGTACCACTTCTGTCCACTACATTCGCTATTTGGACGTGCCTTCCCGTTCCAAATAGCTAACTAACCCTCCAGCTTCGATACCCCTTACTTGTACAGTTATCAACATGCTCTCCAGGAGGACCCTCACAGTCGTCCATAAAGCGAGTTCACGCGCACTATCCACCCGCGCCTCTACTATCCTCCAAGCATTGGACATTCCGACCTCCAATGAAATACCTGGAGTGTACGACGGGACGTGGAAGGGCGAGGGTGAACTGTTTGAAAGCCTGTGTCCAACCACTGGCGAGGTGTTAGCCAGGGTGCGATCGGTACGTACGTTACCCCGCATTCCTGAAGCTCTGCCTCCAACGTGAATACGTGTATGTACGTGGTATAAGAATCTGACGACAATATATACTGTAGGCATCACCTCAGGAACTCCAGCTTGCTTTGGAGAAGTCCAAAGAAGCGTATAAGTTCATTAGGTCTGTACCTGCTCCTCGGAGAGGCGAACTCGTTCGGCAGATTCGAGAAGCGTTAGCTGCAAAAGTGCGTTTCTTTCGTTCAGCGATGGTTCCTCTTATTCAATCCCCTATCTCTGTTAGCGAGATGAACTTGGAGCTCTCGTATCTCTCGAGATGGGCAAGATCAGGACAGAAGGCGTAGGCGAGGTTCAAGAGTTCATTGACATTGTGAGATATACACATATATATATATCTGTATACCTTGTGGGATGTTCATTAGGCTGACATACGAGCGATTAGGCAGACTACGCTGTTGGGCTTTCGAGAATAATGAATGGTCGGGTCGTTGCATCTGAACGACCCGGGCACAGTATTCTTGAAGGTATACATAGAGTATTTATACTAAGTATACTATGCGGAAGCTGATTTTGTCTCTGTAGTCCCAAACCCCCTCGGAGTAGTTGCTGTACTCTCCGCGTTCAATTTCCCTGTAGCAGTCTACGGATGGTATAGAACCCCACCTTAAGGTTAATTCCTCTTCCTAACATACTTACTTTCCGCAGGAACCTGGCGCTCTCCCTTGCGGCAGGCAATGCCACCCTCTGGAAGCCAGCACCAAGTACGCCGCTCTGTTCTATCGCAGTCATCAAGATTATAGCAAGCGTTCTTGAGAAGAACGGTATCCCAGGCGCCGTTGCGGGACTTGTGACTGGCGGGAAGGATATTGGACAAGCAGTAGTTCAGAGTCAGGATGTTGACATGGGTGAGTTCTTGGGTCCGGTTGTCAATACGTCGTATAGCGGGTTGACGTGATGGGATGACCAGTCTCTTTCACGGGTAGTGAAGCGGTCGGACGAGATGTCGGCAAAGTCGTCCAGTCTCGGTTTGGCAAAGTCCTGCTAGAGCTTGGAGGCAACAATGGTCTGTTAAATCATCCATATATATCCTGAAAGCTCATGCCAATATGCTGCTCTAGCTTCGATTGTTATGCCTGATGCAGATCTATCCCTCGCGGTTCCCGCCGTTTTCTTCGGCGCAGTCGGAACAGCAGGTCAACGTTGCACTTCCACCCGTCGCCTGTACCTCCATCGCTCGATTGCTCCTACCTTTCTTTCAAAGCTCCAATCTCTCTACTCCAGTCTTCAACCTGGAGACCCACTCGAGTCTGCCACTCTTCTTGGCCCACTGCACAACCGTGCAGCAGTAGGGATTTACTCTAACGCTGTCGATAGGTTGCGAAGAGCAGGCGCCGAGATTCTCATTGGAGGTTCGCAGTACGGGAGTGAGGACCTGAAGGATACGTTGACTGGTGGCAACTTTGTGAGACCGACGATTGCGGTGCCTAGCAAAGTGGATGTGACAGATGCTATTTGGAGAGAGGAGACATTTGCCCCGATTTTGACTGTTGGGGTGTTTGACGAATTGGAAGAAGCTATTGGGTGGAACAATGGTGTTCCTCAGGTAGGCCTTTGAAGAATTATATGTACAGAATGTCTAAGATGACTGACTGATGGAGCGTTGTAGGGCTTGAGTAGTAGTCTCTGGACAAAAGACCTCCGAAACGTGGGCAAGTGGATCGGGCCTGCTGGATCTGACACTGGTATTGTTAACGTGAGTTTTGTTGGTTCGATACGAATCTGTCAACGTGCTCCCAATGTTCATATGGACACAGGTAAACGTTGGAACTAGTGGCGCCGAGATTGGTGCTGCATTTGGAGGTAACAAGGTCAGTACAGCATGCTCCATTCCTTCCTTCTGCAAGCTGACCGTAATGCTTCTTTTTTTCCTTTCACGCGGCTTCCTTCCTTCGCAGAGCACCGGATGGTATGTACCTCGTTGTGAAGCTACGCACCCATGAATAAGAATTAACGTGTTCTTGCATTTTCAGGGGTCGTGAATCCGGTGGCGACGCGTGGAAGCAATACGTGCGTTGGAGTGCGTGTACAATTAACTTCTCCGACGAGGCACCTTTGGCGCAAGGAGTAAACTTCTCGACGTCCTCTTGAGCTTGAAACCCACGAGGTTCTGTGTCAGTTTTAACTACCCGCTCCCGCTACGAATGCTATAGTGTGTGTTGTCAATAGGAAGGAACTGCAAACATGCCCTTACCATTGGACTATGTACCAACAGATAATCGTAGCTGCAACCGGATACCATACAAATCCATGAACATTCTAACGCAATAGGAGATCCGTAAATACAACAATTACAACCTGCGAATAAATTACTGCGCTTCTGGAACGGGCAACGGCACTTGCTTCTGAGGGCCGATCATTACAAGAGGCAAGTAGGATGCAAGGAGGGCGGAGACACCTAATCTGTAAGGGCGATAAAAATGTTACTCAGTCAGCTCCAAGGAAAGACTAAACGTCTGAGGAAGAAAGAGTCTTACATGACCGTGCTAATAGGGCTGTTCCCTCCCTCTTTGGTTCGGAGTGGGTGCTGGTTAATGACGCTATTGATACTCAACAGTAATGAAGGCCATGCGAGATATCTAGTATGAAATGCGTGGCTTAGAGTCTCTGCTCGACACAGCATACAGTAGTATTACTTACCGGTTGCGAGTGACCATGATGAGACCGGAAATGAACATCACTTGAATGAATGCGCGTGAGTTGAGTTGCTTGAAGAGTATGTACAACTTGTCAACATACCAGATGCCGAGAGACCATCTTCAAAGGGAGATCAAAAGAGTGCACAGCTGGTCAACATACTTGCTCTACGGTATGTTACAGGATGTGTATTGCATACCAGAGGATTCAACTTGCCATGATTCAGGGAAGGTGAGCTTGGTCTCGCCAGCGGGATCTCTTGGGTCGTCTCCTGCAACGCCGCTCATGACTGCTAGTAGGTATAGCCTTACGGAGCTTAGGATGTGCGTTGTTCAGGACGGCGTAATCGTCGTGAGCGTGGTCCTGTAACGTAAACACCTGGTGGACAAGAGTGAACAGCGAGCAACGCTGATCGGCGCAGGAAGCCACACACAATTTCCGGTCATTATTTTACGACAACCCCTTATTAAGGGGTAATTCGTGTCGATAACCTCTCACGGTTGGGATTCATGAACCGGGTCTCCTGTCTCCGCACGACCACCATCTTTCCCTTCTTTCCTTATTCTCTAGCTGCTCTGAACAATATTTGGCAGCAATGGACTATGAACATACAATGGATACCCTACCAGACTTTGATGACGCCTCTTCGGACACTTCCTCGATCGCGACTACCACTCCTCGGTTCAGCAGACTCCTGAATTCCGTCCTGGGCTCTCCCTTCGTTACCACCTCTGATCTGCCGTTTCTCGATGATACTTCCACTCTTAATCACAATAATTCCGACGACGACCTTGAAACAATTGATGGCACCTTTACCGCTGTACCACGCAACTACACTATCACACGTCCCTCTTCTCCTTCTCCAAGTTTCCGGACGGACACATACTCGATAGTCAACTGGACTGAACAGCCCGACGTATTCTCAGTTCAGGCAAGGCCATCTATCTTCGACTCTACACCAAGATGTAGCTTCACATTCCGCCCCTCCCTGACGAATGGCTCTATCGCCGGACCATCGTCATATTATCCTGATTCCACCCCCGTTACTCCTTGCAACTCGCTACGCTATTCTAATTCCAATTCTTTCAAGGGTAGCCGAAGTTTCAATTTGCTGCCAAAGCTGTGGGATGCACTTCGGGAATCCTCGCCTAGCAAGAAGAGCAAGAGACGCATGGACCTTACTGCTTCTATCTGGAACGAGCTTGAGGGCGATGGCTATATCGACTATGCCAATCTTCCTCCGCTTGATGGCGAAGAGTTTGAACTCATTGAAGATGAGGCCTGTTTTATTGACGTCAGGGTTGTTACCGGAGTAGGTGAGTATTTGTTTCCATCAAGGCCGCGGTCGAGCGCACTATGCGACACATTTGCAAACTACCCTCGTGTCTTCCTCCGCCAACGCCTGCTCTGGTTGATAAATACTCTCCGTTTTTTTTCTCATGTTCTGAATATTGCCCGTTTCATGCCACTTACTTCCGTCCCACCAGATATCATCTCTCAACTTCCCGATGAAATGGCTCTATATATTATGTCGTTCCTTGATTTACCAGATGTACTTTCATGTCTCGCTGTTTCAAGGTACGTGATCATATTCTTCCATGTAGTGGCTAGTCTCAAAAACGATCGTTTGTAGAACATGGCGCAGGTTCGCTCAAGATAACACTATTTGGCGAGACCTCTTCAAACGACGCAAATCCGATGGTTGGGATATTGATTTGCGCCGTTTGAAGCACAAGTCTCCTAATCACAAAGGATGGATACCACTTGATTGGTATGAGATTTACAAGACACGCACAGAACTCGATCGACGTTGGACTTCTACACCGAGTGCCATCGCGTGTCCCAACCAAGAAGACAAGGAGAATATTGAAATATGGGAGCCCAAAGTTAGACGCATGAGCGGTCACACGGATAGGTTCGACATTGCTTCGTGCCTGCGCAGTTCGGTACCATGACTTATATTGACCTTCTGTTCTATCTTTTGTAGCGTTTACTGCCTCGAGTTCGACTCCTCCAAGATTATCACAGGCTCACGCGATCGGACAATCAAGGTGTGGAGTCTGAAGACAGGTAAATGCTTGGCAACCTTTGCAGGTCACAACGGCAGTGTTCTATGCCTGAAATTCGACAAGGATTGGGATTTGGATGACGCCAATACTTTGCCAGATGACATCCCAGATGATTTGTATCCTGAAGGTGCGAAAGGACCTTGGCGGAAGGGGTTCATGGTGAGCGGATCTAGTGACTGCTCGGTGTGCGTGTGGGGTCTAGTTGCGTGCCCGGTGGAGGACGAAGAAGGGAATGTGGAGTTGGCAATTACGGGGCAGTTGCGAGGCGTGCTCAAGGGGCATAGCGGTGGTGTGTTAGATCTCAGAATCGACTCGAAGTGGATCATCAGCTGGTAGGCTTTCATCAACATCATGATATGCTCATCATGTGATACTCACTGTTTCTGTATCTGTGCAGCTCTAAGGATTCCTTGGTTCGTGTATGGGATCGCAATACTCTGTCTCTTCATTGCACATTACGAGGACACGAGGGTCCTGTGAACGCACTTGGTCTCGAAGGCAACAGAGTTGTTAGCGCGTCGGGTGACGGCAAGATGATGCTGTGGGACATTCCCAGTGGCACTCGTATCCGTACATTCGAAGGTCATGACCGTGGCCTCGCCTGCATCGAGTTCAAAGACGACCTTATCGTTTCCGGTTCCAACGACTGCAAGATCAAGGTCTGGAACGCGACCACAGGAGAATGCGTACGTACTCTTACCGGGCACGACTCACTAGTGAGGGCATTGTCATTTGATAGTAGGAGTGGGAGGTTGGTTAGTGGAAGTTATGATCGGAGTGTGAAGGTGTGGAATTTGAACACGGGGAAATTGGTGAGGGAGTTCAAGGGGTGTCACGTCAGTCATATATTCGATGTGAGGTTTGACTGTTGCCGGATTGTCAGGTATGTGTTCATTCGATTCTGTGAATGTCTTTCACATTGCTAAACTGGTTCCTCCAGCACTTCCCATGACCAGAAGATAGTCGTATTGGACTTTTCTGAAGGTCTCGATACCACGATTTTTGCTTAAGAACAGGGTTTTATGCCTTTCCATAATAACGCGAGCATTCTTTTTCTTTCCATTCAGGGACTCTTTGCATTTCACTTCATCTCATCGACATATTGTATATAGCATGCATTCGATACCCACATCATCTTTGGACTTGTACTTGTAGTTCAGTCGTATATGTACCCTAGGAAGCATACTCTATCTTTGACAGGCATCAGAAGGTGGCTGAAACGTCTATGTTATTGGTTGCGTGAATTGCTAGCTAGTACCATGGAAAAGGAATATTACTTGTTATATATCCCGTTTAGCTCAGCTGGTAGAGCGCGTCACTAGTATTACGTAATGACGAGGTCAGTCGTTCGAGTCGGCTAATGGGAACTGACGGTAACGGTGTATATTTTGCTGGCCAAAAGATCGATCGGAAGTGCGCTTGGCTCGAATGAAATGGAATGAGTCAAAGTGCTTTTTTGACGATAGCCACGATGAAATACTTTTCAACGAGGGGAGGGCACGATCTACTCTCATTTGAAGAGGTCTGTCTTCTTCCGGTCTACTTCATCCTGCCGTCTGACTCTTAGACTTCTACAGACTGTTCTTACAGGTCTCGCACCCGATGGTGGTCTCTACATACCCGAGTCCATACCCCAACTCCCAGAGGGCTGGCAATCTTTATGGAAGAACTACACTTTCGTAGATCTCTCCGTCGAGGTCTTGTCCATGTACATCTCGCCGAAGGAGATATCCCGACAAGAATTACGCGCTTTAGTCGAGAAATCCTACAAAACGTTCAGACACCCCGACATCACACCTCTCAAGAAGTTAAATGACAAAACCTTCATTTTGGAACTCTTCCATGGACCAACATTTGCGTTCAAGGACGTTGCCTTGCAGCTCCTCGGCAACCTCTTTGAGTTCTTCCTTATTCGGAGGAACATGCGGAAAGCAGAGGGTGAGAAGCAGGAGAGGTTAACCGTTGTTGGTGCGACCAGTGGTGATACCGGCAGGTACGCCATGTTAAGACCACTTCGATGATTTCTGCTAACTCCGTGTCTATGCAGCGCCGCAATATATGGCTTGCGTAACAAGTCCAATATATCCATCTTTATCCTTCACCCGAAGGGCAGAGTATCACCCATCCAGGAGGCTCAAATGACAACAGTCACTGATGCAAACGTCCATAACCTCGCTGTCAAAGGTACTTTTGATGATTGCCAGGTTTGCACTCCGTTTCTTTCGTCAACGAGCTTGGAACTGAACTCCACGTCTCCTCCTTCATATGACTTAGGATATCGTTAAATCCCTCTTCGCCGACCAAGAATTCAACAGAAAGCACCGTCTAGGCGCAGTCAATTCTATCAACTGGGCGCGTATACTCGCTCAAACAGTATATTACTTCCTTTCCTACTTCCACCTTCGACGTCAAATAGCTGCGACCTCGCCGGATCAATCTCTGGATGACTTAGATATCCAATACGTCGTACCCACAGGAAATTTTGGTGATATTCTTGCGGGATACTATGCAAAACGCATGGGTCTGCCTATCGGCAAGCTTGTTGTCGCAACCAACTCGAATGACATCCTCGCTCGATTCTGGAAGAGCGGTGCCTACGAGAAAGTCGACTCGACTGCATCCAATGTTGATGCAACTCAGGCTACTGCACCTGCAGAGGGAGCATCCGATGGGAAACAGGCCGTCGGCGGCGTAAAAGAGACATTGAGCCCTGCAATGGATATTCTGGTTTCAAGTAACTTCGAACGTTTGTTGTGGTATCTTGCAGACGAGGGATCAGAGACATCAACTGAAGACCCTAGGGAGCGCAGAAGGCAAGCATGCGAGATTGTGGATGGCTGGATGAAGAAAGTTAAGAGCGATGGTCGTGTGGAGGTCCCCACAAAAGTACTGGAGTTGGCTAGGCGGGATTTCTTAGCGGAGAGGGTTTCAGATGAGGAGGTACGTCTTTGAGATTTTCTCTTTCAGAACTCGTATTGAACTTTAAACAGACATTGGAAACGATTCGGTACTACTTCAAGTCTGAGCCATCGTACGTTGCGGATCCTCACACAGCTGTTGGTCTATCTGCCGCTCAACGGCTAGCTGTAAACAAGTGCGTTCTCAAGTCTTCAATAGTGCATCCTTAAATTTACTGACATTCCCCCCATAGCCCGCCATCGACTCTTCAAGTCGTCCTATCTACCGCGCACCCAGCCAAGTTTGCCGAGGCCGTTACACAGGCACTTCAAAATGAACCCAACTTTAATTTTGAGCGTGATCTTCTTCCGGAAGAGTTTAGAGGACTCTTGGATCGGAAGAGGAATGTCATCGATGTTGAAGCTGCTGAAGTTGATTTAGTCAAGAGAGTCATTGAGCAGTACGCTGAGAACGATGACACGGAAAGAGGAGGTGCGATTCCTAGACGAAGTGTATAAAGAAATTTTATTGTTGTTAGTTAATACAGGAATTTGCGTTTGTTCGCTACATCGTTATCGTTGTGTCATGAAGCAATATGCGTCCGAGATTTCAAGGCTATTGCATTTAAATTAGTCTGAGAGTTTCGTTACTTCATCCCCTGCAGCTCGTCAGCTCTCGTCATATGCCTCGTCCCAGTCTTCGGCATCTTCAAAGATCTCTTCCCCTTCATCCTCTTCCTGCTCCTCGACATCTGACAATATTTCTACTCCAGATCCCTCACTTAGTGCATCATCCGAGCCCCTGTCATCCTCGATATTGATATCACGAAACAAAGGGCCAAGTATATCAGGCTCGTCCTCGTGCTCCAGAGACACAGGTAAGGAAACACCATCCCAATCAACCAGCTTCACTACGGACTTGCATAACACTAAATCCATGCCTTCCACATTGCTACAAGCCCGTAATGCAAGACGTTCGATAGATGCCCCCATTTCTGCACGTTGCTTCAACGCGCTGGACAGTATGCATGAGGGAGTTTCAGGATCAGTGGACCATGGCCATTGTAATGCGTTGGCAACTAGACATGTAAGATTTGGGCAGACCACCTTCCCTGATGTCAGAATGGACCGAAGAAGTTTCGCGAGGTCGATTGCGTCCCAACTGCATATAAGGAGAGAACGGAGGTTGGTCATGTCTCCGAGCATTGTATTGGTCATGGTCTCTACAACGTCCGGCCATGCTAAACGGCGGGTGAACCTCTCCAGTGCCATAATCCGCATGCCTGCCATGTGGAAGTTTGATTGTACCATGCTAAGGATACCGTTGACAGAAATCCCGTCAGGCGGGAAAGTGATAGATATGTCGGGTGTAGGGTGTGTAGACTTTCTTCCGCTGTATAATTCCTCTGCAGTTAACTCTGCCTTCCAGATTTCCATACGAATGGGGTCCATTGACTTGCCACCTTTCAGCCTAAGCGTATGCAGTGGATGTGGGGATTGGGACGAAGGTCCCGTAGACCCGTAATACTTTAGCGAGACTGTGCGGCAGAGGTCCTGGAAAGCGGAGGCGTTTCCTGCGAAATAGTAGTCCACTACAATGGACGTACCGGTGGGAAACTGTAATCGATCCAGGAGGCCGACTATTGTACGGGTGGGACCTGAAAGTCTCAGCCTTTGAAGGAGAGGCAAGGAGACCGTGGAATTCACATGAGAGGACTCGTTACCGGCAGAGATGGACGAAGATGATGGCAACAAACGAAGGAGGGTGAGATCCATTAATTGAGGAAGCCCTGATAGAATGTCCAAAATGTCAGTGAAGGGCACTGTCGTTTCTACATCAACGTGTAGAGATCGCAAAGTGGGTCGTAGTACACGACGTGCTTCATTGAGTCCACACCCTACGAGACGCAACTTCTGAAGACGAGGGGCGTCCAAAAGGAAAGAGGCAGGATACATGCGAGCGATCCCTCGAGAGTTCACAATTGTGAGTTTCTCTAGCAAAGGAGCGTCTCGAGGTATAAATTCGGTGGTATACAAATAGACGGGATCCGCATGAAGCTTGAGCACGCGAATTCGTTCCATCTCTTCCAGTGTCATCTCGAGTGATTCCCATGCATAACGGTCGTAATGTTTGATGATGAGCGGTATGTGTGTCGACCGTGCCAGCATAGCGCGAGTGCATTCCAGAGATCGGTGGGTGATAATGAAAGACCACAGAACTGGACTGGACAATGCAAGAAGACGCCACCGTGTGCAAACATGGGTTATTCGTAGCCACTGGTGGGTCTTTACAAATGGGTCTGGCGGTTTCCATTGGCTCTGACAAAGACCTATCACATGAAGGAAGATCTCGGTCAAGAGTTCTGGAGGTAGAGAAAAGACAGCGGGCTGAGTTTCCTGGTGGCCTCCTGTCCTTGGAAGCGTGATGGTGGTGGGTTCAGAGGTGTCATTTGGAAAGTGCGTGATGATTGAGAGGGATTGAGCATTACGGGACGGTACATGCCTGCTCTTGCTCGGGATCTAAAGCAGCCCATAAAAGACCATATATAACCAAAACTAGCAGTAGACGCTACTCACACGCAGAGGCAAGGTCATGGGATAATCGATGGTGTGCGATGGAAGATTCAGCGGCAAAAGCTCCCAGAGGTCAATTCAGAAGTGAAGGATAAGATGCATTGATGATATACCGACATCCATGGTGTATATATAGAGGTTAGTTTAAGCTCAGAAGCATTGTGCCACCGCCTGCGAGGTATCACGATCAGTGATACAGCACAGGCTTCGTCCGGAGACTCCTGGAGTAGACGTTCGTGGAAGCTCTTCATTGATGATCCGACTTGCATTAGATGTACGCTCTAGATGAAGAACGGGTCATGTTGGATGTTCGCACAGTCCGTGCATTGGTATTCAGACGGATATGTCAGACTAAAGAATCCAACCGTCGGACATAACTGCAGGGTGCAGCACAGTGTAGCAGGTAGGTCAGGCTCTAAGTGGCTGAGAACGATGGAAGCACCAAATCCAGCGATACTAGAGGAGATCGAGACTGTCTAGACATGCATGAGTTATGGAGGCGAGGAGTCACATCAAAATGTACCGACGATCATCTTTCAATGCCTCGGAGACGCGCTTTGATCAACTGCAGACCGCGATAGCAATGATGGATGGAGGAGGTAGAATTGATGACAGAGAGGAACATTGGCAAATAGTAAAGCACGTGAACACATCCCGAGAACGATGTCCTCTTCGAGATCCGCTCCTTTACTCTTCACTGCCTCATCTGTACCACGTTTTGCCTAGAACAATGCACAATTAGCAATCAGGCAGTATACGACGACTTTCTGGGAAGGCAAAGTTCCCGAGACCCAGAAACCACCACAGCGACTTGCCCAATTGCTATCCACTCGTTACTTTTCAGCTGGTTTCTTACTATGAAATGAGGATTGTTCGTTTCTGAGAGCCAATCATCCGTCATCATTCGTGTGTGAGATGATACACAAGAGGATGCCACATTAGAAGATCCAAACTCTTTCCGAACTCCTGGATATTGGGGAAACCGGGGGAAGGAAGGGGCACGAGTGGGAGGCAATACTGGCACTTGGAGGCTGTCTACGTGATGATAGAGGCGTAGTCATCAACACGCTGCCTCAGTTCGATACGAACTAGCCAGACATACCCATGACAGAATGCACGATCCTCCCTGAGTCCCAATGATTAAGCAAGACCGCCATGTCGGCACCTGGAATCATTCAGTACAGAACTCCGAAATTAAGAGTTAATTCGCAAAGGAGAGCAGATTTTTAAGTACCGTGAGCTCTGCGTTCGACGAGAAGAACGGTTGAAGTCCCTTCTGGACAAAGGCGGAATCAACTGTACATATCGAACCTGAGGCAGTTATTGGACTCATGGAAGAAGAGAAGTCTTATAATCCAAGCATACAGTGGTCTACGTGGGTTTAGTGAATGGTGAAGGCCTACCAAGAGAACAGTCAAGTTGCCCAGAGCAACTGTGCGTAGTGACGGTAGTTGGGAGGCTGCAGCGAAGAGACAGAGGACGTGACGACTGGTGGGAGCTCAAATCAAAGCAAGGTGAACGACACTTAGGCAAGCTCAGCAGTATTAACGTCGCGTTTTGGCACGAACCTGATCTATGGAAAAGGCTACATTCGCCTATTCATCAGACTGCCAAGTGCGTAAATTATGAATTCATGATGTTACACTCACGTCCGGCGAGTTCACTTGGATATGCATTGATATCCATTATTTAATGAGATAGAAGTCATATAGAGTAGAGAACGTTGCAGTACTAACATTTTGGTATTCATATCGACATCGCGTAGAGTAAGGCCAGGTAGGAAACACCACGTGTGCGTATCACGAGAACAACAGTTTCTTTCGGGTGCTGTTTGCCTGCATTGTTTCTTCACAATATTGATGCATTGTACATGTCTCACAATGGGCTCGGTAAAGTGCAATACAAAAGGGCTCTCGTTATCCCTGGATCTGCCTTTAGCAACCATCATTGCCCTCGCCAGAGATCGAGCCACACAGTTCACGGTGGCCATTGTTTGAAAGCATCCGCTTGTCATGAAGGGTGAACTTCTTGGTGAAGCATCCAGTCGCCCGAAGTTGAGCACAAGCCCTGCGCCACGTCCTAACATCAAGATCCCCTCCGGTCCTTTCAAAATCAATGGAACAAGGACGGCGGTCATACCAACACTTGGACCCAACGATGCCCTCATCATGACCACGCTTCCTCTCTACGATGAATCGCGACCTAACGACCCGAGGACAGAATGTATCATCCTACAGAGCGTAAAAGACAAGATAACGTCGATGCCGGGGTTTCCTGAGCCCATTGATGCACCCAATCCTAAAAAATACGTGATAAAGCCTACCAAAGGGAAGGGTATGGGTATGTTCGCGACAGCTGACATAGACGTCGGGGAGATCATAGTGGTCGAGAGGCCACTACTCATATCCATGCGGCGTCTGTACGGTGGGCCAAACAATTGGCAACATCCCTACGAATTCCAGCGTATAGCGGTAGAAAGAATGGAAGAACAAGATCGAGAGGAATTCTTCGCGTTGCACAACTGCAAAGGTTACACCCGACCCCATGAAACTGGAATCTCGGACACCAACGCTGTCGCCTTTGGAGGTTTACCAGGGTATGACGCTGATTGCACTGCTGTTTGTAAAGATATCTCGAGGGCGAATCACAGGTCAGTGGACAGATTCGATGATACCTGTGTCTCTTCCGGATTGTTGATAGAACCTAACCCGTCGTGCCCCGTAGTTGCTCACCAAATGTCGACTGGGATTGGCGTCTCGAATCGTTCACGTTTGAGCTCCGAGCCTGCTGGCCTATTCTCAAGGGGGAAGAGATATTTGGCTCATATACCGGCCTATTCGAACCACGAATAGAACGACGCAAGTTCCTATTGGAGAGATACAACTTCAAGTGTGTTTGCACCTCTTGCTCCTCGGAATCACCACGGAGTGACGTCAATCGAATGGTTTTGAAGAATGCCACTAAGTCTGCCTGGTGCGATGGCGACAAGACCCTGAAAGATTGGGTGAATAACCCTTCTGCGCCGGACGACCTTATCATTGCACGATGCATGCCTATGATAGCGATCATGCTAGAGGAGAAGTTATTCCGGCCACATGTCTGGCCAATCTGGTTCCAGAGAATCATAAAGGCATTTTGTGCATTAGAAGATGAGGAGAATGCAAGGTTCTGGGCGGAGAAAGCGGCCAAGCTGTCTAGAACAGCCATGAGGAATGACGCTGGGTGGGAGGCGGTTGCGAAAGCACCGAAGAATACTGACTGGTGGGGACTTAGAGCCAAGGCGCGCAATGGATATCCTGCTTAGGTTAACCTGGGCACATTGTGGACTTGTCGCGATATGCAGGGTGATTGCGACGCCAAGAGGCGCCGTATTCGACATTCCACCGATTCGGGGACTCGGTGATGGGCCATCGCAATCATCCCGACGCTCATGATACGATACGAACCAATATCTTCAACGAAGGACCTTCGAGTATAGTGGTACGACTTGAAGCAGCTGTTTATATTTGGACAGATTAGAATTTGACGTGCTTCGCTCTGCATGGGAAGTGAGGCCCGGTCTATTTAATCAGCTAACCGCTTGAGTTCTAACCTTGGAGAATGACGTGTACCGAATAATAACATGCTTTCTATCCATTACCTCAACGAAAGAAGCATTGAAGAAACAGCTCACAGCAAGTTTGCGCCAAGATAGTGTTTCTAGGGTGAACAGGCGGTGCATAAACAATGGGGCTAAGACCACGGTATCTGCCAGAGGGTGAGTCTCATAATAGAAGTGTGAACTGTACCTACCCTTTGAAGAAATTGGAGATGTTACGCTCTGTGACAGATTATTGTCCAAGGGGACCGGGGCTCCATGAAAATGACCCCAGATGTGCTCGTCATGACTGAGGATTGATTCCATCTGTTCCGGTAATAGACATTCGGAAAACGTTCGCACAATACACCCTGCACAGGTACCGCGACAGCTTCAATGTGGGACTTGGAAGATTCCACGCCTCTACACGAGACCCCGGAGACTGCGTGGCGAAATTATTTAGTAGTTCTCGCAGTCCATTTAACAAGAAAGGACGTACGTCTTATCGTACCATGCGTATCTGTATTCCGTGCGTGTGTAGTGCTCGAGCTGGTCCAGTTCATGAAGAGGTGACAGCAAATCGCAGGATGCAGACATTTTGATGCATCTATCCATAAATGGGAGATACCCATCCGAAAAGAGGCAAGTGTGATTCGTGGCGGCTTCCTCCGTATTCATCCTGCTTCACAAGCTTCACAACTATCTCAGCTTCTAGATATGCACAATATTACTCTGCCGAGTCGTATCGATGTTGGTGATCCAGGCAATATTGAGAGCTCAGGTACCCGCCCAAACCGCAGGGCGCAATTGGGAGCAATCAGGCGGAGATCTGCCAAAGTCCAGGTGTATATTCCTGGGAACTGCCTTGGCAATTTACAATCTGCACGTTTCCTCCGCTCGGTTTGACGGTTGACATGCCGGGCGATAGAGCTCATTATTTGCGATCTACGCATCTGGAAGACGGGATGATTCCCTCGGTGAAGCCTTCGGTGAAGAACAACGGCATATCACGCTAGACGATTCCCCCTGTCACTTGTGGATGACAGGTCCACTGGACATCGGAAGACTATCTATTTCACTGAGGAACCGCCACACCCGATATAAGTATGTAAATGGCAAAATCATAGTGATCATTCCATTGTCTACCAGCCTGACACCATGCCCACCATCCTCGACAAAGTCGGCGGCGTCATCAACGAGATTGAGGGAGGCACGTATCCTCTCTGGATATGGGCCCCCGTTGCGGTACTTGGCCTCATCGTCCTGAGATGGCTCACTCGTCCCGAACCTTACAAGGGTGTACCCGAACCCGTACGTATTGCGCTCACGGACGCGCCAAGTTGCATCCTAACGCTTCTCGTGTCAGCCTTGCCCAAGTAAACTATGGGGTCATTTCCAGTCGGCGCATGTTACCCCGGCAGGAAGACACTGGGGCAGATATTTCGACGTTTATGGTCCATCGATCAAGGTTAATGCTCCCCTTGGTGTACGTATCCCAGCACGTCGTCACAATGTTTTTAGACTTATGCCGTTCTCATTCTAGGCTGGAAAAATGGTGTGTAATGTGCTTGAAGTGTCGGCGCTTACCTTATTAAAATGCACATTAGCTTGTTACAGCGGACCCGGCTACCATTCACCATGTTTTGACGACAAACTGCTACTCATACACCAAATCCACCTTTACTCGTCCCTTCGTAAAACGTCTAATCGGTGAAGGACTAGGTATGTAACTCAAACTGAACGGTTTGGAAGCTTATAGGCTATAGGCTAACCTTGATGGTCGGAATAGTGTGGTCGGAAGGTGATATGCATAAACTTCAGCGCAAACAGCTTGTTCCAGCGTTCTCGTGAGTAACGCCTTCTTTCGCGCTAAACCTCTCTACCTGACGCTCTTCGATGCAGACAAGAAGCAGTTAACCTCATGGGCCCTATTATCCGGGATGTCGTTGAGAGGTGTTCGGATAAGGTTGGCCAACTTATGGATCAGGGCAATGGTATCGTCGATATTCACGACATCGTCTCGAAAACGACGTAAGCGTGTATATTCGCTTAAGAGCGATATTGTCTTCTAAAGTGTCTCTCCAGTCTCGATGTTTTCGGTCGCGTCGCGCTTAACCTGGACTTCGACTGCATTGAGGACGGGTCTCCAGAGATCAGGCGCAAATGGAGGGCTCAGAGCAATACTATCATCAAGCCTGACGGTTTCAAAGTCAGTAGTCTGCACTTCATACCTATCATTCGTGTAACTGAACGTCCACCACTGAAAGCACATCGCTGTGCTACGTGCCTTCCCATGGATTGCCAATCTTCCTGTACCTGTCATCCAAGCACAGGGAGACGTGAAGGCCGTCGTTGAACCTCTAGCTGGGGATATTATCGAGACCGCCAGGCGCAATGCCAATGCATCTTCGATCAAGGGCAATGACTTGCTTTCTATGCTTCGTATGTCGAAGTCATATCATTTGAGCTTATACCTTGCTTATCTATACCTCTCTGCAGTACGAACCGGTGAGATGACTGGTAACCGTTTGAGGGATAACGTGAGTACTGAGCATTTCCTCTCTGTGTTTGGCCTGTTCTCATGTTCTTGTCTGTTCTACTCAGATTTCGACCTTCATGTATGTCCATGACTTTGGTCTTGGCAAATTGGAATAACAACTGATGACTGATTTCGTCTACAGCGTTGCCGGCTTTGTGAGGATAGATTTCTTCTCAGACTCTTCTTACAATTGCTAATTACCTTCCATCTCTCAACAGGACAGTACCTCCGCCTCTGCTGTGAGTACTTACAATCTCGTTCAGTCTTTCACATTCTAATTTCATTGTTAGACTTGGTGTCTATATGCCGTATGTCTCATTGATTCTCTGGCCTAAGCCAGGTATGCTCACCTTACCTTTCTCAGTTGGCTCGTAATCAACGTGTACAAAACAAGCTCCGGGAAGAGCTTCTTGCTTTCGGCCGTGAACCAACTGAGAAGGACCTTGCTTCCATGGCCGCATTCCCTTACTTCGACGCTGTGATCAAAGAAACGTGAGCTCTTCGATGCGCCACCTTTCATGTTTGTCTAGGGTTGACGACGTTTTTGCGACTTATAGCCTGAGGATGTACCCTGTCACTGATGCAGAGCGAGTTGTGAGTTGCCAAGGTGTTATATAAACATTCTGCTCCTGACCCAGTGTAAAGGCTTTGGAAGACGATGTCGTACCTCTCAAGTTCCCTATCACCAAGCCAGATGGTTCCAAAATTACTGAGCTGCACATTCGCAAGGGCGACGTGAGTGATAATTTCACTTTCATCGTCGTGCACTTTGTGCTCACAAACGATGATATCCAGTCCATGGTCATTCCATTTATCTGCTCCAATCGTTTGAACTTGGTCTGGGGTGATGGCGATAACTTCCGTCCGGAACGCTGGTTGGATGAGAAGACGATGCCTCCCAAGGATCAGCTCACCCAGGGATGGTCAAATCTTGTCACCTTCAGTGAGGGTCCTCGACTTTGCATTGGTGTCCGACTTGGTACGATTACATATTCTTGCGCCTTAACTCATTCTGACAAACGAGTTTTCTTTTGTAGCCCTTTTGGAGATGAAAGTATGTTACCCCTTCAACTTAACTGTACGATGTTCGCTAACCAGTCGTTGTGTAGATCATTCTTTTCACGCTCCTTCGCAACTACACGTTCAGTCTTACATCGGACAAGTTTGAGGTCAACGGCTACTTCTTCGCTTCTCTCATCCCTGTCGTGAAGGGTCACGAGGAGAAGGGTGCTTACATGCCTTTGAGGGTTGCGCATTACGAAGGTTGAGAGTTAGAGCCTTCACTTGTCTTCTCATATTGTTCTTGCCGATGTGTAGTTTACATCTCCCCTTATGTATCTTTACAGAATACAAGTGTTGTTCTTCCAACTTGAAGACTGTTTCGAGGGGCATCGAGGGGTTAGCGCGGTCCCACGTGTTGTCGGCATAAACCGATGTCACTGGCTATATAACCACGTATTGGGTTGTCTGCTTTCTTCACAAGCGCAGTAGCCCTGAAGCCGCGACACTCGTTCCACACGGGACAATTCCTTGTCCTCATTTGCGAGTGGGCTAAGGTCTGAGTTTTCTATTCCCTTCGATCGGCTCTAGCCGGGTCCAACTGTAAAAGGTCGAGCGACGTACCACCAAAATGTGAGCTTCCTCGACATGCCCGGAGATCCACCTTCAGGGGAGGGCCGAGGTTGCGAACTTGGAAGTCGTCGCGGGAACTGGGTGCATCTTGGTGACCTCTCCTCTTTTCTTTCTATCGGCGTCATCCGCGTTCACTCGTGGAGGCTAGAGTTTGATCTCTAGTTCATGATTGTGGAATCTGGATCTTCGAACACGCAAGGACGATGGGGCATGTCTGGTGAGCATCAGGTTCGGAATCTTCGAACCCCGGGTGTACGGGCACTGGCCATGCCTGGTGCACCCACAGGCTTTGCCTTTCATGTCACTCGTCGACCGCGTAGACGTTTGGCCGTTCGTAGCTACGAACGCGTCCATTCGCATCGCACATGCGTTCAGGCCTTTCTCTAGGAGGAGGAGCCGTTCATACTTTACGGGTATTACCATGATCGTATAGGACTTTGTCCGCACATACATCATGTGTTGTATTCACATACCAGCCAGCTATCACGACTGCGCTGTGTGTATGTCGCATTGCATTACGGCAGTCAATAGTTGAGCCATTATGGCTATCAACAGAAATGTTGACTCCGGCTGGTTTAGAGGAGGATCCGCAATGGATCCATTCGCCTCGTAGCCGTGAACATGGCCAAGCAAAATTTCATGACGCCGTTAAATAATGGTCGTAGAAATCAGTCTTGGGCCTAAGGTCGTATTTGTGTGTGTCATGATGCACGAACCTCGCCCTCAGTTGATCCTTCATCTGAGGCTCGTGAAGAATGGTGCTTGTAACCCCTTTTGAAACAAGAGGGCAGATTTACTGGCTAAGTTCGTCGGAGATCCTGTTCCACAGGCGCACGAGGAGAGTTCAATGATTTTGAGGATTCGCAGGTCGACGACATTCGCATCCTTCAGTGCACTTCGCGGCACGCTCCTTTATGCGAAATGCTGGCTTTCGTGGTCGCATGTCGTAAATGGAACGCAACTCGATTCAGACTACTCCAGGTCTGCTGCCTTGTCATATAATTTTTGGATCCATTTGCATCTCTTCGTGAGATTGCGCTTTCTCCCTTACTATCCAGCACTTTTCATGTCAACACTTGTCTGATTAGTTTTACTGTGCTGCGCGCTTTCAGGCTTGACAAGTGAAACTGTAGCGTCTATTAGTTGTGTTGCAAGATGTCTTTACTTAGCTTCGATCTACGTATGCTAATACCCAATCTTCATAGATTTGACGATGAAACGGGAACGAGCATGTAAATCTCAATGCAGTGGATTCTTGGCTTGAGATGTGGAGATTCGGACACTCTAACCGCTAAAACAAACCTCGCACAACAGCGACAACTACAATAGGGATGCTTTGGAGAGAGTGTATGATACCGAACATCCCGTACGGACCGAAAAGGCATCAGTCAATTATGTACTCGAAAAAAGCCACTGAAGACAGAATGCTCAGAATTTTACCTGGTACTTACGCTGAAGGTCGAATTAGATGTAGATTGGTGCGAAGGATTTCGGGTATATGTGACCTCAGCGGTTTCTAAAGATGTTTAATATTTTTGCACAGATTCACTATTGAAATACACGTCGCGCGGGAGGAAAGTGAGTCGTAACGTTTGACCTCGTTGAGCTCTGAGGCAAATGGATGGGGGTACATACAAAGTAAGTAACTACTTTTATACGAAGAACTGCCAAGCACGCGGGACTCCGTCCCGCTCCTCTCGTTCCTTGCACACAGCGACGCTCGCCGCTTCATCCATATTCCAACACACTCCCTCGAGCGGAGCATGTGCACAACTTCCAAAACTCCAATTATCAACATCAGCAACATACCACAGCACTCCCTCAACCTAGCATCCGACATCCTGTCGATGGCCCATGCCGAGACTCCGGCCGTACAACTCTTAGGAAAGGGGAAACATCGGTATGGGGGGCAAGCACTCCCTGAATATGCAGGGGTCCAATACGAAGGTTCGATCTTCGTCAACAGCTCTCGACGAGCTAATCAAAGTACGTTCGGCACTACGCGGGTTTCGATCGGGGGTCCGCGCGCCAACGGTCCATACTACTGCACGGGTTTCAATCGGGGGCCCGCCAGCATCCAAAAGGTTCGTTCGTTCATACTCGAGTTTTCGATCGGGGGCTCGAGGTTCGATTACGGGGGGTTACACAATTACGGGGGATACGCGGTTCGTAGGTCATGTCGGTAGTCGTAGGACAATGTACATAGTCGATCGGGTGCTCGGAAAAATACGACGGTGTTCGCGCAGAGGCTTCGACAGCGTGAGATCGACGACAGAGGACCAAGGGTTCAGCAAACGACGGAGAACATGTCGCGCAAGCGGTGGATTCGGCCCCACCAGGGCATGTCTGTTAATAACCTACAGACTAGGTGATCTGTTTGTATTGAAATACACGTCGCGCGGGAGGAAAGCGAGTCGTAACATTTGACCTCGTTGAGCTCTGAGGCAAATGGATGGGGGTACATACAAAGTAAGTAACTACTTTTATACGAAGAACTGCCAAGTACGCGGGACTCCGTCCCGCTCCTCTCGTTCCTTGCACACAGCGACGCTCGCCGCTTCATCCATATTCCAACATTCACCGTAAGATCTTGCGAAGAGAGCAAGCAACTGTGTCAGAGTTCGCAGAACATAATTCGCGCTGGGACAATTAGCTATATTGGGAAGCATCGTTGATGGTGATGAGCAACAAGCACAAACAAAGGAACGCCTATTGTAATCTTCCGAGTCTCCCCTCAATTCGAGTGAAGCTCGATGTTCAACACTGATTCCTAAAAGGCTGGAAGGAATGATGATACTCTATGATCATCCTCTACGGGGTTAACCTCCCGAGGAGTGCTCTCTATACTTTACTTTTTGTGTTCGTTCACGGTGAACGCCGGATCTCTTCCTGAGAATGTGATTTTTGTCTTCGGCCCATGACTTTACCCTGTGCGGAACTGTAGAACTCTCCTTGTCTAATCCTACAGAGTTACTCGAACTTGCTACGCTGGACCATGCTAGATCTGTCGAAACTTACTTCATATCCGCCTCCAGTGAGCTTTGGTCCAGTTGCTGACGTCAAAGTTCGGCCGCTTCTGCCTCTCTCTACACCTCCGGCACCTGTCACGCTCCCCTCACTACCTCCATCTCCTCGTTCATGTACTCTGGGACCTAGTTGGACCATTTCAACACATTTGATTCCTGCTGCATATCCACGTACAACTCCTGACATTGATATTGCTCCGCCAGTGTTCTCGCCTAACAAAGAGAAATGGAAGCAACACGTAGCGGATACTACGAATGAACTATCACAGCTGAAGCGGAAACAAGCGAACGGCGAGTTAGATGGTCTCAAGAAGAGCGAAAAGTTATTGTGGTGTGTAGCTGATCGATATGTCAGAAAGGATAGGAAATCGGAGAATGTGGGAGGAGCTAGTAAAGGAGTGTCCTTGTTCTTTGCTCATGCAAATGGCTTTAACAAGGAGGTGAGTACTCTCTCACATCTCCACCAAGTTGTCAATGCCCACGTAGCTTTGAAGATTTGGGAACCCACCCTACAATATCTCCTGAACTCCATTAATACGGTTGACATAGTTGAGATCTGGCTATGGCAAGCTATAAACCATGGAGATGCAGCGTTGATCAACGCATCTAATCTCTGCGGAATATGTCAGTCCAGTGATTCTATATCTATCGTGTACTTACATGATCGACAGATGATTGGGTGGACAATGCGCGCGATATCTTACATTTCCTTCTCTATTACATGCCATCGTCGACAGTAGACGTTCCACCAGCGCATCTCACTCGTCTTACTGAAAGTGTTGCGCGTTCACGGAAGACCTTTGGCTTCCAAACACGTCAACTTGTTGCTGTAGGTCACTCTTTCGGAGGCTGTTCCGTGTACGTCTAGTCAACATGGTGCCTTTCTTTTGCCTCGCTCACATTTCCATAGTGCTCTGGCGGCCATTAACCATCCAGCTCTCTTCTCTTCGATTATTTTCGTAGATCCTATGATCCGTGTTCTCAGACCAGATCAACCCCTCGCCAGTAGCGCAGTTTACAAGAACGTCTCTGGCGCAATCTCTCGTAGAGCACATTGGTCTTCTCGGTAGGGTTGCAGATTGTTTACATACAAGTAAAATTTTGTTGATTGTACGCTTCATTTACTCAGGGATGAAGCTCGTCGTCTCTTCTTGAAGTCGCCGTTCTTCCAGGCGTGGGATCGTGCAGTTCTCGATGCTTATATTGACTATGGGCTGACTGAAGATGAGCAGTCGGGTGGGGTAAAGCTGAAGATGCCTGGTTTCCAAGTGACTTAATCCATCTCAAACAGCTTTTGGTTGATGAATATTAACATGCTCTCCTTTAGGAAGCCGTTGTGTTCGCAGAATCTTTGACCTGTTACGAAACATGGCTATTACTGGACCAACTGCACGAGAACATTGAACTTAGGTGGATCATGCCTGGCAAAGTTCCTCCCGAGTATGTGAAATCTCTTTCTCAAGTATTGGATTACATTACATGCTTTTGTCACAGGGAGCTTGTTGAGAAGCAGGAACTCGTTTGGAAACGTCCGAAGAATTCAAGCAATGTCCTCATTCACTCAGCTGGGCACCTCATTTCTCATGAGGCACCAAAGAAACTTGGTGAGTTCTGCATTTTGGAGCAGGTGATTTAGAATCCAGCTGATTCACTTCTTCCGCAGCTCTAGAAATTTCTTCATTCCTGGAACGTAAATACGGCGTCCCTTCACCCTCTAGCCGTCTATAAGCTATAAATCCATATGTTCACGACGTCTTGACGTCCGGACCTTACGCAAATATCATATTTGGTGAGCTCGGTTTGCGGTGCTGTTTCCCTGCCCCTCAACTTATAATTCTTGTTGCATTTTATACCTGAGCAGCCGTCTACGAATGGCTGTCCGCTCTTAACGATGCAAGCTCAAGACTAAGGTTATTTAAAGTTATGTTAATTTCACTCTTGGCGGGAGTCGGCTGTGTGACTGCGCAAGTCGTCGCCAATAACCAATAGGTACTTCTCCTGAATGTTCAGGATCCTTATTGGTCTATTCAGGAAGATGCTGTGTATCGTTCGGGGCATTATGGGAGAGTAAAGCCGAACGTCGTAAGGTGGTTTTACTGACTTGGCGCCCCTTGATACGATATTCGCAATGTCATTGTTCGCTCGACGCACACCTCTAAGCAGACAATACATTGCCTTGTATTGTAGTAGCCTCAGTGTCCATGATTCGCAACGGAGGTAGAGTTAGCTACAAGGATTAAACAAAAGGGTGAAACTGTCTAAATGACGTATACCTAAAGAGGGAAGCTCCCCGCAGCGCTTTCGGCTTGAGCCTGGTGCCTGTCGGGAAGTTAGCAACTCGGGAAATGGGACCACGGCCTCTCTTTCCCTTTCTTCTCCACCTGCCTTGTTTTGCGAGTGCTCCCTTTCCACTCTGTATTCTCATCAAAAACTTTGATCCTACCTATTGATACCAGCGCAGGCGGTGTCCTCGGATTCGAAGCCTTCTTGTGACATACTCTGTGCAGCATTCCAGACAGCCTGCTGGCGAGACTTCGAATTAGTTCATAGATATCTATGTTGCACGGCTTCTATCCCAGTCGACATGCCTTTTCCTGCCTCTTCGTCTTGGTGATCCTCACTTCACTGTGCGGAAGCAGCAAGGCCGCTCCTAGGTATCCCCTTACCGGTCGGCAAACGAATGATACTCAGAATAGAGATGGAACAAACTTATCCCCTCAAGTTTGGGTGCGTTACGTTTCTCTTCCTATGACTTCATGCATACTCAGTATCCACCCAGATTCCCATCACTGTCGTAGCCATCATTGTCGTAGCCGGTGCAATTCTCACATGTTCACGCCGAGGATGGCGAATACGTTTGTCGAACTGGACAGCTGGTGCAGCTCTTGCAACGGGAACCGTCATTCGAGGGAGTGCCCGGGATGGGCCTCGGGAGTTTACAGCAGAGCAATTAGCGGGAACGACCGGGGAGACGACCACTACTGGCCCGGGGGCAAATGGCGCTAACACTACTCGTAGCCCTAGACGATCTCGGAGAAACCGAAGGACACCTAGTATGGTTTCAACTAGATCGTTACCGGTTTACATGAAAGAACCGGGAGACCAGGAACTAGTTATCTTTCGGTACGGTCAATCGTTGCTTTGCAAGATATCAATATTGAATGGCATTGTTGTAGAGGTCCGGAGGATATGGAAGATGCTTCAATGACCGTAATTACAGTGCCAATGCCTCTCAGCAACGACACCAGCCTTGCTTTGGATAGCTCTGACAGTACCCTTAGAGAGGACATCTCCACACATTCTCCTGATTATGATCCTCTCCCTCACAGCCCGCATGATCAACCTCTCCTACATCCAGACCGTTCACCAATTCGGAGACATCCTTCCCAAAATAGCGGGTCACGTGGAGTCACTGCTCGACCAAGTTATGAGACGTTGCTCAGCAGTGAAGATGGTGATTCTGCCGCATTGGTGCATGCCCATCCTGGCCCTCCCGCACTTCAAGATGTCCGAGGAGAGGCGCCACCTTACTTTGAAGTTGTTGCAATGGATGATCTTGACAGAACAATGAGTTTGACAACCGATCAGGATCACCAAGATGTCTCTCCCACAGCAGATTCACCAGATCTGTCACGCCCAGAACCCTCTCCTCCACCCCAGCAAAATGCCGGTGCTCGTATCCGTTCATCTATCCTCGGTCTTTTCAATTCACGCAGTCATACTGCCGCCGTACCTCCCCTTCCACCACCTTCATCTTCTCAGCTTTCTCCAACGCAAATACCAGGCCGGACAAGCCATGCACGTTCAGAGTCAGGGCCGTCTGTCATGTCTGTAGCTACCACCTCAGAAGGTTCTCGTCTGACACACGTTCGTTCTCGCTCACGACCGACAACGCCGGGTCATCGACCATCACACTCAGGCACGGCCTCCATGTTCAGCGTAACTTCGTCTGCGTTCCGTCCCCTCTCCAGGGCACGTTCTCGCTCTCAACATCATCTCAATGGGCAGGGTGACCTGAATGCGTTGAACTCGCCGTCGACGTTGTCTGTAAATTCAATATCTGCACCGTTGACACATACCTTGGTGAAGACGGCGATGACGTATCCGAAGGCAGGTCCAACGCCGGAACAGCTGAAGTTGATTAGTTCAAGAGACAGCTTCGCTAGATTTGGTGTCCCTTACGGACCTGATGCTATCGCATACGCGGCCAGTCATTCGAGGGTTGATCTATCCCTAGGCCCACCTCCAGAATTCGAAGAGGTTGCCCGCTCAAACCACGCAGGTCCTTCTGGTTTGAGGAATGAAGATTCTCCCAGTCCTGAATCTGATGAGGAGGATATGCCGGTGACAGAGCGCCTGGCCGAACAACCAAGTGTTACTGTATCACCTTCTGACCCGGCTTCTCAAGCTGCCGTAGTAGACGGTTCTTCTCCTTCACAAGTGGACGAGCAGTCTGCACCGACACAATTATCGGAGGGACTGCCAGTAGCACCTTCACCAACTCCGTCAGTCCAACATCCACTCCAGACCGGGGCGTCACCGCCTTCTGCATTCAAAGACCCAACTTCTTCTTCAACACTTGCTAGAGCCGAATCTCGTGCCAGTTCTTATTTATCATTCGCTACGGCTGAAGAATCTCTTCACTCCTCTGGCGACTTTGTACATTCTTCCCCCACATCTAACTCTGCGACACCTGCGATACCTCATCTCACTGTACCCGGTACTACACCGACGATTGTCATTCCCCACGATGAAGATGACGGCGCAGTTGGAGTGAGGGTGGAGTCGGACATAACATCAAGTACGACTGCACCTCTCACCCCTCGCATGAATTCACGACATATTCATGAAGACACGGACATGACTATTACTCCTTCACCAGAATCTCCTGTTACCGGTTACGCTATATGACATTGATATGATGCTTCACCTAGCCTGTTTCCTCTGTACTCCTTCCCTACAACCCTCACCTCCATCTTTTTTTCCGACTGACCTGCGGTCATCATGCACCATTACCTACATCTCGCACTTCTCATACCTTTTATCTCTCGCATTGATCTCGTACTAAATCTCTTTGCATTGCTGCATTTCTTTGTTTCGTTAAAGTACACTCTCATTATGTACTAATTGTGACATTCCAAGTTCCCGGATATGGAGATCCTGGTTTTTGCTTTCCATTCCGTTTGCACGTTTTGGTTCTTTCTCAATCTACTATTCTTCAGTCCTTTGTCTACTGGGTCGGACTACAGTTTTGAATATATTCAAAATCGCAATGCTTTTATTATAAACCAATTTGTGATCGTGTTTCGAGCTGTGAGGTCGATCGCGCGTCTTCTGAGCCAGGAGAACGCTCTCGAAACTTTACCACAATCTCACTGAAATGAGAGCTCAACGTTATTCGTCTCGTTTCTCTCAACAAGCTGCACACTCGACGCGGACTTGAACTCAAGCAGTGCAGTCAACCTTAAATACGACAATGTCAGACTTCGTCCTGCGAGAAGCACCTTCCGAAACGTCACCTCGCGTGAAGCCACAACCGAAATCTGGTTCTTCTGCAATCCCCGTTCCTTTCGAATACACTCCAAGTGACGATGGCACGGACGAGAACTTGCTTATTCTTCTTCATGGACTTGGTGAGTACTATCATGATGTCATGCATGTATTCCGGACTGATTTAGGACTCCATCAAAGGTGATACTCATGCGCCCTTCGCGAAGCTTGGTCGCCAATTGAAGCTACCACAGACAGCGACCTTGGCGTTAAGAGCGCCAGAGCAGTACGTGATATCGAATAAATTTTCATACTAGTAGATGTTCATCCAACTCGATCGCTGGCAGGATTCCACTTCTATACGAACAAGCCTTCCAATGGTATACTTCCTTCGATCCTCTAGGCGAACTCATCGATAGGCCCAATCCCACTCCAGCTCTGGAACTCCTATCTAAAGTAGTCAAGCATCTTACGGAAGATTGCAAATGGCCTCCGCAGCGCATACATTTCTTCGGGTTTTCACAAGGTGGAACTGTCGCAGCGGAGTTTGGCTTGAAGTGGTGGAAGGAGGAGTGGGGGAAGCGAGTCAGGTGGGAGAAGGAGAGGGACACACAGCAGACGAAGGGAAGCCAGAATACGGAGCCAGAATATACCCCTAGGACTCTGGGGTCTATTGTCACCGTATCAGGCCCTCTGATCTCTTATCCTACACTCACGCAGCCATGCACAACACCACTATTTCTAGTGCACCGTCCCGCACCTTCACCGGAGGCCTTACCATCCAGTGCAATCGCCGCTTTCAAGAAGGGGTATGGCCACTTTGTCGAGGTGAAGCTGAGTGCTAGAGGCCAGGGTATGCCGTCAGGGAAAGAAGAGATGGAGCCGGTCATGAAGTTTTGGAGTGAACGTCTGAGTCGGAGACAGGTTGAGGGGCTGTACGAGGTCGTGAGTGGTGCAGCACCGATATGACTAGCAGCCAAGGAGTCTTCTATGCGGTATGGTTCAACTGTTATATGTTATCTCATTCGTCGAGTCCCTTCTGCGTTAATGGCAAGCATTCATTGAATTCCGTAGCTGGAAATTGGAACAAGGGCAACTCACGGATGGCTGAGAATACGTGTGCTCTACGAACCTACCATAGGTATTCCGTTACCACTACTACTAGAGTGAGGCAGAATTCGGCCGATCTCAACATACCACTGTGCTACTACCAACTTATGGTGGAAAACCCGCGACTTTAAGGGGTGCGGGATATTAGTCGCAGGCCAGTCGACCCAGTTTAATTTTTCTTACATGTTATCGCAGAGACACCCACCCCTCTAGCACACCGGGTCATACCAAACGACCTGTGTGAACGTCGAGGGTTTGGGAATGGGACTACACCAACAGCAGCCGGCAGCCTGTAGTAGTACCGAATCTGTTCTTGCAGACTTGCCATTCTAGGATGAGTCGGCTTTTGCCTTATCTCTACCTAACGTGTTTTCCGGCCAATATTTTTCTTTCTTCTTTCTACGACATGCAGCAGAACCGAAGCCGCGACACTCGTTCCGCACAGAGCATGCCAGTTTGGCTGCTTTCATTCACGAGTGGGCTAAGGTCTGAGTATTCTATTCCCCTAGATCGACTCTAGCCGGGTCCGACCATAACGGTCTCAGCGGCAACCAGCAATCCACAATCTTTCTTTCCATAACCCAAAGATTCGTGAAATGAGGAGGGTGAAAGGAAGGTGGATGTCAGGCGCGTACGTACGCCATGTCATCCAGTTTGGAAGCAATGTCGCGGGAATTTGGGTGCGTTTCCTGATTACATGCTGTCTCGCTTGAAGTCCCTCTATTCGTGCCATTCCGTGTTCGTTCACGGTCTATAAAAACAATGTTATCACTCCATGTAATGTCTCATGGAAGTGTGGGTTGTGTGGCCACTTTGCATAGACGGCCCCTCCCTTAGCGGTGTGGATCTGACTTCCACATAACAAATGGTCATGAAGTAGTTCAATAGGGCTTACACTTAGTGAGATTCCTCTTATGAACTCTGTGGTGTTCATTCACTGCCTTCATACACCTCCGCTTTCCTGACAAGGATTGACGCAACGTGACTGTTCCGGTTTTCACAATGCTTGGTCCGTCCCTCAAAGACTTGACTCATCAATGCCTAGGCAAGTGGCTTATGCTGCGGCCGATGATGGGGTTGATGCATACCAGGTCAACACGTCGTCGTTGACTTGCGGAGAAGATACGAGATACTTTTGTGTACATATCATGGTGTTAGGCAGTCTCTGACTCCTAGGATTCAACCGCCGGGCATGCGAGGAGAGACTAGAGATGGCGTGTAAACTCGGGATTTTGCTTATCCCTTTAGTGCACTTCGCGGCGCGTAGGTGTAATATGTCAGCCTTCGTGGTTGGCTCTTATGGCCGCGTAACTCGATTCAGACTACTCCTGTTCTGCTGTATGCGTTCGTAATTTTTCCCTCTTGTTGAAATCTCTTCGCGAGATTTCCCACTCCGAAGTACTCTTCCTGTTCAGGTATGTGATTTTCTTCTCCATCTTGTTGCAATTATTGAATTTCTTTGCAGGCGTAGTAGCTTTCATTCTTCCATGTATCATTACTACTGCGACTGCATTGCATATTACATGACCGTGTCGCCTCTTTTGTGTAAAGCCACATTGATGCGTTTCATGCCCACATGAATGAACTAAAGGAGCGAAGTTCACCATTTCCCCTGGTATGTGACAAACCCCATTCTACGTAGCATTTGTGAGCGCCTCACGTCACGTATAGTCAGACAGAGATATCCATTCGCTAACGGCTACTACTAGGACTTCTTGTATGGTCCCTATGTTCTGTCTACATGATCTATCAAGAAGGAACTGGAATACGGACAAAATGAATCAGAGCTGTGCGAATGTACGACCGACCCCCTGCTGCAACTCTTGCTTGATTCTCGCCTGGAATGTATCAGCAATAGACTTATCCAACCTAAATGCTGCTTCAATACCACCATCCAACGAATGATCCCACTTGCCTTCTCCAACACCCTTGGCACCATGCGCACCGTTCTCCCCTATCCAAGCAGGATTCGCAGGGAAGATACGTATATACCTCTCGATCACAGAACTCGTGTGGAACCTCGTATACTTGGTGTCGGCCCACTCCGATCCAGATTCATAGAAATCTCCGCATTTGCGCCAATTAACCGCATGACTGGAGTTGAACGTGATTTCGCGGTCTGTTATGGGCAAGATGTACTGGTATTTCCCCTCCTGGTAACAACGGCGACAGAGTTCGCTGTGCCACTGCAAGTACGGTGCGAGAAATTTGGGGTCGCGCGATTGGTTTGTACCGGCTCGGATACTTGATGCGATGGTGGCGAGACAACGGTCGAAATGGAGTTCTTTGTCTCGCGGACCTGCGTTTGGTGGGAGAGGGGGAAGCGTAAAAGATGGACAAGTGAGTGTTATAGCGCAGTTCCCGAACATAGCAGTCGGGGCGAAAGCTGGGTTTCCTCGATAGTCAATTGTGTTGACGATCGTATCCACCTTCTCTTGCTCAGGATGTACCTCTCCCAGAACTCGATTATAGTGCAACACGAGATACGCAATGGCTACATCGACTTTACCGAGCCTACCTGTCTTGGAATCAGGCATAGCAGATACTGCACGTTTTGCCAAAAGTTGCAGTTGTTCTGCCGTGAAGGATATGTACACTGGAACGGTACGTGTTTCGCTTGCCATCAAGGCTGGGACGAGCTCTTCCAGCGGTTTGGCATCGCGAAGATGTTTCATCAATGGAAGAATCTTGTCTGCTAAGGCAGGGTCCGATGGTGGTGGCGGAAGGAAGACTTTGGTTATGGCAGGTAGGGGAAGGGAAGATGTGCTCTCGCCACGGTAGAAATGGGCCAAGTATCGCATGAACAAGTTCATTGTGAATCCATCTCCTGGATAAATTCAAAGCCACAAGGGTTAAGTCTCCGGGAATGTCATTGTAGAAGGCGGATTGTGACGTACCGAGTGCATGAAGCCAGGCCGCGGTGTAGATCATTTGGCCGGTCTTATGCAATCTGGTGAACTTGAAGCGAAGCAACGGTTCGTCGCTGTCAATCGTCTCCTGAGGGATTTGGTCAATCCAAGGTTCCATCTCTTCCGGGTGAACCACTAAGATTATTGTTAGGTGAGCTGAGTCCCCAGCCTCCTGGACACAATATGTTACTTACCAACGTTGACCATAGGGAACCGCTCGGTGGTGTAATCATCCACCAGAGAAACAGTGATTCCATTGTTGTTCAACTCTAGGTAGATGTCACCCTTTCCCGAAGCCGTGTCTGGTTTCTTGCGCAGACGACCGGCGGCTGGGGGAAAGATGCTTAAGGTCTTTGCTAAAGCTTGTTTCCACTGCTCAATGTCGATGAACGTCGGTAATACCCATAAACCTTGCATCTAAAGGTAAAACGTCAACGGTGGTTAAACAACTCTGTTAGGAAGTCAAATTATACTGACAGTGAATGACATGACTAGGGTGTCTGTTGGCGGGTACAGTAGCGTCTTCTGGTCCCCACACCGCGTTGGAAGCATCGGGCGAACGACGCAAGTTTGTACAGACATAACTTCTGCGCAAGGATGGAGGCGTGGAGGGGGTACACAGGTGAGTTAGGTTTCCACAAGCTTGATTCGACCTGTCTGAGATCATCACAGGTCCCTGCATAAAATCAATTCGCTCCACACTCCAAGTTGTCTTCATTCTCACAATATGCCAGAGAACCATCTTGGCAGAGTGGTTTATTGCAGGAGATAACAGCGTTAGATTGCTCCCGGGGATGCGGATCAAGCGCTGATTTACGTGCGTAGATGCTTTTGAAGGGGGTTGCATGCGCTGCGTGGTGCGTGATACTACCCTTCCACGCAGAACCAATGTAATTGAGCTTGTGCAATATGACTTGAATAGTGTTCGGTGATTCGGTGTGCCCCCCTCGGTCTGGCGGGTTCCTGTCATAATCCGACTTCCTTCATATCTGGTGAGAAGGTCCCGACGGACGATCGGAAGCGTATTGTTCGATGAATTCGTATGACACACTAACGTATGACACTTTCAAGTCTAATACCCACGTCGTCAATAGGCGAAGGGGGCGGTGGAGGTCGGAGTCCAGGGTGATGACCCGTGTTTAGATTACCCCAGTCGTCACTCACTTGGTGGTTGACTCGGTACTTACCACCCACTTTCTTGGTGAAGGGTACATGCTTTGCCTTTCATAGCGTTGTTTGTTAATACGTCACTTGCTATTGGTTGGTTTTCAAGACGTACCATGTATAGAGAGAGGATCTGCGAGACGGAGCGCCTTCGAGTCAACATTAACTGAAATATCCAGTACTGTATTCTGTTGGTTTTGCGGCGTCCTGAGCGCAATTATGGGAGCTGATCGCTTGCATTATACAGTAAGAAAGAACTCATCGATAGGCTGAGGTAGGCTGAGGCGTAAACAACTGGAAATGATTCTTTGGAAATGTCGCTTGAGCCAGTGCCACAATGCTGTCGGGATCGATCACCACCGATCAATCCCATCACTGACGTTTCTCCGACTTTGACCACGGTCACTGGGGAAAGCTTGAGCCTGTCTGGCATCTTTACGCTACTTCTTTTTACTACTGGAACATTATGACTGCTCTCACTACATCTAGTCGTTTCATGCACACACTCCGTTCGCGCATTTCTCCTCGAGCGCTGTCCTCCGTAAACTATTGGTATCCAAGACTTATGACCACCACGGCAACACGTCCTTCGGCTCTATCTTCCTCGCGGCATCAATGCCCACGTTCATTGAGACCACGAACTCTTCATGATGCTTCCTTACGTACTTCTCTACAAAAGCGACATCAATCTTCCACTTCCCCAGCTGCTGCAACTCTCCATGACCCTGAAAGACCAGATCTCTACTACCACCTTTTCGAACCACCTCATGCATTGTCACATTCCCATCCAGTATTCGCATTATCCTTCCTTGATGAACCACCAGTGGACGTGCTTAGCCCTACGGTCATTGGTTGGTTGCCGGTGCTTTCTGAAGGCTCGCAAGGGTTGAATGACTTTACTGAAAACGGTTAGCGTTGGTCGCTTTTACGCTTGTGTGAAAGCTGAATTCTCTGTGTATCAAAGCGGCGTTCGTGGAGCTCTTGCAGGAAGCTGTTCGGAGTGGATTGAAGGATGACGTCGATGATATTCAAAGGAACGGCGCGATTCAAACACAGGAGGGCTGGATGCACATTCATGGTATGTTCTACGTGATATTTATTATTATCATTATTTGACAGTGATACATCCTTGTAGACGAACGGAACCCTCCTCCCCTGGGTCGTATTGGTGATCCCGATGATATCATTGGCTCGGTGAGGATCGAGGGTGGCAAGGTAAGCAAGACGTTGGGCACTTTGTTTGACAATTCACTTATAGACTGCATTCGATTTTTTTAGGTTATGGCGGATACCTACCAAGCAATGCCATCCTATCGAGTCTGCACATCCGACGGAGTCCTTCGTCTCACCGAAGGTCTTGCAAATCGACTGAAGGAACTGCTAGAACGTGAAGCCAAGGCGGAACGATCATAAATGCCATGGTTTATCCTTCGCCGGTGGCCAGGAGAGGGAGACTGAAAAGTACCAGCAGAATACTCTATGATTACGCTAAAGAATATATCCTAATCACGTCTACAATACATCGAATCGTCCTGATTCCTCACACCATATTAACACAGATTGCTGAACTCGCATACATAACGGAACCAGGAGCGAAGCACAGGACTAACTCTCTAATGTAGGCGGATGAACACGTATCGGAGGAGGTTGTGGTGGAAGGTTTGGAAGTTCCATGACGGTGTCAATCCATGCGAGTCCCCAAGCTCCATTACCCACTTTCGTACCTCCCAAGACTGGCTTGCGGTCATCGACGACTTCCCACCTTGCCGATCTTGGTTGAGTATCGTGTCGATCTGTGGGTGCGAAAGTTGAATGAATGATCTAGTTGTGTCAGTTGAAACAGCGAAACACGCACATAGGACAACTCCAGTTTGAGGCTCGTAAATACCCAGCGGCAAAGGTCCATCATCAAACCGTCGTTTCTTGCGCAACCTCCTATCACCTTCTGGTCCCGCTGGTCGTTTCATGCCGACGACACCACCTTCCTCCACGACGTTGACATCAAATTCCATCTCACCACCCCTTTGCTCACTTGCCGGCTCTTGAGGCGGCTGAAGTTGCTGAATTCCACCACACACCTTCAAATTATCCCTCCTCAACTTCGCCCACTCCGCACCGTCCTCAGCCGTCCTCAACGCAGCAATGGCCATCCAATTTTCCTCGTTTAGCCCCTCCCTATTCAGTAGACTCTTCCTAACAGCGTTCAGAGGTCCATCACTGTATGGACCCCAACCACTACCGCCGAAGAGCGTTGTAGGCCCGCCAGGTCGATACATGCTGGTAGGCGGACCGATACCAAGGGGACCAGCTTGAAGCTCTCGTGCAGCTGCTTCTGCTGCTGCTGCAGCTTGTGTAGGTTCGGAGAGGTCGCCTACGTAGTCTCCTGGTTTGAGACCTTTTTCTGTGACTTCAGCAAGGACTTTGTCTTCGTAGTAGTCATCTACCACCCAACGACCGCCTGCACAACGTAACTGTCAGCATCCATACCATCGTGTGGAATCACTTGAATACTGACCGATGACCATTTTGGACCCATGGAGTTTGAATGCGCTTCTGGCGGTGATGAGGGTGACGCTCCTAGTTTTAAGATGACTACCGAGTTTCCCTTCCTCGATGAGGTGATCTTTCTCCCATTGTGTTGCGTTGAGCTTCATGGCAAGTGGGTTCCGACGGAAGTAGTAGAGTGAATCACGGAACCCGGATGTTCGTGCAGCGTCGATGGCGAGCATGTATTGTCGTGTAGGGTGGCGATTGGGGAGAGTGAATGTGTGCGCTTTGAACTTCCGTCCTGCATAATCCAAAAGTTTTCGTAAGATGTCAACGAACGAGAAGGAAATGGGCAGCACGACTCACCACCTAAGAGATTCCCATCCTTGTCAATCTTCTCATCTCCCTTTGGATCGTCGTCCGTGACCAACTCATCGCCCTCAATAATATAAACCTTCCCTTGGACAGTTTTAAATGGTTTGCCACCTCCCATGGGCTCCTCCGCACCAGCCGCCTCCAGGGCAACAGCTTCGCCTTCACCCTCCTCGTGCGAAGCCAACGCACCCTCTTCACCCTCTTCACCAGTCCTTCTTGGCAACTTGATAGTAAAGGATCCTCGACCCCTACCCCTACCTCTTCCCCCACGCGATCCCCTCCCACGAGCTCGAGGTGTCCCGCTTCCTCTAGGTCTTCCACGCGGTCGACCACCTCTTCCCCTTCCTCTCCCCCTTGGTGCTTTCTCCACTTCCACTTCCGCTCCCGCTTCCACCTCCTCACCCTCATCTGAAGGCACAGTCGACCCTTCTGCCGGTGTGCTCGCATTGTCTCCTGCACCCTCATCGTCAGCAGCTTCGACGTCTTCTTCATCCTGTTCCTCTCCGGCTGCCGGAGTTTGAGAAGCAGAAGGGAGGAGACTCGAACTGGCAGCCTCGTTAGAGCCCGCTTCGACTTCCTCCGGTTCTTCGTTGTCTTCTTGAGTGGTTGCGGTGGGTGCAGGTGAACTTACCTCACTCTCCACTACTTGTAGTCTTGAACGAGGCGTACGTCCACCTCCCCGTGCGGCGCCTCCACGCCGTCGTGCGGGAGGCTTGATTATGATTCTCGCGCTAGATGATTTCGGTGGCATCTCGAGTTTCGGTGTTGACTAATGGTGCTATGGATTGCGTGTCGTTGTAGTCACTGTAAGAATTGCACGGTAAGGCTTCGTTGACCTATGACAGAGTCTTGTCTGGGGCTTGTTTGAATGAGTACAAATGCAGGGTCAGTCTTTCGTGAACAAGACGCGTCGAAGCTAGGAAAGCAAGAGAAAGTGATCGGATGAGCGCTTAGAACGCGAAACGTGACAAGGTAGCCGTAAATGGAAAGTCACACTCTTGCGTTGGCGCTTCCCTCTGGCTCAATACGTGGTTCATTTACCACGAAGAATCGATCTCAAGAATCGCTCCTATCGATTCTTGATCGTCGTTGAACGTTGAGGTCGTCGTTGAGGTCGCTCCCGTCCTTGAACACAGAGAGTATCACGCATAGGCAAGCTGAAAACATGCCAGCTGCCTCATCGTTTTTGCAGGCCATTCATTTGGCTCCACACGGCGCGCAATACGACCAAAGCGCAGGAAGAAGCATTTTCATAAGGGTCAACCGCAACTACGGCGCACTTTGGACCTTCCGACAAACACGATACAAAAGCATTTGACATCTATGGAACTATATAGTACAAGATGAGGCAATTCAAGAAAATGAAAATTAGGTAAGTACAATGTCCTTTGCTTTCGAGTACTACCGGTGTTCTGCAAAACGACTACCACCCCGTTAGGTATAAACAGTCACGGGCAAGAGGGGATGGCTCCTGAAATCCCCTCAACTCCACTCCCTTCTCCAGTATAGGAAGGTCCTCATCGTCGTCCGCGAGTGTCAAAGGCGAGAGCGGGGGTGTGGACGACGGAGTGGGTGGCGAAGTGAGCTCATCGCCATCGATGAAGCCATCCTCCAACCAAGGGAGACGGAGCGCGCGGAGGACGAAGTCGTCTTCATCCTCGTAGAGTGATGGGGCCGTTGCCACACTCGACTGTGACACCACAAGCGTCGCAGAGTGAGCCAGAGGGCAGAAAGGTGCTGGCCTCTCTGTTAGCAATGGCTCTCTCTTTGATGTTTGTGGTTGCACCATCGGACTTGGCCACTCAATGGTCTCATTCACAAGGCTGGGATCATCGGCTAACCAGAGTGGCATAGCAGGGAGGGAGATGGCGTTGCCAGTGTCATACAACGCGAGGGGAGTGTAAGGGCTCTTACGAACCGGAGCCGGTGTGAAATGGATGGGTGTGGTCGCTGGTTCCTCGCTGTCACCAAAGGGGTCAAAACGGAAGGGGGGAGAAGATGAGGGAGGTGGCCACTGGAAGATGTCGTTGGCCGTGGTGCGTCGCACGGGCTTCTGCGCGAAAGCGAAGCGCGATGATTCTTTCGGAGGGGTGTAGGTCCAGTAGTGGGGAGTGTGGCGTTTGTCGGTAGGGAACTGCTCATCGGACGTGGTGGCCCCTGATGAAAATCGACCAGCAGGGAGCCCGGAGGATGAACGACAAAGTATGTTTGGCTTAAGACAGGTAACGGTAGTCTTGTTGCAAATGCATAAAGAAAACAAGTATGCTACGGATTCGTGTACACTACGATCTACATAAGGTTCATGCTCCGACCGCTAATCTCCATGAGTCGCCGAAGCGCCCAATTTACAACACACCCACTCGCTAAAGGCGACGAATAACAAAGTCACCCACTGAATGAGATAACACAACAAACAACAAAAATCAACCTATCCACAACCTACATATCCAGCATCTTCCAGCGACTGACCCTCCGAGTAAGTGACCCAACAATGAGTTCCGCCAAACTCCTACTTGCCACGTCGGCATGATCTGAATCCTGCAGTCGAGCGATAGTTGTCTAGAACAACTGAAGTCCAGGGTAATGAGGGTCCGTGAAGGCCATCTTCACATGAACATCATCCTCCAAAGCAGTGTCCTCGACTGGAGCTGAAGCACGACAATAACGAGCAATGTGACCGAGTTTCAAGCAACGATGGCACTTGGGAGAGGAACCACGATTATTGGTGGAATACTTGGGCTTACGTGTGCTGACATTCAGAGCACCAAGGGCACCTTCGGGGGTGAGCTTCTTCATCTGCTCCTCAGCCTCAATGAGGCTAGCAGTGATGTCGGCAATGGAAGGGGAAGAAGTCGATTGCATGAGGGAAGTCGCAACAGCAGTGTACTCAGGTGCGAGGGCGTAGATAAGGACATCGGTGACATCTTCATCCTCAACGGTGACGCCAATGGCCTTGAGTTTGCTGACGATGGTGGTGATACCAGTGACATACTCGATGATGGGGTTCTCAATCTCATGGGAGAACATGTAGAACTGACGCTTGAGCATGATGCGCGTAGCGCGACCATTCCGCTCGTAAATAGCGGCAAGAGCCTTCCAGGCTCCAGGACCAGTGTTGCACTCACGAATGTGCGCCGTCTCGCTCTGCTCCACAGCAAGCCCGATCGCAGTGAGACCATCCTCAGATAGCGAATCCCAGATCGCAGCCTTCTTAGGGTCATCATCTGGATGTAAGAGTTTGCCGCTAACAATGTGCCAGCAGCCGGCGCGACGGAGAATCATCTGCATGGCGAACTTCCAATCATAGTAGTTCGACCCATTGAGTTTGATGATCGAGGCGATGAGCGAATTGATGTTGGTAGACATGAGAAGCGATGTGTGGGAATGAGTGACCGAATGAAGGAAAGGAATCCACCGGGCAGCTTGTATAGCCTACAAGCGGGCGATGCGTTTGTGATGAAAATTGACCAGCAGGGAGCCCGGAGGATGAACGACAAAGTATGTTTGGCTTAAGACAGGTAACGGTAGTCTTGTTGCAAACGCATAAAGAAAACAAGTATGCTACGGATTCGTGTACGCTACGATCTACATAAGGTTCATGCTCCGACCGCTAATCTCCATGAGTCGCCGAAGCGCCCAATTTACAACAGCCCCGCCGACGGAGCTCGCGTTACAGTCCTCCCATGTGGGGCCACCAATGTCCTTGACCTTCATCAAGGTTCGTGTCAGTCGTTGTTCTGTATGTATGTGTGGCCACAACTCACCATGAAGGCATCAAAGCCAGCGAGCGAGGGTGAAGTCTGAGTGGCCATCGTGGCGTAAACTGATTTCGAATGTGGAGAATTGTAGTGGGTAGTGCAACACAAGTAGCAGAACCTTGGATGAAGAGCGGTGGTGAGTGCAAGTTCTCTCGTACGAGGGAATGGTTAACAAAGGCGGTGGATGCAGAACGAGGTGCAGAAGGGGGCGCAAGTACCCTCCCTCCTTATATAGGCGTACCCTTTTGGGATCAACGCCACTCGCGTCGCGACTCATGTGACCGCGAATGATTCCACATGTTCTGAGTTGAGTGCGACTTTTCGATAAGAACGACCAACCCGTCTACTAGCTTTTAGGCTGAACGGAAGAAACGATCTGGTAGAGCCTGTCAGCAAGCTCCGGATTCATTGTTTGACTATGGGTATCGATCAATCAGGGAGCACTCGGTATAGTAGCGAAACTCAATTTGGACTCTAACGGCTCACTCCAAGGGGTGACGCCGATTTGGATCTTTGACCTTGCAGATGCTACGCGAGAACGTCAGCCGTGACACGGCCGAGATTGGCATCAAGATGTCTCATCGTCGTTTGAAAAAATGTGTTTAATTGTATATTATTCAAAAAGTACTTGTGTACACAGCAGCCAGGCTGCCAGACTGATGTATTCAAGTTGTTGACATGTCCTGGTGAACATTACATTGATCTCTAGATATACTACCAGATGAAGTTAGTTATATACTCATGGCACAAGCTCGAGGGACATAAGAATAGTGCGGAGAATGTAAGTCATAGTGCATTGAAGGCCTATCCAATAAGCTTAAGTACTCGAAAATAAACTGCAGATGAACTAGTAAGGGATTGGAGAAGAGGTCTGCAAGGCAAAGAGAGCGGAGGCACGAGAGGCCAGAATTATTCGCGTGGATGATTCTCAGCACACCACATTCAGCTACAAGTTTGAGGGAAAGTCGGCCAGACCAATCATCCTGGAGTGCAAAACCAAGCCAGACGAAGAGAGAATGTAGGAAGTTGCAACCACTCAGTGTATGCAGAGAGATATTTGTTGACTGTAGACTGAGTGCGCATTCTCACATCGCTGCGTAAATATTTCACTGAAAGTCGAGGGCCGCGTTCAAAGTGCCAAGACGGAGAAAAAATATCTGCGACGATCGCATGGATCCTGCTGATAAAACTGAGATATTGCAAAGTAGTGCAGCAACACTGCTGCAAGGTTAGATGTCGATTAGACCGTAGCTCATGGAGGTGGACTCGTAGGTTTTGAATATGCAGCACGCGAAACATGAAGATACGATCGGACGCGACGCATTTGGGACTTGTCAAATTACATAATATGCCGCCAGCTCTTTCGTCGTCTTTTCACGCAAGACTCATTTCTCAACACCTACGGACAAAACAGATATCAATCCAAATGTTTTTAAGGCTTCTGAGTCCGAATATGAGCTCGGAAATACGACACAACGCAGAGGGAAAGAGTACCTGCTGTCCCCAGCGCTTTCTGAGCACAGCTATTGATAGCCTTTATGACCTGCCTCAAGCGAGCAAGGTCAAAGATCCAAATCGGCGTCACCCCTTGGCTCACTCTAAAGGCCTGAAAATGAAGAGAGCGCACCGCCACTGATCTTGTAGCCGGAAAAATTGAAAATACGTCTGTCTGGCCGGGGTTAGGTGCACAGAGATGACCCTTGTTCTGCATCATTTCTCGTCCATTCTGAATGGGAAAAACACTAATGTAATAGTCTTAATGAGTCCTTTCATATGTGCACATTCTTGCCTGAAGGTATCGAGAATGCCAGAGTGACTTCAACTCGAGGGATGATCCCATGCGACCGACATTGATGGCGGTGCTTCGGCAGTCATCGGCATCCACGCCAGCATATGTCCGTCAGTGTTTAGAGTGAGCTGTTAGAGTCCAAATTGAGTTTCGCTAGTGTATGTTACCTTTGACAATCGCGTCGTTCTTTTACGGTCCTCCCCTTGCTAAAATCCCAACACCTCGCGTACGGCGATCAACGATCACGCTGAAGGTGTACGACGGGCTCTTCCGGGGGAGATGAACGGAACCGGCGTGGAGCTAGGTCTGAAGTATTTCATCGATATCTGATTCGCACGGGACGGGACGGGCTGGTTGACGAGGTTGCTCGTATGCTCTGCCGTCATCAACGCAGTGGAGGGGCCAGACATGAAGTGAGTCTTCTACCACTAATTAAATACATACTCTCTTAATGACGTGTTTTCTGGTGGGATGGATAGGGCTGGTGGGGTTGTTCTCGAAACATCCGAGTTTAGACGTGCACCCTTCGATCGAGCATGCAAATCTGTTGGGGGTACTGGCCGGATTCAAACCCGTTGTGAGCCCCCTAATTCTGAGAGGATCTTCCCTATGCACTCATCTTGGGGCACTCTGCGGATGCTGTCCAGATTTCTGCACAAATCGTCACATTTACTATGGCGGGGACATTGAGCACAAATGCAGTACGGGGACATCAGTCATCGCAATATCCTACTGCTTGCGGACGGTTGTGTAGTTTGGGTCGACTTCGACGCCTCCAAAAAGATCTCATACGGTCTGATTCTATTTCCGAGTACATCTGCGTCTGGGCGTGCAGACTTTGCTATTCAATCTGGCTATTGGGCTTGTCACCTACAAATGTACATGTGAAGGTCTCGACGCACATTCCGACAAGGAACATAAGTGGGTATCATCGTCACCGAACAAAACGCTCTACGAATCAAACTTGATGTTACTTCCTCAGTTGAGGCGAGATTAATCTCAAATTGTTTGAATCTTCCGTCGCAAACTCATTTCCGCCGTTACGCACTGTTCTTGCATCCTGAAGTGTTATCTTTATCACAGTCATCACGCTCGAGCATGAGATCAGTCTGAGGCGCTCCCGTTATTATTTACTTTTCTTAATAAGTAAGTATTGTACATCATCTCCGTTGCCCGGCACACCTGGACACGATCACTTGTACCGTGCACTGAGTACTTTGAATGGGTTCTGGATGCGGTAGACCTCCAGCCCTGGTCGGGCTCGGTGAGCTGCCCGTCGAGCTCAAAGACCAGAGCCAGACTCCAGAGTCTGCAGACTCTGATACCCTCGACCCTCTTCCGCTAACGTCAACATATGCAAGCCCTGTTGCACACCGTGGCGTACAAGGCTATCCTGCACTTCGCCACCGCCGCCAATCCGTATCATCTGCTCTCAGCCACCATACCTCAATCCAGACTGCAGCTTCTCTCGCTTCAATCGACAGACCACCTTCACGCACGTCGTCACCTGACGGAAAGCTCCCCGCAGCAAAAGTATACCACCCATTGTCACCTCACGTCCTTGCCTTGTTGATGCCCGCATCGGTATTCGGAGTCTTGGCGAGGTTGGGTATTCAAGCGTTAGTGGGGTATGACGGTAGGAGCATCTTCCCGCTTGCCTGGGTGCAGGTGATGGGATGTGTGATTATGGGATTCGGAGTAGGTATTAAGGATCCACTTGGTCAGTTGTAAGCTCATCTACTTGATATTTGAAGTACTTGATGGTTGATCGCGTGTAGCTATGGTTCCCTGTATACTGCATTAACTACCGGATTCTGTGGATCGTTGACCACATTTTCTGGGTGGCAGCTAGATGTCTTTCAATCATGGTTACATGTTGATCAGGAGCCTAGGGACTGGTTGCGTGATGTCAGTGTTATCTTCCTCTGGTATAGCGATGTCTGAATTTCGACGTAGGTCATAGATGGCCTGACGAGGAGTTTATTTACGCTCGCACTATCACTCGCCGCCGTCATGTTCGGCTTTCACTGTGCATCAATTCTGCGAAGACGCATCCTACCACCGATCCAATTAGCCCCACCACCCCGCATAGTTCGCTATAGCGTATCGGTATTGGGAGTACTAATATATGCAGCAGCATACCCTGCATACTTTGAATTACCTGCAAAGTTCTGACACCAAGCAACAGCGGCGCTGTTGTTTAGCTTTCCAGGTACCTTGTCACGCTACCTCTTGTCGATATACCTCAACCCAGCCCTGTCATTATTTCCACTGGGTACGTTCACAGCAAACATGTTCGGCACGGCATTGCTGGGTGTGTTCCATGTCCTGCAAGGACTCAGAAGTCCGCTTAGCCCAAGTGCTTGTGCGGTGATGCAAGGCCTCGCGGATGGGTACTGCGGTTGTTTGATGATGCTAAGCACATTTGCGGTGGAAGTGATAACATTGGAAGAGGAGAAGAGTTGGTTCTATGTCGTGTTGAGTTGGGTGACGGCGCAGCTATTGTTGTTGGTGATTTTGGGTCCGTCATACTGGGCCGGCAACGCAAGTGAACAGACCACATGTATTTTCTTTTCGTAGCGTTTGTAGCTAGTAGCTAGGTATTTCGGGACGAAAAACATTATATCCTTATATGCGACTGAATGTGCAATTCTTGACAGTAACTAGTTTCTCCCTGAAAGGGTCAGGATCTGTTGTGCGCCGTTGTCGCTGTTTCATTACACTTTTGTCATCGCAATTACTCAGACTGCGTGCCGATGGAAAACTTACTGCTCGCTTCGACTTGCTACAGTGGGGAGGGAATCATGACCCACAGAGAACTTGAAAGCTTGTTACACCCGTGTTACAGCAAGGTCCAAACCACGAAGCTGACGGTAACGCATTGATCTGGACAAGGGTATAGGCTGAATCCTTGTGCAACTCGTGTAGGATAATGAGTGTTGAAAATAGCAGGCAAGACCTAAGTCGTTGTAGACTCCACCGTCCACTGGAATGACCCAAGTCAGCATCACGGCGGGCACATACAATTTCGAGACGACACGTGTCATTGTCACACTCCCCGGGTCTAAAGTTCTAAGATTCTACGTCCTTACGTGCATGGGATGTTTGAGAGAATATACAGAGAGTTTAGCGACCATCATAGTCACAGTTGTTGCCGTAGTAGCGCAGGGCGATTCAAGAAATGGCGCTTCATTTCACTCGATCGCGGCGCCTGGCGCATCAAATTTGGGTTTTGTCAATCGATCGTCCACACGTAGGAACGACGACTAAACGGATGTCCGCTCAGCACCAGTGAGGAGGGTACCATGCCACCCCAACCAAGGGAAATAGACCTAAGATATGCAAAATATGAAGCCTCTTGCATACTCAAGATGTTCAACTACTTTTCCATGAGAACAATATTGCGACGAACCCTATTGCGAAAAGGAGTGTTTCTACACCTCACTGCACACCTGGCTTGTATAAGGGATGCTGCATGCTGTATATCTCAGGATTTAAGACGGTACCTATTCTCGCCCTTGAGGTTGCCCTGAAACACATACGTATTTCGATGATAACGATATCCTTCAGACTCAATACTCTTATATAAGGGTGCCTGAGCTGGATGTTTGCGAGTGTAGACCTTACATAGCGTTTGAATATCACGCATTGTCGGTCAAAATGGATGTTCATACGGTCAGGCACTTACAACACGATCATCCTTTCCAACGACGCGATCGGACATGGATGCTGACGGTGGACGTATATAAACGGATCGCACAAAATCATCATTGCAGAAGTACATATTTGATTCGCGACGCGTGTAAAGCCCGACAACTACTCCAACATGGTGGCAAAGCTGGTACTGACGCTTCGTGGACCCAAAGCGCGCGCAAGGCGGAGCGACAAGGCGAAGATACTAAATCTCGAAAGGCCAGCTATGTACGGGGTCAAGAGAGATCCCTATTCCGTAGTCCTGCTGAGTCTTGGGAAACAAGCACCTCATTTGTGCAAGCCTAGCAGTCGGTAGGACGTTTACTCTGCAGGACGTCATAAACAACCACACAGGATCGTATGCGAACGACAATACGTACTGGAACGAGCCCGCATCTTTCGGCGTTTGCGCCTGAGTCTGCGAGATCTCTTCTTTTTCCACTTCTCTCTCATGCTATAAATTCTGACGTTAGCAAACAATGTCTGACACAAATGCTTGCACACAGGGACATGGAGAATACCCACATGTCGTCTCAGGGAGAAGGCCTAAGGAGAGAGGCTCCTGTGGCGAGTCGTGTGAAGTCATGCGGGGGCTTGGTACTGTATAGTTCTGATTAGTAAGCTTCCCTTTCCTGGACTGGTATACAGGCGCCCACAAGCACCGCCAAAGTCACAACTGCTGGCTGTCTCTTTTGGCTTTTTATCCTTTTCTTCTGGACTTCACCATGGCTAACGATGAGCAAACGCAAAAGAGTGCCCGTCGCTGTACACTCCGAGCTTACGGAGTACTCTGCTCTTCTGCGCGCTCTCAGAACTACTGATACACTTGACTTGACCTCACATGTTATCCCTGAAAATGTCCTGAGACGATTCCATACCGAGCGTGACTCGCAAAATCTTAACGATGATGTAGACTCGACCAACGTCGACACGAATATTCTTCCCTCACCATCTCGCGCTCCTTCTGCTGGTCTTCAGTCCGACGCGATGTCTGTGGATGTATCTCCCTCAAGCTCGAGAAGGCCTAGCCACAAGGAGATCACATGGACTAGGTGGCCTTTGCTCGTCGGAGACGTGCATATTCCGGAATTTAGCTTCGAAGATGAAGTTAGGAACATGGCGAAACAGATATTAGAGCTGAAGATGCGGGCGTCGCTGAGACAGGGTCTTCCGGAAGGCCATGTTTTAGCTTCGGAAGCTACACAGACGAACACTGTCAGTGATGACGACTCTCCTAAGGATGCTTCGCCTCCAGCAAGTCCGTCTTCTGCTTCCACCACGCTGGATGCCTCCGAATCTCTCCCTCACCATGTGCTAAATCCTCTATGCCAAGCTACTGCTACACATCTCTCGCAAATTCTGGGTTCGGTCGCAAGTATGGTTCCCGACGTCCATATCTCAATGCAGGATCGATTGAAACCAGTAGATTGGCAAGACCTCTTGGGAATGGTGGGAGAGTGCGGATTTGTCGATCAGTCGATTATCCAACGCGTGCGCGACCGCATGCTCGCTTTGTACCCCGAAGACGAAGCTTATGTAGGTATGGCGCTGTCAGATCTCGTACTTCGATAACCCTTCTCAACATCATGTTATCTTCAGAGGGAAGTTTGCACAATCTCGAGTTTGGTGATATTGCTGCTCGGCATCAGAATAGATGTCTTTCCCAGGTCTCCGATAGAGACTTCGCCTTTCTACAGCCGGACTGGTATGATCCGAAAGCAGTTGGCGTCGCAAACCGGAAACGTAGGTTGTCATGTTACTGTTGTCTTTACCATGTGCTTAATGTTATTCTCTGCAGGGACTGCAAAGAAGAAGGAAGTCGGCGGCTCTCAGACTCCGCGGTCCAGACATAGTCGAACCGACGTTGGAGATGGCGGCATTAGGGCTGATGACTCTTCTTCGGATTCTGCACCATTAGCTGGATGAAACCTCTTTCGTTGATTCTGTCAACTTAACGTCATACGTCCATGAACCTTACTGTGGAAGAGCATCGCATAACAGTCAAATGAGCTCTCAATGCGTCCATCCGTCTTATCCGTGAGTGTCTTGCGTCCTCGAAAGCCGTTTTCGTTCCTCGTTATGATGTTTGAGGCATTTGGCTTTAGCAAGCACGGTTCCGTCGCTTGCGCTGCAGAAAATTCTCGCTACCTAATTTTACACTTCTGAACTTTTCTCTGTTGGCTGTTTTTCGTTTCAATGGCAGAAGCTAATTTTATATTCTTGTTTCCTAGGTCTGATAGCTGCGCTTCCATTTCGACATCATCTACGAATCAGATCAGGTCGTTTCACCGACATAGGCTTTGTTGGTAGATATGGCTCGTTAGGATTCTCAATAAAGAATCGTCTCTTTAAATGTGGTGTCCTTCAGATGATGGTATCTTGCGCTCTCAATGCTTGCTTGTCTGAGTTTCCAGTTGCGACCAATCCGACTTCTCAGGTGTGTTGGCCAGGGCATTCCAGCCCGAGATGACTTACGGAGCTGCCATTTCCTTGGCATCGTCAGCCTATCATTCCGCGAACAGCTTCAACACCACGAAGTGCAGGAAAAGAAACCTTCGGCCCTGTGAGCAGATGACACACTTATCAAACCGAGCCTGTGCAGAGTCTTCGAAGCAGGAACAGAATCTGTCAAGGTAAAACTGGGAGAACTGATGTTCATTGCTTCAGCTATGGATCTTCGTCGCTTAGTGCCTTTCGAACCTGTGCTCTCATCGTATCCCTCGCTGTGGGCTGGGTATCGGTAGCGGCTGATGTATCCTTCCCTTCATTACTACTCCTCTCCAACGAAGTCGCCCGTTCACGTTCCAGCCGTGCGCCCTCCGCGTGGAGACGTGCCTCCTCCTTCTCAAATTCATCATCGTTCAACTTGTTGGACCCGCAGCACTGATTGCCACCGCATTGCGCTAGAAGTGAATGCGAGTGTGAGTCGGCGGCATGATGATGACATGTGAAGATACGCACTCCAGACACACCATACAGCGCAGCTCTCGGAGCAGCAAATGCCTATGAAAACGTCAATGAACCTTGAGAAAAAAACATGACAGATAGTATCTCGTACAAAATGCGGAACAGAGGGAAAGACAAACATCTCCACCGAGAGACATAATGTGCTGGACAATAAGGATTGGATGCAAATTGGATGTGTGCAAAAGGATGTAACCCCGACGGCCTGCGTCCAGAAAGGATGAACGTTGCGTGGGGTGCAACGGACGGTTGAAAGAATGATATATAGATGAATTTCCTGCATTTCAACGTGGCCGCCTTATATACCAAGGAGGCGGTGTGGTAGTATAAGCATCAGGCCTTCAGGCTTTAATCGAAACTATTGCCGAGGTAGAAGCACAGCTTCAACCGATCCTTCTCTGTAACCATCGTTCGTCGTCAGCCCTTGATGGGGTTGATTCATGATCCGTATACCAAAGACCAACTTTGAACAGCACAGGTTTCGTTCATCTTCTTGTCCAGCTCAAGACAACGAGGAAATATAGCAACGGCCAGCCAGCTCCATTGTAAGGCCGAAGCTGTAGAGCAGTAAGTCGAACAGGACAGAGGCACATTGCTTTACCAACTCCCACACGGCGTGCGATGACCAGCATTAATTGATTTGCACGCCGATGCTTGACATGAAATGACAAAGCGATGTGATAATGAAGTGCACATACAGTTGACTTTCAGGTAGGCAGTAGTCGACTGAGCGTAGCTCTAAGGTCTACATCCTTACTGTGAGGCCAACCACCCTCTGGTACTCTCTCGGAATCCGGCAGTATACGCCAGTTTGGGGATTGGCTTGGACGTATGTGGGAAAAGTCTTGGACTGATAGGTGTTTGTTGGAAGTCTAAAATATCTAATGAGCGAATAGAATATCATAAAGCCGGACTCGGCACGTACAAGAATATCCTTTTCTGCATCTGAGTCGTTGAAAAGGGAGAATGGGTATCCAGTGAAAGTGATATCGGAGCAATGCTCTATGATGGGGTTCGAGGATATCGCTAGATAGACGTTGACGTGCGATGAGGAATGCATACGAAACTGAAGCAGACCGACACAGTCAGAACAGTTAATGATTATCATATCAAGTTCAAAATACATACCTGGTGGCATCCAAGAACGATGATGCATCTAGACAGATTATGTAGCATCGCGCTGCCATCAATGTTGGGTGGAAAGAGGAGGATACTGTTCGAGATATCTCGAACATGCAGGGCGGTGATCTTCGGTTCTTGATTGGAGCCCGGCGAGCCATTTGGTGTTGAGACGAGATTAACGACACAGTTATCAAGGTTAGAGATGGTCAGGTCACCACTCGAGGTAGAGGAGGGGATAGAGGATGACGTCAGATATTCATTAGAGAGATTAGACAGAATCCGGCCATTGGACTGAGAAGCTGCTGATATTGGTGGTGGTACTGACGTTGATTGGGGAACGCCTTTGGCAGGCTGAGGACTAGATGATCCAGACTGAGCAGCCTGCTTGCGCTTGAAGGAAAACTTGGGTTTCGAAACGGAAGAAGAACGCAGTTCTACCAGTGATTGTTCGAACGTCTTCAGATGCTATATCATATCCGGTTATTTTTGTCTATAATCGCCACTGGTGATTGTTGCTTACTGTCTCGTATTGACGCTGATCATACGAGGGAAGATATGCAGTAGCATCGGTAAGCTCTTTCCTAAGCTTTGCAATTTCCAGCGCAAGCTCGTTCAAAGCATCTAGGGAAGCAGGACCTTGAGACTTCAGATGGTCCAGACGAGACGATAGTTCTATAGAGGGCAAAGAGCGACGTCTCTTTAGAAATCGCCTAACTGGATAGGAGACCAGACCAGACCAGAACGTGAAGCCTGAAATGAAACATAGAATTGCTGAATGAGTGTCTGGTTGCTTTCTGACATTTCTTTCAATGAGGGTATTTAAAAGCAAAGACGGCACTTTCATTGTCAAGCTAAAGAATCTCGACACGATCATTGTCACAAACCAATAAGGGCGTGACTTGTCGTGACTGCCCACGATCAAGGGTCGCGCTTGTTCTTGCTCAGCACCGCACCAGTCGTTCGAGACGACTTTGTCCTCTTTGCACCACAATTGTCTCTCTTCGTCTCTTGAACACCTATAACGATGGCCGATATGGAAGTTGATGCACCTGCTCCCTCTGCTGTGGTACCAAAGGCAAAGACTAAGGACGACGGCAAGGAGGCAAAGAAGCGATTTGAAGTGAGGAAGGTCAGTATCCGAAAGATTCGACTGATTGAAGTGGTATGCTAAATTGACAAACATTACAATACTATAGTGGAATGCTGTAGCGCTATGGGCTTGGGGTACTTCTATTGAAACATCTCAGTGGCGTGCATTCCCCTGATAATTGTAACTAGATATTGTTGTGGACAACTGTGCCATCTGCAGGAACCATATCATGGATCTTTGTGTGTAATGGCTGTCATCAAAGAGGGGTACTTCATATTGACGATATGTATAGGCATCGACTGTCAAGCCAACCAGGTGTCAGCGACCAGTGAAGAATGTAACGCTGCATGGGGTATTTGCAACGTACGTTTCTCGATATGTTATCAATCTATAACGATATTCCGTCCTAAATGTTCTATTGTTTTTGTTTAGCATGCCTTCCATTTCCATTGCATTTCACGATGGCTCAAGACTCGAAACGTCTGTCCTTTGGACAACCGTGAATGGGAGTTGCAAAAGTGAGTATATCGATGCTTCTGAAATTCACATCTAACTGTATGTTCTAGGTATGGCCGGTAAAGGCTTGCGCATCTCTTCCGCTTTTCTGCATCTGTTGTTCGCCTGTCAACACGACTCTGTATTATACGATCATCTGATTCTCGCTGTCGACTTTACATGTACAAACGCTCCGAATAGACAAACCCAATCTGTGTTTTATAAGTCAGTATACCGAACTCTAAGCGTCCGCTGCTCAACGATGTCTTGCACGAACTACTCCCTCTACTGTACTGTATCTGACAGGATCCCTTGGTTAACCACAGTCCCATGCAGCTGCCAAGCCTGCCATCAATGATCACTGCCACAAATACGATCACGTGCAGCGACGCGAATCATTGACACGGTTGAATTCGAACCGTGATTGACGCCGCACATTCATCTCGTAATTGCTTGCTGTTGTCTTTGACTCCTGGCTCTCCTGGGTTCTTTTGCTTTTCTTCTCCTTCTCATCTCAGGCTACGTGTGCTTTGGATATGTTTTTCTACTGACGACCAAAATGACCGACTATTCATCGACAACGGGGGGACCAAGGTCCCCTCTTTTCGGCACAGCAACATTTTCAACCTTATCAGCAACTCAAACGCCATTGTCGCCGTCAAGACTGTCAACGTCTTCGGCGCGTTCACGTATGTTTTAAGTCATTATTCGTACTTTGGTCTGACCCCAGTGATATAGTTACACCTACGCCAACTGCTTCCTATGACAGTGATGACGCTTCAAGCAACGGTCAAATGAGACGAATTATCGTCTCTCGTTCGCCATCCTCAAGAGATTCCTATTCTGATACATACACAGAGGATGACTCCGACATTGCAGCAAGCTTCGCGCAGCTCGACGCTGAAGTCGATTCAGCACTCCAGTCTTGGACTGCACACAGTCCATCATCACAAACATTTGCCGAGGAACTCGAATCTCCCGCGCAGATATCTGGAGACTACTATTCTCCAGCTACGGCATTTCTCGAACGAGGAAGAATACTAAGCACTATCTCCGAACATACGGAGAATATCTCATCTCGACCAACTTCGTTCGCACAATCTGGTGGTGCGCCCGGCAGTAGACCCATTACTCAAATTTCTACCAGCTCTGGCGATGCGAACCGCGGTTCAGCTCATGGAGATCTCGGACCTTCGACTTCTGCTCACGTGCGATCTGCTACGGAGCCTGCTCAGCTACAATCCCAACGAGCTCATACTCCAGGTCCTAAACCTCCCGCCGGCCCCAGAGTTGGGGAAAAGGTTGCGTTCTTTGAACAGAGATCGGGAGCAACCTCTCCCTTCATCCGAAGTCATAGTCGCACCGCCTCCGCTCCCTCCGGTCCTCGTCCACAGAGTTCTCTCGGGACCACGACTCAAAGCCAGTCGATGCCTACGATAAGTACCTTCACATCGACAGGTTATGGTGCGTCCACAGGATACATGACATCCACAGGGTATGGAAGCGGTACAGGGTATTCGACGTCTCGCCCTTCTTCACCCACTAAGAACTCTAGCTGGGAAACCAGTGCACTCTCTCCAAAACCTCAATCATCATCAACTAGTTCAGAAGATTCCCGGGTCACACCGACCTCGCACACCTACTCACGTAGCTTGGGTGGTACAAGCTCTTACACGGGGACAGATACCTATACACCATCGGGAACGTACACTCGAACGTATACCGGAAGTGTCACTAATACGGATACCCTGACGCATACCTACGGGGCAAGCTCTGAAACTATTACCCAAACTGCTTCGTCTCTGCGCAGACCCCAAACATCACCTCGATCACCCCTCACAGCCGTCCGTAGCATTATGCAGAGATGGAGGGATCAGACGCCTAACCTTGCCAAATCGACTCGTTCTACAACTACACCTTCGCCTGAAGGCCCTGGTCTTCGGCGTGGTCCACGACGGCCTCGAGACCGCGTTATCGACTCCGCACGCAGGGTGAGCGCATCCACCACTTCAGATGACGACTCTCGATCTCTTCGCGGCGGAAGTGATGTTAGTGCCTCTGGTGTGCTACCACCTCCATTTGACCTTGCAGCATTGGGCCAGTATGCTGGTACGACCTCAGAAGTGAGTTTCCTTTTTTGGATGAGTAGTTGATCCAAGGATCAGCGATCGCGATCTTCGAACTCTGCCATCCTTCTGCCGCAACTAGAATTTGCTCACTAAATTTGGCGATTGAATTTCAGCCTTCACGAATCGGAAATCTCTGGTATCTCAATGTACACGCGTCGCCACCATATAGGTGGCAACGATGTCAAGCTCTGCTGTACCCCAGAATGCTGTTACTCACTTGGATTGCTCCAGGAGGAGGGAGAGGTGTTGTTACTCTAGATTTACTCAATTGTACGGAAGTCGGCTCCACACGCTCACCGTCGGATCCTCGCACTGTGGATGATGTTGGCACTCAAGCAGCTAAGGAGCAAAACTACGCGGATGTCGATTTGATGACACTGTTATTACCGTTCCACTTACTTTACAGCGATGGTGTTGAGCGATTGGCCGCTGAGTCTCCTGGCGAACGTGCGAGATGGGTGGAAGCTATATGGTAAGTGCCTATTCGTATCTCTGGTCGCGAAGTGTACTTAGTATTAACTCTCTTCCTTTAGGGAGATCCTCAATCGTTCTGTCAGTATTCCCGACCGCTCTGCTACACAATCACCCACAGGGTCTATCCGAACGATTCGCACCATTGACAGTGGGACGAGTTCCCGTTCTGGCTCAGGCTCTGGTTCCACATCTGTGCAATTCTTCCGACTCAGTGCCATTCCGGATATGTCGGATTTACATTCACTATCTGGTTCAAGTACTTTGTCCCGTCGACCTTCGCTCATTTCGACCCAGAACACTCGTACTTTGGATGATAGCGCACTATCTGGGTCTTCTTACCTGTTACCCAGTGGTGCTGGCGTGATTGGTCCGGCTCGAACTCGTTCATTGCGACGCACGAGCTCCTTGACGGATCTAGGCGAAGATATCGAGTCCGCCGCAAGACAAGCGCGAGAGTCGAGAGGTGGATTAGGCTTTGGCCTTGGTCTCGTTGGTCTGCCCCTCGGTGATGGTGCACCTGTTACAGTATCTAGTGGACCGCGCCTGCATGGAGATGTTCGTCTGACTCCTCCACCTAGAAGCAGGGCCAGCTCCAGGACTCGAGGGTCATCGGAGACCTCGACGTCTCTCACCGATGATGCATTTTTCTCTGCTGGCTCTGGTAGTGGTACTACAAGAACGCCAACCTCGAGCTACTACTCCTCTTCCTCATTTACTCGTGGACTACTGAGTACCGCTGATTACACCACGTCCAGGAGTGGAACTGGCTTGGCGACTGACGAAACAATAGTCGATATCACGTCTGGCACGGGTACCAATATCGTCACTTCAACTCTATCGTATAGAGGAACTGCCTCCAATTCGCTCCTAGGCGATTCACACACAGGTTCCAGCCCATATAGTTCGATCACACCGACTTCCTCTCGTACGTCTCTCACCCGATCCGGCGGTGTTCGAAGGCGAACTCGTGGGTCGTTCACTACGTCGTACCTCAGTGGGTCTGAGGAGACATCCGACAAGGAGAATTCGGACTCGTATGCATACTCTGGTACACGATCTTACACGGACAGCAGGTATCCCTCCGAGCTCAGCACTCTGGAAGGGTACAGTTACAGCGCCAGTCGGAGCGCGACCCCTACGCCTACTGACCTTTCTTCGTCGCGGACAACCAGTCATACCGAGGAAAGTGTTCCGGAGAGCATGCCTGAGGAGCAACCGATGTCTTCAACCAGCTCAGAATATGTTACTGCGAAGAGTCCCTCCGGTTCACTCGCGTCCTTGCCGACGATTCCGTCTTTGTCTGACTACGAGACGGCTGAGGTTTGCTCAACGGAATATGAGACAGCCGAGATATGCCCAACTACTCCTTCAGTCACCGAATTCAAGACCGCAGAGGTCTGCCCGACAGAGCCTGGGTCTGAATATGTCACAGCGGAGGTTTGTCCAACTGAAGCATCAACTGAGTACGAAACAGCAGAGTGCAGATGTCAGAAGATTCCTGCCAGTCCTGAACCAATTGACCGGGAAGTGGACGTCGTGAGCATACACCCATCAGAGATACCCACCATTCGTTCCAGGACGCCTAGCATCGTCGAAGAGTCAGTATCATTGTCTCCTGCTATGATCCCGCTGCCTGTGTCGTCGCCTCCTACGTCCTACAGCTCCAGTGAGGTATCCGATATCGAACTCTCATCGGAGGAACCGGTTCCATCTCCTTCACCAGAGCCGACCCCATCCGTCTCTCTTACTTCACCTTCAGAAACGGAAACCATCCCAGGACCCTCCCCAATTCCCTCACCTCTGCCAGAGCTTTCACTTACCCCCTTGGAATCGATCTCTACCCCGACAGAGTCTTCGGTAACTCCGCCGTCCAGCGATGTCAGTCTGACGGTACCTACGTCGATTAGACAATCGACTCCTTCTAGCCCATCATTGCTGGGATCGACATGGGGTAATGAAACTGATGAGTCCTACGAGTCCTCACTTCTCCAGGCTTCACCTTCAATTCAGTCAATAACCTTCCCTGACCCGCCGGATGTATCTTTTGAAACATCTGGTCTGAGGCCGAGCCCTTCAGTAGAGAGTGAAAGCGAACCAGAATTGACACTGATGACTCCAGCTTCTGAAGTGAGCACACCTTCAGAGAGCATTCCGACTTCTCCGACTTCTCCATCTTCTGAATCTGTCACGCCAACACCATCCACTCTGTCTCTCCCTCCAAGTGTTCCATCGCCGACGCCAGTATCTTCCGAGAAGAGCCAGGTGACGCTGACGAGAACGCCATCTTCAATATCTACGGTGTCCTCGGTGTCAATGAGTTCGTCTGTGTTCTATCCACGATCACTTTTTGAGATGCCTTTGGATGATATCTCGACCGAGCCTTCGCTACTTTCTACGGCGGCTTCCCCATCCTCAGTAGCTTTGCCAATTCCACCGGTAAGGTTGTGTTCAAATCCTTCACTCACATTACTAACTTGTTGTCCAGTTTTCTCCTCGTGACATTGCCCTTCCGCCGTCTCCAGCCCCTTCTACTCCTTCGGTGTCCATGTCAGTCAGTATCACTACACCCCGTGGAGATATCCCATCTATTCGGACTAGCTTGGAAACCATACCCTCTGAAGCGTCGGCACCAATTCTACCTACGGGTCCTAGTCATATTTTGACTCACGATGTCAACGTTCTTCTCCAGCACCTGCACGAACTAGAAGAGACCAGAGGTCCACAGATTAGGGAGATAGTCGAGAATGTACGCGTAATTCGTGAGAATGTCGCAGAGCTCGTGGAGGATAAACGTACGAGAGGCGTTCAGGAAGAGGATGTACCTCCTCCAGTACCACTCAAAGATAGCGCTGTTGGGGGCAGCAGCGAACTCTCGTCTCTAAAGTCATTTGGCCCTAGAGCACTCGCTCCTAGTCCTCGCCCTCCGATGCAGCCTCGTCTTGTGCCTATTCCCGTAACACCCCCTCCGATGAGAAGTCGGATGTCATCGCCCGATACGCTCACCGAGACCATGTCGTTTTTGTCATCCCACCACTCAGATGATTTCAGTCTGTTAGAATCTGAATCGTACCCTGGACAAGCTGCTTCACCGCCTTGGTCTTCACCGAGTTCGTCACCCTCATCGTCCCCAACTTCGTCTTCTGTCTCGATTCCTCCTCTTCCCGAGTCCGAATCCATTTCGTCAATTAGTCCCGAATCTGCGCTAAGTTACGAGGATATTCGCAATATTCCGCCGCCACATTCGCCTACCCCATCGTCCTCATCGAGCGCTACCGCAAGACCTATTCCCCCTCCGGACATCTCGCGCTTGCGCGAGTCGCTTCAAGGGGTTCAACAACAGGTGGCCGCATTATGGGAGGGTCAAGGTTCCACGAATCGCATGCTCGATGATTTGTTGCAAAGGCCCAGTGGACCAAGTGGACCAGATCCCGAGACTCAAGACAGACTGCACAGAATTGAAGACATAGTTCACCGGATTCTTGAGCAGCTTTCCGTGCCACGTCCTGAACCTCCAAGAGCTGCACCTCCACCAGCACCACGAGATGACGTCTCGGAGGCTTACACCTCCTCAGGTACTGATGTATCGTCATTCATCGATAGACTTCGCGAAGCAGTGAGGACGGGTGCTGGTGATGAGCCTCCGCAGATTCATATGCCACGGCCGATGCATGCAGGTCCATCGTTCAACGAAATGTTAGCTCAGACGTTGGCCACAGAGCCGCCACCTCCGCCTGCACCCGTGGAACTTCCGCCGCCTCTAGTGACGTTACAGTATCGCCCGGGTGCACGAGCAACACGTCCTCGTAGCGCAAGCCCCACTTTCGAGACAACATTACCGGATCGTGCTCGAACGGTGCCAATTACTCGACCTGTGATCTTCCGAGAGGATCGTGCACGCCCGCAACGGCGTCGGCCACCAGCTCGTCGCCCTGCTCCACCTCCATCTGAGACGGAGTCAATGGGTTACATTCCGCCCGTTGTCCCTACCACACCAGCAGCACGGACTCGAACACCCGGACCACTCGATAATGGCGATGACATTGACATGGAGCGGGAAATTAGGGCTCGGCGACAGCAGCGCCGGCCAGACCAACCCGATGGTGTGTATCGACCAGGTGGTGCGACCCCTCCTGCTGTAAGTTTGTTCATTGGCCGTTTAGATCTGGACACTAATGAGTCTGTAGCAACCTGTTAGACCTCCTACTGCCCCTGCTGATCTTGGAGGTGAAGATGATCAACGGAGAGGTCCTCAAGCATGGTATACTCCTCGGCGCGAGGATCAACCTACAACTATGGTTAGCTTCTTTGCTTTTAACAGCTGAATCAATTACTGATATGACCTATCTGAAAGGGCGATATGCCAGGTAGTCAGCCTGGTCAAACCGCGGTTCCTCCTCCAGGTACTTTCACCGTTCTTCCTACAGCAGGCCCCAGTCAACCTCCTCCCGTACCACCTCAAGCACAACCAGCACAGCCAGTCAGTCTTTCATGCAGACTGCTTGAATGCAAACAAAACTCACCCTTTTGTGTACAGGCGCCTACAATATTGCAACTTCCACCGACGTTCGATGACATTGTTGCGCTTTTGCGGGTGAGTCGCAATTCAATCGGCCCTGTGTTCCTTCATTGACGATTTGTGTCGTAGGAAAACCGCTTTGCCCATGTTGCAACGATTGATCAACAACGGGAAATTATGCGATACCTCAGAAGCCTCAATGAGTGGTTGGAACGTGATGTGCATGATCGTCAGTCTGAGATACGGGGTGTCAATGCGCGGTTGGACAACCTGACCGACCACTTCAACGATATGATGGGTGGGCGTCCGCCAGGTATGGCTCCTTTTTGACCACATATCCCGTATTCTCATTGACTTTTTGTGTTTGTAGCTGCTACTCCAGGGACGGCGCCTGCAACTGTAGTAGTGCCACCAGGACAAGTACCTCCACCTCCAGTTATTCTCCAACAAGGACAACAACTTCCTCCTGGCTTCCAGCCTACTCCTGGTCCTGGAGTCCGTCCGCCAGGAACGCCCTTCCGTACCGAACGCACTCCAACGCCGGATTTCCCGCCTGTCTTCCCTGGCAGAAGAAGTTCCTCTGATATCGTTATCCCTCCTCCGCCAGGAGAAATGCCCATTCCTGTGATACCTGAGATGCCAGCTGTCTATCCGCCTCAGCCGCAGCAGCGTCCACCTCCTCAAGTATACCGGGAGCCATCACCAGTCATACCTCCCACTCCCTCGAGTTCCAGCTCAAGCTCAGGAATGTACACGGATCAAGGAAGAGAACATGTCACCGGAGAACATATCATGGTCATTCCTCCTCCTCAGGGCGGTCCTGGTGACACGGTCGCTGTCATTCCGCCGCCGCAGCCAACTGTTGTGCGGATGTCACCGTCAGGTGGAAGGTCGCGTTCTGGCAGTCCATTGAGTGGTCGTAGCTATCATAGTCGTCGAGATTATTCACCTCGAAGCTCGCGATCTGGATCACCCCATATCATTCATCTTCCTCCTTCGCAGGTGCAAGCAGATGCAGGTGGCGCAGTCCCAATTCCAGCACCAGGTACTCCTCAGCCTCCTCAACAGCCTACAGTCATTGTCACTGGGCAACCTGGTGCACCAGTTGCTCCAGCGGCACCAGGCGCAGTACCTCATCCTGCTATCATAGTTCAGCCTCCACCACAGAGTTTCTCCTCTCACGGCGTTCCCTCCCATAGTGTCCCAGTTTCGGACGTTAGTCGTTCACCACAGCCGACACCGGTGGTTATCCGAGAAAGTGACCATCCTGCTACGACAGTCATTCACCATACACACTCACGTTCTCCTTCCCCTGGTCGTGGTGATTACCATGACCGTTCTCGTCGTCCATCACAACGTTCTCATCGAGATCATTCTCGTCGTTCGTCGAGATCCTCACCGCCGCGGCATGATATTAGGATACGCACAAGCCGGTCAAGGTCTCGCTCACCCTCATCTCGCTCTAGCAGGCGTACGCCTCCTCCCATTGTGATACCGGGTCAACAACCAGGTTATCCTGGCCAACCAATAACGGTTGCACCTCCAATGATGGGACAACCGGGAATGATGCCTGCACCTATGATGGGTCCACCGCCCACTTTCCTACCTACGATCCCTCCACAGGTCGTGACAATTCCAAGATCACGTTCGCGTTCGCGTTCTTCCGGACGGAGGACGCCTTTCATTGTACAAGGTGCACCACATCCGTCTCAAATGTATGAAGGCAGGCCTAGCCGCCGTTCAAGATCTCCCAGAAGCCGGTCGCGTTCTCGGTCTCCTACTCGTGTGGTTGAAATTGGTCGTTCAGAAGGACGGTCCAGACATACTCATTCGCCTACCCGCCTGCCTACCGTGCCACCAGCCACAGTTATTGTCCCGACGAGTCGCACACATGACAGAGGAAGGTCTAGGACGAGGTCAAGATCAAGGTCAAGGTCGCCTTCGAGGCGTGATTACGACAGAGGTCACAGGCGCCGTGGCCGCCGTCACCGTTCTCGCAGTTATTCACCCTCACGCTCGTATTCGGGTGAGCGTGATCCACGGGATAGACGTCGCCGCCGTGAGAGACGTCCAAGTTACTCTGATCGATCGTACAGTCCTAGTCGCCATGTCCGTCAACCTTCTCGTCGATACAGCCCATCACCGCGCCGTCGATCACAATCGTTGGAATACGAGCCAAGCAGGCGCACACACCGATCACACCGATCCGGTAGTGGTGTCCAACCCACCGTCGTAGTCCATCGAAGCCCGTCGCGTTCTCCAGTACTGATCGCCGGTCCATCTACTCGTCGTACCCGATCTTCACGCCGCCCACGTTCTGCCGTCAGTGTGCGTGAACATGATGGTGCTCGATCTCCTCAGGTCATCCACGTCCAAGGCCACCCTTCGCGATCCCCAACACTCATTGAGGAGGTCCAACGTTCGCCAACTCACATTACTCGCATCCCCACAGGCCGGTCAGGGAGAACAGTAGTCACACGCCATTCCCCCTCCCCCGAGTCTGAGTCCCCATCTCCACGCATACATCCCGCCCGTACCCACCGGACTGGTTCACCTTTGTACTCCGACCATGATGCTGGTGGTTCACGTTCGCCTCCTCCAGTGGTCGTTCGTTCTCCTTCGCGCCGCTCTCCTGTCCGACGACAGGGCTCAACTCGTGTCCCGACTATCATTCCCATCGAGCGGACTCATGTCCCGTCAGAGGGGATGTCCATCAGTCCTTCTCGTGGAAGACGACCCAGCCAAGGTAGGTTTCCTGGCTTTGTAGCGTCCCATTGCACGCTCACCATTTTCTATCAGTCACCGAGCACCATTACGAGGAGGAACTAACCCCCGGACATGGTACACATTGATCCATTCTTTTTTGCCTTCCTACGTACTGATTGATATATTTAGCTACCACTCATGTGTCTGAGCCTCAAAGCAGAGGTATGTTCGGACTTATCATCACGGTCCACAGTTATCTAATAAAGTACCTTTTAGTGTCCTCTCTGGAACGGGCTTTTAGTCAATCAGATGCCCCAGGTGGTGAGTAGAATTTCAGACACACATTACATTGCTGTTCTGACCCTCTTCAAGTCATTCCTGCCCGACCTTCTCGGACCCGCCCTCCGACTTCACCTCGTACCTCACTCCGGCAGCAATTGCATGAGGCCCCACCAGACGCACCCACCATTCCCTACATGCCTACACATGTTGAGGAAGAGGAGATCATTCCCGTCCCGGAACCTGTACCTCATGTCGAGACTACAGTACTTCCTCACGCCGTTCCGCCAACTCCTGCGCCAGCTGATACCTATCCAATTCCACCTCCACAGGGACCTTCACCTGGTGAAATGCGTGAATTGCGTGAATTGCCCGTCACCGCAGTTCCTCATGCACCTACCAGATTCGACGACCTGGCTCTTGCTGATGCCGAACGTGAGCGTACTGAGCGATTCGATGATATGGAGAAACAGTTGGTTGAAGTCGTGCAGCATGCTGAGGAAGGCGAACAACGACGGGAAGATACCTTCCAGCACAACGAAGATGAGCGAGAGCGTCTTTTCCTCGAGCAGGAAGCTCGTAGACACGCCGAAGCTAAGCAGCGGGGAGAAGAACTCGTTCGCACTTTGGAGGATCGTCTCGCAACTTTACCTGTTCCGATTCCAGTGTCTGCACCTCACGTCGATGTTGGTGAAGAAGCTGGGAGAACCCCCTCTGTACATGTTGCAGAAATACCACCGTCTGAACGTTCTCCTGCTCCATCTCGCGCGTCGTCACTCCGGACGGCTTCCCTTCATGATGTCGATGCCGAGAGACGCACTCTTGTAGAAGCAACTTCCCGGTACAGTCAAGAACTCCGGGATACTATTGCTGCCGAGCGTGAAGAGGCCACGCGACAGCTCGAAGCTGAACGTGCCGAGCGTGAGCGCCGAGACGCTGAATTGGCAGTGGAACGACAACGGATTGAAGAAGAGCATCAAGCACACATTCGTCTCCTCGAGGAACAGATTGCTGCTATGCAAACTGAGAAGGAGGAGCGGCAGGCTCGCGAGTTGGAAGAAGCCCAAAGGCATGAAAACGAACGTGCTGAAGATATCGAACGATCTGAGAACCAAGCTCAGCAATTGGCGGAAATTTCAAACATTGTGTCCGAGCAACGCGATGAGTGTATTCAAAAACGCGAGCTTCAAGACGAACGATGGATACAGAAGCAGAACCGGCGTCAGGAAAAAGATGCCATGTGGATGAACATGCGGGACATGATCACACAGTTGCTTCAAGAGAAAGAGGAATGCAAAGCTCGAGAAGATGAAAGGATGCAGATGCTTATCGGCGCAATGCGAGGTATGGTGACTTGGCTCGATGTGCAAATTATGATCTTTCTCATTGACTTCATTCCCTACAGAGATGCAAAATCAGACCATGGGGGCATTGGCGACTCTCAAGGGTGAAATCTCTGATTCTATGCGCGCGATGGCGGATGGTGAGTCTACCGATTATTCATTTGCTGCTTGCGGAGTCCTGAGATCACTTGTTATTAGAATGCCGCGAGAAACTGGATCAGCAGACACAAATCATCTTAGACGCATCAGAGGCCAGTGCGCAGAAGCAGGTCCCTTTCAACGTCCAAGGCGTAAGTTAGAATGTCCTTCCTCCTCACTGACTGGCTAACAAAGTTTTGCAGTACTTAGATGACTTCAGCAAGTCGCTAGCGAGCGAAGTTCGTCTATTGATTGGAGAGGTTGGCAAGCTGCACGAGAGGAAGAGAACATTGAATTAGTAAGTGTTCATAGTTGCAATTAGCGATATGTTGATTACTTACAATGGTATAGTCAAATCGGTACTTTCATGTGCCTGCAGGCCCAGATTGGTCCTGGTGGCATATTGGACCCAGACTGGTAAGTTCGCTGTTCTTCTCTATAGTTCCTGTTGTCTAATGCCGTATCAGGGTTCCTGAGAACTACGTGCAACCTGAGCCTCCAGCTGCAGAGCCGGTGCCAGAACCAGAACCCATGGCTCCTGCACCTAGTGCTTGGCGATATATTCCTGGTCGAAATAGGTTGCGCAGAGTCCGCACAGCGTCTCGTCCTCATCAGGCTCCGCCATCTGCGCCAGGTCAACCTCAAGTACCCTACCCTGGTGCTCAACCTCGTCCTGGTGCATCGTGGCAGTCAGAAATGTGGCGACGTAAGTCGATCCCAGTCCTTGGTACTCTGAGCTTGACTCACCCATTTCTGTAACAGCAACACATTTGGAGCAGATCACTCCACCTCAGGTCACACCAACGCTCTTGACCCCTCAGCAACCGAGCCCCGGATTGTTTGGACCACGAACCCCTTCTGGATCTATCCATCAGAGTTAATTTGATTTTTTATCTTGCTTCTGCATTCTTTCCAATACCATTTTTTTGCTTCACGATTCGGGATGGGATTTAGAATAATGACCTTCACTGTATTGCTACCATCTTCTTCACGTTACTAATGTCTGCTATGTTCATGTTCACGGACTCTTTCATGCTCACGTATTTTCATGCTCACGATCAAGGCAACTTTACATGTGTTCATTCATTTAGTGAATCGACAATGGATGATTTCGTTTACTTTGATACATTCGAAAGAGAAGGCGACTACAAACTGGCAAGCACTTACAGTAGGTGCCGTCAGGAGACAAGCACATTCTTAGCAATACTCCAGCTCACGACTGTTGAACGCCGTATCAACTGCTTCGTTTCGCCTCTCGTCCCTTACACCACCAACAACAGAAGCATTTATCATAATCGTGCCCAAGCTGTGATGCAAATTCCAACCCACGGCCTTTCGAAGAACCTTTCGTACCATGGCGAAAAGACTTAACCAGCCACTGTGTCCGGCACAAATGTCCTCATACGTCCTTTGCGCTTCGCTCCATTGAGCGTATTCAAGATCATAACCAGCGTGTATGTGCCCGAAGACATGAAGTTTAGGCCGGATGCGCCAAATTGCATGGAGCAAAACTGGGCATCCACTCCCTCTCAAATCTAGATGATATGCAGGAGGTCCATGAGTAACGAGCACGTCAGTGTGTATTGGAACGTCAGACCAGATGGTTGACGTGAATGCCTCGTCTGCCGGAACTCGGGGATACTGAAATGGCCATGATCCATGACGAGGGGTCTGAGGACTGCCATCAATCTGAATATCTCGGCCGCGAACATTGATAATGACAAATGATCCCTCGAGGTATATTAGCTCAGGATGAGCCGAGAGAGCAATGCTACGTGTGCTGGGCTCAGCCAAAGCAGCATCATGATTGCCCGCTATAAAGACCTTATGATCATGGGGGTTGACTGCTAAGCCAGTCAAGTGCGTCTTCAAGCTCATGCGAGGTTCCTGACTGTGTCAAGCCCCCTGCATGAATGAGGATGTCTTCATGAGGAAGGGGAGGTAGTGAACGGTGTACATTATGCGTATCCGAGATGCAGACGAGATTAGAATCACGTCGTTCTTTCGCTTTCGCTCGTGCAGTCTGGGTGTGAGTGCATGCCCATCGTGTCAGGAATCGAAGCGGCGAAGACCAGAACTGTTCCCAAACCGCGGCGTTCGAGTAAGCTATCCAAACCACCCAGAGCATACTTTGAGTACTAGGCCTGTCCGCTATAGAGGATGAACCTAACGGTGTGAACGTTGAGTGCTTACCACTAGCTGCAGTACTGTATGTAGTACGAGAACAAGCAATTTCGGTTAATTTTTTGATCGTAAAAGTTGCAGCTCGGCTGTGTATGTAATTCTTTGTCCACTACAACCAAGTACACACACTACATCTTCCAATGGATTCCAACGACACTTATGTTAATCAGCTTGATCAGACACTCATCTTTGCGCTTGGGTAAACGTGAAGCTGTCAATAAACTCAATAGTTTTCTCTTTGTGCCTGTGACGAAGCATTCGTGCCACTCGCTGAGTCGCTCCCGTAGTCAAAGACGTCTAGCCACTCTTCCTCCTGTTTGGTCTGTGTCGAGTTTCCCAACCTCTACAATGGCACTATCCTCGGCTTCAAAGACCCTGTCCGACTTCTTGCAAACTCAGAAGACCCAGTATTTGGAGGCGGTGGAAGAGGGCAAAGGAGGAGATTGGGTTATTGTAACTGGTAATGAGGCGGGAGGTAAAGTCATCCATCACCGTAATATCTATTCAATTGTTCATTGACATGGCGAAGACTTGGATTCGCTTTCTAGTGCCATAGGATTCGCATGGTATCTGTCAGCCATTGAGCAGACACTCGCAGTTCCGCTCGTACACACGCCTCGATCAGACCTTCGTTTGCGCGCGGAGAACCTCTACGCCCTGGAACTTGCAGGAGTCGAGACTGTGGATCCACTGCTATGTGTCGACGATGTACCATCTACTGCGTCACCTTTCCCATCAACTAAGTTCGCGCTTGTGGACCATAATAAGCTTCACGCACGGTTCAGAGACCATAATCCAGATGCCCGTGTGGTCAGCATCATAGACCATCATGCAGATGAGGGTTTATATAAGGATACGGCTAAACCGCGTATTATAACTGTACGCACGGGCAGTGCCAGCTCTCTCGTGGCTCATTATCTGGAGGAGAGATGCCCCGACAAGATACCTCCTGAGCTTGCGACTCTACTGTTATGCACTATCCTCATTGATACAAACGGCCTCAAAGTGGGTGGCAAGGCAGAGGAGGCCGACCGTGCAGCCACTGCGTTTCTCATACCGCGTTCGCTGCTTGCAGCTGAAGGATCCGATCTCAATATTACGGAGCTACACAACGACACCAAAATCCAGGAGTTGAGCTCAGCTCTGGCGAACAAGAAAGGATCCGTTTCACACCTCAATACCCGTGAACTTCTTCAACGAGATTATAAAGAATACACCATGGTACCTTCGTGGGAAAAGGACAAGTCTATCCTTGCTGGACTCGCTTCTGTCCCTGTAGGACTCAAACCATGGATCGCTCGTGATATCGCTTTCTGGTCATCCATTGAAAAGTGGATGGCTGACAGAAAAATCGCGGTGCTTGGTATTCTTACCTCATTCCGAGACGAGGAGAAAGTCAATAAGCATGGAAAGCCCAAGCACAAGCGGGAGCAGCTTTTCGTTGTCCGAAAGGGAGAGATCGAGGATCTGGCAAAGAAGTTGTTTAAGGGGTTGGAGGAGAATAAGGAGCTGAAATTGAAGAGAAAAGACTTCAAAGTCCGGTTTGGGGTGAAGAAGGCTGAACGCTTTTCCTCTGACGTAGATTCCAGGGTTTGGAACCAGAAGAACGTAGACGCAACCAGGAAGGTTACTGCCCCCGTCGTGAGGGCTATCATAGAAGGTGACAAGTCAAAGGCTAGCTTGTAGGCACGATACCCATTGGTTCATTGTTAAGTGAGTAAATTTCTGGACATGTGAGAAGTCAAACTGAATGCCAATGTACAGTACCCCGTAGCTATGATTGTGATGCTCCGACAGGCTCGTTATATGGAACTGAATGGTGGAATTGTGACATTACGCTAATACAGACTCGTTGTATGAAAAACACAGTGCATATCTATGGATCAAAGGCGGGCATACTCTCCGCGAGGAGGTACTCCGTGCGGATTGTATCTCAAGGCTTCCTTGTTTCCGCGGACATCCTTCTCGATAGAAGGATATCCGCCCACCGTCATCGTGATATCCAGGTCCTACGGATTTTTGCTCAGTTGTTTATATTTCAACCAGGGGGTTCTTTGTCACTCACCGCGAGCAAGCTCTTCATGACGTGACGACAACCCGACTCACCCTCATGAGACATACCCCAGACGTACAAGCGACCAACCATGACAGCATGGGCACCAAGAGCCAAGGCTTTGAAGACATCCGATCCAGTGCGAACACCAGAGTCATACAAGATGGTCATCTCTGTGGCATCATAAGTTCTCGCAACAGCTGGCTAAACAGGAGAACGCTTACTATCTCCAACAGCTTGGACGATCTCAGGCAAAACTTCAAGACTTGCCACTGCACCGTCGACTTGGCGGCCGGCATGGTTAGTGACAACAATGCCTTCACAGCTAACTTCGAGGGCCTTTAAGGCATCGGCCTCGCATTGAATGCCTTTAATTACGAAAGGTCTCCCTCCGGAGATCTTGTGCCACTATGTTTGAGACATTTAGTGGAGGTCATAAAGGGCGAGGTAAACGTTCTCACTTCACCTATGAGCCACTTGATCTTGTCCCAGGTATGAGCTTTGCCGTGCCAGACGCAGCTGTCAATCCACTTCCCAGTGTCTTCAGCTAGCTCTCTGGAGTGTTTCTTCATAAACACCGGGTCGGAAGAGCCAACCTCGTTACCGACCTAATGAAGCCCTAAGTTTGTTTTCTTGCAGCCTAGACTGATCACACTTACGGGGTTGGGATAGTAGAACCTATTTGCCGTAGGCTCCGTCAGTACGTAGCTATGAGATGGATGGGAATCAATCTAACTTACACGTAGTTGGCGATGCTCATATCGGTGGGCCTCCATCCCAGCTGCCAAGTATCGGTGGTAAGCATGAGGACATCGAATCCGCTCTTCCAGGCACGATTGAGCAACGACAAGGTCTGGATACTGTGGTAAGTGTATTTCACTCAATCGTATAAAACAACTGAACATACAATGTCATCATCGTGACCCATATAAAGCTGGAAGAAACGGGGGCTCGTGGCATTACCCCCGTTAGGTCCTGAAAACTCTACAGTCAACTTTCTGGATGCCGCAAAGAAAGAGAAATACCGTCTCACCGTCGTACTCATGAACACTGTTACTCTCGTTGTGCACGGAGGCGCCCTTCTCGTTGGCTTCGGCGACTGCTTCGATAGGTTGGGAAGCAGCAGTCGAGAGACAATACTCCAAGGTGAGAAAAAAAAATCAGACAATGCCGTCCGCCAGTGTTCGTTCAATAAAACTCACAGGAATGCCAAGTTCACCGGCTATCTTAGCGGGCACAAGTTCGCCAAGTGTCGTGTAGAGCTTGTTGATGCCGATAGGTGCAAACATAATAGGAGCAGGAATACGATGACCGAACAAAGTAGCTGGAAGAGGTATAATTTATTATAACTCACACCGTGTGTTAATGGGTGAGACTTACTGGTCATATCTCTGACGTTGGTGTCGACGAGAGCACGAGGGACAATGCGCCATTTGTAGAAAGCCTCCCTAATGTTGACAATATGAAGACGATTCATTAATGACCGAACAATGAGGAATACTGACCGATTGGCTCTGTCCGTCCAACCCAAGCCTGCGTTCGAGTTTGCATAGAAATATCCACGGTCATTGAGCTTCTTCTTCGTCGACTCCTGCAATTCCTCAGGATGGACGGAGAAGCTAGGAACTTCAACGTGTATTAGCATATGACCCAGAAGCGTAGAACTCGATTGAAACGAACATTCTCCGGTAGTACCTCCCCTCTTGAATATCTCGCGTTGGTAGAGCGAGTAGTGGGGAGAGGGGCCCTTGGGTTTATTGTTGGGATCCATTGCGTTGCAGCAGATGATGGTAGATGTTAGATGTGTTCAGAAGCTGGGATTAAGCTGAATCTTGTTGTCTTCCTCAGTGTCCAGGTTGAAGCCTTTATATACATTTTTCAAAACGCCGAAGGGTCTTCGTTTTTATGTTCACGATGATGTCACATTGGGTACCACAGTGATGGGGAGCCGCAAAGATACTCACGGTTACCCGTCCAGAATTACATCCTGACAACGGAGAGCCGTATACTGCGCTCAAAGCTGAGACGATGAGTGATATAACTACTACTTTGAAGGTTAGCAAGCCATTACGTTGAAGTCCGAGGACTCCAGGAGATAGCGGGACACCGAATTTTGATCGCGAACTTGAACACCTTCCCTTTAGAGGCAATCACTCTGGCGTTCCGTTGATGCCGTCGAGGCGCTTCGATCGTAGGACACCCGAAACCCAACCACGATCGAACGACTGGCCTGAAGACAAAAATACATCCATTCATACGGGAGTCCGAATAGAGAGGCGTTTCATAGTATTACATGAAATTGCTATACTTCATTAACATATGGATTGCAGAGAGTATCCGGACAGCGTCGTGCGCCATTTCTTCGCTTCCTACCGCCGCAGACTTGTTTGTGACCCCCTTCCCTCCAGTCACTGCAAAAGTCAATGTTAAAAAGATACACACGTATCGTCATCAGGGTGCGACTCACCGTGTCTGACATCTGGTGCTGCAATAGAAGACATCTAGGCAGCCGCCGCAGCGGCGAACTGGATGATCGGTAACCGAATAGGAGCATGGACATTCCTTCCAGTGGCAATGTATTGTTCGAATTGAGCCTATATAATGACTGGTATTATAGAGTATCGGTCCGACACTGTCGCATGCAGGTGAGGCCAGCAAGATTGAGCAAGGGAGAACAGGATTTGGGAGGTCAAAGTTAAGCCCGAATTGCAACCATGAAGCAAGTACGGTCTCCTGGAGAGGAGCATCTTGGGTATCCAGCGCTCCGAGTCGCTCCGCAGTCGTCAACCAAGGTGAGACTAAGTCACAGGTAAAAGACCCCTTCCAGTCGTCGAGAACATCATCGAGTCGATCTACAACGCTCGCATAACACCGTAAAAAGTATTCCCACCCTTCTGTAATGAATAGACGTGGTTATTATGTATTGTTGCACCCATTACTGTGAGACGTACCGATATCTTCCGCACTTGACTGCTGGGCAGCAATGAGGGCGCTACGGGTAAGCAGGAAGATTGTTGACCGAGGGTCTACTGTTTCCTGTGGAGGCTGGTCATGCTCTAATATGTCTCTATGAAAAAACAGCGTCAACTCAAATCATAACATAATAAGGGGAAACTCCGTACGCAGCGAAGTGAAGTCCTGTATTAAGTATTGACCAAGTGAAAGTTTCATCACCCGAGCAAAGCTGCGTTCGACAGCTTATTAGGACACGCTCGGCGAACGATTTCTCCTCGGCCCGTTTGTTACCAACAGACTCATGCATCATTAGGTCGGATATAAGTGTAAGGGATGACAAAAGCTCTTGATCAACTGCACCAGTATGTGTCAGGAACGCTTTGACAAAGCTTGTCAGAACGATTTCATCTTGAGACAAAATTGTATGGTTTCGAAACACGTCCAGCTCTTCCTGAGAGATTTCGCGTAATGACGCGTCAACCACAAAGAGTGGCTCATTGGCCAAGTTGAATTCCCCGCCTTTGATGGCACCAGTCCACGCAAAAAGAGCGATCTGTGCCATATAAACCTCATAGAAATCAGGTGGTTCATTGCTGTTCGATGGTTGAGAACTCGTAAAACAATCCATAACAGGCCACGTACTATATTTTCAGATGAAGTCGGAATGTCTCCGCAAGAAGCAAAGTAAAAGGTCTTTGAAACTCGTGAGAAGGAAGTTTGCTCTGAAGCATTGTCATCGGCAAGTCCTCATAAAGGGCATTCCATGTTGGTTCCGAGAGCTTAAGAAAATGAAGTGCCTTCGTGGTGGTGCCCTCGACGCGTTCATCGAGTTGCCGCATCAAGTGGCGACAGAACATGCGAAGAATGGTATAGATAACACTGAGATAGTACTGAAGATACCAGGTCAATTCCATGAAAGATCACAGCGCCCCAGAGTTTCAATAGAGAAGCATACCACATTAGAGAAACCTCGATACATTTCCAGCTCTGCAGCAATATTCCATAGCACCTCGACTAGGTCCGTCTCACCGTCTTCTCGTATAAAAATAGGCAATTTTGACTTAAGCAGACCAGCAAGAAAGTGTTTGTGAATAGCCTCGACAAATTGCAGTCGCTCCGGGTAGCGTCGTTGGTGTAGAGTCCGCAGCCTTCCAGTAATCCTTGCAGGAGCTTTGTCGAAGATAGTCACCCATTCCGGCTTTCCAGGCTTGTTTCTGATGTCTTCGGAGCTGTAGTCCTCGTGAGGGCCTCGAAACATCTTCCAAAAGGTACTTCAGTAGGATGCTCCGAGTCTAAAGTCGGGCTGAGGAGTGGTTGCAGTCGAAAGGGAACGCGTAGAAAGACAAAGGGCCAGGAGCTACAACGCAGACGCGCCGCTCTGGCGATTTAATGCCAAATCGTTACTATTAGCCATTCGCGAAGAACAATGGCACAATATTATGTATGCAAGCATAATAGCCGTGGTTGAAGAAGAAAGAGGAATGAGGCGCCCACATACTGCCGCCATGGTGAACGCCAATATTCTCAAAATGGCCCATGATCTTGTTCAACCGGAACCAGTCATGTCCGATTCTTTGTGCATTCGTACTCCGCGAGTCCAACAGCAAATACGGGAAATACAACATCCATGCTTATTCTCATACTGTAAGTCCACACCATCTATTTATTCTGTTGAACTTAACACCCTACAGGCGACGATACTATACGTTTGCATTATGGCTGACGGTATGGTTGCCATCACAGTACATTGCAAAGTCCCTTCCTGCGATCTTGAAGCAGTTACCAGTTTCATTCAAAGATGCGAACATTTGGCTACTTCGATGTGATAGTGGTGTAGGGAGGGTGCACTGTGTACGTCACATTGCGTTGAGCTTTATAGAGATTCATCAGGCAACATCAAATACTCTCATGTTAGGATTGTACCCAGGGGGCCCGTCTTATGCCATCACTATCTTCGTTCAGCTACTGGGTCTCGAGGATCAAGTGCATTGAGGGCATCATGACTTCCATATTTTGTATCTCTCATTGTTATCCTCACGGTTGCGCTGCGCAAAGACGCAGTTCGCATATATAAGGGACCCGAATAATATCCGCTGTTATTAATCCTTTGCATTTCAGCTGAGCTGTACTGACCTGGTGTCTTTAATTTCTCCTACTTCTATTGGACCTCATCCTCGTGCCAGAACCACTTCCAATTATAGCTACGCTGTCTCGTCTTGCCCTCTCCATTTGTCTCCTCCTAACAGTAGCCTTCATTGATGCAGGTGAGTCCGGTTTTTTGGTTCTTCTTCGCTTGCGCGCCGCTCAGCTAGGGGAATCATTGTTTACCTCCTATGTACAGGCGTCAGGTAGGAAACGCCCAGTGCCATGCCGATCGTGTCGCGATCGTAAACGGCATCTTGGGGGCAAACTTTACGGTCACTGAGCTTACCATGCAGAGTTTCGTGAGTATGCTGTCTTGATCCCGCAGTATATATTAAATTCTGAGTGGTGCTTTACATTTCACCAGAGACCCTGTAGCATCACAGAGCATCACGCAGGTGGCGTGTGGGATTGACAGCGCACAAGATGGGATTGGTCAAATTGTCAACGCTCTTTCCGCCGGTCAACAAGCTCCTCCTTCCGACAGACAACAGGTTGCTGATGGACTGAACTGCGCATTCACTGCTCTTGCGAACATCACATCGTACGGTTTCTCATGTTATGATACGAAAGGTGATGTCTAAGGATATGACTTCCAGGGCGGATCCAGCTGTGACGCAGAATTTGAGCAAAGTCCAACAGGAGCTGAAGGACACAGGAACTGCAGGAGATGGAGTTTTGGCAGATTGCAAGTAGTCACGCTGAGCATAACTCACCACACTCGTTTAGTTCCCACACTTGTGATGATACTACTGGTAAGTACTACGTAGTATTTATGACTGGCGAAGTGACATGAAGACGTAAAAGGTATTCATCGCATCCATCCTCGAGATGACACCAATGCCATATTATACTCAATCTGTGAAATATAGTCTGATGTATCTTACTCCGAGCCGATGGTCGGATATGAAATCATTGTGCTGCGAACACAATAGTTGCCTTTTTCGAGTGAGTATACGGAGCGCCTAGTTAGTTCAGTAAGCTATCAAGCGCATCTTCACATCTTCCGAGTCTCTGCGAGCCAATGAACTGACCATTAGGGTAACGTTATGCCTACCTGTTGGCTTTCTGACCGAGAATGTAAGTCTTGAAGGCATAAACGACTGAAGTACTGACATACCAAACAGAATCCTTGAAGTCACGAGCTGATGCAGATGATGCGCAGTGAGCAATGGCGATTCCTCGGACTGTGCAATGCCGCCAAACGTCAAACCGTCATGCAGAACTTGCATTCAGATCATGGCATTCGCATCATCTGAACAACTCGACACAGTCACCATTATTAATGCTAACTAGCTTTAGTAGCGATCCTACCCTTCCGACATGGGTCATTACTGTACCTTCTGTGGTCTTTCAACGCCAATATATCGCGAGACGCGAAGAGCCGATTATCCCGATCTTGAATTTCTCTTTAGATGGGCTAGTTTTACTTTGCAGCAGCAGTTACGATTAATGGAACCAAATTTTCTCAGGAAAGACAAACGCAGTATGTTGTCCTGTTGTATTGGTGATTCTTCGCTTTCAAGGATGTCAATGGTGAGGTAGGGCGCGATAGTTCCCCCTTCTTTCATTACCGCATGTCGCGGGTCTTACGAACGTTCCGCTGCGCACCTATTCAGCTGGCGTATATAAAAGGTCGTCCTGAGCTCTCTACCGTCCTCACTTCACTTCTCACCAAGCAATACCAGCTTCCTGTACTTCGCTTTATCCAAACCGACCTTATATTCGATATCATCGATCGCTATGTTCTCTCGTCTCGCCATATTCATGCTCCTCGCCTTGAGTGCCGTCTTCGTTGCTGCAGGCGAGTAAATGCCCCGGTCTGTCTTCTTACTGGATAGCTGAATTATAGGCTTGATTAGCTCCTGGGCATGCAGTTGTTCGTCAAAGTGGAAACGACCAATGCGACATTGACCGTGACAACGTCATCAATGACGTTGCCGCGGCGAAGTCTCTCGTTGATGCTCTGGTTGGACAACTCGCCTCGTAAGTAACCTCTCCTTATGACCATTCACGTTCTCCGGTGCTTGAACGAAACTCATTATACTATTAGTGATCCTGCAGCGTCCCAGACCATCGCGCAGGTGGAGAGTGACCTTGCTAGTACTCAAGATGGAATCAATCAAATACTCGCTGCATTGTCCGCCGGTCAAGACCCTCCCGATGCAGCTGTGGAACTGGCCGTGAATGGAATCAGCAATGCATTCGACCGGCTGACCAGTATCACGTCGTAAGTGACAAGTCATAATCTGTAGGATTTCAGTTAACATGTACGGATTTATAGGACGGATGATGCTATAACTACGAACCTGAACAAGGCTGAGGAGCAGTTGCAAGCAGCCAGCTTTGCGGGAACTAGTTTCCTCGAGAACTGCATCTAGCTATGTCCTGCACGCTCGCTACATACATTCCAGGCCTTCCCAACAGATGGAAATTGGACTTTGTTTCGTCACTTAGAGTGAGGTTCAACCCTTAGTTGGTGGTTCAAAGCGATGATGTATTGTGGAGTTGTTGTCTTTGAAATATAACGTGGATGCTCAGAATTCGGCCTCTGGCTATGGACCTTGAGGGCACAAGAACTGTTTCTAGTCATGTTTAGAATGGAGCGAGCTAGAGAAGAAGCTACTTCTAAAGAGCTTGCTCCACTGGCTTCGAATGGTCTAACAATGACCAAGAATGCGGCATCAAGTCAATAGTTAGATGGGAAGAAGCTAAGCCGGAGATGCCGCCACGAATGAGTTGAAATTGTATGAGGGCGGGTTCGTGTTAAAGTTGAAACCGGAAGGGGCAAAGTTCAACGTCGTGAGACCATTTCGCACAATGTGGGATGAGACACTGCAACTGGCGGTAAGCGGAAGCTTGAACTTCGATAATCCTGCACCCGCAGAGAAGGATTGTATGCTCGGTCCGCATGAAAGCGTAACTTGTGCCGGCGAGGTAAGTAATACAACAGCCCAAAGATAATCTTCGGTCTGCGGCATGATCAGATGTTATTTAGAGGAAGGGATCCAATATAGTTCACATACCCATTGCCAATTATCCGGTCTCCCGACACCATCCGGTGCGTCTGCACCCGCCGGATACAAACGACCCCAAAGGAAAATACGATCTTTGCTGATCAGAGGGTCTGATCCAGTCTTGTATGCGGCGATGTAATACTGCATGAGATCAGTCCAGTCTATGGGGCGAGGCTATCAGCTAAAGAAGTGTTGTGCTACGTATCAGACTTACCTTGATGGTCAAACCCGTCGACCCAAGCTTGTGAACCAGGTTGCGTTCCATCAACGGGTCCCACATAATGAGACTCGCTGTAGTCATTCCAGGAGATGACCTGGGCGAACGATACCTCATTACGGTGCTGAATGAGCTCTTCCCATCGCTCAGCCCAAAGCCACTCATCGGCTCGGTATATGAAGTTCTTTCCGGGGTAGTGCTAGCATCCAGTAACATTTGAACATGTGCACTAAGATACTACGCTGCAGCGCACTTACAGCGAAGAACCAAGGTGATACGCCGGCCATGTAAGAGCGACCACCAAGGTTGTTTATGTAGGATTGGTCAGGATCGAAATTAATGTCTGAACTACCTCTTGGCCAGGCACCATTCCACTGTACTCTTGTATTCAGCCTTGGCTCGTACAATAAATTAATGGTAGCTCACATTGAATATTCCATCGAAAGAACTGTAAGCACTCAGTGTGCCTGAATCGACGAAGAACGCAGGTACAAAGTAGGTTGGCGGTAAATCGTTCTTTACGGCATTCAACCATCCTTGATTAACATCGCCGGTACCGAAAGTGCAGGATTCGCCTGAAAACGTCGAAACAAACATCTTTCCATCGATGCGCAGTTGACTGGGGTGTTCGTTATAACCGCTAATGAACTGCCTAATCACGTTTGCATCTCCCGATCCTTGACATACGAAAGCCGTCATGTCGAAAGAAAGGAAGACCTTGAAGTTCCCGCTGTTACTAGCAGCCGTGTAAGCATTTGAGATCTGACCCGACTGCCAAGAATCGGTGCCAAAATTGAGCGCGAAGGCGTCAATGCCCTTGGATTTCGCAATATCGATGTCTACAAAATAATTTATGAATTTTAACTCGACGCTCATCGGGGGGACCTGAGAGTGTACTCACTTCTTTCCCAATCGGCGACGCCATATGAAAGAGTGAACCCCACCATAAAATGAGCGAAGACCAGCTTATCAGTCGAAGTTGGCATGTTTAAGGATCGAGCTTTGAAAGATTGACTCTGAATGGCCTGGGTAGGGAGGGTAGTGTTTATAGAGGTGGATGGTCTTATGGATGCAGCTGACGAGATGAATGCATCGGAAGCATCCGCAAAAGCAGGGCGGACATTGAGGAGAGGAAGGGGAATGGTAGTTGAGTGAGCTACGGTGCGAAAGAACGCGAGGCCCATTAAAAGAATAAGACAAACGGATTCAGCTCGTCCGAGGGCCATGGCAGTGAACTGAGGCTACGGGGGCCTATGTCTGAAAGGCAAAAAGAGCAACAAACGAAGGAAGGAGTGACAGCGATTTTAAGAAAAGATTGAGAGGCGATTCTGGCATGCTGCTCCTTAACCAGAATGCACACCGTGCAACATGGAGCGGCGCACTCTTCATCGACACTACATTCCGGTCCATCGCCGGTATTAAGACACCGACGGTCTAAGAATTAAACCATGCAGGAAGCAATCATCGCCGCCCACTAAAGCAGAGACACAGTAGAGCTGTGAATGCAAACATCCTGAATAGGAAAGTTTCGAGAAGAGCCGTTAGGAAGGACGCACCGGAAGGCTGCAGATTGGAGAGACGTACAGCAGAAAGATACACTCGTCATTTACCTTGTATTATCGCGCTGAACGATGAGAGAATATCATTCAGCCAACATTTCGCCCTGAACAAGTCTGCAGGAGCTAATATTCATGTTCGCGCCTTTCCTGGGCGTGTGGCTGTAACTAAACGTTCAATACAGTCCAATAGTTTGCATCATGAGGAGTCCAAATGCAGCGCCGAGAATAGCCCTTGGTAGAAGGACCTCCGCAAAAGTTAAAAGACTGAGTAGAGTGGTTCGTTTCCAGGCAATTGATAGAGCGATATAATACGTTCGCCAGCGCATCCTTAAGGACTGCCAAATCGAGTTGGTTGGAGACAAAACGCCCGGCTTACATGAGAGGTAATTTGGGCGGAGCTGGAATGCATCAAACCTTGTTTGGGCTGACTATACAGAACCAATCAGCACCTTCACCGACATCGTCGACAACCCCCGCACCTCAAGACAATATGGGAAAAGGTCTTTACTGCTCGTTGCTCTCGTTCTCGGCGACCCGTTGCTCACTGCGTATGGCTGTATAGTTCACGGATCTCTCGCCCGTGCCGGCAAAGTCAAGTCTCAGACCCCCAAGGTCGAAAAGCAGGAGAAGAAGAAGGTCCCAAAGGGCAGGGCCAAGAAGCGTCTGCTGTACAACCGACGGTACGTCCATGTTGTTCTCTGTGACTTCGTGGAATAGTTTTGTTAAATTTTCTTGTTTAGATTCGTGAACGTGACCTTGCTCCCTGGTGGCAAGCGTAGAATGTGAGTAATGAAAATTTGCTACGGGTTGGCTTTTCCAGGCTTTGGTTTGTGGCTTCTCGATGCTCGACTCTCCGGCCCGCCTGCGCTTCAATCAACCTACAAGATGATACACACCATACTAGCATAGTTCACACTGAATCATCGTGTTGATACAAATGCATCTTGTCTTTCGCTCCTATCTGACTATCCCCATTCTCTTTACGCTTTAATTCTGCTACTTTTGCTGACATCCTTCATTTTACTTAGGAACGCCAACCCCGAGAAGTAAAACGCTATCCCAATAGGGATTACACATCGACGCATAGGCGTCGTCTATTCAGTGGGCCTCGCGCCACTTTCGGCTCCGGGTTGAGAGGAGTCAGGTCGATTGGAGCCACGTCTGGTTGTCGCACTTGCATTCACGCTCTGCCATTCCATGTTGTTATCCTATACGTTCGCATATGCCCCCACCTATACATCTATGACTTAGGGCCATAAGTTCTTGTCTCCTCAGGACTGTATCGATATTCTTTCCAGGATCTTTTCGTTGTATCCTTTTGCTGTGACTGATACGCTTCAAGTATCCCGGCAATTATTCGGCTCAATGTCGTCATCCAAAGAGACCAGTATATTCAGTGGGTATCATAAGAGAACTACAGCAATCTACTGGATGATCTTGGCCATGGCATCAATGAAAGCCTTGTCTGCTTTCGGCGGGGACTCTCCTGTCGTGTTAAGGTACGCCGTCCGAAGTCGTTCGGTTGATAGTTCATCGAGAGATGACAGATTCGATGTCGTTGGTGGAGCGGTCTGCGAGGGTGATGAGTTGACCAAGCGAGGCTCTGTGAGAAGTTTATGGGTACACTGTAAGGTTGAACCACATTAAGTATGTCGACCAGTGGAAATGAATGTACACTTACAAGCTTCACTCCGAGCCAAGCCCGCAGAGTAATTCCGGTAGGTATGGAGTCAATAGGCGCGAGATCCTCGTCGTCGTCGTCTGTCATGTCCACGACTTGGAGGTACATCTTCAGTGAAAGAGGTATATCTAACGCCAGATAGGCAGTTTCGGCAAATTGTAGGAAGTGGAAAGGGTTCTGAGGAGCAAGAAGAAGTGCATGCGATAATGACTGTAAGGCATATGCATACCTGAAAATGTACTTAGCAAGACAGGTTAGATGTACAGGAAACACATACTGGTGACAACAGTTATATAGATCAGCTAGCTCAATCCAGCCTTCAACCTCCGTGTAAAAGGTATCTAGCATCGAGGACAGTTCTTGCACTGCTTGGTCTATTTTTCCTTGCCTTCGAAGCACAGCAGCCTTCCGCCTCCAAATAGCCTAGACAACAACCGCTTGAGTGGCTAGAATTACCGTCGTGAAACTTGAACATACCGCATTGCTGGAATCAGTTGCAAGTAACTCATCATAGAATGAGAGAGCGATCTCTGAAGACTCGGTGACCTCCATGCGGATTCCTGTAAGTACCTCCACTCGAGGAGATCCAGGGAACTTGTCCGACAGCAACTTCAAACATTCCTATGAGCACGATCGTGTCAGTGAGCACATACTCTTGAACAGTACCAAGACATACATCAGCGACCTGCACCTCTCCCTGGTCCAATGCCGCCAAGGCTAACTTCTCTATTAGGTCCCATCCTAGAATAATCTTTCAGACGTGTTCAATCATTAGGCCATATACGGCCACCAACCTTCGTCGCCTTGCGCAACGTATGTCTTCAATAAAGCATCCTTTCGGCTGAGCAGTTGTTGAGACTTGTCATTCTTACGAGGCTGATATGCGCCGAGCTTTTGAAGGGAGGAAGAGAGTTCCATTGTGCGGTGGATGGTCGACGCGTCTCATAGCATGTGAATTTGGAGTGAGCTGGATGCAAGCGACAGCGCTTGTCTATCCTAAACTTTCTCTCCCTCCATCTCGATCTCCAATTTGCGGAACATATTTTTGAGGAGCTGAGAGGACAGAAGACATGGTTGATACTACGTAAGACAGTTCAATCATCGGTGAACACGCATTCAGCTCATGGATTATATGAAGCCAGTCTTGGCAAAGATGTTATCCGGGTCAAGAACTTGCTTCAAATGGTCGCCTTCACGGATGGTGCCCAGTGGGAGGCCACCAGTCCAAAAGTGCAACCTGTACAAATAACGTTGGATATATCGCACGACATCAGTCGTACAGCAGAAACTGATGACCTGGTATACTCTATTGACTACTCGTCCATCTGCAAAACTATCGTCGCAAGTTGCGCAGGGGAGCACTTCTCTTCATTGGAGTCATTACATGATTACATCCGAGATGAATGCTTCAAGGCACATCAAGAGATTCAGCAGCTTGGTCTGTGTATCCTGCGGCCGAGAGGGTTGTTATACCCAGCCATCACCGCCATTCAGACCACGGCCACAAGGACAGGGTCAAGCTCGCACTCGCCTGACGAACGGCTCTATGTCTCCAACTTGGAGATACGTACTATAGTCGGGATCAATGAGTGCGAGAGGGAGGAGGCTCAACTAGTGCGTTTCGACCTGACCTTCCATAGATCAAGTCATCGCAGATATGCGTTCCCTTTCCGAAATACAGAGCGGAGAATTCGTGCGGTAGGAAACAATTATTGTCTCTCTCACTATTCATTGACTAACGTTCCAACATATCAGGATGTCGCCAAATCATCGTATCTTACCTTGGAAGCTCTGGCATCCTTTGTCGCTCAACTGTGTCTTGAATCTTTGCAAGACGACTGCGAATATGTCACTGTCAAGGCATCCAAACCAAGTGCTCTAATCTGTGCCGAAGCTCCCGAGGTCGAGATTACTCGTACACTACGTGATGGTGAACTAGTGCCCTATACTTCTGAAGATCTCAAAATCGATGTAGGAGTGACATCCACTTCCGCTCCCAAATCCAATACCACTTTCCAAATTGGCCCCGATCAACTTACTCTTGCTGGGGGATATGCTCAGTCTGACGATTCCAAACACTTGGCTGCTATCGCCATTGGCTCAAACCTTGGTGATCGATTTGTCAATATTGAAGTTGCTTTGCGTCTACTGGAGACTCATGGCGTTCATTACAACCGTCTGCCGGAAGATGCAAATGTCACAATCGTAGACACCAGCTTCATGTACGAAACCGAACCAATGTATGTTACCGATCAACCCAAGTTTGTCAACTGCGCTTGTATGGTCCGTCGTCTATATCTCGACTTCCGTCTCGAGATTGCTTATACTTTGCGGATAGATTGAGACAAACTTGTCGCCTCTGGAACTCCTGACGCTGTTAAAGAGGGTTGAGACCATGGTGGGACGGGTCGCGTCCTTCCGTAATGGGCCTCGTGCCATTGACCTTGACATCTTACTGTATGACTCTCGGATCCTGGATACACGCCCAGTTGATGGGAGGACCTCCGAAGATCTTGAGGGTCACCTTGTGATCCCACACCCAAAGATGCTCGAGCGGGAGTTTGTGCTTCGACCTTTGAACGAGTTGCGTACTGTCCTCTAGTGTTCTTTCATCATTGTTTTGATGATCTCCACTATGCAGCATGGTACCAGATTACGTCCACCCCGTGTCGAAGCGTCCAATTCATGACTTGCTCTCCGAGACCCTGTCAAAGCAGAAGGATCCTCAGGTAACACATAAAGTCACACCATTCCCCCAATACCCTCTTTCGGCACCGCTATCGCATGGAGAGACATCACATCTTCATAATATACCCCATGTTCCGCCAACAGCAACGTATTGGAAGTTCCCGGTATCCTGCTCGTCGGCTCAGAGGACGTATATTATGGGTACTTTGAACGCTACTCCGGACTCATTCTCAGACGGGTCCGTCAATAATACGATTCCTGCAGCACTCGCCTATGCGCAGTCTGCCATCCAGGGTGGTGCACATATTATCGACATTGGTGGACACTCGACTCGTCCAGGGGCAGCGTTCGTCTCGGCGGATGAAGAGGCGTCTCGTGTGGTACCGATCATTCAGGCTATTCGATCCTACGAGTCCCACACTGAGGCTCAAGGGCCTGAATCCGCTGCTGTTCGGCATACACTCATCAGCGTGGACACCTTCCGATGGGAGGTAGCTGAACGTGCAATCAAAGCTGGTTCGAACTGCATTAACGACGTATATGCATTCACAGGCCCAGAGTACCCAGTTGGCCAGACAGGGAAGGCTCATTTTCAAAGGATGTGCCAAGTCGCTCGCGACCTCGCTGTTCCTGTCATTCTGATGCACTCTCGAGGAGAGGCATCCGCTAATAAGGATTACTCTGCATACGAGTATGCATTGGACTCACGTGGCAGGGGAGCGTTTGTGGAAGGTGTTAAGATAGAACTTGGAGGAAAAGTGGACGCTGCTGTCAAAGGCAAGGGTGGTTTGAGACGATGGTTCGTCATCGTTGATCCGGGCGTTGGTTTCAGCAAAACAGTAGAAGGCAACCTGGAAGTTCTTCGGAACGCGTCTTCTATTACCGGAGACAAAGCAACAACAAATGGGTCTCGGAATGCACTTTATGGCTATCCACAACTTATCGGTGCTTCAAGAAAATCGTTCCTGGGGACCATCCTGCGACAACCTGACTCAGAAGGTCTATATGCAGGAAGAGAGACACAACCGGTGGAACGAGGTTGGGCAACTGCGGCAGCTGTGGCATGTGCTGTTCAACAGAGGGCTGCTATCGTCAGAGTGCATGATGTCCTCGAGATGGGGGATGTAATCCGCGTGTCAGACGCTCTTTGGGCTTGATGAGAACTGAGGGAAGGTTATATGACTTTATCAACCTCGTTAAACTTGTTCTTTCTGCAGCTAGAGACTAACGTTGGAGTAGTGAGGACGAAGGAGAAGGGTTGAAGGCGTACTAAGACAACTTCCTGTTTGGGACGAACACAGATAGATTAGTCAGCGTAGTTCAACCAGTCAGAACCTGTAGCCTAGGAAGGCGGAACAACAACGACGAGCATAACAGTCTACGATACCACTAGTCCAACGTACAATTACGAACAATTTTTGGTATTTGCGATTTTGACAAGGAAATTAAGACACATGAATATGAGAGGATTGTGGGTCCATGTTGACTTACACTCTCCGGCCCGTCGTTCTATACCTCGCACGACATCCTCAATCGAAGGCAAATCGAGGGATGCACTCTGGCCGCAGTGCTAGAAACGATCGAAAAAAATCCAGATACGATCAGGAGAGGGATGCAGCTGTCGCTTATGGGTACACGACATTGTATGATTATTACGCTGGAGTACTGTACTGTCGTGACCTGTTCCGATGTGGAAGAATTCGAGGAAGAGGTGAGGGAGCAGGAATCAATGGCGCTCAATGACAAGGAGAAGGGCTGTCTTCGATATGGAGTGATTTCATGGTTTAGACTGCTGTGAGCTTGCCGGGACGTACTAGCTCTCTGTCAGAAAGGTTTGTGACCAGGACAATGGGGATTGAGTAGTATGATTGAAAGCCGAGGTTGAATTGAACCTTTAGAATTGTTATTTCTTCGTTCTCCACCTACACCGCAATATATCAAGCTCTGTGCATCTCGCTCTTGAGCATATGTTATATCACCGTGCCCACGTCCCCAGGTCCCCTAATCAATATTGAGATGTTTCGATTTGTCTGATCAATATTGCCGGCGTCAACTGAGATTGAGAAGACCAGAAAAGTGACGTTCACCGCGGGTGGCTCTGCACCGTCCATTTCATACGATAGCAAAGATATTTCCTTTACCACTTCACAGCGCATGTGAAAATATAAATTGCGGCGGTCTGTACCCACCTCATTGAGTGCCACCCACGACTGCCCCGCCACCACGCACCCTGCTACTCACCGGACATGTCTTCTAGTCCATCGGAAAGCGGGACTCCTACTCCTGTACTCGATCTTGCATATATCGAGGAAGACGTGCTAAATCCGATCGCAGTCGAGAAACTTCAGTCCACTCTTTCGAAATTGGAAAGGACAGGAGGAGCACCAGGATGGCTCGCCAGGAAGTTGCTTTCTGCGGGAGATTGGGTTGAACGAGAAGTTGAGGAACGGCGACAAATGATTGGGGGTATTGATAATCTCTGGCTCTCTTGAGGGATACTACCTCTGACTTCAATCCGGTCCGTTCGATGCTATCTTCTCGTAACTCGTCCTAATCTAGTACTCAGGTTTGTGCATGCACGTACGTTCTGCGAGGAAAAGTCTCGTTGGAAATGCTTCGACGTGTAAGTTATGTTCGAGTCGAAGCACATTCATACTATTCATGTGTCGGATATAGGCTATGATGCGTACGGACAAGAAATTTCCTAAATATCATCAGAGACTGACCTCAGTCGGGCGCAAGTTCCATGGCACACGATTCGAAGATGATCCTCACTTCGACATGAATAATCACCTCCTTATGTCACGACTTCCTGAACCAGCGGGCAAGCGCGAACTTGATGACTCTGTGAGTCTTACATGTCCCCTTCTCTTCACGTTTACCCAAGCCATAAGTCGACCGTAGATGGGTAGGTTTATTGCGCAAGATTGGAATTTGACCAGACCACTATGGGAAATGGTAATCCTCGAGAACTACCACGATGAAGACGGTGGAGAGTGCGCGATGGTATCCAGAGGGTATGTACTTATCTATTGCCTGCACGAGTAAGGAACTGATGAATAGTCCCTTTCAGTCATCACACACTTGCTGATGGGCAAGGTGATGATGAAAAATCTTGAAGTTGTAGTTTCCTGTTAATCTGACAATGCTCTAGGATTTGTCTTAAGCCAGCTTTATATGACGTCTTATTACGAGGAACTCACGAAGGCCATGAACAACGGTGCTCGCACTTTACATGCAGCCAGGCGCGGAACTCTCCTTCCTTCAAAGGTTCACCCAATACTCCGACCTCTCGATCCTTACACAGATCCTTTGAACGTCCTCATAGCACCTCTCGTCCAGATTTTCCTCGCCTCGCTCTTCTGGCTCACTTACGCTTTCTCGCTCCCCGTATCCTTCTTCTTCAGCGTCTACCAAGCTCTACTTCAAATAACGATGTTCATCCTTACCTGCCGGCGCGTGGAAATGCTCACAGCTCCACAGTATGGCCGTCGGGTACATGAACGGGAGTTTTCGAGTTCGAAAGTTGTCGATATGAACGATATTCGACTTTGCCAACAAGCATTTTCTGGATTGTATCCTGGAAGTGTAGTGGAGAAGGAGAAGGGTCGACGAGATAAAGTCAGGCACGTCACGTTGAACGACGTGATGTGTTCTGTGATGGCTGATGTGCTCGCTGAGGAGGTCATTTCAAAACCACAGGACACCAGTATATCAGGACGCGTGAGGAAGATGCTCGCGAAATATTTACCATCGCCAATTGGGTTCTTTATGTATGCTCGACGTTTTCTATTCGTATCACGAATACTGATTTGTTTGATGTAGTCCGATCAGCATACGAAACCCGGGGGACTGGTCGTTGCGGAATCTCTCAACCGGTTCCATGGTGTACTTGTATCCAATGTCTCCGGACACTAGTATTGGGCCGGGGACGCTTTATGATCACATACACCGATGTCGGTCGGCACTCTCATTACTCAAGCATAGTCTTTTTCCCCGCATCCTTTTCTACATTATGCAAGTTACTGGTCAGGTTCCAACTCTTTGGCCGGTACCATTTGGGCTTTTGGATAGTTCGAAGAACCTTGTGAGGAAGTGGGTACTCGTGCCGTTGATTGAGTGGTCATTGCGGTCGTGTAAGTCAGTTCCATGTGCTCTGTTCATTGAACACCATTTTAACTCAGTTCCATGCAGTTCCTGTGGTACTAACGAAGTAAATATCTTGAGTTTTTCCAGTCTGTCGTGATGGTTCTTACATTCTGCTTTAGTGTACCCGGACCAGCAAAGAACACCATCACACTGGAAGGTATTGAGGTGATGTGCTGGATGGCGCTCCCATCGCAAAGCGGCACAGGTTCGTTGGCTATAGTTTCATTCGCTCTTTTCAGGTCTTCAGTAACTCTATGTCGCCGTAGGTACCATTGGAGTGGGAATCATCTCATATGCAGGCGGACTCTGTATCTCGGTCGCAGCGGACAAAGTACCTGCATCAGAAGGTGTAACGAGGCGAATATGCGAACGTTTTGAGAGGAGATTCGATTGCTATGTAAGATGTGCAAAGGAGGTGATTGAGCATCGGGATTAAAATGTGCGGTATATAATTAATACGCTCTTTGTCCCCGTCGGCTCACTGATCCAACAAATCCATTTATAGACATGAAGACATGATACTATGGCACGGACAAGTTATACTGTTTGGATATACTGCTATAATCTAACCATGATCTTCCTCAATTCATGAAAATTTCTTGCTTCATACAAGTCTCTGATATTTGTCGCCTCTCATCGCATAAGCCATCTTAGTTACTTAGTAGCACGAGTTTAGATTTAATGCCAGGCTGATGTTCTTTCATATGCCTCACATATGACTGCAGAAAACAATACTCACAGCTTCATGTTCTCCCTTGTATAACTTCCTCCGATTTCGGCAAGTTCCATCCCACAGACCAGTACGAGAAAAACTTGAGCTCATGGCAGAAGTCAGTGAGTACCGGAGATGTCTTGCATAATCGAGAGCCAAGACTGAAAAAAGTTCAGAATAAACTTTTTATCTTTGGCTTTGTGTTGGAGGGGTCCCTGCTGTTTGCGTTGCTCTTGGCAAAGTTACAGTTCCCTTCGTCCTGCAACCAAGAGACTACACATTGTGACATGGCAGGCCAGGATCACGAACTCCAGACTTACTTGATAGGATTATTCGGCGAAGACCGGTGATCAATCGATCATGGAGCATTCCGTATTTGGTTGTTGTTTCGTTTTGAAGTTACCCACCACAGTCCTCTCAAATGAGCGAGCCGCAACCAACTCAACCACAAAGCCTACTGAGTATCGTTGCTCATTGCGATAACTTCTCGGTTTCTGAAGAAAAGATCACCCCAGGGGGTGAAAAACTCGTATCTTGGCGTCTCACTCCAGATCTCTCTTCTCCGGTTCTTGGTCTTCTTCGACCTTGTGTGGTAGACCAGCTCAAGCTCGAATCTTCGAATGTCTGGAATTTTTCGCTTTCTGGAACCTCGGAGAGCATATCCTTCGCGTCTTCACTTGACACTCCTGCTAAAAGGACTCGTGTGATGAAAGAGATGTGCGAGCGATGGCGAGATACAGGACTATGGCCTGACCAGATTGGACCCAAGAAATGGCGTGCAGAAATGTATCCAATCTTCCGCAATCCATTCGGCAAACGCGATGCACCACTAGCAGAGGATGGTGAAGTGGAAACCGGAGACGACTCAACTAACTACGCTTTCATGATGGAGAGGGCGGCTTGTGCGCTCGTTGGTGTCGTTACATATGGTGTCCATATGACCGTATATGAAGGCGGACCTGAAGGTGAATTCATTGGAAATGGCGATGAATTGCAAGGATATAGGATCTGGGTCCCGAAACGTGCTCGCACGAAACAAACTTGGCCTGGGTACTTGGATAATAGTGTTGCTGGTGGTATACCCTCAGGGCTGGGTATATTTGAATCTGTCGTCAAGGAAGCAATGGAGGAAGCCAGCATTCCCGAATATATTGTGCGTAAGCATGCCAAGGCGACTGGCGTAATTAGCTATTTCTATCGGTGAGTGATACGAGATAACGCAACTAAAGGATGCTAACTTCAGCTTGTTTACACAGCACTGACGCGGGATGGTTGCAACCAGAAGTGGAGTATGTCTCTTCATCGTCAAGCGGAGGCGTACAGACATCTTACCTGTTAACAATACAGGTATGTGTACCGGCTTCGAGTACCTCCTCATGTGCCCTTGCAATTAAAACCTTCTGATGAGGAGGTGGAATCGTTTGAGGTACGTTCACATCAAGATGCATGACATAAACACTTATCCTGCAACAGCTCCTGGAACTTCCAGAGGTTGAATCCCGAATTCGTGCAGGCTTATTCAAACCAAACTGCGCTGTCGGTTAGTGGTGTAATTGCATTGACCGTTTTCAGCTGCTGACTGTCTCTTCGTAGTCCTCATCGACTTCATGATCAATCATGGACTTATTACCCCTGATAATGAACCCGACTTCCTCGAAATTGTTACTCGTATTCATGGAAGATTCGACTACGACAGGTGGTGAGTTGGCGCATTGAGTGTGGCCGCTGGCTCTGGTCGCCTGGTGGCATAAATACAATAGATCACAACACTATGGAATTAACAGCCGGATATTTTATGAGACAGAGATTTAACGAAAAGCTGACACAGAGATCATCAAAGAGATACAATGATTTTCCTATCTTCCCGAGAAAGTACACAGCGATGTCACAATAAACAACAAAAATATAGCAAATTGGAAGTGGTGCATCAGGGCGAAAACCCAATAGGTAATGAGACCACCATAGTTTGACATCACTGCAAGCTCGCGACCTGCATAATTGATCTTTGCATGCCCGAAATCCTATAGCAAACGAAGGTGCATCAACACATCAACACACTCGAAGGTGAGCCTCAGCGATACGAAAGAGTACATACTGATTCAAAGTATCCTGGGTCGCGTTCGCACTCCTGAGGTGCGCACTGAGCTGATTCACTTGAGCTATCAGGCCATTCGCCCTGGAAAGGATGGCGCTTTCCTGTTGTTTCCATCGGGCACTGATATTGGCGGAGGAAGAAATACGGCCATCCTTGATTGAGGCGGCCTCATGTGACTTCGTGGCCTTAAATTGAGAGTAATCATTCATGAGTTGTACAACACGAACTTGAAGATCGGAAATCTCGGCAATGGAAGACATCTTTGGCGACGAAGGGTCTCAGAGGGATGGAGCGAATACGGCGGAGTTCCAAAGAAGGAGGTGGTAGGCCTGAACTTGTAAGGAAATAAAAGAATTCTGAAGAGCAAGGAATGTAAGAGGAGAAGGATGGGGATGGGGGAGACAGCGTAGGTCCTCTTATAGCTTCCTGAGATTTTGCTAGGCGAGGAAACAAAGAATAACTATATCCTCTGGGGTACACTCCCACTTAACGGTCATATGGTCCAGCCGATTGGCCACTGGCCAGTGACATTTAGCCGAACGCAACTTGAACATGAAAGCGGACCCATGTGTACGGATCTACAAAAACATTCAGATCAACTGTGAGCAATATTTCGTGAGAAACTCAGTCTATGCCTGACGCAAGGGAGGTGAATGATGGCGATCTAAATAATTCTAGAGGATAATCCCATATGCTTTAACAGGTGTCACAATACGCCGTGTAACGTGGAACAGTACACGGATCGGATATTGTCGCAATCTTCAGCTCGAAGTCGAAAAACACAACTTGCAGGAGCGTCTTTCTAGTGACGTACGTCGAAATATTGAAGTAGTGGATCATGCATCATCTCCAAGTACTTCAGATTGAAAGTCCTGAAGTATATCAAATAAAGGCGTGGTTAGCTGAGTCGGCGCACATGAGATCGGCCACCCAAATACTTTGGGGATAAAGGGACGTAATTTGATTTTGGCACTCACCGAGCCTATGTTCTACTTTGGCAATACTCAGACACAACTTGCCAGAAGTTGTCACGAGCTAAACGGACCAGGTGTGATGCATATTCGAAACGGCGGCGGGTTTTGCAATCTTGTCTGGCGTCGTTGATCATCAAGCCTGTCGACGAGGATTCGGATGTGCAGCTCACTGAGTTGAGCACGATAGCAACTCATCAGATTCGATTGACTATGATGCACTGTGAACAACAACAGGGTAAATCCAAGAAGAGCTCGGCCTTTGACCTTAAGACACTAATCCTTGGTAGGACGAATAACCTCCTGCCTTGGCCACTTGTCGAAATGTCCAGATAGCTTGAAGTAGGACACATAGTCTTCACCTGTACCCTGATGGCAGATGTCAAGGCATAAGCCACATTTAATGCGACAGAATGAGAGGCTCTCACAATCTGAGCGCTCGGGAAACCCAAGTCGAACGGCAAGATGCTCTCGAGGTACTTGATTTGTTCAGTGCTGAGAGAAATAGAGAGGGCTTCGATGTTCTGGTGTAGGTGTTCGACCTTTCGGCCTCCGACGATGGGGAAAACGTAGGGAGCCTTCTGCATGACATAGGCGATGGCAACTTCAGTGCGCAGCGCCGTCAGCCGGATCAGAGTGAAAAATAATAGATTGACTGACCGGCGGTAATGCTCTTCGTTCCAACTTCCTCGGCGACTTTCTCCAAAGCGAGGCAAACCTTTCGTTCATCCTCGGTACGCTCCCAGTTTGGGCTGAAGATCGTACGACCTGAAGAAGCGATAATCAGATATCGACAAGAGACGGCATGCGGATGCAAACTGTGGTTGACTTACCCTTCTCGCCGGTCTCGCGACGTCTCTGTTCCTCGGCATCGGTACGAATCTTACCAGCGGCGAGAACGTTCCAAGGAGCGATAGCCATCCCTTCAGCCCGTGCCATTGGCAAGATCTCTCGTTCCAAATCTCTTTGTAAAATGCTCCAGGCACCTTGATAGACGACGAAAGGGGTTTTGCCGTGATCCTTGGCGTAGGTGTTGGCCTTTGCGACGACCCACGCGGGAGTATCGGATACGCCCTACATTGACAATGAATTAGTACAAATGCTGAGTGAGAATGCAATTTGAACGAACCAGATAGAGCACTTTGCCTTGAACGACCAAGTTGTGCAGTCCATTCATAACTTCCTCGATACTAGTGGTAAAGTCCCACCAATGGACATAGAGAATGTCGATGTAGTCAGTGCGCAGTTTCTTCAAGGAGGCCTCGACCGAAAGATGCATAGACTTGATATTGTTGCCAACGTATTGAGTGTGTTGGCCAACATTGGGATGGCCCAGCTTCAAGTCGGTTGTGTACTAAACATATCACCGTAGCTCAGAAGCACATACACATCACACCAGAGCATAATTAGTTCACCTTAGTTGCGAGTACGATTTGATCACGGATACTACGTTGCTCCATCCATTCGCCGAGGAACTCTTCAGAGCTCTCCTGCTGACTGCAAAGTATGTCAGAGAGAGGCCGAGAGTCGTTGGAAAGTTACGTACTAAGAATTGGCGGTGTCAATGAAGTTACCGCCGGCCTTGTAGAAAGCATCCAGGAGCTTGAAACTGTCTTCCTTATTCATAGCTCCCATACCAAATTCACTCCATTTGTCACCAATGCTCATCGCACCGAGGCAAATGGGCGAAACATGGAGACCAGCAATAGGTGCCAACTGACGATGTCTGCCGAGCTTGGTAGCAGGAAGAGGAGGTGGGGCGAAGAGAGACGACATTCTTGACGGCGTGGATATGTGAAGTGAGCCAAAGAGACTGAGAAAAGATGTCTAAGGTCAGTGGTGTATAACTGCTGCTTTTATACGAACAGATACACCGCCCATTCGGCCGTCCTGTAATCCGAGCGTCCCACCAAATGCCGTATTGTACATGCACTGTATGGGTGCTCGCCTGACTGGCTCTTCTCAGTGCCCATAATGGGAAGGGCAAGCTTGCGTCGACCCGCGGCAGCGCCGCAGGGTGAGTGTAAGTATACGAGACGTACGTACATAGTCCAGAATATCCCGTGGCCGACGGTAATCGGACATAACCTAAAGCACGAATAAAAATGACCTTGAAAAGACTAATAGCCGCTATTGGAGAAACTCTCAGTTTCCAAACATCGGAATCAACACACGACAGTATGTAGGGAATTGTAGGCAAAGCACTAGTCGCAGGGCCGAAGCCTAAGCAACGCATACTCAGCACGACCTTGGGTGTACTGTGCCGTTAGAGACACGACAGCCTATGCCGCAGATAGCCTCAGACAGGGTAAAATTACTCACAGTATGTCCTGATTGTTGTATCTGAAGCATTGGGGATTTTCCGACTGATCTTGGCAGGCGGTAATTCAACAGAGCCCATGAATATCCCCACCATCTACTTGTCGATATCGTAGACATAATGCTTCTCAGTTTGCACTAAGAGAACAGAAATGTTCTGCTCCAAGTTGAGGATGTCGGGGTATGTTCAAGCTAAACGATGTCGAGCCTCGACAATGTGCACATGACACCCGCGTTGTTGATAAGTATTTATCACAACACGATCGCGCTTCTAGGTTAGGTAATTCTGGGTAACTCAAGTTGGAGAATGCCACCTAAGCTGATCAATGTGAACTGTGTATCCCTTGAGTCTTAGAATATACCCGAAGAATTGGCAAGACACAGACGTACAATTGTTTCGTTGACTGCATTCAACATCCAACATTTAGTTCTCGACCGATCACGTCTCGCGTCACAAATAGCAAGGTCAGCCTCAAACTGAGCTTGGTCCCGGTTGTCAGCCTCTACTGTGGTCAGCGATCAAATAAGTATAAAGTCAGCGTAGCCATGGCCGTGCATCGACTTCCATCTTGGCTCCACTCTCTCACCTTCCCCCCACATCTCACCTATTACTTCTTCCCTTCCACCCCTCAAGCTCATCAACATGCACAGAAGACATCAAGACCTCCTCCTGGCCCGGATCTCAAGACCATGGACGTCAATGGATCAAGATAGCCCCGGTCTGACTTGTCGTGTTGCTGTCCTGTTCCTTGTGTCTCTGTCGTCTATGTCGCTCTGTCCTCTTTTCATTTCCTAGGCAGTCTAACCACCGTCCATAGCGTCGGTGGCAGAACATCGTGGAGAATTCTCCACGATGTTCTCCACGACCTCAGGGGTGTAGTCGTGCACAGACTGTCTATACCCAACCACCAATCTGCTTTCCTTTTCAAGCAGCAGTTCGCTCACCACCAGATGAGATCACCTCGTCCAGTGGTGATGGAACGGTCTTCGTTCCCCACGACTAATCACCTCCGTCGTGTGCGTTCCAAAAGCTACCTACCCACTTTTTATTCTGTCAAAAGGCAGTCGGGCGTCATCGCTTTGCGACGACGGCAGTCCGTTGGTACGCGTCCCAAGGGGTGAGGGTCTGCCATTCATTATGCCACGGCTCCGCGACGAAACCACACCCCCGTCGTGTCCTGGCTGCCTACGACGACATCACTTTGCTTTGTTATCGTTTTGTTTCGGTCTTGGTCTTGGGTCTTGCTGGGGTGTCTAGAGCTTGGTCTGGATGTATTTACTGACCTTTTACAGAAATCGACGATCTGGGCCCGGGACCAACGAAGGTGACAATCATGGTGAGTACCCCGAGGTATTGGCGCGGACCTTTTCGTGGTCCTCGGGATAAGTACCGTCTGAGTTCAAGTGTGCGATCGCGAAAGCGAGAGCAGCTCAGCGGGAAACTAGCACGCGCCTAAAGACAGGTGAGTTTCTCGATTTCGAGTACCTGACGATAGACCACTGGCAGTATCTGCACCTGTAATTGTAGTTTCGATCAGTGTCTCGACGATGATCGATGAGAACTTATAACAGCGCAGAAAGCCTGTTAGTATGAGGCCAGTCTGCTGGCAATACATTCTTCTACTGAGTACGCATGCGGGGACTTCCAAGTTGAATTTCACCTTCAGAAGTTAGCCGCTCGCCAATGAGATGCGCGAATTGTTATGGTTTGTTATGTTTTGTTGGTTCTCGTCGCGACCGCGTCGACTCAGAAACATAAGTTGCGAAAATGAATCGCAAACGACCATGTATATTTATATTGATACCGTAGATTCAATTCGGATATTTACAGCTACAACGAACACCCTGACGGACGGTTATCATCAAGATGGAGCGTGATTGAAGCCTAATTCTTCGAGGGACGAATTGCTTGAGCAGCCGGCCACTTGTCAAAGTGACCGGCATTCTTGTACAGGAAATTGTAGTCAGACCCGTCCCCCTATGGGATCGAAGATGTATCCGTCAACCACCAAGCTGAAGAATATTTGTAAGTACTTACGTATACTCCGGTGGGGAACCCAAGGTCAAACGGCTGGACGCTCTCGAGATACGCAATTTGCTCGGGCGAAAGAGCGATCTCGAGAGCTTCGATATTCTGGTGAAGATGTTCGATCTTACGACCACCGACGACCGGGAAGACATAGGGAGCCTTTTGCATCACATAGGCGATAGCAACTGCGAACATGGTCATTTCAGTCGAGTGAGATGCTTAGTTAGGAGATAGAATGTTCTGACCCGAGGTAACTGACTTTGCGCCAATTTCATTGGCAACCTTCTCCAAAGCCAGACAAACTTGACGTTCACTTTCGGTACGCTCCCACTCGGGTCCAGTGATAGTCCGGCCTTCAGCGGTACGCATCAGCAAATAGGGTCGTCGTAACCTAAACATACGGAGACTCTACCTTTCTCGCCTGTCTCACGTCTTCGTTGCTCCTCTGCGTCAGTACGGATCTTGCCCCCGTGCAGAACATTCCAAGGAGCAATGGCCATTCCTAGTGCAATACAAAGATATGAACCTCGTTCGTATTCACACCTGAAATATAGAATGCAGAACAAACCTTCTTCTTTCACCATGGGTAAGATCTCCCGCTCTAGATCCCTATATAGAATACTCCAAGCACCTTGATAGACCACGAACGGAGTCTTGCCGCTGAGCTTAGCGTAAGTATTCGCCTTGGAGACGATATAAGCAGGCGTATCCGACACGCCCTGTATGCCCCTCAGTAAGCTATGCAAACCTGATCACGGGCACGAAACGCTACGTACCAAATAAAGCACCTTGCCTTGGGCAACAAGGTTGTGCAGGCCATTCATGACCTCCTCGACTGGGGTAGCGAAGTCCCACCAATGCACATACAGAATGTCGATATAGTCGGTGCGAAGTTTCTTGAGTGAAGCTTCCACCGAGATATGCAATGACTTAAGGTTGTTACCGACATAACTCGTCTTTTGCTTGATGTTGGGGTCGCCACGCTTGAAGTTGTTAGTGTACTGGAGTAGTCAAATCATAGTATGTCAATAATGATTACATACCACGACGCGTTGTAGGAATATTCTCACTTTTGTTGCCATAACTATCTGATCTCGAATGCCTCGAGTCTCCGTCCACTCCCCGAGGAATTCTTCAGAAGATTCATCCTGACTGGAGGTGCATCACCGGGAGGGTCAGAATTCAATTCAATCTCAGGATGATTCGGTCGTTCGTGCCTTACAACACTCACTAGCTATTCGCAGTATCAATGAAATTTTCACCAGCCTCATAGAAGGTGTCGAGTAGTTTGAAGCTGGTCTCTTTATCCATGGAACCCAAGACACCCCATTTGTCTCCGATGCTCAAGGCACCAAGGCAGATGGGTGAAACATGGATTCCGGCCGAAGGTGCCAATTGACGATGGCGACCGAGGCTGGTAGCAGGAGGGGATGGCTGGGCCCAGAAATTGGACATGTTGGCTCACTGGTGACTAGCTGGGATGATGGGGGAGGAAGGGGGGATGAGGTTTGTCCACAACAATCCTGAGTTTTTATCACTCTGGAACGTCCCCTTGGCATCATGGTGTATGTCCGATCGTATGGAAGTGAAGTACATTTATAATCGGCAAGATGCAAAGCAACCCGATATCGGTGTTGACCACAGATGCCTAAGACTCGTAGAAGATACTTTTACACCGACCTATATGCTATGTGCGGCTACTCACTGTCATTGTTTACATTGGGAGTGAGCGTTCCCTGCGAGATATCCACCTCCTCCGAAAGATGTATGCTAGAAAATATTTCAGTCAGCAAATATCGTGCACGGGTTTGACTGTCATCGCGACTGACCTAGAGGAGCCGGTGAGTAAGCTTCCTGTTGAAGATAATAGTAAAGCAGGGTGGAAAAACGTGTGAAGTAAGGCAACAAATGAATACCATTAGTAAGACTCCAAGAGGTAAGAAAATCAACGGAGGTCAGAGATAAGGAAAGGAAGAAAGGAAGGTAGGCAATACAATACAGCGATGTACGCACCACGATCTATAGACCGTCGATAGGACCCTGAGTGAAAATATGAAACGGGGTGGTCGGGCATGGTCATGAACTTTGTCCTGCTGATGGAGAAGTATCAGCGCTACGATGCACAAGAATCCCGATGAGGCACCGTACCGCAGGATCCTCCTCTCTGGGAGTTGGTTCAAGGGGAACTGTCCCAATCGTTTCAAAGTACGGGGTTCATTCGATATTTTTGTAAATCAGTTACGTTTAAATGGATTACCGATCATGCGAGCCTTGCTACTTGAATATTCTGAGCGGCGTTTTCTAGGACGCTTGTCGAATTTTGACGTGTATATGTACAGCCAAGAAAGTGGATGCACGAAATCAGAATGGTCTGCCGGATGACTGTCTTCAGAATGGGAATATAGAGATCTAGCATTACGAGCACGCACAAGGAGATGAAAAGCGGATGCCAAGGTGAGCGCAGCTCAGCGGGAAACTAGCACGCGCCTCCAAAACAGCTGAGTACCTGCTCTTTAAAGAGCTTCGCAGTACTCTACAGCTTTTGTCATATTTGCAATGAGTTTAATCCAATGACTTACCGACAATGCGAGCTTTGCTGTGTACTGTCCGTGAACCTTCTGAGCTACGTGTTTCGGGCTACTTGCTCAGTCAAGACGTATGTCCTCGAACGCAGGTGTATGAAAGTAGAACAGTTTGTTAGATGTCTGCCTTCAGAAGGGAAATACAAGTGTATGCAGACATGACGCGTGATTGGCTGTACTTTGCATTCCACACAAACGCACTGAGATCAAGAACATGGAAGGCGGAAGCAATTGAGGTTGCCAGATTCGGAGATTGAGACGATTGGTCAGCAATTGGACCCATTTGGTCTGCCTTGCTCATGTTCGCGTAGTTGACAAGAACCTCCTCCCGGCCCCGAGCAGCTGTTCTCTACCTCTCTTGTACTCATGCTGGCCTCGAAGGTCGTCGAGTATTCCTTGAACTCCGTACCCGCTTCATAGCTATTCCATCGTATACGATCGTGACCGCTCATCGTCATTCACTTCTACCTACTAGGACCGCGTCGAAGTCTAGAACACGATGGCTCCGTCAGCAGCACCTGCATCGAAGAGGACGAACGGTTCCCAGTCATCGCGGCCTACCACGACACGAAGAAATGAGGACGAGGAGTTGAAGCCATATGTCATTGTGGGTGATCTGGGAAAGGGAAGTTTCGCGACTGTGTATCGTGGATATAATGAGGTGCGTCTCTATCGTGTGCTTGTCTTCCATCGTAAGATATTCATCATTCCTTCTTAGCAAACACACCTCGAAGTCGCTATCAAGACGGTAAACCGCAGTGGGCTCACTCAGAAGCTCTTTGACAATCTGCAAGGCGAGATTGGTATACTGAAGACCTTGTCGCATAGGCATATAACGAGGCTACTCGACATTATAGTATGTTCTCTTCTACTGTTTAGTTTGCCTAACGTTCTGAAGACTCCCCCAGCACGCGGAACGCAATATATACCTAATTATAGAGTTCTGTTCCGGCGGTGATCTTGCCAACTATCTGAAGAAACGAGGTCGAGTGGACAGTCTTGAATATGTACCGTCTCCAGGAGTTGCACCGATGTATTATCCTCATCCTCGAACTGGTGGCCTCGATATTATCGTCGTCAGAAGCTTTCTCCGTCAGCTTGGTGAGCGGAGAGACCGCCTGGATGATTTGCCTTGAATTCCTAATATATAATGATTTAGCTCGTGCGTTGAAGTTTCTACGGGTTCGGAACCTCATACATCGCGATATCAAACCACAGGTCGGTAGTACTGTCTCCGTTCGATGAACGACTATTCATCCCTCTATAGAATCTTCTCCTAAAACCTGCGTCGCCGGAAGATATGGAGAGAGGACATCCACTTGGAGTACCGATTCTTAAGATCGCAGATTTTGGTTTCGCGAGAAACCTTTCACCAGCGATGCTTGCGGAGACGTTGTGTGGTTCACCGTAAGTATTGATATTTTGCCTTGAAGTGCCACGAGCTGACGCTCAATAGACTATACATGGCCCCTGAGATCTTGCGTTACGAGAAGTATGATGCGAAAGCAGACCTTTGGTCAGTGGGGGCCGTGCTCTACGAGATGTCAATCGGAAAACCCCCTTTCCGTGCTCAGAATCACATCGAGCTTATCAAGAAGATCGACAACTCGAAAGGAGTCAAATTCCCTGACGAAGATTCACAGCTCGTCGCTCGTCAAGCCGAGACTGGGGAAGAGATCAAGCCAGTGCCGAGTGATATAAAGCAACTCATCCGAAGTCTGCTGAAGAAGACACCTGCCGAGCGTATGAGTTTCGATGACTTCTTTGCAAGCGAAGCACTGGCAAAGTCTAAGTTCCCAAGACCTCAACGTGCTCCTCCTCCGGAAGAGGATGATACTGGTCTGGTGACACAGTCAACGACACCTGAACACCATAAGATTATACCGCCAGAAGTGCTGGACCCGAAAGCGATGATCCCACAAAGTCGGTTTGACTTTAGGCGAAGAGGGGGCGAAGGTTCCAGAGAGAAGTAGGTTGCCTTGATATATTTTCGAATAAAAGACTGATTAGGTTGTCAGTGTGATGATCAATGGCGGCACAGGGGAAGTGTCCCATTCACTATCACTACCGCGTGTACAGCATGTGCAGAGCACCTCGAAGCCCGTGTCCAACGATGGATCTGTCATTCCGGGTGAAACGGATGAGGATGGACTCTTAAGACGCGAGTACGTGCTTGTTGACGACAAGCGGGCAGTGGAGCTCAACCGTGCTGTAGATGGTATGCAGTGTGTCGTTATTCCTTGTTGGAGATGCTTTCCTGACTTATTCGAGTAGAGATCGCCGCCGCTCGTCGGAAACCTCTTCGAGATCGCCGATCTATATCATCCCCTACCATCGACGTTCCAGGTCCCTCGAATGGAACTGAGTTCCCTACGTTGGACTCACCCGACCGATCCTCACCAATCAGTTTCCCTCCACCGCCACTTGCTGTCGCACCACCTATTTCTTCATCACCTTCTAGCGCAGGGTCTCGCACTGCGGCCAACGCACTCACACAGGCCCTAAACTTCGCGACTAAGAAACTCTTTGGTGGCAGCTCTCATCACCCTCGTACATCACCATACTACAAGGAATACACTTCCTCTTCACCTAAGAGACAGCAATTCAATTCACCAAGAGGCGTGGGCCTTGGGTTGGATGTTAATGGCAGCAGGGACCCAATGGAAGATGAACTGTTGGGTTGGCTTGAGGAACTTGCGCAGAAGACGGAGGTTCTGGTAACATGGGCAGATGAGATGTACGAATCTGTTAAGGCAGTCCCTCAGAGTAAGCCGGTTCGTTATATGCTGCTGTACTCGTAACTGAGGTGTCTGTAGAACCTCTGCCGGATCCTGCTAAGTTCGTCAAGCGGGAACGCGAAGCAGATCGGCAGGCAGCACGTCGACGCAACGCCGACATCCAGGCTGAAAGCAACGCTATGACTTGCATTGCACTTTACATGCTTTTAATGACGTTTTGTCAGAAGGCAATCGACAAGCTACGGAACCACCATGAGCACTTGCAAATGCGGGATCCAGATGGCGAATTGGAATTGAGTGAAGGTTTCGACGAAGGTTAGCAGTAAATTTCGGTCGGCAAGGCTAAGAGGATGATACTTATACAATGTCTTGTAGCGTTGACTTGGTTTAAGGATCAGTTCATCAAGTGTCATGAACGTGCAACACTGGTCAAGACTTGGTTGCCTGCGCAATACTCGGGTCCGCCGGCCTTCCTGGATCAGCTTGTGTATGATCGGGCGTTGCAACTAGTCAGTAATGATTCTCTCTGATTCCACGATACATCAGCTAAAGCGCACATATCTTTGTAGAGTCGCACTGCTGCTCGTAAGGAGTTGCTAGATCAGGCCAGTACACCCGATGAATGCGAAAAGCTCTACGAACAGTCTCTGTGGTGCTTATATGCTTTGCAAGATGATCTCTTGCAGACAGACAATCCATTCATGGAAGAAGATCGCGTTACTATTTCTACCTGTGCGTGTATACCACCGATCGGAACGATCGTGTTGACTCAGCATGATCGATTTTCATAGGGGTCAAGCGTACGAAATTGCGACTCGTGCGTTGTCGTGTCCGGATGGGGATGAACGATCGGGACCGTCTGAGGGACGCTCGGCTTGACAAGAATCTCGATGATGTACCACGAGATCCTCCGCCCTGGGAAGTGGCTCAAGTCGAGCGTCGCAGCAGTGACACTTCTCCATCAGCAGAACCGAGTTCATGACCATGCCTGATCACCGCGTTCCATATTTTCACTTAGGGTTCTGTCGACGCTCTTTATAGATCGTGGTGTGTACATTGTTGTATTATCTATCTTCCTTTATTATTTTCCCGCATTTCTGGCATCGGTTGATTCCCTTCCTGCTTGGAGTCCCTTCACTCATATCTAATTCTACTCATACTGGCCGTCGTTGACATGGATGTACATGTAATGTGATATACCTTCATCTTTCTCCCTCGATTACACAGTCGGTTTACCTTGTATCAGTCTACCACATCTACTTATTGTATTCATTTGTTACCATACTTCATGTGGTTTTTCTACCGCGCCCTAATATTATCTTCGAGAGGAGGCTAGCTCATTGAGTCCTTTAGGTCAGTCGCGATGGCATCCTAACTGGTGTATGATATGTGCTGACTGAAATATTTTGTAGCATACATCTTTCGGACGAGGTGAGTAGCAAACATTCCCGATATATACGATGGTGAGTAGCCGCCCACAGGACATAGCTTGGTCTAAAAGCTCTTCTATTGGACAGCATGATTTCTTCTTGATTATAAATGCACCTCATTTCAATACCGCTGAATATCCACCACAGTTCCGAGGGGGGCTTCCAAAGTTATAAAAGCGCAGAATCGCTGTGACTATAGACCCCATCACCACTTATTCCCCCATTCTCCCAACCAGTTACTAGTAAGCCAATATGTCTATCTGGGCTCCACCTCCGCCTCCCGCTACCAAACTCGGTCGCCATCGTCGATTGGCACCTTTGGCTGGGCTCCATGTTTCGCCCATCTGCCTCGGTGCGATGAGCATCGGTGACAAATGGAGCGGCTTGGGTTCCATGGATAAAGAGACCAGCTTTAAACTACTCGATGCTTTCTATGAGGCTGGTGGAAACTTCATCGATACCGCGAACAACTAGTAAGTATTGTTTTTTTGACACGAGCGTCCGCATGATGCTATTGTGTCATTGTGTGGGAATGAATCGAATTCTGACCCTCCTCGTGACGCACCTTCAGTCAAGACGAAACTTCTGAACAGTTCCTTGGGGAGTGGATGGAGGCCCGAGGCATTCGAGATCAGATCGTTATCGCGACAAAGGTGAGAATTTCACTCCGGTGCGTCATAGCATGTAATCATTATTGACATACTATTTGTTGACTATTCCAGTACACTACCAACTTCAAACGTGGCAACGCCGACATCAAGCAAAAGACTAGCTATGTCGGTAACAACCTCAAGTCGTTGCATCTCTCAGTGGAAGCTTCGCTCAAGAAACTTCGCACCGACTACATCGACATTCTGTATGTGCACTGGTGGGACTTCGCCACTCCCGTCGAGGAGGTCATGAATGGTCTGCACAACCTCGTCGCTCAAGGGAAGGTGCTATATCTGGTACGTAGTATTTCGTGCCGGTGACCAGGTTTGAATAGCTCACTGAGGGGCATACAGGGCGTGTCGGATACGCCTGCTTATATCGTCTCCAAGGCGAATACTTACGCTAAACTCAGCGGCAAGACTCCGTTCGTGGTCTATCAAGGTCCCTGGAGTATTTTGTACAGGGATCTGGAGCGGGAGATCTTGCCCATGGTGAAAGAAGAAGGTTTGTATCGTAGTCTATACTTTCTGCACGAGGTTTGACCTTTTTGTACTAGGAATGGCCATTGCTCCTTGGAATGTTCTGCACGGGGGCAAGATCCGCACCGACGCTGAGGAGCAACGAAGACGTGAGACAGGCGAGAAAGGTACGATTGTCCCATGTTTAGTTTATGATGACCCCGTTGCTGATGCATCTCGTCGCAGGTCGAACGATCAGTGACCCTAACTGGGAGCGTACCGAAAGTGAACGTCAGGTCTGTCTTGCTCTGGAAAAGGTTGCCAGTGAAATCGGTGCGAAGTCGATTAGTTCAGGTGAGAACGTTCTCTCTTTCCTAAACGCCCATCTCACGGGCCCCAAACGGCCGTAATCTTAGTCGCCATCGCTTATGTGATGCAAAAGGCTCCTTATGTCTTCCCTATCGTCGGCGGTCGTAAAATAGAACATCTTCATCAAAATATCGAAGCTTTGGAGATAGCTCTTTCACCTGAGCAGATCGCATATCTTGAGAGCGTCCAGCCATTTGACCTTGGCTTCCCCACTGGACGATTCGTGAGTGCTTATGTACAAGAACTTCGACATGATGTGTTGACAAACGTGTTATTCTTCCCATAGGGCGACGGCTCTGACTACAACTTCCTATACAAGAATGCTGGTCACTTTGACAAGTGGCCGGCTGCTCAAGCTATTCGTCCCTCGAAGAACTAGGGTTCTCGTTGCTCCGCATCTTGATAGTAGCCGTGGAAGTTCATTGTAAATCAAATACTCAAGTTGAACATGTGTTATCAATACCGTCTTTATGCTCCTGAAAGTCAACAAAGTCGCCGAGTACGCCGTCATTTACTGTAAATTACAAAAAATGTCTCGACTTTTTAAATTTTGAGTCGACTCGATCATTCGTGATGAGAACAAACAAGACAACGCGTCTCGCTGAGCGCTGACGTTCTAACTTCTGAGCTGTGCAGCCTGGCAAGCATTCGCTAGAACTTGAAAACATGTACTTCCTAAACTAAACTAACTCTCAATGTGGACCTTCAAAGCGTCATTCTCATCTTGCAAAACGCCGATAGGAGCTACATCTACATGTCCCTTGGTGCGTTCAAGTTCAAACAAGATACTTACCTGTTTTTAGGCGCGTGCTAGTTTCCCGCTGAGCTGCTCTCGCTTTCGCGATCGCATACTTGAACTCAGACGGTACTTATCCCGAGGACCACGAAAAGGTCCGCGCCAATACCTCGGGGTACTCACCTTAGTTAGTCCCTGGCCCGGATCGACGATTCCTGTGGAGGGTCAGTAGGTACATCCAGACCAAGTTCTAGACATCCCAGCAAGATACCAGCAAGACCCAAGACCAAGACCAAGACCGAAACAAAACGATAAAAAAACGAGAGTGATGTTGTCGTAGGCAGTCAGGACACGACGGGGGTGTGATTTCGTCGCGGAGCCGTGGTGTGATAAATGGCAGACCCTCACCCCTTGGGACGCGTACCAACGGACTGCCGTCGTCGCAAAGCGATGACGCCCGACTGCCTTTTGACAGAAATAAAAAGTGGGTAGGTAGCTTTTGGAACGCACACGATGGAGGTGACTAGTCGTGGGGAACGGAGACCGTTCCACCACCACTGGATGAGGTGGTCTCATCTGGTGGTGAGCGAACTGCAGCTTGAAAAGGAAAACAGATTGATGGTTGGGTATAGACAGTCTGTGCACGACTACACCCCTGAGGTCGTGGAGAACATCATGGAGGATTCTCCACGATGTTCTGCCACCGCCACTGTGGACGGTGGTTAGACTGCCTAGGAAATGAAAAGAGAACGGAGCGACACAAAAGCCCCAAGGAACAAGAGAGCAAGGCGACAAGTCACAGTGGGGCTATCTTGATCCATTGACGTCCGTGGTCTTGAGATCCGGGCCAGGAGGAAGTGTTGATGTCTTCTGTGCATGTTGATGAACTTGAGGTATCCGGAAGGGGGGGGGAGAAATAATGGGTTCGATGTGGTGAGAAGGTGAGTAGGAGAGGGTAAGTTGGAATTCGATGCACGGCCATGGCTACGCTGACTTTATACTTATTTGATCGCTGACTACAGTAGAGGCTGACAACCGCGACCAGGTTCGCGTTGAGGCTGACCTTGCCATTTGTAGCGCGAGGTGCGATCGGTTGAGAAGCACCTACGCCGCTGTCTGTGGCTTTCGAATACGGTCTCATCGAGCACGACAAACATCCGTCAACAACGCGTCTCACTGGAACGGAGCATACACATGTCTCTGGTCGGCTTGCTTCGTCGTGGTATGCTGCACAAGCCTCTGACGCCACTGATGTCGCTGTCTGCCCGGTGTAGCTGATTCTTGTCGGCTGTATCGAATGCCAGTGGATAACACGATGATATACGATTCGGGTGACGGGGAGGATGACAACTCTCTCTTCAACGTGGCCGGGCATTCTGATAAATCGTCCGCTCAGCAGACCATTGGTCCTTCCAAAGACAAACTAATATGGTGATTTTAGGATACAAATGGATCCCTTTACTCCAGCGCTACACGCTCTTCACGCTCGCGCAGGAAATGAATCACACGAAAATCATGTTATACACCACCGCTGCTCTTTCTCTGTCAGGGAGCCCTTCAAAATCCTTCGATCTGTGATATCCAGTCCACCGGACGCCACCATCTGCAAATAACCCACTACCTTGACCTCCAGTATAGTCTGGTCTTTTTCAGTCAAACGGCGTGCAATGTCCGCGACCACAGTATCCCCTCCGATAAAGAATGGTCGGAATATCAATGCAGGCGTATCTGAAAGCTCAAAATCTGGCTGGTTTTCTCGTATACTAAATTCATACTTCATGCCAGAGACTTGATCGCAGGCGTAGTACTTTCCTCCGTCCGCTTGCGCATGTGAAGCGCTCTCGAGGAGTAGCCCTTGGTATCGGGCATGCAACCCCCGTGAGTCACATATTGCGGGAGGCCCAAAGGACTGCATGTTGAATATTGGAAAGTTGAGCAGAGATCGCGGCGCCCACCGATATGGAGCCTGTTGAATCCTCTCCACGTTTCCGAAGATGATGTCTGACGGTATTTCACGTATCATTGCTAGGAACTTTGACATCCTGTCATCCAAGTTTTCCGCGTCCAATAGGGCTTTGACATCAAGACCTAGAATGATTCCTAGAATGATTGCTTCATCCTCCATCTTGCTCGTGCAACGATGTTTCACAGTGAAGCTGAGGCGCTGCAAAGCAGTCGTCGTTACAGACATAGTTGCTGATTTTTCGAACACAGACTTCCGCAAGGTTGATATCGGCGGAATCCTATCGCGCATGAGGCTTTCGATGTTCTCCCGGAAAGAAATGTCGGATGTCAGGCGTTCCTTGTCGTCTACAGGTGGCTTGGAATTCTCCACTTCACACGGCCCACCGAGGGTTTGTATGTAGAGCCGCCTAGCAAGAGCCGCCTCCTGCAAAGTCCAGAGACGGCGAGTCCAACCAACAAATGCGAGCATCATGCTTTGTTCTAGCATCGAGATCCGTTGATCGTCGAGCTTCTGAAGTTCCCGGTCTAGCACCAATACTGCTGCTGCTTCCTGGGACGTCTTACTGAGTAGGCCCATCGCTTTCTTTCTCTGTTCTTTCAAATTCGCCTGCACCGGCATGCAAAGGGTGTCGATCCACAGCGCAAGGTCTGGTTCTCCAGCCTTCTGCAGACCTGACAGATAACCTTTCAGACGTCGTACTTGACACAAAGGAAGCGCATTCTCGTTAGGGTTGCCAAGTCCATGAGACCCTAAAGATCACGAAAAGAGTAAGTGATTTCCGAACGTTCTTGTCAGTAGCTCATCTGACTCACAGACATGAGATATAACAGCGTACGGCTGGCTCTCGCTCATTGACAGCTTGAAGTCCTTAGATATGATGATCCGCGGCACCTTCCCCTTATCCAAAACCTTGCAGAGGTCTTCAGGATGAACCGTAACGACAGAGCACTGACAGTGGGGCTCGACGTGTACTGTCTTGTAAGTCTCTTCGTTGACCTGATCAGCTCGACATATGAAGTCGTTGCATTTGCTGTGATCCATCGGCCACCGTGTGAGCCGAGTTGCGAAGAAGTTATAGCACCCATCCATGGGTTCCAACAACTTGCACTCGCTTTTGCACCAACCATTCGCCAGCATCTCGTCAATGGAGAAGTCCTTCAACTCATCCCAATTCGCAGGAAATGACTGTTGGAGCTGAGGATTCATTAAGAACTGAAGCTCCGTCAAGTCGCATCCTCCGGATAAAGCCAACGTGAGCAATATGGCTCGGAATAAAAGACGGATAGATAGGAGAACCTTGCACTCCTCGTAGGTGAGCAGTCGGGGTTCTTCGACGTCGCTTTTCTGGGTAGAGATGACTGTCTGCAAAGACAGGACATGCTTGACAACTTGGAGCATGCGCTTTAGACGTGTGTCCCGTTCGTCGGCACTATATGCTTTCAGTGCGTTTAGCCATTTCAGGTGCAGGGTGTCGAGAACCGCTGTGGAAGTCTTCATTTCCGACTGAGTGCCAGGGACCTTCTCAGCGGCCAGCACCGCCGAGGCTCCGGAAATGACTGAAAGCTCAGCGACAACGCCAAAGAATAACCAAGCCTGCTGGAAGGCGACCTCTTCACTGAGTGAGGTGTCACTCCCGTCAATACGGAAGCACTTGAGATTCAACGAATCCGGAGGCCTGCGAGACGCGTCTGCTTTGGGGATTGATTGCTGACGACATTGGTACCTCTCATCCAGTTCCTTCGTATCCCAATCAATACCGTTCGGAAACTTTCTGTATTCTGCCTTCCCATCCAACATCCATCCAGCCCTTTCTGGGAAGTCCCAAAATCCTTCTTCGCTATGATCATATGGCGTCTTGGTGGTCAACCGCGGCACATCGAATGCGATAAAGTGAGGGCGATGCTTCAAGGCGACACCATTGCCGATGATTGGCTGAGATGCGGATGTTGGAGGATGTACATCGAATGGGCTGAGAACTGCAGATGAGCTACTTGAACAACACAGTAATCGCTGTAGCTTGGAATGTCGTTTCTTAGTAGGGGGTCGGTGCTGCGGTTTGTCAGACATCTTCGTCAAGCAAAGTACTGTCACAGATGCTCGTCGGCTGTTAGGATATGGTGCGGGTAAAAAAGAGGTATGATTCATGCCCCACACCCTTAAGGACCGTTGACCTCGCGGTTTCCGCGTTGCCTTCAGTGTCGGGAACAACGATTTCATTTTTAGCACATAACCGATATATATGTACCAAATGAGAACCAGGCAACAACGGACAGCGATATCCGCTCCATAGATGTCCATGACATTGGCTTATTCTTGCACTAGACCTTCAAATGTCCGCTTAATTCTGTGAGGGACGGATTGCTTGCGGAAGCGGCCATTTGTCGAAATGACCAGCTACGCTGTAGACCTTCGCGTATTCAGTTCCATCGCCCTAGCGACGGACGTTCTCAGTATGAACCATCACCACAAGGATGCAACGAACTCACAAAGAAATCGGTAGGGAAACCAACGTCAAATGGCAGAATGCTCTCGATGTGCTCGGTGGTAAGATCGAGATCGAGCGCCTGGATATTCTGGTGTAAATGTTCGACCTTTCGTCCGCCGATAATCGGGAAGACATAGGGAACCTTCTGCATCACATATGCGATGGCAACTTTGTAGTGTCAACGAGCGTCAGCACCGTAATGGAACCATGCACGGAGAGTACACGTACCCGCGCTGATGGACTCTGCACCAACTTCGGCGGCGACCTTCTCGAGGGCCTGGCATACTTTGCGTTCATCCTCGGATCGCTCCCAGCCACTGATCAGGGTACGACCTGAGAACAACAAAAGATTCAGCTCGAAAAGAGCATTAATTCTGAGAAACATGGATGAGAGCTACCTTTCTCGCCCGTCTCACGTCTGCGCTGTTCTTCAGCGTCGGAGCGAATCTTGCCTCCCCCCAGCACGTCCCAAGGGGCAAGAGCCACTCCTGAAGCATATCGGCATGAGCTCATACTAAGCTATTTATTCATGGAAGTAACTGTAGGAGAGTCTACCATGAGCTCGAGCTATTGGGATGATCTCGCGTTCGAAATCTCTCTGCAAGATGCTCCAAGCGCCCTGATAGATTACGAACGGAGTCTTTCCGGTCAACCTGGCATAAGTATTGGCTTGTGAGACGAACCAAGCTGGGGTATCGGAAATACCCTGCAATGTATTCAGAGATGGAGTGTTGAGTAGGAAGTCATGCTTAATACGTACCAGATAGAGAACCTTGCGATCAGCGACAAGGTGATGCAAGCTGTTCATAAGTTCCTCTACGGTGGCGGCGAAGTCCCACCAGTGGACGTAAAGAATATCGATGTAGTTGGTGCGAAGCTTCTTCAATGATGCCTCCACAGAAATGTACAGGCTTTTCACGCTGTTCCCAACATAGTGCGTCTTCTGGCCAGTGCTGTTGTCGCCACGTTTCCAATCTGCAGAAAACTGGAAAATACATTAATATTCGCGGTCGCATGGCTAGATCATGAGGAGAGGAGAGGGATTACCTTAGTAGCGACTATCATTTGGTCTCGAATTCCGCGTGCTTCCATCCACTCTCCAATGAACTCTTCGGAGCTCCCATTTTGGCTAGAAGCGATGGCTCGAATCTCGCGCTTTTGCTATTATAAGGAATTCAAAACTCACTAGTTATTGGCTGTACCGATAAAATTGCCTCCTGCAGCGTAATAAGCATCAAGAAGCTTGAAGCTGCTCTCCTTGTCCATCGCGCCCATCCCAGCACTCCACTTATCGCCAATGCTCATCGCAGCGAGGACAATCGGCGAAGCATGGATACTGGCATTGGGAGCCAATTGTCGATGGCGGCCGAGTTTGGTAGCGGGAGGTGGGAGAGGAGCGAACCAAGAAGATGCCATCTCCGTAGTTATAATGGAACTGCTGTTGGAATGGATAGCGTTGGATTTGACTGCAATGAACCTATGACCTGCGTTTATATAAACTTCCCATTGAGACCCTGAGACCTTTATCGCGATGCCTGCCACATACGTATACTAACATCCGCCATGAGTCCTACTAAGCAGCCGCGCAAAATCGCAGACCCCTATTGCAATACAGATCCCCCATGGTCGTTCCGAAGGTCGACGTAGAGGCTATTTCGGCGAGGAGTAGCTGGATAGCCCACTTCGCATACAATTGCTATCAGCTTCGGCGGTAGACTATAGTTCACAAGGGAGGCTCACCTCATAGCTATTATTACCCTGCGCCGCAACCTGGTCTAAATCAGATCTTTCACACAATGCTCCCATGACATGTCATCAGATGGCGATATGAGGCATAGATGAAGACACACGGCATTGAACGGTTAGGAGCTTCGGTACATACAGAACGCCTTCATACGCACCCGATTGGGACACCAACCTGGACCTTCGGGGACGAGCACTAGTAGGGCACGCGCAGAGCATCTTATGGGTGAAGTGATTATGCGTTCGATTCAGATAGCCATGATAGTCTTGTGGCTCTGGAGCCAAATTGCATTCATGATCGATGCGAAACCGACACCAGTAGTGTCACTGGAACATCAATTACAATTGAGGCGCCGCAGAGACTTCGGAAGCCAATCCTTTCTAAACAGACCAGGAACTGCAGAACGCCGTAGGAAAAGCAACTGGAGAGGAAATTGAGTGAGCGTGGCCTGGTGATAAGCGAGCGTCCTTGAAGTTCTGCTCGATATGGATATCTACCTACCATTTATAGCAAATCCCACCTACATTTGGCAAGTAACTACCAATCGCTAGATTGTCCAAACCAACAGTCCATATTCAAGTACTCGATTGCCGACATAGAAACAATGGCTATACAATCCTGAGATGATTATTGACTATCTATATCTCAAGTACACATGCATGGGAAGACAGATGGTATCACTGTTCCAAAAGGCGGATCTTTCAATCCTTGGAGGGACGAATAGCCTCCTGCCTGGGCCACTTGTCAAAGTATCCAGCAGTTTTGAAGAGGAAGGCGTAGTCCGATCCGTTGCCCTATTTACCCGCATCAGGAATCATCAGCACATCAAATTCAAAACAGAACGAGAATCACGTACGAAGTTATTATAGGGGAATCCAAGATCAAAGGGCAGAATGCTCTCGAGGTACTTGATGTGCTCAGGCGTAAGAGCGATATTGAGTGCCTCGAGGTTTTGATGTAGGTGTTCGATTTTTCTTCCACCAATGATCGGAAAGACATAAGGAGCTTTCTGCATCACGTACGCGATGGCGACTGTAGTAAAACCAACGGTGTCAGGACCATCTCGGATGCGAAAGGTGCAGGCAAGCAGACTGACCAGCGGTGATACTCTGCACTCCGACTTCCCCAGCAACTTTCTCTAATGCAAGACAGACCTTCCTCTCATTCTCTGTGCGTTCCCAGCTTGGATCCTGAATTGCTCGACCTTAAAAGTAAAAGATTATGGTCAGTCCTTAGAGGTACATACCTGTAAAATCGGGACTCACCCTTCTCACCCGTCTCACGACGCTTTTGTTCTTCGGCATCCGAACGAATCTTACCGGCAGCCAAGACATTGAATGGAGCAAGAGCCATTCCTTCAGCCCTAACCATGGGCAAGATTTCTCGCTCCAGGTCTCTCTGTAAGATACTCCATGCGCCCTGATAGATAACAAAGGGTGTTTTACCGTTCTCCCTGGCGTACGAGTTCGCCCGAGAGACGACCCAAGCAGGCGTATCAGAAACACCCTGGACATACTGCAAGTTAGTCGCGAATATGGGTGAGGCAATCGCAAGACGAACCAAGTAGAGAACTTTCCCTTGCGCAACGAGGTTGTGCAAGCCATTCATGACTTCCTCGACGCTAGTAGCGAAGTCCCACCAGTGAACGTACAGAATGTCGATGTAATCTGTGCGCAACTTCTTCAATGAAGCTTCCACAGAGATATGCATCGATTTGAGGTTATTGCCAACGTAGTGGGTCTGCTGGCGGACTTTGGTGTTACCCATCTTGAAGTTAGTGGTATACTATGGTATGTTCGTTAGCAAGGTCTATCTCCTTAGACTACGCTTGACTCCGATTACCTTGGTCGCGATAATTATCTCATCGCGAATGCCGCGCTGTTCAATCCATTCACCAAGGAACTCTTCAGAGCTTTCGCTTTGGCTGTAAATTATAGGACAAGTCAGAACAGTGATACGTAGAGTTTCAATAGCTGGATCACCCACTAAGCGTTGGCTGTATCGATGAAGTTCCCACCGGCTTCGTAGAAGGCGTCAAGGAGCTTGAAACTGTTGTCCTTGTCCATCGCCCCCATGAGCGCACCCCATTTGTCACCAATGCTCATCGCACCAAGACAAATGGGAGAAGCATGAAGACCAGCAATTGGTGCCAATTGGCGATGTCTACCAAGTTTAGTAGCAGGAAGTGGAGGTGGTGCAAGCAAATTAGACATTTTGCGGGTGAAGTTCGACTTTGAGGTTACGGTAAAGAGGTAGGGGAGCTAAGGAGTATGGTTGAGCAGCAGGGTTCTGCACCTTTTATACACTGTTTCCCCATGAATTACGGCCTTTCTGACTCGGAGATGTGAACGAGAATCATCTATACCATCACAACAGCCTCGTTTGCCACCGTATTGAAGTCAACAATCTCACCAAAATTGGCTGAATGTGCCTGCGTAAACGTCCGGCAGAATATGTCGGATATACCGATAGCTCCGTGCCATCTGAGAATATGCCGAGGGTGGTCGGATATAAAAGACAGTATCGAGGGAAATTGACTGCAGGAATCTTCAGCGATATTACACTTTAGAGTAGCACATCCTTCGGAGCGACCGCGTGTTGGGCGCGCATGCGAAGAAACGTGAGCATTATTTATAATGCTACTTAGCGGGGTAACATGAGAAAGGACAATCGGTAATCGCTAGCGAGTAGCTTGCTTATAGGAGGTCGGCACGGTATACCAATAGAATGTACGCGGTCGGCGGAACGATTGTGAAAAGGAAGAATTATGTAGTCACTGATATTCGGGTGTTGTTCAAACGTTCAAGACAAGGATTGAGTACGGACCTGCACATGAAGATTTATCTCGGATCTTCCCTCTCTTTCTCCGGTACTAGTGCACCCCGTAAAATCAACTCACCTTTCTGGAGACGTCAGCGACGCGAAATTCGAACTACCACAGGAGAAACTTCCATACTTACTGTAGCGAAATACAGTAGGTAAGTCATTCGAGTTCAAGCTCAAGTCTGACTGCTGGAGCCCAGCCGCAATGAATGTTGTCAAGATAAGATAAGATAGTGGGTGCCGCGAGGACAGATGATTTACGACAATTCCACCTATCGATCCCCTTCGCGAGCTTCAGGCCGACTCCTGTTGGATACAATTCCCTTGCCAATATTATACAAGAAATGTCAAACCTCGCCCTTCTCTCAAGCAAAAATTAGCTGCCCGATGTTGTCGGTGAAAGGCGCGCTCACATATCTGGAGTCTGTGATTCTTACCGGCTTTAAAGACGTATTCGTCGAAGTTGCCGCACATAGTATGCTCTATCGCTCAACCTTCGTCACTTCGGGCAGACCATCTGAAATCAATCTTCCAGATGGCACAAAGGCGATTGGTCCAACTGCTGCATGAGCTCTCCCGAGCCCCAGCGCAGATTGGAACGTTGAAACTTGGAGACATAAACTTTCCTGTTCACGAAGCACTAACACCTTCACGTTTGTCACACGCGGGCAATGTTATCTTAGAGCCACAAGATACCATCAATGCCAACAACTTGTATTTCATGTTGCAGAAATACGTACTTGGGCAGGACATATTCCTTCTGTCGCAGCCAGGTCCCTATGCTCGTCGACTCGCAATGACGTTTTGCAGGTAAACCAAAGTCTCATTAATTTTAATATCTGAACTGAAATCGGGGTCCAGTATCACAAATTTGGAATATGAATATATTGCCTTGCATCGGGACGTTGGAGAGACAGAGCTCAAACAAGGCCGAGAACTCAGACATGGGGGCAACTTGGTATATGTCGATAGCGCCGCGGTGAAGGCCGCCAAGTACGGCCGCATCCTCATAATTGAAGGAATAGAGAAAGCCGAGCGTGGTATTATGCCTGTAAGTCTGACAATGTGCCCTGCGACTTACTTATGCACATTCGCAATAGCTCCTGAACAACCTATTAGAGAATAGAGAAATGTAAGTAACTTGTGTTTGTGTTTACAAGTATTCAATTTGGCACGCTAGGAACCTAGATGACGGGACACACATCATACATCCTCAACGTTTCGCACTTCTCGACCCAAGCGAAGCCAAATCCGGAAGGCGATTTGTTCCAGCACACAAGAATTTTAGAGTATTCGCGATTGCGGCCCCGGTTCCTCCCTATACGGGATACCCTATAGATCCTCCATTCCGCAGTCGCTTCCAAGCTCGCTTCGTGGATCCAGTCGGCTCTATGCTGTCTTTGCAAACGTCCGCCAATGCGTCGGAACCCGCGTTTTATGAAAAGTTCCGTGATATCATTCTGACTACGCAGGATGCAAGCGAGACGCACCATCAAGTCGATGCAGCTGCAAAGTCTGCACTTCAAGCATTCCCTCAAACCGCGCTCGCCAAATTGCGAACACTTCTTGCGGCGTTCCCTCCTTCTTCTTCATCGCCAGCTTCGTTGGCTAGGCTGACGTTGACGCTGAATCCGGCTCTCATCCATTCGCCGTTCGTCGCGTGGGCCACACTCTCAAAACATATGGAAGATGCGGGCTTGGGGGCTCTCGGAAGCCCTTCGCTAACCGGCGAGGGCGACAACCTAGGCTATATGGGATACCGCATTGTCCGCATTGAGCGTATCACCAGCGACAAAGCCCATCTCTACTTTGAAACTGCTGACGGGAGGAAGAAGGTCACTCTTGAAGCCCCTGCAGGACCCAGACATCTGCTCGAATTCCCTTTCAGCGACAGAAGTCATTTAGACTTCTTCCCGACAGACCGATTTCTGGGTCTCTTGACCTGTATGCTGCAAGCCCACGCGCTTGGCTGGGACATCTCATATGTCCCACCTGCGCTTCCATCTACGGCCTCATGCTCAACCTCGACTCTGGTGCAGGTCTTTGGCGCTCTGCTAGGTTACGAAGTCGATACCGTCCATATGTACAAGGAATTGGGCGGTCGAGAGCTTGTCATGCGGCGCAAGGTCGAGGAAGACGGGACGACAACATGGGAACCGAGGTAATATATTCTCGTGCAGTGTGCGCTATACTTTGCTAACCCTCTGCTATGTAAGCCCACTGATCGACGGGGCTTGGACTGGAAGATTGGTGCATTTGGCCGGGATCGACGTCCTAGGCTCCACAGCAGGTTCAATCGCAAGACTCGTGCAAGACAGGGAGTTCGAGTTATGGGAAGGCAAGCGCATAGTCGCTCATGCTGAAAAGGAAGAGGTAACGTTTTGTGTTGGTGAGCCGTGATAGAAATACCCATTGACAATATGCTAGCTCGAATCCGGAGAGCTCTCTATGGCTCACCCGTCTTTCCGCATCATCGCGACAGCGTCGAAATCGCAACCTCTCAAGGACTGGCTTTCTGACGAACATGCCAATATGTTCTTCCCCATTCCTTCGCAACCCATGTCGGTAGAGGAAGAGTTCACAATCCTTCAACAGACGGGATGTCCGGAGAATCTAACAAGGACTTTACTTTCCTTCGCAGAGAAGTATCGATCAAGCATGACTTCTGATGTGGTGCAGAAGAATCGCAAGCTTGGTACTCGGGCACTTCTAAGACTATCACGACGTCTTTCGAGATTCCCCTATGACTCGGATTTGAGGACATTATTGAGCCAGGCGATTTTGGCAGAGTTCTTGCCGGCTACTGAGACAATGAATCTGGATGTTATCTTTGAGGATTGTGGTATTCCGAAACGGACACCTCCTGTATGAGTTCATATGCTTTCCGATTATGGTTTATGCTAATTTCTAGTTCCATAGTACAACCCGCCCCCTGTCGTTCGGGACAACAGCGTAGAATTCCCAGAACCTAGCGACCCTTTACGTCCATCATCTACCTCAATATTCATACCGCAGTTCGATGCAAGCCAGGATCCGGACGGTGTAGCCTCACGTATTCCTCATATGGATCACTTCTATGATAATAGTCTGCAATCTGGTTTAATGCGTGATCTGGCCATTGACCTGGAGATCTTGGGCGAGCATTTGGTGCTCTTGGGAAATCAGGTATGTTGATTGAGAGTACTGTGTAGTTATTCCTCTCAATTTCAGCTTTATGAAAGGGTGTAGGAAAGAATAAAATTGTCGACCGGTAAGTAGTCCCAATTCAATGCTGACGACTATGTTGATTGACTTCATCTCTTATTTCAGGTTGTGCCAAGTGAGTTATCTGAACATTGGTGGGAATAACTTGCTCATTTGTTTCATGTAGCTCTTACGACGACCACAAGAGTACATCCAACTCCACAGAGATACCACTGTCAATCAGTTGATGTTCCAAACATCCCTGGAAGGGGGAGTGATCAAATATACCGACTCACCTCTCCTACGCGCCATCAAGTTAGGACGTGTCATTGTTGTTGATGAAGCGGACAAAGCGGCAGAACATGTTGTTGCTATCTTCCGAAGCCTTGCAGGACAAGGCGAGCTCACGTTGTCTGATGGACGTCGGGTTAGGCGTCAAAAAGAGCGCGACAACGATGTCGTCGTACACCCGAACTTCAGGCTTATTTTGTTAGCCAACAGACCTGGGTATCGTGAGTGAAATGGTGTGTGGGTCATTTCTATTATCTGACTACTTGTATACAGCATTCCTGGGAAACCACTTCCTGCAAGTGCTAGGCGATAATTTCAGTTGTCATTCGGTTTCAAATCCAGATTTGGCCAGCGAGCGGAAATTACTCTCTCAGCTAGCTCCCGAGCTAAGTCAAGATTTGATTCTTCGTCTGGTTGCGGTTTTCCAAGATCTTCGGCATGCGTACGAGGCTGGACGTCTAATATATCCATATTCACTGAGGGGCGAGTACACCTTTCACTACACTTGTCATAGACGATCACTGATTCTATCGAACATATCGCAGAGCTAATAAATCTGGTGAAGCATATTAAAGCCTACCCGAACGATTCGCTAGAGACGACAGTTCGGAACGTATTCGACTTCGATGTTTATAAACCGGACACAATCAACATACTAGCTGATATCTTGGATCATCATGGGTAAGATTGCAGACTTGATTTCACCACCATGTAATCACTGATGTATGTCTTTTTAGATTGGTTGTCAAGCGTTTGGGCCTAGACGCGGCAAGGGAGGCAGCCCAGAAGAAAGTGTTGGATATGAAGTATGAACCCAAAGGCAATACCGATCTGGACAAACCAAAATTCGGCAAGGAAGACCCTGACAATGAGCCGCATACCGGAGGGAATAATTGGGCAGGAGGCGTACGTTCAAATTTACGTTTACACTGAGCAAGCCTAGTGACATTATCTATTGCAGACTGGAGGAAGGGATACGGCTGGCCTTGGTGGACGCGGAGGCTACATGCGGTTGTACAAGGAGCATAATATCAACCAGGCAGGTGGAGAAGCGCGATCCAAAGACGGACTTCACTCAAGTGGATGATCTCTAGATTCCGGACACTTTGAAGAATAACGTTCCAGACCATATCAAAGAACAGGCTCGTGAGATGGCTCGTCAAGAACTCGCACGACGTCTCGAGGAGCTTAACATGAACGTTGGGGAAGCAAAAGGTTATGGTGCACTTCTCGAATCAGTACAAGCGCATATTGTCCGCCTGTACGATCTACTTGAAAGTAAAGGGTTGACTTCACTGTCATAGCTACGCACTTCTGATCTTTTTTTCAGATCTTTCCGCCAAGGAAGAAGAGCGAGTATGGGTGAAACGGCAGACGGATGGCGAACTCGATGATAGTCGCTTGACTGAGGGGTTGACTGGAGAGTCCACTGTCTACAAGCGACGGGGAATGGCTAAGCCAGAAGTGGGTCGACCCCAGATCAAGTGCGTAACTATGTGTTCAAGCCAACAAGCGAAAACGTTGAGCAAATTTGATAGACCCAAGCGTATTCGATTCTTGTTCGATATCAGTGCTTCGATGTCAGTCTATGTTGTCTTTTGATCATTAGGATTGTTTTCTGAATTTGTTTGTCTAGGTATCGCTTCCAGTATGATGGTCGCCTCCAGAGAAGCATGGAGACAGGTGAATTCGTTTAGGGCCCGCGTTTGGATTAGAGACTCACTTGGCTGTCAGCTGTTATGATAATGGAGACGTTCAACCGACTGACGCGGAAGGACAAGTATGTCTGGGATGTAAGTCAATTTCAATGATCAACTAAGAGAAACGTTTGTTTATTCACTGTCCCCCTTCGTAGATCTATGGACATGTAAGTAATAACTATATGTGTTTGGACATTTTCCTCTGACTCCTCTGCAGTCTGGTGATTCTCCGACTATCCCACTAGTAGAAGCGGATAGCCCTCCAACGGAAGTTCGGGATCGTTGGAAGGTGGTGGAAAAAATGGAAATGGTGACACAGTACACGTTTGCTGGTGACCACACAGGTCAGTAAGTTTTCAAAATGAGAATTGTTATTCTCTAATGTTTCTTTCTTCAGTTGAAGCCATTGACAAGGCTGTCACTGAGGTTGCGAAGTTTGATGCAGGTAAACACAAATTCTTTCTGAGGCATTCTCCTGCTTAATCACAATGGTTTCTAAAGATGACTGGTTTGTCATTGCAATCACTGACGCCAACTTCGGTCGTTACAATATTACTGCGGAAGACCTGAAGCGCGTGATGACTCGACAGCCCAAGGTCAACACTGCGTTGATTTGTATTGGAGAAGGGGCCGAGGCTTCTTGGTATGTTCTAGTATTCACTTTGAACCACTAATGTCTCATCGCCCTCACTTTCCGCCAGGATACCCAAGCAACTTCCAGGCGAAGGTTTCCGTGTATCAAATACTGCCGATATTCCGGCTGTTCTTAGAAGCATTCTATCTACAATGGTTGATAGATAGTCCATTCCGTATTCGTTTTGCGAAATCATGTTGGAAAATGTTGTGACAGAAATGAACTAGGGCAGTTGCCTACTTCGGTGCTTCCCCGCATGACTGAATGAGCGCCCGCAACTGCGAGTTTGAGGATAGATCGTCACGGCCTTCAACTTGTAATTCGCCTGGTGCTGGCTTTCCGGTCGCTGTTCTCTCACAGATAATACTTCACTTGCATTGATATATCAAGTACTGTGTGAGCTGTTCCCTGAAGCAGATTACCCAACCATAACGTATTGTTATTACCATCATGGCGGCATACTTCTTCGCGTCACCTGTGGACATTGAGGTCAAACTAGACGGCGAGGATGAGCGGAAGAAAGTAGAAATGAAGGGGGAGAAGGACAAGACTATAAGCTGTCCAGTGTACTACGATGGAGACTCCGTGTCAGGACAGGTGCGCAGTCAATTCGTCGAAGTTGACGAGAGCGTCGTATTAACCGTGCTAAATGGAACAGGTGACTGTACGAGTACGTGACGGCAAGAAACTAGCACATGAGGGTATTAAGGTCGAGTTTGTGGGCAGCATCGGTACGTGCACAAGCTACATCACTACTTGACGGCATCTGAATCAAGTCTCCAGAGTTATTTTACGACCGGGGTCACCATCATGAATTCTTGTCACTTTCGCAGGAGCTAGCTGCGCCATCGGAGATGCGGCAGGCTCAGACATATGACTTCTTGTTCAAGAATGTCGAGAAGCAATATGAGAGCTATCAGGGTATCAATGTGAAGCTGCGGTACGTGCGCATTGCACAACTTGCACCTGTTGACAAAATTAATTGTTTGACGTTAGCTACTTTGTCCGAGTCACCATTTCAAGGCGAATAGCCGACGTTACCAAAGAGCAGGATGTTTGGGTACATTCATACCGAATGCCGCCGGATAGCAATAATTCAATCAAGATGGAAGTCGGTATCGAAGATTGCTTGCACATTGAGTTCGAGTACAACAAGTCGAAGTAAGCTATGCATCACGGTTCGTCCCGGTCTAGTGGTCTAAACAATGGACAGATATCACTTGAAGGACGTGATTGTGGGCAAGATTTACTTTCTTCTTGTCCGCATCAAGATCAAGCACATGGAACTCTCAATCATTCGACGAGAAACCACTGGTACCCCGCCGAATCAGTACAACGAGAGTGAGACCATCACGAAGTTCGAGATCATGGACGGTGCACCAGTACGAGGAGAAACAATCCCCATCCGACTGTTCCTGGGTGGATTCGACCTAACACCCACCTTCCGAGAAGTCAACAAGAAATTCAGCGTCAGATATTACCTTAACCTTGTACTGATTGACGAAGAGAATCGAAGGTACTTCAAACAGCAGGTATGTCGTCCATCTTGAATCCTCTGTATTATCACTGATACTGGCTGAAGGAAATCACTATTTTCCGGATACCAGAGGTGTGTACTCTACTATGGCTTTGCCAATGTTTGCTGACGCACTGTTACAGAATTGATGCTCTGACACTGTACTTCTATACCTATCTTTATTGCTGTCTGTATATGTTTCCTCGGATGTTCACGCCTTTTCTTTTCTCCTTTCTGGCAAGCGTAAGATCACGAATTTCCCAAGCACTATTGTACACTGCGCAAAACAACCAAAACGGCACGACGGCCTCGACGCAAAACGTACTACAGAAAGAGCAAAGTCAACGGCAATCTAAGAAACTATCTCCCAACTCAAGATCTCGATTAATCCCTAAATGTCTCGCAGAGACAGCACTTGTCTCGGAGATCTTCTTCTTGCGAAGGTCGTCGGGGAGGTCGTACCATTCGGCAATGATACTTTGCCTGGCGAAGGCGTTCTCCACAGCTCGTGTGGTTCTTCTTGGAGCACTGCCAACACTCATTATCCTCGAGATACCAACTGATTCCCGAGCCTCTTCCAAGACAGCCACACCATCTTTAGCAACATTATCTGTGCGGGCAACCCAAGGGAACTCCAACGTGGCCCGTTGGTCGTTCTTCGTCTTTTGCCACGAAGGGAACGGTACATTGGCAGGAGACGTGTAGCGTCGATCCATAAGTGGACGACCGGCATCGAACGTTATGGCAGAGTCAGGCACAGATATGGCGGTGGGTAAAGGCGGCATGGGTGCCTTGTTATCGTCCTTCAGGCTATTGGAGCGTGAGACAGGAGCTGAATTTGTGACCAAAGTAATTTCATCTGACCCATCTTCTGATATCGTCAACTCTTTCGCCTTTGGAACAGGCTTGCGCTTGACTGAGCTGCTCCTCCGAACTAGCGAACCGCTCCTTGTGGTCGTTGTCCGTTGACTGCGTTCACTCGCACTGCGGGAAACGCTCGCTGAACCTGACACAGTCATAGCATCATCTTCATCTCCCTCTTGAGGACTTTGCAGAGTGGCCGATTGAGACTTGGAAGCGGCGCGCCGAGGAGGGATACCCGGGAATTGACTAGCCAAGGTGTGAACAACGTCCAAAGAGTCCGTGCTATAAATTGACGCAACGCTTTCCCGAGGTAACACGAGACTGCTCTTGCGTGCAGCGCGGTTGGTGTTTGAGTAGTCAGGGCCCCCAGCAATGGTATATCGAGCCGCCTTACGGTCTGTAGAGCCATCAGCCGGGGCCGTTAGAGGAATAGGAGGCGAAGTCTCGTCCACATATTCTGTTATGGATAGTGGCGAAGTGAGCGGAAATGACATGGTGGAAGGTCGGACTGGCCGGGCTGGTGATGCTGATCTACTGCTCAAGGGGTCATCAGACTTCAAAGATTGGGGTACATCTAAGTCAGAAACCGGACGGAGCACCAAGGTAGGTGCGCGATGAGGCGTCAAATAAACTGTGACACGCTGCTCAGGAGCAAATGCAGTAGCAGGAAGCTGGGGGCTGAACGGTGCATCGGTGGATGACATGGACGGTGGCATGTTCGTAGACATCAGCGGCGGCCGGGGAGGTGTCATTGCAGCCTGACTGAACAGGGCAGACGGATTCCTTGGCAAGTTGCTGGATGCCATGAAGGCACGGGGAGGAATGAGGACAGATGTAGAAGGCGTGAGTCTGGTTGCTCGTATCTCGGCAGGCACGACATCAGCAACGCTGGCACCGGAGAAGTTGTGACCACCAATTTGTTGGAAAGTGCTGTGACGTGGATTCGATATGAGAGCACGGAGCATTGAACGACGTTGAGGTTTGGGTTCTTTAGGTGCCTTGATGAATTGAAAGTCCTCCACTATGTCCACACTGTTTCCAAATTCAGTCAGAAACATTTGCAATGAGGGGAAGGCAACCCACCCCTTGACTACGCCAATAATCAGACATGCACGTCCCAGCAACCTCAAGATCCGTCTAGTAAGGGCTAGACCAAACCCTCCGTCTTGAACGAAGCCAATGATAGACTCGACGGCACCTAACTTGATGCCTCCGATAATCCAACCGAGTCCATTAAACAGATGGACTTCATTGTCGGATCCATCGACGGTAGTGTCAATGCGGCGTTGATTCATGAATGCTTTGATGAGGCGAAAGAATGAAGCGGCAAAGTTTAGACCTTGGAAACAAACAAGCAAAACGAGGACGAAGCTGTTGAGGAACAGCCTGACCGTGTCATTCATGAATCCAAGAGCGATAATGTGCTCTCCATTTGGGTCCTGCAGGAGGTCTGCTCCAATAATGAGAATCATGAATATTCACCAATCAAATGACTGCACTGACGGTACGAGATGCCAACAAAAGAGGCCAACTCATTGGCGACGACGATAAACGGAATAAATCCGATCAGTACATACTTGGAAATCGCTTGCATGCGCCGAGGGAATCCAGGAAGGACGTCCTGGGTCGTAAGGAGGAAAAGATACAATGTGTACAACAGCAGAGGTGAAAACGAGAGCGCTCCTAAGAGGTCGTAAAATAAGGACAGATAAAGTTAAGCCTTGGCATCTTTCTTACGTACCGATGAAGATATCAAGACCTTTAAAAATATCCAGGGAATGGCGGGGTATGGGCAAAGCATGCGCAAGGAAGTCAATGCCGGCCAGAATGAAGTAGACTATACCCTCAATGGAGAGACAATAATGTTTTCTGTCGTGTGGAATTATAGGACATCAATCAAGTTGCTTATAAAATCTCGACACACCTTCCTGACCGTTTCGCAAACAGCAGACTGATGGAGAAAATCAGTTCCAGACCGGAGGGTATCAGGAGAATCCCAGATTCCAACCGCGTGAGGGACTGGCACCGGAGAATAGGAGCATTGGAGAGACAGACTGTGCCCATTTAACACAAGGAATATTCAGCAATACTTTAGAAAGCAGCAGAGCATTTCAGATTGCAGGTAGACCAGCTAAGAAGGGCTATCAAAGCGGATACAGTTTACAAGACAAGTCAGAAACGAAAGGAATGGAGTGCAGACTTGCTGCAAGGAAAGAACGACGCCAGCACCACAGGGGAAAGGATACTCAGGAAAGAGCAGAAAAGCGCGAAGCTTGCGAGAATACGCCCAGACCATACATGTCCAATATGGGGTAGCAACCATTCTGCGATCAGAGGTCAACGGTTGCCACCCCCGCCATGGCCATAATTCCATAAAAGAGATCTCACGCTCGCGAGTAAATCGTTCCACGCATCTAGAAAGAAGTCCATAGTTAAGAAGTTTGCATTGTGTATTGAACGACCTTTACAAGCAAAAGCAAGCAGACGAGGTACATAAGTTTGCAGAAAAAGCAGAATAAGTAGTTCAAGCTCGTTCAGGTCCAAGATGCGACCAATCGCATCGTCACCTTTCAGCCTAGCGCTGTGACTTGACCAGGTGTTTGTGACATTTATGTTTGCTTCCGTGTAGTCAGCGGCGGCCAGGCGTCGTTTATTTCGTTTCTTGACTTCCGTGACATTGCTTTGCATCTTGGATACATCTCTAGCCTTCCAGAAGAGCGTTTGCACTCTCATGTGCACCATTACGTTCTGAAATATTTACGGCGCATGCGGAGTGGACCAGAACGATATCAACTCAGAAGCAGTAGTACAACCGACCACAGCACTATATTCGGAATGCATGGTATACCTGAGGAGAGTGATGCCGCCGAGTCTGAAGCTCTGCTTGACGACTTGAGTAATATCTCTGGCGAAGACAAACAATCGCGTAAGTGAGGATTTAAACATACTGCAGAACGACAACGTTCTCCTTTCAGCTTTTCCCTCCACCGTCGATCCTGCTAATGCCTAATATGCATGTCAGACAGGCGAAAGTTGATACGCCGACTAGGACTGTCGTTCTTCCTCTTCGGTTTAATCAATAACGGTGGGTAATGATAAGATCTCCTGTTGCTGGCGGCGCACTCATATGCCGTACAGTACTCTATGTTATAATCCTTTCCGCTGCACTTGACCTGGTGCCTCCCTCGACTCCCACAGGTATCATACTCTTCTGTAATATAGCCCCGTCTCTAGTTGCAAAACTCGGCTGGCCCTATGTCCTCAAGGGCCGGATACGATATTCCCGTCGGATCCTGGGTTGCTGTTTGCTTAGTGTCGGTGGAATGATTGTGAGTAATCACATATTTCCTCATGTATTGACTTTAGTTGAAAGAGAAGGGAAGGTTGTTGCTTTTTACGACATTATTTTCATGAGACTGCTTGGAATTTGCTTTGCGTCCTTTTCCTCTGGTGAGGTTCTCTGTACAATGATGTTACTATGTCAACTCAAACCATTTCACTCCCAGGACTTGGTGAATTGACGTTCCTACAGCTATCTACAACCTTTCACCCGCCCTCCGTGGGTGGACGTAGTGTCAGGTTCGCGATCTTCTACTGTGTTGTTTCTAGTAGTTCTCATTGATATGTCTAGTTACTTCGCGTCTGGAACAGGAGCTGCAGGTCTTGTAGGCGCATCCATCTGGTGGCTTGTTCGAGGATTGGGAGTTCGCACAGGTGTCGGTGTCTCATCGGTAAGATAGCTCTAACGTACTATTTACCCACGTAAGTTCTGACGAAATGACAACGGCCAGGTCCTGCCCGTCGTACTCCCATTGACATACCGGCTTTTAATGCCCCGACCTTCCGCATTTGCATCGACTTCATTCCCTTCTGAGGAACAAGATTCTGCTGATACCGTACCCTATGTTCCATTACCCACAGATGACGACACCGGCATAGAAGATGGTTTGATCTCCAAGGTTGCTCTAGGACTGTCTCCTAGTGATAAGTGGCAGCTGGTGAAGCCGCTATTGCCGAAGTACATGTTACCTCTTTGTGCGTCTTATGTGTTACACATGATCATCGTAATTGTGGTGCTAACCCTGACCTTTTAGTTGTCGTGTATCTGGTAAGCCTGAATATATTCACACCATTAAGATATCCACTGATGATCTTGCATCGACGATAGCTGGAATACACTATCAATCAGGTAAGATCAGAGTGGCACCAAGGCCTCACACCACTAACTCCTTGACGCAGGGAGTCGCACCTACCCTCATCTACCCCGTACCATCTCGTAACAAGTACTGGCTGTTGAGTCACATCATACACTCTGTCAGGGATTACTACCCTTTGTGGCAGGTAAGACTCTCACTTCGTGGAATTCACTCTTTCTGACATGACGCAGCTCGTCTACCAAGCAACAGTATTCCTCTCGCGTTCTTCGATATCTTTCGGATTGCCTCCACTTCCAGCACGTCTCTTACCCTTACCAGCCATCCTTCAAGCAGCCGTTTTGATGATACTTACACTTGAATCAGCACTGGGAATCTTCGACCATAAATCGCAAGGTCTGAGCTTTACGTTTGTATTCCTCCTCATTAGCATTGAAGGAATATGCGGTGGCTTGGCTTAGTAAGTCTCTCTCCCTCAGTTTTTGAGGAAGATGCCTCATGCATCTTTGCCTAGCGTAAACGTATTCTACCGCATCAATCAAGAACAACACGAACACCCCACCAGCCGTGATCCAGAACGAGCGAAGCAAGAGAGGGAGTTTAGGATCGGGTCTATCGGATTCTCGGATTCTACGGGTATCCTGTTGGCGTCGTTGGTGTCAATGCCTACTCAGGTCGAGTTGTGCAGAGCCCAGGTTGCGAGAGGAAAGACGCTATGTAAGAGCCTGTAATATTTAATTGATTGTATGGGTTTGGACTGTCCCTATTATTGCATTTCCTATCGTTCCGTCGTTGCATGCCTCACACAATATGATTATTAAGTTCAACATCCCTGGACAGTGGAAGTTACAGTACAGTACTTTCTGCTCGTCGTTGTCCAGTCCTCGGCCCGCTGCAGGAGGTTCCACCATCTAATCAGCTGCAGCTGATTATTTCTTGAATCCGGCACAATTACCCGTTCGATCACTTCCCCACACCGTGATCGACAAAAAGGCTATTCAATGAGGGCTTATTGCACTTGCCCCACTTCCCCACCCCCACTTCATATAGATCCCAAAGCATTTACGTCCGGAACGTGTAGTGAACAAGTAAAGCTTAGCTATGAACGTCGTTAACGAAGGTAACGTTTCTTAGAAACCGTGCTTTCAAACACTTAAAACGAACCATGGGATTCTATAGACCTTACGCTTCCTGCACTGTTCAATGTAGAGGGAAAGATTGGTAAGTTCGAGGAACGTTGATCTCGCACTAACTAATTCTCTTCGCCATAGCTGTTGTAACCGGCGGTGCGTCGGGCATCGGTGCAATGATTGCCTCTGCCTTTGTCCAGAATGGAGCAACGGTGTACATTGCCTCACGAAAAGAGAAGGCACTAAAGGAGGTGTGTCCTTTGCGATGAGCCTATTTTCGTGGCTAACAATTATCCGCCTTCGCAGTTCTCAGACGCTCTGAATCGAAGAGGTCCTGGGAAATGTTATTACGTGGTCGCAGACCTCGGTGTCGGTATTCTCATTCATGCAACCAATCTTGAGGTTCTGACACAGCGCATAGTCCAAAGCAGGTTGTGATAAACTAGCTGACGCCATTAAGGCGAACGAGTCCAAGATACACATTCTGGTGAACAACTCGGGGAATACATGGGGTGCACCTTACGAAAAGTAGGCATGGTTTTATCTGTGTTCCTTCAATCCCTGCCAGTACTGATTACCCGAAGTGTACCCGAGAAAGAAGGGTGGGATCGAATCATGAACCTCAACGTCAAGAGCGTATTCTATCGTTCGTGCCATGTTTCTTTGTACGACAGTATCTTAATGTTCACTAACATATATTCTCACAGTCACAGTAGCGTAAGTGTAAACGATCTTCAGCATTTGGCATTTCAACAAATGTATCGTACAGCTTGACACCCTTACTCGCCAAAGATGCAACCAACGTGGATCCGGGTCGTGTTATCAATGTCTCCTCAGTCGCTTCTGTTATGTCGAATTCACTGGACAGTACTTTAGCTGCTGAGGGCCACGGTCTTTGGAGTTGTGAGTCTCATATCTATATGTGTAGCGACAAGCTTGGTCTGGACATTTATCCCTTCTTATAGACAACACTAGCAAAGCCGCCGTCAACCACCTGACTACTCAGTTGGCTGCCACATTGGCACCGAAGCTCATTACGTTCGTCCTACTTTCGTCTATTCATCAACTTCGCTTATTTTCTCTGCAGAGTCAATGCTATACTACCAGGGTATGCATATAATTTGACATTGCTTCGTGAGCGGATTGTGACACACGAATATGTAGCGTTTTCCCGTCCAGGATGACAAGCTTTGGGTACAAAACACAAAGGGATCGTATGGACGCAAGTCAACCGATGAGTATGTACTCTTCCGGTGTATCATTTAAGCTGTTGTTTATGTCCTCGCAGGTAGGACAGGAACTGCTCAAGACATGGCAGGAGTTGGTGAGCCTTTTCACCTTCTTTTCAGTTGGTTTTGAGATTGTCTAACCAATGTTCATGGATAAGTTCTCTTCCTTGCAAGTAAAGCAGCCGCTCATATGTCTGGGGCAAAGATCCTTCTCGATGGTGGCTTAGTTGCATCACTGACACGTCCCAAGTTGTGATCATTCGTCAAGTCCGTATAAACTGATACTACCTCTCAAGTGCACGATGTACAAAATATATGTTTAGTACCCATTTTCACGCCTACAAAGTGTGCAACGTGGAAAGTTTCGTCCGAAATGTCGTTCCCGAGAAGATACAAATCCAGAGACGTTACATTGACTAATAACCATAAATGCTGAGGCTCGATTTCTTGTTCTTGTGATGCGGAGATGGAAGATGATGACAGGAAAGAAGAGGAGTGAAAATGCAACGGTTTCAATAGCCTACCCTTAGTTGGTGGCCTTCTTCTTTCCCTTCACCTTCTCGCGCTCGGCTTTGGCCTTCTCCTTTGCAGCCTCCTCCTTCGCGATCTCATGTGCACGGTCGTTCAGACCAAGACGGTTGCGAGCAATCTGAAAGAAGATATTCAAACACTTAGAAAATAAAACAATACGCGTCCATACCTCGATGGCATAGAACTACGTTTAAAAGGACATAAGGTTAGTACTCTTGACATTATGATGTCATGCTACCAATACTTACCTGTATACGAGTAACTGCAGAGATTATAAGGTACGTTAGCGGAAGTCAAGTGCGGTGTTCAAGGATGACTTACCGAAGATTGTGTTAGTCTCACTGTACTCCTCTCGAGCATCGGTACGTATAAGAGAGCCAAAGTTGTAGTCCTGGACTTTCTTTTCATAACTGATATTTCCCCGTCAGCATACCCCTCTCTTACGGCCGCAACGCATTCACTCACGCCTGAATGAACTTGCGCCATGTCTCCTTGCCATCCTTGCTCTTCATCCATTCCTCGTCGAGCTTGGTGATACCCTCATAAGGCTCCTGATTCAGCTCGGGAAAGTCCTTCATGAGGTGTTCGAAGATCTCGTCGTCCAACCTAGAGACAAATGGATGTCAATGCATTATGCATTGTGATGTGGCATCATTGCGTACTTTGTGAGCTTCAATTGGCGTGGGGGAACCTTCTCCAAGAGATTCCAGTATGTCTGCGACCGACAAGGTCAATGCAACTCGTTAGGGAATAACGTCGTTCACGCACTTGTGCTTGCTCAACCGCCTTCACCGCAAATCTATACGGGTTGCATCATGAGGAGAGATACGTTAAGCAATGTATCTGCCTTACTGTTTCTCGATCTAAAATGTATTCTATGAGCGTCCTTGACCAACTGTATTCAAACGAACATACCTCGGCTGCGTTCTGAGCGTTGTTCGGGTCGAATCTGGTGGCCATGGTGAGGTTAGGGCTGGGGTATACAGGATACTGACGGTAAGAGGTTAAGAAGAAGAAACGGGTGAGCTGGCAAGGGTAGAGGAGGGAAAGTTCACGGCGGTTCAGTGTAGCAGGAGTTACAGCCGCACATGTATATGATGGTCATGAGCCGTCGCACGTGGCTAGCCAGCAATGTCCGGAAGCAAGGTTCTTCAGTCTCGGGGGAACTCTTTGAGTATAACGACCACCATGAATGGGTCGACGATGTCCACGAAAACGACTGGGAGGCATTATTGTTGTTCAGATATCCATCCATGTGTCCAGGGCCGGTTTGAAGCGATTCTATTGGATTTTGGCACTCATGCGAAGGCGTACACTCAGAGAGTAACTGATAATCAGAGTTTCCTGTTCGATTTTACTGGGAAGTTGTCGAAGCTGTTCATTCTCACGTAGACTATGTTTATGAAGCGTCGATGAAGCGATATCGTCATATACCGTCAATGAGCCGTGTTGATCCCCCCTTACAGCCGCCACTTTACATGATGCAAACCACCACCACATCGCCTAGGGGCCTCCATACTGTTTACGCCGTTGTAGACTTCAAACGGTGAGATTTGTACGTTCTGGCTTCTATTGATTATGCTAATATTTGATGACCAGATGAACTTCGACTTGAGTTCACATCGCTCTCAACTAGTGTTGACTGCTCTTGCTGCTTCGGCTGCGACTGCAAGTCTTTTTACTGCGTATTCTCACCATACTCGCAGAAGAAAAAGACGCGATCTCGACAGCGACATTCTCCGTTCCCTCTCATATCCAAGACCTGAAGTAGACTCTTGCCTTCCTTCTCCGACGGCTGCCAGCATACACCTGCCATCAGAAGTGTCTAGCCTTGGAATTGACTACGATGAAGAACTTATCAGGGAACAGCTGGCGCGGAACTATGCGTTCTTCGGAGATGAAGGCATGGCGAAAATTCGAAAGGGAACAGTCGTTGTAGTTGGATGCGGAGGTGTCGGTAGTTGGGCTGCCGTCATGCTTGTCAGATCGTACGTCTTGCTGCCCAACCCAGTCGCTGACGGTATCTGAATCTTAAGCGTACAGAGGCATCACGAATATTCGACTGGTTGACTTCGACTATGTCACACTGTCGTCCTTGAACCGTCATGCCACCGCTACCCTCGCCGACGTTGGAACGCCGAAGGTCAAGTGCGTTGAGCGTACATTGAACCAAATCGCTCGGTGGGTCCACGTTGATGCTCGGGTGGATATATGGAGGAAAGAGGAAGGTGGAGACCTACTTGAAGGAGCAGACTGGGTTATCGGTACGCAATATTGCAGCAATAGTGTCTCCCTCGTCCGGGCCTTCACTGAGTTAACTTGTCCTGTTCAGACGCAATTGACAATATAACGACAAAAGTGGATCTCTTGAAGTACTGCTACGACAATAAGATTAAGGTATTAAGACATACCATTTCCGTCAACTCGTAGGAGACTTAGGGCGTGCATTTTCCAGGTCTTTGCGTCAATGGGTGCTGCAGCGAAATGTGACCCCACAAGAATCCAGATCAGTGACATTTCATACACTTTCTATGACCCACTAGCCCGTGCCGTACGACGTCGCTTACGTCTCCAAGGCGTCTCCTCTGGTATACCAGTAGTCTATTCTACTGAGGTCCCTGGAGACGTCAAGCTTCTTCCTCTACCCGAAGAGGAATTTCAGAAGGGTGACATCAAGGAGCTCGGCGTTTTTGATGATTTCAGAGTGCGGATCCTACCGGTTCTCGGTAAGTAGACGTTGTGACTGTCATGTCTATACACATTCTGAACACATGTTGTAGGTCCGCTGCCGTCGATATTCGGGTTGAACATCGCTACATACATCCTTTGCGAACTGGCAGGCAAACCGATCTCAAATCCGCTTCCCATCAAAGGTCGAAAGAAGTTGTATGAACGAATATACCGGGATCTTCTTCGTCGAGAAGAGAAGATCGCTGGCACCGCCATCAAGTACGAATCCCCCTCCCGCAGAACTCCACATATTCATAATTTACGTTGTTATAGCCGATTACCCATAGATGAAGACGATGTCGCACTCGCATTCGAAGACATACATCGTGGGCGTTCTGTCGTTCCTCCACATGCTGTTCCTACTCGGCCGGCATTGGTGCGATGGGATCCAAAGTCGCCATTAACCCTAGATAACTGCGTTGCCATGGACTATGCGGAAGCGGAAAAACATGTAAGGGAATGTTTTGCAGAGGGTCAGGTGCCTGAAGAGGTTTGGGGCCCAGAGACTGCTGAAGTTGTGTGGCGGCGACGGGAGGAGATCAGGAAGGTCTTGGAATGGGTGATGTAGATCACTAAGCTGCGATGAAGACCATACAGTCTATCGATGAACGGATGTGCTTATTGATTTAGCTTTGGACGACGTCGTCTGCACATTGCATATTGAAGAGATGGCGAGTATTCTAAAGCTATGAATGGCTCTATTAACAAAAAAAAAAAAACAATCAGAAAGATCGAAAGATATTTCTTAGGGGAAATCGGGCTCGCACCGACGCTACGCTCTCAGTCATCCGCTTCGTTCTGCGAACTGTTCATCCTTTTTTTGTTATTGAAATAGGGTGCTTTGTTGAGATGGTTGGCTGTATTTTCTCGGACTCAAAGCTCATGTCTAAATAGAATAGCGAGAATGATTTCAGGACGAGGAAATTGAGCCCCACTTTGACGCACAACGGCATCTTACTAATCCTCGTTCCCGTCGAAGGGTGACGTACTGTCGTAAGGATAGCTCATGCTACTTATTCTCTTTGATAGAGGTCTTTTCATTTGCGACGAAGACTTCGTGATTCAGGGAGAGTTGCACGTAAATCTCTTTCCAGAACTTAAAGACCTGCCTAATCCGTACATGATCTATTACTAAAACACTTACGTAAGCAGCGGTTCTCTCAACTTCGACAACGCGGAGAACGCGTCCTCTTCACCATCGACCACGACAACGAACAACTGCTTCACCATGACTTCCGTTGAAAACGACCCATTCTACCTTCGGTATGAAAAAGGCTTAGCGGCGTGCGCAGGATATGCTCACGCCGTTTCATTCTAGATACTAGTAAGTTTGTACTTTTGAATCGACAATGAGTCCGAAACTGACCTTTACTTCAGTACAGGACATTCAGGCAAACACGGCCACGAGTTCCTCGAATTCGAGTACTCTCATGGAAGACTACGTTACGCGAACAACTCCAATTATCGCAATGATAGTTTGATTCGCAAAGAAAGTGAGTGTTACGCAACCATTGTTTAGCGAACGTGTCTCGAATTTTCATCTAGTGTGGGTTGGTCCCTTGGTAGTGAAGGAGCTCAAGCGGATAGTTGAGTCGAGTGAAATCACCAAGTATGCTTACTCTGCTCAGTTTTCATGTAACACGGCTGACGTTTGAACGAATGAAACAGGGAAGACGACACCAACTGGCCCAAGAAGAACATCGTAGGAAAGCAGGAGTTGGAGATTAGGGTTGGCAATGACCACATCGCTTTTGAGGCAAGTTTCAGTTTCTCACTTCCTTACAATGTCAAGGCTCATATACGAGGCGTTCTATAGACTGCAAAAATCGGCTCCCTCGTCGACATTCAAGATAGTGAGGACCCCGAAGGCCTACGGGTTTTCTACTACCTTGTGCAGGACCTGAAGGTATGTCTTGAGTTCCATCAGTCATGGAGGCTTTATCTTACCTCTTGTTTGCAGTGCCTCATCTTTTCTTTGATTTCGCTGCACTTCAAGATCAAGCCAATCTAGGCTCGTGCTGCTAGCTTTAGTCATCATTTTTCTCCCAGTTTTCTGTGTATTGCTCAATGTTATTTCGTGTAGTTATCAGCTCTTATTGACATTTTTGTAACGTCGTTGAAGTGTATCCACATCCGCCGAGTAACGCTCTATTGGGTTCCTTCATCTGCTCTGAATAATTTACAACGGAGTTGAATAACGCCGTAAGTTGCCCTTTGTTTCTCTACCGACTCTGACTGCATGGTGTTCAAGGAGGGCAGAAACTGACAGTGTAGTCAGCCTGCAAACCGGTATCGCAAGTCCAGAGAGCGGTTCCGCTAGGCTCGTCGAAAGCATAAGCGTAGGAGTTGGGGCAATTGCTCTCTGAGAATTTGATGAGTACAGTCTCTGACGTCAATGATCATATTCTTACTGAAGTATGAATAGAATTGAACACCGGAGGTAGGACAGGTTTCTAATGTGTTGTGGCTCCCGCTGCAGCAATTCGGGGAGTCCGCTGTGTGAATTAGATGGGAGCGTATATCAGTTCTCAGGCTGTCTGTTCGGAGACATTCATGAGAAGTGCTTACTGGGGTTGGGATCGACCAAGCATGCGCTCTTGCATCCGACGGGGAAACCGGTGCTATCGAATGGTCCCTTTAGTGGAGCAGGGCCTACCATGTGTAACTTGGTGAGTGAAAATATCTCGAGATAACTGTGACCGAGGCTCACAGTTGGGACCCAAATCAACCGGACAATCTGCAACGTGGCAGCCCTTGTTGTTGTCAATACGCACGGGCAAGTTATACCCATCAACGAGGGACACTGTTGTTTCCTTGAGTAACATTCTGCATGGGCCCGATCTACGTACCGTCATAGAAATCGCGGTTTCCGTCTCCTTGTAAGGTGAACTCGGCGACCGTGGCCGGTGGCACGCCCTAGCAATGGTCAAGTGAACAACGATAGATGGATTAATGACCAGAAACACATACGGTACCGGTACGGGGATCGCAGACCAAGCCTCCGTTGCAACCTCCGTCAGCACATTGAGTTGCTGGATTGGGGTCGTTGAAGTTACAGTTACGACGGGCCTATAATGCGGTGAGCTGTCCCGCTCGAGTTCTTTCTGGAACAGCGACTAACCCAGATACGGCCGGCCTTCCAGTTGTTGGGAACGGCGAAGGTGACGTGCGTGAAGGCGGCAGCTTCCCATCTATATACCAAAGCGCATTGAGTAAGAACAAACTTGGGAGGAGGTGGGAGATCTGTTGTACCCCGTCTGGAATGAAGGGACCGCACTACCAACGTTCAGGTCGGTGAACATCTACAGACGCGTGCGTGTGAATGACATTGAGGTCCGAGGACGAGAACACATACGGCTGGCCTATAGGTGTGTCAGAAATATGCTGCGATGGCGAAGTAATGATACTGACCAAATGGTGAAGGGACAACCATTGTAGACCGTGAAAGTTCTTGCGGAGGCGGTGATCGCAATGGCAAAGGGGATAAAAGCTGCTAAGGTCCTCATTGTGTCCACAGGCTCTAAGAGGATTGGGCACCTTGGAGGTTTGTGTGAAGGCCATACAATGGACATTTATACCCTCACGACGTATCCGTACATCGCAGATGCGAGATGATGACACAAAGACCAGCGCGTCATGGACTTGGACATCAAAGTTGAAAATTTAGAAGTGTGTTGTCCATGCAGTACAAACTATACATGTGATGCCTAGCCCCCTGCATTACAAGAAGTATTTGCCTTCAGGTAAGCAAATAGAAGATGTACCGGATATTGGAATAATTTCCCCATAAGTATCATGCAGGCAAGCTTATGGTTATGAATCACAAGAGAGTATACCTCCTTTCGGCAACTAGGTTGCACATGGAGCGCGACGCTTGGTATCCTCGTGAGTCCGCCCTGTGATACGTACTCAACGACCAAACAGGTACTTTGCGGCTGCGACAATGGAGCATCTAGAGCATGCCTAAAAGGATAGTCCAACGTGCAATCATCTGCACGCACGATGACCAGGAGACAATACCGCTCACCGAATCCTACGCCTGCTCATGTGCTCTATGTTCCTACATATTGCTACTGATGGCAAAGACTGGGATTTCACCGACGTACTCGTGGTGCAGGCCACAGCGGTGAAGATTCGTCACATCGCTGGCTTTCCATCGAGCTGCAGATCAGACAAATTTCAGTGGATCATCAACTCAACACCCGGGCGGCATTTTTAGGTCCAGTCAGAAGGCTACGCCACTCCTCGGCTGAGCTGGCATAGGTCCCGTTCCTTGCAGTAGATGATCTTGGTAACTGTTCCGAAGTTCCAGGACTTTCTTTGGGGGCCACTCATCGTTGTTCTCTGAGGGGATAACGTATCAGTGACGCCTCAACTTAAGTCCATATAATCAGAGCTCTGTCAGCTTGACCTCCTTTGGGTCAGATACCGCTTTGTGACAAGTAGCTGAACGTCTAAAATAGAAGAAAACAGGCATGATCAATGTCCTGTCAGTAAAGTTGACGGCGGACCAAGTCGGACCTAGTACAGCGCGAGGGAGATGTAAAGAATAAGCTTTAATGACATAAGCTAGACGCGTCGGAGGGTGATGCAGAATGAAGATTCGTGAGATTATGGTACAACTCACCAATTGACCTAGGTTGTCAAGTAGCACAAATCATTCATTCATTCATTGAGTCGCACGCGGCGCAGACTGCATGAGGTATCGAGGAACAGATGTAGACCCCAAGAGCCCCAGCAGCACAAAATAACATCAAGCAACACAACAGCAATCTGTCATAACCAGCGCCTCTGACTTGAAGAGGAGTTCCCATCTCACGAACTGAGGCCGTGGCCACTCCGTGCATCTACTCTAGAGTCTCGAACTTTGGCAACTTCGGGGAAGAGAGGGCCTTCAAGTGGACAGACTGTTCCTTCGGGTGGCAAGATACCCCGCTCGAAAAATGACGTCGTGAAGTTCGCCACGCATAATGACGGAACAGAAAACGACCCATGCTGTTCTTGCAAATTTAGTGCGGGCAATTGAATGAAATAGAAACAAGACTCACGCCAGGCCCACTGCGTATCAACAACCGCGAGGAGGAGCCTAGCATTTCGTGTACTTGTTTTCCAGCTGGTGTCAGAGGATCGGCCTACGAGAGCACATGAGCTATAGTAAAGATCGTGACCTCACGACGGAGTTTACACACCGCACTGGTTAGAATCAGAATTGGATTCCTCAACACATGATTCCAAGGACCTTGGAAACGTTCAGGTGGAGTGACCGGCCAATACTGACATCCGGCATCAGGTTCCGTTGTCAGTATGCCGAAGATGAACCTAGTGACATTGAAGTAATCATAGAGATACTCGTCCACGAGCTCCGCTGTCGATGGAGGAGGGAAAGGCTTTACGTCGTTGCAGGTAACGGCGATCCGTGCAAGGTCCGGAGGGACACTGCGTTCATGAATCGTATTGAGAAGATTCGTCGCATTTCCAGTCATAGCCTCATTGAATAGTTGTGCTGTCTCCGGCCATGAGGAAGGTGATTCCAGTGCCACTGTGAGATACACTTTTGTGTGATGTCAATCGAATGGATGCATTGAGTAGGTAACTGGACGCATACATACAGCGTGATCTTCCGACCGTGAGGACGCCAGGCTCGATAGCATCGGGAACCGCAAGAGGATTATAATACAGACTGTCATGGAAGCCTTCCAGACGGGAATCTATGTCAGCAGGACAGTTATCTGTATCTCTTGCCAATGCGCAGGCATGAGGTCCCGCCTGAAAATTCCATAAATCAAATGAAAGGAGTAAGAGCTTTTCTCACCTGATAGCATTCTGTGATGAAGGTGTTATATACCGCTTCCGAGTATATCAGCTTTTGTCGGTACCACCGAAAAGGTGGGGTGCCTATTGTCTCATGATATCAGAAACTGATGTGCGGTGAGCGACAATATGCACGTACCACTCCAGAGGGTGGCATCTGAGATGGCATCGATTAAGACTCGTCCAATGCGGTCGGGAAACCTGAATAGATTATCTGAGCAACGAACAACGGAGATCGAAGCACAGCACCTTACATATTGACCAGGTATTGCCCAATTACCGAGCCATACGATCCACCGTAGAAGTTTCTGGACATAGAATAAGACAGGATCGCTCGGAGATATTATGATAAGGACCAACTCACATGAGTGCATCCTCGCCCTCGAGTGTCTTGGAGATGAAGTCAATGTCGCGAACTACAGTGCTAGTTCCCATGTATCTTAATTCATCAGCCATTTTCTTGGCGCAGCGTGCATATTGCGTTCTGAGGAGGGCATCGACCTCGCTCTCCTGATGAATCAATAGTTTCCTTATATCTTCACGTGTTTGATTCGACGCGAATTCATAGCTTCGCTCGAGGATGGTGTTGCGTTGGAAATCCTTATAGGTAAAGCTGTCGTCAAAGCACCGTACAGCTGGTCTACAAGTGGCTTCCGATAAGACCTCAACAATGCGAACATGAAACCCGGATACTGACATGGTCTCCCCAATACCTCTCGGATCGAACCCAATAATGTCATAGCGTTTCCCGACCTACGGTATTCAATATATCTTCAGCTACATTACTATCGAGAAAAATAGATCGTACCCTCAACTGAAGTCTATCGCCCTTCTTGGTTATCACAGATTTTGCTGTTGCGCCAGGGCCGCCTGGATTGAATAGTATGCTGCCCAAACGATCGCTCTCTGCCTTCAGACGGCCCAAAGCAATCTTGGCTGTTCCAGCGCTCGCGTTCAAATAATCCTTTGGCACGCTGTATCGCACTATGGGAAAGCAAAACTACAAAAAACAACGGCTCCACTTACATTATGTATCCGCAGTCAGTGCCTGGTAGGTCGTCAGGCTCGTTACACGGGTTCCATACAATGGTGCCAACGGGTTCAGATTGCGTTTGTCGGATACCATGCACTGGAGCATTGCCTGCACATGGTAAAACTTGGATCCAGAGAAGCATGATAAGTAAGTACAAATTGGCTAGTTGCAAGCGGAGAGAATGTAAGCAACGCGGTACTCCACGATCAGCATCGTTACTTAAATTTGGAGGCATCATCGCTACGAAGTAATCCAAGTTGTGAAAGCACAGAGCATTTGATATTAGAGAAGCGTTAGCACACCGTCATTAAATAGGTCAAGGTACAGACCTGCTTGGGACAAGAATGAGTAGACGTCATTAAGGTCGATTGCAAGAAGGTTATACGAATACTCCAGGTGGGGCTATGCCTGAGAATTTATGCTCACATCAATACCACTCACCTCTCGAAAGTTGGCAGCCCAATATTGGATCTATTTGCGGAACGATAGACATCTTATCGCGAAATGCAACATAAGCGCATTCGTTCATAATAGAACAGCACAAGTGGCACAATGACTTTGCTCCAAAAGCGCTCCAATATGTGCGCTAGCGGCCATGGCACCACAAGAAGCGACCAACATGCGAAGGTCGAAACTCGTACGCTTTATTTTACAAGTGACCGCCTATGGTTTTGTAAACTATGATAGAAAACATTTGAGTATTCATGTTTTCAGAAAAGCATGATCACCTTCGTTCCAGAACTGACTTCGATATGTGTCATTGTAACTGAGGTATCGGACGATGTGATACTAAGGGGCCGTAGTAATGAGAGCGTTCAGATATTGTGGTGAAACCTCGGAGGCTTCAATGGCGTCCGTGTCAATACGTCAAAAAATCGAAGAAATCGCCTGAACAACCTCAGAACATATAAACCTCAAAAATTGATAGAAGAATCAAGGGCGTTGTAAGACGAGGGGATGAGTGGTAAAATAGCGAGGTCATCAAAGCGCTAATGAGGTCAAACATCCAAGCCTCGTCGATAACGTTCTAAAATAAGCCTCCAAGATCGCATACGTTGCAGACGCGTCTCGTTTTCAGAAGATACGTGAGTATGAGCATGTGCTGGTGCAGGAAAAAGAGGGTCCTCGAGAGGACATATGGTTCCTTCAGGTGGCAGGATACCTTCCTCGAAATAAGCCCTGGTATAGTTTGATAGGCACAACGAAGGAAGAGCGAAGCCACCATGCTACAGGGGCGAAAGGTCAGCGTAGACTATTAAGAATCACAGGTCAGACTTACTCCAGGACTGTCGTGTACGAGCAGTCTGGAAGACGAGCCCATAATTTCATCTACCCGTTTCCCAGCAGGGGTCACCGGATCTGCCTGCGCAATGAGTAGTCAGTCAAGTGTACAACGTCATCTAAAAACATTACGTACTGCGCTTGTAATGATGAGCATAGGAGTCTTCAAGGTATGATTCCAAGGACCTTCAAAACGTTCAGGTGGCGTGACGGGCCAATATTGACACCCAGCATCAGGTTCCGAAGTCACCACGCCAAAGACGGATCGTGAAACATTGTAGTAGACATCAAGATACCCGTCGACGACCTCTTCGATTGAAGGTGGCGCGAAAGGCTTGAGATCGTTGCACGTTATCGCAGAACGTTCAAGATCTGTGTAAATCAAATTATTCCACCATTGGATACCATTAAGAAGGCTCGTCGCGTTGCCCGATATAGCTTCGTGAAACTGCTGGGCAACTTGAGGCCATAAACCAGGCATCTCCAAAGCGACAGTGACGTACACTACACATAAACCAACTCAGAATCTGAAGGTGCACTAGAGTCCGGTACTGTACTTACTGCGTGATCTTCCGGCTGTAAGAATCCCAGGTTGCAGAGCGTCAGGAACAGCGACAGGGCTATAGTAGAGGCTATCATGGAAGGCTTCAAGGCGTGCATCAATATTCGCAGGAGCCTGATCTGTGTCTTTCACTAGGGCACATGCCTGGGGTCCGGCCTATAGAGCATTTTGTTATAAAACCATTCGGAAGGACAGTAGGCGGTTTGAGTTGCCTTATAACATTCGGTCAAAAAGATGTCATACGCCTTCTCGGATTGTGACAACCATTGGCTGTACCATTGGTAAGGAGGCTTGCCTTTGGTCGTTCATTAACCTGTTTGGATAATCAAGGTCCATGGTGTGTACGCACCGGCCCAGAGTGTAGCATCAGCAATAGCATCGATGCCAACTCTACCAACCCGATCTGGAACCCTGCACAAAGATGATGTGAATATACTTGATGCGAATTTACATAATCAACACGTACATATTCACCAAATATTGTCCGAGTATTGATCCATACGAGACACCGTAGTAGTTACTGGAAACACGGAAATAATGAGTATAGTCTATTGAAACGCCAAGCCAGACACATACATAAGAGCTTCCTCTCCTTCAAGCGTCCTTGTGATGAGATCCATATCGCGAACAACGGTAGTGGTTCCCATGTACTTCAAGTCATCTCCCATTTTCTTGGAGCACCGACTAAACTGTGCTTTCAACAACGCATCAGCCTCTCTTTCCTGTGTAATGAGAAGTTCTCGGATCTCTGCGTGTGACTGGTTGGACGCGAAATCGTAACTTCGCTCAAGGACTGTGTTACGTTTGAACTCCGCGTATGTGAATTGGTCATCAAAGCATCGCACTACGGGTCTACGAGCATTGTTCAACAAACCGCCAATAATGCTCAACACCACAATGATGCGACTTACAATGTATCACCTACACCTCGAGGATCGAATCCGATAATGTCATATGAACTCCCAATCTAGAAGACCGCCATGGCATTAGATGCACTGCACGGGACCAAATCCCAAGATAAAACCATCATACCTCAGCTTGAATATGATTGCCATGTTTAACGATGAAGGGTTTTGATTTTCCCCCTGGGCCACCCGGATTGAACAGAACGGTACCTAAGCGTTGTCCGGGATCCGCCTTCAATTTACCCAAAGCAATTCCTGCTGTACCCGCGCTGAGGTTAAAGTAATCCTTTGGCACACTGGAAATGCAAGATATCTGCAAAAGATTTCCTGTGAAGCGGCGAAGAGGATACTTACACGATAGATCCACATTCTGTGTTAGGCAAGCTATCAGGATACGTACAAGGCGACCACCGAACGGTGCCTATGGCTGCAGAATGAGAATGGTGTCTGAGCGCATCGCAAAGGAATGGTAGCAGTCTGTAGAAAACGAGGTAATACAAGATCCCAATCAATGCAGCTGGCCAGATTCGAGGTGCACGCTTGCGGCGTTTGCCATCGGGGTCGGCTTTGGTAATGAGTGGAAGAGTCTCATGGTTCCTGCCCACCACGCCCGAAGTGCCTAGAAGAACTTTGAGCATGTCAGTCTGATCCACGTCGCAGTCGTCGCCAAAGCTGGATACTGACCGCGTCTTCAACGTTACCGATCCCATGTGGATCTTACATGGGAAGTTACGCTGATCGGCATAGCCCCAAGAAGCGCTGATCTGCACTGTGCAGACATCACGATGATATTTGCAGAGCGATCGAAGTTCGTCATGATACTGTTCAAAGGGGCAAGTACTACTAGAGATTGTGTTGAAAAAGTAAGTAGCACTGTGCAGCTTGCCTGTGAGCTTTTAATTGACATATATCTTCAAGTTGAAACTTATGATACTTGACCCCAAATAAGTGGCTGTGGTCCTTGCCACTCGAGATCGATCATTTCGATGGACCCGCGTTCGAGAGGTGTTCCAAAGGCGGCGGAGATGCGTCTGAATGCATCATCAAGCTGACTTCCGGAGACAACTAGTGCCTTGCAGTTGGCGACGGCGCAGGTGAAGGACAAACAGGTGATCCTCTGCATGTCGCCCAGTGCCATGGGGATGAGAGCTAACGCTTTCGTTCCTTCCGCTTCAATACAGGTCGCTCGTGCAGTCCTGACTTTCTACTCCCGGAGGTAATAGGGTGGACCAATGCCGGCCCCGTCGGTTTCTCTAATGGCGATCAGCATCTTCCGTCCAGTGTGGTCAAGGTATCCGAAGGAAATGGTGGAGGTGCATTCAACTTAACCAAGATCACCAACCCAATATTTCGTATCCTGTGAGTTGTTTCTCTGTTATTTACGGATAATGTATAGACTGAATATGACACAGTCCGAACAGCAACCAATCGTTAACGCTTAACTTCAACGGTGCGGATAATTCCCTGATTCTCACCACGCCTCAGCCGAAGTAAGTAGAGTATCGTCGTTATCCTCGTCTATCGCTTATCCAGGTCCTTTCAGCAATCCTGCCTTTATCATCAATTGCGGGGACTGCGACGCCGTCACTGGGTACGCCGACCAATGCACGGTCAAACTCTCCACAGGCGAGCAACAGTGCATTCAGGTCGGAGACGGAGCTAGTAAGGTCGGTGACCGCTTGCATCTTGCAGACTGCAAAGGGGAAGCAAATCAGAATTTCCGCTTTACGAATGCCAGAGGTCCCCAGACCCCTAGCAACACATTGGTGTCGGGGGCAGTGGGTGAAGGAACCTCTGACAATGACGCCGATGCATCCCTTGGAGACATCAAGATGCTTATTCGAAATAGCTACATCGTCATTGGTCTCCTCGCTGCTGTTATGGTCGGGCTTATTGTCTTCAGTGGTGTCGTGTTGAAGAAGATGCGTACCAAGAAGGCCGGATCTGGGAGGTCATTCAGAACTTTGGCGAAGGGAGATATTGATCAGCGCGAGGGTGGCGCCCTCCCAATCATGGCTTACAGTGATTAGTCTGTCTTCATCTCATGGCGCACGATAGCATACTTCTTGCGGTAGAATAGGGCTTCAACGTCTACGGCTTCCGAAATTCCTGGACCTTCTTTAATTTATAAGTACGATACTGCGGGAGTAGTATATCCTATATTTCAGTTGTAAGAACATTCCCTTGGCCAATACGCGGCTGTCAACGATGCTCTAAGTAGCAATGACTTACGCAGGTCACCAGTATTCCTGCTTATGAAGCGGATGATCCCAACCTGCCCTAGCATTGGCCCATTGAATGTCAAGTCCTTGCAAGCTGTCCAGCAAAACCTCATCCTCCTCAGACATATCATGTGTGAATATGGATTCTCCCGGGTGAGAAAACGGTGCAGGCGCATCAGTGCAAATTGTGTTCTCTGCAGGAAGAGTTCCATTTGCGAAGTAGGCCTGTATGTGACGAGCCATGCAAAGCGAGTTCAAAGAAAGAGAACAATGCTAGTGAGAAATGGTATAAGCGAATGTCGAGCAAGGAGAAATGTGGAACTAACGCCTGGGCTGTCGAGCACTAGCAACCTTGATGAGTTACCCAATAAACTTGCTACAGACCTCCCACTAGCAATGGGAGTGACAGGATCAGCCTTGACAACTTCATATATTAGTGTTGACCATTAAACACCAGCGTGACGCATACCGTGTTACTCAGAATTAGGATGGGGTTGTTTAAAGTATGGTTCCATGGCCCGGTGTATCGTTCGGCCGGAGTAACGGGCCAAAATTGGCATCCGGAGTCTGGTTCAGTCGTGATCGTGCTGAAAATGAAGCGTGATACATTGTGATACACATGAAGATATTCGTCAACAACCTCTTCGGCTGAAGGAGGAGTGAATCGAGGTGCATCATTACAAGAGACAGCAGGCCTTTCTAAGTCAACGTATAACCTCCAAGCATGAAGGAAGTTCAAAATTCCCGAACCATCCCCTTGCATTGCTAGTGCGATTTGTCTAGCAGCAAACCGCCAGATGGATGGGCGTTGGAGAGAGAGTATAAGATGATCTTGGAGAAACTGGGTTAGAATTTAAATGAGTGTGGTGGATAATACAAGCTTACTACGAGCACGTCCTGATGTCAGCAGCCCCGGACGCACAGCATATGGGACGGCTAGTGGGCGGTGGTATAGACTGTCCATGAAATTCTCTATGCGATTCTTGATATCGGAAGAGGAGCTATCTGAGGAATATGCCAGATCACAGCCATCTGAACCGGCTTTGAAGCATTGAGTGACGAAGTTATCATAAGTATCCTCCGTCGACGACAACCATTGTCGGACCCATTTGTATGGCGGTTGACCTAACGTATTCTTCTCATTCAAGTCGACACCTGAAAGTAGATTGGCTTTGAACTCACTGCTCCAGAGGACGGTATCAACGATCCCGTCGATGACAATTCTACCAACACGGGTAGGCATCCTGTATAATCCAATTCAGGAACGTGTCCTGGTAAAGCATACAAACGCGCGCTCACATATTGACAAGATATTGTCCGAGGACGGATCCATAAGATCCGCCGTAGAAATTACTGTTCAGACATCAGTAATGAACACATTCTACGACGATACACACCAGAACCTACATAAGGGCGTCATCACCATCCAAGATGCTGGTCATGAAATCGAGATGTCGCGTGCAACGAGACTAGTGCCCATATACCTCAATTCATCACCCAACGTCTCTGCGCAGATGTCGAACTGAGTTCTCATAAGTGCATCTGCTTCGATCTGCTGTGCTATGAGTGTATGCCTCATGTCCTCCGCAGTCATATTTGACGAGTATTCGTAACCACGTTCCAAAATCGTGTTATATTTGAAATTTGCATGACTAAGGTCGCCATTGAAGCACCGTACTGTTGGTCTGAATGAAAGAGACTAAAATGAGACACAGAAGCCACATCAGATCGTAAAGTCTTACTTAGTCTCTCCGACACCTCTCGGGTCGAAACCTACAATGTCATAGTCGGATCCAATCTGGAGGATATAAGAATTAAAGGTATTCTCTTGCAATGTGGAGAGTAAGCGAACATACAACCATCTGCAATATGTGGCCTCTTTGAATTACAAAGGGTTTGCCACGCACGCCAGGTCCACCGGGATTGAAAAAGACAGTTCCCTTCTTTGTTCCTTCCTTTGCCGGTAAAAGTCCCAAAGCAATCTGAACAGTCCCCGCACTCGAATTGGAGTAATCCTTGGGTACACTGAACCAAAATCAATATAAACAGGCACATCAAAGTAAAGGAAACTGAGTAACTTCACATCACATGTCCACATTTTGCACGAGGCAAAGCTTGGCCAGGACATTTGTACCACTTAACGGTCCCAACTTCAATTGTCTTTTCTTGTTGTTGGACAGGCACCAAGTATTTCCATAATCTTCGACCAGGTTGAGGAGCGACGATCCATAGGCTGAGTAAACCCAGGAAAATCAGAATAACCTGTACCCGGGAGAGGAAGGAGACAAGTGAATTCCTTCGAGATTTCGACTGAATTGTGGTATCGCCGTCGAAATCAGAATCAACGATCTGTTTCGAGCCGTCTGCGTCCATCCCTGCACCGATTGAATACATCTTCTTGACACGTCGAAGTAGTGGGGAGAAAGGGATTGCATGGAGCTGCTACTGCACGTCTGCATCGCCTTGACATGCGTTTCGGACTAAAAGGCTTTCGGGATATGCTGATTCAGGTCGGCCGTCCAGACGAACCATATCACAGTGGGAAGCGGTATGATACGGTCGGACGCGCTTCAAATGGCCCTAGTCTTAAGTGAGGATAAGCGTGACATTGCTAGATTGCCAAGTTACAGTAACATACCGACGGTCGACGCCACCAAGTAAAAATGGACAGATGCTGTCCTGTCGCTGATGCGAGAGGAGCAAAAAGGCGTCCAGGAACACGCTGGCGGATGAGTTGGGCCTTGAAAGTCATCAAGGAACACGTACATACGCAAATGAATGATCTGCGCAATTATGGAACGAATGCCACGTATTATACACGCACATGGTTACGGATGGTAACTTGACCATATCGGAGATAACATCATCCATACAGCACTGCAAGTCTACAAAACAAAATCGTCAGCATACTAGAGACATGTAGAAGTAACGTACGGCTAACGTGGCTCGCTGTAGGAGAGGAACGTATGGTAGTGCAAAAAAACTGCTGACAGTCGAGAAGGTTTACCGCTACTGCCCATGCATCATGCTGAACGGAAATAAACAAGCGTTTGAGGGTGCCAACATACACGATTTTCCCATAGGCCGATAAGCAGGAAGCCTGGCCGAGGAAAACTTAGGTTACAAAAGATACAAAACTACTAGCGCTACATGAGTCTACTCGAAGTACATATAGAATACAAGGAGTACACTCCGATTCAATTTACATAGATTAACATATGATAACGAATGATGTGTCGCGAGGAGGCCGCCCTAAACACAGATGGCAAGCTCTCGCCTATGCGAGGACCAAACGCAAAGTGTGATGAAAGATCCTATGGCCAATCCAGTGAAGAAACATGAAGCTGTTTTTGCAACGACATCATAAGTAGAAGATTCGTTCCTATCCAATTCCAAGTCAGACTCAACCCGTGGTGACCGAGGATCAGACTCGACGGGCGAGGGAGGGACAGGGTCCTTCTCAGACAGGACAGGATCTGTCTGGACTTCCTTGGAGTCCGTAGTGATCAAAGTGGAAGACGTTGACCATGATTCCGACTTCGCCTCCGTTGGAGACCCGATTGGCGAGGAAGATGCACAAGAACGGATAGACGACAAAAGAGGCGGCAGGCGGCGTCTCTGCTCCCGCAAGCGCGCTTCATATGCCTGAGCAAGTTGCTCCACGAGCCCCTGCATCTTGGTGGCATCGGCGAGAGCCTGGATTCTCCTAGCCTCGCGCATCTCCTCGCCCACAATATGAATCATGCACCTCAAGAGATCTGGAATCTCCGGGTGCTCACGTACCCACCATTGACCAGGCCAACACGAAATAATATAGGCAAGGTCACAGACGTGAGTGGTCGCGGTAGTGAAGTCATCGGAAATGTGCCTGTGGATGTACGGGCGGAGCAAAGCGAGCGCGAGGCGCACAGACCCGGCAGTCGTATCGCGGAGGCGCTTATCCATTGGCATGCGCAAAAAGCGATCGGACATTGCTTGACAGAACTGCCGAAAACTGGGCTTTTTGCGTGTGTAATCCCATCCGAGGCGGGCCAGAGGCGAATCTTTCGAGTCAGAGATGTCGGGGTAGAGGAAATATGATGGTAATCGGCTGACGATCTGCAAGAGTGGAATTGAAGCCAGGACGGCCGATCCAGGAATGTAGCCCCAGACCAGCACATCTTGAGCTTCGAGTGCAAAACGATACCACTTCCAGTGGTCTTTGTGTCGCCTGTCAACAAAAACGTAACATTAATCTCTAGCGAAAAGAAACAACAACAAAGACGACCAGGAAGCCTACTCTTTAGGGGATCCCTTCATCAGGACTTCTGCAGCAGTAACGGCACGATCAGCGAGAGCACTTGCGTCGATGATGGCTACTTCGACGTCGTGCTTGATGTTGATATGGTATCTCCGGGTAGCTTCCCAGATAGCCCAAGCAAAGCTGAACGATGTCGATATGTAAGGAGACTCGGAACGAGTACTCCAATCTAAGTGCTTGACTACATCGGCATAGCTAATATTAGAGATGGATCCGGATGAGGCCAGAGGTGGACAAGGTGAGTATATCGCGGCGGAAGAGAAGGTATTGTTAAACTTTGAGCCTACAAAGTAAGGCTCAGAGCCGTCATAATGTGGTGGATGGGCTTTCGGCGTATGGACTCGAAAGAGATAAGGGTTTCCTTCGACCAGTTTGCCGAATGTAACATCTGCGCCAAAGCCATACTGAGGTAAAGCATTCTGCATCTTGGCAGAACAGTCAGAAGATGCGCCAGCGCTGAGCACCATTGTGGTATAGGTACGGTGAAATTGGAGAACGAAGAGGGGAGGAATGGGTGACCCGAATTATTTGACAGTCAGCAACAGCTATCTGGCCTATATTCCCCGTCATATGAAGTTTCCCAGCACTTAGGAACATGCCGTTTCAACGCTGCTAGGGCTCCCTTCATACATGCGTCGGAAACGAGGCATTAACGCGTTCGGAGTAGACTGTTCCGGGAGAATGCCAGACCCAAGTTAGGTCTAGAAAGCAGCGTAGACATCGGCTAGCCTCTATAATGGATTGAATTAGTTTATCAACACGTCAGATAGATCAGACCTTAGTCTGACAATTGTGCAGAAGTCCGTGAGACCAGGAGTCAAAGATTGAGTTGAGCGTTGGTTGAAAGCGAGTTGAAGATGACCAGGTGGAAAACGGTCGGACCCCCGTCATTCCTCAGTGTACGGGGTCCGCCTCCTTGAAATACAGCCGTCTATTGGCTGGTTGAACGAGTACTTCACAACTCACGACGTTCAAGCTGTTCAAACGTTCATGATGCATGTCATTGAGCACACTCTGAATTCAGGCCACACAGATTCATAAAAACATGTCCAGCCTAGCTGCATATTCAAAAATGCAGGCATGAATGAGTTATTCCACCGCATCCCTGCATTAAGGAAGGCCTATATCCTCAACTATGCTTTTGACTCCGCTGAAGCCTGTATGGCTCTTTGGCACGCAACGCACTTTGGTACTAAGTACTATCTGCCTCTCTTTGAAACGGAATCGTTGACATTTACGTCTGCTGAAGGACTTTCTCCAAGAACACCAAAAACCCTTCTGTCACTTGGCACGACCTGCGGAATTAAGTCAATCCTAGATGAATCCGCCCAGGTTAAATGTCCAGGTGTAGTAATAGCTTTGCTCAATTACTCGAGCCATCTCCAAACAGATCCAGACTTCAGATCGCTTGGAGGAGAGAACATTCTCCGAATTTTTGGCCGTTCTATCCTCAATATCTTCCACCTGGAGGGTTTCGCGTCCGGGATCTATCCGATGTGAGAAATCACAGGGATTCTCGCTCGCCTTATGATCTCGAGAATGACCTCCCCATCAATATCCCGCCAACGCAACGTAATCACTGGCCTGGATCGCGGCTACACGCATTGTAAACGTCTATGATGGCCACCGAAGCTTGTGATGAACATGGATCGCTGTTGCATCTTACTAAAGGTCGTGGTCCGAGAATTCTCCAGATTTCCGTGCACTTAGCCGGAGACTCGAACGGTCAAGTTGCGAAGCCACCGAAAATCTGATTCCGCTGATGCGTATCTCGGGATCTCCTTTGTTCGTTGAATGCGGCGGGTCCGTGATGCAAGAGCGAGCAGTTATGCTCGCTCGCCGCTCTCGCAGCACTGACAACTGGTTATTCCGTCACAAAGTAGGAAACATGTCGGAAACTGTACTAGCTGCAAGACAAGTTGTTGTGTATCATGAATATGCTTTCGAAGCTAATCTCGTACTAGTTAGCTCTCAACGACGGGCAACAACCTCAGGCTCTCAACGTCACAGGCCAAACAGCGTGACAAGCGGCGAAGCGTGACGTAATGGCGCGCGCGCCAGTCTGAGACATGGTCCTCTTTGTTCCATCAGGTTGACCTGTTTCCGCCTGCTCGTCTTCCGTCTCATCTACTGCGAAGTGTGGTTACTGTTCAGGATTTAATCTCTCTCTGCGTCATATTCTGTTTGGGAGGTCATTCCTCAACTCGTATATGAGCCAAGGACAGAACACATTTGTTCATCTTGCAAGGTATGAGAACGGAAGATTCCACACTGAATACGCTTTGACTTGATCGGGAAGTGTGGTCAAAACCACACTCAATTTCCCTTTGTCCAACGCTCTGCTGGTTGCTCTGCAATTTGGTATAAATTTGCCGTCAAAATAACTCCTGTATGTTGTTCATCTTCCCCCCCTCGCTAATCATGTCAAATTCAACTCATCGACCCATCTCTATAGACCCTCCATCTCCGGTCGCGACTGATACTACACATCGGCTTCGATCTATTCCCAACTCTCCTCTGCTGTGTCATCTTCAAGGCTTTCTACAGTTTGCATATCTCATCCCGTACTTCAAAGAACTCAGGAATTGGTTCGTAAAAGACATGACGGGCCTTTTCATTGGTGCAGCACCTTATAACGATTTTATCTCCTTGATGGAGCCCTCGGATCCAACTTGGCGAGACAATTCGATACCTGAGCTTGACCTCTCTGCGGTTCCCTCTGGGGGCCTTGAGAAGGACATGTATCTGCCTTTCGTAAGTTGCGTTTCATACATTTTCCACGAGTGCATGCTAACGATCATTCCACAGTGCGACGCTGTGAACGGCTCCGGTGTCTGTCCAGGGCTACAGCTCGTCTGTGTTGCGGACACTAGGGACAAGGAAGGCTGCAGACTGCGCCCCGATCTGGCGGTTGTCCCGGAAAATGCTGTCGACGTTAACGATTTTGGCCTAATGGAGCTCTTCGCCGAGTGCAAAACCCGCCGCGATGGCGATGCGTTCCATGAATCTTACAATAACAAGGACATTGACTTAGACTCAGTGGAGAAGATCGAGGGCAAGAGCGCCGATTCTCGTGGACAACTGATCTCATACGCCGCTGCCACTATGTCTCGTCAACACAGGATCTTCATGTTTTCTATCTCTATCTGCGGCGAGTTTGTTCGTTTCCTGCGTTGGGACCGTGCAGGGTGTATTGTTTCAGAACTCATCAACTATCTTGAGAACCCAGAGCTTGTAGCTGAATTCTTTTGGAGGTACAGCCACATGAATGCTACGGAACGCGGATTCGACATCACCGTCCGACGTGCTACCAAAAGGCAGGCCAACCTGCTAACGGACGCCATGAATACTTTTATTGAGCAGTCAGAACCCCGCAACATGGAGTTTCTTCGTGGAAATACGGATCCCACATTTGGTACCTATAAAGTTTGCATGGACGACGAAGAACGACGACATCGATATTTTATTATCCGCCAGCCATTCTGGGATGCGGACTCGGCTTGTGGGCGTGCAACTAGGCGGTATGCTGCGTACGACATGAAGCAGAAGAAGCTAGTCTTTTTGAAAGATTCATGGCGTACCGAAGACGAGGACATCATGTCCGAAGCTGATATATACAAGCACTTGCTGAACAGCAACGTTCCATTCCTACCAGAGGTCATCCTCACTGGTGACGTGATGGTTGACGGCCATGCTCAGCAAACATTTTCCGACCAATGGTCCAAACCCGATAGCTTCCTCGAGTGGCGCTTACCTTGTGATCAGCTACGGACACACATACACTGTCGAATTGTGCAAGAGCTTGCATACCCTGTCGCCTCTGCCCAGTCTTCACGGGAGGCTGTTCAAGTTTTCCGCGATGTGATCGAATGTACGTTTACCTTCTCCCTTCATTTTCGTTATGTAGCTCAACGTCCTTCACCAAATAGCGACACAGGTTGCGTATCAGTCTGCAGAGATGCTGCATCGGGATATCAGTACAGGCAATGTCATGATCAATAAAAACGGCCGAGGGGTTCTCAATGACTGGGACCATGGTGTCAGACTGGTCCTCGATCGCGTTCCTCATTCATTTCGCACGGTAAGTTGTAATAAAATTTGATGGAGATGAATGCTCATAGTCTCCCCAGGGAACCTGGCAGTTTATCTCTGTCGGTTTACTTCAGGAGCCCAGCAAGCCGCATGATGTTCATGACGATCTCGAATCTTGCTTCTGGGTACTCCTCTACGTCTCTCTGCACTATTTCAAAAACAATGGGCGCGAGGTGGACTTCAAGCTCGATTTTTTCAACGAAATGGTCGAGAGGAAGATAGGCGGGGATCAATATCGCGCGTTCGGCGGAACTATGAAAGTTGGTCTTCTGGTCGTGGAACAGCTCGAGCCGGTAAGATGGGAATGTCGTCCTCTCGATGATCTTATCCATGCTCTCTCGGACACATGGAGATCCGTTTATATTGTTCCTCGTGGTGAGAGGGAAGAAATGTTCCGTGGCGCCCAGGACAATATTTCACTGATTCTGAAGATGTTCGATACTGCACTGGCATCTGAAGAATGGCCCGAAAAGGATGCGGTTCCGAACCAATATCCTCGCAAACGGCAGCGGAGTATCGACCAGGGAGTTGCAAGAGCAAAAGCAGAACATATAGCGACCACCGTTCGCAAATCCCAAGCCCTCGCGACTCGGACTGGCATTCTGGCAGCGGGTGCGGCAGCTGCTCATTCTGTCTGTCCTACTTCAGCTCCTCGTCCTTCAAGTGGCTTGCGCTCTGGAATCCCATCTCTACATGCTTTAGGTATGCACCCTAAGGCTGTGGCGTCAAATAACGTGCCACGATTCGGTCGCCCACAAAATCTCTTGAGCGCAGGTAGCAAGAAAAGGACTGTAGACCATGCCCAGGCGGAGGAGCCTAACGTGTCAATTAGTAGTTCGAAGCGAATGAAGACAGGGGACCCGCCATTAGCATTTGGTCCGCGCCCAACGTATACACCCACCGCTCTCGCGCGATCGCCCACTCTTTCTGCTAATCCTGATAGATTGCCTATTCCTGCCGGTCCATCCTCCCCCCTTGCCAGAGCTCATCTACCCCCCGCCAGACCATTGCCCACTGACAGACTGCCTACTCTACCCGACGTCCGACACCGATATCTTACCCGCTCGAAAACAAGACCTAATAAGACTCACCACGACGAGAACGCCCCCAAAGAGGCACCTCGGGAGGACGTTGAGATACAAGAAGTTAAACATCGTTACCCGACCCGTTCGAAATCAAACGAGAAACACCCGCGCCCAGCGCCTCCCCCAAAGCCAACGAAAGCCCAGGCTCAGATTCATCAAAGTGGCAAGAAAAATAACAAGTCGACTGGTGGCGGCGGTCACAAGGGAGCACCTCAGCAAGATGATGAAATGAAACAGGTTGAGCATAGATATCCGACGCGTTCGAAATCGAAATCGAATGAGAAACACCCTCGTCCACAGCGTCCGCCGAAGCCATTGAATACTCAAGCTCAGGTGCAGCAGAATCATAAGTCAACCCCCAGTGATAGTAAACGGACTCAGGCCAGATCGAAGAATCGTCGACAACGTCGATGATCGTTTATAGCCATACCTTTCTTCTCGCTTTCCGCCTTCGTGTAACTGAATGCTATTTGTCTAATATTCAATAGTTGTTCTACTGTCATCCACTTTGTATTTTACCATGACGGCCCCTTCTCAATTGCTATTTCTACGAAAATCTGCTGAACGTGCATAATACTAAATATTAAGGTTGATCTGAGACATTCCGGCAAAGAATGGCGATTCACAAGGCTTGTTAACGATGGACCATCGATGGTCTCTCCAGTCTTGTTCTGTCTTGGTTCTGTCAAGTACATAGTAGGAATCCTTCATATAGTCACATCGGCAGCTGGTCGTGTCCTTTGCGTTTCCTCTCTGAATATCGCTGCGTTCCAGATTTCGTGTAAAGACCTAACAATCTTGTTGTGTTCCAATCGCATCAAGTGGCATTTCAAAACAAGTGGCAAGAAATGGCGGTTGCTTTCATTGGTCCAACGCCTCCACGCATTTTCCTCGACAACTTGCTGGTACCTTCAGATCCAATGTGGACATTCAAATCAATGCCCGTCGTCGATTTCTCTACGGTTCTTTCTGGGAGAACTTGTGGGAACGACTCAGAGGTATACCAACCCCTTGTAAGTCGGTCCTTATGCCAAAATTAAACATATGTTCATGGTCGCGGTGTGTAGAGCGACGCTGTCAATAACTCTGGCATCTGCGCAGGGTTCAAGTTGATCCTGGCTACAAACACAGAGGACCCGCAAGCTCGGCTGCGTCCCGACCTCGTGCTGGTCAAAAGCCACGCGGACGATGTAAACAGTTTCAGCGTAATGGATCTCTTTATTGATTGTAGTGTCGACGCAAATGACGACGCGTTCTGCGGGTCTTTCAAGGACAAAGACATCGACCCAGACTCAGAGGAGAAAACTGAGGAAAGGAGTGAGGACTCTCGTATACGGCAGATATCATATGTCGTTGCGACTATGTCTCGTCAACACAGGGTCTTCATATTCTCTCTCGCCATCTGCGGTCGGTATATTCGCTTCTTACGTTGGGACTGTGTTGGGTGTATTGTCTCAGAATGCATTGACTATCAGAAGAACCCGGAACTCGTAGCGGAATTCTTTTGGCGGTACAGTCATATGACTGACCGAGAACGCGGATTCGACGTCACTGTCCGACGTGCTGATCAAGAGCAGGCCGACCTGCTAACGGCTGCGATAGAGGCCTTCATCAAGCAGTCGAGGCCCCGCGATATGTCGTACCTTCGTGCTAGTATGGATCCCACCTATGCTACCTGTAGCGTTTGCATGGATGACGAAGAGGGAGATGCTCGGCACTTCATCATTCGTCAGCCATTCTGGGATGCGAACTTGGCTTGTGGGCGCGCTACCAGGGCGTATGCTGCGTATGACACAACAGAGAAGAAGCTAGTGTTCCTGAAGGACTCATGGCGTGCCGAAAACAATGATATTATGTGCGAAGTTGACATATACAATCACTTGCAGGACAACAAGGTCCCATTCCTACCGAAAATCCTCCTTGCTGATGATGTGAAAGTCGACGGCAGTGAGCAGCGAACATTTTCTGACCAATGGTCCACTCCGGATATCTTCCCCGAGTGGCGCTCACCCTGTGACTGGCTCTGGGCACATATACACTGTCGAATTGTACAAGAGCTTGCGTACCCTGTCGCATCTGCCCAGTCCTCACGGGAAGCTGTTCAAGCTCTTCGTGATGTGATCGAATGTATGTTTCTTCTCTTGTTGTGACTCATTCATGAATGCTCAACAACATTTCTGTCACCGCCGCAGCAATTAAAGTCGCATACGAATCCGGAAAGATTCTTCATCGAGATATCAGTACCGGCAACGTCATGATCAGTAAAGAGGGCCGGGGGATCCTCAATGACTGGGACAACGCTCTCAGACTAATTCCTGGTGAAGAATTTCATGCATCTCGAACGGTATGTTAGAATTCAACTCGAGGGGTAGCCCATTCTGATGGCTCCACAGGGAACTTGGCAGTTTATATCTATGGCTTTACTTCAGGAGCCCAACAAGCCGCATGAGGTTCGCGATGATCTCGAATCTTGTTTCTGGGTTCTCCTCTATGTTTCTCTCCATTATTTCAAACACAATGGTCGTGAGGTAGACTTCAAGCTTGATTTTTTCGATGAAATCAAAGAACGGAGGATGGACAAGGCTCCGTATCAGTCAGTTGGAGGCAACTTAAAAATTGCTCTTCTCATTGCTGACGAACTCGATGAGGTACGGTGGGAATGTCATCCTCTCGACGAACTCGTACACACCTTAGCGCGGTTATGGAGGCTGGCTTTCGCCTTGGACGGTAAATTAGCTCGCATATTGGGCAAACTCGCGGAGAAGGATATTCTCTCCAGCGCTCTGGAAAAAGTTTCACTAGTGCTGGATATGTTTGATACTGCGCTAGCATCTGAAGGGTGGAATGACAAGGACGTGATCGCCGATCAATATTCTGGCAAGTACCAGCCAAACATGGACAAGGGCGTCGCAAAAAGGAAGACGAGATCTACTGCCAGTGTCGTTTTCCAATCTCAGGCCGTCGTGGCTCCCACCAGACGAACGGCAACTGGTGTGGTGCCTGCTCACGCCTCCCCTCCCCCTGTTGCCCCTTGGTTTGGTATTATGCAATGCTATCAATCAAATACTTATCCGACAGCCGAAAAGATGGCTTTCTTGCGACGACTTGCCATGCCACGGGCTTCAGGTAGCAAAAAGAGAACCATAGATGATGCTCAAGCGGAAGAGCAAAACATGCCTGTTAGTAGCTCAAAGCGAATAAAGACTGGGGACCCACCATTATCATCAGGCCAACGTTCAACTTACGTACCTGCTGCTCCCCCGCACCCAGCTTCTTCTTCCGTCAGATCGCCCACCCAACCATCTTCCTTTTCTGCTCCAACATTTCCCACCGCTGAAGCTAATAGATCTCCTCACGGGTCATCGCGCCTTGACAGATTGCCTTCTCTCGGAGTCCACCACCGTTACTTGACCCGCTCAAAACCAAAGCTTAATAATGTTCAGGCTAGTAAGAATCGCGAGGACAGCCTTAAAGAAGCGCCTCCGGAGGATGTGAAAGCATACGAACATCGGTACCCGACACGTTCAAAATCAAACCTCAAACGTCCTGGTCCGCAGCATCCCCCCAGACTATTGAATACTCAGACGCAACTGAATGTCAAGAAAAACAATAGGTCGACTGCTAGCGATAGTAAAGGAACCTAAGCAAAGTCAAAAAACCGTCGACGACGTCGATGATCCTTTATTTTTCCTCACCCCAGCAGAATTCCTAGCGAACTTTGTCTGTGTATTGGCAATACACATTACGCTCTTGTTCAGTTGTCCTTGCTCTCGGACCTCACTGCCAGATGCTAGCCGTCACAGGGCACGGGAATGTGACATGCGGCGAGACGTGACAATTCGCGTAGTGTTCCGAGTCGTTGTTTCATCGAATATCATCTGCTTTCTTTATCCTCTGAGTCTAAAGCCAAAAGATTTCTTGGGACCCCTAAGATGAAAACGCCTTTTGTTGGTGCAATGCCTTGAATATGAGATGCCAGTGGTTGAGCTTTTACCTAGTTCCCTCCCAAGACCACTGTGAATAGGAACCTTAATTCCTCTTCTTGTACGTCTTCCTTTCATATATGAGCCTTCATTCCTTATTGTAGTCATTCTCCGCTAATGTGACGTTGTGAATAGATTACAGTCGGGTCCAAAATCTTCACAATAGTCAACATCACTGGCACCGCTGTGATCGAGGAAAACAACAACAGGATTTGTCCTGATACAACACCAGTGAAGGACAGTATTTGTGAATAACAACCACCTTAGCGACATCGGTGAGAGACGCGGCCGCTTTTGTTGTACTATGTCATCTCATTTTTGTCACGCCAGCATCGAATTCTGACTCTGCCTCATATGTTCACGCCTTCAGGTGGGACCGCTCTGGATGTGTGGCGACGAAACTCGTTAAGCTCCATGAGGCGCCAGACTCTGTCCATCACTTTCGAGCGGTGCTGCATTCGATCCCATCTCGGTTTTAGCTGGTAGCCAACAGGCTGCCACCTGCTCATTGTACACATTCATCGTGGCCTCGGGAACCCTTGAAGATACCCGTAGACGATGACATCAGATTGCCCACTGAAGACAAACCTCGGCGCAGACGCAGTTCATTAGCTCTATTTCTTCCATGTTAGGTGAGGAGTATTCGAATTTTGATCCAATGTTCCTCCCTGCCAGTGGCATGTGCCCTAATATTCTCGAGATTATCACAATGTTCTATCAAATTTCTGCAAAAATTGGTGATCATCCAGTTTCATTGCCGTTTGCCTCACGAGTCTATACAAGAAGACCTTCATCCTCGATAGCTTTCTGCTGGACCTTTCCGACTCGAGCCAATCCACAAAGACAGTGAGCATTTAACCTAATGTCTGAGTACGATACTAGTCTCTTATTTAACATCTAATGTTTCAGTCTTTCTCCGCCCCTCCCAGAAATTTCTGGTCATATGCACGCCTTTCTATATGTATCTGACCCGGATCAAGTTGCGTATAATATGCTCGCGCACGTGCGCATATGACCGATTTAGCGTCACCTATACAACTGGCATAGCACTCGCTACTTGTAGCCCATGGCTCTAACATGACACCGGCCCAACCATCTACGGAGCGTCTAGAACTTCGTTGTCCCAGGTACTACTCTCAGGCTCGATCACGCTTCGAAGCTGTGCAACTCTAACCGCATATCCCAGGCGCTCTCATTCGGCACAGGATTCGTCCGATGATTGCACAGGGCAAACTCAACCGGAAAGATCGGACTCAACTTTCAGAAACATCTTTTGCCTCTCTTACATTGTCACAATGTCGCCGAGGCTTCTCCGAATGTCATGTGCACTGGGCCAAAACTTTCACCAACCGTCTCACTCAATTGACTGTCACTCGGCTTTGCCAAGGACGATCCTCGAACTACGAATGGTAGTAGAAGGTACGTCCTTACTTGCTGGTGAATCGACGTTTGCAGATCTTTTCAATTGGATTCGCGCCAAGACTTTGCTCTAAGATGGATTCGACTTTTGACCGGTCTGAATGGGAACGGACCTTCGGTCCGGGTGTCTGTTTTACTTTGTACTTCGCGATACGCTCGTCTCGAGTTGCTGAACGCTTGATCGAGATACTTGATGTAACCCAGACTACTACACAATGTATTGAAGAGGTCATCCGATGTCGGACGTCTGCCACCATCGTCTGCCACCGTCATCTGCCAAGTGATCGGCTAGCTCTCACCATCGCCTTGGATTGTGCTGCCTGCCTTCTTTGTCATTCATTCAGCACGTACCTCACACGTCTGATCGTGTATCGTGTCCATTCGCGGCATTCTGATGTCTGCTCAATCATTCCTGTCGGAAGGTGGACAGTATGCTCTCCACTGATTGCCTTGGCACGACTTCTATTCTTGACCAAAAACTCTCTGCACGATGGCGATACTGTTGGCGTCGCTCTGGACTCTCAGCGTGGTGGACTTTATGCGGAAGTCATAGTGAGTCTTGGCCAAGCTTTGTGGCGGACTGAATTGACATTGTACTTGTTCTTCCAGTGTTTATTCATACAATTTCATGACAGTTGGGGTCTGTCACCAATATCCTTGCTGCAAACCAGCGCCAGTGTATCGGAATTATGGTGATTTTGCTGCCTAAGGCGCGCTTCTAACCCGGAACTTACTAAAAGGCGTAAGCCCGCATCAACTCCGACTACATCGCCTTCTTTTGGTTACCCAAAGCCAGATATCTTTATGAGCTTCATGCCGCTACCATGAGACGCTCTTCAGATATAAATATGAGTATGTTTGGAGGCATACTGAAACTCCTCCATGCCTTCCTTTTGCCTCTCATCCTCTACATCATGAGTTCAGCTTTGCAACTTCGCCGTGCAGTCTCTGCTACATCCAATGACCTGCTTCCCACTATGCGGATGACCTCAACGAGGCATCGTCGTCGACGTGTCTCCAGGACTATCACCACTCTCCAATATCCAGAGCATAGTGACGAGTCCCCCTTTGATCTCCAAATTTTCGACATCTTCGATGCTCCTAGTCGACTAGGAGAATCGAGCAAAATCCTCGCCGGCTCGCGGCCTTCGCCTTCGTCTTCATTTTTATCCCCAAGACCTCTCAGTTCGTCTGCACGCCGTCGCGCCTCTTCCCATCGAATCGATCCGCTACCTGCACCGATAATATTTGACGGACCTGCCCAACCGAGACATATTGCTATGATGTCGTATCGGGTTGGACGAACTCGACCATCGTCGACTGACGCCTCACACACATCGCGAACCGTTCCATTGTTACCTGAACCGGTTATCTTTGACGGACCCTCGCAACTACGGTCTCGTAGTCGTGGGAGTTCTACAGGCAACGGCTCACGATCGGTAAGAACACCCCTTGTTGTTAGTTCATTTATGCTAAAACATTGACTTTCAGGATTCATCGTCACCGACGCTGATGCTTCTCCTTGGCGCAGCAGGCGCGGTAGTTTTTGCTGGATGTGCTGGGCATGATCCATTGCAATTACAGGGAAGAATCTCGTAGGTACCTTGTTCGCGGGAATTTTCCGGCATTCACTGATAAGCATCTCATCAGGTCAAAGTGATGGTCCTTGGTTAGTTCGGTTGTGGTTGACTATGGAATATCAAGGAATATGTGTAGAATTAGATGCCAGCTTATGTAGCTCTATCTGTGATTTGGGCTTGAATATCGGAAACGAGTACAAACTTTGGAGTTGCTTGAGTCTCAGGTGTTGTTTTGTTCGGACATAAACATGACCACTGAAGACGACGATATCAGCGTGTTCGTGACAAATCTTTCGCGAGTAACACTATCATGCTATCGTGTGTCCGTTTTGCGCCATATCCTTTCAAAAACGATGATGAGAGCAATGACAGTCAATGATAAGACTTTAACCTCCCTCTCACGATCTTAGCTGGGAGACAATGCGCGGATTTTGTGCGGTCCCCGCAGTAGTGGGCTACAATTCCGTAACAGTCAGAAAACGACAGCAATCTAGAACTGCATGCTAAAGGGCAGTACGCTGGAACAGGACCGAGTACAAGAGACTGTCACCAACTTGGAGTTGCTTAGTGTCATCCTTCGCACTTATTCAGAATTGGAAGGCCATGTGTCGAAATCAACTGAGCTTGGACTGTAAGCCCTTCGGGACTCTCCTGACTGTTTCATAGATTAATTTTCTACGTGATGAATATCTCTACACCTTCTTTGTTGCAAATAGCCACAGTACAAGCTGATCACTTCAGATCGCCATTTTCCGACTTCAACAAGTTGTAATCTATCAACATGGACCCACATCCGGAGGGTTCCGGCCATTGTTCCGGCCTCTATTATCCCTGAGGCGTCCGAGTCCCTCCATGTTCGTGACGCTGAGAAATTCTCCTCTGTTACTCTGTATCATCTCCTGCTTAGTATACCTGTCTCAGGATGGATATAATGAACTACCTGTTTTCAGATTGCACTCTCCTGGCGCGCATCCTCAAGCTCCCTTGCTAGTTTGAGTATCTTCAAATACTGTACTCAAACTCTGTACTTCAGTCCGACATCGCAAAAGTTCATCCGTGTTCGATACTTCATTGTGTCGTATTCTCCGTTGAAACCAGCCGTACATGATGGTTATCTTGAGCAAATGGTACAGGAGTAATGGTCCAACATAGAAGATCTTATAATCTTGGACGGCCCCCGGTAAGGGAAATTGGCTCGTGAACATGGTGGCTACTACTGTCTCATCCAAATTACATTCTCTTCAACAGGATATAGGGCTCCCTTGGATGCAGCTTTTTTGCCTTCACATGTTCTGGTAGACCATATCGGTGATATTGTCTGCGCCAGTGACTCCAGTTCCCTAGCTTTATGCGTACTAATCTGTTGCATTTGGAATGCGGTCCTACTCCGCACAGTCTTTCCGAGGACACTATGAGCAGCGGAGCTTGTCTAAATGATTTTGAGAAACTTCTTGTTATAGAGACGTACATTGCAAGCTGGATTCGCGAGTTTCGCATCTCAATGGAATACCATTGTATCAGAGGTACAGCCATCACCCAATACGACCTGAGTCTTCTGTATACTTTGCATCTCTTCTTCTCACTGTCAGGGGTTACTCTTACTCAGGCACTATTATCTCGAGGAACGCTATTCTCTTTGCTTCGAACTCGAAAGAACTTCGGGGCCTGGTTTCCATCTTCTCTCATTCTGGCTGTCATGTTTCTCGGCACACCTTCAGATAATTCCGCCGGTCTATTTCAAACATCGTTGATTTTCATATTCATGCCCCCAGTATTAAAATGGAATCCCAGGTGGGCCAATGATTATCCGCGAAACTATGAATGCCCCTTCGCTCTGCATTCACCTGGACTCCAAACACTAGTACGAACGCGCATTGACAATGATGACTGGACTCCTCTGATCCTTCCTGGACCCGAGCAGAAAGCTCACTATTTGACCGCTCTCGAGGATATTATTATCAAGCTGAGCAACCTAGGTCTAATGTCAAATTGTCAGATATCCGTCGTTGGATTTATGCACTCGGTTGAAATCAATGCTCCGACGTCTGGTCTTATACTCAAGTACCCCGAACATTATTGTATGTACCCATTCACATAAGACGTCATCCTCAATCTTCATTCCTTTGACATGTTCACTCATTATGCAGGAGCCGTCCAAAGTATCCACATCTCCAACTAATAAGACTCCGTCCGTTACAACTGCTCATTGATAGTGTTCAAAGTCGATCCAAACCATACGTCACCTTCTAGGTCAGGGAAACAGTCCGCAGTTTCGATCATAGGCCTCAAGTTCGACAGGTTGAGCAGTATTGAGCGAAGTTGCTAGCATAATGTCGACGAGTTCTTGACGCACCCGGCATTGGTTCACTCAGCCGGCCGTCTTGTAAAGAGCGAGTTGTGAAGCGTGAGTTACTGCTAGTTGTGGATGCTCCACCCACATGGATACGTTTTCTATTTAATGCTGTATCCAATCTCTGAAACGCACATTTAGGTCAATGTTTTGTTCTCTTCTAGTATTTAATCCATGTTGATCCATTCATTGTTCTTAGTGGGATGATCAGGTCGTCGGTCTCGAGTGTTCCGTGACCATCGTACTTGGGATAGGAAACCAACGCACTCAAGCTAACACCGAAAGGATGCCACACAGGCCGTAAAGATTTGTATTCCTCCATTCATCTCCTACAAATGACTTTCGAACCGTCAGATCGTGTTTTAGGCGGCTTGAAGGTTCAGGCCACATCCTACGCCGATGCCAACACCGAGAATAGCTGATAGTGGGGGGATTAGCAAAGATAATACACAATATAACGGCTTCTATATGATATAACGCACCATGCGAGTTATCATCACACCCAACAAGCTTAGTCAAGCTTTAGAAAGTATACATCAGTATCTTGGAAAACAGAAGGAGAGGCCATACGCACCAACGACCCGACTCAGCTGTCACAGGGACACACCCTAGTCCAATCACGGTGTCGGGAGTAGGTGCCGTGATATTTGCGAGAAACAATTGGAGTGCAACGAGTGGGTCGCTGGCAGGCGCGACGGTAACACAACACGACACCGCGGCGGCACCATTGCATAATGCCTGGCTCGGCTGGACAATGAGGAGCAGTACCAGGGCGACGATTGGAGCGAAAAGCAGCTGCATCCTGGTGCGTGAATCCTGGGCAATCGGGGATCAGACTGAGCTTTTAAATACTTTGGAGTCCTCAGACATTCCCAGACTAAATATCCTGGAAAGACTTATCGAAGCAACCGGGTGACATGGCAAGGTACATTAATTGCCTCGTGGGCTAGACGGGACCAGTCTCGGCGTTCTGAACTTCTTAGTGCATGCTCTAAGGTGGGGACGTGGCATTCAGTGCAACACAAGACATGAAGAATTTCAAACGGAACGTGTGCGGCTGCCTTAAAGTGGGTCAAATTCGACAGAATCTCTGGAGAGCGCCGTTATTTTTTCGAAGTCCACAAGGACGCAACGTCCTGTTTCAACCTATGTTAGGATCGACAAAGGCAAGACTGCACTTAATTGGCTCACCACATTTCTTCTTTCCCATGCTGTCAGTTGTTCCTCGGATTCTCGGTGGCTGAAAGTGGCTAAATCGAAAGGTGGAAAATCAAAACGGTCTCATGATCACGATCACGGAGATTCAAAGATATGCAGAGCAAGGGGTGCGACGATACATGACATATTACCTGGGAACACGACATAAAAGAACATAAAAAAACAAGACAACTAGAAATCCGCACATATAAAAGGAAAGAAAAAAAGAAAATCAAGATCCATCGATAGGCACGGCATTCATCTTAGGAGCGTTCGTCAGATTAGCTGAGTGTTTGTCTTGTAGACGAGGCGGAAGAGATGAAGGATGCGGCACCTGCGGTGGCGGGAACATGGTCAGTGGTGATGATGTCCGAGGAGTCATTGACGAAGCATTGAGTGGTGGTGGTAGAGGAGGCACTGCTGAACCTGCCGCGTGCTCTCGTATTAGTGGAGACCGAGTCATGGGTGGTGGTGGGGTCTGTCTATGAGCCTTGAGCTTCGGACTACTACTCGAGAGTGGCTGATTGATTGCGGGAGGTTGTGATAATGGCTGTGATGCCCGGATAGGAGAACGAGGAGCTCGATTCGAGTTGGATGGACTGAGTGGAGGCAATCTCATCCCATTACTTCTTGATGGAGAAAGTATGACAGGCGTGCGTGACTGTGGCAATGTCGGAGATCCCTGGCGTCGCCCGATCTGACTTCCAGAAGCAGAATGACGATGAGACGAGTTTGTTGGTGGATGCCCAGGAGGTGAAGGCCTTAACGAAACAGGCGAAGGTGGACGAGGAGCACCTTCATCAACACCACTCCATGAACTTCTTCTCGATGGCACAAGAGATCCCGACGGATTTGAAGGCCCTGGTCCTGCCATAATCCGGGGTGAAGGTGGGACGCTTGATTGCATTGCTTGAGAAGGCGTCATAACGAACGGTCCGCCCGATCGTTCATGAGGCCCTACTGGTGGTGGTCCCAAAGGTTGTCTACCTCGATCTCGACTCGGATCTGACGATGGCGGTCTTTCGTCACCCTTCCAGTAACCCTGTGCCGGAGATGCTAGCATATGCTTTGAGTTAGAGGAAGCTAGATCGATCACTTCCGTAGGTGCACCGGAATGCGGTCTACGTAATTCCAGTTCACGCTGTGTCCGAGGACTCAAGTTCCCGGGTAAACCTCCATTGCCATTCATAGCAGGCATGCCACCGGGGCCGTTAGGGCCGTTCGGAAAATGGTGGTGTATGACATGGTGGCGATGTCCATGATGGTCACGGTGATTATGTTGGTGATGTTGGTGGGCTGAGCTGTGGAGAATAGGTTGCCGATTTCCTGCAGGATGGATAAGTTGGAGAGGATGTGAATGAGATCCTTGACGCTGTAATGCATGTATATGATGAGATCGATCGAGTTCCATTTCGAGTTCGAGTTCCCGTTCCCGCTCCCGCTCACGTTCTCTTTCTCTTTCGCGATCTCGCTCAGTCCTTTCTCGTGTCGAAGATTTCATACCGTCCGGTATACGTTCACGGTCCATCTCTCGCTCCAGCATGTCGTGATGACTCCCATTCATCCGTTTTGGCTCTCGTTCATTTCCAGGCATTGAAGAAGGGCCCGGCCCACTAATATTCATCCATCCATGGGGTTTGGGACCATTGCTTGAAGAAGAACCGCCATGTATGGGCGGGGCTTGACCATTAGAGAAGGACTGAACAGGAACGGGAGATATAGATCGTCTCATGAGGTTCACTTGCATGGCCCCAGGTGGATATGACTGCATATGATTCGACAAGCCTGCGCTAGACGGCGGACGACCCATTGCTACCATCTCCGCATCAACCATAGAGTGTGATGGATGTGGATTCTGCATACGAGGACCGGGCCCTGGGCCCATATCAGAACCCATAAAGCCTGGCGGTCCTTGCAGATGCTGTAAAGGTTGTGGCGGCGGTGGGGGGAAGCGGCTATGTCCGTCTACCATCATGTTGAATGGGTCAAAAGGAGGGAGACCGGGCGCGGGGCCTCCGTACATGGCATTTGGAGGAATCATGCCTGGACGAGGGAGGTCATAGGCGGCAGCTTGACGACGGTGGTGGAAAAGTGTTTCAAGATCGCTCATAATGTCAATAGGCGAGAGAGTGGTGAGCTGAGGGTAAACCAATGGTGCTCGTTGTGACGAAGGCTTCTTCCCAGGAGCATGTATGTTATCTCTAAATGATGTAGGGTCGTAAGGGTATGCCTTGACGACGTCGCGAAGTGACTGGGACGGGGACACAATATGAGGGGCGCCAGGTATACGACGAGCTGCAAGATGTCGTTTAGTCAACAGCAAATAAAGAACCGCCACTAACTCACCTGGCTGAGGCCGATCTAAAGCACGTCGCTCTCTGTCTAGCTTCCTCTTCTTGCGATTAGTCTCAGCAAGCAATTCGTCCTGCAACCCATCTCGCTGACTCTGTTGCACGTTAGCAAACCACCAAAACCCAATGAACAAGAAATCATACCTGCCACCAACTCCATACACCCTCCTCGTCCAGTTTCCGGCGTTTGCTAACATTAGACACCTCGTAATCGCGCCTCCGGGATGCCAACTCTAATCGCTTGTCCCTCCGCATTGACAGCTCAGTTTGCAAATGGTGCATTTCCGGATGCGTACCTACCGCAAAAATGAGTTACGGGTATATGCGCATACAAACGCGCGAACTTACCCTCTGCAACCAATGCGTCCTCCCAAGCCAGGCCTTCCATCTTCTCCACGTATATGCGTTCTCTGAGCTGAGCAAATTTCAACTCAATCTGAGCCAAAACATCCAACGCCTCAGCTCTGTGCACCGGAAGCAGGTCAGACTCCATCTCCATTTCCGGAGAATCCAAGTCCATATCGTCGTCTGCAGCATCGTGGTCTTCTGCATCGGCAACAGCTTGCTCTGCCTCCGCCTCATGGTCAGAAGGCTCATGCTTGGGCTTCCTCCTCCCCCGCGCCCGCACAGTACGCGCAGCTCTGGCGGGTTTGCCTCTACGAACTGCTGGTTTAGGCTCCACTTCATGATCTGAGGTAGGTTCTGGCGTCGGCGTGCGAGATGGAAAAGGTGATATATGTGGGGTGCCAGAAGCAGAAGACGAAGATGGTGAGGGTGGAACGGACACGATCACTTGCGAGCCTGCCATGATAGATGACGGTGCGGGTGCAGCTGGAGCGACGACGGGCGCGACCACCGGTGTCGGGGCTTTGACAATAAGGGCTGTTGAGGTAGCGTCTGGTTCGGATGGCGCGGGAACTGGCGGTGTTGTTGATTGGGGTGGGTAATCTTCAGTTTCGTCTGGAACGGGACTTGGCGAAGGGAACTCGACTTCACCGGTGCTGGCACCCGGATGTATCCCATCGTCGACATCGTCCTCGCTGGCTTCAGGCGACGCATCGTCATCAGCAGCTGGTGGTAGTGGCGCGTCTTCGGCTTCGTCTACGGGCCCGTCTGCAGGTTCATTGTCGTCCTCCTCTGATAGAACGTCGTCCTCGTCCTCGTCTTCTACATGTCGTGCAGGTGTATTATCTACATCCTTTTGCGGCACAACGTCGTCGTCTTCGAGTATGTCCTCCTCAGCTTTGGCGTTGCTCACAGGATCGTCTACTGGCACAGGTGATGGGATGTCAATATCGTCATCCTCTTCTTCCTCCATAGCCTTTGGCGGTCCAGCCTGCTCCTCTTCCTCCTCTTCTTCTACCGTCTTCGTTCTCCAGTCATCCTTTTTCGGTTTTGTCGCCCAACCCCACATGGGCTCGGGCACGATACCACCGCGTTTCTTTCTGCCGCCTCGTCGAGCGGGTCGAGGACGTACCTCGTCACTATCATCGTCATTCGTTTGGATATCCTTCTCCTGCTCGTCTTCCGTCAGATCGGAGAGTTCAGAGTCGGTGTCAAAGCCAGCTCCTGCGCCTCCGTTCGATGAAAGGTTGGTAGTTTCTGGCGGCGGTGGAGATGGGGAGGGTGAGCTCAGGGGCTCCAGAGAGACGGTCGAGCTGGGCATCGCATGCGACGGCGAGGACGTTGAGGACGACGTTGAGGACAGAGCTTAACAGGCCTGCATTGGATCTGCGGGAGTTTGTTGTTCTCAGGGCGTTTGCCGTGTTCGGGCCTTCTGACCTCATGGGCCGGTCCCTCCGCGATGCGCCGGCCGCTTCGGCTTCTCCCGTCCGCTATGGCTGATGTTCGCATTTGGAGAGCTTCATTAGCTCCCACTGCTGAATCCGTCGTCTTTTGCCATCATCTTCATCCTCCCGCAACGAAGACTCAATATCTTATTCTTATGCAGGAATGGCTCGCATGGACAGTCTCAACATTGACTGCCTAGAACTCATTTTCTCCTATCTATCTGGCAAAGACTTGGTTTGTATCTCGTTTGTCAGTCGTTCGTTTCTCACTGGAGTGATTCCGACGCTTTATCGCACGCTCGTATTCACTCCAGATCACGCTAAGCGGTATGCAAAGGTACATTCAGTATGGACGTGCTCCATCTAGTGCGTGTATGCTTAGTAGGTCCTTCAGATGATATCCTCCTTTGCTACGGTCTTGACACATCCGCATCTCGCGGTCCATATCCGTCATATTGGTCAGTACGTTAATTGTATGCGTGACATGCTGATGTTTTATTTTGAGAACCCCCAGACATCCGAGCGGCTCCGTCACTTGTCGGTGGAATTCACCCTCAGTTCGTAACAGACAGTCGGACCGTTATATCCTCTTGCGACAATTTGGTATCTTTTGTATGCATTCCGAATCTCCTTATGCACTATCTCTCCGATCTTGAATCTCGGAGTCAACTGCATACCATACGTGTAAGGGCGCAACTCCATGTAACAGAATCAGGACAATTGTTGCGTCTGAACCACCTGCGGACTATATGCTTGGATACCGCGACTTGGAATGTGGTTCACATGCTTCCGACTTGGACACAGTCTATAAAGTTGACACTCAGGACGTTAACACTCTATGTGAGGGGTTTTACATGTCCTTCCAGTAATGTTCCTGATGGCTACTATTACACAGGCTCTCAAAGACCTGAACGACACTATACTAGAGGCCGTACTGAAGGAACTGCCAGATCTCACCGCGCTTCATATCGTGTTCTGTCCGAAAATCGACTACGGTACAACACTGCGCCTCAGCAAACATACACCGGCATTGCGAAGTCTGGCTTTTTCATGCTGGGCAGTTACTTTTTCTTTATGGCCATTCAAATGGAATTGTTTATTCGATGTCACACAGACCACTCCTTGCATTGAGCCATCGGATTATGAGCCTTTACCGCACTTGCGTCATCTTGCTGTTGACATTCAGTGTGGCACTACATCGTACTTCGATGGCACGTCATACGCCTCGATCTTTACTTTGACTCGGTCCTGGGGTTGCACGCTCCATGCAATCACTGTCAAGCTCTCTACGTCGTTAGCAGTCGGGGACAGTTTCATGAAAGCACTTCTTCGTGGACATGGATCAAATCTGGCACATCTGTCGCTCATCAACTGCATGTTACTCGATGATCATTTCCGACGGATCGTGCACCGCTGTAAAAGAATTGAACGACTTTCGGTCATCATACCACATAAAAATATCGCAAGTTCTCTTATTCGCTCCGCATTTAATCGATGTTCCGCTAATCGAACTACATTGTAGTCCACATTTGCAGCAAACCTTTCCCGTTCCTCGACTATCCATACGCTACAAGATGTGAACGGTGCGTTGCCCACGCTGTCCAAGGATAGTGTCCGGGCGATTATGGTAGCTGTAACCAGTTTGACGAAGGTAGTCACGCCCGACCGAATCTGGACAGTGAGTTTATTTCGTCCGAAAGGTGTTGTATGCAATGCTAAATATGTGTATGCAGAATGACGGACCCATCAGTCTAGCTAACAGTCACTTCCAATTGATACCCGAGAAGAGGCGTAATTCACGTCCCAACCATTGGTTTGTTCCACCCACCTAACTGTCTTATCATAGCAAGAACTGGAAGTCCAGACGGCGAATTGCGATGGATCGCAGGCTGTTATGCCAACCTGTTTCTTGTAATGAAGTCACAAGAAAGGGTGTCAGGTGAGCATACCGAAATGTCCAAGACGAAACATGTAGTAGTAGTACCAGATCTAGAGTAGGAGGGGGGGTATACATCTACAAGTATCATATAAAGAACTAATGGAATATAAGCAAAACAGAGACATTCAATCGTCCAAATCTTCAACACATATGTTACTCCCACCTCGCCGCCCGCGGTGCCTTCACACAGCATACAACACAATACCTCCAATCTCACCCAACTCCGTATGCTTCTTCGAGTTTCCTTTCTTCTTCTTCACACTCAAATGCGGCATCGAATGATTCCTACGTTTCTCATCATCATCATCCCCATGCCCACTCCCCGAACTTCTCAAACTCGTACTCCTCTGCATTCTTGGTGCCATTATCCGCGAATTTTCCTTCCCTTCTCCCTGATAGAGCTGATGCAAGGTTCCCAATTGTACGGTCTCAAACCGTCTTAAGTTTTGGAACCGAGAACCTGTTACGGTCTTGACGTGGAAATCGGGGTGATGTGCGATCTCCTGGATCTTGCCATCGAGGAAGTGATCTACGAGGTGGACAAGAATGGAGATGACTCTGTCGGCGTCCAGACGAAGACCGGTGAGGCTGTTGATGTAGTCCGGGAGGATGAGGAAAACGTCACTGAAGGAAGGATGAGTCGCGCCAGCTTCAACAATTAACGTGACATCAGAGATTCGAACACAAGTCAAAGGGAAAAAGAAGACATACGGATGAAGAACGTCGTAGGCGACTGGATATTCGGCAGCATGTCGTGGAACAGGTCAAACTCCCTTCCTACGGCAAACTCTTCGGAGTTCACGCACAGGAAGGGCACATCAATGTTGCCTGTCCAAGGATGTAAACGTTGTACGGCAGGGTCAAAAACCATTACCCTGCTGAAACGAAATCGCCGATCAGACGCAGCTGCAATCTATAACATTACAGTCAGTATTCTCTGCTTTGTGCAGGGCTGGAGACTGGGATTACTCACTCCTAATGATCCGCCAAACGAGTGACCTGTCATGATAGGATATCTGACGTTCACATCTGTCCATCTTGCCCAATCGAACGTCGTCTGAGCTTCGGTCAGCTGCGTCTGACTTACAGGCTGACCACTGGTGATTCCCTTCAGAGCGTTCAAGACCGCCTCAACTTCGGCTAGGCGGACTTGGAGTTGGACGTGTCGAAGTGTAGTGTCGTCTTGTGGTTGTTCTTGGCCCGGCCAACTAGTAAGATTACAAATATTAGCGCGTTCGAGTCTTTAAAAAAAATGAAAGAACATACTGAAGGTCTTTCCAATCTAGCCAATCAAGAATCTTCATATCTCCCTCAGCATTCGTAATTCGAGAACTGGGGCCCGTGCCGTCTCGATGTTCGATAGCGGCCACAACGTATCCGCGTGAAGCCATTTCTCCGCAAAACGCGGACTACGCAAGCCAAATCAGACCAAGAAGCCAAGAGGAGCACGCGAGAAGACAAGAACACTTACATACATGAGTCGCGAACAGCCTACTCCATGACTAAACAGCATGAGAGGCCACTTCGTGTAGGCAGGAGCTTCTTTTAGTGGAGCATTTTCGACTGCTGGGAACGTCGTTCCATAGATAGCAGCAGCCGCAGCAGGATCTGCATGGGATGGTATCAATACAAGGTGGAAACCGTGACATAGAGAGGTAGAAGACTTACAGACCACCGTTCGATACATCCAGTTGGGTGTTCGGTTGGCCATCTTGAGGAAACCGTCTATAGTTTGTCGCAACCTAGTAGACAAACTATATTCGCAATCATGTTCCCAAGAAATAGCATATGTCACTCAGTAACGCTTTTGCATGAAGCCACCTCGCAAGAAGAGGGAAGATGACAGCACAAAATGAACAGCGGGACTGTCACCCACGCATCAACTCGCGAGGCATGCAGCGCACAAAAGGGTGACTGCTAGTCCTAGAGGGTTGACTTCACGTACCTTGGGAACCAGACTACACGCTGATTTGTATCGGTACATTCCGCAGGGTAGAATAACGTGAAAAGCACAGTATCGATAGTCAAACCGGCATCGCGATCAGGCATAGACTTGTGTTCAAAGTGACCAAAGCACTGCCTTGGAATGGGAACCTCGACATCGCAAACTCCGACTTGGTAAGGACCGCTGTACGCAGGTAACGTCCTGTTTAGGAGAGCCCCAAATGGCGACCTCCTGTGCACCGTTTGAAGGACTTGTGGTACCTCTGGCGGTGGAGGTCTCGGTATGATGGTCATTGTGTGAGACAACCGCCTCGCCTTGCGTTCGTGGTGCTCTTCATCGAAACCATGAGATTCTGTGGAATGTCTAGAAAGTATGGAGATTCTTCTGAGAGGTTTTGAGGAGGTGCTCTTTCTGATGGGTATATCGTGGCCGGTCATAGTACTAGAGTGAGGAAGGACTCCGAGAGAGCAAAATCAAGCGGCGGATCGGGTTATTGCATATATAGCCATGCATGCAGTTACAGTGGCTGCGGTGGGCGGTGGTGCCATTAAAAGCAAGCTCTTTGCTATGACGTAATTGAGATCACTTCAGATCTCGTTTTGGCCCGGGTAGGTCTCTCAGTTCGTAGTGAGGTCTACACTTGGGTCTACAGGAGTCTCAAACTACTCGTAAGATTCTGGATAAATTAACCACGGAATTGCTTGAAATTTACACAACAGGTGGCAAAACATACAGTATATCGGAAATGTACTACGTGCATGCCAACCGAATCCACCCAGAAAAGTGCAGGCAAGTGCGTTTCATTGCATATATCACAGCTATTAGCGGAACATAAGTAGGCCAGCTTCAAATCTAAACTATTCCCAGCACACGAGTTTCAGTCTCCCAAGGCCGATTGCACTTTTCCCAGCCGGATACAACAGACCTTGGAGCGTTTGGTGGGGCGGGAGTGTTTGCAGCATCTCAGGCATTCTGATCCTGAGTGCCACCTTCAGTCGAGAGTGGATCTCTGAAGCCTCTAGTACGCTGTATATTTTGCTAATGGGGCGCATTACGAAACAGAAACAGATGGGATAACTGAATCGTATTAGCAGCTGCGAATTGAACAACTGCAAGTTTAGAAAGAGGCGTTGTCCGAAAAGGTATTGCGCATACAACTGTTCTGTTCGCTCGCATCCTCGCAGTTCGTGACGGGTAACTCTGGTAGTGCATATCATTGGGATTCCTCCAAGTTAGGCAAACGTGCTATGCACAGGATAGTACTACTGGAACAAGGCAGATATCTAACGACAGTGAGTGCGCTTGAAATTTCCGAACCTCTGCGGCCAAATTCAAAGATCCAAGTACTTTACAGTCACATCCTAAGAACCAAGATCTCAGCATGAAGCAGATAGTCACATATAGCAAATATTTGCAGAACGTACCTTTTCGAGTTAAGACTTCTTCCCACTGGCATCTCCTATGAAAGAAGAAGGCAGTTCCTCCTTGATACCCAATTCCACCCTCAGCACCGTAGAGTTGAACTCAGCAATGGTTAATCCCATAGGTTTAGTTATACGAGACTGCCATCCGTCAGGAATCCGTTCTTCCAAGAGGAATGGACGAAGGTCCTTGATGTCGCCACCAAAGATGGTCAACATAGTCGAAGAACTGCAGTCAAATCACATTAGCACAACGGACTATGAAACACGAAAAATAAGATGAGTTTACTTGGAGCTGCTGAACATTTTGTGGAGGAACGAAAGACTGTATTGATGATTAACCGCTTTAGCCTCCACTCTGCGTTTTCCAGAGAACCGAGAGAGATCTGCAGTAGTCAGGTTCCCGTTCGGACCTGTCCCGCTAGCGAGGAGTTCTTCAATGAGCTTGACTGCCGGTGTGCCCTGGTCCTTTGCAAATATACTATCGTGGCCTGAAAAGGACAGCGTAAGCACGTATTTTGTAATTGATATTACCCACTTACGGGTGAGCGAGGCATCGTGCTCAATGCCATTGTGGACGTCAATATCACTCAAGTCGAAACTGTCAGTCAAGTAATCGCGGTCAAGAACGCCTGCGATGTAGTTCGGCACGAAATAGCAGAACGTCGGTGCGAAGTTGTATGTCGTACGGATTGCGGTGCTGAGGTCCTTGAACTTGATCGCGCGACCTGAGTGAGGGAGGATGCCTACAGATACATCACAACGTCCGCGTCATGAGGTAAGATCGCCTACTATCACGTTCAGAAATACTCACCATGATTCGCCATAGCGTTCAAAGCAGGACAAGAGCACCTGCTATCGTCCTTTTGAGCAGGGGTGTAAGCAGGCCATAGCCCGTTCGCGCCTGGATATCCCTCGGGAGTGACACCATTCGCAGGCCTTTTAGGTGCTACCATGTTATAGAGTGCCAGCAACGTATCCCAAATAATTACGCCTGCATTGATAGCAACGCCCTTCAAGGTAGAAAACAAACCACTGAGAATGCGAATCGACGCAATGACAAAGAAGGAGTTCGACGACATGATAGCTGAAAGAAGGGGTTAGGTAGAGCAGACATCATGAGTCGAGATGTTTTTATAACGTTGCTGTTCAAAGATACGCGTGTCGAAGATTGAAGCAGGGAAGCCTGTCAAGAGACTGAAGAAGAATGTTGCCTACCTTTCTAAGTTCGAATGAGAGCGCCGGCCAAGATCTGAGACCTCAGTTTTATGTAACAGCCGCTGCAAAGATGGCATGCGACGAGAGCAGCCGATAACGATATTGAGAAAAACGACAAAGCAAGTAGCGGTAGCAGACCAAAACTATGACTGTTCCGCAATGACAACCTTCCTCTTCTCTGCAGTCGGTTTTGACTCTCCTGCACGCGTATGTTTCCGTCTGCGTTCTTCCTTGACTCGCTGAGCTTCCAACATTGTCCTTTTGAGTTGTCCGGCCTTGTGCACCGGTTTTGGTATATGTCTCGTCCTTGACAACGATGACAATTGTCTGTCAGCCACGATGTACACAGAAGCAAAGAGAGAAAGGAAATCAGACCTCGATATTTTGTTGACTTGGGCATCCGTCTTCCATTTCTGTTTGAGACTCTCGCGGTACTCGATAGCAGCACGTTCCCTCGAGTCGAGAATACCCAGCTTTTCATGTGCTCGGGCTTTCCAGATACGAATGTTGCCATCGTCTGATCCGCTGAGGACGTATTTTGCGTCGGAGGTGAACAACGTGCTCGTCACCCTAAAAAGAGCCAATTGGAATTAAACGATTGAATCGTCAAAAAAAGGAGGGAATACATACCGCTGCATACGTTTTGTATGATACACCTCCGGCGCAGTACCCCGCCCTTCTTGCCATATACGAACTGTCCGGTCCCAACCACCGCTGACAAATTGGTGTCCTGTTGGACTCCAGTCACAGCTCATAACAGCGGCTACGTGTGCCTTGTATATTTGTGAAGGTGTTTTGAGTGAACGAATGTCGAAAGTATACAGGTTGTGGTCTTCCGACGCGAGGAGAATAGTTGTAGGGAAGGTTGGTGACCACGACAGAGCGTTACTACGCATCTGATTGGGACGCAGTATACGTCAATACAAAAAATCACGATTAATGGTGATGTAGACAGTACCTGCATGACTATTCGTCGTTCGGCTTTACCTGTTCTTATGTCATATAAGGTGAATGTTCGATCCGATCCTATACTCGCAAGGACAGACGACTCTGAAAGGTTGAATTTTATGGCAGAGATAGTCTCTATAGAAGTGGGGAAGGACAGGTTCGAGATGGGTGCACTCCTACAGATTGTGCATCAACATCATTATCCAGAATATTCCGAAAGAAATACACACTTTGTTTCGTCCCATATCTGGACAATGTTTGAGGCGGTGGCGAATATTGGATCAGTTCGATGGTGGTCTATTGAGCTAAAGACGAAAGGCGTAAGATAATGAGAGCTACTAGTATTGATGGAATACACACTTGAAAGCACTCTTTCCCGGGAATACGTTCAGAGGTTTTCGCACCTAGGCCAGGGAAGTCAGTATCGTCAAGGAATTGAGAGCATTGGGACGCTCACGTCTGAAGGTCCTGCCCCATTCTCATCCACCTCCCTCGTGTCCCAGAGTTTCACGTTTCGGTCAACACCACACGTCAATAGCCTATCCTCATCTGCAAAGCACACCCCCGAGATCTTGCCCTTGTGTGCTTCGTCAACCCGAAGTATATGTCTTCGCAAAGAAATATCATGTACTATCATACCTGCACAGGACCATGTGAATACTCGGTCAGTATATTAACGGTGATTATAACATCTGGCATACCTCCATCCCAACTACCACTTGCAACAACGTTCAATGTACCGGGCTTGCGCGCCATAGTCTCCACAGCGTCAACATGTCCCTCTAAAGCAGCAATAAACGGTTTTGCAAATATGCGCTCCATCTTCACGGCATTCAATGCACGAGTACGTTCTCTTGCGCGAGCGAAAGGATGCATGAGGGGATCTAGGTTGCGAGAGGTGGGTGTGGGGTCTCCAGGTCGGGCGGGTAGGTGTGTTGAAGGTGCATGTTGGAGTACCGATATTTTCTTTTTGAGTCTAATTAGCATATGTTTCTCTTATGAGGGTAGCGGACTATTGAAGTGACATACCACCATCTCGTCCCTGGCAAGTAGAGAATACTTATGGGTTGGCTTGGTAGAAGGTTATGTAGTGGTTAGACTGGGAATTTAACAGTCCAAGAAGTATTCTGGTTCTCCTGTCTTCTTCTATGCTATGATATGTCCACAAGCAAGGTCTAACGAGAGATAGAACCCAATTGAAGCAGCAGTCAAAGAGTGAAATTTCTCAGAAAGGAAACGTGACAAAGACTCGAGAACGTGCATGTGACATTAGCCCATTTTAGGCAAGCGCGGGCAACCCTCACGGTCACGCTGTTAGACGCCCTATTACGGTTCGCGGTGGCCTTGGATTGACAGTTTGGACGTTGACCTGCTACCTCCATCACCCTCACCTCCCCATCGTCCTCTACTCAACAAACTACTCCGAACATGTCTGACTCCGAGGGAGACTTCTCCGATGAGCTCCTCGAGCTTGCTGGTGCCACTGAAAAGAAACGAAGAAAGCGCCAGGCTCAAACAAACTCTACTAAACGTCGCAAAGCCGAGTGAGCATGGATTGCCATATTCGCGAATTTTTTAGTACAGACGATGGTTAACGACGAAACTATTTCCCTCATCATAGTGTGTCTATGGGGTCGGATTCTGACAATGTCAATGAACCTGAAAGCGAGGAGGACGATGGAGAGTCGAATCCGTATCCCCTGGAGGGAAAATACACTGATGAGGCGGACAGGGAACGGTGCGCTTTCGTTGCATATACATTTCTTACCCAACTTCAACAATGAACTTTTCCCCAGGCTATTGGGCCTTTCCGAGATTGAACGAGAGGACATTCTCGCTCAACGTCAGGAAGAAATGCAGCGGATCAAGATGCGAAGTCAACTTGATCAAATGGTCAAGGACCAGAACGGTAGGAAGGATGACAACAATATTTCGAAGACTGCCAAACGTGCGTTCCCCGTCTATAATAGCTCTTACAGCTTCATCTCACGCTTGACATCTAGGACAACACACGCAAAGAGGTGCTACGAAGGAGAAAACTCGAAAGCTTGACGAGCTGAAAGCCAAACGGAAAGCCAAGGACGAGAGGAAACGAGTACGAATATACACTACCATATGGATCGAATGCTTGCTGATTGCAGTAGACCAAGACGGATTCCCCGAAGCGGGACCGCTCGTCCTCGCCCATGGATATGGAAACATCAGAAGAAGAGGACGAAGATGGCCAAGTCAGCAAACTCGAAGAGGAAGAGGAACGGCTTAACAAAATCTATGGCAAAGATTCGCCAGCCGAAGAGGAACCTATAGCCATCGAAGACTTGGAGAAAGTCAGAATATCACGAGATCACCTGGCGAAATATTGCCTTTCGCCGTGGTTCGAGGACTATGTCAAAGGTATGTATGCCAATGTCTTCAGTATACGAATCTGACGTTTCGCAGGCGCGTGGGTCCGATACCTTATTGGCATGGATGAGGCCCAACAGCCAATATATCGAGCGTGTGAGGTTGTCAGTACGTACCACTAAATCTTTTGTATATGTCAGGATGCACATCGCCATCCATCAGATCTCGGTGCAAACCTTGTCAAGCCGTATAAGATCAACGACCGTACTATCAATCAAGTATTGGAGTTGAAGCACGGCGCTGCCATCAAGACATGGGCGATGGACAAGGTCTCCAATTCTCCTTTCACCTCAGTACGTCTGCGGATAGCTTTGCACCCGTTTCCCTCACCCTTAATACTCGAATAGCGAGAGTTCGACCGATTAGTCCGAGTGTTTGACTCTGAGAAGATCAAACTCCCGTCAAAACGACAGATCGAGAAGAAGGCAGAGCAAATCCACAAGTTTGCTACTCAACCCATGACAGAGGTTTGCAAGAACCTTTTGGAATTGACTGATGCAGCTTTGGCTGAACCTCTCGTGTTCTTCACCAGAGCGATATCAATGCTATGCTCGCACGAAAGCATCAGCTACAGGCGAGCAAACTGACTGGTACCGCGCTTACCATGGAAAGATCCCGTCTGTCACAAGCTCGCACGTTGGCCCTTCGCCGTCATGATCAGGAAGAAGTGCAACAGATAGACGCCAAACTGGTTGAACTCAGTGAGCAGCAAGCGGATTCCAAGCCATCAAGAAAGCAAGAAGAATCAGTAGAGGATATCCTTGCCAAAGTCAATGAACGGAATCGTCGCGCTAACGCTGAAGCAATTCGCAAAGCGGAACTGAGGGAAACAGAGCGTAAACGAAGGGAACGGAAATTGGCTTTGGCTAATGGTTCTGCGACGCCTACTACTCCGAATGACCCCTCAGGAAGACTGAAGTCGACGTCCAAGTTCTTGAGTTCCAGGTTCGTATCTTGCTCGCTTTGTTATCTTGGTGCTCGTCTTGCTGTCAGATCGGTCTGTTGACCTTGCTTTTGATTTGCTCTATTCTCCCCACGCTCTTGCAGACCAGGAACACCGGGGATCGCAACGCCTGGTCCCACCGATATTGCTCGGTCCGTATCACCTCTACCAGCAGCTGCTACGACCATTTCCACCACCACCCCATCAAAACCCTCATCTGGGCTGAAGAGTAGCTTCGAAGCCTCGGTATTGGAGTCTGTAGATATCGACCTCGGTGATTTCTAGCGACTCGTTTGAGGCTTTTCGATTGAGGACGGGTGGATTCTATAATTATTTGTTTCGCATATTGTTTTGTAATAACACCATCTACACTACATACCATGGCAACCTCATTTGTATTCATCTCGCATCTTACACCAATAGACCATAGCGTGTAGACCATCGTGCTTGGTGTGAGACCTATTTTCGTATTCTTCACAGTACCGAATTTCGTAGGGACATCGAAGTTCAAATTTCAAAGGTCAAAGGGAGCAATTCAAATCATGATGATCCTAATTCGACGCCAAAGCGTTTGAGTTTCTCGTAATACTTTTGAACTCGACTTGCGACTTGTCTCGCCGTCCGTCTCCCATTCATGGCCCTCGAGATTTTCGCCCACCTAATGCATAGAGTGGTAAGCCATCACACGTTAACTGGTTTGAAAGACAACATCATGTACCTATTCTTCTCTCCATCTGGGATCTCCTCCAACAATCGCTCAAGCAGATGTTGCTCCGAGACTGACCATGCCTGCTTGTACGTCTCAGGGCGCGGTTTGCCCTTCTTGTCCAGAAGAAGTTCACTGGATGGTTTCGTGTCGGGCTCCTCAGCGTTAGTGAGTATATCTTCCGCTTCTTCAGTAACGACCTGTTTAGCCTTTCCTCGACTGGACTGGACTCTTGAAGTGGCTGCGGTAGCTGCAGCTTTCCTGCTTGGACGACGTTGTCTGCTTGATTTTGCCGTTGAAGATTCTGGTAGAGGCCACGACTTGTAGCCGAGAGAAGGCGAAGGTATAGATGTCGGTGGTGTATCCCCATCCATCATTGAAGAAGGTTCCGAACTAGACACAACTTCAGGAGACGTCTTGACATTCTGCCGACCAACGGCAAGGTTGTCGCCTCCCGAAATATCAACTTCACCGCTTTCGTCCACTTGGTCCATGCGAATGAAAACACCGGCTGAGGGTTTGCGAAGCCCAAGACCGCCAAACCCAGAGCCGCCATCGATTCTACGTTTCTTCAGGTCGCGTATTTTCTCGCGCTCCTGTAGTTTCTTGATTTCTTCTGGATCTGGGGGTTCATCCTCCGAGTCTGAGGATAGCACGGGGAGCGAGGCAATGACAGGGTCGATGATTAGGCGTTTCTGTTCCCGCACGTATCGTTGTAGGGGTGTAGGCGAGGCAAGAGGCATTTCTTTGGGTATATTGCGTTGATCATACGCTTGTCGAGCACATGAAGCGAGTGCCTTGAAGGGCGCCGGGTCTGAAAGACGAAATCAGGATATACACATATGCATTGAGAATGAACGATGTACCTTGCGAGGCGAAAATTGACCAATCGAAGTCGTCCGGCAGCAAAGGAACTATGTCGTCGATATTGTCGCTCAACTTCGATGCTGAAGCGTTGATCTGGGTCTCAGGTTAGGTTGTATCAACCGATAACTGAAGTAGTATAAACATACCTGGTCAACGAAGTGTGGGACCATGCCCATATTAGCAGGTTGTGAAGCAATCTCATGTCTGAGCTCCTTGAGTCTGTCTATGTCGGCCAATGTCTGTGCAAGCAAGGTCCTCTGTGACTGGACAAAAGTCGACAAAGCGTCCAGGCTGTAGCAATGTATTCCAGTCAATATCGTTGAAATGGATAACGGGGTGAGTACTTGCGTCTTGGTACGCTTTTCTTCCATCGAATTGCTGACATTGACAGTAAACGGAGAGGTGTGCTGGGGGGAAAATGTGTGAAGATGGGTATTTCAGAGCAGGCACTCTCGCGTTAACCAATATTTTCAGCCACACGTCCGGGCGGCAGTGCCGGAATGGCCGGCCGGAGTAACGGCCCACGTGTGAACACTTGCCAGGCATCCTTTCATGTTCAACTTCCAACACTTGGCAGGAGGATTAAACTTAGAGACGGTAGGGTAGTAATGCATTACAAGAGTATATCAACAGTAGATCCACAGGGTAAAAAGAACGTTCTATGTATTAGAAGAGCTAAAAAGTCAACTCTAACGACGCTGCCTTCCAACGATCTTGACAAAAGCAGCCTTGACAACATTGGCAGCTTTCTCGCAGTCCTTCTTGTTCAGTGCGGCACTGATGGCAAGACGGATGCTTGGCCGAATGTCGTTGAGCTCCTGGCCTCGGAGTCTCTTCGCGCGGGTGATCAATACGCCCTGTGCGAGTGCCTCCTCCACGACGTCTTGAAGCAATTTCTCCTCTAACTCCGCGTCGAACTGTGGGGCTTCCCGGGGTGTGGGGGAGAGAGGGTTCGAAGGTTTGCCCGAGGAAGAGGAAGACAAGGAAGGTGAGGGTGGTGGGACTCTCGGCGAAAGGTGCATTGGTGAAGGCAGCTTGACATGGAGGTGGATCGTGGCAGAAGCCGGGTGAGAAGGGATTGAAATGCAGTCCACCCTATCAAGTATCACACGGACAGCACGGATATTCTCTTGGAGGGTCGAGAGGATTGAGGGCGTGTTTCGGAGAATACTAATGCCTTCAGAAGCAGCTACAGTCAACAGCGCTGGCATAGCGGCGGAGAATACAAAGGATGTGCCGTTGATACGCTGAAGTGGGAATGTATGAATGAAGCGAAGCAGTGATAAGATAGAAAGCTATATACCTGGTGATTCACTACGATATTGGTGCCAGCACAGAAACCGCCGGCAGACGCAAGTCCGTTAGCGACAGAGCCAACAAGCATATCCACTTGATCGGCCTATAGGTGATAATCAGTAAATGCTCCATTAGAGCTATGCGATAAGGCAACATACAGGAACATTGTACAACTCAGTCAGTCCGCGACCGGTTCTGCCGACGCTACCAAACGATATGCTCTCGTCCAGAATCAAGCGATACTTGAATTTCAACTTCAACTCGATCTGCAATATGGTCAGTGCCATGGAATCCAGGCATGTTGAGTTCACATACCAGCTTGGGTAGATCGGACATGGCTCCATCATGGTCAAAGATACCTTCAGTGACAATGAACCGACGAGTGAGCGGACTACGCTTCTTTTGTCTTTCTTTCTCAATGGCCTCGAGTACTTGTTCCAAGCTGTTTAGATCATTGTGGTCGTACCAACGAACAGTACATCGTGAGATTTGAAGTCCTTTCTGGATGGAAAAATTGACCCCTCGGTCAGCGACGATGAGATCTCCACGTTTGCAGAACGCCGGAATGACAGACGAGATCGTGGAGAAAGCCTGCGAGTAGAGGATAGCAGATTCAGTGCCTAGGAAGTCCGCGATATCCTTTTCCAGTTGAATGTGTACATCTGACGGCGGTAATGAGGTTGCATGAGCGTAAGTATGAAGCAAGTCCTCTCACCCTGATTGCCGTAAAAACCTGGAGGACCACAGCTCCCTAGTCCATACTTGCGAAGTGTCTCAACACCGCTCTGCTTGATATCCTCGTTCCCGGCCAGTCCAGTGAAATTGTAGCTCGCAAGATTGAGTACCGTCTTTCCATTGGAAAGCTTTGGCTTAGGTCCAGTGGGGCCAACAATGACGGGAATTGAAGCAAGTTCTGCTTGCTCTTTGGGACTGAGTTCAGCAGCCAGAGGTTCAGGCGTCCATTCGTCAACGAGCTCGTCAATTTCCTTACAACAGCCATAAGTGGCATGTCACATAGAGCTTCTAGAAGATGACCGCACACCTTTTCGTCAAAACTGATGAAGTGTTTACCAGAGTTATCCGCGCGTGTTCGAGATTGCAACAGTGTCCTTATAGCAAAGATGATTAGGAAAACTTCCAGCAAGGTACGTCCAGGGTCATTCTGATGCGATGACTTGACATAGCGAGCGACGACAGAGGAACCAGGCAGCTTATAGAAGTTCGTTTCAAGCGTAGCATAAGAGTACGACAAGATCGTGAACAGCGGTTCCAAGCTGGACGTCGTCGCGCTCATCGTGGCAGTCGTCGTCGTCGTCAAGAGCGGAGAACTACGGACGCCAACTTCAGGTTCGTAAATGGGCGTTCAGTCGCCTTTGTGGGAATTGCCGAAGAGCTTGTGCCGCACGGACAGACGCAGGTCGGTTCAGTGTTCCAAACTCAACTTCAACATCGTCTTCAACGACGCCAACGTCGGGAGCCTTGCGCTCATCGACTTCAACAATGGCTTCCCCATCGCATAGGACGTCCGCCTCAGCCTCGGTAACGAACCTCGCACCTCCCGAAGGTTCACCGATCAACAAGCAAAGGAGAATGACCTCGCCTTCCCTACCACCACCTCCGTCCCCGCTTAACCTCGTTAGTATTCTATCATTCACTTATGTATTCACGTGTTGAATTAGTTTGTCTCAGCCCGAACCGGTGTACGGACACCGACGTCCGCCATCGCCGTTGCGCAATGGCTTTACTGCTGACCTTAATGATGAAGATGAGAGCGAGAGCGGCTCCGAGGAATCCATGAACGGGCACCAGTGGGGAGAACGACCTCAATCTCCTTCTGCGTCTGTGACGCAATTTGCTGCAAATATCGCTCAGAAAATGGGTTCCCTCATGAGCAATATGAGCCAACGTTCCCCGAATTATCTTCCTACTGACGAGGAACTTGAGGCTGAAGCTGAACGAGAACGCGAGAAAAGTCGTCGAGAGGCAGAGCGTATTCTAAGCCGGGAGGCCGAATCAAAACGGCTGGAACAACGCGTTCTGGCAATGCTCGATAGCCCCCATGGTTCGCCTGGGGCTTTACCGCCTCCCCCTCCAATCGGTGAGGCAAGATCCAGCACACCTCCTTCCCCGTCAAACTCGCAGAAGGAAAGCTGGTGGGCGGTCGCAAAGAGCAAGCTCACGCCTACGAAAGAACCTCTCACTCCTGCACAACAGATCATTCAGGAGGCTAAGCAGCGTGAGAAGGAAATCGAGAAAGAGAAGAGGGAACTAGAAAGAGAAAAGAAAGAACTTGAAAGGGAGATGAAGAAGAACGCAAGGAGACACGACAAGTCCAAGAGTGCTCAATGGCCATCGTCCCCGGAGGACAAGTTTCAAGACCCTGCATTCATACAGCTACACACGGCTGTACCTCATCCAAGACCTATCACCGGGTCTCCTGTTTCACCTAGTCCTGCTCGTATCCCTGTTCCCAGTACACCACCCAGTCTTCTACCTTCGCCTCTACGTGCGCCAACTTTAGGCTCTGCATCTCCTTCACGCCAATCAACGCCGTTGTATGCGGTGTTTAATTCGCAAGGCTCCCTCGACGTACCAGCTACATTGATCACGATCGCGCAACGCTTCGAGAAACTGGAGAAGTGGACCGTCAGTCACACTCGTGCTCTTGAGGAGCGCATGGACGATGTGGAACGCTGGCTGGTAGATAAAGAGGGCGAAAAGGACGGCAACCAGAAACCTGTCGAAGCACTGCGAACTGGTGATCTTCCTCCTGCTGATGTACTGAATGAGATTAGGGAAGAACTCGCTGAAGTCCAAGGACGTATAGGTGAACTAGGAAGGGAAATGGCTAAGATGGTCACAGCACCAGGAAACCTCTCCTCTGGACCATCACGCCACCCTGCGGGTCTTGGTAGGGCGCCCTCTGCGAGTTCGTCAATTGCCGTACGCTCTATATCTGCCAACCTTGGTTCGAACGCTCGAGGATCTACGCCTCCGAAAACAAAGGAACCAACTACATCGCCGACCACGTCGCCTCCCGTGAGGTCTGCTTCACGCACCAGATTACCTTACCCCACAGGTGACTATGCTACCCCTCCTGACTCAGTTATCCTCGGTCAGGGACCGTTCTCTCCTCCTCATTCGCCACCATCTTCTGCCTCGAAAGGCGCGAGAATGTCCATCTCTGGTCTGCCATATGGCGAAGATCCATCGTCTTCTACCTCGCCGTCGTCTGGTCTACCTATTCGTGTTGCAAGTCCCACGACACTTACTACTCCAACATCTACACAGAGACAGAGTAGTGTCAGCCCTACTCCCAGAAAGAGATATACTGTTGCACTTGGCGAGCCTATCATGAATGCACAGGAACGCAGTCGTGAGCGCAGCCAGCCTGGTGAACTGGCTACCGCCGTATTCTCTTCATCGCCGAAGTCATTGTCAATCTCAACTCATGAAATGGATGATGATGATAGTTACTATGCTATGACGAACGATGAGACGATTGGGAAAGCTGCGGCACGTCAAGCCGGCCTGAATATACCCAACAAGATGCAATCTCAAGAACGTCTTAATAGCGTTTCTCCATCGCTATCACCGAAGCCTATTCATAAACGTGTTCGACCACAATCTATGTACAACGGCTCTGCCTCCGCCCAGAATCTCGCCGCACCTTCACCCACTACACCCAAGCATTCCCGACTTCGCTCTCGTTCCACGGATAGATTCGGCTTGGGCATATTTGATACCGTTTCTTCGTCTTCATCCGGAAGGTTCGTCGATCCTCTTGTCATTCGCAAGCAGACGAAGGAGGCTCTTGCCAGCACAGCACCTGCGCCACCTAAAGTCCTACCCGGGAAACCGAAGGTGCCTGTAGGGCAGCTTGTAGCCTTCTTCGATCAGGAGAAGTAGCCGTCGGGTGCTTCTCCTTTGCTGCATCATGCTATTATCTATATCCCTTTTGCTTGAAATTTAGGACTCCTTCATGCATTCGTTTTCACTGTTGTAAGCTTTCTTCTTGTTCTTCGCACTATCTTATGCTTTACCGTTGCTTTCATGCCCATTTTATCGCGTGCTCTTCTCGCATTCGCGATCACCCCTACTGTATCCTTTGTAGTTCATGTTTGGCCTGGGATACCACACATGTCCTTAACGATTTTTCACGACCACTAATGACATTAAAGATCAAATTTAGACCTTTCCAATGACATATCCATCACGCGGTCTATTCTATGCCCGTCGCGCTTCTCTCTCTTTGAACATCTTCCACGTCAGAAAATACACATCCCAGATGAAGTCCATCATACTCCACATTGCATCATCTTCAACGCCAAGGGTGAACATGTTCTGGTAAACGCCCCATGTTTTGAAAGCGGACCATTCGAGTTCCTTCAGCGGGATCTTCAACGTATACGTAGCGTGTTGCCTGAGGCTTTCGTCCCTAGGTCCGTCGGTCCCATTCACAGGTAAATGTAAGCTTGAAGGTAGGATATTGCAGCTGAACTGCTTGAGGTTGCGAGTGTAGAAATATTGCAAGATGATCGGCAGCGTGTATGGCACGGGAACCGGCAAAGGGATGACAGGCAGTCGAAAGCCCGCGAGTCCTCCTTTGCCTCGACCAGGTCCGCGAAGGAAATCTATCTGTGACCGAGAATAAGTTGGAGGAATCGGCGGCAGATTAGCGCAGTATGCCGCGAGATAATACGCATGAATCGGAATGATGTCAACTTCGCGTCTATAACCAAGGTTCAATTGTAGACGATGCTGAATGGATTCTGGAACAGACGACCTAGAGTGATAGACGGCAAGGTAGTGAGTAGGTTTTGCCCAGAGATGCGGAACGTCGAGAACTAGTTCCATCTCGCGAGGGATCACTGCAAGTGGTGGTTCAGCGTAGAATCTGTGTTCTACATTCCACAGTCTGGGACACAGTAAAATAATCAATTCCAGATAGTACAGCTTGTCGGAAGCGAGAGAGAAAAAATTTACTCACGGTTGCTGGGAGAGACGTCCAGCAATCTCAAGGCGTGCATCCTTAATAGACGTCACGGCAAAGTCAGGTGCCATTGTCTTGAACAGTGTCGCGTCAAAGCTTTTCAACGGGCGCTGCAACTTCGGTCGCAAGTGCCTCTTCGTGCGACCTGTGGAAACGGAACCCTTCGATCGGTGATCACGGAGGGCAGGTCCCCTGAAGAAACGAGCAGGGAACGGTATCCGAGCTCGTCGTTTCGCAGACAGAAGAAGGGCCCTCGATTTCGCCAGTACTTTGGCTGGATCGGGCAGGCCGATGGCACGATATACTTTGAGATTTGCACCTAAGGAAGGGTTTTTGATCATAGCGAGGGTGGAAAGATGATATTGGTGAAGAGAACACAAACCCCTTGCTTTTAAGGTCCATGGAGGGCAAACGAAGAAGGACCTACAGAGCCTTGTATGAGGCTCTGTAGATCCTCGTTGTTAGGCTCGTTGCAAAAGTGGAGGAAACTGTACAAGATAGACCTAATGCAAGAAGAATGCAGGTTTTTCCATGAGATGTCCTTGACGAGGCCGCAGAACAACGAACATTGTTCTCGAGTGGCAACAACCTACAAACGTAACTCATGTACAACTCAGAATACAAGCTTGAAAAATATAGCAGGCTCATACTGATCAAGAAGTTCATTCTTGAAAAAGGAAACAGCAGACTCCGGCAGTAGCATGCCAGGCAGCAACTCGTTCAAAAAGGCTGTAGTTCTTGAGTTGGCCCATTTAGTAGCGACAACAGCCAAGTGTTCGATTGATCGAAGTTCGGCGTCTAATATATTTTGGCGTTGACGATATTTTGCTGTTCGACCGCTGCGTTCGACTCCCAACGCAAATACTTTGTCTCGTATCAAGAACAACATACTTTGCATCAATGGCAGAAGCAGGCCCATCTAAAGTGCCACAGAAAAAGCGAAAGCCGACGAAGCCTCAGGTCCGGTCATCCAAGGTCAAGAGAATCAGTCAGGTCAAGTCGATCGAAGCACTAGAACAAGCAGTGCAGCAGTATGTCAGTGATTGTTTCTCGACGACTGTTATGTAGTGCTCATAATTGACATAGTCTTTCCATGTAGGAGCCTGCGCCGGACCTGAAGGCATTCTCGGACCTCCCGATTTCAGAACTCACGAAGAAGGGTTTGAAGAAGGCTTTCTTCATGGATATGACCGATATTCAAGCGAAGAGTCTACCCTTCTCGCTGAAAGGCAAAGATGTTCTCGGTGCTGCACGCACCGGTAGTGGAAAGACCCTTGCGTTCCTCATACCGGTCTTGGAGATCCTGTACAGGAGGAAATGGGGACCTCAGGATGGACTCGGGGCTCTCATCATTTCACCTACCCGTGAACTCGTACGTCGCGGAAACTTTGGAACCCGAAATGTCTTAACTGATTCTACCATGGTTAGGCTGTCCAAATATTCGAAGTCCTGCGATCAATAGGAGGGTATCATGCATTTTCCGCAGGTCTTGTTATTGGTGGAAAGAACCTGAAAGATGAACGAGAACGTCTTTCAAGGATGAACATCCTCGTTGCAACGCCTGGCAGACTTCTGCAACATATGGACCAAACTATTGGTTTCGAATGCGACAATCTTCAAATGCTCGGTATGTTCATTCCCCTTCCAGCTCTTTTTGCGGCCTATTCACTCGTTGCGATCAGTTCTTGACGAAGCTGATCGGATCTTGGACATGGGTTTCCAAAAGACACTTTCCGCATTACTCTCTCACCTTCCAAAATCTCGACAAACTCTCCTGTTCTCCGCAACCCAGACCAAGTCCGTCTCTGACCTCGCGCGTCTTTCTCTTAAAGACCCCGTCCCTGTTGGCGTCAACCCTGAATCAGACTCACCAGACGACGCCCATATCGTTCCGAAAAGCCTTGAACAACATTATGTCGTCTGCGAATTGGACAAAAAACTCGATATCTTGTGGAGTTTCATCAAAAGTCATTTGCAGACAAAGACACTGGTGTTCATGTCAAGTTGTAAGCAGGTACGATTCGTGTTCGAGACCTTCTGTAAGATGCACCCGGGTATACCCCTACTACATCTCTACGGAAAACAAAAGCAAATGACCCGTCTTGCCACATTCCAACGCTTCACAACTATGAAACATGCCGTTCTCATTGCTACTGATATCGCCGCTCGTGGACTCGATTTCCCCGCTGTGGATTGGGTACTACAATTGGACGCGCCGGAAGATGTCGATACTTACATCCATCGGGTTGGAAGGACTGCGAGGTATGAGAGCGCTGGAAAGTCATTGTTGTTCTTGGTGCCGAGTGAGGAAGAGGGGATGACCCAGGCACTGGCGAAGAACAACATCACTGCGGAGAAGATCAAGATCAAGGCTAGCAAGACGCAGAGTATTGAGAATCAGTTACAGAAGTTGGCGTTCCAGGAACCTGAGATAAAGTATCTCGGTCAACGCGTAAGAATCCTTCTCATTTTAGTCGAGATTGCATGTCCTGATTTATGTCCCGTTCAGGCTTTCGTCTCGTACCTCCGCTCGATCCACCTCCAAAAAGACAAGGACATTTTCAAGCTTGATCAGCTGCCCATCGAGCGCTTCGCCGAATCATTAGGCCTACCTGGTGCTCCCAAAGTCAAGTTCCTCAGTAAGGAGATGGCGAAGCAGAAGAAAAACGCGTCTCGTGTCGTTACGAGTATACAGACGCCTCAGTCGAATGTCAAGAAAACGGTCATTGATAATGATCAGAGCAGTGATGAAGAGGATACCGAAGGTCTGTCGGATGATAGCTCTGGTGAGGAGGATAAGATCGAAAACCCGAAGGAAGGCAATCTCGAGAAGGTACGTTCATTGCTGATCATCGTTTCAGTGGTTGGTCCTTATGAAATTCGTTACAGCCTTCAAAAGTTCGTACGAAATACGACCGTATGTTCGAGCGCAAGAATCAAAATATTCTCTCCGAGCACTATACCAAACTCATCGATCATTCCGCTGACATCGGTCAAGGTGATGACGAAGACGACTTCATCACGCTCAAACGCGCCGATCACGAACTCAATGAGCTCGGATCCATTCTGGATTCGGAGCACCTCTCGAAACGAAAACAAAGGCTGGCCCTTTCCAAGAAGGCCATATCGAAAGGTGGACCAAAAGGTCATAAGTTAATATTCGACGAAGAGGGTAAGCCGCATGAGCTCTATGAGATGAAAGCCGTGGAAGAGGTGTTTAAGGACAACGAGCATGTGAAGGAAGCTGGGAAGAAGTTTGCTGAAAGTGAGAGGAGTAAGCTGAAGGAGTTAGATGTTATTGATAAGGAGGAGGCGAAGGAGAAGAAGAGGGAGAAAAAGAGGAAGCGCAAGGAACGCGAGCGCGAGGTATGCTTCTATTGCATTAATCTTGAATGTTTATTCGCTAACTTGACTAATCGCAGGCTGAAGGCGTTGATATGGGGCCTACGATCGTTCCGGTGGACGATGATGGATATATCTCTCCCGACTTCGACTTACCGTCAGGGTCTGAAGACGAGGATGAAGAGGCACCCCCTACGAAACGCCAGAAGGGCTTTGCTATGGAGAATGCACATCGGAATCACCGTCCTGCTGAACGAACGAGTCTCGAGGACGAAGAGGAACTTGCTTTACAACTGCTAGGAAGTCGTCGATAGCTTTTCACGTTCTGCCTACGCATCTCTCATAGCAATCCATCGTTTTCATGAGCAGGTCTTCCTCGTCTATCGAACAAAGTGTCGAACAATGTCTCTAGCTATGTGTCTCAAAGCATTCAGCATCAATTAGAAAGTACAATAATAAGTTACAGTCAACAAATACTATTCGTCATCGTCAGAAAAAACCACCGGTTTTCGTTTGGTAGCAGGTTTTTCGCGGCGAACGATGACGTCCTCATCAGAGGAAACCTCGATAGGTGATAATGAACGTGTAGGAAGAGCACTTGATGAACGCGACACTGGCTCTGAAAGAGGGGGCGAAGTGACAGGTTCCGATGTCTCTGGGCTTGAGTCTCTTCTTCGAGGTTTCGGGCGAGGACGTGGACGACCGTTTGGTTGTTCGGCTTGGGGAGACGCCTTGTCTTTCCAATTTGGCGGTCTTGGTGAAGCAAAGGCATCGAAGTGGTCATCATCGGAGGAGGAGTCCACAGCCAGAACGTCTCCAGAATTAATCTCAGCTGGGGGGCTGTCTGAGATCTCTGCTGCATTTGCTTTCTTACGTTTACGCTGGCCAGCACCGTTCTCCTGGTTCTTCTTTCGCCGCTTTTTGGTCCCGGTAGGCTTCATGGTGGCGATTTTTCCCGTGGCTGCTGCAGCTAGAGCAGTCCGTTCTCGCAACGCTTTCTCTTTCGCGAAGAAAGCCGCCATGTCCTCCTCATCCGCGTCACTATCCTCAATGAATTGAGCGGATTTGTACTTCTTCTCTTCTTTCTTCTTTTTCTCTTTCTTCTTTCTCTTCTTTGGTTCATCATCCTGCAAAGCCTCATCATCAGCAGAGTTAGAAGGTGAGCGACGTCGTCTGCGCCGCTTTCGCTTCTTCTGGAGTAGCTCAGACCCTTTCTTGCCGTCCAAATTGAGAGGATTTTCCAGGAATTGGTTGATAACGTTCAGACTGCGTTGCATTTCCGAGGGAGGGATCGCAGCCGGCACATACCATTCCAGCTCTTCAGCATCTGAGAAATTCGTGATGTTATTAGGGGCATTTCAAGTAGATCTTGGGGGTCGCTCATACCTTCGTCAAGTATGAAGAATTGAACGAGCCGGAACAAGAGCTTGAGGTGGGGATCTTTAGTCGCAGCGTTGGCCTGTTCATCGCTGATGTATGGAATCACTACGAGGAATCAGTATCGAAGGCACACCAACCATTCGCGTTGGAAAATACGCACTGTAGTCTGTGAACTTGTTGACGGCCTCGCTAGATGGACCCTGAGCAGTGGCCTTCTCCTTGATCTGTTCGTCTGTGAGACTTTCGATGTTATCTAAAGCATTGCTTTGTGAAGACGTCCCGTCGGTATCCTCGATGATACGTTGGCGTATACCAATGACCATAGTCAATATCTGCAATTCACAGGTCGGATTAGAGTTCACCTTCGAGTCATTAGAAGACTTCGTACCTGTTTAACCCAGTCGATGAGTGACATTTTGCCCTCTTCCTTCAGAACTGCAATTGCGATTGCAAGCTGTTCACTCCACTTGAAGCCTTTCTTGACTTGCACGTCGGGCGGGAATCGATTGTCCTCGGCAGCACGTCCTCTTCTCGATGGTTTTTCCTCGGGTTCCCAGCTGGAGAAATGCTTCCATTGACCACGGTTTTTGGGGAAGAATGCTTGTACAAGCAGGAACGAGTCTGGTTCGACTGCTTTGAAGAACTGTCTGAGAATAAAGTTGATCAGAGATACAAGATCTTTGTAGGGTTGTTCTTTAGGGAGGGATTTCTCGTTCGAGAGAATGGTCTTGAAGAGATCCAAGGTTGAAACCTGAATGCATATGAGAAGGTAGCTCAATGTGAATCCTGGTCACGGACTTACTTGGAAGAACAATCCTTCGGCTTTTGCCCTGACAGCCTGACGGTGAATCAAGTTGACAACCCGTCTCATGTTCTCAGAAGACGTGAACTCCTGATAACGAGAGAGGTAGGTGAGGAGAGTTTGCGCAACATCTGGATGCGCAAATCGCTGCAACAAAGATTGTCAGCTCAATGAAAGAGTGAATATAATGCTAGACACTCACCGCTTCGAATGAATCAAATGTAAACATTTGCTCGTGGATAATCTCCTCTTCTGAGTGCTCTTCCGGCTCTTCTTCCTCGACGTCAGGTACAGGCCCCGCTTCTGTATCATGATTTCTGCGAGCTGCAAACATGTATGAGCGCAAGCAAGGCATCCAATTAAAACTACATACGTCTTGCTTTCTTCTTCGTTTTCTTCCTGACGTACACTTCCCCGCTTCTCTTGGACCATTTCTCCAACATTTTCAATAGCGCATACGCCAAATGTACGCTGGAGTCAAGGTAAGTCAGACTCTGTGTACCCTCCTTATACGTCCGCATGCTCTCCAACGAAATGTCTAGGATCTCGCCATTGTAGACAATCTGTTGTTGAAGGACTTGCGCTGCTTCTGCCATAGAAGCATCGGCCGTACATGCCGCCATGGCATCGATGAGAAGAACAAGTTGCGTTAAACATTCAATGCCTGCTTGCAATTCCGTCCGGAGTTTAGGCTACGAGGAAACAACAGTTAGAAATGCTACAATCAAACGGATATGAATAGAAATTACTGACCTTATCCTCAACTGCTTCTCGCATTCGCCTCAGTACCCAAACGATCCAACTCCTATCAGTGACCTCTGCTACAAGGCCATATTCCCAGACTCGCTCTTTGTCGTGGGCTCGTTGACGTCCAAAGAATTCCAAAAACCACTTCGTCAGATACAACAAACGCAAGTTATCTTTCTCGGTGATTTTGGGACGCTCAGCTTTAATATCCTTTAGCAACGAGGACAAAAACGCTATGAATTCAATTCAGCAACGTACGTCGCAAGAAAAAAGCAGAACGTCGTACGATTGAAGCATGCCTCAAGGAATGATTTAGCAAGACCTTGTAATGTAATTCGTGCTTCGAGAGACAGGTTGTCCTCACGACCGAGTTCGTCGATCTTCTTATTCTTTTGAATCTTCGCGCGTTTCGCGGAAGACATGTCCAGGATACTACCAGCGTCACGGTGTATCGCTCGTTGACGATGAAGAACAAACGACTGAGACGATCCACTTGACTCCCCCGCACCAGGCGCGCCTGCGTCTTCAGCATTGTTTGCTTGCTTCTTGGGGTTGGACATGATCGCGATGGTGGTACCAAAACGCGAATGACGGGAGGAAGCATTGCGGGAAATATTACGCTTCCTCGAGTCTTCGACCGCGAGGAGACGTTGTAAGTCTTTGGCAGGTTGCTAGATCGAATGAGGTCAAGATCATAATAGATGATCTAGGAAATACGTACTTTGATCTGATCCATGACCAACGATGAAGGTTTCACTCCTCGAAACAGCAGGTAGAATATTTCCAGCACGAGTGTATTCCATGAGTTGAACATCGCATCACCCGGTGAGTTTGACGCGATAGTCAGGAGCAAATCTAGTGTGTTCGTCTCTGACAATGTCTTGATGAGACGCGTCTGCATAGATGAATACTCGGCCTGGTCTGCACTGAGGTGCATGTTTGCAGGAAGATCCTTGATAAACGCGAGGTTTCGGATTAGGTACAGGACGACGTTCATGACTTGTATGTCTCGATCTGTTCTCTCTTTCTTCGGGTCCTTCGCAAGGCAAGCTAGCATAATACCAAACAAGGCCTGCATGACACCTGGTTTCAAGAGTGCAGCCTTGTAAGCGAGATGAGACTGAAGAAGCTGAGTATAGTCGGTCTTCTCCTCCATCTCGTCTATCTCCTGCAGCTCCTCTGCTAAGTCAATCGGCCAGGTCATAGCAGTCATGAGGTCTGCGCACGCAATGGCACGCTTGTCCTCAAAATGACCATTACCTGCTGTCTCCAAAAGGATATGTATGAGATCGTTGGGCAAGAGCCGTGCTTCCCAGAAGATTCGCGCAACTGTACGTTCATCGTCGGTATCGTCCTTTCTCCAGAACTTCTTCAAGTCTTTCAGGCATCCATAACATTCGTCACCGAGCCTGTACACGCCTCCTTCGTCTCCTCCAAGCGCGTCGACCACTGAGCGAATGGCGGGTTCCAAGATTGCACGGCGAGCTGTATAATCGTTTTCTTCATCTCCAGAGGATACTTCGATAGCGTCCTCGCGATTCATTCCAAGGCTAGATCTAGCAGACAGGTCAATGAAACAGTCGGTGGAAGCCAGAAACTGGAAGTTATGATTGACACGCGTTACGCGTTCAACGCGAACGGTCACGACCACCGTCACATTGACGTTCCTCTGTGACAGACGCGAAAACATTTCTGCCTTCATCCCATAAATATCGATGCGAGCGTGAGCGCACACTGAACGCGTGAATCATTGACCAACTTTAGGTTTTCTCTGAAATGTCGCCGCTGTATTCTCGGACGTACACGCGAGCGGGGCATGCTGCGAGCGACACGCTGCTGATCACAGGTGCATCACCTGAACAGGCATAATTGCACCGCCTATTTGCAGCGCACTTCGTGTCGAAATATAGAAGTAGGTGCAGTTCAAACGATCACGAGCTCCTCAACTTGTGAGCCCGATGGTTCCAAGTGTGAGTAGCCAGAACTCCTATGGAGGTGCGTATAAATACAGACGATGATGACGGCTTTCCGACGCGGGTCTCAATCCTTTACAAAGCGAGCGGGCGTATATTGCGCAGGTTCAAGCGTGTCACCATGTTGAGGCTCACAGTAGTGTCGCTCATAATCTTGGTATCCATATACTTGCGCCCCGTCACGGCTAATGGCCCTATTCGCTTGCTATACCATAATGACTTGGATTGTACGTGTCAGGCCTTTTCTTTACAAGTTATTGTGCTCATGCATGTTGATTAGTGACTACCATCTCACGTCATCAAAGTGTTCTTCTGTTGCCGGCACAGAGACACTCTTCTGCATCATTGGCATGTGGAAACTTTCACGAAGAACTGCTTGATGTCAACCAGACGGTCTTAGTACAAGAGGTTGCTCCAGTGTTGCGCTCCGAAACATTTCAGCGATCATTTGACTCTCTCCAAAAATTCTGGATTGCATCTAGCGGTCGCACGTGTCAAGCCGTCGACGCCAACGGTCATATAATAATTGTCTCTTGTTTGAGGCAGTTGCCAGTTCTTTGTTCGCAGAGCGCTGCATATCTCGCTCCTCCACAATCTGAATTCCTCACGGTGGTATCTTCGCAGGACCTTCAGATTACTGGGTACGATTTTCTGCCCGTACTTCTTGATTTTATGAAGTTGACTTGTTTAGCAGATTCCGTGACTTACGTTCGTTCAGATTTCTCGGTATTCCTTACGCCGATAAGCCAGAACGTTTCACGTACTCTTCGAAGTTTACCGGTGGCAATTCTATCAATGCCACACAGTTCGGACCACCCTGCGTCCAGACTGGTAACCCACAGAGTAGCGAAGATTGTCTCTTTCTCAATGTCTTCACTCCCATTCTTCCCCAGGGCAATATTACGAAATCATTGCTAAAACCCGTCATGTTCTGGATTCATGGCGGCGCCTTCACAGGTGGTGAAGGCTCTGATCCGACATTCGATGGCGGTAGTCTCGTCTCTCGTGGGGACGTTGTAGTCGTCACCATCAATTATCGACTCTCCAGTTTAGGTTTCCTTGCCCTTAACGATGGCAAGACCAACGGTAACTTCGGTCTCGCCGACCAAATTACTGCACTTGACTGGGTTCGAGAACACATTAGTGCGTTTGGAGGAGATCCAGACCGGATTACAATCTTCGGTCAATCTGCTGGTGCTGCCTCCGTCCGTGCGTTGATGGCCTCGCCAAAGGCTATCGGGAAGTTTGCTGCTGCTATACCCATGAGCAACTTAGCTGGTTCGAATTTTGCGGCAACTTACTCGAACTATTTTACCATACCGGAGGAAGTCAGCCTTGCTGTTAACCCGATCTTGAATGAGACCGGCTGCGCCACCGCCAATGACCAATTGGCTTGCTTGAGGGCATTCGACGCGCACGCACTTGTCAATCTTCCGGACACAGCGAAGTATGTCTCTCCAACTTATCCAATTAAACCGATTTGATTTGAGCTGTATTAGATTCTTGGTTGTCGATGGGACATTTCTCACATCTTCTCAGCTTCCTTTAAATGGATCTGGGCCTGTAGCAAATGTTCATACCTTGATGGGGTTCATGCGTGATGATGGTGCGGCATTTATTGGTTTCCCCGTACGTGCATTCACAATGATCACCACGATGGCTCTAACACGAGGCTAAACAGACGACTGACAACGTTACTCAAGCATTGGCCGCCCAAGGCCTTCCCTTGTCCGCCGCGAACAATCCACTTTCCCCCGTTCCTACGGGTCCTGATGCGCTTGCCAACGCATTCAACGTGACAGCCAGAGTTACGACAGATGTCGAATTCAGATGCCTGGACCAGGCTACGGCCTTCTCTGGCGTGAAACATAACTTGTTCAAGAGCATTTGGTTTTACGAGTTCAACAGGAGTTATCAGACACCTGGGTTTGACCCAAACTTCCCTAATTGTGAAGCACCGATAGATGATACCCATCCACTTGGCGATACGACTAAGGAATACTACAAGTGCGTTCAATGCTCAGTATCAACTTTATATGTCATGTCATGACTGACTGAATCTTTCGTCAGGTGTCATTCCGGCGAGTTGTTCTACGTCTTCGGCAATCTACCCAGCACGACCGACCGACCATACCGCGATGATATCGACCTACCCTTCATGCAACAGATGGTGGATATCTGGACGTCCTTCTCGCGCACGTTCAACCCTAATCCCGACCTTGCGTTTCTCATTGCGAAAGGCTTCCGCGAGTCAGCAGCGCAGTTGGCGAGACAGAGCCGATGGAATCCGGTGACGGAATTCAATGTAAATTCGAAGCCGTTGAGACAGCTACAGTGGCCAAGCTTCATGACTAATTTCAAAGAGAAAGAGCAGTGTGAGTTTTTGGGTTTTCCTCCATCATTCTACGGGTAGAGTTGTTATCTAGCTATGTCAGCTAAATAATATGGACCCCAAATGAGGACGGTAGAGAGTTCTACCAGTGTTCCAAGAGGAGACATTGAAAAGTCGGGTCAAGAAAATACACAAACACATCAAGGCAGAATATAGTGACGAACCGAATCCATCGATCTGTAAACAATGTCCACCGTACTGGAAAATTCACATAGATAGAAAAGATCTGCATGGTGTATTGGTGAGACGTTTCACCTCCCGGCGGGCCATCGCCATTCTAGGGTCACCGCGTGTCCCACTGAGAGGCTGTAAGCTTGCCCGCTTTCGCAGTCCCATAGTGCGATGGTACCATCCATACCATCGTCACAAAGATTCGAACCGGTCCAAGTGCTGTTGTCGATAGTTGGCATTGAGATATCAGAATAATCGTGGAGGTCCCATACGCGTAGCACCACCTTCCTGCTAGTGGTCTGGTCATCGGGGTATGTGACTGTCCAAATGCTTTCATCATCCAGATACCCGTTCATGCCAGGATCGAATACGGCTATAGCGACATCCGAGGAGGAATATCCTTCTTGAGCTGAGCTCATATTCCCGAGCTCATCATGACGGGCCTGTTTCAACTCGCGGATACCCGTGTCAGATATTTCTATATAGGATTCTCCGTCCCAAATCTTGACAGAATCATCATATCCCAGGACGACCTGCTTCGCGTCCATGCATTGGTATACCCGATACCCATCTTTTCGACTCCGCCAAGTCGCGGCAGATGAGCGAGTGTGACTCCGCGTTGCATTTGGAAGGCATAGAGAAGAAGCGGAAGGAGTAGGGGTTGTCGTCGATATGTATCCCGATAAAGAAGGTTTTCCAGCAAGATGGGGCCAGGTCCGCGTATCGCTCGGTATCCAAAGCCGAAGTGTGTGCTCCAGAATCATCATCGCAAGTGTCAGTGAAGCCAAGGAAGACTCTTTATCGCCGATTGCAATAGTCAGGATTGTCGACAAGGACGCCTCCGCGTGTTTCTGGTTCCGCACATCGTGCATGGTACTTTGAAATTTCTCTGATTTGGTGTCCAAGGTATGGAGGGCTTCTGGTGAAATGATTTCCGTCTCGATGTCGGCAGCCAAAATTTCTTCTTGAGGAACAACTACTGAGCACGGTGGGGATGGTGGGCGGATGCCGAGAGTTTGGGCAAAGGCCTCGATGATTGGACGTTCAGAGGGATCGAAGCTAAGGCATGCTTCCACGGGTCCTTGCAGGTAAGGAGGAAGAACATTAATCATCGAATAAGGAGGCTTTCCGCGAGACATTGCCGCAGGCACCTGGCATTCTAGTAAAGAAGAATAAGGTTTCTCGCGAGTGAATATCTGGATATGCGTCATTCGGGATTGTCATCGAATATCGCAGCTGAGCAAACATACCTCCATGCACAAGCAACCGATGGCATACATGTCACTCGTATACATTGATTTGGAAAAATGAATGACAATCTCCGGTGCCAGCCATCTGGTAGCGCCATGAGTAGAGTCAGAGCGTTCAGAACTTAGGTCTAGAAGCCGAGATAATCCAAAGTCAGCAATCTGGATTGACAGGTTGCTGTCGATGAGTATATTGGCCTATGAAACTACCTGTGAGTGCTGTATTCAATCAAGCAGCACAACCAACTTGCGCACCCCGCGTAGATCACCATGAACAATTTCTTCTTGATGAAGGTACATCACACCCTTAATCGTTTCGATAATCTACAGCGCAATCGTATCAAAAATCAGACCGGTGGAGCGGGTCTCGTGGAAGAAACATACCCAGCGGTCGTATGGAATCTCTATCCCTTCTTCAGACAGACGTCGTATGCATCGCATAATATTTCCGCTCTCCATCCAAGGAGATACCATGCATAAGGATGACTTCACGGATACTGGATCAAGTCCCAGTAATGGCAGGATATGAAGATGACTAAGAGTTCGCCATATCAAAACTTCTTTGCAAAACACCTAGGATATCCAGATTTTGGTGAGAATGACGACATGACAACGATAAATTAAACGTACGGGATTGGTGGCTTGAATTGAACCGATTTCGCCGGAGGGAGATATTCTTCTGAGGCGCTTCAATGCGACTTTTTGCCCCAGATGCGACGCAGTATACACATCAGAATAGCCTCCTCCTGTATCAACTGGATCCATGCTGCGGGCCTTAACGCCCCTGATCAACAAGGGCGAAGGAAGGGAAGCTGACCCCTTGGACAAGCGAACTAGTAATCGTCGCAGCCTGATGCGATACCTGGGAAGGACCATATCGGTATCATAGGAGGGAGGAAGAGCAGCGGGATCATCAAACATCTTTGAAGGGATAAATCAGCATGAAAATTATGGAATGAACTAGAAACTCACCTGCAGCATCAAATTCAAGAGTTTATTGGCGGTATCACCACGCGCGGACAGTAGGTTGCGTTTCGCATTCTGATCTTGTAATGCAAAGACAATGAGATTGGAGAAGAAGCGGTTCTCAGGTGTTGTCTGTGTGGCATTGACTGTCAGGGTGTCGACGGCTGAGGGCGTTCGATATCGTTTGAAGATCCCTAAGCGATCCAACGCATCTTCATGTCTACCAAGAGGGCATGAATATGCTAATGCACAACGACCTTCAGTTCTTTGACTGCTATTCAGCCCCTGTCGGTCGTGTATATATGTCATGTGTCGTGCTTATGCTGGTAAGACCAAAACCTTCTTCAGTCGTAGAGAAATGAAGCAATTGAGCAAACTACTAACACGGCGAATGTACAGACTGTCGCAATACTCACTGGACCCGTTTTGACGGACAGCCTGCGTTGCACGGGCTGAGTAAAGGTCTAATGTATACTTGGAGACCACGACAGATCGTTATCAAAGCGATCTGTATTCTAAGACTATGAAAGGCTATAAATGGAATCTAGACAGAAGGCTGAAATGGATACAATCATGATTGTTGAAGGAGACCATAGGTCTCAAGGGTCGGTCCATGGTGATTACCGCGTGATGATTGGAAACAAGCTCCATGTACGGCTATGCGATGTTGTACTAGCAACAGAAAATCCAGCACTTTCCGTGTTTTTTTAATGTCGTGTTCTAGTCGATTCCGTAATACAGAACGAACGAATTGGATGAAGACATGGTCACGGTGGACTAACGAAAATACCGAAATTCAACACGATCGGTCACATCATGCTTGTGACTGGTCAGGAAATCAACGCTATTGCAATTGCAAGTTGAACGTTCAACGTTCAACCGTAGTGTTCGATGTTGAATTGAAAGTTTACCTTTGGACGTTCACAGAACAATGATATAAAACGTGGCGAACCCAAGATATATACATCTTCTGGCATGGCCTCTCGCAATGCAAGGTCCTCGTTGACAGAACACTGTTTCCCTGCATTTTACGCCTGCTATCTGCTGAAGAGCGTGCGGACTCCTCGGTCCACTGCGTATGCTGCATTGTCACTATCTAACAATTGATGTCTACGTTCTCACAAACTACTCACAGGACTTATATCGGAAGTACTCCAAGTCCTCCCAGACGTATTCGGTTAGCATGAATGATCTGCGGGTCACCATTCATCCTATATACTGTTGATACATTATACAGTCAACACAATGGCGAGATCACTCAAGGTGCATGGAAAACGAAGCATAATCGCCCTTGGGTAATGCAGATGATCGTGCATGGTTTCCCTTCCAAATTGGCGGCGTTGCAATTTGAATGGGCATGGCAACATCCTTATATCTCTCGTCATCTGAAAGATGGCGATGGGAAGGCAGTCTTTAGCCGAGACAGAAGAAATAAATATTTAAAGAACAATGTTCAGTAAGTTAATGACTATGCATCGTTGACAATCTAGATATCATTCTTCAACGTATTCAGGATTGCGTGTAGCATGGTCGCGTCGCATCCATATAACACTTGGCCTCTACACGTCAAACTCTTCACAGAGGAAGCTGCGAAAGCATGGTTTGAGGTCACAAAGGATTCCAATGTCTCCATTCCACTTGGCCTCAGCGTCAGTACAGAACTCGAAGGCGTACATGGCAGGAGTGGTAAGATCGGCTCAGGAAGAACTGATCCTATCAATGTGACCGACGGTATGACTCTCAAAATTTCTCAGCACCATTCAAGGGCCTAGGTACTGAAACTAAGCATCTTCTCAGAATCCTTCACCTCGGAGCACTTGAAAAAGGCTTCCAGTCGCGCCTTAGTCGGGGGTTCATTACGATGTTCGATCTGCGACAATCCTATTGATAGTTTCTCAGGAGTGCGTCGCATGATGGCTCCATGTGTAACGCCTCTGAATTGTATTGTATCTATGCTCGCAGGATCCCCTTAATCACGCGTTATGCCCTTCATCAGGATGTATGGCCGTCTCGCACCTTCGGTGTCTCGCCGACGACTTCCTGAAATCCTCAACATCCGCCATAGTCGACATTATTCCCAGGGGCGGTACCTGTCGAGAGTGCCATTCCTACGTGCTGTGGGGTGATGTTATTCGGGGGTGTTATCGTCGTGCGAAAGATGATGCTACTGCGGTTGAAGATCCTGATACCGAAGAAGAAAACGAGAGGCAGGACTTAATACACGAACATAGTGATGCGTCGAATGCGTCCGAGAGACACCTGATTGAAGGCACTGGTAAAACACCGAAGAAGAGGGCTAAACTCGCATCAGTATCTCCGGCCTTGGCTAGACCCTCCAAGACAGCGAAAACTAAGCCTACTGGTATGGTCTTTCTCAGTTTATCCTCTAGTCGGGCTCAATATTTCTGTCTTTAGTTAAGAAGCCTGCATTGAAGAAGAAACTATCTTCCGCTCCCATGGCAAGCGTACGTTTGTGTTCACGCTGTTGCACAGTCCTAACTTGTAGTTTTCGTCAGCGTGAACAATCGTCAGCTGGCGAAGAGTTCTTTAACTTGAATGCCATCAGCTCAGATGATGAATCCGACGGAGTACCGCTAGCACCTTCTGCGCCCAAGAATAGTTTGCAAGTACCCAGGGCAAAATCCAAAGGAAGCAGCCTATCAGTATGTCGATATCCTCCTTCGATCTCTTTCCTGGAAGTAATAATATGGCTTCCGTAGGATAAAGCACGAGGAAAACAACGACAGAAAAGTGACATACCTCGAGCTATCCCTTTGGTTGCTGCCCGACAAATGAATGCTGCGAAGCGAGGGTAAGTTCAGTCTACCTTGCGTCTGAAATATTTGCTTGATGTCTATTCATTACACAGTCACACATACCTTATGGACGTCCCAGGCGAAGTGGATTTCTTCGCTCTGGAAGACGGCATGAGGGATTCATCAAAGATCAGCCCAGATAGGGTGTTAATGCCTCCTGAAGATCCCGAAAATCCCGAGAAACCTGGTGACCTTGAAGCCGCATTATCCTCTCTGTCCATGTCATCCCCAGCTCCTTCCGACAAAGAAGACAACGATATCATCATCATCTCAGAATAGAACATTAACTGTTATATACTGGATGACCGGAATGCACAGTAGTTCACTCTCAGTAGATCTCTACAAATGGAATAATATGCTATAGATACAGATATACTGAAACCTCAACCACAGCCATGCTATGTAGATGTATGTGCACTTCAAGGGCGAGTTAGCGTCATGATCCATTGTCCGTGAAGGATGTCCAACCCAACAAAGTCCTCCAGGTGTTCCAAATTTCACATCGTGCGTTCAAGGTAGTAAAATTCACTACGGGCAGTACCGATGTGTGAACTTGTTTACTTGAGACAATGCTAGTGCCCAGTATACGGCACTGAAAGAGTGGTGGTTCCCGGCGAGTGAGAAGCAAGGCGACGGCATCGGCATAACAGCATGCTGCTGATTTTCTGTGGCACGATGTAAAATCAATAACGGGACGTGACTTTGTTTCCTCGAGGGCTCCGCACTCTCCTAACCAAACTAATCCTGCTGTGCCTCCCAGTCAGACCGTGAAATGTTCGCCACCAGGTTCCACGCAGAGAAGCAGGGATGACACGGCGGAATTGAGTTAATGCAAGCAGATTTCGAAGAGATGTGCTCGTTCGAAGATGGAGGTCATTTACGAAAGAACGTGCCTGCAAACGGCAGCAGACTTCGAGCGCGTTGCATCGTTAACCAGAAGTATGCAATAGGCGTTGGAAGTAACAACTCCCCAAGGAAGCCATCACCACACACGCTGGATTCAGCACTTGATCGACTGCACACCGCTCCCACACCTGCCTTACAGATGAAATATGTCTCGAATCAACGTGGCAGCTGATCGAGGGACCTGGGGAGACGATTGTGGTGCCGTCACGTCTACCCTTGACAGAGCGACTGAAGGAGCATTTGCAGTACCTTGAAGCTGGTAGGGAACATGTTGAAGTAGATCAACTATGGCGTCAATGTTGGGGCATTTAGACGACTTGAAGCTGATACAATCTGCAATATGCCGTCGCAGGAAGGCAGGAAGAGCTTTTAATGATGAATATGGTGGTTGGTGGTTGGACATTCCAGCGGACACCTGATATTCGCATTTTGTACAGAAGGGGATCTTGCGAGTAAATATCTGTGTGAGACGGAATGAGGGTGATGTGTAGAGATTGCGGAGAGCATGACAATACCTCTAAACATACGCAGCCAAATGCATACACTTCAGTGCGACTTGATGCCTTGGCTGAGTGCAGGACGATTTCCGGGGCGAACCACCTCACAGCACCGCTTTGGATAGAAACTTCTTTGGCAGAATCAGGGTCCAGCACACGAGATAGTCCAAAGTCAGCAATTTGGATTGATAGTTTATCATCTACGAGTATGTTTGCCTGTGAAGTTCATGAATGCCTGTCATGCCACACGTAGACAGAAACGTACCCCGCGTAAATCACCGTGAACAACATCTTCATGAAAGAGGTACTGCATGCCGGATGCAATCTCGTAAATCTGAGGAAGATCCAGTGAGAAGACTGCACTATCAGACATTGTCATATAAAATATACCCAGCGATAATAAGGAACTTTCTCCTTTTGCTTCAACAGATGAGAGATACATTGCATGACATTCCCATGTTTCATCCAAGGAGAAACCATACACAGCGATGACGCTACTGAGCGATGGTCGAGTCCCAACAGTGGTAGGAGATGACGATGGTGAAGGGTCCGCCAGATCAGAACTTCCTTGCAGAATAACTAAGATAACGATGGCGGCTAAGACTCCGCGGGACTGAATGTGTTGTTCACTTACAGGATAGGTGGGCTGAACAGGATGCAGGGAGCCGTCAGAAGAGATGATTCGGATACGCTTCACGGCAACTTTGGTGCCGAGATAACAGGCTGAAAAGACGTCAGAATAGCCACGTCTGTGTGTACTGGATCCGGACTGCGATCTTCGACGTCCTTGAGCAGGAGGGTAGAGGGAAGTAAAGCGGAAGCTTGAGATAACTTAATGAGTAGATGTCGAATCCTAGGGCAGTACTTTTCGGGGTCATCATCCCCATATGTGTCAAGCATCTGTGTAGCCATCGCAAAGTCGAAAGTGTCAAATTGGCAAACGGGGAACGCATACACAGAGGCGACCATAACGGACCTGGAGCATGTTATCCAAGAACCGGAGAGCAGAATCCCCACGCGCAGCAAGTAATCCGTCCCGTGCTTCCTTAGAGCTCAACGCGAGTGAAATTATGCTCGGGGGAGGGGAAGGGATCACAGCATTGACTGGCTCAATGTGGGAACGAGCAACACTGCTTTGTTTGAGTTTGTTTCGTTTGAATATAACGAAGAAACCAATCAGAGCTCCTTTCTTGTTAGGATTACCTGGCTGAGGACTCTTGACGCGTTGTCCAGTCACAGACATTGCAGACCGTACTCGGTCATGCAGTACAGCAGTTGGAGAGTGATCCTGGAATGGCGTTAAGACGTCAACTGGACTATTGATGTAAGTCGACCAATGACACTATCCTTTAAACGTATCAGTCACATTCCCACCAACCAAATCATTGGTTGTTGATGGAAGTATGGGATGCGCATGCTCAGACGGAGAGCCTGGTAATGGTATATTCAAATTGGTGTTTTAGTTCGAATGCATGTGGTTATTCATATGAGGGACCGTACCGGACAAAACTTTGAAATTGAGGTAGGCATTCGAATTTTGTGGGAAGTCGTGAGAAAACGCCACAGCGCGTACAAATTCGTCTGCAATGTTTGAACATTTATTAGGCGCCTGTCGGGCGTCGCGCCGAGAGGGCAAGAAAATAAGAAAAATAATGCTATAAGGAGGGACTGAACCGGCAGGCTCAACGACAACCATAAAGATAGGCATTCGATGATGCATTCTTACAGCTAGACTACACGAGCTCTAAGCAGTAGCGTTATCGTCAACCATACATCAAATTTATGTCTTGCTAGGCAGCCATCCTTCCTATTCCTAGGCGTCTGGCAAGCTATCTCGGTTCCTCTCGGCCGGCATAAAACATTTCCCAAAATAGACCATGCAGCTGAAAGCAGAGAGGTGTTATTCTGTGGGTGCTTGCAGGCCTGTTTGAGCCTCGCTGAGACTGCGATTGTGCACTTCATTGCCATGAGCCTTTGTTTACTGAGGTGAGACAGCCAGATAAGGCAATGCAAGATTGACTTCCGCTCGGCAAAGAGCCTGCCGACCGTGACGCCCGCCAAAAAATTGATAGACGCCCTAAATTCAAAAGTTCCCTCAATTTGTACGCACTGACACAATTTCTCACGACCCCAAACCACATTTCCACACCTTCAGTAAATTCATAATATTGTCCGGCCAGGCCCGTCATATATTCAGAGGTATAGGATTTGAACACTAGCTCGGCAGTGAGATCTATGGAGTCAAATGAGGGAACATTGACCAATCAATTATCAACGCTTGGAAGAATATTGCGAGCGCGACAAGTCAGCGGCGCCAATTCTCAACCTCATCTACATTGAAATGCCTCCGTAGAAGCACCAACTCATTCTTGCACCTTCAAGATACCTTAATCGCGCAGAGGAAGTCAATTTACCCGTAACTCTCCCAACAATCCTTGTAAGAAGTGTGGCTGAGGTCGTGGTAGGAGCTGGAAAATTATTGCAACTCCCGACACGCGATCAGTACTTTCTAAGGTTGCAACACTGAGTCATTTCATCTGGCTTTACAGGCGAACAACAGCTCAAACCTGTATACTGCATTCTAGGTAGGACTATACGAGCTGAATAATACACTATACATACATATTTAGGTTCATAACCATACTACAAACCCAACCAAGCCCCAAATGAGACGGGACGAAGAAGCAAGCGCAAGAACGAAATAATAGTCACAAGAAAAAAAAAACCTCCCCGTACACACACTGGTACTAGTCATCGTCAAGATCCATCGCCCCAGAAAGACGTCCAGCTGTCTTCAGGGGCGACTTGCTCAAAGACGGTCCACCCAATGAGGGCCTACCTGAAGAAGCCCTAGCAGCCTTCACATGGCTTCGACGTCTCGCATATTCACTTTGCCTCGCTTTCTTCTTCGCACTCATCACGACATCTCCACCAGATGCGGTTCTGTTATTTTTGACCACACCCAAGGATCTTCGAGCCGCACCCATACTAGAACGATTACGGGGGCCACCGATTTCAGCAGTAGATCCGCTACTGCCTGATGTCGCAGCACGTTGAGCACCCAACTTGGCAATGACGCGAGATCGAGAGATACGAGGTCGTCGACCAGCTAGCGATGGAGGTTTAGGAGGTACGCCCGGACGATTCGATCCTGCGGTGGCGTTGTTCATGATAGTGGTAGCTGCTGCTGCTAGGGACGTGTTGTGCGCCGGGGTAGGTGGGGAGGTGGGACTGCCAAAGTCAGCGGGCAATGGCTTGCTAAAGATCTTTGTAGGCTTGGGGGACTTCTGCGGTGTATTGAGGATAGACTGTAGAGTCCTTGGGGAAGATGCCGCGTTAATACTGGTGGCAGCGTTGGATCCCCTCATCTTAGCCAAGGAGCTTGCCGTCGGTGCCATCAGGCTTGAGGAAGGTCGTCTTGGGATCCCCCCGGGGGAAATGATCTTGCTGCCTACGCTTGTATTGCTATCTTTTCGAGCGTGGGTGACTGAACTAGATGAAGCACCTGTGGCGAGACTACGTTTAGCTCCCATTGAAGATGCGCCACCATTGGCTGTGGAGGCGAGGCTTGTCCTAGTCCCCATAGAGGAACCCATGACTGAGGTTCTCTTCGAAGCGACGCTCGGTTGGGCAATACCACTTGTTCTGGAAGGTGCAGTGCCTCCCGTTTTCGGAGGCACGTTGAACGAGGGGATGGGTGATCGTGACCGAGAGGCAGTCAGCGTACTTGTCGATCTGGCTGTCTTCGGCGCAAGATGTGAGTTATTTGATGCCCCACTGCTTGAACGGATGCCAGAGGTAGCGGTCGTGCTCCTCATGCTAGGATGTCCGAGTCCCACAGAAGGTGCTTTCGCAACAGGCGCGGTAGATGGAGCTGCCTTAACTGGAGCACTAGGCTTCGGTACCGGGATGTTGGAAGGTGGAGCAACTGGTTTGCTACTACCAGCTCCCATATTCCATACGTTACGGACCAAAGTCTTTGCGGAGGACAGGAACCCGAATCGTGATGGCTTCGCTTTCGCTGAACGTTCCTGTCAGATTTAATTTCTGTCGAAATGGACGGCGACTTACGTGCTGATGCTTTGCCGAGGCTTGGTCGTCCCCTACTACTTCGTCTTCTGGCCTTGATACCATCAAGTCTCTTCTTCATGGCTTCGTGGTCCCTCGACTTTCTGCGCTCTTGCCTCTGACGCTCCTCAGCGGTCTGACCAGGAGCAGGCGGAACCAATGATATCCTTCTACCCTTGGTCACATCACTCTCGGTAATGCGGATGCGCTTGGAAGATCTTCGATCTCCAGCCGCCTCCACTTCTTCGTGCTCTGGTTCATCCTCCTCCTCATCGTCTCCAAATCCACCAGGAATGCTCATGTTCTTCCGAACGCCGTTGCTGATGACGCGGTGTCCTGTATGCCCGGCGACGGTGCTCTTTCGCTTTGCACCAGGACCTGTACCTAGACCAAGGGTATCTGACTCCCTCTTCTTCGACGCAGGTTGAGAGGGTTGCTGTCCGCGGCGGGCTGCATAGTGGTTTACGATAGAATCCATCTGGTTGAAAGCTGCTTCGTGAGTCTTGGCAAACCGGTCTGTATTGTTCGTACGTTGGTGGATCTGGTTTACGGTCGAACCGAAGATGTCGTCCGTTGTGTCCCTCTTCAAGACACCAGCATCAACTTTCTGAACTCCTGCCTCCGCAAGTCGTTTGTTCATCTCATCTAGCACGGAAGCAGCGGCTTTGCCGAAGTCTTTGTTGGAGAGCCTAGGTTGAGGGAGTGGCGAACCGAATAAGAAAGGTTGGTTTTGTGGAAGAGACAAACGTCCGGTGTGTTGGACTGGCGGAGCAGGTACTTTCTGCGGGGAGAAGATATCCTGAGTATCGTTGGATGGCATGGGCTTCGCGGGACTCGCGTAATTTGAAGATGAGGCCACTATCGCGTTCAAAGAAGGTAAGTCTTCAAAAGGTACAGCGGGATACAGCCGCTGGCCGTTGTTTGGAGAAGCGGGCCACACGTTGACTCGCTGTTGTTGGTCGCTGCCAGGGCTCATGATGAGGTCGAAAGAGGGTTGAAGAGGTTGTAGTCGCGGCGGTGACGCGACGTTGCTGGGATCAAAGGGAGATGTTATAAGGCGAATCGTTGTGGTTAATCCTTCACCCGTACTGAGCCTCGCGTTCGAAGGGGCAGGTGCACCAGGACGCGAGGGACTTCCTGGAATAGGTTCATTCAAAGAGTCGTCTGGGCCACTCATGGTTACATCGGGTGTGGAGAGCTTGAAGTGGTCGGTTGCTGGGAGGAAGTCTGGAGGCGGTAAGGAGGAGTATGGAACAGCGTGTTGATCGAGTTCGTCTTGGGCCACTGAGGAACGTGAGGGTTCTTTGTGACTTGCTATGGATTTGCCGGAGTAAGACCGCTTGATGCCTAATGAGTTTGCCAATGCTTTGATCGAAGATGTCATCGTGCCTGCAGTGAGTTGCATCAGTCTGAGGGGCAATAGGGCAACAACAAATCTTCGGCGAGGAAAACATAACATTGGCAGACAATAAGAAGTCTTGCCAGCAAGTATTTCTCATATTCTCAAACGATGAAGCAAGCTTGCTTTATTGTCCGATACGTGGATAGAAACATATGCACGTACTCTTCGAGTTCTTGCTCCCAAACTCGCCAGCGGTACGAGTAGAGCGCAGCGTGTTCATGGAAGACATGGTACCCAGAGTAGTCTCGTCAACCTCTTCAATATCCTCCATGACCATTTCCCACCGTTCGCTTAGTCTGGGCATACCATTGAACTGCATACTGTCAGACATATCCACATCAGAGTCGTTCGTAGCATCCACGTGATTGTCATGGTTGTTGTCGTCCTGTTCATTATCTTCTTCAGGTTGAATCGTAGCGGCCTCCGGTGGAAGTTCCGTAGCGCGAACTTTAAGCCGTTCGATGAGTTCAACATTCTTGCCGTTAGCTTTGATACCGTGAATTTTGCAAAGTTTGACGAGCTGGTCCCGCTTTAGCGAGTGTAAAGCAGGAGAGTTAAAGAGTATTTGCGTCGTGGTCGCCATGCTGTCTTGGCATAGGGTCGTGAGAGGTCGTCCTTGGTGGTCGTGCAGGTTCAAGTTGGATTTCGAACGCGCTGTAAACGCGCCCATCACGAGACCGCGTTCCTTACGTAACGTTCTTCTTTTAGTCAAGTCTCCCCTAACATTTATCCCGCCGTCAAGTTTCGAGTCTCTAGCATATACAGGTTCAAACCTTCATACGCTTGCGCAGGAATGTTGCTAAAGCTGATCACGCATAATGAATGTCTTACTGGGGCCGACTCTTATCAGATGCTACGCAGAGGCTCACTCAAATGGAAGCAATATTTGGCAATCGTTCCCAGAAACGAGACAACCCTCACATCAAGTTTCCATTCAACAATTATAATCTTGGTTTTAGTCAGACACACCCCTTTCAAGGCAAGATGTGAATGGAATCTCTTTCTTAACGTTAAACGCTTTCATAATTGCTAACCGTCGAACACGAACAATGTTTGCTTTATTTCTTCGTGTGAGTCTCGTAAATATCCTTATATTCTTTCATGTTAGGTTTTGAACAAGTTTTGAACGACATAATATGGTTTAGGTTATGGGGTGCCCGTCTTGGTAGATACTCAGGTTCACCATCGATCACGGCGCGGGTAATCATGACGCACTCTAATGAATCCTTACCTTCTCAGTACGTTATACCACTAATAGACTATCTAACCGAGCTTCATGTATGTGCCAAGTAAGTCCTCGTTGCTTCCGTGTCCATTCATGAATTGTAATTCACTGGTCGTTCAGAATAACTATCGTCAAAGCACAGTGTCATTTCTGTACTTCTCACATATGTAGAGTTGCTCTCTTTCATAGCGAGAATCTACGACGGGAATACAGATTACAACAGATCAGGAAATTGAATCCTCGTGCGCGAGCAGTGAGAATGAACATGGTTTGCCGAAAGACAATCATCCACGTTCCGTTCACTTATGCTGTTCCATGGAACCCTCCCTTTTCTTTCCATATCAGACGGCCCTTAGGGCTCTTAGCATCTAGACTTCAAGAGTTTTGATCAACCCAACAACTCACCCATTCCGGTACCGCCACACGACCTAAAATGTTCTTTGACATCGCCCGTGGCAGGTCCTGTTAAAGGACATCAACTTTCTTGCCTCCCCCCTCCGCTTCCCTCCGCCACTAGCTCCAACTCTCCCTAGGCCTTCGACGCCGCAACAGCAAGCCCCATGGAGACTCCACCGGATACACAACCACGGAGAAAATCCAAGATACGAATACATGGTCCCCCCGTCAATGCCCCTCGACGACGAGCTCTTAGGCGTCCCAGCAACCATCTGAACCTCCGGCTCCCATTCATTTCCCAGTATTCAAAACAAACACGCATCCGTGTGCTAGGATGGTTTGGCTTATCCAAAGACGTATTCTTCCATGCCTTTGGCCCACTGGTGTATATCTGTTTGGTCCGCACACGCGGATTCACTGACAAACATCGCAGTGTCACAGTCACGAGCATCCCAACAGCCCTCTGGCCTTTCTCTTTCATCCTTCCATTCATTCTCTCTTCCTCCCTTCCCCAGCCGTTCTCCCCCTTTCATGAAGATCCCTTCGGGTCACGAGTAACCTTCTAGCTCGTGTCTTTGACACTGCGACGCCGCACACTCGGACAACGGTGAAGACATGAGCTACTCCCGCCACTAGCGGTCGCTAGGACCTGACACTCCATGCCTCTGACACAAAGGCCATGTCTTTTCACGCCTCTGGTTCGTCCTCTCAGGTAATCCTCGCTGCGACGATGAAGTAATCAGGAATCATGCGATTCGCCTGCTGACGACGCGTCCCCTCAACGCTCATTGACTCTCACAGCTTACTCCGCCTTACATGCAGAACCCAAGGACACCGCCGCACATGTTCGAGTCGGTGCTCACGACCGACAATCCAAACAACACGTCTGTTTGGCCGGCCAAGGTTCAAAGGTCTAACCTGGCTCGCCACTACAGTAAACGGCACACTTATCCTGGCATTCATTAGTCGCAGACTTCTCCCAAGTGAGATCCCAAAGACCCGATACCGTAAGAACCGCGCAACTTACAAGCACCCGTCAACACACTCACAGACGAACACAGGCCCATCAGAACCCACTTAGCCTCACAGGCCTCATGGTAAGCATAATCTGGGGCTCTGGGGCTCTAACGTGGCAATAAAGACAGGTGTATGCACCGCCTCACTTCTCATACACCCAATGTTTGGGACTCGTGTAGAGCCTGGACCCTTGAGGGTACCTTTCGTGCGGTGGGAAGATTAAACACACAGGGCCATTGTACGTTTCTTTGACGTTTGCCTCTCTGATGGGCTTTTCCTTCAGGTTGATGTCCTGCTCCTTAAGACGGTGTTGTTCTCAGCTCTCATCCTACTGATGGCCACAACGTTCGTACTAGCCCCCGGGACGAACGGGACTGTACCATGGCTGCGAACAGGTTTGCTCGCGTTGATGCTCGACCAAGGGCACCAAGGGTTCCTTTCATGGTGAGCCTCGTCTTCAACGAAACTTGGTCTACCGTTCTGCCAATCGCACTCACTCACAACTCGTGAAAGAAAGCACTCACCGTTTCGTAGCCTCTCACCACTTACTCAATGAAACTTGGCCCACTATCCACGGATACTCACTCACGCTCATCGCCACTCACAATCCATGAAAGAAAGTACTCACCTTTTCGTAACCCCACGTATTCTCGGGCTTTGACTGATAACAGGGACGTCGTTCAGAACGACATTCAAAGGACCTTATATATAAATCCTCGAAGAACAAAAGAACGACAAACGGGTTCAAGACAATAAAGGTTCGACATGACAATTATGATAGGTCAAAGCTTATGATGGATGAAGGTGAGTTCATACAGCGTTACCAGCGGATGAGTCTAACATGATAGACCTTCACCGAAAACCTAAGAAGAAGGAACCACTGGAACGAAGAGCCGTGTTGCTTGTACATATACACAGGAGACGTGAAGTACGCCGAGGTCCTCGTAGGATACTCGAAGGCTCAAACGGTGAACATCAAAAACAAGCAAGATGACATCACAAGACATAGTTATTGTTTGCCCACCCCTCGGATCGGACGTCGGGTCCGGGATTCCCTTGTACAAGGGGCAAGCCATCACGAAGCATCTAAACGTTTCACAACCTAAGGTCGAGTCTGGACGATGGTCAAAGAGACGATCTTAGCTTCGTAGGTGAGTACAGAACATAGTTGAGGTACTCATGATATCAGAATAGGAAAATAGGAACGAACGCGAGTCCTACCTCGGTCTTCGGACCCGAGGACCTTATAGTGAAGGGCGCAGGACAATACGTACAAAGAGGACTTACAACAAGACGAAATGCTGACGGAAACCTGGAGGCCTATTGAGGATGAAAGCACACCAACGATCACGATCTGGACTTGCCACGTCGATGATCGAACGAAACTTCGATCGTCGGGCTTGAACCTCTTACCACTGAAGCAGGGAATACAGCACCATATGTCGAAGTGTCCGTCAGCATGGACAAGGAACAAGGCAAGTCTGAGTAACACAAGGCGATTCCAGGTAACACAGAGTTATACAACTCTTACACAAGCACCTCCAAAGGTCCAGATTGTATTGTCCAACAGGGTCGCGCGCGGCGGCAACTTGAAGCACAGAAACTGGAACGACTGCCAGTGTGTCGATGAAAGGATAAAGCGATCCTATGAACGAACGTCAACATTGGGTGTTCTGGGAACGACCACTGCCAGAAGGAGATGGTAGAATGTTCAGTGCTCAGAGCAAGCAAGAGGAAGAAGCACCGAACCAAAGATCCAATACGACGAACAATGCACATGGTACGTCTGGCAAGGTTAAGCGCTGACGCGATATCCACCAGTGAGTACATGGTAAAGATCAAGCAAACGTCACGAGAGTACTTCTTTGAGAGGACTCTCATAACTATCTTCGTGTGTGGCTCGAACGCGAGCTGAGCCCATCGCGAAGGAGAGAGGGAATGAACAGTGACGAAGACATACAAGGTGTGTGAAAAGGTTCAGGTTAAGCGCTGACATAGGCAAGTCGCAAGTTGCAGGGATAGATAGCCTTGAGAATGGAGGGGAGGAAGATCCTGGTGAAAATCCTTTGAAGTCCGTTTGCTTACGACAAGAAATACGACATAGAGGATGAAAGAGCGCACTGGAGAAGGAAACTCCTTCAGTCACCAGAGGGGCCGATACGAGTATTGCCGCACATCGATGGAGAGGAGAAACAAGAGAGTCCCAGGGTGATGAATGCAATGGCATTACGACCCACGAGGATAAGTATCCTACCCATCGCCGATCGGGCAAAGGAAAATGGTGAAAAGGTGAGTCTGTGGAGTATAAGCGCTGAACAGGGTACTGCAGGTGTGCCATGCAGGACGACCCGAGGTGTTTCGTTGCCTCAAGGCAGAATGTACAGCAACGTGTATACAGCACACAAGACATGGATATTGAATTCAGACCAGGTGCAAGTGACAAGAGATCCTATCCGATGCCGATGCAAAGGTATCCAGGGAGCAGATATGGAGAGTGCAAGAAAGCAAGAAACAGGATATCCAAGGGAACCCATGAGGAGCACAAGAATGAGAACAAGAGTCTGGTAAGTCGATTGTGTATGTTTTGCTACTGACTTGAACGGGTTCAGGTCGCTAGCAATGCACGAGGTGGGTAGCCGCGTGTTCGCGTCAACAAGTCGCCTATACAGCCACTCATTCTGCAATGTTTCCTAATTTGTTGGATCTTCAGTAGGTGGCGTTTTGTGCTGAAACTGTTGATTCTTTCTTCCGCGGTATAGGTCGTCCTTGGCCGACCTCATGCACTCACATCGGATGCATCCGGCTGGAACAGAGTCAAAGAGGTGAAAGGATGGACGAAAACTTACTGTTTTCATCTATTTGCATCATCACATCGATATCCTTTCCTGGCCCTAAACAATAATCCCGTCCTCGACACTCTGCAACCTCTTGAACATGTCCATGTTTCACGGGAACTGCGGAAGTCAAACAAGGGAGGCACGTCAATGACATGCAGCACATCCGAGCTCCAAAACAATAGCATAAACCATATCGAGAGGTCCCGCGGAAGGATCACAAGGTTGTCAATGGATGTTACAAGGTAGAAGGCAGAGGTTGTCAAGGCTGTCCAGGCGATAGGCAATCCGGATAACAGCGATTGTGTGGGTGGATGTGGAAGAGGCAATCCGGCAGGCCATGGATTGTGGGTGCTTGTGGGTGTTTTCCCTTTTTTGGTGGGAAAGCAATCGTGACGGGTGACTTGTTCACGTCTGGTCACACCCTCCTCGGTTGCTCCTGTGCGGCCATGCCTGCACTTAAATACCTCCCAGATGCCCTCCTCTCATTCCCCCAGTGCCCCTCCAGCCTTCCCCTCCCAGCCCAAGTTCGATCCCCCGCCCTCCCGTCTTAGCAATTCCACCAAATGGCTCCTATCAGGACTCGTCTCCTCACCCGCAGGTCCTCCAATGTCGAGAATGCGCCTCCTTCTGTCCTTGCCCACAAGTTGGCACGCGACACTCACCTTCTCGTCCGTCCTCGTGTCGTCTCTCGCGACCACAGGCGCAGCAGAAGCTCTCGTACTCATCGAGGCGTCGACCGCACCAAGTTCAAGAAGAACAGAATCATGACACCTCCCATTCACGTTCGCATCACCCCTTCTGCACCCTCTGCACCTGCACCTGCTCCCGTTGCAACTCTCCCAACTATCCCTGAGACCTCTCTCGAGCTCACTTTGCCCACCAACCAAACCGTCACCCTCGATCGCAAGCTTCGCCGATACAACTTCGGCAAGCCCATTCCTCGCCAAAATATCTTCTCGATCGCACCAGAGTTGGCAGATACCTCGATCCATTTCCTTCGCGATGAATTCGAGCTCTTCGGGCCCGAGTACGTAGATCACTGTACCCCACTTACCAACATTGAAACTAACGAACACGTTTTTGCAGATTGGAACTCGCTTGCAGATCAGTGGGAATCCCAAGTGGCATGACCACCATCCCTCCCACTATCGAAATCACCCTCAATGACACCGAACGCGCTCCACCTACCCACATCCTCGCAGTCCGCAAGCATCCCGACAGTCCTGGAAGTACTACTGGAGCCAACAATGTCACCCTCCATCCTGTTCATGCTATCATCCCTACCATCTACTGCTCCTCTTTTCCTCGCCTTGTCTACAACAACGTCGAATCACCTCTGACGCCCGGCGAGCAAGTGATAGTCCCAGTGAAGCCCATCATCCTTCCCTATCCCGAACACTTCAGCATCCTCCTCTCCTACATGTACAACAAGAACCCGCTTCCACTCTTCCGGTACTTCGTCCCTGCAATCCCTCCAGCCGTCGTGCGAGATGCATCAGCTACGGGTACTCGTCAAGGTCAGGTCGCGGTCTACGCGCTTGAGCTTTGTAGGAGTATGAGTTGGACGGAGTTGTTTAGACGGTTGATGGCGTTGAATGGGGCTGTGAAGGATGTGTGGGCGTTGGGGATGAGTGATGATGGGCTTTGGGCGATGATGGATGTGTGTTGGGAGATTTTGTTGACGGCGTTGAACGTGAGCGTGCAGAGGGTTCGTGCGGAACAACAACAGCGGGCGAAGCAATAGGTGGCTTTCATCATCATCGTGATCACGATTCCATCTCCCTTTGCATTGCTTACATCGTTGGGTCCGCTATCGTTATTCTTGATTTATTCAACATTATGCCTCTATGCCTAGCTTTCCCTTTTCTCTCCCACCACTACGCGCTCTATGCCCCCTCCTCTTGCTATTCTCACCAATTATGCACCCTCACTCATCTCATCCTGCATCTCTCTCTCCCAATCCGCATACCCTAGATATTCATAAATTCCCATTCGTCACTAGGCTCGGGTTCTCGCTGTCGCATTTTTTTCCGCATTTTTTTTTTTTTCGCATTTTTCGTTCATCTTTTGTCACGTCGATTTTGTGGCATTTTCTATCGATTTTCCTACCCTACGTGTAGAAGCAAAGTAAAACAACGTTGTTGTACTTATATAACTTACGTAGCGTAGTATCCGTGTTAGCTAGCTTACTAGCGACTTACTTGGATATGCAATACAAATGATTGTAATCAACTTTTTGAACGCTGAGATATAGCTTTATTCGCTTGTCTATACTATGTCTATACTACAAGGTAACTTGTGAGCTTATAAGTAACAAATGCATTTGAAAGCTATGTATGTATTCTTCGGCGGGTAGAACAACAGGATTGCCTTTTAGTCGAGGACCACCATCAACAACGACGCCCCTCGCGATCGTACTGTAGTCAGTACTAACCTTTAATGGCCAGCATTAGGCCGTCCTTCTGGCTGGCCCTACGCCATCATCGATTATCTTTCACCACATACAGTAGCTGACTCGTATTTTGAAGTTCTCGCGCTCATCCTACAGTACCCTCTCCGTCTTGCTCTTAAGCTTCAACGTTTTCAACTACTGACACCGCACCCTCGCACAACCATGCCAGAGCCTGCTTCGGATCGTGAAGCGCGACCTGGCTCAGCAGCTTGTTAAAGGCAAGACACCCCAGGGCTTCGAGTACCTGTTGTGCGGACGGAGGAGGAGAAAAACTTGGAGTCCCAGGTACGAGTCGTCTACCAGATCACAATGACATATGACGCCGACGCAGAACAAAAGTGCCGCTGATGCAGGAGACCACGATGCGGTAGACGACAACGTGGACTTGGATCCTCTATAAATGGAGATAGAAGCGTTGGTTGTAGAGGGTAAGTGGGTAACTTATACAGTAACTTATGTCTGCGATAGGGCGCCCTTTGATCTATGAAATGCACCATTTGTTTGCGACTTGAACTATCAATCAATGCGGAGGGCCAAACGGTTGGAGCTGGCATCCCGGAGACGGGAGACGGGAGACGCAATTATGAGGTGTCTATGGGGAGAACGAGCAAGCGAGCGCGGGATTCCTGCAAGTACCTGGCGACCTCAGTCAGCGTCGTTTTTTGGAATTGACCATCTTAATGACAGGAAGCATACAATCTTTTGCCTCATCTTGAGGTGTTCGGCGTTGTCGTTGCAGACCACTTTGGCGACCTCGGACTCTTTCAGTGTCTCACCCAGTGTGTAAGACGACGGTTGAAGTTGGGACGGTTTGATCTCGGGAGCGGGTTCTTGGGCATTAGTGCTGAGTGTTTAGCCTGATCTCAAACGTTTGTAGGTGCTCAGGGAACTTCACATTTGCGAACCTCATAGATGCGATGTTTTGGAAGCCCCATTGAAGAACGTACCACACAAAATCTACGTCGTTCATCTCGCTATCATGGTCTCCGATAAAGCGCTCGTAAGTACCATCTCCAAATACTCACCATAATGAATACGTGATAGCATGTATATGCACTGGGCTTCCGCAAACCACTTGTTCATAGAAGACTTCCTAACACAAACAGAACTCTGGACGTCCAGCGCTCTAAGTATCGCCATCGCTCTACCCTTGCTAGGCTTCAGCGGAATAGCATTACATCATCACAAGGGGCATAGGTAGAACTGAGATATTCCTCTCAAGTATCATTTGTAACATTCCAACACTCTGATATCCTTGGTTGCTTGCTTTGGCTTGCTTGAACATTTGAGGTTTGTGAAATTGGTGTGCTGTTTGTCTGTTGCCCAGTCTTACTAGTACACTGTATGCACATAGCAATTGTCATCTGAATCTGAGTGTTAAGGCAGAGTCTTGCCATGATGTGCCCATCCTTCACCTAGTGTGAGCTAGTGTTGATCATTTGCAATTAAATTGCCATCATCTAGAACTTCACTTCTTGCTCAAGAAAAGCCATTGAAATTTCACAAATAGTGTATAAGCAAGAGTTTTGCTATAGTGAAAACTATTCAATAGGTTGAACAAATTGATGATTGAATCTTTTTCAAGGAATCAGTTCATTCTGCATCTGGCAGAGCATGCAGTATTGCACAAGACAAGATTTATAAACTGCTGAAGTTACATAGATCTGTAGATACAATAGCAGGCAATCTCTTCATATTTCATTGACCTTTGTAAATGCATGAGAAATCACAGTTGGTGTCAAACCATCATCATCATATTCACCAGAGCTGCTGGCAGAAGTTTGCCTAGATGCAAGATTCTTTTCATCTACAGCAGCCTGGATCACAAGTGACATGAGTTCCTGCAGCAGGTTCTGCAAAAATGCAGTGGGCACCCCAGCTTCAGGAAGATACCATGGAAATATGGTGGAATGGCTGCCAAGTACTGAGAATTGAGGATATACATTTTCATCAGTACCTTCAAAGTTGGAGTTTTGAAGGTGGGTGTATAATTTCCAACAGCACCAGCAGCATTTTTTACTTGCACCAATGGCCACATTGTGAACCTACAGACCATCAGCTTGGATAAAGATATAGAAGTAACAAACTCACTGAGAAAGCTTGCTTGAGTATCCCCTCTTTTGCTTGATCCACATACCATGAAGATGCAGTGTCCATATTTCTTTTGAGTGCCTTGGAATAGGTGAGACAAGCAAGAGCCATCATGCCTGCCTCTGCATGCACAGTTGGTTTACACAAAACAGCTGAGTTCTTTACTCTTTTAGTTAAGAAGGCCATCACAGCAGTCCTGTTCCCTTCTGGAGTTTGAACTAGGACAGACTCCTGAAAGACCCTTATGCACCTATCCATGTCCTCAACATTGATACCAGGTTTGGGCAGTGACACAAGGTGAACATCTAGTGGATAGGGAAGATTTTGCCTCCTGGTAAGAAACTGAACAGCATCATACCAAGCTGTGATTGTTTTGAGATATTGGATGATGTGATGACCAGGTGATTCACCCAGTTCAGCAGATGCTATGAGACAGATATAAGATACATGGCCACCAAAGAGATGTATCTGTTGCTTACCATTGGCTTCATCATCAGCATCTTCTTCAACTTGCCCCTGTTCTTCTCCTTGCTCCTCATTGATATCTTGAGCAGCTTCAATTGTGATATCAACAAGATAGACCAGCACTAAAAGTGACAAACATACCTAGTGCAGCACTGAGCTGAGATATGTGTAGTTGAGAACTCCCTCTTTGGCTCCGGGTCTGCTTTGTCTCAAGTGCCTTGGATAGGCCAGGATCCTCCAGTAATAGATCAAAGAACCGTGATCGCAGCACATGATGAAGGACTCCCAGGTATGTAACCGCATTCATCACATCATTCTTGGTAACGTGCCGTTTTGCAACCTCTCCGGACCCGTTATCCTCCATCAAAGTGTGTTCAAGGGCGTCGTACAATTCAGCAATGGTCCTGATCCATGAAGCGATATTGTTCTTGGTGACAAGGTAATAAGAACCGCTGCGTTCGGGAAGGCTGCCATGCTGCTGAAAGAGGAAGGAAATTACGCTCTCAGAGAGGGAGAGTTTCCAAGGAAAGGAGAGCGACAACTTTTCTACGGGGTACTCCCCGATAATGCGTATAGGATGCCACCCCCAAAGGGATTCAGCCACCTGCATCCGAGCGACAATCTTCGGATATGCATGGTTGATCACATATGCGTGGAACATTACCCGTTCATCGGAAAGATCTCCATCGGCGGTGCGAAAGAAGTCAAGGATAGCAAGAATATCTGCATAATGTCTATCGAGACTGACCAGGATCTGATGTCAGGAACAGCAAATACCAATGGTTGCGATACGAGCACACTCACGGACGGGACAAGCAGTTGGGGAGAATGTCACGATCAACTTGGTCTGGTCCAGGTTCCAAAGCCTGTACGTCTAACTTCTCGGGGGAGAGGCGCGTATGTGTATTCTGAGTCACGATGACCCGACACGTCTTGGAATTAGGATCGGCATTGGCGGTCACTGCAACCACACGAGACGCCGCAGTGTCTCTGTACGGTGCCTTGGTGTCGCGGGGCGTCCCAGTAGTCAGAAGGGTGGCGATATGCTGCACGGACTTGAGGACAGGGTCGAGGCGTTTCTTGCCGAAGGTAGCCTGCCTTACGCGATGACCTTTGAGGGCAGTAGTAGCGATGGCTATCGAGAGACAGAGATTCTTGTACTCAAGATCGAGGTTAGAGGGGTCGTTATTGGCCGTGCTGGACATCTCGAATTGACATATCGACGAGGAGCAGGACGAAAAGGAGGAGGTGCGCGACAAAGACGCCGCCGCTATACAGACTCAAAGGCTACAACAATTTCGGTAAGAACCGACAGGCACCGATCTTCCCTTGCGGCTCGAACTTAGCGCCACTGGTGCACCTTGTAGTGACCGGTACCGAGAACTGAAGCTGAAGCTTGAAGGCCTGAAGTACAGCAGTCTATCCATCGATATTCCACTGAGAATAAATCTTTATGCAATCGGGCAAAGTATGCAGACGGCCGTTAGTAGTCAACCCGCAGAGAATGAGGGTGAAATGCACAACCATTAGAGCGACCTGGAATACCTCTATATGGGGACACAGAATTACTAGTATCTAGTACAATAGCATTGCGTAGTGTGTTCGATGCTAGCGATACAACAACAAACATATTAAAATTACTCCTTTGATCATCATCCCTCCACCACATAATTTCTTCCACTCAGAGTAGTCGTACATGACTTGCAAGGTTCGTGTTTCTTCTTTAAAATCATGAGAGAACGACATGGCTCCAGACCCTTCTCGTTGCAGTAGCGACGGGTGTTGTTATGGCAGTCAACGCCTGATGCACGTCTGTTGATATTAGAGGTATACGCGGAGAAACAGGGCGGTTCGTTGGTTTAGTTGTTCAGAACTAGGTTAGGCCTAGATGAACTTCGACGGTGCGAGTTTCTTCAGGTCTGCAGATGTGATCTCGCCATCCATGACGAGTTCAGCCAACAGTTTACCAGTTCCCGGTGCATTAGAGATACCCTGCAAATAGACAGTTTTCAACAAACCGACGCCGAAAAGAATAAACAGAGTCCAGACTTACCCAGCATGTATGTCCAGTGGCAATGATCAAACCTTTCGCAATAGTTTCCGCCTCTCCAATGATAGGTCCACCGCCTTTAGTAACCACAGGTAAGAAACACGCCTGCCTACGAGCAATCGTGCCTTCCCTCAGCTCGTTCGATATACTCGCCACTTGCTCCCGAGCATTCTCGCACAACCGTGGCTCTACTATAACATCGTCCACTGTCTCTGGAATAGGCGGATTATCGCCTGGACCACAAACGTAGACCTCATTCGTCGGTCGAGGGTAGATCTCCGGAGAAGCTACACGAACGGTATTGGAAGGTGGCGAGTAGGGAGAGGACGGAGAGGTGAGGGAAGGGATGATAGGCATGGTGATCTCCGTAAAGAGGACGTGTGGAGCGAATACTTTGGGTGGGTTGAAACGAAGGGTTATACTATGTGCACGAGTGCCAGAGATTGGAAGCGAGGGAATGAGTTTCGGTGACCATACTCCGGCTGCGAGTATGATCTGAGTCGCCGGAATAGTTTTCTCAGTCTGAGACTCGTTGTCGATATACGTCACACCGGTGACCGACTTCGAAGAAGGGTCAATGTTAAGCGAAGTCGCCTTGCCTGCAATGAATTCGACTCCTTTTTCCTTCGCGAATTTGAACATGGACGTTGTGAACAGATACGGATGGACCTGAGCCGTTTGTCCAGCAGGAGCCATAACACTGTACGAATCTGTGAGTTCCTCCTTGACCCAATCCAGATCGGCAGGAAGCCCTCTCTGCACTCTTTTCCTCATCTCCCAATCTGGTCCCAATTCCGCATCCACGCTACGCCGCCTGCCATTGACCCTCGGCCTTGGTACCTCTCCCCTTCCCTCCCAACTACCGCAATTGACATACCTGAAACCCCACCGGTTAGCACCATCGTACATCTCGGCTAGTCGTTCATGCTCCGGGAAAGAGATGCTAACAAGCTCCTCTGGATACGCCCATGCGGCCACGAGACCTCCGGCTTTGCCTGAGGCACCCTGCGCAACGCCTCTCTTGGAAGCTTCGATAATTGTGACTCGGGTATTCGAAGAGAAGGATGGGTGGTGCGAAATGTAGTAGGCCGCAGTGCAACCAATGATACCGGCGCCGATGATAACAATGTTACGTTCTCCTGAGGACGTAGACATTGGAGGGTTTTCCTGAGGCATTGAGTAGAATGGAAAGAGCTTGCCAAAGAGCAGGCTCTTGAGAGAAATGAGCAGGCGGAGGCTTGTCGAGAGCAGTCGCAGACTTTCCGTTGCCAACTTTCGATTTGCAGGAACCAGCAGGAACTCTATTCGGCCCGATGACTTCCGATCAGGTAATTTCTTCCCACCATGTTCGCACGTTTTTATCGCTCACCTCGGTAAGTTCGTCTTCGGTTTTTATCACGTTCCTTCTCATTTTGCGAAAAAAAAAATTGTACAGAGAATATACCTCTCACACTTGCAGATGCACCATTCCATGACCCACAGACGGAATTCTCCTGTGTTCCTGCGATGGTGTCGGCTTTCGTACCCATTGGCTCTTATTCATGACAGCATCATCAGTGTTGAGTCGAAGGCATACTGTCCCTGCCGCACTGGACCCTGCCCCGGCAACACAGTTGATCAGGACGTTCCCGCTGTGTCTCCGGCGGAGAAGTCTGCCATAGTTCAGATCCTCCTGTCGTTCTGCCACCCAGGCGCGTTACCATCCAAGTTTTTCCCTATCCAGGATGTGCTTCAAGTTGACGTTTTACGACGCGCGCATTTCCTTCGAGCGTGTGAGTATGACCATGCAAAGTGAAATGCTTGTCCTCAATGGGTCCATCGAGGTAATTCATTTGAACCGCTCTGGTTGTCATCCAGGACCCGAGAAATGAACGATCACGAATACTCACTCCGCGATACGAATATGTACGGACATATCGGTCGGTTTCCATTAGGCGAATAGAAAGTTAGAAGCCGGATCAATGCCAGAGAAGCATGAAGTGGGTGATCAATGAAGGTAGTGTATAAACGAATGTTGTATGGTAGCAAGAAAAGAATGAGACAGTGCAAGACTATGCTAAGTATTAGCGTGTGTTGAATGAGGATGGCTACAACGAGTGGAGGCGTGCGGAGGCGATACAGGGAAGATTATAAGCAGCGCTATAAGCTATAAATGCAACATTGAAAACAGTAAATGAACGTGAATAGTATTTTGCTGGTATAATATTGGTTGGTAAATGTCCTAGATAGAACGAAAGTGGGAAACATAAGCGAAACGGAAGACGCGAGTGATCGATTGGGAACTATGTTGTGATTCTTTTGAGTTTGCATAGGGTATGACGACGAGCAAGGATATGGACGAAAAAGGATTCCGAAACGGCATGGTTCGAGCGGGATGAAGACGGGAGACTATCGGGCGTGCAGTGACGATGATCGTGACGTAGTTGTATATCGGGCCTCCGAGGTATAGTGCAATAAATCAAAGACGGACATGCAGCCCGCCACCCGCGAGACATTACCAGGGCAAATCACTTCCCAAACCCGTCAAAACAAATGCCCATCAGCCCCCCCGTGCATTGCCAAGATCCTTCTAACTTGCCAACGCAGTGAATGAGTTGAATAGTTAGCAAGTCATTGGGCCATTACCTCCCACGTACGGAGAGTATGGAGCAACCTCTTTGCCTCCCGAGTTACATTCCATGCCGTTCGGACTATTTCAATGATATCTGTGTCCTTTGGTGCAAGGGAAAGCGTGTTTCTCCACAGACCTCCGTTGAACTCCACCAGTGATTGGAGTTTCTGAAGACTACAACGTCGCGCAAGTATTTGGGCCATAGCATTGGCGGCCGGAAATTCTTCAATGACGCGAATTGGGAGGAGGTAGGTAGCGAGGAGACCTGTGCTTGTTTTCTGCCCCAATGGGTAAGGCGTGGTGCTGCGACTTGGCTGCGTCGACTGAATTTGAAGAGGATGTGGCGTGTTAGGCGATGAGGCTGACGTTGAAGTCGAGGACTGGGCGGAAGTGGAAGATTGTTCTGGCGCTGAAGAGTGGGCTGACGTGGAGGATTGCATCGAAGGAGTCGATGAAAAAGAAGAATCGGAATGGGCACTGCGGTACGATGGGGACGAATCGGGCTCAAGGTTCTGCGGAGCATCGGAGGGAGAGGGAGGGACTTCTTCTAGCTCATTCAGGTCATAATTGGCGTGAAGCCCAAGACCAAAGAGGAGGAGAAGCGTGAAAGAGGGTGGATGAGGAACCACGAACTGTATTACAGGTAAGGTGATAATCATCCTACGCCTTTGTTCATCCCAGTGCGACGACGGTGGCTCATATGATGAAGAACCGGAGTAAAGTTCTGGGAAGAAGTGTGAGAAGTCATTGGTGAACTTCCTGGTCATTTGTTCGGCATTAATGGGAGCTAATATGGGAGGGTTTGCCGTAGGTTGAGGGACAGCTGAACCGGAGGGTATCGTCGGATCGGGGGTATCGTAAATAGCTAGAATATGTGTAGGCATAAAGGGTCCATCTTGAAGCACGATAAGATCAAGCATTCGAGGTAGATTAGTCGGGATCGTTGCGATGAATAACTGCGCGACGTTATGAGCGTCGAAAAGCGTCCTAACAAGGAGGTTACATCATTCACCATTCACGGAAGAATGAATACCAATGCCAAGAATGACATACTCATACGGGTCTTTGAATGGCTTCCTTAGTACAAACGGATACGTGCGAGCTTCGTTGTCGTCATCCGAAGGACTCGGAGTACGTTGGGGCATGGGTCTAGCGGTGCGTGGTCGAGGTGACGGAGAGAGTGGCTCGAATTGAAAGGGTGGCGAATTTTTGCGATCTGCCCGAAACTCGTGGCCCTGTTCTGTTAACACATGGGTTATCGTCACCTGTACGCAAATATAAGGATTAACAATTCTAGAATGCCCATCCGACATCGACAACGCTCACCTCGTGCACTGTCATGATGATAGAGAATACTTTTACTGCAGATGGCTGTGAGGGAAACGCCCCGGACCGGATATATAACAGGAGAAGAGACGAAAAGAAAGATGAGAGAAGAAAGAGAAAGAGTCAAGTACAGTGGAGCATAAAAGTGGACAATATCATGACGCCCACTTCTCCGACGGAGAAGAATAAAAGCAAATCGAGATAATAGTGCCGCCGCGTCTGAACTGTTGACAACAAGTTCGCGTTTTAGGATCTGAACTTGGCGACAGCAGCTTGCAGCCGACCATAAGAGCGGGGCACTGTAGCCAAACACAGTCTGCCACGAGGCCCGAATATTCGCCCGTCAGCGTTCGCTCAATCCTCCATTGTCCTCATACCCGAAACGCGGTGCAGGTGTATTTGGGTCAATATCTGTTCCCCTGAGTGAGATAATCGACTGCTCCGGTGCGATAGAGAGAATAGTGGCACGCATTTTCTCTCACGCAGAGAATGTTACTGAATGCAAAGCGGCGGTGGAAGGAAACAAGATGGAGGAGAGAACTTCGAAGGATGGATTTTGCCTTTTACGGTTAGTCTGCTTTCAGCTGCACAGTGAGAGAACCACATTCACAGTGGTGTGAAGTCTGACTCCCAACTTGACCAGGAACTGATGTGCTGACAATTGCATACGACGAAGACTGCTACAATACGAATGATATTATGGTAGTTGTAAGCTTCTCTCTGTCTCATTGCTCACCTTGCCACTTTTTGATTGGATAATGATGGTCCGATGTCAAGTATAGTTTTGACTGTCGTCAGGGCGTCGATATCTATCACCAGGCCGCACAGGAAGTCCTGTCATCCGTAAACACATCGCAAGATCTTCCTAAATGATGTTCATCCGAAGCACTGGTCCTTAGCCACATTCCCGCCCCTGATGGTATTTGAACTTCTTGTCTATTCATCGTATCCTGGCTGCCTTTTTTGCCCTTACTGGTCTGTACAGGTAGTCAGTCCGCAGCAAAGAGCCCTGATCGCCGGTTGACCCGTCGGTCAGGTCGTTGCAGTTTCTTCCACCTGCATCTCCGCCGTGCAGCGGCGGGCTTTCGTCTCCATTTTACCATGAAGTATTTCTCCTGCCCTGTGGTGCGTGCCTCTAGATGACGTTCGAAAACCCAACAATTACTAGCATCATCTCGTTAACTGGAAGCTTCTCTGATACTTGTCCAATGGCCTTGTGCATCCTCGATGGCACTGGTCTCTCCTGGTCGGAATGCCGGGCCCCCTGAGGTTCTCTCTATCTCCTGAAAAACACCAGGTCATCGGAATACCGTCATTTGCACGTTCAAAGGGCCGCGGATCGTGGTTGGCCGCATCATAATATCCCTTCTCGTTCTTCACCCTTTTCCACGAGTTGCTCTTCTATCTGTCAAGCATCACGAAGTAAAGAACTTGCAAGTACCTCATGTTGGTCAGTGTCCACTCTCCATCCGCAAGTTCTTTTTGTGGCGTTGCTTTCGATGATTGTGGGAGTTGTTCAGTCTGACAATAGTTTTCCTCCTATTGTCAGACGAAGGAGTTCTATTTGTCATGATGGTCCCTCACGAAAAGCCTCGGATACACTCGTCGGTTCGAATTCTCTTACATTCTCTGTCGGAATCGACAGATGATGTGGACGATTGCTCGAGCTCAATATGTCGCTAAGTACGTGTATACTTCGCTCGGAACGCCACAAAATGGTGGCAAAGACGCCACCGGGCGTTTTATGCTATCATACTTCTATGTACTTCCCGAAGTTACACAGCACAACGTGGCGATCTGTTCCAAGTACAGTAGAAGACACTTCACTTCTTCTCGAGATGGCGGCTCAACTCGGCATTCTAGTAACGCAATTTGGCTGGCGTCGCTTTGCGGCAAGCGAATAACAGGGCCTGGATCATAGCCAGAACATCATTGAGCTCGGTACCTGTTACTTACCTTCACAGAATCAAGCTCGTCAGATGCCTTCGTTGAGGCGGAAAAGATCCCGTAAGATGTCATCATAGGTCATCATACTTGATAGGACTTCATGTTGCTGAATTAGAAAATACAGTCATGACAGCAAAGCAAGCCCCCTTTATCCTCTAGACCGACTCTGGTGCTACATTCTACTTCACACTCCAGCCAATCAACCTACGGAATGCACACTCTACAGCAAGATCCCATCTTGTCGACTTCTAGGTTTTTCATTCAATCACCTTCTTATCATCAGAAGGAGATTCACGACGTCTCAACGAATCAGCATCTCCATCCCTATCTTGAGGAGGGACGTATGCGTCGGCAGCCGCCAGACCCCGAGCAATCTGGTCTTTACGCAGCCATTTGTCATCGGGCACGAAGTACCAGCTGATCATGCCGAAGATAGTGACTGTTCCAAGAATTACACAAGCCTGTCGAGAACGTCAACTCAACGAAGGCGTATCAAATGAGAGGTCTCCTTACGAAATTGAACGTCTCGGCAGTGACAGGGAAGAAGAACGGCGAGATCTGGCACTGTGGGAAGTGTTGAGCGTATGTCATTTCAATTGAAATTATACGGCACGTACCGCAAACACCAAACCATTGAACAGAATTGTAGCAACGTAGAACGGCTTGCGCCATTTGCCCAAGTAAAAGTGGCTAGTCTTGAAGTCATCCGGAGTTATAGTCAATCGAAGGAATGCGATGAGTCCATATGCAGCAGTCGTAGGAATACCGCCGGCGGAAACCAAGGAAAAGAACGCGACCTGGCTGGGAAGAATAGTGCAAAGAATCAAGGCACCGAAGATGTACATGACGGTGACTGCGTTACGAGGTTGACGGGCACTGTCAACTTGTCCGATCCACCATGACAAAGGGAGTACACCGTCACGAGCGACGGCGAAAACGAGGCGTGATGCGGCGACGATTGCAACACTAGTACTCTGGAGGATCATAACATATTGAATGAAGACATGTCACCGAACATACGAGATGGACGTACCAATATGAGACCGAGAGTTGCAACAACAGTCATAAAGACACTCCCGCCTCTTCCCAAAGCAAGGGCGTACAATTGGACAAATGGCTGAGGAGCATCCAAAGAGAAGAGCAAGTCGAGGTCGGGAGTGCAGAACAGGAACAGGAGCGTCGTTGCAAAACCAAGAATCCCAGTGGCTATCACACTGGAGAGGATACCACGGCCAGCGACGACGCTAACGTAAACATTAATAAACATCGAGAGATGGTGTTGAGGGAAAATGTTTCTTACCTAGCGTTCTTCGTTTCTTCAGCGATGTGTCCAGAAGCGTCGAAGCCAATCATAGTTCCAGCGCAAAACAAGCTAATGTATCATGAGTCAAGACGTAACATCAAAGGTTGAAAACGTTTCTTACAATGATAGAATCCAATTCCATCCTGCAGGAGCGCCAGTGCCGTTATCTGCCACCACCGACCATTAGACAAACAGTTGGGCAGAGAATCACAAATTGAACTTACAAGTCATAGTGAATACGTCCTTCGCACTCCTAAAGCCGTAGGTCTTTGAGACACCAATAGGCAGCCAAATGACACAAAGCAAGAAATCGACAAGGTACAACCCGACACTGATGCGGAAGATAGCAGAGTACCACCTGGGTGGTAGGTAGTTAATGGCGATGGCGATGAGGAGGACACCTTCAGAGACGGCCCAGATGAGGGTACGCCACTTAATGTTGTCGTTTCCAACACCACCAGGGTAGTCCACCTCCCAGACAGCGAGTTGCGACACGATGTAGTTGGCGGTAGTCTACGAATGTGAACGTAAATATACCAAGATTTACAGCGAAGATAGGGACCTACTTGGCAGTTACCAGCAGCAAAGGTCATCCAAGCAGTGCAGGACCACCAAGCGACAAGGAATCCGAAAAAGCGACCGTATTTGGGACCCGCACTCTCGGCTGCCCAGATGTAAATTGAACCGCTCACAGGGAGAGCAGAACAGATCTCAGCGAGAACTGCAGCCGTTATGAACATGAAAAACATTGCAATGATATACGAAGACCTGACAAACGTTGAGTACATACTGATGTTGAAGGAAAGTTATTATTATTATTATTACCATATCGCTGCAGGACCACCGGCAAGGAGACCAAGGAAGATACCGGCGCTGCATACACATACGTAAATGAAAATTTTGTCAGAACTGATTCGAGGGAATCACCTACCGAACGCCACCAATGAAGTTGAGAGCAACGAAACTTGCGGCGAAGCTCTCAACGAAATACCAACTTCTGTGCAATTGCTAGGATAAGGAAAAGAACACTCTTGTTAGCCAATGTCGCAACGACAGATGTCATACGTCATACTTGTTTATATCCCAGTTTGAGCTAGAGTCGCGAGAAAAGAAAACATCAGTAAATTCTGCCGCTACTCCTCCGCAGAGGAGCAAAAATAGAAAGGCGACACTGGGGGCTTCCCTACGCAGGTATGAGCGCTGATCAGGTTCTAACGGTATTCTCTCAATCCTTGCCGTCACTCTTTGTTTTCAGCAGAGCTTCGTCTCATACCTCGAGTCAAAGCATAAGCTTGGAACGCAGGAAAGCGGACAAGGATACCCGTAGCCATTCCAGTTTCACCACTGAAAATAGACGTTACCGAAGGTAAAGTCACCAGCAACCCTCATTGCCCGCATAGCTACACAGTCCCAGCGCATGCCTGCGCCATTACCAGTTGGGCTTCGTCCTCATCAATAGATGAGGCGTCCTCGGCGTCCCTCACGATTACAGGCGGTTCATCGAAATCTGGCTGCATTATGAATTTGGCAACGATCGAGGGTCTTTTTGAGGAGCACAATAGTGCAAGAAGATTGTTGGAACAGAGGGAAAACAAGTTCAGACGTCGAAAGGGACGAGGAAAGAACTTTGCGAGTGGGGGTAAAATACATGTGCTTATGTAAACGATTGATAGCAAGTTAGCAACTCCGAAACGACATGTCCGTGTAAACGATAACCAGCCGCACGCTCATTGGATGTTCAAACGCTGGAAGGAGGTCAGCTTGAAAGATTTCAAATGATAAGCACAACTTACAGGTTTGAGTGCCTTGATGAGCAGCCATTCCTCGGTCGACACATCCTGCTTGAAGGATGTCTAAACGGAAGGCGTCAGCATGTCGTTGTGAATGAAGTGCAGATAAAAACATACCTTGAGAACATCGATACTCTGTCGGGTAATATGACTGTAAAGCTCATCCTTGTCGTCGAAATGGCGACCGAACATCTTTGCAGACTGGTATACGGCGTGCTCGATTTTAACAGCGACACCGCCTCCGGCTTGAGACTTCTTCACGATCTGTACATTGGACGTGAATAATTGGTTTAACGACGATTAAGCATTGTACTTACATCAAATGCCTTATGGTTGATCTCCAACGAAGTCCTGTCGAGCATGAAGGTCAGTAAAATGCCTGTTCAGAGACGGTCAATTAACGTACACTTTGCCGAGGTCGATGATGTCCTTCTTCTGGGTCACAGGGTCTACCTTGATGACACACAGAGGTGTACCGACACGAAGGGTACCATCGAGAATGTCCACACCAAGGATAATGGGGTCACGCTTGGCGAAGCAGGCAATGATCTTCAGTCGGCAAGGCCAAACAGCTTGAGGAGCTGCATCCTTGCGCTTCGCCTCCGCAATCTCGTTGTTGTAGGCGGTGAAGGCATCGAACAAGTGGTAAATAATGTCAGCTGAAATCCACTGTTAGTGCTGCAATCGAATGACAGTAACGTGGTTGACAAACCCTTGAACAAACGAATACCCATCTCCTCTGCTAGCCGCTCGGCTTCCTTGTCAACGGTAACATCGAAACAAAGAATACACGCCAATTCTTTAGCCTTCTCTAACATCGACGCTGCACGCATAACGTCCTTCTTGTGCACAGGACCAATGTTGATACCAGAGACAGGAATCTTGCTGACCTTGAGGAAGTCAAGCAAGGCTTCGAGAGAACCAAGGGTACTGGCTTGGACGCAGACACCTCTGCCTGACTTATCAATCGAGTTCAGCAGGGTGGTGAGGTCGGACATGACTTCGTCCATAAGTTCTTCTTCGTCGTCGTCAGGACCAACCACTAGAAGACGAGAACCGGCGATAGCCTTCTCCAGATCAGGTGCAACAATCTTAACACCAAGTGCAGCCTTGACTTCTTTGTGATGCACGTAGGCAGACTGTCAGGAGCAGAATGAGCATGGCAAGTAGAACAGTGCACTGTTAATTCCTTACCTTGATACGGAGCTCACGAAGTGGTTGCGGCGTTAGCAGTGCACGGATCTGAGTGACAATAGGCCCATTCAGACCGCAGACTACAATCCTATCGCCTTCGTGCAAGATACCGTTTGAAAGGACGACATCAATAGTTGTACCAAGACCTTCAATGACCTTGACCTCCAGAACGGTACACTCAAGCTCAGAGAGGTACATTAGTCTATCACTCATACGCTGCTGCGTCAGGTTGACGAGTAGCATAATCATGTCAGGTACACCCTCGCCAGTGATAGCGGATGTCGGGACCAGGGAGACATTACGAGCAAAGTTCTTGTTGTCATAGTAGAGAACAGCGTTGAGACCCTGTTCGGCGAATGCAAGAATCGTCTTCTGCACACGGTCCTCGAATTCACGTTGCACAGGACGCTTCTGATGGGCAAGCGAACTCCTGAAGTCATTGTCCGGTATCGCTTCCCAGCCATACATACGATCGATCTTGTTCAATGCGACGATGAATGGAGTCTTGCGGTCACGGAGAAGTCGTAGTGACTCAAGTGTTTGAGGCTCAAGGCCGTGCTAACAGATGCGAAGAACGTAAGCAAAACAATGGAAAAAAAGCGGGGTACCGGAGACTTACCATGATATCGACGACAAGGATAGCGATGTTGCACAGGGAACTTCCACGCGAACGCAAGTTCGTGAAGGATTCGTGTCCAGGAGTATCGATAACAAGAAGACCAGGAATATTGTACTCTTGCTTGCCGTCCTTGTTCATAACAAGTGTCTTCTGCTCAATCGCCTCCACGGGGAAGTAGGTGGCACCGATTTGCTGCGTGATACCTCCAGCCTCACCTTCTTGGACATTCGTTTGACGGATCTGCATTCACACCAGTCAGTTCTTGTCACTACTCATATACCGATAAAAAGGATGCATACCTTATCCAAGAGCTTCGTCTTACCGGTATCGACATGTCCCAAGATACAACAAATGGGACTTCGGAGGTTATCCTTGCTTCGAGCAGCAAGAGCAGCTTCGCGCGCTTTTGCACGTCGTTCTGCAGCTTCAGCTTTCTTCTGTGCCAGCATACGCTGAGTCTTGGAGATAGCTTCGTCGGACTCCTCCTCGGATGAAGGCTCTTCGGACTCAAATTCGTCAGACTCCTCTTCTTCGGACTCCTCCTCAGACTCTTCCTCAGACTCTTCTTCGTCCTTCTTCGCTGGAGCTGATATAGCAGCCACTTTGGCAGGAGGGGGAGAGGGAGCAGCTTTCTCAGGAGCAGGAGGGGCAACTTTGGTTTTGATTTCCGCCTTCGCACCACCGTTGGCCTTAGATGGAGCAGGCTTGGCTTTCTTCGCTTTCGACTCCTCATCACTGCTCTCGTCCCAAGAGTCTTTGACACCTTCAAGCTTCTTCTTCGCCTCGTCCTCACTGCTAGCCTCCCAATCACTCTTAAGGCCTTCCACCTCCTCGGCGGCTGCAGGAGCCGCAACTTCTTCTTTAGCAGTGGGAGGTGGCGGTTGTTCAGCACGAACAGGCGATGGTTCGCGAGTTCCGGGACCACTTGCAGTACCAGCGACAGATGAAGGCGTAGTAGTCTTTTTCTTTCGAGCACCGTATACAACTTTCTTAGGACCGGAAGGCGCCCCGGTGTGTTGTTGAAGACCCTCGATCTGAACGCCGGATGCGAGAAGGGCTTGCTTTCGTAATTCAGCAGCTCTGTGCTCCTCTTTCTGCTTCTTGGTGAGCAGACGACCTTCCTTCTTCGCCAGTTCTCGTTTGGCCTATAGGATATCAAGTAATAAGCAACCTCATCGCTGAAGAACAAGTGAATATGCAAACCTTCTCTTTCTCCTTCCTCCTCTGCTTCTCCTCCTCTTTCCGTTTTGCCTCCTCTTCGGCCCTCCTTTCTTCCTCCTCAATCCGTTTCCGCTCCTCCTCCTCCAGTCTCCTAGCCTCCTCCTCGAGCTTCTTCTTCTCCTCCATCAGCGCCTTTAATGCACTGATACCAGCGGGACCCTTCTTCTTCCCGGCCACAAATGCAGGTGCAGGCTCTTCCTCCTTCTTCGCTTTCTTCTTCTTTTTCTTCTTATCAGACTTTGCTGCGCCACCCTCACCTTCACCCTCCTCATCTTCACCCTCGTCTTTCTGTTCCTGCGTGGACTCGGCAGGTTTTGGCTCTTCCGCTGCAGCTGGTGACTCTGCACCACCAACCGGTTGCTTCTTAGCGGCAGCCTGAGCTTTCTTCTTGGCCTATGGAATAAAGTGACGCGTATCAGATGTTATGAGCTTGTACCAAGTGGCAATGAATGTACCTTTTCTCGTTCCTTCTTTAGCCTCTCCTTCTCCTTCTTTGATAGAACTTTAGGATCGCCATCCTCACCAGCCTCCTCCTCATCTTTCCCCTCATTCGATGGTATAGACTCTAAGGCAGGTGCTGAGAGTGGAACGTAAGTACGGAACGAATAGCATCGCGAGCTTACTAACATACCTGGCTTAACGCCCTCGTCCTCCTTCTCCTCCTCATCTTCGTCTTTCTTTCCCTTCTTTCCTTTGGCTTTCTTGCCCTTCTTGCCCTTCTCCTTGACTGGACCCCACTCTTCCTCAGCCAACTCTTCCGCCGTCATCTGGACCGGTGCCTTCGCTGCACTAATGTCGCCCTTGGCCGCGGCAGCTTCAGTATCAGAACCCTCACCCGGCGGTGGTCCATCAACAAAGGACACTGATGGAGGTTCTGAAGGCGTTGATGGTGACGATTTCTTCGCCTTCTTTTTGTCCTTCTTGGTTTTAGTCGAGTTGGCTTTAAGCACGGACTAAGCAAAATGTACATTAAACTGATAAAGGCAGGTATTGATTACTGTGACGACATACCATCAGCCCGCCGAAATCCTCCTCTTCCTCCACCGGCTCTTCGTCCTGAAGCCCAATTGCAGCGAAAGCTGAGAATCCAACTTTACTCTTTCCTTTCGGAAGATCCCCATCAGATGCATCTCCTGCTAATGGGTCACTAGCGTTGTTCCCTGCGACCGAGGTTCCAGCATTCTCCCTGGGAAGTCAGTAGCATCAGTGAGATGCCCAAGGATCGAAGCGCTCCGTTTCACATACCAGAAATCGTCATCATCCTGCTTCTTTCCCTTCTTTCCTTTGTTTTTGGGTGCCATTGCTCCGGAATAAGAGTATTTTGTAAGGTCCCGAGAGGATGTGGGCTTAGAGAGGTGAGGTGAGCGTTAAGGGAAGAGAATTATAATTACGCAGATCGAGATCAATAATGGTATGCACCACGTGCCAAATTAGGAAGGTTGTGTCGTTCGCACAGATGGTTCGCGCACCCGCCCGGATTTGTCCCTCCCTCTATGGGGCCTGGCTTCGAGACTGTCACTCATTGCATACGCACAGTCTTAAATACTGATGCGTTCTGTCCCCAGCATCGAATGCTATATCAAGTTGTCTTGCCAATACAAGCAAAACTCTCGCGGCTAAAGCTGTGGTCTGCGCCTCGGAACCGTACTGACTCAATATGACGCAACTTTCTCAGACCGTTAGACAGGTAGTACCATAGGCTAGGGACTTTCCCAGCATTCAAAGATTCAGACTTCATGTAGATGGAATCATATTAACGAAAGCGATCTTCGTAACTTGAATAGATAATAGCAGAGAACGCATTAACTTCTCGAACACTACCCAGGCCCTACAAGGTGACACAACGGATCATCAGGACGAGCACTCTCAAAGTAAGGAAAGTAGAACATACATCAACCAACTCGTTTGGTAAGCCTTCTACCGCCGAGTGACACCATCTCGCCAGTCCGGGCAACATGCCAGCCAAGCGAACTTTCGTTTCTGGCCCCAGGGAAGCTGTTGCTTCTTCCCAACCGGTTATACCACTCTTTGGTTCGTTTTCGTGAAATACATTCTTTTCAAGATCATCGAACAGCATATCTGTCGCTCGATCCAAGCAAACCTCGAGCACTCTCTCGAAAGAAGCCGATGTCAGATGAGTGCGAGTCTCTGCAAGGAGACTCTGGAAGGTGGCATCAGGTGCGGACGCTTGTCGTGATGGGATGCCGCCTTGTAAGAGAACGTGATGCAGGGTCTCAGGCGTAGGAGGAAGGAGGGTTGACGCGAAGCTGAGTAGGGAGTTAGACAATACAGTGCGTCAAATAGTATAATACGTACTTTATTCGGCGCTCCTTGCCTTCAAATGTCACCTCAAATTCAACCCTACGACGGACGTCACTGACAAGTCCGAACAGCTCATTTGCGCTGAACTTGGTCTTGAGAGAAACACTATTCAATCATCAATAGGCGCATGGGGAGGATGAAGATATCAGTCATACCTCTCAAACACTTCTTCAACGCCTTTTCGCACCCTTTCGCCAACATCCTTCCAGCCTACGTGAAGAATCCACCAACTAAGAGTCAGATACTTCCTCTCGGTTTCCTCGGTAATGACCTCCACTTCTTGCATATCGTCTTCCGTCGGCAGACCCTCCATGTCCGAACCGCCCCAAAGCAAAGAAGTGAGTGACATGCTATCCTGCCATTGCTCACGCATACGTTCATCATGCGCGAGTTGCACAATTGATTGGATGTACTTGGATCGACCTAGGATGCTAAGCTGGATATGTGTGAATAATGATAGCAAGGTAGTCGAGTATAGTATGGTAAGCGTCCGTGTGAAGGCTAATCATGTATAAGCGGAAGATATAGTGAGAACAAACATGACCTTACTGAGCATCTTGACCTCACGCCATAATTCAGCTTTGGTTTTAGGGACTTGCAAGGTAGGTTGTCCTGTTGGCTGCTACATGTATTGGATGAGAAGTTTGGTAGATGTATGAATGTAAGCTTTCGTACCACTAAAGCATTGTCGTAGCTGACTGCTGAACTATCTGTCATGATAGAATCTGACAAGTTGCTCCCGACATTGGACTTTGGGGATTCAGAACGAGCGTTGGAGTCAGCGCTCGACGGCGTTTGGTTATTCAATCCCTGCGAGGAGGCCACTGAAGAGAACTGGTCCACCCAGCTGTTGGAGGATGCAGCAAGTTCAGAGGATGTAGCACTGTCCTCTTGGCCAGGTGCTGAGATCACGGAAACAGAGCCATTTTCAGAACGGGTATCGTGCTCCTGGCCGTCTTGGGGCGCAGCCCGAGGAAGTTGCGGGAGAGCAACATTCTCTTCGGAAGAAGACTTTGAGGCCCTAGACTGAGACTGCAGTTCCTGTGTGATACCTTCAACGTCCATACCATCCAGTATAAGGCCTCCAAGCGTTGGAAGGAGAGCCATAATGGTGAACAAGGTATCTTGTTGGTTCTGTTCAAAGCGACGTCGTAGACTGTACACGAGTTCGTCAACATTATGAAAGATATAACCAGCATGAAAAGTCTGCCCACTTCTCAAAACTTACTTCTCTCTGGCCAGCCGTTCCTGCATCACCTTCTCTCGCACTTCTTCCAGTTGTCCGACCACATATCGACCAGCAAGATATGCACCCCCGAGATATGTCGCGGTTCGTGTAAGCCCATGTTTCCGTTCACGAAAGAAGTTGACCACTGCATGAAGCATTGTCGAAGAGCGGCGGTAGCATTTGTGTGGTTGGGGATAGAAGTAACCCAGAACCCGGACATGTGTTTCGGGGAGCCGGACGGCGCCTAGCGAAATTCACACCTATCATCTCAACCTCGACTTTCCTCTCGGCGGATATTCATTACAATGGTTCGTGGTCTCCCTCTATTTTCGTAGCGTGTCATTGAAGCTTGTGGTACTATGTAGGGCGGAGGTTCTAGGTTTCCTTATCCCAAGGAGGTGTGGTCGCCAGCGGGTATGTTGTGATGACACTCCTAGTCACAGAACATGCTAAAGCCTGCTTGTTGGTGGACTATACAGGCGGATGGTGGACCAGGCCTTCGAATTGGAAGTCGAACACTGCGATTGCATTCGCTGGTATCCTCGTCATTACATATGGAGCATTCGCCTTCTGCGCTGATCGAGAGGTACGTAACTGTTCCTCCAAGCATGTCGCGCCCGCTAATGATATGCCCTACCAGTGGAGGTATGTCGAGCCGGCGCGTCCAATCCCCTCGATGAAGGTAAGCAGAAAGAATAGCTCCTGAATTGACTACTATGCTAAACAGTCTATACCATGCAGTGGTCAAAGCAGTACAAAGATAGACAATCCGAGTCAACTCAAGAGGAGCATAGCTAGACCTTTCCACGCTCTTCTGTCTTTTCTCAATCGCACGATGATAAAACACCGAATTTAATTTCGATCTTGCGTATCACTATCAAGTCAGCAATTGCTATACAGGACCCAGCCTTCTGGCCAGGCTATTCTTGCTCAATTTCTCATGCCGACATTGTGGAGTCACTACTTTCTATCATTCTGTATGAACTTACTAGAAAGTGGTCAAAGTCCGCGGCATGCAGGGTACCTTTTCTGAACCTTCACCATGAGATCAATGAATATGCGATCGAGGGGACTAAGTTGTATGTTGTATTCCTGCAGTTCTATGTTTGTATATTCTCATACTGATTTGCCAATCACAGCGTGAATGGTGTTTCTACCCTTATCTTTCCCCTCCATTGTGAGTTCAAAAGTTAGTTGGACAGAGCGACCTATGTCTAGGCCCAAGCGACTGCATGAAATTTGTCTGAATTTCACAACGTCGGCAAGCCAATATATCTTGTCTGACAGGGACACTTGCTTGTGTCTGTGGGTGGTTCATTGGCCCTCTAGCCCCAACCATGAATCCTTCCTAATAGGTTTCTGGACTTTTCTGTATTCCGCAGCAGTGAAGCATCTCGTTGAAATTCTTATCCATCTTCGTCCTCTTTGACTCTCACACAGCGTGCCGTCCACTTGTCTACCTTTGGCCTTAGACGATCTCGAAGTACTCTTCTCACATGAGGTCGAACGTTCATACTCCCTCGTGTCGTCATCTCTTTCGGTACCTGGAACAGTTCCAGAGGAAGTCGATTGCCATGGGTGAGTACGTACTTTCATTCGCGCGGTGACTATCAGTGACCTGTCGTAATCTCTTCCGAACATGGACAGGTTCCCCGGTTACCTTTGAGAACATAATTCCTCCAAGGAACGCAGTGGTGTATCTGTGTATCTCCAACGTCAATCAGCACCATACACCCCTCATGTTCACAGGACATTTGTATTATCCTAATCTTGAGACTCACTCTAGCTGTTCGTTAGGCATTTTACGAAATGAGTCGGTTGGAGATAACAAACACTAGACTGAAAGTGACAAGCCAACGGCGTCATATGGCTGCTCCGCGTTCAATGTCGATCGTTCCTAGTACAATTCTCCGACAATCATTCTCCTCCTAACTTCGTAAGTCGCCGTAATACATCCGAGTGATATCAAGACTAGCAGGGATGTTTCAGAGCTCCAGGCAGGTGTTTTCTAGCATTGTCCGTCTTGGCTGACATTTGAATTGAAACGGGCATGAGCAGGAATCCAGGGACATATGCAAAATGGTTTCATGGTCTGCCATGACAGCGCAATGGTTCTAGAATGACTATGGTACACTTGGACAGGCTGCTTGGTATCTTAATATCGTACACTACTTCGCTATTGACATCTTAGCGCCAGCATTCTATTGTTGAACCAATTTCACGAGGTCGACGGGATTGCCGTTACTCTCCAAACCGGCTTGGATGAATGCAACGTCCTTCAGCGCATCAAACGGGTCTCCGAAACCATCGTCGCTCGCAGCAATAGCAGCAAGGAAGCTCTTCAACTCCAGCTCAACACCCTGCACGCGCTCTTCAATAACCTCCTCCGTTTCACCTATGACCCCACCCTTCTCATCCTTCTTAACCGTCCTGACTACGATTCGGAATGCGTTGTACTCATCGCCGTTGACATCCTTTGCTTTGCCTTGTGTGATGGAAATCCAACCGTCAGACCCAGTAATACTGATACTATTTCCAGCGAGGCTCGAGCGAGAAGGAGTTGGTGCTCCCCAAGTGAGCTCGACGAGTCCGTGAGAGCCGTCCTCCGACTTCACGGCAACGTTGATGGTATCATGAGGAGGTAGGTGCTCCTGGTTCAGCGAAGCATAGCCTGAAAGAGAGACCAACGGGCTAGGTAGCATTACGCGGAGCGCGGCGATTGTGTGCTGTAGAAAGAAGGCGTGTGTCGTCAGCTGGAAGAAATCTCGGGGAAACAGTCTGAAGATGAACGCACTACACCACCGTCTAGCTAGCGAACAGAAGAAGCAGCATGTCAATGAATCAATTGAAACCAACCTAGAACGCCGTGAGATCCACTTACGAGGAAGCCACCCTGGTACTAGAAGCAGCAAGGTCAGCGTTCCGTTCTCCAATATCAGACGGCATAGATTGAGCTTACATCTGGAACTGTTCGCCAGGGTGTCTTGTACCATTTAGAGTCCTTAGAGACGTGATTCACCACCCTCGCGTTATAACAAGTGACTTTGCCGATTTTACCGGCTCGAACGACCTTTCCAGCTGCCTGGTACCCTGGTTCAACCTCATAATTTTCTGCGACACGCCAGACAAGGCCTTTGGGCTTATACTTTGAGTTATACTCGGCAATGAGCTCAAGTCCACTGGCGACATCAGGAGCGACAGGCTTCTCGCTCAAAACGTGCTTGTCTGCTGCAAGTGCTTTGCGGATAATGGCTGGCTGAGTGGCGATTGGTAAAACAACAATGACAGCTGTGATGTCCGATCGAGCCAGTAGAGAATCCAAGTCCGCGTTCTGATCGCCATCGTGATAGACACTAGGCAGAACGCTCAGCTTCAGGACCTCTTGTGCCTCCTGGGCAAGCTCCTTGGCACTTTTCTCTGACCGAGAGTATACCGCCTTGAGTTCAACTGCCGAGTTTCCGAGCGATGCAAGGGCGGGAAGGTGTGCTGCAACGAAATGAAATGTAATATACGGTTCAGTCGCGTATGGGTGGTGAGTAGACGATGGTGAATCTCCGGATTTACATCGAGAGGGCGGACATACCTTCTTTGGCAAATATGCCCGCACCAAGGATGGCAAGACCTGGAGGAGACATGGTAGTAAGTAGCACCGTGCAAATACACTGAACGATGGCGTTCGGGTGGGCACAAAAACGGTCAGAGGATTATGTACTCACAATCGAATTAGATGGCTATCGCGAAGGTGTGAACCTATCGGAAGAACCCAGCGTTAGGAGGATCACGACTACGCCTCGAAGCCTGACCTACATCTTGCCGGAGAATTATCGGCCAGGGTTCTTTCAAGGTTGAGAATCCACTGAAAGTGTTCGAGGACCCCTGAAAGGTTTTATAAATATGCCCTACATGAAATTGGTGCCCCAAACGTCGGCAAGGTGTCTTTTTTTGGTTGTTGAGACTAGTGGAAAGGTCGAAGTTTGACAAACATGGCAAGCAAGCCACCTCGAATCAGCGTCTATTTCGCTTTCACAACATTGGAATAGCCGGAGTTCAGGCACATCTGGCTAACTTTTCTCTTGCTCTTCCACCATGATCTTCAACGGCAGGTCGGTAACGATATCTCAAAAACAAATATAATGTTTTATTTAACGCACCCATCCCCGCCCTGGCTTCATAGTGCTATCTGACATATACCGACGAAGATGGTAAAAGCGTAGCGGCATCTACAAAATCTCGGAGGGAATGCATGGGGTCCTGGACATATGTATTGTCAGGCCCCTTCCCTTCGTTTTGCAAGCTTCTATCGACCAAGCCGGATGGGAATGCTCCACCCTCGTCTGGAAAATTTGTTGCCAGGAGGGCCACCTTCTGTGTGATGCGACCGCTTCTGGCCAGTTTGTGCGCTCAACTCTCCCGTTGTAACAGTTTCCTGTTCCCTCTCCGGACTATCCTCGGCACCCCCTTGTCGGAAGTGCCGTCCAGAGTCCACCCAGAGATGATATCGGCATTTTACTCGTGTAGAGCTTTAAGAACAAGGATGCTTGTCATTCTTGCCCCGGTTTTCCCGTCTTCTGCGCAGTAAACATGGTCACTCCAAACACTCCTTCGTCGTACGAACTACCTAGTAACTTCCTGTGGGGCTTTGCCACAGGTAAGATGATCGCCCGCTTTGATTACGGCGTGGCAACGAAGCTTTTCGGATCTCATACTAACCGAATACGATTGTTTACACAGCGAGTTTCCAGATCGAAGGGTCAACTGATGCTGGTGGCCGCGGGAAGTCCATTTGGGACGATTTCTCGAAAATTCCCGGCAAGACTTTAGACGGCAGAGACGGAGATGTTGCCACCGACTCTTATAATCGTTGGCAAGAGGATCTTGACTTGCTTGTTTCTTACGGTGTGAAGTCGTATCGTTTCTCCCTCGCCTGGTCTCGTATCATTCCTCTTGGTGGACGTGACGATCCAATAAGCGAAGAGGGTATCAAGTTCTACTCCGATTTCATTGACGCTCTTCTGGCTAAAGGAATCACTCCCTTCGTTGTTAGTATCTCCAAAAAGTTGGTAGTCCACCTTTGCTCAATTTTGTGGTTTTAGACACTTTACCACTGGGATCTTCCCCAAACTCTCCACGATAGATACCTCGGCTGGTTGAACAAAACCGAAATCGTGCAAGATTATGTTCGCTATGCCAGGGTACGTATTACAAGCTACGCGGCCCGTGGTCTTCAGTTCATGACCCGTTCTTTCATGTAGGTTTGCTTTGAGCGATTCGGAGACCGTGTGAAGCACTGGTAAGTGCATTTCCTTGCTTTCCCGGTGTAATGCTGAATTTGAGCATTCAAAGGCTTACCATGAACGAGCCATGGTGCATCTCGATTCTCGGTTACGGTCGTGGTGTCTTCGCACCAGGTCGGTCAAGCGACCGCCTGCGTTCGCCGGAAGGTGACTCCTCAACAGAGCCCTGGATGTGCGTCTTATCTCCTTCAATTTATTTCGCGTCTCACTGTTAATCGCTGATGTCTTTTCCACGTTATCCGCACCTGTACAGTGCCGGTCACAGCGTCATCTTGTCTCACGCTTATGCAGTGAGAGCGTATCGGGAAGAATTCAAGCAAAAGCAAGGCGGGGAGATTGGCGTTACCTTAAACGGCGACTGGGCCATGCCCTACGATGACAGCCCAGCGAGTAAGTTTCCTGCGTTACTTAATTGCGAGAACTTTCGACGTTGATGACTTGTTGCCGTAATGTCTAGATATCGAAGCCGCTCAGCATGCGCTAGACGTCGCTATCGGTACGTGCACACGGGTCTAATTCCCCGAGGATTTATTGCGTCGTGTACGGTCTGCTGACTTCTTCTGTATCCCATATAGGATGGTTCGCCGTAAGTCGTCCTCGTCTGTTCGCATCCTTACCCTCTTTATTTCACCTTCACGTCACCCTGATTTCTTCCAACTCAATTGAAACGTATCGACTGACATGCCTTTTGTGACAGGACCCGATCTATCTCGGAAGTTACCCTGCTTACATGAAAGAAATGCTGGGGGATCGCCTTCCTTCGTTTACAGAGGAGGAATGGAGCGTCGTGAAGGGCTCTTCTGATTTCTATGGCATGAACACGTACACCACTAACCTTTGCAGTGAGTTTCCCATCTCTATATGTTGGTGTTGGCGACGTCCATTGAGAGATTTCTATTTCTCGTAGAGGCTGGCGGTGAAGACGAGTTTCAGGGCAATGTCGAGTACACCTTCACTCGTCCTGATGGCACTCAACTCGGTACCCAAGGTAAGCTTCACATTCCATGGCTTTGGCTTCATATTGATTTCGTTTCAGCACACTGCGCATGGTTACAAGATTGTACGTCGGCCTCACCATTCATACGTCTGTCAACCAGTTCAATCTGACCGCTACCTTCGTAGATCCTGAAGGGTTCCGCGACCTCTTGAATTACCTCTACAAGGTTCGTATCCAAAGCTATTTATAACGCGTGTCCAGTAATCTGACCATTCTCGTTGTGCGCAGCGGTACCGAAAGCCTATATAGTAAGTTCACACAGGCAGTCAATACCTGTTATATTTCTGACCCTTGTTACGCTGTTGTCCTTTGTATTCGTAGCGTGACAGAGAATGGATTTGCTGTGAAAGACGAAGATAAGAAGCCTGTAGAAGAAGCTCTCCATGACGATGACCGCGTGCAGTATTATCGTGGGGTCACTGACTCCCTCATCAAGGCCGTCAACGAGGACGGCGTTGATGTTCGAGCGTACTTTGCGTGGAGTCTCCTTGATAACTTTGAATGGTATGCCCCGTTCGGCTTCAGTTGTAGCATTGCGCGCTGATTTTGAGTTCAGGGCCGATGGATATGTTACCCGGTTCGGTGTAACGTACGTCGATTACAAGACCCAGAAAAGATACGCTAAAGACTCCGGCAACTTTATTGCCAAGGTAGGCAGGCCCTTGATGAGATGTAGGTCACGGGTTGGCACTGATTATGACGGTGCTTGAAGTGGTTCCAGGACCACGTTCAACAAGAGGAGAAGGATGCGCCACCTACTCCTGTTAAGAACGCAAAGGAGGTCCCACCCGCTCATGGTTCAAAACGGGCGAGTGCTGTCCATGGAAAGGTGAGTGCCAAGTTATTATGCATAATGGCGTTGGAGCTGAAAATACATCCGCACGTAGACCAAGGAGAATTCGAAACGGTCTTGGAAGGCACCCCTCGCGAGGATCACGGCGTATGTGTCCACATTCCTCGGATTGTGATTCCGTCAAGTGTTTCGCATGTTTTGTCATGTAGTACAGTGCCTCTTGCTGTGGACAGGACCTATTTCAGTCTAAGCCGGCGACCAGTAGAATGGTACCGCCCTGATATTCCACATTTTGTTGATTATGTATTGCTACCATGTACTTGTATGAGTAGTTCCTGGTATGTTTAGGATATTGAGTTTGCAATGTTATGTCAGTATGTGGCTCGATTTGGAGCGTGAGAAGGTGGAGGGAGATTTGGAGAACGGGCAGTTCCAGTTATATTCTTCACCTCCGAAGGCTCCCGACTCAACATGCATTCAGCATTGTCTAACTATCCCAACGATCCGGCCCACGCCGACTCTACAACCTCCTCTACAACTCAAACTACGCTGCCAAATCCTCCAACTCAGGAAAACTCTGGTGCTGCAGACAGGGGACACTCCTCAGACCACGACGACGACGCGGGAAAGAAGAAAAAAGCTGCCAAACGTCGAAAAGTCAACCATGCATGCTTATACTGTCGGCGGAGCCATATGACTTGTGATGAGGGTCGTCCTTGTCAGCGATGGTGAGCAGCTTTTACTCTGGCCTTTGCGTATATGCGCGGTTACTAGTAGACGTAGACGTAACTGACACGTTCTGGTCAGCATCAAGCGTGAGATAGGACACCTCTGTCATGATGAACGGAGACCTTCGGCTAAGGACAAAGAGAAGACTCCTTCTACATCTCCAGGTACTGCAGTCGCTTCTACCTCGCAGACACCGCAAGCTAGTCAACCCGCCGACGTGGCGAAGGGACTACCTGGCAAGCAGTTGCTTGAGACTTTTTCCACCAGAACTGGATCTCTTGACGTTCCTTTCGTGTTATGCTAGCTACAGTAGCTCCACAACCATTTGGGACACCGCCCATGACCTCCAGTATGAATACTGGATGGCCGAGCATGAACCTTACCCCTCAGAACGCATTTCTTTACCAACCTGAAACCTTAGGAAACGAGTTCTCAGTACTCTCGTATGTACCGAGAGAATTATACGCCATACATGGGTCAGGCTCATCGTTGCTTGTGAAGTGACTTTCTAGAATCGCTGGACGAAGGCTCGTTCTTCAGCCAAGCCGCCGTAGCGCCTTCGCTGATGTCAACCTCGCCTTACGCAAATCCCATGAACATGGCCGTCGATAATCACTCCTATCTACCGGACACTACACAAACACAGCCCTCCAACGAACCTGCCCCACCGGCGCCCGAGAAACCGTCGGAAGAGCCGCCGCCCGTCGTCCTTCCCGCAGCTACTAAAACGGAGCGATTTTTCCTCACGGCGGCAGATCAGGCATCTGGGACGCGTAATGAACGGCTGAACATGGTTATTCGAAGTAAATATGAGGCTGGCCTCCTGAAACCGTACAATTATGTGAAGGGTTACGCCCGCCTATCGCGTTGGATGGATAAGAAGTGAGTTTCCTCCCCTGTCGTGACGTCACATTTTGTTGATCTTGCATGTCAGCGTTTCTCAAGAATCAAAACAGAAGATTCTGCAGCCTTTGTCGGTGCTACGGCCAAAATTCAGGGTATGTTGCATGCAGAGTCATATATTTCAATGTTGCTCACCTTTTCTTGGTAGTCAATAGCGCAGTCCGAGTCGTTAACCGATATAGTGAGTGGTCTAGTGCTCCTGTGATAATCCATGATCAGCACTCATTCATATCGCGCAGGATTTGGTCTTTATCGAAGAAGCATTTGAACGTCTTCTTCTTGACTATGACCGGGTTTTCTCCGCTATGGCGATACCAGCCTGTCTATGGCGACGTACTGGCGAAATCTACAAGGCGAATCGCGAATTTGCCGAGCTCGTTGGCGTAGATGGATATATGCTCCGAGATGTAGGTTTTAAGTATACCATTGCATATACGCGGGTCTGACAGTGATTTCAGGGTCGGTTGTGTATATACGAACTTATGGCCGAAGACTCTGCCGTTAACTACTGGGAGGTTTGTCTAACTCGTTATCCTACCCTACCCTGACATCACCTCATGTCCCTCTTTATTTACGATTCACAGAAATACGGTCACGTCGCCTTTGACTCCAATCAAAAGGCTGTCCTCACCTCCTGTGTCCTCCGATATAAACCCGTACTTCCAACTTCCGGAGCCGCAACGCCAGCTAACGCTCTTGGGAAGGGAGGAGAGACGAAACCGGAGGAGAGGTTCATAAGTTGTTGTTTTTCTTTTACTATTCGTAGAGATCCTTATGGGATCCCGACGTTAATCGTTGGGAATTTCATCAAGTGTTGATCATCATAGACTTATAGATACATTGACAGTCGTAATAAGTTTCTTTCGTACTGTATTCTTATTGCTAGGTGGTACGCCGCCGCAAACTAGACTTTTTTGTTTTCGTACAAATGACTTGGGAGTGTTGCCATACCTCTCGACCGGCCAGTTGGATTCTCTACCACAAGGAATTCGTCAATGTCGTTCGTCTTCCCTTTTTCAAAGTCATTGTTTTCATAACCTCTTGATATAGATGCGACCAGACGAGTGAAATATGGAAAACTCGACTTCAGCTCTAGGTGGCCAATTCCCGGCCTCGGAAGATTCAGATATATATCAGCCAGCATACAGTGCGCGCGGCAGCGAGTTTCCCTGTGGTGACGATCCTTATTAACAAAGACGGACCAGGCCATGCCTAGCTCGACATGTGAGACAAGAACAGATACCAGTCCCTCAAACCAGCACGCAGGATAGGCGAAGTAAAAAGAAATGAACATCAAGAGACAGGTAAGCATATTGATAATCATGTGGTGCCACTAGCGACACAACCTAAATTGAGAACAGAATGAAAACAATGGACAAGAGAAAAAGTACATTCGGCTGCCGTGAAACACAACTCCAGAAGGGATGCATAGTAGAAAGAGAGAAGCAGACGCCGGAGTCTCTCAACCCTCTTCGTTGAATCTAGTCCGAGTCATACGGCCAACCATTATCGACAGTGAATGTGAGTATGCCTCTGTCCGATGTACGTGGTAGGCGAGTAGAGGGATCACATGGGCTGCGCCGGAGTGACACTTCATTCAAGTTCTGGAATGGGGTGTTTTGGAGGATATTGTCGAGGGCTTGCCACACTCTATCATCATCAGGCTCCCTTCTCGCCATAACATTGGTGAATTCAAAACACATTTGGGAAAGACTAGACCGAATGTAGGGTAATGCGAGATTCACGCAGCCCAACAGGTATTTCGTGGCATCACGGATACAGAGCCTGCGCAGAGCAGGACAAGCTTGCAAACCTGTATCTAGGATTAAGTCACAGTCAATAGTTATCAATGTGACGATACGCGGAGAGGCTTACATAGCTCAGGCGAATTGAATAAACATGCGGACAAGGTCAGCTCTCGCAGGAGAGTGCCCCTCGCACGGAGTAACCGTGCGACTGCTGGTGCCTTTTCATCCACTCTAGAATATATCGATTGCATGCCAACGTACGTGAAACTGGTCAAGGATACAGTGACAGGTGTCCGCGAAAGCCAATCATAGAGAACAATCGGTGGCGGATGGATATGGTCATAAGTAATTTTGACCGTCTGAAGTCTAGGAAGGCGCGAATGCTCTGCAAGATTAGGGTATGAGGATGTTTCGGGTGCACTTTCCGAGAAGTCGAGACTCTCCAAAGAAAGCTGAGTCAACGATGGAAGCGATAAAACTAATGCCTCCAACTGAGTCAGTGATGCTAAAGATGCCTCATCCAGATACAGACGCCGGAGAGAAGTCAGAAGGGTGAACGTATGCATGGCTCCGTGATCCAGCGGAGAGAGGTTTATGTTACAAAAGCGAATGCCCTCCAGTGCAGCCAGCAAAGGTAACAAGTCAGTTACAAGTTGACTGACACCGTAAGCCTTCAGGGAGTCGTCTGCGAAAGGATTTGTATCGATTATATCCAGATGGCGAACAGCTCCGGTATGATTGGGTCGCACGCGCGATACGTCCTGGGTTGTCATCACGTCTCGTCGACGGTTGACGCGGAGAAAGCGAAATAAGTTCCATTGGCTCCTCGTCTGCCATGAACGACAGGTAAGGGAACAAGCACGCAATGTCTCGGTGCTAGGACGTCGAAACCGATAATCCCACAAGACGGGACCACTAACTTCGTCAATGATCGCCTCCCAAATCTCGACAGGTAATGTTAGAGTCCTAGGTGTCATTGAGACCTCTGGGTCACGAAGATGCTGGCAATCATCTAACGTGAAAGAAATCAACAATTAGTTGGGCCACACCATAAAGTGCATATGTAACAGATCGATACTCACCTTGGGGATCTAACATATCACTCCGAGTCATCGACCCGTCTCCAGGGTTAGACAGCCCTGAGGTTCTGCCCAACTTATATTTCCTGTAATGGCTACGACACAATAAGGCATCAGCCAGGTATAGGCATATTGAAGTACTCATGTGCACCTTGCGACCTTACGAAAACAGTACATAGGCTCGCTCAGAAAGATGATAGGCTCTAAAAATTGTGCCCGAAAGATGGTGTCTGAAAACAATCCCGACGAAGTTGAGACCTCACCAGGCAACAATTACCGACCAAGTTTAAATATCTCGAGGTGGCGGTTCCAACACAAAAAGGATTGATGGACGTTTGCGTCAAGTCAAGAAGGATTGATACATGTTTGGGTCAGGTCGACATCAATCGATGATGGTCGCACTTACCTAGTCTCCCAAAGGCAGAGTAGCCAGAGACTGTGGGAAACAGATCCACTGATGTTCAGTACTCAGTGTTCGTTGCGCAGTGATTTTGCAGATACCACCTGGTGACTAAAAGTCATTGAGTCCACTAGAACAATAAATCTCATTGTGGTTCACAAATGTCTCGAGAATCATTGAGTATCTTATTGATTTTGAAAAGCACTTTTTCTTGTAGTCAATGGCAAGGCTTAACTCGTATGAGGGGACAGTGGCAAGAGTGAGAGAAAAAAAATCAAGGAAGCGGCAGGAAATTGGCTTTAGACCAAGTCCTAGGTCAGACAGAGCTGGAGAAGGTTGCGTGATGGGAGACTGAGTCCTGGTAAGATGGCCGGGAGATTAAAGCTCCAACGCCATGCGGAGTAACATGAGATGAACAACGATTCTGTAGACAGGTAAGTACCCCAGTCGTGTTGGTCTCACTCGTGAGGTCGCGCGTTGTACAGAGTCCATCATGATGAGGTGGGAATACAAAAGCGACCACATCGCCATTTGAGAAGCGTAAGACTACAGACATGATGTAAGTTCAGGACAGAATGAATATGATCCGTTATAGAGAAAGTGCATCAGATAAATGATTCAGGCAGTTTAACTGGTCTGAATGACGGTAAAAAGAAGGAAGACGAGATAGGGTTTTTGTCCATTCTAGATAGCGGTATGCTGAAGCACGAAGCATGATACGAGTTTCCCTCGACGGTACACTAGTTCGGCCGTCCGTGTGACACTCGTCGTCCTCATGGTGTAACATCATCGTGGGGGTACAGATATGCAGAGGAAGCAACTTGTATAAGATTGAAAGCGGGGGAAAAGGAGGCGTTTCATGACACTAAACCTCAACGAGAGCGTCATGCCGCGGCCGTGAATGTGAGTATGCCTCTGTCCAATGTACGTGGTAGGCAAGTAGCGGGATTATAGGGGTAGCACTGCCGGAGTGAAACCGTGACTTCATTCAAGTTCCGGAATGGGTTACTTTGGAGGATATCGTCAAGGGTTTGCCACGGTTTGTCTTCATCAGACTCCTTGTCTTTCATGAAAGATTCAAATCCAAAAGATATTTGAGAAGTATGAGACTGAACGTGGGGCAACGCCGAGTTTATGTAGCCAAAATAATATTCTGTCGTGATATCACGGATATCGAGCTGGTGCAGAACGGGACAAGCTTGCAAGCCTGTATCTAGGATTGAGTCATAATGAATGTTCATTATGTCCATCAATGCAACAACACATCGCGAGACTTACATAGCTCGAGGGACACAAAGAAATCAGCAGACAATGTCAACTCCCGCAGGAGAGTGCCCCTCGCATGGAGTAACCTTGCGACCGCCCGTCCCTTTACACCAACCGCCAAGTCCACATCAGTATGAGTGGGGCTGGTCAAATTCGCACCGATAGGTGACTGAGAAAGCCAATCATGAATAGTCGGTGCCTCAATTATATTGTCATTAGTAATCTCCACCGCCTGAAGCGTAGGACGATGCGAATGCCGAGCGACGTTGGCATAGGAAGATCCTTCTGGTGCACTTGTGAAGAAGTTAATACGCTCCAAAGAAAGTCGAGTTAATGACGGAAGTGCTAAAATAAATGCCTCCAATTGAGACAGCGACGCTAGAGATACTCTCTCCAGACGGAGATATTGGAGAGAAGCCAGAACGGTGAGCGTATCCAAAGCCTCGGGATCCAGTGGGAGGAGGTCCATATTGCAAATGCGCATGCCTTCCAGTGCGGGCAGCAAAGGTAACAAGTCAATCACAAGTTTCCTGGTACCGTAAGCCTGCAACGAGTCCATTATATCCAGATAGCGAACAGCTCGAGCATGATTTGGTCGCATGTGGCATATCAGCCGAACGTTTATCACGTCTCGTCCGTAGTTGACGCGGAGAAAACGAAACAAGTTGAATTGGCTTCTTTGCCGCCACGAACGACAGGTAAGGGAACAAGCACGCAATGTCTCGTTGCGAAGACGTCGAAAACGATAATCCCACAAGGCGGGACCACCAATCTCGTCAATGATCGCCTCCCAAATCTCGACAGGCAAGGTTAAAGTCTACTGACCATCTAACGGGAATCAAATCGACTATCAGTCAGTGGGCCACAGCATAAAGTGTATATTGATACTCACCTTGAGTACATAACATATCACTCATCGCCCTAAGCTCAATGTTATAAAGAACGACTGTCTTCTTCCGTGGGTCTGTGGATACTGCCTAATGTGACTTGATCTGACACTGCAGTGGCTAACGATACAGTGATGCATTAGCCATGTATAGGCGTGTTGAAGTATCACCTTACGACCTTCAAGAAATGGTAATCCCGATGAGGTTTAAATTTCACCAGACAAGTAAAACATTCGTAGTCCACCGAGTTTTCCAGAGGTGATGGTTCCGAGTCAAGAAAGGATTAGTGGGCGGAGTCACATCAATCGATGATGGTCATACTTAACCCGACTATTCGCCGTTACAACGACTTCCAGTTCCAGACCCGTAAGACGTAAGATAGTAAAACCTAAATCGAACATACACTAGATACACGTCAGAGATATAACGAACGCAGAAAGACACACAAAAAGGGAGGATACTACTTGTCGGCTTTAGTCTTCGAAAACGCCCAGAGAAGAAACCAAAATACATATACAAAAAAACGCTAACAAAGACTTTTGATTTCTTTTACTTCTGACGTCAACCAACAGCACTCCATACCCAAGCAAGAGTCAACCGTCCAAAACGAGATGCGGAAAGGATAAGGACACCAAGTCGAAGACGCGGGAATAGGAGAGAGGGGGAAGGATAGCAGAGGTGGAAAGAGCTTAGCTCGAACTGTTGCCCGCAACCTTGTCCTTGATGATTTCCACGATGGAAGGATCACCAAGTGTACTGAGGTCTCCAAGCTGGTCGCCTTCGCCCGCAACGATCTTACGCATGATACGACGCATGATCTACACCAAGGAAAAGACAAATGAGCTCAAGGAACGAACGGAGAGCCGACCAATAAAGAGAACAGAGAAGAAACGATAGCGTACCTTGCCAGATCTCGTCTTGGGCAAATCAGGCACGATGTACACTTTCTTGGGGGCAGCGAAGGGTCCGATGACCTTACGAACTTGAAGAGTAAGTTCCTTGGCAAGCGCGGCTTCATCGTTCCGGTCGTACGTGAATTCACTAGTAATATCAATCTCATATATCAGCCATACGCCCTCAATCATAACAAAAGAAGAAAGACACGAGTGCAAGCGAAAACTCACGGCTTCAAAGTGACGAAGGCGTAGACAGCTTGACCAGTTAACTCATCAGCCGTACCGATAACGGCTGTCTCAGCCACGCCCTTGTGGAGGATAAGGGCGGATTCGATCTCAGCAGTTGAGAGACGGTGACCAGAGACGTTGATGACATCTACAAGGGACGAACGGAGATGGGATGAGCTTGAACCCTGGATGGGAAAGTATTTCAAGATGACATACCATCGACACGTCCCTTGATCCAAATGTATCCATGTTCGTCACGAGCAGCTCCATCGCCAGTATAGAAGAAACCTGGGTAAGGCTGCGCAAGAAAGAAAAAGTAACCCGATGTTAGGCTACTTGGTAGGAAGAAGAAGCGGAAACCAGAAATGACGGACCTTCATGTAAGTGTCCAGGTACCGCTTATGGTCCTGGTAGATCGTGCGAGCAATAGATGGCCAGGGGTGCTTGATCACGAGGACACCTTCGACGTTGTTGCCTTCCAGTTCCTAGAGAGACCAGGCACAAACAAGCGCGGAGACATTAGCATCTGAACATCACGTCACGAGGGACACAAAAGCAAAAGAAGCAAGAACAAAGAAGCAAGAGAAGCCTCAAGCGCAAAGTGCCTGAATGGCTCAAAGCGTCGAAGCCAAATATAATTTGAATAGAGGGAGGGATGACGTACCTTGCCAGTTTGAGGATCCAAGATCGCTGTCTCGATTCCAAAGAACGGCACAGTCGCACTTCCGGGTTTCGTCTCGATGGCACCAGGGAAGGGCGTGACGACGATACTGCCTGTCTCCGTCTGCCAGAACGTGTCCACAATCGCACATTCCCTTTTGCCCACATGGTCGTTATACCAATGCCACGCCTCTGGGTTAATTGGCTCTCCAACCGAACCCAAAACTCGGAGTGAGGATAGGTCGTGATCTTTGACGTGATGTTCGCCGAGTCGACGAAGGAGACGGATAGCAGTAGGGGCGGAGTAGAATTGGGTGAGTTGATGCTTCTCGACGGTTTGCCAGTACCGCGAGGGGGTTGGGTATACTGGCGTAGATTCGAAAACAACAGTAGAAACGCCGTTGAGGAGAGGTCCGTAAACAATGTACCTAGAGGCCGAAGAGTTGAAATGAGTATTTGGAGGAGCGGTTGGACAATAGAGCGTAACTCACGTATGACCCGTAATCCAGCCAATGTCGGCCATACATGCGAACTTGTCTTCGGGATGCACGTCGAACACATACTTTACGGTGAGTGCCGCGCAAAGGAGGTATCCTCCAGTGGTGTGAACGACACCCTTGGGCTTTCCGGTGGAACCGGACGTCTACACCTGCCGATTAGAAAGACAGTAAAGCATGACTGAATGAGAGCAGACATACGTAAAGGATGAAGAGAGGGTCCTCGGCGGACATGATCTCAATTGGGCAATAGTTCGGGACCTTTTCCGTTTCTTCATGCCACCACTTATCTCTTCCAGCCGTCCAAGGGACCTGACTCCCAGTCCGCTTTAACACAAGTACATGCTCCACGATATTCGACTGCTGCAACGCCGCATCCGCTATAGCCTTGGTCGCAATTGTCTTCCCGCCTCGTCTTCCCTCATCGGAAGTGATAAGAACGCGAGATTTGCAATCGTTGATACGGTCACGTAAAGATTCGGCCGAGAAACCTGCGAACACGACAGAGTGGACTGCACCGATACGTGCGCATGCGAGGAAGGCGGCGACGGCTTGCCAGTGCATTGGGAGGTATATAGATACGGTATCGCCCTTCTTTACACCGAAAGATCTGAGGACGTTGGCTACTCTGCATACTTCGCGAAGCAGCTCAGCGTAAGTGACGTTACAGCCTTCATTTGGTTCATCTCCTTCATAGATGATAGCGGTCTGGACTCAGGGGCAAAGATGAGTATATGCGGTGCCAGTGTGGGGAAAGATAAGCTGACCTTGTCTGGGTGCTTGAACGCCCAGCGATCGACACAGTTGTATGATGCGTTCAGGGCACCTTCGGGGAACCAGACGATGTCTCCGTTTACGAATCCGCCTGATCGAACAGCGTGGAAGGGGCGGTCCCAGTGGAGAGCCTCTCGCGCCATCTGCATGTGACTCTTTTATTATTACTGGATCTCGGAAGATAAAACACGACAGACATGCCTTTGACCACCACGTGTCCGACTCATGGCCTACTGTTTCGGAATGAACATCTCTGTATGCATGGATATGGGGGCCGACATGGGGTATATTGACGCCGTGCTTGACCCTAGGGGCGATGGGATGCGTGGGGACGGCTTCGTGTTCCTTCAGCGGGGGCGAGGGTGGTTTCTCGTTGGCAGTCATGATGGAAGTGAGAGGGAAAGAGGGATGAGGAAGGGTGTTGGGAGCAGGGACTAATATACGGGAGGAGGAAGAGGATAAATGCGCGTGATGTAAAGTGGGATGGGTGTCCCCTATTTTGTACCAATCCCGGGCACCTGTTGCGAATCCTCAACGGGGAACCGTGGGCGTCTGCGCCAACAGCTATGTCCACCTCCTGACCTGCCTTTCCCGGCGTAGTCCCCCTCGACAAATCAGTTCCGCCTTGCCGCCGTCCAAGCTGCTCGGGTCACCGTTTCCGCCGCAATCGTCGTTAAAATCGTCTCAGTACATCCACCTCAAAGCACACTGCTCTCTCCGTCGATGTTCATCATGAGCGGAAAAAAAGTGGAAAAAGGCTATAGTGCGGAGCAGACTAGTACCAGCAGATAGCTAGAGCTAAAGTGACAGCTATTCTTACGACAACAACCGGCGACATGCAGCTAAAACTCTGTGAGGCCAAAACACGAAAGTTTAGAACCCCGTACAACAAATGCGGGGAAGATCGATCATGCCATGCCCCTTGCGCGGCGTGTAGGCCTATTTCGCCCTTGGCTGCGGGGTAACCACTCACTCCTTCCTACCCCGCATCACACCCACTTGTCTATCATCCGCATATTTCAAAGCAGAAAACGTCCATAGACCTCCGACTCTTATCGAAGGCCTCGACGTCAAGCAATCAAATGACAATGTGACCGTGGTTTTAATTCCCAGTGCCCAAAGTCAGCAAGAATGACTACCGTTTCTTCGGACGTCCCAAGACAATCGGAGATCCGTCCGCTAATGGCTACGTCCCCCTATGCCGCGTTCAATTTGAACTATTCCAATCCCGCGAGACTGTCCGACTCGCTTGCAATTGTATGCAGGACCTCGTCATAAAGAAGTTCGTTTGCCAGTAATTGAATTGGAGGGACTTCTTTAAAGCCCATGGATATCAGCTGATCTTGTGACCGTTTAAGATGACGATATCTTGAAATGGGAACAAAACCTCCGAGTCCAAACGCGCCAAGCCGGGATCCTTTGCATTGACCGTGATATTGTCTTCAGCGCCTTGTGAAGCACCAGAGCAGTCTCTTGATCGAAAGTAATGTAGAGAAATGAGGTACCGGATACCGTCGGAATGCCTAGCTTGTTAGCGGGAGAAGCCAATGAGAATCCAAGAAAGAAGCATAGCAGCATAGCATAGCGTGAAGTGCGGGGGTGCGGGGTAAGACGGGGAAGCGTCTTGGAGGTGTGGAGCCTAAGAGCCTTGGGATGCGGAGATCGTAACCACTAGTATCAACGCGTCCATAATTGGTTTTTCGTTGGTGGTAGCCAGTCGTCCCTGTTGCCGCCGGTTGGTGGCCGCAGAGAAGATCGTCTGAGCGAGCCTACGGAAGAGCTCGCGTGGATGAGTGGATGGAAAGCAAGCGGAATAGCAGGTTCCCAAGTTCAGTGAGTCCGAATGGGTCTTTTAAGCGTTTGGGGCATCGGGCGGGGTCGTTTTACAGGAAGCATATAAGCTCTTTTCAGGCGCGCATAATTACGAATTCGTCATTCGCTATTCGGGTCTTGCAGGAGCAATGAGACTGTAGAATAGCCTGCTTCTCGGTCCCGGGCTTCGGCGAGAGGTAGCTTTCAAGACGGGTGTAGATATTGAGTTAAAACGCCTGTAGAGACATCGTACCACTCACTCAGTGTGGTCCTGTGTTGAGGGTACAGTAATAGGATCCAGTCAAAGGAATGCCTATGCACGCTCATGCGACCTGTAGGAGCACAATCATACGATGGAAAGCAAACGTCTTTTGTTCATAAGAAGAAAATGAGAATGCATTTTGGAGTTGGTTTGAAGATGATGTGGTTGTGGACATATGTCGACGAGCATCATGCATCATGTCCAAAGGCAAAAAAAAATCGAAAAAAAGCACGATTGCGGCGTCCGGAGCTCCCGGCCCGTCAGCGCGTCGCGACGCGTTCCTGACTAATGAGTCACGTCAACGCAAGGTTTCGTTGTTTGCATCCGTGTCTTTAGCTCCAATTCTTCATTTCCGCACACCAAAGTGATTCTACAATGATTTTATAGCCTAACACTTACTCTTTTTCAATTGCTACCATTATGCCACCAAAATCCAAAACCAAGGCCACCAAAGGCGGAAAGAAGGCGTCTGGACAAAAATCCAAGGCGCAATCCACAGGATCTACGCGATCACAACCTTCACCACGGAAGAAAGGTTCCGAACCCTCTGAGTCTGACGCTTCAGACGAACCTCTGAGCGAAGATGATACCGAAGAAGTAGATGACAGTGACGCCTACCAATACTCTGCGCGCGAAGAAGAGGACGACGAAGCATCGTTGCACAGTGACGCTTTGGATGAAGTCGAAGATATCCGCCCCGCTAAAGATACCACCTCACGCAAACGCACACGTAATTCGGATACAAGGGGAGCAGCCAAGGCGTCTCCGGCGAAGAAAGGTAAGACCAAGAGCTCGCCGAAGAAGAAACGCAAGACCAAGGGTAGTGACGCGGAGGATGACGATGACCTGGAGTTGGAAGAAGGCCAGGAGATCGTCGGTGTGGTCGTGCAAGCTCCAAAGACCGGGCGAGGTGAGTTTCGTTCAGGGAGTTATGTTCGAAATAGAATGTGCGACTGATAACTGAGCGAATGATAGTTCCGCCTGGTCAGATATCCCAGAATACGTTCAATTTCTTGTCAGACCTGAAGACACCCGAGTGTAATGATCGAGAATGGTTCAAGCTTCATGGTAAGTACTTCCTTACCTCTTCATCATCCTCATTCTCCGTAGGGTACTAACGACCCAACATGTCCTTTGTAGAACCGGTCTACCGTGTCGCCGAGAAAGAGTGGAAAGACTTCATCGACGAATTCACAGTTCTCTTGACCGAAGCGGACCCTCAGATCCCGCCCCTCCCTCCAAAGGACGTCATACATCGAATATACCGCGACATCCGGTTCAGTAATGATAAGACGCCGTACAAGACAAACTTTTCTGCTAGTTTCTCCAGGAGTGGGAGGAAGGGCATTTTTGCCGGATGTACGCATCCACAATCCCTTCCCTACATATTCAATGTTTCGCGCTAACCTAAGCATCTCAATTTCATTCCAGATCATATGTATGTACACCGTTTTCGATGTTTGTCGCTGGATGACTGTAATATTGTTTTCTTTTTTCAGTTGCAGTATGTATTACGAGAGTATCCAAGAACATACGCTCACAGACCCACAATACAGTTTCACCAGGTGGCCAGAGTCTCATAGCAGCAGGGTCGTGGCAGCCAGGCAAGAATGAACTCAGTACCATCAGGTTGGTTCGCTCTTCATCCGGTCACCGGAACTATTATTTTACTTCACTGTGCACAGGAATAACATCCTCCGTTCCTCGAGACGCCTCCGTGAGATCATTTCAGACCCTACCTTCGTCGGCTTGTTCGGTGAACCAAAACCCCATCCGAAAGGCCTCCGAAGGAATATATTCGGAATGGAAGATGAGTTGAAAGTCGCACCGAAAGGTATCGATAAGAATCACAAGTGAGTGTACAAATATACATACTTGACATTGTGGACGCTTTCTCGTACGTTGTCTATGGGGAACAGGGCTGAGTTGACATATCGGTGACGCAGGGACATCGATCTATTGAAATGCCGTTCGTTTGCCGTCCTTCACTAGTGCGTTTTGCCTTTTTCTCGCCTGGTGTACTCTATGACTGGTTTTTGAACGACGGACGGGATATTTGCAGTTTCACGGACAAGCAAGTACTGCAAGAGGATTTCAAAGAAGAGTTGGCGAGATTAGTCACTCTTCTCCGTCCCTTCGTGCATTGGTAAGTGGTTCAAAACGTGCATAACTCTCCAGTGTATGACGGCATGTTTATCGTTATAGCATCAACGATTTGATGACGCTCCAGAATGGAGACCAGGACTCGAGTTCTGAAGATGGGGAAGACGGCGAAGAAGACGAGGATCAGGATGATGAAGGTGAACAATCCTGAAAATAAGTACCCCATGATTGATATCTTGGCTACAACGGTTATGGCTTTCTTGCACGACTTGTATATGTACCTCTATAGGTTTGGGACTTTTGGATTATAGTAATGAATGGATGGTATATATACCCTGATTTTAGCGTACACAATGGGATCACCGTACAAATCGAAGACAACACATAACGGTGCCATGCCAGAAGTCGAACGACAATAGTATGTCAATCAATCCTGATGCTTGCGACCGCAGGTTGAATGCCAATCTCCCATTGCTTAAACTCTCCTACCGCTGACCGTGGTACCCAATCACGACCCCGCTTCGACCACTTGACGCTGGAGGTGAAAGATACTTCGCTCAAAGAACCAGGAAGGCCGACTTGTTCCCAATGATCCAACATATGTCTTTGAACCTTGAGAGTGGCAAACTCGTTAAAGGATGACAACGGGAAGGTAGGGCAGCCTTCGAGGAACGTGAATGTTCGAAGGTTAGGCAGGCGAGGGAAAAGATCTTCAGACACGGAGACAAGAATTTCTAACTAGAAAATAGTCATGTCTATCAGCAAGGCATCAGACAGAGATGCTAGTGTTGTTGATTATTCACCGCATATCGTAAATCGAAACTGGACCAGTCCGGAGCAACTCTAAAAAAGATGCTTTCCAAGGAGGAAAGAGGTGGCATGAGGGTCCACAGTTCATTCAGAGGAGCTCCAAGCATGAACAAGTCAAGATGCAAGATGCGGAGAGAGGGAGCGCAGTTGATGAGCGACTTTACAGCAACTCGAACGTCCTCCCAATGGGTATCCATTCCGGGATGTATTTCGATTGATTGCAACGACCTGGGAGACGTCGAGAAGAGTGGCATTACGGTATAGGACGTTTCTATCTTCTCCAAAGTCGGAAAAGCATGAGATAGACTAAGAGTTGGGATAGGGCCAAATGGAATACTGGCGAATGTGAGGGTAGTAATGTTTGGTATTTGACGTGGAAGGGCGGGCGTGAGATATGGAAGTGGCAAATCTGCTAGGATGCGGAGATTGGGTAGACAGATGTCCTCAGGTAAGAGACCGGTGAATTCGTTATCCTTGGTTGTACGAATGTAGAGAGAGAGCCCTTGGAGTTGTTCAGCATGGTCAGCAACCATGCCGTGGAAGATATCACGTATAACTGGGTCCACAAAGAATTGCACTTGAATTTCGAGATGCCTGAGCGATGGCAGCTTCGCCTTGAGATCAGGAAGGATCCCAAAGGTACCGGTTGAGTCATCCGTAGAAGAGACACACTTGGAGTAATCGTCAACACAGATGAGGGACAGCGTGGTAAGGTGATCCATGGGCGAGAGCAAAGCAGCAAGAAGATCTGGGTGAAAAGGACATTCGAGGCCCACTTCTCGCACTCCATCCATGCAAGTCAGGGCTCGACTCAGCATCTTCCAGAACTGAGGGCTCTTCAGCTTTTTCTTGTTGTCCTCCTTGAGATCGTCCTCCGGCAACAAAAGAGAGAATTGTCTAACAAGCCCGGCCGAACCAATCGTTGAATTTGAGAGCGTTCGGATACATTTTTCGGCTCGACTGACGCATCCATTGAGATAGATGTTGCGATAGAGCTCTGGTTGAGTCGCGTTCCAGAAAGACGAGGAAACACATGCAAGCGATGCCAGATCGCTTGGAGATAGAAGAGATAGGATGTTGAGATATAGTTCGACAGGGAAACGTGCGAAATAGTTACTAGAAGACATGCTGTAGTTGTGGTAAGAGGCAAGAAACGCAGAAAAAAATGGATGGGCGGGAAATGAACTTCATATTCACATCGTCTAAATTTGGCAAGTCACCGCCGTTTACGGTAAGTATGTTCGAATGGATGTGAACGCAGACATTGAATTCAACGTTTGGACGTTAAGGACATAGTGCGGCTATTCACATGCAGAGTGCACAAATGCTATTCTTTGTAGCATATCAGCGAGCTTCGACTCAAATTTTCTACGATGATACGGTGAGCCCCCCCCCCCTGCGAAGTTGTCAAAAATAGGTTCATTTCGACGCGAGAGTTATGAGGATACACCGAAAGGTCGATCAATCTTACGAATGAACAATATCGTGGGCATGAAACAAGGAGACCGACATTATTCGTTAGCCAACCGACCACAATCATGAGTTGATCCTCCACCACGAACTATTCGGCTTCCAAATTGATGTACGTCTCAAACATATATGAGATTATATCATCATCGGAGGTCAGGGGTTTAATAAAGACACCCGGCCTTAGAAAGTCAGTAACAGCTGGAGCAGGCCTTCTTTATAAGAAAATATGACGTTAGAGATTCACGGACATGAAATCGCAATATCACCGAAAGGTATCACAGTATTCCTAGTTTTGCTCCGCAAGGGCCTTCCTCGCAATCAAAGCACAGCGATTGCTTTGTGCCTCGGGCTCGGCTTCGACGAAGTTCCCGCTCTTCGAAACGCTTCCCTCCTGTAAAACGATACGCATCTGGTCCTGGGAAGTAAATTGAGGCCACACGGGAGAGCGAGCGAGCTTGTGAATGTTCGGGTCACCAGTGCGCACGAATGACGTCCAGTATGCAACGAGCTTTTCGGCGAATGATTCCTCAGTGGGCGAGAGAGGAGTGAATGTTGCGGTCCCATTGAACCTGGACACCAAAATGAGTGAAGGAATCATCGTATGTAATAATATGTGCTTATGCTTACCCGGGATTCGAACCTCTAAATAAGAAGTAATCATCAGCTGCATGGTCAACCGTCGAGACTCCCATGGTAGGGTTTGGCTGATTGAAGCGGTAAATGAACACATCCGTTTCTTTCGCGAAAGCACCACCCATGATTTCTCTCTAAACACCATCTTCAGTGTTTTGCATAAGTTAACATCATCAGAACTCACGGCGCAAAGTAACTCGGATTCACCAGTTGCTGCTCTAAACTGCTGATCAAACGTCGTGCAGTCCGAAGCGGGATGCCGTTGCTCCAGTTCAGCGATGTCGCTATCCGTGAGCGCAGGGAAGAAAGTTTTCAAAGCCGCAGAGATAGAAGAACCTTCGTCGGAAAGCGTTTCATTTGAAGTTGCACTGTAAGGGTGATGATTGAGAAAGACAGAGGAACGAAGGTGTGAAAACGTACCCGACAATCAACGGCACGCGTCTGAAACGCCTTTGATGGCAATCGTAGGATACTCGGTAATGACTCTGCCGTCTAGGAAAGAGTGGAAACCATCGTAACGTACATTGCTATAGTTCTTTCAGCATCTGCGGCCGTTTACACGAAGCTGATAATGAACTCACAAGAGGGAATCTTGCGCTTTGGTTAATGTAGGGACACTTGCATTTCGAAGACAGGCAAGCTCAGCAGTTGTATCAGCACTAGCGCAGCCAGACGCTTTTACGAATCTCTCGTAGAGAGCCTAGAATAAAAGAGCCATCGGCACACCTTTGGCCACAAGTAGACACGACAAACCTTCTGCTGATCCAAAGTCCGGAAAGGAACACGATAAACTGATTGAGCAATAGCAGCATGGAACAAGTCGTCGTTATTCGGAGCGACGAGATGGTGCTCAACCGAAGCCCCACTAGCACTCTGCCTATTGATGGTGACACGACCGGGATCACCTCTAAATGCATCGATATACCGTTGAACCTATCGCAAAGCCTCCGTTTGATGAAGGAATCGACATTGTGATCTGCGAGAGAAGAATCATCTGTCGGATGCGGCAAGAATCCGAAAGAGTCAAGACGGTAGTAGACAGCGACAGCTACGACGTCGGGGACTTGTTGAACCCAATGGTCGAACGGAGTGGTTGCGGCACTACCCCAGACAAAGGCTATAGAAAGAAGTGGTTAGATATGAAAAGGTCGGGTATGAGAACTTCAAAGACTAACCTCCTCCACGAAAGTACACGATGACTGGAACTGCAGGATAATGTCAATAAGCAGGAGTAGATACGATTCAAGGAGATACCAGCTCACGTTTCTGGCCCTTCTTGGCTCCCAGAGGAGCATATACATTGACTTTCAGACAATCCTCCGACCCGGCTCCACCAGCACCACCCACGAATAATGCATCAATTAGTCGAAGGGCCCATCCAAGAAGAATCTCAGAACATACCTGCCATGGAACCTTGAATGCAAGGAAGCGGGTACGACGTTGCATCCACCGTTTCCCCATAGTTTCCCTGCGCACCCTTGTAGCGTTCAAGGGTGCAGGTGCACGGTACCGATGATCACCCACAGGTGGTTCTGCATATGGAATCCCTAGGTAGGCGACAGCTTTGGGATAAGTGACGTTGCCTTCATACTTTGCATATCCAAGGTCGACAATGGCTTCAGAAGTTTTCAGTGATAAAGCTTCAGTAAGTCTAAGAGATACGAGGAACGAGGCTGTAAAGGTCCAGTAACGCATCCTGATCAGAAGCTTGAAGAACAAGAGACGTTGTCTCTGTCATGTAAAGTGGTGTTGTTCTTATACATCATGACGCAAAGCGCGTGCACGAGGGTTCTACATCTCGAGAGCGGCAAACAAAGGGTCAGCATGCAATCCGAAGTCGAGAAGGTGGATAAGCAAGTAGACCACAAATGCTAATAACGGTGATCGAACGGCGAGTGTGCGACTCTGGTCAACGTACATCAGCTTCTGCTTGGTTCTTTGGTCGGGAAAATGTATTCGAAATGTCAGGCCCACATACCGTTGATCTCCGACCGCCCAAACATAACCAGAGAATGGAACAGATGCTCTGAGGTAGATTCATGCAGCCACCACTAGCATGCAGAAACAAGCGTACGACGTTCACAAATGGCGCAAATGCAGCGGAAGACGGATAGAAATGATGGAAACCTTCATTTAGACAATTGCTTCAACTGGCCCGGTCAATTCAAACACGCCCTGCACAGTGCAGAGTCCAGACACGAAAATCCAAGACACTTGTCCTAGGCGGTCCGAACATCATGAACCCATACATGTTGCTAACGCAGAGATCCTAGTCAACCTGAGCGGTACCTCCTCATAACAAATAGGCATGCTATGCACTTCGTGATAAATATACTCAGCTGTTATACGAAAAGGGAGTGATGGACCTGATGCACACCTGACGACGGCTTCGACTCGTTGGAGGAGACGATGATATCCCAGAGATCAGTTAAATGCTACGAGTGTGTCCCGTACCGCTTTCGACGATGTAGTCTGAGAGGTTCACAGCAATAAACCAGTGTCCTAACAAGAAGTACTATGAAGAAGATAGCAGTCCACTAAGGTCAGTATCATGGTAGTTGCTAAACAAGGAGGTGCCGAACGCCTGAATGTGGAATTTCTCCGCGGCATGCCACCACCGTTGTCTATGCTAGTGTGTAACTTTAGCATTGACATATACAAGCTTTGCCAAATCGTAGCCCAGTCATGCAGATGACTGAGTTTGACAACACCACGGCCCATATGTATCGAACAAAGTGCCAGCCTTACAAAATTGCCGAGATGGCGCTGACTCAACTCAGTGCACTTGCTGCAGATTTTGACTACCATTATTCCTCTCATCCGTGACAAAAGCCAACATTAGGTGAGTCCTTGAGTCAGTTGGAGATGCTCTGTTTTAACAGGTTTACAGGGTCTTGTGCTTGCACATTGCTGCAGAGCGGACAAACCGAATGATTACTGAGCCGAAACAACAGGAAATCTCCTCAGAGGATCGACAACCAGGCACCCCCACGGATGTTGTCAACACGACATGCACTTCGTCGATGGATCATACCCCTGTAGTTGACCTCGACGTCAAACAGGACGCGTCGACATTGGAGCTTCTCAACTTTGACATCCTGATTCACATCCTCTCCTACCAGTGCGAGAACTGGTTAATTCATCCTGCGATGATGAAGACGTGCCATACGCTTTACACTTGTGGCATAGCGTTACTGCTGAAGTCTCACATAAACTTTGGATGTAACAACGAGAGCCTATTACCAATGTTCCTTGACTTTGTGCGGTACGATTTCTCTACCCGCGCTTCGTACTTACGGTCCTTGACCATTTGCGCGAGTCATCTTGCGGGGGTCGCGAAGGAACATGTTGATGGCTTTGTACGAGTTGTCGCCGCTGCTCGAAATCTTGAGAACTTGACCCTCTTCACCCATTGTTACGGCCGAGTTTTCATCGATTGGTCAGAGGCTTTTCCGGAGCTGGCTTCATCAATCATGCCTTTAACTAGAATGAAAAGGCTCAAGACAATCGTAGCCCCGCACTCATTGAAAATGCTAGAAGGTCTCCTCTCGCCTCTTACAATGATGGAATTGTTTTTCCAACGGGAATCCTCCCTTGACCCTACACCTCTCCTGCGAATTTCCGGCGGATCTCTTCAAACACTTCACCTGTTCGGTGCTCGGGCACTGAATGGCCCCTTCACCTGCCCTCACGTTGAAACCTTGATGATTAGCGATGTTCTATCTGGTGACATCGACCACCTCCCTCATTTCTTCCCGAATCTGCGGAAACTTCGTCTCGTAACGGGAGAAAACATGTGGAGCATGGTCAATTCATGTAATGAATGCCTTCAACAGTCGTCGCGGCCCCATAAATGGACACATTTGGAACACCTTGAAGGATCACCATCAGCCCTCTCAACTGCTCAAGTTTCTTGTCGAGTACATCATCTCGAAGTCAGCCCCATCATGGCAATCCACGAGGTGGAGAGTATCCATCAGTTGGTTTCTAATACTACGCCGTCCTCTCTTGCCATTGAGATCAACGTCTTTCTTTCTGAGGATTCGGCGCAGGCGTTTGTTCTGGGATGCATACCAGAGTCGGCATCGGAGCACTTATCCCGCCTCAGTGTCAGTATAGTTTTCGAGAGCGAGCATGCAGAGAGTCGACTTCTTGAGTTTGGCAAGATCTTAGTGAGTTGAGCCTGTCTCAAATACACATACATCTGATATAGGTTTTGTAGGAGAGCATGTGTACCTTGGGTCACCGCTTACCTCCACTCTCGCACCTTTGCATCCACGTATCCGACCGCAGAATAGAGGCCGATGAACTCATAGAAGTTATAGAGCCGGCCAGTATGATGCGCGAGTTGACTGCTGCTGGACACCCGTCACTCCGCGAAATCACAGTGTATACCGGAGAGCGCGATGTTCCATCCGGTTGGAAACTAGACGAATGCTCCGGAAAGAGATCTTGGATCCCAATGTCAGTCGACGAGACTCTGGCGTTGCCAGTTCCCTTTGCGAGCTGGACGCGACCAGCGATTGCACACTACTAGAGAAGGGTCTCTTCGCTCACCATGCTAGTTCAAGCTTGGACAGAGTCCCTCTGAGTTCGAGACCATGTCCACCTTCATTATATGCGTAGCAGTACTTTCTATCATACAAGAATTCCTTTCCGGGATTGAATAAATACGTAGTCGAATGAAAACGAATGCTGGTATTGCAACCAATGGCTATGCGACAAAAGAAATCCAAAAAAGCATGGTATGGTATGATCAACGAACGATGATATCGATGCAGGGGGATGCGAGATATTATACAAGTACAATGAGTTGATTGGGTGGGATATACCATTAAATTGCGAGTAGATGCGAGAGCCAAGAGAATGCATGCAAAATGAGGTTCCAAGGGTATGGGAATCAAACGTCACGGATATCGATCCTTACAAAGAGCGTAGAAAAGAGGTATTGCGAGAGTTGAGTGTCATGCAGGGGGAGGTGTCGGTATCCTATATAAGTGATACAATGTCAGGATTATATGCATCATCATCATTGAATGCAATGATACTGACCATGATTTAAGCTGCCCAAACTGCAACAGTAAACAGCAAGTGGCTCCTCGTCATCTTTGTCCTCCTGCTTCACAGCGAACCTTACAAAGATGAGATCCATCATATCGCCCACACAATCGAATGGCAAGCTCAACCCCTGCTCCCATACAGGATTGAAGCCGTTGTTCTTGACAACGCCAGTCTTGACTGTGATCGTCCGCGCAGAGGTAGCACTAACCATGGAGGGACCAGTAGGTGGAGAATAAACGCGATGGTCATCAGCAGTATCGGGAGGGAGGAATGGAGAATGTGTCCAATCAGGAATGTGAATGGAGACTTCGACAAATGGATCCAAGATATTCTTGTCGATGACTTCTCGCCCAAGAGAATCCTTGGGACGGGGGAGCTGCTGGGCGGAGATGATCTATTGAAGCGTATCACCGTCAACGCATGATTCGGAGGGTGAAGACAAGAATGTGTATGACACTGACCTTCACATCCAAGAAATGCTTGGTACGCTTGGATAACAGCTGCTTATCCGTCGTGCGCAGCGCCAGAGGTTTCAGAACATAACCAGCACGGCCATTGCGCTGGAACATAGCATGATTGATCATATATCCCAGGTCTGCAAGCGCAATCATCATAAGTAAACATCATAAAACTCAAAATCCGGGACACAGCCCATTGGCAAAGCAACTCTGAGATACTTACCGAATGTCTGCCAATTGATTGCAACCAGTTGACAGCCCGCACTCCAGTACCGATGAGGTTCGTAGTTCGTGGAACCGATCCGGGTGCCCTTGGGGTACACTCTAACGAGATGAGTCCGATTATGCTTGATGAGATCCATCATGCTTTGCTTCAGGATCCTGTTCGCCGTAGTTTCGCTCAAGGAGAACACATGTTCCGGAGCGTATTCTTCCTTTTTATTGAGTCCGCGACATTTGACACCCACAGTGTACACGAGCAAGGCTACGAGGGCGAAGGACATCTTGACTTTAGCACGTTCTGGGGATGACGGGATCGTAGCTTTGGGTGGCGAACCTACGAGGGATTTGGAGGAAGAATTGCGACGGGGTGTAGCAACATTACTGACGCGACCAAGGGCATTACGAGCTTTCGACTTGAGATCTGCAGTTTAGACGTGAGCGACACGGAAACGAAAGACACTATAGAAAGATGTATACCTTTAATAACTTCGGCTTCATTCTCGCGAGCCTTACGCCATTCTTGTTTGACTTCTTCCTTCACGTCCGTATCCGAAGCAGACGTTTCGGTAGAAGACGACTCAGTGTCGACGACTACTTCCTTTTCTTGCATGCCCTCCTTCTCCGAAACATACAAGTTCTTCGCCTACATGCCATATCCTCAGTACACAAGCTCGGATGATGTCAGAATACATAAGAAACAAACCTTGAGCAATACTCGTCCCTTCAAATCCTCGGGACTTGGCAGAACTTCAATCTTCGGTCGTCCATCCACGGGTGCGCGCACAAGTGCATCGCCAAACACCTCCGTCATAATATCCGCGATCATGGCCTGCTGAGCAATCCCACAGTGCACTTCTGCGCTAATGATGATAGGGTATGGTGAAGCGACAAAGGCGTATTTGGCTATGGCTTGACAGGCATCTCGCAAAGACACTTTGGTAGTCAGCGTGCGACCGTGATAGATCACCGGTTCCTTATCGCCATCGTAGATGTCCACTGTAAGTGAAAAGCAAAGAAGGAAGCATCAGAATTAAGAAAACGGACAAGAAATGACCGAGACTGAGAACTAAACTCACGTTCGACGCTCCGGCAACTATGCAGTAACGCACGAATGTACCCTTCGACAGTACTATCACCCACAAGCTGATGTCCCACCAAGTACGTATTGTGTGAACTCGAGATGAAATACTCTGGCAAAGGCCGCGTCATATCATGGAAGACCTTGCCATGTTGATCTGCGAACGCGGCATTCTCGGTCGACAGTAAGAACGAAGTCAAGCCCTTGAGCGTCATGATCCCGGTCTCCCATGTGACTGGAGTCTCCGGTGCCTTTGAAGTGTCTGTAGGAGGGGGCGGAGAGGATGAGGTTGGAGGTGCAAGCAGACCATCCGAAGTGATTGAAGATGAGATCTGGGCGATAGGAGGTACGGGCGCGGGAGGAAGAGGTGGTGATGACAGTGGGGAAGCAATTCCTGCGTGGGCAGCCAAGTCCATTGGGTTCTGGAGTGGAGAGCTAGACGGACTAAACACATTCTTCTCGCCCGTTGGTGCAACAGCGTATCTCACAAAAATCCGCTGCAGCTCAGACTCGCTAAGGGAAGACTGTACAAAGTGTCCGTCAATCATAAGAACATGATAGATACGGATGACACCGCACCTTCTGGTAATGCCTCATGAACCGCTCGAACGCAGCATAATTGAGGGTACCACCAAAGTCATTTGCGAGCTTCTTGTACAGCCGATCAAGCTCCGAACGCGCCTTGAGTGACTTGACGAATCGGCGAAAGTCTGTAAAATCGAGGTAACCACGATTCTGAATATCTGCTTGCTATTGATATCAACGTTCATTAGCAAACGTTCGTCAACCCACGCGTACGCCTTTTGAGAAGGCGAGGCGAGGCAGAGAGAGACGCAACTGACCTTGAACCTCCTCAGGAGATCTTCCCTCGAAGGATTGATATTTAACCGTCTACACATCCTCTCCACATCATCAAAGTCCAACTTCTGGTCTGCCTCCTCATCCGCACCTGTCCAAAACTGTTTCTCCCAAACCGCCTGCCGCATCTCGATATTCCCCAATCCACTCATAAGCTGTTGCCGAATATCGTGAAGCTTGCGCAAGGTGACGTCCCACATTTGGAAGATATCCTTTGTAGCGGCGATGAGATGAAGAGTCTTGTAGCCGCCGTCCATCACGTAGATAATGGTGAGCCATCTGTCTTCATATTCCTGCGCGAGTTGGAATTGCTCTCGGTAGTACCGCGCGTCGACGCCCGAACGCAGCTCCTTGATATTCTCGATAGGGACTGCAAGTCACCCGAAGACATGAGTGTAGGCTAACCATTAATGAGAGAAACAGACTAGTGTACGTACTGATTCGCAGCTTCTTGGACTCCCATACTATATGTCCCTGGTCAGGATCGAGACGAAAAATGTATCGTTTCTGTTTCTTGGCGGACACTTTCATCATCGGTACGCCCTGCTTCAACAACGGCGGTACAGCGAAATCACCCATTTTGAATCGCGCAGTACTTGGTGGTGAGATGGGAGAATCAAAGCGGTGATAGTCGTCAATGGGGTCTGGAGAGTGAACTACAGGTAGAGTCAGAACACGACAGTTGATACTAGGGGCCTTATCCTCGTGTACAATGGCAGGCTCAGATTGAAAGAAACGAGGACGAGTGAAGAGTACGTCCGAGTATGACCTGATATGGCTCCGTCTGCGTTGTGAGGGACCTGAGTGATGAACGTTATTGCAGTCGCCGCTGTTGCTGTTGATGGCAGGAGGAGAAGACTCAAAAGAGGAAGATTTATCTGTGGTAGATAGTCTGCGCCTGGAGAAACTCTTGGTACGGACGACAGACGCGGAGGCATCTTTCAAGTCCTTGACTTTCTCGACCGACACATCCTTCACTTTTTCCAATTTCCGTCGAATCCCGCCAAAACTCAATGCCGCCGCACTGCTCTCGCTCCGTCGCCGTGTCAACAGCGCCCCCGGACTCGACTTGAAACCGGCGCCATCGTATTTGTCATTACATTTTGAATTCGAATTCGTGTCCGAGCGCGACGTTGAAGAGTCGGAAGCAGATTGTTGGCTCTCGAGCTCAAGGATCGTCTCTACGATGGCCGGGATCGGTTCGCCTTTGGTCGTGAGTAAGTTGGCGGCACGATGTAGCATCCGCCGTGGGAGCTGCTGCTGCTGCCCCTGCCCTCTCTCCATGTCGTACTCTGGGGACCGGCCCTCAGTCGACGATGGTATCATCATGGATGTCGGTCTCTGTCTCTTGGACATCGTTGCCTATGTCGGGTCCGCTGCGGGTATAGATAGGCTACGGAGGCGTCCAAGTCCCGACCTGGGAATCCTCGGGACGTGCGTGGACGACGACCAGGTATCAATTACAAAAGAAACAACGAGTGCCAGTGTGGGATAATGAAGGGGTATTAGCAGGGGGAGGAAGGAGAAGGGGAACGCGTAACAAAGTTATGGATAACAGAGCTTCGCAGCAATTAGCAGCAGGCGGATATCATAAACCAAGGATGGACCTTATTATAATTAGAGTGACCACAGGAACTCAGCTTCACTCATCAAACAGTTTCCTTCAATAAAGACAATGGTCCCGCTCTACAAACGCTCGCGGCAGGCAAGCGAGTGACTCTGCTCTGGCAGTGCGCGCGACGCTCGTCGTCCCTCAGCAGCTCAGCTGTTCTCGAGGGTTACAGCCATGTTGATATCGCAAATTCAATCTCCTTGATGGCAACAGCTTTATCCATACAGACGCACGATAAACTCCACAGACAGTCGCGCGACCCCCATTCCTAGTCTAGGAAATCCGTACTCAATCCGTACTACTACCTGATGAACCCAATCTCCCCTTCTCAGACTTCTCAGCCAATCGCGCAAAAGACGTGCACCCCCTTGCATCAGCCAAGGCAGTCCGCAGTTCCTTGTAGTTCGCTTGAAGACTTCAGGCTCCGAAGCTCAGAAGGAGACTTTTAAGCTCGGCATGCATGCACGGAAGGCAGGAGGCGATGCAAAGATCCCAAGGAAGATAATCTATCCCAATATGACGATGAGATTTATACACGCGAAAGAAGGGAGATACGTGTACGTGTACGTATATGTGGATACACCGGTGCCGCCCACAAACCTGCGGTGACGACACGGTTTACACTCCTTGCAAGCAGTGGTATACTCAACAGAGCCATATACATTCCCTCCTTGGGCCGCAAATGAGCGATGTGAACCTGGGAATTAGAGAGGACCGCAACTGCCGCAGTCCCTCAAATCATATCATCCTGACACAGAGCGTTAGACTCAGCAAGAACAAGAGATCATGAGACACGCATACATACACGGCTTCTTGAGGATCAAGGCATGGCAAGCATATCAATAGTCTTTTGACACCTCCAATCAGCGCAATTGCGCCCGTACTGCGTCAGTCCAAGGGGCAAAAGTCGTGGAAGATGACGATGGCTTTGACAGGCCTTTTCCCTCGGTCCCCTAGAGTGTGAATCCCTGCCCGATGTAGAATGCCCTGAACGATATAAAGTTTCATAGGTCTTCTCCGCTCGGCCTTGTCCTTATTTCAGATGACACAGGATAGACATGAGAAAAAACCTGTCTGCCCGTGCAGTTTAGATTTGAGCGTTATGGTCCGGGATGGACACGAGAAAAAAAAGTAAGTTCATTACGTGCAGAGGGGGCCGAGGGATTTGTCTGTGGGATCGTAAGTATAGCCCGGAGCATGTCAAAGGCCTGCTGGCCCCCGGAAAAGTTATGCAATCCAGAGTGCGTAGTGTTTCCCCGAGAGTTGGCAGTGCAGGCCCGGGGCAGTATGTCAAGATTGAGCGGTTGGACAGGCGGCAAGATACTAGTATACTGTCCTACTCTTGAATGCGCTTCCAGGTACGGGGCATGCAGACCGTGATTTTTTAGTTTACCCTCGTATAAATGTCGGGGAATTTGCAAGACTACGTTTCATGTCGTGGAAGTGAGGGGAATAGGTCGGACCAAGTTTCAGATACACGCACTTCTCGGGCTCAGGATATCCCAGGATAGGTATCAATGGTGAGGGAGAAGCGTCAATGGTATCAACTGGCACTCCGGTCAAGGAGCCTTGGATATGAGTTTGGATTAATGTTCAATGTTCAGGAACGGGTCCACCAAGCGTGTAGGTGCACTCGTCGTAGTAAAGATCGAGCCCACACACCAGACATGACGACACAGCAAGCAATTGCAAAATGTCCAAGTAGCCCTAGAGACGGTGAGATTGTAGAACATGAGCAAGTACCAGATGGTCGTCCGAGAGCAAGTCGTGTCGCGAGATCCCGACACAAGCACATCGTAGACGTCCGGCGCGTGTTGATCTTTGTTTACAACCTCCTTCGTCCCGTTCTTCCCATTCAACCATGTCCGAGTCGTCAACACCCAAGCCAACATCCAGCGAGAGCATCGTTGCGCAAAAGGTCATTCATATGCATCCCAACTCATTACATGAACTATAGCTGAAATTTGAGCTCGGTGTTGCGTGTTTAGTATGACCGCTGTTGTAGGTGTCCTCCTTCGTGTGACCTTGTAATGATAAACTAAAGTGAAGCGCTTTTGGTTTCAATACGTAGTGGCGGATTTGATTGTCAAGGCGTATGTCCTCTGTTGAATTATTACCTTGTGTGTGTCCATAGCTGAATTGCCTGATAGTGGTGTTGGCTTTGGCGCAGGCGTCGTCGCGTCGGTCATTCTCTTCAAACGTTCGTCCGCTTCTCCATTTTACATCCTTATCTGTCTATCTCCCCTTCACTGCCTGATACTCCCACATCGCCTCAAACTTAACATCCTGATGAAACTCTATTACAGGACGCGGCTGGCCAATTGCCCTCTCGACGGGCTTCGGCGCCGGAATAGCATATGCAGATTGCGACAGGTCATTCAACCCCGCAAGAATACCTGGGGTGAAGATCGTCCCCGCTTCATCTACACCCTCAACGACAACTACGGAGGAGACAAAATCTACATGAGGTTGGATTGGAATTAGGCTTGGGGCGGATTATAAGAGGGTGGTAGATAATGGATATGCGATGAGTGCATCCTTTCTACTCGTGTCGAGTTGCAATAGACTATTTGACACAACATCCAATCCATGGTTCCTGTCGTCTTCCTCCAAATGTGTGAGCGTTGACGTCGATTATGAACTCGTCGGAGAAGGGCTATCAATGTCATCTGGCTTCAACTCGATGATCTTTCTCTTTCCCGCATCGGGGTCATCTCGATTGGGAAGTGTCCGTTGTGGTTTTCCTTGCACGAGTCGTTGATATAACACAACTGCGTAGACGAGTGTTGTTCAGTTCACTATTCTTCCGAGGTGGAATCTTGTGTCTGGACACTCACGAGAAGTTGCCCCTATGATGGGCACCGTCACGATGATGGTCCTCAACCGTTTGGCTTGCCGTGACAGCCCGGACATTTCGAAAGCAGCTCTCAGTGACTGGAGAGTCGACAACAACAACTTGGAGCCGCTTTCTTTTGCTTGTCACGCAGCACGTGGAATGTGACCGTGACAGAACGCGTCGCGATCTCCCGCCGTATTGACGCGCCTGGGTACTTGGATCGCCTCGCTTATGGGTTTGCGCATAAGTGCCCCACTATTCGGCGGGAATATTGACAGAAAAATTATATGGCGATGTCTGCGCTGGAAGTACAACTAGTGGTGCATGTTGCTTTCTTCCGCACTACGACGAGCTCCAGCCAGGTTTCCATTCACCACATTGCCTATTCTCATCTCCAGGCATATTGTCACCACCATGCCTCCCAAGAGGAAGTTAACGTCCAGAGATGATGCGCCACTTGCCGGAGCGGATGTTTACCCACTCGAACCAATCAGCATCGTTACATCTGGCTTACCACCGGTGAATGTCCCAGATGATCTTCCTAGCGGTTCTCTGAGGAGGTCTACAAGAGCCAGGAAAGCCGTCTCTTACAGTCAACCGGACTGTGTTCAAGAAGACGACGGAAACGAAAGCCCGTTAACCGAGCTCGAGGAAGACGAACTTGACAAAGATCTTGTCAAGGCACCTGCAAAGAAACGGAGACGAAAAACCAAGGATAACGAACCTGTGGTGTACGATATACCGCCGGTGGAGATTAAATCGACAACGTTCAAGGGTGCGCATTTCTCTCCCACAGTGCATGCCCGGGTTGATTGAAGGTTCTTTAGGCCGTCTGGGATATGCGTGTTTGAACACCCTCTTACGCGCTCTCAAGCCGGATTCAGTGTTCTGTTCGCGAACGTGTCGCAAGGATACGATTCATAAGAACGGGCTTGATTTTGCAAAGGATCTTGGAAGACAAAATGCAAGCGACTTATATAAGCTTATTGAGGTATAATTACTACCTTTGCTTCGACGTTGGCTATGTACGATGTACTGACGACTGTTGTTTTCAGTGGAATGAACAAAACAATATCAAGTTTCTTCGCGTTTCCTCGGAGATGTTTCCTTTTGCGTCTCACGCAGAACTCGGGTATGATTTGGAGTACGCCAAAGATGAGCTTCGGGTAATCGTCACTCTCCAAGTTTGAATGTCTCCTTCCTTTGTTGAGCTACGCTTCTTTTATAGGCAGCGGGCGACCTCGCAAAGCGCCTCGGACACAGACTAACGGCCCACCCCGGCCAAGTACACTCTTGATCCACTTCTTAAATTCTCCATATACTAATGCAACTATCTGCAGTTTACCCAGCTGGCGTCGCCAAAGGACAATGTCGTCGAGGCCTCGGTTCGTGAACTCGAATGTCTGTCCGCCATCCCCGTTCCATGGTTTCATACTAATGATATGAGTATGTCCTTGCAGATCACTGTCAGATGATGCGCTACATGGGCATGGGCAAGGACAGCATCATCATCATTCATATGGGTGTGCGTGGAACGTTTCGATATCCATATGGTTTACGCACTTATATGACATTTACTTGAAAGGGCGTATACGGAGATAAAGAATCTACATTGGCACGATTCAAGGAGAACTACCAGGCCAAACTGACGGATGAAATGAAAGCGAGGCTGGTTATGGAGAACGACGAGGTATGTGAATGAGCAGGTTCATTCCGTTGTTGATTAATTGTTGCGTGTAGATTTGCTATAGTGTAGACGATCTACTGCCAGTGTGTAACGAATTGGATATACCCATCGTTGTACGTCTTCGTCCATTGTCTGCGCTCTAATCTCGTTCACTCAATACGCATGGCATCTTTCGCAGTTTGATTACCACCACAACTGGATAAACGTTCGCGCTTATGTTTTCTTATCCTTGTTTCTTCCATACTAATCCTATTCGCATTTACACCCTTAGCCGAGTATCCACCCCGTCTCCACTCTCATCCCCATGATCAACGGAACTTGGCATAAAAAGGGTATCAAACCTAAACAGCACCTTTCTTCACCCCGACCAGGGGCTGAGAGCGTCATGGAGAAACGAGCTCATGCGGATAGGTGTTTCGAACTACCCGAGGACTTGCCTGATGATATGGATCTCATGATCGAAGTAAGCCATCCCTCCAATTCTTCAATGTCTTCCGCACTATTTGCGCGTGAAGTGAAAAGATTCATATTTTTTAAACATTGTGCTTGGCAGGCAAAAGATAAAGAACAAGCTGTGTTTCATCTGTACAGGATATATGACCTCCATCCTGTCGTTCATGAGAACCTGAGGCCGGAGAAACCGCCAAAGCCGTTTGTACGTACGGGACAGGGCGATGGAGGTGTGGGTGATGGAGAAGATGTAAGTGAGACCATTGATTGTGTACAGGTGAAGCCGAGGAGGGGGACGAGAGGGAAGGGAAAGGCAAAAGGTATGTTTTCAAACGATATTGTACGGGGAAACAGGGTGCCTGGAACAATTTATTTCTAGCAGAGCTGGTGCCCAACGTTGAAGACGATACACTCGTTGGCGTCCCGGCTCTCGTTCCGTCAATTGCAACCACTAAGAAGAAACCTCGCAGAACTACAGCTGAGAAAGTCTCAAGAGGGACGAAGAAGGGTGAAGCAGGGTATCACGAAGGGTCTGGAGGGACTGATACCACGGTTGCAACGAGGATGGTCAATCAGGAAGAGTGTGTTGAGCCTGTAGATGGTGGAGATGTCGAGAGAGTGGAAGAGGATGAACATCCTGAGGTCGTTGCGGCTGCTGAGCAACAACAGGCGAAGAAAGGGACGGCTGGGAAGACGAAGGCAAGGAAAGCCAAAGGGAACGCGAAGAAGGCGAGATGATGACTGTATACTGAGCAGCTATTGGTGAACTGAGCTAATTTCAGTTTGTCACAAGCGTCGTTCGCATGTATTGGCACATTTTCTTGCGTATTATACTGTACATTACTGTGACAACTACGAACCACATTGCACGTTCCGATTTTGAATCTAGCTTGTCTAGAAGTCGAAGCTCTGGTTGAGGTCTTCGTGTAGATGTTCTCGCATTCCTGGTGGTAGGATTGGCTCGGTCCCTTTGGCGATATACCCTGGTAAGGGAAAAATATGAATTAAAAAAAGAGAAAAACGGAAGAAATGAGGTGAAGGTCTCACGGAATGGCATTTCTACACTTTCTTTTGCGTTGAACGTGATCGTTGGATAATCCTGCAGATATTAGCATAAAAATGAAGTGAATGAATAGGCAAAAAATAACGGACGATGAACTTGATATCGTTCAGCGTGACTACGGGAGGCCAAGAACATGTTAACTCCAACGTGGCACTCATAATCCCAACTAGGACTCACTCTTGTCTTCGACCACGATCTTGGTGACTCCCAGAGCAGTATCCGTAGTCATCTGAACTGACCCCAAATGTCTAGTCGGGAAACCAAGGACGCGGAGCTCTCCTGTTCTATCACGCGGAGGATCGTCACCTAGCCACTCCCCATCATCAACATACGCTGATATACAGAAGAAACATTCAAAGAGAACATACCAAGAATACCCTACATCAAGTCTGGTCACGATCAATCTTCCACAAAACTTCAAAATGGTTCGTGATACGTACGCCGAACAAGAACCACTCGAACCTCCCATCCCCGTCTTCTGGTGAAAGCTCTTTTGGCGCTTTCGGGTCTAGAAGACATACTTTATCTAGGGGCACATTGTGTGATTTCATCAGCTCGAGGACACCTTCTGAGTGTGCGAATGCTTGTGCTTTAGGTTGCGCATTTTTTAAACTCGAACTCCCATTTGAGTCGAGGCGGGATGAGAAAAGGTTTTGGAGTGTGAAACATGACTTTTGCGAGAGGTGAGTGAAGTGGATTTCGGATTCTGCCCCTGCTAGGTCTTGCATGTGCTATTCGATACAAATAAGCATATGGACTTTGAGAGACATAATATGACAGCAAAGTGAAATGCACCTTGTATTCAAGTTCGACCCACTTGGGGATCGTTTTGGAGGACTCGTCATCCTCTTCCATGTGCTCTGGCGGAATTTCTTCATTAGTAGCGGTGCTTGGGACTAGATGTACATCATACAAACCTATCACATAGCTGAATGGCATGGCGGATACTCTATGCTAGTCAGAGCAATATTGATGAATTTGATTTGCAGCGATCGGCGATTCTGCATGGCTGAGTTCAAAGAAGCGACAATATAAGCGCCTTTTCCTAGCTTCACCAAGAACAGTCATCTCATCCTGATTGACAATGACATGTCGGTAATTTATGACTTTTGCTATGGATTGACGCTATAGCGTTTGTAACGTGTATACGAAATGCGATTCGATGACTACGGTGAATGATCCCTTGTAATAGAATTGAGTCTACACTTGGCATACCACATCCTGAACCTCTGTCTTCGCAGCACCAACTGCTTCAGCATGAGTGATGATCGCACGAAGCGTATTCTCCTCCAATGGCTCAAACCCGCCCAACAACGCATGAAGCTTCACCAACGTTGTCCTGATCTTCTCCGCTTCATAGTATTCGAAGAACTCCGTCTTGGCTGTGACTTGACCTACAACTCTAGTTGCATCCCAACTTAGCTGCGCGATTTCCAGCAGTTTCTCTCTGTGAGGTTTCGTAGCGGCGATCTGTTCTTGGTACTTTGTAGCACAAGCACCAAGGTCGTAGACAAGGCTACCGGAGGTGGCTGCATCTTGGCTCGCTTTCTCGAAGTCCGCCTTCACCAGAGGAAGCCGAAGACGTGCAGTGTTACCTGCGTCCATAGTGCGACGTACGTCATTGATGCCTTTTTCAACTAGCTCTCTAAAGCAAGGATTGAGGATTCAGTTCTGATGTGTAGCTCTACAACCGAACAATCATACTCACCCCTGTCGTAAAAGCTCATCTGGAATTAAGAAATCAGGCATAGCTCTAAGGAACTTAATGATCGCTTCGGCCGCCTTCAATGTATCACTCATATCCAGGAATGGTATCGGCCGGGAATTGACAAAGGCGTCCACGTTGGCTTGAGCCTGCGCGATGGCGTCTTCACTTTCTCGTATCCTTTGTTGATTCTGCCCCATCTCCACATGTCTCCTAGCCAAAGCGGAAGCGATGATTTCTGAAAGATCGTTCGCCTGATGTTCCATCTTCTCGAGTTCACTGGTGAGATAGACAATACACTCTACTTGGCGAGAGCACAGTTTGGCCGAGTCGGAGGAAAGCCGGTAGACTGTTTCGAAACTGTGGAAGAGTGACGTGCATTGTTGTTTCCAATTAGTAGACAGGGTTTTGATCGCTTCTGGGGTACCGGGCTCTGTTCTTTGAAGCGTCTTTCCTAGGGCCACGAGGTTCTGGAGGGCAATCTGGTAAGATGGTTGAGCTAGTTTGATCAATGCGGGGACAAGCTTTGGGATAGAGATGGAATATGTGGCGAGTTGTCCATCAATGGAATCCGCTTTGGACCTGAAGTTTGAGATTTGTTCACGACATTCAGAGAACATCAGATCGCCTCTGAGGCATCTTCTGCATGACCATAATGGCTTAGGGAACGAGTTAGCAATTAAACATTTTTTCAAAAACCTGGACGGCTTACCTCAATGCTTTGAATGCAAGTATCACCAGATCCTTTGAAACCTTCTAAGGCGCTTGGATCAGGACCGAAGTCGCATCTCCATACGAAAGGGTAACCATCCCACTTTCCGTACAACTGTGACTCCCGTCCTATATACTAGCCTCAGAAAAGACGTTTGGAGGACGCGCAGTGGTTCGGTATGACTGACCTGATGATGTCACAAATTGGATTGAGGTTAACTTGTCATTCGCCGTACCTCGGATCTCAGCGACGTCCTCGTCTAAATCAAAAAAGAGTCGAAAACTGAGACAACTTGTAAGGAAATGGAACCATTATGAGACTTACTGGCGAGAATATTGAAGATGTCCTCCTTCCCTCCTTGACCTCCTCTTCTCGGCGTCGTTGAGCCATTCGCATAAGTAACGGTTAGGGCGTCGATCCACGAACCATGTCTGACGTGTATGTTTGATATCTTCTTGTGCGCAGAGCCACAATCTTTGTCCGACCAAGCCGAACCGCTCTGTGATCCAACAGGGTCGCAGGTCTGCAACGTGAAGATTTGGTCAATAGGCTGGGTTTTCCAAATGGGCTATTATGTCATTCAATGTCTAACCACAGCAGATAGTGATTGAGGAAGCAGCTTACCTGTAGACTTTGAATACATTCATCACCAGAGCCAAGGAAGCCAAGTAAAGGTTCAGTGCCTGAGGATTGTAGAAGTTGCTGTTTTCCACATGGTCGTCCAAACGTATTCGTGATGTTAGCATCTAAATTATTGTTTGTATCAACAGTGATCTTTGGGAAACATGCAGATGAATCTTTACCCCTTGACGTGACAAAAGCAAGACTACAGATCTTCTCTTCGCCAGTGACGTAAATCTGTATGAAATGCTCATCTGGAAAAACTGATGAAATGTAATCTGAAACCTCAACATCTTTACGACTCACCATCTTGTAGTTCCCACTTAGTCTCAAGGCCGCCATATCCGCCCCTCCAAGGTGTAGCACTTCCATCTGAGTAGACGAAACGAAAGCCATCTATCCACCATCCACTGCGAATCTCAAGGGCTTTGATCTTCTTGCGTTGAGCTCCTGAGTCCAAGTCGCTCCAACCCTTGTGCATGGAATACGTCCCTATGGTTTGTGAGACATTGACTTCAGGCAGGTACCTGTTGCTCGCCGACCAAACGGCCTATGAGATATTTAGCACGATCAGTGAAACTGGTGCACATGATTGCTTAACAATGAACCTGGATACCCTGCACAGAATCATCGCCAAAGCCTACCAGGCCGACTAGAGGTGAGCCTGTGGGAGACTTCAGGTGAATTACTGGATATCGGTGGTTCTGGACTCCAAGTACATGCGAGACAACACCTGTAACAACGATGAGAAGTAAGAACCGGATGACCGCCATGGATGGGAAATCAGTAAACAAACCAGATGAAGTAATAAGCTGCAAGCTTTCGATACATTTTCCAGCAGTCGCCACAATTTGGACAATGTCGTCGCCTTAGAATAAACGCCTGTCAGTATTTGCATGAGAAGGAAGAAATTTGCGCGAACCAGATGTGGAAAAACCATCCTCTCGAATACCGGTTCCTTCAGCCCCAGATGACGATGATGACGATGATGAGGTGCCGTCATTGAACAAAAAGGTTATACTTATGATCTTCGTCTCCGACGAGGTCACAATCACATTTGCAATGCGCTTCTCATCATCAGAATTTGGATCATCCAAACCGACGAGGAAAGGCGATCCGCTGCGGTGGCCCACAAAAGTGCTATACTATAGAGGGAATATTTTAGTCCTTAAAGATACGATACGCGATGTGGCATACGAACCTGGCGCATGGATCTCTGCAGTAGGTTACGTTCACTGTGGTGCTTTGGCGTATGGCTATTATATGATGTTTCACGTTGTGCTCATTTAGATATTTCGAAACCAAAGAAAGCAAGGGTATATCTGTGACATCATCTGAAGTAGGCATTTCTTCAGTCAGGGTCAAGGTCATGGTACTACCAAAGTCTCGACTCGGATGTGCCACATCACCGACAGACCCAAGGCACCGATATCACTATATACATATCCTGAGAAAGGTACTAGCTTGCACCTGCGATTCATCGTGCCTCACAGAAGCATAATGGAAGGGACTACTCACCGGCTTAGGAACAGACCGAGTGGCATAGAACTCATCATCTTCAGAACTGAAGGAACAAGCCGGAACTTGGCATTTTGCAGTCGTGCGCTCTACAACATTTCATTGAATTATAAAACATTGATACCATTTTCTGCGGCGCGTTCATAGGTAGACACAGTGGTATATACGTATATGAGCTCTAAAATATCCACTGACATGAGTAGCATGCAATTTATGGAAGTCATCCAGTAGCTTACAGTGTGGGTTTCCGGGCCCCAGGTTTTAGGAAGGACTATTGCCGCTAATATATATGATTGGTATAGCGTCGAGCGAGCAGTATAGAAGATACGACATTCGTATTAATGTCATAAGAGTAAGGCCCAAGCCTACAAGGCTCATTTACGAACCTGGAGGTTTCGTGGCACAGCCACTCGCAATGATCCGATTTTCGAGGCCATTGGATTCAACTGCTAAATGACTGGCTCATGCCGCTCATGGTATGAATGTCAATTGAACCCCGAACGTTGAACGTTGAACCTCTACTACCTACACCATGAAATCGCTCGGACGGTTAACAACATGGCTTACCGATATCAGTCATATAGGCCTCCCCTTTAGAGAGTCCAGGTCTGAACTACTGCTTACCAGCGAATAGGTCATTGGCGACTGTAACGCTCACTGTACCGTGACAGTGCGTAGTGCCTATCAAGGTACGCCTACCGAACATAGACGTGTCTAACTTACTATAATTCGGTTTCTGGAGAGAGCCGCTCTACCAATCTAGGTTAATCCAGGGAGAGACTAATGACCTTCTGTCAGTAGCATCCAAGGGCTTCCGAATGGCGGGTTCTATTCTGCATAACTTCACTCGTCTCATGCGTACCTGAATTCTGCCGTTCTCGCTTTTTTTTTCTCCCGCTGTCTGCGACCATTCCCTGTATCGCACAAAGAACGTACCAGAATGAAGGCTTGTCAGCTTCTTGTGGGCAGAGGCTGTTGTTATTCGTGACAGGAGTCCATCGATTTGGACATTCTGTAACGCTACGCATCTCCTGTGTGCCTGGCGCATGTATATTTTCTGGACAGCTAAACGAACAGCGAGATATACAAGCGCGCAAGTGGAAAGATATAAGACCGTGACTTTGGGCTCTGGAGACCTCAGACAATTTGTCTACACACGTCTACTTCAATTTACGCCTCTTCCTAAGCAACGCTTCAAGTGTCAAGATATTTGCTATGCCATCCATTTCGAGCCAAGATCCTCAAGGGCAGCTTATCGCTCTACACAACGCCAATGTTACTCTTAATAAAGGCGTGTAAGTCAAGTTTCCCGACTTTCAATCACTTTTTCTTGACATTTCTCCCAATAGTTCTGCTAAGGAAGATTCGTGGATGGTGTATGTACAGTATTTGCTCGCGGAGATATACCTCTGATTTAATTTATCAGTCAATGGTGCACTACCAATTGGGCCACTCTGCTACAGCCTGCACCACTCTCCGTTGCTTTGCTCGCTTCGATCATCGTTCTCGCAAGCAATGTATCAGATTTCAGTTAGTTGTACTCCTGTTATTGCTGATGATTCCCCCTGATCTAACTTGACTCACAGGTTTGGCGACCGAAGGCGGCCACAAATGGGATTTTATTCACAACATCAACAGTTTTAAGGGTTGTCTGATGCAGGTGATTGTCTTAAACTCTCGTGTGGACGTATATCTTAGATCACGGTAACCCCGCAGATGGTCAATGCTGGCCATGATTCTTTCGAAGTTGCCCACTACCAGATGGACATCATCGAGAAGTCTGCCTCGCTTATGCCGGCGAAGATAAAGGAGATGGTCACAATCCTCTTCCAATCTGGCGAAGATTTCGACGAAACTGATGAAGGCATATTCCTGGAGAAGATGGCTACTTTGAAGGAGTTATCCGAGAAATGTCTGAAGGCAGCTTCTAAAGCTTATGACGGCTTCACAGATATGTCAGGTCTGGCTGGTATGTATGAGGGCATTTCCACACATGGGATAGTAGCACTGATAAATGTCTAGGAGAGCTCGTAGAGGCTTGTACAGTTAGAACTGGTGCGAATGAACAAGAGCTTGAGAAGGTGACTTCAGTTTCTCTCCGTTCAATTATCCGATTTCACCAGACCTTTCAATTTGCTTACCCTAATCTACAGAACACGATATCGGTGGAGGTTCTGAAAGCGTCCAAGGAAAGATCGGAGACACTTTTAAAGGACACCAGGAAGTCGTTCACAATGGTACAAGATGCTTATGCTAAGTCCCAGGATGGTTTTCGCAAGGCTGCTGACAACATTCCTACCGGTTGGGAGCTTGCAGGTAGGTCGCTTAATATATATGACCACATTCATTGTAGCTTATGACCTCCATCAGGCATGAGCACAATTGACTCTCTGACCAAATTCGCCAACACTGCCGGGAATGCTTACATCACGCATCTAACGATGGCTTCACAACTTGCGATGCAAGGTGCTGGTGTTCTAGCTGGTTCCATCAATGCTAATGCTCCGAAGACGAGTGGTGATACTGCGACTACTCCCGGTGTTGCGCCCGCCGCTAATGCACCCGCTGCTCACCAACCTGCAACAAACACCAGGGCGGCTGCTTTAACCGATCCTGCTATTCCATACTTGCCTATGTTCATTGATCAGACCAAGCTCTTCAGCCTTCTGCTGGAGGGCGGAAAGGATGGCGGGGCAGATTGGGCACGTATATCTACTTCGGACCCGACGCAGAAGTCTGGTGCTCAATACATCAAGAGTAATCTGGAGGATTTAAAGTCGAATTTGAAGTCCGGACAGTCTATCTCTGACGAGGTCACTCCCATTCTGGAGGGATTGCTGAAGGCTAGTTATACTGAATGATATTGCGTGTTGGATGTATACTTACGTGTCCGGCGTCCGCTTTTACAGGAGATCACGTCGCTCATCAAGACAGCCAAGTCGCAAGGGAGCGATGAAGAGAAAGCTAAAGCTATGATCCCTGTTATCAAAAAGTACAACGCATCCTTGCAGGAACTCTATACTCGAATTTTGCTCGCTACCAATAGCACGGGTGCTGTGCCTCCAACTCCTTTCACTCAACCTCCAGCTGCGGATACCAAGTCTTCTGCGCAGTTGGCCGTAGAGGTTCGTATTTGCTAAGTCAATATTTCCTGTGCTGTAGTCCTAACTATCCCCAGAGTGCCCGTTTCGACATCGAAACGCAGAAGGCTGTGTTGGAGAGCACGAAAGATACGTACGAGAAGTTAACCACGGAGATGAATGGCCAAGTGAATTGAGCGCTCGATTCGGTGTGAAGTAATTTACTCACCCCTTCTTCATCCTCACAGGAGAAAGCCTTGACAGAGACAATCAAGAATTTGACCGCATTGAACTTGCGCAACTTGACTCTCGACAGTGAGGTGTCACTTATCAGACGTCAGTCCGTTTTCAATGATAACTTTTCAGAGATGCTTCCGGTTCTTCGTCAAGCTGTCGGAGCCTTCTCGACACTTAAGGACCAGATTGGGACCCTTGTGCGATTCTTCGGAGTGAGTGTCGCTCACTCGCCTCCGTACCTCGCGTTCATTATTGTTCCAACTTTAGTCTATATCCGCATTGATCGACGGTGTGATGCAGCCAACTGTGAACGACCTCTTGCGGGCGAGTAATACTTCTTCCTTGTGGTGCCTTTATTTTGACCTAGCCTCCATGTAGAGTGCTAAAGTTATCGAGTCGAGCATGGTTGCCGGGAAGCCAGTAAAACGTGAGTGTCTTTGTCCTTTACTTGAAGCGGCCCAGTGACTTTCTTTCGCAGAATATCATCTCGAAAATATCTACCAACAGGCCCAAATTCCGATGAAGTATGTATTACTTTGTGGCTCATCGCTATCGGACAGCTAATATCTTGCGCAGGGTCGCAATGCTTGCTGAAAAGATCTCAGGTGCTTACGTCCGCGTGTCCAACGAGCACATCTTCCCGATGAAAAGTCAGCTCGGACTTTTGATGCAATGGCCTCAAACGGGCGACCCGACTATTCAGGCAAAGCTCGAGAAGCAACAGGCTTCGATCCAGAAGCAGGCGGAGGCTGCCTCTAAAGCTGTACGTGTTAACTCGGGCTCTTCAAACGTGAAACTAACGCGTCAAGTCAGATCGGCGACATGATTCGAGCAGACCAGGCCGAGTTCGCGAAAAGCATTGATACTCGTCTCAAACAGATCAATAAGACATTGGAGCCCATTCTTCCTCCTGCACCTCGTAAGCAACATCCAAGCTCTCACCTTGCAAAAATCATGCTTATGCTTAGCGACAATCCCAAAGGACCTGCTATCCTCGACAAGGTGGTGAAAGAGCACGTTAAGGATGTTGTGCAGTCTACCAAAGCAGCTGCTCAGAAGAATCCCATTAGCAAAGGGTTGACGCCAAGCCTGGATGACCTGTAATTGAACGAACGAACTCTGTTCGTCTAGCTCGTGTTAGTTTTTGATGTAAGTACTGTACTACTATCATACATGTCCGACGTTTGAAAATCCGCGAAAACGAAGAGCAAATAGGTTAAACGAAAATCAATACATATACCGAAGAAATCTGACGTGAAAGAACAGAATGAGAACGGATAAAATTTCGTGCATTTGCTAAGCATCGAAAAATCAAAGTAAAAGATATTTAGGATATGAAGTGGTCATTGTGAACGTAGAGTGTTGCCAGCAGCACCGACTCGATCAAAGGATACGAGTCCCGCTTTCGGATATACGTCCTCTTCACGATCCTTGATCTAGTAGCGGCTGAACCTCGCAGGAGCAAAGGAGGAGGCACAGGCAGAGGTCGTCGCGTTTTCAAACCCAACGTTAATGATGGTTGGGAACGTTGGATGTGCGAAAGAGATGTAGGGTCTACCCTAAGTCTCCTTGAACGACGAGGAGGGGTGACGAGACGTATGGTTGGAGTACGGTATATTTCTGCCGCATCATCTGGTGCCGATGTATCATCGAGGATGTCCGCTGCGTAAAATTCGATATTTGTCTCGGAGCATGTCAAGTCCCCGCTCGCCATGAGTGAGTTTGGTTCGAACGCGGTCTCCAAAGCCGATAGCGTCTCTGGTGGTAGCTCGTATGCGCCTGACTCCGAAGTTATTTGGGCCAACAACATGTCAATTTCCTCCATAAGCGTTTCTTGATCAACTGGAGGTGTTTCCCTCGAGCCCTCTGAAAGAGCAATCCCATTGGATGCCAGGTTAGGCTCATTGGGGTGGTCCAGTGAGATCTGGAGAGGTTCGATGCGGTCCGATGCATCGGACACTGGTTCTGCAGGCACTTTGGCAAGAGGCGTGCGAGGTGAGGGAGAAAAGTACTGGATAATTGCGTTGAAAGGCCACATTATCGTGAGAGCGTAGGGTGCAAGTTGGGAACAAAGAGAGTCAGTTTATCACTGTGGCCAAGCGCGCATTTGGCCACAGAGGTTGTCCAGTGAATGTGTGGCGTAAAACGGAGAAAAACAGCACGCTCACTTATCGCGAAGATCCCAACTATTATTTCGTGCATGCGCTCCTGAGTCTGAGACAGAACGTGAAAGGGATTGTCAGTATAGTAAACTTCCATATTACCAGCGGACTACAGTCCCAGCAAAAACATGCGATATCCTATAGCAAATAGAAAGACAGACGTCGGATAGCATACACACCCGAACCGGCAAAGAACACTTCAATGTGCATGTCAGTGGAAGCTTCATTCGTCTGTGGCTCAAAGATTAGTAGTCAGTGCACGAAGCTGACCACGACGTTAGAATTACTCTGATATCACAGGATAATGTTTGCACCACGCATGCGTGTCGAGATGAGTCAGTGACAAACAAGGTACGAGGAGTAGAAAGGATATACGATTCTGGCAGTTGGCCGGGGAAGAAACTAACTCGACCTTGAAAAAGCTTGCTTGAAGGTCGAGCATCGGTGACATCCGGCAATTCCCATACCTTCCCTTTGTAGGAGGTGTTGAAGTTCGGCTTCACCTCCGCCCAAATTCTTCTTCATCCTTAAGAGATGGCACAAGCATTGTAGACAAGATAAACTACGGATACCTTCTTCTCCGCTCCACTATACCAACTACCTTCGATGCCATCCTGTAAGTACCCCTTAGGGATTAGCGAAACTTTGCGTCTGTTTCCCTCCCGTCCCTCGTGAAGTCGACACACCCCACCTGGGCCTAAACGTCCTACATGCAACGAAACGCAGCATTTCCTCCTCTGGGACTGAACGCTTCTCAAATGCTAAGTTCGAGATGTCAATGTTTGGTCTGGATTTTCGGAATTGATTCAGGGTTATCCACGAGGGCTGGCCTCTTTCTGCTGTGTGACTCCACTGGCTCTGCCAGCCGCGAATCCTGTCTACTGTTTAGTGATTGACTCTATGCACGGTGGCTCTCTCTTTATGCAAAGATATAACTCTGGTGACCACTTGCGGGCCTTTGTAGCTCATTGTTCAACGCGCCGTCCTCCTCTGCTACGTCCAGCTCCTTTCCTTGTAGCTTCGGACATTTGTATCCGACTAGATGCATACTTCTTCTGAAGGTCCTCGAAAAGACGTGGCCACGTCCTGAAGAGAAAACGCGAAGATTGGCGTCCCAAGGTCCCCTTTCTTCTTTCCCGTTGTGAGGCACCGGAGGCCTGTTTACCTAACTTCCGCTACGCACAGCAAGAAGTCGAACGTTCACGAAAGAAGATGAAACTCGTATGAACGGTAACCAGCATCGAAGTCGTCACACCTGAACATACTAACTTCCTCCTCCGTTTACCTTTATTGTCATTGTTTTTGTCTTCATGTGGCGTATATTTGTTATTTTCAAGAGTCGTGCATTGTAATCTGACTGTGGCAACACAACGAAAACCCATTCATTTGTAAGACTGTTCCGCAGACCGACGACAGAGCCTTCAATCAATAAAGTTTATGTACAACGGAAATAACGAGGCAGATACTCAATGGATACAAGCAAATAAAGCGGGAAAAGGTACTGTTGTACAACAAAAAATTAAGGATACAAATTGACAAGACGTAAAATCCAAGATATTGAAAGTTCGGTTTGATATTCTGAGTGCTTGACCGGAGCGAAAGATATTGCATTTACTTGGGTGCAGGTGACGGAGGACCTGTCGAGTGATAGACGACCAATCGTGAATGGAAACACTAAGAGCAGGTAAATCACAAGAACTAACCAAACAATCCAGTTCGAGGGGATGTAGGAACAGATGCAGGGAGTGCAGCTCCGGCAGTACCAGCCCGTGGTTGAGGGGAGAATATCGGATTAGCTACATAACATTGTACACGAATCCATGTTAATGATACAGCCACATATCAGATGTTTTCTAAACTTACGTCTCCATTGTGCCCAAGCAGGAAGATTCGCAGGCATGGGAGGTTCTGGGGGAGGAGGCGCAGCTGCAGGCAGAGCTTTCTTGCGTTCTCGGCGTTCCGGTTTCTTGTGAACTACGCGCCAACCCGGTCTTGCTGGAACAATGTCCTCGATCACCGGTGGCGGCGGAGAAGGTGGCGGAGGTGTAGGTTCTCTCTGGGTTATTTTTTTATTCAATGAGACGATAGGACGGGAGGCTACATGGAAAAGACGTACCTTGGTTAGCCAGCCAGCAAACTCACCGCCGGGTCCGCCACCATGTTTAGCCTTCACGGCCATAAGTTCTGCGATCTCGCTATATAACCTCAACGATCAGTTCAACCACTCCACGCTTGAAGCGGTCAGTAAGAAAGAGGGGGACGCCTCATGATCGACGTCCCGATCTCACGAGGTACAAGGGAAGCGGACTTACGCCTGAAGTTGTGTCCTCTCATCTCTCAACTTACCCACTTCTGCCAAGAGGATTCGAACTTCACTTGCGAGTGCTTTAGTGAATTCGGCGAGATACCTGCATGATAGACAAAGAATGACATCGACAAGAATAATGGCGTGAATCTCAATTGATCGAGCAGCTGAATGATGGAAGGAAGAAAGGCGCACTTTGGCGGACCGGTATTAGATGGTCTGTTTGCCATTGACTAGATACAACTGTAAGAATCAACAATCAGGAGATAGGATGAGGGTATCGAGAGAATGAGGGTATGTCGTGGAACGGAGAAGATGAGCGTTAGACAAGGACCAATCGAAATGGCCTACCCTTGATTATAAGCTTCCGTCACCTTTCCAAGGTTAACACGCCTCGAGGCATCTCCGCGACTCGAGCTTCATGCCTAACATCGCTCTAACCACGCATTGATCTTGTCTTAAACGTGTCAGGCTACTCCAGGCTTCGGGTTCGGGGCTTAGGGAGCAAGATGGGGAAAAAACACAAGGTGGTTTAACCGACCAAGTTGAGGTAAGCTTACTCGAATTCAAGTTCAGTGACACTTCATTTATTGCCAATGTCTACCTCGAAGCAAATAACATACAGAATAAAATAACTAATGCGTCTATCGTCCATGTTGACACAACTTTCAAACGTTCATTGTCCAGCCGTTCCTGCAGCTTCAGCAGCCTCTTTCGCTTCGAGTTCCCTGCACCATTTGATAACTTTCGGGTGCGCTGCTACCTATCCAAGACTTCTCAGCACTATTAACAATGAAGATCAAGGGATAGGAATTCACCTTCGTGGGGTCAAACCTCAACAACTGCAACCCATCCAAACTCGCTGCCCTCGAAAGCGCAACATAACTTTGACCCTTCTCAAACACTCTTCCCAAATCAATCTTCACCCTTTGAATCGTCTGGCCCTGACTCTTGTGTATACTCATCGCCCATGCCAGAACAAGCGGCACTTGTACCCGTCGTGCAAGTAACTTGCCTTCGTTATCTTCTACTCGGAATTCGTCTCGCATGATTAGGACGATCTCTTTCCCTTGAGGAGTGAGGAATTCAACCAGAGGGTATAACTCGTCGTCCTTTGCTGCTTTGGATCTAGGTTTAGCGTTGCCTGGAGTGCCATTTGAGGGGGAAGCGTTTTCTTTCTCGGGGGAGGTGATGGAGGAAAATTCAATCGGTGTATGCCCGTCTTCGAGTACCTGGACGTTCCGAATTGCAGTCGTAGCTTTGCTACTGCTGGTGGCGGCTGTTTCCTGTGAAGTGGACTTGGGTTTCGAACTCGAGCTTGGGCCAGCAGACGATGGCACAGGTGTGGACACACTCGCACTCGCCAGAGCCATAGTGTAAAATCCCAGGACACGTCCCACACTCCCATTCACAAGGTTCTCGTCCATATTCTTAATCAACATTACCTGAGCGTCCTTTTTCAGCTCCAATTTTCCCTGAGCGACCATGTTTTCGAGTAGCCTCCTCTTCTTGTCTTCAGGAGCAGACCCCGAATCTCGCGCAACAAAGAAATGTGATGTGCCAGTGAGCGATTTTAATCGGGAGGCATTGGATTTCTCCACTTCAGTTCGTAGGGGGAACAGTTCTGTCGGAAGAAGTCCGTCGTTGAAGGTCAAAGGGCGGGAGAGGGACTTGAATGTTTCTCGCGCTTGTTGTGAGATAGTACCCTTGCGCATTTCGTTGAGCAGGTCAACGAAGTCTACAGTAAGAGAAGGCATCAACTATTGTGCCTCAATGAATGTGAATGCATACATACGGCTATCCTTCTGTCGGAATACTTCCTTGAGGATGACGATATGGTCAATGCATTTTGCCCATGCGGCGCTCTCGAACGCGAATATGGGTTCCTGCCTAGCTTGGGTCACGGGGGGAAGTTGGAAGAAGTCGCCTGTCACCAAGAGCTACATGCCATCAGCATTGATGAGGCAAACTGAGGCTGTATGCTAATTGTGAACTGACTTGGATTCCGCCAAACGGCTTATCTGTCTTCTTGCGAAGTCGGTCGGCTAATGTGGCCAACGTATCAAACAGCTTTCCATCGACCATAGAAACTACATGACATCAATCATGGAAGTGGTATTAAGCGTAGTAGTATAGCCTCACTTTCGTCGATGATGAGTACTTTGGTGTTCTTCCATCGCTGATGGGCGGGCCTGCACGTCTTGACGTAGCTAATCAGCTTCTCGATGTTGTGCATTCCGGGGGTAATGGCACCCCATGAATGTATTGTCATGCCTAGAGCCTTTAAGTCCACGCCGGTCGCCACATATATGATGCGCAAACATACCGCCGATGTTAGATGCAGCCATACCAGTGCTAGCGGTCACAGAGATAACATCCGGTTTCTTTGCATGTTTCTTATGGAGAGCATTGATAATTGCTCTCAGCAGCAAAGACTTGCCGGTACCTGTGATGCACTCACGGTCACTATTTCATAATTAGACCATAATGAGCCAAGTTACGCACCAGCGGAACCAGTGAAAAACACGCTCTTTTCCTCTTCAACTACCATTCTCAGTACCCTTACCTGTTCCTTATTGAGGCCTACATACTCTCGAGTACCATCCTCATCCTTCGGCTTAGGCGACGCAAGGACCTCTGTCGAAAAGAACGTGTCCAAAGTCTTTCTTGGCTGCTTCGTCGGTCTTGTTTTCGCGTCGTCAATTCCCCCCGTGGACTTGCGTTTCTTCCCTAATGATGCCATGTTAGCTGGTCGCGGAAAGAGCCAAATCAGCGAGTAGTTGGCCAGAAAGAACCGTGTCGCGACTCTCCCAGGACCTATGCTCGTGACCGCGTTGACAAAATCAAATTATATTTTAAAACAAAAAAATGTTCTCATGTGCCCCATGGCTTAGCTGGTTATAGCGTCCGACTGTTATTACGTAATCAGCTTACGTAAAGTCCATCGGAAGGTCGAGAGTTCGATCCTCTCTGGGGCAGTGTAGCAAACGTGGACTGCATCTTTTTATTTGTCATTTATCCCAAACCACCCCAATAGCACCATTAGAACCTGCTCACGAGTCCTGTCATTTTTCAGTGACGAAACTTGCAATTCTCATCATGAATCATTGGAAATACATCTCGATCAGCCGTGATCGTTCCGATCACCTTGCGTTCATGGTTTCCAGCGTCCGCCTCATTGAACTCAGCCAAGCAGAATCACCAATCTCTACAGATCAAATTCATATTACTTGGACTAGCATAACGTAGCCGCCATTCAGTTATGTGATAGGTTTGTATGATATACATCTAGTCTCAAACGCGGCTAATGGACAAACTCCGCCAAAGCACATGGAAGAGGACGACGAGCCCTCTAAAACGATCCCCAAGTGGGTCGAACTTGAATACAAGGTGCATTTCATCTTGCTCTCTCTCTCAAAGTCTATATGTTTATTGTATTGAACAGCACATGCAAGACCTAGCGCGTCCCAAATTCGAAGTCCACTTCACTCACCTCTCGCAAAAGTCATGTTCGACACTCCAGAACCTTTTCTCATCCCGCCCCGACTCGGATGGGAGTTCAAAAAATGCAGAACCTAAAGCCCAAGCATTCGCACGCTCGGAAAGTGTCCTCGAGCTGATGAAAGCACGCAATGTGCCCCTAGATGAAGTATGTCTTCTAGACCCGAAAGCGCCAACTTGAGGATCTATCTTGTTCTTATGTCACGCTCACATGTTCTGTCGTTTCTTAGTGATGCAACTTGCAGATCTCGTTAGGAGTCCTTGGAAATACCTGTCGATCAAGCACGATCGCTTCGATCATCCAATGCGTTCAAGTTCATGGTTACGGATCGTACAGGTTCTTTGGTACTCTTCAACCTGTAAGTGTGCTAGCTTCTGAACCTGTATGTATAACCAATGCATTATTCATGGGCTCAATGTCACTCGGCATGATCCTGCGTTTCAGAGCAACGCCATGTTCCTTAGACTCACTGGTAAAGTTTTCAGCCACACAAGGCAGCGGTTCCCATGATTATCCCAATGTGGAGGTTTTCTCTGGAGTTTTCAAGGTGGTACTGTCCTGTGACCTGACGGTTTATCCTCTGTTTTTATTGAAGGAGTTTGTTTAAGCTGACTTTAAGCTTAACGCTCATTTGCAATTGCAGACTATATACAATATGTTCTTGCCAGTGGGCATACTCACGCTCATGCCTGCCATGATCCTCGGCCTCTTATTTTCCTATCAAAAGGGAATCCTTCACGCTTCAAAAGAGTACAATGACTCAGCAGACAAGTGCTTCTCCTTCTGAATAAGCGGATTTCCGGCTTCTGATCCTGACTGATTGCTGAATTCTTCGGCGTAGCATGTTCTTCGGTCATCATGTTGACTGGCTTTTCATTTTTTTTGTGGGACCAGCCCGAGGCCGAACGATGAGAGCGCAATTATGGCGGTCCTCGTGACGTCGTCAAAGTCTTGAAGTCCAGCGTTGTAGGCAAGAAGTTCCTCCCCACAGACCGTACCGAGGTTACGCATGTCCAAAATGACAGTGTCGATGAAGGGGTCGGAACTTCTAGCTATTTCCCTATCCCACAGACCTTATGAGTGACTGGTAAGTGATTTCTACTTTAAAAGATTTCTCCTACCAAATAGCTAACGGAGATCCATCTGAATACCATATTTCAACAACAACTTCTCGAAAACCGAGCTCAATGTCGTGAATCGAGATGCAGCGGTTCTGGGCAAGCTGCTGGGTGACATTGGTGTTTGCGACACACAATACCATGAACAAATGGCCACTCTCGACTCTCAGCACACGCGACTAGAACATATCGCGAATTCCGCTTGGGCTGCCACCCGAGTAGTTGGTCAAAATACTGCTGAGGCAGATTAGAGTATTTCGAGCCGGAGAAGATCGTGGACACATTGGTACAGCTTCATGGCGTTTTGGGATCCGACCGGAATCTCAACATTGACACAATCCAAATCACTATCTATCATGCTAGATTCGTTCCTGCGGCAAAAGTAGAGACTCGGGCTGATATAGCGGAATCGCCTTCGTCATGCGATTCAATGTATATCAATTGGCCATAGTGTGTACTACGGATCTTTGATATACTTTTGGTACGTTTACCTGCGTTCAGCGTATTTATTATACGGGGGTTGAAGTTCTGTTCACACTGGCTGTTTCGTTGTTGAGAGCAAGGCACCCTATAGCTTCAAGCTTCAGATCATAACCAAGTTAACATTGTATTACCTCGATGTCCATAACCATATTTACTGCGTTGTAGTCTTCCGGACTGCTTTATGTCAGCATCATTTCCGCCGAAGACTGTCCTGACAAAAGGGGCCGGGCAGAAGGCAGCAGTCCGACACGGATAAACATAGGGGATACAATCATGTCGTTAACAAGGCGAGGAATGAGATCATGCTCCCAGTTGAACGTTAAGTCTCACAAAGCACTGTGGGTTGGGCATGGAGATTGAAAGACGTCCCTCCAACAAACCGTAAGCTATAAATTCCCATGTGTTCGCCGCAAGAATTCCCATCCATATCCTTTAGCCATACCCATCCTATACCCCAGTACCAAAGCATCTCGCTAAAATGTCGAGCACCGAAATCACTAAAGACATTATATCGTTTACTGCTCAACGAGTTATTTTGACGTCGAGCAAGCCTTTCAAAGACGTTGTCGCAGCCCTTGATCAAGAGTTGAATAAAGCTGGCGCAGGCATGGAGATCGTAAAACTATTGCATGGGGCGAAGAGCAGACAAGATCTCGAAGAGGGTGTACAAAATATGTCCGAGGGCACACGAGACTTTGTGTACGTTTAATCATGCATATATGCATAGAATATAGCTAACGGATACATAAAGCTATTTTTCCTCGGGAGCACATTCCAAGTGGTTGTCGGCTTATTTCGACGACACACGTAGCTTTCCAGAGACCCACTATTACATTCTTGGCAATCCATTGATTGCACAAACCATTCTGAAACACGACATCATTGCGGGGTTGCACATCCCTCCCAAGATTCTAGTCCAAGAGATGGAAGGAGGCGCTGGTTCACGTATCATCTACGAGTTGCCAAGTTCTGTGATGGCTGTCGGGGGTAGCGAGGTGCTGAAGAAAGCTGCTGAAGTTCTGGATGTGAAGTTAGAGAACATGGCGAGGAAAGTGCTGTCTCAGACACGATTGTAATTGCAATGAGACGATAAAGAGGATCTTATCTAATCAGCCACGTTGTAGTCGTATGTTTCCGATAGCTGATCGCTCGGGTGGCGTGCTGCCTCAGAGCATAGAACATGGCCCCTTGTGACAACCGCTTCCAATTTGTGAATATATCCCCTCTACACTCTGAAGGTATTCTTTGTTCCCAACGCTCATCATGGAGGATGAACACACGGCGAGCTCTAGCGTTGGCACTCTGCGCGGAGCTCCTCTACATTTGACAATATCTCCTCCTGACATCACTGATCTTACCAGCCCTCGCGCTGCTTCTCCCCATAGTTCTCTGCCATCGCCTTCGAGTCCCTCAGGTGACTCTGTCTCGTCATTTCCATCAGTATCATCGTCGTTTCTCTTCTCTTCAGGACCTGCGACCCCTCCACAGATTGATCTAGACATACCGGGACATCCACCGGAGTCTGAAAGCGGTCATGAGCTGATCATACCGTCACTGACATTACCATCACCCATTCGTCGTGCAACGCAATATGGAAAGACGCTGGGAGATGTCAAGTTGCTGGTTCTGTCTCGAGCAGGCGCGAATGCTGAAGAATTCCTCAGAGTACTCGCAGACGAACAATGCGAGGACTATGTCGATGTTGGTACATGGGAGAACCTCACGGATCATCAGAATTCAAGAGGGAATATTCATCGCTTGAACATATCCACAGACTGGATTGAGCACTCCGATAGACATGGTCTCGAGAAGTACGAACCTGCGAAGAATATTGAAGTGACGCAGCTACCAGACTATGACTTGGATGATGATGTACGTTTTTGTGTTACATGATAGTCACTTCTCCTAATTGCATCTTGTTTAATGAACTATCCAGCCCGACGAGTTGCTCGGATCTATTCTGGAGAGAGTTCACGACCCATTCCAATCGATGCTTTCATTGGTCAACTTTGACCAACCGCCGAATCCTCTCCTGGCGCAATTGCTGGCCTCTCCATCTTCACCGTTGTACACGGCTCTGCTTTTGCTGCTGCCTTCGTGTGAGTTTCAGCCTTCGTCCCCCGAGTCTTTCGCAAGACGTCATGCAAGACGTTGTTCTGGCTCTCATTCTGGGTACCATCCGAATGCTAACACTATAATTACAGCACTCACCCCTTTTGATTACCAAGTCATATCGGAACTCAGCCTCCATGTTCCACTGATCATATTCCCTTCTTCCGCTCTCGACACTCTACGTCTTCACTCACATCCACGATCCTCCGGGACCCTTCATCTATCTTTATTCCACCCAGACTCGCCCCATGCCTTCCGGACGACACTTATACACTCACCCGAAACTTTGGCATCTCTTCGCCTTGAAGCTGTAGATCGATTCTTACGCTGGAGAGAAGTCGAACGAGGCGTTGAGAGGGTTCTAGACGCTAACTCTGGCATATATCCTTCCACATGTGCTCACCTCCAAACCCCAAGACGTGAACGTCATGCTTGGGACTGGGAAACTCATGATAGTCCTCATTCCACCATCGCGGGTTCAGGTTCGGGTGCCGCTTCTACCAGAGGTAAAGCTACAGTCAAATGGGATAAAGCGCATTGGGAGTCAAAATGGCAAGGATCGTTGTCTACTGATGTTGCGAAAGGGTTGAGACGGAGAAGGGAAAGTGTTCGTGGCCGAGAAGTGAGACCCAGACAGATGGCAGAGCGCAGATCGACTGTAACCTCTCCCTCCTCAATTCGTCCATCTCGGCCTTCACCTCCACAAAGACTCCCCTCAGCACTCACAAAACGAAGCTCACCTCCTCTTAGACACCAATCTCCCCATGATTCAAGTGAAAAAGATGTCTTACCACCTCCATCGATGTCTTTCGATCCTTTACACCTTCCATCACTCTTCGCGTTCTCGCTTTCCTTGTTCGCACCTTTGAGGACTAGGTTCTTTAATTCACTACCTTTGGGGTCAAGAGGTGATGATCCGAATGGGAGTGTGGGCCTTGGTGTGGGGATTATTTTGGGTGCGTTTTGTGCAGGGTTCGGAATCGGATACATTATCGCTGGTATGTAAGCGGTGGGGTCAGCGGCTCGGAGAAACTGAGAGGGAAGCAGGCGGATCACAAGTACTTGGACTTTTGTTACGTTGCATGTCATCACACAATTGTTGTATTCAATTTGGATTCTTTGCTTTTGAGTTGAGGACGGTTGATTGCGAGCGAGATCATATCATGTACTGGATAGTCTGTACACAGCTTCTTAAACCTTAATGCGTATTCATTCCACGATTAATACATTGTAGCACAGCTGCAGTGGTAAATGTTTCTCCACCGCGAAGTCAATGTTACAGACTGAGGTCACTGAGCTAACGAATTGATCATTGACTTGCATTAGCATCCTCGTGGCAAAACTAATGGTATGCGAGCCTGAGTGAATCCCACGTTTCAAAGAAACACCACAGATACCCATTCGATTCATAAATAACTACATAGAATGATACAAGAACGCTAAAACTTTGCGTATTTCCCTTTGCTTTGCTTTGGTCTTATGACCCATTCACATAACCGAATAAACATAACGCCGAATTAAATGATAACTTAAAGATCGCCAGGGTCGAGAGCGTCATACTTGGTGCAAAGCTGATCCCAGTCGGCTGTATTCACACGTTAACATTTGAATCTGATGCTCAACTGGTGAAAGAGAATTACCAGGAGTGGGGTTCGCAGCAGAAGTGTCAGAAATACCCTCAGCGAAGACAACAGCGAAACCGGCTTCCAAATGCCAGTCAATGTGGCAATGGAGGAACCAAGGTCCGGGATTGTCGGTTTCGAAACGAATGGTAACGTTGTCCGGAGCGGCACCGGTGCTGACGACGTCACGAATGATAGGGTTGACGTAGTTCGGCGTGGTTTCACCGGCGCTGCGGACGACGAAGAAGTTATGCTATCAAAAGTAAACAGGATCAGAAAGAAACCCACACAGGAGAGAGAGCAAGAAAGACGTACGCCGTGTAAATGGAAAGGATGAGGACCGGCCAAGACACCCGCTGCAAGGGTGAGCTCGATGACTTTTCCAGCGGGGAGCTCGATAACGCTCCCAGCAGGTAGAAGGTCCTGAGGGTCGGTCGTGCCGCTAAGAATTTGAAGCAGCACAGGGACATTGGGGGGCACGAAGGAAACTCCATTGATGGTGAATTGACCATTAGCCTATTGATCAAATCATCAGACAATGTGTCCATTTAAGTAAGAAAAATCACATACGAAACCGAATACAAGGTTCTTGACAACATCGGCACCACCTGGCGTAGCTTGACCGGGCTAGACAGACTTATGAGTATACTAGCTCCGAGACAATTCACACAATAGATACATACCACAGGGGTGGCCACGAGAGGATGAAGGTCAGCTTCTCTCAATGGATTCGCACTTGGGGTCTGGGAAGTAGTAGGCTCCTGGACAGGTGCGCCCTGATATCGAAGAATGGCAGAATTAATGCCTCCGGAGAATCCGGCGGGCCCAAGATTGGGATTCGCACGGATCCAGTAGTTGCCGACTGGTTGGTTTGCTGCCAGCTATTGGTGAGGCAATATGTGAGAAAGATATGTGTGGAATTGGTAGAGACGGAGACACGTACGACGAAAGAGTATCGTTGAGCAGCGAAGATTTGGATCGAGTCAACACCGAGAGGTTGACTGTTGACACCGTCGACTTCGATGACAGTGAAGTTATGGTTATCGATGGAGAAAACCCAATTGGGGTCACAAGAGATGGAGACCAAACGGAAACGGTAGCTGGAAGCAGGTCGTGTCAGTACGGAAACTCAGAGCAGTGAATGCAAGACTCGCCGTTTGCCAGCCTGGACGGTGATCACCGCAAGCTCGGCGTCGGCAGGTCCCCCTTGATAGCGTCCCAGACCGTTAATCAACGTTGAGTCGGAAATACTGTGAAATACAGGTACATTTTAGACTAAATTCAATAATGTGAGAATGAAAATGCTCACGCAACACCGACGATCTCGCGAGCCAGAGTGTGATACCAGTCTGCAAGGGTGATAACGGTACTATCTGTAATATGCTGATCAGTTTCGTAGTGAGAAAAACATTCTCAACAAAGCTCACCGTCATCAACGTCATAGAGACTAGCATGAGGATCATTGTTATCGTAGACGACGAAAGCTCCCCGCAGGCCATCGCAATACTGCGTCGACAAATGACTGTGATACCAGTATGTACCTGAGTAGAATGGTGGGATGATGAGAATGAGCTATCGGAAAAAGCTTCCGCGCAACTCACCGGCTTGATCCGGAACATCGAAATTGTACAAGAACGAGTTTTGAGTGGTAATCGGGCATTGATTCACGAAGGCGGGGCCGTCAGCCCAGTTGGTGCCCTTTTGGAAAAATCCGTGCCAGTGCTGAAGAGGGAGAGATTATGAGAGTGATCGAATGTAATGGCGGTGTCAGTTTACTTACGATAGAGGTGGACTTCAGCATAGAAGCCTCAGTGAGGTCGTCGATAACATTCAGTTTGAAGTTATCACCCTGGGTAGAGAATGAAGGATAACTGAGTGAGTGATGAGGATGATGGAATACACTCAACGAAAACGTACCTTATGTCCAGTGATCAGAGGACCTGGGAAGGTACCTCCAGCAAGGACCACGTCGCGAGAGAAACCATCGGGAGCGATGTTGTCGTTCACAATGTGAAGGTCGGCGACAGGCCCAATGGCTGCGAGACCACCTAGGGCGAGACTGAGAGCAACGAAGGTAGAGAAGGAAGGGCGGAAAGCCATGGTACTGGAAGGAATGAACGACAGAAGGTTCTACAGGATGTGATGGGATCCTGTGATGAGTAGCTGTCATGTTTCAACCAGGTCTTTATACGCTCCAGCGAGCGTTAGAGCATGCGAAAATGCCTCAAGAAAAATGCCTCAAAAATACCAAGGAGAATATTGAGTTGCGCCTATAGTATTCGTTAAGCGGTTTAGGAAAGTGGCCGTACCTGAAACGCATCCTGGGTGAGAAAGCAGAACCGGAAGACAGTATAGACTCTTGGTAACTCGTGAGAGTACCGGCGGGATATCAAGGCCTTCTCATAGAAGCTGCATCAAGTCCCGATGTGTCTGAATTGCATCATACTGGACTGAGAGAGATCTGTCCACGTCCAGCCCGCACAAAGGATGAGACGATTTATCCATGCGATAGTCGCATCCAGAGTCTGCGATCCAGCAGGTTGGACCGTTAAGTTGCTCTGTGCTGGGAAAAAGACCCTTCAGCTTTGCAATGGATGGGAACAGCTAGAATACATCACTCATTCGTTGAAAGCCGAAGTAGAGCATCCGCCGAAGGAAGTCGGAATACATGTAAGCGGCCTCTCCAGACGTTCGAGTGCTACGGTGAGCCGGGACTCTCAGGCGTTGACTTGACTGGAAGAGGATGTCACTGGCAACTTCTGGCGGATGGTAACCACGCCTATTTCGCTTCCATATAGGGAAGGTCCTGTGAATCACCATCAGCGCTCGGAGCGCCCCCGAACGCTTGTTTACCAAGTTCACATCTGCTGCACTTGTATCTTTCTTTCATGCTTCATCTGTGAATATGCTTGTTTTCCTTGCTTCAGGCACTGTCATATAAGATATGCAGCTTACTTTTCTGTCCTTCCTGGAAGAACTTACAGGCAATCGTCGGTGCCGAACCTCAGTTTGGGGATTCCACGCTGCCAATGTGCTTGATCTACGTTTCACCGTAAGCATCCTCATCTGTGATAGCCATTGTTTTACCCTATTTCAGCATATCCGGCCTTTATTTCCGCTCTATCCTGAGACCGTGCACCCACAACGGTCACAGGCGTTGCTCGTAAATCATGAGCCCCCGTATTGTTGCTATGTATCCCTCCGAAATATGTGCCTTGATGTTTCTCTCTAATGAAGAATTCTCATACTTATTTGGAGGCCACAAATGTTCGACCTGTACCTGCCTGTACCTGCTTGGGGCGGTCACCGTTTGTTCAGCTGAGGACGGTGCAACTCAATTCCTATTGTCAACACCCACGGTTCTCCACATGGGTGCCGTGTTATCCCGTTCATGAGGAAAACCATTCCATGCAAGCTATGGAAAGGACGGACGCCAGGGTCCAGCCGTCTCTCCGTCTTTCTGGCCCTCAGATACGTTTCTCAGTCCATCGTGGAACTCCTCCCAGGCTCCTCTGAACATTGTTCTCAGGCATCATTACTATTCGTTCCGCTGTCATCTTCTGAGCTTCACCGGAGAGCATTCAGAATGGCGGCGAATAGAAGACTCCTCGATATCTATTTTAGCCTGCTCAGTAAAAATGGCTCATGCTGTCTCCTCCATGCCTGCCGCAATTAGCGACATTCTCTTGGCGTCTGGTCTATTTCAGTGTATGTACTTGACGCCGTTTCCTCGAATGGCGCTTGAGCAGGATGTCAATCACCGTATTTGCCTCAACTCTGATCAATAGCTCGTTCTCATCTGGTACATTTTGGTTAGCACCAGCAATGGTCCAAAGTTGCACTCCCGTTCTCATGCACATCCTTTCGGCTCTATTGAACACCAGGCCGAACTCTACTTTCAGGGAAATCATTGTCACATAAAGACATATGACATCGGGTTTACCTTCTCATTGAATCTTCCAAGTATTAGATCATAAAGAGAAGAGGATCAGGGTGGATCGGCGCTTTGGACAACACATCTTTCACACCCTCCAACTCTATCCGGAGTGTGCCTTTTACCAACTCCCCCGATGTTCGGCTAGCTGTTCACACCGGCCAGGCCACGTATACGTCTTGCCAGACTGTCCTGTTTGACATGGATGGATGGAGAAGAGTAAAGCTGCTGCCGCGTTTGATGACGACGGCATTCCAAGTCACTCCCGACGTTTTTCCGCTGGTGCGTACCCCGCCGACCATGGAAACGCACATATCTGCACAAGCTCAACAGAAATTTAAAATAATAATAATATTGCGTGAAATGCCTTCGATTGTCTCGAGTAACCGACTGTTCTGATCTAGCTGGAGTACTTGTGTGCCTTCCGATGCCGACTTTCGTGGCATCTGTGCATTGTTCTCCGGCACGTTCAATGACTCACCGGAGGGATATGAGGTGCTTCAAGGTGCTCCTCATGCTCATTTCGTACATGGTTCTGGCTTGGTCGATCCCAGGCTTTCAGGTACGCCTCTTCTCATTGTCTCTCGCGTCCATTCTAACCAATGATCGCACAGCCAAATACCTAATTTTTCTACCTTATTCTTCTGACCGTCCCTCAACATATGACATATGCTCAAGTAGACTCTGGCTCGCATATAATGTTTCATGTAATGTCCTATGACCTTCTCCGCCTGAGTCTTCATAATTGCGACAAATCAACATGACTTCGTGTGACTACGCTTGCTAATGTGAAGGCTATCAGCCGATCTCTTTGCGCCATTCCCTCAAACCAATGTAGAAAGAATCACAAAGCCGAGGTGAAATTCATTCGTCGAAGACAGACCCCGTATGGCGCCATTTAACATGTGCAAATTCGTGTACATTATGGAAGTCTTTGTTACCGTGCATTGTCGGCTGAGCATGCATACCAGCAAGATTGGCCCGAAGTACGTGGACTACGGCCCTAGACAAGGTTCTCTTACATGAGACGGCCATAGCAATGCCGGCGAACAGCTGCCGGAATTATGGCTCGAAAGCATACAGTGTTGTCGAAGTTCCGTGATCACGATCAAGCTGCAGCCTCGACCAAGCCTCGAGGATATCAAACTACCCAGCGCCAAGCACGTCAAAGTTCAAAGATGCACCGCATGAATTAGGCAATAGAACTACAATCCGGATGAATACACCGAAAGCTAATGGGGGAAATGAAATGCAAAGAACGCTCAATCGTCCGTAGGAACTATCTTTGACAGGCAGTCCCGTCGTATTTCATCCATAACATGCGTACCATCAATGGATATGGTGGCCCTGTCACCGTCGATATCCCGGACGACTCCTTGTTGACCGATGCGGGTCGGATTATGAATAATGACAACCTTGTCCCCCACTCTATCAGGTTCTACTGGCCCCAAATACTGTACAGGGATAGATGGCTGCAATTTGGTCAGCTCGTCAGACGGTTGCAGGAACTTGATCCGAGCAGTTGAATCGAAGTCGTCATTGAAGGTATTCAGGACAGCGAGAACGATACACTGAGTACCGTCGTATAGTCCATTTTGCCACTTCGATCCAGAGGCACTCCGGATTTTGACGAGGATTCCCTTCGTATTCGCAACGTCACGATGGAGTAACCACTTCTCAGGCGGACCTGAAAAACCGACATCAGCGCTATTAGCCTACGTTGCCCTACAAATGGATAGTCAGAAATTCTCACCATCATCATCGTTATGTCCGAAGGAATTAGAGTCGCGACCCCAAGCGGAATTTGGCGCAGGCGTGGGCGCAGATAATGGGGCAGGTGTCGGGGCACTAAGAGCAGCAGGAGTTGGTGCACCCCAAGCAGCAGGAGTTGGAGCGGTCCAAGCGCCTGGAGTAGGTGCGCTAGCAGCAGCATCTCCCTGAATTGAACAGTCAGCCGCAGGGCACCACATGCTCAGTTTCTAACTTACCCAAGCATTTGTCGGATCATCTGCCCAACTGCGTCCAGGAGAACCTCCCCAAGCGCTATCGCCTGGCCATGTCCTGCCTGGTGTGGCGCCTCCTGAGGCGCCTCCCCAAGAAGGAGCAGGAGGTCTTCCGGGAGTGGCGCCACCCCACCCTCCAGTACTTACACCACCACCTGCATAGGGATTTGGGGTGCGTGAGGAAGCGCTCCAAGCTGACTGTCCTGGAGTCTTCCCGCCGTCTGCGTACGGATTGGGTGTCCTAGCACTCCAGGGTGTCTTCCCACCACTGTCTGCGGAATAAGGGTTCGGCGTTCGTCCCCATGCAGGCGTTTTTCCATCACCAGGGGTATAGGGATTTGGTGTGCGAGAGGTAGCTGCTCCCCATCTAGGCGACATATTTCCTGAAGTGGGAAATCCGCCGATACCAGGCGGACGACCAAAGCGAGAACCGCTTCGGAACGGCATATCAAGAGCTTCCTTGGTCCCATCAGGGCTGGAGAAAATAAACAATGAGTCATTTTTGCTTGCAGGTTGACCAGACTGATACTTACTTGCGCCTCATCAATTTAGACTTGTCAATTGAAATGATCTTGTTACCAGTGAGCAGTTCTACCCGTGCAATGGAACCATTTGTATCCTTAATGGTGCCGACATAGCCCTTCTGAGGTCCTTTAACGACAACCACTGAACAGCCAATGTCTCGATCCCGAGGTCCTCGACCCATGGCTGAACCGACCATACCGCCGGCGGGTGCATTCATCAACGGATTCATCTTCGACAAGTCAGTACCGCCAAGCTTGAGCAAGTTGCTACCTTTGGGTGCAAGAGACGCGAGAGAGCGCGCACGTGTGACGAACACGCCACCATTCTCAGGGTAGTCGCGATTGTGGAGGAACGCGAAGAACGACTGATGTGTATGAAGGACTCGGCCTTTCCTGCCCTGCGGAGAATATGAGTCATCAACTCACGGATGTCTGCTTGTTACATTTACATACCTCGCCATCAATTTCCTTGACATTGTCCCCTGCCCGAAGTTCATGGCCTTCCGAGTCCGTCGCAATAGCACGATGCGAGTCTCGACGCATTGAGATCTGGTGAGGCTTGACAAGCCGTACTTGACCGTTCTGATCTAGTACACGGAATGAATCACGCTCCGTCTTGTAAATGACCCCTACAGTTTGAAGGCTGAAAGAACAATATTAGTGTTTAAGTCATGACATTTCCGTGAGGAGACGTACTCAAGTTGAACCAAATCGTGCAGCTCGAAGTTGCCGACAACATTCGTGCCTGTGCCGACTTCTGCAGCCTCGCGCAAGTCTTTCGAGAAGACAGACACTTCTTGCATGGACATATCGGACAAGAATGTCACAACATTGTCCATAACTGAAACAACCAGGCCAGTTTCGTCCGCGTTCTGTCCAGCCATGACCTTGACATGGTCACCGGGCTTGAATCGCTTGCGCACACTGCGAGCTGGAAGTTGTATTCGCTGGCCATCGAATTCCACTCCTACAGGTTGGATGGTGACGACATCTTGCTCAATCGAGTGTACAGTACCATGTACACCTGATTGTTCGCCCTCGAACACCTCGATATGATCACCGGGTTGAAGTACTTGAATTGCCGCTTTTCTTGACGCTTCGGCGATGATGGATAAGTCGACGTTAACGTCGCCTTCGGTGCCGTCCTGACCACGAGTGAATTGTGTGATTTCATCCAGCGTAGGGTTGACGTTTTCCAATTGTAGTGCAGTCAAACGGAGATCCTTCTCGATGAAGCCGTCTTTATAAGTGTCATTTTGGAAAACATAAACTTGATTCCGCTTCGACACAGCTTTTCGGCCATATACTTTGACAACTTCTTCGTAGTTGAAGAAGCGCTGCGGTGGACGCATTGAAAAGGACGTTTGTCCAGCGGGTTTCTTCCGCTTCTTGCCGTCCACCGTTGCCTCGTCCTTCGGATTGAGATCGATACGAGGAATGAACTTCAAGCCAACTTCTTCGCCATTTTCAGTTATGTCCATGACCTGGGCTAAATCGCCTTGGTATTTTGGAGGCCGTTTGATGCGCACCCAACTGCCGGGTGTAACAGTAACGTCCTGCTTCTTGATCTGCAACAAGCTAGCCATTTCCTCGATTGGAACGAGAATGATGCCGCGACTAGGATAGATTCCAACGAGACCGGCACATGCATCGCTCACTTGCTTTGCACTACGAGCCTCGACGTAAATCATGCCCGAAAGTGAATCACGCTGGAAGGCCGACAGGATTTGCAAGGGACGATTGGAGAATTCCCGGTCAATAGCCTTTCGCATGAGACTGAAGACTAGGTCACGCTCTTTACCGGGCTATGAACGATATTGTAAGTGGGGACATACACAAAACAAGGGATAATGCTCACCTTTACCCGTACCTGCCACAAATTTGCATCATGCACGGACGGCATGAGCAACCGTTGAGGAATTTCGTTCATGTCGCCTGAGTAGCGAACCGCAGTTCGACGGTACCGTTCGCTGACGTCGGCAGCAATTTGAGCCAGATCTTGTTCGTTGAGTTCTTCTCTCCTCCTGTCTAGTCGTGCATGATCCGCTGCCCGTCGATGAACCTCGACTTCCTCTTCGTCGCCCTCAGCACCGGCGATGAAACCGTCTATCGGACTACATGAGATACAGGTAGTTCGAATACATAGAAGAATGCGTACCTTTGGCATATTCCTCGTCTTCCTCTTCTTCCTCTTCGTCCTCGTCTACCTCGGCTTCGACATCGAGGAAACGATTGACTGCAGGACGTTTATGCCTCTAGTGAGCACATTAGTGACATTTCCGGTGAGGTACAAACAACGTACCCGTTGCCGTTTCTTCCCGCGCGCTGCACCAGCGTCCTCTTCCTCCTCTTCCTCTTCTTCCTCGTCCTCCTCGTCCTCTTCTTCTTCCTCTTCCTCTTCTTCATTGTAGGCTCTCCTCTTATCTTTCTTCGGTGGCTTCTCGTACTCGTCGTCCTGCTCTTCCTCTTCCTCCGGCGCGCCGTTAATTCGTAAATCGTCTTCTGCGTGAGACATAGTGAGGTGGTGGTAGTAAAAGGAGAGAAAGAGTTGAAGACGAGAAGACCGTCGAGGTCTTATAAATGGTCAAGTCGAAAGGTCAGTTAGCGCCCGCGTTAGCGATTCCAAGTTAAGGCGCTTGCTTGGGCGCTTGACGCTTAATCTACAGTCTCTTACGGCGTACGCGTGGTTGGCGCCTATCCTTCCTAACGTTCAGACTTACTCGCCGGGATGAAAGGCATAGGGTCCTCTTGCTATGGCTTTATTTGAAGACCTTCCAATTGAGCTGTTACCAATAATAGCTCAACACATTGTGAAACCAAGCCATCTTGTCCAACTTTGTCTCGTAAATCGAGCATTTGATGTATTTGCTCGCGAGTGCCTCTACCGTCAAGTGTACATATACACCTGGCATAAGGATGTAAAAACTAAGGTGAGTGTGTAGCTCTTAATGTGAATTTACGTTTTAATTGCGTATTCGCACAGGTGTTGAAGCTATTCGAGACGCTTGCGTCCTCCCCTCATCTCGCTCAGTATGTAGAACAAATGAGTGAGTATGAAAATCATTAATTTCCACTTGTACGATCTTCAATGCATCCAATGCAGCAATACGAGACTTTCCTCGAGCACTTTTACTTGATGACAGGGTAGAAGCGTTACAGCTTTGTTCGAGAGGAATCGCAAACTGCATCAATCTTCGGGCGTGTTCTTGGACCCGCCACGGTTCGCTCATGACGGACGTCGTGTTGGCTCTGCAGCAACTACCTCTCCTTACAGATCTGGAAATAAACTCAGAAACACACTACTTGTTCAAACCGGAAATCTTGACAGGCTTCACTCACCTTCGCAAGATCTCGTTGATCATGCCAAGTAGACCAATCATCAACTTGCTACCCATTTGGATAACCGCGACCACCACCACACTTCGGCATCTAACTCTCATCTGCAAGGCAGGCAGTTTATTCTATCATCCAGTCGGCGATGTCTGAGTTGCAGTTAATCTGCAGTCTTCGACGCGCGTGAACGACGAACTGTTGGCTACATTGGCCCCGAATCTCACAAATTTGGAACATCTGTACTTAGTCGGTTGTCCAAAGGTCACCCACAAAGGTGTATTGTCTGTCCTTGCATCAAATACGCCCGGTATACGCGGTTTAGGCATGGAAGGTCTATCATCCACATTCGTAAGCGTAGATGTCGCCTCTATAAACTCCAATACTGATGTCAAGTGTTCCACAGGATATGGTGGAATTTAGTCAACAATGCCTCGAATCAGGCGCTTTGGAGCATTTGCGGTCTATCACTCTCACCGGCCCTCTGAAGACATCGTCACATGCGTGGGCCCAGCAGGTCATTAATCTACTCTCGATGTCTCCCTTAGAGATGTTCCATATCTCCACGATGGGAGGGGAAGTCGGCGGAACGTTGAGTGATGAATTATGCGAGCAAATTGTGTCCACGCATGGGCTCAACCTGCGACGCTTCTCTGTGGATCGTATGGGCATAAGTATTCACGCTATACGTAGAATCTGCCAAGAATGTACCAAGCTCGAAGAATTGTTTGTCACAGCAAACCAAGACGACATGGTGAGTTATCCCTGCATGTTTGTTCATCTTCCCCTTGCTCATAGCTATGCCTCAACGAGGACGCACTGGGTTCTTGCTTGGCATATACCCGTACTCTCCGTTCACTGCATGTGAAAAGACCGGTCGGTCAAGGTTCAGATACTGCACCTTTAGTCTCAGAAAGCCAAGTCCTATCGATGGTGAACAAGTGTGGGTCCGAACTGCAACAGATAGGTCGCAATACTCGAGTCTGGCAGGTATGTGTTCGCAACTGACCCAATTGTAATGGTCTAGTGACCGATTTCGACTGGCAGGTATCACGAGAGGTCAAAAGAGCAGCCGACGGTTCCTTGACTGTGGAACGAGTATTAGTTCCATACGAGCTCCCGGAGATCCCAGAACAGTTCCTCGTCATTAGGACGTGATGGTATTTATTAGTGATCGACAGTGAGCCTTTTGCGACACATTTTCAATGAATGCCCTGATTCTGTCTTGCATTTAGTCATTGCAATCATTGGAGATATAAAAATTGTACATATGAAAGAAGCCGTGAACACTGCTACAAAAGTTGTCCGCAATGAAGTCTATGAAGTCCGTTTACGAATTTGTCACCCATCCTCAACACAACCTCGTTATCTCGTACGTACAGTCGGTTCAACGTGTCTCTAGAGTCTAAGTCATACAGTGTCTTCGTCATAAGCGTCAATGCCAGGACATTAAGGATGGGCCCTCATTCTCCGTGGCCTCGGTCGACGTGCTGAGTGTGAATTCGTTTTGGGGCCATCGCCCACAGCCGGCAGGGGCGGGATGTCCTGCGCCTGCCCAAGGTCGACCGACGCAGTCACTGCAGTCGGTGCTGCAAGGGTATGCATCATAAAGAAGCAAAGAGCTGCTGAGATGGCATAAGGGATGCGCATTGCGTTGCTATTGACCAGATTAACAATATATCCCCAGCGTCCTGTTGGGAAGATGAAGAAACACTCACCGACAATAAACAAAACAGGATTGTTGATGGTGTGAGGGGACTTAGGATTATGACCGCTAGTAAGGGAGGAGACAGGGGTTATAAATACAGGAGAGAGGAGCCTAGGCCGGCTGTTCCAACGTAAAGTCCAATCGTGAGGCAAAGAGCTGAGGGTGGCAAGATGGGGAAATCATCAGAACGTGGAAGCAATAACTTTATAGTGACCTCAGAAAGCGCGGCATTCGTGCACAGTGCGGTGATCTCACAGTGTCTTAAGGCCTTGTTCCCAGGTTTCGGCTCGGAGCCTCTTCGCGTCTACATTTGCATTTATGGCGCTCACAGCCAGAGTGATACAGCCTCAGCATTGGAAAGTCCCCGAGACTGCCGGGGTAAATTGGACATACAGAAATATGTAACATAGTGATAGTAACGCAGAAGACATTGAGAAGAAAAAAAAGTAATAATTTCACTTTGGTGAAATCAATCGTCAGAGCGACGCTCAGAAAACAAACTCCTCGACTCGTAACTCGTCCTGTGCCTTCTTATCTTCGTCATTAATATATGTCCACCACTCGCGAACCTTCCTTTCCTTTCTTTCCTGGTCAGGGTTCGTTCCGACGAACGTGGCCCACGTATCCCCACGACCAAAGTCGATAATGCGGAAGCTAGGGGTCTTCTTAGAGCGTTTCTCGGGCGGAGCGGTAAGAGGACCAGGCTGAACCACGATATTGCGAACGTAGGAAGAACCCTGTACGAAGTTGGCGAGATGGAGACGAAGCATAAGTGAGTAACATTCCGATCTGAAGAAAATCATTAGATCGGTATGCAATACATAAACATGATTAGGACATACCTATCATCTAGTGTAAACTTTGACGGCTGTACAGGCTCTCCGCATTCTTCGAGCAGGAGAATGGGACTAGCTGTAGAATTATCCAGAGCTCCACTCGAGCTGACACCCTCTGGTAAGTAATATCCATAGAACTTTGGAACCACAGGCCCAACAGGCACCGGGTGTTTGATAGGTGCAACGATATTGTACCCACACCAATCCTCCATGAGGTGCTTTGGGAATTTGCTATAAATGAGACCCTCATTCTGAAGAAGCTCACGGGCGGAGCGACGGGCTAAAGAGGTCTTGGCAGCAACCACCACATTGCCATTGCGCGAATGAGCAGAAAGAGGTGGCGGAAGGGTCAGAGGAGCACGGTATACATCAGAATGGTGGCCTGCGCCCAGAGTGTTCTGTTTGTGTAAATAAAGGTGTGCCACACGGGGAGAGTCTTCCGGTTTCTTCGTTACAGGATTTTCTGCCCTTGCTTCGCCAGGTAATTTTGGTAACATGCGGACATACCTCTTGGTACGTTCAAATGGCACGTCGTTGTCGTCCATGCCACGTTCATGAGCATCTGAGTTTTTGCAATCGAGCGTGACATGGTGGGGGTCATGCACGATGAGAATATCAGGGAAGAAAGCAGTCGGGATGAACTCTTCGAGTTTGGGGATATCCTTAACAGAGTAAGGAGAGTCATACGGTGGCTTGCGACTCGCTGGAGGGTATTCTTCCGCCGTCGAGGCTGAGGCTGGGACATTGTCGTTAGAAGTAGGTGGCGTCTCTGATACTCCTGCGGAAGTTTGCTGAAGGGTAGTCTGCGGGTTTGCCGCGGCAGCGTCAGCGTTACGTGTCAATACAGTATCTCCGTCGGAGGGCGCTTCAGAAGAGTCTACCTGCATGTGTAAGACGGAGCTCTCGTTTGAGTTCTCTGTAGAAGGAATCCCACCAGTAGCTGACTGAGAGACTTTGTCAGATATTATAAGCCACGGCTGAGAGTTGTCAGAATTAGCGTCTCCTGAATCGATGGGTCGAGGAACGTCTACAGGGCGTGAAGAGAATAGATCTATCATCTCAGAGAATGGGGTCAGATCATTCGGGTTCGAATCCAGGTCGACTTTTGCCAGAGTAGCTGTAGCAGAGCCGTCTTCGGGACTCTCTGTATTCTGTGGTGCCTCGGCTTGAGGCAACTCTAGAGTACCGGTCGTGGAAACCTCGGATGGAGGTTGTGCTTCGACAGGCACATCGACATCGGACGATGTTGTCACTTCATGTCCACCGCTGTGTGCCGTCTCGTCTAACGCGTCAACTTCCATAGGAGCCTCACCGGCAGACGGAATAGGTACATCTGGGAAACTGTCAGTAGTCGGAACGCGCGAAAAAGTAGAGTTAGCGCAAAGGGCCGAAAGATCGTCGGCAGGGTGATCAGCCAAGGGAGCCGAACATTCAGTTTCGCCCTCAATGTCTGCATCCTCTGTATTCTCCATGGTAGATCCTTTGGAAGAATGTGGCAACTCCACAACACCGACCGCATCTAGAATAAGCCCAACGTCGTCATATTCGGAGAGGACTGGTTGGCCCACTGCCATTCCCATAGGAAATCCAGAGGTGTCATAGAGCACATTCAGAGGTGTGTTGTTGCGGACTGATCCTCGAACAAGAGCAATACTTTCTCGAATTTCAGGCGCCCAGAGCAGCGTGTAAGGGAAGCCAAGAGACGAGATGAGAGGGTTTTTCTCGTCATTCGCAACGAAAACCTTCTCGGAATCGACCATCATTGGGAAAAGGCGTTGTCTGACGGCATCGACCGCTGGATTGCGCTGCGCACTCGAGGGCTCAGATATGGAAGCAGAATATTCGTTAACATCCTGGCGGTATTTGGGAACATAATCAGGGTGACGATGTTTGTCGCATCCTTCGTCGATGATTCCAATTCGAGTGCCATGCAGTCCTAGATCCATTATCTTTTTGGGTAGCTTCAACACGGGCCAAGGGAAACGGCATCGAGGAAGCTGTCGTTCGTCCTCGTGTTCCCACTCGTCCGCAACGTAGTTTTCCCCAAATTCTTTGACCATACTGCGAGACCATATGGTGAATATATCGGCGTTGGGAATGCGCTGGATCCACATGAAATCCTTGAGGTCGTGGCCCCATATGATCCCGTTAGGTGTACGGACGCCACAGGGTGGAGGCTTGGATATTAGAGGTCCATTAGGGTCTCTGAGCCATTGCTGGCCGACATATCTTGTACGGCCGTCTAGTAAAGGTGAAAGAGAAGTATCAGTTGTTTCGTTCAACATGGTGCAAGTTTGGATTGAAAGGCAGGTTTGCCGTTAGTGGCAGTCATGTATTTATAATTATACAAATTTGGGCCACAGTGTATGCCACAAGGCCCAAGCAAGACAATCGAACAATGAAGGTACATGGACAGCCTCCTCGCTTAAGTTCGAATCGACCGATGAAGGCGGCTAGGGGCTTGGAATACTGTAAACCAATCAAACTTTAGAATCAAGAAATAATGCAATCCCTCCATGTTCCAAGAGAAAATGGCGACGTTGCACTCAACGCCGGTTGCAGTCCTGAGTCGGGTTGCCAACGTGCAGGATTCGTGTGCAGGAAATTGGAGGAAATATTGTATAAATATCTTCTCAGATTTCAGTGAGAAGGCACTATGGCCGAGTGGTTAAGGCGGTAGATTCGAATTGCATTTCGAATCCATCTACTCCTCTTTGAGGGCGCAGGTTCAAATCCTGCTGGTGTCGCTTTTACATTTTTAGCGTTGGCGTTGGCGTTGGGAGTAGAAGGCCATTTTTGAAGTGAAACTGGAATGAACGTTTGAACACCAAAGTAATGAAAAGTTAAATCAACTGAGCTTGGTCTCGTGCCCAGCCGCTGAGCTACGATTAATTGATTTCTAGGCCCGGCTTGTCCTGCCTTTATAAGGCGATTGCACAGCAGGCTCTTGCACAACACGTTCAAACACATAACTCACTTTCAAGAGCCACAGCAGGCTGGCCACAACATTCACATCCTAAACCGCGAAGCTCTCTTTTCTGCATTTTATCTGATTAATCATCGGCCATGTACACGATCCCTCAAGAACTTATCGATCTATCTGTTGACTTCTTGCACGATGACGCTCAGGCTCTCATACGATGCTGTCTTGCCGCCAAGGCCTGCCTAGGTCGTGCTCGATATCATCTCTTCCGTGATGTGCAGCTTGTATTCAACCCGTATCGAAGTGCAGCAGACGACACCGTGCTACGGAACTTCTCTTCCCTCCTACAAGTTCGTTCGTCTCTACCGCCACTGGGTGCAATCGTGCGCAATCTCCAAATTGATGGACAGACCGTCTGCAAACCTTACCGTCCTGCTATCGAGGTACAACACATTATAGAAATCATTTCTAGCCTTCCAAATCTCGAGTATGTTCTATTCAAACGTGTAGTATTGAAGAACTCCTCGCAAATTGGTATTCCTCCGACTTTGTTTTCTCTGGCAACACTTGCGTTCTGTGAATTCGCTGCTCCCGCCTCTATACAAGGCCAGAGTGAGCTATTCAGCGCCTTTCTTTGCTGCTTTTCCCAAATCCGCCATCTTTATATTGATTCTCCTAACTGGTCACGACATCCAAGGGACGTCACCGCGCCGGTCTTACAACCTTCAAGTTCAAGGCCACTCCGCATAGAAGAGTTCTCTATATTTCATCGCTGGGAGTGCATGCAAGTTGACCAGCTTCCCCCGGATTTCCGACCCACTTCCAACATCTTTCGCAAGATCTTCCCATTTTCCTCTTTGCGATCCCTGTCCATTTCAGTCGAAAATGACAGTTTAGTGCACTTGAAGCGGATAGCTGAGCTCTTGCAGGAGTGCGAACCATCATTGGAAGTGCTTACGCTCGATGTTGTGGACATCCGATGGCGCATAGATCCTTACAGTGCGTTTCTCGATTTGAGCAGGAGACATGTTAACCCACTGACACTTGTCACAGGTCCGGATGTCTGGTCTATTTTTAATTTGCCTTCACTCAGAAAGCTCCACACATTATCCATCTGGCCCAGTCTCACCCTTCATCCTGAGCACGTGGAAACCAACATTCAGTATTGGAGTACAATAATCGACTTACTTTCTTCACTCTCGTCATGCCACCTCACTTCAATTGAACTTACCGTCTCAGTTTGGCCTGAAGATCATTTTCTTGGGCCCGCCGTTACGGACGACCTCACTATGCTAGAGCAGCTGCAATGGGACAAGATACGCAGTACTTTGCGGCTTTTAGTATCCTCTGGGCTAGAGAAACTGGTGATTTCTGTGTATCTTCCGCGTGAAATGCGAGAAGGGGAAGACATGCTCGTTGAAGAAAATGACACCTATGTGCTGAACGCACTACGTTCCTTGAAAGTCCAAGTGTCGGTGTCGCACCATTTTTCTGGCTGAAGTACACGATCTTGTCTGCGTCCTATCTTGAAATAGGCTTGTAATATCACTACATCGTAGCTTCCTTTTTTTTTTCTCATGTTGAATTAATTTCCTTCATAATGACTCGTGTAATCTATTTTCCAACGATATCAGTCAATTGTGTCTTCGGAATAGCCTCAGGGAATGCCAACTGCTTCAAACGATTGTGGGTGGCCTGTTCGTAAGCAAACGCGTAACTAATCAGCTTGAACTCGCTGAATGCTGTGCCCATGAATGAGATTCCAAATGGTTGGTTCGGTCCCATTGAGCGAGTTGGTTGAGCAGGTGAAAGTGTGGTGTTAGCTGGTTGGAATCCGAGCGGAACTACCATACCCAGCGTCTATTAGTGGGTAATACCGACAATGAGGTAGATGACTGAGGACTTGCCAGTAACAATAGGGTACCCTGCGATCGCTGCGGGACCGGAAGCACCACTTGTAGGTAACAAGAGAGCATCAAGGTTGAACATCTCGAGCGTCGCATCGATGCCTCGAGTTTGGCCGATGTCCTTGTCTGCTGCAAGGGCATCGAAGTAAGCTTGATTGACGGTCGTATTTTCTGAAGCGATAAAACTGCAGTAGACTCAACATCAGTTCTAAACTTGTGAAACTAGGTGGTCATTGCGCATACGTAGACTGATCTGTCCAGAATGGTTCTACTAATTCTTGGTCTGCGTGTGCTGAATTGAAGGCAATAAGGTCAGCAAGGTTCTTCACGCCAGTTGGCACTTCCACCAAGTCTGCGATGTATCGATTCACGTCAACCTACATGACAAATTAGACTTAACAACAAAGATGTACAGTGGTACGCAAAGGAGTTACCCACCTTGAAATCAGTATCCAATACAATAGTTTCATTCCTACTCGCCCTAATCTCAGCCAAACTCGGGAAATCCGTCGGGTCAATCACAGTCGCGCCCAATAAACGTATGATCTCAACCGAGGCATTGAATGCAGCGATGATATTCTGATTACCAGGTGAAAATCCTCTGGGTATACCAAGACGAACACCTTTCAGTGCGGTTTTGTCCAAAGCTTTGGTGTAATCGGGAACGACGGTTGGTTGTGCGAGCGTGAAGTTGTCCAAAGGGTCTCGGCCAGCGATGATCGTGAGGATCGTGGCTGCATCTGCTACTGAACGACACATAGGGCCGACGGTATCCTGACTGAAATGTCGTTAATACGCGAGCCCACTCATAATTGCTCAACAGAAAAAGACGCACTGTTCGGATATGGGTACGACTTAGAAAACCATTCAGAAGGTATTTCATCAAAGCGGCGAGCGAAAATCTTAAAACTTACCACCTGCCCTGCTAGTGAGCCCAACGGTCGGCTTGATCCCAACTAAATTATTATTCTGACTAGGCGAAACAATACTTCCATCCGTTTCAGACCCAAGAGCGCCGGCAGCCAAACCAATCGCACTTGAAATACCACTTCCAGAACTGGATCCAGAGGGATCGCCTAGCGGGACGTAAGGACTTGATGCTTGACCGCCGCGGCCCGAGAACCCTGAAGGAACACGACCGCGAAAGTTTGCCCATTCGCTGAGATTGGCTTTACCAAGGATGATTGTGCCTGCTGCGCGAAGTTTGGCTGCTACAGTTGCGTCTCTAGGGACTACAGATCCTAGAAGTGCGAAAGAGCCTGAAATGAAGCGTGCACTTTGAGTTTCGCTGTGATTGAAATCTATGCGAGACACATGCCAGCTGTGGTATTCATTCCTACCGTGAAAGGTGTCTGGACATTAGCTTGAATTCAAAATGAATGCCACTGAACATGTCTCGGTACCTTCGGAATGCAAAGTTGCTATATTATCTTTGACAATGATTGGAATGCCATGGAGAGGGCTACGAGGGCCAGTCAGTTGACGCTCCTGATCCAGAGCCGCAGCTTGAGCTAGCGCGCTTGGATTGGTCTCAATCACAGCTCGAAGAGTGGGTCCCTGGAGGTTGACTTCTTCAATTCGAGCAAAATAAGCCTAAATATAATACTCCAACCTCAACTCTCAAGGCGGTTACAACGAAGGCCTTACCTGAACAAGGTCGACACTCGTGAAGAGCCCGCTGGCGAGTCCAGCCTGCAACTCTGCAATAGATGCCTCATAGAGATCGGGGAAACTTTGAGGTTTGACCGTTTCTTCTCTTGCTCCGACACGATCTTGGGGAAGACAGAACCCAAGCAAAGACGCTAGAACAGCGAAGAACACGATCCGCCTCGTAAGTCTTCGCATCATAGAGGTAGACCACCTTGTACAGGAACGGTCAGACTCAAAGGCGAGAGGCTGGTCCCTGAAGAGCCCGTCGCCTCTTATCGCGTTAGCCTTGGTTTGCAGCGTGGTCATCCTGGGAGGATTCAGTGGCTACAAGCCTTCCGCTAGTCGTCGCGTGAACAGATAACTCAAAATAGTGCGTAACCCAGCAATGTGGCAAAAAGAGTACACTAGGGCAGTGTAAACTATGCGGAAGTCGAAGTGATAGAATATGATTAGTACGGCATTCTCACCACGATTCAAGCGTGTATAAATCTTGATGGTCGCCCTGTTATGGATAATTAGTCCATCACTTGGAGATTTCTTCCACAAGAAGAGTGCATTGGGGATGGTTATAAAGTGAACAATCCGGTAACAATACTTGACACCTCCAACCAGCCCAGCTAAACTGGTCGGAGCGGGCAGGTTATGAGAGGATCGAGAGCCTCGCTATCAAAAGGGAAGTTATGTATCCTAATGAGGAAGTGACCCAAAGAATAGCAAACAGAATTGTGAGACGCCTGTGGTGAGTTGCCAGACTTACGTTGGACTATACTTGAATCTACTGTACTTCTGGATTCTTCAAACCCCCGACAACATGACAAAACATAGCAAGAACAATACAGCATCGTCAATATTCTCGTACGCCGAATACAAGAAACTCGATTATGGGACGAAACGCGTACGTGTTATACCATCTTGCTCTACATGACGTACCCATGCAAAGTGAGTAGCAACGTCTAGGAAATGAGTCCATGCGTCGCTTCGACGCTTGTGCTCTCTGCCTGCAACGAGCAAGAGAGCCAGTAGCTTGTCATCAAGGGCACTTGTTCTGCAAAGAATGTGTGTACACGGATCTAGGTGAGTGTCATTAGAGTATAACAGCCGGGACAAAAAATCGTTGACTTTGTTGTAGTTACCCAAATTGGCGATATCAAGAGGCAGAAATCTCGTTTGGAGGCCATGAAGCGGGAGGCAGAGGAGGAGAAAGAGCGTGCACGAGAAGCTGCTCGCGACCGAGTCCTACAAGAGTTCGAGAAGGGTCAACTAGGTCTGGCTGCACCAGGTTCTGTCGCGACTACCTCAGGAACAGAGTCCAAAGAACGTGAGTTATCATCGTCCTCGCCGAGTCTCCAGCATTTTAATCAACCAACAGATCGGGGAACAAAACGCAAGTTTGCCTTTGACTCCACAACAGCACAGACCTTGGCTCGAGAAGCCGAAGAGGCGGCACTGCGACAGATTGAACGTGAACAAGCCGAAGCGCTGAAACATAAACTGCCTGACTTCTGGCTACCTTCCTTGACACCAACGTATACTTCGAGTGGTCCTCCGACGTCACTATCTCAGGTTAAGCTTCACACAACTTGTCGAGGAGGGAATCCTCCCCACCATCTTACGTTTGTCCTTCGGTTTAATCACCTATATTGATGAATGTTGACAACCTAACTGCAGGCGAAAGAATCTTATACCCATAAAATTTACCTACGACACTTCATCGAATAACAGATCTGCAGCTTCGGTAGAGTCCACTCCAGCAACTACAACTAGCGAAGAATCAAAAGCAAAGAAAGGGGAGGAGCCACTTAACGCAATATGTCCCTCTTGCAAAAAGGGGTTCTCGAATAGCACACTGATGTTCCGTACGTACCCTTCCCACTAGACCGTTCTTTTGACTCAACTCCGTATCATAGTCATGAAACCTTGCGGTCATGTCGTATGCAAAACCTGCACAGACTCACTTGCCAAACCCGCAAAGCAATGTATACAGTGCGACGTCAAGCTCGCGGACAAGGATATCATATCGCTCACAAGAGAAGGTACTGGCTATGCTGCTGGAGGTTTGGCAGAGACGTCGAAGAAGGGTGTCGCATTCCAGGGCTGATCTTGCAGTTTCCGCACTCCATTGTACTTCGCGACGGGTATGTACTATATTGTAGTCTGGTTTCTACTTGCATCCTCTGGCGTCGAACCCAGTCCAACTCGCAAGTCGAAGGTGTGACTTCGAATGCCTTATCTAGTGAACATTTAAAAGACCATCACTTTCGTGGTGTGGTTCTCGACTCCGCTGCCTTTTCTTCTCTCACCTGACTTCTTCGGGGGCTTCGCAAACAGTGCAGATGACATTTCTTCTCTTGAACGGACCGCCGGAAAAGCAACATGCAACTCAACTGCGTTCTTATGACGTACTAACAAGATCTATTCAAGATGTCGTTGATTTTTACAGTATTTATATGACAGTTTTCCCGGACCTCGTCTGATGCCTCATTGTGCATCGTACCTTGCAGTCTCCTGCGATCTTAATCAATATGCGCCTCTTGACTCTTGTCATGCAGATCGTCCTCCCATTATTTGTCTCATCCCTTGGGGCAGGCGCGGCCAACCTGACTGAAGATTATTTCCAGCCAAATTCTACAGGTATTAAGTTGCAAAATGGGTTCGAACGCTTGTTCATTCAGGTCAGGCTGCGTTCTTTACCCCGCACTTTACCCGTGCTGACCACTCATGCTGCTGTCTTTCTAGCCATTCGGGCCTCATGGAATGCGCGTACGTGCAAGTCTCATGCGTGACCCCACTGGGACCGAATCTTCTGCTCTACTCGACCCTCCCATCGAAGGTCCCGGAGGTAACGCAGGTCTAAGTCATGACCTCGCGATCCCCTTCAAAGGCAACGCCACCATCCGAAACGGCAATCTCGTCGCGGAACTTTCCTTTGGAATCCTCTCATTTTTCCGCGTCTCCTCAAACGGTTCACGTACTCTTCTCATTTCAGAGTACACTGACACGAAGACGCTTCCCGCACGGTATTACAGACAAGACTTTCGAGCTGGAAGTTTTGCTGCGGAGTTCTCGTTTACGAGTGATGCGGATGAGCAGATTTATGGAGTTGGACAACAGGCGTGTTGCAAAGACAATTCAGTAAACAAAAAGGGGCAGGTGGTGGATTTGATCAATTATAATTCACATGTGCCATTGCCGGTGTTTATGTCGAATAAGGGATACCTACAGTTCTTCAATATGCCTGGACAGGGAAGGTTAGGTGAGCTTTTGGGTGAAATTCTATTACTCGTCAGCAAGAGTTAACGATGCTTTTTGACAGAGTTTAGTCCTCTAAGAACCAGGCTTGCCGTTGATGAGGCATTCGTAGTGGACTACTGGATGTAAGTTCATTGTCTTCATTTTCGTCATGCAAACGTTACCCGAATCACGGTAATAGTACTACAGCTGAACCTGGGGATTATGATGCCCTACAGGAACAATTCACTGCTGTTACTGGTAAATGTCTTTTCGAACTCAGCAGGTTTACCGAATACTAAATGGAAACAGGACGACAACCGACTCCGCCTGACTTTATACTGGGCTACCAACAATCGAAGCTACGTTACTACAACGAAACCCAAATATTGAGCCTGGCGCAGCGCTTTCATGATGAACAAGTCAACGTTTCGCTGATTGTAGTAGGTAGGTATATCCAAATACTCACTGCAGAATTGGGTGTTTACCATGTAGTCACTAGACTTCTTTGCATGGAAGTTCCAAGGAGATTGGTTCGCATTTTTTATAGATTCCCTTGAGCATGATACTGATACTGAGCTGAATGCAGGTCATTCAATCCCGAATTCTGGCCCGACCCAGTTGGTATGGCAGCTAAAGTCAAAGAGCTTACCGGTGCAGAGATGATGGTATCACTGTGGCCAAGCGTGGAAGACTTGTCGGTGAACTACATTCCCATGCAGGAACAAGGCCTTCTTGCTATCACTCGAGATGGCCCCGGCGTACAGGATTCATTCGCTGGTGTATACACTCGCTTGATCGATTCGACGAACCCCGCTGCTAGGCAGTTCTTGTGTAAGATTTGACATCCCTTTCAGTGAGACTATGTGATGATTGATTGCGCGAATAGGGAAGAGGTTGAATGATAGTTATTTCTCGAAAGGGATTCATAACTTCTGGATCGACCAAGCTGATGGTAATGTTCTACTATACTTGAACTTCAACGGTGTCTGACACGCAATGCAAGGCGGTACCCTAGGAGAACCATTCGAGAACAGTACGTTACTTGATTATATCCTACTCTGAGTGTCGTATTCAAGCTCCAACAGATGGCCAAGACACCATCAATTCCCTCCCATACGCTCGCTCTTTCGCTCAATACTTCCTTGGGACCCAGGAAAAAGTCGGAAAGATCTATCCATGGCTACATCAACAGGCTATCGAAGAAGGCTTCCAAAATCTCACCCAGGCTGATCCTTCTTCGTCATCCTGTCAATATATGTCGTTGACCAGAAGTACCTTTGTCGGAGGACAGCGGTTTTGCTCGTATTTGTGGAGTGGGGATACGTCCTCGAGGTTCGACGTATTAGCTCAACAAATCACTGCTGGAGTTTCCGTTGCTGCTAGTGGAATATCTTCTTGGACGTTGGATATTGGTGGGTTCACAGGTTTGAACGTAGATACTGACTCGGTGGGTATCCTTTAGGACCAAGTTAGAAGATCGGCGAATTGAACGGCTTCGCATGTACAGGGTCGGGAGCTGTTCGTCCGATGGCTCGCTATGGGTGTATTCCTGCCGTATGTGAGTGCTTTTGTGTCTTCTCCGAGCTGTATCGATTAACACATCAGGCTGTCAGATGCGTGTCCATGGTGATCGCGATTGCAACATACCTTTAGACCCTTCACAATTCCTTGCCAATCAATGCCCAAACGAGGTCAGCTGCATCTTGACGAACTCACCATAGCCCTGAGCTAAATTGTATCCTGCAGCCTTGGTCCTACGGCGATGACAACTTCGTCATCATCAAAAAAGTACGTGTCCAGCTCTCTTTTAATCATTCAATTAGATAATGGATGGCTGGTAGTATATCGCCCTGCGATACCAACTGGTCCCATACGTGAAGGCACTCTTCCAGATGCTGCAAGCATCTGGACGAACTATCATGAGACCACTTTATTATGATTTCAACCATGACCCGAGTATCATCAATGGGACTGCTGTGAATGATCCTAGGATTGTTCACGAATATATGTTTGGTATGCGAGTTCTTCGCTGGAAAGTAGATTGAACTGAACGACAACTGCCTTAGGGCCTCAAATTCTTGTCGCACCTGTTTCAGTCGAAGGAGCCGCAACGAAGGACGTCTATCTACCCGTTCTCTCAGATGCAATGATTGCCCAAAATTTCACTTGGACACACTGGTGAGCGCATCCTGTTCAATCCCTCCGTTCACGCCTTGATACATCATGTGATACTTTACAGGTGGTCGGAGAAGGACTTTGGCACAGGAGGGGAAACAGTTACGGTGAATGCCCCATTAGACCAAATTCCCGTTTTCTACCTCGGAAGCAAAGAGGATATATTCTCTGGCAAAGTGAATATCTAACACGAATCGGATAATGAAAGTCCTTCCAATGAAACACAAATATATGAGTACAATGAGTACAATCAATACATAATAGACGACGTGTTTCGGAAAGTATGCGTAGAGTGAATTATTCCATGACCCAATCCCGAACCACCTTGCAACCTCCGATATCGGGATGTAATAGGACAGAGGAGATCCAATGTTCGAGCAATTGCCTACGTTGCTCCAGAAAAGACGGGCGAAATTTCGACCAAGGTGACTTCGGAGGAAGAGTTGGCAGAAACCGCTGATAACTAGGCTGATAGTGGCAGTATGAGCCATCAAATATTCAGATGAACATGTCACAACATACCGGTAGCGTAGCACGTAGCTTCGCATGGAGCTCTGCAAAGGCGCTATAACGCTTCAACGCATGTATGACCGTTCCCTGAAACGAAACGAGTTAGTATATGTACGTCATTAGACACGTACAAGACCTCACCTCTTTCGTGTGAATGGCACAGTCGTACACTAACAATCCTATCAGCACAGAAATAAACTCTGCATCAAACAGGAGGGCTCACCAATGTACGCTCCTCCAAGTTTATCTCCAACACTTGTCCAGCCGCAGACTTTCACTTCACGAGAGAATGCTTGGCTCTCTCCTGAATTATCTGCTAGCCATATATCGTTGGAGAATACCGAAGGTGCACCGACTGGAGAGGGTGACCGCTCTCTATAATCTGGAGTCTAAGCGGGCACTCAGGACAACTTCGGCGAAGGAAGGCAAGCACTAACGTCGCAGATTTCGTCGTACAAACGAGCCTCCTCTTCTACGTTAATCCTATCCGGTATAAGTACAAGCAGGCTGTTACTATTCTGCAGCGAGTTTGAAGGCGTTGGGGATCCGGGAGAAGGGGCCTCTTGCGAATTCATGGGATTTAGGAGTACACAATGAAATATTCAAGAACGGAGCTTCATTAAACAAGAGGAGGTTGATAGGAGGGAGATGAGCAACAATGAAGTATAAGGGAAAGAACAAGGACCATCATTATCGCCTTTGACACAAGTTGAAGGACGTCGGACTTGGGTCCAACTTTAGTTAACGAGAACGGGCCGCGTCTTCCGTTGCCTTGTCAATTGTCGTTCTGGACGGCAGGAACCTTGACCACAACCATCATGGTTCAATAGCATTGTAGCAATGATCTAAGGTTATAAGATAACAATAATACTGTCTGGCCGTCGTTCAAATAACGGTATATGATAACCCATCTGTACGTATTGCTCAAAAACGTTCCAACTCCATGAAGCATTTCCGATTAAGCCATCACTTGCTGTTCTTCGAGCCATTTATTGACGAGATCAATCGTATTCTGTAAGGAGTAGAGTAAATACATGAATCAGGGTAAGGCAGGATCTAAAGCTCACCTGCACCACCTTTGTGACCCTGCCGAGAGCGTCTTGATCATACCAATACTGAGACTGCAGCTGCATAAAGCCAGAAATATGGCGTATCATGCCTCGCATGTAATGTTGGTTTGAACTTCCGCAGATGAGGGTGTCCGTATAGACGATCAAGCGGAATAAGGCGGTCACCTTAGCTTCGCACGTCAAGTCCATGGCAAGTAACTCAATGCAGAGACGGATGTCTTGAAGCGTTAAGAACTTGAACTTGTAGAGTAAACCCATGGAACCGGACATATACTGGCGTTTCTCATCAATCTTCGCAGAACCATTGTTGTACTCATTGTGCTAATTGGTTGTTTTCAGCTCCTTGGGTGGTAACACACAAATGAATGAGAAGCATACCATCCATATCTGTCTGAACAAGCCCATAGCCGACATCCTGATCTCGTGAGCAAGTTGGTTCGCCTGTCGTAATGTATGTGGAAAATTCTTCATGTTTCCGATACTCGCAGACCACATCAGGAGTGAGGCTCTCATATGTTCTTCGCCTATAACGCCATCGCAAGCGATAGACCAGCCGACAGATCGAATGTCCTCTAGTGAGATGTCTTGGACGAGCTGCTGAGCCTCCTCAGTTGAAACTTCGCCCCGACCGAACTTCAGTAGACGAGAAACAACTGTACGTGTTTTATCATCATTCAGATCTGGTGGAACAAAAGGAGAGGGAACGACTATGTTCCACAAGTATTCCAGCTTTTCTGGCAAAGGCGACGAACCGACGTGCACGTTGTTAACCGTCTGCGTATGGCCAGTAGTAAAGTGCACAGGTACAGCAGTTGGATGCGTCATAATCGGCGATCCAATAGGTCTGGACCCCGTAGTGGCTTGGGCTGAATGGTTGTTGTGGGGCGACCAGCTACTAACATTTGGAGTTTGATATATGGCAGCGGCAACTGGCTGAGGCGAGTACCTTCCCGCGTTATAGTGGCTTAGAGGGAGCGCGTTTGAAGAGCTCGGCGTGACCTCCACATCGACTGGAACATCAGGGCTAACGTTTTTATCTGCGGGTGGCGGCTGAGTCTTTGCCCTCCTACGTCCGTATTCATTTAGCAGGTTGGCGTTCTTCGCGTAAGCACGACGAATGAATTGAAGATGATATTCTGGTGTCCCTAGAGGATTTGCAGACGTGGAGGGCATACTCGCGAGGTTGGGAATGAGAGATGGAGAAAAAACCGACGATGTTGGAATAGATGTAGATTGAAGCACTGTGCGGCATATATATGTCAAGGCCAGAGGCGCTATGGTGGCCACTCCTTGATTCCTCGTGCTATTGTGGCAGTCTTTGTTCTAGCTTATCGCAGTGGCAGGAGCCTCCAGGCATGTATGATGTGAGGCTCAGCTTGTAAGTTGAATCGACAAGGAATTGATAGGATGAAACTCAGCTATTGGACTGTTAGGTCGTAGTAGGTCGTTCTAAGCCCGATCATTCGGGCCGCCGTTGGTAAAAACAAATGCAATTCCGACTACAGTGGATGTCCGAGTCAAGTGCATGTCGGCTCTTGCTTCGCTGTGTGAAAAGCACGAAGGTAAGAGAGTCCGTGTTCAAAGCCAGTCAGCCCATCACCAAGAAAGTGATCTCGTCCGACGCCATGAAGTCAATTAGTAAGTAAGACAAGATTGGCGTATTTAGTAACGAAAGAAAAAGTTCTCGTTATAGATGGTGAAGAACCTTGTAGCAGCCGACGGAGCATGTCTGCCACAAACATTTCTTTCAAGCGTGTCATATTTTTGCTCCAGAGCATTGCTGGTGTTTTCAAGTGGCCGATTTTGGTCATATCAGGCGAGAAGCACAACTGGCCGTCACAAGTCCACTGTGCAATCAAGCACCGTAGGTCAGAAGTCGGTTGAAAAGGCACAACCTATGTACTGTAAGCAATGATACAGTACGCCGGATGACCATAATGGAGCCTGACCTTTGCACGCAAAGTATACCCATTTCTATACCACTCCTACCCATGGATGAACTGTTATCCATTGCCTAGGGCCAGGTACAGAGGCCACACACTCATATGACGGAAACACTGTTGATGACATGGTTCAAACCGGACAGATTCGGTCCCGAACGAAGGTATGTATGCTCTTGTTAGACGAATATTGTCAAATGCGCAAGTCAGCATAGGCGCAATGGCATGAACGTGAGAGTCAATTACAAGCAACTGAGTTGCGGATCAAGATACCGACAATAGTGATGTCGGTGCCAAGGTCAATGTAGTTGGAATGTGGGAGATACACGAAGCAGGAAACTACGAAGCCAAGTGCTTTGAGATTCAGAGGTTCCTGACCCTGAGCGATCATCATTGTAAGCGTACTGACGCTGTGAATCCGCTGCTCGCTATGGACGCCATGTTCAGTAGTTTCCTAAAGACACTGTGTGAGTCCTATGAATAATGGTGCCGAATAGGAACCGCTTGGCTTGAAAATTAAGTGGTGAGAGGGTAGAAACGTCATGGGAACGCTACACTTTCAAAGCACTCATCACGCAGATGAATCTGCCTTTGACAGGGCGAAAGGGTCGTGGTTAGGCAATGTTTTCCATGCGAGCATCGTGGGTTCACCACAGCTGTAATACCGTCGCAACAAAGTCAGTAGCGGTCCCTGCTTGGAGTTCCCATGCCACGTACCAGAGTGGGCATTGACTCGCCGACCAAACTCGGAACAACTACGCTGGCACAGGCGCGTCATTGGAAGGTTATGAACACTGATACTGTACGGCATGATTGCCAGTTTGTTTCCTTGACTGGGCCAAATAACTATGGCTTCGTGAGCATTTAACGTCATGGTCAAGCTCAGGAATCAGAGTCAGGATGTCACCGACTAAAAAAGGTGATGTGTCGCAGTCTCGCAATATTTTGAGGCACCGGTGCTGTGCCTTTGTGGCGGTGCACGTCGTTTGATGTCGATAACCTTTTTTGGGTAGGTAGAACGTGGCTACCAACCACAAACTGGACGGCTCAGCCAAGAATCAAACGTGACGGCGTACACATGCGTATTATAGCTGCGGGATGGCATTAATGGTGACGCCCCTGGCTTCGAGAAAAGACTAAACTGATGGTCTGAACTAGATGCAGTATCCTGGTCAATAGCCTTTGGCACTAATGTACCAGCGGCGCGGCGTTGCCTCGCGCTGTGCTTGAATAAAACTGAACTCGTCGTACGTTCAATATCATGTAACTTGCCCGTCTTTGACACCTGCGGCAATCTGAAGCTGTTCAGAACGACGCCCAAGACTTGATGTTGCCGGTGCAAATCTCCACCCTTCTTGTTTCCAGTTAGCACCTCTCCCACGTAGGTCTTTTCGTCTTATTGAACGGAAACCCAAGACCTTCATTTACGAAACAGAAAATATTCTCGGGGAACATTCTCTGTGTTGCATCAGATATTCCTCTTCGTTCGTACCTTCCAAGGCCGACCTTGGATAGCAAAGCAGGGTCAATGAATAACAGAGGCATTTTCGCAGCGGCCTTAACCGCTGGCCAGCTCTGTATAAAAGACAATATGCGAGGTCTGCTTTAGCCATCGCAGAACTTCTGGTCTTTGCATAGTCCACTTTCCTGAATATCAGCTGGAATGGCTTTCGCATCCGCATTGTCGACGTTTACCATCCTCGCGTTTGCTCTGAAAGTATACGCTGGGATAGGTCCCGTTGCCGACTTGCACATTGTCAACAAGGATATCGCGCCCGATGGCGTGAGTCGTGCTACCGTGCTAGCAGGAGGTACGTTCCCTGGTCCACTTATCACCGGGCGGAACGTAAGTAATATCTCATATACACCTTGTGTCGAGGACTAACAAGGATTATGTCCAACAGGGTGACAATTTCCAAATCAACGTTATCGACGAGCTGACCGATGATAGGATGCTAACGGCAACCTCTATTGTACGTTCTAAAGGCCTTCTCTACAATGAGCTCGGAATTTGACGTAGATGGCCGTTGTAGCATTGGCATGGATTTTTCCAGAGGGGGACCAACTGGGCTGATGGCCCCGCCTTTGTTACCCAGTGCCCAATTATTAGCGGGAACTCGTTCCTGTACGACTTTGACGTCCCAGACCAGCCTGGTACCTTCTGGTATCATAGTCATCTGTCCACTCAATATTGCGATGGTCTGCGTGGAGCGTTCGTTGTATACGATCCCAATGATCCCCACAAGCATCTCTACGACGTCGATGACGGTGAGCCTGCAGGTCCAAGAGCTTGCGCCGATAGACTGACCACATGCTTTCGGTAGATAATACGGTGATCACCTTGGCAGATTGGTATCACGTTTTTGCACGTACCGTGGTTGGTGTTGCGTATGTGACCGTCATTTAACACCCCTGCAACCATATCAGCGTATTCATATTTTTCCCTAGCACGCCCAATTCAACTCTGATCAACGGATTAGGACGGTCTCCATTTGGACCCGCCGACGCTGAGTTGGCGGTCATCAACGTCCAACGTGGCAAACGGTTCGTCTTATATTCGCATTCGAGAATTCATCATACTGACATAAACATCCAAAGCTACCGCTTCCGTCTGGTTTCTATCTCTTGCGACCCCAATTACATCTTCTCCATCGACAATCACACAATGACTGTCATTGAAGTCGACGGGGTCAACAGTAAGCCGTTGGGTGTTGACTCGATTCAAATATTTGCAGGGCAGCGATACTCTTTTGTCGTAAGTGCAATCTTATTATGATGCTCTGATCGAATGTCGAGCTTAAATCCAGACCCTAGCTTCATGCCAACCAATCGGAGAGTAACTACTGGATCCGAGCCAGACCGAACATTGGCGCGAACACCACTACTCTCGGAGGCATGAACTCCGCTATCCTCCGCTATGTCGGAGCACCCAAGACGGAACCGACCACTGTTGAAACTCCGAGTGTAAACCCATTGCTCGAGACGAACCTACGGCCTCTAGTTCGCACTCCGGTGGTACGTGCTTTGAATCATTGGTGATAGCATACACTGTCTAATTTGTCATTCCGTTTAGCCTGGAAGTCCAGTTCCTGGAGGTGCTGACATTGTGAAGACTCTAGATCTGACATTCGTGAGTTATACGCTTTCACTTATGTATGACCTTTGCTTATGATAACAACTCGCATCCTGTCAGGCTGGTGGTCGCTTCAACATCAATGGCGCTTCATTCCAGGATCCTACCGTTCCGGTCCTTCTTCAAATTCTCAGTGGAGTGCACAACGCTCAGGATTTGCTACCTGCTGGCAGTGTCATCGAACTCGAGCAAGGAAAGGTTGTCGAACTCATCATTCCTGCTCTTGCCATAGGCGGCCCACACCCCTTCCATTTGCACGGGGTACGTCCATCTTTTTGCTTCACATTGCCTCATTTATCAACTTATATCCTGGCCATAGCATAACTTCTGGGTCGTTCGAAGTGCTGGCACTGACCAGTACAACTTCGAGGATGCGATCCTGCGCGACGTAGTCAGCATTGGAGCTACCGGCGATCAAGTCGCCATCCGCTTCGTGGTATGTATCCTTTGCAAGACTTCATTGAATCCTTGTTCACGGCCTTGAGCATAGACCGATAACCCTGGACCTTGGTTCCTTCATTGCCATATCGACTGGCATCTCGAAGCCGGGTTGGCTGTCGTGTTTGCCGAAGGAATCAACCAGACCGCTGCTGCCAACCCCACCCCTCGTAAGCCATACCTTGCGGGACCTGCACACAAGTGACGTTACTGATCATGTTATTAACTAGCGGACTGGGACCAACTCTGCCCGAAGTACAACGAGCTCAGCCCAAGTGAGAAGGTGCAACCGAAGAAGGGCACAGCCGTATAACATGACGTTACGCGCGGTTTGGCATTAATGAAGTAATTACAGTTCCGATTCAACCATCTAGCTTGTATGTATGTATCTGGAAAAACCAGCGGTGATATGCAATTTCGTCTACACTCAAGATTTCACCTAGAACTCTAGATTACTGAGATTAGGTGCGCGTCGATAGGTGCATGCATTTTCTGTAGGTGGACTTCCTTGATCATCGTGACATAATCAGCACGTAACACGCGCCTTACACGGTCCTTAGTTTCGCACGTTAGGATCTGCAAAACAGATGGGGAAGACTGAGTTTCGGTCTTGCTTCGTTCTATCGCCGAGTTTGACCGTTCAGAATCCGCGAAAATGGCGCAATGGCTTAACTTGCGAAGGAGAGTTCCATACTCGAATATACCCATTCAAGCATCCCGAATCCCGCTTTCTCGGAGAATAGAAGCTCGTACATGAGCATATGGCATCAGGATGCTAGTCAACCCTGACCCTGTGAATATGCTTAGAAAGGCTGGCGGACTGCAATGTCGACCGAGGACCAATAATCCGGTACAGCTATTGCAAATGGGGGTGATTTCTCGTTTATGCACATCTTGGATGTGACAGCTCTGGGAAAGGACAGGCCATTCAAGTCATAAATGGTTGAGGCATGACCAACCATGTAGATATTAAGATCGGGCTCGGCTCAACTGCGTTGATATCTTATTCAGATGGTACTCCAGGCGTGCCTAGGATAGACTTAGAATGACTTTATTGTCATTTCAAGGAAATAAAGGGGATTTCTTGTCAATCGTTTTGACTTTCCGGACACATTGGGTGTAATAGACGCGCCAGCGGTTGGCCGGAGCTAGCATAAAAACGTTGATATATCCTTTCAGCTGTTCGGCGAACATCATAAAGCAAACAAGAGGGCACAAACGCTTCAGTTAGATCAAACAGCATCAGGAACGAAACGGTATACTGACAGATGCCACTATGTCGAGGCCAAGGCAAACACGAGACGCGCTCAAGGCGGTTTTACGGGCTACCTGGTACTGAACAATGCTCGCGGGTGGTAGAAAGGCCGGCATAACATTTGTTCGCCTACCAGTCTTTTGATTTAAACACGGAGGGTAGGATCATGTAGCCGGGCTTGAAGGAGCACAACGTGAACCCTGCTAAATATCACACAATGAACGTTTGAACTCTTGGCTTAGCAAGCATGAGAAAATGCAAATACAGAACGGCAACGCCACACCTTTATAAGCACCGACCAAGCGGGGGTAAAGAAGTGCTCCTTCAGAGGCGCGGTAGTTGGCTTGCCACACGACGTTCACATCGGACACCGGCGTGCATGACCACTGCGGTGGGTTCACCCTACAGCTTTTGTATCGGACCTTGTGCCTGGTACATTTGGCGGGCTAGATTGATAATATTGAAGGGCTCTTCGACTCGCAAGGCCACATCGGGAACGTAGAGATGCTATCATCCGCTGACAACAAACCAGCTAATACCCCAAATAAGTATGAGCGCTAATAGGTGTCGATCACGATCAGTTCGGGGCTGAACCAGACATGCGGCGAAACTGAGCCTAACATGCGGCTACCAACCGCAGAATTCAACAGCTCATGCGTCCGGCATCCGTCGGACGTATTAAAGCAACGACAATATTAACGGCCGCATATTGGTCGAGAAATGTTGACGGGACTTTAAAGGATGACTAATCCTAACAGTTCTGAACACAGTGTACAGAACAAACCAACATTCTGCCAGTGGGCGCCGGTACGCAAGATCGCCAGCCGACACCGTAGAGCGCTGTCGCACACTCTAGTATGCTGATTTGGAGCCATATGGCAACATGGCGACGATAGGCCTTCACAAGGGAGGACGTCAGTGGGCACTCTGAAGCAGAGCGTCAACCAAACACTCTGTTTTGCTGATGAAGCTGAAGTCCCCGGCCCTATGAAGTCAGCATTTCTCCCACGTAAGTCCAACATCTTTATTTGAACGGAGTACTAAGATACTAAGATATTTGGTTATGAAATTATGAATCTCCTTAGGGCGGCAGCATTGTGCTGCAGCGTCAATGGTACGTCTTCATTCGTACCTTCCAAGGTCACTTTTGAGCGACGATGCAAAGGTCAACGGAACAGGTAGAGGCAATTTCGCAGCTGTAACGCTGGTCTTCAGGTATAAATGGTGCTGCGCGATGCTCGACTAAGACAGCGCAGAAATCTTCTGCCTTTCTCTAGGTGCCCTCTCGTGTACTAGCACTAATGGGTTTCAAGTCCCCGCTGTTGACCTTTGCTGCTCTCGCACTCTCCCTTAGGGCGTACGCTGCAATCGGCCCTGTTGCTGATTTGCATATTGTCAACAAGGACATTGCACCTGACGGTGTACTTCGTCCAACTGTCCTTGCAGGCGGTACATTCCCCGGCACCCTCATTACTGGGCAGAAGGTAAAGGATTTATCATGATGTCTCTCTGTTGGTGACAATAACTGATGGTGAAGTGATATAATCAGGGTGACAACTTCAAGCTCAATGTCATCGACGATCTGACCGATGAACGCATGCTGACGCCGACATCCATAGTACGTTCTCCAAAGTCACCTCATAACTCCTTTCGCTACTGAAATGACATAAGCATTGGCATGGGTTCTTCCAGAAGGGAACTAACTGGGCTGATGGTCCCGCATTCGTCACGCAATGCCCCATCACCAGTGAAAACTCTTTCCTTTACGACTTTAATGTACCAGATCAAGCCGGCACCTTCTGGTATCACAGCCATTTGTCTACTCAGTACTGCGATGGTTTGCGCGGGGCCTTCGTTGTCTACGATCCTCATGATCCTCATGCGCAGTTGTACGATGTTGACGATGGTAAGTACCCCATGCCTCCTCTGATGGTCTAATCCTGAGGCAAGAACTCTAATAGACAGCACTGTCATTACTTTGGCCGACTGGTACCACGTTCTTGCACAGACGGTTGTTGGAGCTGTGTGAGTAGGCATTACTGTTGGTCGTTTCTCGTGTGATTGAACAGTTCTTACATCGGCAATGATCAGCGACCCCGATGCAACTCTTATCAATGGATTAGGAAGGTCACCCTCTGGAGAACCTGACTCAGAACTAGCGGTCATCAGCGTTGAACGTGGCAAGCGGTTCGTCTCTTTCCTTGTAGCCTCGACAGCCTCTATATTCACATTTTCCATTCTTTCCAGTTACCGTTTCCGACTGGTATCAATCTCTTGCGACCCCAACCATACCTTTTCTATCGATAACCACACAATGACAGTCATTGAGGCGGATGGTGTAAACACTCAGTCGTTGACTGTTGATTCCATTCGAATCTTTGCTGGACAACGTTACTCCTTCGTCGTGAGCGACTAAATTTTTCATGGTGAAACTCAGATACCGAACTGAGCTCTCATCGTAGCTTCATGCTAACCAACCCAAAGCCAACTATTGGATCCGCGCCAGGCCCAACATTGGCAAGAATACAACTACGCTAGGCGGAATGAACTCTGCTATCCTCCGCTATGTCGGAGCCCCCGAGAATGAACCGACAACTGTCGAGATTCCCAGTACGACTCCACTGATTGAATCTAATCTCCGCCCGCTGGTTCACACGCCTGTGGTAGGTCTGCTCGTTTTCCGCTGACATCTTAACTGTACTCAAGTGTTTCGTCTCGTAAAGCCTGGAAGACCCGTTCCTGGAGGGGCGGATATCGTCAAGAACTTGAATCTGACCTTCGTAAGTAACGCCCTGGTCCTTGGCAAGAATCAAGAGTCGTCGCTAAGCTTTTGATGAACCGTTTTCTGGTAGAGTAACGGCCGCTTCAGTATCAACAACGCTTCTTTCAGAGATCCCACTGTTCCAGTCCTGCTTCAGATTCTCAGTGGAGTACAGAACGCTCAAGACTTGCTTCCTCCTGGCAGTGTCATCGGGCTCGAACTAGGAAAGGTTGTCGAAGTGGTTCTTCCGGCTGGTGCCATCGGTGGTCCCCATCCTTTCCATTTGCATGGGGTATGTCGCTCTGACGGCGCCGTTCTTGTGAATGTTAATGACATTTTTTCCCTCAGCATAACTTCTGGGTAGTTCGCAGCGCGGGAACTGATCAGTATAACTTCAACGATGCTATTCTCCGAGATGTTGTCAGTATTGGAGACCCTGGCGACCAGGTCACCATTCGATTCGTGGTAAGTATATCTTCGGGAGGCACCGTTGTGACCATCTCGTATTGACGTCGTCTTGTTTAGACTGACAATCCCGGTCCATGGTTCCTTCATTGCCATATTGATTGGCATCTCGAAGCTGGATTCGCGGTCGTCTTTGCTGAGGGAATCAACCAGACTGCTGCTGCTAACCCAACCCCCCGTAAGTGATACATTGGTGGGATATGTTGATGCGATTGACTAATCCTTTTATCACTGTTTAGCGGATTGGGATGAACTGTGCCCTAAGTACAACGCACTCAACCCAGGCGAAAAGGTGAAGCCGAAGAAGGGCACAGCCATATAATACAACCAGGGTGATATTTCCCAAATCTCATTAAAGACATTATTATGCAACTTTCGTTCGATGACTAGGAACTCGTTCAAGTGGTGCCCCGTAACTCTTGTACTGAAACATATCTATCACAATCGAATATACCCAAACTATAGGACATTCTTTTCACGCGTGGTCCGAATGCGTGTCGTAAGGTGTACTCTCGATATCAGCTAGATAGACTCTGGCAACCACATAGGCTCATAATGGACACCTAGCACACATTTGACCGAGTCTATAACGTGTTGGGGAGGCATCGGCCATCTGTCATTGGGTACACTGCTGGCGAGACCCACAGCCATCCTTGGTTGGCCCTGGAAAATGACAACTTTCAGCCGAACACGGCGACCAAGACCGGTTTGTAAGAGGACGTTGTTAGCTGCTGCTTGTATAGCCTCGAAACGGGTCCATGGGTCTGTGATTACTGCGAGGTTGAGATACTCGGCGCGGTCGGCGAGCCATTTCTCGTCAAGTACGTATACTAGAAGTAGTCGATCCATGAGCTGTGCTAGGGAAGAGTATATATTCAGCGTAAAACTAATCAGGATAGAGCAGGGTTTTACCAGAACCGTATTGTATAAAAGATCGAGAGGTGGCTGTGATAGGAAGTGGAATGTTGAGAGTCAAGTACAAGTCCATTTTATATGTTTATGGGCATGACGAGTGGCATGACTACAAAGGGGAACGCGTCGTCTGATTCATTTGACACATGAATTAGGAACGTAGAACAAAAGCCATCAGCCCAAAAGAACAGAAAGAACTTCGGGGACAAAACGTGCATTTGTATGGCATATTTGATATTTCAGTTCCATGCCACCTGCGAGATCGCAAACGAGCTCACCTTATTCCATGTTCTACTGAACTCCTGTAACCATACAGTTTGATTATTAACATCAAGGACATCTTGCGTGTGGTGGTCTCGGCTATTCGTCGTGAGCTAGACCACCGCCATCCGTGAATGGTCTTCATACACAATGACATTCACAATAGTCCAGGCATGAGGCCAGACTCTCGAATTGCACTTTGAGCAGCAAGCCAGTGCATAGCCTCAAAATGAAACTAGGAGCCTTGGACCAATATTGCGAGTCTCGCTGGTGACAGCGCGATTGACAAGCCATTGAATATTGAAGAATGTGTTGTTTTCGCATTGGAGGTTACTCGATACCCATTTCGCAGCGTCCTACCAGCTATGAACGGCAGGAAATTGAGAGGTATTATACAATACACATACTGTATATGCGTCGGTTACTGTTGGGTTTGAGTTTGAAACTTTGAAAGCTATGTACTTGAAGCTACTAGCTTAGAAGGTTTGGTCAAGCTTTTGATGCCGTGGGAAAACATCCGGTCGCTTAGTGCATGATATCCAGTGTCGCGTTGGCAAATCAAGAAGAGCTCAAACGTTCAATAGCGTTCAAACACTCTCTTACTCGATGTTTAAATGCGGCACATATGCCCCTTCATCTCATACCCTCTTGCCCCAACTTGAGCTTAGCTATTCATGGTAGAAAATCGTGCATTTCATATGTGACGCATCTCTGAATCGACGTGTCACGTAGCCGCACTGACTGGTCAAAATTCGAGGCAAAGCCAACGTCAAACGACACTCACTTCAGACTGGGGCAGCATACATATGACCATTGCACCTCTGTATGAGTATCTTAAAGGCCATTCTATTCGATGACGAAATGGATGTGCGCCCTCGTCTCACAGTTTAATCCTGTTCAGGCCGACATTGTTGTGTAACCCCCCGGAGCGTACGCAGGTGGAACTTACATCTTTATGACGTTGATCATGGCACTTGTAACTTAGACCTCTTTGGATCAGCTTAGTAACGTGCACCTCCGACAAGAGACATTAGGTATGTTTATCGCGTTCGCAGATCTATGCTACGAGATAGCGGAATAACGTTGATTAGCTTCAATGTCATTTTTTCAGATGTTACAACCTGAAACCCTGAAACCTTCGTGTTGTGCGTGCTTCTACGATTGGGGTTAAATGCTTAGGGTACTAATTGACTCAGTTCTCATGACATTTAATTCTAGAATGCGGTTTGGAGCTATTTTGCTGCCAATCATTTTTCTGCAATCTTCCTTTCTATTGCGCTAGTTTTGTGTCCAGCCAAAAGGGGCTAGCTCTGCCGTGACTTCAAGGCACTCGATGAGGAAAGCTCAAGCCAGAAATTCGCTATCTTCCTTGTACGGAGCCTGTCGGCCGTCAATATTTGAGTGGCATCAAGTGCGGTACGTCTCTTCGTTTGCATTGTGTATCGCACTATGACCACCAGCCACAGAACTGACGTGTGTATTTTCATCGCATTCTTCTGATGGTTGCTAGATTTTGCGCGATCCTCAGGTTCACAGTCGCTCGGTATCACCCAAATAAATGCCTCAAACTAACTCCAGACTCATTACGCCATACCCATCTGGCTAGCCCGGGGCTCGAAGCAAATCTATGGGCTTCGATGGTCATTGACATCTATTGCAAATACAAGTCGTCGAAGAACAGGTACGATCTCACGAGTGCAAACGATTACGTACACGGGTATTGAAGCAATGCACCGACTATACTACATTTGAGTTTGTCAGACAATCGTGGGCTTAATATGTATGGAGACGTCCTTTGTCGACCAGGAAACACAGTCGTCAATCTGGAGCATGTACCCCGAGATGCGGTTCGGTATTTCGCAAGTCGGCGATTGTACTGCACGTACTCATACTAATGCAACCTACAATGGACAAAGGCGAGACATGTTGAATGATGAAACCAGTTCGAGCTGGAGGCAACCCAGTGGCGATCGAAGGACTGCACGGATCAGTTAATGACAGAACATTGTTTCACGTAATCGCCAGGTTGGTTCTGATGCTTTATGCGCAGTTCTATGGGCTCTGCGTTTGCCTGATACACTTATTTATGTCAAGTTTAATTAGGTGAAAACGTAAAGGCGCTCGGTACATTACGCTCGCAGTCGAGCGTTCTACAGGCGAACTTTGTACAACGGGTGTCTAGGGCTACTCTCACAATGTCCGCCCTGGAATGCTTGGTCTGGAGCTCAGACACAGCTGGAAAGGGAGAAGCGGTTCCCGGATGCCTGGATGTTGATACGTCGATCACGATCAAAGTGACAATGCGGCTACCGTCAAATGTACTGGCGTATTCTCGTACTGAGGATCACTTCCCTGTCTGCAATTTTCACCAGCGAATGAGTTGGATGTAACTCAGGATAGGAAGGTTCCTTTTCGCGACTTGCGTTTTGAAGCCTGTGTCAGCGAAGCGGGAACAGTCAGGAAGTGATGTTACCATCATTTACTGCTGGGCTTGTCCAATGCTTGAAGGCACGCCTTTACAAATTGTTCAGCCATAACATGGGCCAAGCATAACGATCCCACAGTTCGAGGACTCTCCGTATTTGCGTCGATGGTGGCGCAGGCCTACTTTGCTCGAATGAAATACTTTGGCAAAGCAGCTGAAGGACACTCTCACGTGTATCTCTAGAAATGAATGGCGACCCTGGCGGTATTGCGCCTTTCAATTCTTCGACGTCTCTATCAAGTGTTCCTGTTACTGTGGCGTTTGGTCCCTCGCCGGCCCACTTGTCGAAGTTTATTTCAAGTGACGAAGTAACACATTGGGTGACATAATGAGCGGATCCGAGCAAGAACCTGTCACTCGGCAAATGGTATAAAAGCATGTTCGTATATCGTTATGCAACTGCAGAACGTTTTCTCTAGTTGGAAGACTTGTCGTCTTGAAGTTCCTCATTATGCTACATACTCTCTCATTCTCAGCCCTCACCCTCCTCGGGTTCATTGCTGAAGCCTATGCTGCCATCGGCCCGGTTGCAGACCTGCACATTGTGAACAAGAATCTCGCTCCAGACGGTTTTACTCGTCCAACTGTCCTTGCAGGTGGTACCTTCCCTGGTCCCCTCATCAAGGGAAACAAGGTACTTGTATCCGAGGACAATTCAATAACTCAATCTGAATGGCGTTCCTCCTACCAGGGTGATAACTTCAAGCTAAATGTCATTGACGACCTGACCGATGCCAGAATGCTCAAATCTACGTCTATCGTGAGTTGCATCAACGACATTAGTCGGCGCGACTCTCTGACATGATTCTGCTTCATAGCATTGGCATGGGTTCTTCCAGAAGGGGACCAACTGGGCCGATGGGCCCGCATTCGTCACCCAATGTCCTATCACAACAAACAATTCTTTCTTGTACGACTTCGACACTCCAGGTCAGGCTGGTACCTTCTGGTATCATAGCCATTTGTCTACCCAGTACTGTGATGGATTACGTGGTCCTTTTGTCGTCTATGATCCCAACGATCCCAACGCACAGCTCTACGATGTCGACGATGGTATGTGAAACCCGGATTGAAATACTGATAGTTCCATTCATCTGATTCTCCGCTACAGAAAGCACCGTTATCACTCTTGCTGATTGGTATCATGTTCTTGCTCAGACAGTTGTTGGTCCTGCGTGAGACTGTTCGCTTTCGGCCTTTTACTTCGCAACATTGACATCCTCCGTAGCACTTCCGACGCGACGTTGATTAATGGTCTGGGGCGCTCTGCTACCGGTCCTCCTGACGCTGATTTAGCTGTAATCACCGTCGAACGTAATAAACGGTTCGTGACCACCAGTTTTTATCCCAATCGATATCAATGTTAGCCCCGTCAGTTATCGGTTCCGATTGGTCTCAATTTCCTGTGATCCTAACTTTGTCTTCTCAATTGACCATCATCCGATGACCGTCATAGAGGTTGACGGTGTGAATACTCAATCCTTGACAGTTGACTCCATCCAGATATTCGCTGGACAGCGATATTCGTTTGTGGTAAGTCGTCTACACCACACTTTGGCGTACTCTGCATATCTCATATATTAAATGATAGATGCAAGCAAACCAGCCTGTGGGTAACTACTGGATCCGCGCTAAGCCTAATATTGGTAACACAACCTTCCTCGGCGGCTTGAACTCTGCCATCTTGCGTTACCTTGGAGCGCCAGACGCAGAGCCAACTACGGTTCAGACGCCCAGTAATACTCCTCTTATTGAATCTAACCTTCGTCCCTTGGTCTATACTCCCGTGGTATGTCCCTCTGCCTTATCTCGAGTATCGCCTATATCTTCCATCTGATCATAATCCACAGCCGGGCAAAGCAGTTCCTGGAGGCGCAGACATCGTCAAGAACCTTGCACTGGGATTCGTAAGTTCCACAGTTCTCACTCCATGATATCGTACTCTACTTTGATAAAGACCGCCGGTCGATTCACTATCAATGGAGCGTCATTCACACCGCCAACCGTTCCTGTGTTACTTCAGATATTGAGTGGTGCCCATACTGCCCAAGACCTTCTTCCTGCTGGGAGTGTAATTGAACTCGAGCAAGATAAGGTTGTGGAGATATCCTTCCCGCCTGGAAACGCAGTAGGAGGTCCTCATCCGTTCCATTTACACGGGGTGGGTTGTTCTGTATTGGTTTTAAATGACTTCGCTTGCTCACGTGCCGCATCTACTAGCACAACTTCTGGGTTGTCCGCAGCGCCGGAACAGACAAGTACAATTTCAACGATGCGCCGATCCGGGACGTTGTCAGTATCGGTGGTGCAGGTGATCAAGTAACCATCCGTTTCGTGGTACGTTAACGTGGCTCCTATCTGAATTTTACTGACAATGTACATTTTCTAGACCGATAATCCGGGACCCTGGTTCCTTCATTGTCACATTGACTGGCATCTTGAAGCAGGATTTGCCGTCGTACTTGCCGAGGGGATCAATAACACTGCAGCTGCAAACCCAGTCCCTCGTGAGTTATTGTTATCTCTTCCAGGGGTTTGCGATCTGATGCTTCGATGCAGCGGCATGGGACCAGCTGTGCCCCAAATATGACGCGCTAGGTCCCGGAGATAAGTAGATGGCCTCAGTTTGGCCCCTGCATCCACATATTTTCCCTCGAAGTCAGCTAAAGATATATTCGGTGGTTCTATTGTCACTTCTCATTTATTCAAGGCCTTTATGCCATGCTGTAGTCTTGTGATCACCCTGTCATAATATAGTGAACTTGAAGGTCTGTGGCATGCGATTGAGCCGAATAAGTACTGTGTGAGGAACCCAGCGCTAAATTAAGATTCCCGGAAATCCCTCTTGACGCTTGCACATGGTTCACAAATACAACTTGACATCCTTCCTGTACATATGTGCGGTGGTTCACACGGCAATAGATCTGTGGTACATAACTTGGTGGCAAGGTCAATGATACAGGCACTACAGGGCCACGAGCTAGGTGCGAGTCATTAGACCTGCTGCAGAATGCTCAGAAGAATCTCCTGCATATAGCTTGATTAGCGTCCCTTATCTCCACATACATATAACTCTCAAGCATCGACTTCTCAAGTTTCATTACATGACCATGACAGATCCACCAGCTTGCGGTGTTGCGATTCAGCAAGATAATGGGCTTTCCTCATATCTTCCGCTTGAAGAGTCACAAGTGCAGGCACGGATTGTTGACGGTATAGTATATCACCTCCGTGTCTCGAGAGCAAAATTATGATAAATTTATTTAGCTACTGCGCAGGTTATTCTGACTCAAGTCTTTTCCAATCATGGTTCTCGACACAAGACATCGCAGACTCGCTATGTATTTCCTATACCGGCTCGTGGGGCAGTTTGTGCCTTTCAGATGCAAACAGAAGATGGTCGAGTCATTCGTGGCATTGCGAAAGAGCGCAATCAAGCGGCTGCAGAACATGCGCAAGCCATCCAGGCTGGCAAATTGACCAGTTTGGTGGAATGGTCCACCGATGACGGTACGTTTAAATCGTTCATTTTTATATGCCTCTGTTCACAGAGTCATAGTGTTCACGATTTCGCTCGGTCCCGTCCCTGGAGGTCAGAGGATTCGGACTATGCTCACCGTATGTATCAAACCGCTTCAGTGTGCCTACGAACGAGCCTTAAGGTACAATTGCAGTATGTCCTGGACCTCTTAGATGACGATGCTCAGGATCGGATCCGATTTCAACTTCCCACGTACATTGGAGCACGCTACGGTGATGTTCCGAGAGGTGTATTGGGCGGTATGCAAGCGGATTCTCGAACGCGAGTTACAATCTCGGTTGTGATTCAGACTCAAGGAGAGGTCATCAATATTTCCAGTCCAACACACTGCTCAATTATAGTGACGTCCGGCAAATACGGCGGGAAGGTGGTGGTGTTCAAATCCCAATTCTTCCTCCAAGAGGACTTCGTTTTAAGCATTGATGCAGAAGGTCTCGACGGTCCAAGAGGTTTTGTAGAGCGCCACCCAACGCGTACAGACTCAATTGCTATGCAGTTGACTGTTCTTCCGAGGTTCACCCTTCCACCCATTCCTTCGCAAGAGTACATATTCTTGGTGGATTGCAGCGGAAGCATGAGAGGCGCCCGTATCACCACAGCGAAAGAAAGCTTGGCAGCCTTGCTGAGAAGTCTTCCTCAGCGAGGCACCATGTTCAACGTTATTAGGTTTGGTTCGAGCTGTGTTAAGTTGTTCACTTCAAGCAAGGTCTATTGCGAAGGTACCTTTGGGGAGGCAGTAGGTCCTCAGAAAGCTTTGCAGTTATGTGGTGATCTGACAATTTATAGGACAAGTTCATCAACGGTACGGATGCAGACCTGGGCGGGACGGAGATACGCACTGCACTTCAGCAAGTATTCAGATCTCGCAATACATCGATTCCGACAGCTGTTTTTGTCTTGACTGACGGGGAGGTAAGAATGTTTCGGTCTTTTCATAAAAACATGTTCATGTGCATCTCAGGCATACGATATTGATGCCACAATCTCTGACGTCTCTAAAGAGGCAGAAAAGGCGAAGGAGAACGCACGTCTCCGAGTGTTTACGCTGGGTATCGGTAGCACTGCGTCCTCAGCCATGTGCGAAGGAATCGCACGAGCTGGTAATGGCGTCTGCTTGATGACTGCTACCACAGAGGGGATACCCGGGAAATGTGCGAAGTTGGTCACGGCCGCGAAATCATATCTTCTTCGCAACATCAGCATCGAGTGGGGTGTACCGTCCAGTGACGTTTCGCCGTTCGGCCGACGACGAGGAGAGGAGGCCACAGTACAACAAGTTCCAGAACGTATCGAAACGTTGTATCCTGGACTTCGATTTATTGCGTTCGCCCTTATTCGAAGCGCTCGAGGTGTATTACCACGTGAAGTCGTCGTTCGCGGTCAGCGAGATGGAGCCGGCGAAGTTATCGAAATGAGAATCCCCGTAACGGAGTCATGCGCAGACAAATCAGAGCCGCCTCTCATCCATACTCTTGCTGCTAAGAGGCTTATCACGGAGTTGCAAGACGATCGAGGAAACAGAGGCCAAATTCTAAGTGAAGAAGATAAGGAAGTCCGCACCATCAGCCTTGGTACGGAGTATCAATTGGCAAGCCGATATACCTCGTTTATTGCTGTAGAAGACGGCAAGGAAATTACGTCGCCATACCACGACAAATCATCACACTATGCCGCAGAAGAATACCGTACTCGCTCCGGATTCTCGCGTATAACAATGGACCCACAGCCCCCTACTGCTACTCGTACGCTTAAAAGCTTTTGCGAGTCGTACGATGGTAGCGAAGAAGAATATAGCTCTCACCCGAAAACTACACAACAGGAGAGGGGATGGGAAGCTAGGGGCAGGTCGACTCCACCCCAGTCCTTTGGATCGGCACCTCGCCCTCCCGCAGCACATGGGGGGATTTTTCGGAAATTTTCCTTTCGAAACCCGCTGTCTGTCATCAGCAGATCATCTTCAAGGGACGTGTTGCCACTTCAGGCTTCACCCGCTCTGCCAGAAGGGTTTCGTCCCAGAGGAAGAAAATGCCCAGTAACCACGGTGGTACCTCCACCCACTGTCCCCGTGGCTCAATCATCCTCTTCAACTGCAAAGCCTAATACCATCCAGCCTACACAAGACGATGTGTTTGCTCTCATTCGACTCCAGTCATTCAAAGGATCTTTCCCTATGAGCGAGAAATTTATTCAAATCGTCGGACAGGCCGCTGCTAGCCTGTATCATGACCTACACATAGAGAAGGATAGCTGGACGACTATCCTCGCTATTGCCTATTTGCAGAAGTACCTGAAACGTCAACCAGAATTGCTACAAAGTCTCGTTGAGAAGGCTGCCGAATTTGTGTCGGGAAACGGACTTCCAGCTGGTCTCGATTTCAACGTTTTGCTCGATCGTGCGAAGAATGTAATCTAGGATGCTCATCGAGATGTGTGCAGCTAAACGACCCTCAAGTGTAGCAATGCTCGCACCCGCCCCGAAAGAATAAAGATGAATTGTATGGCACGATATTCACTTCCTCAGATGCTTCATACTCACCCCGTGACGATCCTCCGGCTTCGTTTCCCTTTGTGATTTCCCTGTATACTACAGATTGGATCCGGATTGCGAAAGTTCTGGCTTATATTTACACTCGTCCAACTGAGGCCACGCCGATCGCCTGCTGCGCAGCTAACGAAGACAATCCAAATACTTCGAAACACCGAAAGAAGTCTACAACGTGGTATCGTGACTTACGCGTGACTTCCTCAGATCCTCTAATGGTAGGTGTATTGTTCCTTCGAGGGCTCTCAGTCTCGTAAGATGTCCTGGAGATATGCCCTGCTTTGCACCTTCTTATAGGTGACTTCAGACCGATCCAACTCCCCACACCTGCACTCAAATGGCCCGTTCTCTCTACGGTCTAGTCTTCGAAACACCTGACCATCGTTTCACACACCTTCATCTACAGTCGGTTGATGTGTGTGCATCTGTCGTCGATGGTAGGTTGCCAGTTAGCTCTATGAACGTTTCAGCTGACTGAATTTGTATCATAGTCTCCGCTAGAGTGACATTCACTCAGGTTTTCATACCAGCATCCTCTCAGCATGTATCGCAATCTTACTACGTGTTCCCTGTACCACCTCGTGCCTCGGTCTCTGCATTCAGCATGCGCGGCGAAGATGGCAGATCGATCATCGCAGTAGTGAGGGAAAGCATCGAAGGCATACAAATGATGGTGAACGCAAATCTTGGGTTTATCGCTGAGAATGGTGCTTTCTTTAGCTATCTCAAGCGGTGTGGATTCTGATGCATCCGCAGCCTTTGTGATATCGCTTGGTCTCGCTAAAGTCGATCAGAGGCTCACTATACAGCTAACCGTATGTGACGAATTTTCTCAAGCAAGCTGGTAATCTCACAAACTGACACAGTATGTCACTGACCTCGTACACGACGATGTCTCTCGTGGAGTTCGACTCGAACTACCCTTTTGCCTTGGTTCTGTCAGTGACTCAATGCAGATCAGCCAATTGGATACCACTGTCGCGCCTTTTCTGGAACCAGAAGTTGACATCAAAGTCCGCATTCAAACGCACAACAAGATTCGAAATGTCTACAGCCGCAGCCATTCTGGAGTTGCAATCTCGCTTGATTCAACTTCTCAACAATCAGCATCCAGGCAACACTTAATAGCACAATTTCACGCATCGAAATCCTTGCAGCAAGATTTCGAGTTGATAATCGAGGCCGAAGAACAGGAGGACGTCTCGCGGTGTTTCGCGGAACGTCATCCCGAAGACCCTGGATCAGTTGCCATGCATCTGACTTTCATACCACAGTTCTCACTCCCTCCAAGCCAGTCTCAAGAGTACATCTTCCTGATTGACCGGAGTGGGAGCATGACAGGCGAGCGAATCGTAATGGCGAAACACACGCTCGTCATGCTTCTACGCTCTTTACCTCCAGAGGGAACAACTTTTAATGTCTTCAGTTTCGGCTCTTCTTCATATTCCCTTTTCGCATCAAGTCGCCCATACGACGACAACACGCTTCATACAGCGGTAAGCACAGGCGTTACTTATTTGTCGCGGTCTTAACTTAAAGTCGTTCAGACTCTTTCTGTAGAAGCGATGGACGCTAATATGGGAGGAACGGAGATTTGTCCTGCGTTGCAGTCTGTTTTCAACTCTCGGGATCTGGTGCCTACTGCAGTTTTTCTCTTGACTGATGGATGTGTGAGCATGCAGTGCTTTTCGTATATTAAGCCTCCTCTGAACCTCGTTCAACAGCCGCAGGAGTCGCTTGACTACACAGCTCGCGTTGTATCGGACGCGGTTGCTAAATCGCCATCTTTCGCCCCTTTGCGAGTGTTTACGCTAGGAATAGGAGGCGCAAATGCAGAAATGTGTCAGGGAATCGCAAGCGCAGGGAATGGTGAATGCTCCATGGCGGCTGATACAAATCAGATCATGAGCGAATGCTCAAGGCTGGTGCGGATTGGACGGACGTTTATTCTGAGAAATATCAGGATTGATTGGGGAGTGCCTACGGATGCGACCACTCAAGGAGCGATCATTCAGCAAGTACCTGAAAACGTTGACGACATCTATCCTGGGCAGCGACTCACCGCCTTTGCCCTCATCCAACATCCGGATTTCGTGATTCCTCAATTCGTAGTGATCAGAGGACAGAAGGATGGGATAGGCCACTTCGTTGAGTTCGAAGTCCCAGTTTACGAGGTACAATGGGTGAAGTGGATGAAGCCCCACATACCTCTTCTCCACACTCTGGCTGCGCGTCGGATTGTGACTGATTGGCAGCAGGACGGCCCTACAAACACTGGCGTGTCAGACACTCGCCGACAACCCATTGTGCAGCTGGCTCAGAGGTATCAGCTGGCCACTAAATTCACAACTTTCGTCCCAGTCGAGAAGTTCGAGGCGGTTCCTTCACCTCCACCTCGTCCAAGGAAGCCAGATCCTTCAGCTGCCGGTTCCAAAACTGGTTTCCGTACTTGGCTATCCCCTTTTAGTTCACGCACGCGACTTGAATCTTCGAAAAGTGCCAGATCATCAGCCAGCAGGTCGTCCGCAAATCAGCGAATAGTCGACAATTCATCTGATAGTCGTATAACGGCCACCTTGCAGGCCATTAGTCCCCCGAGACACTCACCTCTGGCCATAGCGGCTTGTCAATCAGGTGGATCACTTCATACGGGACTTCCACTTGATGCGCCTCGAGAAGTAGTATCTGTGATCAGCAAGCCATCGCAAAAGCAAATTACCTCTGCTAGGGATGTGTCTTCACCCGAGACCCTCGTCAATACTATCAACACAGTGGCAATCGCACTGTTACCACCAAGCTACCATCCTGAATTTCGTGAAACACAAACACCTGCAACACTCATCGCCCTGCCTCCTGACAATGACGTGTTGCAGCTTGTAAGTTTACAGGCATCAGATGGGTCGTTCTCCCCTAGCACTCAATTCACTCGAATTGTGGGTGACCAGTCTGATCCCTCCGATCAGCCTTCATCCGATGACAGACTATGGCCGACTGCCCTTGCTATCATGTACTTGAAGAACCACCTCAAAGGCCAGCCAGATCTTTTGGACGGTCTGGCAATGAAAGCGACCAGATTCGGGCACAACGCTGCTATGCAATCTGGCTCGGATTTTGACGATCTGCTATTGAAGGGGGACGTTGCTATCAATGGTGCCAGAGACCACGTTACACCAATGACCTACATCAAACCTGAGGAGCAGGAAGACGTGTCCGTTGTGCCGGCCGAGACTGCGTCAACGACCGTTCAACCACAGAACAGACATGCGTTCTGGGTATCAGGATGCACATTCCTCTCACTTCTTGTGTCGTTCATCCTCATCCTTCTTGTCACTCTTTCGGCCTCCATTATCGGAGATATGTACATTTTCGTCATCAGGATCAACTCAACGACTTCATATGGCGGTAACCACGAACTTCGATTCGGTGCATGGGGCATATGTACGACAGGATCCGTGAATGCGTCGATGGCCTTGACCAAACGTAATGGAACGTGCACCGCACCTCGGTCAGGTTACACTATCCCGACACAATTGCTCGCCGCGACCGGTCACCTGGAGCTGAATGGTATTCTACCCCGCCCACTGGTTTCCATGCTGACCCTGCATCCAGCTTGCGTTGCACTGATCTATCTGGCGATGTTCGCGTCCCTCGCAATTGCGAACAGGCGCATTGCAATCTGGTCCAGCGTCTTAGCCACCCTGACTGCCATTGCGAGCAGCGTTGCGTTGGTCGCAGATCTAGCAACTGCCATTGTGACTAGGAACAGAGTCACATCTTTACAAACCGGTGGCGTGAGTGTAAAACTGGGAAATGGCATCTGGATGATGCTCGCAGCCGTAGTGCTGTTATGGTGGAGTGTTCTACTTTTAGTGTTATTGATATTCTATCGAAAGCTGAAAACTTGAAAACGTAGACACTTGTATTGTATCCTCTCGCGCTGCAGCATCGGTCTTCATTTTTTTTCAATAGCCAAAGTAGATCGCAGGTAGTGATATCGAGTGATCATGGGCTCATACTTACTAGATTTTCCGAATGTTCCAGACGTACAGGTCGTGTATAGACTCATATTTCCACGATGTGCATAGAAAACTAGCCGACCTTTATGACCATGCACAATTAACATGACTGTCTACACCTGACATCTGCCTTTTTCCTCAGCGTTGACGTCAACAACGGGAATACTGAACTGATTCTACTTCCTTTTCGAGAAAGCACACCTTGGGCGTTTATGTATTTACTTGTGCGACCGAGCTTGAGCTGTGCACCACTTTCTGTGTAACTAGCGGGATTGGAATCTTTGTCTCTCTTCGATTAGACTGAATATTAAAACAACCTTTTGACAATCTTCTTAACGAAGCCACTGTAGGGTCTTATATCTAGGCATAAATCCAAGCTTCATATCTCCACGGCACGTGTAGGAGGAATCGAAGATCGGCAAATTTGACCAATCTCTCCGAAAGTTCTTCCTGTCATGTCGACCTATGGCGCGCATACCAATGCACGATACGTTCACCATGAGAACGCTCCTTCAAATGAACTACCAGGTCCAAATTATACACGAAACGAATTCGATTCTCCCTATATGTCTCCGGCAGCTAATCAATACCAGACTTGGACACCCGCGTTAGCACCTATTGTGGGATCACCATCTGTCCCGGCTGCTACGGAGGTTTCGGAACAGGATTTTGATGAGATGTATGAACAAGAGGAGCGAGAACAGGAGAGGGAGCAGGACCCTCCAAACGTCAATCGGGATACAATTCGAAGGCAGCAAAGACGGACGGGAGATATTGAGCAGGTTGCCATGCCAGAACCCGCACCTGCGCGAAGTAGACTCGGAAATTTTGTAGGAGGGTTCATGGCTACCCTAAGACACATCCCGAACGCCATGGTCAAGAATAATCCTCGAAATGCTATTCCCGCCGAGTATATCGGACCTGGTGGAGAGGGCTCCATGGTCAACTCCCCGCGAGTATCATATTATTCGTCTTCTCCTAATCCTCGCAACTCTAGGATATTATCACAGGGTGGTGAAACATACACGCCATATACGCATACCACCAACATGCCGGTAGAGGAAGTTCCCGAACCACTTGATGAAGATCCTCGCACGACTTCATCCACTGCCCCGGCTTCGAATGCCCAGGAGCTCTACGACGATGGCACTACTGCTGTGCATCATGATGCACCTGTAGATTCTTCTGTCATAAGCAGCCCTGCTCAAATTGGCAGAGAAGAGATATCCGACTACGAGAAAACGCGTACACCCTACCCATTCACCAACCCCGAAGATAAATCACTAACAAGTTATGTCGACCGCATTCATCGCTTTTTTACTGACATAAGGGACCTTCCTTGGATGACTCCACAAATTGCCAACGAATATGTCCCTGCAATTGATTCCAGTAGAGGTCGGAAACGCACATCGGACCAACCGGTTTCCTGGTACAAGCCTAGGCCTAAGAAGGAGAAGCAGGACAGTGACTCGACAAGTACACTACCTGTTCCTTCACCGCCTCAGATCATGATCCAAACCATTCCTCCCACACCCACCTATTCCGCCGCGACATCCTTCTACAATCGATCCACTGTCGCGCCTTCCGATCCTCGACTCACACTCACCGCTTCTCAATATACTTTCCGTTCAAATTCTCGTGCAGCTTCTGAAGGTGGAGCCACTGCTATCAGACCGCTGCGAACACCTGGCACTGGCACCAGCGTGGGTGGACTGCCCTCGCCTGGAGCGTCGTCACATGGCATGGGCAATCATTCCATTTCATATAGTTATCATTATACGTCGCCTCCTGCTACGCATGGAATGAGAGGATATCCATCTGCGTTCTCTGCGGTATCCAGTCCTCAGACGAGGTTAGAATCCGAGGGTTACTTCAGTCCGTCTGTGCGGTAGCTCTGCAGAATTTAGATCTTCTTATGTCGTTTTGGAATCTTGCTCTATATCACACTAGCCATCTTTACCACATTTCATGTTAGAAACTATCTATGCCATTTCTGGGACGTTATTTGTTTATCGACATATCCTGCTTCCATTCTACTATGCGTCTCTTGTATCTTTTAGATCAATTTTCCGTGTACTACATTCCTTACGGTAATTCACGAATCGTCACGAATAGATACACTATGTCATACAGAACGCCAAGCGTCGTCGTATCACAATACTAGTTGCATACCATATCATCCTAAAACCTCATCCCGCTACGTTTCAGTCGCGTCCGTCGACGGGGGCAAGTCCACTACGGTACGTGACTCAATTAGGCCGTCAATTGTTCGAAGGATTGTTGACGGTGATTGCAAGGAAAAAGGCCGAAGCATGGTCGAGCTTGCATATGTTACCACCGAATACTGGCGAGATGCGCCAGTCGTCGCGAGTCGGAGGTTGACGAGTATGCGAGACGTTAGACATGAATGTACGACGCGTTGAATACTGTAGGAAGGGTTTGTACACGATAAATGGTGAAGTTAGGTGGATTTCACAGTGCCAGTGTCGAGGATAGTCCTCTCTATACCATTATGCAACGTGTTTAATATGCAGCCGCAAAAGAATGATTTCAGCGCACGCACTGGTGTCGCCACAACGACAATGACATTCACGAGGGAGATCGCTGTATAAGACCTATTTAGCAAGACATGCTGATATCGCATATGTAGAATATTTTTACCAAGACAATAGGCGTAGAATAGCAATCCTAAGAACGTGGGATCATCAGTCTAGGCCACTTATGAAGCAGAAAGAAGAAGCATAACCATCTCGGTAAAGCACAGAAAGGAAGCCTTGCCTTCCCGCAAGCCGGACTACAACGAAGAGTAAACTAGGTGGAATAAAGTGATAGTGTAGCAATTTACAATGTTGTATCGCCTTTATGAGGGTGAGAACAAGAACAACTGGAAGTATAGACTTATTAGAAAAGGCTTAACTGGACATGTCGCATGAGTCGTAACAGACTTACATGTCTCAAAGACAATTATAATAATGAAGTTGATGCTTATGATGGTACTGCCCCCCACAATCAAGCACCTAAAATCGAGCATCGATACATGCTGGTGAGTATGTTAAGATCTGAGGGTACTTGCCCTGGAGTTTTCGGGTTCGACAACGGCGCAACTGCCAGCGAAGGAGGTCAACACATGCGAGTAAAAGGAGTGATTCTGTTGCAGCAGGTATTTCTACTCACACACAATAGAATTCAAGAAGATGTCTTCAACTGCAACGCCTGGTCCCACAGCCAAGATAAACACAAGGGTTAATGCGACCGCCAGTTTCTTGCCTCTTCCCCATATAGCCCAAGTGCGAACGAGGAGAATGGCTTTAAGTGCGATAAGTTAGAACTTGAAGAGGGCGTGACGCTAGAATATAGGAACCTACTTTCTGCTACGACGATTCCAAACATCATAAACCCTGGCGAGAATGTCAACAACATCACAGGGTTGGTCTGCTTTGCTACTCACATCCTGCGGTTTTGTATGTAACTTCACAAGTGCGTATGGTTACTTGTGGTTTGAGCCGATCTGCGAGAGCCGTGAGCTTCTCGCCATAGGAAAGAGGCAAACTAAGAACCTACAGAAGAGGACTAAAGATACGTCTGCGAAAGCCATATATCTTGTCAGGAAGAAAAGGATCTTCACGGCATTCAGTCTTGAAGGCCATATCAACGTAACCTCTCTGTGGATCGTTAAAATGCAGTCGTATAGCTGCGTAAATAGCAGTGAGGTTAGGTAGCAGACTAATCGTAATTTTGCATCACCGCCTCACCAGTAGACTTGCTGCTGCCACTTCACACGAGCAAGCTCAGCGAGAATTTTCAACAGCAAGTAATAGAAGACACAACTGACTGTTTGAGTACTTTGAAACTCTGTAAGCACCCCTTGGGTTTGCCACCAGTGAATCACTAACGTACCGTTTCCATTCTCATTGCCTCATGGGTCGCGAGAGAATATGCTGTGGAGGAGCTGTCAGTCATCTTGAGTTCCCTCAGCGAGACCTACTACTGTGGAGAATGGAAGGACATAAACACGTTGAGGTAAAGTCAATATATACACCTTATCAAGTCTCTGAAAAGGCACCAACTGGTTAGTTCTATCGGTCAACATCGCATCACTAACCTGCCCTAGGCACAAGAACTTTCCATTGTGACCCTCCAACTTTCCATCTTGATAGGAAGGTTAGGTTTCGCGGGAATACGGCGGTTTAGGGATAAACCTGTTAGTCGCAAACACTGGAGCCTCTCAGGCTCAAGTGGAAAAACTGGGTCTGTCGACAGGTATGAGCATGCATTCCAGGATGCATCCGTTCAAATGAACTCAGTAGATGTGACTGAACGCGATATCGTGATAGATAGACAACTTGGCTTGCTGGCAGTGGTATCCGACAACAGCGTGAGAGATGATTAGCCGGTATCCAAAAATAAGTCTCTATGGATGAATCGTCACTTGGTAGGGGATTGAGAGAACGTTCAACCTATGGGTGTGACATGTAAGTATCAAAACATTGAAGCCGATGAAGCTGAATCAAACAAAAGATAGGAACGATTGTGATACCGGACTCTATTCATATCACGACAGTTCGTGCACGTTCGAGCAATGCCTCCAAGTGAACACCACTCGCAACCTCGGTCTCATGCATGAACTGCATCGCTTTTTCCAGCAGGCCGTCCAATAATTCTGGTTGTTGTCTGAGATGCTTGCGCAGATAGACGACAGCAAGGGCAGTCGCCCAGACCTTCGGGTCCACTCGCAGCCTGCTTGCCATTGTCGTCGCATCCGCACCAATAAGTCGACCAAGATCGTCGGTGGGTGCAAAGGACCCATCAAAGGATTGTAAGCGAACGAGCTCGAAAACCCCTGATTGTACCGGCGGAGGATGAGCCGACGCTGGCGCTCCAAACTGAACATGTCCTTGGGGTCCATTTCCGGGCAGAGGTGCAGTCTGATCACGTTCGAAGTGAGGTGACGGACTGCGAGTATTTGGGTCGAGTAGAGGTGGAAGTAGCGGTCTAACAGGTTCATCAGACCATTCCGACTCCGTGTAACTCAACAATGAACTCATAGTTGAGTAGTCATCGGAGAAGTCTTCGTCTGAGCCATCAATGTGGCTCTCAGCATCCGTTTCTTGAGGGTCCTCGCTGGGGACATAATTGCCCCCAAAAGAGGACACCCAAGGCCTGAATACTGCGTTCACAAAGGCAGAAGCAAGGCTCGTTGCGTAATCCAAAGCGAGTGAAAGGTAGGACGTCCAACTGGGTGGGTCTGTTACGCTGAGCGAGCTGTCTTGCAAGATGTCGCGAGAGCGTCTTCTCCGCGATATTCTAGGATGGTCTCCCATCGTGGTTTGAATGTGGTCCTCGATAGCCACAAAGGACGTGTAGCGAGTCGCTAGCTGATACTGCTCGCCGAGACGAATCACTGATGCCCTCTTCTGCTCATCGGTCAGTGTCTGTCCTGCCTCAATATCGCTCATTAGCGTGCAGGTAACAAGCTGTCGAGCAGCCAAGGTATGAATCAACGGTATCTGGGGAAGTTCGTTCGGGAACTTGGCTTGCTCGACAGCTACGCGAACGTCCACTATACGCCCATCTCTCTCGCCATGAATCACAATCTCCTTTGGCACGACAAATTGGTCGTGCTTGACTATCGCAAAGGTGATGAAGCGATGTCCGGGATAGATTGACTCGATGAGGGGAGGAGCCTGGCGGATTGTGGCCTCGTCGCCGATGAATCTCACACCACCATCGGTAGTGTCACGATGCGCCAAGCCCCAATCGATTGTGATGTTCTTCAGGAAAGAGGTTCTTCCTGCGCGGACTAGACTGGCACTTTTTCCAAGGATATCCTCCGAAGACGTAGTCATCAAATAGACACCGCGTCCAGCATCAGCGATGCCCTGACACATTGCGGAAGACGCCGTATCACCTATGCCAAGTACGAATACGTGAAGAGGAGCATGTGCTCTGCTCTCTCTGACTGCATCTAATACGCAGGACGTAGCGGAATCATCATATACCTGTTATTCGTTGTCAACATAGGAGGTAAGTAAAAGCAAATTACCACATTCCTACCTCACCATCGGTCAACACAAAGACCTCAGTAGGCAGAGAGAGATTGCGGCTTCGAAAAACATGCTCTAATGCTGCACGTATTTCCGTTGTCCGGTAATCTGCGGACATCCTATCGACATGTGTTACCTGATGGTAAAAATCAGTAAGATTCAGAGTGAGATGGTATAAACTCACTGCTTCGAAGAGTGTGGTCTCGCTATATACTTGGCTAGTAGCGAATAAGCTGTCTGACCATTCTCCAAAGCTAAAGATGTTGAAGGTGTTGTTCTTTGGCAGTGAATGAAGCAGCATGACGAGTGTACTTTTCGCGATCTCCATGCGGTTTTCTTCACTCATACTTCCACTACGATCCACGAGAAAAATGTATTCCTTGGAACGCAAAGGAAGCGGCTGGAAGTTGGGAACCATTGTAAGCTGCAGTGCCACAGTGCCCGATCCTGCTGGACCACACTCAGCAAAGCATCTTGGGACATCCAGCCCTTCGGCCTCTATCGTCAATACAAAGTCCTGCATTAGGTATTCGTGAGATCTGAACTTGGCAATCATTCTATGTCGAGAGGGTCGGCCACGGTGTGTTTCGTATGGAATCACGGAAAGCCTTGGGTGCGTTGGACTGGCGATAGCTCTGATAGCACCTCTCGTCTGAATCACAATCGTTATGCGAATCCGGGTGCGAGAGGAGATACCCGAGGCATCTTCCATGCCGGCCGGAAGCATTCCGTAACGTTGACCAACGCTCATCGGAAGTTGAAGTCGGATTTGTGAGGCGATGTCATTATTCATGAGGTCGAGGACGTACTGTAGGGCGGAAATATAAGAACAGGCATAAGTGGATGTAGTATGTCTCACTGTTAGATGTGTAGTGACGCTTTGACCAGCAGGCACAGAGCCTACAGAGATGGTGAAAACTAAAGCAACAAAGTGACGTCAATGGTATTACTAAATATGTCAATAACTAGACGTTGCCCACTGTCGTCGGTGGCCCATTCAACCAGGCTGGTAAGCTTCCCATCATTCAGAGCTTGCACATGTTCTTCCTTAGCTTGCTGTCGTTCCTTCGCTATTCCACGAATCATCCTGCCATCTTCTGTATGCATCTCGAAAGCACAAACGGCGGACCGAGCTGGAACAGGAAACACATATTTCGCCCGAGGCGTGTTCTCCGAGGCGAGATTGGAAAAGACCTGGCTTATAGTCACCCGTGCAGATACTATCGAGTTAACGCGTTAGCATTGTGCTAGGTGTAAGTGAATACCTGTATACCATCAATGACCAAGGCGCGCACTTTGACCTCATCAAGTGGAAGATGAACGAGTCCAGTTTCGTTCGAGCCGTACACTACACCAGAGAATGCTCGTGTTGCCATCGAATGGAGAATGTACGAACGAGATAGTCAACCGAAGGAATACTATCTTGACTTGCACATCTTATCACGTACTAGGTGTTCTCGAATTCGGATTGAGTCTGATAACTCCTGGGAATGCGTGGGCGTGAAAGGCAGTGAGCGGTCATAGGATGTGTAACGTGTTCTCGCTATTCAGCTTGCGTTCGTCTTTAGTACTGAAAGTACCTGCGCAAGAATGCGGGCTCCGGTAATAAATGGCAATGCTTCAGCTGGATGGGATTTTAAGAATCCAACTTGTCGAAATCTGGAAAGACGATCAGCGACACCACGTTGGGCATTGTTTAGAAGAGCAGCTCGATGGATCTGCGCTGCTCTTGAGTACCGTGAATCCGACGAAAGCAGTGACGACTACTCGAAAATGTTGACTCACATCACAGGCCTATAAATTCGTATTGTTCAAGTTTGCCCGAATGTTTGTTGTAGAAAAGATCAAGATGCAATGATGCAAAATTCTTTATTAGTTATATTACTCCAAAGATCATGCTTCCATAGCTCAGTGGTAGAGCGCAGGTCTCATACTGTATGACCATCTCGGATGGCAATCCTGAGGTCGAGAGTTCGAAACTCCCTGGGAGCAACTTAATTTTTCCATATTTTGTCGCACAGTCGGTAATTGGGTCATTGCAAGGGTTTTCCGCCGCCGAAGGCGGCGCGACAAGCCTCGGGGGTTTCCGTCGAGCCTGGCCAGAGGCCGCCCAGGGTTTTCTCAATGGTATTCAAACTTTTCACCCTGCCTACTAACAGTCGGCTTTATAAATACATCAGCTGTTTCTGCCGAATCATCCGGAGGCATGTCCTGCTTTGTCGTCTTCCGGTGTAGGTGTTTTGATAAATGAAAAAATGCAACAACAACATTCAACAGTTAGTTGTTGTATGCACCGGTTAATGTCGCTTCTGGAAGGGTTTGAGATCTTGGCTCAATAGAACGGAATCTCGATGTGACATTGGAAGGTGTTTCTGCATAGAAGGTTTTCGTAGAAGGTTTTCCATCATTCACTGAGGTTGCCTTGTTTGGACTTGTGATCGTGCTTCACCGCCATAAGCAAGACAGTGTGGTAAGTAAATGTGGATGTCGAGGTTGAATCCTATCCAATCTGTCTTCTGCTATGCTCAGACTAATGCTACCCATCTACAACCAGTCCCTTGTTTCCACTGAGCCGGTGGACTCAAATGAACCTCTGCTGCGTGTCCCTCTCGAGGACATTGCCTTCACACAGGAAGCAGACAATGTCTGGGTTTGCGCTCATAGACTCAGCCTGCCAATTGTTGACCACAGGTTGGGTTTGTGGCTCGAAGATATTCCTTTAACATTCAGCGCCATGGGGCAAATTAATATCCGCAAGGGCTGTTTCGTCATCCCTTGTGGAGACGGCCGCTTTAGTAAGGTGACAAAGTTCGAAGAACTGCTTCATTTTGGTTGGAGGAGAGGCAAGATACACCGAGAACACATTGGCCTGATGTCGAGGCCGTGATCTGTTCAGTTATTCGAAGGGCAGAATCCCCCCGCGATATCTCTCAGCTTCTCAAGGTAGATCAAGAAACAGGTGCAATGAGTCTCCAGCTGAAATGGCGGCCGGGTGACATTGTCACTGAAAATATTGTAAGCTAGTCAAATGTATTTTCTTCCATGCGTTCTCACTCCTCGATAATTTTAGCCTACTGTTCTGCCATTCTTCGATGTCAATGGCAACAGTGCTGTGCCCATTAGTTCTGCCGATGTTCCCATTGGTCAAAAGATCCGTGTTCAATTTACGCTTCGCTGTAAGCGGTCTCCTACAGGTACCCAAATTTTATACGCATTTTTTACTTCAGTGCAACCTGTTTGAGCTGAGGATAGACTGTTCAGGTTCAGATTTGTCCAATGGTAGTTTGTTGAGAAAGGTCCTTGGATACTGACTCAAATGGCCTCTCTTTATTGTAATCCCTGTAGTACCATTGCTAGGTGCACTTGTTAGCTATCAAATGTATTAAGCGAGGAGTTTCAGAATTTATCTTCGCCATTTGCATGACAGCTTGCCGAAATGAGATTTATGCATTAGGGTAAACCTCCGCTATTAAAAGCCCCTATAGTACAGCATTGTATTCAGACTTTTACCAGCACCTACCTCTTTTCTCGTTCACTCATCCTGCACTCTTGAGATACAAAGCATGACCGACTTTGATCCAAAGTCTGTGACGGCTACCATCAGAAATACTTTCACTGGCATATCTCACCGCCAAGACTTTCAGAAGAAGTGGGATGACGATGTAAGGTCTATTTCAAGTCACTCATTGTGGCACAGATTTGACTATACAAATACAGGTTGAGAAGCTTGTCAAAAAATGGCTGACCAACCGTATTCATCAGTCGAAGGCGGTAGCACAGCTCACATGGGAAGCAAATGTCGTTCTCTATGTCAATTATGTTCATGCCGAGACTCATGTTCATGCCAATGCAAAGAGCTTGCAGAAGACCTCCCCACCATCGCTGAAACTTGGAATACCACTGCACGGACCGCGGTTTCTACCACCAACATTTCTGGATAGCTTCAAATGTGAGAACGCACCAGAAATTCATGCGAAACAAGCCTACCTTCGACCGATTACAATTATCCATCCTTTCTACTTTCCGAGGCTTGCACAATGTCCTGTTTGCGAAACTACCACTGACGTTGTGTGGGAAGGCTGGACAACAACAGGGCCTCGTGAAGTATATGGTATTCGCTCTGAAGAAGATGTCCTTGGGGTGCAACTACGATGCAAAGCCTGCGAAGCATTCAACATATCAGCTGAACCACTCATGAAGTGCCATACATGTTGTGCAACGACAAATCACCTGTATTGGCAGAAGTGGGAGCACTGGAGAATACCGCGTAAGTTGCCTGATCTTTGTCATAGGATAAAGCTAACATATACCAATTGTACCAGGTGCCATCCCATACTTCTTCAAACGGTGTGCAGTCACACACGAGCTGTTTGATTTCATTGTAGAGCTTCGACCTGGATTAACTGCATCAGGTCTTGAAGAACATATCAAACGTACGTCATAATATACCACCTTCAATCAGTTATTGACTCTTCCATTTGCATATTCAGAACTCCATCTCCTAGAGTACAAGCAACGAATGCTAGAGTACCTTGATGCCATGGAGGCTCATTATGAGATGACATCACTGATGAAGCCGCCTATGCTTGAACCCTTCTCTGCGCCAAATGATGTGAACGGCTACAACGGCAAAATTATCAGTCATGATATGATTAGCGAAATCTACCTTGAGTTTGTGTCTCATTTGCGCGAACGCGAGTCATCCGATTTCCTTCGAACATTGAAGGGTGAGGTTTCGAAGCCCCTCTAAAGTCATGCAGCCAATGTACTGACCGTTACCCTAGCACATTGTCTCTCACTGGATGCCACCTTCAAGTTTGCCCTAAAGGCAGCGATTGTCGATTCAAAGCGGACACATACCAAAGTCATGAAAGGTGGTCTGCTCAATGTTGTGAATGAGGATACCCTTATCATATCCTGGGTAAGTCGCAATCTTCACTCCGAAATGGATACTTGCTAAGGCAATCCAATCAGCGACTGTGTCAAACCCAATCAGGAGCAGAAATTACGGAAGCTTTAGCAGGTATTACTCACCGCCATGAAAGGCTTGAGGTGCCTCTCCCATCAGAGGGTATTGCCGATAACTGCTGCCAAGTACGCACGAGGATGCAGAAAGGTGTCCCAAACATTCAAGTCGGCCTTGACGTATTCCATGCACAAAAGAGGTATATTATTCCGCTACATATATATACATTAGAATGCGGCTGAGCGGGAGAGAATAGATACATCACCTCCATACAGAAAGGATCTTCGAATCCTCACCGGGCAGAGGTCGCTAAGGACATCAGTGCTGCCATACTCAAGAGCAATGCTACAAAAGATCAGCCGGCAACCTACTGGGATCGGAATGAGCAAGAGCGACGGTTGGTGGCGGCGTTCAATAAGTGGACAAGACAAGGGGACGTGTGGACTGCAGGTGCAGCTTCAGTGAGTCACCTATAACTGGAAGCCAGTAATGAAGGCCGGACTTACCTTGGGAGCTTTGTCAGACTCACCTAGAGCAGCTGTCGCACGTTCGCAAAGGTTGCCTACAGCGTTTGAATGTCGACATCAAGACAGATGGAAGCCGTGTCGAGGGAACGCACAAGGGATGGAACACCCTGATGCGTGCTCAACCCTGCGGACTTGAGGTCATGGTTGCCCTTGGTCATGATTTTGTCCTGCGCCGAAACCTGCGAATCATGGCACGCAAACTGATCAGCTCGCAGGACATATTTATTGCATCAACATTCGGCTCTCACCATCTTGCTCTGATATCGCATGTTGCTGAACGGTGGAATGCCCTGCTGCTAAAGGTACTAGAGGTTCACGGTAATAGCACAACTGCGACACAGATGTTGGCACGTCTGCCGCAGCTGCTCATCATTGATAGCGGTGAGACATTTGGTTTGGTTGCCTCACGCCACAATGCCACTTTTGGGGGTCTCCTACAATTGGAGGACATCGAGGATGTTAAAGAAGACCCTGAAGATGCAATATTGGGAGTAGACCTACTGAATGACAGCAGTCATTTCGATATTGACACCCCACCATTCGGATCGGAAGGCTTAGCCAACAATCTGCCCAAAACAAGTAGCCGCACGGACAGCTCGGTCAACCTAGAAGTCGATGGGCAGGTCAATCGATGAGGAGATGGAGAAGTAAAGGTGCCTGTGATGCGGGAGATTCAACACATTGTATGTTATATGACATGGCACTTGAACGCACCCTAGGTGGACCTCTCATGCTGACCCCGCTGACCGTAACAGGACCTCACAAATGATAACAATGACCCAGATGACACACCGCCACAAGAACAAGCAACGGAGGAACCGTGCGATGACTCAATGAAGAATATGCCACCGGAGACAACTGACTGAAGGAAAAGGTCTGCGAAAGAATTGAAGGAGGGCGGTCGATCTAAGAAGCGAATGGTCCCCACTACGGTGACAGAAGAGGAGGAGGGTGAGGAGGAGGCGTTATCGTCTTTGAATGACACCGCCGGCAATGTTGAGAGAGGACAGAGAAAGCGAGCACGGATGCAGCCTGGACTGCCAGCAACCAGCACCCTACGCTATGCAAGTCCAAGTCAGGTAAGCCCATATGCTGCTGCCAATTGAAGATGAACATAAACTCACCTCCTTACATCGCTACAGTCAACGGTCCCTCAACCACCCACCCACCCCTTCTTCCAGCTTCATAGTACTGCATCAAAGGCAGGTGCAAGTACTGCTGCTGCCAAATGCACCGCCGAGCAACAGGATGGTGCCAGCTGTTCAGTCACCTGCACAGAGACGAAAATGCGCAAACAGACCACTGCGCTACTGCCGCTTCCTGACGATATGTCCGGACTGACTCGCTCGCAATGGCTCTTCTCGATTGCGACCAATATTCATATCGACTCGCTGACCATCAAAGATGCCAATGAGTTCTTCCTCTTCATGGAGATGCGTCGCGAGAGCAAATGGGCCTCCTTCAACATGACTCCGAAACGTTGGGTGCTCGCAACCGAGGAATACAATACACGGCTGGCGCAGATTTTGAACGTTCCTACTCTGGCAGTGAAGAAGAATCCGCGGGCGTTGATGACCAAGCTTAGCGAGATCGAGGCCATCATCTTGACTCGCCTCTCCACTCAAAACTTCACATGTAAGCGTCTTATAGTACGCCTTCAAAGGGACGTTGAATGTCGTACTCACCTTCCATGTTTGTCCTCCAGCGAAAAGTGGAAGCACTACCTTCTGGAGCAAGCACTGCACAGCCGTTGAACTGGGAAAAGATATGGCGGATGCCCAAAGGATGGGGAAAGTAAGTTCACAATTCAATCAGAGCCAAAAACGGCGTGCTGGCTGAATACTGACCTTGCTAATTTCTAACGGCAGCGTCGTGCGATGACCTGCACCCGCTGCAAGGCCATCATGTATCCAAAGGCTAGTGGCTCAACGGAAAACCACAAACGCGGTTGCTGCTCCGATGGCGTTCCTGTCAGACTCAAAACGGAGAATGTTCCTCCATGGCCTCAGCCTCTGCAGATATTCACAGATGGAACTCACTTTCATCCGGCCGCACTCACACGAATGGTGGGCGAGGTGACCAGAAAGCTGTTTGTTGACAAGCAGTCACCGGGAAGCCTGAGAATGGAGTATGAAGCATTTGCACAGATGCTCCTCGATCGGGTCGAACTCCTGGATGGCATTTGCCACTTCAGAATATACCGCGAGCTGCAAGTGAGTCCATGGCAAACCGACAACATCGTTGAGCATGAAGGCACGAGTTATGTCTGTCTGCTCGACTGCCTCGGAGACGACGACGACGTGGCTGATGTTCCCACTGTCACTGACATGCTGAAGGTTCTGTTTGATTGAACCTTCTTTTTGCGCCATTCTTCTTTCATGCTATTGTTCCTTATATTTGTTCCTTATACTACTACCACATGTAATGTCTCTCAGGGCATTTCAATGTATCTTTCTTTGTTTTCCCCGCTTCCAACGAGCCCCTCCAACTCATGTTCCCCGCTCCGTTTGCAGCGAATAAAGAAAGTTCGAACGTAGGGTCAAACAGATTAGACGCCCAAACCCACGTGTCGCACTGCTAGGGTTTGTAGGGTCGAGCTAGGGTTTATCCGGCGCCTATTGGGTCCTTGGGTCTAACCCTTGCTATGGCGCAGCTCCCCTGCACAGGGTAATTGGGTCATTGCAAGGGTTTTCCGCCGCCGAAGGCGGCGCGACAAGCCTCGGGGGTTTCCGTCGAGCCTGGCCAGAGGCCGCCCAGGGTTTTCTCAATGGTATTCAAACTTTTCACCCTGCCTACTAACAGTCGGCTTTATAAATACATCAGCTGTTTCTGCCGAATCATCCGGAGGCATGTCCTGCTTTGTCGTCTTCCGGTGTAGGTGTTTTGATAAATGAAAAAATGCAACAACAACATTCAACAGTTAGTTGTTGTATGCACCGGTTAATGTCGCTTCTGGAAGGGTTTGAGATCTTGGCTCAATAGAACGGAATCTCGATGTGACATTGGAAGGTGTTTCTGCATAGAAGGTTTTCGTAGAAGGTTTTCCATCATTCACTGAGGTTGCCTTGTTTGGACTTGTGATCGTGCTTCACCGCCATAAGCAAGACAGTGTGGTAAGTAAATGTGGATGTCGAGGTTGAATCCTATCCAATCTGTCTTCTGCTATGCTCAGACTAATGCTACCCATCTACAACCAGTCCCTTGTTTCCACTGAGCCGGTGGACTCAAATGAACCTCTGCTGCGTGTCCCTCTCGAGGACATTGCCTTCACACAGGAAGCAGACAATGTCTGGGTTTGCGCTCATAGACTCAGCCTGCCAATTGTTGACCACAGGTTGGGTTTGTGGCTCGAAGATATTCCTTTAACATTCAGCGCCATGGGGCAAATTAATATCCGCAAGGGCTGTTTCGTCATCCCTTGTGGAGACGGCCGCTTTAGTAAGGTGACAAAGTTCGAAGAACTGCTTCATTTTGGTTGGAGGAGAGGCAAGATACACCGAGAACACATTGGCCTGATGTCGAGGCCGTGATCTGTTCAGTTATTCGAAGGGCAGAATCCCCCCGCGATATCTCTCAGCTTCTCAAGGTAGATCAAGAAACAGGTGCAATGAGTCTCCAGCTGAAATGGCGGCCGGGTGACATTGTCACTGAAAATATTGTAAGCTAGTCAAATGTATTTTCTTCCATGCGTTCTCACTCCTCGATAATTTTAGCCTACTGTTCTGCCATTCTTCGATGTCAATGGCAACAGTGCTGTGCCCATTAGTTCTGCCGATGTTCCCATTGGTCAAAAGATCCGTGTTCAATTTACGCTTCGCTGTAAGCGGTCTCCTACAGGTACCCAAATTTTATACGCATTTTTTACTTCAGTGCAACCTGTTTGAGCTGAGGATAGACTGTTCAGGTTCAGATTTGTCCAATGGTAGTTTGTTGAGAAAGGTCCTTGGATACTGACTCAAATGGCCTCTCTTTATTGTAATCCCTGTAGTACCATTGCTAGGTGCACTTGTTAGCTATCAAATGTATTAAGCGAGGAGTTTCAGAATTTATCTTCGCCATTTGCATGACAGCTTGCCGAAATGAGATTTATGCATTAGGGTAAACCTCCGCTATTAAAAGCCCCTATAGTACAGCATTGTATTCAGACTTTTACCAGCACCTACCTCTTTTCTCGTTCACTCATCCTGCACTCTTGAGATACAAAGCATGACCGACTTTGATCCAAAGTCTGTGACGGCTACCATCAGAAATACTTTCACTGGCATATCTCACCGCCAAGACTTTCAGAAGAAGTGGGATGACGATGTAAGGTCTATTTCAAGTCACTCATTGTGGCACAGATTTGACTATACAAATACAGGTTGAGAAGCTTGTCAAAAAATGGCTGACCAACCGTATTCATCAGTCGAAGGCGGTAGCACAGCTCACATGGGAAGCAAATGTCGTTCTCTATGTCAATTATGTTCATGCCGAGACTCATGTTCATGCCAATGCAAAGAGCTTGCAGAAGACCTCCCCACCATCGCTGAAACTTGGAATACCACTGCACGGACCGCGGTTTCTACCACCAACATTTCTGGATAGCTTCAAATGTGAGAACGCACCAGAAATTCATGCGAAACAAGCCTACCTTCGACCGATTACAATTATCCATCCTTTCTACTTTCCGAGGCTTGCACAATGTCCTGTTTGCGAAACTACCACTGACGTTGTGTGGGAAGGCTGGACAACAACAGGGCCTCGTGAAGTATATGGTATTCGCTCTGAAGAAGATGTCCTTGGGGTGCAACTACGATGCAAAGCCTGCGAAGCATTCAACATATCAGCTGAACCACTCATGAAGTGCCATACATGTTGTGCAACGACAAATCACCTGTATTGGCAGAAGTGGGAGCACTGGAGAATACCGCGTAAGTTGCCTGATCTTTGTCATAGGATAAAGCTAACATATACCAATTGTACCAGGTGCCATCCCATACTTCTTCAAACGGTGTGCAGTCACACACGAGCTGTTTGATTTCATTGTAGAGCTTCGACCTGGATTAACTGCATCAGGTCTTGAAGAACATATCAAACGTACGTCATAATATACCACCTTCAATCAGTTATTGACTCTTCCATTTGCATATTCAGAACTCCATCTCCTAGAGTACAAGCAACGAATGCTAGAGTACCTTGATGCCATGGAGGCTCATTATGAGATGACATCACTGATGAAGCCGCCTATGCTTGAACCCTTCTCTGCGCCAAATGATGTGAACGGCTACAACGGCAAAATTATCAGTCATGATATGATTAGCGAAATCTACCTTGAGTTTGTGTCTCATTCGCGCGAACGCGAGTCATCCGATTTCCTTCGAACATTGAAGGGTGAGGTTTCGAAGCCCCTCTAAAGTCATGCAGCCAATGTACTGACCGTTACCCTAGCACATTGTCTCTCACTGGATGCCACCTTCAAGTTTGCCCTAAAGGCAGCGATTGTCGATTCAAAGCGGACACATACCAAAGTCATGAAAGGTGGTCTGCTCAATGTTGTGAATGAGGATACCCTTATCATATCCTGGGTAAGTCGCAATCTTCACTCCGAAATGGATACTTGCTAAGGCAATCCAATCAGCGACTGTGTCAAACCCAATCAGGAGCAGAAATTACGGAAGCTTTAGCAGGTATTACTCACCGCCATGAAAGGCTTGAGGTGCCTCTCCCATCAGAGGGTATTGCCGATAACTGCTGCCAAGTACGCACGAGGATGCAGAAAGGTGTCCCAAACATTCAAGTCGGCCTTGACGTATTCCATGCACAAAAGAGGTATATTATTCCGCTACATATATATACATTAGAATGCGGCTGAGCGGGAGAGAATAGATACATCACCTCCATACAGAAAGGATCTTCGAATCCTCACCGGGCAGAGGTCGCTAAGGACATCAGTGCTGCCATACTCAAGAGCAATGCTACAAAAGATCAGCCGGCAACCTACTGGGATCGGAATGAGCAAGAGCGACGGTTGGTGGCGGCGTTCAATAAGTGGACAAGACAAGGGGACGTGTGGACTGCAGGTGCAGCTTCAGTGAGTCACCTATAACTGGAAGCCAGTAATGAAGGCCGGACTTACCTTGGGAGCTTTGTCAGACTCACCTAGAGCAGCTGTCGCACGTTCGCAAAGGTTGCCTACAGCGTTTGAATGTCGACATCAAGACAGATGGAAGCCGTGTCGAGGGAACGCACAAGGGATGGAACACCCTGATGCGTGCTCAACCCTGCGGACTTGAGGTCATGGTTGCCCTTGGTCATGATTTTGTCCTGCGCCGAAACCTGCGAATCATGGCACGCAAACTGATCAGCTCGCAGGACATATTTATTGCATCAACATTCGGCTCTCACCATCTTGCTCTGATATCGCATGTTGCTGAACGGTGGAATGCCCTGCTGCTAAAGGTACTAGAGGTTCACGGTAATAGCACAACTGCGACACAGATGTTGGCACGTCTGCCGCAGCTGCTCATCATTGATAGCGGTGAGACATTTGGTTTGGTTGCCTCACGCCACAATGCCACTTTTGGGGGTCTCCTACAATTGGAGGACATCGAGGATGTTAAAGAAGACCCTGAAGATGCAATATTGGGAGTAGACCTACTGAATGACAGCAGTCATTTCGATATTGACACCCCACCATTCGGATCGGAAGGCTTAGCCAACAATCTGCCCAAAACAAGTAGCCGCACGGACAGCTCGGTCAACCTAGAAGTCGATGGGCAGGTCAATCGATGAGGAGATGGAGAAGTAAAGGTGCCTGTGATGCGGGAGATTCAACACATTGTATGTTATATGACATGGCACTTGAACGCACCCTAGGTGGACCTCTCATGCTGACCCCGCTGACCGTAACAGGACCTCACAAATGATAACAATGACCCAGATGACACACCGCCACAAGAACAAGCAACGGAGGAACCGTGCGATGACTCAATGAAGAATATGCCACCGGAGACAACTGACTGAAGGAAAAGGTCTGCGAAAGAATTGAAGGAGGGCGGTCGATCTAAGAAGCGAATGGTCCCCACTACGGTGACAGAAGAGGAGGAGGGTGAGGAGGAGGCGTTATCGTCTTTGAATGACACCGCCGGCAATGTTGAGAGAGGACAGAGAAAGCGAGCACGGATGCAGCCTGGACTGCCAGCAACCAGCACCCTACGCTATGCAAGTCCAAGTCAGGTAAGCCCATATGCTGCTGCCAATTGAAGATGAACATAAACTCACCTCCTTACATCGCTACAGTCAACGGTCCCTCAACCACCCACCCACCCCTTCTTCCAGCTTCATAGTACTGCATCAAAGGCAGGTGCAAGTACTGCTGCTGCCAAATGCACCGCCGAGCAACAGGATGGTGCCAGCTGTTCAGTCACCTGCACAGAGACGAAAATGCGCAAACAGACCACTGCGCTACTGCCGCTTCCTGACGATATGTCCGGACTGACTCGCTCGCAATGGCTCTTCTCGATTGCGACCAATATTCATATCGACTCGCTGACCATCAAAGATGCCAATGAGTTCTTCCTCTTCATGGAGATGCGTCGCGAGAGCAAATGGGCCTCCTTCAACATGACTCCGAAACGTTGGGTGCTCGCAACCGAGGAATACAATACACGGCTGGCGCAGATTTTGAACGTTCCTACTCTGGCAGTGAAGAAGAATCCGCGGGCGTTGATGACCAAGCTTAGCGAGATCGAGGCCATCATCTTGACTCGCCTCTCCACTCAAAACTTCACATGTAAGCATCTTATAGTACGCCTTCAAAGGGACGTTGAATGTCGTACTCACCTTCCATGTTTGTCCTCCAGCGAAAAGTGGAAGCACTACCTTCTGGAGCAAGCACTGCACAGCCGTTGAACTGGGAAAAGATATGGCGGATGCCCAAAGGATGGGGAAAGTAAGTTCACAATTCAATCAGAGCCAAAAACGGCGTGCTGGCTGAATACTGACCTTGCTAATTTCTAACGGCAGCGTCGTGCGATGACCTGCACCCGCTGCAAGGCCATCATGTATCCAAAGGCTAGTGGCTCAACGGAAAACCACAAACGCGGTTGCTGCTCCGATGGCGTTCCTGTCAGACTCAAAACGGAGAATGTTCCTCCATGGCCTCAGCCTCTGCAGATATTCACAGATGGAACTCACTTTCATCCGGCCGCACTCACACGAATGGTGGGCGAGGTGACCAGAAAGCTGTTTGTTGACAAGCAGTCACCGGGAAGCCTGAGAATGGAGTATGAAGCATTTGCACAGATGCTCCTCGATCGGGTCGAACTCCTGGATGGCATTTGCCACTTCAGAATATACCGCGAGCTGCAAGTGAGTCCATGGCAAACCGACAACATCGTTGAGCATGAAGGCACGAGTTATGTCTGTCTGCTCGACTGCCTCGGAGACGACGACGACGTGGCTGATGTTCCCACTGTCACTGACATGCTGAAGGTTCTGTTTGATTGAACCTTCTTTTTGCGCCATTCTTCTTTCATGCTATTGTTCCTTATATTTGTTCCTTATACTACTACCACATGTAATGTCTCTCAGGGCATTTCAATGTATCTTTCTTTGTTTTCCCCGCTTCCAACGAGCCCCTCCAACTCATGTTCCCCGCTCCGTTTGCAGCGAATAAAGAAAGTTCGAACGTAGGGTCAAACAGATTAGACGCCCAAACCCACGTGTCGCACTGCTAGGGTTTGTAGGGTCGAGCTAGGGTTTATCCGGCGCCTATTGGGTCCTTGGGTCTAACCCTTGCTATGGCGCAGCTCCCGCACAGTCGCAGAGCTACGGTATAATGCGCATACTTCTAGATCTGTGCAAAGCAACCACAACACCGCGGACGTATGCCTTTCCTAGTTTTCCTTCACACGAAGAGTATTTAATGTCATACGATTTCTACACAGCGTCCTTCCAATTTACTTGTCCTTCACAGGGAGGTCCGACCCTGCCGCACCCTTGTACTGTCCCCGAATTAAGTCGCTGATCTGCTCGTCTTTAAACTGTTCAGTAGCTGACTCGTTGCTCTGAGGACCTTGTCCAAGAACGTGCTCCTGGACCCAGTCGATTCCTGCACGAAAGAAGGCTCAGAGCATGAAACATACAACTGAGTCAGGAAGTCATGACGAACCCTTATCCAGTTTGTCTTCCTTAGCTTCGCTAGTTCTACCGCCTCCCGCCATTGAGTTCATCTGTGAAGTAAGGTCATATGAGTGCTCACCACTCATGACAAGACATTGCTAATACCTTATCACCGATACCTCCCAACCACCCTCCAGATTTGTGTTGATTCGAGTCATCTCTTTGTGAAGACATTATTGGAGACGTGATGGACCGTATGAAGCTGCAATGTCCATCTTATATAGGTGCAGAGAACGAGAAACACGTACACCGCCAAGCCTACGCTTGACGTCAGTGCCCTGGATACTTGCTTAACGCCACAAGTGGAGTAATATTAACGGTGAGGCCTCGTCAGGCTGCCCGAGGTCAATTGTCACTTTGATATGCAAGATGTCGTGGGTGTAATGAGCTATTCTTATCTGTACAATTAGGGTATCGCACATTCATCCGAGTTCATACCTTTCGGGAAACATATCGCTGTTTACTTATCCTTGGCTGGAAATTCGCGGCCCGTCACTTGATTGTAAGCCACACGAATCGCGTCGCTGATCTGCTCGTCTTTCAACTGTTCCAAAGCAGACTCATTCGATTGATCGCCTTCGTGGAGGATGTGCGCTTGAATAAAGTCGATCGCTGGGAAATCTTGTCAGTACTGCATCATAGAGACTTAATGAATGCCATTCACTCTTGTCAAGCTTATCTGTAGAGACTGGATATCAGCTTTGATGACGAAAGGAGAAATGAACTAATGCAGACCTTCGTCGGCTTCGCTCGCTTGTCCTCCACCAGCCATCTCGTTGAACTAGATGGCGCATAGGATCAGACCTACAGCGAGCTTCGTCAATCAACGACCGGACAAACCTTCTCCTTCAACCAACTGCGTTCGACTTTCTGCTTCTCCTCTTTCTGATTAGCACCAGTCAACGCACTCAACTGAATAATCTCAAATTATATTCATGTGTTCGAGTACAGAACGTAAGATGACCGACCTGATCACGCCAACCTCCACTGGCGCGCTTTACAGTGTCAGGATCTTCCTCGTCCTTGACCTGCTCCCAGATGTGTTTGTGCTCATTCTGAGCAGCCTTCTCTTCCTTTGGAGCCTTGTCCCATAAGCTCTTGACCTACGCACGCTTCAGAATGAAAACACATTGCGCTCGGAGATGACGGCTCACGCACCTTGTCAGTGAGATGTTCTTGTTCGGCTTCCTCGTGCTCGTCCGCCTTCTCTCGGGGATCGCGAGTCAACTGCACAACCTTGTCTTTGAATTCCGATGCACGGTTAAGGGCATGGTCGAACTACAATCAGCGACTCTTCTCAATATACTATAGTCTCGACAAAGAAAGACGAGAGGAACAAACGTGATCAGACAGATCCTTCTTCTTCTCGGCCTGGGCTTGTGTCTCAAGTCGTTTGAACTCGGCCTCTTCGAGTTCCTGCTTGTGTTTGCCTCCGTCGAGAGCGTCATGAATCTGTTTGGTGTCACGATGTATTTCAACAAAGTGATCGCGGTTATGAACGTACCTTTGCAGTCCATCCACGTTCTGCATCGACCTTGGCCTTGGCTTCCGCTTTCTCCTTCTCGATCCTTACACGTTCCTCTTCCTCCTCGCGTTGCCTTTTAGCTTCCCTTTTAGCGTCGCCGCCGTCCAAGACATCTCGAAGCTGATCAAACCGTCAGCCATTCTGTCGAAGATATGCGCAGCCATAATCACCTTATCCGACCACCCTTCCTTCTCTTCCTTCTTTGTCTGCTCGTGACTCTCGGCACGAGCTTCTTCTTGTCCCTTGTGTCCTCCGGAGTCACGATCGGCAGAATCGCCGTGTAGCGCGTCCTTCAATTCGTGCAACTTATCAAAGACAGACATAGTGACTTGCAATGACAACGGAATAGATCGAGGTGTCGAATGGAGTATACTGATCTTAGAGCATCTAGCACGACTTTATATATATGAACACCACGAGGCTGTGGCACCTTTGAGCTTGCCAAGCGCATCGTGGTCATCGACGGCTCTGCATAGTGACGAGCTCGTGGCCTTAAAGGCAGCGGTCTGCGAAAACATTGTTCAGTATTGTTTTGGAAGGGTCATGGAATGTGCACACGCGGAAAATCCGACTCGCCTTGTACCTATGCTGTAAACCGGTGACCGGCTTATACCAGTGAAATGCACTGCAAACCACACTTCCGGTCACAAAATTCACATTCTACTCTCAATCTCGTCTTCCGCATTATCGTGAGGGAACATATAGGAATGGAATTAAGATGACCTTGAAGAAGCCACCCCTATGGAGTGCGGATAGATTAGTTGCGGCGTTTGCCGAGTGGGGGACACGTCGGTGGGCGGTTGCGGGTGGTTACCCCAGCTCTCAGCTTCACACCAGCTCTGTGCTCACCGCCTCTTCGTCAACGGCCTCCACGCCCAGCTCACGAGTCTTGCTTCGTACAAGCTGACTTTGTTGTGGCATCTCTGACCAGCTCTGGTCGCGGTTCACAAGGCCCATCTGTTCCCAAGGGTCACATTCTCCATCATGAGTGAACTCTTATCACTTTCCGTCATCCAACTCCTGTCGATTTTCTCCTTCTTCACTTCGGTATTCGCTGTTCTCAGGGTCGGCTCTGGCTCATTCCACCGTCTCTCGCATAAATTTGAGTCGGACGTAGCTCGACCCGCTGCAGACCTTAACGTCGGAACTGCGAAATGGAGTTGGAGCGGATTACCCGTATCATTCTCTTTAAACACGATACTTGGAGAAGATGAGACAAAGGAACGTTCTCATGAAGCACTTGGAGGATATACTGGAGGAGGCCAGCTTGTACGAATGAACTGGCAAACAACAAAACAACATGGTATGTCGTCTCGTCGTGTGATCGATTTACATGTCGCTTAACACCTTCCATATAGTGCCACCATCAATATATTACCAGCAAACACCGATATCCATGGCCAAACTGATTATGTCTCGTCATGTATGTCTCCCCCCATTGCACCATTCTATTCCCCCAGTTGACAATACCGCCTTTAGTCACAACGGAAACCATACCGGATACCACGAAGAACACCTGGAATGCCCCGGCCTACGCCTCCGTCACGACTCATGGAATCCGCTGTATAGGCTATAAGCCTCAGCCAGCTATATTCATCATTTTTTTCACTTCGGCGCATACGATATCTCCAACTACTCCCATCCCTCTGTTCGTTTTTGTGTCAATCAATCTCATTTCCATCTTGCATATTCGCATCTGCGCTTCAAGTTTCATTGCTACCATGTCATCTTCACAGCCTTCGGACTTTTATCTTTATTCTTTCTATGTGTATGTTGTGTAGGATGGTGGATAGACTATCTGTTTGTTTAGTGTGTACGAGAGGGCATGTACGTACGTAGAATATTCCCCAAATCATTTGCAGCTTTAGACTGCTCTAGTGCTCTCCCAGATTGTGTCCGGAAATCAGGATTCCCAGGGATACCCGCGTCCGTCTCCTGGAAGGGAAGTTTGGTCCCTCACTGTACCAAAAAGGCAATTTTGATGGTGCCTTGTTGGTCCCCTTCGACGGAATTGACGGAGAGCCTGTTGCTTTGAAAAGCAACTGCGATGCGCATGTTGGGATTGTTGGGTTGCTGCATTATCAAGGTGCTTCTACTGCGACATTTTCCCAGTTGTTACATAAATGAACTCGGTACTTTTTCTTCTGTACGGTTTGTATCTGCATTGGCAAAAAACCTCGGATCAGCATGATCAGCAAGTGACGTGCCTAAACCTACAAATGTTCACATTGCTCAATTGCTTGGCTTTCCCACTTATGAATGTGAGTAAACCACACTTTATCATTGTCAATCAGCCGACAGATATATCACTGCAATGCAGGTGTGAACGCATGGTCAACGTCTCTGTCGTCAATCGACCACGCAGGCGATTACTGCAGTCCTGGAGCTCAGTAGGCTTTGAAGACTTCGTATATTGAGCCCCACCGAACCCGCCGAGCGCCACAACAACATGAAATGCCCAATTTCAGGTTGATTTGTCACACCAAGACCTGCCTGTCCCGCTCGAGATACCGACAAGGACAACTAAGTAGTCTCATGGGACATCTGTCAATCAAATGCATAATACTCCGCGGTACCGATTTCCCTGTATATATGTTAAAATGAGCCTTGAGATTACAGGATACTCCACGCACTTCCCCCTCGTTACGGTCAGTACTCTGGGCCTCACGCACTGCGATACGCCTCGAAGTTCGCACTGTGCTCGCCTACAAGTGCTACTGGGGAGAGATGACGATTACTGTCCCTGCTGATTTTCCAGTCGAGAGCTTCGTGAGATTAAGAGTTGAAACTGTACGTTTGCGCTCTATCTTGATATCGGGTCTGCATTGACTTCTATCGCAGTATACAGATGGTCAGTACTGACGGTGATCATCGCATCTTTCGGCGAGCACTAACTACCGTTCTTTGTTGGACTTTAGTCGCAGCAGCAACACTATTGGTAAGTCGACTTCACATCATTATCCCAAGGTATGACCACGCTCAAACCGAGTCCGGGTGATTCAGGTCTGGGACTACTTGCTTACGGTCAACTCGGAGATCAAGCTCATGTGGCCCTCGCGATGGAACCTCGTCAAAGTTCTGTTCCTCTTGACAAGATATCTTCCGTTTGTCGACGTAACGCTTGTACTATTTTGTAAGTACTACTCACGCCCTGTCAAACAACGACGACAACTGGAACTGATCTACCACTCTAAAAGATCAACTAAAACCTAACATAAGCGAGCGCATTTGTCGCCTAACTTACAACCCAGCAGGCTGTGAGTGACATTCTTGTCACCTGTGTCCATCGCCGGCTTGGCTAACCCAAAGCATGCATCGTCAGGGCTAATCGTCATTGGCATCATGATAGCGGAAAGTAAGTCTCATTTTCAGCGGGTATAAGACGGGGAGATTCGGCGCGTTGACAAAGCGGCATGTGTAGTTATCCTTGTCGTCCGGACGTGGGCGATATGGGGACGAAGCAAACGAGTTGGTATCGCACTGGCTCTCTGTTGCGTTGCGGCTGCTACGCCTGTCTTGTACATCGAGAACGTCTTCTTAGACTCCCTCGTCTGTGAGTATCTATATTATCCATCTCACCGAAAGCACCTAGGGAGCTCATTTACTTGGTTGCAGTCTCTCCTTATCCATCTCGCGCTACGCCAGGATGCCTTCTGACCGCAGGAAACCCAATCATTGCTGCCAGTTTCGTGATTGTGATCATCTTCGAGACGCGTCAGTGCCTGTGCCCTGTGACATCTGAACCCGAGCGACCTTCTGATACTTACATCACACAGTTCTCCTCATCCTAACCTTAATCAAAGGGGTACAACACTGTAAGTGAAAGGACATCTCTTCGTGCATGATGGTGGCGTTGACTTGGCTTTGGCGTCTTCTGCAGATAGAGTGGCCGGAGGAAGGGGGTTTGTTTCAGTGCTGTATCGGGACGGTATGTCTCCCACGAACTCTGACTTCTGTCTGAAGTTTATCATGAATGTCAGGTATCCTTTTCTATGTTTATCTCTTCGGTATTTCGGTTGTGAACCTCATCGTTATTATTGCGGCCCCAGTAAGTTGGATAGTTTCAGTAAATCCTATTGGCTCTATGAGCTGACACGTACCGCCCATAGCGTGATCTCGCCAATTTACTCGCAATGTGAGTACCTTTCTGCACCAGTCTGAGAGTTAAACTCATAACGAGCATTCACTTCCAGCCTTCAGCGCGTGCTGCATTCAGCATTAAGTGCACGAGTGCTTATGAATCTACGAGAAGCAAATAGACGAGAGACAACTCTGTCTACCACAGGCGATACACCACTCCAACATCTCACTTTTCCCCAAACACGCACTTCTGAGGAAGAGAGGCGATCATTGCAGGGTAGGCTCAACGGGGTAGTCATCGAGATATCTTCACCTTGACAGCGGATGGTGCCGGCTTCCATCCTGCGTGTAGTGGCGTCTTATGGGATGGAGCTGAAAAGTTCCCCTCCAAGTGCCAAATGTTGATCGACTGCGAAGTCCGAGGTTCAAAACTACTACGGTCGAGGCATGGAGAGTTATTTCGACGTGCATGTCATTTACGAGCGATCGTATGCTAGCATGAAGGGATTACCCGGCTGCGCTGCGGAAGAATGCATTGGACACTGGTATGTCTTCTCAGCTTGCTTACCTTCAAATTTTCAAATTGATGTTGTCAGGTCCAGAAAACCGTCCAGAGACTGTCGTGACGTTGCAATGAAGGACGGTGGGAGTTAGATACCTGGTCAACACTTCCCGAGTGAGCATGTCATTATTGTGATGGTCGTCGCTCTGGTACTAACGTAATGCACGCCGAAGTCGGGTTTTTCGGCTCACGAGATTTCTACTCTATGGCGGGGAGTTCAGTACGATAGGGGATACTTTCTGTAGCGCCCGGTCTTTGGACGCAAATACCCGCAGCCTACAATTCATGCATGAGCAATGGGATTATATCTTACCATTTCGCCTTTACTTACCTCAATGGCCCTCCGGAGGATCCGTTCCACTACATCTTTTGCCAGACTTTCAATCCGACCATCAGTTTCGACCTCCATCAGGCCAGCTACCAGATATCCCGTGAAGCAATCTCCTGCTCCGGTGGTGTCCTTGACAGGCCCGTTCAGCTTCGCAGCAGGAACGTACAAACCTTCGCCACTGTTCAGCAGTGCCAATACCCCGAGTCCACCCAGGGTGCAAACAAGGTTGACCTTCGGGGAGAACGCAGTATTAGCACGTAGACGATGTAACAGTAGATATGCCGCCCTAATTTCTGGGCGTGAAGGCCATGATGACGGAATGTCGATGGAGATGTGTGAGTTCTGAGAGGACTCGTTTGTTTGGGAGTTGAAAGCCCTCAGCAGACTCAGAGCTTCGCCTTGGTTTACAAGCAACCAGTCGAGTTGGGACCATGGGAATATTCGGAGTTGCTCGACGGACGGTATGGGAGATGGGTTGAAGAGTGTAGTTGCTCCAGATCGATGGGCGTGTGCTAGGGCCGACAATGTGGAAGCGAATGGGATTTCATTTTGGAGGAGTAAGTGGGTGAAGAGGACAGAGCGGACGGCTTCTTCTGAGATTGGAGTGTAGTTAGCACCTCGGTGTAAGACTGGAATATAGGAGCATGTCAGTCCGAAGGATAATTCACGTTCGATTTCTTCGAAACCTACTGATGCAGTTCTCGCCTTGGGGTGTAAGTTGAATGATAGCACGACCTGTAGGTTCCTGTCTCACGGAACGCATCAGACAATGATACACCCCCATAAATGACGGGCAGTTTACCTCCTGTGTAACGAAGACGGAGCTTATATCGACGCCAACTTGCTTCAAGCCGTCCAGGACCCAATTCCCGTCGGATCCTACGGCGCCAACAAGAGTAACGTCGCCTCCGCCTTTGGCGACGGCGACAGCTTGGTTAGCCCCTTTACCTCCTGAGCGGCGTTCGTAGTGCGTGGAGGAAAGCGTTTCACCGGGTTGTACTATACTAGGAACTAGAGGGGAACAGAGGATTAAGTCCGGGTGCTAAATCATGAACACTTCGAAGGTTCTGTTAATATATACCATGGAAGAATTCATCGACATCTAAAGAATAGGCGATAAGTTCAGTATGATAGTGAAGTCCAGTGTACTACTGACTGATTGAACCTCTAACTAGACATCGAGGTTTGTTCGACATGATTGAACAGAAGGAAGAAGGACCAACTGCACGATCGCTCATCAATGAACGATCGGCTGCGCGTAATTGACATGCATAATCACTACCCTTATGGTCCAGTGTTCACTGCGAGGATGATACAACGAGGCTTCAAGCGTTGGCATCATTTCAAAAGTGAGAACGCAGAGCAAAGCAATAACTCTATTAGGAGGCGATCTCCATCGTCGGATAGAGAACCGGTAGAAACGGCGAGATATCATGAAGAGTGACCTGTTTCCATCGTTAACCGAGGGTTGCGTTCGATGAGGTCTCCAGTGGTTTCGAAAATTGTGTTGACGGTTCTGTGAATGTGGCTGGCTGCTTTGAAAGTCACGCATAGTCTTTCTAGGAATTTAGAATGGGAATCAAGGAGCACAAAGAGTTCGAGGAAGAATCTGGTAGAAAATGCCAATACATCAGTACGGTCACAACCGAACGCAACGGATAAAGAAGAGCTATACGTTGCGCGACAAGCTGTCATACCCAATGAAATGACAGTCCTGAAGTGTGCGTTAGGATGCTCACAAGCAGAAGTACAATACAAGACTAGATGCGATTGCGATGACGGGACTGGAGGACAAGAACAAACGATGAAAGTTGCTGTAAACATACTGCATTCATGCGGCGGCAGGTAAGAGCATACTGGAACGCATATATTGCGTCGTCATGTAGGAAAATGGAATACGGAAGTCATGTCAGGATGCAGATGTACATGCGGAAATTTTGATGTCCTCGTCCCCTCGAGTGATGTAAAAAGGCAGATAACTCAGAACTGGATGGATAGGTAACATCGAGTTAGGCGGAACAAGAACGAGAGAATGAGCAGGACGTACGCGGAGTGGCTGGAAGAACCACCTGTTCTTGCCAGAAGTGTATCGCTCCTCCAAAAGCTTCTTGATCTGTTTCTTGGAGTCCTCGCGCTGCGAAGGCTCCTTGAAGGTCTCAGCACCAACAACACCCTTCAAGCCCTCCAACTCCAAGGCATAACGTGTGGGGAAAAGGTGCGAGTAGTTGACAACCTGAACGAATTGCCAGATACGTCAACACCAGCACTGCGTAGACAGAACCATTCGTGCACACCTTAATGAAAGGCTTGACCTTACTCCTCTTTGCAAGCTTCTTGGCACCCATCCGCTTGGTGACCTTCAGTGGGTACCTCTCGATACCGGCGACAATGGCGTGGGGGTAAGGTCGCTCCTTAGTGCCCTCATCCAGCTGCTTGATTACGACAACCTTCTTGCCTGCCTGGCGGCCTGAAAGGACAATAGCGACCTAACAATCGTTCAGTCTCCCGGCATAGGTTCCTCCAGCATATTGCACACCTTGCCCGGCTTGTATACTTTGACCATCTTGATGAGGACGAGGCGTAAATTCTTACCGTACGGGCTCTGGGCGTAGCAGCACTTACCTCTGCAACAAGCGCGCTCAGCAGCCACCCGGAGTCTGCCGGAATGCACTGGGTAGCAAGGCATCTAAGGTTTGATGCGCTCTTTATGCCCTATTTTGGAAATCCCGCCATGCACAGCATGCGCCTCTATTTAGAGCAGGAAAGCCGCCCTCAAGTTCATCTTCATACAGTAAGTATAATTGCACTTGCAATGCAACGTATATGGTCAACATCATAAGGAACAAGTCCATGAGATTGAGCTAGCTTCAGTTATCCTTCGCAAGGGAATACACTATGCATACAGATTAAAATACAAGCATCTAACATACCAAGCCGAACTCAATCTATGATAGATAGTCCACAATGATATCGGAACGGCGAAGACGTGGGACAAAACGAAGACATCCCAATCATTCCACCTCTGGTCTACTGTCCGAAGGTAGTGTCGGATCCAAGAAACTGTGATTGCACCTGGTGCACACATAAAACAGGATCATGCGAGTTTCTTTTCGTTTCGACTGGTCTTGGAAATAAACCGCACTGCAAGAATGTCAGTGAGACTGCGGCGACATATGCCGCAAACAAGACAGACTAAGACGTACTCGTCGTGTCCGCATTCGGGACATTGAATGTCAGCGTGAGCCTGCGCAATGTAAGAAGATGGCCAGGACAATATGGATGACTTTGCTCTCACAAGAGTGGGATCTGCACCGAGGTCTGTGGTGACGCCAATTTGTTCTCTGCAACATGCACGTGCGTAAGTTAATGTCCTCAACGCAATTCATTCCATCACAGGGGGTCGTGTCGAGGAAGCCTACTACGTGAAACGATCAAGGGAAACACATACTTTGTGACTGTAAGCAGATCGTTCCTGTACACACACTTGTTCTCTCCGATCTCATCGTATGGACAAATACGACATGCGTAGACCATAATGCGACGCTGCTGGTCGGCTTTCGGATACAAAAGGTTGTTACATTCCTGGCAGAAGTGAAGCGAGGCCTGAATGAGTAAGCGAGGCAAGTTACAGTTCAAATCAGAGTTCGCCAGTTGTTCAAGTGTATTTGTAGTCGAGATTATCGAAGATATCCATTGCGAATGTTAGCATCTGGCGGTAAACAGGCATAATGTCAGATACAGACCATGTCGAGCGCAATACGTCCGAACGGCAGTGGTGGTCAAAGACAACGAGCGAGCGCTAAATATTGTTCGCAGAACAAGATTCATAAGCGCCTGCATCATCAGTGTTATAATAATTGATCCACTTCTGCCTTTGACCGAGCCATGAGCCCCAAGAGCAGACAATTCAGAATCGTACAACTGATATTTCTCGCCTTCCCAAATGCTACAGATAGAACTACAACAAAGTCCAATTGGCGACTTCCTCTAGATTTCTCATGCTTCGCCACCCTCTTCGTCGACAATGATGACAGCCTTGCCAAAGTTCTCGCCTGTATGAACGGCCAAAAGAGCTTTCTCCGAGTTCTGAAGACCGATGAAACGGTGCTCGCGGTTCTGGATCTTTCCAGCTTGAAGAAGGGGGAAAACTTCCTGGTCGAACTCGTTGAAGGCCCGTTCGGCATCGGGGCCAGTTCGGAACAGGAAACCTTGCACTGTCAGATAACGCTCAAAGATCTTCTCAAAGTGCTGTACAGGAGGGAACGAGTAAGTGTCGTGATTTAGTTTGATGCAAAAGCGGGTACTAACCCGGACGATGCCTTCATCCTCCTTGTTCAAACCAGCGATAGCGCCACAAGCAAGAATGAGGCCAAACATGCTCATGTTGACCAGTGCTGCGTCGGTCTGAGCTCCAGACACGTTATCCCAATAGCTGTAGCGTACTGTACATTAGACTCTGAGACCAAAAGACCAGTCTCGATACGTACATATCGATGGGACCGTGCTCAGCAAGGATCTTCTCGGCGTTCTCCTCCTTGTAGTTGAAGGCTACATCAGTGCCGAGAGACTTCAGGAGGTCCACCTTCGGTTTTGTTCCAGCTGAAGCAATGATCTTGAGATGCGGGTGGATGGCCTTGACATACTCGATCAACCAACTGTATCAAATCAACGTCACACGGAAACGTAATCGTTCACGGAACAATCGGACGTACGTGCCAACAGCACCTGCTCCTCCACTAACAAAGAGGGTTTTGCTCTGAACTCACCAGTATCAATACGCAAATCTAAGGAAGAAAGCAAAAGGTACATACTGTCTCCGCCTTCTTCTTGGCATATAGATGCCATCCGGTGAAGGCAGTCCTTCCTGTGAGACCGAGGATGCCGACAAAGGCCGACAAGGGCAACCCGGGAATCTTGGGTACTTTAACGCAGTGCTTGAATTCGTGTTTGATGTGTCCAGGATGGACAGAGTAATGCTCGAAGCCTCACCGACATTTCGGGTCAACAAGGACATCGATCGGGTGACAACTTTCATACTTACTGAAGTAACCAATCACATAGTCACCAGGCGAGTAGGCAGAATCTTCACTGCGAACGACCTTCGCGACGGAGAAGTTGTCTATTCTAAGGTCATTGTGGCGTCAGGAGGGCCGATCGATAAAACGGTTAGCAAGAATGTACTTACGGCTCGCCGACCGTAACAGGTGGGGCGAACATTTTGATAGTGGGATCTCGCATTCTGTGGCGCATGTAGGGGTCGCTGCTAATAGCAAGCAACTTCACCAGGATACCGCCATTGAGGGGAACGGCATCAGTGTCAAGTTGTTCTTCGACGTATTTGGTGTGCACTCCAGGTTGATAGATACCCTCTGGGTGACCAAGATAGATGACACGGCCGTTGGTGACCACAGGCATGATGGAGACAATGGGTATGAGAGGAGATTGGTTAAAATGGATGGAGGGATCTATAGCACCCTATTGCATGGAAGCAAGTATTTGAATGGACGCATGCCGCCGAAGAATGCCATGGTTTTCGGTACCTGTATTAGTTCCTGTCCAACACGAGTCTTGCCCACGGGACATGTGGTGAATACCGGCCTACCTGATGTCCAATCATGCGAGTGTTGCTGTAAGCGATACATCCTGCCCTAGGCCGGATTGATCATCGAAGTCCGAATACCACTAGAATAGGTTTCATTCTGTACAAGGTTGTGGGTCGACGTTTCATGAGAATGCCGAAAGACCGCGGCTGGACGGGTCTACCGGCCTCTTTCAGTGCGTACTGCGCAAGCTCACGTCCGTCCCTTTTGGCAAGCAATCAGAAAAGATTCGAGTGACATTGGCCGATGTTGAAGTGCTGATTCTAAGGAGCACTTGACACTTCAGAATGATACGGAACATCAGTTAGCTGTAGCGTCTATCATCCAAACAGCTACGCACCTCACTACTGTTGTTGGATGTCTCCAACAACCATTTTCCCATTGGTGGACGACATTAGGAGAAGGACATCTACATCAGAACTCTACAAGTAACTCATCCGACACAATGGGAAGCCCTATTTCGGAAAGGATTCCCAGCGGATTAGGAGACCACCGTAGAGAGAGATCTTCAGAAATCCGTGCACCTCTCCGCCAGCATTCAATTCTCGATACATGATGAAGACCTCATCGCTAACTGTGTTCCTTGCGTTGCGGCCAAATCGCCTAGCATGCAGATAGGAAAGGATACATACCAATTTGGTCCAAGCGTTCTATGTTTAACAACTGTGTGAGCGCCAAAAAGATGAGAACTCTGCAACTTGGTCTCTCCCAATAGCAAGACCAAATCTAACCCAGATTTTCGACATATCGATCCACATGATTATACTTTCCGTAGCTTGACCAAGGGCTATGCTTATGTTCTATCAGCTGAGAAGGCCATTTGAAGATGCCTGGACGCGACACCAATTCGAACTGTTCCGATCAAGGACATGATGGAGGTTGGCGGAGCGATGCCAAACTTCTCGATGACGGCAAGTCTACGATATCCTCGTTTACTGACACGTCCATTCCAGATATCACTGCTTCCGTTGGCTTTCTGGTACTCAAGCAAGCTACATACTACATGCATTCCTCTGGGCTTTTCGGCCAGTCACTGTCCATGCGGCACTTCGAACAGACCTGGCAAAATTTATTGATGCCATCCATCTTCTTCGCGTCAACTACCCCACCATGGCTTCCTCGGTGTGTGACTCGATCAGTTCATTGCTGTCCATTGGTGTTCTCCTCATAGCTTCTTCCGCACCTCTTCTTGACATCAGGAAGTTCAAGGCATAATCCCTCTCATTTTCACAGCTGCAAGTTCATTCTCATTGCTACTGTGAAGCTTGGAGGCGACTTTGGTACTTGTTCGTGTCTGTTCGTGCTACTTTCGAGTGCTATTGGCAAGCATCTTCCCAGAAAGTTTGATCAAGATCGATCGGGTCATCAGAACTACTTTCCACTTTTGGTCGTTGCGGGTCGGTCGCACAAAGTACGGCTGGTGGCTGTCAGATAGGCACTTCACGGCGGAACGATTGCGATACCCGAGTGTGTCCATGGACTCATGAGAACTTGCGGATAATCTTAATACAGCGGAATTCCTTGATTCTGATGCTCCACTCACCAACGCAGGCGACCTGTGTGACACTCCGCCTATCCAACATTCAAACAGTATGACAGGTATGCCCTACATTCTACCATATGCTGATTCTGAACTCACAGCCTGGTCTTTGAGATGAATAATACATACAGGATGTATTCGCACCTTCAATCAGCAAGATGCCGTTTGTGTGTAGCGTGAGTCTACTTGCTGGGTATGCCCTGGAGACAACATCTTGCTCCTTTACGTTTGGACATCGATACCAGATTGATAGGTCGATAAGTGGTTACTGATGGACTTCGAGGTCACTCCAGGCGAGACGGTACGTTGTGGATCGCTCCCAGACGTAGGATCGGAACCATCCGTCTTCGCGTCGAGAATAATTTTGTATGGTCTATTCAAACATATGGGAACTCGCCAGACTCTCCTCAACGATCTTGTGGACGACGATGATCGGGCGACCGGGTGTCGTGGGTATCGCGTACTGAAATAAGGACGACTGTTCGCAGAGCATTGACATGACAATCGAACCCATCTTTACGATATATTTGAATGTCCTCCATCATAGAATTGCGACTGTAGAGTGTCCAAGGAGTAATATTTCATGCGCAAGCGTCATATTCTCTCTCTCATTTACGGCCAAGCTCGTTGCATTAGGGAGTCTCCTACCATTAACGGCAAAACTCGATATGTATACTGGTTGGCGTTCGTATTCTGATCTGTTTGGGATAGCCACCGAATTTAGACGGACGTCTCGGCTACCGCCAGTACGTCTTCACAAGGTGCGCGCTTCGTCGAAGTTCGTCTGTGATTGTATGGGCCAGCTAAGTATGGACCTCTGCAGCCGCAATCAAATGCCCACGTCTCGCTTATATTACAGGGGTGACCAAATATTCTCTGGACGCCCGGGGTCTCACATTAAAAGACTGTTGCTCTGTAGGATCGAGCAACTCATTGTGATACCCTTTCACCATGAAGCAGTTCCCGCTTGACAAGACGTTCATTATTTCGATATGGCTTGAGGTTGGTATCTGCTCCCTCTGTCTATTTCACCATCCTGACCTTCTTGTGTATCGATAGGCCCTCATTTACGGTACGATGAAGTCTTTGTACCTGTTCACAACATGCAACCCATCTATGGCTTCTTACAGGATTTTTCCTTTGTCTTTTCTGCGCCTCACTCTATGTGAATCTCACTCTTCGTCGTTCTCAAGATGGTCATAGTAAGGTATGAACTTCGACCTTTCATGCCTTGCGTTCCGCCGCGTCAATACTGATCGTTTCATGTAGACAATGTTTATCATCGGTATAGTTATGTTCGTCATCGCGACGATGCACCTTGGTGAGCTCGATGAAGGACGCCGTCTCCAGCGCGCATCACTAATATCTCACGTACGCAGGCATGAACTGTTTCCGAATGATCCGGGGATACGTTGATCATGCTGATACTCCTGGAGGTGCTGTTGCGTACCTGGGTAATCTCGCTCCATGGGACCACATCTTTAAGGATACCCTCTACGCAACGCAGGAAATTTTTGGTGATGCTGTCGCGGTAGACGCTGTGCTTCACTTGAAAAGTCACACATTTATTCACATTTCCAATCTTTCGCATAGATCTACCGTTGCTGGGTGATTTGGGGTCACAATTGGAAAATCGTAGCGCTTCCCATCGCACTCTTCATCGTCAGCTGCAGTACGTGTCTTCCGTTCCGAAGCCATCCTGATACTGATGTAAAATCCCGATCAGTCTCCGGTTACACGGTTTGTGGATTGTACCCATCTGTTCACCCAGAGGATACTGTCTTCAATCCTCGACTTACCCAATGGATCAAAGTCTTCTACGCGGTCGCGGTTGTACAGTCCACTATCATCACGGGTCTCATGGCGTACCGCATCTGGCAAACCGACAAGAAGACGGCTTCGTATCGCACTGCGAGCTCCAATTTGATGCCTGTCCTTCGTATTCTGATCGAGTCTGCGTCTCTCCAATTGGTAGTTGAGGTTATCCTTCTCGGTTTGTACGCTGCAGACTATAACGCTCAGTACATCATGCTGGAAATAGTCACCCCAATTGTGGTATGTCCTTCCCAAAATAAGATGTCAACATTGATTCAACGCTCTATATCTCAGGGAATCACGTTCACGGCAATCACCATCCGTATAACCCTCCGTGCGTCCGGTGCCCTCACTTCCAGCCAGCATGGTCCCTCTGCGAGTGGCGGAATGCGATCAGACCCTCACATGCCCCCTCACGTGGCGTCCAGAACTCATAACATTCCTATGCAATCCATTTCTATCAACATCACGAAGGATGTTGAGAACCGCCAGGACGATGCCAGCGACAAAACGACGAAGGTTATCTATGATACAGATAATACGAGGGGATTTTATAATCCCTCATAGATCCCTTGAGCGTCCCTGGGATATTGTACTCTTCATCGTCTCATTGCTTTCAGCTCCGAGTTGTATCGCTGTTAGGTGGTTTTCAGCATTTAGGTTGTAGAGTGCAGTGAGATTTGGATCTCCCGTGTAAATTATTGCTTCATGGTATTCAAAAGGGTCTTGGTACTTCCTTTGAATTTAGGCGAACGAGAGGTCGTATGATCTCGGGATTCGGGAAGCTGATGGTTCAGCGTTTGCTGACATATTTCGGTTCACTTTCAGGTTGGATTATCCACGCTCAAGGTCACCCTCAGACGAAGATTTACGGCCCCTCGATGTCTCTGCGTGTGTAGCCACCCCAGATGGAGCATACACATTGTGACAGTAGAGCATGCTGCTGTTTGGCGGCTGACTTCGCTCGACAGATAATGCGGGTGATTTGGATCCAAAGCTGAAGAGCACATCTTATGGAAGAAGACGACGTTATCTTAGGACAGTTTGTGGTGGATGACCGAGTACGCAGGTTGTTGCTGCCTGGCTCCATGCAGGTTCAGGCTTCCGAACCTCCATACTGCGGCGCGGCTGGTCGAAGACACGTTTTGCAAGCATTGCATGAAGTTTGATGCAGAGCTATAAGGGTCCCCGTTGCACGGTATATTTCATTCAACCGTCCTCACATTATTACGGCGATGGGGTCGAACAGTCTTCCTTCGAGTCCTTTGACTCACAGAAATCTGGAAAGACTCGAGCTGAAATCGCCGCTTTTCAGGTCTATGCCTCTTCTACAGTCTAACTCTTTCAAAGCCCCACTCATCCCCAGGAACCCTTCCTCAGATCTAATGCGTACACGTCTTGACAGTCTTGAAGAGGAGCAGAGCAGTTTAGCGAACTCCATACATTCGAATGTTCCATTTCTTTCACGGCCATTTTCTCGCCTCGGCATGGTGTTTCCTGCAACGGGTCCTCTTCGAAGTATTTCCAGCTCGGCTTCCTCGCCGGAGCTCCTTGTCCCTGGTCCCTCTCGAAGTCCTCTGATGGAGCAGGAGATGTATTCACATCATAATCATCACGATACTACACCGCTCTCCTTCTCACCACGCTCTACTCGTGTGGCACCGCTCTCATCAACTAGTCTGCATACGTTATCATCTGCCTTGCCATCTCCAGCGCGAGCGCAGAGTCCACCATCGGCAGTCGCGCTGTCGGTCTCCCAAACATGTCCTCCCCTTGAGTTTCCTACGCAGGTGTTGCGCTCGCAATCACAACAATCTTCCAAAGATGCCAAGGAACAATTTCCTGTCCTTTCATCTCATTTACCCTCTCGGCATCATACGTTCTATATGAAGAACGACATGGTTGTTCTGCAGGTGATTGCGGTTATTTTGATTTTTAAGGCTTCGCTAACTCGCCATCTCCAGGTTGAGAACACTCTGTATTGCTTACCATCCTATACTCTATGCAGGGAATCTCTGCACTTTCGTCTTCTCCTGTCTAATAGAGGTGAACATGGTTCGACTGATGAAGTACCGATTTTACTTCCCAATGTCATGAAAGAAAGCTTTGATACGTTGCTCCATTTCCTATATCACAGGTTGGTAACTGGAATATATCATACTATTTCATCTGACACCACGACCTTAGTGTGTACGAACCTGAGTCGGTAACTTTGGGTGAATGGGCCACCATCCTGGCCGTGTCTACTCAGCTTCAATTTGACCGCATTCGCAAGACGTCGATCAGAGAGATTTCGTCTCGCTTATCAAGCGTCAGCGCCGTAACAGCCATTGTTCTTGCAAATCGCTACGGTGTCCAGTCTTGGCTAGCCCCGGCATACTCTGAGCTCTGTAGAAGGAGTGATCCCTTAGCTGATGACGAAGCTGAGGAACTAGGTGCGACGCTGACTGCACGTGTCGGGCGTGCAAGAGAAGCAGTTCACCGAGCCCTTTATCAGAAGACGTATGCTACTCAATGGCCAACCGACGGTCATAATATTGATGACAGTATCCTAGCGCGAGTGATTCGGCAGGTGTTTGGATGCGACTAGTGGCCAGCGTAACGAGAGATCCTGGTTCTTCTCTAGCAGAGATGGCAGGCCGCCTCTTGCACACCAGTTATACTGATTGTAATCGCTAGCTTGAGCCTCTTCAGCCAATGCAAATGTTATAGTCTAATTGACAAAATAGTTGACGGTTAATATTGATGGTCAAAGTCGGTCTCAAGTCGGTCTAACGGATGCTTTTGTGTATGGGCGCTTCAAGTGAACCACTCGATCACCGGTCGCCATCAATATTTGAGCGAGAAATTCAACCACTGCCAGGGACCGACTGTTACGATCACATTCATTCCGGATCTACGGACACACCTTTTCCTCTCGTTATTCATTTGTAACCACTTATTAAAACCTACCCAAACACACTCATTGATCCATGCTCGAACCTGACCGATACCATGAGTATATACAAACACATTGATACCGCAGGTATTTAGATAATAGTTGTATATATACACCAGATGAACTTCGGATTAACTCCAAGTTTCGAATGGTTTTCTACTGCTCATTTCTAGTTTGATTTGAGTTCTATCATAATTCGAAACTTGCCCCTTCGTACTCTCTCGACAGGCATTGCCTCATCCTCCACCCACACTTCACCTCACTCAAAGTCCGTTGTACTCGACGGCAACCACCTCATTCCTCATCCCACTCTGCTTCACTCTTACTCGCTCAAGACCTCATTCGGAGGGATCTGAATTCCACACTCCTAGTTACTTTTCATATCGCACTCCATTCCTCCACCTGGGTAATCACGTGACTACACCTGTAGATTGCGACCCTTGTATTCCCTTAGTATATAAATTATTACTCTCACCTGGTAGTCCGCTCTTGAAGCAACCAGGAAGTAGGCAGTGCTGCAACCTTCTTGACAGAGGGGCCATTGAAAAATCCTACCAGAATTTACCCTGCTCAGACCTAAACGACTGAGTGTACGGCAGGAGATTTTGAACCTCGCTGGTATTCTTTGATTCTCTCGCACGTCGAAAGACAACTACCGCAGAGATCAACTTCTCTTTTTGCGCCTTCTAAGGCCAAACCATTTTACGTAGCTACTACATCTACCTACCTCGTGTGTCCGGATTGGCAATTGGCCGGAACACTTTGAAGGAGTACCTTTACCTCGGATCTATACTCATCTAAGTACCAGAACAGGGTCGTGCGCCTGGTACAAGACACTATTGTTCACACACCACGTCTTCATTTGAATTCTCTGCATCACTCTATCAATACTACACATGTCGATCTCCACCTCCACTCATACCATCGCCACACTCATTCCCTACAAATCCCACACCACCTTCACCGATATCACCAATGGGTTCTACTGGATCTGGAACAGGCAGTCTTGGAGTAAATCCACCACCACCACCACCTCTGGGAGGAAACCCAAACCCACCCAGAAATCCACCTCCGCCTCTGCCAAACAACCCACCAGCAGCTGCACCACAGCCAAACACAAAGGCATCTGAAGGGAAACCCTCAGACTTCGATGAAACCAAAGACAAATATCCGTCTTTCAAAAGACAACTGTACTTATGGTTCTGAACACCCAAGAACATCGGTCTCACTGATGAACAGAAGGTCGATATGACTCTTTCATACATGAAGGATCCAAAGGTTGATGACTGGGTCAACAACTATTTTGAGAATAAATTTGACATTAGCACAGACAGCTGGAATGTCACTTTTCTTCTGTTGATCAAAGCCCTTGATGAACAATTCCTCGATTCAAATTGAGTCGAACAAGCAGTTATCCAAATGGATAACTTGACCCAAGGCAATGAAATGGCGCAGGAATATTTCCAGAAATTGGAAATGTACATCACGCAGGCGGGCAGAAAAAAGGAAGATAAACACACTATCGACCTCATTCGACTCAACTGCAATGAGTCCATCGTAGACAGGGCTCTTGACAGAGATACGCAACCAGCCACTTATGCACAGTGGAAGGAAGCGATCATTGATATTGATTCCTCGCGAAGGCAGCGGGAAGAAGAGAAGCATCTGAAGAAGATCGGATATTGACCATACCGATCAAACCAGAACTATGGGCAAAAGTACCCTGCCTATCAGCAGCAGACCCAAGGATCAGGTCAGAACCAGAATCAGAGTCCAAAGAAGGACTACGGAGAAAAGAAGGATGGAACCGGAACAACATTCACAGGACGTGGACAACCCATGGACTTGGATAGGAATTGCCTTAAGTGTAAGGCTAAGCAATCAGAGAAGGGCACTTGCGGAAGTGCATGGCATGTTCCCAATCGATCAGGACCTTCCACGAACACTCAACGTGTTCGAAAGAATGAAACCAAGACAGAGTCCAAGATCGAGGAGATCTCTGACTCAGATGATGATGATGATGACAAGATGATCGCCATGGTTCGGCGATGGATGGAGAAGAACCCGGAGAAGGCGAAGAAGCTGAATTTTGGCTCGGGCAAGGCTTAAATGCACAAAGTAACTTGCCAGATAAGAACAATGACTCGGATAAACCCCTGGAGGGTTCTATGAAAACATCTTCGATACATGCCTGTAGCACATCGATCGGACAGTTCCCTTTTGTAAATATTTCATCTAACGCAGAGGCATCTTCTACCAAGAAGTGCGGCAGGGTGGAACCTGTGCTTGATTCCTCTAAACAAAATACAAAAAAATTTGAAAATAAACCGAGTGCATCGGATGAAAGCATCACAGACATTGGACCACCATTACTCCGAGTCGTCAAAGGACTTGGAAGAGGGAAACAAATGGACCTACCAGTCACCGTGGTTATACCAGAAACAGAGAGAATCCATGACACAGTAGCGTTAGTTGACACCGGCAGTACCGGATCATGCATAAATTATAATTTCGTCAAAAGGCATGAAATTGAAACCTCTAAATTTGATCAACCGATCCAAGTCTATAACACCGATAACAGCGAGAATTCTCAGGGGCTGATCACAGAATATGTCCAACTCACACTTCAAATCGGCGATCACCAAGAGAACATCATACTTCTAGTTACCGATCTGGGGAAGTCAGACATATTCCTCAGATATGAATAGATCGAATACCATAATCCATCAATAGACTTCAAATTGCAACTTGTTGACTTTAACTGATGCCCACACACATGCATCACTATAAGACAACAAGAGATCGAAGAAGGAGATACCGTATATTTACTCAATACCAATGCTTGATATAAAGAAAGAGGAGAATATATTCAGCGAATGCGCGTAACAGCCATGGACATAGCAATTGAACAAAGTAAACAAAAAAAGAAAAAGACCTTCGAAGAAATGGTTCCCGAACAATATCGTGAATTCACAGATGTATTCACTGAAGATACTTTCGACGTCCTTCCAGAAAGGAAACCATGGGACCATGCAATAGAACTGTTACCAGATTCATCACCGTATGCAGGCAAAGTGTATTCCATGACTGTTGAAGAACAAAAAATCCTAGACAGTTTTCTTGAAGAAAACCTAAAGACAGGAAGAATCCGACCATCAAAGTCTCCCTGGGGAGCACCCTTCTTCTTTGTCAAAAAGAAAGATGGCAAATTGCAACCAGTACAGGATTACCGAAAACTCAACAATATGACCAAGAAAAACAAATATCCTTTACCATTAATCTTGGAGCTTATTGATAAGCTCAAAGGTGCTAAATATTTCACGAAACTGGATATTCGCTGGGGATACAATAATATTCGCATGAAAGAAGGAGATGAAGAGAAAGCCGCATTTATTACAAATAGAGGACTATATGAACCAACTGTCATATTCTTCGGATTGACAAATAGTCCTGCTACGTTCCAGATGATGATAAATGACATTTTCCGTAATCTCATTCTCAAAGGAAAAGTAATCATATATCTTGACGATATACTCATATTTTCTGAATCCCTGGAGGAACATCACCATATTGTGAAAGAAGTCCTTAAAATATTACGAGAAAATAAGTTAACCTGCAAACCAGAAAAATGCGAGTTTGAAACTCAAGAAACAGAATATCTCAGACATATTATTTCGCAAGGAACTGTAAAGATGGATCCTGCCAAAGTCGATGGAGTTACGCAATGGCCAGTACCAAAAGCCAAAAAGGAATTACAGTCATTCCTTGGATTCGCTAATTTCTATCGACGATTCATCAAAGACTTTTCCAAAACTGCCACTCCTTTAAATAAATTAACTGGACAAGTAGAATGGATCTGGAGTCCAGAACAGCAGGAAGCTTTTGAACTTCTAAAGAAAACCATTATCACTGCACCAGTATTGGGTATTCCGAATAATGAAGATCAGTTCAAAGTCGAATGCGACGCATCAAAATATGCTATTGGGGCTGAACTTGCACAGAAGCAAGATGGACAATGGCGCACCATTGCCTTCTTATCAAAAAGCCTTTCACCGGCTGAAAGAAACTATGAGATTTATGATCGAGAGATGCTAGCCATCATGATCTCATTAGAAGAATGGCGTCACTTCTTGATGGGAGCTGCACAGAAATTTGAAATTCATTCTGATCACAAGAACCTTAGCTATTTCAAAAAACCCCAGAAGTTGAATCATCGCCAGGCGCGATGGATCCAAGAATTACAACAATATGACTTCAATCTGACTCACAAACCCGGAAACACAATGACAAAGGGAGACCCTTTATCGCGACAGACCCATCACGATATTGGCGATAGTCATAATGAAAATATTACGTTGTTGGCGATAGTCATAATGAAAATATTACGTTGTTGAAACCAGAATGGTTCTGAGCCAACGAAATCCTCAGATCATCAGCTTTACGGAAGAAAATCATAAAAAATACTGATAAATATGAAAACAATGTACGACTAAAACTATTGACAAAAGATGCCGACTTCAATGAGACCGAGAATGGTCTTATCTGGAGAAGGGGGAAAATTGTTATCCCTTTTGACAAGAAACTCAGAGGAGAAATTATTCATTCGCATCATGACTCGATTAGTGCTGGTCACCCTGGACAAGCAAAAACACAAGAACTAATCTATTGATCATACTGGTGGCCTTCGATCAAAAAAGATGTAAAAACATATGTAAAAGGTTGCTCGACTTGTCAAAAAACCAAGATTAACCATCAACCGAAGAATGCTCCATTGCACCCAAATGCAATTCTGGAACACAATTGGGAATATCAATCAGTAGATATGATTACACACTTACCAGAGTCGCAAGGGCATGATGCAATCATAGTAGTTGTGGACATGAAATCAAAAGACTACATTGAAATACCAACCACAGAGCAATTGATGTCAGAAGGATGGGCTAATCTTTACATAAAAATTGTATATCCGCTGCACGGATTACCAAAAAAGATGACATCAGATTGCGGACCACAATTCGTATCCAGCTTCATAAAAGATTTATATAAGAAACTAGGAATTCAGGAAAATCCTAGTACCGCATATCATCCACAGACAGACGGACAAACAGAACGAATCAATCAGGAAATTGAAAATTATTTATGAATCTTCATCAATCACCGACAAACTGATTGGCCAGAATAGTTGCCATTGGCAATATTTGCATATCGAAATAGAGTCCACTCTGCGACTGGATTTTCACCATTCTACATGAACCATGGACGAGAAGCCTACACTGGCATAGAAACCAAAAAAGAAATTCGTAATGAAACTGCTGAGCAGTTTGTAGCACGAATGAAGAAAATCCAAGAAGAAGCATCAGCATCGTTGACACTAGCACAGGATGTTATGAAAAGACAATATGATAAACATAAGGGAGAAGCCGTAAATTATAAAGATAGAGATCTAGTGTGGCTCGAAGCCACACATATACGAACGAACAGATCAAATTGAAAATTAGATGATAAAAGATATGGACCATTCCCAATTATCAAGAAAATTGGAGCTAGCGCATACAAGCTCAAATTACCAAAATCATGGAAAGGCGTACATCCCATATTCAATGAAACTTTATTATTGCCATATCACACACCAGAATTCCCTAATCAGAAAACACACAAAAACATTCCAATAATTATTGATATCTTAGAAGACAAAGTTGAATCTATATTAGACTCCAAGATGGCACGTGGAGGCCTTCAATATCTAATCAAGTGGGCTGGAAAACCATGTTCTGAAAATACATGGGAACCACGTCATAAAATCATTAAAAATATAGACAAAAAGATAATTGACAAATTCCATAAAGATCATCCCGATGCGCCAAAAGCACCCATGAGAATATTGCTAAAGGCACAAATTATGGAACAGTCATTTCCTAGAGAAGCGACACAAGAAGAATGGGATTATTGGGATCAGAAAGTACAGCGATGGGCAGAACGTCGTAAAAAAGAAAAAGCAATGATATCTGTGGATCCAGATTCAATTAAATTATTCAAAAATCGAAGAAAAGCACAAATCATATCTAATCAGCATTACCCGAATGCCGGCGAGTTATGGATCATCAATGAGCAGACGCTCAAACTGACACACGTGGCAATCACATCCGTGCCTACGAAAGTCAAACTCAAATGGCAATACCCCATTCTTTCCTTCTACCAACTCATCGAACCAATATCAATCCCAAGTATGGATTCCCCTATTCTAGAACAATCATTCACTCAACCAATGAAAGCTCTTTGGTAGAAATGGACAAAGACGGAATCATCATCCTTAGCGTCTTTGGCGGCATAATCCTATACACTGTTGGAGTAATACTCTGGGTTGTATGGTATAGAGAACGGGAGCGAGAAAACTCGGAAGAATGGATCATCATGGTATGATTGAACAATTTCATACTCTATCATAATTAATCGTGAGGACACAATTCTAGAGGAGGGGGTAATGTTACGATCACATTCATTCCGGATCTACGGACACACCTTTTCCTCTCATTATTCATTTGTAACCACTTATTAAAACCTACCCAAACACACTCATTGATCCATGCTCGAACCTGACCGATACCATGAGTATATACAAACACATTGATACCGCATGTATTTAGATAATAGTTGTATATATACACCAGATGAACTTCGGATTAACTCCAAGTTTTGAATGGTTTTCTACTGCTCATTTCTAGTTTGATTTGAGTTCTATCACCGACACTCACTGGCTTAACTGTAACGGATTAAGAATCTCAACCGTTCCTGCTTTCTTTGCCAATTTTTTAGGTTAGTGATGAACAGCTCCTAGCGACCTCTGGATGTCTAAGCTTTCGGCAACTTGTCGTGCTTGACTCATTTGGTTTGCATGCGATATACACGATGCAAGGACGTCGCATGCTCAACGTTCAACGTGGAATTGGCAGTGAACCAAATACAAGGGCATATCCTTATGGACAAGTCCTCCGATACATCACCTTGTTGCTCTTCAGCTGCAGATGTGCGTTCTGGGGCTTCAAATCGTGACTCACAGTATTACTTTGATGATGGTTTAACGGTGTTTGCGGTATGATTGTTCCTTCTGGACTTGTATCACTTGACCTACCCTATCATAGGTTGAGAACCACCTATTCAGAGTACATCGCTACTTCCTTACGCGGGACTCAGAGTTCTTTCGGGGATTGTTCACTTGTCCCCCTCCTCCAGGAGAAGTTGCAGAGGGGCAATCAGATGAGAAGCCAATTATCCTGGAGGGTGTGAAGGAGAGTGAGTTTAGATGTCTAATGCGTTTCTTCTATGACGGGTAAGACTCCTCAAGTGCCCTGTCGATCTGCAGATTTGTACTGATGTTCTATTGTTGACCGATGATTACAGCATGTACACCCCCGCCGTAGTCTCACTTGACGACTGGATCGCACTGCTGTCAATTTCAACGCGATACGTCTTCGATCGCATTCGAGAAATGGCGATTCAAGAGATCTCCACCAAAGTACTCGATCCCATCAAGAAGATCATCCTTGCGAATAAATACGACATACCACAATGGCTTCCTCCCGCTTTCGTCGATCTTTGCAAACGCCCCGAATCACTCTCGGAGTCTGAAGCGGAAACTCTGGGGTTGAAGACTATAGTACGAGTAGCTCGTGCGCGTGAGTCAGTCAGGGACAAGGGATATGTGACGTGGACCCCTAGGAGCTATTTCCCTCACGACAGAGTCTATTCATTCAACGAGAGGGGGGTCTTGTCAGTGATTAATGAGGTTTGGCCAGAGTATGCCGGTGCTATTGTCCCTGCATGAACGTAGATATGACATGTGGGAAGTGACCTGTATTCATCCGGGAAATACGCCTTCCAGTAAGTCTCAAGTTGTCGTACCTATCATCTACACATTCCGATGGCACCGTCTATATCAGGATTCGCTGTTGCACCTAGGTTGGACAACATGAGAATCTAGAGCACCTGATTGCTTGCGATTGCTTGCGATTGCTTGCGACTGCTACTCATAATCTCCGCACTCGTTATCACACAAGATCTTCCATGCCTGCTTATCTATTGTTAACCATTTTCTATCGTGCACGTTGAACGCTAATGTGTATATAATGTGACCCACCTTGGCTCACGTCAACGACATATTCACTGCGTCCCTGGTTGGTAACTCTCCATAATGCCTCGTCGGTTCTTCGCCGAACTCTGTAGGGCTGGCGCCTCAATTCCATTAACGTTGAGTGCATGAAGTTGCGATTTTCAGGCCCTGTCAACGCACGCATGCGTATATTTATAAGTAAATGAAGTCACTTTCTTGTCTCGTTGTCTATTTATGTGATCATTTGCTTGATTTAGAATGACATTTGTGGTGACTTCAGATTCGAGCTGACAGCTGAAATCGGTTTCCTTTCTACGTTTTGCGATCGGATGTCAAACTGAGTATTTCGCTGACGGGATTCCGCATATACTCAAAACACAGCGTGTCTCCTTTCAAGATGCTCTCGCGTTTTTGGAGCTTCTTCTACGAAATGTGCACCTTATCTATGTGCGTTACGACCCTCACGGCCTTCGCGTGTTGATGGAAGGACCACCCCGGGCGTAAGTGAATGGAGCATGCCATAGGCACACGCCCCTGTGTCACACCTTCCAGCCTTTAGCAAGGACATTGTCCGCCTTCTCGGTATCGACATTCACCGCCATGTCGAGTACCCCGTCAACCCGTCCTCAAACACCACTTACATCTTTCTCAGACTCCGAGGACCTGCAGCACGACCCACACGTCATTTCTGATGAGAATGAAGAAACCCTTACCCACGATCCTAAATACTATCTCGACGATGAGATGACTATATTCCTGGTCAGTAGCTTCCTCAGACATCATATCACAAACTCACCCTCTGTCAGGTCGAACGACGTCTATTCAAAGTTCATCGCCACTTCCTCATCCGAGAATCAGATTTCTTTCGCACTTTATTCCAGCTACCGACAGGAGTAAACACTCGAGTCGAAGGTCGATCAGATGACCTGCCTATCCCTTTGCCTGGAGTAAAGGTAGATGAGTTCATCTCTCTACTGGACTTTTTCTATGAGGGGTGAGTGACATGCCACGTTATTCATCCATATCACAAATTATATCTCTTCATTGGACAGAATGCATGCTCCTCAACTCACAGCAGACTCCGACATCTCTTGCATTCATCACTGGTCCAGGATACTGTCCATCTCCACGCGATTTTCCTTCGACCGGATCCGCGAGATGGCCATCGAGCAGCTCAGTCCTCATTTGGACCCCATCAGCAAGATCTGTCTTGCCCGTACGTACGACATTGAGGAGTGGCTCTTTCCTGCTTACGAGCAGATATGCCAAAGAGATAATGCTCTTGAAGCCTGGGAAGCAGAGTTGATCGGACTCCGGACCGCAAGACTGCTAGCCCAAACTCGTGAAGAGCTTCATAGAAGTAGAGACCCTTGGAGGGAAGTCATAGTCCGTGATTATTCCCCGTCACCAGGCCGACATCCTTCGTCTTCGTCTCCGCCTCCATTCTTCTCTCCATCAAGCGTTAAATGTCTTCTAGGCGAAGTATTCCCCAAGTCCGACCCATATATTGCGGTCTTTGAGACAGAGCAAGGACGAAGCACCTTCGAGCCTATGTCATAAACAAGTTGTTAATTGTGGTCCCAGCTTGGATATGGGTTTGGATTATACCGCAGATCGACTCTTCAGAACTATCTATAATCATGAATACGGTAAGATGATATCGAATGCGCATGACAAAGCATGACCTGGTTTGTAGATGTTCGAGTCTCTCAGGCTTCCACAAGGAAGACTGCCTGCCTTCATGCGAGTAGCACCTGACTCATGTAAATATATGAGCTTCTACAGAAGACTTACATATATAAATACCATCTAGTAGCTCCCTTTCTCCGTATCCCGTCTCGCCATATCGTTGGGCCGAGTTGCTGCTTCCCCCAGTGCCTGTCCGTCTTCACGCATGCCCGAAAACGCGAACTCACAGACGTCTCAGGCCGAGGAGACAAAGGTTGAGGAAACGGATGTTACCAGTACACCTGATGGTAGGCACGTTAGGTACTATTTCGAGGATGAGATGTCTATTTTCTCCGTGAGTGGGTTCCCTATCGTCTGACGTTATCCCATATTTGCAACTGCCACTGAGACAGTCATGTAGGTTGAAGGCATATTGTTCAAGGTCCATCGTCACTTTCTTGCACGAGACTCCGACGTTCTTGGTGATATGTTTAAACTCCCATCGGGAGAGTCGGAGGGCGTGGAGGGGAGAGAAGATGCCTCGCCTATCGTGTTCCTGGAGTGACGATAGCAGAGTTCGAGACATTGCTAGACTACTTCTACGAAACGTAAGTCGTTTAGAGTCGCTGCGTATATTGCATGTGCATTGAGCATTGAGCAACAATACACCGCGGTCAGCCCTTACGATAACCTAAATTTGAACGCAAAGACGAACAAACTGAAGTGGACGCGACTTCTTTCCATCGCTACCCGGCTCTCTTTCGCAAAGCTTCGCACAAGAGCGATTGGAAAATTGTCCGTACTCTTATATAGGGACCCCATCGAACGAATTTGTCTCGCCCAGAGGTTCGACATCGAGGAATGGCTTGATCAGGCACTGGCAACCATGTGCACGAGAGAACAGCCGCTAACACTGGCAGAATCAGAAAGGATCGGTTTCCCACTCGCCATTCGCCTCACTCAGGCCCGCGACCTTTTGAGACAGCGAGTTGTTCAATCTGCGATGGGCAATAGCATCCGCGCTCAGCCTTGGAGTGATGTAGTTAGCAGGTATATTTCTACGCAGCAGGTAGTGCAAGCACTCGCGGACACAGCGTGAACTTCTAGAAAATGTATGTTCATCTTCTATGTTTGACATCATTTTTTTGACTGTACGCACAAGTTCATATCCGAAAGCTGACGACGCTGCTAGACTGTTTCCCATTCGATTACATATACAACATTGAGACGCAAAGACTTTGCGACGTTACTGTACAAATGTTAATGACAATATACAACAATTATTTCTCGGTTTCTATACATTGTCCACAATAAATTAGTCAAGCTTCAAAGCGCCAGTCTGCTCGACAAGAGGTTGAGTAAACCACGCAAAATCAAGAAGCTCACAGAAGACTTACGCTGTTACCACTGACAACGGGTATACTGGTAGGAGGGGAGGTGGAAACAACACTAGATGTTCGTGCGATGGTGTTCAGGTCAATGTCTAGATAATGAAATATCGAATCAGCCTTAACATCTTGATCTGCAAAAAGCCATGCTTACCGTCCCTCGCCATAGCGTGCAGTCTCGTCAGTCTGGCTTTCTCCCTCTCCTCGTCCGTCAGAGATCCAGAGCTCGCCCGGCGTGAACCGACGGAAGACGGCCTTGGAACTTCCTCGCTAGCCTCTCCAGGTTTAACTGCAAGATAGGAGTCAATACGAAGTCGTGTGAAAGTTGAATGGAGTTCGAAATTGTACATACCGCCTTCTCGTTCGAGCTCGACTTCTTCGTCTGCCTCTGCAGCAGATTCGAGTTCAAGCTGGTCGTCGATAGCGCCCCAGTTATGTGGACCAGCACCCTGCTTGGGAATGCGCTTGTTCATCGCGTTCTTGGGCTCTGAGCGGTCCTTTCTGAGAGCCCGTGGGTATGAAGCACGCTCAGTACGAGTCATGGTGCTTAGGATAACCGGAGTAAAGGTTTAAGTTCTGTGACGTTCGTAGTCGACAACAGTGAGATGATGGTAATGAGGGCAAAAGAAACAGTTTAGAGCGGGTTTATATAGACAACGGATGGTGCCGCAGCAGTGAATAGACATAAGACTCGTGTGACTCTTCTGCACTGGACGGCTCGACCGAGTTCCAGCCGTTTCGATCTAGTGTGCATCCAGTTTCAAGCCCTATTGGGTCACATTCTTGACATCGTTGTGATCCTGGGAACCATGGCTGTCTCGTGGATACTTTAAGCGATTTTTCCGACATATCCGTCGAGCTCAACGTTCAGAATGACAATGGCGACCTACGGATACTTAGATACTGAATGTCTCAACAGTGGATCCTGGGAGTATGGAGAGGATCCGGAGGCAGTCTGGGGTAAGTTGCGACTCTCGATTGACGTCACAGAATGAACCAGCACCGGCGTAGCCCGAACGTTCCAGAAAGGGAAATACTTTATTCCGTAAACAATTACTTCATGGAATAATTTTGTGCTAACACTCTAGCCTATTCCATAAGCGGCATTCCAAGTTCGCCACGAACATCAAACTCTCCTCTGAAATCAATCTCCAACTCTCATCAAGCTGTCAACCTAAGGGGAAGGATGCTCACTATAGCTACTCTCACCATTGAATCAAACTAGCCGTCATCATTTCTACTCCCCCACTTATGGCAGAGACAATGGATGATCTAATGGTAACCGTGCAGGATATTTTGCGCGATTCGGAAGAAGTCAAGGTTGCCATCAGTGCAAGAATTGTAGAAGTGGAAGCATCGACGAATTCTTCCAACCCATTCCCCGATATCTCCATATGGGAAGATCCAGGAAAGGCTCGCATTGTGAGCGTCGTTACAAACCTAGACTATACAAGTGGAGAAGAACAAGGATGGTACGTTCGCGCTATTTTTGTTCATGGGTTTGTGGCATTTGAAGCACTTTGGCTAGTATAAGCTTCATACGTTTGCCATTTTTTCTCCTGGATTGACTCATCACCTTCTCAAGGAACGCAAATCTGCAGACGGTTTGCGTCGCTTGGGTGTTGATTGCTTCTTATAGATGGCTATTCACGGAGAGGCTCTGTAAACATCTACTACTCCCGAGCTATACAACCGCTGCAATTTACCTGACGGTGGTTATATTGCTCAGTCAGTTTCATCTCTTGATGATGCGATCCCCTGACTGTGGAGGGCCATTGCTTCAATGTCAGATGTGATGATCCAAGGTCCTCTTTGACTCATTTCGTCGACTGGATACTAGGGCCAACATTTCTGCAGTCCATAAGGCCCCCAAGTCTCTACCAGTCTTCTCATGGATGTAGTGTGGCATGCACGCGCATATATTGAGTCCATCCAGAATTGTTCTTTTTTGTAGTCTTGCAAGTTTTCTTGCGTTTTCCCTCGTTTTGTTGACAACATACTCATAGACCGATTCCTAGTATATTTATATTGAAGCCCAAACCTAGACCAACATTACCATCGGATACATACATAGTAGAACATGTAATCCCAATCGTTGGACGGTTCTCCATCAGCATGGCGCAACCCAGACGGGCCACTATTGACCTGTCGAAGGCTACTACAATATCCGCCCTGGGCCAAGCTAAAACAGGTATTTTCCTCTCACATTTTGTCCACTTTGATATGTTGCTGATGACGGCCTTGCAGAGCTGACAGTGACTATACGCCCTGGACATGATCCCACCCTAGAGCCGATATCGTTTCTCACGCGGAATACCCATGGCCTTCGTGCAGTTTTGGCTGAATGCAAACGGTTGAAAGAACTTTCAGGTACTCTTTTCTTTGCTACTGCGTACTTCTGAGTTGTACCCATTGACTCTTTAAGATGCCAATTCCGAACCTGGAGTCATACCCCCTTTCATTTGGATCATACCATACATATCGAACAGACTACCTGAAATTTGTGCGTGCCCCTTGATACGTGACTCTTGATCCAGGATGTTGGATTGACCTCATCAACGGTTTTCTGTTGTCCTCTTAGTGTCACCGATACCACCTGACTTGAGACATGCACATCGACCTCTGCATACCCTTCTTTCACCCGCGACTGCAGGTCAGCCTGGCGATGAGGCCCTTGATATCTCTCTCATATGTGAGGAGTGGATCAAGATGAGGGCTTACGACTTAATTGCTAGTAGTCCACGGTCGCCGCTCAGGTGAGCTCTGGCTATGCATCAAAGCTGAAGTGAAGTATTAAACGTCTTTATATGTAGAATACGAGTTGGTACTTTTAACGTGAACGGGAAGCTGCCATCACAAGATTTGTCGCCATGGGTCGGAGGAAGGTCGAGGCCATCCCATGTCATACCTCCACTGAAAGACCTTTCTCCGCTGTCTATGAGTGAAGCGACATCAGCATCCGGTGACTATTTTGAAGGTTAGTATCTCTGTGGTTGGCGTTACTTCTTATCTGATTATACCATCGTAAACATCTGGCAGGTAAGGTGGAGCAGACGGATAGCATGTCAGTGGCAACGCGCACCACTACCAGCGGTGCCAGCGACGTTAACACCTCAACTGCCTTCTTCACCCAGTCAAGTGCTTCGCCTTCGCGAATCATGTTTTCAAGCTCGGCAACCATCTCGGGAGATCCGGAAGTTCCAGATTTGCTCGTTCTTGCCTTTCAGGAACTAGACCTATCGACGGAAGCGCTTTTGTACTCCACTAAGACGACCAGAGAAGAAGCCTGGTGTACTGCGGCCCTTGCTGGACTTGGGGAGAAGGCGGTCGGATACCAGAAGGTTAGATACTCCGTCTTATTCGGGAACTCCTGGCCGCTTTTGCTCACACATGCCATAGCTCATATCGAAGCAATTGGTCGGGATGCTGATTATCATCATTGTACGGAAGGAAATTGCAAACTGTTTCGGGGAGATGAAAACCACGTCAGTCGGTGCAGGTATTCTAGGGCTCATGGTATGCAGCTGCGGTTCTTTTCTTAAACCTCATACACTTACATCTTGCCGTACCTCGCTATTTTCCCTGCCGCGCAGGGCAACAAAGGCGCCACGGCCATTCGTTTGGTTTTCAACCCACCACTGCCTGAACCAACGTCATCATCGACATCAGCACAACCCTTTTTACCAGCGCCCCACACCCTCCGTCCCGTCGTTCTCACATTTGTCAATTCGCACCTGGCCGCGTTCGATGAAATGTACGATAGGCGCAATGCCGGTTTTCATGATCTGTCTAAACGGCTGTCCTTTGACTCCGGAATCCCCGTGCAAGATGCTACAATACAACCGGATGGCTACCCACCAATCACCATCCCGTTAACGGCGTATCAGTGCGATGCCCTATTCTGGATGGTAGGTTTCCTGCCGGTCTTCTTTGTTACTTATTTTTTTTGTTAGTATAATCGCTTTCCTTTTCGCTGATTGTTCCTTTAGGGAGGTACGCATTAGGGGTTCAATAGTATTGGAACGGTTGTCACATTGATTATTCTACTACAGACTTAAATTACCGCATCAATCTACCGGATGCCGATGTGCGCACGTTGCTCGCAGAGGAGCCCAAACTCGAAAGTCTCTCGTTGCTGCAACAATATGATCAATTGAAGCTCGCAATGCGAACCAACAAAGCTTTCAATGACTTTTCGGAGCATACAATTACCCATTCTCCGTTCGTATTCGGTCTTGCTCGCCTTACAGCCACTTTGACCCACCTGAATGTGATCAAGGTCATACCGGTTTAGTTCAGGCGTGCTGGCAGACGACTTAGGATATGATACAAAGTTAGCTATCAGTCATACCATTTTCCTCGGACTTTATCTAATACCGCCTCAGGCGCAAGCCGGCTTGGACAGATCGTGTCCTGCATATGTGTTCTGCCGTTGTGGAAGCAAATCAAATCTCCTACTCCAGCCATCCGGAAATTACAATGAGTGATCACAAGCCAGTCTCGTCTGATATTCTTCTTCATGTACGTACACTTCGTGCTCGTTCCTGCTGCTTTACCTGAGCGCTCCGGGGATGTCTTCTCCTCGCATTGTCAGGTACCTGTGGTCAAATCAGAGAAACTGGAGTCATATGTCCGATCGTTATGGCGGGATGTGATGGACTTTGAGAACTCGGAGGAGATACCACGAATCAAACTGACCTCCTCGGCCCTGGACTTCGGGAAAATTTTGTTAGGCGATGTTTTACTTTTCTTCCCTAGTGTGCTGCTCTAACGAAATCTCCGCGTTTCAGCTACAAACGCTCTGCTGTTCAGAGTCTCGAATTAGAAAATGTGGGCAAGGTAACGTCTCTGGGCCGCCATGTTCCGGTTTGCCACAAGCGTTGACTAGGCGGCTAGGTATCTTGCGCCTTTCGTTTTGTGCCGATCACGAACGAAGCTCCCATTCGTAAGTAAATCATCGGCCTAGTGCAGGACTATTCAGCCTGAACATATTGGTGTAGATCCTGACTGGTTGAACATTAAGCCAATGAGTGTATGCTTCGTCTTCGATATCGACGGGTTGCAAGTTAATGTAGGACTTTAGGGTCTCATGCGGCCTGGAGAAAAACTTTTCATAACGCTCACCGCAAACGTCGAGAATATCGTTGCGCGTCGACTTAACGCTGGATCGGGGCGTTTGGACGACACGCTCATCCTACATACCTCGCTGGGCAAAGATCACTTCATTTCTATCAGTGGACAATACCGTATGTGTCGTGCGCTCCATATATCACCTCGCCCTATTATTGGTCATAACTTTAACGTTGGGCTCCCAGAACGAACTTGTTTTGCCACAAGTCTTGAGCGTCTGGTTAGACTTAGTGGACCTGCCCGAAGCGCAGAGGGTGACTCTGCGCTACTTCCGGAAGAAGATGCCATGAATGCACCTCAAGAGGTGATGAAATTGGTCAACTGGCTGATGAGCAATGCTACCGAAATCGTTCGTTCGTTTCTCTCTCGGAACGAACTGACTTCAATGACGTACTTCAATATTCTTAGAAGAACCTTTTCTTATCGCCGGGAGATCCAGCACTGGTTGCGGATATTCGTGAGGTAAAGCCTATGATTCGCAACCATGACTGAATATATAATCAATAATTTTCATCGTAGTGTCTGGATACTGGTGTTGAATTGACTCAGCCATCCACGTGCGATATGGAACGGGTTGCATTGGCTGTGGCGACATGTCTGCTTGAGTTGTTGGAATCTTTACCTCAACCTGTTATTCCTGTCACATTACAATCAAGATGCGCCCGCGTGTCAAGCAGGGACGAGGCATTTGGGGTTAGTTATAAACGCCTCTTGAACTATATTCTTTTTCTCTGACAAAGAGACGCACAGATACTCGACGAATTACCAAGTGCCTCGGTGAACGTACGTAGCTTACCGGTCACGAGTTAGGTAGTGGATGCTTACACTTCAACTAGGTCTGGATCTCCGTTACTGCATTCTTACATTTTATTAGCCAACAGAATCCGACCAATACTCAACCTCTTGACGTGAGAAGATTGGGTGTGTACCTTAATACATTTTTGCATCTGACCTCTAATCTCGCCAATCGGTTTCTCAGCTGACACTTTTGTATCGATACTCCTGCGAGATGATCTCGACGTAGTCGCACCAATATCTCCGATCTGCAAACGGAATTTCGTACTGTTTTTCATAGCACCAGGTTGAAATGTTGTTCAAGTGTGCAGTATGCTTGCCGAGGTAGGACTATTGTAACATAATAGATACGAGGTTATCATAAATAAATGCTACGTCATTGAAGAAAGTACAATAGCTAACTTACGGGATCATGATAATAATATGGGAAGATAGAAATAGAAATTAACGTCTTCCTCTGAAGAATGATAAGTTGGACGCTCTACTTGGGCCTGTTCGCTGCCACCCAGTCAAGCTAAGACTTGGAGTATGAATTATGCAGGCCGTGTCCCACCTAGTTTCGCGAGAAGAGAGCTGTCCGTCCACCAACGACTGTAACTATTATAGAATAGTACTATACGTATCGTCCGTGTTCACAGTTCGATGGAGAACGAGTTGACAGTATAGGCGCAATGTAAAAACATTATTTTTGCCTGTGGCGTACGGATCAATCGTCATACCAACGTAGCACAATGAAACCAACATACACTGGCACGTAGGCGCAAGGGACACCTCGTTTATTGCAATTATTACAAGAAGGTCTTAATCCATCGCACTTCAGCTTGCGACCTACATCAAGTAGCACATAAGTAGAATGATTTAGGTGCGAGGGTGGTGTTCATTACCTCTGCAGAACTGGCAGGCAAGAGGTGTTCTGCGGGGCGTACGAGGAATCTCGTCCTCGGAGTCGCTGTTGCGATCGACATTACTTGAAGACTGCCAAAGTGTGAGCAAAATAACTTGGCATCCAGAATGAAGCCAAAATTCACATTAGCAGTACTCATTCTGTCTGTAGACCAGTAACGAGGAATGTGTGGGGTCTGGAGGGTGGAATAGAAAATCAAGTGTAGGGTAAAACTTGGTCGTGTATCCCCTTCATTTTATATAGCCATGTCAGTGCGCTTAATAGCACATATGCAATGACCATCCGGGTGGTCCTGGAGGTCAAAAAAACAATTATACAGAGATAATGACAGATGGTAAGTGCGCTACTCACATGCGCTCAACCGTATATTCGGATCTCCGTGGCAGCCCCAGGTTTCCGTAGTACACTCAATAGGATAGCGCCTTCGGCTTGGGAGAAAATGAGACCTGAATGCCGTCACAGGTGGGGCTATGATGAATCCTATCGGTAAGGAACCCGACGGAACATGATCGACTACAATGAAATGCCTATTGATGCTTAAGCCATTTCGCTCGGGTTTCTGGCCATAAGTGACCGTTACTTCCTTGGTGAAGTACACATTTGTCAGCGGGGTTCCCATGAAAAGCTAAAAGCAGGAAATGACTCGAGGAGCTGCAGAAATCGCGGCAATTGAACTTGGCCGTTACCAGGGTTCAGAGTGCGGAACACGGCGTTCAAATGCAATATCCACCTTCAGGTCAATGAATGCACCGGAAAGCATGAAACTGAAGCAATCGGGATAACATCTGTGACGGAGGTTGAAGTAAAGGCGATCCAAAGAAAGACCCGCACGAACTCCGAATCGGCTGATTGCCTCTCTGATCTTGACACGATCCCGATAGTCACGATCCAGAGTTGGAGTGTATCTGCATGTTGGTATGTTTGAACCATGTTTGAACCTAGAACCGCCCCAACCTGCATACCCGATGATAACCTTCGCGGGAGGGTGAATGAAGTAGTTGGTTGCTACGCTGTTGGACATGCAGATGCAGAATAATCATTGTCTGCATGCTGTACATATGGCCTACGCCGACTTAGAAAATGCAATTGACGCCAGAACACCGATGAGGCACTACAATCCCAAGAACGTATGGATCACGTTTGATCTATATGACAACAGAACTGATAACGTGTTCAAGATCTTGGGTTGTAGAGATACGTAGGCTGGCGGTGCATGTATATTGTCACAGAAACACTGCGATGCCAAAGGAGTCGTGTGCCGTAGGTGTCAGACTGAAACAGCTGCGCACCTAGCAAAAGCGGGCTATGCAGGACGGGGAATTGAGAGTTAGGAAGGTGGGAGAATCGAACTGGCATCGTCATAGCTGGGCGGGGACGGACAGTATACCCTGGGGCGAGGTCCCGGTGCATAAGCAGTTACCATGTCCACTACTTGTGATGCAAGAGGACGTGCGTCCTCAGAATCAGGTATGAAAGCCACAGCCTTGAGTGGATATACGTCTATCGTGTACTACATTGCAAGATAATAGTTACATTGGGACGCTTCGCAACTGAGACGAGCGTGTGACAACTCACGGAAAGCCTGAATCTCCCTATACAGCAACTCGGTTTCAATTCGCGCGGCAGATGGATTTCGCCATCCAGAGCACGATAGGTGGTGCCATGGCGGGTGGGCCACCACACCGCTGACTTGATCTCCTCCGTCGTCTCTTCGAACTCGATTCCATAAGCCGGAGCTCTCGCTGAAATACTGCTGACGTCCGCCAAGCCCATAGAGATATGACGCCGTAGCCGAATGTCCATTGCTTCTGGCGATGCAAGTAGGTCAAGTGCCTGTACATCCGAACATTCTATATGCACTGTGCAAGGAAGAACCGATCCGCGAGTGTAAGCGAGCTGCGACATCAGGCATGAGTCATTGGCGTCAGAAGAGTTTTAGGGGAAAGAGTCACTAACAGGCTTTGCTAACCACAACTATCGAGAATGCCGTATAGGGTTATTCGACATTTGAGACATCACCAAAGGCAGAACTTACTGTATATCGCGTTTCAACTGCCCGAGCTTTGAATATTTGACCGCGCAGCCGGAATGTGGGTAGACGTTCCCATCCGATGGGGTCTAAGTCCGGTCCTGGCAAGGTACTGTTATTGACATATGCAAGCTTTCTGACATCGGAGAAAGGCGTGGGTTTGATGATCGGTATAAATGCGAAAACTGTTCCAATCCTATTATCTACCCTTTCTGCGGCTGGTCGACAGAGAAGCATCCGAAGGTACGCACTTGCTATCAATTCGAAACTTTCCACGACGCAAGTGACATATAAGTTGATACTGTATGTGCACCCGAGTCAGTCGTTCGGAGAAAGATGGTGGTATGCGCCACGTTTCTTGAGTACCGCTTTGGTTTGCAAGAGTGACGTGAGCAGGTATTGTGAAAGAGAATGGCCACGAATAGTCGCCTCGGAGTTTCCCAGAAAACTTCGAAGAGCTACTCTGTGCCGTTGGCGAGGGATCGCCCATTGCCTTTGTCCATAAGTCTTGCGAGATGAGGAGAAAAGAGTATACATCGGTGGCTGACGTCGTCATTTGCCCGATAATCTAACAAGTAAGCGTGATGTGAAAATACTGAACCAAGATCGGGGAGCGGGACTTACAGATACAGATATTGATTTGATTGACTCTTCTCGGTCTAACATTAGACTTAGACTGCCAGTAACATCTTCGCCCTCGAAGAAACTTGGAAGATGACTTGGAGATAGTGCCCGACTGATAACGGCGAGCTTAACCCATGGAACATTTTTGCTGGATGTCAGAGTGTAACTGTGCTCCGTTCGTCGACTTCTGACGCTCCCAGAGTGACTCGTCTGTCTGCGATTAGATGATTGACCCAGGAATTGGCCATAAGCGGGCGGGAGAGGAATAGTTCGTCGGGATGACTCCATAGAATGTTTCTAGATTGGTTGGCCATTTAACGTCTTCCTCGAAGACGATGCGGAAGACGATGCGGTACATTGGGACCAGTAACCCGGCACAGAAATATAGAGGATATCTTTATATCCGACGTGTACATTATGGTACCCCACGCGTGAATGAATTCATGCCATTCGACACGTTCTGCTCAACCATGCGGTTCAGAGAACTGAAGCACATGGACCTGTGCGTCTGTGCTGTTCGAGTCATCCGAAAGCAACATTGAGAGACCTGCGCAGTCAAAAAAAGACGTCCCTTGATGCAAATAATGGAAGCAATATCAGCTACTACAATTACTGTAGGTATCAGTGTGTTGAGGCTGCGCTCGTGGTGGTATAGAATCAAGCATGTGGCGATAATAAGCGTAAGTCGAAAACAGCATCGTAAGTATTGGATGTCCGCTTAGTACTATTCAGACCCCGACAGACTACTGTAATCTTTCTAAAGAAACTGCCCCGAAATTCGAACGTAAATTCCCTCGTCATGGCAATCACTTCCATATTTGCACAAGTAGGTTCGAAGAACTTGACATCCTTCACTTGCAATATCAGTAAATCTTTGTCGCATTTTACCATGCGAGGTACCTTTACGACTACAAAACTGCCGCTCATAGCATCAGGTGAGGGCCTCGACGGGCATGACTGAATAACCACGGTACTTTTTATTACGTCCGACCTTGGCTACCTCGCTTTGATAGTACTCAACAACATATGCAGCTGCAGAGCCTTACGCAGCCAGAAGCTCTTGTTATCGTGGTAGCTGATTATGCGTGGTTCGAATTCGCAGGAGTTGACGTGTGTTGTACTTATTTGTGTTGATGCAGATCGTTTTCTAATATCCCCAATTGTTCCGTTTGTTATGGTGTCCTAGGATTCTCGCTTTCCACGTAGTTGCGCTAGCGCTCTGTGGTGTATATTCATACTGGAGAAAGTTCATGATTATCTATCTTTACACCTGAACAAATGCTGGCCTGGTCCGTGAGGCTAACGATTACTTTGGTTTGGTGAAGAACATACCATTTACCCTTTCTTAATAGTGGTAGCCCAGGGACTCACAGCTTCGGAACCACGCCCGACAATCCGTACGGCTTTCTTTGATTCAGAACTCCTCTTCATCTCCTGCCATTATGTTGTGATTTTGTGAGCAGTAACTCGGGTCATCGGCCCCTCACCGACGTACCCCTGTATCATTACATCACCCGTCGTCGGTTTCGCTCAACAGCCGATATCAAGTCGGCCTCCTACAGCTCTAGCCATGAGTCGTAGCATTTGTATAAGTCAGTAGCGTGCGCGTCAAGGTACGTACCACGAGTCCAGTTGTATGGCCGTTATTCTCAATCTAGAGCATAGACAACATAACCCCCATCATTGCGAGTATTGTCAGAGCATCATGCACCTTTTCACCCCAGAAGAACTCTACAGCGCCACACAATTCCGAATATTTGGTTAAGGTTACGGTCCTTGACTTGAAGGTTAGACGGCATGAACGCTAGTCAGATGGTATATGGCTCATTGCCGATCACCACTCTCCATCACGGACAGGACAAAGCACTGAACGAAGCATATGGTGCAAGAGAGTTGACCTGCACGAGTCAGCTCAGAGGTGATGTGTGCGGGACCGCCCTTGAATTGAAATAGCTAAAAAGCACAACCAGCAATACAAGGAGTAGTTTAAACGCGTAATGATTCTCATACTCACGCTTGGCAGGGACTCGAGAGCCGGTACCTGTCACGGCTCACAGTGATTACACATGTTGAACAGTGACTGAAAGTACTCTCTATTACAACGTGATACGTACAGTTGTATAATATTCTGACTCTGCCATACAAACATAAGCGCAAGAATTCTCTCCAGCCTCCACAGGGATCATGAGAAGAGCTTCTTGAAAGCCTTCTTCTGTTTCTCTCGCTGCTCTTTCTGACGATGTCTCAGCTTCGCCAGCTCATTCGCAATGGCCTTGTCCTCCGGAACAAGCTTGCCAGCTTCTACCAGGTCTCGTTCTGCCTCATCGTCCTCCTTGAGAGTGACCTGAGCGAGTGCGCGACGATACAGGGCTTTCGCTGAAGGCGATAAGATGTCAGCGTCAGCTATGGCTCCGATTAATCCACGGTGAAATAAAACCGAACGAACCTTTGTCGGCGTCATTGAGTTCTAGGTCAAAGATCGCCCTATTAGTGTTCTTCAAGGTGATCTGCGCGTTCACAGGTCCACCCAAGCGGATGGCCGCTAGCGCGCTGTTCAGCAGAAGGGGTGCAAGGAGAGCTTGGTACGAATCTTTAAGTTCTGGTGGAGCGTCCTCCGGCAGCTCGGTATGAAGGTCAAGATATCTGATGGATTCTAGAAAACGAAGCACCGTCAGGCCGCAGGAAACAATGTGACTGTCGGCATTGCGAAGCTTTACTCTGATATTTAGAGAGAGCTTCTTCGATCTTGCCCTCTTTGAACAACTTATTTCCTACTTCCCTAATTTCGCGCGCGACTCGCAACGCTACTTCCGGCCTATCTTTGACATCGCCATCAGGAAGAACGGCCTGATCATCCGGATAGTCTTCGTAGGGATCTCCATCTGTACCAACGGCCTCCGCGGTTAGAGACGGATCTGAAGGATCCAATTGGCCGCAGTCGGCGATGGTGCAAGGTTCCGTAGGCACGTCACCGGATGATGTAGGATGGTTCTCAATCGTGCGGACTGCAACGGGTTACGTGAGCGAGGGGAAGAAAAGCTCATGTGTACGGAATACTGACCGATGGACTTTCCGCGAATGACTTCTCCAAATACAACATGCTTTCCGTCAAGGTGCGGGGTGGGAACAGTCGTAACGAAGAATTGAGAACCGTTGGTGTTCGGGCCAGCGTTAGCCTACATGTGAGAATTCAGTCATCAGAATGGGATACTCTTAGGGCTCAGATCACTTACCATGGACAGCAAAAACGGCTTGTCATGCTTCACTGGGAATGCCTCATCCTCGAATTTCTCACCATAGATAGATTCACCGCCTGTACCATTGCCTTTGGGAATGTGAGTTACATGCGCCTCACACCTGACCTCATGAGCAACATACCGGCAGTGAAGTCACCACCCTGAATCATAAAGCTTCACAACGGCATGTCAATTGGAAGGTCAATATACTCGAGTAACCATAGGCTTTGGTACTCACCGAGGGATGACCCGGTGGAAGTTGGAACCTTTGAACCATAGTGGCTTTCCCAACTTCCCACTGCCCTTCTCACCAGTACACAGGGCCCCTGAGCCATCTTTAATTTCAGTGTATCCCTCCAAAAGATATGAAAAGCCTACTCACGAAAGTTCTCTGCCGTTTTGGGCACGAGGTCACTGTATAGCTGGAAGACAATGCGACCTGCTGGCTTTCCACCAATAGTGATGTCGAAGTAGGTTACTGGACGTTCGGAAGCCATCGAAAAGTCAAGGGGATATGCTTATTAGCGTGGTGAGTGACTGAAGGGAAGTGATTCCAAGGATGCGAATATGTAACTGCACGCTCTTCCAGGCTGCATTTCTTTCCGCCGCTTTTTACTGATTGTCAGTTCTCGAAAGTGCCAGAATGCGTTCTCTGTACACACCGATGGAGGATCGAGATAAGATAGCCGCAGAAATCAAATTCCGTAACAGGATATCCCTCCGGGAGCGACATACGAATCACCGGTCATGTTTTGGTATGCGATAACAGGATATGCGAGATACGTTTTGTTACAAGGCTGACAATGAAACTGAGACAGCGATTATACGATGTTGGAGATGTTCCGTACAGTACAAAATGACGACAACGTGAGGAAAGCCAAGTGAAAAGCAGAGTCAATGTTTCAGAATAATGGCAAGAATTTCAAGTTGGTTCATATTCATGATCATCAGTCCAAATCTGCAACCCGAGTGAGAGCAGCACGGCGTTTCTTTCTCGGGGGTTCGCGAACTTCATCCTCCGTAACGATGTGTGTACCGGAATCTGCGGCACCAAAATCCCCGAAGGTACCATTGGAACCATGGTTTTCATCTACGCTCGCCGCTGGAGTTAATGGAGGTTCAGCAGCGCGCTTGGTCGGCACCACAGGTGTCACCGCTGGAGAGACGAGATTTGGAAGTGATGACGTTGTAACGGAGGGTGTGGACATTGGTGTTGCAACGGTTGAATTTGTTAGAGGCAGTGAATGGTGGTGAGCGATACTCTGAAACTGGAGCGTCTGTTGTTGCGTATGATATGTGGCCAAGATCTCGTCGAAAACGACGATGGTACAATATCCGTCCCGTGACGATAGGATCAAACACTGGCCATCAGGAGACCTGTGAAGAGCATGAGATTCTATTACAAGTAAGAAGAATTGCAACCTTGTTACTTACCATGACATGTCTGTGAACTCATCATAATGCAATTTGGTCAAGAGACAAACTGGACTTGATTGTTGCGTGTCATATATGGTCACAGTATCCATGGTGGCCACGGCATACAGCATCCGATATGGCAAAGCAAATAGTGAAGACGTCACATTAGGCGCAGGTGTAATACCTGGGGTGGATGGCTTTGAACCAAGCGGTGTAGGAGCTCGCAAGGAATCTGTAGCCGACAACGCTGGAGACGGTGGAATAGCGACTCTCGGCGAAGGTGCAAATATAGGCACGGTCGAACTACCTGAGGTAGGGAGTTTGAGAGGTGACAGTGGAGGAGCGCCTTCAGGATTATGTGAAGGAGCCAGGCTCGGTGAAGGTCCGGTGAGGTCGATGGCGACCGACTTATCACTTCCCCTCTCCACCGCAATAGCCTTAGGTTCGAGATGAGGTTCAAGTCCAGTCACGCCCGGCCTCAGTTCATACAAAATGGGCGAGAACTTTACCGCGACACTAGGTTTCTTGTGACCGGGTAATCTCGCAATCGGCGGCCTCGCGAAGTTGGCACGGGAGTAAATGTAGACGCACGACGATGACAACAATGCGTTTGCACTATCTTCCTGCGTTGACGGCGATGGTCCGCCCTTCCTCCCGCGAATCGGTGGCTCCTCGGTGGCTCGTGAAGATCCCGGGTGAATAGACGGATCTTCGAACTGGCCTGCGGGAGTTAAGAGCAGCCCTCCATCAGGACTGAATGAAAGCCTTCGGAAGAAATTCGTGAAGCTCTCATCGCCGTAAAGCTTGACGGAATTCCACGAAGAGGCATTATTGGGAGGCATGCGAATGGCGGGAAGGGCTGGCATGGGTGAGGGCGAACGAGCATAACGAGCATGAGTCGAAGGCGAATTTGCAGCATTCGATCCGCTGAACGATGAACGCCTAGAATGTGACCTCTCGAATGTAGGTGGAGGGAACATAGTCGACGAAGGCGTGCTGGGAACAGATGCCGTCGGTGTTAACAAGGGGTTACCATGCTGAGAGTATGACCCGGATGCATGATTCTCTTCTCTGGTTTGCTCGCTAAAACTGGTCATGACAGACTCCGTCTCGCTTGTAGCAGATTCGCGACGAGTTAACCTTGGGCGATTATGGACGCTGGGAGCACGACTGCTGCGATGCGACATCTTGGTGTTCTTGCCTACTGCGTGGACTTCCAGATTGCCGTTCTTTTGAGTGATGCTGTACACATGCATCGAGCGATCGCTACTTTGAGTAGCCACATATTCATTCAGGGGATCCCAGGCAACACCTTGGACGAAGTGATTGTGTTCTGCGATTTCGTGCACGCATTTACCTGGATACTCTCAGCCCCAAAGTTCTCACGGGACGTGACAGAAACTAACCTTCACTGGCAGTGAAAATTCGCGCGCAATTGTCAGTGCTGCCTGCAATAAGATACTCCCCTGTTGGACTCCATGCGATGTCATACACCTGCATGGTAGTACAGCTAAAAGAGGAATCCGTGAACATGATGGAACGTAGGTTACATAAAGGAACATACCGGAAAGTAGTACGAGGTTTCCAATGTTCTTTCTCATACTGAAGTTCTTCTGGAGTCAGATCACTACCATAACTGGTAGCATGCGGACTCGTGGTTGGTGCCCAGATGATCACCATTCCGTCTAAACATCGAGAGCGTCAGTAATAAGTCCGGCTCACTGGGCATGCTATAATATACCATCTCCCGCAGAGGCAATTAAGTCACCTAAGGTCAGTAATTCAGTGTCGTCCAAGACTCTGCCCAGTGGGGGGAAGCTTACCGCCAGGACTCCATCGAACAACATTCACAGCAGAAGAATGTCTACTCAGCGTAGCGAGGTATTCTACTCTTGGTGGGCGAGGAGTGGGGACCTCAGCACCAGAAGTTGACGCGCTCTCCGCCACAGATTGAGGGAGTATGTTTGGATGAACCAACCATAACTAATGATACGCATTCAATGACACTTCACACACACGAACAGTAACCATAACGTACCCGAACATGATTATCTTCCCCTCCAGTAGCCAACTTGTAAGACTGCCCTGCAAAGTTCTTCTCCTGCGCAGGCCGAGCCTTCTTGAATGGCACAGGTTGGAAGTCACAGGTCGAGATGGGTTTGCTGTCGTGCCAGCGTATTTCGAGAGTACGAACGCGCATTTTCGCGAAAGAGATACAGTTAAGAGGTTTGTAAGAACGTGTACATGCGATATGGGGTGTTAGATGGTGGTAAGAGACAAAGGGGAGTGCCAGGACCAGTCGGTGCTAATTAGCGCGTTCTGAGAAATCGCTTGTGGCGTGCAAGGTTCAGCTCACGCGATTGTCTTATCTCACGCCTTATCGACAGGCCACAATTTACGATACAAAAACAACCAGAATACATGCATGAATATGTAGCAATCGGTTGCATGTAGCAATAGAAGAGCGGATGCAAGTACGACGAGGTAGGTATGCGACGGAACGTAAGGGAAACATCGCAATCGATGCGTCACGACGAGTGACAAATGGGTACAGTATTTCAATGATGCTAGTACACTGAGGTCCGCATAGTAGATGCAGTAAGGAAGATGTCCGGTTCCTCCTCTTCTTTTACAGACACGCCCTGAATCACAGCTAGGTCTTTCAAATCTCGCCGCAGTACCTTTGTAACATGAGCCAAGCCCGCCTGTTCCTCGCCAAGTACCTGAATGCGAGTAGGTCTTGTCAGCATGCATCATAATGATGGTTCATAAAAGTACTTACCTGAGCGATCTGGTTCAACCCATCCTCGTCAACTACCGCCCAACCTACACTCCCATCCTTTTGATCTTGCTCTCGCGCTGCGTTCAACGCCCCAACGAGCGCCCATAATTCATTCAACTTGGCTCTCATCTTGCCAATTCCACCGGGTCGGCGGACTTCCTCGTCGATATCCTCCAAAGCCACCCGGAGCGCCTCTTCTTCCGGTCGAATAGACGAAGAACGGAGGGCGGGTATGAGGAGATGCAGGTGCTGTACCACTTTCAGGACGCGTTGAGTCAGCTGTGTTTGTAAAGCCGAAGCTCGTCGTAATCGAGATGTGTTGGATATTTGATGACGTTGTTGAAGTTGATCAATTTTGGTTTTGAGTTCCTATTAGGAACAAGGTACAGCGTTCATCACTGCATTTCTGGGGAACGAGTCGGAAGCCTTACCTTCAGCTTTTCGTGCTGCTCTTGAGCTTGTCTTGTCTGGGCCTCAACCCGTTGTTGAAGATCATCAAACCCGTTCGCAATTACAGGAACGAGACTACAGCGACGTTCTTAACAGGCAACTGACAATCGAAACTAATGGAACGTACCAGCTTGGATCGGGATTTTCACGAACAGCCTTTTGCCAAAGAGCATCGTTGATAGCATTCGGCGGTCGGCCATACAGGTGGACTTGCGCAGGGTCAACCAGGTTGTAGAAATAATGCTACACCGGGAGATAAACTGTCTGTATTATGATCAAATGAAAGGGTGGACCTACTTGGAAACGACACTGAGGTGAATTCGGCGTCCACGCCTGCACAGTCTCCTCGATTTGCTGTTGTAGTGCAACAAATTGTTTTTGAGTGTCAGGTTGTTGCGAAGAAATGGCAGTCGACCTTCCTCCACCGAAAAAAGTGGATCCACTGAGAGCGGAGGTACCCAGTGTACTCCCAAAGAGTGATCCTATCTGAGGTTGTTGTTGCTGCTGCTGTTGCTGCTGTTGCTGCTGCGGTGGTTGTTGCGTAAAGCCAAACGTCGGTGCGGGCTTCTGCTGTTGGGTCTGACCGCCGAATAGTCCGCCAGAGGGTGCAGGTTGGGTGGTACTACCGAATAGGCCTCCTGATGATGGTTGGGTAGTCGTACTGCCAAACAAACCACCTCCAGACGTGCCTGTACTGCCGAACAAGGAGCTGCCTTGGGCACCGGAAGTAGACGCGCCTGTGCTTCCAAATAGACCCCCACTAGGTTGATTTGTCGACGAGGTACCCGTGCTTCCAAACAGCGATCCTCCTGTCCCAGGTTGTTGTTGTTGCTGTTGCTGTTGCTGATTCTGCGTACTTCCAAACATGCTTCCAGTTCCAGTTCCTGTCCCTGCAGCACTTCCAAACAAACCGCCACCAGTACTCTGCTGTGGCTGATTTTGCGTGCTTCCAAAGATTCCACCACCAGTGGGCTGCTGCTGCTGCTGTTGGTTGGGATTTGAACCACCAAAAAGACCTCCTCCACCCTGCGATGGCGTGCTGCCGAAAGCCCCTCCACCTGTTTGGCCTGGCTGCATTGATGTACTACCAAACAAAGACGACCCGCCTTGCTGCTGTTGTGTATTTGCGCCACCGAAGGCAGATGTTCCTGTAGAGGGTTGATTACTTGAACCAAAACCTCCACCACCAAACACGCCCCCTCCTGATTGTTGCTGCTGCTGTTGCGGCTGTGGCTGTGGCTGCTGTTGTTGAGGTTGAGTAGAGCCAAAGGCACTGCCGGTGTTGCCACCGAAGGAACCGAACATGGCTGTTGGTCTAAATATTATTCAGTGTCAAGATGTGGAAGATACAGCAAGAAAGCGATATGTACCAAAGAAAAATCGGAAGAGGAGCGTGCCAGTGCTGAAAGTATAAGGTCACTGATGGGCACGACGCGATCGTTTGCTTACACCTGTTAGGATCCAAAGCGATTGCCTTTTATAGCCATCGTATCATTTACACACTTCGAAGAGCTGAATGAGACTGAGCTTGGGGAAGATCCATTCTTCACGCCTACGTCTCTCAAATCTTACCAGCCATAATGAGCTTTACGCAAGTGAACATATAGAGATCTCCGATACAAATTGTATGGCCTATGAATATAGATATGTATATGTACATCTTGATCTTGAGTGAAGTGAAAGGATACATGACGACAACAACGCGAAAGCAAAAGTCCAACATGGAACTATTTAGTCGCCTTGTTTTTGCTTCTCTTTCCGACCTGTGCCTGGAAACCGGTCTTGATAGGGTTGACCGAACGTCTCGATCCACAGGATTCGCAAGACATGAAGAAGATACGATTCTCCTTCGTGAGGAGTGTATCTGGTGATTTGCATGTCTTGCAAGTGACGTATTCGACTATACAGTACCATTAGTGGAATGATAATAGAGAGGTAAACCAAAATGCTTACCGATGTATCGACGCAGAACGTGCTCGATCTGCTTTTGCTGGAAACGACCCTTGATAACGAGTCGCCCTGAACCATCGACGGAACCGGTGGTACCCATTTCCGCAAACATATATTGGATGACGTGCTCTGGCGGTCTGTGCATTCGCTTGCAAATGTCGGAGACGTTGGCGAAGATAGACTTCTTGTTCCCTTCTCGCATGACGGAAGGAGGAGCGATGGTGTATCGCTTACCAGTAGACGTAAGGAGAGCGGGGTTGGCGGCATGAAGTTGGGTGTAGAATCGATGAAGAAGCTGTAGGTACCAATTAGACGGTGTAGCGCGAAAAGCCAATATCTTACTACTCACCTCGAGGTATGTATAGTCACGGTCACTACCAAGCCAAGGCTCGCCGCCAGCTTCGACGCTAACAGCGCCTTCACCCCGAGCGAACGGATCTTCTCCAAGCTCAGTCTCGTCGAGCTCTTCGAGATGTTTGCCGTCCGGTGCTTCTTCCTCCTCAGCCTCCTTCGCTTTTGATTCATTCAACTCCTTCTCAAACGCTTCCATGTCGATTGCAGCCTTCTTCTTTGATGTCTTTTTCTTCTTCTTGAGATCGGAGAAGTCGAGATCCTCACCTGCTGCCGGAGCGGTAGCAGTAGGAGTAGACGTTCCTGAGCCTTCCTCTCCCTATGTAACATATTGTGAATTCAAGTATAAGGCATGGTTAGAAGATGACATACGAGATCGAGAGGAATATCCTTCTTCTTTTTCTTCTTCTTGATATCTCCAAACATTGCTTTGAAATCATCGTCTTCCTTCTTCTCCTCTGCGGGCTCTGCTACTCCATCAAGACCACTCTCCTTCATCTGCTCGTGCAGCGTCTTGGTTCCCATGTCCACAGTGACGCCATTGGTCGTCGTATCGTCAATCGTAGCGGGAGCAGGGGTAGTAGGGTCAGCATCAGCACCGAGCGGGTCCTCGTGGAATGCGACGGTCTTCTTCTTGCGCTTCTTGAGCGAGGGGTCAAACAGAGGTTCTTCCGATGCCATGGTGAGTAGTTAGCAGAGATTGAGTAAAGCAAGCGTGGTCGCTGTGCAGCACGTTGAGCAAGCACGCCCCGGAGTCATGGCTTGCAAATTCAGGCGGCGACTGGAAGTGCTCGGGAGTTGCCGCGCTCACCCGATTCGCACCGTCAGAGTCGGGTTTGCAGCGCTCTCGTCCTTCCAGGTCATACCCAACCCGTTGAATTCCTCCTCAGATGCTTGCTCGGCGCACCCTTGGTCGTCTTGCGGCCCAGCCTCCTGTGCTGGGCGCCGCCCCTGCTGGTGCCAGGAATATGGCTACCCTTCGTGAGATCGAGTTGCGTCTCAAATCCGTGAGGAACATCGAGAAAATCACGAAGGTTCGTACACGGAATATAATGTTAAGCTAACGTGTGGAGAATAATGTGTCTTCATATACGATGCTTATAGTCCATGAAAATGATTGCCTCGACAAAGCTGAACAAGGCGCAGCGCGCCATGGTTGCTGGTAAGCAGTACGGTGTCGCCAACGCTGGTGAGTTCCAATTAATTCTGTACACTGAACATCATAACCAAACTCGCGATCAGAGGTGTTCAAAAACGCGCCTCCCGAGGCCCCTGCTAAGCGCAAGCTCGTCATTGTCGTCTCCTCTGACAAGGGTCTTTGCGGTGGTATTCACTCTTCCGTCTCCAAAGCCACTCGTCGTCTCTTTGCCGACAAGGAAGCTGGCCTTGAGCCATCCTCCCCCATCATGGTCATTGGTGACAAGTCCAAGGCTCAACTCTCCCGTGCCCTTCCCAAGAACATCGTTTTGACCTTTAACCAAATCGGTCGTGACATCCCCACCTTCGCTGATGCCGCTGGTGTTGCCGACTTGATCCTCAAGTCTGGTGTCGAGTACGATGGTATTGCTATCGTGTACAACAAGTTTCTCTCTGCTATCTCGTACGAGTCTGCTGTTGTCGAAGTCGAAACCGAGAGCACGCTCAAGGAGTCGCGTAAGCAAACATCCTGCCGTCCTTTTCCGTCATTCTAATTCCCTCATACCAATGCGCTTTACAGCTGGATTCAAAGCATATGAGATGGAGGACGATGTGACCAAGGACCTTGCGGAGTTCGCATTGGCTAACGCTATCTACGCCGCTCTTGTTGAGAGCCACGCTTGCGAGCAGAGTGCTCGTCGCAACGCCATGGACAACGCATCCAAGAACGCGTCTGACATGATCAGCAGGTTGCAAATGCAGTACAACCGTGGTCGCCAAGCCGCCATCACAAACGAGCTTGTCGATATCATTACTGGTCCGTTTTCTATCTACTCACGTGTCTATTCATCTCTGACGTTTGCACAGGTGCAAGTGCTCTGTAAAAGGGTATTTGGATTTAGACAAATTGTATATACTGGTTAGATCCAGGAATCAACTTGCCGAAGTCTCTTACCGGTTGTTTTACTGTCAGGCTAATCTGAACTTACAAATTGCATTTCCCGCCTATCCAACTGCTGAATTCACTCGTTCATACACTTGCATACAACCCATGGCGGCTGATACCTAGACCTACAACATTCATTTCCATCCGCTATTGACTACAACTAACGTCCATATCCTTGAGGGTATCCATGTCCGCCATACGGCTGCTGCTGAGGTGCACTTGGTGGAGGGAATCCTTGATACTGATATTGACCCTGCTGTTGCTGTTGGGGTTGCTGACCCTGCGGTGGAGGCTGAGGTAGACTACCATACTGAGACTGATAAGATATCGGTGGAGGCGGCGGCGGAAGTGAGCCGTTCGACGAAGGTGGTGGTGTTTGATACGATGGATACCCGCCGTACGCTGGTTGTGACTGAGGTGGCGGATATGATTGTTGTCCCTGATGCTGAGCATAAGGCGGCTGGTTCTGAGTGTACACATATGGCTGTTGTTGTTGTTGAGGTGGAGGTGGAGGTCGGGGCGGAGGTAATGCGGATGATGTCGAAGGCGGCGGCGTCGAATAAGTTGTGGATGAGGACGATGTAGCAGAACTGCCAAAGATACCCAAAGAAGCATATGGATCTGAAGGAGGTGCAGAAGGTTGATATGGTGCAGGTGGTGGCGGCGGCAGCATGGAGGCGCGAGTGGGAGCGGAGGGTGGCTGGCTCGGACGTGGAGGCGGGGGAGGAGAGCTATACCGATGGGTGGTCGACCATGAAGTCTGGCTAGGTAGTTGCTGTTGTGGTGGGGTGGGAGCATGACCGCGAATATTCATAGACGCAAATGCACCATCCAGACTCGTGCGAGACGGCGGCGGAGGTCGAGGTTTCTCGGCCAGCGGAGGGGGAGGAGACGATGTCGTGGATGACAGACGTTTCTGAGTCTCAGCTTGGCCTACAAGAGTGTCGCGTTCGACGGTACGGCTGGAAATGAAGGACTTGGCATTGCGTTTGAGGGATGATGTGAGCTCAGTGAGCTCATTATAGAACTGCAATCCCTTGCTATTGGCCGAATATTGATCAGCGAGGAACATAATATGAGTGCTACCATTTGAACTTACGCAAGACCGTCCCGGACTTCCATGTACACATCTCGAGCATGAGAGAACCTACGGACAGTGTCTTTCTTCCTACGTTCTCTCTCCTCCCATTTACGTGCCCCAGGACCACGGCCAGCGATATCTTTGAGCCCTCTCCATAATTGCGACACCTCTTGCAACGCAAGTTGCTCGTGGTGTACAGTGGCCGCCAGACGCTGCTGGTACGGTCGGAATTTCTCCAGCTCTCCTGCGAAGAGGGTACTTTCAACTCCAGTATTTCGTCGGTTGAGAAGTAGCAAATGAGAAACGTCGTCCGATTGTACCTGCAACTTAGTCAATATGCGAATCCGAGATCAGAAAGAGGATGAGACACGTACCTTCTCCTTGAGGTCTTTCAGGACTTCGTTCCTTTCCCTACCAATCCTGTTCAACCTACTCAAACGTTCCTCAATCTCATCGACAAATTGCCTGATCTTGGCACGCTCTTCATCATCTTGACTCTCACTCGCCACATCGAGATCCAACAGATTTTCCGATCCAGCCCCTGCCTTCTCAGTGCTAGCTCTGAAGATTTCCTCCACCTGCGGAGAAAGCAGTAACGCGATTTCAGCCTTCACTGAATCCCACAGCGTAACGACCTGTTCGTCGGATGCGGCAGCAGCTTCCAGCGCACTATAGTTCGACTTGAGGTCCTGACGAAGAGACTTCGTGAGAGAAGCGGAGGGAGCTTGTGTCCAGAGATGATCGTATTTCACTCGCATGGCTTCGCAGTCCCGACTTTCGATTTCGAGATCTCTACTGACAGAGTCAAGCTCTCTCTGGACACTGTCCTTCAGTCTGTTGAGTTCGGCCATGAGACCCTCGACACCTTCACGCTCTTCAACCAGCGCAATGTCTTCTCGCCACCGTCTGACTTCTGCAGGGATCTCTTCTTCGCCCAACGCGCCATCAGCAATAGCTTTAAACCTGGTAAGGCCATCCTTCACGCCCATGGCGTCCAAGGCACTCTTCACTTCCGCTTCCGCTTCATCAGCTTTCTCTACTTCGCCTCGGACGAGTTTGGCCTTCTCTTCCGAGTACACACTTGCACTTTCGTGTACACTGAGAGGTATCAACCGAATAAAGAGGTCAGGTCCGATGACTTTCTGAACGTCCGGCGTAGCATATACGTCTTGGATAGTGATGATAGATGCGACGTTGGTCTTCTCAATTGCAGGAAGGGTGTCTGGAGAAGGAAGGACAGCATTATAGATCAAGTCATTCTCACGCTGTGCCTCGTTCTTCTTCTCGGTGCACAGTGCTAGGTGTGCCTTTGTCAAGTCTGAGAGAGATGGTCCGGCATCAGGAGGAAGATTTGGCGACATTTGAGTGACGAAGAGAGATGCAAAAGATGATGCAGTTCGGTGCGCCTCCTTTGCATTAGTTTCCGCGACTTGGAAGCGGACCAACGCGTCGCCATGTTTGCCCGCAGCATTGTCAGCGAGTGCGCGGAAGTACTGTGCTTGGGACGTGAAGTACTTGGCCTTTGTCTATTACACAGTTAAAGAATCAACTTGCCAAGAAATGAACGGATAAGCGAAGAGCTCACCTGAATTATCGTGACCCAATTACGATCAAAGATACCCTTTCCCATAAACTCCTTTACTTCATCACTTAGTGCGGTATACATGAAGGCAGCCTGAGCAGCGATTTTGGAGATCAAAGTATTTCCCTTCTTCTCCTCTGTGCACTTCTCAAAGAATATTTCGGTTGCTTGAGCCATGATGATTCCCACGAGAAACTTGATAACCTCTCTGCTGAGATCGGTAGAGGGAGCATGCAAGAAGTTGTCATTGATATATGTAAGCATTCCAGCACATGTTCTGGAGTAGTAGAACGCGCGTTTGAGTCCTTCTGGGTCTGACCGATTCTGAGCAGCGGCAATGGCAGAATGTGTAGCTGCGATTTGGAAGATTATAGATGCCTTCTCATACGCAATGGATGTTTGCGTTATGAGTTTGTTCGTGAACGCGTCTCGCCAGGCAAAGTTGACTCGAATCTCCGCGAATCGCAGCTCCAAAAGTTCAAGCTGACCGAAGTACTTGTAAAGCAAATCCCGAGCTTGGCCTTGTCAATACGACATGAAAGTAATAGATAAGGGCACACACCTGTCATGTCGCTTCCAGCACCCTTCACCGCGTCCTGCCTACATCTTTGCAGGTTCGCACATTCTGCAGCGTAGTTGTCTGGATCTTCACCGTAGGACTGCGCGATAGCTGAGCGGATGGGAGTCGTCCAATCCACCTCCTCTGTTGTCTTCTTTGGTATCGATACTAAAGGAGACTGGTGTGCCATGCTAAGCGACATTGTCTGTGAATGCAAAGTCAATATTACGCGAATATACCAAAGCGAGGTGTTCCTGGAGCTGAGGTCACTGCCGCGCAGTGGTGGCTGCGATAGAGTACATAAGCGCCCACGTAATTGAAGACAAGCGGGACTGAAATAACATGAGCCTCTCTTGAGCCTTCTCTTTACTTCCTCCATGGTCTTCCTCTACTTTACTTTCCGTATCATCAGGTCCATACGATTCCCGTTTAAATCGATAAAATACTAAATGGTTATTTTATCAGTGCGCTCGTTGCTTTCCTATATCCCGGATATGCATCATACAAAACACTGTCGCAGCGTCCTGCATCGGAGGCGGAGCTAGAGAGGTGGCTCATGTATTGGAGCGTCCTCGGATGCATAGTTGCCGTAGAATATGTGGCTGAGTGGTTGATCTCATGGTATGTTCGATCTCAAGAATTTAGCTCCATCCAGCTACAGTACATCATGATCGCTTTTTCAGGCTCCCATTCTACTACCCTCTTAAGACCTTCTTCCTGCTTTACTTGGCATTACCACAAACAGCGGGTGCCTCATACCTCTACAAGACCCAAGTTCAACCATTCTTTTCATCGCATGAATCTGAAATCGATTCCGCCCTCTCGCAACTGAAGACTTACGTCTATAACTACCTCCAACAATTACTACGATCGGCTTGGAACCATGTCTCGTCTACCCTAGGCCAGAATGGAGATCGAATTGATGCACTTGATGAGGGAGGGATCACCAGAGAAGCAGCAGCCAACGCTGGTGCCCCTCCTTCCATCGGTGACCCTGTTTCAGGTCCTATCCAGCTCGCCCAGACACTCTGGAGGAGCTACGGGCCTAGTATTATTGTTGGAGGGGCCACTGTGGTTCAATATGCGCAGAACGCAGCTAACATACGTCCAGCACCCTCTCGCGACAACTCGTCGCAATCTGCTCTCGAGAGGCGTAGGCAACTTGAAGCCGAGTTGGCTTCACTCAAGGCTTCCGAGTCCACCATTCGGCCATACAACGTTGGGGACACTCCACCATCACCGCCTGTGCTCATACCTTCGGCTGCTAATCACTCGCGCACATCCTCTGAATCGTCCTCGTCACGGCGTGAGCGACCGGGCAGTGGAAATGGTAAATCGACGTTCGAGGAGGTTGAAGTGCCCAGCGATCTGGAGGGAGAAAGTCACCATATTCAACAGAGATCATCTGATGCCAGGAGATCTAGTTGGTTTGGTTGGGGAGGCAGTCAGGGGTATGAGAGGGTAAAGACGGATTGAACGTGACAGGTCGATCTTTCCTTATTTTAGTTTCGATTCTTGGGACCTTTTTGTTCATATCTTCGATGACTTACTATTCTCTAATCATCTGCGCCGTATCTACATTGTGTAAACTATGCAATTTCTGCTGCATACAGGGAAGCCCAAAAGGGGATACCGTCGCCTATAAAAGGTAACTCCTTTAAAATTCGACAATGCCAAACAAACGAGTTTCCAAACGCGTTAACGCCGAACACGGGTTGTCCATGCTCTCGCCATGTCATTCCTTGTAGGACCATTATCCGGTGCCCTTGTGGCAGGAGGCGTATGTAATCAGGATTCTGTCTATGCATTTGGACTGATCGTAGAATATTAAAGGTATACTATGGTTTCTCGACTATGATTCAGTCGAAGTGAGCCATACTGTCAACCCATCATATCTAGTGGCTGACGCATGCGATTGCAGTACCGAGAGGCACAAGGCCGAGTAATTGCGTCTTTTATAACATTTATGACTGGACTAACGCTATGCAACCAGTCTTTATTCATTGTCTCGCCGTCTCGTTGACGCATCAACTATCCCCGCTCCACCTTCCGCAGCTGCCAGGATAGAAGAGAGCCGGTTTAATACCGTTCTCAAAAGTCGTTGGAACACCGAAGTTGCAACCCTGTTTCAGAGTATTGGGGAGTTGGACCAAAAGGCTGTAGCTTGGGGGAAACGTGTGTTGTATGGTGGCGACGTGAAAGCTGATCAATAGACACGATATGGTGATTACTATTCTGAGTCGTGAACTCGTGCAAGATGAACTGCGACAGACCAGTAAGCATCCTGACAGAAGGTGAAACCTCGGACACAGTGAACTCTAAATTTCGTAAGTTGCATGCCTCCCCGAGTTCCGAAAAAACCCCTACTGAACGTGACATATTGATGTAGCAAGTGCTACAATGCCATTTACTTGGCAGTCATCCAGGACCCAGGTCACATCTAGTGGGCACAATCTAATAGGGGCATTCTGATTGGCCGCACCCCTAGCGCGAACTTTGTCGGTGCTACAGGGAGTGCGTGCTGCGAGTGCGTCCGACTTTGAATGCCCCTATTGCACCTCGTTCCGTCTACTCTAACCACGGTCGCCGGATTAGGATCGGGGTTCTTCTAGATCACTGTCGTCGCGCTCCGTCCCGATGCTTAGCTTTCAGTTTTTTTCTCTTGGTCTTCCTCTTTCAATCTCAGTCCGAGAAGAGCGCCGAGGATCCTTGTTATATAAAGCGTCCTCATGTCTCTAGAGTACTGCTGGATTTTCTATCCTTCAGGACCCCCTTTTTAATGTTCTCTGTGCACTCGCTCAAGATGCGCCGTTTCCTCGTCGTCGTATGCCTTGTTGGCGCCACATCTGCGTTCCCCGGAGAGAATGCCCCTGGACTGAAACGAGATGGACACGCATACACCTTTGACATCGGCACGGGGCCGCAGCTGCAAGTAAATACTTCCGACAAACCAGCACCGTCGGTGATGTACACGACTGAGAACGGTGCCCCGTACTCTCAACCATACGATGCCCAACGGATTGGTGCCGACGGTAATTTATCCATCATCTCTTCACCCTGATTAACTGAATCTTACTCTTATCTTGGCATGCTCAGGGCCTCTTCTACTGCAGGATGTTCCCTTAGTTGAAGGCTTAGCTCATTTCGTCCGCGAACGAATCCCAGAACGGTAGGTACCAACATTTGCGTATGTATTCAAGGAAAGCTTCGTTGAACAATGTCATAGGGTAGTTCATGCTAAAGGCGGTAAGGTTTCATTTTCCTTGTCCGCGTGATTTATCCTGATCATTCTTCAGTGGGAGCCCACGGATATTTCGAAGTCACTAATGCCGATTTCGCGAAGAATTATACCATGATGTACGTTTTTGGCACACTCTTTTCCATCTCATCTCCGCTTGGTGTACCATTTCTGACTTGGACTTCATGATCTTTTATAGGGATGTCCTGAGCAAGGTAAGACGTAGTGCCAATGACCGTATCGTAAGTGGAGCTCATCACGCTGCGCTATCAGAATGGTCTTCGAACACCTATTACAAGTAAGTTTCCCCTGCCTCTTTATGGCCTTAATATGTCCTTGCCGACGGCTTTCACTTCTTTTAGTCCGCTTCAGCACCGTCGGTGGAGAATCCGGTTCTGCAGACTCGGCCCGCGATCCACGGGGATTTTCCATGAAGCAAGAATCTACCATCCTCGGATATTCTGTCTTCTTTCACTAACCTTCTTCCTTTTGAATCGGTATAGGTTCCGCACACGTCGGGGCATCTGGGACCTTGTCATGAACAGTGAGCTTTCACGTTCCTGATTATTCGATGAGACTGTGCTGATGTGGAGTAGATACTCCTGTATTCTTCCTCAGAGATCCTTCCAAATTCCCTTATTTTATCCATGTAAGCGTTTTATTCTCCATGAGTATGTACTGTATCTCTCTAATCTGTGCATGCGCATAGACACAAAAGCGAGAGCCGCAGACGCATCTTCGCGATAAGGAGTATGTGTGCCGTGATGTCGCTGTCACACTTTTCTGAGGAATATCTCGCTATGTAGCATGTTCTGGGATTACCTTGGCTCCAACCCTGAGTCTTTGTATCAGGTTCGTCGCTGAGACGCCATGATTACCACAATGTCGATATTAACCGCTCTATTTTCAGGTCATGCGTCTATTCTCGGACCTTGGCACACCCTACGGTGTGAGGCATATGCATGCCTGGACCGGTCATTCTTATCGGTATGATTCACGCGCTGCTTCCGAATTAAACTGCTGACCTATGAACAGTTGGGTGAAAAAGGATGGCAAGTGGGTATACGTGAAACTCTATGTGGAGAGTATGCAAGGCGTAAGTCTCTCGTTTTCTGTGAGATGATACATATTCATCCTGATATCTGATATAGATCCGTAACTTCACCAATGCCGAAGGGACTGAAATGCAAGGTGAATATACATACTTGCTAGCTTTGGGCCGCCCTCATTTTTATCTTATCCAAGGCACCAATCCGGACTTCTCAGCACAGGATCTTTTTGAGTCGATTGAGGCCAAGAAATTCCCTGGCTGGACCATGTATGCTCAGGTTTTAACACCAGCCCAAGCCGAGAAATTCAAGTAAGTCATCTGTATGGGGTGTTTCATTCGTGGGTAATATTAATTTCCCTTCTCCACAGATATAATGTGCTCGATCTGACCAAGTGCGCTACTCCTTCACCTTGCCATTGACACACGTGTTTCTGACTTGCAGCGTCTCCTCAGGGATTGGGGCTTTGACGACGTACCTAAGACGGAAATTGGCAAGTTCTATCTCACAGAGAACCCTGCGAAGTGTGTCTCTCATTTTTTCCCCTTCCTTTGGTCATTTGGCGATGACGTGCGTTTAGCTACTTCGCAGAGGTTGAGCAAGCAGCTTTCTCTCCTGGACATCTAGTAGACGGCTGGGCCCTTTCCGCTGACCCCGTTCTACAGAGTCGATCGTTCTCCTACTCAGGTATGGGTCTTCGCCTTCTCGAGGACACGAGATTCATGGGTTATAACTCTGTATCAGACGCGCACCGTTACAGATTAGGGGCGAACAATATGGTAAGTAGACTGACTATCCATACGCTTTGTTTCCAGCCCGTGCTTACCATCGTGTCTCTTACAGCAAATACCTGTAAGTTTGATTGATGTTGACAGATCTTTCGAATTTGATGGGACCGTTGGTTCAGGTCAATACTCCCTTATGTCCGGTGGCGAATTTCCAACGTGATGGTTTCATGAACGTCCAAGGAAATCAAGGTTCCCGTCCAAATTATCTTTCCACCCTTAGCTCTATTAAGCTGCCCGAACTACCATATGTTGACGATAAGCATCAGCAATGGACTGTATGTGCCGCCCCTGAATATCAACCTTTAGCAGCTAACAATATTCTGAATGGACAGGGAGGCGCAGTTCGTTCGCTCTCACAAGTCACTGAAATCGACTTTGACTGGCCTCGCCGTTTCTTGAATGCGCTCTCAAAAAAGGACCGCCAGAATTTGATCAAGTATGTTCCCAATGACTTAGTCTCTAGGGCATGTGAATGCTTACGATTACTAGCAATATTGTCGGACACCTTGGCGCCGTCAAAAGTAAAGACGTTCGGCGACGACAAGTAGCCCTTTTTGCCCATACTAATGCTGACTTCGGGGGAGCTATTGCAAAGGGTGTTGGTGTTCCTGTTGTCCCCTTATCGTTCAAAGATGGACCTACATGGTTGAACACCACTGTTCCGTCGAAGAACAGCACTCTTCATTACTGAGCGAACCGGCAGGCTCATCAGTAAAAATAGGACCCCGGCAGCTTCCTATGCTGAATGTCCGGAAATTTCTCACTTTTGACCTTCCCGCGCGCGTGGATTTCAGGCCTCTCCCGACGCGCTATCCGGACATACAGTGCCAACAAAATAGGCTTTTTTCATATTATCTACTGTATATTCTATTCTACTTCGCCGCTTTCAAGGTCTTTTCTTCTTTGTACTGAATCTTCAAAATGTTCTCGATGTAATTACCTTCAATCAAATCCCACCTTCCATCACTTCTGTTGGTCGGAATAAAGACGTAGACAATCATGTTCTGCAAATGCAATATCACAGAGGTTGTGATAGCGTCCAGCACTTGAATACTGTCTTGAGAAAGTCCGAGATGATAGATTAGCTCTTTGACTGAAACAAGATCCAGAGATGCCCCGTAGACTTACTATAATTCCAGAATGAGTTCTTGTCCTCCTCGGGTCGTGCCTGCATATGCATTCTACGAGAGAGAGAGAGCTGAAAACTTGGAGAGTGAGGTCTTAGGTTAGTGAATTAATAACTCGCGTGCCAGCTGCAGGAAGTCTTTTTGGTGACGGCGACCCTCAGTGTTTGTGCTTTGGATGAATAACGTTGGTGTTTCTTCAATCTTGAAAATTACCGACACTACTGCTCTGGCAAATGACTAGACACTTGAACCAGAACCTCCTGAAGGCTCAAAGAAAGTGCTTGTATCTATGCGATTTGGGTTATCCAGCATTCCTCTCGACTATAACCACCTCCTTACCTATGCACCTGTGCTTGGAGGCCATCATTTGTTGCGGTTGCATGACACAGCACATGCTTAACCTCGTTTACGCTTACTAGATATATAGTCTCTGAGCCCTCATATGAAAGGAAAGGTGAAGCAACGTACTCACTTGATTTCGGTCTGCGACTTCCGTGCCAGCCAATTCATCTAATCTTGAAATTGCGTCTGAGGTTTGTTCCGGACTCCTAGTCAACATACTTGTCCATATTCTTCCATATAGGTACATACCAAGGCTTTGGAATGACCGGCCTGCGGCTGGTTTCCTCACTAGATAGTGTTCTCCAGCTTCCGCCGCGCCACGCGCGACCATACCCCACAGTTTTGACCCAATCCGCGCTACCAACTAGTAGGGCATAACTAGGTGCTCAACTGGACGTTCAGCATAGGGAGCTGCCGCTCAGAATATGGTAGACCAAAATTATGTATTTCTCTATCAAGCTACATGTCTGATAAAGTCGTCTTACAGATGCAGAGATGGATGACAAAGTAACTGCTCAGGAGGTGACACTCGCCCTCAGCGAGTGGTCAGTTTGTCTGATTAAAATTTGTATGATCTTACAGAGCCGTTCAGAGCCGTTCGTGGCATACATGTCTATTGCAGCATCGCCAACGACGCCAGCGATCTTAAATGCCTTGGCAGAGGCGTAAGATGGACAAGCATTAAATGTGAACAGCTGGCAGAGCGGCGGAGTAGAATATTTACACGTGGATGGGGGAACTAGTGATACTGTCAGCCAGCTTTTCTTCAAATTTTAACATTACTCTACAATGCAGGTGCATGGGAGCCGGATTATAATAACATCGAGATAGACATATTAAGAAGTAAAAGGATCACCGCATTGAAGGATCGAGAGTAAACCAAATTTACGGTCAGCCACAGAGACGGAGAAAGCTAAACAGACACTCCTGCAAGAGGCCGAATAGCGTGATTCTCTATCAAAGTGAATGGAACATCTGCATCTTTCGTCGCATACTGCTGCAAGACCTCATTACCGAGAACACCAGCGTTTTTCATCGCCCTGGCGAGAGATGGACACTGTGCCACATATATACGTCAACATTTGTCGTCCATAGGTAAAGTGATGAATTTACCGGCATGGTGCACTTCTCCACCCAACTCTCTCTCATATTCACCAGCGACCTAAAGAACTTTGAGCTGAAAAAAAAGTAAATACGTTGAAGAGGAAGGTGCCATACATTGTAAGTGACGCCATAAGCCCTTTGCCAGGCCGATCGGCCCCAGTGAGCATAGCAAGTCGGAAAATAATCGTGTCGGCATATCCCAACTTCGACAATTCAAGCTCCGTCAAGCCCTTCGATCTATGCAAGGCCTTTTTGTCAGAGAAAGCAATGAACAAGACATAGCCACTGCATGATGCAGTGGTCTCCTTCAGCTGACCTCAGATACAAAAGGCGTGATGTAGGGTTTGCACCAACGGACTATAAAACAACGTCTGTCAAACTCAGGCTGTGGCAATGCTTAGAGAACCTACTGAAATATATACCAGACGCTGAGAGAGAGAGGGATCATTACTCTTCGCCTCTCGTGCAGCGTTCACAACATATCTAAGAAAACCAAGCATTAACCTCAGTCGTGGGGCACGTCTATATCATTGTTTGGAAAGTTACCCTCTGTCGATCTTCTCGAATGCCTCGGCACTTCCTGCCGTCGCCCTTTGTGTTCCCAGTCTGAAGCATATCGCGAGATGCCCCCTTTGAGTGTAAAAATAACCGGGATTTTGGAAGCGTGCGTACGTGATGAATGTGACATCCCAATTGCCCTCCTTCAACCCACTTTCGCTCAGATTCTCAAAATCAATCACCTTTTGAACGAGTTTTTCTTTCCCAGTAGTAATCAAATCGGGTGAGGTTACTCGACGACCGAACTCCCCAACACGCGTATACACAGGGGATTTGAGAAGCTCCTGAAGAAGACACTTCCCGGTAGCTCCTGTGGCACCTATGATTAAAGCGGACTTCCCTGCCATTGTTCACTCGTTAGATATAAGATGTTCCGGGTGGGATGATGAGAATGGTAGGATGTCTAATCCTTACGTTTGAGGTCTAAGTGCCTAGTAGATATACTGTACCTATCGAAGAATAGGCCCGATCGACGGGCATAAGCAAGAGCTTGGCTTGAACTGACATCATTCATGCCGATCTCTGACGAAAGTAACGGCATACTCCATCCTACATTACCGGTTATCGGGCAAGCGGGGCTTCAAAAATGTTGACGAGCATCGGATGGCCCTATTACATAGCCGGGTTGTAGCTTGACCATCTTCCGGCACATATAGAAGGGTAGCTACATCCATGGGATTTGAGCAATTCAGCGCATTACTCATGGAGAGTTTATATGCCGAGCTTTTCTGTGGTCGGCTTCGTCGAACTGCGGAAACTAATTGTAGTTTGGATTGTTCAATAGTTGTTAGCATGAGCAATTTATCGAAACATACAAACGTTACCACGATTTAAGAAGGTCATCCTTCTTCGCTGCATGGGCAGCATTCACTGATTATTCTGAGATGTATCGTGCGTCAATACTTGATAGCAAATAGGAAGAAGTGCTTACTTGATCGACTGACCGTCCTTCACACGATTGAGTTACCGATTTCCTCTCTACCCGCATTCTGTCAGATCATGCCGAAGAGTTAAAAGCTCGCATAACCTCAAAGCAAATCAAGAATAGGCGTACGTGATGGAAGATTCCTTCGTTTAACCCCTTCCAAAATGGATGACTCACTTTGACAGGTCAGTTCAGCAAGTTTTCCTGCGGGTTATTTACAAACTGCTAGACGACAACCACTGTCGATGATTAGGGCCGTTTACAGAGGTGAACAAGCAGTCCTATGCAAACGATTTGTTTTCTTCCTCTTGTCGGTGACCGTTTACGCATTTGAGTCAAGACACGAGTACTGACCTGACTAGAAGCTTTCTTGATGAGGGTGTACAGAAACATGTCCTCATCCAATCCAGCTTGAACGTTTGCAAGGAAATAAAACCGCGATGAACATAAATGAAAAGATATCCCAGGGAATATCCGGACGGTCAAAAAAAGAGACACGTAAAAGGGACCTAAAGAGTCACATCTGCAAGAGGCCGGATAGCCCCGTTGTCCACCAAGGTGAACGGAACGTCTGCGTCTTTCGTCGCATACTGTTGGAGGGTAGCACCGTTGAGCGCTCCGGCGTTCTTCAATGCTGTAGCAAGTGTAGGACACTGAATAGCTAACATTAGCACCCCGTGCAGTGAATAGCCATGGTGAAAATAGTTACTGGAACGGAATACTTTCGGACCCAACTCTTGCGAATATTCAATAACGAGCTGAAAGCATAGATATAATGAAACCGAAATTGGAACGATAATAAGGGCAACATACATAGCCACCGACTCCATTAGTCTGCGTTCTGATCGTTCGGCGTGAGTGAGTGCAGCAGGCCGAAAGATGATTGTCTCCTTGTATCCCAGCTCCGCAAGTCCGAGTTCAGTTAGGCCTTTCGACCTAAGCAGGTCACATTTGTTAGCAGAGAGATGCGCGTAGAGGGACATTTTCGTGAGTAACAGATTCCTTGGCTGACCTTGGATAGAGGAAGTGTGATTCCGGATTCGCGCCGGCTGACTATATGCATGTTCATAACTCTGAAGGTTGTGAGTTAAGCGATCGAACACAACGCACTGAAACGTATACGACACGCTGAGATACGGATGGATCATCATTCATGGCTTCTCGTGCCACGTTCACGACGTATCTGAATCAGATCATGCATTGAGAAACGCCGTCCATACTGTGAGCACAAGCTAGGAACTCACTCTCTGTCGATCTTTTCAAATGCCGCGTCACCACCTACTTTCCCTCTCTGTGTCCCAAACCTGTAAGTTTCCAATTGAACAAAAATGTAATTAGTTAAAATCCCTGGGGACGGAAGCATACATACGTGACGAAGACAACATCCCACTTTCCCTCCTTCAACCTACTTGCACCCAGATTTTCAAAGTCGATCACCCTCTGAATGAGCTTCTCCTGTCCAGTAGTGATATGCTCAAAGGAAGTTACTCGGCGACCAAACTCCCCAACACGAGAATACGCAGGCGAGCTAAGAAGCTCTTGAAGAAGAAACTTCCCAACAGCGCCTGTCGCACCGATGATGAGAGCAGTTTTTCCTAACATCAGCGTTCACTACCACAGGTCGCTGGTCAAGTACGAGGATGCTTTCGAGTAAGCAGAAAACTGTAATGAGGTGGAGGATGGATGCTTCGGTCGTTACCTGACAAGCTAGAAAATACATGTCCAGAATATATACATTCCGAGACGGAGAGCGTGTTGCGGGAGAAATATTGCAGTCATTCCTACTACGTCTCTTTGGCCGAAATCATCGATTTGCCGACCACTGACGACAGCAACGGCGTACTCACCTCTGACTACGCCAGCAGTTAAATCCGACCAAGCGGAATATCTGGTGACTATCGAGACCTCGAATATACCTACGAGGTGACTAGCTGACATTGTATTCAGGCCGATACGGACGTGGCCAGCCGGAAAATTCTTGTTGATCATGAACGTACCACGAAACACAGCTTTGCTTCTGTGTGCCCTTCAGGCAAAGGCATCATTCTCGATCGCTCACCATCGTATTTATCTTGAGCGCAACACCTCAATGGATTCGATGAAGCCGATCTGGTTCTCGGTTAGCAAAAGATATCATCTCTGTGACTGCGAGTGACAGATGTATAGCCCGAGACTATGATGATTCGTCGCTAGACATGCATTGTCATGCAAGTTTGAGCTTGACATGAAAATCATTTCAAGAGATTCCAAGTTGGCAACGGCAGCCCGGCCCGAGGAAGAACTGGCAGACTCGACGGAAAACATGTACTCGTATGTTATTCTCTACCTTTTCATCTTAACTGTCATGTACACCGTGAAATCGTCTGTCGCTGTGTTTGTAGTATCGTTGCGATAGCCATAGATCCTCTAACCCGGCAAGAAACGCTTAAAGCTGTCTCGTGAGCTTGCCCCGGACCCCGACAGACCAAAACTTCTTGACTTCGAATTGACATTCACGACTGGAGCAAGTAACCAAAGCCTCTCAGAAGCTTTCCTATAGTACGTCATTCCCACTTCCTTTATCAAGCTGTTTTCCTTTTCCGAATGGCTGTCTTCTGAGGCTATGTAGGGAGTGAGCTCGGGCTTGGACACACTGGTTGTGCTGGTTGCGGTGAGAAGGCTGAAGTACTGTTCTCTGGATATCAATCTGCTGGCTCCTGTAGGCCGGGTGAGTCTCGTCTACCATTATGATCGAGTGGGACCTGATCTAGCCTTAGATTAATCGTCAAATGTGGGATAAGGCCCCGCACAAATCCCGCCGGCTTTTGCTAAAAGCGCCGCCGGCACCTAATGTGCTCCTGCTATTCGCTTCACAAACGGTCTGCAAGTATTTGAAGAAATGTATTCGTTCGCAGCCCTGATACTCCTATTAATTGGTGTGAGGAACGTTCTTCGAACATATGGCTCCAGAGTCTTCGTTGCGCAGGGTCTCGCACCTAGCAGACTCGTAACCAGGAACATGGTAATCTATGATCGGAAACAGTCGCTGGACCCAGACTGACCGAAAACATTTCCATGAATTTGAACTCGAGATGAGAGGACCTCGTGGGCTGCAAAGATTTACAGCTGGTGAGTGATTGGGAGCTGAGCGTATATTTAGATAGGGTACCACAAGAGATCATCAAATGGTAACATCCATTGAAAGCCCTGTACGATGTCTGGTTTTCCATGGAATATATTTTCAATGGTTTCCTAACTCACGTCTTCGATGGTTTCCTCACTCAAGTACTCACATTCCATTCGGTTCCTGGTGGCTGGCCTTCCTCCGCTGCCTGCAGGTCTGGACCGCCGGTCTCGGTCGTGCAGTGTTGCATCCGGCGGGAGGCATTTCATTCAACTGTCAAGGGCTGTCAAAGGCCGGAGATCGGCGACGTCTGATTGGACGACTATGCCCCTAAGCTTGATGTGAATATGCGTCGGTCGGCTCGGTCAAATTTGACTTCAGGGAGGAATATTAAAGTAATGTGTGGACGGGGGATCCGCGGGTTTCTTGTTTCCCTCTTGCTCGTCGACTACCACGACGTTGGCCACCACACCCAGGGTCGCCCCTTTTCAGTGGGTCTTTCGTTGAACGTGTTTAGACATTGCAGAGGAGTGGTATGCCGCAGAGCAGCCGCGCGTCCAGGCATACCGACGAACGGGAACGGGTCAGCGAGCAGGAGAGCAAGCGTAATCGAGGTGCTATATCTTGCGCAGAATGTCGCAGACTGAAGCTAAAATGCGACAAGACCGTTCCATGTTCATCGTGCACCAGACGAGGTTGTGCGTCCATATGTCCCAATGGCAGCCTTACCACCGGACAGGGTACACGGTATGTTGTGTTATTCAACATGCCGTCTGATGATATTGAACATCTCCGAGATTCATACTGGCAGATACAGATCGACTGCATCGCAAGATTGTCGAGATGAGCGATCGCATACGGCAGCTAGAAGACGCCCTAGCTATCTTGCAAGCTAGCATGGGCTCGCGCGAACCTCATCCTCTTCTCCACCGCGACCTGCTCGGTATAAAATCGGGGCTTGAATTGCATGCTGCCAATACGAGCGGCACTGGATTGGAACAGCAACCATCGACAAAGGAAGACGAATCCGCGTTAGATATATTCGGAACTCTTGCCGTGCGTGACGATGGCAGGGCAACCTTCTTTGGGAGCTCAGCCGGTCAGGAGGTACGCTCAAGTGTTTCGTTCTATGTTGCAGCGTTTAATGACCAACAAATCCATCCAGAGCCTACTTCTCGTAAGTCTTTCTCGTGGACATTTGTATTCCGTCTTATCTGCACAACAATTCACTGGTTATCGTTATCATTTGCTCACATCAATTTGCTTTAGGAGGAAAACATAGATTGTGAGAGCCCTCAGGTCCCACGCGCACCAGAGTCTTTGCCAAGAGCCATTGTTCGTCTGAATTCCACCTTTCCATCCGCGCCTACCGACGCTATCACTTCGGATCTTGAAGATCTGTTAGAGTTTCTGCCCCCTTGGCCCCGTGCTGCTCAACTCTGTGATCTATACCTTGAACAGGCGCCATGGTTCTTCGGACCAGTCACTCGCCGACAACTGCTTGATGAACTTCTCCCTATGTTCTATCCAGAAAGTGAGGCAGCAGCTGAGACATCGAATACACCTCCGCCGTCTGGCACCACAGTTACTTTCCAACTCCCTCGTTCAAAATCGAACTCTGGCACACCACACGACCTCGCCCTGATGTTCGTCGTATTCTGCTTCGGCGCTCTGACGGACCCCATCTTACCTCCTGCACCGAACAACGTTGAAGCTAACAGGTACTTTGACATGACCAAGGCAGCATTGAACTTGAAGCCAGTATTGGATGGAAATCCCAGTGTAGCGACGGTGCAGACGTTGAGTTTAATGGGTATCTACCAGGTGCTACTTTCACCGCTTGGTCGAGCCGTCTTTATCTTGACGGATTTTATAATTAGGGGATGGTCTCGGATGACAATAGCATCGAGATCACCTGGGCCTATATGGGTTTGAGTTGTCGGTTGGCGCAAAGCGTAAGTCGCCTGACTATGCTATCCTTTAATGAGATATATCTGACTCTCGGTCGTGTTGTTTAGATTGGCCTTCGTAAGTGCTCAATCATCCGAAACATCATATGACTGAACCCTTCTAGATCGAGACTCTGCTCGATGGAAACTTTCAACCAGCGAAGTTCAAAAGAGACGTGCATTATTTTGGGAATTGTTCATCACTGATGGCTTCCAGGTCCGTTTACTTGATGTTTACATATTCAGGGCGTCACACTCACCGTGGCGTAATAGAGTCTCGCCACTGGTCGGCTGCCGACCTTCTCGCTTCCATTCGTTGACACAGAACTTGCCGCCGATCCTGACGAAACCTTGGCTGAAGATGGTACTGCACAACCTAGCTGTACGTACCGCATTGTGCATCGTATCTATGACATGGACTAACTTGCCTTTTGAAGTTCCCGCATGGAAGGCACGTTTCGGCCAAGAATGCATCGCTCCAACGGTGCAAGCCACAACAAAGGCACACGCGCCGAAGTACTCCGTCATCCTTGAACTGGATCGGAAGATTCGTGATATGGAGTTACCCAAGTATGCAACGGAGCCACGACAGGACGGCGCAGGCTTGAGCAAAACAATGGCGCACTACATGCCTATCAACTATCGCGAGCTGAGTAAGACACATTCCTTCCCTAATCTGTTATTGCTAAGTGGTTGTCTTATATAGCACTGACATATGTCCACCGTTGTTACTTTGCTCAAGCTTTAAGTGATCACCCCCAAGATCCTTTGCGTAGTCCTTATGCACCGTCCTTCTTGGCAGGCTATCGTAGCGCCTGTGCTCTGCTTCTGTCTATGCAAGAACAGTTTGAACTCTTCCCGGTACAGCTGGCAAGGTTCTGGGTGCTCTGGACACATGCGTTCTCCGCTACAGTCTGTTACATTTGTTTCAAACCTTACACAACGTTTCTCATTGTTAGTTTAGGTGATGCTTGCATCAATAGTCACCCATGGAGGAATTACGAAGACCGCTCAAGCGGCCATGGGTGAGCTTCGGATGTCATTGGATCTCTTCCAGAACGCGTCCAAGTATGGTGGACGGGCGGTGAAATTCGTGGTATGTGAGATTGATGTTATTCATCTATGTATTTTATAAACAGACATAACGCCTAGCCTATCATTCGTCGTTTGCATGACAAGGCATACAATAGCATCAACCAAGGGTTCAAGATGCAAAAAGACATATTCACACCTCGAAATGTTGACGGGGAGAATCAAGACGAGCTTTCCATCTTCGGTGGACGTACGCATACCGTCAAGAGCAAGACCACGAAGCCTTCAATGAAACGTTCTGTTTCGCGTCGGCGCACATCTCCCAGCGCAGCTTCATCGTCTGGTGTTCCATCACCTCCCGAGTCATCCCGATCTTCTCAGTCTCCCGCTGTCACACCGTCAAGCTCGCAGGACCAGCATCAACAGGCTGGCCTCCCTGCACCATCGTATTACCACAGTTTGGAGACATATGGAAACTCGGTGCATCCTATGCTTGTGGACCAGATGCGGTCGTTTGAAGGACAGTTGGAAGTTCAGATCAGCAACGCTGCCCAATACTATCTAACGCCATCAAGTTCTGCATCGTCAGTAGCGTCTCCGGAGACCGTCCTTCCCACCTCCAGAGCTCCCACTGCTGAATATCCGGGAGACGCTGCCCACGGCTGGCACACTGCTGAGCGTACAGCTCATCCTCCTCAACCACCTCCTGACATTTATCACTATGCTGAACCGAATCAACAAGCGCTGGTCCCCCCACAGCAACATACTTCTCAACCCATGTTTCTTGCTGATAATCACCCTCAACCCCAGCCAGTCATGCATACCATGCCAATGTACGGCGGTGCAGAGAGTAATATTATCCCCCTTGCTTCGTCTTCTCAGGAGCAACTCCAATACCCAGAGTTCTCTATGTCGATATCCCGTTCCGCTTCTCAGGAATATCAGCACTTTGATCAGCCAGCACAACCGTATTCACAAACATGGATGACACCGTCGCATTCTCAATCGGATGAGCTGTTGCCGGTGTATCCTACCGAAGGAGCTGCGTATGAGCTTGGTGCCATAAACACTAGCCAGCTTCCGGCATCTCAATACCAACCTCACCATATCACTACACCTACGCATTCGGAATCGCTTGGACCTCATGGACACTATCAATACCAAGTTCCTCCGCCTTCGCAATCATCGAGCCAACCGCCACAATACTATCCGCAATACCACCAGCCGATGGTATCACCGCCAGCACCAGCACCAACGGAAAACATCATGCATCATCAGCATCAGCACCACCAGCAGCCATCAGCGGGAGTCCTCCCTGTTCACTCGGGTGTACCGTATAGCTTGCAGGATGCTTGGACGTCGTTCATGCAGCAGGAGTTGCCCAGGCCTGGATCGGACTCTAGCCGTTCGAACACTCATTCTCACCAGGCTAGGTAATACATTTGGAGTTCTGCATCTCCCCTTCTTTTATCTATGGAACATCATTATTTGGTGCGCTTTGCTTTGGTGTGTATAATCCCGTTGAGGTTTCTCTGTCACATAATTGTCTGCACTCTGCTCTTCCCGTTATATCTCTTGCTCGTCTGAACATCTGTCCTTAAATTGCGTTATTCTGTGTTATTTGTTCCTATGCCTCTTTTCGTGGACTGTTGTGAGTGTATCGTGCTGTACTGTACATGTAAAAGTAGAAGACATCGTTAGAGTTGATGTTGTTCTAGTCTTAATGCTTTCTATACATTCGTCCCGTTATTTTAGATCTGGATCTTGTAGGTTTGCACTGACTGCCTGGGCCCTGATCAAACAGCTTGGGATCGCTATCGGGAATTATACTTACATGCATCCTATAGATCTGACGCAACTATGGAAAGACCATCAATTCTTGACTGTCGGTTTGTCACAGTGTCAAGATCAAGTCAAGATAGCCAAGCCAAGCTTAAGGAGAGCGGGTCAGACAAGGATGGGAATTTGATTGCCATTTCGGTGTTCACATTCTGACCGTCATAATCCGGCTTCTGCGATGACATACGCCGCCGCGCCGTACGCGCAATCCACCCTTGGCCTCGACTATAACAACGTACTACAAAGTGTCCTGAACCCATAACGAACGCAAGGCAAATAATATGTCGGGTAAGCTTCAATCTTGATTTCTTTGTCACGATTTTCTCTAACTCTAGAAATGTATACTCTCCCGACAGCAGGAAAATCAGCACTCATCTTAGGAGCTACTGGAGCTACTGGAAAGTTCCTCCTTCAGGAGCTGTTGAAGTCTCCTGCATATTCTCGTGTTGGAGAATATGGTCGGAGAGTGACCCCATCTGAGGATATCACCGCAGGGAAGGAGAAGCTCGTCCAGAAGACGATTGATTTTGAGAAGTTGGGTGAGAGCGGGCTGAAAGAGGGGAACTGGGACGTTGTTTTCGTCACGTAAGTCTGACGTCCTGTGATAGTATTTGTCTCGCGAGCTTGGGCTGAATTGTTTCTAAAGATTGGGAACGAGGAGAGCAAACGTTGAGAGTAATGCTGCTTTTGAAAAGGTTGACAGAGAGTAAGCTTGAAGCATGGATGCTGTGAGTGGTACATTGATTTATGGCTTGGTTTAGATACGTCGTGAATGCTATGCGAGAGGCTAAGAGCGACGATTCTGCTGTGGGGCAGCGTCTTGTATATGTCTCGGTGAGTCCAAACGTTTACTTCGATGGGAATACAGGTATCCCTACTTTGCGTTCTAGGCTATTGGAGCCAATCCGAAGTCGTATCTTCTGTATACAAGGTAGGTTTACACTTTTCTACACGCTGTTTTGAGTACCTGAATGCTTATTGTTCATGACAGGTCAAAAGGTTTGACCGAGCAAGAGCTCTCGAAACTCGGATATAAGGATACCATCATCTTCCGGCCGGCTTCACTTACGGAAGGTAAACGTACAGAACACAGATTTTTAGAGTCGATCGCTATGTAAGTCTTAACAATTTGTCGATATGAATTCATTGTAATGTTCGCTCTCTTTCTGCTGTACTATAGCTCCATTGCCAACCTAAGGCAATCCTGGCAAAACACTTACACAATCCCGGTATGTCGTTCAAGTTCTGTCACGCGTGAGTGCTTTTCCTGATATTCCGTCATGTAGTGCCCTACTTTCGCAAAGGCCTTGAAGAATACTGGCGTTCTTGATAAGGCTACCATCGAGAAGTATGCAACGAAAGATGCAGATGTACCTTTCACTCTCATAGAAAATGACGGTATTCGGCCTCTTGCAGATGAGTCTGTCTAGATTGTCGAATAGGCACTTCGTTTTGCGGCTGGGCGTCCTATCACATTGAATCTTGATATATCGGAATGAACCACGACTTTTTGAACTGGAATGGAGGAAAGGAATTTGCACCTATTACGGTGCCACTGACTTGCCATTCAAGCCAGCGTATCGACATACTCTCGCTCACGATGCATCGAGGTTCGGATTGCCAGGACGAAGCTGCATGTTGTCGTAATCTGCATTCTTGCCATATATACGTTGTTCCCTTTGGTTGTCACCTGAGCACCATCGGACAATGGACTAGTCAAATCTGAACACTATCTGGAAAGTACTAACACAATTCCTCATCATATTCCTTGAGGCGCTTAACAGGCGGAAATAATATGGCACGTCCACACCTTATCCTTCACACAACCGCGTTTTCTATGAATGCCACTCTCAAACCATACTCACAGCCTCATGGACATGGCTGGCAATTGTACGCCCGAACGACTCCTCGATATAACTTACAAGTCTGGCCACATCGGTGATCTCGGACATTCTGAGGCGCTGTGGACGCAGTCAGCGGAGGTATGTTCCTGGATAATAGAGTTACTACTAGCTGCAGTACCCTTCATATCAATATCCAATCTACGCCGCTACTGACATTCTGTGTATAGCATCATGATTAGGTCTCGGTCAGTCCGCCACTCACATCGTCTCAGCTGCAGGCGTTGAACGTATTTGTTTGCATGTTTCGCAACAGAGAACACCACCTCATCCCGTCTACCTTTGAGATGATTGGAACTCTGAACTCTCCACGTGATATTTACCGGTTTTTAGTGAGTCTGTATAACGAGTTACTGTTCTGAGTGAGCCATGACATATTACTGAAGTGACAGGTGCTCCATGACTCGCGGGAGAGTTTTCAAGACTGATGTTCACTGGGAATTAGTGATCAGACAAGTCTCCGCAGCTGTTCAAGTATATCCGCCTTTTGGGTGGTCGGATATAATAACTTTGGCTTTCGAGGATGCCATTATTTGGGTGGAAGAGCAGAGGCTTGCGCAGGCGTGGCTGTTACACCAGCGTGAATTTGGGTCAGACGCACCAGTGCTCCCTCTCCATCCGTGCCCGAGGGGCGGGGCGTGTCTGCCCATCTCATCTGTGTTACCAGCGGAGGTCGAAAAATGGCTGCTCAGCGTTTTATGCAGCCAGCCAGGTTCGTTGCGGCCACCTCGGGCAACTGAATTCGAAGTACTGTCAGCCTTCCTTGGGCGGTCTTCGAATTCAAACCTACATAAAGCAGCCCGCCGTTCGAGGTTGACTTTCTTCAGGTTGTCCTTCTCCAACCATCTCCCCTCTCCTCTTTTCCCGCTCGTCCTCTACGTCTTTGCTGCTTCCCCACCCTAATCCTCTCTACATCACTCAACATGTTGCGTTCAAGCTTGCTCGCTGCTCTCGTTGGTTGCGCGTTCGTTCTCGCCGCGCCGACGGTCAACACAGATGCCAATGAGGTCGTCGACGGTGGGTTTCAATTTATCTGTTTTGTCTCCACTTGTCCAACCTTATCGCTTTTACTAGACGTTGCCATTCTCAACTTCGCGCTCACCCTCGAGCACCTCGAGAACGCCTTCTACACTCAGTGTTTGGCCACATTTGATGCAAAGGATTTCGCCAAAGCTGGGTATCCAGATTGGGTTCGCGGCCGTTTCGAGCAGATCGCGATGCACGAGGCTACTCATGTCCGCTTCCTCGAAGGGGCTCTCGGCGACAAAGCCACCAAGCCATGCGAGTACAAGTTGTAAGTCCCATCTAAACTCTTATTTGCCTCGCACATATACTCATATTTCTGCTCGTAGCCCCTGCGACGACCCTCGTTCGTTCTCCGCGATCTCCATGGCGCTGGAAACTGTCGGAACTTCGGCCTACCTTGGTGCAGCACCTTTGATCGAGAACAAGAGTTACCTCGCTGACGCCGGCGTACGTTTTGCATAGCATCCTTTCTCTTCAGTTGCTAAATATGATTCGTTCCCATGTTAGTCTATTCTTGCCACCGAGGCTCGTCAGGCTGCGTGGGTCAGTTCTGCAGTGCTTAAGGGCTCTGCTTGGGATGGTCCCTTCGAGACTCCGCTCGGAGCAACTCTTGTGTTCTCTCTCGCTAGTATGCTTATTTCCCGTTGTTCATTCTGCGACAGGGAACACTAATACGCCATCTGAATCTCCGCCAATAGGCCAATTCATCGTGTCTTGCCCCGCCTCGAACCCACCACTCCCGGTGTCTATCAAACCCACACTCTCTGTCAGCGTCATAGATACATCTGCGCGATCGGCCAAACTCACCTTTGACCGCTCTGCTGACAACAAGCAACCCCTCTGTCTTGCCTATTTCACCGGTCTTGATGTGAAGTTCACAGACATCAAACAAAAGGGTGATGAGTATACTACGACTGTTCCTGCAAACTTGCAAGGGACCGTCTATGTTGCTGTTGTCGACTGTACGAACACGAAACCTACGGACATGAACACTCTGACGGGTGCGACGATGCTGGAGTTTCCGTTCTCGAGTTCGGCGAAGAATGTTGCATGAAATAGGGCATAGGATGTAGAGTGGTCTCGCGACTTCTTCCCTTAGGAATGGTTCGAAATACATTGGATACAATAGGACTATCAGTGCATATTGTAGCAGACGTTTCCTGGACACTTTTCTTTCCTTATCATACCCCGTAACGCTTTATTGTACCGTCTTCACAGTATTATACATCCCACGTTCTTTACCCCTCATATTTTTTTGAAACCAGAGATGAATTCTTGAAGGCTTAGGAAGATTTTGGAGACCAGGACTTTATGCCCAAAACATTTGTTGAAGATAGGGCGATTTGTGTGAAGGTTCGACTTAAGGCCTAACACTATTAGCGCCATTCTTGTAACGATATTCCCCACCCATTTGCATCTGCGGGCTTTATGTTAATCGCAATGCACACCGCCAACGACTAAGGCATGTTATGAGCTCAGCCCCCCGAAAGTAATACATTCCATCTTGTTAAGTTACAGACATTAGGATTACGAACTATTACTCTCATCATTCCACTTTTGACGAGGCTGCGTTTCATTGCACAGCACAACTCAGAGAACATGGGCACTGGGATTTAGTCGAGTTCGTCAAGGTCACGGCGGACAAACGTTTGGGGCAAGGCACCGGTCCCAAACGTGTTGAAGCCTCCGCCGAACTGAGCGTTTTGAGCGGCAAGAAGCTGGTTCTGCTGGGCTTGAGTGAACGCGCTATGGGGTGAGACGTGAGTATGGCTCCTCATGAAGGGGATCAAGAGAGTTCCGACGTACTTAATACCAGTGTTGACAACGCCGCCGACGGTGCTAAGGATATCGGCAACGTGACCGAGCCTAGAACCGGACGATCCAGAAGTCCTAGCAGCGCGAGCCTGGAGCCACCGACGAGCGGGAGTGTCGGTGGTAGTAGCAGGGTCGGTAGTGGCAGGGTCGGTGGCAGTTGGGGCGGTGGCAGTTGGATCGCTTACAGAGGGATCAGTGACAGAGGGGTCAACGGGAGGCGGGGTGAACAGTTGAGCTTGTTGAGCGGCGATCGCAGCGTTCTGAGCTTGTTGCGCGGCGAGTTGCTGCTGGATAAGCTGGTTCTGCTCGTGTTGTTGAGCGGCGCTAGAAATAAATAGTCAACATCACAGACCAATGTACGCAGTGAACTTGGTACTTACTTGATACCAGTACCCACAACAGTGCCAATGGTGCCAACGATGTCCGCAATGTGCTGGCCACGCGAGCCCGAGCTGGAAGTTGAAGGTCTGGTCCTGAATAAGCGAGCTTCCAAGCCACGTCTAGCAACAGGGGCGACATTTTGCGCCGCAACCTGGGACGCAAGGATTTGGTTCTGCTGCGCTTGCTGAGCAGCACTACGAAGGATAAAATGTCAGATACACTAGTGTGACGCTGAAGCATGAAACAATACGCACTTGACACCGGTGTTCACTACATCACCCACAGTTCCGAAGATCTGTGCAATGTCTTGTCCTGAGAATCGACTGCCTGTACGGCCACCTGTCCTCACACGGCGCGCCTCGAGCTCTTCAAAGAATCGACGAACAAGAGATCCGTCGGGAAGCCCTTGGGCGTTCAGAGGGACAAGCTGGTCAGTCAGGAGTTGGTTCTGCTGTGCTTGTTGAGCAGCGCTACACATAGTTGGTCAATGTAAAGTTATCGCAGGTACCTCAACCAGAACTCACTTGATTCCAGTACTTGCAACAGTACCAACGGTACCAAATATATCAGCAATGTCTTGACCGGAGAATCGGCTTCCTGAGCTGGCACCGCCTGTTCGACGGCGACGTGCCTCAAGATCTCGACGAGATGGGGCAACTGAAGGATCCAATGAAGGATCCAATGAAGGGTCCACAGGGAAATTGCCAGAAGGATCAGCAGGAAAATCGGTAGTAGGGTCAACAGGGATATCTGAGGGGTCAGAAGGGAGGAAAGTCGCAGTAGGAGCAGGAGCAGGAGCAGGAGTGGTTGTGCTGGAACTGTGGTGGAAGAAGTCCTTGAGCTTATGGGCAGCCCCTTCGATCTTATCGCCCACGCCTTGAACGAATTCGGAGAAGCCTCGCGCTTCGATGTCAGAGCTAGGGAAATTTTGCCATTAATACACGTGAAGTTTGTCAAGGGTCACGATGCAAACTCACAAAGGTACGTCTCGCCTGAAAACGGTGATCAGATGTGAGAACAGAGATATATAGGATTGTGTGAAATCACTCACTCGACAGGAATCGAGTATGCAGGCAAGCTTGAGGCAGCAACTACTGCAAGGACAACAGCGGAAGAGAAATGCATCGTAGATGAAAATGATGATAAGCGAAAATAGATCGTAAAAACTTCGTTGAGGGAAAGACGAAAGAAAGCTGCAACAAAAGTAAGACAAGAATGAATGAAGGAATCAAGGCTATAGCATAACATTCATAGTGAGTAGAGCATCCATCGAATGAAAACATCCTACTCACCAACCAGCACCAAGATTTGACTAAAGTTGGGATGAGTCCGGGGGGGCTGAGGATCCGTCAATGCACGATGCCATTTTATAAGTCGTCGGATGCCTTCGCGAGCCCGTATGGTCGCATTTGCTAGTCCATATCGGAGATGTCAGACAGTCTCGAATGCATCTGATGCGGAAAAATTCTGGGTCAGCTTCCAAGCTGTTGGAGGCGTGGCACGATTTCAGTGTTTCACGGGAAATGCGCTGGGCGGGTTGCTGAGAAGATGAACGCCGAGAATGAAGCACTGGATGCAAGTTATTCACGCTGTCCATTGCTTCCTGAGTATCTGGCTATTAGCATAGTTGGACTACTTTTATAATAGGCGTTATAGACACACCATGTACTCACTGGATATCGTAGGCTTGGTACAATGTCAAGATGAGATCTTGGGAGGATCCCAACATTGCATGTCATGATGGATCGCTGACCGCCATCAGAGACTGCAGGTACAAGATCCAGATGCTGTGAACATTTGACAGTGGTCCGAGTCGGTCCAATCAGCAATCAGCAATCAGCGCTCAGCTTAGGAAGTTACCATCAGATCAATTCTGCATGACACAGTCCGCCCAAAAAGGAATTCTTTCTATAGGACAGGTTGGAGGATTTCAGGAAGAATGGGTAGAAGCACAAACAAAGATTTACAGTCGGCTCGCTCTCCCATAGATATGCGTTCTTATAGCCCCGGGCCATAGAGCAAGTCTCCAAGAAGTTGCAGTTTGTGCGACTATGTCCGATATCATTCTGGAGCCTTACAACATATTGCATTAGCTATGCAGATCGGCGTTTTTGCTCATCATGCATCATGGGCATTTATCGCCGAGCTTAAACGTCTATAGAGGATGTTTGATTGCTTCCTCGAGAGGCTTAGGTTATGAAGTCTTCGGCGCATTTCTCACGATTCCAAGTGAGATTCGGAGCAAACGAAGGTATGGTGCTGGTCCTGTAAACAGCTTGGCCGCTAAAATTTGAAAGGTAGTGAGCAGATGTTAACATGATTCCACCGGCTTAGGTGCGTTCCTAGAAATGATGAAGACCTCGTTAGCAAAGCCAGGCGTGGGCACAAGGTCAATATGTTTCGGACATATCAAGGTTTTACCTGGGCGCGTTTGGAGCGCCTCAACGTAAGCATGTTCCAAGTCAAGCCAAGAAGGCACCAATCGACCATGCTCTGTCAGTGAAGGCGAAGGCCATACATTGATACAAGTACAAGTTTTAGTGTGTTGAGGTGATACAGATGCCATTGTAGTACAGACGAAGATAGCAGCAGGACGAGTAAACCAAAGTGCGACAGAGTCAGTGGGATAGAGATGTGCAGAGCAGTCCGGGAGAGAGGGAGAAGACATGCCAGCATGAGTGTGCAAATAGACAGAAGTGAATAGCATGAGGATGATCTACGAGCGTTCTCAATCGTCCGAAGGCGTGAAGGAAGCGAAGGGTTGTCCGAAAGATAATGGCGACAAACGCTCTGCAATACTTCCATTTCTTGAACGAGCTCGGCTCGAAGTCCTGTTGGGAGGAGATGAAGGTGTGTGTGGAGTCATAGATCGTATAGGAGGATCGGGGTAGACGACAGAGGGAGGAACAGGAGCAGGATCATAGGGTGTCCTAGGAGGTGATGGTGAGCGACGAATTGAGTTACCTTCCATAACGTCAGGAGGTGTTGGTGGGGTGCCCGGTTTTGGTGAAAAAGAAGTGGGCATGAAGTTCGGTGGGAGGGTATCCACTTCGGGGATCTGACTCTTGTCCATGACAAACTTCGGTGCTTCGAAGTGCATCGCTAGAACGGGCTCAACTTGGATAGGAAGTGGTCGATTGGCATGATCCGGGCTGAGCAGATGAGGTATATTGGTTGTCCTCTGACTGGATCCTCGAGAAGACGCAGGCGTCGACTGTAGCGGTGCATGTCAGTTACCATGTCCCATAGCCGAGTCGGTGATTCGTACCGGAGATTCCACCTTGATCTCTGGGACCAGGGATCCGCGTTCCTGTTCAGTTGGCGAACGCTTGTTTCGGAAACGTTTCTTGAAGAGACGTTCCAGCGGACTACGATTTCCGGAGTCCGTTCTCTTGCGACTTCCTGATTCTGGTGTGCCAGAGGACGAGCTAAGGAGGGAAGGTTCATTCTGATCGCGCGGGCCTCTAGGTGAACGTATGTCACGCTACGTAGAGAAAAACAACGAATGTGAGAGCAATACAACAAAAGCATAAACAGGTACTCACGTCCATCCGTGAAGGTGTCCTGACGGGCGTCATGGGACGTCGTGGCCCACTTGCCGAAGACTGGGATCGATAACTACTTCCTTGCTGGAAATCGTCGCGATGCCGTCTTTCATTTACAGTCGAACTTGACCTAGGCGGAGCGATTATTTCGAATTGCGAAATGTGAGTAGATGTACGAGATTGCGGGGAACCGATACCATAGACCGGATGACCTATAGCTTCATGATCTCTTGCAGAATCATACGCAAAGTCTCTAGAGCGAATTGAGGCAGCGTTCGGTTCCGGCACCCTGGGTAGAGTAGACTCCGCGACAGAAGGTGATCGTTCGATGGGTGTGGGAGATCTCTGGAACTCATGAGGCGGAGGGATTGATATTGTCTCGTCTCGGTCGGCATATGGAATGAAATTGTCTGGAGGCACCTCGACTGGGGGATGAATTGGCGATGGAGCGACATTGCGAATAGGAATAGGAACAGGATCTCCGTCAGATCGCCGATATTGCTGATTGACATTCGATACGGGGCTCGGCGAGGAGGGAGCATGGAATGGAGACGGAGCGTTGACGGGGGTGGTCATAGTAGGAACGGGTAAAATTGGTGCGTGATGTGAAGCCTCATTGACATGTCGCGGCGTGGTCGACCTTGGATTGTTACGCGATGACGTAGTACTATTCGAGAACGTCAGCATGTGAAGGGCATTGAATTATCATGAAAATCTCACTTAGACCTCGGACGAGGATGGGGGGAGTATGTCGTAGGTGGTGGTGGCGTCCTGCGAGGAGGCGAACCCGCAGTACTAGCGCGGACGTATATTGGCTCAGGCTGCTCATCGTCCGAGACACTGTCGTCTATTATAGCTGCTGGTGGCTGCATAATCACACGATCAGGCATACGCGTACGAGGTTGCGACTCATAGTAGCCCATTGTTTTCCCTCGGTAGTAACCTTCCTCATACCCCTCTCGTCGACCTTCCTCTCGAGCCCTCACAATGATGTTGTCTTCGCGCAGTTTTCTCGCAGTCGTCCTTGCTCGGGCAGCTCTAGCCTCGGCATCCTGCTTCTCTTGTTCCAATTGATCAACAATGTCTTGGGCTCGAAGAATCTCGCGCTGTGCGGTCTCTAGTTGCAGTTTGTACAGTCGAAGTTCCTCGTTTGCGCGAGCGGCTTCCGCACGAACAGTCAAGATCGTTTCGTTAGCAGTCCGAAGTCTTTCAAGCACCTCAACAACCCGTTGCTCGGCTTGGTCAGCACGACGGGTCTCGCTCTCGAGACGATCACTTGTAAGAACGAGTAACGTCCGAATTTGTTTTGAATCACGCTCCTCGCGGGGATATAAGCGAGATAAGAGTCTGGTAGACGTCCCATCGTAATGTTGTCGCTCGTGGTCGGCTCTGCGAGGGTGGCAAGACGACGCAGAGGACCTTTGGGACTTTGTGTGAACACTCGTTGTGCGAGGAAGGGTGTCGTCTGTGGACGACGAATGTGTATCGGGGGCAGTCATGATGGGAAATGGATATTCGTCACTGGAAGCACAGTTTTGAGATTCCAGGCAAGCGGTGATAAGCCCATCGAGTAATGTGCTTACCGTTCTTGACCGCTGAAGCCTTCCATCGTACGTACCAACGAGGTTGAAGACATAATAGCAAATGTCGGGTAGCCGCAGAGTCAAAGACAGGCGTCCTGACTGACGCAGCGATGGAGCTGCGATTGCGCCTCTCCAGATATCATGCCCAGCAAGATGTTCGGATGTGAAAGATATCTACTCCTTGACCCATCTCCACTCAGATATGAAGTACTAGAGCGTTGAAAGGGCGTGGAGGTGGGCTTATTCCAGCATGTTCAACACGTGTTCTCCATGCTAGGTATGACCTGGGACTGAGCAGATGACGAGGTCAGTATCGATTACCGCCGAACTCAATAGACCTACGGTATAGAACGTAAACTTCCCATGACCTGTCGTTCTCATCTAATATTACAAGAGAAAGAGTCGCGGCAGAACGCATACTCCAATATGGAACAATTCTAATCTTAGCGAGCAAGTTATACCTCGGGATCTAATCTACCTTCACTATATGCCCCTCAGTTCATTGATCAATTCCGTCTTTGACAACACACCGCACATGCCCAAAGCAACCTGGGGACGAAAGATGACCTTGAACGCATAGAGCACAGTATATGGTGCGTTCTACTTTGATGTCTTCTCTACTCATCCCCAAAAGTCACAGATGTTCTACGGCCTCGGATCCAGTTTCGATAAAGTCTGACGAGTCTATCAGAGCCATAACTCAAATCCTCCTTGCTGTGCGATATACGATGTATGGGTGAGAAAGTAATAGCAAAAAAAACGCCTTGATTTCTTTCATTCGCACTGGCGTACATCGATAGTTAAACAGCGGAGATTCAACAACAGCATTGTAGCACAATGCTAGAAACATTGACTTTGTATTCGTATGTCCAGTGACATTGTCTCGTAAAATAGTTCAAAAAAATCCTCTTCCCACAGGTTTCACCTCTGCCAACCCATCAGATCGCCGCACCCACGTCTAACAGAGGGTTTCTCCGATCATGCTGGATCTACTGATGCAGAAAGATCTCCTAGACGCTACCGTATCCTGTATAATTTGCATTCCGCCCTAAGGGATACAAACACGCACTCAGACACGATCATCACAGTACGTAGATCATATGGACTTCATTCTTCCCAGCTAGTCGCGGAGGCTTCAAATGTAGCAGGCCAATAACTTTCAAGTCAGTGAGTACGTCGTTACGTATCATTTCGCAGCAGCTGATCGTAGGAGTTAACCGTCTATCATGAAAGGTCTCACGTCTTACCGCTGGCATATTACTTACTCCCTGTACATGCAACTTCCGATGTCCTTATCCGCGCCTGTCAGGATACAAGGACGACGCTCCGGCTGCGCTAGACGAGTTCTTAATCGATAGCATCACACATCGACATATTCGGTGAGAACTTAACGTACCCCACACCGGACCAGTCGTAAATGGTCTCTCAAAGGTCACACAGCGCCACATCCACGAAATCATTCTGCACCACATATTCCTGTCGCCAGAATCGGCAGTGGGTTGCGCCTAGCTTCCTCAGTCTCAGCGCAGTAATTCCTGTCAGCAGCTCTTGTAGTGCTTTTTTCCCACCTTGAAGCATGCCAGACGACAACGTGCACTTGCGCAAATTGGTTGAGCGTTTTCTCAACAAGTCAGATGCAACTCATAGGACCCTGAAGTTGTCGGGTCAGCCCTTCATTCAATGTTACTCCGGATAATGTACTGACATGTTACAGCGATTGAGGCGAAGAACCTTCCTTTGACTGAAGATTCAAACGATGGCATATTCGTCCAAGTGCATGCGTTAGGGACTACCGGCGGATTTCAGACGTCTTCCGTGTCTTGCGTCCCAAACGCAGTGTGGTATGACGATATAGTTCTGTGCGAGGGCTTTTTCGTATTATGTGAAAAGTCGACACTCAGTTTGGATACTAACAGGTCTGACATATCTTCAGACACCATTGTTTCATTCGATGTGTTCAAGAAGGTCGCTTCCGAAGATACAGACAGCCAATACTCATTCGTTTGGGGTGGCTGCTTTGCTCTCTACAAGTTGCTCAGAGGCAAACTCGATGGTAGTGGTAATTCTGGCACTCTCGACCCCATCAGTACTTAGAACATCATTTCTAGTCTCAGCGGAAGTACAATGCAGTGAAGAAGAACCGTGCATATGTGTTGGTTTTCCGGAGTACAATAAATCGATCCAGCTCCGATTTGATGTCTCCGAAAACATAGTCCTGAGGTAGGAAATGTAAGATGCTTCTACGTCTCTACGTGCTCTCTATCGCCTTATACATGCGCTTTTCAGCAGGGCTCTCTTTCCGATGAACAATTCGCTCAAAAGGTGAACGAGCTGCGTGTTGCTTATCTTGAGCGGCGGACCATGATACCGGTCTGGCGCCTTGCCAAGTCGAAAGTCGACTTTGACTCTGATAATGGACTGTTGAAAATATGGTACCAAACTGATCAGGGTCAATTTTATGTTGAGTTCCGAGACGGCGGGGAAGGTTCACTGGCAGGCGACGTCATCCGCTTTGGACGCGATATCCCTGAGTACAACAGGTCACTTTTGATCAATGGCAATCTTGTTGTTCGTGATATACCTCGTCCGGACTATTTCGACCGTTACGCAGACTGGGAAGGCGACGAAGAAGATGTCTCGGAAGAATTGGCTTTACTCCCCATCATCAAAGTCGATCAGAGTCAGCACTTTGTGAAGGTGCCCAAGTACAAGGGGGAAATATCTACCTTGTTGCGCTGCCGGGGATCCTCTCACGTTGTACATCTACTAGGCAAATCAGAGGACGATAAACTCGTCTTCAACCGCTGCACACCCTGTTTCGAGTACATTGCAGGGCGCAATCGCACCAAAACTCTGATCAAGTCCTGGATGTTGCAGCTAGTCGATGGCGTTGCCTTTCTGCATTCCCAAGGAATTATACACCGTGACTTGAAAGGACTCAACATCCTTTTCGATGAGGCTGGCCGAGTCGTCATCTGCGATCTGGAATGTCACTGGGCAGATCTGATGTACCTTGCCGACGAATGCAAAGGGTACAAAAATTTCACCGCGGCTAGTGATGTCTATGCTCTTGGAGGATGCCTGTGGTATTTCTGCTATGCGAACACGCCGCTAATTTCTGTGATCCAGTTCATTGTTCCTCCTCCTTTTAACACTGTTCTTGAAGCTTGCCATTGCAAGTGTCCAGAAGATAGACCTAGTATCGCCGAACTGCATCACATGCTCGAAGTGCTGGAGGTCTGATATAGGTGCATTCTTTCCGTTCAACGCGGAACCATTCCGACTAAGCCTTGAAGCTCTCTTTCACTCCCATCATCAGATGACTAGGTATTATTGTCCTTGGGAGATTTTCTTGTCTTGCAGTCATGGACTTGACGATCACTTTGAGAAACTCGCTCTGCTGCCTAGAAAAATAGACGGGACTAAATGTTTCCTGAAGTCGCCCGGGTCCAAGGCCGAAATCGGTAACCTATTGTTCCACCGAAGATCACCCAACATCGTTCAGTTATTGACCAAATCGTCTAATGAGTGCCTTGTCTTCACGTGCTGCAACGCTTCGCTCATTTATATCATTGTGCGGAAATTACCAAGAGCCTCATGACTCGGCGACATAGTGTGCACGTATATCTTGTCATTGATGTACTTTCTATGACACGATTTATAATTGGGTTACTTTCCAAGCATCCTCTGGCTTCGCCTTTGCAAGGTGTGACTAAATAAAATCATCCGACGAGTCAGATGCTGGGCCTACAGACCACTCGCGGTCCTCAGCGTCTGACTCGCCTAGGCTTGAGATTTCAATACGTCCTCATCGACTGGTATCGGCTCTTCACCATGCAATCTCTTCAAAGCAAGAGCGATCTTTGAGAGTACAATGTCATGTGTCATCTTTTTGCCTTGGGGCTGTCCCGGTTGAACACGTCTAGTTGTCCTCAGTTTCTGGTACCACACCAATTGCAGCAAATCCTCGAGGAGTAATGCATGGACTTTTTCCATCAAGGTCTTGAATGCCTCGAGGACGGGGATAGGATGACCATAAACACTGTTGGCAAGGTGACTCCTAGTTTCGGCGATGTGTTCTGGAGACTTGTGGCTAAACCATGTTTGAAACGTCTGCTCTAGGATAGCCTTGTTGCTTGGATGAATCTTTGAGTTTGCTTTCAAATCTAACAAGACCCTTTTGCACAGTGCGTAGAAAACAACCCAGACAAGTGATTCCAAATCGTGATAAGACTTGTAGGTGGGAGTTATTACGCGAGGCGCGACCACAGCAAGATCAGCTCCCAACCGCGGCCCAAATTGCAAAAGAAGCTCTATCGCCATGAATTGCAAGGTACCCTAGCCAATTCCATTGATCCCGAATCTCAAGTGCAATCAAAGATATAGCTCACCGTTGTGACGGGACCAGCTGACCGTACGCTTTCTGGCATGTCCCGGTTATATGTCAGTGGGTGGGAGTGCGGCAGCTTTGTGTATTCGAAGTCGAACAAAAATCCTTCCTCCCCATTTGGCGGATTTGGAGAGGCAACTAAGGATGTATTACTGATAGTGATATCACAATGGCACATGTCTAGATCTGCGAGTTTCTGAAGGCCTGTGCGACGGTGTAAAATTTGTCAAGGATCGACCAAGTCTATGAACCACGTACAGATTACGATAGATCGTAGACCGTTCAAGAATTCTTCAGGGTCTTTGAAGTGGTACAGAGGCCTTCCAAGAGAGTTCCGATTCAAACGGTGAAGCATTGGGTCCGCCATTGCAGGACCTTCAATCCGTGAGTAATCGAGTGCAACATTGAGCTCATTCTGATGTCGCGTAGCCCTATTCATGCTAAAAAGACCAGGCATATGTATTTAGACCTTTGAGTATGCGATTAGAATCCGATGACGGAGTGTCAAACACGAGCAGACTGGCAGTGACACCTGGAATGGAAGTTATATTCATATACTGCCAGCACTTGCTAGACGTATTACCTACTAGTTACCACTGGTTGACATGTCTGAGTACGAGGCATGCACCGTGATAGAAGTATGGAGTCTGTTACGTAGGGTGAATTGACATCACTTCATTAATAATTGGTATATTTCTCAACAAAGTGGGCCGACTAGCTCAGCTGGTTAGAGCGTGGTGCTAATAACGCCAAGGTCGTCGGTTCGATCCCGGCGTTGGCCAATACTTTTGGGTCAAGTTCAAGCGGAGCTGGAAGATGTTACGTCAAGGGAAATTGAATGTCCGACGAACTCATGGAAGCAGCTCCGCCGGGTGTTGGACAGGCTCAGCCGCAGCGTCATTCTTTTTAGTTCACACCACCACCGTCGTCGACGACGACGACGAACCCGCTCTTTCACTTCAATGGCTGGCCGACCTGACCCTAGGAGTCAGGAGGGCGCATACGTCTCGCCTTCGCCATCCTCGGACCCGCACGATCCCTTCAGCAATGGACACGATCCCCGCTACTACGATAACGATTCGGACAACAATGACTATGGCCGTCGCGACACTTATACTTCAGACAGCAGCAACCATGGCATGAACGACGACGACCGCTACTACGACCACCATGGAGCATATGACCCCTACGGCCGTGAGTATGCGTTGTCTCTTAGCTAGTGCGCTTAATTGAAACGTCTGGGCAGCACAACCCGACACAGATTCCGACGTAGATGTCTATGGGCAGAAATATGCCCCGTCTGCTGAATCGCTTGGGCCTGCGCGAGTGGGCGTCTCAGAGTCCTCAACACCCACTTTTGTCGACCATGGGCCTGCAGGCGCACGCGAGGCATATCCTGCGTGGGGTGCAGAGCGGCAAATCCCGTTGTCCAAGGAAGAAATTGAGGATATCTTCCTCGATCTCACGCAGAAGTTTGGATTTCAGCGGGATTCAATGCGGAATATGGTGCGTGCATTGCGAGCTAGATATCCTCGGGTACTGATCTTCTGCAGTTCGACTTCACAATGCAACTCCTAGATAGCCGCGCTTCACGCATGTCGCCCAACCAAGCGCTTCTGACACTCCATGCAGACTATATTGGTGGACAGCATGCAAATTACCGCAAGTGGTATTTTGCGGCACAGCTTGATCTCGACGATGCTGTAGGACACACTCAGAACCCGGGCTTGCAACGTTTAAAATCGGTCAAGAGTCGGGGGCCGAAGAACGTACATGAGAAGTCATTGAATAGTGCACTAGACCGATGGAGGCAGGCTATGAACAACATGAGCCAGTACGACCGCATGCGACAAATCGCACTCTACGTCCTTCTGTGGGGCGAGGCAGCACAGGTTCGATTTGTGCCCGAATGTCTTTGCTTTATTTTCAAATGCGCGGACGACTACTACCGATCTCCCGAGTGCCAGAACAGGATAGACCCCGTGCCCGAAGGTCTCTATCTTCGATCCGTCATCAAACCTCTTTATCGGTTTATTCGTGACCAAGGGTATGAGGTTGTCGATGGTAGGTTCGTGCGGCGGGAAAAGGACCACGAGAGCATCATTGGGTACGACGACGTCAATCAACTCTTTTGGTACCCTGAAGGCATCGCTCGCATCACGCTTACTGATAAGGTGAGTTTATTTCTCTTATGCTGGTCCGTACTGACGCTCGTTCTCAGACCCGTCTCGTGGATCTACCCCCGTCAGCACGATTCATGAAGTTCGACCGGATCGACTGGAATCGTGCCTTTTTCAAGACGTATTACGAGAAGCGATCGTTCGGTCACCTTCTCGTGAACTTCAATCGGATATGGGTCATACACATTGCGATGTATTGGTTCTATACTGCATACAACTCGCCAACCATCTACAACGGTGATCGCTCTACTGCTATGCGATGGTCAGCGACTGCACTCGGTGGTGCCGTTGCGACAATCATAATGATATGTGCAACACTGGCTGAATTTTCTTACATTCCGACAACATGGAACAACACCTCACATCTGACTCGGCGCCTTCTCTTCCTCGCGGTCACCCTGGCACTGACAGCTGGTCCTACGTTCTATATCGCTATTGCGGAGAGTAATTCTCCTGGAGGTTCACTCGCCCTCATCCTCGGTATCGTGCAGTTTTTCATCTCGGTCGTTGCCACCCTCTTGTTCGCCATTCTGCCATCTGGACGAATGTTCGGAGACCGAGTAGCAGGCAAATCGCGGAAGTATCTAGCCAGTCAAACCTTCACGGCGAGTTACCCAACACTGACACCAACGGCACGCATGGCTTCTATTCTGCTCTGGGCCCTCGTATTTGGCTGCAAGTTCACCGAATCCTACTTCTTCCTCACGCAAGGCTTCCGTGACCCCATTCGTGTCATGGTGCACATGAGGGTACGAGGGTGCAATGACAAGTACTTCGGCAATGCGCTTTGCAGGAATCAAGCCGCTTTTACTCTCACGATCATGTACCTCATGGATCTCGTCCTGTTCTTCCTGGATACCTTCTTGTGGTGGATCATTTGGAATACGGTCTTCAGTATCGCACGGTCTTTCGCTCTTGGTCTATCGATCTGGACACCCTGGAAAGACATCTACACTAGACTACCGAAGAGGATTTATGCAAAGTTGTTGGCCACGGGCGATATGGAAGTTCGTTACAAGCCAAAGGTTTGTCTTTACTTTTTCTTTCATCCGGTGCAGTGAAAGTCTGAAGCCAAATGCTACGGATAGGTCCTCGTTTCGCAAATATGGAACGCGATCATCATCTCCATGTATCGGGAACATCTGCTCTCCATCGACCACGTCCAGAAGCTCCTATATCACCAAGTTGATGCAGGTCAAGATGGAAGGCGGAGTCTGCGGGCACCGCCCTTCTTCATTTCACAGAGTGATAAGGGCCTACAGGGCGAGTTTTTCCCACCGGGGAGTGAAGCCGAACGTCGCATTTCGTTCTTTGCGCAGTCACTTACCACTGCTATACCGGAGCCTCTTCCCGTTGATGCTATGCCTACGTTCACTGTTCTGACGCCTCACTACAGCGAAAAGGTGCGTTCTTCCGATATTTTCCCAATTCTGATATTTTACTGATGCCTACGTTTCTAGATCCTGCTGTCATTGCGCGAGATCATCCGCGAGGAGGACCAGAATACTCGAGTCACACTGCTGGAGTATCTCAAGCAATTACACTCGGTCGAATGGGAGAATTTCGTGAAGGATACCAAAATCCTTGCAGAGGAATCTGAAATGTACAATGGTCCAAGTCCATTCGGCGCTACCGACGAGAAGGGTCAGTCAAAGGCTGACGACCTTCCATTCTACTGCATCGGATTCAAGAGCGCTGCTCCTGAGTTCACCCTTCGCACACGTATCTGGGCTTCTCTGCGAGCGCAGACACTTTATCGAACTGTCTCTGGCATGATGAACTATGCGAAGGCAATCAAACTGCTCTACCGTGTTGAAAACCCAGAGGTGGTGCAGCTTTTTGGTGGCAACACGGATAAGCTCGAACGTGAACTGGAGCGGATGGCCCGACGGAAATTCAAGTTCGTTGTGTCGATGCAACGGTATTCCAAGTTCAGCCGGGAAGAACAAGAGAATGCGGAATTTCTCCTTCGTGCGTATCCTGACCTACAAATTGCGTACTTGGAAGAAGAGCCGCCACGCAAGGAGGGAGGCGACCCTAGGTTGTTCTCTGCCCTTATTGATGGTCACTCTGAATTCATTCCTGAGACCGGACGTCGACGACCTAAATTCCGAATTGAGCTTCCTGGTAATCCCATTCTTGGCGATGGAAAGTCGGACAATCAGAATCACGCGATCATTTTCTACCGTGGCGAGTACCTTCAACTCATCGATGCCAACCAGGATAACTACCTCGAGGAATGTCTCAAGATTCGTAACGTCCTCGGAGAGTTTGAAGAGTATGCTGTGTCCAGCCAAAGTCCGTATGCTCAATGGGGCCAGAAGGACTTCAAAAGAGCCCCCGTTGCTATTGTTGGTGCTCGCGAGTATATCTTCTCCGAGAACATTGGTATCCTTGGTGACTTAGCTGCCGGCAAGGAACAGACGTTCGGTACCCTCTCTGCTCGTTCATTAGCCTGGATCGGTGGAAAGCTTCACTACGGTCATCCTGATTTCCTGAATGCCATCTACATGACCACCCGTGGCGGTGTGTCGAAGGCGCAGAAAGGTCTGCACCTCAATGAAGATATCTACGCTGGTATGAACGCATTCGGCCGTGGTGGACGCATCAAGCACACGGAATACTACCAGTGCGGAAAGGGTCGTGATCTCGGTTTTGGCACCATCCTCAATTTCCAGACGAAGATCGGTACTGGTATGGGCGAGCAGATGCTTAGTCGAGAGTACTATTACCTTGGTACCCAGCTCCCTATCGACCGTTTCTTGACGTTCTACTATGGCCACCCGGGTTTCCACATCAACAACATGTTGGTTATCCTCTCGGTTCAAATCTTCGTTTTGACCAGTAAGTATCTTCTGTCCGCTCTGTGGAGTCCCTGCTCATCATCTGTTCACAGTGGTATTCTTGGGTACGCTGAAGGGTCAACTGACTATATGCCAATATACCTCCTCGGGCGAATTCATCGGGACGCCGGGCTGCTACAACCTCACTCCTGTCTTCCAGTGGATTGACCGCAGCATCATCAGTATCTTCCTTGTATTCATGATCGCATTCTTACCGCTATTCTTGCAAGGTGCGTTCGGCTCACATTTCTTCGAGTGTTGTCAGCTCATTATTGTTCCCAGAATTGGTGGAGCGTGGAACGGGCAAGGCCATTCTGCGTCTGACAAAGCACTTCGGCTCAGCATCGCCAGCATTCGAAGTGTTCTCTACACAGATCTCCTCCCACTCCATTGTGAGCAACCTGACATTCGGTGGTGCTCGTTACATCGCCACGGGTCGTGGTTTCGCGACCACAAGGAACTCCTTCTGTATCCTCTTCTCACGCTTCGCCGGGCCGAGCATTTATATGGGGATGAGAACCCTCGTCATGTTGCTCTATGTCACGCTCACATTGTGGACTGGTTGGATAACCTATTTCTGGGTTTCTATTTTGTCTCTCTGCATTGCGCCGTTCCTCTTTAACCCTCATCAATTCTCTGCTGCGGACTTCATCATTGACTACAGGCATGTGTTCTGATCATATTACTGTTGCATTGCTAATCCCCTACGTTATCTGCAGGGAGTTCCTCAGATGGATGAATCGTGGCAACTCACGTACACACAAGAACTCATGGATCGGCTACTGTCGTTTGTCCAGGACGATGATCACTGGGTACAAGAAGAAGAGACTTGGTCACCCCTCAGAAAAACTGTCCGGGGACGTTCCTCGTGCCCGCTGGCGTGCGGTCATCTTTTCAGAGATTGTCTTCCCGATCGTCATGGCCATCTTGTTCACCATTGCCTATATGTTCGTCAAATCCTTCCCTGACCGGGATGGCAGACAACCACCAAGTCCTCTCATTCGGATTGCTGTTGTGTCACTTGGTCCCATCGTCTGGAATGCTGCGGTTCTTCTCGTGCAGTTCCTATTCTCCTTGTTCCTAGGACCAATCCTCAACGCGTCGCTCCCCATCTTCGGCTCTGCCATGGCGTTCATTGCTCACTCTCTGGGTGTCTTGGGCATGATTGCATTCTTTGAATTCTTCGTATGTTGCTTAGTTTAATCTTCAGTAGCGTGGCTAACTGTTCCGTTTCAGTGGTTCCTGGAACTTTGGAACGTCGCCCACGCCGTTTTGGGTCTCATCGCCGTCATCCACATCCAGCGTGCGGTCCACAAGGTGCTAATTGCGGTATTCTTGTCTCGGGAGTTCAAGCATGATGAGACCAATCTTGCGTGGTGGACTGGTAAATGGTACGGACGAGGTCTCGGTAATCACGCGATGTCTCAGCCTGCTCGAGAATTCATCGTCAAGATCATTGAACTCTCCCTTTGGAGCTCGGATTTCCTTATCGGCCATTTCTTACTCTTCATCTTAACACCTCCAATCCTGATACCCTACATTGACCGGTTGCACTCAACGCTACTCTGTGAGTTGCAGATTTCTCTTCCCATATTTTTTTCGATACTAATAGCTCTGTAGTCTGGCTACGGCCGTCGAAGCAGATTCGTGCACCGTTGTATTCTTTGAAGCAGAAGCGACAGCGTCGCTGGATTGTAAGTTTCGGCTTCTTCCGGAGGCTCTTCCAACGACTGACAATTCATACAGGTAATCAAATATGGCCTCGTATATGTGCTTGCCATAGTGATATTCGCGGCACTCATCACAATTCGTAAGTCTGTATGCCATTCCGCATCGTGCACCTCTAATGACTTTTGTTTTGTTGCAGCTCTGATTTTCCGTAATCATCTTCGCGTTAACTGCAGTATCTGCGAAGACATTTGATGGACACTTTTCAGCATACGATATATATCCTTACCATAGACTATCAGCATTTGTACGCTTTTTTTACAGTCATCTTTAACGCAGACGGACTCTAGCTCTACATATCTTTCATATGTCGTCAATAGGCAGGCCATGGACTTTCATGCTTTTCTTTTGGACTATTCATTTCAATATCTAATCCGTAGGTTGCCCGTTATTTATTCCTTCTATGGTTGACGTTCGGGCAAATACATTCGACCGCATCCGTGCCATCATCCATGTCTACCTTTGACCCCGAAGCATTCGCTGTTGTTCCATGCAGCTATGTCACTGACCGTGATTTGAAAGTTTGACGACTCTTGCTCGACTACCGCCGAGATAATGGGTCCAAATGGTCAAGAGAATCCTGAAACCCCAATATCCTAATCCTAAATTACAATGACGAGAGCGACACTTGTAACGGAAATTGCTGCGCTGAGTGTTGGAACAAGCCTGAATCAGAAACTTGGGTAGCACTGACCGGATCCACCTTTGGCACGCTGCAAGGTACATGAACAACAAGCGATACTGGATTCAATCGACCACTGTCTGATACTCTAGAAGAACCAAACTCCTATGAGTGTCGACATGCCATCCCGTCGTGCATTTAGCTCTTTGTTTCATAACGATGCAGAGATTGATTTTGCATGCGAGGAGAATGCTTCTGTATTGTAGGTAGCGACGACGACGAGGAGCTGTACAGGAGCGTCGTATACATCCACGAGTAACTGGTTGTCTGATACATAATGGTTATGCTCATGTCACCGTTGTCTTCCCTTCCTACATACTCCCTGACTCATCGTTCACGATTCTCCAGCGGTCAAGCAACTCACACGGTAAAATCCTGCCATGCAATTATCCCAATCTTACACACCATTCTTTTTGCCACTCCACACCAATATCATAGCTGGAAGAGATGCATGACCGAGTCAGGAGACGGTACATTTCTGGGACTGTGTAATGAGACGATTGTGAGCAAAACAGAATGCTGAACGAATGCGTGGCCCAAAACTTCTCGTAAAGGTATACCACTGGCATGCCGTGGTCCGCTGTCAAGTGACAACAAGGCATGGCCTCCTCAGCCTCAAGGTGTTCCATCGAGACGTATGAGTTTCTATACGGGTATCATATATCATCATCCAGTCATTAATACTGAGTAGTAAAGTACGTATCCATCCGCGTTGCAAGAGATGTAGTGTGCTAATGTGGAAGAGCCTTCCGAGCTCCTTGACCGAGAGGGCTGAGGACAGGCTGTGAAGCAGAGCTGGTCAATCCTGGCAAGGTTTTACTACCTCTGGCTTGAGCAGGAACTGCTGGTGGTTTCCGGCGTTTTGGTGGAGGGGCAGGAGCTGTTCGTCGAGGTGAAGACGAGTGAGGATGGTGTGGTGTTGGAGACCTTGGTGGTCCGGCGTGGTTACCTGGGGAAGATGAGGCGGGAACTACGCGAATCTCAGGGGTGTCAACGGGGGAAAGCTCAGGTTCTGATGTGAACGAAGCTGTATCCACTAAAGTCGATGCTTTGCGTTCGTGCGTAGACGCAGGCGTCTCTCCGCTCACGGAACCAGCACGATCTCTTCGCGAACGAGGTGCCCCTAAATTTCGTGGAGGGACAGCCGCCGACGCGACTCGAGGAAGGCTCGAAGAGCTCGAATTGCCCAGATGATGCAACGTCTGGTTGTGATGTCCAGAGCGATGCCTGTGCGGCTTGAGTTTGAGGTTCTCCACACTTCGGCTGGATTTCAGTACCTTGCTCTTGCCCGCGGATTTGTCAGTGTCAGCGTTTGGTTCGAACAGTGTGCGACTGCTGCTGGCTTGAGGGGCAGAGGTGATGGAGACTGCATCGAATCCTGGACTATCCACTCGTCGCTCAAGTTCTGCCTTGTCCGCGAGTCCGAGCTTTCGGAATTGAACACACCAATCGCCACTCAAACATCGTTCCACAAGACGCTTAGTCGTAGGATCGACATCCCGAACCTTCTCATTTTCGATGAGGGATTCTAGGACACGAACAATTTGAGGACGTTTGTATGGCATTGCCCGAAGCTGGGTCTTCGTGAGAAGTGGATGGAGAACTCGCAAATAGGTATGACGTAGCTGTGGAACGATCAGCCAGAGAACCTCGATATAAAAGGGAATGTTGTCCACGAACCGACTCGTTGTCTTCATCTAGGTTGACGATCTCCCGAAGGAACACGTCCACAAGGACACACAGATCGTTCGTATAGAAGTATTCAGCCGTCCCCTTCGTGTTGAACAAGAGATACAATAGCTTTAGGACGAGCAACTGCATGACGAGATCTTCGTTTGTACGATCTGCGATTCCCTAAGAACGTGAAGCTTGGATTAAGACATGAGTGACTCACTGGCTCTGTTCAACATGAAGATGAGATTCTCGCCAAAGGTCATACTCAAGCCTAATCGAGACATGAGAACCCGTAGTACTCGATTCTCCGACCCGGACTTATTCCCATCGCGAGGAAACTTGGCGTCTGGTTGGGGTGTTTCGGGGTGCAATGAGGCGACCATGAATTGCTCGTTCAGGGCGACCTAATCTTACATTCAACATGCATATATGTACGCCTCAATCCAGAAAAAATACGTACTATGAGCTTTATGACGGAGTAGTTGAATGATTCATCTTGTTGATTTCTCGTCTGCTCCACAAGATCAAAGAGATGTGCAATGAAGCCATCATTGAAGAGTTCTGTTGGCAATTAAGATAACCCAACTGAGGTGAAGCAAGGAATCTTACTAAGATCGTGCAGTGAAAGCTTTTGCACTCGACAGACTTCGTACAGCAACCTAATAGAAAGTGACCGGAGTTTGACTTCGATGGGGACTGCGAGTCCTCTATACGCGCCTGAGCTTGAGCCTGATGTAGATCCGCCTATGAACGTGTCATCAACGTCCGGGTCTATCTCGAGTGTGATGTGGTCCATGAGGAGGGGAAGCACCGGCTCCCATCTCTTGTGTGAACGAAGAAACGTGGAATTACGTCGACCAAATGAGAGAAGGATATTGTAGAGAATTAGCTGTGAATGAGGATCTGTCGTCTATTTCACAAAATCAATTGCAATTCAACCATTACCACAAACATAGGGCATACTCGTTGTGCGTCGTGTAGCAACAGCTCACACATCCGCTCTGAATGAAAAGTGAACAATTCGGACGCAAGTAGCAGGTCACACGAGTGTTCCAATTGAAGAGGGCTCTGCAAGTATTGCTCTAGGGCCAGAAGATAAGTTCCGGAGTCTTGAAGGTGGCGTAAACCCGCTCACCATGATAGGAGGAACAGAGTGATATGAAACTTCGTAAGGTCGAGTCCAATCTTGACAGGGTGCAGTCAGGGGGTATATTATGGAGAATTTCTTCCAGTTCTGTCGAAGCACTTCAGAATTATGTTACATCTGCGCGAGGAAAGAGGAACATACCAGACCAGAATTGCTGGGCATTCTCTATGATATAAACTGCCCCGAAGACGTCCATGGTGGCAGCTGCATGCAGTTTCGAGGAAGAGAGAGAATTACTCACGGATGCAGCTTGGCCTCGCCTTAAGAGCTTGGGATGGAGCAGACGGATGGACAGATGCGTACACCGAACTTAGGGTTAGCAACGTTGCATCGTTAACATTGGCGGAGTTTCAATTGACCTTTGAGTAGCAGTCTTGTTTTGGAAATTGTGTACGTCCGGCGTGGTTCAAACTTCAAATTCATTTTTCACTGCATATCCTCAGCATGAACGCAACCGTAACAAAGGCAGGACGTTAAGCCTACTACCCAGGTCACGGTAGAGAACTCAGCTCCAAACAATCACAGTAGTTCTACAGGAGCCATCGGAAGCCATTGACAGCTATCCAACCAACTCGTGGCCGTGACTCTTCTCCCCGAGTCGTGCTACTCGACTAGTCGACCACGAAAGATTGTCGATCGCGTGCAACGTGCCCGTAATTGTCTACCTTTCCGACTGGTTACCGGATCACCTATCTATCATTCTTCTTACAGCCGTGGGTGGCACGATGGCGGTTTTGTCCAACGAAGACCCTCGCATTACTGCCGTTAGCATGGAATTCCGAACTCCCTGTTTCTACCGCACCTTTCTGACCGCCAAACATTTTCGCCCACATGTGTAACGCGTCAGAGACCCTGTCGTTGACCTTTGATGTGTTTGGATAGGTGGCTTCCTTCGCGACATGGTTTATTTCAGCGTTGAATTGCATTCCGTTACGGGTCCTGTCGATGCACACATTCACGGACGTGTTACCGATCAGTACAATTTCCACCGCTACCAATACGCATAGACATATTCGGCGATTGAATCAGCCTTTTCCTGCATATAGCGCAACACTGTATTGCCGAGCTGAGATACAATGGGGAGAATGTGCTAGTTATTCCGATGCTAAAGACTCGATCTACATCCCTGACTCCACAATCATGAACCACAGTGACAATTTGACAAAGTCAAGGGACTTTTTGGCAGACGATGCGAATAGGAACGATACCAGGGACACTGAGTGTATGTACGGGATGTACGAGGTGGGCGTATCATTCTCGATTTGGCAATCCGAGCTCAGCATCATAGTTGATAGGATCCGAGTCTGCGATACTCCTTTATTCTTCTCTCTGGTACATCACAACGTCCCGACAGCTAAGTTCGATATAGCAGGCTGCTGTGTCTATTTCCGATAAGCTCTCCCATATTACAGGATGTCTGGTCGGGGACGTGGAAATAGACCTAAGCAGACCGCAAGGAGGGGCGGAACTCCGATGCATACTGGCGATCGCACCAATGCAACCATTCGCTTGGACGACAATCTGAGTAACGCCTTTTTCACCGGTGTCAGACTTGAAGATGAACCCCATGGCAGCGAGCAGCTTCCTGAACTTCCCCCCGGATTTCCACACCTGTTCAGCACCATTCCGGACAATCTACACTCACGCCTGCCGTCTCTCAAACCCGCGGCAGGACCACCCATAATTTTTGAAGGGATGGTGGGTGGTGCAATGTTTGTAAACCCCGAACTAGATCCTCGTCTCCATGCCGTTAGCATGGGGTTTCCAATCTCAGTCCACCCTCTCCGACTTCCAAACACCCGTGCACAATTCGCCTCTGGATCCACAGTGTCCGTAATTGACTACCGCTTCCTTCGCCTTTCGGGTTTATTACACGAGATGGTTCCTCTCAGACCTGGAGTGGACCAAGCAAAGCTTCTCAATAATGACGGAAGTCGAATTGCACAGGTGTGGGGTAAAGTCGAGGTGGTGTTCGATGCACAGGGGTATGAGTTCAAGGAGACTTGTTGGGTGATAAACATAGGATTCCCGGTGGACATCCAGTTCGGCATAGACTGGGCAAGACAAAATGGGTTGGTTACGAATCTTGATCAGGGTAATTTCGTTATTAGCAGTGCGAAGGCAAAGAAAGTGCGGAATTTGCAGGATATTTATGTAACACGATGAAGGGTAAGTGTTGTCGTTGACTTCACTCCATGTGATTCAGCAACCTTACTTCATTTTACGCTTAGGCTGCAGAATAATGGGCGATAAGTAAATTTCGCGGAAAGGCTACATTTCGATGAGAAAGTTTCAAACAGTGCTTGATACAAAGGAGGTCATAATGTCATGTCCATATCGGAAAGTCATAAGTGGAACCTTCATCGCTTATGGTGATTCAACCAATATCGGAAACATCCATATGCGGTGCTAGCCACAAATAACGCAAAAATCACTAAGAGTCTTGCGTTCACGATCGATGTCTCATGTTCGACCTGTTGGATGGATTGGTGAGAATGAATTAGTGAGTATAACTGGGAATCATACGTCCTAGATGGCGACTTACAACAGATGTGAAAGGTGACAGAACTGGAATGGTGAAATGTAGTGGAGTTGTCCAACGTAAGGGGACTGATACGTGATGGTTCTTGAGTAGCATATAGATGAGTACTGCTACCATCGCGATGACCCACGTAAGTAGAAGGAACTAAGGCAGCCAGTTCAACGTCGTTGTGCAGAAGAACTATTGCATGCCTACCGCTAGCCTCTCCAACTTGCTATGGCGTTGTTCGTGCTGCTGTTGCAGCGCTGCAATTTCTTGCTGAGGACCATTCTAAGTAAATTTAGAGATAGTCAAGGCAGACGCTGCGGACATACCGATCTCTTCGTCTGCTCGCTTTCAGCGATCATCCGTAATTCGTGTTGATACGTCGTATTCGCAGATAGTAGAGTCTCTGCGGTGAGTGCTCTTGCTGCCCAATACTGCTCAGATGTCGTCATTTGTTCCCTTGACTTGGCGTACGTAGATGCAATGTTGGAGTGTGTTGAAGCGGGGAATGCGCTATGAGGAGAGGGATCGACGGATGCTCGAGCAAACATCATCGTCCTGCTCTGAGACGGAGGAGTGATTGGTTGACGTAGGGCCACTGGTGTACTCATCTCTGCGGGTTGCACAAGTCGTGAATTCGTTGAATTCGGTATCAACTTGGATGGCGGAGGTTTCTTTCGGAGTTTATTCATATGCTGATATAGCTGAATTGCGCAATTTAGTCAAATTGTCAAGGATTTTGGATAACGTTGGCGTTAGGTACCGACTAAGGTATAGTGCGTGGACCGGCCGCTCGAAGGTCATACTCATGGAAGCGCGCAATGTTGAAGTTGTGGAACCCGATCGCGTTTGATGGTGATCGCCGATTTCTATTTTGAGTTGTCCTCGAGGCGGCAGTTCTCGGCCAAGTTTGCTTGTGCTCCAAGTTCTCCAGGTTGCTGCGGGCAGTTTTTCAAGGCTATACACCCTAGTTGAGCGTATTGAGGCCATGCAATCCAGCAAGCTTGAGTTTCATCCTTTCTTATCCCTTCACGATTGAGGCTTGTTGAACCATTGTAACTTCGACATCAGTGATCCCACTTCAGTTTGAAACAACAAGTATGCTGGGAAACTTTGCGCTTAACGTCATAGTGCTGGCTCTCATGCCATATGCATCCTCTCGCCTGTTTACGGTGTATAACACATGTCCATTCACGATATGGTGAGTGGTTTCAATCCAATGCTGCTAGGTCGACATTTACGGACATTACTTCTATCAATCCTAGGCCGGCTGTGAGTCTGCGGAATTCGAGAGCATATTTTGGTTTGCTGACATTATAGAACAGATGTTCACTGACCTTAACGTAGGTACAGCAATACCTAACTTTCCAACGGGGTACGTCTCTGTTATGGACCTATCGGGTTGAGCCAACGAACGTCATGCTAGATGGGAAGCAGCCCGTTTTACTGCAGTAAGCTTTCCTGTACCGGATAACTGGAAAGCTGGGCGGATATGGGTGCGTATATCTTTCGGATTATTTGAAGTTCTATGTCGATCAGCTTTTCGTCCTCCTAGGGTCGACGAGATTGTGACTTCACGATCGCGAATGGCCCAACGTGTCTTTCGGGTTGGTGCAATGGTGGCCTATTATGCGACCCTGGTACAGGTACTGTAAGTGGTTCTGTTTATCGCTTTCCAATTAAGAGGTTATCTTGAGCAATGGATCAAGGGCGTCCCACCAGCTTCTGTTGCGGAATGGACACTTCAGGGTGATGAATTCCGAGACTTCTACGATGGTGAGTTACAATGGTCACTTCCGGATCCGCTATTATGTTAATTATTGCCGGCTAAGTATCTTTGGTTGACGGGTATGACCTTCCAATGCGCATCACGAACTCGGCTGGGTGTCCCGTTGCTGACTGCGCAGTCGACCTGGGACCAATCTGTAGGTTTCTTAATGATTTGCATGCGAGCGGTGAATGATTAGAAGCTGATACGTTTTCTCACAGGCCCACAACCTCTTCAAGGGCCGTTTGACTCAACCGGATTCCCTGTCGGCTGTAAAAGTGCATGTGCAGCGAACATCGATGGCGACCCCAGTAAGTCTCAAGGATGTCACTGGGCTGATCAATCGTTATTCACATTTCAAAGCGAATTCACCCAATTGCTGCTCCGGAAGCTTCGACACCGCCGCAACATGTCCGAACTCAAACGTGGCGTTTTACGGATTCTTCAGTCAGTTATGATCAGATTGTCGGCGAATTGTGCCTAATACGATGATGGCCAGAGGGTAACTGCCCCAACGCATATGCATATGCATTCGACGAGAGCAGCGGGACGGCACTGTGGACTTGTGACTCAAATTTGAATGCAGATTATACTCTGACATTTTGCCCGTAAGTCCTGCCAATTAGCTTGAACGCGTGGAGTTGTCTGACCATACTGTGTTAGGTCTTTGAACGGTACAGATCCAGCGCCTCTGTCACAAAGTACTATCTTATCAAGCCCGACCGTTGGTACGGAGTAGCTGTGTTGGCCAGAAAGAGATTTCCACACTGATTGTTTCGTGCTTTAGTTGCTGCTCCGTCAGCTACAACGGAAACTTCCGCAACACTACCAGCTTCTGCACAGGGAGCTCTATCATCCGGCGCATTGTCGTTCACAACGATGAGTGTGCAAATTGTGCTGGTACTGTTGGCGGGAGGAAGTCTTTTGTTTTAGTCTGACGAAATTTCTAATATTCTAATCTCATGGACTTGGACTGGCGCATTTCACGATTGATATATATGTATTACATCACAATGTCGTTGCATTCCTTAGATGACAACTACATTTCAGCATGGCTTGAACGATATAGGAGATCTGCATCAAGAGGATGGGCACTAAGTTAGCGACTGTACAAACTAAGGAAATTGAGATGGCCAGAATGGTATACAATACAGGAAGCTATCCAATGAAATGATCAAACAGATCGATCGACTACTCATACTTCAAAATATCTCGCTAAAGCGTTCCACAATCCCTCCCGCCGCTTCTCCATTGTCTGGAGCGCCAACTCTGCACAACCAGAGCATAGTTTATACGTCGAGGTAAGTCTCCCATCCGATCGTACCATCTGAATGATACTCCTCCAATCCTCGATCGGCTGTCTACTCCCTTGGTTGCTCCTCAGGAAACTAACATGGAGGGTAGGCCAGAATAAGCGAAGGCCCGCACCACACATCTGGTCATGCGCAGGGGGAACGCATGGATTAGGACACTGCACAACAAGAGCAGCGTGCTCATTGCGCAGACGTTCCAACCCAACGATGAACCGCTCCACATCGGCGTGAGACAGAGGGGCGATATGATGTCCGACAGCAGGTCCGCCAAACTGCCAAGTCGTCCTACTGAGCGCGTAGAAAAGCGGTACAAGGAGTTCCTGTGACTCTAATTGACATTCTCGAAGGAGAGCGATGACGCTGGCTGGATTAACTATGATGTCGTCATGTGCGACGCCGGGGTTGTAGTGGGGGTTTGGAACAGCCTGGCCATTTTGAATGATGAATTGGGGATTGCGGGTTTGTTGACGCGTTAGGGCGTCCATCTTGGCATCATGCAGGGAGAGGACCCGAGGCCACTCATCACTAATACGTTGTAGGATCTCCGTACGTGGTCGTTCGATCTCGTACTTGGTACACATCCTGATCAGGCTTGATACAAGTGGCCAACTCTCTACGGTCAACTGCGGAACGTCGATTCGTCTGTGGAGAGCAATTCAAACGAATCAAACGCGAGGAAGAGGCCTACATGTACTCACAAACCATCATATATCACATTGAGAAGAGCTTCTATGTCCTCCGCAGTGTCATTTAAACATATGTGAAGATGGCCCTGAAGGATCTGTGGTTTGATGTCCTTCTGAGGAGCTTGGAAACGCTCCCGGAAGACAGGTGAATGTTTTGACAGCAGTGAGCGGTGAACACAGAAGAGCATGCTTCCACAGCTTAAAATAACGTTTCCGTCATCGAAATACAATGTCGGGTGGTTTACGAACGCCTTAGGTTCATCCTGGCGAAGGCGTTTCCGAGGTTGCGAGCTAGAAGCGTCCATTTGAATGGAAAGATAGAGACCAATGCAACCAACTTTTTGGTATGTGTATCAACAAGGGTCAGCGCTGCTCTGACAGTCTATGCCGGACGATCGTAATGAAAGACCAAATTATAAGTTACGATGGTCGTTGATATGAAAGCAAGCTTTCAGGCCTCAGCTGCGGGCGTTTACTGTTAATCGGATAGAACGGCGCCTGGTGCAGTGTTATACATAGAGCACTTCTCCCACAACCTGTCGAAGTCATATTGTCTTTCAAAATCAAAGTTGACTCCATTTGTCGTGAACGGCAAGCATACACTGCCTTAGCATTACGATGCTGTTCACTGTGGGGCATATCTCAAACCTTTGTTGTGGCTCGGATTCCACGTATGCTAAACCTTATCATCAGGTGCCAATTACACCGCTCCTCAAAGAGGACCCAGGGTGCTCTGAAGAGCGTCCTTTACAAGATTGAGGCGATACATTTCATACTTGAGTCATCTCAAAACATGACTTTTCTCAGCGCTCGGAAGCGATGATCTTAATCGCGCTGAAAGAAGGGAGGTAAGGACGATATAAAGGGACCTGGATGATCTCCAAACATCCGCAGGGTGCCCCCCATAACCCACGCTCTCAGATATCATGCGTCGCTACTTGTCAGTTCATTCATCTCGCCGTCTTTCTACCGCTTTCTCAGAGAAGAGTATTCCTGAGGAGCACCCAGGTGCTGATAATGCCTCCCAGGCAGATGTCGCGAGCGTAGCCACGCAAGACCTCGGGTCAACCACTGCTCTTATGTCGCCTCTTGCGCCTTTGGTTCCTCCCACCCTGAAGATTAAGCGTGTCGATCATTATTGGAGTAACTGGTCGAAGGCTTGGAAGTACAAGAACAGTGGCGCCAAGGTGATCGCTGAAGGCGGTCCTGTGATAGGAAGTACTGGGAACATCAAAGATGATCCTTGGGGGCAGTATTGCTTTGTAGTCGTGCGAAAGCTCCCCAAGGATGCCGAGGAAGGCGAGCCAACCTTCCAGGTTGTTGTCAAGAGCCCGTACTTGATTCAAGCATGTAAGCGTGTAATCAAGGATGTTCCTGGTATTTCTTGGAATGCGGTACCTCTTGAGGTATGTCATAGTTGCTTGTTTGTTTCATATGAATTTTTACGAGTACGATGCCAGATCGATCCTCAGCTATTCATTGCTTTCCTCCCTCAGTTCGAGAAGTACCAGGCCGAGCTGCAGCGGAAGCATAACCGCAGTGCCGAGGAGTCGCACATCGCGTCTTCCATCGGCGTGCTCGTTACCTATATCCGCAGCGACTACCGTACCACCCTCGCTAGCATTGCGAACTTGACCTCCCATGGCGAGATCACGTTCAACCTCCTCTACGCTATCATGGTTCCTCGCACCATTCTCATTACCGAATGTCCCATAACAAAGGAACCTCGCGCTTTGCAGCTCACCTCTTCTACGAAGGTCTGCACCCTAACCGGGGGACTACTCGACCTACTATGCGAGAGTATAGATCTGTTTGATTCAGAGGTACCCGTTGATCCTTGGGGTACTGGATCCTCCGCGGAAGCAGAAGCTCATAAGGCCGGCGCCGGCAAGGCCTTTGGAAGAGTACAGCACCGTGTGATCATTCCTTCTTTCAAGGGCACTAGGAAGATTGCTTCTTTGGATGCCTATCCGATCAAATATCATCACAATACCGAGGAGCTGAAGTTGTCGTTGATTGCGAGGGGAAAGAAGTGGGTTGGCTTGAGGGGTATTCATCACATGCAATATAAAGGATCCGCCTCAAATACCATGATGACTCCGTCAGGTGGAAAGAAGGTCGTTCGATACAGTGTAAGATCTTCTGTACTCGCTTTGTTGTCCTCGCGTTTATCATATCATATAGATCAATTCTCGTATCATGGTCGACCGAAGTACGTCAAGTTATTGAGGTCTTACCCATATCTAACGCCTTCTTTCTTCAGCCAACTTCCGTCGTCTCAACCCCAATTATGATATGCCTGCAATCAAAGGGACTAATCCCATGACTCTGCCACCCCCACCACCACTTCCTTTCTATCAGCCGCCTGAAGCTAGTCATGACAACGTGGGTGGATTGCCACCACCGCCTAACCCTGATCCCAGTGAGTATTACTGGAACTATGTCTGATGGAATAGATACATTGTATCTGATCGCGCAACTACAGACCGGGGCATTCCTACACTAAAGGTACAAGGATCGTCAGAGGAAGCGGTAGAAGCTACGGAGGAGGAACTTCTGTTGGCTTCGCCTGTCGTTTATGGGTTCAGCCTGTCTGACAAGATATGGCGTACGTTTTTCTTTTCTTTGAGTGACATCCAGAGCAAGGAAACTGAGTCTATCTCTTGTATAGTCGAATTCAACGTCGAGCTGGTTCAGCCTATCCAATGGAATGATGAGGCTTTTGCATCTCTTGTCCTTCCTCCTGGCAGGAAGCACCTCCTACAGTCATTGGTTGAAGCTCATAACTCTGACCTCGGTTTCGACGACTTCGTTCAAGGCAAGGGTCATGGATTGGTTATCAACCTCTATGGTCCTCCCGGAGTAGGTAAGACGCTGTCAGCGGAGGCAACCAGCGAACATGTCAGGAAACCGCTCTACGTCATTGGAGGAGGAGACCTCGGCACCGATGCCATGGGATTAGATCAAGCCTTGCAGGATGCCTTTGACATCGCTACTGATTGGAAAGCAATTGTACTCATTGATGAAGTGAGTTTTACACATCCTTCTACAACGAAAGCTATATTCTTACCCATTCCTACAGGCAGACGTATTCCTCGAGAAACGCTCCCTTCATGAATTGGAGAGAAACGCGATGGTTGCTGTCTTCCTCCGTCATGTTGAGTACTACCGCGGAATCCTCTTCATGACCACCAATCGTGTCAAAGCGTTTGACGAAGCCTTCCTGTCTCGTATTCACGTTGCGCTTCACTTCCAAGAGCTTACCAAACAAGCCAAGATGCAAGTCTGGCGTGCTTTCCTTGCCAAGGTCGGTGTGGAAGTCACATCCTCAGGTGAAGGTGGCCCTCCTGGCACGATCACTGAAGAACTAGTCGGGAAGTTATCCGAGAGGGACATCAACGGGCGACAGATTAAGAACGCTACGAGGACTGCGACTTCGTTAGCGAGGAGTCGGCGCGAACCCCTCTTGTTTACGCATCTTGTGGAGACGTTGGACGCAATGGACGAGTTCACCGCTGAATTCAAGGCCATGACGATCCAAGGTGTGTAAATGAGAATCGTGTATGATTACGGTCCATGTATTTGTCTGCGGGTGTCTGACCGATGTAGTATGTTGTGATTATTTGTATTACCACCTTGTACAAGCAAATAAAACCAATACTTGCTGTACAAGCATGATGGTCGAGGCCGTAGCCACAAAACGCGATCACGTGGAACGCGTCTATATATTGATCGAGGTCGGGTAAGTGGCCTTCGTCTCTCTTTCCACTCAACCACATTGTCATATCGTCCATCTTGCTCCCATGAGGTTAGAAAATCTTGGATTCAGAACTCATTTCCCTTGCCACTCAGGGTGTCCTCAGACTCTGGAGGAATTCCTCGGTATCAAAGCCAGGTACTATGAGGACGACATGCCTTCCGATGACTTCGAAAATGGGCCAGGAAAGTCCACTATCTTTTTATTATATACTTTTCCGGCTACATGTTGTTGATACTGCAAAACAGACGAAACGTTTATTGCCCCAGAGGTCAAGGAGAATGTTCTTAAAGAGTTTGGCGGCCTTATAGAACGCGACTTTCCCATCGTTGACTTCATACACCATGTCTGGAAGTGCAAGCCGGAAGATATTCCAGGTGATGGCTATCAAATCTGGGGCTTCATCTACGCCAGATATTTTCGAACTGGATACTACAGCAAGGGTATCAACTCCAAGGATGAAACATTTATTCAAGGAGACAGATATGCGGGGATGTCATTCAATTTCATGCTAAAGGGGCTTGTCCTAGATATACAACGGAAGATGAAGGAGAACCCAGCCGCAGCCCCAGAGAAGGCAAAGATGCGATTCGCTGGTGACCTCCGCTTCCTACATACCCGCGAACTGACCAAATATGCCCCGATGAATCCTGACTTCATCTATGGCTGTGCTAATGAGCTACCGCACGAACCTGTCAACTGGCCTTACGCTGGACTTCTGGGTGAGCTCAGAAAGACTCGTCGTATGGAGGATCTATGTTTTGAAGAAGACGTGGACATAGACCTGTCAAAATTGAAGGTATGTCATCGTTCAGCGCAACTATTCAAGTTTTCTCAAATACGTTTCAGGATGCTTCCTTCAATGCGCCGGATATCGTTATGAACAATGTCGTCGATACCGAGAACGGTCGTAAACGAAGGCCGTCTGATGCTATGGAGCTTGAAGAAGAACGCCCTGCGAAACGGAGAAAACAGGTAACAGAGCCCTTGCCTTCAGCGTCAGACTTGGTGGAAGACTATGAGGTATGCGCTACTCTGAACTAGTATTTACAGTACTGACAATCGTCTGCAGATGCAAGACCCCGACAACGAAGACTCGGCACCAGCTGTTGCAGATAACTCGACAGTGGCACCATCAGCTGAGCTGGACCATGAGGAAATCCAAATAGCGTTATCCCTCGCCCACCTTCTTTCAGACGGCGGTCGAGCGTTCGCTAGTGGTTTCCAGGTTGAAGATACTAAAATCACTCTCTGGTACGGGGACCGCTCAGGACTCATCAAAAGCAAGTCTTTCGACTTCGTCCAAGAACCACATTATTTGCTACTGCTAGCTGCTGCCATATACTTCGCTAACGACAAGGACCTTGGCATGTATCCTCTGCTATCCCCCCACTCAACACATGGTCTCTACTTTAATGGGCGCACTCTGAAGGTCCCCGCTGCTCGCGATATCAATGACATTGAACTCGGAACTGTGCACTACCGAGTGAACCTTCCCATTGGTGGAACACCCCCCACTATTGCTGGCGCTGTCGGCCGTGGAGGCCTCATTTTGCATCTCACTGCGGGCCAGACCACCAAATCTGTTGCTGAAGAAGACAAGATGGTTGCGAAGATAGCGTGGCAGTCGACAGCTCGAAGAGAAGGTAATTATATTCGTCGGGTTCATCGCAAGATGAACGAATCAGAGGAGGCCAAGAAGCATCTCAAGCACATCGTCAATTTGAAGTGCTCATCGACCTTAGCTATGAATGATCCGGAACTGAATCTACCTCGAGTCTTTATGACTGGGATGAACTCCATTCCGAAGGGAAAGACTTGTCAACTGGATATTCTTGTCATGAAAGAGTATCGGCCACTCCAGCACCTGAAATCGCGCGGCGAATTGGTTCAAGTGTTTCGAGGAGTCTTAGCAGGTATGTTTGTCTAGCCGTGCTGATGATGAGTTCTTTAACATCCGAAAAAATTTATAGGCCATCGTTGGGCATGGGAAACGGCCGGTGTCCTCCATCGGGACGTCAGTCCGGGGAACGTTATGTTTTATAGAACATCAGACGAAGTTGTCGGTGTACTCTGTGATTGGGATCTCGCGGAAGCTCAGGAGAACCTAGAAGAAGATGATCTGCTTTCTCTCGATTACAACAAACTGGCACCTGTCCTTCAGAATCTCGCTCGCGACGGAACCTCAGTTCTTTCAGAAGCAACCCTCAAAGAGATTCAAGAAGGCATTGCTCGACAGAAGCCTAGGCTTATCAATGGAAGTCAGCCCTTCGTATCCATTGACCTTCTCGACCACATCGTTCCTGCACAATCGTATCGCCATGACCTGGAATCGTTCTTCTGGGTCCTTGTCTGGTTCTGCGCTACTCATAACGCCAGTAGCTTAACCCTGAAAACCACTAAACTCTGGACTAATCCTCGAATCGAGGAACTGTTCAAGGAGAAAGTGGATTTCCTGTGTAACACAACGACGTCTCATGCAGTTCTTAAAGGATGTCCTTCGACGTACCGTCGGCTTATCCAAGGTTGTCTTCGAGGCCTCAGGAATACCGTGAGGCGTACGCATATTCGTGATGCGAAGCTCAAGGTCTTGCGCCTGAAACGTCAAGAAGCAATCGTTGAAGGGAATGCGGGAATGGATGTCAGATACAAGGAGGAGATGATCTCAGTGATCCAGCAGACAGCCGGTCAAGAGTTAACGTTCGAAACTTTCATCAAGTGTTTGGACTCTGTTTAGGGATTAGATGCCACACCATACTGTGCTCGATAGGACCTGTACAATCACACTTTGAATTGTTTAGCAATCTCTCTTCCAAGCGTGTCGCTTGCAGTTCAAGTTTGCTTTGAGGTCCAGAAAACATGGCTGACTACATGGTCAAACCGATAAGAAATAACCCAAGAAATACTACGTTAGCTACTACATCACAAAACGACAACTCAAAAAAATAGTCCGCAAGTGAGAAACTCTAGGGCTGAAAGCCTCTTCAGATATCATTATACGGCTTCGAATCAGAATGTATCATAGAGTCATCTTCATGTCCCTGAAACGCCTTGGGTACAGTGACCTTCGAATACTTGGCCTCCTTTCCGCGGAAGCCTCGACGGCCTATGCACGACACCATTGCCATCACAATGATCGCGAGGAGAATGGCACATGAAAGGCCAATGATGATAAAGCTGTTAGTAACGAGAGTCTTGAGGTTCGCAGAGCTCTTGTCATCGTCGTCGTCATCCGCGAGTGCGCCAGATACAGCTTTAACATTACTTCCGGTTGTGGGGGCAATAGTGTCGGGACAATCACTGGATCCAGACATTCGTTCTCCGCTCTGCCGAAAGTTGCATCAGAGAATTACATCGAGTTCTTATGTGAGCACCTCACGTACCGACACGGTGTATTCGCAGAGCCCAGCTTGTGGATATGTACACCCAACAGAACCGTCGTGGACATCGCCCTCGAGTGTGAGTGGTGATCCTCTCTCGTCTTTCGGTCTGCAGAGCTTGGCAGTAGGAAGATTCGGGGATCCGCTAACGACCCCTGGGATGGAGTCGGGGCAAACGCTAGAACCTGAGTCCAACAATCCGCTCTGAAGATATAATCAGTTTTCAAGCGCAGGATTTCACCCAGGACTAAACGTGAGTGACTAACGACGATATTGTAGGTGCAGAACCCCGCTTGCTGATATTTGCAACCCACGAGATTATCAGCATTCGGCTTTCCCTCCGTCACTAGAGGCGAACCATTTTCGTCCTTTGATTCGCAGAACTTGGTTGTAGCCGTTGCCGTGGGTGCTGACGCGCTCGAGGTCGCGCTTTGCGTGCCATTCTGCTGGATCGCCCGGGCTTTGAATGCATCGAACGTGTTTCCAGTGGCAGGGGGGTTAATTGCGAAAACCATTCCTGGATGAAACTCCATTAGCTTGGCAAAATATTGAGGACCTGTGGAGGTATGTACATACCTTGTCCGCAGTGACCAACTTGTTTGCAGTAGAACCAAAGTGGATGTGAGCCGTCAATGACAAAAAAGTCCTTTGTTGGTTGCTGATTCTGTGCAACTAGATCAGGAGAAACGGGTGTCCTGAAAGTACAGATTAGAGAAAATGGAATGGGAATTCTGGGTTAAAGTGCTCACAGATCCGTGTCAAACCCAGAATTGACCCCTGGAAGCGTCTTGATGCATGGCGTGTCGAAGCTGGACTGAGTAACAGAGTGAGCCTGAAATGAAAATATGCTTCAATATCGGACCATGTATCAAAGACGAGGGGAAAGACCTTTGGATTGCTAAAGGAGATATTTGTCGGCGTGAGGTACAGAATCTTCTCATAAGCGACAGTAGACTTACAAGGTAAAGCGCACTACATCCCCCTGATTGACATGTACATATTCCGGAGAGAAAGCCAGCTTGCCGTTCGCGCCGACGGAGACATTGATGATTTCAGCAAATGCAATCGAGACGGAGGATAGAGCTGCAAACAGTAAAGCAGCCCGCATCTTCATAGGCATCGAAGTTGTAGCCAAAAGAAAGGAGGGAGGGTGCTTGGAAGAGAAAGGATGGGAAGATGGGGATCATCTTCTGCAGCTCATAAGGCAATATGTAGTGCAAGGCATGACCGACAGCTCCGCATCCGATGCAACAGATATGCTTTAAGAACAACATCAATGAACTTCCAAGACTGCTGGATCTTCCCGGGGTAGCGCTAATGCAGTTGTTTCAAGAGGTGCTTCTGCAGTCCACACTGCAGCTGTCAATAGGCTACTTCGAGTGTACTGCCAGTTCAGCGCCCCCCACCAATCTCTAGAACCACATGTCAGAAGAACGGTAATATACCGAGTTCTGCGCTGCGTCTGCTATTCTGCGAGTACTAGTGGAAGGACCTCAGGGCTCAACATTTGCGCGCGCATTTGATCGTGTCGAGTCCACGTCTATGCAGTGAGACACCATTGGGTTAGCGGCTTCAACTGAATCCAACAAAACATGAACGCCGAAGCTCACCAGGGTCCGTCAACACTAAAATAAGCTGCCTTTCCCAGGCGTTCCAATACCCGATTGGCCAGAGCCTGATAGGACTCAAATCAAACTAGAAATGAGCAGGTGAAAACCATTCGAAACTTGGAGTTAATCCGAAGTTCGTCTGGTGTATATATACAACTATTATCTAAATACATGTGGTAACAATGTGTTCGTATGTACTTATGGTATCGGTCAGGTTCGAGCATGGATCAATGAATGTGTTTGGGCAGGTTTTAATAAGTGATTACAAATGAATAACGAGAGGGAAAGGTGTGTTCGTAGATCCGAAATGAAAGTGATCGTAACATTACCCCCTCCTCTAGAATCGTGTCCTCACGATTAATTTATGATAGATATGGAATTGTTCAATCATACCATAATGATCCATTCTTCCGAGTTTTCTCTCTCCCGTTCTCGTAGGCATACAACCCAGAGTATTACTCCAACAGTGCATAGGATTATGCCGCCAAAGACGCTAAGGATGATGATTCCATCTTTGTCCATTTCTACCAAAGAGCTTTCATTGGTTGAGTGAATGAATGTTCTAAGATAGGGGAATCCATACTTGGGATTGATGTTGGTTTGACGAGTTGATAGAAGGAAAGAATGGGGTATTGCCATTCGAGTTTGACTTTCGTAGGCGCGGATGTGATTGCCACGTGTGTCAGTTTGAGCGTCTGCTCATTGATGATCCATAACTCGCCGGCATTCGGGTAGTGCTGATTAGATATGATTTGTGCTTTTCTTCGATTTTCGAATAATTTAATTGAATCTGGGTCTACGGATATCATTGCTTTTTCTTTTTTATGACGTTCTGCCCATCGCTGTACTTTCTGATCCCAATAATCCCATTCTTCTTGTGTCGCTTCTCTAGGAAATGACTGTTCCATAATTTGTGCCTTTAACAATATTCTCGTGGGTGCTTTCGGCGCATCGGGATGATCTTTATGGAATTTGTCGATAATCTTTTTATCTATATTTTTAATAATTTTATGACGAGGTTCCCATGTGTTTTCAGAACGTGGTTTTCCAGCCCACTTGATTAGATATTGAAGACCCCCACGTGCCATCTTGGAGTCCAATACGGATTCAGCTTTGTCTTCTAAGATATCAATAATTATTGGAATGTTTTTGTGTGTTTTCTGATTAGGGAATTCTGGTGCATGATATAGCAACAATAAAGTTTCATTGAATACGGGATGTACTCCTTTCCACAATTTTGGTAATTTGAGCTTGTATGCGCTAGCTCCAATTTTCTTGATAATCGGGAATGGTCCGTATCTTTTATCATCTAATTTTCGATTTGATCTGTCCGTGCGTATATGTGTGGCTTCAAGCCACACTAAATCTCCATCTTTATAATTTATGGCTTCGCCTTTATGTTTATCATATTGTCTTTTCATAACATCTTGTGCTAATGTTAACGATGCTGATGCTTCTTCTTGGATTTTCTTCATTCGCGCTACAAACTGCTCTGCAGTTTCATTACGAATTTCCTTTTTGGTTTCTACACCAGTGTAGGCTTCTCGTCCGTGATTCATGTAGAATGGTGAAAATCCAGTCGCAGAGTGGACTCTATTTCGATATGCAAATGTTGCCAATGGCAACCATTCTGCCCAATCAGTCTGTCGATGATTGATAAAGATTCGTAGATAATTTTCAATTTCTTGATTGATTCGTTCTGTTTGTCCATCTGTCTGTGGATGGTATGCCATACTAGGATTTCCCTGAATTCCTAGTTTCTTGTATAAATCTTTTATAAAGCTGGATACAAATTGCGGTCCACGGTCTGATGTCATCTTTTTTGGTAATCCGTGCAACGGATATACATTTTTGATATAGAGATTAGCCCATCCTTCTAATGTCAATTGCTCCGTAGTTGGTATTTCAATGTAATCTTTTGATTTCATGTCCACAACTACTATGATCGCATCATGCCCTTGCGATTCTGGTAAATGTGTAATCATGTCTACAGATTGATATTCCCAGTTGTGTTCCGGAATTGCATTTGGGTGCAATGGAGCATTCTTCGGTTGATGGTTAATCTTGGTTTTTTGACAAGTCTCGCAGCCTTTTACATATGTTTTTACATCTTTTTTGATCGAAGGCCACCAGTACGATCGATAGATTAGTTCTTGTGTTTTCGCTTGTCCAGGATGACCAGCACTAATCGAATCGTGATGCGAATGAATAGTTTCTCCTCTGAGTTCCTTATCAAAAGGGATAACAATCTTCCCTCTTCTCCAGATAAGACCGTCCTCGGTCTCATTGAAATCAGCGTCTTTTGTCAATAATTTTAGTCATACATTGTTTTCATATTTATCAGTGTTTTTTATGATTTTCTCCTGTAAAGCTGATGATCCGAGAATTTCATTGGCTCGGAACCATTCTGGTTTTAACAATGTAATATTTTCATTATGACTGTCGCCAATATCGTGATGGGTCTGTCGTGATAAAGGGTCGCCCTTCGTCATTGTGTTTCCGGGTTTGTGGGTCAAATTGAAATCATATTGTTGTAATTCTTGGATCCATCGCGCTTGGCGATGATTCAACTTCTGGGGTTTTTTGAAATAACCAAGGTTCTTGTGATCGGAATGAATTTCGAATTTCTGTGCAGCTCCCATCAAGAAGTGACGCCATTCTTCTAATGAGATCATGATGGCTAGCATCTCTCGATCGTAGATCTCATAGTTTCTTTCAGCTGGTGAAAGGCTTTTCGATAAGAAGGCGATGGTTCGCCATTGTCCATCTTGCTTCTGTGCAAGTTCAGCTCCAATAGCATATTTCGATGCATCACATTCGACTTTGAACTGATCTTCATTGTTCGGAATACCTAATACTGGTGCCGTGGTAATGGTTTTCTTTAGAAGTTCAAAAGCTTCCTGCTGTTCTGGACCCCAGGTCCATTCTACTTGTCCGGTTAATTTATTCAAGGGAGTGGCAATTTTGGAAAAGTCTTTGATGAATCGTCGATAGAAATTAGCGAATCCAAGGAATGACTGTAATTCCTTTTTGGCTTTTGGTGCTGGCCATTGCGTAACTCCATCTACTTTGGCAGGATCCATCTTTACAGTTCCTTGCGAAATAATATGTCCGAGATATTCTGTTTCTTGAGTTTCAAACTCGCATTTTTCTGGTTTGCAGGTTAATTTGTTTTCTTGTAATATTTTAAGGACTTCTTTCACAATACGGCGATGTTCTTCCAGGGATTCGGAAAATATGAGTATATCGTCAAGATATATGATTACTTTTCCTTTAAGGATGAGATTACGGAAAATGTCATTCATCATCATCTGGAACGTAGCAGGACTATTCGTCAATCCAAAGAACATGACGGTTGGTTCGTATAGTCCTCTATTCGTGATGAATGCAGCTTTCTCTTTGTCTCCTTCTTTCATACGAATATTGTTGTATCCCCAGCGAATGTCTAGTTTCGTAAAATATTTGGCACCCTTGAGCTTATCAATAAGCTCCGATATCAATGGTAAAGGATATTTGTTTTTCTTGGTCATATCGTTGAGTTTTCGGTAATCCTGTACCGGTCTCAATTTGCCATCTTTCTTTTTGACAAAAAAGAAAGGTGCTCCCCAGGGAGATTTTGATGGTCGGATTCTTCCCGTCTTTAGGTTTTCTTCGAGAAAACCATCTAGGGTTTTTTGTTCTTCAACAGTCATGGAATACACCTTGCCTGCATATGGCGATGAGTCTGGTAGCAATTCTATTGCATGGTCCCATGGTTTCCTTTCTGGAAGGACGTCGAAAGTATCCTCAGTAAATACATCTGTGAATTCACGATACTGTTCGGGAATCATTTCTTCGAAGGTCTTTTTCTTTTTTTGTTTACTTTGTTCAATTGCTATGTCTATGGCGGTTACGCGCATTCGCTGAATGTATTCTCCCCGTTCTTTATACCAAGCATTGGTATTAAGTAAATATACTGTGTCTCCTTCTTCGATCTCTTGTTGTCTTATAGTGATGCACGTGTGTGGGCATCGGTTAAAGTTAACAAGTTGCAATTTGAAGTCTATTGATGGATTATGGTATTCGATCCATTCATATCCGAGGAATATGTCTGACTTCCCCAGATCGGTAACTAGAAGCATGATGTTCTCTTGGTGATCGCCGATTCGAAGTGTGAGTCGGACATATTCTGTGATCGGTCCCTGAGAATTCTCGCTGTTATCGGTGTTATAGACTTGGATCGGTTGATCAAATCTAGAGGTTTCAATTCCATGCCTTTTGACGAAATTATAATTTATGCATGATCCGGTACTACCGGTGTCGACTAATGCTATTGTATCATGGATTCTTTCTGTTTCCGGGATGATCACAGTGACCGGTAGGTCCATTTGTTTCCCTCTTCCAAGTCCTTTGACAACTCGGAGTAATGGTGGTCCGATGTCTGTGATGCTTTTATCCGACGCACTCGGTTTATTTTCAAATTTTTTTGTATTTTGTTTAGAGGAATCAAGCACAGGTTCCGCCCTGCCGCACTTCTTGGTAGAAGACGCCTCTGCGTTAGGTAAAATATTTACAAAAGGGGACTGTCCGATCGATGTATTACAGGCATGTAGCGAAGATGTTTTCATAGAACCCTCCAGGGGTTTGTCCGAGTCATTGTTCATATCCGGCAAGTTACTTTGTGCGTTTAAGCCTTGCCTGAGCCAAAATTCAACTTCTTCGCCTTCTCCGGGTTCTTCTCCATCCATCGCCGAACCATGGCGATCATCTTGTCATCATCGTCATCATCTGAGTCGGGAATCTCCTCGATCTTTGACTCTGTCTTGGTTTCATTCTTTCGAACACGTTGAGTGTTCGTGGAAGGTCCCGATCGATTGGGAACATGCCATGCACTTCCGCAAGTGCCCTTCTCTGATTGCTTGGCCTTACACTTAAGGCAATTCCTGTCCAAGTCCATGGGCTGTCCACGCCCTGTGAACGTTGTCCCAGTTCCATCTCTCTTTTCTCCGTAGTCCTTCTTTGGACTCTGATTCTG